ATATTAATTATAATTTACTTTATAATTTAAAGGAGCTTATTAAGGATTTAAGTAAAAGAGAAAATATTTAAAGTTTTTAAATTAATATAAAGCTAAAGTCTTAAAATATTTATACTTAGTATTAAGTAATTTATTTAAAAAAAAATTAGTTTTAAGTATATAATATTAATACTAAGTAATTATCTAGATTTTAGATCTATTAGAAAAGTAAATATAATTATAAAAGAATTATAAGGATTTAGAAATTAAGAAGTAATTAAAAAGTTCTAGTTAAAAGCTTAATTAAAGTAATAGAACTATATATATACTAAGTACTTAAGAGATAAATATAGCTCTTAACTATTATATAATAATAAAGTAAGCTTTTATATAATAAAGAGCTTACTTAATTAAATAGAAGTTATAGTATTAAAAGATATATTTAAAAGAATATTACTTCTTAGAATTAAGAGCTAAAAGTATATTATATATATATAATATATTTATTAAATATATACTAAACCTAGGATAAGCTTATATAGCGCTAGTATTTAATACTTATATATCTCTTTTACTTATTATATAATATTAAAATCTAGTATATAACTTATTTAGTTTAAAAGATATTATAAATAATATAGTAAAAGGTACTTAAATTATTTATAAAGTTTATAAATCTCTATTTTTATAAAATAATAAGTTAATATATCTTTATTTAAATACTTTAATAATTAGTAATATTAATTTAATAAAAGCTATATATATTATTAGTAAAAAGATCTAGCTCTAGGCAGTCGCCGGTTAGCTACTAAAAGCGCTATTTTCGCGATTTTTAGCCTAAGTTATATATCGATTAATTTAATAGCTAGCGACCTTTAAAGCAGTATATACTAATTTAAATTAATAACATAGGCGCCTAAGGCGACTAAGGCGCTATAAGTGCTTATAAGCTTAATTAGAACTAGTATATAAAATAAAAGTAGATCCGATTTTTTTATATTATATAAGATATATTAGTAAGCTTACTAAAAGCTTTAATAATACTAAGAATACTAAGAATACTAAAGATACTAATAAGTATATATCTTATAAGAGGGTATTATTAGGCTTATATCACCTGATTAGGTAAGGCGGTAGCTTACTTTTATATAGAATTTATCTAAATCGAATTATAAGTATACTAGCGATTTTTTAGTATAGATATTTATAGTATTAAAAGCTTAGTAAGACTAGTTTTAAAGATATATATAGAAAGTATAAGTCTTTTTAAATTCTTAATTAAAATCTATACTAATCTAACTATTTTTAGTTAATTTAAAATCTAAAAATAAACTTAACTTTTAATTTTTAATTCTAATTAAAAGTATTATATCTTTCTTAATTAAGTTTAGCTTATATATAAAAATAGATCTTATAAAGGGCGCCTAGGGTATATAAGGTAGCCTTTTATTATTTAAGGCCGACGTATAATAGCCTCTTATATTTTAAGGCGCTTTAAGCGTAAAAAGCGACTATATAGTAAAAATAATGAAAATAGCAGGTAGTATATATACCTAGCGCTAGAATTTTTTACTAATAACTTATTTTTCTAAATAATTAAGTATTTAAGATCTCTTTAAACTAAGGTATTAATAAGGTTATTATAGTAGATCTTTAGCTTATTAAGTTATTAAAGGTATATTAAGAATAATATATTAGTATCTATAATAATAAATTCTATTTATTTAATAAGTATATTAAGCATAATAATTCTTAATATTACTCTTATATTAGCGTCAAATTATATCTAATAATACCTTACCTTTCTTTTATTAAACTTAACTTCTTAGATTTATTATAAAGCTTATAACTAATTAAGATTACTTATATTTCTTTTTAATACTTTAGTATTAATTAAAAGACTTTAAAAAACTATCTTAAATTATTAAGTAATAATAGCTTTTATTATTATTTTAAGCTTAAGTTATTTAACTATACTTTAGAAGATATAAGTAGCTTTATGTTTCTTAAAGTATTAAAGTACTTATCTTATATTATACTTTGTTTTTAATATATAAAATATAATAATAAAGTATACTATTTTATTTATATTCTTTATATCTACTTTAATATTATTAAAATAATTATTATTATCTTTTATTAAAGTATTAAAATTATCCTTTTTATTATCTTTATTAAGTCTTAACTAAGCTCTAAATTTAATTTATCTCTTTTAAGGTATATTATATATACTTTATAATACTTTTCTATATACTTAATATCTTTAGCTTTTTATTCTATAAAATATCTTATCTTTAAAGCTATTTATTCTTAATTAAAGTAATATTTATTATAACAATTTATCTTTTTATAAATAATATAACTTATATAACCTAAGAAAGCTTTAAATCTATCTTTATATTTATTTCTTAAAAAGAGCTCTTTTTTTAATTTAAGTAATAAATATTACTATTTATAATATATACTTAGAACTAATTTAAATTATTTTTAAAGTATCTCTTATATTTAGATTTAAAAATCTTATATAGTTTTTATACTTATAATTATATAAAAGTTATTTATTAATATAAGAAATATAAGAGGTAACTTAAATAAAGCCATTTTAAATAAGAGATTCCTTAAAACTTCTTATATTAGCTTATTATATAATATTTCGTTATTTTATATATTATTATTCTTAAGACCTAATTAAATACTTTATAGCTTTCTTATAAAGCTTTTTAACTATATTAAAGCTAATTTACTTTTTTAAAGTAGCTTATTTTAAAATATAAGAAAAGTTATATTAAACTATTAGCTTAAGTATTAATTAGCTCTCTTCTTTATCTTATAGTTATTATGGGTAGCTTATATTAACTTATTAAATAAGTACCTCTTTTTTTAAAGGTATTAATAATAATATAAAAGAGCTTTATCTTAAAGTATAAATAGAAATACCTTATACTATAGTATAAACTTTATTAATACTTATTAATAAAGATCAATAAGAATATAAAGCTCCTTATTAAGATAATCTTTAGCTTAATTATATTGAAGCTTCTTATTATATATCTTATTAAGACTTATAAGTAGTTTTACTTATTTTAAAGAGATTAATTCTATAATATATTAACTTAGTTAAATAAGCTTTAAATATAAACTATTTTAGCTAAGTATTTAAAAAAGTAGTAATATCTTATTCTTTAGATATATTATAAGTGCTAAAGTAAGATTTAATAAACTATTATCCTTTAATTTTTATATTAAAAGCTAATTAATATATTATCTCTTTAGTCTTATTAAAAAATTCCTCTCTTTTAATATTAATAAATAAAAAGGCTTTATAAAGATATTTACTTTTTATAAAAAGTTTAATATATAAAAGTTCTTAAAATCTTAAATATTAAAATAAAACCTAGCTCTTTAAGAGATTATTTATTTATATTCTCTTTTAGTTATCTTAATACTTTATTTTTATATTATTAAGAGCTATAATCTTTATAAATAAAGATAATATATTAAGTGAGTTTTAATAAAGTATTTATTATACTTAGTTTTCTTTTAAATTACGATTTTAAATCTTATTTTAAAAGGGTTTAAATAATAAGTCTAATAATAACTTAGTTTTTTACTTATTTAATTAAGTATTCTTTTATACTTAAACTATTATTATTAAAGTATTAATAATATATAGTTCTTTTTAATATTAAATATAGATCTAGTTCTTTAAAAAATAATCTTATAGCTCTTATTATTAATTATTTATTAACTTCTTAAAGTCTTTTACTATTTAATCTAGAAAATACTCTTAAAAGTCTTAAAATAATATCTTCTCTTAGATACTTTTTCTTATAAAATAATCTATAAATCCTTAAACTAGACTATTAATATTAGCTTTTATAAGATCTACTAAAAGTACTTTAAGAGCTAGTATTCTATTTTATATTAAGGTTCTACTACTTTTAACTTTTACTTTAGATTATTCTATAACTTAGTTTATTAGAGTTATTATTATATTAAAAGTGATTTATAAGTATTTTAAAAGAATCTTTTATATTCTAGAAATATATAACTAAATAACTCCGGAGATATCTTAATAACTATTATAAAGTAACTATTATTCTTTAGTAATATAAAACTTACTTTACTTATTAATAAGAGCTTATTAGTCACTTTATAAGACTTACTTTATTTATTAATAAGAAATTATTAATATAAATTTAGTATTTTATCTTAAGAGTTAACTTTATTATATTTAAATTATTTATTCTATAATATAAAGTAATTATTAATTAGTATTAATCTTATATTAATAAATAAATAATAAGTATATATTAATATATATTAAAATCTAAGGTTTAATCTAAAAGTATTTAAAAGTATTAAAAGAGTGTTTTCTATAAAGAGTATTTAAGAGTTAAAATATATACTACCTCTCGAATAACTCTTAGTTTATATCTAAAAGAGGTCCTTCCCTTAACTAAGATTACCTATTCCCTCTGATTACCCCTTACACTTCTATAGTATAAGTCTACGGACTAACATTATTAATATCTACCTCTTAAGCTAATCCTAATATACGTTAATAGAGAATAGCTCTAGAATAGGTCTAAAGTAGGGCGTTAAGATATTAGAAGTTCTTTGTACTATAGGTCATGTGTACTAGCTTTCGTCTTTGTAAAGAGTATAGTATGTTCCATTCCAAGTAATAATAGTAGAATACGCTATCTTGGAATGCTACTATTCTAGAGATTTACTAGCTTACCACTTCCTTTGTTTAGAATAGGGATATTAAGATTACGCTTCTTGGTAGTCTCCTAGTTGTGACGAATGTATTTGAGAATCTATACCAAAATGCAGCAGTCCAACCAGGAAAGGTCCAGGTTAGTATACATTTAAACTATGTCTTAAATTATGGATAGTTTGAGATCTGTGATATCGATCCACGCTCGCACTAGTATCCTTGGAGCGAGATTCTCAAGACTATATCTTGTTAACAACCCAGCTTTCCTCTGGTATCAGCCCTGAAGAAGTCTGACTGAAATATCTATAGTTTAACTGCAAAAGCGACCTCGTCACGAACGTCGCGATGTCGTTCTAATATTATTTTACTAGCTACTGCCATAGCTGTAGCCTGGGGGGTTTTTTTGTGGGAAGTGTATGTCTTCAGCGGCCCAAAGAACTCACATGTCGACGACCAGCTGCATTTGCTACCACACCATACATTGTATCATGCCCAAGGGCCGCAGCAAATGCAGAAGTTGGATCTGAATCACCTCACTAGACTTACACATACGCCTATTGTTGATTACACACGTCGAGTCATCAGGACAGTGCAGTACCAAGGCGAAAGACACGAATTGACTCGCATCGACCAAAGCCTCCTAGGCCCGTGGATACAAGTCCAACGAACAGAGATGTCTGCGGTAACGGTTCCACAGATGGCACCGCTCATCTTGAACGTACCTATTGCTCCAGAAGCGGATACGGGCATATTCTCCTTTGGTATGGCAACGACCGTACCAAGAATACAGGACTCGATATCTGGTATCTCGCACTGGCTTTCACACTCTAAAACGCAGTTGCATGTTCTGGCACCTGCAGATGCCAATGCTGCGATTGTAGAGATACAGATGCGAAAAGACTATATGAATGTATCTATTCACGCAGTAGAGGCTTCTTTTGCGCGTCGATATATTTCTCTGATTGATAAACTATACAAAGAGCGAAGTGCAAACACTCGCTGGCTTGTCCTAGTAGATGATGACACATTCTTCCCCTCTCTAGCCTCACTTGCATCCCATTTCACCCAAAATTACGACTCGGATATCCCGGTCATAGTGGGGGCTATGTCGGACGATCTACGTGTCATCGAAATGTACGGAATGTCTGCTTCGGGAGGCGGGGGGGTTTTTAGTATGTACATTTTCCCTTCTATTCCAGCGTCTCTCGGTGGGATATCTTACGCAATCCGAGCCAAGGGTGCTTAAAATATCTAATTCGATGAAGTATCTATTCCTCTGGCGGAAAAATTACTACAACAGCGGGTGTGGAGTAAATGCCTAGCACTCCCAAACAACGAGGGAGATGAGGTAAGCTATCCACGATGAATATACTTAAGTGCCCACTAACCAGACGGAACTAGCTCCTCGACAATTGCCTGAATAAATACACACAAATAAGGCCCATTTTTGATCATATGCTGCATCAAATGGATATATACAATGGGGAAGGCTCTTCGCCCGAAGCAGGGTATCTGGAAAGTGTACGTTCATAGAAGCACCTCAATCACCCATCATATGCATTAGGTGCTCCAAACCTCCTAGGAAAGGCCCTACGGCCCACGGGGTGCATTGTTGATAAGTAGCTGCTGACATCATGACCTTCACAGGGTAGAAAGCTACTGAGCATTCATCATTGGAAAACATGGTACGACTTCAATGTATCGCTTGGAGCTGCTGTGGCCGTCGCGACCGGTGACGAGGCAATATTTCAACGATGGCTCTTCGAGGGGGACACAGTCCTTTCCAATGGCTATTCTGTTGTTGAATATCCACGAGTGGGCGATTATGGTGGTATTACCGAGGAAGAGCTTGGTGAAGTAGAATATACTTGGAACGAAGGTGATCCAGAGGAACTCTGGCGTTATGTGCATATGATGGGACCACTAAGGCCTCGAAAAACAACGGAGAAGAAAAGAAGCGCCAGACTGGTTGACGCTGTAGAGGTTGTCACGATGGAAGGTCGGGCGATACGACAGACGTACATGGAGAAATCACAGATCAGTACTGCGTTCAGGCCACGGGAAAGGATTGTGGAATTAATTTGGCTGTTTTAAGATCACAAGCAAATTCTGTTCTCTTGCGCATTTGTTTTAAGTATCAAAGATTTCGCAGAGCGCGTCTTCCTTTCGGACGCAAGCTACAGGGTGAAGATAACTACTATCACAGATAAGCTTTCATCGCTATATTGTACTAGAGTTCCCTGAGACAAGATTATGATAACGCATATCTTCCAGCATATCAGAGCAAAGTTACATGTGTACTTGCTTTGGATTCGGGACCGGCTGCTAGTGACTGTGATTTCCGCTTCGTGGTAACATCGTTATTGCTAGCTTCCGGAAATGGGCGTTGGATATGAGCTAGGACTGGTTTTCTTACTATGGTGGAAGGCTAGAAAGCCGATCGAAAGAAAACATGGATTCTGGTCGAAACAGAGATGTATGGAGAGCTTGCCGCCTGGCAGATTGTGTTGCGAGCGGCGGCGCGGGGGGGGGGGGGGGGGGGGGGCTGAAAGGAGATCATCCTCGGAGCGCTGACAGGAATACAGATAAAATCAAGATAGCTAGTCAGTCCATAGGGTCAATTTAGTTGAATATTCTCAAGAACAAGAGCAAGACTACGGACTAACGGAATCCATCGTTGCAACGGGAAATTGATCGCCATCGTCTCTTGGTAGGTATATTCGTTTATATTCGATTCAGAGTGATGGGTTATTGTCCTGTACTTTCATTAGACCCGAACATGGCTGCTTCCAGACGCTCTGCTATCTGCCGTGTATAGCAATCGTATCGTCGTCTTGCCCAGCACCATCCCACTATCGGACTTCCACCGCTACTCCCAAGACTTGCCAATACTCAAGATCCACGTTCTTCGGCGGCTTTACTCCGTCCATGCTTAAGCGAGAGCAAGCGAGCGCTAGCCGAGGAGAAACCCCATATCCTCAGCTCACCAAGCCATTTTCCAAGACCAGTTGCGGACGGAGAGCTCCCTAGCTCATACGAACAGTTGTGCAAGATCTGTTGAAGTTAGCCACCGCCCCCGAGTTTTGCCGGGACAGACGACAGTTTGGTGTGGCTGCAGCCAGAAGAAAAGGACGTTTTGTCATCTCCTGTGTCAAATTTCAGGCTAACAACCCGAAAGCTGCTCCAGCCAGCAATCGAAAGTAGTGCTGTAGTAAGAAGTGACTTCTGAAACAAAGGAGAACTCCGTTGGTGTTGCTTTGCTAGTGTTCATATGCTGCAAGAAAAAAACATCTACTACACTCCCCATAACATGACAACTGCCACACTAGGTTCCTGGTGGTGTGGGGTGCGGGGTACTCCAGACCCAAACCCAGGTCTGTCCTGTTCACAACATGGTGTGTATTATAAGAGTCGGGTCTCCCCCCGCCTATGTTATACCTCGACATCGCAAGGGAGACCGAGCACTTGAAAAGCCTGCAGTCACTTTCATACATATTTGAGACTTGCCAACCTGCCACCATGGGCTGCTTCAATCTCCATGCGTCGAACACGGATGATCCGCCTGAAGTCCGCAATTGGCGCATTCACGTCATTGCACTTATCGCATCAATGGGATCTGTCGCCATGGGATATGATACAAGTGTTATCGGAGGAACAAGTAAAGAAGCCCTATTTCCAATTTATGCAACTGTCTGACACTAAACAGTGGCTCTTGATTCGTTCAGAAGAGATTTCGGACTGGCGGATGTTTCAGCTCACACTCGAGATACTCTTCAAGGAAACATCGTTTCGACTTTTCAAGCTGGATGCTTTTTCGGATCTCTCCTCACTTTCCCATTGGGGGAGAAGTTTGGACGTAAGAAAGCGATCATGTTCGCCAGCTTGGTGTTCTGTATTGGTGGTGCAATGATGGTAGGTGGTTCTACAACGGTCTCAGTCTTATGACCAAGCTTACGAGTATAGACCGCTGCGGACGGCATCATTGCTCTCATTATCGCTGGAAGAGCCATTGCCGGCCTCGGTATTGGCGCAGTATCTCTCTTGGTCCCAGTATACATTGCCGAAACATCGCCTCCTTCGATTCGTGGCCGCCTTGTCGGAATTTTCGAAGTCCTCTCGCAGTATGTTCTCGCGATCCATGAGAGGAGCCTTACTGACCTGATAGGGGTGGTGGAATGTTAGGTTTCTGGATCAACTATGCCGTCAATCGCACTATTAGCGTGGAGGGCAAAGTTCAATGGATAGTTCCTCTCTCCTTACAATTGATACCTGGGGCGCTTTTATTCTTTGGAATAATATTCTGTCCTGAGTCTCCACGGTAGGTGTTAGACGCTGGCAAGAAGTACTAGAACTAACATATCAAAGATGGTATGCGAAAAAGGACAGATGGGAGGAGGCAGGCAAGACACTATCTCAGATCCGCCACCTCGATGAAAGCCATCCATATATCCAGAGAGAGCTGTCAGACATCCGGGAGCAGATCGTTATGGCCAGCCCAGCCAATGGGCAACCCATGAAGAAGATGGATATGTTGAAGAGGCTCTGCCAGAAAGGCACCAGAAACAGGATCGCCATTGGCCTATTCTTGATGGCTTGCCAAAACCTCACTGGCGTTAACGTCAGTGCACAGGAGACATGATTATCGAATGACATCTAACATTTTACAGATTATCACCTACTACTCTCCACGGATTTTTGAAACTCTTGGTATTACCGGAACTGATACAAAGCTCTTTGCGACTGGATTCTATGGAATAGCCAAGACGCTGGGAATGATTGTCTTTGTCTGTGCCATGCATGCTGTAGTATGTTGAGGGAGACACTAATTGCCTGATAGTCTGTGTATCTTGTGGAAAAAGTAGGGCGACGACAAGGACTCAGTATGTATCATGCCGTTCTGTGGATGGGCGAGTTTTACCACGAATACTAATAATACTGCAGTATGGGGTGCTTTCATCGGTTCTTTACCAATGTGGTACATTGGTGGTTATGGTAAGATAGCCCCCCTCAAGACGCTCAAATTTTTTTCACTGCTTAACAAAATACAGTGATGAGAGCAGACCCCGCAGGAGCAGCAGCGAAGGGTGTCGTCTCACAGAGCGGAGCCGGGTATGTTGCAATGGTTTGCGTGTACCTAGTGAGTGCCAATATATTGCAAATGTGGTCATTGAACGTATTAACGCTAGCCCAGTACGGATTTATTTATTGTATGACATGGCAAGGAATTACATGGGTTTACGTAGGTGCCCCGGCAGTAGCCATTTATCCCAACCAATTGCCTCAGGGCTACTTTGGTCCCGAAAAACCTCTAGAGACATATACACTTGATTAATTGCTAACTCCTAGATCATCTCAGTGCTCTGAGATATTCCCCTTTGACATTCGTCTGCTGTGTGTTGCGATTACCGTAAGTCTTTCCACCCCCACCGCAGGGCAGCCCGAGTCTAACTGCTCGCTTAGACTGCCGATCAATGGCTGTGGAGCTTTGTGATCTCACGAACTACTCCCTACATGATTACTTCTCTGGGATACGGGACTTACATGTTCTTCGGTTCTCTGATGGTGCTCATGGGAGTCTGGGCGTGGTGGGCTATACCCGAGACCAAGGGCAAGACCCTGGAAGAGATGGAGGCCTTGTTCGGTGTTCCTGCCGCCCTTGAAGCTGCTGGATTCCAGAAAGAAAAGATTGAATGCATTGAGGACATTCATCAAGCAAAGGTCTGAGCTTGAATTCCTTCTATCTGGTGGCTGAAGAGGGTAGAAAGAGAGAGATGGAAGTTCACAATTCGTTTGGCGAAGGATACTTGGACAGGGAGAGCAGCAAGGCCATGGAGACTAGGGAGAAGCAAGGCGAGTGAGGAGACATTGGGTGACAAGACCTGTTGTTCGTTCACGTTGCGGTCTGTCGAGGAATTGCTGATCTGTGTTTGTACTTAACGATCAAGAAATAGACATTTGAGTGACTGGGAGTAACTTGACCTTCATTATTTCCTGCTATTTAGGTGTTGAAAGATCACCTGGCGAATGTAGCACTGTAGCAGGTACCCGATCCGAATTCCGATATTTATATTTCCTGGCTTAGTTATGCAATAGCGCGGGTCGGATTCTCATTGCTCGTGTTTGGGAACATTAATTCGCGAGGAGGAGTTTGCAAAGGGGGATAGCACAAGTAGTTACTGTCAATAAGCAGCGTGGACAGGTGCATAGGTGTGTGGAGACTTCTGAGTGAGGTATAAAATTGCGTGTAGAATGGTCTCTTGACGGGATGACAGGCGCCTGCGTTTAGGAAAAGGGAGCTGCTTAAGCTAAACGTCAATATAAAATCATCCATTTCAAACAAGGTGCGTATATGGCATGTTATTTGATCTGCTAAAACTTACCCGATGGTGCTACATAGAGAGTATGGAGGAGGTAGAGGTCGTCTACAACCTAGAGACATCACCACAGTCGTGGGTGATCTGGTTATGGTCACAGCATTCGCAGAGCAGTATCGAATCGCACAGCCGTTTTCGTGCGTGAAGTAAATCGTTCTAAGTTCCCTTAAAAGGCCCTTAAAAGGATATATGCTCTTGGCGCCATCTGCATGGAATCACGGGAATTCCGATTTCCCCTCCCACTCGCATCTCCTCCCAACAGGGTTGTCATCTCACTGTGTCGAACGAGTGATTTCAACATCGGCGTCTCTATGGTCCATGACAATGCATCGATCCTCAACCAAGGAGATTTTAGTGCCGTCCTTCGAGACTGAAAGTCTTCTAACGAGCTACCAAAACACGAATGCACCTAACGTCGTGTGATATGGAAAAGTTACATTGCCCGCTTTCTCAGCCCGCCTTTACAGGCAGAAGGCGGATTTGCTCCGAGCCTGACCCTTTCTTTGTCTTTTGTCGTCGACCTTCCATGGCCAGTCCAGCCTAGCCCGTAGCACAGGTGTTAAGTGGCGAGGATACTGGCTCACAGAACTTGCACAGCCTCCTCTCAGTTCCCGTCCCAGTGGTAGTGTAGAAACAAACACACGAAGCACATCATTATTTACAGGACTTCTTGTGCCCGCCAAAACCCGAAACGAAGCTAGGTCATGCCACCCCAAACCCAATCTCTAATAATAAGCGGGTGGCGCTCTTGGGCGTTTCTGGGCATGGCATGGCATGGCATGGGATGGTGTGGCACCGCCAGCGAGTGTCTCTTACATCGGACAAGCATCTATCATAGGTACGGTACCTACTCGAGTACAGTACAGTATAGTACAGCATATGGTGATGGTGATGGTGATGGTGATGGTGATGGTGATGGTGATGGTGATGGTGATGGTGATGGTGATGGTGATGGCGATGGCGATGGAAATACATTTGCGCCTCACCCTTTCTTTCCCATGCCTACTTTGAGCCTCGAGATATCGACATCTAAATATAAGCTGTCATGACTTATCGTATCATATCACATCATATCAAATCTAGGTATCTTCCATTCCATTTCCATTTCCATTTCCATTTCCATAACAGCCACCCCTTCCCCCCCTGTGGCTCCCGATCCCGACTGTCCCCGAGCCGAGGGTGGGAGGTGGGGTGAGGGTGAATGTTCTAGCTTCCAGGCTAGAAGCAACTGAATGCTGTACCTGGGTAGGACGACGTTACCTGAGAACCTGGAGAACCTGGAGAACCTGGAATGGAATGGAATGGACGGGAACGCCCCGACTTCGACGGGACCCGACTGTACAGTACAGTAGGTACTGGCTCAACTCGCTCGACTCACCAGGTAGGACACTACTGGACATGTACCTATGCACATCTACCCTGCCTAGGTAGGTACCGTAAATTTCCTACCGAGCCTACCCTACCAGGTATAGGTAGGTAGGTTACCTTAGGTACCTTGTTAAGGTGGGGGAGGGGCGATTCCGGCGGCTTGCTCAGTGCCAAGCTTCCTATGTCCTGACTCCTGTGCTACTGTATCAGTCCCCCAAGCTAAGCTAAGCTCTCTGGCTGTGCTGTGCTGTGCTCCAGCCAGTCGTTTCAAAAGTCTCGCAGTCTAAGACGACGACACACAACATAAGACAGGACAAGACTCACCACTTTTCTTGTCCAGGAACAGACATACAGCATAGCATAATTGAGATGGGAAGAAAAATCCAACCTCGAGACGCAAACATCGCTCCTTGATCCTCGATCCCGACCGACAGCATTGACAGGCCTACCTACCTTAGGTACTTTACCTACTTTACCACGTCACGCGAGAGAGCAAGTGCCACAACCGGGCAGGGCAGAAACAGAATTCCTGATCACGAGTTCCTTGACTTCCATGCGTGCGGCACTCCTGCCAGACTCCCAGACTCCCACTCCTGCTCTTACCCCGTGTCACGAAGATGGCATCGCCAGTGCAGACAGCTGCAGCGGCCCCAGTTAAGAAGGCACCGAGGTCGTCGCTCTTGAGGTCTTGCGAAAGATGCCGACGAAGGAAGATCCGATGCGATGATTATTTCCCCTGCGCTGCGTGTACGCGACTTGGACTTCAGTGTAAGTTGAGCGATGATCGAAAAGCAGAGAGATCGCAGAGGTGAGTCTAGAACAGCAGCATGAGCAGTCAACCATGACCTGCAGTTGACAAATCGAATCCAGTTTCCTCGAAGAGCGTGTCAAAAGATTAGAAAGCCTTCTGGCACAGCACGAGAACCGTGAACGTGGTGTTTCGCCTGCTTCCGCTTCGCTGTCAGCCACTCCGTCTGCCTCGATGGACATGCCAGGACCGTCACAGCACCATCTCCGGCTGCAAATTCCGACGTCCCCGTCTCCAATGTCGCCCGCTCCCGAAGACTCTTCGATGAGTCCCGGTCCGGACGTTCAGGAGTATCCGAGGGGCTATATGTCGTCGTACTGCTCATCGCCAGTAGATTTCGCCACTAGTCCTGCAGGAGATTTTCCTCCCTGGTTATCTTCCGATGCTTTCAGTATCCCCAGCTATCCCTCATTCTTTGACTATCCCAGACAGGCGAAATCATTCCCATCTACTCCTAGCAACAATTTCGTGGATCCTACGAATACCTTCTCAAGCATTAGCTTCTCCAGAATGGGTCAGGGTCAGCATGACAGTCTTATGGTACCAGAAATTCCCACCATCGAAGTCACTTCATGGGAGGCGCAATCCAACCTGTCAAACGATGGAGGCATGAATGAAACGGCACTTAATCTGCCCGATCTCAGCGTTGGCTCGTGGAGCGGTCCACCATCACCCTCATTGACAGCAGTAAGCCACGGCTTTGTCAATGACGAATATCTTTCGGAAGTCGATCTCGATCGGCATTCTCGACGGCCCTCTGTAGCCTTCTCAGAGCGCTCCTTCAGCGATTTGGACTCTCTAAAGCCTGATATGCCCATGTCACCCTCTTTCTCTCATTCTCGTCCAAGGTCGAGGTCCGATGTCCTGCCCCAGTCAACGCGATACCTGCATGCGACACCTGTGTCTTTCCGTCCGGAATCAAACCACATCCACCCTCAATCTTTGGGTCGTTTTGGCTCCGGCAAATTTATTCCTGACGCCGACGAAGGCTCATATACTCGCATCTTCTTCGAGCGCATCCACCCGTACTTCCCCATTCTCTCCCAACATAGGTTCCAGTCATGTGCAAACACTAGTATCGACAGCTCCACTATGGATCAGCAAACACGTATCGAGAAATTGGAGAGCATGCTGGTACTAGCCATCGGATCTCAATTTCAAAGTAACATTGGAGGATGCCCTTCCCCGGTACCTCGTCTATACTTCCAAACGGCTATGCAACTGTACCCAGAGAATGCATGGCAGCAAAGCCCTACACTGAAGACGTTACAGGAACACTTGTTGGTGGCTATTTATGTACTCCTCTCCACATACTGCCCTCCCTACCCAGCAGAGGGTAGCCACGAAGCTCTAAATGCCATAAATCCAAGTATTTGGATGCTAAATGCTTTTACCACGGCGGCGGCAATCGATCTCAACCTTCATGCTCGTAATAATCTTAGCGCCTCTGAGCAGGACCTCTTCATCTCAGTGTATGTACTGGACATGGTGGTCAGCATCTTGTTAAGTAGGCCGAATCTGCTGAGAGGTCTGAACATTGATATCGGCGGGATGCGTAGAGTGCAAGGTACTACGGAGGTGAACAGAATGAGAATGGATGAAGTGGCAAACGAAGATCTTGGTAGTGGTTGGAGATGTGTTTTGGACTGGTATAGGACTGATGGGCGCGATTTTGTCTTATAGAGGGGGGAATGCAAAACGTGCACACCAAGCTAAAACAGAACTCGGGGCTCCTGGTGTAATACGGCTCTAAGTAAGAGACCGATACCCAAGGTTATTAGTACATGATATCATAGGTGATATCTATGTTCCATTCTGCCAGGTTGTACTCTGGACTATCTGTATCTGGTTTACACTAAACGTTATTTTTCAAAAAGTATTTGATACATATAACTATGGTTCGAAAATGGAGAGCTCCCTCGAAATATGCAATTTTGTGTCTGGATGAGTTGTACTCTCGTATAATACCTTAACAAATTCTCGTCGACTTGTTGTCGCCTGCTTTGTGTACTCGCACTCGCTTACGGGAAGTAGTGCAGTCAGGGGCATACGCGCCAAGACCTCGCTTATACATAACCGGAATGCGAATGCAAATGTTTCTTATGTTTGTTAGCACTCATTCCCGGATTTGGTCCCAGTGGATTAATTGAAGTATTGCAGTTCAATTATTTCATCAGAGAGGGCATTTTCTGGCATATTTGCGATATACTTGTCGTCGCTGAGTACCCGGGTGATTAAGTTCGATGCTTGCCGTAATTAATCCTTCCAATTACTTTATACCCTTCTTGGTCTTTGGGTGCTGGCTCACAAGGGCTTGTGTCTAAACTTTTATTTATGAAACGAGGTAAGGGTGAGCAGAAAAACCTAGAGTAGAGTGGAAACTGCAAGCTAGGCAGGTATATCTCGGAATTTGAGATGAAGCAATGCACTCTCTCGACGCCAGGAGTTTTGTTCTCGTCTTTTAATAGATGAGAGTCACCACGATCTCCGCAGGGAGAACACTATGACAGACTTACTGTTTGGCGACGGCTGGGCTTGGGCGAAGCCTGAGCTGGAGCGGGTCTACACCACATCGAGTGTGGGCCTTTCTGCTTGGGAAATCTAGGTCTGGATTGTCAAATTGATTAGTGACAGTGAGAGTCGGTTTAGATGTCTGTGACAAAGGTGGAAATTCTGGGGTTAAGAGAATAGTATAATGGCTACATGTCATTCAGAGATAGGGTTCTACAGTACTCAACAGTTACATGACAGGGACGAAGAGATCAATAGATGTTTTCAAAGAAAAATACCACAGCCATTCAAGTCCTACAGACCAAGCCCGTTGTTTTGATCGATGGACTTTACCACAGATTGGCAGGAAGAACGACTTGTACCAGGACAACATGACAGGTGACAGGGATATTGGAACTCAGGAAATACTATACAGTCTGATATCGCGGTGTTCTTTGAGTCACAAGCCTACATCTCGGTACAGATAAAGATTGAACAATGCATGCCACAGCAACCCGAACAAAGAGGTATTTGTCCCACCGGATCGTCAAAATCAAAGAATAACAAGGCTATAGACTAGAGATTTTTGCCGCTTACTGTTTGCTCGAGCATTGTTTATAGAAATGGAGTCAGGCAAACCTGTGATAGAATGGGCACTGGTTTTTAAAGCTTCAGACATAACATCACGTTGTAGTCTCGAAGGATCCACACGACAGCAATTCCAAGCATCACAATTATCTTAATATGCTTGGAAGATATACCACCGGTCCACCTGTCCGTGCGGGTATGTGTGGGTAAAAGACAAACAGAACCATGGCTATATCTGTGCAGGTGGACATCATCGCATCGGCGGCTCGGGAAAACATATCGGGGAAACGAAATGGCGAATGGACCAGGAGGCAAAGAAAAAGGCCGAAGAAGCTAAGAAGGTGAAGCACAACATTCTTGGTCAGCAAAGAGCGAGGGAGAAAGAGGAAGTATGCATTCGCACAGCTTGATCCATGAACAAGTCCTCACCACAGTCCGTCTCGGAGACAGAATCCGAAGAAGTGAGGCGAGAGTCTCGCGAAAGAGAGCCGAGGGAGCTTAGAGAGCGTCAAATCAAGCAAGTGAAACCCGTCCACGAGCCGCCTTGTACAACGAAGCAGGAGAAACGGAGTACATCTTGGAAATTGGACGGTGATGGTAGAAAGAAAAATCCCATAGCGCAACCTACTGCCGAACAGATAGAGGCGGAGCTCGCCAGATCCCGTCTACAAAGGCAAGGAGAAAATACCCAGGCAATTTAATGGAAATCATGGCAGCGTTCTGAGCAAACCACTGATGCCAAAGCCCCAGAAGAGAGAATAGCCACATGGGCGCGTATTAGTGTTACCAAGAGAGAATCCACGCTTGCTCCATCTATACAACGGTGTAACAGACCTCGAGCCCTCCCAGAGCAAAATCTAGGCCCTGTTGCTGAGCCAATGCCATGAGCAAGTCCACCCACAGCGATGCCAAACAGTCGGAGAAAGCACGAGCACGAGACCATACGGCAGAGGAAAAACATTTCAAAAGAAAGGGAAAATATGCGCGGGGAGTAGTGGCCTCGAAGATAGTGCAACAAACTGGCGTTGACGCATTAGACAGATAAGCATTATTTTCATCTTAGCACGATAGACCTACGAGTTGTCTTACAAGTCGTCTTCGCCGAGCCTGACAGCCTGTGGTCCGAGAAGGGAAAAGGTAGGTAGTTATGAAATGCAGAACAGCTGAGATTGGGAATAGCCCGAATAAGCTACCAAGGACATAAGGGAATGGAATTTATATCGCAATAGAACGAGATGTTACAAGAAATTTTATGTAAACTGGCTGTCTTCACCACAATCGTCATAACTGCATTGGCAGCGGTACTTATTGCTCTATTGTAGATACCGCTGCATCAAACTTGTACTTAGCGCACCCCGCGTCTCCCCGCGAGACGAGAACTGCCCCTAAGCGAAACTCACGATTCCTCGCCTCGAAAGCGCTTTTACTATCAGACTACGAAGCAAGAAATCGCAACTACGCTCAGAACGAGCAAGGGACGGCGAGCCCAATTTCCATGTCGACACAGCGAAGAGAGGCCAACGCAGCCTGGCGCCTTCCTCTTTGAGATCATCCCAGTCTCCAGACCCTCTAGCAGGAACCCCTCCAACCCCATGATGATTGGGGGGGGGGGGGGGGGGCTAGATGTACACTGGAGCGCGATGCAGTCCAACAAGAGCAGAAGGAGTAACTTGACCCATTAATAAATGACAGTCTAGCACAGAATGAAGGAATACAACAGTACCTACTTCTCGCTTAATGCCAGAGTGAAGTTGGAGCAGGACAAGCCTAGACAGGGAAATGTGGAAATGACACGTTTAGATGTTGAACTATGGAGAAGGATGGGCAAGAAAATAACGTTATCTGTTCGACGAGAATAAAATAGGATGGATGGCAGGACTTTGCTGCCAAGCTGGATTACAAAGAGTAAGTGCGATTTGAGAATCCTCTAAACTTGATCAACATGCATCTTTGCCATCCAGGGGTTCTATTCAACAGTGTGTGACAAGCTTAAGGCAGTCACAAACAAGTTTCAAATGACAGCACAGGTAATGGCCAACATCAGATCGGTACTTTGGAAATGCTTATGGAAACTGCGAGTAAGATTTTTGATGACTACCAGGAAAACATCGACGAGGGGCGAATTTATGAAGGAATCTTCAACGACCACAGTGGGAAAGAATGCGTCTGATCGTAGACAGCCCTGAAGGTCTGACAAGGGGTAGGAAATGACGAAAAGTTACAACGCTTATTGTACGCCAGACTTCTCACTATGATAACTGCTGTGTATGCTGAGAGAATTGACGTAGTGATACAAAATTGAGTAAAATGATTCCATGCACACCCTTCCAATGTACAACTCCTCCTGTCACGTTATTGGAAGGACTCTGGATACTGTACCAAACGACAAGATTCTCTGTTTGGCTGCTGACATACGTGGAGCTTATCAGCATCTTGACTTGTATGCTTGAAATACTTGGCTCTATTTAGTCCAACGATGACTCCGTTTTCAGCGTAGCCCCTAGAGACTGTTTTTGTGAGCAAGGGGCCGTTATGTGAACGGAGCGTTGAGTCCACCAGCAGATGAGGGAATGCACGTCGCGGGAGGTAAATTCCGTTTTCCTGCCCAATGCTATGCCATGAAATAAGCCCAGCCCAATATAAGTACAATCCAAAAGCCTGCGTCTCCTGGAGATACCCCTGTCAAAATAGTCGCATAGTTCGTGCGGCGCTGCTCGAATTGCTGCCAAACTGGTAAAGTGCATCCCCTTCCCACTGCCAGATATTGTCCGCCGGTCTATGCCCCTCCCACTAGAATATTATTGACTGGTATGTGAACTGAAATCGTGGGTTAGTATCTGGTGTTTGCTTGTTCTAGAGAGCAACTGACTGAGCTTGACCAAGTATCCAACAGCACCCATGACGAGGAAACCAACACCGACAGCCTGCGAGATCTTGAGAAATTCACGTCCATCCGCTATAAAGAAATTAGCATGCGCTCAGTTACTGCATCACCCCAGACCGGCGCAATTGATGAGTGTAGGGCAGACATCCATACGCTTGGTGCATCTGTTCAGGAACTGGGTACCATCTCGGACAAAGTCGCGGGGAATGTCCATGAACTCTTGGATTTGGTCAGACATGATCGTGGTATTTGGAGAATTCGAGGAGAGTCGGAGATGCAGTTCGCGGTGGCGTTGACTTTGTCCCCGGTGGTGAAGGTAAGGTGAGGTGAGTAGATCGGATGAAGGGCAAGTGCAGTTGAAGTGGCCTCTACAGCTATTACGAGCCGCGATGCAAAGGAGAGGCCAGATCTGAGCTGGCACGTGAGAGCGGAGCTAAGGTAAGGTTGGTTAGGTAACTTCTTGGCGCAATGCGGCCGCACAGCCCCAGCCAAACATGGACCTCTACCTACTCGTGCTGTATATCCTCTCTCCCCTCTGCTCCTCTCCCTAGATCAGATCTATCCGTCTCGATTCGAACTCGAATCGACTCGGCATTAGGCAACACTCGCGACAGTCACAACAACGCCGCGTTCGATCTGCGCATAATCTCTGTCACTAAACAGCCGCTGCGACAATTTTCTCGAGGCTGGTGGATAGGGGCCATTCGTCACCAGAGACAGACAAAGCTTGAACAAGCCTTGACGAGAATAGGCCCAAGAATCAAGAACGAGAGGAGGAAGCCGTGCTGGGCGGCTTGGACAGTGGTCTTCTTCTTTGCAACCATCCTGTTACTTTTCAAGTCGAATCTGTTGTTACTTTCCGTCTTCAATTGGGCTTTGGCTTTGTTGGTCGGAGGAAACTACTTACTCAGACTGCTCTTCACTTCACCTTCAGAGGTTACCTGTACCGAACGAAATTCTCAAGATTGCAAGCACAGAGCTTCATCTTCCATCTCCATTCCGTCTGCATCAGCCAAAGAAGGCCATCAGACTTGAGCTTAGTTCTATTTGGTTATTTAGGAGTGTACGTATTTGTATCTATCCCATGTATACTGTATCGTTCATCTGGCCGACGTATGCAGGCGTCGAGGTCGAGGGTGCTGATACCAAATTAATGTTTTCATGCGCTGATCTTTTATGTCATTATCCTACAGAATTCATTCACTGTTCAGGAGCATCAAGGTGTCATTAAAGCAGTACAGGTCTTCTCCTAAGAAGCTTCGACCAGAGACTGATCTCATAAACCCGGCGCAATGGCAGACGACGAGTTCGACATCGACATTTACGGTGATACCAATACTGAACAAGAAGCAGAGAGTGGATCCAAGAAAGATGAAGAGGGTGATGTGAAAATCGACACTTTTGAGCCAGCCAATGGACACGCTACAAATTCCAGCAGCATCGTGAAGCACGAAGAGGAGGCAGATGACGATGATGTTGACATCAAGTTGACGAACGGCCAAGATATCAGAACGAACGGTCAACAGAAGATCAAGAGCACTGATGAATCTGGAGCTGACTCTTTGAACATCCCCAAGCAAGCCCCACAGCAGCAAGGTGTGAAGAGAAAAGAAGGATCTGACGATCGTGCAATCGATCCCGGAGCGACCACAGCATTACTGATATCTGATTTGAACTGGTGGAATACGGATGATGATGTGCGAGGCTGGGTTAACCAAGCCCAGGTTGAAGATGAGCTGAAGGACATTACATTCTCCGAGCACAAGGTCAATGGCAAGAGCAAAGGGTATGGACAGCCGAGTGCTGAGGAGCAATTGCTGACACATATTTTTGTAGACAAGCTTATATTGAATTCTCTTCGCAACAAGCAGCGACTGCAGCCAAGCACAAGATCGATGCTTTTGGAGAAGGCCAACAATATGTGAAGAAGCATACAGTCACCTACTCCAACCCCAATGTCAACCCTTTCCGCACATTGCCAAAGGATGCTCCTGCCAGAGCAGGTAAAGACGGACCTAGTAATCGTGCCACTTCTGGAGGTTATAACAACGAAAGAGGAAACAGCCATAATGGCAACTTTGGAGGAAACTTCCGAGGACGAACGCCTGGATACAACGCTCGTGGAGGTATGAACAACAACATGAATAATTTCAACCGAAATTTTTCTGGCCCCGCGATGAATAACAACATGGTTGGTGGGGGTTTCAACTCACCGATGGGCGGGTTCCCGAATAATCCCATGAACGGGCAATTTGGAGGATTCAATCGTGGCGGTATCATGGGTGGTATGCGAGGTGGACCCGGCATGAGAGGCCGAGGTGGCATGAACAACAATATGATGGGTATGCCGATGGGAGGCATGCCAATGGGCGGTATGCCGGGAGGCATGGGTGGTATGCCCATGGGTATGGGCCAGATGGGCGGTATGCCAGGTGAGATTTCCATTCGTATTGGCCCATGAATTGAGCCTTCAATACCTCGGGCAGGATCGGCTGTCTGTGCAGATATGAATGCGACACCGTCCTAGAATATTACTGACAGTTGGTTGTAGGCGGTGGCTTCCAAGGCATGCAACAACCACATTTCAACCCTGCCTTCTTCCCTCAAAATCAGGCTGCTGGTGGCGATTGGCAAAATCCCCACGGAGCTAAGCGACCACGGCCAGAATAAAGAGATTACTTGAGAGGTTCTTCTTCTTTCAAGTTTGCTTTTATCATTCAAGACTCAATGCATTGCACTGACCGGATGGCTTCGGCGTTAACTGGGTTTTTTCAAAGGCGAGCTTATCACCAGGCTTTGACTGCAGTTTCCTTTTCTCCCCTGTAGTTTGTAGCCGGAGGATGTACACTTAGACGGCGTTTGCCATGCATAAAGCATGATTGCTGTATTCTGAATATGATGCTGTTCTCTTCATCGCTCTTTCTGTTTTGAGGCATTCCTAGCTTGTGTTGGTACCGTATAGGGCCCTCTGTCTTGTTGTATTTGGCTCCTGCTAGTCGCCCTTTCTGAAAGTGGCCAGATAACGGAGCTGGGCAACCCCAGGTAGACTCTGAAGCTCACGTTATCTTTGCAATGCGGTAACCTCACAGCATCAACGTCAAGCAGCAGTTACGAGTATTGCTATCTCTATCGTCTAGCGCTTTTGGACACACTGCAAACACCCTCAACTCTCTGCCGAGCTGTGGACTGGATGGCGTGTCTTTGCTCGAGTCTATCGGAAAGTACTGAGCATCTCCATGGACGGCGCGATGACCACAGTGGCGCCTGGACGGATCGAGATTACAGCTATACCGTATTCTATGGCGGAGCGCAGATTGCGATGATTGCCGTTGCAGCGATCTTGGTTATCATCTGTGCTCTGTTGACTGGCCTAACGTTGGCAGTCTGTGGACTTGACATCAACTATCTACAACTGAGAACCGTCACTGGAACCCCACAAGAGAGGTTAGCCTGGTATTTCTTGGCTTGACACTGAGCTGACTATTTTTAAGACGCCAGGCCCAGGAAGTTATTCGGATGAAGCGTCGGGCAAGCTGGATGCTCTGTGAGTGGTAATCGATCGACGTCTATTCTTTCTAACAACACTAGGCTCCTTGATACTCTGCTCGGTTGCATGTAGCCAAACATTCCCCTTTGTCGTACAGAGTGTGTGGCATGGTCCACAATTCTGGGTTCCTGTCCTCATTTCTACCGTAACGATGACTATATTCGTGGAAATCATACCTCAATACTTGATTCCACAGCAGGCCATTGCGTGGGGGTATTACTGCTGGCCAGTGATCTGGGGCTGCATGTGGGCCACATGTTTCATTACATTCCCTTTAGGATGGTTGCTGGACAAGTCGCACGCGAAGAAAGATAGGGTCGGTATTTTCACAAATAACGAGCTTCAAGCCGTCATCAAGTATCATAAACAATCTGAAAAGCGTGGGGGCAGAGTTGGCCAAGACGCAGCGAGGATTATGCTTGGTGCCTTGAAGCTCGACTCTCGGATGATCGGTCACGTGCAATCGTCGCAGTCCATCACCGACGAGCAGGACATCGAGAAAGCGGATTTGTTTTTTGATCAAAGTATCATCGTGAAGTGGGATGCAGTCAAGACTGTCGATATCAATGACACTGTTGACGAAGCTTTCATCCAAATGGTTCAGAGCTGGTCTTACAGCCGGATACCTGTCGTCAGAAATTCCGCGAAAGCGACAAGCCAAGATGGCAAAGATTCCGAGACCAAAAGCTGGGAAGGCAGCAGGATCTTTGGATTTCTACATGTCAAGGTATACTGCGATCCGAGAGAATACCGACCTATCTAACTTTTCTCCATAGAACCTCGTTGGCATTGACACCAAGACCCCAGCAAAGACCGAAAACAATCTCAGAGTCAAGGACCTCAGGCTGTACCCACTACCAATCGTTACGGCAGATATGTCAGTCTACGAGCTTCTCAATATATTCCAGCTGGGAATATCAAGGTATACTGTTCACTTCGCCATGATCTGAGTGAGTGTGTTGCTGATCCCGCTAGAATGGCGATCGTGGTTCAGGAATGCTCAGCTGCTAGCAGCGGCAGCAACGGCTCGCCACTGTGGACAGCAACTGATAGTACCAATGCAGATCTCATGTCAAATTTGAAAGGGGCGAAAGGCAAATCCTATTGGACATGGGATTATCTCAAGTTTTCCCGCGCAGCAGCAGCTGAACACCACCCAAGGCAGAATGTTCTGGGAGTTGAGTGTCCTAAACCACTCGGGATTGTCACATTCGAAGACATTATCGATACGATTCTTCAGAAAAATAGCAGAGATGAGCGGGATTTCTTCGATCGAGAATGCTCATACCCGCCGACAAAATTCAAGAAGAGCGGAGACTATTCTCCAAACTCAAGCGCGCTCAAGACAGATAAACCCCTGCTACGTTTCCCAAGGAGGGCACACATAACCTTTGAACGGTCCGCCAATCCAGGTACCATGCGGAAGCGAAACGTGTCCAACAAGGTCAGTGCCCTTGATGGCGCAGATGATCGCTTCGACAGATATTATGCTTCTAGCATGCGATTTCCGAAAAGTAGACGCCAGTCTACGAGTAGTTCATATACAGTCAATAGTGCAGGCGGATTTCATGGCGTGGATGAGTCTGGTAATGTCATGGACAATGCCAACTTGATGACGGCAATGGAGATTGTTGAAATGGCCAATACTTTCTCTTCAGATTGCGCTGGAAATTCTGATTCGTGTGTCGATGCGGCAAGCCTACCAATGCGCAGATCCGAGAGTGTCGTATCAGCAAAGAAAGGGCAGCTTATTAGTGGTCCAACGCTGCCTCCATTACGTCGGTTCGCCCCGTTCACCAGAGACAATACTTCCGGATGTGAAGGAGAAGCTGAGGACCAAGAGGGTGACGAGATGAGTGGCCTATCAATACCGGTTCTCCCGATAGACCAAGGTCCATTACCCGCCGTCGATGTGCAGCTGAGCTACAACCCTGAGACTTCTGGAATCGATATAGAAGACATAGAAGACACGCTTGAAGCCGTAGTTCTATCCGTCCATACCCGTGAGAGAAGTGGCGAAACAGCGTCGTTAATCTCCTGGTCCTCGGATGATGATGCTCAGCAGATGACGCGTGTACACGATGCATCCCCAACTCTAACTGGTGAAAACCAGGGGCTGTCACCTGGATGTAAAAGTCTTGGAAAGCCCATTGAGGCGAAAGAGAATGAACAGACTAAACCATACGACGGTTTCCCGCCGGAGCTGCTTGACAACACAAAGAAGGAAAACTGCCTACCAGAATATCTTTCTAAGACATTACCACGATCGATCGGGGCTGAGCTCGATCTGGAGAAGCTTGCAGAAACGACCAATGATGTTCCCCTCCCTGCAAAAGAAGGACGCTTCCATGATGACAGGTCCCTCCTACCTAGCCAGAGACATTTACTAGAACAAGACCCACTTAATATTGGTACAAGAAGCTCCAGTCTGTGGTTTTGAGACACTGGGGTCCTATGGATGGCGACGTGAAATGCGTCCCTCAAATCTGTTTGGCTCCTGTTGCTATGGAATTACAACTACGGGTGACTATTTTTATGTCCATGAGGATTGCATTGGCTACCAAGCCTCTAAAGTATTATAGGCCCAATAAATATTTCACCTCGTTTTCTTGGGGTGAGACGGCCCTGGTTACTAGAACAAACATCAATGCAGAAAAAAGCAATCAAATACACCTACTATGAGTTTGGATGTCAGCATTTCAGTGCCAAACTTTTGTCCTATTTAATAATGGCTCGTCACCAAGAAGCTTAGACCGAAGTAAAATCACACTCCTTAACTCAGAGATCTAGGTAGGCCTTTGTAGATGCCAGTTATCCACATTATGTGTGTCAGATCATCACTATCTCACCGTAGCACCTGAACCATCAATTATTTGAGTAAAGCTACGCAGGTATCTACCGAAATCTAGCTGTGTTGTGTTATCGGATTGGATCGTATAGAAGGCGGACAGTAGATACAGCAGCACCATTTTGACGTTGTTTCTCGTTCAAGCCACATCGAACTCAGCGACGCATCCGAAAGGAAGTCACTTGCGATGTTTGAGGACATATCAATAAAGAGGCGATAAGTATATTAGGTGAAGTACTACCGAAACTCAGACTCGATCGTCTGGCGAGTGTTCACCTTTTTCATGTATATCTGTTTGCCGAGCTTATCATCAACGGAGCTGGTCTCTTCCTTCCCAAAATAACCCTGATGACCCTCTTGAGACTAAACATTCTGGCCCCTCCCCCTTATAACTCGTTATCTGAACTTGCTGTTGTCACTCCCGTTCACTTTGATCATGATAATAACCGCTTCCTCATCCTCAAAGGCAACATTACCAGCAGCTTCTTCAGCCGTTAAATTCCGGTTTAGGGTTGGTAGAGGTAGTTGTTTACCAGAGTTTTTAACTTTGGTCTTTGCCGGAGTGTCCCACGGCTAAGGAGTACTCTGTAGCATGCGAGGAGGCTTGTGTCGTTCCTGTCCAGTGTGGTTGCTCATTTCCTTAGTATCCGTTCTCGGACCACTCATGTCGAGTAAGAAATTTCCGAAGTCACCATCAAAGTTTCTGTTTCCGGAGGTGGACAGCGGACTTGATGTTGTTGCCTCTCTTATCAGTGGTCTCGATCAAGCGAACGATCACGAAAAACCTCAGGTTGCCGGGCTTCTGAACTGGTCATTCGATGACTCTTGTGGGTTGTTCGACATCAGCGTCCTCTTCCTCTGTATCTGTATCTTCACCACGGCCTCCTTTTTTTTTTTTTTTTTTTTTCGTTTTTTTTTTTTTGAAACGGAAGGCGGAGAGGCTAAGGCGGCTTCTGTGCCAGCTGGATGGGCCTCTTCGGCACCTACTCCCAGTCTGGTTTTCGCCCGGGCAAAGTCTGAGTCTGCTCTAAATCTCGTGACAAATACTAGTACACTATAATCGGAAGAGAGCTCAGGCGGTGGCGAAAGGAGCTCTTTCGTATTGTCGTTCGTGTTCGGAAAATCATCCTTACATGACCGGGCAACATGCCATGCTAGATCCGCTCGAACTTATATATGAAGTATGATAACTTGATATTCTGTCGATGGCAGACTGTTCCTTATCGAGTATCAAACTCTGCAATCTATTGGGAGTTCTTGATGGAGGTGGATATGCAGGTGGAGGTAAAGGCGAAAGAGAAGAAGAGTCATACAATAAATCATCGTCTGGTATGGCGGTCTCAGATCTGAGATGGTCTATTTGTATCGAGAAGTGCGACTGTGATGGTGTATACAAGACTTTAGCCGCGAAGTAACCATCGGAAACGAAATTGACAAAGGATTAACCACAAAGCCATGTTCTTGGAAAACGGCCCGCAAAGGGTGCAATGTCAATGGACATATGAAGTGATGCTTTAGATAAAGAGATAATCGAAAATCGAGCGATGTTTACCAGATGTTGTATGACCTCGATACAGATCCAACGGATCCGGTGCTTGGAAATGTTGTTGACAAAGGGGCTGCATGTTAAGCGAGCAAGACCAGCATCCTGTCCCGAAGCCGCATAATATGCCATCCCCTGCCCCATACTACTTCGTCCAGCTGATATACTGATTAGAAGCGTTCGAAAACAAGTGATAGAAGGTCAAATAGTAATCAGAATTATGAATCTGATCACCGTGGAAATACGAGAGTACCTCAAAGGCGATAGCAGGTTCTGCCACACCGTCGGAGAGGCACTTTTCTGAAACAATAACCTTGCAACTGTCAAGAGATCCTTATTAGTATTAATTAAGTGCCGATTCATAGTTATAAAGATCTTTTGATAGTTGTATAATTATTATTCGAGGAAAGTGCCCTTCCCACGGTAGGGCAGAGCCTACATTATCCTTTTAAAGTAACAGGAGCCACAAGAAGTCACACAGCAGTTGGATAGAGTGTTAGCTGTACATTTCATTGCTCTATGCTGCAACATATCTATCATAACGCCCCTCGCCTCACTTCAAATGTACTATACAGATCAAAATTACACGCGAGTCTCTTCCTCCGCCACTTATATGCTCCCGACCACTAATAGTCGTCCTCGAATGGTATATAATTATTCAGCTCCCTGCTCCTGGCTGCGCTCTTGCCCTTCACCAAATAGAGCATCATCTGATTTCTCGGCGTATCAATACCCAATTCCCTTGCCCGACGCTCAATGTACCCGTTGTAGTAATCGATATCAGTCTTGTTCCCAGCTCGTACGCTCTGTAACATTGCTGAGTAATTCTTCCCGGTCTTTGATATCCTAGACACGACGATGGCCTCTAATCTCCTGGCGCTAAAAGTCTGTTCAAGATTGGGTAATGACTGCATTTCTGGCAGCGAACGAATAACCCGAGAGATCTCACGCAACAGGAGCTTCATAGCCTGAGAAGCGCTGTAATTGTAGAGAAGAAGATCATTCGTACAATCGAAAGCAACGGAGAGGGGCCCGATGACAGCCCCAGCAGCGAGGTTCTGCAACTGGGACTCGTAGAAACTCTTGTGACCGACAGCGAAAGTGCTGAATTCAGGTGTCCTAGCCAAACTTCCCACGAGGTGGCTTGCAGGAGCAGTCCAACTGAAGTCCTTTCGCGTAAGTGTTGGTCCATAAGTTTCTCGTCTAGAGACCGACACGTGGGGAAATTTGGAGCATTCAAGTCGCCCGGGATTCTTCTCTATGAGGGTGAAGTGAAGCTCTGTTGACTCCAACTTGTGGCTCATATTGCCAAGGATATACGTTGGTCGGGTCTTGGAGTCTGGGAAGACTTTCTCGTTGATTCTCTCCACAAGACCAAGACCATTATTGAGAATGAATATGGTCGAGCTTCTTCCAAGACGGTGCTTGATTGCCGTCAGTGCCGAAACTGTCCTGTATGCCTCCGTTGTAACAATCAAAGCATCTATTGGGTAGTTGGGAGGTTCTGAAGTATGCTCAAGCCTTGGACCAAATCCTGGAAACTTTTGTCCCGAGTCCTCTCGTACGAAATCGGCTGAGGATTCGATGTGAAAGTTAGACTGCGTTTTGATCCTTCCACCCTTGATGACATTAATAGCAGCTCCCTCGTCGTGCCAGTGCTGCATCATTAAAGGTCGATGCATCAACAATGTAATGGGCGGTGGGAATGGAAGTCCAGCGAGGGAGTGAGCTATATACTTCCCAGCGGCACCCAAGCCCAAAATATGGATGGTACGATTGACAGGCTCTTCCTCAGCGTCTGGCTGCAATGCCGGATCGACGTGTGCCCGCAACTCCTCGAAGCACACACCCTTGATCAAGGCTCTTCTGTTTGACGCCCTTAGTAAATCTGCATCCTCGCGTGTTTCTACCAGATCGCTCTCGTACTCTTGAAAACCCTCCCGATTTTCTGCATCGGGTTCTTCATCAGGCTCCCGCCACTCGTCCTGTGCACCTGATTTCCAAGCCGTGGCAGAGGAGGTACTTTCTGAGTCTATAAATTGTACGCATGACGTCTCTCCTTCCAACAGCTCGCCATCCTCCATAGTTGTTGATGCAGTGCCCTCGTCTGGATTTGCTAAGTGAATAGAATTGCCATCTTGTCTCTCGCCTTGCCCAGCTACCCAGTCCTCGGTGACTCCCTGTATCTGCACATCTGCGGGACAACGATCATCCACGGCTTTTTTAAGGTCCTCGTCCAAAATGTGCTTGTTATTCCGCTCCGTCGTAGCACGTTCCAAATGATATTCCAAAGCACCTGGTCCGTCACTTTTTCCCACCGAGTTCAAAACATCATCCACCAACAGGCTCTCATTCGGCGCATCGTACACCTTTCTCTCAGCAGCTTGACTGCCATAATGCCGCACAATCCGGCTCCCCATCGGATCCAAGGTATTCGTACACCTCCTCCGCTGCCCCCACTTCCTCCCAGGCCACCAATAGCATCGATCCTGAGAGGAGAAGCAACGCCTGGCCACCCGGCCCGCACATGTGTTATTGTAAAGCCATATCTCGTTACGAGGTATCCTACGAAATACCCGCAACAGCGGTCGACCGCAAGTTGAAAGAGACAGGATGAACGATTCTCAGTGGCTATGAAATCGACTCATGGCAGACGGGATCTCCAGGCCGCACGCGCTGGCAGGCGAGACAAAGCACCGGAGCGGAAGCTGTTCCTATGTGGACATACAAGAAAGAGGAAGAGCGAGGAGAGTAAGGTAAAATAAATACGAGAAGGACGCAGTTGTCGCGGCTTTGCAGTCGCAGCGATCGCAATGAAAGGTTGCAGACAGTTGATAGCTAGAATGGTTGTTGACCAACGTCCTCAGTAATGCGGTGTACCAGGCCGTGTAGTGCAGTGGAATGCTGAGAAGAAGTGATGGCTGTGGGTGGTGATAGTGGTCAAGAGTCAAGAGAAGAGAAGTGAAGTGAAGATTATGGCTCCTGCTGGCTCCTCAGTTCGATGCGGGTTCGCCTGAGAACAAAAATGTAGAATCATAGACCCATGCACGCCTCCAGCTCCGGCAACCCTGTACAAAAACCATGCCCGTGCCCATGCCTATGCCTATGCCAAGAGGCGGCCGGCAAGAGTCGGCCCGGGCTCTTGGCAGCACGGACAAGGTCTTTCATCTACGAAGTAAGGTACAGTAAGGCAGAGGTCTATTGCAGTAGGTAGGTACAGTCTTGTAGCTACGATACAGTACAAGTGCAAGGACAAGTCCTCGTCGTGGGCCAAATCTCGCCATCCGTGCAACTGCAACTGCAACTGCAACGGCAACATGGACTCGACAAAAGTGATGTCTCTTCTGGAGACTCTGGATGACGAAATAGACGATCTGGAGGAATCTCTGGAACCCCTCCTACAAACGGCGCTCGCAGACTCGGCCTCGAAATTGCCCTTGCTGGACAAAGCCAAGCTCTATGTCCTAGTCACCTATGCCATCGAATCCATGCTGTTTTGTCAGTCCTCCTCTCCCTATTCGTGCAATGTGTCTGATCATCTTCCAGCATTTCTGCGACTCCACGGAGTCAACGCGCGCGAACATCCTGTCTTCAAAGAACTCACCAGAGTCAAACAGTACTTTGACAAGATCAAGGCTGTTGAAACGCCTGTGGAGAGGACTATGGCAGTAGACAAGGCTGCTGCTGCAAGATTTATCAAAGCTGGCTTGGTGGGTTTCTCTTCCCTTGCAAGAAACTTTGGTGTCTTCCGCTTTTTTACATTTACTAACCTTCTTCTTAGTCTGGCAATGAAAAGTATGATCTCCTTAGAGCAGAGCAAATTGCAAAGGAAAGAGCAAAGGCACATATCAAGTTCGGTGATCAATCCAAGGATGTGGAAAAGAAACGCAAGGCTGGCCAATTGGATGCCGCCGTTGAGATCGATCCAAATTCTTCCGACTCGAATTCCAGCTCGGAGTCCACCCCAGAACCCACAGCCAACCCAGCAAGTTCCAAAAAGAAGCGGAAGGTAGATCAGTCTGCCTCAACATCAACTTCCGGGGCTTCAACACCTGCAATTACTTCCAATGACAACGAAACGAAGTCTGGAAAGTCGAAAAAGTCGAAGGGCGAAAAGACGACGAGAAGCAAGAGCGGTCGGCGAAGGAAAAGAGGATAGGCAACAAACAGAGCCGACTTGGAAAGGTTGTTGAACCTTGACAGAAGATATTCTATCTATTGCGGAAAGCATAGCATGGCAAGGCGTTGGTATGGAAGATCTTGGTCAAGAGCGTTGAGTTGGCGTTCAGACTCGACTGATGTAACGGCTGTAGCATTTCATGGCGTTGGTATATCCGGAAAGGGTGCATTTTAAGGTCTATAGACGGATTATTCTTATAACGAAGGAACCACGCACGACCAATCTTTCGGAAGTTCCGAATAGGTATCGTCTGGCTGGATTCACAGTATACCTAGGTATTTTCTCGTGCCACTATCACTCGTATGCATACATTTCTTGACACCAAGGTTGTCTCAAAAATGCCCACAATCTACCCGGATTCCGCAGACTAGACCTTTGCTTCTCTCACTTTGTTGCCTGAAGGCTCTGCCTACATATTGTGCCTGAGGATTGATCTCGTATCGTAACCTCGCCCCCTCTCCACCAATCGTTCGTCAGCACGCTAAAAAGTCTAATGGAGCCGAGGACTTCTGAAGCTTCGATGTTGATCTGTTCTGCAATCTTCACCTCGCGTCAAACACATATACCACAACCATTTAGTTTACCTTCAAACACAACCCCAGAAACAATTCCAAATCATAATGCCTCGTCAATCCAGGTCCGGTGGTGGACGCGCCCCTTCACGCCCAACTGCTCCTCAAAGACAAGTTGCACCTCAACAAACACGCCCTGCAACTACCGCCGCCTACCCTCCAGCAGCACGCCCAGCTGCCACGACTGCTGCTCCTCCAGCTCAACAGCAACAAAGCTCCGGAGGTGGTAGTATGCTGGGAAACATTGCTAGCACTGCAGCGTAAGTCCGCTCTAAACCAACGGATGATATAGACTGACAAGAACCAGAGGTGTGGCTATTGGATCATCCGTCGGCCACGCCATCACCGGTTTCTTCGGAGGATCTTCCGCTCCAGCAGCTGAGCAGCCTCAACAAACTGCCGTTGCTGCCCAGGGCAATGAAGCGACGCAGAGCAGCTGGGGACAGCGAAGCTGTGAGGTTGATGCGAAACAGTTCACCAAGTGTTTGGATGAAAACCAAGGAAACATGCAGATTTGTGGATGGTATCTGGAGCAACTGGTAAGCATCACAAAGAATCATTGGGACGGAGTACGGATGGCATGAGCAGACAGATGCTAACGGGGACTTATTTGTAGAAAGCTTGCCAACAGGCTGCTAGCCAGTACTAGTTTTACTGAGCTGTGGTGGACTTGGAAGCATAGTGCTGCGAGAGTGTATTGCGTTGCATTGGGTGGCGATTCAAATTCGACATGTAAAATACAATTCTGAGAACGAGACAACGCCGCTCTTCTGGCTTTTGTTCGCCGTGGCTTATTCCCGGTATTTTGACACATTGGCCATAGAGATTTGGGGCAGAATATGTTCCAACATGAGGGGCAGCAATAACTCAATAGCCAGAAGGACCTGGCTCACCAGCACGTGTTGATTGTTGTGTTCTGACATGTTTGGACAATGTTTTGACAATGCTCACTACCAATACAGCTCCGGTCGTTTCCTTTTGGTGTATCATTCTATCACACCCACATGAGCGAACGCAAAGTCCATGGATGCTGTTTCTCCAATGATAATTCTTGACAGCGACTATCTTGATTCTACACTGCGACGGATTGCACAAATGGACACGGCCGGAAAGGAATACAAACTCTTACATGCAATAGCATCCTTTCAGTACTGTCATCTCTGCGTCGCAAAGTATTTATGTTTACTGTTCTACACCGATGACAGGGTGTTGCAGTGCCGAATAAGTGCCATATCATCAAGTCCAAAATGGTCTCTCGGTGCAGTGCCGCAGACGTAGACTCGATAATGCTAACTTAAGGTCAGAGTTGTGCTGGGACTCACCTTTCTACACATCGCTAAGGACGTAGCACGCATGGGATATGACGTGTTCTTAAATAGGCAGCGCCATGAGTACTTCCAGTCCAGTCCATATATGAGTTCACATTCTGAGAGAAAGTTCCAACGGGTGTGTTGTTTCCTGCACCGAGTTTTCCGAAAGAATTAAGTGAATGATACAAGCAAGTTTCATTGTACTGGTTATCACTGAATTTCTCAAGGCTTAAATCTTCTTTCCCACCGCCACGTTGAACCTGAAATGCGACTTGACGATGCCATTTTCATCGGCCATTTCGTTCAACTGCCTACAAAAGATATTCTTGGATTTTTCCCTAACACCAGGCTATGTACCATATGAGCAGTGGATCAAATGACAAATTTAAGGGATAACAGGGACGTAGGGGCATATATTTTGTTGAATCGACCGCATTTTGGCAAGGTCAGGGAAAGATACTGACCTGTTTTAGCTCGTCGTACCATCGTTTCACCCATCCTTCTCGTTGCATTGTCTTCTCAAACAAGTCTTCTCCTCTGCCAGCATCAATCTCCTCGATCGTTTTGAACTCAGTATACTGCCTGCTAATAAAAGTTTCAGTACCGTCCAATCCAGCATCGACCAACAGCTGCTTGACATTGGAGACAGTCCCCAGGGCAGTCTTGCTGCCGTAGACTGTGAACATGTGCAGCTCTTCCTTGACAATGTCGAAGCAGCGGCCGACAACCAAGCTGTCATTTGTCGATGTATCGAATATTAACTTCCCTCCGGTCTTTAGAAGTTTGGCCCAGTGTTTGACAGAGTCGGCCGGGTCTTCGAGCAGAACCATCGCTGAGGCACAAGTGACAATATCGAATGTACCCTCCTTGATATCTTCCACACCAGTCAGATTGCTGATGTCATGCTCATAGAAAGCTACCGGGAGACTCTCTTTAATAGCTTTGGCCCTGGCAATATTAAGGGAAACAGGACTGATATCTACCCCGATAACAGTCCCTGAGGGTCCCACTGCTCGCGCTGCAAGGATTGTAATTCCACCTGTGCCACAAGCAAGGTCGAGGACGTTCGTTCCTGGTGATAGTGACATCCATTCAAGATAGTCTTTTGCTTGAGCCTTGTGGAAATCGCTCGAGCCATCTTCGCCATCATCTTCGTAGGTGGGAGCTCGAGCATCGTACATGTCTCGAATTGTTTCGAGGCGTGAAGGTGCCATGTCAAAGATCTCACTAGAGTGCTATATTTGCCACTAATTTGTTCTTCTAATGTCTTGAGAGAAGGGCTGAGCCAACAAGGGGAACGTATTGATCTGATCTGGACGGAGATTATTGCTAAAAGCCGGATGGATGAAACAAGTGACTATGAGAATTGGCATAAATTTGGTGCTCCTTCCCTCCTGATTTGGTTATTTAGCTGCTTGTCATCTTAGAAGGAAGGAAAATAGCAGCTATGCTCTTTGAGATGTAAATACCTGAGCAGAGTAATATTCTCAACAACAGTCGTTCAAAGATCGGTCTTTGAGAAGGAAAATGCCATTTGGATCAGGTGTAGCACCTCAATACTGCAGTGAAATGAACAAACCCAGTTGCCTTCGTTCAGCGTAAAAGAGGCCCACCAGGGAATCTGTTGTCACTCCCCAGTCAGAAGATGGTACCTACCTACCTGAGGTGCCTAAGGTAGGCAGGCAGGGCAAGTGGAGTTGGTCATGAGGTACGGTCACATGACCAGATGCAGGGGCTGTTGCCTTGATCCAAGATTGTACTAGCGTTGCTAGTGAGAAAAATAGGCGAGGTATTCCCACCAACTTGACTTTTGGAAAGCTCAGTCTCGAGAATTCTCAACGACAAGACAAGACACCACCTTCGACAACCCCATAACGACTTCGAAATGGGTAAGGGACTGTAAGTTGCCCCTTGACACGAAGATTATTTCCATTTCACCCTCACGCGCAAGAGTTTGCTTTGAGAGAGCAATTGCTTCTCGCAGACATGATGCTCATCTGCGAGATGATTGCTCGTCCTCAATTTCGCAACGCGAAATGCTGCAGCGCCCTCACGAATTCGACCCCCTCACAGTCTAGTCTCGCGCAGAGTCATACCCACTCATTCAATCATCATACTGACAATATTTTCACAGCAAGAAGCATCAGAAGCGCCTTAGCGCCCCATCGCATTGGCTCTTGGACAAACTTTCCGGTGCCTACGCTCCGCGCCCATCTCCAGGTCCTCACAAGCTCAGAGACTGCATGCCTCTTATTGTCTTTATCCGTAACCGACTAAAGTATGCCCTCAACGCTCGCGAGACCAAGGCAATCGTCATGCAACGCCTGATCAAGGTTGATGGAAAGGTCCGAACCGACGCAACCTACCCAGCTGGTTTCATGGATGTCATCAGTATCGAGAAGACTGGCGAGCACTTCCGTCTTGTCTATGACACCAAGGGCCGCTTCACCGTCCACCGAATCCAGGCAGAGGAAGCCGAATACAAGCTCGGAAAGGTTAAGAGAGTTCAGTTGGGCAAAGGCGGAATCCCATTCTTGGTCACGCACGATGCACGAACGTAAGTTCTATCAGACATCATTCAGCCGTTGGTCCAAGCTTTGGTCGATCCACCTCGAAAAGAACGATTGATTGGAGCTACACCAACGGTTGCTATACAAAATCCCTCCAGAAATGCTGACGAACTTTTGCTTGTGTAGAATCCGCTACCCAGACCCAGCCATCAAGGTCAACGATACTGTCAAGATCGATTTGGCTACCGGCAAGATCACTGAGTTCATCAAGTTCGATACTGGTGTCATCGCTATGGCTACCGGTGGTCGCAACATGGGCCGTGTTGGTGTCATCACTCACCGCGAGCGTCACGATGGTGGATTCAACATTGTCCACATCAAGGATGCTATAGACAACTCCTTCGCCACCCGTGAGAACAACGTCTTCGTTATCGGAACCGAGAAGCCATGGATCTCTCTGCCTAAAGGCAAGGGTGTCAAGCTTTCTATCGCTGAGGAGAGAGACCGTAGACGTGCGCACGCCATTGCCGGAAACTAAGTGCTCTTCGTCTTTGTTACTTGCTCTGGATTTCTACTTGATGGTTCTGGGATGGAGTATTTGAGGCCCGTTTTCTATTCTATGCTTCGGGTCATTTGCACATGGGAAAAGTGCAAGTGGGTTAGCTAGCAGCACGGCAGCAGCATAGTAGGAGCAACCAATACCAAAACAATGTAAAAGCCCACCCAGACCCTCAACTTTATCTCTAGCTCTCTCTATAGACTACTTGATGAATGGTCGTGATGGTGTGTCGACTCGATAGCGTCAATCCCAAACACACGACAATCCGCCTGCGGCAGTATGAGATCCGCACGTGTCCCACCCCACTGCATCTTCGACTTAAATGTTGACTAAATACCCAGCACTTTTCCCTGCATTGAAGGAAGCTGAGTCTGACCCCCATGCCCAGCCCGGTGACCTTGTTTCTCCTCATAAACGCCGCCCTATGTCCCTGCAACAACATGCGTCTCGTGGGGCGTTTTCACATCACGAGGCAAGCGGCTGATGTCAGGCCAATCTAGAAGGTAAGTAAGAATAGTGTCGAGTAGTGGAGCCTGGCAGTGGAGAAGAATAGTCGATCTGGAGCCCTCGCTCAGCCTTCCTTTTCATCTCGGAGAAGTCAGGGGCATCTGCCGCCATTTCCAGTGGTTTCACTGAGGCAATTGGAATCAAGCCAAGGCAAAGGAGGGTTTGCTTCAAGGTGCATTTGTGTGTGCGAGAGGGGAAGGGGACCTTGTGCAATGAGATGGAGACGAACCTGGGAATGGTATCTAGTTTTTATGTTGTACAAAGAAGATCATGAAACGGGCGAGATGTGTTTCTTGTAGTGGATTCGTAATACTGTAGCTGGTACGGAAGGTTGGAATTTGTACCTTAAGAGGAGGGCGAGAATGGGTGAGGATGACTGATAGGTTGGTGACGATTGCCTGTATGAACCAGGGGATGGCAATTTCGTGGAAAAGTGACAGATGCGTCTCAGATGCGAAGTCTTGGGGCTCACAAGATTGACTCTAGGTGCAAGAAGGTATGTAGGTAGGCAATTGCAGGCAATTGCAGTGTTGTTAACAGGTGAAGCTTGCTAATGCTGGCTGTGGCGTCCCCCACTCCCAGCATCCCCATCCAGCTCTTCCATATTGAGGTCTGGTAGCACAATGCATAAGATAGATATACCTGGCTGGTGAGGAAAGGAGTCATAGTTCGCAATCTCGACCTTTGGTATACACTTGCTTGGGTGTATCTATCTCGGATTTGATGGAAGCGCAGGTCAGCAGTGGCACTGTGTGTACCGTGTGGTATTTTGTGTTGAATTGTGTTGTGTTGTGTTCGTGACAGGGCAAAGAGTGGGATGCACATGTATGATATAGGCACAACATGGGACAGGAGATAAATGTTCTCCCCGAATGAGAATAGAGGTAACTGATGGAAACCAAGTGTAATTCCGTGGGGAACTCTGGTTCTTTGCATGTTTCCATCTGAAGGAGCTTGTGAGTTGGCTGTAAGTCTGAGGTCATCTCTAGGGCAGCATCCCGGTGTTCCTTATTGTTGTCCGCGAGCACGAATCGAACGTTTCGGTGCTTTTCTTGGTAGATGACCCGCAGTGCATTCTCAACTTTCCCCCTACCTACCTACTTGCCCTGTACCCTTTCCATATGTCGCATGAAAGGGAAATGGGAGGCAGAAGCAACGACAACTCGACCCCCTAACCTTGCCATATACCTAATAATGTGTACTGCCAGCAAGCCCACAAAAGAAATCCCATTCGCAAGCAGAGCGGACATACTGTACGCAGTAAGACTGGTCTCCACTAGCATTGAATGGGCAAGACTGGATGTCACACATGCGCGGTAGAAATGCCGGACCTCGATCAAACTTAAAGTGACCCCCAAACCTTGATTCGAATTACCAAATACCTCACGTTGTCCAAGGGTATCGGCAACAGGCCGAGATCTGAGTGAGCGCTGGGCTCCTCGTGGACTGACTAGCTTTACTGGAGCTACCTTAATGGTTGGTCCATTGTCAGTCAGGACGGGACATACGGTACGAGTACTAGTACTAGTAGACCCCTCCTACCCCTCCAAAGCCAACAAAAATTAGTATTATATAAATCGGCTCTTCCCCTCTCTCCTTCCTCCCGCATCACTGAAGCGGGCCGAGTTGGGCGAAGACGGGAACGGCAGACAGAAGAAAGTGGACCAACCTTGGAAGTAGACCCGATCCTTCCATACCTCAATCTTCCGATCATCCATGCCAGGAACAAGGTCGGGAGTCGGACAGACCAGACGCGCAGGAACAGCAAAGCAAAGTTTGAAAGGGTCCCTTATTCCTTTATTTACTTCTTGCCTCGCAGCACTTTACTTGGTTGCCTGCAGGGGCTTGTAGATCTGATCTGATCTGATCTGATCCGAGAAAAAAAGGCGATTCGGATCCTATCGAACCAGTGGACCAACTTCTCCAAAGATAGGACAGGACGGCTCAGGACAGGCATCATGTCGCTGTGCATGAAGTCGGCCCAAAGTCTCCCGAGAGCGAGAGCATCTCCACTCGCTTGGACGAACCTTACCACGCGATGGGATACACGAGTACCGGGTTTGCTGCACTCATCAGCCATTGCATCACCTTCAAGAGGAGGATTCAGATGGAAAAGCTCGTATGCTCCAACTGGCGAATCGCCGGGCAAGAAATTTGTTGCGGGAGGGGGAGAGAAAAGAGGTGTCAGTGGATGGACGACTCTCAGTGTGTTGGCGCTGATGGCTGCTTCTGCTGCCGGTGCAGGCTTGGCTGTTGGTTGGAAGAGTGAAGGGAGGAAGGATAGGGAGAGAGATTATTCCAATGCTGGGAAGTTTATAAGGCCCGCCTACGCGAGTCTCAGTGACATGGAGTCTGTGAGTTGACGATATCCCTTAACAAGCGGCACAGGAAATCAACCTTTATTTTTGTTACCGTGCTTGGTCCAAGTTCAGACTCGCTTCCCCCAACAAATCCTTCACGAGTAAATATTGGCTACTGACAACAACAGGCCATTAAAGAAATCCGCCAAGCTACAGGTAACCAAGACACCATATCCACTGACCCTGAAGATCTGAAAGCACACGGCTATTCCGAATGGTCCTCGACCAATATCGATAGCCTCCCCGTTGCCGTCGCCTATCCTCAGAACACCTCTGAAGTTTCCAAAATTGCCAAAATATGTTCAAAATACCGCCTTCCCATCATCCCTTTCTCTGGCGGCTCATCACTAGAGGGTAATTTTTCAGCTCCATACGGAGGAGTCAGTGTCGATTTCGCGTACATGGACCAGATCCTGCAATTCCACGAGGAAGACATGGATATCGTTGTTCAGCCGAGTGTAAGCTGGATGGAACTGAATGAGGAATTGGCCAGAAGACAGTCTGAGTTGTTCTTCCCCGTCGATCCTGGACCAAGTGCTAAGATTGGGGGCATGGTTGGGACGAACTGCTCGGGTACAAATGCGGTGAGGTATGGGACGATGAAGGATTGGGTCATCAATCTTACCGTTGTGTTGTCCGATGGGACGGTAATCAAGACGAAGAGGAGGCCGAGGAAAACTTCGGCAGGTTACAATCTGAACTCGCTGTTTGTGGGATCCGAAGGGACACTAGGTAAGTCCCCTGAGACGAGAAACATCTTGGGGAGCATAGATTCATGTCGAAAGAGCGTCTGTCAAAGGAAGAAAAGGATTGGTGACAGAGATCACTCTCAAGCTGGCAGTAGTCCCACAAGAATTCTCAGTCGCTGTCGTCACATTCCCCTCTATTCGCGACGCCGCGGCAGCCGCCGCAAGTGTTATGCGAGCCGGCGTACAAGTTGCCGCCATGGAAATCATGGACGAAGTCCAAATGCGCGTTGTCAACCTCTCAGGCTCCACAGCCCCTCGTAAATGGAAAGAGCTACCTACCCTATTCTTCAAGTTCAGCGGTACCAAAGCTTCTGTCAAGGAAAACATCTCTATGGTCTCAGCCATTGCGAAAGTCCACCGAGGCGGCGATTTCGAATTTGCGAAGGATGCTAAAGAACAAAAACTGCTGTGGTCTGCGAGGAAGGAAAGTCTTTGGAGTATGCTTGCGCTAAGGAAGGAAGGTAATGAGGTTTGGTCAACTGATGTTGCCGTGCCGTTTTCGAGACTGGCTGATATCATCGAGATCAGTAAGAGCGAGATGGATGACTTGGGGTTGTTTGCGAGTATTTTGGGACATGTTGGGGATGGCAACTTTCATGAGAGTATCATGTACGATTCAAGGGTGCCGGGAGAGAAGAAAAAAGTCGAGCAGTGTGTGAAGAACATGGTGAGGAGGGCGTTGGATATGGAGGGTACTTGCACTGTAAGTGTTATGTACCTTCCAAAATAGTGATGAATGGGCATTGATTTGATACAGGGAGAACATGGTATTGGAATCGGGAAGAAAGAAGCTCTTCTAATGGAAGTCGGTAGAGACACGCTTGGTGTGATGAAATCCATCAAGCAAGCTCTCGATCCATACTGGATCATGAATCCAGGCAAGATCGTGGACCTTCCTCTGTAAGCCTCTCCTTCTGAGGCTGTTGGGTTCGCCGTCGATCGACCTTCGTTTTCTTGCATATGGACCGGACTTTGGGCACACAGCACATAAAGTGGTCCTTGATTGGAAGTGGTGGACTGCATTGTGGAACGTTCGGTCGAGGGATTTGGTGCATTGTGGTCTATGTATCTTTTCAGCTGGGCGGTGGTAGGCGGTCAAATAGAGCTATCCTCCTCACGGATGGGAAGCATTGGAAGCATTGCGGGGCTTCGGGTGGCATTTTGTCATAACAAAATCGATTACGCTTTCCTACCATGTCTCGTTTTGTTGCTGTGTATCCTCGCTCAGTGTGGGGATGTCGCACCTGTGGGTGGTATCACGAAGCTGAAATGCGATAGTGAGATGTCGCTAGACATAGTTGCCCTTTGAACCTTGTAAAGTACAACGTTTATTATGGTTGGTTTGAAGGTGTGTACGGTATCGTAGAAGGCGTGTCGATTAGGCAACCTTTAATCAAGTTGAATAAGCCGGAAGTTAGCGGTGAGGAAACAGCAAAAGTCACCAGGAGATTATTCTGCAGATACCTTAGGTTTCGAGCTCCTTATGGCTTCATTCGTTCCAGAGTTCGGTAATGCTTTAAACTGCTAAGCATCCATTTGAACGCCGCGTGTTATTCTGGGGGGGGTTTTTTTTTTGGCTCCGCCGAATATTGAAAAGTCGGTATGTTGCGGCGAGGATGAATGCTGTGGTGGTCTGATATGGCATGAGTTACAGAATGGTGTTCTGGTGGCGTCTAACGGTGAGAGATACCAAGCTGTTTGCCTTTCCTAGCGCGTTGATTGACTTTACTACCTTAATGAGTCGTATCTGATGTTTTCGCATCATGTGGAGTCCTGATCGCTTTGGTTGTGAATTACCCCGCGTTGAGGGATCAAGGGAGTGTGGTATGGGAGACGCTTCTCCGGAGAGTGAATTGTGTCCTGATGCTTGACAAGCCGTGAGCTGTGGCCAGAGGTCACGAGGCGGAAAAGTTTGGGCTCGGGTTGGTTCGGTCTCTTTGCATACAGTACCTTAAGGTAGGTAGGTACCTTATCGAGCGTAAGGTATGTAAATGTGTCTCGCTACCAGCCACGAGCTACTCAAGGTATCAGACTCAGACTCATCAGAGCCAGCATCTGCAGCTGAGGTACGGAGCTAGGTATGCCAGGAAAAGGATCGGAGGATACAATATTTTGAAAAATGCAGAAGCGAGATGAGTGCTAAATACCGTAACCGTACCTCACTTTCTACTCGTACTATTCCCCCCCCCCCTGAATAATGTTAAATCTCTAGAAAACTGGAGTCATTGTGGGTAGCTTTCTAGGGGGTTTGTCCAACAGAAATCGCTGCTTCGAGCCCTAGTAGTCCTCTCGAACCTTCTACGACCACCCTTCCTTTTACAACAGACCTAATTCTGGCTCGTGCCTTAAGGCCTCCAGGGTTACATTGTGGCGGGCCACGACCCGAACACCCACACAACAAGAGAGGTAGCAATTCAAGGCACAAGGAGTACTTTAATACAAAGAAGCGGAACGGTCAAATCTCGAGACATCACATATCTGAAGTACGGGATTTGTCAAATAAGAGGCGGAGAAGAGATTGGATTAGATAGAATCTTTATAAAGAGTGTAATTATCGTGATATTTCCAAGTGGTGTTTTGGTGGTGATGTTGTAAAGGAGTGACAGTTCAGAATCTCTAAGTACCACCGCCAGCTGCACTAGTAACGTGACTTCCCCCCACTACACCAAACACCAAAATCAGGTGGCCCTGCCACAACATGACCACTCAGAAGTAGGCTTTCAAGCCTCCGCCCCATATATTCCACAGTTTAACATTATTCAGGGGGGGGGGGGGGGGGGGGGGGATAGTACAGTATAGGTACCTGAGAGGCATGCCAGAGCTGAGGGTACCTATACCTTACCTTATTAGGTAAGGTAAGGTACAAGTAATCACGTGGCGATAGTTACCCTGATACGGAGGTACCTTATCTGAACGCGATTGTCGCGTCCCCCTTCTACGTTCTCCATTCTCCTCCGTGTTCACTACCTACCTAGGTAGACGCGCAGGGCACTTGGAGCCACAACGCAACACAACAAAGTAAAACTCTACACTTACCTTGCCTCACCTCGACATCAGACATCTCTCCATTTTGATGGCATAATCGCCTGAAACAGGAGCCTGAGGTCTTCCAAGGTAAATCAGTCCTCATTCCTCCTCCTTTACTCGCCCTCAGTACAGCCATTATCTAGTGCGAAGCAGTCCATCTATTTCCCGCCTCCCTCATCTATACACAAACCCCTCGCTCTTCACCTTCTCGATTCAATGCTTCCTGCCTTGATTGTGTGATCAAGCAATTGCTATTCAATCATTTCCATCAGGTCAATCCGTAGTGGGCATAAGACTGTCAACCATGGAACACTTTCCTGTTTCTCTCCCACTTTCACTTCCGCCATCAACCACAAAACCTCAACCTGTCTCTAATACCCTTCTACCTGCTTACATACCCGCAAGTCCCCTACACAGTTTTCTCACTGACAACTCCACAGTTGTTTTGCAGTTGTGCTCGATCTACAGAGTCTGTTTGTGGACGGATGAACGAACTCTTGCGCAACTCTCTGCAAATTGAACCTCACCTTTCCTATACGTTGTCCCAACAAACTGTTAATCCTCACTTTCAAGACTTTCCTTCGAAAACAACACAAGCCTGGACTGCGAAACCACAGGCCATAGCTATACTTCTTCACCACCGACCCTCAACTGCTGGCCAGAATGACGCAGGGCTACAGACGACCCCATACCGATCATGCCCAGGTCGTTAGACCACCTCGAAATCCAGCTCATCGAAATCCACATCGTCAAGGACCCATTTTGAAGCCGGACTACGATTGGGAGAAGTGGGATGAGATAGCTGTCAGATTACGAGGAGTCGCCCGTCATGAGACAACATACAACCTCTGGAGAATTTTCCGAAAACACGGCGAAATTTCCTTCATTGAACTCTTTGAAAGAGATGGTAGAAGAGACGGCAGTGCTAAGATTGTGTTCTCACCCCCGCCAGCCACCCCTTTCTGGAATAATACAACTCATACCATCGACAATGAAGATGATCCTGGCGCAACATACATGGTCAACGTTAGTCTATGGGATGAGAGATCTCAAGGCAAGACAATCCAGAGCCCCGTAAAGAAGACTAAGTTCTACCAACCAAGAATGAAGCTCATCGCTTCGGCCATTCATTTCGGCCTTCTGGTCGATCCAGTATCGATGATGCCTCTGCACACTATCAAGCCAAATCAGTGGGAGCAAAATGGCACCGCGTTCACCGTCGATCTCAAGAGACGCCGTATTGTGGCTAACTTCACCACAAAATTCGAAAACCCTGGATATGTTCCTAGTTATGATCGCGACAATCAGTACATGTTTCATATCCCCTTTGATCAGTTGACAAAGATCCAGCGATTGGACTTCAGTGATATTGCCTTTGCCCTGGTCTTATCCGTTGAGTCGCCCCCACAATACTATCGGAAGAGACAAGATCAAATGGCTGGACACACCAAGGAGAATCCACAGTGGAGCGAGTGGGATACGTGGTACAGGCAAACTGATATTGTTTATGATCCATACATTCTCCAAAAGGAGACAATCGCTCTTCATAAAGACCGTCCCGTTATTGACATTGGTAGGCCATTCTTCATTTTCTTAGAACTCATACTAACTTGCCAGGTCGCTGGAGCACATATCTCTTCGAATTCAGCCATTCTAACAACTCGGCCGCACTTTACGCTGAGATCAAACAAGCCCTCCAAGACTTCAATATCGAGATTGTCCCCGTTCCGGTTCTGACAAAGGTCCCATCTCACTCTGCCGATCTTTGGCATTTGATCGACCCCCCGAACTCGCAAAATGCTTCTGCTGACCTTGCATTTATGCAAGGCAGTGATAGCACGATTGCATTACCGTGGGAGGTCCGTTACCAACTGGAGGTCTGCATATCTCGTGAGATTATCAACGAGTACAATATCGACAAGCATTTCGTGAAGAAGCTCGCTGACGCCGCCGCCGAAGACCCCGCAAAAGCTAGACACATTCTCGAGTATGTTGCTAGCCAGGAGAAACGTATCTACGAGCCATTATCCATCTTCGATGATCCGCTAGCTTTAGCTTTTACATCCAAGACAGAGATTCCTCACTACTGTGCTTACTCGCGCAAGGCGACAATTACTCCATCCACCATGTATCTCAGCTCCCCTACAGTTGAGACTACCAATAGAGTCCTCCGTCACTATTCAAGAGAAAACAAGGATGGCCGATTCCTTCGAGTACAATTCACCGACGAACTGGCTGAGGTGAGTGCTTCGGTTCTGCTTATGTACGTTCATACTAATGATGCATAGGGCAAAATCTTCTCTTGTGCTGACAAGCAAAGAAATGACGAGCTCTTTACTCGTGTGTACAGAACTCTCTACAATGGCATCCGCATCGGAGATCGGCACTTCGAATTCCTCGCCTTTGGTAATTCGCAATTTCGAGAAAATGGTGCATACTTCTTCTGTCCAACTGACCATTTGTCCTGTGAAGATATCCGCAAATGGATGGGCCATTTCGACCACATTCCAGTCGTTGCTAAGTACGCGGCCAGACTCGGTCAATGCTTCTCAACCACTCGAGCCATCAACGGTCTTTCTGCTCCTAAAATCGTGACGCTTGCTGATGTTGAGAATAACGGCTATTGCTTTACAGATGGAGTTGGCAAGATCAGTCCATTTCTTGCCCAGATGATTGCTGCAGAGTTGCAATTACGCACTACAACTGCTCCATCAGCATTCCAGTTTCGACTTGGCGGGTGTAAGGGTGTTTTGGCCGTCTGGCCAGACGCAAAGGAGAAGGAGGTCCACATTCGAAAGAGCCAGCAGAAGTTCACCGCTACGTACAATGGACTCGAAATCATTAGATGCGCTCGTTTCTCTTGTGCCTCACTGAACCGACAAACCATTGTCATTCTGTCTTCTCTCGGCGTTCCTGATGAAGTGTTTCATAAGATGCTTGCCGTGCAACTTGCCAACTACCAAGATGCAATGAGTAACGATGAGGTCGCCGTCAGTCTGTTATTAAGATACATCGATGAGAATCAGATGACTATTAATCTTGCCACCATGATCCGGAACGGTTTCATGGCCCAGCGAGACCCTTTCGTGCTCTCACTCCTTCATCTGTGGAGATCTTGGTCCATCAAGCTTCTGAAGGAGAAAGCAAAGATTATTGTTGAGGATGGTGCATTTGTGCTTGGCTGCGTTGACGAGACAGGCACCCTGCGTGGTTACACTAAGCCAAAGGCTGCCCATGGACAGCAGCTTGCTCAAGAGGAGTTGCCTCAGATTTTTATCCAGGTACCCGATAAAGAAGATCCAAATCGATACAATGTGGTCGAAGGAATCTGCTTGGTTGGCCGCAACCCGTCTCTCCATCCCGGTGATCTCAGAGTCGTTGAGGCAGTCAATGTTCCAGCTCTACATCATCTCAGAGATGTTGTTGTGTTCCCAATACAAGGAGACCGCGATGTACCTAGTATGTGCTCTGGAGGTGACCTTGATGGTGATGATTTCTTTGTGATCTGGGACAAGAATCTTCGACCACCAGAATGGAATTGTGAACCCATGAACTACTCTCCACCAAAGTCAAAGGTTCACAGCCGACCAGTCGAGATCACTGATCTGATGAAGTTCTTCGTTCGTTACATGAAGAATGATGCTCTCCCTACCATCGCCCATGCTCATTTAGCCAACGCGGATGAACGAGAGCGAAGTGTCAAGGACCCGAAGTGTAGGTCCTTCCCCTTAGATTCGATGCTTGCGCTTACCTCCCTCAGGTCTGAAACTTGCTGCTTTGCATTCTAAGGCCGTTGATTATGTCAAGACGGGTGAGCCCGCCGAGATGTCCAAGGACCTCCGTCCCAGAAAATGGCCTCACTTCATGGAGAAAAAACACAAGCCCAAAGAGTCCCAATACCATTCGGACAAAATCCTGGGCCAACTATATGACAAGGTCGAGAAGGTCAACTTCACCCCACAGTATGAAGAGCCTTTTGATAAGCGCATCCTCAGAGCTTATACTCTCGACGATGCCATACTGAAGGCCGCTAGGCAAGTCAAATCAAAGTATGATGTCCACATGAAGCGTATCATGGCTCAGCAGGAGATCAAGACTGAATTCGAAATCTGGTCTACGTTCGTGTTGTCCAGACCACGTGTCGGCAGCGATTACAAGGTTCAAGAGGAAGTCGGTAGACTCTCTGAATCATTGAAGGACCAATTCCGTCTTGAGTGTCTCGAGAGAGCTGGTGGCAAGGATTTCTCTGTCCTCGGACCCTTCGTCGCGGCCATGTACAAGGTCACAAAGGAGGAGCTTGATATCGCCCTTGCCGAATGCCGAGCTACTAAGGTGGTAGGTGGCACTTCAGTGCCGGTCCGAAAGATGGAGGCTGGCTACATGCCATTCATCTCGTTCCCTTGGCTCTTTGAGAAGGAACTTGGACGCATTGCGACTGGGATTGACACCTCTGATGAGTTGGAAGATCTTGGCATAGCATCTTTACTCCTCAAGGAGCTTGGCCATTCCCGAAAGCGACAATGTGGTGGTGGACCTTTGGAGGAAGACTACATCAAACGCGAGGATGGAGTTCTCATCCACCGTGGTGAAGAACTGGACTTGTTCAGTCATACACTTGACACTGAAGAGTACACAGATGAGAGCAACCTTGATGAAGCTCGAGTAACCAGAGATGGGCATTGGTTGACGACCAGCAGATCCGGCGAGGAGATCTTAGCTACTGAGTTCGAGCTTCCCAACTCTCCCATCCCTGATTATATGCAGAAAGGTACTGGTGTCGAAGACGTTGTCCCCCAAGCACCACTAGATGGACTAGTCGGACCTCGGAAGGCAGCCAAAGATGCTCACTCAGACTATACCAACTGTAGTTCTGCTTTGGCAGGTGTGTCCGAAAAGCCTAGCAAGTCTGCAAACCAACTTGGCTCTGACCTAACTGGGTCCCGAGACGTCAACTCAATTGACGAGCCAATCGGTACTCTTAACCCCGACGGATCGCCGACTGGTAGTGAGCCTGGTGTATCTTCTTCATCCACCCTCGATACTTGGTCTGCTTCGGCTGAGATTGAGGAGGAAGTTGTTGAGCTTGAGGTGAAGGAGTCTAGTATCGAGAAGGTGGCTCGCTTACTTGGTAATCAAGGTCCCCAAAATGTACCTGTCGACAACCAGGAAGACGATGTAGTTGAGGATGAGGTCATCTTGAACATCAAGGAGTCTTCTTTGGATAAGCTCAACCGTTTGATGGCATCTTAGATGTCTCAACTATCCATTTCCGATCTTGATCACTGCAGGCGAAGCGCTAGCATTGATTACAGGGTCTCGAGGGTGCGCCAAATTTTAGTGAACCTTATAGCGGGTGTGTATTTTATGACGGACTTGGGCATGGACGCCAGAGCATGAAGCATGGCATTATTCCGTAGGTGGAAAGGCCCCGGCGTATGATTTGATGCATAGCAAAGCGTTGCTTTCTCAGAAGGACGCACGCCACAGCGGCAGTCTGAAGGTCTATAGCGAGCAAGGACAAATGATCGTTGATTCAATCTTGACATCTAGATCACTGATTAGGATACATCGCCTCCTCGTTTTCTTTTGGACTCTCTTATCTTACTACATCCGATTCTCAACCTGTACATTTCCTTCTAAAAGATTGCCCAGCTCCACACACTTGCTTCTCTTTTGTCTGAAGCTAGGCATGTACGCCCCCAGCCCCCTGAGAATGGCTCAGTGATCATGTCTCATTGCTCGATTGACGAGTGCGCATATCAACACTATCGCAATATTATCTTACAGTACCCGGAATGGAAAGACGCTTACAGATCATTCCATCGTAAGACGCGTTTGCTTGGCCCACTGGACAGCTGATATTTCCCAGGGTCCTCGGGGGGTGTAAGGCTGCTTTAATCTGAATTAAACATGAAGTACTGCTGGACAGCTTGCCCTTTTTGCTCATACCAAATCAGCCAATGCCAGCACGAACAGCGACTGATACCGGACTGAGATGCGAAAAGCACGAAGACCGTTGCGACTGGAACGCGGGGGCGCCTCGCGGAACCAGTCAATGTTTGCCTCCACGCAGGTTACTGCCGGGTGATCATACGAGAGTCCAATAAGCCAGGCTTCTCTAGATGTCTACATCCACATACTATTTAAACTCAAGTGTCCTTCGATGTGTGGAAGAATAGGTGGGTAGTTGTCCGATTCATCAGATTCGCCGCCAATTCCTGGCCCAGGGTTCTGCCCCTCCTTCCAAAAGTCTCAGGGATGCCCTCCTTTCCCCCCTTAACCCCCAGCTTAATGCTTACGCCGCCACCCAATCTTATGATGATTGTGCCTCTTTCCCCTCACGTCGCCATGCCATGCCATGCCATGCCATGCCATGCCATCTCGAGCGCGCCACACTACCTCTGCTTTGCTCTTAAACGGAAAAGCATTGCTGAAGGCGCTCCGTCGCTGTGCTGTACCATGAAAACTGATCCTTGTAGCTGAATTATAATACCTCTAGACTCGGCTCCTACGTCCTCCAGTCTCCAATTATATTCGTACCCATTCCAATTCAAGGCTCCCTTGCCCAGCATGGTTGTCCTTTCCATAGCAGCACGCCGTTGCCTCCAACGCAACTCATTTGCAACGACCCGACGCTTCCTCATGACACTACCCTCATTTTCTCTCGAAGGCAAGACGTGTGTCGTAACTGGAGCCGCCCGAGGCTTAGGGAAAGAGTTTCTCACCGCATTTGCACTCAGCGGCGCGCGTGGGGCATGTATAGATCTCTCCCTCGAAGCAGGCGATAAAGCAATCCAGCACATCAGCCAACGCGCCTTCTCCCAGTCGTCAACGGCCTCCTACAAGCCTGACCTTCGCGCATATGCCTGCGATGTCACATCTGAAGCACATGTTAAAGATACATGGGAAGCCATTGTGAAGGACTTTGGCCAAGTAGATGTAATGGTCACGGCGGCCGGAATTGTGGATAATGTGGAAGGTGAGAATTATGCCTTGAATAGGTGGCAGAAGATGTTTGATATCAATGTTCATGGCAGCTTCCTGTTCGCGAGAGAAGCTGGGAGATACTGGATTGAACAGAAGAAGAAGGGAAATCTGATATTGGTTTCAAGTATGAGTGCGCACATATGTGTTCGGCCACAGAAGCAAGCAGCGTATAATGCAGTGGGTGATCACTTGTGATATTCAGAAGCTGGACATTTGTTCGGGACAGGCTAACTGACTGTAGTCCAAAGCTGCTGTCTCATTGATGGGCAAAAGCCTGGCTACAGAGGTATGCATGACCTACCACCATGCTGCCTAGCTATCAGCTCAACTGAAACAGTGGGCAACCAATGGAATTCGCGTCAACAGTCTCTGTCCTGGCTACATGAAAACCGACCTCATCATTGATCTTCTTGCCAGAGAAGGACCGCATATCGAAGAGAACTGGGTGAAAGATATTCCCATGGGCCGCCTTGCGCATCCGAGTGAATTGCAAGGCACGATTGTATGGATGGCAAGTGATGCAAGCTCTTACCTTACTGGGAGTGAAATCGTAAGTTCTCTTCTTATTCTTCTTCTTCTCTTTCGCTGGTCACTTGTGCTCGAAACGAAACTCTGTCCACTTCGATTCATCTGATCGTTGCCAGGTTGTTGATGGCGGGTACACTTGTTGGTGAATGGGTTAATTCCGATCTGTAGAGAGCCCTCGAAAAACCAGACGTAGTATTCGTTCTAGCTTGGCAAGTATGATGACCTTTGTCTCAATCGCCTCCTATCACGATTATTATTGACGTTGAACTTCCTTCATCTTTCTCGTCATGCGGCGTGACGGTGCCTCCAGTTCTTTAGCTTTCCGACTTGCTTCGCTTCACGACCAACCCCCCCTGTGGTGTTTCATCACAGTCTTAACACCCCTTTTTCATCTAAGCGAATCTATCACCTTTCTCTGTCAGATTCTCGGATCATCACATCTTGGCCCTGTCCCAGGCCATTGACCTATGATGCTGAGCACGGCGATGTATTTGCTTTAAGTACAGGGATTGAGCAACTAATTCGAAAGACAGTGATTGTGGCAGGGAGCGGAGCTTTATTAATTTAGACTTTGTAATCGCCAACCTCTCCTTCTTTTTAAACTTCTCGAAACCCTTGTCACTTCCACTCTGTTGGTGCTCCCCAACTGTACATAAGTGAGCCGTTGTGCTGGACACCAAACGATTCTTGCGACCCTCCGCGTTCGATTCTCATCCGGCTTCAGACATCACCTTCACGACAATCTCGCCCTCGAATCGTAACAGTCTGAAGGCTCTACCATATTTCATCATGCGCGCCTCGCTCCCTGTCCTCGTTTCTCTCCTCTTTGCCAGCACCGCATGTGCGCGAGTCATTCCCGCCTGGATGATGAAAGATGCTCCTGTGTCCGTCAACATCCGCGACATTGACGATTCCACTATTATCCGCCATGCCCCCGAGAGCAGCTTCGAGCGCAGGATTGATGATAGGTTGGAGTAGGGAAGAAGCGCCGATGGGGAATCTACCTGAATGCTAAGGACAATTGGATGGAAGTGGAAGCCAGTTTGTCGGATGGCATTAGGCATTGGATGGTAAAGGAGGAGGCTGAAGGCATGTAAAGGATGATGTAACGAATTATGACAAGAGACAGAAGGATTCTTCAAAGCTTCCTGGACTTTGGAAATAGCGACGAGGTCGTATGTGCTGGCCGTTCATGTATAGGTGTACTGGAATACATCAACATCTACAAGATGTGCCGACATGCCCTTCCTCTCAGCCGTGACATCTGCTCATATTTATGCCGCAAAAATAGTCTATTCCCTTTTGACGCAAAGGTCTGATCTGATCACCCATTTCTCTCCTTCCAAAACCTCCCGTCCTTCGTGCTGCGTAGTGTTAGTGGATCTGAGTGAGATATTCGACAGAGAAAAAGACGTACCAGCATGCAATCATTACCATGCTTATGGAGCAGGCACATTCCTGTTTCTAACCCGACAACCACTTCCTCCTCGGTTACATTCTTCTTGGCTCCAGGGATAACTTCGTCGGGATAAAATACCGTCTCCCCACCAATACATCCAGTGCTAGAGGACGTGAGATACAACAACAAAGTCCAAGTAGTCTTTGCTGGAGTGGTCGTGGGCTTGGTGGCCAGCGTTAAGAAGTTTGATTCATCATCTAGAATTCGGCGTTAACAATTGCTAATTCATGTTAGTGTATATGGTGGGGATAGCTTACAATGACAATCGAAGAACTGCCCTTTCGTGTACCGATAAATGCGTATTGACGGATTGAGGCCAATGACCTCGCCGCCCCTAAGAAGTAAACATACAGATCAGCTCCCCTCCCAGAACTTCATCACGAGACTAAAAGTAGAAAATCCGGGGCAGCACACCACAACTTCCTCCTCTCCTGCTGTGTCATAGCCGGCCCTTTTCCCACGCCACTGTCGCCCTCGCCCTCCTCCTCACGCCCACAAATTAACTCCTTCAGCCCAGTCTCCAGCCAAAGCCTATTCGCAAACGCCTCATCAGCCACTTGGAAACGATCATTAAACCTCAGCGCTTCGCCTTTCTTCGGCTTCCCGGGCGTCGTCGTTAGCGGTAAGTCCTTCAAAAAGTTCACATATGTTTTACAAAGAGTCGAAGTGAAGAGCTGCGAGATAGTGACTATTTGAGAGGGGAGTAGGGTGTGAAGCGTAAGATCTGATGGCGGGACGAGCGGTTTGAGCGCCGGCCAGTTGGGTGTTGCGTTGGGCGGCTTGGGACCGGACGCTGAGGCCTTGGAGGCCTTGGAGGCCTTGGTGGTCTTGGAGGAGGAATGTTTCTTCTGTGGCATTGTCGGGAAGTTTCGGTTTCAGTTTCAGTTTCAGTGGGTTTTGACACGTTGTGTTATGATACCGAGGTTGAGGTGCAAGATGGTTCACATCGTGGAACCTTCCTTGCCTTGTTCTGTATTGTAGATATTCTTAAGGGTTGTCCACGCTAGCTAAGCTACCTGCAGTACCTACAGTACCGAGCACAGTACAGTACAGTACAGTACAGTACAGTACAGTACAGGTACACTAACCTTAACACTCGGCGGCAGGAAGCGATGTCGCCTGGCCAATCCCTCCCCCCTCCCACAACAATAAAAACACAACAATAAAACGGACAACAACAACGCCTCGAAAAATGACACAAGTCTCGATTGCATTCACGCATCGACGAGCGAACGGGTCTTTGTCAACAGGTCGCTTTGTTTCTGTTCACATTAATGTCTCAAGGGTAGGGTAGCATTTGCTTGTTCGCTGAATTCCACTCCTACCAGCCTATCAACATTCCTACGTTACCTTTCTCATGAATGGATCGCGATGTCGGAAGCGAGATGGCTGGTATGTTGCAAACTGCGAATCTTGACTATGTACTGAGTTCTCTCTTTGCTCTATTCTTTGCGCAGTCTTTTCCATCCAAGCCTCTGCTTTTCTAGAGAGCACGCAAATTTCACACCACCACGCCACACCTGTTCACAGCATCAAGATGTCTCCTTTCTTCTTCCGTACTCTTGTACTTACGCTGGGCGTTTTACCCACACAAGCATCATGGTTGCCTCAACCCTCGTCGCACAGCATCCTCGGTTCTCGTTCTTGGACTGTGCACAAAAAAGCTGGAACTGCCTCAGGACAAGGTGGAAGGCGATTTGAAAATACCACAACTCTATATATTTCTGGACCCTCCGCAAGCATCACAATACCGACTCCAACTTCCCAAGGTAAGACCGTCACGTCCGTCGTACCGATGTACGAGCTATGCGATGTGCCAGGCAAGAGTACTACCAGCTGCTCGACGGCATTCGAGACTGTCACAACCGAATCTTGCTCTACTATTTTGACGTATGCATTTACGAAGACTACGATCAGCGATTGTAGCCACAATATAACATTCTCATCTCGTACTACATATGCGTTACTTACGACGACATTGACACCATCTGAAGCTATTTTGCCGACTCCAGTTACATATATTCAGAGCATAGTATCGTTATATGCAGCACCATGGCAATCTCTAGCAGCAGATACACCAGGTGGAATTACCGTGCTGATCTGCACAACTGATTTCATGGGTCAGAAGGCTTGTGTCCTGATTGCGGAGGTTTGGGTCGTTCGTACGGAGTATGTACCTATAACCACAACAAGCACGTTTTCGCTCTCTACGTCTTTCTCATCCGTAAGTATTATACATGAGGTAAAAATTGGTAGACCAGAGCTAATCAATGCAGGATGCCATTCTCCTCCTTGGACCAACCCAGAGCCTCGTTGTACCAGCGGGCAACTTCACCCTTTCAACCCTCGTCCAGTGCTCCACTATGTCTCCAAGGGCCACAACCTCAACTGTCGTATCTACCACCAGTCAGAGCATGTCTGAAGCTGGGACAGTCTTGGGTGTTAATCCCATCAACGACTCAGTCCAGACTTTAAACACATCTGTAATTGGGACAGTGACAGGTGAGGCTTCGACAATAACGAAGACGTTGAGTTTGATTGAGGATCTCGTGAAGCCGTGAGTAGCTTGAAAGAGTTATGATAGAAGCAGAGCTGACGACAAACCAGAACGAAGGCAGCTATCTTGGCAGGTGTTTCCGTAGAACCGCGAGTAATTCCTTACCGTTCGAGAGAACACCGAGAAGCTAATAGGAGAACAGAACAACCACTCTGACATCGACCACTACCCTGACTAGTACTGTGACAGTTTCGCCTGTGGGTATCCCTTAACTTTACCTGATCCCAATAATCATACTGACACCTCTTTTCTCAGATACGTAGACGGTGATCTTCAACCTTTATTAGTCGGGACCTCATGACTTCGGAACAGAGCCGAGGATGTTACTGACCAAAGACGGATGCTGCTGCTATGCCTTCAATTTCTTAGTTTGTTCGGGTTACTTTGGTATACATCTGAGTACTTGCATGTTTAGTTCTGAATTGCATTTCAAAGGTTCCTTGAATACTACAGTGCTTTCCCTCCTTCCTTTACCTCATAGAATATTGTGTTTCATGCAAACTGGACTTGGTCTGATTAAGTCGATATGATAAAGTGTTGTTGCTCGTACATTTTTTGAGTAATGGTCTCTGCCCGACGTCGACTGTCGACCTATCATTGACGAATACTACGGAGCTGATCTGAAGAGTATGAGCATGCCGAACGCTTGCGGTTGGCCATGGTTGATATGAGAGTGCTGAGAAATTTCTACTCCGGAATGAGCACGGTAAGCTGAGAGTGCGCAGCCCTTCCAACTTTCTCATCAGCCCAGTGGGGCACAGAGATCGTTCTTTTCCTGCTTGAACGTGGCGGCTACTTGTGTCTATGTTACTGCTGTCCTCCTGAGCAATGTCTTGAAAGTGAATCCAACCAATCAGTGATAGCTTGGAGACGTGCCCAGACCGATGTAGAAAGGGCGGTGACACTTTCTGGCTGCCCAAGTTGCCCGAAATATACATTGGGGCATTAACCTTATTTAATAATAATACGCCGCGGTTTTAATATATCTTTGAACTCTGCGCATCGGGAATAAGAGGAAGTGAGCCCGGAAGTGTTAGTGTGTCCGATGGGTTTGGACGCTTTACACCTATAGCGCTCCTAGAAACAGTATCTAAGGTAGCTATCAATTGAAACTGATGCTAGCCGCATATCGGTATCAACCTTGACGAAGTAAGAACGGCTGATAGATGCACGACACTCTGGACACTGATTGGAGGGCAGGAATTCTTTTGGAGGAGACAGGAGGCAAAATCATATGGCAAGTAGACCATCGTCAGAAGCAATTACACCTTAGGCATAAAATGATTGATAGGAGGCTGCATCGCTGCTCATATTACTATCTCGATCCCTAGAAGACAATTGCCCAAATACAAGCAATGGATATCGATGCCACTTACTCCAGCTGTTATACCCTCAACCCAACCCAAAAGTCTGGAAGGGTTACTTCAGCCATGAAATAAGATGCTTTGGAGCAGCGAGGTCTATACATGAGTACAGCTTCAACTACACCCTGTGGCCCAGCTAGATCAGGTTATTCCCACAACTGAGCATGATGTACCTCTATGCGGAAACCCCATCATAAGATGCATCCCACGGCTCTGGCCTGGCCCACCACGTCCGCTGGAGCGGGGTTACCGCCTTAGCCGGTGGATTCTCGAAAAGCAAGTCGATGAAAGCCATCTGGGTAATGCTCTCTTAGTATTGACAGAGTTAGATATGCACCTATTAGGGGCATTACTTCCGCACATAGTCGACGAGGTCTGTGTGCGGATGTGTCGCATCGGGATAAAATTGACGAGATGGTTGGGCGTGGACGAGTGGCTTGGTCTGTCAACCACGAACAGAAGCTGTGAAGTAGCAATGCGAAGCAACAACAGCGTGATATTAGCGTCGAGATTGCAGCATCAGTGGACTGTCTGCTGGACGTTGTATGCTTGTCGTGTCAAGGTTGCCAGAATGTGGATTGTCTTGTATGCTGGACAAGTTGAGTGTGAGCGTGGTGTGGGTGATCTAGAACATATTATATGCGATTGATAGATCTGATAAATATGATAGGACGGACAGGGACGCTGAATACTACTGCAAGTCTCCCTACGGCATGTGAAGGATTCGAGGGTCTAGGCTTGAATTCAGACACGGGGCAGACCACTGGTGCTACGCCAGCGCTATGAAAAGCCATGCATTCCACGATATTGGCACGATATTGGGGCTGACTTGGCTGCATTTCCACGACAAATCGCTGGGGAAATGTGTTCTTCATGGGCCATCGATTATGCCCATCAAGAATTGACGAACCGACCCCTGAATCGTATTCGACTCCCAATACCATGACGGTGCCCCGCCTAAGCCCACCAGAGCGTTAATGTATGGTCGGATTGAAGTAGATGTTGACTTGCAGGACTTGCAGGACTGGTTAGATGTTGATTTTTGGGTGGTAGCACTGAACTTTAGGGATGCTGTCGATGACTCCTTCCAAGGAGTACTCTTCTGTAACATGCGAGTTCTTCCTCGAAATCGCTAGAGATTTGCTTAATTGTTCGAAACTCAGAACTTCTTATCAAGTAAACTCGAGGCAAGGACAAGGGCGATATGGAACCGTATAGATGCTTGTATTGACGGAAGACTCTCTCGAATCAACGGACATAAGTGACAGCCAGAATACCTTACGGTGTCAGAAATCATGAGCCGTTCTGGAGCGGAAAGATATGCTCACCATTTATTGTGCCCAATACAAATTTCTACTGAGTCGCGGCCCATATGGGCCTTTCGTTAGGGCTACCATGGGTGGTTGTGGACGCCGTGGCAGACATGTCCCTGGTATCTTGGCGGGATTGAGAATCGAAGCAGCGAGAGTAGGATCAGCGGCAACTTCCATGACTATGGTGCAATTAAGACTGAACCCATCCAGATTTGCGTCGATAAGAAATTCCGTATGTTGGGCGTACCAATTTTCATTGTCCCCATAAGGATACAACATGCTGCCGAGACGAATCATGAGTTCGTAGCACTTCTTGATATACTTGAAGACGATACCCACAGGCCTCCCATTCATTGCCGAGAAGTGTTCGAATGCCTCGAGAATGTCTGCGAGAGCTTCCGAAACAAGATGACGGTAGCTAATGAAATTGAACGGACTTTTTGTAGGCAATCTGCCCTTCGTCCATAGTCTCAGGTGATGGGATTTCTCAGACGCTCGGGTCATACAATCCCAGACTTCGTCTTGAAACTCATAGAAAGCTGAGTCTTGGGCGATCTGGTTATCGTATTCTTCGTGCACCCTGATGTGCCACTTGTCGAGTCTAGCAAAAGAACAGTGCTTCAAGCAGCTTCGAAGTCCGGGAATCGGCCATTCCAGGGGAGCATTCAACTGCGTAGGGTTATTCACAACGGCTCTTAGCTGAAGGATTACCTCCCTCAACGAAGCCATTCTAGAGACTGTAGAAAAGAGGAAGTGTTAGTCGAGTCAAGTTCAACGTCTGCGGCTCTTCTGAGCAATTTGACGTACTGATTGAAAGGCAGGCTAGGGTATTCTGCGAATTCTGTTTGGTTGAATAGAAGACGAGTCGCGTCGGTCTTGGAAGAGGAGAGTGTGAGGAAGACAGATGTATGTTGCTTGTTGCATCTGGCAGAAGAAATTCGAACTCGGGAGGGCAGTTTGCACTATTTGACGTCTTTGAGATAAGTTTCATGTTTCTGGGCTCTTTGAGGGCACAGCCGGTGAGATATCCCGACCCTAACGGCCGAATAACATGAAATCTCTACGCTAAGCCTAACCCCAACTACCGGCAGCTACTAAGCGTTTGAGGACTTCCCCAGAGGTCCCCAAGACTCCAAGAGTGACGAGAGCTCCAAGGGAGGTGGAATGGAAACTTGTGCTAATATTGGACATCTGCATGCTTGCAACAAATTGTGGCAGATCAATCTAGAGAAGCAATCTGCCCCCATTCTGCTCGTGGGATACTCTCGGCTTGTCAGCCTCATGGCTACGCAGAAAGCCCTCCACCTGGTGCTTGATCCTACCCTGATCTCAAGGACCAAGATCGCGCGAAGGCTGGCTGCAGCTGTCAAAGGGACATGCAGGTTTGAAACTTGATGATCTGCCTGCTGCATGGCCATTTCTGGCAGTGAGCAAGCCTCCTTCTAGCTGCGTTAAGATACGCAAGGCAAATTGCGCCCAACCAGCACAATTACTCGCAGATCTGGCACCATAACGTGGAGTGCCCCGCTGATTGCACTGGAGGTGTGTGCCTATCTCGTCCTGAAGATCAAGCTCCAGCATCGAGATTGCATCTGGCATCTAGCATCCTGGAGGTGATGTTGTATGGCATTGGTGGAATATGAAGCTGGGCGCCGGCCGTGTTTGTTTGTGTAACCATAGCTGGACCAGGGCAAGGAAAAGGAAAAGGAAAAGGAAAAAACGAAGGGCAGGCTGTTGCAGGGCCATCCAACATGACGGACGGTGTGGCGCAACTCGCCACGGACGCCCTGCGTCAAGGAGAGGGGTTCTGGAGCAAAAATTTGATCCATGTTGCGATGGGCCTCGAAATAGACCGGTGGAGGATAGACGTGGATGAAAGGAGAGGAGAGGGAGGTGAATGACAGAGGTGATGTTGAGAAAAGAACAAAGAGTCTTTCTTGGTCTGGTCAGGCACAGGGTCGGTGATCAGGTAGTGCCCAGGCGCCATTCAGAAGCCATTAGCGAAAGAAGTGCAGACACCGCCCGACCCCCCACCAAGAACAAAAAAAGGGTAAGTGATAGATAGATGGGAACTGAGTGAGAAGAGAATAAAATGTAATCCAAGACTCCTCCACTTTTAGAATTATAGGTACCTGAAGCTTGCCAGCGTTTTCCATGTATCAAGATAGGCCACAGAATCTGTGACTTGAAATGGCGACCAAAGCCACAGCCACAGTCCCAACACTGGTCCAACGTAACTAACCTAGGGAGCACTTCGGACCCAGGAGCTAGCTGTCTCTGTCTGTATCTGCATGACTACGAACAGTTTGCGATCAAAACCAAACAAAGAAAAAGAATGGGGGGAAAACCAATAAATAATACATATACATAATACATATACATACACATACACATACATACTACATACATGCATACTATCTATATACATACCACAACACCCATCCTAGGGGAGGACTACCTACCAACTGCCAACCTCTTCGGTTTAAATCTGCAAAAGAAAGCTTTCGCACTCCGCGTGGGACTCGAACCCACAGCCTCAAGATTAGAAGTCTTGCGCGCTACCATTGCGCCAGCGGAGCAAGTTTGAGCGACCTGAAACAGTGGTCATGCGCCGAGTTTTGCTTATTTAAATATCTACAATAACCAACAATTTTCCCCTAGTTTAAACTGGGGCTTGACAAACCGAAATCGATAAGCGAGAACAGGAAAACCTGCTAAAGATGACTAGGCTCGCTAGGCAAAGGAGAGCAGGCTACCAAGGCTTTGCAAAGTAAACAAAATGAGAGCAGACAAGCAAGGGACAAATGACTAGAATGCAACCGAAGCTCACCCATCTCTCATGTTTTGTTTCATCCTTGAAGAAAAAGTATCAAGTGGCATAAGCTTTTATTCGGCTTGACTTCACGGCTAGCGCTTTTTGGGCAACACTAACTAACATCAAGCAGACCACCATTCCACAACTCTGTCCCTTACTGCAGAATCTGGGCTTCCCAGAAACAAAACATCATTGCTGTTATGGCTCACTCTTATCATGAAGCCAAAAAAAAAAACCTTCGACTTAGATTCGTTTCAGGGCAGATTTCCCTGAAATGGGACTCATCACCTTCATCTACCCCTGCAAACATAGAAGTTTGAGTCAACATATGTCAGATCATTGAGTAGCTTTCAACTCACAGAGGCGTACCTCCAGCAAAACTACCATCTTCGCTTACATTGTCTTCCATGACTTCGCGGTCTTAGAAGTTTGACCTCTCCACGTCACCCAACACCAGACAGTCGCTTCGGTTTTAACAGGAGCAACCTTCTCTAGTCGGGGAATTTCTCTTTTGGTAGCTATTATTAGAAAGTTGTATACTGTATGTATGTATTCGAGACAAACAGCTTTAAATTTCTGTCTGTGCCCAGGAGGCAGGTCGAAAGCAGTGCATTCTTCCCCAAAGCGTTCAAAGGATCCAGACTCAAGGGAAGGTCATACTTATCTAAGAGACGCATGCTTTTCACCTGATGTTCTACTTGCTTTGTGTGAGTCTTTGGAAGTAAATATCATTTCACTGCAACCAGATGGCAGTTAATTCCCGTTGGAGCATTACCATGCCAGAACCCCCCTGCCTATACAGCCACGCAAGTTGTATTTTCTTCAAGCAATACTTTGTGCACCTGGGGAATGGGTTGAGGAAGCGATATGGATATGGAGCGTCAATCCCCTGTATCTGCCTTTGTCGGGTGGGCTGTCGCTTCAACTCCTTTTGCCCGACAGAATGCACGGCCAGCTCACTTTGTACGCCAGTCGTCGATTCCGTACAAATGTTCTCCCGGTCGAACGCTTGATAGACTCACTTTTTAATAACCTCCGTTTTCCACATTGAGGTATGACCTGCCTATGACATTGAATGGATTCGACTCCTGCATGCACCTGATGCACTTCCAATGCCAACCCAAGCAGCGGCGAGCAGTATATGAACCGCCCTTATGTGTCACCACATCCTCTTCAGACCGTCCTCGTTGACCAATCTTCCATCACCAATCCTTCTATCCTCCAGGGTAGTTCGCCATCGTAAGGAACCAGTACCAAGTATGATGCTCGGTGGCGCCCCGCTCAGCTCCCGAATCCTGGGTGTAAAGCTCAACCACTTTCACTGCAGGGTCGTTGTGAAGTTGCCTAATGTGATTCGCGTTGATTGGTACTGCTACCCAATTTTGTTTATGCCAGTCTGCGAAACTTCAACTTAGATTCTGGTGAAGCAGAAATCAGCCTTGCAAAACTCCATCAACTCTTTCTTATGTCTGACCATTGGAATCTCATTTACGTTGACTTAGACCTTTGCCATCTCGACCATGCACTGTAAAACAGACCACGGAGGAGCTCATGTAGCTTGGACAAGGACCTCTGCAAATATGTTTGGCTATAGGCTCCCAAGACGGGGATAAACTCTTTGCGACACTCTAGATTTGACACTGGCTTGTAGAGATCCGGATCGATGGAGATCGCTTTTCTAAGTGAAAGGCTTATCTCGGGATTACAAATGGCCTTGCACGAAGAAAGACCTCACGAGAATTAACAACATGGACCTTGGGAATGTAGAATATACTTCGTTAGTGATCGATTGTTGAGAACTTCGCAAGAAAGAGCCCACACTCAAAAGCCAAAGCCAATGGAAGCAGAGAAATATCCACATGCAACGTCTAATCGCGAGAAACGTCTCACTCTAGATCTTTTTCGTATCCCGGAGATATCGCAATACTGCCTAAGTGCCAGGTCGTATAGCTGTCAACCATATTAATAGACATTGAATGTAATGCTGCTTCGTATTCGCATTTGGTTCTCGTACAATCGGGTCGAACAGGAGGTCGACTATAGAATTGTTGAAGTTAATTTTGTCCCTTAATGCCGTTGAAGGAATCGACTTGGTGGCCAGCTTGTAAATATGAGCCGACAGGACTCAATAACGCGTCCTCACATATGCATCAATGTGCTTCTAAGCTATACTGATAGTAGCCACTTGACTCGATCGTTGCTTCTTCGTCTTTAAGTGGCGTAACATGTGCGCATTTGAATTTGGAGCCATGTCAGTTATGGTCTCGGAATTGAGTTCCCACTTTCTCACCTCATGGGTTGAAGGTTAGGAGTTGGGCACTTGCTCGCTTCGCTTTTCCCACCTAGCCCCTGATATAAACAATAGGCTTTCTGTGAAAGCCACACCTGTGACAAATAGCCTACCAAAATGTTCGAGATATGGAGTACTGTTACCTTAGAGTTGTAAAATGTAAGGAGAGAAAACGACCCAAAGGTAGGAGCGACATTAAATCCCGTAAACAATGACATTGTATTGTATCCCGACTTGCGAGAGCCCGAACAGCCTTTATTTGAGGCTCATTGGCCCTACTATCTTCCGGACACTGCAATTGGCAATTTGGCACTGGGAAGAAGCACACACTGCTTTCGGAGCCACCAAGTTTCTGTAACCTTTGCATCACTCGAGACACACCCCCTCCCTTGACATACGCCATCGGTCCGTCATATCTATAGCCACCAGCATCTGAGCATTCAGTATATTTTTGAAGGGGGGAGTAGAGGTCAGACAATTCGTTCTCTAAAGACGGCAGCACTCTCCATTCCTCTGTTTGTAAAAGTCTGCCCATCTCCAGCCCCCATCGTCCCCATCGTGAAGAACACGTCATGGCCAAATTAGGGCCGTGTTACCAATGGTGTCCAACGTGGCTCCAAGTCTCTATTCTCATGCATGGTTGCTTGTTCCCGACTATGAGCAAGTTTTCCAGCCAACTGTTCCTTAATAAAATCGTTGGCAAGGCTAATCTACTTCGAGGGCAAAACAAAGACAAGGAGGGGGGCATCACCATCGCGAGACTTCTTCTGGAAAGTGATTCTGCAAGTTTTCGTCAGCAAGCTTCGATGAAAATAGAAATACTTGCATGAACCTTCAGAATGACAGAGTTCCTGAAAGAGATACAATTCGCCTATTGGTGGTTGCCAGGAAAGCTTCGAGCCCGAAAGAGAACGGCGTGAGCTCGTCGAGCAAGACAGGGGCTCTTCCTGATTAGCCACTCCCATCTCATGAGGTATGGTGAAGGAGAATTCCACCACGCAAGGTGTTTCAGCATGTGATCCCTGTTACTGGCAAGGACGGTGGTGAAGGACAATCAGCATGGACAAGCAAGTGCGCGTGGGTCAATGTTAAATTTTGTGTTCCGTTGCGCTGTGCTGGGCAGGGCTGCCAATCTATATCTATATATAACCCCGCGGTACCTCATCCGCACCTCAAAACCAACAGCAACAGGCAAGGCAGGTGACAAGGCTGCAGCATAACGCACCTCGTCTCACCGTATCGTATCGTATCACATCACATCACATCGCGTCCCCCACACTGCACTCTCAGATCTGTAAGATCTCAAAGGAGACGTCAGGCAGATCGCGTGGATGCCGCTTCTGTGCAGCTTCCATGCAGGCTCTTTCTAACCCTCGCCCGATTCGCATATCCCAGACCAGGCGAACCACCTCCACCTATCGTCAACTTCACACACCACACCAAGCCTCCCGCCTATACGAGGTTCCACAACATATCTGCTGCACCTGGGCGGTCTTTCATGGCTCATGCTGTCTCTACTATCCTGCAGCTCCTCCAGTGGATGGAAGTACTTTCGGCCCGATCATTCATCCTGACTTCCTGGGTATCTACGAATAGCAGCGAACCATGCCGCATCCAAAACGCCTGCGCCATTCATCCCTACTAAAATCTCCATCGTGGTCCGATGAGCTTCTTAAACCCTCGCATCCACGTCGTGTTTCGACAATTGGCTGGCTTTGTTTCACTCGTCGTAAGGCACCTCGAACAAGGGCTCCCCGCTGGACTTGCGTACGTTGCTCTCAACGAAGGGTAGAGACGGCGAGCCTGCATCAGGCGACGAACCGTAAATATGAAAGCCTCTCCTGGTGTTCATTTGCAGTTGCAGTTCCGTTTTCCGTGGCCATGATTGGTGTTCATATATGCCGACGATGATAATTATTCTGGGAATGTGAGCGGGATTTTCATAAGAGGTGAGGGTTACATACGTGAAAATAAGGGCGAAGCTGAGGCACCGTTGTGTCCGTCTTGTCGGCCAAGACGCAGCCTTGTGTCCGTATTCTAAGCGCATCGTGACGTGATATGATGTGCCGTTGAGACTAAGTGAGACGGCTCTTGTTCATGTACGGAAAGTCGAAAGGAGTGGCAGGTTGCGCGACACAGTCGATGCTCAAATGTGTATGAGATGCGGGCTTCCAGAGTCCATGGAGGGAAGGAGAAAAAGATCGCGTGCTGGCTTCCAGAAATGCGCCAAAAGTTCCCGAGCAAAGAGGAATCCAGATCTACTTAAAAGCAATCGCGCCTCTCTAACCCATGGTCATGTCTCTTGGCTGCATCTCAATTACATGGTTTGAAGTCACAGTAATAGAACTGCACCAGGATCGGCCAATGCTGAAACACACACTGCAAAGGTTGCGCGGAGCCAATGCTTGACCGAGTTCGTGAAACGCGACAAAGTGGATAATTTGCAGCTAGATCCTGGGTGCACTGTTCACTGGACGGGATGCTCTCAAATGCAGCAATCGGACGAGCTGATAAGCCAAACGCAATTTACTCATCGTGGGGGATGTTTGATGAAGTGGAGCTCGGTGCTATCAGAGGAGATTATCCATATAGCCTCCCGAAATGATCGGGATATGTTGATGCAGGAAAGAAGGGATCCTTGATGACAACAGCAATTCTAATCAAACGTCAAACTTAAATGGAATTGACGGCGGCTTCGTTCGAGGAAAGTACACGGGCATGCTAGTAAGGCAAAAGGCGACTCGGAAGCAAACAAATGACACGACTAGCATGAAACAGATGATCTCATCAGGAAAGACTTGTATCAAAGACTCACAAATAGAATAGCAGAGCTTGAAATTGGCGATACGCATAAATAGAGGACTGCCACCTGTACCTTGTTGGATTCTGGAACAGAGTGTAGATTTTTGTGCTTGGACTCCCGACGCTCGCTTGCCTACCTCTCACTGTCTGGATGAAGCTGCTGGTATGTTTTGTTTGATGAATTCTCGCACCTAAAATGGTCATGACATTTTAGTACTGCAGTCCACCGATTCTGAAGTGGAGATAGATGGCACTCTGGCCCCCATTCCTGTGATGAGCCTCCCATTCATCCAGCATCTTGATCCACCTGTATGTATGCTATTGAACTCGGTTATCCAGAGTCCTATCTCACCATGGTTGTTGGCTTTGCGGACAATCGTCTCGTCGGTCATGACTTTGGCTTCTCGTTCTCCAACTTCGCCTCCTTCTCCTCTTGTTCCTTCTCTGCCCTGGTCTTGATTCCCTTCTCGCCACGAAGCGCCTTGAATTCCTTCCTTGCAAGTACCGTCGCGAACCACTCCTCTATTTCTTCTTCCGCATCCTGATCTGACCTGTCTGCATTCACACCAAGGTTTACCCGTACCTTCCTCTTCATGTCATCCAGAGTAGCTATGTCGAATGCCCACAGGAATCCTCCCCCAGCCATCATCGATACACTGAAAACATTTACAGTAGCAATGGTTAGAGCTTCAAAAGCCTCCAAAGCTCCATTGATATTGGGATTTGCGTGATTGCTCGGGTGGTAGAATTTGGGCATCGACGCCTTGTAACGCCGAACAATTGATCGTCTTGTGATGGCGGAAGAGAGCAGGAAGAAGCCAGCGCCTGCTGCAAATAAGCCCAATTGACGCCGCGACCGTTGTGAGAAGAAGGCTGATTGTGGTTCTGAATATTGGGAGGCTGCTGGAGCTGAGGTTGATGCTCTGTCTGCCATGGTTGGACGTTGCAGGAAGGCCATCGACGTTTATTCGGTTCGAATTATTGAGGTTTCGATCAAAATCTTTGAGAGGCTCGGGTATGATTCTGCATGGGACTTGAATTGCACGTAATTGCGGATGCTTGCGCTGGGCTGATATTTTGAAGCTCCACGGACTGAACGCGACGAGAAAGACCATCCCGACCCGAGGGAGCTCTGTTGTGTCCTCAGGCAGGAAGCTCAAGCAGTCACTCATTCACTCACGATTTCGATGCTCTTTCTCTACTTCGACATTTGTATCTATACCGTAGTCTTTAGGTTCAGATGAGATATTTTTACTGCATGATGTATTCGCCGTCTCCTTACTGGCTATTGAGATTCAACAGATACTGCCGTGTGAGGTGTCGTGGTACATCGCCGTTGGGATTCGACCAACTGGTAATGTGGAGTACAATGCTTCAATGAAACGAAATATTCCTGAGATTCCCTGTGATGCATACTGTCTCTTTCATTAAGCTGGATAGAGTTATGGATAGAAACCAAGATGATGCCGTGGCAAACTCAGATTACAACTGCTCAATTTCTACCACCACGCAGCATGTCTCCTTTTGGCGTTGCGCATGATCTTTTTTTTTTCACAACCTATCATGTGGCTGCTATTTGAGAAAGTGCAGTGTACTTAACCCAAGTACGCATCACTGCCGGAAAACTTCTTGATGTTTGGCCGATCCTGAACTGCATCAACCAATTGCACCAATCTCGGGTACTCCGTCAACTCATTTCTGTCATCCTGAATCAAAATTCTCGTCATGAAGCAGTTGGAATAGCACCAGGTCAGCATATGTGATCTCTTTACCAGCAACAAACGGTCCCCTTTGAGATAGATCCGATCCCTTCAAGTGAGTCTCGATGGCTTTCAGATAATGAACCCTGTCGCCTTGCTGGTGCTTAGGATAATCGACTTTCGCATTGTCCGAGAAGAATGCACTAATAAAAAGCGTTCTCCCTGTTCCGAAGTCAGCTTACATCTCATGTGGTGGAAGGTCTTGCCGACAGTCAATCACGATATCACTCACATATTGCATCGACCCAGTATTTCTCATCTTCGGAGTTTCCGTCATATCCACCCAATTGTCGTGCCCAATGTCTCAGGATGGCATAGCTTTGTGTGAGAATCTTCCCGCCAGGCATCTCAACGATGGGAATGTTTCCCGTTGGATTCATCTCTGCAACTGTGCCCCTGCGCTTATGTTCTGGCCATTCGTCGAAAGAATATCGAATATCTTTGTAAGCTGCGCCAGCATCCTACACTTCTGTGCAAGTATCTATTCGGAGTCAGAGGATATGGGATTTCTTACAATGAGCATAAGACGAACGACCTGTCCGCGTCCCCGAGACCAGAAATCGAAATAGTGGATGGTTGGGACGCCACCAATTGCCTTATTGGCAGCACTTTCTGTGCCATGAGTCAAATGTGAGGCATATTGAATAGTTTCTTGCACAAAGATTACAACGGGTGTTCAAGAGAAGTACCAATTGAAGGTAAATTGTCTCGATGACTTACATTTGGCGGGGAAATGGCGGGGTCATCAAGCGATAGTCTAGATGACCTTCGATTGCAAGTCAATAGTTGATGGTCTCGATTCGGGCCAGGGGAATCCAATCAGAAATCTTCATCGCTCCAAGACTTTCTAGATCCGGTAATAAGAACAACTTTAACTCATTCCGGATTGCTCCTCATTTTAAAGCTTCGATATTCCAAATCATGCTGGATAGTAGGTCTCGGAGGCGTTTCGAGGACATGGCTGTGTTCCACTGATATGCTTAATACAGTTCACAATTTCGACCTTTCCATCTTTGCAGAAAATTTCCGCAAAATTTTCACGGCGCAGTTCAGGACCATGAATGCAGAACGGCTCTGAAGAAGTCTCGGAGACGATAGTAAATATTGGGTCACTTTCGGTAGTGCAATGTAGGGTCCCTCCAAAAGGTCTCTGCTGCACTATTACACTTTAAATCTCGCGTGTTTTATTATTAGTGGATAAATGCAGAGTGGTCCAGTCTCTGGAGTTTGAGGGATATAAAGTTAGTAGCTGCTTATATTTATTCATGTTCTGACAAAAACACTAAAGGCTATTACTTCTATCTAGGCATGTTTTCACGAATCTCCGTTCAAGTCCCAATCACTCTCGCACACTGTTTTGAGTACATCTACCCATGTTTCGAGGAACTCTTGCATCTTTTCTTTTGGATTACGAGCTGCGTTGAAGACTACGCAGAGAGTGAGTCTGTCATGAAATGAGTGTGAGCGAGCAGAACTGTGTCATTTCGGTCAGATCACTATAGCCAAGGCAGATCCATGGACTTACACAATAGTTTGACTTTGATCTGTGGCTAGCTGATACGACTCAAGAATCAACTGAAGATTTTGGTATCCCGAAACTGGGAAAATTGTGTCAAGGTGTTGAGTCCCTGGTGGATCCGAAACGAAATAAGGACAAGTACGGGGCTTTGTCAGTGGAGGCGAGGAACTACTTTAAAGTCAATACGGCACACGTTAAACTGATACGTTACATACCTCTGCTTCTGTTTCTGTCTACTTCCCAAAAACATCGCTGCCTCTGCTTCAATGGTAGCCAACATCCCTTTTCTTTTCTTGGCAACCTCCCAGATACTTGCGATATAAGCAGCAGCTTTCCAGAAATCGTTTCTCTGGCTGAACATCCGGCATGGCACTGCGATGGGCTGGATAACGACCGCGCCATTTACGTAATATCTTTTCTCGTTGTACGGGGGTGGCATCCAGTCATTTCTGAGATCCATGGCCGAACTGCTTTGGAATGAGTCTTCTGGCCCAGGCACGGAATCGATATTTTCGTGAATCGCTTGAAACAGAGCTGCGTGGAGTATAGCAGCAAGCCTAGAAGAGTAACGACTTAATAATGCTCAAGAAGTGAATTTAATGTTGTTGAGTTCTAAACTTACTTCACTCCACGCTTGCGTCCTCTGGCAAGAAGTTCCGGAAGGAAATTAGGCTCGAACGTATGCGAAACTAACTGACTGCCTCTGGTCGACGAACTTGGAGGGCCGATTTTAGGCCTGTACCATGGAAGACCAATATCCGCTTGTGACTTTTAAGCGGTTGTCAGTTTAGAGTATTGACAGATCACAGCAACAAACCTTCAGAAAGAAATCAGTAGTTGATTCTGGCCCATCACCGTTGCTGGTAGTGTCGAGCATCATCTGCCCTGGATGAACCAGAAGCATAGATGGAGGCAGCAACCTGTCGACCTCTTTGCCCCAATGCAATTCTTCTAATGGCAACGGGTCGGCAAGACGGCTGATGAATTCATTGAGGATGCTGCGAATGCCAGACCCATCAGTGAAGACCTGTATTCAGAGATCTTCATTCAGTGATATTCGTCTCAAATGTAGTAGATAGAGTCTATGGATCTTTGGACGAGGTAAGGTTGGCATGCTTGGTAGCTTTACGTTCTCACAGGCCTTGCCAGCCTGCCATGATTTCAAGAGGTGTGGCTCCAAAAAGCTGGACTTACGTGATGATTATGCATTAGAATATCAAAACTCGCGATATTCACATCTGCGCCATATTCGGGTTTGACGATCAAATAGAAACCCCAGTAATCACCATTCGAAGAGGGCATCGGTACATCTCGTGAAAGTTGCTCACGCAAAGCAAGCCAACCACCATCAGCAACAACGACTGTTACGCTTCGTTCTGCCCACCTGGCTGCTTCATTCGGCCCATCGACACTGTACATAGCTTTGCAGTCATCTTCTGAGACACGTGCAGCTACCGTCGGATACCTCCACCGCGTTTGACAGCACGCCCGAACACTTCTCTTTCGTAACTCCGGGATACCAAAGATACGTGATTGACCCAAGGAACTTGTGTTTCGGACAGAGATCGAGGCGCCAATGAATGGGCAATTCTGACCAAATAGGTCTCGGTTTAGGACAACGAACATACGCTCGGTGTTGGTCAAATCTCGCGTAATAGACAGAGGGTTGCCAGGCTGAGGCTTCCAGATGAAAGCGGAAGAATCATTGTCCTGGGCCGTCATCTTGAAAATTATGGCAGATACTATATTGACCAGTTTTCGAGAGAAGTCTCCTCCTCATATACGTATACTTTCCTTATCTCAGCGCTGACGAGAACGCTAAATTAATGCTTACTGTATGGAGGCAAAAGACCTTGTATCCGACGAGCACTGCTGACAGCTGCTGGTAATATGCGAACAGGCGAAGCTACCCGAAGATAACTCGAAGTGAAGTGCGTGCCTACTTGAGAAAATCTATATGGTCAGGAGCTCAAAGAAAACTGTTTAGGTATTGATAAGATCTGACAGTCTTGCTTCTGTCGCTGGAAATTGAGTGCGGCTCGAGATGGTCGCCAAATGTTCCAAGCTGTTGAGTATTCAGGGTAGGAAAGTGTACTCAGAAGATACCTGGATTTTAAAACCTTAGTCGGTGCGAGCTACGTGGTTTTGATCAGATTTGCAGATTGACGGTAGGACCTGTATGACGCCAGACGTTGTGCCTGAAGCAGCGTCACCACGAGCGGAGATAGGGAATAGCGACAAGAAGCGGTAATGACAAGACTGACGAGACGAAGAGGATTAGAGCTCGTGGTTCGAGAGCATAGATATCAAGTAGTCCGCTTCAAATTATATTGAAAGGGGGATTTGCTTGCTGTTTTGTCCACACAACGACAAATGGTCTTTCACCACGTATTCAATAATGATGGAATGCACTGAAAGGAAAGTATAGTAAATATGATTCATGACAATGCTGACCACTCTCAACCTCAACAGACCTCGAGGTAATCAAGTTCCAACTTTGAGTCTTTTGATTGGGGCAAACCCTGCATAAACAGGATGAGTGGAATTAGTCTGATAGTCTCATGAACCAAGCATGATATTCAGGTATTTGTATTAAAATTGTAATTTTGGTGACTTTGTCGGAATTATGGTGGCAAAGAGATTTAAGCTCATGCGCATCTTCTTGTATATTTGGTAGCACCCTGTTCTGGCATCTTCTTCTCCGTTAACCATTCCAAGTTCCAAATTTTGAAAGTCATAATAACAGAACTGAAAATATTATGATTGGACTCGGGCCAATGGGAGTTTTACTGAAGAAGAATGCAGGAACTTCAATAGTGATGTAAGACTTGACTTCAAGATGGAGAAGAATCTCTTCATTCAGTAGACGCAAGCAAGCCGAGTGTGTGAATTGTAGACCCACGTAAACGGAGCCTGACCTAACAAACAATGTGCTTACTCGAGAGACTTCAAGAGCGGATGGAGGAACAGTATGGCATCGAGCCATGAACTTGATCACAGCATGATCGGGAAGAGGGTGTCTTGAGGACGAGGACTGAAGCCTGAGAAAAACATACACCCATGTCGATGCAGGCGAAGGAGATCTAGAAAGGTACCCTATGTAGGTACACGGGAACCAGCTCCACAGTCCACATTTCCCAGTCCACACAGCTCAACAGGAATTGGTGGAAAATCTACGTTTGAAGGGTGTGCGGGCTGACCAAAGTTTCGAGATGCGTTTGTGCATCCGGACAGGCGCATCTGCATGCATGCAGCCATGAGAAACGACGCCGAGGCAGATGCACCAGGACCGAAGGGGGATGGGGATTCCAGCAAGAGGCACACGTCCCCTACAGTTGGCAGCCAATTAGCAGATCAGACTCCGCGTTGGGATAGCCCAAAACGGGGTTGATGATGCTTCAACAGTAAGTCGAGCAATGGGATTGGGGGTCGGATCAGGGCTGCCGAGTAGCGTGGTGCGGGTTGAACAGAGAAGCTTTCGCCCAGGACAGAGGCTGGAAGCTTTCCCCAACCACAGCCAGGTCTTTGAAAGTCACGACAGTATGCTCACAAAACAGAGGATACAGGATGATTGGATGATAGTGTTTGAGAGGCAGATTGGAAACACTGCGCTCGAGCGAGCTTTTGAGATGTACGCCTTGCAATGGATGAAGAGGTGGCTGGGGCAACCGGTGACTCTCAGCTGCATCTCTCAGTTCGGGGTTATAGCCGAAAATGGGCGCCATGTGAGCAAATTTTACAATACGTACGGGGGAGAAGGCAGAGGATCTGGTGCGGAGATTAGACGACGTGCCAACTCGCCGTTGGGATTCTCAAAATTCAGGTGCTCATTTCCATACAGTGTTCACCTATCAATCTGCAGAGTACAGGTTGACATATATTCAATTACACTACATATATCCGAAGATTATGATGCTTCAGGCACCATGCCTGCCGGTTGACGATTCAAATCTGTGTTCCTTTGGCTCTTTCTGACACATGGGTCCTGCACTCTTCACTTCAAATCTTGATCTCCTTGGAAGCAGGGTGTGCTTCAATAGTCTCGATAGTATCGTCGTGGTGGACGTTGTCAACACCGATCTGGACCTGGTTAATATCGAATCACTGCCAGGTATGAGGAGCGGGAAACTTACATGAGCGTGGTGAGCATCTTCGACGTGCAAAAGATCTGCTCCTTTCTCTGTGTGATTTGCGCCACCGAAGAGAACGTCGATCTCTTCCAATGAAGTGCCCTTGGTTTCTGGAATCATGAACCAAACAAAAATGGCCAGGCAGATGTTCGTTGTCATGAAAAAGAAGCTTTGATCCGTAAGTTGACGAAGGCCATACCTTGCAGAGAGTACTTACAATGATTTCAGTCCGCAATTCTTGTAGAAAGTGGGGAAGAACTGGTTGAAGATGCATTGAGCCACATTTTGCATTTGGGTACACTGAACGTTCATGTCAGCACTGGTATAAATGTCAATAGGGCGCTCATATCTTACCATTCCGACAGCCTGGACACGAACGTTCATGGAGAAGACCTCTGAAGTCCAAATCCAAACAGTAGCACCCCATGAAGGCTTGTAGAAGAAGATGAACAAGAACAGCATTGCAACAATAGCAGTTCCAACTGGCTCCGTCTTTCCACCCTGTGGGGTATTTGGTGTCTCCATACCAATGAGTGGGACGATCAGCATGCAGCAAGCCATACCAATAGCTCCGACGATAAGCAAGAACTTTCTACCAAATCTGTCGACTGTCCAGGTTGCGTTAAGGGTGAAGATTATACCCATGGTGGCGTTCAGTGCGTTGATAAGATTGATCTTGTCAAGTGAGGTCCAAACCTTCTTATAGATGGTAGAACTGTACGAGTTGAGAGTACCTTGTCCAGAAAGTTGCTGTCCAATGTTGATAACGAACGCTAGCATGAGTCGCTTGCGAACGGAGGCATCCTTGAAGAGTGCGAAGTATGAGTTAGAGATGACTTCCTTCTCGAAGGTGATGGCCTCTCGAATGGCGAGAATCTCGTCCTCAACTTCTTGCTCGGTATCTCGGACTCGGGCAAGCGATCGACGAGCGTCCTCAATGCGATCCCCATGTCTGATGTACCAACTGTCCAGATATTAGCATGTTGGAAATCAATTATTGGGATGCAGAACGCTTACCGAGGGGTCTCTGGCATGAATGGAAGTTGGCAGATGATGATGATGGGTACGAGCATCTGGAAGATAACAACCATCTTCCAGCTCCATTCTCCCAAGGCTACCTTATGCTTTCCGCAAGCATAATTAACCCAGTAAGCAATGAAAGAGCCGACCGAGTAGAACAACTGCCAGAAGGACATGACCTTTCCACGGATCTCAGGAGGTGTGATCTCTCCAATATAGACAGGACCTGCGGTCAGAGCTATACCCTGGCCAATACCGATCAGGACCCGTCCAAAGATAAAGACACCGAGCTTGTGGTGAGGGGTGAAGGTTTGAATGACGGTAGCGATGATGGTGATGAAGCATCCGATTCCCATTCCTGCTCTACGTCCAAGCCAGTCGGCGATAGGACCAGCCATAAACCATCCAGACACAATTGCTCCAATTGAGTACGACGTGTTGATCAGACCAAGCAAGTTAGAATTCTGACATATCTGTAAGTTTTCGCCGAAATGCACGTAAGAACGGTCACTTACCGGACTCTTGACATCGAAGTTCATCCAAGCAAGCCAAAGCTTATTTGCTTGCACAGCGTTAAACACTGCTGCATCGTAGCCTAGAATTACCAAGTCAGATAGATTACTCACAACAGTCATCCGTTACTCTCTGGTACATACCGTATAAGACCATACATCCTGCAGCCACCAACGCCGCATACCAGTTGTAAAGTCTAGTCTTGTGAACCATCTTGACTGAACCAGAGTCTTCGACTCTTCCGAACGAGCTGCGGATTTGACGATTGGAGGCGAGGAGAAGACGGGCTGTGGTCTTTCAATGCAAGATCCCAGGTCCGATGAGGAGGGAAAAGCAGGATCAATCTGGGGAAAGCAGTCCTCTTTATCTCAACACGGGAAAGCAACCTTCACGTGCAATACCCCAACTTTCCCATACCTACCGTACCTAGAGTTGACTGAGTCGACTGGGGTAGCTCCCCTTGCTTCTGGCCGAGATAACAGGGCCAGCAGCCAATGCTAGACTTGCTAGAATGCCAGGATACCGTACCCCCGGATCTACTAGGACCAAAAGCGTGAAGAGCCCGCAAGAAAGCTAGGGAGTTCACCCTGTCGCTACTGTAGCCGGTGTGGCGTGTGGTGTTGCGGAGAAGTCATGACGGAACTTTGGAGATAGATCTTCCGCAAATCAGCGCCCAAGAAGAAGCACGCAACTGTGAGGCGCAAACCACGGGCCCCAAGACTCGAATTATGCACCAATCCTGATCTTGGCAACCCAATATTTGGTCATTCTGGAGCACCTGGAGAACCCCCAGAACCGCGTATGCTAGACAGATGTTTGGTTCCACTGGATAGCGAAATGAGACGGATATGATCTGGAGCGATGAGATGGCGTTTCCACGGGACGGGAAAATCTGACCACAAACAAATTCCTGGAGCCTGCCGAACTCCACATTTGTTCCAATGAATTCGCCGCTTCTGATACTGAATTTCACGAACCTTTCGTTTCTCTGACCTTGGCATGTGAGCTTGTTTGGGTTGTGGCTGGCTTGGTTGCTTGGAGACTGGGGGTTCACAGGAGCCCAGCTTCTGAACCCCTGAAGGTAAAGCTTCAGCAGCCTTGGTGCCGAGAAACAGAACATCAGCCTCATGCTTGGGAGGGACCACAGGTCTAGAACGACAGGAACTCAAGATTTACATTTCTATACGAAGGTAATTTTCGCAACTTAAAGATTGAATTTTTTTCGAAGTTCGAAGAAACATGGACCGCTGTTGAGCCTCGGTTGGTTGCATCCTCGTTTGGAGATAGCCCTCAATTCCCTAGGCCTGCGGTAATATAACCCACTGTTCGCTTGGATGTACCCTATACTCGGATTGTTTGAATCGAAGTAACATTTGATCTGAAGTAATATGACTTCAGTCGGTCACTTGCTCAACATCGTTTTAGCAGATATTCCGGCCTTCCCAGCATGACGGTCTGTTTCATAACTTTCCAGACACCACATGTACGTCGTTCCAGGAGATCAGTGTCCCCGAATCGAGAACCTAGCGAAGTCAAATTGAAATTATCAAAAGAGTCCTAGTATATTGAAAAGCTCCAACATTAACCATAATTCGGTTTAGTTTGAAGTTCATTCAGTGTTCAAGGTCAGATACTTTAGTCACACCGTCAGACAGGAACCGAGGCACCATAAACAAAGCAGTCAAGCGTGTCAATATCCAAAATTCCCGATTCGTTTCCCCAGGACAAATATTTCAGTGATTTGTTTCTTAAGATTGGACCAATATACTGAGTTCGAAAGAGATCCGGATTGATTTTCAGTTCATGTAGATTTTCCGTATCTGTGGCCGTCTCAGAAAGACAAACCTCTTCCCAGAAACACAGGGTTGAGTTTGCGGATTGAGAGCATGATATTAGATATCTTGAAAGAAGGAGAAGATTCAGAGAAGGAGACGCGGGCGAGGAAATGGACAACAGGAGGGGAGAATATGTGATTCTCGTATTTTGGAGGTAATTTTCTTGAACTCTGTGAAAGACTCTGAAAGTCACGCAGCACAGAAATAAATGTGGAAAAGCCATTTCCGTGATGTGCTGGAATTCCAAACAATTAACTAGATGGCATACAGTGGCGCCAATCTCTCTGATATGCTCGAGAGATTGCAAGTTGCATGCCAAGTCACTTGAATCTGAATATGGTCCCAGTACCTTTGGGCTATCACAAAGTACACACTGATGTGCCTTTGAGGGTGAACGATATTGCGAAGTGATACCCAGATATTACTCTCTGCCTGAGGCATTTCAAGACTATCACAGAGGATATCTTTATACGATGCTACTTTCGCTTGGGTGGAATCCAATCACTTCGCCCAGAACACTTTAGAATTAAACACAAGCGCTGTCACAATACACTCACTTCTGTTTCGCACTGGCGTGAACCGATGTTAATACGTAGGTTGTGTCAAAAGGATGGAGGGAAGTCCCCATACTAGGATTGCTCATTGCTTGCGTGCTCACTAAGCAGACTCATTGAAACAGGACATATATCCAGACAATTCCATTACCACGTCTTAGGAGCAACATAGCCAAAACATAATCTAGAAAAGACTCATACCGAGCGTCCTCCTCTCCGACGGAACCATCTGACTCATCTTCGCCTCCTCCTTTGTTTTAATATTAATATATTTCTCCACAACCTCTGGTCCAATCGCCTCCTTCAAAACCTCATCGGCATTCAAACTCTCAATGGCCTCCTTCAAGCTTCTCGGCTGACGATCTACAACACCCATCTCTTCTGCCTCTTTGTCATCCAGAGGAGCCGCAAACATGATTTTCGTAGCATTCTTCATCTTCAATTCCTTTCCATTATCAACAGCTGTCAGACCAGCTGTGATAATAGCCATCAGTGCTAAGTACACGTTGGCGGTCGCATCTGGTCCTCTGAGCTCCCAGTGTCCGGAGCGAATCTTCCTGATCGATGCGGTTTTGTTTTCTACGCCCCAGGTGATGCGCTCACCTGGCCGGAGACGAGAATTGCTATCGTAGTTGGGCTGGTAAAAAGCTGTCAATGCTCGCCAGCTCGCCAGCATACCAGCTAAGAAAGAGTCCTCCCTCTCTTTCTGCGAGATAGATATGTGGTAGTGCGATCCGACAATGGAGTGTTTCTCGAACGGTTTCGGAAACATAGTGGCGCGCAAACCATGTTGAGCACAAATAGCTCGGATAGTTTCGTGACAGAAGTACATGGCGTCTGCTGACTGCAGCGGAGGAAGCGGTTCTGTGGAAATCTCATAGCAGCCTGAGTCGCCTTCAGAATGGAATTGCCGGACTTTGATACCAGCATGCTGAAAAGCCTCTACTATCTCTTCGATGATGGGAATGTATTTGTTCCTCAAACTGGAGGCCGAGTAGACGTTGGGGACTGTCTTGACAGGCTGAGAAACCCCATTGAGCTCCTCGATGACAAAGAATTCAAGTTCCATACCGACGAGGAGATCGATATCGTGATTTGCCTTCGCAATCTGTGTTATATCGCTAAGTCGGCTACGGGGACATCTGCGGAATGCCTTTCCTTCTTCTTGCTCTCCTTCTTCCACAAAGCACATTACTGAAGCCGTGTTAGGATGGTAAGAGTTGATCCTGATGCTCGACCAATCCGGCCACATCTGATCGATACCAGACTGAATTTCCTCGATGAGTAAAGTTCCGTCGAGAAGGCATGCAGTGAGGATAGGACTAGGGGTGCTAAGCTTTTGGCCTTTCTGATCAAGACTAAGAACGAATGACTTGGTCAAGACCCGAACCATGACGACCCCGGAGTAGTCTACCCATTGAAAGCGTATAAATTCAACTTTGGGATTGTTGGCAAGGAAGCTTCTGAGGACATCGGATTCCACGGCCGCAACATCAGTTCTTGCATCGCCCATGATAAGTGACTAGACTTTCGAAAGTGGAGAAATAAAGATCCAACTGTAAGGAGAAGCTTAAGACTAAAAAAGCCATAACGATACTGGTAAGTCACTGGGATTTTAAGACAATTCAATCGATTGTTTGCCTTGCTCATCTCACGTCAGACAGCATGCCCGTTGTCGCCGAGAACAGAACTCATACCTATTCTACACAAGCCCTCGTGTGAGACCGATACACATACCAGGCCGACTAGCCTAAATTTGGCCATTGAGATCATGGCGATTGTGTAGGCTATCAGTATAGGGCCGTTTTGCACAGGCTGTCCATCCATAATTGACGTAGCGAAGTAAGCATCACTGATGCTTGGACACGACGAACGACGACGACGACGTACCAGTAGGGAGACGAATACTGGAAAAGAGAATGTATATTCGCCTTACTACGGGATCGTATTTGTGAGTTCTTAAAAATAAGTCTTGGAATAGCGTTCTCGATTGTTATAACCGGCGCAAGTGGGACACCTGAGGGATGAGCTGGATGACCAGCTACACCATATCATGTCAGCATTGCAGCAAGCTGCACCAGTACCTACGTGGGTTGGTAGATCTGCACTTCTACCATCGGCAGCTGGACCAGATTTCCATGCTAGCCAGCTCGCACTTCAGAACAACAAAGCCTGAGAAACAGACGAGGACGGAGCACGCGCGTTGGGACGAGGCAGGGCGGCTGCATTCCAAGATACCTAGTCTTATAGGTAGACGGCGAATATAGAACTCGTGACTCATGAGGACGATTGACAAAGGTAAATCTCAAACACTCAAGAAGGCTCTCTTGATTGCGTGGTGTTGTAGAGCTGTCCACTGTTTGCTGTTTGTGAAGATGGACGTTGCAATTCAGTGGTCGGAAGCAAAACAGTACAGCGTACCTAGGCTCGCTAGGTAGGTAGGGACACTGTTGGACACAGTGTGGCTGGAAACAGGTGGCTTGGCAACGCGGGGGGTTATCGCCGACCTTATCTCCACCGCCTATCTGATTACTATCGCATCCGCATCATAGCATCATCCACAGCTGCATCACCCACCCCACCCACCATCCACAACTGCGACTTCATGAACTTCCCACAAGGACAATTCCGCTGCGTCTGATGCATCAGCGAGCCGGTCAATAGCTCGGTTGCCGTACTGCAACTTTATATCCATATTATATATACCATCCTTAAGCTCCCTCGACAGCGCAAGAACAAAGTGACGCAAGAGATATGGATCACCAAGCAGGTGCCAGGGAGGAAGAGGTAGATGACCTCGCCAACAATGCTTTCATCGAAAGCTTACTCGCTGAGGTCGCAAATGCGGGACCTGCAATGCCAGACGCGCCGGCAGAGGAAGGCGACTTCGAAGGCAGTAAGCTTGTCCTCCTACGAGGAACTTTGCGGCTGACATCCCATGTTTAGATATTCAGGTGGAAATCCAGGAAGAAGCCGACGATGGTACCGCAGCCGCAAACACCCAAATTAGTGAGCCACACATACTCAACTTTATTCTTCAGAACCTGCTGCTCATATTGGGATTCACAGTCATTGGCCAAAGGCGACTTATACAACTCATACAAAACTCGGGCATCGAAAGACTTATCCGCTTAGGAGCAGGGCCATACGATGACGATTCTTTGGATGACGAAGATGACGATGATTACCAGGAGGAGGAGGACTTTGCTCCTAGGTGGAGAAGATATAGGCGCCGCAGACCAGACCCAAATCGATTCCCAAAAGTGCCTTCTGATGAGGGAACAGAGTTGATGAACTCGGGTGTATTCGGATCTAGTGAGGCATATACCGTTACGTCAAATGATAGAGGTAGTATGGGAAAGAAAAAGAAGCTGGCAATGAGAATCTTGGACAGAGAACTGGCTATTGAGAGTCCTGCCAAACAGAAGCTCAACCAGAGACTCATGGCCCAGGTACGGCTGGCATAAGCTCTAATTAGCAAATCTCTAATTAGCATGCCTCTAATATTTTAATAGGGAATGATACCTGCTTCGAATGCCGATATGATCATTCACTACGACGATCCCGTTTATTCTGGGCAGTTCTCGGACGACGGAAACTTCTTCTTCTCAGCCAACAAAGACTACCGAGTACGAATGTACGATACCTCGAACCCGTACAAGTGGCGATACTACAAGACAGTGAACTACCCATTCGGACAATGGACTCTTACAGATGCGTCGCTTAGCCCGGATAACAAGTATCTGGCGTATACCTCTATTGTTAGTCAGGTCTGCCTGGCTCCGACAGACGCAAATGACACTGGGGATCCATATGTTTTGGATCTTGCAGGAGATCAGGCCGGCCAACCTCAAGCCCATGGATTCCATATGAGACGTCGCGGATTTGGGATCTGGTCTGTTCGGTACTCTGGCGATGGGCGAAATTTGGTCGCTGGAACCACTGGAGGCTCTATTGTCGTTTATGATATCGAAGCGAGGAGGGTCAAACATAGAATATATGGCCACACAGATGATGTCAACGCGGTTTGCTTTGCAGACAAGTCGTCACCACATCTACTTTATTCTGGTTCTGACGATACCACACTCAAAGTCTGGGATACCCGGAGTATGGGGGACAACCGAGCAGCAGGAGCTTTCATTGGACATATCGAGGGTCTAACATACATCGACAGCAAAGGAGATGGCCGTACGTGTAACAGTCTCCCTCGGAATTCCAAAAACTAATATCTACAGGGTACATCCTCAGCAACGGCAAAGACCAAAGTATGAAGCTGTGGGATCTCCGCATGGTCATGCCCTCCGGCGACTTTGAACGCATTCAGCCAACTCGACGAGTAGCACGAGAAGAGCGCTTCGACTACCGCTGGGGCAATTACGACAATGACGACTGGTATCGTGACGAGCACGACAACTCCGTCGTCACATTCCGCGGACATAAAGTCCTACGCACTCTCATCCGCTGCCACTTTTCACCCCCAGCGAGCACGAATTCTCGGTACGTGTTTTCCGGCAGCGAAGACGGGAAAGTCTACATCTGGAATCTTGATGCCAGCTTGGCAGGGACAATCGACGTCAAAGCTGCTACAAAGGATAGCCGACCTCGATGGAGCGGTCGTATCTGGGACGACGATGAAGATGAGGACGGCCCCATTCCATGGCGTACATGTGTGCGCGATGCTTCATGGCATCCCAATGCGCCAATGATTGTTGCATCCGCCTGGAACGGATACGGCATGCAGAATGGCACTTGTACGGTGCATTCCTGGAATGATGGTGCTGAGGACGATGAAGCAGAACCAAAGATGGGTTTAAGGGTAAATCAAAGATTGGAATATGATGCAGCGTATTACGATGAGACGCCCCGGCCGAGACGGAGCCGTGCTGCTAGGCAGGCTAGGCTGAGGACCTTGGGTTTGAGGAATGTTGGACTTGATGACGATGAAGATGATGTGTAGATAGGCTCGGCTGGGGGTTGAGGTGCCGGGTGAGAGCAACTTAACGTTATCACCAGACAGAGGACGCCATCCAAGTGGCTTGAGTATATGGTTTATTGCTGAAAACGCTGAAGGACGTTGACATGCATCACAGGATCTTATTTACAGCGTTTTGCTGCAACTGTACATCATCCAGAGCGGAGTAGAGGAAGAGGCGTACTTGGCTGGCTTACTGGGCAGAGAATCATTCTCATGCTCGGAATCTTTGTACATTCCATTGAATCTTTACGCAGCATCCTCAGGCTAAACAGTTCCAAAGACTGGCTGACTGCAGCCGACATGATACTCTGAGATTGACAGATTCTTTCGTCTGCACATCATTGCGCAGGTATTCTCTGATACTGTTTGCAGTACTGGAATGACATTAAACAGCCAAAAGATATGAGGAAGTGGCGTAACTTGACAGAAGTTGAGACGAGGATTCAGATTGGCGGGGTATTGTATATATCTCTTCGCAGTTAGCTTGGTGCAGATGACAAAGTACGCAAGCTGCCTATGAACTGCAGGAGGAGAGTGAGGTAAGTGGAAGGAGAGGACGGAAAGGGATATAAACGGGAAGGGGACGAAGGGGAGAGAAGAAATCGGAAAGGGGCATGTTGGGAGCACCCGCTCAAGCTGGCTAGACTAAATGGCTTCAGAGGGTAATGGCAGAACACAAATTTGTGCATTTGATTGCAAGACGCTTTTGTCGAGACCTGTATGCCATATATGGGATTTTCCCCTCCCCGACATGAGGATGGAAGTACATAGACAGGGGTAAGATTCCATTTACCTATAGATCAGATCAGTAATATTGCCGGGTTACGTGACTGAAGACTTCAGACTTCAATGGGAAGCGAAGAGCCAAAGACAAATTTAAGTTTTACTTATGACGTCTAAAGATGCCCGCGGACTAGAGATTCTTCAATAAAGCGATACTTTGGAAATAGAGAAGAGACGAGAATAGACTGGTAATGGATCAGTCAAAAATCTCACCTCACCCATCCATCTCAAAATGTTGGATGCTGCAAGCACTTAGTAGAAAGAGAGAGTTGCACAAGAGAGAAGTACTTCATTATCTACAGGTATAGGACGGGCATGCATTCTTTCGCGTTTGTTTGCTTATAGTCAAAGGTATCAATCAATCAATCAGTCAGTCAATCATGTCATATCCATCCATCTGTCCATCCATGCTCGCACACCGTCCGTTCCACAGCTCTCCTCATAGCATACCAATTCCCTTCACATAGTTATCAATCCATCCATCCACTTGTCTGATATTCTTCCGATGCAAGATAGAAACAAAACTGACCATTCTCATCCTAGCTCCATCCGTACTCGTCCCATCCAGTCCTTAGCTTTCGTCCGCATTTCTCTCTGGAGAATAGCCGGAAGAAAGAAAACGCAAATGATTGATTACCCACAGCGAAGAAAAACAAGGCAACTGACTCCTCAATAACAAACACAAGAAGAGAGAAACTATGCCCGCTGAGAAACTCAAGAAAGACTATGTAGAAGTCGAAGGAGTTCGCACCCGCTAAGAACCAAGTTTCCTGTATGAAAAAGCTTTGTGCTTCCCCTCTCTAAAGGATGGAAGAGAAAAGGGATTTTCGACAGCTTTAGTTTTTCTCAATCTCGTCTCAAAAAACGAACAATGAACTCAATAGCTTGTTGGTGTCTTGATTTATGCCCTGTATGTCGTCGAAAGTCATCTTGAAATCCTCTATAGAATTGTGCACTTTGACTTTGACTTCTTGGTCGGCTGGGGTCGCGGGCTCAAGACGGCTCTGTGGTAAGAAGTCAACTTGTGATTCGAGGCATGTGAAAGACAAAACAGAGGAACTTGAAAGTTGCGAACGCATGAACGCTCGCTGATGCGTAGACAACTATGGCCCGGCCGAAATTACTCCGATATATATCAACGTACCGGATGGCTTCATCAAAGACACTCTTCAGATTTCTTTGCGTCAAGGCAGAGCACTCCAAGTACTTGTGGGCATGAATCTCTTTTGCGATGACCAATGCCTGGTCATACGAAACTGGCTCCATGCGCTTCTGTCTCAAGCTCTCAAGCGTAGCGGGATCCTCTCTCAAGTCGAGCTTCGTACCAACGAGGATAATGGGGACAGAGGGGGCGTGGTGATCGATCTCGGGGAACCACTGTTGTTAAGTTAGCATGTGCGCTTTGAGAAAGGAATCCATGGTCCTGCCAACCTTTGCGCGAACGTTGTCAAATGATGGTGGAGATACGATTGAGAAACAGATGAGGAAGACATCGGTTTGAGGGTAGGAGAGTGGTCGGAGTCGATCATAATCTTCTTGTCCAGCAGTATCCCAAAGTCCCAAGCTAATCGGCTTGCCATCTACCATCACACTGGCGGAGTAGTTATCGAACCTGATTATGATCAGCGCCGTTATATCCAGGGTTGTCTTCTGAACCTACACTGTGGGAATGTACTCGCCGGGGAAGGCATTGGTGGTATAGGAAATTAGCAGACATGTCTTCAAGCGTATCAGTACTTGCGGATCTGCTTCGATAATAGAATAGAAATACCTTGCCAACAGCACCATCACCAGTAACAACACACTAGAAGAGAATATCAGGTCAGCCTCGGGACGCCTAGGGTTATTTTGATCATGGCGCAAATAGGAAAGTCTAACCTTGAGAGATTGTGTTCCTGGAGCCGCCATGTTTGATATGTGAAAGGTTTGATGAATGGACGCAACGGTCGGTTGTGAATGCTATTAGGATCCTGAAGGTGTTTGTTGATTGAGAAGGGGCTGCGTCTGCATGAAGGTCAGATCTTTTGACACAACGGAAGCTGGTCCTCCCGCAACGTCTGGGCGTGTAGGTTCACCAAGTGAGGTAAGGTAATGTGAAGCAAGGCTATTATGAACGTACCTCCAAGTACAGATCAACTACGTTGTCTTTGGTTGTGCAGAGCAGTGTAGTTGGATAGTTGAAAGGCGTGGATTGTATATTCGAGATCCAAGCTACGAGGAATTTCAAAGTTTCGAAGTTTCGAGGTTTGGAGGCTATGCGAGGAATTCGATCTAGCGACGTGTATGTTCAAATTCGAAGAGCCCTGCTGGAGCTGGTGGAGCTGGGATTGCTTTGGTCTGGTTTGGTTTTGGATTGCAGATTGGCGGAGGGAGGGACGGTAAGGGGGTGAAAGGTGAACACTGAACAGGCAGAAGTGGCGGAGAGAAGCTTGGAAAGGTGAGGTCCGTCGGCAAGCAGGGTTGGCAGATTGGCAGGTTGGCACAGTGGATAATTTAGGTTGGCTGTTGTCAGGATATCGATTGTGCGAGAGGACGTGAAGTCGGGATCAAAGGTAGAGAAGAGAATGAGTGGTTGACTCCGAGTCTAGTAGTGTGCAGTGTAGTGTAGTAAGTGGTTAGTGTAGTGCAGCACAGCGCAGCGCAGAGTGGTGTGCGAGGCCAAAGCACCTGCAGCGCGGTATGGTGGTCCCGGTCCCGTCAGGTCAATCCAAGTCGAGTCCAGTCAAGTCCAGTCAAGTCCAGTCAAGTCCAGTCAACCGACCAACCAGCCTCTCGAGCACCGCGCTGCTCTCGCTGTCTGCTCTACGCTCCGGCAGCGTCTTGACTCCTAACGAGTATCAAGCGGCACTGGGGCGGACGATGCGCTGCCCGTGATGCACTGCACTTGATGCAGATCTGTAACAACCACGCCTGCCCTGTATGTATGGAACATCCGAGGAAGCTTGTGAGGGAGCGCGTGCTGGGATGGGATGGCTCGGATCAGGCGCTTATGTTTCTCGTGGACTGGCTATTGGGGATGTGCCTCGAGCAGTCGAAGTGGCTGATTCGATGCGTGTTCTTCGTGTGGTCGGTCGTTTGGCCGCCGGCGAGGATATTGTATTGGCAGCAAGTAAGAGCAAGGCAGTTTCTCTGTCGGCGTCTGCAAGGCAAGGCAATGCAATGCAAGCAGGGTAAAGTCAAGTATAGGCGCGACGGGGTCGAATGGGGCTTTGGACACAATCCGATGATGGATTGACAGCGACCACTCGTTCAAAGAGACACCGACCAGCAGCCCTGACAGGATCAGAGTAAGAGGAGAGGCACAAATCTGGTCACACAATGTGCATAGAGTGGTTTGTATGGTAAGGCAGGAGATGAACAGGAGTCAGGTTGGCGGGAAGCTCAACTTCAAGTCACCGCGAATGGACTGGGGTTATGATCAACAGAGGGCGCTAGAGGCGGAGAGAGAATTGTTGTGTTGTGCATGGCTCTATTATTGTAGCTGGGGAAGCAACGGGGGAAGTGATGACTACCTAGATGACGAGAATGAGGGCCAGAGGGCTTTCGAAAAGCACGCCGCCTGCAACGACCTCAAGCTGCCATGGAGCTGGCGCGGGAGGCTGGAGCTTCGATGGTTTGTTTCGTTCCAGCCGTTCTTTGTCCCCTCCCATGCCCTCTCTCCTTTGCCTCTTGTCCCGAACCGTAGACTCCTTCCGTGGAAGGGTGCATTAAGGAAGTATCTCGGGCATTATTCGTATGAGTTCCTAGCCACGGGAACTACCTAGGTACAGATCTACCAAACCAATGGCCATTATACCTCCGTAGGTCATTAGAGACATATTTGTTGATGACATTCTTATCAAGTCCCAACTTGGTGAATGTTAATATAAGAAAAGGCCTTTGCTGCTTCCTCTCTCTTTCTCATTCCTTTTCCACAGCTTCGAGAGCAGATAAAGTCCGAGGAAATAACACTGCAAAGCGCTTTCAGGGGCTTAGGTAAAGTTTCAGCACGATAACGATAAGGGCGATAAGGAGGCCGACCCTCACAAGAGTTCAGGTGAAGGCTTCGAGGCTCGCCAATTATCAATTGCCTATTCGATTCCATGACATCTTTCTCCTTTCTTGTGTCATACTGATGCTTCGCTCTTCATCAGTTGTTCTCGGGTAATTCAATGCATGACGAGACCTTTCTTGACAGGGTCAGAGAACCCGACAAGTCCAGGAAACAGAGCAGCCCCATTTCAGGGGTTGTCCGAGCACAGCTGGACCACAATACCTTTAGCTCCACAGTGAGGCTAAGCGAGGGCCGTTTACCTGCAATGTCAACACACAAACAGGTACGGCTCTAAAGCACCTCGTTGCTATTCGTGACCGGCCAGGAAGTAGCGTCATTTGGTTTTGTGCCTGTAAATGGATGAATCTTCATTGCGATCTTGCAATAATCAACAGAAAGCACGAATAAACGCACTTTCAGGAACACCCAGTTTGGGTGTGATATTTAGAATAAGCTGGAGCTGTAGAAGAATAGCTGGCTGTTCACAGGGTTTATTACCGATGTACGAATCTACACCATGTTCTAATCATGAATGAATTTGTTGATTCCTTGGGTTTCGTTGCAATGTCTAGCTCCGCAGGAAATGGTCCAAGATGAATGGCCTCCGGCAACATCAGGATGTCGACACTCGTGTCACCCCAATTCAATCGACTGGTATAACAATATTCACGACAAACTAAATGGTGGTTGGATGGAGCGTTGGAGTATCAGTTTTGTTAAGAAACGCATTGCCACAGTTCTTCATCTGTTCAGCTCCTGGGCCCCTCAAGACCGCTGTAGAGTGAACAAATATTTACCAGCGGAAACTTCTCTCAGGACGCGATTTTACCCGAAGATACAATTTTTTTCATTCTCGAACGCTTGTCCCATAGACTTCCGAACTCTGTTTCCGCCGTTTTCTTACTCTCTCTCTCTCTATTGCAGCTTCTTCCACGGTACCACAGGCTGGCGATCCGGACCAAAAAGACCAAGGAGATAGCCAGTACGGACAGAGAAAAGGAAGACCTACACGAAAACTCATCAGCATATGTAGGAAACTTGAGGACCAGACATGAGACACAAATGAACGGCTGGAAGCAGCCATGGCTGCAGGACCAGATGCACGATAAGTAACTGCAAGGTCTAGGAAAGTCTTACAGTTACACCAATATTCCCCCAGGTCATAGCATTCCAATTCGCAACATCCATAAGGTGCTCATGCGGCATGACATAGCATGTAATACCAACATGAGAGATATCAGCAAGCCAGAGTGCAACTACGTAATTCCGCACGACGGCTGCTTCGGTTGTGGTATACAGTACAGCAATGCCAACCATGGCAAGCAGGAGATAGATGTTACCAAGTCTTGGTACGCATTAGCCAAGTATTTAGATAGAAGTCTGGTCATTGTATCGGTATGCAGAGAAGAACAACGGTAAAGGTAGCAGAGAAGTAAGCGCTCTGATAAAGCTAATTACTTACTGGTACGCAACCATGCTGGTATTTGCGTCAAGAGGGATATTGGGCGACTTTGGAATCTGTTCAGACACAAAATATGATGCCGAGACAAACGGGGCTGCACAGCCTGCGATACTATGTAAAAGTCAACATACAAGTACGGGACATTCAAAGCGGGGGTAGGCTTTACAGTGAGATTGGCTCAAAGACGGTCATCACGAAGCGTGGGATCGGTGGGAGAATTGAAGACATGATCGAGGCTCCTTATAACTATCTCTTTGTCTTGGAATAGATTGGACTTGGAATGCTCACTTGCTGAGAGTGCTGTTTATCTTGTAAGTAAAGTGGTGCAATTGATGAAGTCCAAGTCAACAGCCTCACCGGGCCGATGATCTTCCGGGTACCCTTGCTTGCGAGCTCTGGCTCGAACCTCCTCTGGTAGTCTAACTTCGCTGTCTCCAAAATGATCAGACCGAAACACCAGAAATCATAAAGAGTACAGCACGGATTGTATTACCAATCGCAATTCTTAATACCGGAGTGGAAATGTACTCGAATATCTGGTGTTGGCATCTGACACTCCTAATGTTCTTCACTATGCATCACTCTGCCAGTGCTAGCCTCGTCGACCATGAGTTCCGATACGATTGAGCCTGCTCTCCTTGCGAGATCATTCCATGATGATACCTACGACCAGATAATCGAAGCCTCTGCCTTGGGCTCCGGACAGCTGCCACCTCTACGAGAGGTTGTTGGTCACGATGTCCCAAGTCGTCGGAACGACACTTCAAAACACAACGAACAGTCCACGGCGAGCTCGTTCTCTTCACAAAACAATGGTCTGAGTGGGCCAACAAGTAGCCAGGAAATTTTGCACTTGGGCAGTGGCACACAGCAAGTTCATGGGATTAGCAGTACAAACCGAGCTTTGGGTGACTCCTCTCCGCAGTCCTTACGGAAGATATTGGGCAAGGATACAGATACCACGGTTGGCAGGTCCTCAAAGAAGAGACCCAACGCCGAACCTGCGAAAGATGATTTTGTGCAGCTTCCACAGCCACCCAAGAAACAAAAGACTGCCACACAGATTGTGCCTCCCATCATCAGCGGTCTTCACGATATCCCCGCCGCCACGGTTCCATATAAGTTTCCCAGGATCGAGTCTGGCGCATTTCATGATAGCAACGGTAGAAACAGCTTAAACACCGGTCTTCCGCCTACAATCATACCTGCGCCTCAGAATGACTCTAATGTCGGAATTGTTGTGTCTACCATTGAATCGCAGGAACCAATTGCACAGGAGGCTAAGAGGAAGAGGAAGGTCAACGGACAAAGAAGGAAATGGGGAAAAGAGGAGACAGAATGGGTGATACAGGGTGCTCACAGGCATGGAGTCGGTAGCTGGACTGATGTTCTGAATGATCCGGAATATCCTTTCGTGAATAGGACAGCTGGTGATTTAAAAGACCGTTTCCGAACTGTTTGTCCCAGTGGAGTGCTTAGAGACCTAGTAAGTTCCGCAAGTCTCTTTTATTACAAAATATGTCAATAAGTATCCCAAGCCTGGTTGACACATGCTAATTGCCATGAAGGAACGTCGATCACTTACTCCTAGTGGTCCAGAACAAGAAAACCCGGTCAGCAAATCGCTCAAGTTTCGCGGTCATCGAAAAAACGTAGTTGACCTTAATCAACTCGGGATCGAAACTCCGTTCAAGAAATCAGACCGACGTGATAGAAGAATGTTCACCGAAGAAGAAGATCGTGAAATTCTCAGGGCACACAGTATATACGGCACTCAGTGGGCACGAATAAGTCGGGATTCGCAATTCAGCTTTCAAGAAAGAACTTCGACGGATCTCCGAGACAGGTTTCGGAACATTAGGAAAAGTAGGGAAAAAGCTAGTCCACCACGACAATCGTCGAGAAAGACTCTAGAGAAACCATGCAGTGGCGAAACATTGTCAGGTGGACACCCATCATCAAGCTTGGCCATACCGAACCAGGAACCTCTGGCTCTGCAATCTTCAACACTCAATTCAGGGGAGCCACGCATTCCGGAGGCTCTATCTAGGCACCCCTCGTCTTCGGATCTTCATTCTCAGAGTCAAGGGGTTCTGAAGCCAATGGAACCTTGGACGAAGGAGACGACCCAGGAGTTCCGCAACAGAGAAGGCATATTGAATGCAAATATCTCCTCTGTAGACACCTTGCAAGCTCAAGGAACCTCGAACAAAGCGAACGAACCGTGGATGAAAGAGTCGACCTCAAGCAGTCGCAGCAAGTACGATCTCTCAAACGGATACCACCCAGCATCAGACCTTGACCTCCGTGCCATATCCCTCAGCAAAACAGACGAGACCTGGGCAAAAGACTCTCAAGTCCCAGCAACAACCCACCAGCCCTCTGGTATCAGCATTCAAGAGATCATCTCTACCGAGCAACAAGACCCCCGAACAAGCCTCTTCACTTTCTCTGAGACTAGCAACCCCTACCCCGAGCATCCCCTCGAGACATCCGAGTCCCTTCCTTACACCCAAGGTCTTGACTGGAACTCCAACATGTCGATCCCAACCCTCATTAACGACGTAGACCCCAGCCGTCTCACCAACAGCAGTGGCTACGGTGAGATGGACGTCCAGCGTATCCTACAAAATGGCTGGGAGGGTGATATGGCCGATTCGAGTGTGCAGGGTCTGAGCGGCAAGGGGAAGCCGAGCTTCACAGACATTAATAGTATCTTGTCAACTAATGACGAGCCGACCATGGGGAGTCAGCAGCCAAGTTTCTTTACGAACTTGCTGAATGCTGATGGGCCGTTGGCATTGGATGACCAACCTGTGTGGTCGTAGCGATCTAGAGGGGAGTGTGCTATAATTACTAACAAGATTATGCTCTTTAGAATTGTACCTAGTGAGGTACCAGTCTTCCGGACGAGGAGCAACACTGGCGCCCTCTTATATGTAGTTCTAATTTTGTTCCTATTTCATTTGTTGGCGTTCCGTATTGGTGGTTGAGATTCAGATGAGCATGAGATATCCCAGGAGAAAAGCATCATAGAAGGACGGTCGGAGTATAGCTTGTCGTTGATGTCCATTTTTTTTGCTTTGGTATTTGTGCTATGCACGAGTGATATTCTGTACCTTTGTGTGTAGGGATTCTGTTGCACAGCATGGCATTCGTCACACTATGGGCGTATTTCTTTCGAAGAACTCCTTTATAAAGCGCAATGAGATTTAGTGGGGTGGACTAAGTTCTATCCTCCCTGTTTACCTAAAAACTACCCATTCAATTCTCGCTTAATAATTCAAAAGCCTTCAAGTGTCATTGAATCTGCATTGAATCAATTTCATCTCCACTTCTCTGCCATTGCATGAAACTCAACCTCACTCTATTGGCTTCACACCTTCTAGCATACATCTACAAGTGTAGGCTTCACAAGATCAACGGATCTGCCCCAGTCTCATCAGTTGAGTGTGAATCACACAAGACTGTACCATGCCAGGGTTCTTTGGAAGAAGTGGAACTGCATGTAATCATGGAGACGAGGATCACAGAAGCCAGTTAAGACAAAAATAGGTTGCTTCTATTGGTATGTCTCCGCTGCATAAACTCCAACGTTTTGTTGGTGAGATATCGCTATGGATGTAAGTACGCTCTGCCATGAGAGGCTCCTTTTATTCCCCATAATAATACATTTCCTCCCCATGCTAACAAAAACAGTCCACATCATTTCAGGCTAGTTAGCCTCTGATACCTGGTAATGCAGTCTCTGACCAGTTGGATGGCCTTTAAAGCATTTCACTGGCCACGAAAACTATTTTCATGCCTGCCTGGCGGTCAACCTCATTGGCTGGCAGGACAGCAATTCCTGGAGGTGGAACTGGGACCTCTCTGCGATCAAAAGTCCTTCTCCATCCATAACTCCGATGTTTATTAGCTTCTTTGCAGATCCGTCTGATACTTCTATCCGAACGACGACGCTTCGCCACCCTTTGACAGACAGGTCCACAGAACCCTCTCTGTCAATTAGCGAGTCAGCATAGTTTCTCACAATCAGGCAGATGGTGAGTCCCACCATTTGCATGTGTATATATGGCTGCATTTCCTCGGGGAATGGATAAGGTACAGGTGGTCGCTGGCGAAAAGCGGTAAAGTGGTCTGGGTTCCGAAAGACATGCTCACCAACGCGAAACCAGGTGAAACAAGCTTTGCAGATCCGCTCATTGTCGCGAGATATGTTGAACCCATAGACAGCATTTCGGGGAATGTCGTTGTCATCTTCTGCACATCTTCGTCTAGTACTTGGTGAGCAGACCATGGTCAGGATAGCATGGAGGTGAAATAGTTACAGTGTAAAGTTCTGCGAAGGAGGTGGTTTCACAGTCGATTGCATGAACCTCGAGACATCCGTGATATGAAATCCAGCAGGACTACGACGCAGAAACAAGCGGGTCGCACCATCGAGCCCATCGCCATTATTTGGTGCGTTGCCAGCCATTTGGGTGTTTGCAACGGATCCATTCGCTGCTGGAGGTTGAGCATTGGTACCAGTCGCAACTTGTACAGAAGATGCTCCATTCGCTGTTGGCGATGTACTGTCAACATTGTTCAACGTGGTGGCAGTGACTTGCGCAGCAGCCTGTGGAATTGGCGTGGAAGGCTGTTCAAGAGTCAGTCAATTCATTGAATCATTGTTGAGAACATCTCTTACATTCATCGTTGACGGCCCTGGTGGTGGCTGGGATTGTGCGTTGTCGGCTGGCTGAGGCGTACTACCACTATCTGAGCCTGGAAGCTCCTGCTGTGTGCTTGGCTTTCGGAACTTCTCCTTCAACTTCTGGAAGGGCGAATTTGCCATGTTGAAGCGACCTCCACAGAGTATCTCCTGTGATTATATGGGAGAGGGCTTTGGAAGTTGACTGGGTGAAGGATTGACGAGATAGCAAAGTTGTGCTGCTTGACTGTGATGGAAGCAATTAGAGTGTGCACTTTGTGACTAAAGCCGTCTAATGCTGATGGAGAGAGGAGAACGAACTGGGGAGTGCCCGAGAGTATTGCCTTCTTCTGTTTGCGATGGGCCAGTGATTGAGCGACTGTCAGTGTTATTAAGAGTAGTGATGAACGATGGATGATGATGTTGACGGTGATGAGCGATGGATTATGATGATGATGATGGTTGATGAAGAAGAATGGAAGGAGAGAGTCGGGGAAAAGAAGGTAGAACAAGGCAATGAAGCTAGGCTGTGTGGGGGGCAGGACCGATGGATGTCGATGTCGATATCGATGCTGCACTTCAGATTAAGGTACACACCTCAACTACCTAGGTAGAGACTTCGAGAGGAAGTGACAACCAGCACCCAAGTCCATGATGTAGCTACTGGACTCCCTTGTCTCGCCCACCATTAAGACAAGACATGGCAAGACCAAGACCAAGACCAAGACCAAGACCATCTTCACCTCCTGTAGAGCATCTCAACAGATCCAGTGAAATGTAGCCTTTGATCAAAATCCTAACATTAGTCTAGTCTAAGCGACTAGGTGTTGCGCCCGATACATGAGCTTCAATTAAAGCTGCTAAACTTCCAAAAACATCCTCGCACACATACCAAATGAAGCTCAAGCCCGGTCTCCAAGAGTGACACGGAAGAGACAACTAGTACAAAATGAAATACAAAAGTACCAATAGTCACCGGGTCTTCAATCCTACACCAACGACCCCAGAGAAGAGACATCTAATCCAGCATCCCTGAATGATGTCCAAGTCAACATTGACTCCAAAATTTGCCAAGACTCCCGGCTGTTCTCATGGAAGAAGAAGCTCAAAAGTGTGGTAGGGCCCGCATGAGCACATGGCTCAGACCATAAGATGAATGACCGTCATTGTGAACACAATGGGAAGAAAGAGCGTAGGTGGGAAGGGCGAGGCCCCACCTGTGTATAGCTGCGGAACAGCAGCAGTGGTAGAGACTCGTACGGCGTTGTAGGCTGGCTCAGTTGGCGTGGCGGATGTGATTGCTGGGGAGGTAACGGAGTTGAGAGGAAAAAAAGGGAACAGCGTCGAGGTAGGATTTGGGGAGTATGGGCCGGCGACACTGTCCGTGGGGTAATTTGCACTCTGCAGAGGGAATGTGGCACTTTCGGTCGGATATCCTACGGCAGATCCAGATCCAGCCAATTTCTCCCCAGAAGCGTATTCTGCTTCTCGACGGCGTAGAGCATCGCGATCAGGAATGGGTGGATTAGCGAAGAAGACTTCATTGTTCGTTCCGAGGCATTGTGCAATGGCGTGATGGAGAGCAGAGCCGAAGTGAGCAGTATCGCATTGCGAGTAAATGCATTGGAAGACGGACTAGCAGGTACTTAGCAAGGGATCATGACTTTATGCTGGACCAAGAAGTGGTAAAAAGAGCACCCACGTTCTGATAATTTGGATCACTGCAGAGACAAGCATGATCCTCCAAGCATCTGCTGACATATCTCGTATTTTCCCAGCACCGTAAAGCACATTCTGGACGGCCTATAAGTAAGCACTGGGCATTGAAACATACGATAGAGTACATACCTGGTTTCGAAGGATCGTTCTGACCTACAGTCCATTCCAACATAGCCATCAAAGGCAAGAATTTGAGTCCGCGCATCCTGGCAGACGTTCTGCAATGTGGAAAGAAGGTGATCTGGATGCCAGGCTCCGAAATGGCTGAATGACTGAACGAAGGACGCGGAGGAAGCTCAACTGGAAGTGTGTCGTGGAGAGGCGTCTGGCTGGTGGGAAGGAAAGTTCAAGAGCAACAAGCGATGAGCGAAAGACTTGCAAGTATAGTGACAGGAATTTCAATTGAGATCAAAGATGAATGGACGAGCGTTGTGAGCGAGTGTGCTAATGAGAGGTCTTGATTGAGGAAGAGAAGCAAAGTAGAGATCAGTACACCACTGGTGTTTTGAAGGCTCCTGCTTCTCACTCATCCCGGAACAGGCAGGGAAGCAGTTACGATGCAATGGTTGTAGATGTAAACACAAGTAGAAGCGCTGTCCGTTGTGGTTGTAACTCGCGACTGCCAAATAATTATCCGCCCATCCTCACCGCAGCTTTGCGGTGTCATATGCCTGGACCACATATTTTTAAGGCTGGGAGATCACTTAGTGATTAATCTCAATTGAATTCTAGTAGAATAGCAACTGAATGCCTCCGTCCTTGGCTCCATACTTATCCATGAACTCTTTCTGGAGTAACCAAACAGTCAGTGGCACTTGAGTCTCCTTCATCTCCAGTATTCCCCTCTTCTTTACGTCGATGTGTGAAGTATCGATGACTATCCTCTCTAATCGATCCACTTGCAATGCGCCTGTGACGCCAATTAGCTGAGTCTTGTCCCGCGTATGAAAGGATGTTCTACCATCATCCATCAAGTCCTTCAGCCGCGTAGGCGTTCCAACTGCAATTCCTGTTCTTGTAGACTTCAGAAACTTTATGGAGTCTTGGATCTTGATGTGCTTTGCAAATAATTTTGCAACTGTTGCATCCTTCGTCTGGAATTTTCGCATCTCCCTTCAATTTTGGTCAGAATAGACCGTACAACAACCTGGACTCCTTACCTTGCAATCTCCGCCGCTCTCAATCCTGCTCCGGCAACTATTATTGTGTGAGGTGCACCATTCTTCTTAGACGCCGACCAAAGTTTCGTGGAGTTTCCTGCGAACTTCTCCAAGAAACCGGGGAGATTATCAAGTGTTCTAGGCTTTGACCAAGAAGTCGTATCTTCAATTGCAGTCGCTAGAAGTAATTAGACCAGAGGTTCATCAATTGGTACATGCTCATACCTGGGAGGTATTTATCTTCAAGCTCTATCGTTGACAATTCGCTCTCGTGCTTCCTCGTCCGCTGTGCCACATAGTCTGCCAACAATTGACTGTCCATGTTTGAAAATGCCTTGTTGATTCCAGCCTCCAGATCCAACTCATCCTCCTCAATTGCCTTTGCCTTCTTGCTCTTTGCTTTTTTCGCAGCCTTCTTTGCACCTTGCTCTACTTCCCCGCGCTTTCGTTTCTTTGAAGAATCTGTGGTGGTAGCTGGCTCGGGTGAGGCGCTCATCCGCTCAAGGAGAGGCTCTTGTAGGTCATCGTCAATAGACATTGTGCTTGCAGGAGTTTTGGTATCGTGAAGTGATCTGAATGCTAGGTACTATCAATAATAACTGAAGCCAAATGCGTGGAACAAGAATAAATTATTGAAGCCATTCCTCTTCAAGTGATCTGCAAGCGGTGAAGCTAGCGTATAACCTTAAATCTGGACGCGATCTTGGAGAAGCCGACGCGTTATCGAAGTGCTGAATCATTGAATGCCAACATCGACTTCGAAGATACTTGTCCGAGCACTGAATCAATGATACCACGGTGATACTGAATAGTGCGCAACTTGGTTCTTCAATTCCACCATGTCGGCGAGGCGAGCAAGCCGCGAAAGACAAGCGCTGAACCCCGCACCGAACCAAAACAATGAGGGCAATGCATCTGGACAACCACGAATTACTCCTCGGAACTCTGATGTCGACGAGGTAATCGCAGCAGCAGCTGCCAAAGAAACTCCATGGAGGACTTTACATCAACTTGCGAACATCCCGAAACCTATAACTCCCATGCGCCGAGCATCAAGTGCAGGCCCTCCTTCAACACATCGGTCAGCAAGACGAACTCCCGCGGGGCAAGCTAGGACACCAGGTGCTGCGAATCGATTGAATGGGTCGGCGAGAAGGGCAGTTGCTGTAACTCCCCATGGAAGAGCTGCACAGCGAGAGTTGGATCTTCGAAGAGGCCTTACACCCGGGAAAGATAGGAGGAAAAGCGGTCTCCAACAAAGAGAAACACCGCGAGATATCTTACGGCAATTGAGTAGAGTACTGGCGCCGAAGACTCAGCCTACTGCGCCCACACCGCAAGGCCAGAATGTTGCTACTTCTAGAAGACCTGGGGCGGATGAGGATGAATTGGAGGATGGAAGAGCTCTCGTCAGACCGAGATTCTCTCTCCCGATGGGAGATTATGACGAGGAAGACGAGGATGACAGTCTGTTATTGCCACCACGCTCTGCTGGTTTGGAAGATGAGAACTTCACTGTGCAGTCAGTTGAGTTACCAAGAAGAGCAATAAGCGAGCAGCCACCAGGCCGGCTATCCAGAGGAAGTTTTGGCAGCGTACGGATGAGTGATGTGTTTGCAGATCTGAATGATGTGGGAATTAATGGAGGGGATGTTTACGATTCTAGCTATTTGGCAGAACGTACATTTGGAGACTTGGATTTCCCGGTAGGAGAAGATCCTGGATTAGAAGGGTATGTCCCACTGTCAATCCACATAGCAGCGGCTAACTGAGTATTAGTGACAACACCGAGACTTTGAGACGGATTGAACTAGGAGATGGACGCCTGTCATTGGCATCTCGTCGAGAAAGTGACATAAGACCAGCAGCGATACCAGCGGATGATACAGAGACTACTTTCGTCTTCAATGTACCGCCAAGAGAAGTCTCCGAAGAGCCAATATTCGATGACGGCCAGAACGATGGCCCAGAAGAGGAAGAGCTCGAAGAGGATCATGAGAGCGAAGTTGACTTAGAACAGATGAGCGGGCTGGATGCCGAGGATCAAGAAGAGAGCATGCTGGAGGTGCAAGGAGATATCAGCATGGTCGACACTACGATGCAAGACGCAGAAAGTTCCGGTATTGCGCAGGCCAAAGTGGTAAAGAAGAAAAAGGTCAAGTTATCGAAGCATGGCATACCATACCCTTCACTTCCAGCGGGAGTAGTGAAGAAGCTAGCAACAACATTTGCCCGGACTTCTGGAAACAGCAAGGCGAAGATCAATAAGGAGACTTTAGATGCTATTATGCAAGCCTCGGATTGGTTCTTTGAACAGGTCAGTGATGACTTGGGGGCATATGCAAAGCATGCGGGTAGGAAAACCATCGACGAGAGTGACATTCTCGCAATCATGGCTCGGTAAGTGTTTCTGAAACACCAGTTCTGATCAAGATCTAACATACAAGTAAAGACAACGCCAAACAAATGCAACCACAACTCCATTTTCACTTGCCCAGAAAAATCTCCCTAGAGAGCTTTTACAAGAATTGCGAATGGTGCCACCTTCGAAACTGAAGAAGGGGCGACAACTAGATAAGGTAGACGAGGAAGAGGAATGAGTGGATATGACGATTTCATGATTTACGACCACTCCTTGTTTTGGCGTACACGGCGGGCGATATCCTGAGGAGGCTTCTTCACAACCATCCACAACATGACGGATGTTGCAGCAGCGAGGGCATACCTGGTAATGGTTAGATGTATGGTTTGGCGTTTGGGAAGGGAGCTTACCATGTAAATATATACTGTGTATGATTATTCCTGAGATTGACCTCAGCCGGTCTGCCAATTGGAATGCCACGGGCTTCTCTGTCCCATGACTTCAGTAGATCAGATTCTAGCAAGCGTTAGCTTCAGTCCATCTTCATTTCGATTTGATCATAAAATATACCCATAGTCTCCTCAACCCAAACGGCCTGACTCCCTGTCAAGCCCGCCATCTGCACCACATCCGGGAAATAAAACTCCCCCTTCTCGGGCTTATTGTCCGGCGTGAAAAAGTTCTTCTTCCACGGCTCCCTCAGCAGTCCCTCCACCGTAACAACCCCCTTCGGTAACCCGTCTGGCCTCTTCTCCTGCGCCTTCAACTTTCTGGGTATCCAGCCCCGATTGACCAGCACTGTCGTCCCGTCCCCTCTCCTCTCCAGCGGCGTGACAACAAGATATCCATCTGTACCGTCGTGCATACGCGGCCCGATCAGCATTTCTTGATCATGTCTGAAAATACCAGTGGCGTATATGCGCCTGTAGTCGAAGTCGTGGATGGCATTCGGGTCGATTTGCGGCGGGAGGGGAAGAGGGTCGCGGACGAGGCGGTCCTCGAACTTGGCGATCAGTTTAGATTTCCAGTCCAGTCTTTGGACTTGCCATGTTCCCATTGCGAAGGCAGTGATGGGTATTAGAGCTGTCAAAAGTTGCCATATTAGCTCAGGTCTAGGATTGGATTGCTTGGAATTGAGGGGAGCCGGGGACGCGAACCGAGTATTATAAGGCCCGGGCCATGTCTCTTGCCTGAGCGTACGAGATTGGGAGGATTGTCTACTATGGACATGAAATCAGGACTATCTGCTGGTTGAGCTTTCGCTCGCGGGGTGCTTCGCGAGATGTGCCGGCATGCTGGACAGCTCTGAATGATCGATGGCCGTAAATTCCTTGAAACACTAGAAGAATAGGACTTCAAGCTCCGGCTCTGCCGTAAAAAGGTGCTTGAAGCATTCATCGTTCCTGTTATTGCTGTAAAGTTGAGCAACAAAGTATCTCAACCTCAATGGAGCTCCTGCATGACTTTCCTCGCTCTTGGCAGCGGCCAATTCGCGTGGAGCAAACACGGCAAACAGCCGTCCTTGCCTTGCCAAGGAATCCCGCCCCGAGGCAGCTTACCTACTCGTACAGTGCCTCGAGTGCGAAGGGTACGCCTCGCTTCGCTACCTACAAAGTCGGCCGAATTCCTTACAGTTTGTCAACCTCCTCGCATTCTCAACACAACACGAGACTTCTTGAAGATTTCGAAGCACAAACATACTCGAGATGTTTTACGAAAGAGATCTACAGAGTGGCATTGGCCTGGCGATGCAAGAGGCTAAGCTAGTGGGATGTTTTGTCACAGGTGAGGATGCACAACCCCACCACGCTTGCTCATTCCCAGGAGTTCGGTACTGAGTGGCATATGACTTCAGATGATGGCGAAGAGTCTCAACTTTGGGAGAATGAGTTTCTGCAGGATGCTTCTGTAAGTTTCCTTATCGTGCGGGTTTATCTCATGTGAGAATCGCTTTCTGATGTCTGGATAGTTGAAAGACTTGTTGGCGGAGCAAACTGTCCTCTTGCGCTTAGTGGCTGGCTCAGAAGAGGCTGGATTTCTGGCTGCTATCTATCCTCTGCCTAAGACGCCAACATTCGTTCTCATCAAGTAAGTTTGGTACGATTTCTTCTTTTGAATTCTCTTGCGTGTTCGTCTGGGGATTAGTTCTTGTCTTTCATATTCTATTTACTGTTTGGCTACTTTGTTTGTCCTTAAGCGTGCGAATGTTATCTTCAACTGCTCAGAAGTACACTTACATCATGGGCATAAAATTGGAGACAGCTGGAAAAACTTATAGAAAATAAAAATGTCCTGGCATTTTTCGTCATCAGCGCTCGGTTTTATAGCTTTGTCTCTCAGACTATGTTAGTCAAGTAAGCATATATTGAACATGTCGATCTAGGAATGGAGAACTCAAGGAATACATCGCATCAGGCGTCAGTAAAGAAGACTTTATCAAGCGCCTGATCGTCGTCCTAGAATCACGCGGCCCTGCTCCAGCATCATCCAACATATCCACCCCATCAACCACCTCCCAGAACACCCCCGCATCCACGGAGTCGCAAACCCCAGCAGCTGGCCCGTCCTCATCATCTCCGACCAACCCTACCACTCAAACCTCCAGGATCGAACAACAAACAGCCAACATAGCCGCCACTCTAGCCGAACGCTCCCGCCGTCTTGAAGCACAGAAGCGCTCTCTTGAGGCTGCTGAGAAAGCCAAGAAGGCCGCTGATGCCAAAGCTAAGAAGGAAGCTGCCGAAGCAGGAAATCCAAAGGCGGCCAGCGAGCAAAAATACGCCAAGCTGCAGGCACAGCGTCAAAAGGAAGCTCGTGAAGAGAAGGCCCGCATCTTGAAGCGTGTCGAGGACGACAAGGCTGAGAGACGGGAAAAAGAAGCTCAGCGTAAAAGAGAAGCTCTCGCTAAGCTAGAGGGAGAAAGGGAGGCCGATAAAGTAGTTGCAGAGAGTAGTGCATCGGCCTTGCCTGCGAGAGGAGGCGCAAACGCCAAAGAGTGCGCAGTACAGGTTAGATTGTTTGATGGCTCAACCATTCGCTCGAGATTTCCGTCAACGGGAAGTTTGTTGAAGGACGTTCGGCCTTGGGTTGATGAGAAGCAAGAAGGTGGTACACCTTACAACTTCAAGCAAGTCCTCAGCCCTCTGCCTAACAAGAATATCGAGATGTCGGAGGAGGAGCACACTTTTACTGCTCTCGGACTCACGCCCAGCGCGACGTTAATCCTTGTTCCGGTTGCGGACTACACGTCTGCTTATGAGGGTGGTGGTGGCATTGTCTCTCGTGCTGCGTCTGGCGGTTTCGCATTGATCTCCTCAAGTGTCGGTTTGGTCACTGGTGCTCTTGGAAGCTTGCTTGGAGGAAGTACTGCTCCAGCTCCAGCTCCCTCGCAAGCAACTTCATCTGGCCCTGCTCCCCCATCGACAGCTATCAATGTTCGGACGCTGAGAGATCAGAGACAAGAGTCGAAGAAGGAAGACCAGCAATTCTACAATGGTAACGCGGTATGCTCATCCTTCCTCCCCGACCCTCTTGTACTAGTCATCACAATGCTAACGCTATGTAGACGAACTTTCAACCCCGAAGGGATGATGACGGCAACAAGGAAGATTGAAACTGAGGCAGTGAGAGATATACGATGTATTATTAGCACGGGATCAGTCGGCTTGCTGCATTGAGCTGGCGTTTTGAGGATAGTAGGGCATCTCAGGCAGGCGTCCTGAATAGATCTTCAGCTGAGTAGGCAGCTTCCAATACTGGTCATGATAATGCTTTCAACTACAGTATTATTGGTAGCGGTATACAAACGAAATGAGATTTCAATGATTTCTCCGCTTCCACACTCGTTCACCGTACACATACCTCCCTTATCCTGACTGGATTGCGATTATCATCTGCTAACCAACGAAGTCTCCCGTCAGACATGACTGAGCAAAAAGTTGCTCGTCTCTATGCCAAGTGGTTAACGAGTGTTTCGTCTAGTCGTGTCTAAACTATTCCGGAGAGTTGATGGAGATTTGTACATCGCAACTTTGCACCTGGCACCTGCGCTTAGGCTCGGAACAATCACTGGGGATGTATTCCTGACATTAACGAAGTTCACACGATTTGGCTGGGTTTTCCAGGAGAGTCTTTCACCAAGCCAGCAGGGCGATTGCTTGACCTTGGCATTGGAAAGCAGGCTGCTCAATCATGGTTTCACATGGCATACGCACTGGCGATCGGCAAACATCTTGAAAGTGACGTTGAACACAGGAATTCTACATGTGGAGGTCAATGTAATCGCTGGTTTTCCCAGAAGAAGTCAGGTCTGGAAAATCTCACACTGCATCATGCAAGAATCAATAATTAAATGGTACTCGCAGAACTAAGCTAACAATAACTGGGCACAAAGCACAAACAACCGAGTGGCTCGCTTGGACGGAACGGCTCGAATTGCCGTTATCAACAACATCACCAGTCGTGAGTGAATTCATCTAACTCCAATGCCGTTAGGATGTTTACCGACTTACTCTGCAGACTTCTCTGAGTGGATGGCAGGCGAGACTTTTGAATAGCTGTCTGAAGCGCAATCCGTAGCATAAAATATTGAACAATAGCGTGAAGATATGTTGGGTTGTAGCTGATGTATTGTAAACCACATTTCCTTTCAATGTTACAACGAAATCGATGGGGTGTCGGAGGAAGTTTGGAGTAGGCGTTGCCGGGCCGGGCCTAGGGTCCGTTTGCGGGGAAATGCACGTACAATACTAGCGCACCAATCACCAAGAAGCTATTCAGGTGATATCGTCTATGCTTCTTCCTTCCATTGACAACTAACCCTTGTACCCCCTCTTTCTGTAATATCCGAGATCAAGTATCACAATCAGCTACAAATTCAGGGCCGAATACTATGGATGACTGGAAATACTTCCCGAGAATGTCAGGAACTGACAGCAAGCTGCCAGGCTCGGAAGTGCTGTCAAGTGAGCATTGAGATGTTTCGAAGATTCTAGCAGACCCCCCTGATACTTGTACAGAGATTGAGCATTGACTTGATCAAGATGTGTATTGAACAATAACCCACAATTACGAAAACTTTGCCAGTAACAGTTTGGCTGGAGAGCTCGGTAGGAGATTCTCCGTGACCTCGGACCGATCCTCTTGATATCGCTCTCAACCCTGCAAACTAGCATTAAGCCTGCATTCTGTGCGTCATTTTTCGATTTTGAAAGCAAAATACCCCGCAGGCGATGATAATCCAAGCTCTACACGGCCTCATTTCTGGTAACCTAGCTGGAAGAATGCAAAGTTCTGCAGCAGGATCAGAGGAAACGGAAAAATTAATGGCTGCCTTCATTTTCTTTTACCTTTATGTAGCAAGTGCTCTGATTCTCTGATCTGAAAGGAGATAGTGAGATTTTGAATTAACATGGTCATTATGAAGTTGTCTAATTTTGTTGTTAGTCTCGCATGCGTCGCTCAGCTAGTGACAGCCCAGGTCCAGTGGCCGGTACACAACAATTCTTTGAATACAGTTGTCGAATGGGACCATTACAGTTATATAATCAATGGGCAACGTCTGTTTATTTGGTCTGGAGAAGTGAGTCTTACCTTTTCGCGTAGTTTTGTTATTGATGCTGACGGAATTCTCGCATGTCAGATACACTATTGGAGAATTCCAGTGCCAGAGCTGTGGATCGACATTTTACAAAAAGCGAAAGCTTCAGGGTACGTCTTCCAATCGTGCGTTATGAAGATGCTAATGGTAGCAGTTTCAATGCCGTGAGCTTCTACGGTCATTGGGGTGAGAGAAACAGCATGTCCCTGTCCTAGTCCTGACCCCTGACAGTTTACAGGTTATCACAGCGCTGCAGATGGGTCTCTTGACTTCGAGACAGGCGCACACAATTTCGAAAAGCTCCTTGAAATTACTAAAGAAATCGGTCTCTATGTGCTGTTTCGCCCTGGACCATATGTCAACGCTGAGTCCAATGCTGGTGGCTTCCCTGGCTGGTTAACGACAGGGGCTTATGGCACACTCCGAAATAATGACTCCAGATACACCGCTGCATGGACACCTTACTTCAAGAGATATTCTGAGATAGTTGCAAAGCATCAGATAACGAGAGGTGGTAGTGTGTTCATCTATCAGCTCGAAAATGAGTACGGCAATCAGTGGACAAACGTTGCCGCCAAAACGCCAAATTACCCTGGTATTGCGTACATGGAACTTCTCCAGAAAACTGCGAGGGACGCTGGAATCGATGTTCCACTAATCCACAACAATCCAAATATGAACACTAAATCCTGGTCCAAAGACTATGGAGCCGGTTTTGGTGGAAATGTTGACAATTATGCACTGGACCATTACCCATCGTGCTGGAGTTGCGATTTGACCGAGTGCACGGGGACTAATGGAAATGTTCCGGAATTTACAGTTTACAACTACTATAACAACTTCCAGCAAGTAGCACCTACTCAACCAAGTTTCCTGGCCGAATTTCAGGGCGGAAGTTACAACCCCTGGAGTGGCCCAGCAGGAGGCTGCGTGAATAACACTGGACCGGAATGGGTCAACGTGTATTACAGACACAATATAGCTCAGAAGGTATCAGCTATGAATGTTTACATGCTGTTTGGAGGAACAAATTGGTAAGCATCACAATTCCCAAAACTCCACCAGATCTCGCTAATGTTTAGTACAGGGGTAAGGATCATGCCGTACAATTGATGACTGCGAAACTAATAGGTCTCAGGAGCTTTACCATTCCCTATGGTCGGTACAAGTTATGATTACAGTGCTCCAATCAGTCAGCTGTCTAGTCCGACTCGAGTACCAATAATCGCTAACATCCACTAGCCGAGAGCAGAACGATCGGACCTAAGTATCACGAAACGAAGCTATTCGCGCAATTCCTGCGAGTTGCGCGGGATTTGACCAAGGTTGATCTCATCTCGAATGGAACATTCTTCGCTTCGGACCTGACCATCTATACCTCGGAACTCCGTAATCCAGATACAAATGCCGGATTTTACGTCACAATCCACACTTCATCGCCTTCAAAGGCCCTGACCCCATTTAAGTTGAACGTATCAACCTCCGAGGGCAACTTCACCATTCCTCAGTATGCTAGTAATATCGTATTGAATGGCAGAGAATCCAAAATCATTGTCACGGACTTTGCACTTGGTAAACAAAAGTTGATTTATTCCACAGCCGAGGTCTTAACGGTTTCGACTCAAGACAAATCATCACTTCTATTCCTCTGGCTCCCTGCATCAGAATCAGGAGAATTTCTCCTCTCTGGTGTGAAATCAGCTTCGATTCTCAAGAAAGGAGGATGTGCGAACTTCCGAACTCACAAGAGAAGCAATGGACTTGCCGTCTCATACAAACAGGTCCAAGGCACATGCGTTGTCAAGTTCGATAATGGTCAGAAAGTTGTCTTGATCGACAGATCTAGTGCTTATAATACCTGGTTTCCGTCAACATCCAAGGATCCTTACACGCCGGAAAACTCAACTATCATTGTGCAAGGACCATACCTCGTCAGATCAGCGTCCATATCACAGAAAACCCTCGAACTGGATGGGGATTGGGAAGACAGCAATGCCATCGAGATTTATGCTCCTTCAACGATCTCGAAGGTCACGTTCAATGGCAAGAACATCAAAGTATCCAGAACGAATTATGGGACTCTGGTCGGCAAGCTTGGTGCAGCGACTCACACCGTGGAATCTATCAAGGCAGGACTTCCAGCTTTGAAGAATTGGAAAGTTGCAGATGGCTTCCCTGAACGTGTTGCTGAATACGACGACTCGAAGTGGACTGTTGCCAATCATACCGGTACCCAAAATCCCACTAAACCAGCTACATACCCTGTATTGTGGGCCGATGATTATGGTATGTTATTCCTCTCTTCCAAAATTTACTCTGCTCAAAACTAACTCAGTGTGAAGGATACCATGCCGGCCACTTTATCTACCGTGGCCGATTCTCGACTCTGAATGCAACCACTACAGGAGTCAACCTGACACTAATTGGTGGAGTTTACAGCGGATGGTCAGCTTTCCTCAACGGTGACTTCATCGGATCTTGGATAGGATCAAAGTCTGTCACTCGATCCTCTCTCGTACTTTCATTTGCAAATGCCACTTTGAAGTCCGAAAATGTTCTCACTGTGGTGCTGGACAACATGGGCCACGATCAAACGTCCGGAGCAACAAATCCTCGTGGCATATATAACGCTACCCTCATCGGAGGTGGAAAATTTACCCAGTGGAAACTCGCTGGTACAGCTGGAGGACAGAAGAACCTCGATCCTATCCGAGGCCCGTACAACGAGGGTGGACTCCATGGAGAACGCTTGGGATGGCATCTTCCAGGGTTTCCCGATAATTCGTGGAAGTCAAGTGCTCCAGATGTTGGCTTGTCAGAAGCGGGCATGAAATGGTACAGAACCACTGTTCCTCTCAACATCCCAGCGGGACTCGACGTAAGCTTGGGCTTCCGACTTTCCAGTCCCTCGGGATCAGCCTTGAGAGCTATGATTTATGTCAACGGGTATCAATTCGGAAAGTATAGTCCACATATAGGAAATCAGGTCGTCTTTCCTGTCTTTCCAGGCATTTTAAATTACAATGGAAAGAACACGATTGCTGTTAGCGTGTGGGCAATGGATGCGAAGGGGGCAGCGATCGGAATTGAGTGGGATGTAATCGGAGTTGTGGAAAGCGGCTTTAAGCTGCAAGACACTGCATATCTCAGGCCTGTGTGGAAGGACAGAAGTGCGTTCTACTGAATGAGTCGAATAAACAGAGTCTGATGTACAGCCTGAAAGATAATTTGATTCGCTAGCCTTCTCATGCGCATATCCACGAGTCACTGTCCCTTCTGGAAGCATATGTTTCTGCATCAAAAACATGCTTGTAAGGATGATAAGAGAGATTGAAAAGCAAATGAAAGTAGACATTGACTCATTTGAGAGCACTAAATTTATGGATTACCACTAAGGAGTGACTTGAGAATGCACCGATTCCCATACCAATTCTAAAGCAGATCCCGGCTAACGCTATGCAAACTTCTTGAAGGAGTGATGAAGACGCCCTTGATGCTCCAACCAATTCAAATGTTCCAAGTCCCAACCTGCAGACAGACGACGAGAAGTACCAGTATCAAGGAAATAAAAGCAATTTAAGCGCCAGAAAAAGGAAAACCCGATGCTCCCAACACCATCATAAAACAGTACTCCATCCGAACAAAGAAAGACCCTCTTAACAGCTTCCCTGAATCGGGACCTCTTGGCAACTGTCTGGCCCAGGGAATGGACTAGTACAAAGAGTGTTGCATTCGACACCAGGGGCGACGAAGACCCGGTACTCTTGTCCTGGGAATGCAAGTCTGAACTGCTTCGCGTCGGTTGCCTCCAAACCATCTGCCCTGTATCCAGCTCTGCATGCGCAGTAGTCTGATCCGCTAGGCGTTCCGATACAGCTGGTAGTGATGTGGCACTTGTTGAAGAACGGGTTGGGGTTGCAGACTTGAGGGCAGGTGGAGGTGCACTTCTTCTTGCACGACTTGTCGCAATCAGACCAAGCTTGTCCATTATCCTTGCCATCATCACACTCCTCTCCATCATCAATGATACCGTCTATTCATAAGTTAGCTATATGACCAGAGACATCCAAGTATCTGATAACAGCGAATCATGCGCCTGAGAAGATCACTTACCACCACAATAAGAAGGCTCATCGTTACAGAAGGTACAGTCAGACGTGCAATTGCTACCAGCTTGTCCGTTGAGATAGCCAAGATCGCTAAGGAATGTCAGTATAAATCTCTGAGTTGTCTCATCAATTGCGGCTAGGAAGAAGCTTGACTTACCAGACTTCCGGGAAAGTTACGATACCATCTCCACATGTTGGTGGTGTAGGATTTCCACAAGGTTCAACCCACTTGCAGTCAACTGTACACTTAGACCATTCGGATCCGTTCAAATCGGCGTCATCACATTCTTCTGGGTATTGCGTAATTCCATCTCCGCACTTTGGTGCTGCCCATTGGCATTCAGTGGTACAGGAGTCGCCGTCTTTGCCGTTGTCTTTTCCGTGATCGCAACTCTCTCCGGGTTCGACAATACCGTTGCCACAAGAGTAGTCACAGACGATTGTAGTACAGTTCCAGGAGCAGGCGTTTCCAGGGGTGCCATTGTTTTGCCATCCATTGTCGCAGGTCTCGCCATCATCGATTATCCCGTCTCCACAGTAACCACAGAGCTTGCAGTCCTTTGAGCAGCCCGAGTTATATTCGCCATTGGCACCTGCTGCATCACACTAGATTGCCGTTAGTACACTGTGTGGCAATAAGATCAGGTCAAGGATCTTACCTCTTCTCCCTCCTCGATATGACCATTGCCACAAACCGGAAGGATTTTGCAGTCTTTGCTGCAGCCACTGTTCTCCTGTCCGTTCAATGGTCCAAGATCGCAAGTCTCGCCGAGGAAAGTATCCAGGTTACCGTCTCCGCAAACTCCGCAAGTACGGCAGTTAGCATCACAGCCAGAGCCAGGCTTCCCGTTCTCAGCACCTTTGTCACAGGTCTCTCCATCTTCTACCTTGCCATTTCCGCATACTGGGAGTGGTTGGCAAGTCGTTGAGCAACCAGAGTTCCATGCCCCGTTGAGTGGACCCAAATCACAACCTTCTCCAGCGTCGATCTTGCCATCTCCGCAATAAGAAGTAGGGCAGGTCTTGCAGTCCTTAGTGCATCCAGAGCCCGGAGCACCGTTCTTATCTCCTAAGTCACACTGGATCGTATTAGTATCGTGAGGACAGCAAGAAGCCCGGGTAGCAGGCATCGGCTCGGATTGACGTGACAGAAAAAGGGACTTACCTGTTCGCCATGATCGAGCTTTCCATCTCCGCAGACTGGTACAGGGCATTTCTTACAATCTTTCGTGCATCCAGAACCTTCGACACCGTTCTTATCACCAAGGTCGCACTGCATGTATAGTTAGACACCATAAATCCTGTGGATGGGCTTAAGCAAGACGAACCTCTTCACCAGCATCGACGTGACCATCTCCACAAACTAGTACTGGACAGGTCTTGCAATCCTTAGTACATCCAGAACCTTCAACACCATTTTTGGCACCAAAATCGCACTGTAGATTATATCAGCAAAGTGCCAGGAGAAGTGGATTCGGTAAGTATCGTATTGGAAAGAACCGATCCACATGATATGAAGTACTAACCTCTTCTCCAGCATCCAAATGCCCGTCACCACAGACCGGAACAGCACATTTCTTGCATAAAGCATCGCAACCAGATCCTGGAACGCCGTTCTTGTCACCAAGGTCGCACTGCGTTATTGTTAGCTTCCAGTTCAAGACGACCACTCTTGGGTTCAAGAGCACGGGGTTCAAACCTCTTCACCAGCGTCCAAATGCCCGTCGCCACAGACCGGAACAGCACATTTCTTGCATGAGGCGTCACAACCGGAGCCTAAAACCCCATTCTTGTCTCCAAGATCGCACTGTGATATAATCAGTATCGAGACCACAATCCAGGACTCTCACTTCGTGGCATACCTCCTCCCCCGCGTCAAGATGCCCGTCTCCACAGACTGGAACAGGGCACTTTTTGCAGGATTTGTCACAGCCAGAACCCTCGATCCCGTTCTTGTCGCCCAGATCACACTGATAAGATGTAAGTATTACGAGCTAACTGAAAGCTTTACACCAGACAACTTACCTCTTCACCAGCGTCGAGGTGACCATCGCCACACACTGGGACAGGGCACTTCTTGCATGATTTATCGCAGCCAGAGCCCTCGAGCCCATTCTTCTCGCCAAGATCGCACTGTATCACTTAGTACGGATGAATATATCAAACGAGACAAGATCAGACTCACCTCTTCGCCAGCATCAACGTGACCATCGCCGCACACTGGCACAGGACACTTCTTGCATGATTCATCGCAGCCAGAGCCTTCGAGACCATTCTTGTCGCCGAGATCGCACTGTGCTTAATAAGTAATTGTGAGTGTGCGGAAAGAAAGACAAAGACTCACTTCCTCGCCAGCATCAACATGACCGTCTCCACAAATAGGGACTGCGCACTTCTTGCATGTAGCATCGCAACCAGAGCCTGGGACGCCATTTTTATCGCCCAAATCACACTGCAAAAGCAATTAGTATGTGCCACCAACAAGAAAGTAGAAGTACACACTTCTTCACCAGCGTCGACATGACCATCACCGCACACAGGAACAGCGCATTTTTTACAGGATTTGTCGCATCCAGAGCCGAGAACGCCATTCTGGTCACCTAAGTCGCACTAAAGAAGTCGTCAGGATTGAAATCTTCAAGGAACTCAAAGAGCACGAACTTCTTCACCGGTATCGAGCTTGCCATCCCCACACACTGGAACAGGGCACTTGCGGCAGTCAGCAGTACAGCCAGAGCCTTCCTTTCCGTTAAGCTCTGGTCCGAGATCGCACTCTTCTTCCGCCTGAACGATCTTATCGCCACATACACCACCGCAGTTGTCTCCGCAGTGTTCTTCTTTGTAGCCGGTTGGAGCTGGTGGAGCTGGAGGACCCCAGCTACCATGCCCATCACGGGCAATGTTCTTGCCTCCCCGAACATTGGGAAGAGCTGATGAGGTTGTTGCTCCCAAGAGGAAAGCAAGAGTAAGAAGACCGACACGCATGGTGACGGTTTGGATGATCAAAGAAAGAGGACAGAAGTATGGGATTAGAAGTTAAGCTCGAGGATAAGGAGATAGTGGTGAGGGTGGAGAGGATGAGCATGTCTCTTAGAGAAAGGCATGACAACATACTTATAGCTTCATCACTTTGTACATCTCGTATATCAAAGCTAGATCAATGTGCCCCCGCCACATCAGCCGTCTCTATCCCGAGGCCAAACTCATTCCTAAATTGGCAAGAGACAGCCATCGTGAGATCCTGATCATGTTTGTGAAGGATTATCGACAACAAACACGGCTATGCCCCAAGTCACGACCAATTGCGTGCTCTGCTTCTCGGAAGAGCTTCCGACTTAGTCCCTGGAGAGGACGAACAATTGACAAGGAGTTGAGTTGGTTGCTGCGCTGCGGCTGTAGCCTTGCAGGAATCTGCGAGCATCGTTCCACCCGCAGCGACCCAGAACACTATTACCTAGGTAGCTCGAAGATAAACGGCTGAACAAATCGCAAGAGACGGAAAGCTTCGCCCGGAAATGGCGTCCCTCTGCCTCACGGCCGTGTTTTTGGATGTCATGTAAGCTTAGCGGTGGCTGCAACGACCTCCTCAGCCTTGCAGATAAATGACAGTGCCAAGAGGTGTTGGCAGATGTGAGATTATGGCTGCATCTGGGACAGGTCCTTGTAACACGAGTGAGGATATTCAGCACTGAAAACAATCTATCTCCTAGTCAAAACGTAATGGTAAATACTGGAGCTGCACCACGAGGGCTACCCCGCAGTGAACTCTTCGTATCCAACATAATAATGAATATCAGTATCGTATCGAGCATCATGCCACGTGAAGGGGACACTGCTTCGACAAATAAACATCAGAACTCACCCACCTTAAAAAAAATTAAGCATACATCCGATGCAGCCTTGAAGTTCTCCTAAAAATAGTCGGACCAAGCTTCTGAGACGATCCCGCCAGCCCCAAAGAGGCGTTTTCAGCTGGGCAGAAACGCGAACATTGAACTTGCTACTGTAGGACTGTGAGTGGTCGTCAAGCGCCTCCAACGCCAACCCCAGATTTTACTTGGTCATAGGTGCCGTGTCGGGGCGACGAAGGCGAGGAAGGATGTTCAGATTTGAGTTGAGGTGGCTGAGTCGGGGGCATGGGCGTGGGCATGGGGCCTTTGGCGACTTCAAGCGACCCAACCAATGCTTACTGTATGGGGAGCATGCGCGCTGGCGGAGATGACTTTTTGGGCGTTGCGGCGGCGGGAAATTCCAACATATGGATTAAGCCCGCTGCCAAAGAACAGCATATCGTGAGTACCGCGTTACTGACGACAGGATGAGTGGTGGCTTGCATCTTGTGTTTATTTTAGGGTTCAGGATGGGACATTGGGAGGGCAGACTCTGGGGTAAGTAAGACGGTGGCTGAAGGAGCGAGGCTCTGGGGGAAGAATCAAGTGATTGAGCCTTGAATGCGCTCCATACAGCAGGTAGAGCAGTTCCTCCAACATATCGCTAGATAGAAAGGATTGCTATGTCCAAAAAGCGAGGAAGGAGCTCTCGCCTCCGAACTGCATGCCGCCATTGGTAGAGACGAAGATAATTTGACGAGAGTGAGAGTGCGGGACAGGAAGTCCAACATGACATTCTATGCGAGATAATTTCTATCCACGCCTCATGATCTGTTCTTGAATCCTGGATGAAGCGACATGTACTTCTCGTATCCTGAACTCAAGAGCTCTGCCGCGGACCGACATGGGGACAGATGACTAGCTGGCAAGTGCCAGGGAACGAAGTAATCTGAGCTGGAAGTCAATGATACCAACTCTTTTCCAAACGGCAATTAGACAGGTATCGCTCTACCTGTATACAGATGACTGACCTGAAATAGCTTCTTTGACTTTGACTTTGACTTCGTATGCAAGCTCCGACTAATACGCGCAGTTGTACTGCCCATGCCCCATGGTTCCAACGGGAATTTCATCCTTAGAATTGTAGCTTCTGTGATGTTTACGGGTTCCTCTCAGACATGCCATACTTTATGACTGAATATGCGCCAGGATGGAAAAACAATTTCGTGTGTCTTGGGGCCCCTTCACCAATTTGATACCTCGCAGCTTCGGGATTGGGGCAAGAACAGCAAGAACTGAACGCAGCAAAACGCATTGCAAGAATAATACAGAAGCAAGCCAGTCGTCCAGAACATTGCATAAAACATTGCACAAAAGAGACTAGAAAATCGATCCTGCACTTGCCAACAATTACTCACGTAAACGAAGAAATGCCGAGGGCAGAGTTTGGCGGCGATGATAGTGCGGTCGTCCCTTACATCAACTTTGGCCCAACTCTCACGCAACCTGATTCGTTTTCATTTGCCTTCTCCATCTACCCTGATTCCAGCAGCTCCGTCCCTATTTGCTCTCCATACCCCGCCTTCTCTGCCTCCAAACTCCTCTTTTTTCCACACCTCAACGCTTTCTTTACACTCCTCTAATGCTTCCTCGCCGGCTCTCCAAGCAGCTTGACGATGAGGAGATGAGACTGCAATCAGAATGCTTTCTTCTCCGATAGGTACAACACCTAACCGGTGTATCATTGCGATTGATATTAAAGAATGCTTCTCTTTGACTTTGTGGCATATTTTGAGCATTGTCTGAAGAGCACGTGGCTCGTAAGAGGTATACTGAAGCTCTTTTACAGGTTTCCCACCAAAATTATCACGGGTGGTACCTACGTAGTAGAATTAATACAGATGCTTTGAGGAGGAAGTAACATACCAGCAAAGAGGACAATAGCCCCGGCCTTGGGACTCCGCACTCGGTCCATCATAGACTTTGCATCCAGGGAATCATCTGTCAGAGCCACATAGCACCCGTTTTCTTCCAGCTCATTAACCATATTCAAGGCTGGTATTCAAAATGTACTGTCCGGACAAGATGGTGTTTGCGGAACGGAGAAACAAAGGTGCCACCTTACAGAGTGGCCGATGAGTCAGCCGGCTTTTAAGCTAATCAGTCAGCTACAGTACCAGAAAAAACAACAAGCAAGTCAACTTAAAGATATAGCCAACTAAATGAGTTTGGGTCAGCTTAAGGTATAAGCTGTCCTTTGATTGTTTTAAACGATTTTGAAGTCGAGTTCTTAATAGTCATAATTTAATACTTCGCTTACCAAAAATAGAGGTCTGCAAACAGAAAATCTACCTACCTTTAATTTACTAAAACCAAGCGGTCTAACGTAGTAAGATAATCAAACCGTCACTGTTACCTAGAGGCTTTATTCTTTTACTTATAAAAAGTATCTTATTTCCATAACCTGGGCCTTCTTCACCACAGGCCCAGCAGTCTTCACGGACACCAGGTGCACAGAGTTTTCTCCCGGAAAGTACCTTCTGTCGTCTTCATTCTCGACTTCCTCAAAAAAAGCATAGCTGATACTGCCCTTGTGGAGTACGGTGCCGTCCGAGATTTTGGTATAATATGTGGGAAGTGTCTCGGGGGGATGAAAACCATCAACATCCTCCAACATCCTCCGGGCCATTGCTTCTCAATACTTACCATCATTTCTCAAACTAAGCTAGTAGTGTGAAAAAACCCAACTCGCCTCACAGGCGGAGTGAGGTAGCTGGCACTGCCTTTCTGGTGAAAAAATCACGATTGGGCGAGTAGGTCATCCCCCCCGTACCGACAGATGTTAATCCCTTTCAGAACCATTCTTAGCCGCTGTAGCTCGACAAATTGCCTTGTGCTCTTTGAAATGGGCGACCTGGCAAGCCCGCCCGCAGTATGAAACCTTGTTGCACCTTCCGCACAGCATCAACTGCACAGAAGCCTCTTTGCACTTCGCGCATTGGGCCGGTGTCGACGATAGGCCCCTCTTATTTCCACTTCCGGTCTCTACCGCCGCCAGCAAATCCTCTGCTGTCTTTCTTGTCAATCTCAACACCCGCTGCTCACCCAAACTGACATGCGCCGCAGACCATGCGTTCCCCCCTGGAGAATAGAACCCTTCCGCGAGTTGCTCTTCCAGCTTTTCGAGTTGAATTCCGAAACCATCGAGAAGATCAGAGATCGATTCTACTAGAAACTGTAGGACTTCCACTTCATTTGAATCGCTGATTTTTTCAACTGCAGCATCGCTTTGATGACGCGCAATTATAGCAAGGTCCGATTCCTGTAGCCGTTGAATACGGAGGTATCGAAGGACGTTTCTTGGCAGCGGATCGGTGAGCGTAAGAGAGATGGTAGAGGTCGAATCGAGCCCAGCTGATATCCAATGTTTGTGCTTCTGCTCGAAAAATGGCGCCATGGGATGTGTCGTGAGAACGAGATCATAGCTCTCGTTGCGATTACCGGGAACGACAAAGCCATAGAGACGTAGCAGACGATTGTTTGGAATAGGCCCATAGTTGATGAAGAGCTGGAAGAACACTTCTAGGTAAGCGCACTAATTGGTAGCATTACGAAATAAGATGAAACGTACCTGATCTCCCAAAAATTCGTAGTTTTTCCCGGCAAGAACAGAGAGGTTTCCAGACAAGCCATCGTAGACGTGACACTGCTTAACCTCAGGCGAGTGGTTCAACATATCCGCGAAGGGCGCCAGAAGTCGAATCGACTTTCCATCGCGTAGCTTAAAATCCATCGCACGACTCCACACGGTGCAGAGAGCCCACTTGTACTGAAAGATGGAAAATAAGTGTCAGTAGCCGATTCGTAGCATCTTTCGCGTTTTGTAATACCTACATCTTGGGTGGTGAATTTGTCGGGTGGAAACAGTTCTTGATGTCGTCCAAACAGTCGCACTACCAATTCCCTATGATCGTCCTCGATCTGTTGATTCAGCTGCTTCGTGATAGTGTAGAGCGAAGTTCCCGAGCAAACTTCAAGCTCGGCCTCCACAAAGAAGACGCTTGAAGTGTAGCTCGCAGGCAGCGCCGCCACATGGCTTCGCAGGCCATCGTATCCCGACCGGCAAGATCTGACGAAGAGAATATACGTAGCCAAGGTGTCATCGACAGACAAGGGCGGCCGTGTAGAGAGAAGGGCTGGCCCAAGGAGGGGATCAGCATATGCGTGTTCGACTGTCCAGAGAATGCCATGTGGAATGGTGAGAATCCTTTCTCCTTCCTCGAATTGCCGTAGCGTTCTGACACCGCGGCCAGTATCCGAGAAGTCGGCAAGCTCTAAGTCATTCAAGCCTGACACTCCAGACTGTCTCAGCCAGCTTTCCATAGGATCGGAAGAGAGTGTGTGTGCGTGAGGAAGCTAGAAAGAACTCTCTTGTGGCGGATTCAGTTACAAGTGATTGCACAGCGAGTGAAACGGCGACGGCGATGCGACTTAAGGTACTTAGGACATAGATTCACTTAATCAGCTTATAGATAAACAAGCTAGGCTTAGAACTTAGACTCCAATTCAAGCTGTTTTTACCTATTAAATAATACATTATTATCATGTCAATCACGTGATCAAGATCCCTCCCTTACCTTCTTCAGGTAGCCTCACCTCTGATTTTGTACACTCGAATAGAACACACGCCACAACCTCTCGCAGCAGACTCCCAGATCTACTCCAGAGCTATGGATAGAAATCGCGCAATAAGTTCTTCCTACAGCCAAGATTCTGCCATGTACGACGACCAGCCTTACGCGGACGAATACCGCGGCTTGTCGTCGCAAGGCTACCAGACTTGGAAGGGTAATCGAGTTGGAAATGGAGCCTGACTTGGAACTTTGCTGATATTCGATGTCTCAAGATGATTCAAGATCACCTCCACGAGGATCGGGTCCGGACAGACAGTTCACCTCTGCGAGCAACGAGCGCCATTACAGGCAGGACCGGCCGGAAAGCTATGATCGGGGATATGATCGGTCGAGATCTCCACGAGGCAGAGCGCGTTATACAGATCGAGATAGAGAAGGATACCAATCGCCTCGTCGAGAGAGAAGCCGCAGTCGCTCACCCTATTATGGTGCACCTCCAAATCGCAATGTAATCCTCGAAGGACTTCCCTTCGATTGGACACAGGAAGACGTTGGCCGCCCCATTCCTACCCTCTTGTGGATCCTCAACTCCCACCCACTATCATCCTAAGTTTTACTTGAGCAAACTCTGAACTCTGGCTAAGCATAAGAGTTGGCCGTATGGCCTTTCTCTCCGATTTACAGATTTTGAAAGAACTACAACATACATTGCGACTTGACGGCTTGGAAGAGGTGAGATTGATCAAGGATAAACGGACCGGTATAGATCTTTCTCGTGGTCAATGACTATCTCTGATATACATCTAGGTCAATCGAAAGGATTCGCCTTCGCACAATTTGCTGGCATTCCAGAAGCGAGGCACTTTCTCGATCGTTTTTACCCGGCAGTTCCTCTTTATGGCGTATACGATCCCACCCAATCTGGTACTTCAGAGCCCACGAATGTTCGGATTGCTTTCGGGCGAGAGCGAGACGATCGTGAAAAGGCAGGAAGGGGCGAAGATGACTGGAAGTGTGACGTTGTAGGTCTGCTTCAATATTTTGACAATTTCTTTCTTAACATATGCCAGTGCTTCCTACCAAACTTCTCTCATCGTACATTATGCTTTAGGTGCAATGCTCCTAGAACCCGTGAGTCTCTTCATTCAGTCATATTGGCGCTGCTAATCAACCCAGGTTCAACCGCACATGGTCTTGTCGTTGCACAAAGCAACATGTCTGCTTTCTCTGGATTTGCGACCACTGGAGATAGTGATGCTTCTCCTGATGGGGCGGCGTCTCAGTTTCTTCTTCTTCGAGGCTTGGAACCCGGAGTAAACGAAGAGTTACTCGCCAAGGGGGTTGGAAAACTTTATAAAACAAAAGCAAACACGCCGCCGACTGACGGACAAGGGTCAAAGAAGAGACAAATTTCCTCAACGACCAACGATGCAAGCCTTGGTGCTAAGGATGGATCTCTACAACGGGTTCTCCTCGTTCGTGATAGGAAGACCGATGACAGCTGGAGATACGGCTTTGCAGAGTTCAGCACTGTTGAGGATGCACAGGCTGCCATGGTCAAATACAACTCGTCGGACAAATTTACAATCTCTTCTAAGCCTGTTACGATATCATACATCCATGCCGGGGTTTTTGTACCGATCTTACACCAGGTTGGGGAAGAGCACGCGAAGTTTACTTTTAGCCCTCTATCAAACTCCGCCGTCAAGTTGATGTACTGGGATGAAGCAGCCTACGCTAGCGAACTTGTCACCGCTGTTCCTCCTTCACAATCCACTGTGAAGAGCAAGGAATCTGAGCATACGAAACTCGCCCTGGCCGCAGCAAAAGAAGGTCTCATCAATCCAGGAAACGAAGGAGAGCCAAGAGTCAAGAAGAGAAAGACAGAAAAGGAGACCAAAGTTGTCGCCTCTCATCTTCAGTTCTGGACGAACAGACATGCAGAGATCCATGGGCTTCCTCAAAAAGAAGCTGGAAATGATGTAATAAACCCGCAATCAACTCCAAAGACGCCTTCCACGCCTGAAGTACCCTCGAGCCAAACTTTTGCAGACTTGGATCGTAAATGTTGCCTTCTATGTGCACGTCAGTTTAAGACAGAGGCCGAGGTAAACAAGCATGAACGCATCAGTCAGCTTCATCGTGATAATCTCAAGAATGAGGACCTTGTTGCGAAAGCTATGGCAAAGCTCAGGAAGTCAGGACATGAGCCTGCAGAGGGTTCTTACAGAGACCGAGCCAAGGAGCGCCGGCAGGCTTTCAATCAACCGAAGCAACCTGCTGCACAACATAACCGTGCGAAAGACTCTGTTGGCACATCAGTTCCCAAACATGAAGTTGAAAAAGCTCCGATCCAGTCAAAAGGCGCGGCGTTGCTAGGCAAGATGGGCTGGACTGCTGGAGAAGGGCTCGGGGCTCAGGGTACGGGAAGAACTGATGCAATCGTTACCGAACTCTATTCTCAAGGTGTGGGACTAGGCGCGCAGGGGGGAAAGATTGGAGATGCTGCCGAAGAGGCTCAGCGACAAACGAAAGGCTCGTATGCTGATTTCCTCAGCAAGACGAAGGACAAGGCCAAAGAGAGGTTTGAGAGTCTCGGCTAGCCACGCAATTTTGTCTCGTGTTCGAAGAAATTCACCTACACGAACCCTCGGCAGTTGGTTGACCGACAAGATTCTCTAATGCGATTTTGTGAGGGATCAGCTTCGTACCCGTTACGTTTATGTAGGTACAGCTGAGCTATACCAGTCTAACTCAATGGAGAGCTTCTCATGCAGCCGCCCTTCCAGGTACAAAAATGGCATGCGTTGAACTTGATCGTGAACCGGTTCAAAGATGAGGTTCACAATCTCATGGCGTAGAATATGCTGTATGATTTTTTATAATTTGCTGAGCCATTACCCCGATGATTTCTGCTTGGTGTGGTGGACCTTATCCTTTTTCTTCTCTTTCATCTCATAGTTCTCAACCTTACAGGCTCCAGCGACGCATCACGGCTAGTTGCTGGCAGTTAGTGTCTGTTCTCCTTCCAATCCTTGTGCGATGTTTCATGTTCTCCGCTCATTTCTTTGAGTCCGGTTTACGACCAAGAAGCGTCACATAATTGTTTTTTGAGCTGTCCGTTGCACCGCCATCGTCTCTATACTCCAACGATCTTTCTCCCAAGTCTTTACACCTCAGCATACGAACACCGACAAGTTGATAAAGATGAGTAAGATAAGGGCTTCAACAGCCAAAATCGCTGAAAATTGCTCAAATCTTGGTTATGGCAAACTACAGTCGGAGGAAAAGTACAAACGCTTGCTTAAAGATATTCGCGAATTTTTTGTTGCCTATGAAGAAGAGGGTAACTACCTTGGATCCCATCAAACTTTGACGGATGAAATCATATTGTGTGCAACGACTTATCTGGAAAAGAACTCTCGAGGTGAAAAATTCTGGTCTGACAACCACGGCAGCCTGGTGTGGCCAAAAGATCAAGCACCGTGAGTGTACTAAGAAAGTCATATCTAAGAAATTGTTTGGATGAGCATCTCCTGATATGTTCCCTGAACGCAGTATCACTGACGCTATTGCCCACATCTTCCGCCGTAAAGGCATATCGTCGTTTTACCACAGCGGACGTTCAAAACCCAACAAAAGAAAAGATGGCCAAGCTTCGGCGAGTCTGGAGAGGATAACAAATGCTCGCGAGCAACGACATCAAGTAAGCCTACCAGTATACATGTGAAGCAATTGGCTAATACTTACATTCATAGGACGACGATGATAACGATGATCTTCCATCAATTTGGTCCCAGTACATTCAAAGCCTGAATCCCGATGTAAACGTGAAGTACTTGACGGACTTCACAACAGAATGGTTGGAAACAGTAAGACATTCCACAATATGGTGATATCTAGCTAACCGTGTTAGAAAAACAGCCCCTGGCCCGAAATCGCAGATGTTAAACTCCAGACATTTATGCATAACCGCAATTTCTACAGTCACCCGAATCACCGCAGACAAACCCCACGCGAGCTGATCATTATTCTTGGGAAGGGCTCTGAAGTTGCTAAACTGCGCAATGGCCCGCTCTCTGCTGAGTTCCAGAGCCGAATATGCGACAGGGTGGAGTTCCTAACAGATCGGCTCGCCAAGGCGCCGTATTTTATACTGGAATCTGAGCGCGATGGAGCCGTACACAAGATCAAGTCTTTTGCAAACATGTGGAGGAGGAAGGAGACATACTGGGAAGACCATTCAGACCATATGACAGCCCAACCAACAGCGACTATGAAGCCAGAATCCAACAAGCGTCGGAAGTTAGATGCGACGAAGAGCTCGGTAGCGTTCCCAAATCTGTATGAAATGCCTCCACCAAGACAGGAGACAAAGGTGGTTTCAGTGGTGGGCGAGGCATCGAAGACGGCTGCTGATGAACTGGACAGAGTTCATTTGACATCGCCGTTGAGCGACTTGTCGACTCTGAGTACTTCAATCTTCCAGATTCCAACTCATATTCAGCACAGACCAGGGTCAAGTAGCCGCCGTCCTTTGGCCTTGGAGGACAGTAGCAACGATGAACGTACCGCTGACACCATAGTGGTCGCTGTCCCTGGAAATCTCAGAAAACTGAAAATTGAGCCTCTCCCAGAGATCCCCCATCCTGCACCAACAACGGCCTACTATCAACCTTCATTGCCTTCCACGCCACCCACATCTGGACAGACTGCTTCAGCTTCATTCATGCAATTTCGTCATGACCAGATGACATCAATATCTCAAGAACAGCGCCCTACACTTCTCAATGCAAACTCCTCTCGATGCCCATTTCCACGAATACCTTTCGGCGCCTCTGCGAAATTCTCTGAAGGCGATCAAAGACCTGCGGAAGGTTCAATGACACTAGAATCATCTAATTGGGCCGAGACAAGCGCATCTTCAGAGCCTTTCATTGAGAAGTTAAGACCGCCAACTACGACTTCAGTGAGTGGCCCCAAGAGTCCGTCGAGGGCATTTGACAAATTTCTGTCTTTCTATGGCACTGGTCATCGAGGCTCTAGAATAGAAGTACCCACAACTTCCAAGAAAACGCAGCAAATTGACTCGCGGGCTTCTATCATGTCGCCCATAGAGCGCCTTCGTGCTAAGAGACAAGAGATGAGAGACGAGAAGAGAGCTGAGGTCTGTGCCCAGATTTCTGAATGGGAGGAGATCAGAAAGCACGAGAAGATATCACGATTGCAAACTAAGGCGCCTCCTCAGGCTTTGACGATCACACGAGAAGAAATGCCATCACCTCCCCATCTTCCTCTTGTCACTGAACCTTTTGGTAGGAAACCAAGAGGCACAGTTCCTCAAGATGATAACCATTTTACGACGGGTTCTGGGTTGATCGGAAATCTTAACCTCACGAATCAACCCTCCATATCATCTACAGATCCTATCCTTCAGATTTTGTCTCCCATCGAAGCGCTCGAAGCTCCTACTACATTGCCCCAAGCGTCAAGCATCAAGTCAGGACATCCATCCGAAGTTCAACAGTCTAAATCCTCTAGCAAAACCCCAGAAGAAGACCTTGCAAACGATCGACAATACAAGCGCTCCAGCCCAAATTCGAACACAGTCTGTGTTCAAATGAAAAACCAAGTGCCCATGGTCAGCAAAACCAGAGCCTCAAGACCAGCTCAAGCTTTAAATTCCAACATTGCGTATGCTGCACCATTTATGCCTCGAACCGAAACTAGCGCTAATGATTTGTGCCTGAACAGCTCCAAGACGACTGCAGAGGCTCCGATTTCTCCTACCCAGAATGCTGCTCCCCGTTCCATTGTCCAAGCCTTGGATTTCCCAGAGACTTCTACAGAACTGGAGCCTTCGACTGCGTCCATGGCTCCCAGATCATTACACGACGATCTAACGGGACTAGGTTCTTCAGACGCTACATCTGTACCTTCCACGCCATCTTTCTGTCACATGGACCTTGATCCGGTGCTTGCTCCGATTGCTATGCCTTTGCAGCAACTTGTCCCTACCACTGCTACAGTCTCAGTCACACCGAGCGCTTCCGTCAACCGAGAGCCTTCCAAGAGTTCAACGCCACCAGCCCCGACAAAAAGCAGCTCAAATATCGGCATTGGCGTTGCTGCTGCTACGAAGAAGACGCTGGTGACACAACCCGATGAAGTCTCCAAGAAGGGAAGTGACAATGAGCTTTATACGGATAAGATAAGCAACGAGCAAGAGATTGTCCCTCCTAAGACTCCTGAGCCAACACACGATCTGCTTCGACAGTGTCGTAGAGCGTACGCACTTGTGCCCGAACCAACTCCTTTCTCAGCCACACCATCAGAAGAAGAACTCGCTACCATGCAAGCACTCCATCATCAGCACAACATTAGAGCCCGACCAGAGCCACAAACCAACCAAGAACACTCACTCGTCAAATCCACGCTCCACGGCTCAGGAATCAAGACCCTCGAGGTCGTCATCGAGTCAGCAGACGAAGTAGTGAGTGCCGAAAACGGCTACTCTTTCGACGTAGTCACCAACAACACCCTCTCTGGCTTCTTCTCGTTCTACGCAGCGACGTCTGGCGCTCCGCTGGAGAGCTTCCATAAGTTGACCTTCACGCCGACGTGGCCGAGTTGCGCTACGACGTACGTCACCAAGCAGATGGGGGAGCCGGGTTTTAACAAGGTGAAGAAAATGCTTCAGGTTTGGTATAAGAAGGCACAGAAAGTTGATCCAGAGGAGATGGATTTCCAGATCATGGTTGAGATGGGTTAGGAGGTTAAGCGACTTGTCTGTTCGAAGGAATAATTTGTGTATGTCTTATTGATTCACGAAGTCTAGGATCACCAATTATAATAAGAACTTAACTTTGGGTACAACCAGTGATGTATCTGTCTAGCTTTTTGTGTGGTTCTATTCTCTTCTGACAAGGATTGGAAGAAGGGAACCAATTTCTACCCACGAGTCACAAGCACAAAATCCAATTTCAGGCTCATTGCTAAACTCAAGAAAGAACCCCTGTTCTCGCCTTTCAGCCGGCCGCCGGCCCAAAAGCTTTCATCCACCTTCCTTCCAGCCTTGCGAAAATGTGATGGAGTGGAGAGTAACCTCCAGAAAGAGGTTGACAGTTCTATACCCGACGCATGGTTCCATCTCATTCATCTACTTGGCTCGCCAAAGCTTATCGTCGCATGCTAAACTAGAAAAAGGGAAGAAGACTTGTAAGTGCTGGTGTTGTGAAAACCCCGTGAGAATACCCGGGTGGAGAAGTAACAATTCCGCAAATGAGCCCATGACAACGAGTAAATTCGTGGCACAGAAAAGTATAGAAAGGAAATACAAAAGTCTGAAGATAGGAGAGGGAAGAGGAACGGGGCTGCGTGAATTATCAGTCTTATTTGAGCTGGGTGTCTGTTTGTCTTCTAATTCATTTCCTTCCTATCCTCACTTTTCCGAACCTTGCCTTCTATACTTCCGCAAGCGACTCTGTATATAATACACAAGTATACAGTTGTATCGTATCATACATCTCCCTCCTCGTATTCCCACTTGTCTCCTCCTTCCCAAAATCATCCCTCCTCTCCTCCACCGTCACAAAAACCTTTCCCTCAACCAAAAACCCCACCCCTTATCTCGATCTAACCCAATCCCCCACATGAGCCAGAATAATCCCCGCCGCCTCCTCAGGACTATGCTGTCTCCCAATCGCCTCCACAAAATCCCCCTCAGGATCCATCAAATAGAAATAAATACTATGATCCACCAAATAATCCTCACCCTTCTTCACACCCGACGGCGTACTGAAATACACCCTGTATTTCTTACACACGTCTTTGATCTGCTCCCATGTTCCAGTGAGACCAATGAGTGCAGGGTGGAATTCGGAGAGATAAGTTGCTAGCACGGCGGGGGTGTCGCGCGCGGGGTCGCAGGTTATGAAGATGGGGAGGAGAGGGGGGAGGGCTTTGGGGTTGTTGGAGGAGGGGGAGTTGGAGAGTAGTGGTGAAGCATTGACGAGGTCGATCATTTGGGCCATCTTGTCGAGTTCTTCGGGGCAGATATCGGGGCAGTGAGAGAAGCCGAAGTAGACCTGTGAAGTGATTATCAGTATTGTTCTTTCCCAACCGTAACGCTCCCGCTTCTGCGTATGCCTGCTGCAATATCCTCCCCTCCCTTTCCCAAATCCCTAGATAAGGCCGAAAATAACTCACCAAACTATACTTCCCCCTCATCTTCTCATCCCCCCAAGCCTCCCCCTTCTGATCAACCAACTCAAACGGCCCTCCAACCTTCGGTCTTCCCACTCCCTTCGCCGCCTCCGCCACACGCTTCCTTTCCATACGTGCTTTCTCATAACGGAAGTAGAAGATCAGTCCTGCGCCGGAGGTGAGGAACAGGACGCCTGCTAGGGTAGAGAATGGCTAGAAGGAATAATTAGCTTCGAATTTTGAGAAGAGAAGAGAAGATAGCATAGGAAGGGAATGGAATCGAGCACTAGAGGAGAGAAGAAGGAAGACACACCCCAGATTTATACCGACTCTTCGCCTCCTGCACAGTCTTATACCCCCTCACACTCCCTCCATTTCCATTCCCAGCTGCCCTTCCACCAGCAGTCCACCTCGCACTCCATCCCATTCCCACTCCTAATCCTGAGCCATTCCTCCGCACACCCTGCAAACACTGCGTCGCTGACCCATTCGTCCGTCTCGAGCTGGCGAGAGTGGAAGTCGTACTTGAGAGATTTCTGCACTGCTGCTGCTGCTGCTGCTGTATGGCTTTCCCTCCTCCTCTGCTTCTCAAATTCGACAGCAAACTCCGACTCGGCGCAAAAGCTTTCGACATCTTGCCTCCTTTCACCTTCCGCAATCGATTCCAATTAACGGTTCAGTACGCCGTGGTATTGGGCGGTGGAAGTCTTCAATTGAGTCGTTGTGAAGCTCGAATGGACGTGAGGTGGACTGGTCAAGTCGAGCATCGCAAATCAAATCAACATTTGGAAGCTTGGGCCGGGAGCGGGGAGACGTTGTTCCGAAGCACCACCCTCCCACCCTCCCACCCTGCCACCCTGCCACCACCTGGTGCGATCACTCAATTTACTTCACATGCTTTCTCAAGCTCTCACTTGATCAGAACGTAACTTTCATGGACTTAAATAAGGATATCTTATAAGTATAGCTCATTTAGCTCCCAACCTCATTAGAACCACTGAGGAAATTTTATGCACTTAACTCACGTACTTGATGCTTTTCACATATCTTCATCTCCATCTCACACCCGCAAAAAAATGTCACAAACTTTACAGTTAAGAAGGCCACTCAACATTTATGATTTCTCCTTGCTCATACTCTCTTCCCTCTATGAAAGAGAACTAGAATCTCAGTATCTATCATACGATACGATACAACAGACAGCATACCATATCAGACCACGCGCCCAGAATATGCACAACAAAGATGCACGGAGCTCATGCACGCAAAATGCCTCCTATCCTTCCACAATCGCAGCCATACCACATATTCCTACAATGCAAAAGCCTCTTCCTCTTGACTCCTCTCAATACTGTCTTACTTCTTCTCCACGATTATCCTCAGCTCTGGCTCTCCTCTGCACTGTAGTAATCTGCAGTCCGGAAAGCCGGCCGAGGCACCCTGCAACTCCAATCCCCGAAAAATTCAGCAGATAGAAAAGAAGAAGATGCTAGCATGCACGCTCGCTCGCTCGCTCGCTTCCAATTTCTTCATCTGTACCTATTTTTCGCGGCACCACTCGATATGCGGCAACGTAGTAAGTAACAAGAACAACATACAAAATCCGTCCATCCGTCAGCCAAAAAAGCTCATACATATAAACACTAAGCCAAACCAATTTTCACTTCGCTCGTTTTCTCCAGACACCGCAACACCGAAGACGCCGTACAGATGCTGTGCCCTCTCCTTTCTGTTATTCTCGCTTCCCTGTTGCTCAAGGCAATAGGCTCGAGGTAGTGTTTCTGAGTGATGCCGCATCACCACTCACAGATATCGATCTCTCGGAAAAAGCCTTAGATTTGAAGGACAGTTGGCTAAGCCTCTCGTCGACTCAACTGACTCGCACCCGCACTTGTCCGACTCCTCTCATCCTCTTCCAATACATCGCTCAATCTCGTAGGATGATGATGTCTAGGAACAGCCGCCCATTCAGGAGCCGCAGCACCATAGCCCTGCCCAGAATAATCTACAGGTTCCGAGATCGTTGGGTGTGAAGTTGGACCTCCAGATGTAGAGGTGGGCCCGCGTCCATATTCGACGCCGGAGACTTGACCATAACGTTGAAGGTTCGCTTGCTCACGCTCACGTTCTGAGGCAACATCGAATTCATCTGTGTCTGCGTCAGAGGGAGGGCCTTGGTATCGGATTTTGTTGCCTCGGGCATCACGGATGAATTGACCTTGTGAATCAATCTCATACTCCTCCTCGCTCATTGCACCAGTTTCGGAGGGAACTGAAGGTTGGCGGTAAGTGGGATCTGGATGAAGGGAAGTTCCCTGGTGCTGCTGATAGAACGCGGAGGTGGAAGCGGGTTGGACGGCTGGTGCCGTGGAATGTTCCTGGGAATTCGTAAAGGCTGGGTGGATTGGTAGATCGGCTTCGGTGTAAGTTGGTCGAGAGCTGGTCCGGGTTTCAGTGAAAGGGTCTGCTGGCGCTGATCTTTGAGCTCTGGAGTATTCTTGGTATGCAAGATCGCTATTCTCAATAGGTCCTTCTGGTTCGGGAGCGGAATACTGTGCTGGATCTCGGGCACTAGTATGTCTGCTAGGGACTCCTTGCATCATAGGGACCACCTGAACTCCACCTATAAGTGTAGGCCGACCATCCTTCAAAGCTGCGGTTCGGTCCCTCTCTTCTTGCTCGCGACGTCCAAGCTCTTCCCAAGCTCTTCTTGCCTCTTCCTTTGATATTTGCAATTCGCGCTTCATTTCGGCCAATTGCTTAGTAGCGTTTGACTTCTCCCGCTCCTTTGCAACTGCCTCAGCGATAGCTGCTGCTCTCTCCGAACGTTCATGCTCAAGACTGGTTTCCAGGACTGCTTGAAGTTCCTGTGCACGTTCTTGCTCAGCTCGAGTCTCGAAGAACCAGCGCTGGAACTTTCGCTCAGATGAGGCTCGTAATCTTTGCAATTCAACCACAGCATGGAAAAGATTGGCACCTGCAGCCGAAAGATCTGTGACTTGTCGAGAAAGTTGCTGCGACAAGGGATCTCGATTCAAATCATTACTATTCTCTTCCAGTCTTCGGATCCAGAAAGATGTGAGACCTTCCCAGTGAGCGGATAAAGTTTCCCATCGTTCGAAGGCATGTGGAAATGATGATCTGGTCGCCGGTTGTGACGTCAGAGCTGGGCCTCCTTCAACTTCAGCTTGAGCAGGTCTTGGCCGTGATGTTCCAGGAACAGGTCTAGGTGGCTGAGACTGCTGTTGCTGGCTGGGTCTAGGTCGAGCAGATGGTGCAGTCTCACCACCTCCTACTGCTCTCCCACCACGCCCTATTCCTTGAAGTTCCTCTTGCGGGGGATCTGATCTACGTTGCTGGGAGCCATCCGAGACTCTTTGGCCGGCCGTTCCACCTGAAGTCCTCTGTCCAGATTCTCCACTGGCTCTTTGTTGTGCTGCAGCGCCAGCAGCAGCTGCTGCCCTTCGTTCCGCACTTCGTCTTCTATCTTGCTCGAGTAATCTTGCTTCCTCAGCGGCTCTTGCACGTTCCAGAGCCTCCCTCTGTTCCAATTCTGCTTTCTTCCTGGCCTCCCTTGCATTACGCTCTCTCATAATCTCCCTAGGACCTTTGAGACTAGGCGAACCAGATGTCCCAGGTGGAGGTTGAGGTCTGCCATTTCCGGTCCTGCTGTTGCCCGCGGGGCCAGACCCTCCACCGGTCAGATCGGACATCGAAGCGTTCTCCTCCACAAGATCAGGTGTGAAGGGGTTTGGCTGCCGTAAAGCTTCTTCGAGGGTATAGAGGATCGCACTAGCAGTAGTCCGAGAGATTCTCAGAGCACGGTGAGGTCTTCGTTCAGCTTCAGGGGAGTAGTGTTGAGAGCTTGCTACTGGTGTTGACGAGGCGAGATCTTCGTCGAAATCATGAGTCAATGCCTCGCTTCTTGGTTGGTTTTGAGCAAAGCGAACTCGTGGAGGTGGACTGATACCTGCAGATGCAGCTTCAATGTGGGTTCGACGTAGGGGACGCTGCTGCTGCTGGCGCTGCGTAGGTGTAGGCGTTAAAGGTTCGTTCACTTCGTTAGGGTCGTTAGAGATGGGAGGAGAAGGGGTCGTCAGCGCTGCTGCTGGCTGAGGTCGAGGGTAGTTCGACAAGGTGAATTGGGTGTCGAATCACCACAGAGATCGAGTTGTGACTCCAATTGGGATATCACGAAATTCGGGTACTTTTGGTGTTGTGGTTCTCGATTGGGATCGAGGAATGTGAATTTCCTACTTGGGCGGCAGGAATGATAAAATGCTGGGAAAGGTTGTGTGTGTGAAGAGCAAAGGAATGTGGTAGAGAAAGATCAGGTGTCGGGATGGCCTTGGGTGGTGCGAGTTGAGGCGGGTCGCGGTGAATTGGGGAGGTTGGTGCTGGGGTGAAAACAAGATGGCGAAGTAGCGAGCTTCAAGCTCCAGCTGGCGACGAACAAGTAGGTAGAGTGAAAACACGCACGCATGAAAAATCCATTCACCCAATGCGCAGACCTCTTCATATTACGCATTAATTGAGGATTTGCATGCGCGCACGAATTGACGGTCGAGAGTCGCGTGGATTGACTCGGCGCATGCGTGAGTGGTGATGGTGGAGTTTGGCTCGATCACAGACTCGATCCAACGCTCTCTATTCCGTCGTGTTGGTCGCGCATGCAATTGTCGGCCCGCTCGGTGTTGGTTGGAGGCTGGATGGCGAGAGGTGAATGCAGAGAATGCGGTATTGATATTAGAGAGGTCATGCTCGCACGGGGTGTCTTCAATTGCAGATTATACGTCGTGGTGGTGTTTGGTGATGATGTTGGATGGTGGAGTGGAGCGGAGAGGAAGAAGAAACGAAAGTCAGGCTGGCTTGGGCTTGGGTTCGAGAATCAAGTCAAGTCAAGTCAAGTCAGGTTATCCCTCGAAGCCCTCGAGGCTTCCTTCCTCCAGGCAGGTACACAGGGAGCAGGAGCAGGAGCAGGAGAAGGAGCAGAATTGGGCAGGTAGGAAGGATCTGTGCGACAGGCATTAAGTTCAGCGCATCGGCTGTTAGAATAATGCAGTGCAGTGCAGTGCAGTGCGATGCGGCCAAACAGCCGTGCATCAAGGGCTGCGTGGGCGTGGGCGTGGGCATGGACATGGACTCCCTAGACGTGAGTCCGGTGTGCTCTCTCCTCCAAGTTAACCGTATCTACCTGCCTGTACAGAGTCGTCTACCTTCCAAAACAGATATCAAATAGCAAATAGTCCAGAGTGTACCTTCATCATAGGTACCAAATCAGGTTCTGGCTGTACAACCCTCTCTCGAGTGCTGTATTGATCCTCTGTGTTTCCCTGTCCTCGGCGGCGGTGACGATGACTTCAATAATTGAGGGGGCTGGGACTTTTCAGTGCTGGCCTGCCCTGCCGTTGGACCTTGCCCAATGCTCACGGAGCGGGCCTTTGCTAGTGCAGCCCAACCCAGCCCAACCCAACCAGGACCAGCCACGACTCTCCTCGCTTCCAGTCCTGCGGGAGCATGCGAGTGCAGGGCAGGGCAGGGCAGGGCAGGGCATGGTGCCCAGGACAAGCTGGCTACAAACCCCTTTACATCATACCTTACATATTGACCATGGCCCCTACTGGTGCGTTTGTATCTCGCATCTCTCCTATTCTCTGCACCGCTTCTTGTAACTCAGCATACCTCTTCCTACTCTCACTTCAACCTTTCAACCAAGTGACCCAGCCTCCTCTTTATCAAATCGTCAAACGCGAGCCAGAGACACATCCAAGCGGCAGAACGGCGCTCTGGGCTCTCAGATCAACTGTGGATCCCGATGGGGGAGCTAGGTAGCCCTTCCGTCCCGCTGGCTTCCATGGGGCTTGACTCTGCGAGCCAATAAGAGGCTGGGGATGTGGTTTACTAACAATAGATAGGCTTTGAAAGATGAGATGTGAGATGTGATATGAGATATGAGATATGAGATCAGATGAAATGAGACAAATGAGAAGCGTGGCATTTGAGCAGAAAGGTTACAGATATCTCAAAGTGACATGAAGGAAGGATGCTTATTTCATGGTAGTTTCACTCCGTAATGGAAGTTGAAAAGAAGAGCCAAAGTGAGAACGGGCTATCTGGTAGACACAACGTCTCAAGTGACGATTCCAAGAATCAGCTTCCTTCTACATCCCATGAAAGACCCCAGGACAACAGCCCATGAAATCTACCAAGGTAGATGAGATACCTACTTGCCAAGGGCAGGCGTTGTAGTCACGTGACAATGCAATATCAATGCGCCCAAATGTCGCCGCATTGTGGTATCCTTTCGGACAGTCGGCAGATATCAGGATGCATTCAATTTGTAAATGGATACACATCTGGTTTATTAAGTTGTACTTGAATGCCCTATTTCTCACGTCACAAATCATCAAGTTGAGGCGAAGCCGCTGACTCAGCCCATAACCAACATCCCAACCTCTTGACGGCACTCAAATACGTGCGATATGATATCCAACGCTGCATCTGTATATCCATAATCGTGAGGTGAAGTCATGGCTGAGACGGAGTCCTCTATGCTCCCAGTCTCGTCACCCTCAAACCCCCAGTCACTGCCTAATCTCAATATCAACGATACTCCCCTTCGCCGGCTCTTCGTGCTTGCGACGCTTAAATTTCTACATAGTATTCTCCCCAGTTGCGGCCCCGTTCTGATGGTCTCTAAAGGCCTCTGCATCAATGTCAGGACTTTAGTACAGCCCGCCGAAGCTGCAACAATGCAATTCGTCGCCAATCACACATCAAGCCCCATTCCCAAAGTGTACTGTGCATTTGAGAGGAAAGGCTGCAAGTATATATTGATGGAGAGAGTGCAAGGACAAATTTTGAGGGACGGTTGGTGGAAACGAAGTCCAGAATATAAGGCGAAGATCCTTGCACAGATTAAAGAAATGGTTGAGCAGATGCGGCGCATTCCCCCTCCTCCAGGCCAAGGCATATCCAACGTCGCAGGCGGACCATTATTTGATAGTCGAATATCTGGAGGGTCGTTTCACGGGCCTTTTAATACTCTCCAAGATTTCCACCGGCATCTGCGCGAAGGATACGAAGGCGAGAGAGAACATGAGCACGACGCGAACAGGCTCGTGGAGTGGCATAAACAGTATTGCACAAAGCCAGTATTCACACATGGGGATCTGAGCACATTGAACATTCTTGTTCGAGGAGATGAGGTTGTTGGGATTGTTGATTGGGAAACAGCGGGTTGGTGGCCAGAGTATTGGGAATATACCAGTACATGGCACGTCAATCCGCACAATGAGTTTTGGAGAGATGAGGTTGATAGGTTTTTGGAGCCCAAGGTAGAGGAGTTGGAAATGGAGAAGGTGAGGAGGAAGTACTTTGGGGTGTTTTAAACGATGGTCTCTTTGAACCCATTACAGCAGTATGTCCACAGCTACCAATATATGGTATCTTGATAGGCCACCTTTGAGAAGGGCACATTACCGAAGATGATGCTCTTTGGAAACAGAGTACGACAATCCTTGATACGTACTGCTGAAATTCGACCAACTTCAATCGCACCGAGCAGTCGGCGATGATGGATTCTATAGAGGCCTATCTGTGAGCCACGCCGAGATGATGCAACGAGAAGGTGACTGGGTAGAGCAAAGAGCAAAGTGACGAAGGGCTGTGGATTCCAGACGCAGCTCTGTTCGCTTTTCGCTCATCAAAGCATCATTCTCGACCAGCCAACTAGTACGGATGTGGTTTTATCAAAGCCTCTGCCATGTCTCTCGGCCATGTTACCACTTATAGCTTCGCCTGTATGCTCACAGGAATAGTCTATCCTGGGATCGAGTCAACCATCAGTTCAAGCATAGGCTAGCCGACCGAGTACGGGGAGACAAACCTACGCGAAGACTGGACTCTGATGGTTGAGACAACTCGAGTAATGCATAGCAAGGCTTAATCTCTTGCCCAAAGAATTTGATGCCAAAAGGCTCTGAGTACTTGACACACCACAACATGGACGAGACTGTTTCTCACCGCCTCAATGTGTATCGTTAGGAGGTCGGCGGTACTTTCCAATGAACCCTAAAGCCAAGATATCGACAGATCAGCACCGAATCCAGAAATAGGTTTGAGATGTCCTGAACTATATTGCTGTTGCGTCTAGGTTGATGGATCCTTGGGCTTTGAAGAACAAACAAATTGCAGATGTGCTGGGAAATGAAAGTCACGTCACTGGAGTTGATATGCAAAAATGGGCGATCTTCTCGTTTCCACAATGGGTATATGAGAACTCTCATCCTACAAGACAAGGAAAAGGTGGGAATGCACTTCTATGTTGTTGGACCATATCTGCGCATAACCTGTACGGATTGAAAACAGACATCTTTTTGGGTATGTACCACCATGCGACCTCTATGGCGACCTCACGGGAGCGAATACTTCAAAATTGCAATAGGTATTTCTCCTACTCAACGACAGTTTTTAGTGAGTAGTCCCTCATATGTCATGTGCATCATGCGGTCAATCGTTCTTTTCTTCCAGCTCGCGGCCCGCTACCCCTAATACCCCACTCGCTTGACTTTTCGGCTTCGAAACGACATCACAGGACCGAGCAGGGATGAGATCCTGGCTGCGGCGGATAAATTAAGTTACGGAGATGTCAGCTTGAACCTTTTTCATCCGAAGAAAAGAGCTCTTCTCTGGTAGGTGGAAGTTTCGCGACTTGGTAAGAATGCCTTGCTTTGATTGGGTGGGTTAGAAAACGCACAAAATGAGGGTCGAGTTATCCTTTGGCGGCCCATGTTTGAATCTCCACGCGGGGATTTCGGTAGTTGTTGCGGAGAATGGTCAACTCTAAATTTCGGGATGATCATGTGGAGGTAATAATCCTTTGGGAACAGGATACTCACAGAAATCATAAGGGCGATGTGATCCTCTCGTCAACGTCTTCCGTTTCTTCACATTTCACAACCCTTGTCATATGCTCACGATGCGTCCTGTTTACCTTCTTGCAGCTTTTCTCGCAGGGGTGCAGGCGTCCTTGACATTCAAAGGTGTCGATTGGTCTTCTCTTCTGATCGAAGAAGCTGCTGGTTACACGTACAAGACCACAGCTGGAAACACCGCACCCCTCGAGACAATTCTGGTGGCAAGTGGCGTCAATACTGTCCGACAAAGATTATGGGTCAATCCATCAAACGGTAACTATAACTTGGATTACAATCTCAGGCTAGCAAGACGTGCGAAAGCTGCTGGTCTGAATATTTACCTCGACATATTCTTTAGCGACACTTGGGCTGATCCAGCCAACCAAGTACGTCTTCCAGCGTGTCACAAACATGAGTCAGAATGCTAATCATTTCTGCAGAAAATACCTTCGGGATGGCCAACTGCTGTCGGTGACCTCGCGTGGAAAGCATACAACTACACTCTTGATGTGTCAAACGCGTTCGCTTCAGCAGGTATCCCATTATCAATTATCTCGATCGGAAATGAAATCACTGGTGGTGTTCTCTTCCCTACCGGTTCAACATCATCATTCTATAACTTAGCAACTATACTGCACTCAGCATCTTCTGGAATCAAATATTCGAATCTCGCCACGAAGCCCAAGATCATGATCCATCTGGACAACGGCTGGAAATGGGATACCCAACAATGGTGGTATCAGAATGTCTTAGCAGCCGGTCCACTTCTCACCTCCGACTTCGACATGATGGGCGTATCCTACTACCCTTTCTACAACCCATCAGCCACTCTCGCCAATCTCAGAAGTACTCTGACAAACATGGCATCGAAATGGAAAAAGTCCATCGTGGTGGCAGAAACCAACTGGCCGGTCACCTGCACATCACCACAATATGCTTTCCCTTCTGACACTACTTCGATCCCAAAAAGCGCTGATGGGCAGAGGACATGGATGAAAGATGTTGCAGCTATCGTGGCAGGAGTCAGTGGAGGCAGTGGGCTGTTTTATTGGGAACCAGCGTGGATCCAGAATGCTGGCCTTGGGAGCAGCTGTTGGGATAATCTGATGGTGGATCAAAATGGAGCGGCGAGGTCGAGCTTGGGGGTGTTTGCTTCCATCTGAAGACCCTGTGGGTGTGGCCTGATAAAGTTCTTAATGGGTATATTCTTGTTACATTTATTTGTACATATTCAACGCTAACTTCGAATAATGCATGTTCTCTCAATTCAATTCTTTGCTCCGAAATGGTGAGCTGTCCACAGGATCTCGGCGCAAAGGGAAAGCTGCGTCTTTGCTGAATAACAATTAAGGCCCCTGTCAAGTAGCCCCAAATGTATCAAGAGACCCTTACAACAGACCTCCAGGTATCTTACTCTGTCCTTGTCCAAATCCAAGGGGCTTCGAATCCTCTGTCTCAAATGGACGAAGCAGATCAATTAAGATCTGACAGCCGGATACATTGACCATCCAATCTCATCTGATTGATATGGAAGGCGCGTTATTGAACCACCGTCGTATGAAAACCCTTTCCAACATCACTAATACCCCACTGGAGCAGCGGCAGCGGTGCCGTTTCATGTATCTACTATAAAACGCTCGATTGAGGGACATCCTTCTCGCGGCTTGCGCCCCAGAAGCGGTGAACTCGGGTCACAGACGTTGGGTCAAGTTTGAGAATGTATGTGAGCAGTCCGAAGTGATCTACACAGCACGCGTTCCATTTCCTTATGCACAATATCCTGCGAACGATGGGATTCTGGCCCAGATGTGATGTTCCACTGCTACCGCATCACACGCCACTCATGTCGCCTTCTCGTTCCTGGCTAAGTTGAGAAACATGCGTCAAAATGGCTGAAAAATATTTGAAGGGACGGGAGGGAGAGAGAAGATTTTCAAAACTACACCTCGAACCATGTCGACTCCCTTGCATTCATCAAGGAGAAGGGAATGCATTCGCAGACGTGGTTTTTCTGCATCGAAGCATGGCATGCTGCGAGGAATATCTGTAAAGGGTGGTGTTCAGGCCATTCAAGGTGAGACACTCTCTTAGAATCAAGCAAAGGAGGTCAAAACCTGTCGCATGGAAGGTTTATGCCCATGATAGACAGAACCCCAAAGCCCAGAACAGCGAAACATCACCCGATGTTGGCAATACATTGTATCCGCCAACACGAAAGAATCGAATGGAAAGGAGGTAATCTGGACTGAGCTGCACTGGGACCGTGACGCGGAGGCCGCACCATTGGGTCACTGCAAGTTGAAAAAATTTCGCTGCTTGAAATGTCTTCAAAATACGCAGCCACGAGAGCCACAATGGAATATAATGTGGACGATGAATCATTGCCGTTATGTGGTCAAGCCAGAGATCGCCGGGGGCTGGAGGTGAACGCTCCTTTCAGCCCCCAAGTAGAGCTTGGCAGGCAAAGATGTGGTTGGATGAGACTGTCTGAAGGTGAATCAATGAAGGAGACAAGCAGTTGGAGCGGCTGGAAGACAATCCACACGACAAGAAACAGAGAAGCTTAGCTCTCACGATGAACCATCGGTTTGTGGTACATGAAAAAGAGCATGGCAACGAAAGTCTGGGGATGGCACCCACGAGGCTCGAGGTAAAGCCGTCATCGCTGGACACGGCGGGGACATGTGGCAAGGGACAAGGAATGATTGAAAATGTATTCGTGACCGATAGGCACAACAAACGCTGAAGTGTATGATGAAGCCAACTCATATCTGGTTCGAGGGCTGGAACTTTCCGGCCCCACCTCAGCCGGTATCCTCGGTGTTTGAACTACAAATTAGCCGATATTGTGAACAAGAATGCAGCGAACGCGCCCAAGGCAGCCGCTACGTCGACTTCTATGCCCTAGAATATTGACCTCCAGCAGCATCGTCGGTGCCAATCAAACTCTCCGAACGGACCCTCACAGCAGTCAAAAATATCTGATTTTACCCCTTCAGTCTTCCAGGGTCCTCAAGACTCGAGTAAAACCCAGTCAGAATATTGGCTTTGGTTTTTACTCCGAGGGAGTTGTGAGAAGTCGAGACTTTCGATGTTATTGAAGACATGTCCCGACGAAATTCAGCCTACAGGTGCATGATCTATACCCCGGATTGCATTCCAATTGGTGAAGGTGTTGATATCCATGGTCCCACAGGGAGATACCGGATTATTGAAATGGAAAATTCTTTATCGAACTCAAAGAGTGTCACTTCTCGAAACTCTCATTGGTCCCTGAGTGGATCTAGCCACCAACCTTGGCTATGCCCCTCCTCGCGCAAATACTCTACAACAAGGACGACCAAATTCAGCTGAAAAGTCATCAATGTTATAGAGAGTAAGAATGCCAAATTTCTCAAGGCTCAGAGACAAAAGATATGAACAGCGCTCAGAGCATTGAAATCTATCACGTGCAGACAGCAAGTTATGGCGGGGAGGAGGTAAAAGGCCAGTTCTACGGAGACTCGATTAAAGGGAACTCATTTACCTCTCTACTTGTGTGGGCCAACCACAGTGATCCAGAACGCGGGTTTTACCAGTATTGGTTACGAAGAAGAAAAAGGCTGCTTTAGGTTCTAGATGCAAATGGCGTAATACTTTTCTCCTTCACAATGTGACAACAGCCCGATTAGGCTTAGAATGTCTTAGCCACGAGCGATCAAAGTGATACAGGTCGGAAGAAACAAGATAGTGGGCAACAACACAGACGTTTGATAATTCCACTATCTATTCATTCATTCAACATTATTGTTCGTCGCTGTCCGGTTTCCCAAATTCTGCTGTTGATCCTCAGTTCAGGTGAGTAGTGGCGTGGAAAAGGGGCTTCGCTTAAATCCCATGTTTTCTTTTGCTAAGCGAACCCTTGCTATCCTTTCCCGCCCATGGGTCTGGCAGCCTCGGCCGAGATTGTGCTTTCTACCAAGCTTGCAAACAGCTGAGAAGCCGAAGCTTAGCAATTGCACTGTGCGGACATTGCTCCAGTGGATATATGATGCCTGGGATCCAATGAGCTCCCTCCCAATGTCCCACAAGCAAGGGGTGTCTCGCCAAGGTCGGCCTCCCTCGATAGATATCGCCTTGAATGATAGCTCAACAAATCGAACGTCATAACATCTTACTGGATCTGAATCAGTTTCTTCCATCCAGAGGGATTCACGCTGTCTTGAGGATCTTTGTGCAAAAGCCATGAGATTTCAAATAGCTGCACGTGATCTTTTCAACGCTGCAGCAGCTGTAACTTTGGTCTTGAGCTGGTAAACACTGAGCTCACCTCAATCCCTTATTTTGAGCATATCATTTTAAAGCCAGGAGTACTTTTCCGCTTCAAATTCCCGATAATTTTTCACAAGCTATGGGGTGGTGGGTCGATGTGGCGTTTCCGCCCTCGATCGTACCCGCAGCCACTCAAGCCGAACTGTTCCCTATGGATGATCCGCACAAACCTATTTATGCTCAGTACCAGCGACCGTAGTACAAGGGATGGCCAGTACCATGGCACCCTTACTGCAGGTGTGTTTCCGGGAGTTGCTCCGGAGGAGCCAGCCGCTTCCAAGAGCAGCCACTAACCCGACTGACAGCTCGTTATGCACGACCTCGATAATATTTCTAGCTGCTTCACAAAAGCATATTGTGCAGTTTTCAATTGACGCCGCGCATATTTTCTTTGAGATGAACTTTGTGAACAAAATAAACTTAAAGCCATCAACAAGAACTTTTTCTCTTTTCGTATTTGTTGCATCTAACAAATGTATCGAGCTCCTTTGTGGCAGCTATCCCACCTCGTCATTGGCATTCCTGCCCTTGCCTACATTCCCCTTTGCCCGCCATGAAAGTCTCGCCCCTTCGCACTGAATTCTTCGCGCAATCGTCAATCGATAAAGATAACATGGCAGACGTGCCCCGCGAGTCGTGCGGCTGGCTGCTTTCATCTCCATTCACAGCAATAGTTTCGAGGATGCATCTCAGCAGCCCACTGCGCTCCCAGCCGCTCTCAGCGTACGATGAAATGGCACAATACTATGTCGATTCTCGGTCAGACGGTTTTCAAGCCTCATCAGAAGACTTTCCAGACCATTGCTCCTTGTCGTTGTACAGTTCAGGGGAGTCCGACAGCTGGGTGATGGAAGATATGTTCGAATCATCACAGTTCAATCCATCCTACAACAGAAATCACTCCAGCTTTGGCAGCTCACTGTCACAACTAGAAGACGAAGAGCAGATCTGGCGCATGTGGGACGCGAACGAAGACAGTGTTTCCTCAGAGCCCTTGCTCTGCGTTTCCGAACCTGTCAAAGTCCGAGACCAGGAACAGCACGGCACGACTCGAAAGTTGCCTTCGCAGATCCAGTCTGATATCCTTCAGTCTCGCAAGGTACATCAGCTCCAGCGGTCTTCAGCTACTCGCTCGCCTCGTCGCACAACCCGTGCCCGAGTCGACCCAACGTCTCCTGTCGCCAAGACCACATATAGTGCCTTTCCACCTGAGACTCAATCAGTCCCTAAGGTTCAACGAGGTTATCATGGGAAATGTGCCTCTTTTCCGGCACCGACCGAGCCACGAATGAGGCCTCAGCGCTCCCGAGCCAACACCACACCGGCTCCATGTCCACCATCTCTTCACCAAGATATTTTCACATCAGATCTCAACAGCTCGGCGACTTCAAGTCACAAATCGCAAGATTCATCAACCTATCTTGAAATGCCGCTCTTCATGCATTCTGCTCCAGTGTCGCCTCAATACCCACCACCACCAGAGCGAGATCTCATGGACTTGATGGTCGAGACATCCCGTTTCTCTGATGACGAAGACGACGAAGACGAAGACCAAGAAGACGGCCCAGGCTTCGTTGTTGCAATGAAGTCTGTTTTGAATCTGAGAAGGAGCAACAGTAGCACCGACATCGAGAAACTGGCCGTCGAGAAAGCGAGGGTGAAGCCCTCACGGAGGAATCTGAGCGACACACTGAACTCTTGGTTCAAGAAGAAGAACCGAGCTACTTTGTGAGCCTTGCTTCTTGGCTTTGATGATGCCCCTGATAGATACATGTGGGACGGAATGAATAATGACGAGAGCATGAGGACTGGTATGCGGCATGGCGGAAAAGTTACTGATTCATGATTTACGAGATGTCACGATACAAGGTTGTTTCTTTTGTTCAATTTTCATTTGTTTTGATGATTGCGACGATAGAGGTCTTTCGGGGTCTAGCATACGGATGATGGGATGAATGTATGGGAGCAAGTGACAAACGAGGGACAAGAGACAATCGATCATATGATGATGACGAGAATGAGAAAGTATGGCCAACATGACGCTACTTTAGCTTCAGACCTAAACTGTAAATGTATCAAGTATGGTGATAATATAAAACTACAGTGTAGTGCTGTATCTCATGTCACACAAAAACCACAGCTGGACAGCATGATACCTCTCACCAGTACTCCAGAGTGGTCGCCGATTATGTCGCTCCATAACGTGCTACTTCACAGTCCTCATAATCATTTGATTGACCTAAGTAAGATACATTCTTGTATGCTGAATTTACTCAGCAGCAACTGTACCATTCACCTCATGCTGAGTCCTGTTGCTAGATTTAAGACTCTTGCGATCACATCGTAGCTTCATGAGATCGGGAAGTTACACGAGTTTTGAAAGCATAGTAAGTATCATTTACTGCAGAAGAGAACGCTATCTAAAGTATCATGTGAATATTATAAGTTCAATGCAAAGTTAAACTCTCCATGCGGCCCAACTCAGAGTGTGTACCCATCGTTTCCCATCCCAACGCTCAGCCACTAGATGAAATTTTGTGTTTGCTTCATCCCCAGAACAAAACATCCTGCACCTGAGGTTGCAATGTTTTCGCCACCATATTTGCCTAATCTAATTAGTTAAACGTGCAAAATGAGGTTTAAAAATTCACAAGCAAAGTCCTTCAGATGTCTAAATGCATATGCGCAGACATCTGTTTCCAAAGTTCGTGGGTACTTGTTAATTCTGCATGCCTCATCAGATTTTCCTTCGAAGAAGGGTGCAGCCACGGCTCGTAATTCCATAAGGGCAAGTCCCCCATATGTGATTCTAACCACATGTGGATCAGAGCCTGGCTCTCCTTCTGCAGGCTTGTTGAACTGTTGCCAGGTATATGAGCGCTTGCAGAATTCCATGAGCGCAGCTTCAGCCAGACCTGAGCTGATGGCCAATCTAAACGCAGTGGGAGTCAGTAAGTATTTACAAAGAATCATTTGAAATTCGTCCTAGGAACATCCTGCCACGATTAAAAATGAATAAAGCAAGTTTGGCAATAACTTACTGATCCTCAAATTGATCTGACTTGAAGCACTTTTCATTGTTGATCGACGTTGGGGGAGGTGGAGGGCTTGTAGGCTCAGGGGGTGGAGTTGTGATGGAGGTGGGCTTTGGTGACGAATTAGGAGAAATCTGGGACATGCTGAAGCTCATGCATCCATTGTGATCCTCTGTGGCCCATCCCAGTTGACCTCCTGTGGGACCTATGCCTTGTCAGTAAAACATGTTTGGGTGGTCAAAGAGAGTAGACCCACATTCAGTGAACAACCGAGAAAAGGCCTTTTCGCATTCATCCGCAGTCAACGAACGAGGATATGTGCCACCTGCACAAGCAGAACCAATCTCTTCATTAGGACTGATCTGACCTGATGAAACTCTCCTATCACGGGTAAAACTATCCCATACTGCCGGTGTAGAAGCACCTTTTACATCGCGTGGAGGCTGTCCTTTGGTGTCCCAGGTATACGTGCGACCGCAGAGTAGAGCGACAACCTCTGTGGCACCTTCTAGGACCATATCATTACCATCGAGGCAGGTCGATCCAAGGTAACCGGAGAAAGTACCAGTACCTAGAAATGAATTCAGTACATAAGTTCCAAGCATTACCACACATTGGTCATTTCAGAGGTATCTATGGGTTATGGGAGGTGAAACTTACTAACTGGTAATGCACTTGTGGAAGTCTTGGAAGCAGTCAATGCAGAGCGGACCGAAGCAAGACTGGCACTAGATAGAGAAGCAAGACTGGCGCGGGATACAGAGGCCAGGCTTGCGCTCGATACCGATGCAAAGCTAGCTGATGATACCGAGGCCAAACTGGCGTTGGATACTGATGCGAGACTAGATGATGCTTCAGGATCTGGAGTGTCTGGTCGAACACAACTGCTTCCAGTTTGTCTCTTGGCGGAAGCTGGTGCTTGGCAGACCGGATTACCAGCTTTATCTAGAGGAATTTCTCCATTGTATAGAAGATTTGCTCCGACGCCAATGACTCTCTGACGTGCCAACTGTTGAACGTATGATCGCGTGACCAGTGTCCAGGCAGCAGTAGGATTTGCCTTCGCAAGTGCATCCATCTTGTTGAAGTGCTTCTGCACACCCATAAAATATGCCAAAAGACCAGACACCATCGCAGCCGCTAGAAAACATGTGAGCAAGTTTGAAGTAATCTACAACACTTTCTAAAGTGTATGGGCAGACTTACCGGTAGATGTTGCTCCATCCTCTACCACAAAGGAACCAGAGGCAACTGCGCATGCTGATCTCATCTTGTACGCTGGAGCCCAGACACTGACACCCGAACCTGGAAAACCCTGAGCAGGTTGATATTTGCTATCCCACCATGCATTGCCGTTGATTGATGCTCCACCCACAACAATAATGTCAAAGTCCGTTGCCCACTTAGTATACTCGCTCACGAGGCGGGCATCATAAACGCCCTGGTCAGAGTCAGCAAGGAGCTTCGAATTGATACTGACAGGTGAGACCCACGTTCATATCAAGAGCATCATTTCCAGCACTAACTACAATTGTGACTCTCATGTTAACGAGCTCTTTCATTGATGCGTACATTGAGTATACTACGTCTCCTGGAACAGGCAGTTTATCAAGCCCGACCTCAACCCCATTAGATAGGTTCAAAATCGATTGTTTTGGGACGCCTTTCTGTCGGACGTCAGCGAGTATGAGGTTAAGTCCCTCTTCGAGACAAGAAATGCGGTTGAAATATTCATCGAACACTGGAGTAGTGAGCCCATAGTCAATCATTTCTTGTTGGTTTGGGATCGCTTGAGGCTGGCGAATAATCGTAAGAGCTACTTTCTTCGAGACACCAAGCTCCGGGCCGACTATTCTGCTGATCATACCTGTACCATGACTGTCAAACTCATCAGCATCAGTGTAAGTTCCTGAGGAGGCATATATGTAAGGCTCAGCAAAAGTCGATGCTTGTGGGGAGCCTGGCCAGATCCATGCTGGTTCACCAATAGTTTGCTTGAGCTGGTCATACAACTACAAACATCAGTAGATATCAGTTGATACTTCAAGATACGTACTGGATGTGATGCGTCAAACCCGGAATCCATGACATATACTCTGGCTGGTAAAGTCTCAACGTCATGGGCATAAGTGCTAATCAGATTACTGTCAACACCAGGAGGCTGGGAGACTAGTTTCAACGGGTCATCATCAGTAACTTGCTGAATAACTGTATTAGCTCGTTTCTTCAGATCTCCCTTGAACAATGCCTCTCTGCTAGCAGTTGAATTTCTTCTTGAAATTTTACGATGTTTTCTAAAGCGGACTTTTCTCTCGAGGTCCGAAAGAGGATGGATGCTCAAAACCTGCAAATGTCAGCTTATGTGCAGGAATATAGTGACACTCAGACTAACCGCTGGCTCACGCTTGTAAGATTCAATCTGCGTATCATTCAACTTCTGGATCCAAGACCCAGTGAAAATTTCGTTGCCCGAAACATGTAACGTGTCTGGATCGGTTTCCACTTTCAACTTGGCAGTGAACTCATTGATGATATCCATTCCGACGTCTCTCTTTGCTGTAATGAAGTATGCAGTTTGTGTAGGAGTCGCTGAAGTCGTAGTGGCAGTTGTAGAAGAGTGCCCAGTAGCGGAGCATTCTGTCTCCGCCGAGCATGTTGTAGAAGTCATCGTGGTAGTCGAGCTACCATCAACTTTTACTGTAGAGAAGACCGTGCATGCCGATACCATTGAAGCTTTGCAGGAGGATGTTGAGCTGGAGCTGGAGCTGGTGGCCGAGGTGGTGGATGTCTGGTCTTTCTCCTCGTTTTCCTTATTTGGTTCGTCGTAGACCGGAGGCTTATCCTTGTGGTGCTTGTGACCCTTCTTGCAGAAGAAGACGCACTAAGAAAATGTATATCAAGTCAGTCACGAGTTTTTTGACGTCATTGCGGGACAGCATAATAGCTGGTGAATGATGTTGAATGTTTTATGTACGAGAGGATTGGAGTGGACTTGGCATCAGATACTCACCGGAAAGTGAAGCTTAGGGATCTTTGGAAACTTTGGGAACGGGATCGGTGGGAACTTGAAAATAGTGTTGAAGAAATAGTCCACGCCGTCAATGATCGTAAGTAGGCTCGTGCAGTCTCGACATCCAACGATGATTGGGAAGAAGATGAGATGACCGTCGCTGTTTGTGCTGCTGCTCCAGGTGTTGGTCGTGTATTCGTTGTTGCTTGAAGTTCTGATTGTGACTCCAGGAGGAAGTGTGGTCATAACAGATGTGACCTTTGGCTCATAGAAGGTGAACAGGCAATCAGGAAAAGGATATCTAGAGAGGAGTTGCGAGTACAGATGATGAGCACTTAATAGTAAAAAACAAAAGACACAATGGAGATTTACAATCAAACAATAAAGCTAGAGAACGTATCCAATAAATCCTTCAAATCAGATTTCATATATAGAGCTGGATGGGTTGGAAAACTGAACAAAAAAATAGCCAGAGATGTTTTCCTCAGCGCCTAAGGGTACTTAATTCATAAGACATGGGATACTATCATCGGATAGTAGCTTTGTGTCATATTCTTCACAGCTGGAAGCATTCCTAGTTGTCTCGCTGTGGTCTTTCGTCTTGCTCCTACTGCCTCGAAATTCGAATCGCCATTCGTGTACATCCGGGATCGGATTAAAACCTTGTGTGGCGAAAGACTTCCAGGTTGTGGCAATGATAACTCCGTTGTTTCAAGTTCTCAGCCTAATCACCCTTTAACGTTTTATCCGACGTCCACCTTAGGTGGCACGGAAATTCTCAATATCCTTCTCAGAGTAAAAAGCTTCTTCTGTTTACTTCTCATATGCTTTGATAACTGTTTCCTTCTACGCTCTCTAGAAATCGAAAAAAAACTGACAAACCTGAGTTCTCAGCATTCATGCTCATTGAAATTTGTTTGCCTTCATCATGAACAGCCATGATGAAGATGTTGATAATCGATCATAATCTTATTAGGTCTACGAAAGTAATATTAGTGACCTGAAGTCTTGGGGTACCCTGGTCTGCCACTTTGCTGTCCTGGCTAACCTCCTCACCGGAGTGAAAGAATGAACTAAATGGTGGCTCCTGCTTAGAATTAGAGACAGAATCACAATAACTATTCTCCTCTTTTGGGGATACGATTTTTGTGTGCAGGTTGATCTTCTTCCTGGTCGTTTGGAACTCCCTGTCCGAATATATTGCTTCAAAGTTGTTGAGACCAATCTGATACTTGCTTATAAAACATTGGAGTACAGCGGTAGGGATCGGTGCAAATGACCTAGAGTGAGAGCTGTGAGCGTTGCCACCTATGGTGACGCTCATTGGAGAGAAGAGCTGGAGCATGATCTATCACGAATGTCTCAATGGCCAATTCAGGTAATGCTGGAAAGTGTTTGTGCGAAGTGGACATCATCACCAGTGTTTAGAATAGTACTGCAGTGCATTGCGTTGAGATTTGGAAGAGTAGATGAATATTCATTGGAAGTTCTGTTTAATTTTTGGGATTTAAATATCCACAACTGAATAATATCGAATTTGTGGTGGTACTATCATAAGAACCAGAAGTGGGAGGTCTTTGTTCGTGTTATGAGCCTAGAAAAGTGGTTCAACCACTCAAGTATCGGTACATTGAGGAGATTTATATGTATTACGTGAGTCGAGAGCTTTCGTTTTGGAAGCGCTCGAGCTCTATAATAGAGTAAGCTTCATGTTGTCCACTCAACTGCCGTATCAAACACATCTATAGCGAGATCCTATAATTAAGCGAAGAACGCTGAAATTTGAATGCCTTGTTCTTGTCCAGGCAGCCTTAGCGCCTCGCTTCAGCGCCGTGCCCTGGCAAAGTGTGTTTTCGGCAATTGAGGGGATATATATTTCTGGCTGTAAAAGTGACAGAAGATGGCAGACACGCTTCTACGGACGTGGAGGCTTCTGAAAATTCCGGCGAATCAAGTTCAATGTACATGATATTGTCATTTTTATCAAGTTCAAAATGGCCGGCCGTTACCACCGACTAATAAAGAGAAGTTAATCAGAACATACGCTAGATGGGATAAAAGTGCTTGCCTCTGAACTATAGAGAAACCACAGATTGCATGACTTGACTTTCGCATATGCTAAATTTAAAACATCCCCGCCACCTCAGCCACCAGATGATGTTTCAGTACTCCACTTCAAAAATTGTGCTCATTCTGAAAGAACATCACCACCGTGGGGCCTACATGAGGTCGAAAAGGGGGCAATGTGGTGATTGTTTTTCTCCACTCTCGCTTGATCGGGAGAAGCTTGGCGGTGCGGGGTCAATCGACTACGGGGTAAATATGTGCAAATGTGATCAACCCGCAATACCCTACCCTTCAACATTATTACTCGACAAAGTATCGCAATAAGAGATTAATATTGCCTTTGATTGGCGCGCTGGAATCTATCATTTCCAGACTTCTCAACCAGTAGTCTCCACCTGCTCTGGGCCGTTTGCTGAAATCCCCACCAACTGCGAAGACAGCTGTGCTCTTGACAATCACTCGAAGGCAATCTCATTGCGCTCGATCATCACCATCAACGGCTTCATTCTTAATCCTCCACTCGTCCAGCAAACCTCTGAAATCAGCTGATTTATAAGGCGACAGGATTTCTCTCCATCCACCTCCTTTGCGGAGGTCGTTCAACCCAAGATCTCGGATTAACATCGACATGTACTGTAAAGAGTCAGTTTTGCATAGATGTTAACTCTTCGATTAATTTGGTAAGAGGAAGGTATGCAAAGAGATAATATGAGAAAGTGACTCACAGGAAGCTGTTCATAGATGAAAGTATATCCGTCGCCCACATATCTCCTTCGTCGCCAAGCTGTTGCAAGAGCAACCTCATCTCTCATTTTCTCGTCACCAGGAAGAGACAAGCTCCCACTCAGATACGCAGTAGCCCATAATGCCTGTACTTCTGCCACAAGGAAACTTTGCGTCGTACCAATAGTTCCCAGAAAGACAATGGAGCGATCCTCCTGATCTGAAATTGGTGCAATATGTCGATAAAGTCTACCTGGTGTAGCCTTTGGTGTATGATGTGGGAAATTAGGCTGGACTGTCAATCGGGGGAACGCATCCGTGACAATCTTATGTGCTTCAGAAATGCGAGCTTCCCAAACCTCGACATCTTTTGCCTCAACAGTGTCGGGCAGGACAGGTAATCCCAACTTCTTTGCCAGATCATCCTTGAAGAAAGGATAAATATTCGACCAGCCAGTTGCAGTGACCACAGCATCGCACTCGACTCGCTTGCCACTTTTCAGCAGTACTTCCTTGCCCTCCATACTCACCACGTCGTCTCGCAATGCATTAGCTGTCGCAACAATATCCCACAGTCCTTCTTTGTTATACACCGCTGCACCATCACTGAAGTAGAACACCGGACGGTCAGGGGTCAGATTTCGCATACTGTCACTCCTTCCATACCCGGCAGTCTTCCTCCACATCCCATCGATGGCACTCCATATCATGTCAACTAATTTGATACCAATCGAGTTGCAATGGAAGAACCGTGTGAGGCCATCCAGTGGTTCGAAGATACAAGGACTCATCTTAGACACCAGTCTCGTGGATATTATCTCATGGCTGTTAGAAAGCGGCCATGGTGCATCCGGGTTCGCAGGGAGAGCTGGACCCTGGCCTGTCGTGCGGATGGCCCATGTTATGGACTTTTTGAGCGAGGAGAGGAGGACAACTGTATCGAATGCGGATTTGGAACCACCGATGACAAGAACAGATTTGATTTCAGGTGAGGAGAGGAGAGGTGTGTTTGCTGCTAGATCACGGGTGTGGATTATGGGCGGTTTGAAATCTTTGATTGGGAAAGATGGGATGTTGGGTGTTGAGGTAAGACCCGCTGCAATTATGAGTTTCTTGCAATTAAACGTCTTCCCAGTGGATGTTTCCACATTCCATGACTTGTTCATTTTCGTGATGTTCGAAACTGGCGAATCGAAGATGATCCGATCCTTGATCGTCTTTCCAGCAAATGCTTTGTGCATCGAAAACGCTTCAAGATACAAAGTGACGTGATGGCCAGGAAACAAGTCATAAAATGACTCTTCTTTCGGTGGTGATGGCATAGGATAGCAGGAATATCCAAGCATGTCTGCCGGTGTCTGGGTCATCATCGTTGGATAGGTGCGAGATTTGGACCACACTCCCCTTCGGTAGTCAGAAATGTTTCGCATATTTGGAGAAGACATACCCGAGATCAGGGCCAGCTTCAAGAACCGTAACAACATCATCAGGATTAAGTTCAAGCCAAGTATAAGCAGCAATGAGACCGAACGGACCTAGTCAAATCAGCCGCATGTCTGGAGTCGGATCAATCCATCTCACCAGCTCCCACAACAATTAGATCTTTCGTCGCCATCTTGATACTTTTTCAATACAAATCTCCTGCATGTAATCGAAAGTTGAAAGCGGGGATGGCATTCTTTTAAGGTTGGAAATCTGGTTAAACTAGTAGGGCTGGAAGCTCCAGATGTCAGTCTCACCTCAGCTGAAAGTCCGCACCCCTGCAGATCTGGAGATGTCACTTAGCGAACGCCTCAGTTGAGCGTCGTTGCTCTTGCCGAATCAATTGGCTTGTAGAAAGCCACCAGTGCGGGCATGACCAGGCCACCCTGCCATCGTTTCTTGGCAACGATAGCAAGTAGATTTCCTATCGAAATTCAGCATAGTCACAACTATGAAAGAGCCTGTGGAATATGGGTCCAAAAGCTTCCGTAAGCCAGTCTATAATCAAATTTGAGCCAGAGATCCATGCCGCTCTTTCTAAGCTGTAGCCACAAGCTGGAGACTGTATTGAGGAAGTCTTCTCCACCAGGTAGTCGTTCTCAACCATAATTCAGGGTATTGAAAGTAGGATGCAAAATGTCGACATCAGTCTTCCTTCTCCGAATGAAACTTCTTAGTCTCAGAAAATGTGCCTCTAATCAATATTTTTCTCCATTTTACTCCTCCGAAGTACAAAACCCAGCAACTCAATCAACGATAAACAGCTCTCCTCTCACCAGCCGATATGCGTCGCGGGAGCAGCGGTCTCCTAGCCTCTTCTTCCACCACAAAATCTTCCTTCCTTTGTCTCCCATCCTGTAATTTGGCAGTTATCCCACAGACAAGTCCCGCAATCCAAGGAGTCCTTTTAAGAAGTCAGCTCGACGTCTTCCAAGGTGATCGTCGCCATTCATAAACATGAGAACCCAGCTTCAGAGTAAATCTTCAACGCACGGAGCGAACAGTGCAAGATCAGGCCATGCAAGAGCAACAAAAAGACAACACAACGTACCAAAACCCCACCAAACCCCCAATCGTCTCTCTCCTCTGCTCCTGGGTTCTCCAACTGCCTAAGTGCGGGATACAAACCCTGTGGTCTCCCGGCCCAGGACTTCCTGCGCAACCAACGTAGATCCCAAAAGCCGTAGCCGCGAAAGCGACTTTGAAGATCTGTAGCCCGAGCCATTTGTTGACTTCGAGATGTGAATTGGCGAAGAGGCAGATCTCGGCAACGATCGTGATGAGGATTATTAGTGTGAGAACGAAGAAGGCGTACCAGAGTCTGAAGAGCCAGGGAGGTTAATAGATGTGGTCATGGAATGTTGAGGTGGTGAAGGAAGGGGAGGGCGAAGGATACCTCATTTCCCTGTTCTTGTAATCTGCGGAAATTGTTGATCCCATTATTTCTGCCATGATGATGACTTCCATGCAACTATTTACGAAAAAAAATTATCAGCTAGGAACGCCATGACACCAAGAACTAACAAGTCCTCTCCGTACCGCCCTGACTGTCTTGCTGCACCATATCCGGTTCTTTCCTGCCCTTTTCCACCACCTTTCACTATCTCATTCGCGAACCAGATCCGAAAACAAATCACCAAAACACAATTTCACGTCGAAAACTAACAAAAATCATACTCACCAACAAACAATGAACTGCCAACTCCAAACAAAATGCAATATGAGCGCATCGCGCTCCCACCGCATCAGACCATCGCGTTGGTGAGGATGGAGCGTGAAAGCCATTCTTCCCCTCGCACCCTCTACCTGTTTTCTTCGTCTTTCTAAAGAGCCGAGACTTGCAAGTTTGCCGAAATGAGATATCAATGCCTTTGGCGATGCAAGTTATGAAGTGTCATGAGAGGGTAAGGAGCAGTTGGATCGTATGAAAGAAAGTATGAAAATCTGTTGAGACCCAACCTGACCCAGCTTGAGATGACACGCACCACATGTCGATAATCAGGTACGTCCGGAGTATTCGGCGGGTGCCTGGTCCAGATCTGGCTGCATCCCATGGTGGTGCCACGTGTTTCGACGTTTTAATTGGGCTGGCGGACGGGTATGTGAAGCTTGTTGGTTGCTATCAGGAATTGGTAATGAAGACGATTGGGTAGATGGTTGCGTTAATGGGTGATGGTGGTTGGATGAATTTGGGGCCTAAAGTTGGCTGGAGCTGGAGCTGAAACCGGACCAGCCAGTTGGTTGGAGCAATGGACCGGGTGTAGAATTCTGAGGAAGCCAGGAAATCAAACGTTGGTAAGCCGCCTGATAATAAAAACAGTATAATAATTAAGAAACAAATGTTTCCAGTTCTACCTTCTTCCAAGGTGTTACAAAAGGTGTCCGCACCATCTGCTATGAGACGTGTTATTTTGATCATATCGAGACAGAACAGGTTGGAAGCGAGGAATTAAACCATGGATAAAGAGCAAAAGCCAGTTATCAATTTTTACACCCATCTCCACGCAACTATATTCAGTCCACACGCAGTCGCCTACCTGTCTCGCTCTTTGTCTATCTATACAATCTATTCCGTCCAGTTCCCAAACACCTGAAATCAAAGCCCAGACCCAGCTCAATCTCCCAAACATGCAAATTCCAAAGCGCATACCAGCATCCATTATCCATTAGCCGTGATCATGTCCTTTCATGTTCGTGTCCGGTCCCATAGCACCATAAACCCATCAAAGCATCGCTCGCTAAATGCATCAAAGCCAACCCACATCGCTCCTTGATCATCTGTGATCATCTCCATGACACCATTAATCATTAACTCCTTTCGTTTTCCCAGTCTATGGTTAGTATATACTTACTCCCTCACACTCTCTCATCCATTCAATCTCTTGTTTGAGATCACCCCTCGATCTCTGTCGTTCATCTCCCACCCAAAATAACCACCTCCTGCGCCCCTCTTCTCCCCAGTCTCCCCACGCCCAAACACTCTGCCCCAGCTCTCCCCATATAGACCCCAAACGCAAACCTATTTCTCTCACCCCTTTTGTTGAGCGGGCCCCTCGTCTTCTCACCCATCAGCCTAGTAACAAGATCGCTCTTGGATTTCGGCTCATGGAAAGCCGAATCATCAAGAATCCGACTGGCATGCACAAAGCTGAAGATCTCCGCGAGACAGGAGACGCCGTGCGGGAGCTGCATTTGGTAGCGATTGGGGATGAGTAGGAGGAGGGCGAGCAGGTAGAGGATGAGGAGCGCGAGAATGATGTAGAAGGATGGTAGATTCGGGATCATGCGAATCTCCATGGCGGGATTAACGAGTGGGAAGAAGATTCCGCCGGCGAGTACAGGGATCAAGATGAATAGTGTGGAAAGGAGGGACATTAAAGCTACACGATAGTGGCTGTTACTCAATGCTTTGAGACTGCATGCGACTGGTAGCGAGGCCGGATAGTCGAGGAGAAGCGAATTCTCCGCCGTCGCGCCAGCTGGTCGTCCGAGTTCGACCCAAGGTTGCAAGACTCGGAGTGCCATGTCGAGAGGCTGGAAAAACAGATAAAGCAGCATGCCGATAACAGAGGGTATAAAACTGTACAAGAAGTTTGCTGGAGAATACCCAGCCGAATCTGGTAATACAGACACCAGAGGCGGAAATCCCCTCCGGATGGCGGTGGAAGGTAAAAATGAGAGGATGAATAACGCCAGGAGGAAGATGAATGCTGCAACGGCCCAAAAGATAACGAACGTATCTTTGAGGAACCAAGGGATATATCGGAATCGTGTGTCGGTACTATAGAGTTCCGCTTTCTCAACATCCCATGCTGTCTCGGGCTTCTCGTGAATCTTCCCGGCTTGCAAAGTGTATTGTCGGGTTGAAGCTCCTTCTTCACCAATACAGTAGAAGATTCCTCGCTCTCGATTTGGCGTCCTCCAATATCCCAATCGGTCGCTTCGAAGCGCCAACTTGTGTCGGATATCCTCCTTGTTTCTCATAATGTCCGTACCAGGATAATCTCTCAAGCAATTACTCCTGGGTAACAACGCAATAACATCGGCTAAAGACCGAGGATCCCACATTACACCCGTGTTCCTCCTGAAGAAAAACAACGCTGTGATGGCTCCCGCGAGCATCATTAGGAGATAAATGGCTACAAGCGTCCAGGCGACGCCCTGGACAGCAGTCCACTTCCAGACTCCATCAACATTAATGACGGAGAACAAACACCCTTGCAATGGAATCGTAAAAATTGACAACCAAAAGAACGAGTTCGCAATGTCGAGACTGATGGGCCCGTCCCATTTAGGCCATAACATCGTTCGAGGGAAAACACCGAGGAATAGAGCATTCGCGCGACTCTCGGCATCATGCATTGCCATCATCGTATACGGCATTATTCTTGTAATAGCACCCATAACACATTGTACGTACAGAAACACGCAGGCGGCCACAATTTGCGGTAGGAATGAGAAGACGAAATATCGGCCTCCATATATACCAGCAATCCACTCGGTAAGACCATCATGGTACGTCGAGAAAATGGCGCAGAACATGAGCGCGGCTGTCATTAAGAGGCATAAACATGAGAGCGTGATCATTGAGATGGGTCGTAAAATCGTGGGAACGAATGTGAGGTCGGGGTGGCGGAAAGTATTGTTTGCCAATTCGACTGGAAGGAATATTTCGGGATCGGATGGTCGTCTAGGAGCGAGGTTCAATTGTGAGGGCTGGGAGTGGACAGAGAGTGGCCTGGTAGCGTTGAAAGCAAAGAGACGTCCTTCGGCGGGTGATGAACGATGCTTCCTGACAAGTCTCATCGCTTCTCTTTCCTGCTCTGCACTCATATATCCCAGCCCATTATCTGATACCAGTCGCTCGACAGGGTAGGATTCGGAACTTGCAGGCGACGAATGTCGCTGTAGAGGCCGAATATCCTGGTCTCGAGTCAACTGATCAATTGCGAATCGGATATATGGCGTGTCGTCGACTGGTGTTGGCGGACTTGAATCCATTGACAGTGCATCCATCTTCCCTTCCCGCTTCGAAGCTTCAGCCTCGATGCTCCTGATCTGCTCCTCGTCGAATCGCACAACCAGGGGAGTTTCGGACGCATATGCTCGATCATTTGCCCCAATCGAATGTCGGTAGTCGTCTGGTATGATTGTAGCTTCGCTGCGAAGGGTATCCTCACTTCTCTGTGGCTGTGGTGTGTATGCTCGAGATGGAGGAGTGAGCCATCTTACGATCGTCGTGGGATCGGAGACTGTCGAGGTGAAGGAGGGCGAGCGATCTGCTTCGAGCCGGACATCGAGAGGAGTGACGGGTCGTTCTGATGTAAGTACTCGTTGCACCTGAGGGCGGCTGTCTATTTTGTTGTCAGCGGCCATACATACGAACTAGACAGCGCATCAAGAGGCACTTACGATGCACCAACTGGACGTCTAAATCTCCAAGATTCATTTTGAATGGTTTTCCGCCTATTGCATATGCAGCTCGATGGATAATGCATGATAGCGGTCGGCTTTAGACTGTATATCAGTCTGTTGAGTGGCTAGGAGGCGAGCTGGGATGTTGATGGGAAGGCTGGTGAGTGGAGAAAAGAAGGTGGCAGGCCGCACATCATCAGCCATCGCAATAATTTTTCTTCCATGTCAAACGCACCACCCAAGTAAGGTTTGTGATGACGAGAAACATCACAAGTGATACGAAATATTTCATGGGGCAATCCAGCCATTTTGTAGATCTGGCAGGTTTGTGATATATTTATTTCGAGTGATCACACATCGCGACCACAACGTTGGGTTTTGCGCCTATCTAAGCGGAGCTCGCCCGCTTGGTGCACAGACTGTAGGGCGAAATAAACAGTTCTAAATGGTCAAGCAGGCTTGAGTTTAGAAGTTGGTCGATGACGAGAGATATAGATATATGATACTTCAACAAATGTTGATTAATGCCAGATCCAGCAAATGCACAACCATTGAGCATCATAAAGGCTTCCCGTAGCCGACAGGTTCGCTTCAGCCCCTTTTATGATGCTGCAATCATAACAAACAGAACCACAAAGCGAATCGCCTGAAAGATAAAGCGAGAACTCACTAGATATTGTGTAGCAAAAGCTCACTTCAACCATATCAATATTTTCCTCGGATTATATCACCTAAGTTAGCTCTCAGTTCCAAGTCAAGTCAATAAAAATAAGCATTCGATCCACTGGAATTATGTTCATCACAATCCCCTCTACAAACAGCACAGTTCGCATCTCCCTCCATTACTCAGGAATCATCTTCTCTAAAAACCCACACATATCTCTAAACATAGCCCCGGAAGCCGTATGGCCCAAACCCTCATACTCGTGACTTTCCAAATTCTCCTCCCCAATCGTGTACTTCACCCTCTCCCTCGCATCCCTAAAAATCCTCATAGGAACTAACATATCCTTTGTCCCATGCCCGATAAAGACCTTCATATTCATCTTCCCATTTCTTCCATCTCCACCATTACTCTCCTCGCCATCCTTCTGTTTCTCTTGCCCCTCAATCCTCCCCTTCCTCAGACTCTCCCTCCCTTCCCACGCCCTTCTTCCCCCAGGTAAATATCCACTCAATCCAACCACACCTCCGACTTCCCCCTTAAACCTCCCGGCCAATCCAACCAAGAAACTCACCGCACACCCCTGACTAAAACCTCCAACCACTACTCGTCCTAGCTCAACACCTCTTTCCAACTCCTTCTCAATCAGCCCCTCTACATACTTCACACTCTCCCAAATCTCATTTTCGCTCTCAGGAGAATCAGTAAATTCGTTCTCTTGTTCAGGAGATTCTTGAGAGGCGGAAGGAGAAGAGGAAGAGCCGACGGGGATGGGCGAGAACGACGTGGGTGTGTACCATGCGGTGCTATTAGCTTCGTGGTTGTGGGGTGCATTGGGGAAGATCCATTTCAAGTAGGGGAGTTTGTGAGCGGCTTGAAATTGATGGGCGATGTCTAATAAAAGGTTAATCTTGTCATCCAATATGAATGGTGGAAAGGATGTAGTCCCTCGGAAAAGGCAGAAATCGAATTGCTCATGAGGGCAGTTGGGAAGGGTTGCTCAGGCTGAATTGGCGGAGGGCGGAAACACTCACTGATGAATCCATCAGCATCATCTCCAAATCCATGCAAGAAAATAAATGTTGCTCTCCTCCCAGCATCTGAATTTTCTGCTTCCACAATCTGAGGTTCTTTCTGAGGAGGTGGAGCCATATCTCGTACTTCCTAGCTATCCTCACTTCAACGAATAACCGCTGAATCAGAATCCAAGACAGTGAAGAACTTGCAATCAACCAAATAATGAGACAAAGATTTCACCAGGAAAATAGTATAGACTCTCAAACCACCTGTTGTCACTTTCAACCAAGCTCAATAATCGAACTGAACAAACTGCAAGTACAATCAATTGAAGAGGGGTAGCTTCGCCAAAAACCAAGCTCCATCCCAGAAAAACATCAACCCCGCACCCCTCGGCTCGGTTCCATCTCGCAGGGACCAGGCCAAGGACAAGCGGAAGCTCTCCCCTGTTCCGCAGCATCAAGCTCCACCCTTAGAACGGTGAACTCCGCCGCCGCCACCAAGCCGGGAGCCTGAAAGTTTAGCGGAGGGCAGTGAGTGGAGATCTTCGCTCAGGCGCAAGCAATAGAGGGCAGGACGGGTAAAGCGCTCAGATGTATTTTTGGAGCTGGGATTTTGTACTAGGATTTGTCCCTTGGTTCAGAATGTTTCATGTTTTTGATGTCATGGGTTTTGGGGATTGAGGTGGCTGGAGGCTGGGGTTTGGTGGACCGCGGAAACCTGTTGGAAGCCGGAAATTGGAACAGTGACATGCTGGAACTGTTGTTGTAGGCAGTCAGGCAAGTGAGTCAATGTTGGACACTGAAGTGATTGAGTTTGTGAGCCTGACACTCAGGTGCTGTGCAGCGAAGGGTTGTGCGTAGGTTTGGATAATTGGAGGCTGGGACTGACACTTATCCCTCAACTGGTCCCTCGACTCCAGGACTTTGAGTTAAGGGCAGCTACCTTTTCCCGCCCTATTATTCAATTGCACATCTTCCAAAGGGAGCAGATAAGGGATAGATATCTCGCTTGCCAGAATGTTGGACCCTCAGACCCTGCCCTGCCCAGGAAGAGAGATATGCGATCATGCTTAAGAAAAGGTGGAAAGAGTGATGCATTTTCATTGACAATGATATTCTTCGATATAAAAGTCGAAGCCCCCAACTCCTGGTATCCCAATGCATTAATGCATATGCACAAGCTAACCACCAAACACAGCGCTTCTTCAGCCCTAGAGACTAGACTACCGTAATTCTCTCCTAGCACCACCCTCCATCTCAAACGTATTTCCATCATGATGCTGTATCAACACACTCGGCACTGGGGGGCTCATTCCTGCGCCCATCCCCAAATCACCCCCTGAAGTTCTTCTATATGCCTCAAACCTCGGATCCCTCTGATGATTATAGCTCAACCTCCTCCCTCCTCCATCCGTCCTCTGCTGTTCCACGTCACTCACCGTCTGCTGTCCATACCCTTTATAAGGTTCTGGATTCGGGTATGCCGGGATTGGCGCTGTGGAGTATTGTGTGAAGTCTGTGCCTTGAGATTGTGGTGCGTTGTGGAAATGCGGATTGTTGACGGGCTTGTATTGACGACCTTTCCGGAAGCGGTGGTAGATTATGGAGGCGTAGATCAGAGGAAGCCAGAAGGAGAGTCTGAGAATCACCAATAAATCAGTTCTTTGCGCTTCTAAGATATGGCTGGGCTTGGGGAGACATACAGTAAAGCTGCCTCGATCAAAATCGCAACTGCCGACGCTGTTCGTGAAGTAGACGTGTTCACCGCAGATATGATATCAATTACGAACAACACTGCCCATATCGCAGACTTCAGGATGTTCGTGATGAGGAATGTAAGGGGCTTGAGGCTCTTTCGTGCTAGCAGGACGATTTCTGTAACGGTGAGAATGAGACATGCTGAGATCAGTGCGATCCAAACTGGGCCGACACTGTAAATGTGTGTTAGTGACTGATCACAAACTGAGGGCTGGAGTTGGAGAGGCATACACTTTTCCAGCCTTCTCGATTGTATCTTCGTCTGAATCGCTGTAGTAGAAACTGTCGTTATTGTCATAATGCACCAGAACACCGACCGCCAACGAAAGCAGCGCGATCATAATCAACTCCAGCCCCAGTTGGATCGTCCAGAAGGGGATGAGGATTGTTTTCCGCCATGGCGCATGGGAATGGTCTGCAGGAATCATCGTTTCGGTATCGCAGTGTCGTGTACTATCCCTCCTAGCCAAAGAAAGTCGGAAATGCGGTGCACGCTGCCTGGTTTTCGTTTGTCCTTCGTCTGGACAACGCAGCTCGTCGTCTCGCGGGGCACAAGAAGATAACGACAATTCCGACTGTGCAAAACAGAGCAAACAATAGAAATCAACTTAGCTTAGATGCGCAGCATACCGGGCACAGCAAAGCTCCACTCCATGGCGGCTGAGACTGCAGCCTTACCTCAATTCATCTGCACGCACTCTCTGCCGTGCCATCGTGCTCATCAACCTCATCTCGTTGGTCGCCAGCAAGCCACTCTCCCATTTGAGCTCCCTCAAACAACACCAACCTTTACCTCGCCACAAGCAATTTGCATAACTGGTCAAATCTCCTAATGATTCGACACAGCCTGCGGCTGTCCCTAATCGAGTCAAGACTCACATCAATTCCTCATTGCTTGGTGGTTTCTGTGCCGCAAAGCTGAGAGTCGAAATTGAGATGAACCTGGGAACCTTGGGAACAGAATGCTCGCTTGTGGCCGCTGGAACGGCGTGTAACCAGTCATAGACGCGGAAAAGCGCCTCGAAGCTAGATATGCTTAAATTAGCCTCCTTGGCGGCTGTGAGCGCGCTGGCAGGATTGGTATCCTGGTTTGATGGCTGGATTTGGGAGAGTTGAGTGGTTGTTTGGAAGTGGAGGGTGTGCTGTTTCGGATGGTTGGGCTGATTTTCACGAAAAATGGGATGGGAATCAGGAACGCGCAGGGGTTGGATAAAGATCCATCACGTGGTGCTTCAAACGTGACCCTGGTGGTGATTTACCGTTGCACTTTTTTATTCCATTCTTGGTGGGTCGATGTACTGTGCCCTAATCCTTTGAATGGACCTCGCATTTCATTTCCTGGATATCCTAAAATAAAACGAACAGACCCTTTGCAGCCCTTTCTTCTACTTGAGACATCCAAGAATCCCATTGCAATTACCTGGATTAGAAGGATGCTAAGGTTAGAGTTCGTCTTGTTGTTTACTTAGATTCCTGATAAGCGAACCTCGAAGGTCATGTAAGTAGTGGTATAATTCACACCATTACCTCAACAATCCTTAATGCTCTCTTCGTGAGACCTCTCACTTCATCCAAGGCCTCGGCATTCAGAAACCCATCAAGTAGCACTCTCCCACCATGCCAAAAAAAGAAGGCCCAATTATCTGACCTTTCCTCAGTACCAGAGGGACATCACACCTCAATAATACAACCACCACAATCACCCTTCCATGCTCCACTCTCACCATGCCCAGGCCCGTGATCGAAAAGATGAGTAAGAAGACATCCGAATTGTCATAATTCTCCAGCTGTAAAAAAGCTCTCACAAGATTTATATATACCTCTTCTACGTTGGAATCGGAGTGAAATTGAGAAACTCGATAAGCGTCCGTTACTACGCTGAGTAAAGAGCAGATGCAATCCTCTGCGCTGGGTACTCCGCTATCCCCACGTGGGCTAGTATAGCAATAAATCCCATTTCTCCAATTCGGTCGTGGTACCACCGCCTTATTCGTCGACGGTCCAAGCCAGCTGAGCAACACCACATCAGCCAAGTCATACATAGTCCTTGGTTGTTCATGAAAGAGTTGGATCATTAGGTATTAGGAGACTACAAGCATACCTTCATTCGCCTCCCTCCTAAGAAGCTCTTCGTCCCCTCTTCTACACAACCAAGTAGCATAAATCCCCATCTCAAGATCGCGCGTCGGAATACCCTTCCTCCCAAAATCAAATCTCAATCTCCTCCTATCGCTAGTTAAACCCTCCTGCAAGACCCACACGCACTTCCACCACAGTCTCAAAACCGAACTTCTCAGCCCATCCCAATCAACACCACTCTTTGGATCTCGAAGCCACTCCATTACTGCAACACTATCCGCTTTGCTTTTCCCGATGGTACTCTACATCTCATCGCAGAGACGATACAAAGTCTTGATAGCGCCTCGTCAGTCTCTCGCATCGTTCACAAACACACTTGGAGGGTTACATGATCCCTACCTACTCATAAGTAGCTCCAGGTCCGACGAGGGTTACATTGATGTTGCAAGTAGACATACAGAGTATAAGAGGAACGCAACATAATCAAAAGCGTCGCACGAAGAAATGAAGGCTATACATACATCAATCCAGTTCATCTTCAATGGTAGTCTCCTGCAGCCACGGGTGCCTAAGCGCCTCCATAGCGCTTGGCCGTTTAGTGTGATCGACAACGAGAAGACTCAGAATGAAGTCAATGCAGCCCTTTTCAATGCCTGATATAGCCTCTAGCTCCTGTCGAATGCTGCGGGCTTTGACATACTGCTCTTCTTTGCCAGTCTCTGGCCGGATAAAAGTTGATTGCTCAAGAAACTGAGCAACGTGGAATTCATCGACAATGTCCTGATTAGCTTGGTCAGGCTCTCCCAGTGGGCCCATCAGCCGCATCATCTTTGCGATACAAAAAGCTTCTGTTTCGCCTTCAATTGTCTTGCCACTCGGACCAAAGATGACTGTCGATGCCATCCAGTGAGCCAACTAAATGCTACATCAGAACCCAAAAGATGACACCGGGCTCGAATAGACTCACAGTGACGCCAAGACTCCATATATCGGCCTTTGGCGTTATACCAATATTCTTCCAGACCTCTGGTGCACGGATATGTAGACCCTTGACCGATTAGTTAGCTTGCATTTCCTTTTAATGATTCAGTCGACCGGGATGACTATACCTGGTAACGTATTTTCATAGGGCCAGATCCCACAGCTGAGTCAGGTGTTAGTTTGACCGATAATACCAGAGTCCTGAAGCTCACCAACGCCTAGATCCCCGAGCTTGACTAAGGGCGAAGGCCCACCCGCGCTCGAAACAAATATGTTATTGGGATTAACATCCGCATGAACGCCGTCTTCGTTATCAAATACCACGAGGGCTTCAAGGACGGACCGCGCTACTATGCGAGGTAATGGTGAACCGGACCTGAATGGCTGTGACGGTAGCTGCCACAGATCAGTGTCCATCCACTCAAACACCATGCATTGAGGCTGATTTTCTTGCGCCTGATTTAGAACATCTTTCTGGGATGTAAAATCAGGCTGAGAAGATTCGTTTTGAGAGTCGTCGGCGTCGTGACCAATAATATCTAACAGACCCCGAATATAGGGCGATTGGGAGATGCTGGGCAATGCGTAAGTCCGACGCTCGCGATTATACTGGTCCATCGGTTTGCCACGAGGAAATGTTTTTATCATGGCCCTGTACAGCATCAGCTTGATCGATCATGCCACCCAGAAAGTGAAGGCTTGTACAGCTGGGTTGGCAGCTCTGTCAATTCAGGTGCCTCGAAGGGCACCACTTTGGCTTGGAAGACGGTGGGGGTTTTGACAACTTTAGTAACATGATAGAATGCAGCGCGGCCCCTGAGTACTTGTCCGATATTCAGCGACATAATTGAGATGAGTTTTTCCGAGATGGGTGCTAGTTGTTCAATAAAGGACGGATCCCAGGAGGAGATTAAATAGGTACCTCGGATAAATTTCGCACGCGCCACGGAGCGCTTGGAGCGGGCCGGAGCCCGCAGGGGGCAAGGGGTAGGGACTAATTACCTAAGGTGCCGCTCGCCGTGGCATCGTAGAAGATTGGAAGGTTATATTTCAACAGCGGCTCTCAAAGAAGAAGGGACAAAGATTGGATTCATCGCATCTTCGACGGGTAGCCATTGATCTCCAGGTTACAAAATGGTAGAAGTGGTGGTGTGAAAATTTAAGCAGATACTATTGTTCCGTTGCTCCACCCCAACCCATGACATTTGCGGCAGTGAACTCTTCAAGTCTCTATCCAACTTCCAATTCTACCTCCATACTGATCTTGATCTCGCTTCTCGATACATAGGTAGGTACTTTAGGCTGTTCTCGAAATGGTAGTTCCCCAAATAACTAACAGCATTCGACCTTCAGTCAAAACATGTCTGGTCTTCAATGTATCTCGGCCCATCCATAGATTACTCCCGCATGGGCTGTGACAAAAATCTTAGCAGCTGTCCTACCTACCACTCTGAAAACTATGCATACCTGTTGTTGGGATGGGTCTTTAGCAATGTGAATCTTGCCCATGAACTTGCCATCCTTGTCGTAGAATTCTCCGGTGCTGTGAACAGTGGGATCGAGATCGCTCACATGATCCAATGATCTTTTTTAAGTCAGAGGGCTGGATTCCAAGGTCCAAAGATACAATACGTACGTAAGACGAAGTGATGCTGCTCTGGATCTGACATGCGGCGGCAGCACGTTTGGCATTTTGCAAGCTGCTTCTGCTTTCTGGGCGACATCCTCCTTGATACTTGGCTCTATTGCATCTACAACACGGACAAAGCTCTGGCCCTTGCCAGTTAGCACAGTCTGTGCTATAATTACAGAGATTCTGCCTGCAGCCGATGGGGGGAAGGCGAATTGTCTCAGGATTTGGCCAGACATTGTTAAAAATATACAGGTAATATAATGCTGCGAAGAAATAAGATTTCTTATTTTCGAAATGAAGTGGCTGTAACTTTCGGTTTACTGGGTCTTGTGAGAGACATATTCAAGAGAGAGACTGATGCCTCTTTATGGCTTTGCAGACTAGAGCTTGACACAGAGAACTGCCCAGGAACGAAAGGCAGTTTCGTGGTTCGTATACTTTTAGGCGCGCGGTAACTCAACCACGGATTCCAATATAGATCAAAAGTGCCATGTAAAGAAATTGATTGGCTAAGCGATGAAGCCGTGAAGGACAAAGAGTGGAACGGCGTTTAAACAGATGTTGGTATTTAAGTTATGTTTCGAGTGCTTACTAGTCCCAGATAATAGGCTGCGAGCACTTTGCCAGTGTCTGTGTTGTGGACAGATCGGCCTGCTATCAGGAACACATACATAGTTGTGTGAACAAGCTCAAAGGAGTTGTGCAAACCGAGAACTCTAAGAGAAGGGGCAAGGATATCGACAGGCGTCTGTTGAGAAGTGTATCTTCATGTTTTCAGTTCTTGGGAGGCCTGATGTCCCTGAATTTGTTGTCTTGTCCTGTTCTCACATGGCCGTATTGGGGACTGTAAGCGTTTAGATTTTTAACTAGGACAGTTCTTTCTTCTCAAGACGCACTGAAATATGCGTAATTACTTGCCTCAGGTAGGGACCGTAGGGTTGTGCAAAAGCTGACTAGGGTGTTGCGCATGATCTGTAATATAATGTAGACGATGATGCGACACCACTGAAGCTATTGCGAATACAGTGGAAGAATACTTCAGTCGATTTTCTGCCAATCTTTCCTTGTACTTAAAAGAGTGCAAGCAACAAAGTTGGCAAACCGTAACTCTCCGCACACCAATCCATCAACAGTAATCACAGCCCCTCAAAGTCGTCTCCTCCCTCCTCTCCCTCACTTTCCTCCTGATCAAAATCCCCCTCTCTTACCCACACCTCCCAACATCTCTCATCCACCCCCCTCCTCGCATCCCTAAACATCAAACTAATTCTCCTCTTCAAGCTCCTCCAGTACACCTCACTGTCATCTCTTCTTAACACGAGCTTTGAGCGTCCAGCAAAAATGATATCGAATGTTACGGTATCCAATTGGGATAACGAATGTCCAGAGCGGGTGGAGAAGAGTGAGAAGAAATCAGGAATATTGAGGTTTCGGAGGGAAGGGAGCGGGTGGGTGAAGTCGAAAGAGAGGTTGCGTTTTTGGGCGATGAAAAGGATTGTTGGTGAGAGAGATACTGAGACTTTAGGTTCATCTATGGGAGATGATGTGGTAGGAGTTTCGGAGGATGACGATGAGCTGTCGGAAACTCTAGATGGAGCTTGGTCGATAGCAGTTGGTAAGCTCGGAATCATGTGTTCACCTGTTTTCGAAGCCTTTGAACTGGCTACTAACGTATTCCGGGACGCTTCTTCTGATATTGCTGGCTGAATGCTTTCGAATGAACTGATATGGTCATTGATAGCAACCCAACCTGAGGAAGGTGCTGAGCGAGAGGTTGATTCGCTTGTCTCGGACTCGGTTGAGCAAGGGAAATGAGACTCGAAAGTACTACTGGCATCTCCAAATGCTGAACCCGGAGGTGTTTGGAGTCTGTTTGCTGCTCTTGGAGGACTTTTCTCCCTTTCGATAGCTTTAGCGTGATCGTATTTCCTGCGCTTCTCAGGACGACTCTCGTCGGTAAGCTGTCGATCTCGCTTCTGAGGGCTATGATGAGAAACTTCGAGTGTGACCAGACCAGTAGCTAAGCCAGCGTGTCCTGGTGCAATCCGGATAGAGTCTGCTTTGGCATCCAATCTCAACAGAGAATTGAACTTCGGACTTCGGCGATACGATAAACCATTAGGGTGCCAGCATTCGATAAGCAAGCCCTCGCTGTGCCATTTGTTCGTCCAAGATACAATGAAAGCTTTCACATTCTCACACACGACTCTCTGTTGCTCATCCGTCAAAGAGATTCCTACGTGGCTGTTGATCTCGTGTACAAGGATCAGCACATCCTCATCTGGAGGATGTTGTGAGTATAGTTGATTTCGATGCATGTATCGCCAGATGAAGTTTCTCGGCTCGTCTGGCCAATACTTGTGGCAGTGAGACTTTATGCATTGGTATTTAGCCTGGTACGTATTTTATTTGGTGCCGATAGACTTACTTTGAGTGACCATTCAAGCTTGGAATCCCTTGGTGCTACCTTTGGTTCTGGAGACCTTGACTCATGAAGAATCTTTGAACTAGGCACTTGGGTGGTCGTAGAGTCAGAGGCTCCCGACTGTGGGAGTTTCTTCCTCGCCCTACGAAGAGTATTAACCAATAGATTGTGACAATTTCGAATCGGAGCATACCTTCTGGAGCTCATATCTGACTCAGTCCTGACGACAATTGTATCTTCGTCGCCTTCGGAGTCGCACATGTTGTCTTCACCCGTGCTGAGATCGCTGCTGATGCTGATTGAAAACGGCGTTCTGAACAGCCTTACCCTTGATCTGAAAGAATAATGCTAATTTCTGTTGAAGACCAACGTTAGGGCACTTCTTGTTCGCTTGTCAGTATGGTTCTGCCAAGTCCAATCTGAGGTTTGGCCAGTAAGCGTCGTGTCGAAGGCGTTTGAAGCCGACGCTGAGGTAATATGGTGGAATTCGGGATCTCATATACATTTCATGTCCTTAAGAAAGTCAAGAGGACAGATTTGGAGAAATTAGATTGTCCTGTTAGTCGATGAACAATTGTTCCCGAAATAGACGACCACGGCGCTTACATCCTGGTGTCGCAAATGCACTCACCACGATCATGCATCGCAAGCACCAATCGAGTCATGATTCCAACAAACCAACAAAATGAGAACTTTGTGTTGCTTTTATTGACTAGGTGACAAATTAATTTTGTTCCTAGGAACTCAGAAGTTGGCCTTTGAATTAGCCTAAGTCAACAGTGATTACAACGAAGATAGAATGCCAGTTGTCTTCGTACTTGGCAAATGAGACAACCAACATTAGAAATTGTCGCAACGAGACGAAAAGGGCAAACCTACCTATGTACTCCAACACTGAAAGCAACATGGCCTCAACCGCAGGATGTGGCTATACTCAGCCTCCAACCTTGAGCGCTGTTGGTTAATGGACACTGTTGCTGTTGGCCACCAGCTATTGAGATCAGGTCAGGGCCAGTGTAGGATTGAATGTAGTCCAAAATGCATCGGTTACTATTCCTTGTCGAGTCAAAAGATATGTGTTCAATTTTGTCTGGCAAATTCGAGGGGGTTTTTGCAAAAAGGGTGTTCAGGTGTTTGTTGTTCTGTTGGTTTACTGGTGTTGCGGGGCGAAGTTGGTGGATTCCAGGCGCCGTTAGTGCACCAGGTACCCCGCACTTAACTGAATGGCCTGTGGCGAGTGTCCATTCTCGCGTTCTTGCGACCTGGGCGCTTGAGCAGGATCTCGGGCAACCACTTGCCCTCAATCGCAATCGCAAACACAAAGACACGACGAATGCCCAAAAATAGACGATGGATGAGGTAAATGAATAATTCGTTAAATGTTACTTTTCTACTAGTTCTGAATGTATAACAGGTATTATTCATAAGTTCGTTAATGGAATTCTGTAATACGGACGGCGCAGGGTCCATCGTGACCCAAACAAACCAAACGCGAGACGCTATTAAAACACACGACAATCCGTAATTAAGTCCCATCCTTATAAAAACAAGCAACTGAAATACAGTAAAGCTGCTGCAGAAGTCTAGATCAAACCCAAAGCAAATGGCAAAAGAGCATGACAACCAATCTGATTAGCGAGAGGGACGATGGCGGCAAAATCCGTGATCGTCCATCCACGAGGAGCACTCGTCCCAAGGTAAATCATGCCACCAATGATGGGAATGCACAACATATACATGAACTTGAAGTCTTTCACGATCTTGTCTAGACCGACACGGAAACCCTGCTTCTCAACTTCTTTGGCAGTAGCTGTCCATTCCATCTTGATGGAGAAGAAGTGGCAAAGAAGAGCTGCGGAGAGATGGATGGAGAGGCCTCCGAAGAAGAGAACGAACATTGGGGTCCATTTAATGGTGTCGACGACTGACCAGAAAAAGACTTTTTCTCCGAGACGGTGACGCAACATTGCGAAGGCAAGAGGTGACTAGAACATGTTAGAATCTGTGAAAGTTGCATGAGGAGAAAGAGTGTGGTGAGAGCTTACCAAGAGGTTGAACACAACAGCCATACCGACGAAGATCTTCCAACTGGTAAGATAGAATTGATCGACTTCGGATGAGAACCACCCAACAATGAGGTAGTTTGCTAATGTCAATGGAACGGCCGCAGCAATGGCGTAGTACGTGCCAATGTATGCTAAGATGGTCATCTTGGAAGTGATTTTGATGTCACTCCACAAGAATCTCATGAATAGCGGAGTAAATGGGCCTTTGTACCAGTATCTGAAAGGTCTGAAGACAAGCTCGTTGCAACCATACGCATATCTGCTCATCATTAGCATTCAGTCACGACCCGATAGGTACAATTGAAACTTACTTCTCCCAACGAGCAAGTTCGTCATAGACAGTAAGCGAGACACCCTCTTTGAATCCACCTTGATGGTAGGTAGCCAAGCGAACGATGAAGTTATTCATCTGCATGCGCAAACTGATATCGAAGTCCTCCGACACGTGACTATCAGACCAGAACTTACGCATGCCATCCTCTTCAAAAGAAACAGCCTGGACTGCTTTCCAGCGGAGGAAGGCATTGTGACCGACGAACGGTGCACTGTCACCGTTACCGACGGCGAACTGGATAGACATGTAAATAAGGTTGGTGAAGTAAGTGATGCCGTTTTCGAAAGCATTGTTAGCGACTTGCATGACGCCAGATGCGTGTTGCAGGATTGCTACCTCTGGACTTTCGTGAAGCTCGAGCGCTCCGTAGAGAAGACAGTCCTCGGGCTGGTGAAAGATTAGCACTCTGTCCTCAGGTGAACAAGCATGCTAACTTACCACTCGGGTGTCTGAATCAATGAGCAACACAATCTCTCCCATTCGAACATTGCCCGCAGCCAACGTGCGTCCCTCATCAGACTCAACTATTGTCTTCATTGCATCATCATAGAGCTCGTTCTCGTCTTCAATGGTCAACTCCTCAACGGTACACGACTTGGACTCAGCCCGAGCGGCCATAAGACGTAGGAACTCGTCTTCGACACGGATGGAGAAGTCAAGACAGTAGTTCATGTTGGAAGCTTTCTTGAATTGACCCTTACGGACGAAACCATCAGGGTTCTTGAGTTTCTTCGTTCTCTTGAAGAAACCCCATTTGCCTCTTCCGCCTTCTTCGTCTTCAACGGTGATCATCGAAGTGTCCTTTGGACGAGAACACCATCCGATACCATTGACTTCATAGAAAGCTCGACTAGCCCTATTTGTGCTGTCAGTGAGGTCCAAGTATATGATGTCATAGGGTACTTACTCTGCTAGGTCGGCACTCACGGTTTGCATACCATCGTCGTTGACAAAAATGGAAGCAGTGCCTCCAATCTCTTCGTACTTAGCAATAGCAGCTTGCAAACTGGTGACGGTAGGAATAATGACTCTTCACTGTGAATTAGCTAATGCATCAATGAGAATTTGGATCGCGGCACTTACCCTTTCAAGCCCTCTTTGTAGACAGGCATCTGAATCGTGATATGAGGAAGTTCCAAATCTGGATATCGCTCCCTCTTGGGTGCCTTGGCCGAGTAGAACATAGAGTTGCTACGGACGTAGGTCAACGGACCAAAAAGCTGGAACAGACTTCCGCCAATGACGACAAAGTAGAACAGAGAGAACATGACAAAGATTGGGATTGTAAAGACGAGAGAAAAGCGGATGACTTTGCCATCGTATCGATACTCTGTCAAAAGCTACAATATTGTCAGTAAGCTACAGATCAGTAAGTAGAATGTTAGACTTACTTTCGAGACACAGAGCATTTCGACGAAGACAACAAGTGCCATGGACACTCCAATCACACCAGCATGCAGTAACAGAAATGGTCGTGGGGGAGGAGCAGCAGACTCTGTGTTTGGGTCAAAATAATCATCACCACGATCTTCAATATCAATTGCTGCCTATGATAGCTGTTAGTGATGCCGCAAATGAAGACGTTGATGAAGTGATTGGGAATAATGCTTACCTGGATAGCGAGATACTTTTCATCCAAGACAATGGAAGCAGAACTGGGAGAGCTAGATGCGCCTCCTCGTGCACCTGCGTAGCCCGGAGACCAAGAATAGTTGTTTGGTGTGCTGATATGCGAGCCCCATACCTGTGATATTGATCAGTTGTCATGTGAGGAGCAGAAGACCAATCGAACTCACGTGAGCCATAAGCTTGTCTTCCACGTCAGCAGCATGAGAAAGAATTCCTTCGACGGTGTCACTCCAAAGCATCACGATACGCTCCTCTCGAAGCAGACAGGCGTATGACTTAGGTTCAATCTCTTCTCTGCCGTCAAGAAAAGCGTCCAGAGATTGAATCACGGGAACCTTGACTCTTGGGCCAAGATGAAGATCAGCTTGGAAAGGGCTCACTTGCGCGAACAAGTTCTCCGTGATCTCAGAGGACATGGTCACTCCAACTCGAGCGCCTACAAGTCGTAGTGCTTCTAGAAATTGGGCATCTACGGTTGCGGGCTCGGTTGCGTAGTTGACCCCATCTGGCTTTCGAATGGCAACGCCAAGAGCAGTTTGCTCCGGAGCGTTTCCATTGTCGTCACCAAACTCTTGAAGCCATTTCCGATCAGAACAGCGCCGATGGAGATATTTTACTGTCTTCAAATTATTAGAGAAACATGACGGTGTGAACGGTTTAGATCCTTACCGTGTTGAACTTGTCTTGGTCAAAAATTGTGCCTTGACTGCTATGTCGCTTGCTCAAGGAAGGGCCCGGTCGTTTGGCTGGGGCAGGATAAGCTGGGAGAGATTTTCTCTCACCCTTCATATGAATATAATCTGCAGACTCTGATGACTGAGAAGACATCTTGAGCAAAGCCGCAAGACTTGGGCGAAGCAAGACAGAATGTGAAATGTGTGGAAGAAAGTGGCAGCTGGGTTCGAAAATAGAGAAATCCCCCGGGAGGTCCTTGTCAATAAGAGATCCCAGGGAGCTCTCTACTCCACGTGTCTTGGAAGAGCGCCTGTCTCTGCACTAATCGGCCCATCCCAACCTTTGGATCGGTCGAAATGCTATGGACGAAAGATTGGTCTGGGCACAACATGGACGGCTGAGGTCCAGGGAGGCTGCCGAACTCGTCTTCGAAGCTACGGAGAAATGCGAGGGAAGCATCAAACCTTGGAGCTCTTGGTACTCCACTACCAAGGCTGTCTCGAGCTGAATGAATCCAGCCCTCGCCATGATGAGGCAGAGCATCGTAGTGTTGTCGTGGGAATCATGCACAGCGTGCGTCACCTTGGCGTTCTGAGGCTTCTTTGGCTGGGCTAAAACGACCAGGTCTCTACAAGAATGCCAAAATAGACATAGCTACAATCGGAAAACTTCCCGTATCCTCAACTGAGTATTTTGTGGTTGTTCGGATGGGACTTTGGATAGATGCACGTGCATGAGTAGCGCATATCGAACTTGAGGTGGTGGGCACGGATGTAAAAAGCTCGCTAAAGTAGTATTCTCGCTAACTTCGTAATGCAACCTAAACAACCAGGCTAGGACACTGCCCTGGCTGCGCTACCGAACTCGATGAAGATTTCCATTACCCAATCAAGATCGAGCCCAACCATTGCGTTGGCGAGCTACGATTCTGTTCACACCAATTCTTCGGATCTTAGAAGAAAAGCATTATCTTCGGCAAGCGGCAAGTGCTTAACGTGCCTGATTCACATTGCCATTTCTTGGCCCAGGCGCGACCTACCTCATTTTTAGCCACACAGTCAGTCGTGCTGTGTGAATTCTAGTGCTTGGGACGTTGACATAAAATTTGTATCTGGACGTTTTGCGCACCCCAAGGCGCGAAATCCTGAGGGTACAGTACAGAAGTCTGTCAACAGTGAATCTGCACTAAACTGTTTCTGGACATCCCGAGTCCAGGGTAGATTGTGTACCAACCAAAAGCAAAGACTGGAACTGGATCACCCGGATCACTACCCGCGCACGTTTTGAGCAGCAACCATCTCAAAACCAGGAAATACTTGGATCGATACCAAAGCTGACAGCTCAAAATGGCCAATGAGAGCTGGACCTCATCGCGCAGCCACACTTTTCGAATTAGCCTAAAAATCATCCCGGCGCTTCATATGGGTGTATGCAGTCTGCAGTCTGCAATTAGTCAAACCACCTACAGCTTACTGCCTGTCCATGAGCAATTTTTCACGAGGGTCGGACCTGGACACTGCAGAGGCGTCAATAGTTTCAATAGTCGTATTTTTCTTGCATCGGCAGCGCTTTGAGAAAGTCACTTTTAGTACAGTGCATGAGCTTGGAGGGCGCGACACTACTTCGATTTGGAATCTGCAAAATGCAGTCTAGAATCGACACTGCTGAAGATTGAGTCCAAAAGAACTGGTAACAGTGAAGATAAGGTGGTTTTTGTCAGTGGGGGTCTGGCACATCTAGTCTAAAGTTTGAAGCTTCTTGATATCAATGATTATAGCCCCGTCCCAAACACTTGCAAAGAAAGATACATACAAGCAAGCCTTGCTCCCCAATTCTTTTCTATCGAGATTGCCATACAAGTAATTTTCACTTCTTGACCCCTGCCAACCTACATTTCGCAACCATGAGCCATCGATTGAGTATGGAGATCAGCACTTCGCCTAAAGTTGGAAGCGACACAGCTTCCATCAAGAGCCGTGCTGTATCTGTGGGAAGTCGAGCTATCTCTACCACTTCAAAGAGACGCACAACAGCATCTATTCTTCGACTCGGCACTGCTCCTCCCTCTGTTATAGACAGCATCCCACCAAGACCTCAACGTCGCTTCAAGAGTGCTCGCCTCATTGGAGAGTAAGTCATGCTCTACCATCACAAGACCTCCCTGTGCTGACCAAAAAGATATGAGAAACCATGGAAAGAGACTCCTATCAGACGACGAAAGTGGGATTATTACATCTTTTGGGGAGGGTGCGCACTTGGGTTGGTGGCAGGAGCATTCATGTGCTATCTCGCTTGGAGTGGAGTGCCGAATAATCAGGTATGTCGTCGTCGCCTTCGACTGCATCTACATAAGCTTATACACACACACAGTACTGTCTCATACTCGACGATGACTTCAAAACTATTAATTCGGATGTGTGGACTCATGAGATCCAACGTGGGGGCTATGGCACGGGATCCTTCGACTGGACAACCTCTGACCCAAAAAATTCCTTCACCGATGCTGAAGGTCTACACATTGTCCCAACCCTCACCACCGAGTCAACTGACATCACTCCCGCCCAAATACTTGACAACTACGTCCTGAATCTCACGACGTCTGGGGAGTGCACATCACCAGATGGAGGAAACTCATGCTCCATTCGAAGCAACAAGACTTCCGGAGACATAATCAATCCCGTTCGCAGTGCTCGGCTCACCACGCGCGGCAAGAAGACGTTGACTTATGGTAGGGTCGAAGTTGTCGCTAAGATGCCTGTAGGTGACTGGCTGTGGCCGGCCATCTGGATGATGCCAGAAGACAGTGTGTATGGTATCTGGCCCCAAAGCGGCGAGATCGACATCGCAGAGAGCCGAGGCAACTCAGGCGATAGCTTCCCCGACGGAAGGGACAGCATCGGCTCGGCACTCCACTGGGGTCCAATCGCTGAAGCAGATGCATTCTGGAAGACTCAAGGAAAGCACAACATCAGGCGCGCCGACTACAGCCAAGGTTTCCGAACTTATGGCCTTGAGTGGAGTGAAAAGTATCTCTTCACATACATTGACAGTCGCCTCTTGCAAGTCTTCTTCATCAATTTCCAGAACAGGCCCAGCATGTGGGATAGAGGCGACTTCGGCCAAAAGATTGTCAACAAGAGTGCGCTACACGACCCATGGAGCCAGACTGGCCAACGGAACACTCCGTTCGACCAGGCTTTCTACCTTATCCTCAATGTTGCTGTTGGAGGCACCAATGGGTACTTTAGGTACGCTCAACCCCACTGAGTTGGCGGAGACTTGTGCTAACACTTCACTTTACAGGGACGGAGTTGACAACAAACCATGGGGCGACGCAAGCTACAGTGCGCCCTTGCAGTTCTACAATGCGCAAAGTCTTTGGCTGCCGACCTGGGGAAATGAGACAGCTCGTGGGATGACGGTCAAGAGTGTGAAGATGTGGAGCGAGGGTGCCTGCAAGTGAACCTGCTCATTCCACCTACGTAATCAGTCACGGGGTAACTACTGGCGTTTGTTTTGACTTTCCGGGCGTTCGTTTTTATCTCGCACGGGCTGTATGGTAAAATTAATTCACGATAAACATGAAATTTAAAAAATGCATTTGTTTACTTTCACATGCCCTACGCCGATGACGTGAAAGTCTCGTCCCCTGCAGTAGCCAAGAGTCTAATATGAACGGTTAAAGTGCTTGTTCTAGCGTGTTTAGCTCACCCAGCGGCGCGAGCCCATCGCCAAGCCGGTTAAGGCAGGTCGTAACCCACTCTCTTCCCACCAACCACGCCTCGCTCGAAAGCGAGACCCTTACCTAGGTAGAGTAGGTAGTCTAGAATGGCACAAGCTAACTGAAGAAGTCGTCGTGGGGGGCCGAGGAGATCCGGGTTCCGAAGTCTCCTACAGGGATATGGTACTGCAACTCAGTACCAGAACTGTGTCCAGAACTCAGAACTGTGTTGTTGTGAACAGTGTGTATTATTATTGTTGCGAGTGTACTCTGAGTACCGTCACGCTGTCACTTCAACTTTGTCCCCGCAAGCCGGGAAATACCTCCGGATGAGACAAATGCACACCATCAAGTCTCCTTAGGCCCGATCTCCCCAAGGCACAAAACCTTATCTTCGCTGAAACTCAACTCGACAGCGCCCATCTCCCGTCCCGTCCCAACCCATTCTTCATCATAGGCGAGCATATCACTTGCATCCGGAGAATCAGGCATCCTACTCTAGGGAGTCCCTTAGCCACCCAGCCACCCAGCCACCGCGAAACACACCCTCAAAAGTCGATCCGGAAAAGGAATCAGCATGCTACTGGAGTTTGGACCGCTCAAAAGCTTAAACCGGACCAGGTCTATTGCGGACAGGGGGGCGTATTTCTCGTTCAGCTGGACCGTTAGCACACCCCCGGAAAGCGGCAAGGTCTCGCAGCCACTACAGTACAGTACGAAAGGTACTTACTTTACTTCACTCGCACTGTTGTCGGAGGCATCCGTGCGCTTAGTCCTCACTCGCCTGCACCGCGCCAGTACTGAAATAGATTTAGCGGCACGGCCTCCCAAGACTCTTATCCAGACCTCACTTCTGGCATCCTGCAGCCTCAATCAATAACCATGGTAGTACGGCTTCATGCACTAACATCGGTGCCATTTTCTGCGCCATATTGGTGCATGGCCACCAGTTTCTTAGACTGGAGACGAGATCCAAGATCCTCTCACATCTCGCGATGCGAGCAAGGATGTGGAGGCAAGATTCCAGAACCTTTGCCCATGGCTCCGGCATCATCCTCGAGCTTCATTTGTCACTGGGCGTTTTTGGACCTTCGCATACTGTACCTTCGTATCTTCTCGCTTGATTTCCCTGTTTAGGGTGCTTTTCTTGCATGGCGCTGTTCCGTTCTTGTCAAGTGTTGGTACCGATGCCCGTCAGCCTCGACAGCGCTGCCGAAGCACATCAACACCTACCACAACATGCAACTCAAGCCGCGAATGGCAAACAGTTGCCAGATTCTGGCCCTCTTTCCCAGAGTCTGACCTCCCGCGGTCTGACTATTGATTCCTCGTGCCCTCGACAACCTCGTCGAACCAAGGACACGGATCCTAGCTCGAGATCGTTCCCACCTTCGCTGTCCGAACAACCCAACACGTCCACATCTGAAGTCCAGCTCCCATGAATCAACGCCGCAGATTCTGTGGACCTCTTCCGACCCCCAGATAAGGGATTTAGCGGTACAGAGTGGCTGTTCAGCTGCGAATCTCGACTACCAGCCCGTATCTTGCTCAGGCAGCGTGGTCCTTCTAGGCTTTTTGGGTGTGGAAACCGAGACAGCACCACTGTGCTTGAGCTTTCCTTGGGCTTGAGTCTGGAATGAAAAACTTTTTTGCTGACGTGGACAGCTGTGAAACGACCTCCCCAGTCAAATTCATATCTTCCTCGCACGTTTGCATCTCTCCCCATTCCCACGTTGTTCCTCAGCTACTCTGAGTTCAGATTTGACACCTCCCCTACTGCTTCTGTACACGCATAGTGGTTTTAGATTACATTTGACCAGGATGGTGTTCATCCTCAACACTATGTGGCTTGTTTCGCTGCAACTCCTGGTTAGTTGATGCACACGCCCTCATCCAGCATATATGAAAGCTCACAGTCACATGACAGGTTGCATCTGCTGCCGCACACTCAGACATTGAGAAGCGTGATGCCGTTATCTCTTCTAATTTGCCTACGAACTGGACATACACTGGATGCTATGGGGACCAACAAGCATCGCCCACACTAAGTGGTGCCATGTACTACAATGAAACTTCCATGACACAGCAGTCATGTATCCTTTTCTGTAACAAACGAGGCTTCATCCAAGCTGGCGTCGAGAACTCATCTCAATGCTGTAAGTCAACGATACCTCACCCTTCACGTCTTTTGCTATGCGTCGGGCCGACTATCAAATGTGGTTTCTCAACATTTCGCCTAGCCTTGGCGGGCATGCGTGAACCTGGTCTTTCAATACTGCATGTTTCAATGCGCGTACATCGAAGTAGCCCTTATCACAGACATTGAAAATATTGAATGCAAAGAAACCATAACTGACATGTATAGTCTGTGGTAACGACGACCTGAGCAAACGAACCCCTGCTCCATCTACAGACTGCAATGTAGGTTGTTCAGGAAATAGCTCAACCTTGTGCGGCGCAACATCCCGTTTGAATATCTTCAGCAGCAATCAGACTGTGCCAAGTCCCGTAACGAGCAGGGGAATCGGTCTTTGGGCTCTATACGGATGCTACACGTGAGTCTTCCCTGTAATCTGCAGGAAAATAGCCTAATGTACCATATAGGGAAGGTATCAACGGGAGAGCCCTTACCACCAGCATGACTGTACCTGGTGGGGGTAACAATCTAACCGTTGTATCCTGCATTAATGCTTGCCAAAGTTCTGGCTTCGTTCTGTCCGGGGTTGAGATGGGCGGAAATTGCTGTAAGTCTTGGCAACCCCTCGTGACTTTGTTGGTCACTGACTCTGGTTTTAGATTGCGGCAACCAGTTCTCAAATCAAGCCCAGCCTGCCTCGAATGGGTTTGTAGGTTGTAATTCTCGGTGTAATGGCAATGCTACAGGTATGTTTTGCTATATTGCTGTCTAGAAAACAATTCTGATGATATCTAGAGTTCTGCGGGGGAAATAGTGCTTTAGACGTCTATGGTTTCAATAACACGGTCCCCAATCCTCTGGTTTCGAAAAGTTCAAGTGTTCGAAGCACTTCCTCTTCAACGTCATCTTCTATCCGTAGCCCATCAGTCTCACCAACGGCCACTTCGCGATCATCAACTACCAGCTCGCGAAGCACGTCAGCTTCTTCCACGAGATCTTCATCTCCCGTATCCAGAGCAACTTCTCCTTCAAGCTCAGCAACTTCAAGATCGTCCGGCAGGACCAGTCAAATATCGTTGTCATCGTCATCCTCACGATCTTCCAGTAGGACCAGTCTAGTTTCCTCAACGTCTTCTTCAAGGTCGTCTAGCAGTACTCGTCAGATGGCCACCTCAGCATCGTCTTCGAGCTCATCAACGATTCCAGGATCAGCCGCTAGGATTAATCAAGCTGCCCAGGCAGCAGCTGCTTCAGTATCGACAACAACAACATCAACTACCAGTAGTACATCGAGCGCTGCACCGTCAGTTCCGTCTTGGTATGCAGATGGCTGCTGGACAGACTCTGTTGGTAATCGTGCACTCTCAAACCAGCAGTATGGAGATGCGGCTTCAATGTAGGTGCCCTATGATTCTTTGAACTTCTCATGAATCCTTAAATTCACTGCGAGTACTGACTTTGTCGACCTGCAGGACGATTGAACTCTGCATGTCAAAATGTAGTAATGCTGGCTTTACTATCGCAGGTCTGGAATACTATTCTGAATGCTGTAAGAATCTCCGATCTTTTCCTCATTCAGAAATCCCGCTGACGATCATTAGATTGTGACTCGCTAATCAGAAATGGGAATACACGTGCCTCTGACCCCACCACCTGCAATACACCATGTCAAGGTAATTCATCCGAGACTTGCGGTGGGGGGAATAGACTCTCGTTGTATCGTTTCGGCATCAGCTCTAGCTCTGGTAGCAGCAGTAGCTCGACCCAATCATCCACCGCCACTGCTACAACTTCTGCCTCGCTTACTGGGACGTCCTCAACTGCTACTTCTCAAGGCCCTTCTTGGAACTACCTTGGTTGTTATGTTGACGCTGTTGGCTCTCGTACGCTGAGTAATCCAATCTATGGCAACGGTAATATCATGACCGTTGAGCTGTGCCAATCACAATGCAAGAACGCCGGCTACACACTTTCAGGGTATGTAATACATCTCCTAAGTTTCCCGTCGTCTCTAACTCCTGTTTACAACTCCAACCTATTTGTCGAAGCTTATGCTAACTTTCTGACTAGCGTGGAATATGGCGGAGAATGCTGTAGGTAGAACTTCAACGACACTTGAGATTTACTAACTCTGAGAAGATTGTGACAATGCCCTTCAAAATGGCGGCGGCCCAGCACCGGATGGTTCTGCTGGATGTAACATGGCATGCAATGGTAATAGTGCCGAGATCTGGTATGTCCCTGAGAAAAACTTGTCATACTTTTGACAGCTTACTCATTTCGCTTAGTGGTGGCGGTAATCGTCTGTCTCTGTACAGTTACTCGACGCCTGGCGGATCAACAACTTCGTCTCAAACATCTGTCTCAAGCTCACAGACAAGCTCGTTATCAACATCAAGCACATCTGCACCAGCTTCATCTGGATGGACCTCGCTTGGTTGCTACAACGACTCGGTGGGAGCACGAACACTTTCGAACCCCATCTATGGCCAGAACGACGTAATGACCGTTGAACTTTGCGAGAATTCTTGCAAGAACGCCGGCTATACGTTTTCTGGTGTCGAGTATGGCGGAGAATGCTACTGTGATAACTCTATTAAGAATTACGGCGCTCCAGCTTCTGACGGCTGCACGATGACTTGTCACGGAAATGCTGCCGAGGTGTGCGGCGGACCCAATCGGATGAACGTTTATCAATTCGTCACATTCACCGCCTCCAGTGCTTCTTCTCAGACATCATCACAGACCTCATCGCAGACGTCCTCACAGAGTTCTTCGTCTGTTGTCAGTTCATCGGTATCGTCAACGTCTCAACTTTCTTCGACCAGCACAACGTTGTCTTTTGTCTCCGCAGTAGCTGAAACTTCAAGTAAGTAGAGCTCGTCACAACCATTTATATCAAAATCTATGTTTGGATTCAATTATGCTGACATCGTAAGCAGGCACTACTTCTAGCTCGGTAACCTCGACTACTGCATCCAACTCAACGACTTCATTGGGCTCATCATCAACATCTTCATTAACATCCGTATCAGCATCACCAACTAAAGCAGCTGGCTGGTATGCAGCGGGATGTTATGTCGATGCCGTTGGCTCTCGAACGCTTCGATATGGCATGCAGGTCCCAGGTGGGGCTGGATCTATGACTGTCGAGGCTTGCAATTCGGTCTGCCAGAGCTCACAATATACCATTGCTGGCGTAGAGTACGCAGGTGAATGCTGTAAGTCATAGAGGCAATGTAATGTCAATATCTCTCTGACCAGTTTTAAGATTGCGATAATTCATACCAAAACGGAAATGGACCGGCTCCCGATGGTAACGCTGGATGCAATATGCCATGCAATGGCAACACAACCGAAATCTGGTAAGCTTGATTATTTTATTCTTAGAAGAAGAAGATTAAACTAATACGTCAACAGCGGCGGCTCGAATCGCTTGTCGGTCTACACATATTACTCTGAACCATCAAGTGCGGCCGCAGCTTCCAGCAGCACCGCCGTCTCGACTACAACTCCAACACCATCAAGTCTGGCGACAGGACTACCAGCCAACTGGACCTACGGTGGCTGCTATATCGACAATGCCAATGGCCGTATCATGATGAATCAGCAACAAGACAACCAACAGCAAACCGTTGAATCTTGTGTCAACACATGTTCTAGTATGGGATATGTTGTTGCCGGTATGGAATACGGAGTCCAATGTTTCTGTGATAACTACATCAGAAATGGAGCAGCTCTTGCTGCATCTGACACACAGTGCGGAATGTCCTGTCCAGGTAAAACCTCTGAGCACTGTGGTGCTGGGGATCGGGTATCGATCTACAATAAAGGCAATCTTACTGTCTATCAACCCCCCAAGCCACAAAACTCTTCTCTTCCAGGAAACTGGACGTATCAAGGGTGTCTGACGTAAGTTCATCGCAAGTTGATCACGAACGTTCTAACTGTCATTGACAGAGACAATGCCGACAAAAGAACATTCCCCTACAGAATCACGAACATGGTTGCGAATAATACTGCCACAAACTGTTTGAGTCTGTGCTCTCAATTTGGTTACCCTGCTGGTGGAATGGAGTATTCTTCAGAGTGCTGTAAGTATTTGCGCTTGCCTGTTATCGATCGACACACTGATGTAGCATAGATTGTGGGGATTTCTCAGACATTGTCAATGCCGGAGCCACAACGGCCCCTGAGGCAGATTGCAACATGGCATGCTCAGGAGATTCCTCGTCCATCTGTGGTGGTGGCAGTAGAATCTCATACTATGCATGGACCGGACAGCCACTCTATTCCTGGGCTAGACCTAACGGGGCAGATGCTGGCCAATATCAGTTCCTCATTGGTGGAGTTGTCATTCCTCTCATCACAAGTCAAACGATCACTGGCAAAGTAACTTTCTTGGAAAAGTTCGGCACAGGAGCTCCAAATACAACTGGAGCCTATGAACTAGATCTAGCCCAGATCAATAACTTCACGGCTGCGTGGAGACCCATGCACGTGAAAACGGATATCTTCTGTGCGGGTGGCCTTACCTTGCCCGACAAAGCAGGCCGACAGATCAACGTAGGTGGATGGGCCAATGATGCTACCTATGGTATCAGATTGTATTGGCCAGATGGTTCTCCAGGAGTTGCTGGTAAGAATGACTGGCAAGAAAACGTCAAGGAAGTCTCATTGCAGAACGGAAGATGGTACCCGACCCCAATGATTATGGTGAGTGTCCAAATACCCACTAAGAGTGCGTTGTACTAATACCTGGTAGGCAAATGGATCTATTCTAGTGGTTGGCGGTCAGGAGGGTTCCAATGGCGCCCCTGTACCGACACTGGAAATTCTTCCAAAGGCTGGAGGAGTCATTTACTGTGACTGGCTCAAGAGGACTGATCCATACAACTTGTATCCTTACCTTGCAGTCCTTCCGTCAGGAGGAGTGTTCGTCGCCTACTACAACGAAGCTCGTATTCTTGATGAAGGCTCTCTCCTGACGTCCAGGACACTGCCAAATATCCCAGGAGCCGTCAATGACTTTGATGGTGGTCGTACGTATCCATTCGAAGGTACCGCTGTTCTACTGCCACAGCATGCTCCGTACAGCGATCCGTTGGAAGTTCTAATTTGTGGTGGTTCGACACCTGTGAGTTCGCAAGTCAACTTTCTTGAGGCATTTTACTAATTACCCAGGGCCCTGAAATCGCTCTTGACAATTGTGTTTCGCTCGCACCAGAGAGGCCTGGTGCTAACTGGACAATTGAGCGCATGGTAAGTCTTCAACTTCAATCCATATCGTTTCCGCCATGCTAATATGCCTTAGCCATCTGCACGAGTCATTTCTTGCATGACAGCTCTTCCAGACGGAACTTACCTCATCCTCAATGGTGGCCAACAAGGTCGTGCTGGATTCGGTCTTGCCGTCAATCCTAACCACAACGCCGTCCTTTACGACCCCTCGAAACCACTGTATAGCCGCATGTCCGTCATGGCAAATACCACTATCGACCGCCTCTACCACTCCGAAGCCATTCTTCTCCAAGATGGCCGCGTTTTGGTATCTGGTTCCGATCCGGAAGATGAGCGATTTGCACAGGAATACCGAGTCGAGGTCTTCGTACCACCTTATCTCTTGAACGGCAAACCACAACCCACGTTCAACATCCTTAACAAAGATTGGGCATATGGTCAATCAGTCACTGTAACTTTGACAAGTGCCACCTCAGGGAATATTCGTGCTTCTCTCCTTGGAGCTGAGTCTTCAACTCATGGTAACAGCATGGGTCAGAGGACGCTCTTCCCTGCAATCAGCTGTAGCGGAAACACATGCACCATCACGGCACCGCCTAATGCACATGTTTGCCCTCCTGGGTGGTTTATGTTGTTTATCTTGGATGGCCCTACGCCAAGTGTGGCTACCTTTGTGAGAATTGGAGGGGATCCGGCTGGTTTGGGTAATTGGCCGAACTTTGACGATTTCAAGCCTTTGCCGGGTGTTTGATGTTGAGGCGTTGGATGTTGATTATCATTTTTTGTACATTGAGTAATAGTAATCTGAAGTCTTTTGAATGATAATTGAAAAGTTAGTCCCTCGTTTGCCTTATGATAGGTGTCATTTGATGTGAAGTAAACAAATTCGCTTCACCAGAATGCCCCACTCTCCATTAGCCGAAAGTGGGTCAGATGTAAACAACACTCCCAGACTTGAAAATAACTCAAGACTCACCTAATTGAGAACTGGAGCCACTTTTCTTATCAATTCACCGGGTAGAGATATTATGGAATGATTCTGACGCATTAAGCTTGCAATCCAGGGATTGAAATCATTTGCCACTACAGATTTCAACCTTAGCATGGAAATTGCTTGCTTTACACTCCTAGTCATCTTCTCAAACCCCCACAAGACCAAGATGGGACACGATGACAGATATCCAACAATACCTTAAAAGCTTTGCCGACTCATACTTCTCTCCTCCTCCATCTGCGGCATATGACTAAACTCCTGCCCCACCCAAGCCAAATAAACCTTCTCATGCACCTGAATCGGCGGCCCATTAGGCTGCGGATCCCTATCAAACTCCGGCACCTTCTGAACCTGGAACTCCACCCCATCCTTCCTCGCCCTCCTCATAGCATACAAATTGAACCCCACATACCACAACATGCCGAACCCCAGAATCGTCCACGCAACAGTCGGTGTCGTGTACCACGCCACAACAACCTTCTTGGCTGCAGCGAACTTGCCACTTGGTGGAACCCAGGAGGCGATGATTGGATAGGCGCTGCCGATGCCGAATAGGAAGGCGGCGGTGATGCTAAAGAAAGGGTTGAAAGTGGATTTCTGGCGCCAGCGAGCGCGGCTGCTGAAGCGGAGTTTGAGCATACCCACCGAGATGGCGAAACCGAAGACTGCGACAATGGTGTAGGAGTAGACATCGACCAGGAATCCGTACGCGTCGGTGGGATGCAGCTTGATGGTTGCTAGGATCATGATGATTGTGAATGACCAGTGGAGAAATAGTGCGCCGAAGGGCGTTTCTTGAGAGTGCTCTCGGGGATCGAGCCAGGGTTTGTTGAGCAGCCAGTGGAATTTTCGGTTGATGAATGAATGTTTGTCGTTTTGGATCCAAGTGAGGAGGCGACCGAAGGACAGATTCTTCGTCTGCGAAGTGGTTGATTAGAAAAGAAGCAGTGACTTGGGAGATAGACTGTACCTGGCCGAAGAATTTTGCCCATGGAAGGATACCTTCTTTAGCGATTTCTTGCTTTACTGTACTTCTGTCAGCTAGAAATCGAAGTTTTGGTCACAGTGACTAACCTCGGGCAGCAGTGAAGGTCATAACGACGATGTTGCCGAAGCTGGAAACTGCCATGAATGCGGCGAGAACCCTTCCAGGTAGTTTCTTGTCGTCGGAAATGGCGCCAAATGTCATTTGGAAAAACAACAGTGCCACATTGGCCTTGGGATTGACCTGTTCTATTTTGGGCACAACCACCATCTGAAGATGCATTAGCTTTTGGTTTATTGACTGTGTGACCGTCACTCACATATGCAACGTTGACAAGTAAGTACAGACAACAGACTATCGCAACACCAATCGAAGTCCCGATGGGCATGGTCTTTCGTGGTCGGCGGATTTCGCCAAGAACCTGGCTGTATTAGAATATGGATCTGTGCTTGGACAAGGATCACTTACATAATTTGGTTGGTCAAATCCACTCCATGCAAAAATGACAGCTAGAAATGTCTTGGTATAGCCATATGCTTCGTCTGCGGGGTTGTTGAAAGCATTGTCGACAGCCATGTTATCAACGGCATAACTTTTCGTGTCGAAGGCACCGGCCCATGCGCAGATACCCGTTATGATGATCAAGAGTAGCATCATGACTTTAATAGCTGCAAACATATTACCAAGCCATATGCCTCCTCGACGTGAAAGAGCGTGGATCAGACAGGCAAATGTTGCAGCTGCAACTGCGAGACCTCTCACGGCGCTATTTGTAACTTCAACGTTTGCTGCTTCGAGGGTTCGAATGCCGAAAATCAAGCAATTTCCCGCCATATTCCCCAAGATTATGTATGCAGCTGCAAAGATGCAGGTGACGAATAGGACAGTTCTTTGTCGGTATGCTGGCCATGTGAAAACATATTGTAGCTGCAGTATATTAGCGCTGACTTGAAGTCTTCATACTTGTTCTGCTGCACTCACGTAGTTCAGTGTCCCACCACTTCGCGGAATGCCTTGTTCAACACCTTCAAACTTATGGCGGGGTGTGCTTAGACCAAATTCAATATTCAGGTAGGCTCCTGAAATGGTGTATATAGCACCAGCAAGCCAGAAGAGGAGAGTGATGCCAACACTCCCGGTTCCGCGGATGACAGTGGCAGGCGAGTTGAATATACCCGTTCCTTTGATGATTAGATAGAAAATATAAGTACAGAGCCACGAAGACTTACCTATGACTCTGTTGACAACAAGTGCAATGACAGACCAGTAACCCAATCGAAAGCGTTCTTCTGGAGCCTTTGTGATGATTGTGTTGGGGATGTTCTCTGGCAAAATTTCGAAAATTGCAGAATTGATGCTACTGTTATCATCCCCAAACACTTCTTCAGTCCTTGACTCGGTACCTTGATCTGCTGTAGAAACCATAATGGTGATATTCTAGCAAATTTGAAAACTGTTGGAGGTTTGGAGACGAACTGTCTTTGAGATGGAGACAAGAGAAAAGCTGGGCGTAGCCTGCTCATCAGGCGCATGTTTCTAATTAAACACATCTTAGCCAAGGGTCTTCCGATTCAGCTTTCGATGACCGTAAGCCAACTTTAAGTTTCACAACAAGGCTGGCGATCCTTCAGAGATATGCCAAGATTGGAGGCTGATGCAGGTGCGATAAAAGTCGAATGTTGATTGGAAACACGAACCTGCCTGCAAGCCTCATCAAATATTGAACATGGGGCCCCACCATACAACTCGGGCGCAGGGCAGATTTGAGAACCGTCTGACGAGCGAGCAATCGACATTGGGCTTCCCATCGTCTTTTGTGCGATTTTCCAACAGGGGCGAGACAGCCTTAAAGTTCAAAACAGAACCACCAAGAAGACCTAGCCACCGCCACAAGAGGAGAAAAAAAGACACATGATGCGTGACCCAGCATGTGAGCCTCTCTACCCGTTGAATCTGCGGCTGAAATACCTCGCTGGTTTCGAACAGTCTGACTTGATCCAGCCTGACCTGACATGAACAGATAATTAGTCAGGAGCAAAAGCATTGATCATACAACACAATTTCATGAGGCCGCGGTGAAGCGGCATCACTGAAGACGCAAAGCAGCATATACTACATCGTCACCGCTGAGATGAGCGCTTCGGCATCGGACGTGATTCGAGTTGCGGCGCTGGCCTGGGAGATCTATCGCATGGGATGGGGCGAAGAATTTGATGCAAGTATGTGATCATGATGCTTCGTGCGGCTTGAAGTCAAAGAACAGACACTGACTGCGTATGTCTTGCAGGTCAAGCGTACCAGGACTTTGGAAATGATATAAAGGGTCTGGCCGAGAATTTGAACAACATCGTTCGCGTCGTGGAGAATGCGCGAGCAACTTGGATCCAAGAGTCGGTACGGGTAGTCCGGTCTCGAGCACCACCTCTCCAGAAAGACTGGGACCTGTCTTCACTCCACGAGATCGTCGGAGACTACAGAAGTACTCTTGAGGATTGTAAAAGATTACTAGAGCAAAACTACGAGTTCGGAACAACAAAAATCCCGCATACAACATTGGATGGAACCTAGTAATCCAGCCGAAAGTTGACAGACTTCGCAAAAGGCTGGAGTCGCACAATTCGAAGATCTCTATTCTTCTCAAACCTTTGGAACTCAACCTCCTTTCCGATATTCATCGCGATCTTGCCGATCGTATAGATGCTGTCCACCAAAGCATACTCCATCTCCATGGCCTTCTCATTCCTGACGTTCAGCAAGCGATTTCTGAACAAGGACGGCCCGTTTCAATACCTCTGATCGTGCCTGGAGACATTGAGAGACGATTCCAAACTGCCGCAGAAAGATTTTACCCTGCAGTTAGAAGTCCTGGCAATTTTCCTTTGCAAGCTGGCGCAGATGCATTTGTCGCGCACATAAACGAAAGCACGAGGAAGTTTTCGGCTGGAAATTTTCTCAATGAGAGAACGCCACCACCGAAGCAGTACCTATCACTTCTGAAATGCGTCTGGATTATGAGATGTCTACAAGAGAGTTATGAATTGCGAACAGCTCCGGATTCTTCACAATGGCCAGGATACATTGCGCAGTTGAATGAAGATCTATCCGTGGAATGCCTTCGTTTTACAGCTCCGTCAGCTCAGCGCCTGATTGCGCCAGACCTAAGCAGCCCAAGACCTGACGACGAATTTAGTATATGGCCTGGAGAGGATATTTCAGAATACATTTCCCCGCATTCCGAAGTCTACTTGGAAGAGATCCTCAAGCTTCCGATGCCAAGTCCTTCTCCAACACTTCGACGAACAATGACGGTATACAAGCTAGACGCAACCAAATACAGATTGGTAGAATCCATCGAAGATTCAAGTGGTCCAACGGAACGCCGGCAAGAGTATAAAATGGAAATCGATCTCAGAACAGTCAATCTGACGCCAATCTATGCCACGCCAAGCTCCAGGCCGAAATCTATGGAAGTTCAAATTACTTCCAGCAGTGCGAATACAAATCCTACCTTTCAAGAACATAAACAAATGATGCGCTTTCAGCATCTATTGACTGGTTATCAAGTATTTGACAGATATGACCAAGCGATGGTGACAGCCTCATTTTTCATTTCTGGCCAAGAGAAGCCAATCGAAGAGCATGCGAGGATCCAGATCTGGCTTCCCCATCCCTTTGCATCATCATCAAAGTCTGCAAACACGTCGACATCGACAACTCCTAATGCACTCCAAAGTCCTTCATCAAGCACCTTTCAGGGCCCAACAACGCAGAACCCGATGCGCAGCAACACCCGAGACTCTCTTAATGCATCCATGGAGTCCATGACCATTGGGAGATATGCCTCCATGGAATCAATGACAACAAGTAGGAGCCGTGACAACAGAACACCAAGTCGACTCACAAAATCTTCTAGTCGAGCCTCGCTGGGAACTGGTAGAGAATCAGCAACAATTGGAAATAGTCGAGAGGATGTTAGATCGAGCGCTTTCAGCATGCGATCATTTACAAACAAGTCTCGCCAACGGCCGCCGAGCGTCATGACCACTTCTAGCACTACATCTCGTCGTAGCACCGCAACATCTATCACCACCATCAGTACTGGTGCTGGAAATAAGGCACACCTCCATACCAAGCCAGCTAAGCCTCTGCTTGTCATCTTTCTCAAGGGGAAGGATGCGGCAGCGAAACTTGCAATCGTCGCAATTCAGATGGATGACAAGACAGAAGTAAAGCGGGAAAGGTGTGGATGCCGATCATCGAATAGTGACTGCAGGTACAGTTGTATTGAGCGCTCAGATGGGCCTTTGATGATACAGCGGTGGGATGCTGAAGAAGGGCTTGGCAGTTGGAATCTGGCCAAGTTGGGGGTAGATCAGAGAAAAGAATTACCTGCAGATGCTTGGAATAACGTGAAACGAGTCTCTTTGCATTTCAACAAGACCGAAGGTATGTAGTGATGACACCCCCATCCTAGTAATTTAAAAGGTATCAGCTCACAAAGCTTAGACAGATACACATTCTCTGGAAGCCCCTGCGCGTGCAAACCGAAAATGCAGCACGATCTCGCGAGATGTATTCTCGAGAGACACCATGGCATATTTGGGGTTGTGAAACAGATTGGAAGCCAGCGACTACGAAACTATCATCAAGAGCGTGATAAGGCAACTGGTGAGAATATGGTTATGGGAGCTTTGCCTGAAGACGAGGAATGGTAGATGGCACTCCCAATTTTGAAAGTTAGATACCCTTTTCAATTGTGTCATGGTCCATAATAGACGGAATCAAATTTTGATAAAAAGCATGTAAGACTCAGCTCTGGACTCGAGGTTTCCAAGTCATCCTGTCCATAGAAACAGACGGTTCACGTCCAATAATTCTATCACTTGACGGATACAGGTGGTCAAACAACAGAGATGCAAGTAAATACTCGGGAAGAGCAATTTTCGTTCTTTACTCAAGCCAAGGCAGTTGTCTGCTTGTTATAAATAAATAAGGGAGGTAAGCCGGCTGAAGGTTGGACCGTGCTACAACTCACTGATCACAATTTCCGATCCCGTCACTTATTCATTTCGTATGAAAATTTCCTCCAGGTAAGCTGCAATATGTGATGGTTGAATTTATGCAGCCATTACTTAAGACAGGGCATGCCAAAATTACGCAGATATCGTGATGTCCATGTTACTCGCCTAATAAGACATGCATGCTTATTTTGGGGTCCGAAGGATTATGAAGCTGGGGAGGAGAAGCAATTATTTTGTGCTGTAGGAAGTGAGTCACAAATACAGACAAAGAGATTTCGCTGCAATTTATATCTTCTCCTCTCACATGATGGCACCGATCCCAAGAAGGCCCAAACAGTATTGACTTCATGACTGCAGTACGTGGACGAGGGGTGATATCTCTTGGCAAGGACCCCGCGTTGACGCCCCTGAAGCGACCCCATACAAATCCCTGTAAAACACGTTTGAAGCCCAGAAAATACCCCATCAAAGCACTGCCGATTCCGATAAGGACAAAACTCGGGATTTGCACGTCATCACTCCAGATCCTGGATTCTATCAACGGGCGGTACTTACAAAAGGAACGGCATCTCATATCCTACTCTCGAATTATTTGTAGTCTTTAAACCCTCACGATGAAGCAAAATGTGATCATCGTTGGCTCTGGTTGGGCTGGTTCGACCCTGTCAACCTCTCTGGACGAATCTAAATATTCCATCACTATCATTTCACCAGAAACAACAACTCCCTACACACCTCTTCTCGCCAGCGCAGCATGCGGTCTCTACGATTTCAACATAGTCGAGACACCTATCAGACATACAAGCAAGAATATAAAATTTATCAAGGCACGCGTAGAAGGCATCGATTCTAGGGCGAAGACCGTGAAATGCGTACCAACATTTTCCGATCTTGCAATCCAAACATTCAGCTTGGACTATGATATTCTAGCACTCGCTCCTGGAGTAATATTCATTCAATTCTTTTCTTGAAGCGTCCAATTAACTCTTATGCAGTGTACGAATAACACTTTCGGCACTCCCGGTGTTGCCGAAAATGCGCATTTCATCCGAAATGTGAAGGATGCTCAAGTCGTGGCTGGCCTCGTCCAAGATGCTTTTGAAAAGGCCTCCATCCCTGGGCTGACTGTGTCCCAGCAACGTTCTCTCTTGCACTTTGTGATTGTCGGTGCAGGCCCAACTGGTGTCGAAGTCTCATCCGAGCTTCATGATCTCTTCCACGGAGGTTACGCAAAGCTGTACCCTCATCTCAAGGATAAAGTCTCTATTTCCGTGCATGATGTAGCCGATAAGGTTCTCTCTGGGTTCGATTGTGAACTTCAAGACTATGCGATGAAGAGTTTCAATAAGAGAGGAGTCGAGGTGCTGACTGGGAGTCATATCGAGAAAATCGAGAAGGGGGCGCTCATCACGAAAGAGAAGGGCAGGATCGAGGCGGGGTTGATAATTTGGGCAACTGGAAACAAGTCAACACCTCTGGTAGACTCACTCCCAGTCAAGAAAACGCCGAGAAATCCAAGAATATTGACAGATGACTTCTTGCGAGTGTATTCTGAGTCCTCAGATCTGTTGGATGGAGTGTATGCTCTAGGCGATGCAGCAGACGTGGAAGATGCGAGACTTCCAACTACGGCTGAAGTTGCTTGCCAGAAGGCGAACTATCTTGCTGAGGCGCTGAATAAGGGATTCAATCGAAAGTTTGAGTATCAACAGGCGGCGATCGTGGCATATCTGGGTCAGAATGACGGAGTTATCAGTGGGAAGAGCGACTACTCAGGGGCTCAGGCTTGGTTGGCATGGAGAAGCAAGAACTTTCTTTGGACACGAACTTGGAGACAAAAGGTCTTGATTGTTGTTGGCTGGTTCTTGGACTTGGTTACTGGCCGGGCAATTGCACCTCGGTAATAAAAACTGTTGCTTGAGCTGGCTCTAGCTTATGACTCTCTTTTACTTTGGCAAAGGACTTGTATGGTGTTCATAGTTTCGGTATCTATTCCTATTGCTTCTTTGTCGTCCAAGGCTATAAATACAAAACTTGCAGTGAGTCTTGTCAACGGATTGATATATGGAAAGTGACATTGATTGCGAGGGAGCCTCTGCTTGACTGATGTATCTTCCTTGATGGCTTCAAGTGCTGAGCGAGGATAAATAGGGGGGCGGGGTAAACATGTCACTACAAGTGGACCTGTCATCCGTCGTCCCGAAGAAGTGGGAAATGAATTACTTCTGATATTACTACTTTATTTTCTATTTCTCATTCCGTGAAAGTAAACCCTAGATTGGGACAATCATGAGCCCAGAATGGCAACGGGATGCTGTCTATTTGCATCAATTTCACAAGTCTAAACGCGACAAAGCCTGCCATTACCGCTCGGCAGTCCATTTTCAGTAACGACCTTCCAGTTTTCACTCCCAACTGCCGTCTGAGCAAAGAATACGTGCTTTGGATCGAGCTTCTTCTTCAACGCCAACAAGCGATCGTACGCGCTCCCGTAAAAGCTCTGCTGGAAATTTGGCTCCAGAATATCCGACTCTCCCAGATACGACCCTGCGCCAGGAGATAGATCTCGCCAGCGCTGCATGTGGCCAAATGTAAAATTCTGCCTAGTTGCAAGTTGGACTTCTGCACTTGCACCCTCAGCCCAGTTAACAGACTGTAACATGTGGGAGTAGGTGTTGCGCCAGGCGGGATTGACGGCGCTCACTGTATTCCCACCATTTTTAAGATTAGGATCAATGATGAAGCCGATGATGGTCAAGCCGTTGATTGAGGACGTCTTGACTGCATTGAAGGTATCATCGAGATGCTTGGCAGTTTTCCAGTTCTGCTTGGGCCAGAGACGGGATCCCGTACAGACATGGGTCTTGGAGACTGCTTCCCGTGGAAAAGATTCCTTCCAACCGGTATAATGCGAGTCGTAATGGATAGTCTTTGGCGTGAAGGTTATGTTGAGCGCGTTCAATTGGGCAAACCATGGTGCCAGGAGAGCATTCGTCTCGTCGAGAGTCTTTCCAGGAGCCCAAAATGGCTGCATGAGAAAGGTAGGGGTAGTAGAACCACTAAGGATAAACCAATATGCATAAATTCCCTTAGCAGAAAGAGACGGGAAGTGGTCGAGAAACAAGCGAAATCCTTTCCAAAAGTTCTCGGACGTGATGTTTCCTCCCACCTTGAAGGAGAAAGTTGATGCTGTGACAGGGAGATCAGGATATGCTTTGATCGTGACCGATGTCACAACACCAAATGTGCTTCCTCCACCGCCACGGAGAGCCCAAAATAGCTCAGTGTTCTGCTTGAAATCTGCAGTCACGAATCTTCCATCTGGTGTAACAACTTCCATGGACAAGACCTGGTCTGACGCCATTCCGTGGAGAGAACTGAGTGGCGAATGCCCGCCTCCTTGAATATAGCCTCCCATCACTCCAACCGTCTACAGTTCAGGTCAGATCTCAGATCTGCTATCACCTCTGAAGGAGACTTACCACGCCCTCGCCACCGACAACTACAAGTCCTCTCTTATAAGCCTCCTCGTAGATCTCGAAGGCTTGTACGCCAGCTCCAGCCTTGAAAGCCGGGCCTTTGTAATTCGTCCCAGCTGCAGCATAGTGCGGAATGTACTGGATGTCTTTCAGATTGTGAGTCCAAATTGAAAGAGCTCCAGCACCACCAGACTTCCCCGAGAAATCATGTCCAGTGTTCTTCACAACGAGACGGATGTTTGTCACTCTAGCAAAGTTGACAGCTAGCTGAATTTGATAGACCTGTGTAGCGTTCACTGCATAGTACGGGAAGGCCCCAAGCGTACATGTTTTGGTTGGATCGAGGGTTGCTTCCTAAACAGACGTCAGCGACAGGCACTTGCTGCTCGAGCAGATAATGTCTCATACACATGTAAGTCCTTGATAGACTGGCGACATCATAGATGTAGGGTCATTCATACTAAAGCCAAGTTAGTGCTGGTCGTTTCCGGGGATTATCGGCCGCCTACTGGATGATGCTGTTTGTCCAGTTGGCGTACAATGTGGCGCACTTTGCTGCATTGTAATATGCTCCATTGTAGCAAGGCGAGGCAAGAGGTACCGTCTTAATCAGGGCGTCGTTACCCAGAACCCAGTTGAAAATGTCCCAGAAAATATCGCTAGGCCAGAGGAAGTCGCCTGGGAAGACTTTACACGATCTCGAACTTCGCCTTTCCAGCTCATCAGTGGCTTCATCAGAGTTGTCGAATTGAAATAAGGCACTGGTGTTTTTATCCAGTTGTGAGAGCCCCTCTTCCGTTAATTGTAAAGTCTCAAAGTTGAAGAGTGGCACATGTCCCGTACTGTCGACCTCCGTCACAACAGGTGCAACACCATCTGCAGTCGAACGTGGACCTGAAACGCTTGTTCCTGCAACAACGGACCTAAAGGACAGGCCGACAATCAAGAAGCTGGCAGTCAAATACCCGAACATCGTGGTTGTAGGGATGTTTGAAAGTTTGGGGGGAATGAACAACAAACAGGCAGGTCGAGAAAGCTGCAATAATTATACAACCTGCAGGCTGTCCCACTTTTGCTGGCCAATGTTTGTACCGACATGGTCGGAAGGCATGAAATGTTCACTTGAGATCAACAACCCACTTGCCACATTAATCATTTCCCGCCTTTCATTTGTTCTGGGTTTTTTCGAGGAGCGGTTCTCCGCCCCCGGAAAACCTTTTTGACAAAGACAGATTGTCTTGGGGCTGAAAGTGGACCCTGGGAATTGGTCATTGGCCGTCATTTGTATTTTCGTGAGCTGGAAGCTTTTGTAGTTCCAGATTATCAAGCACGCATCGTCTCCTGAATCTTGTTCCCCCAAATATTGAAGGCAGTCAAAAAGACCGCAGGGGTCGTCACCTGATTTAAGTTTTATTGTTGACATGGGATCGTGGCTAGGGTCATAATCTAGCGAGAGTCTTCGTTTTTAGACGAGGGATAATGCGAGACATGATTCGCTAGTATTAATTGGCAGCTGCAAAGAAGATGAAAAACAGGAGACCATCCTTGCCTCTTCCACGATCTGCATCCTTCAGAACGTGTTCAGTGGCACTTGTGGGGCCGGCCCCTAATTGCGGAACATGGGTTTATCCCGCTCTTCCGTCCCAATGGAACCATCAGACACAGAGGATCCCCGTTGCCTGGTACCTTTCCGCATGTCTCGTGGGACCCCAGCTGGATGATGCAATCCAGAGGCACGATAATACTGAAAGCACTCATGATTCAACCAACAATTTCCGCCACTAAGGTAGGCTTTTATGGACCTTCCTAATCAGCTCGGTTTGAACGTGAGCCAAGAGATTCGGCAAGTTTCGAGGGACATGAGGTGCGGAGTCCTACCTTCTACTGTAGATATTCGCAACCTAAGCGAGGCGGGAGGAGTCCACGGAAGTCCTTTCCATATTGGTCCTTTCCATATTGAACATAGCTTGTGTTGATAAGGATACAAAGAAAAGAGCCCAATCTGAATGCCTCCACTAGTCAATGCTCATATTCCAGTGAAATTGTAGATATATGGCTCCTTCAGACTGACTCTATCAGGTGGACATACGCAATCGACTACTTACTTTCATCTTTTATTCGAGAATTGACAGCTTGATACTGTATGAATCCCAAAGCTTAGGTACGAAACTTTATATTTGACAGTTTTGAACATTGCACAACTTAGCTTGGCAGACACAGATCGAGAGCAGAAGAACGTTGGCTGGTTAATCCTACTGGGAGAGTAAAGGATTAGTGATTTCGGTGCTTATTCAAGCATTCCGTGATAATGTCAATATGTGAAGCTGCGCTACGCGGGGTTTTCCTATTGGATGAACTCTAATTCCACTGACGTGAACTTTCAGAACCACTTTTTCAACATACTCGGAACTTTGGTTGACAATCCTTCCACACCGCCCACCGCTGAAATACAAAACTCTCTTCTCGGCCCTCGGTCCAATGTTGTTATGCCCTCTGAAAGCATAGGAGGTCCCAAAGAACCGGTCATTCATCGTTCTTGAAGATCTTTTCTCTTCTGGTCTTGGACTTGTACACGGAGGTAGCTCCCCTCGGCACAAAATGCATCTTTACCACAGAATAGTCTTGCCCTTTATGCATTTTGATAACCTCGTTCCCTCTCATCTTGTATCCTTCACCAGTTTACCCCGTTTAAGCTCTGAAGATCCTAGAGACGGTGAAACAGGGCAGTGATTAACTTCCGGACATGCCTGGTTGAAGGATCTCTGTCCCGGCAGCTCCTTCGATTACCATGGAGCTTCTTAGCGAGCGTGGGGGAAAGTAACTTTGATAAGCTATGAAGGATTTTATTATAGATAATAGTTCAATTCTTCATATAGCCGGTGTCCAGCAATTTCATAAAACGTTCATGTGCTTGCCGTGACCATCACAGACATTGACAGTATCAACACTTGCTCATGATGGTGGAAACCAACCAGCCTGAGGCGATTGCCATCATATCTGTTTTTTGTGCGGTTAGCACTTTCTTTATGGCGTTGAGAGTTTGGTCCAGAATCATTGCTTGGAAAGAGGATAGGAGCTGGGACGCTTTGCTCGTTTGGAGTAAGTTCTCTCCATCCCCGCGTTGTGTGATTTCACGGCCATGTTCTTGGTCTGAAATGTGGATGTTAGACCTCTCGAGTGATTTTTCCTTGAGAAAGTGTTCATCTGCCTGAAGTATTTACTATCTGAGTTCAAGCAAGTTCATTAGAGCGCTCTCTCTTCTCGGCTCCGCACGCGGAGCTCTCAAGACTCATTTTGCTTATCTTTGCTTGCAATTGTCTGAAACTGACCGGTCTTAGGCGATGTTCTTCTTATGATTGCATACGTAAGAACAAAGATTTTTTGCTCTTTTATTTTATATAAACCTCGTTACTGACAGGTTTTACAGGTACTGGCAGCTGCAGAGGTTTATGTTGTCATCACTTGCAAGTCGTCCCCTCATGTCAGCTCTTCCATCTCTCTTTAACAACTGAACAGACACTCTCATCACTTGGCAAGGATATCATAAAGTGGACATTCCAAAACTCAGCGTCGAACAGAGAGTCCGCGGTCAGAAATACAACCTCGCCAACCAGCTACTTTACAACCCAATCCTATCCCTAGTCAAGGCATCCGTCATGTTCTTCCTCCTACGAATTGGAAACACAAAGAAGTTCGTCAAGTATGCTCTGTATTTTGCCCAAGCTCTGAATCTAGCTCTCGCCATAGCCATCTTCTTCGCAGACGCATTCCAGTGCACACCAGCTCATTATATGTACGACAAGATCAAAATGGATGCTGAGGCTCGGAAAGCTGCTGGAGCCGATGCTAAGGGCCAAGTTGACGGGGTAACCATCTACGGTGGAACTTGTATCAATCAGATACGATTCTTTCTCGTTTCTGCAGGACTGGCAATCGTGACTGATGTCATCACGCTAATCATTCCTACGATAATCGTCTGGGATCTACAGATGCCGATGAGAAAGAAGATTATTGCAAGCGGCATGTTAAGTGTGGGAGTACTGTAGGTCGATACATTTGCTCGTCCTTCGGTCATGAGAGTAATTCCAAATTCTAATCCTACTTTGTAGCGTTACCGGAACCTCAGTGGCTCGTCTTGTCATATACCACTGGCGTTTCAATCCAAAAAATAAAGACGCCAGCTATCAGATCGGCTACACTATATCTTCAGCAGAAGCCAATCTAGCCATCGCCTGTGGGGCAATACCTTCTCTGGGGCCCTTAATGCGACGAATCGCTCCAACGGTTTTCGGTTCCACAAACGCTTCACAGTCACGACCAACTCCGTCGGGGTATTTGCAACAGTCGAAGACCAGCACAAGGGAGCAGTACAAATTGAAGTCATATAATTCGAATAACACGAACTGGCCATCTTCAAAACATAAAACAGAGGCATGGTCGAGTGATGAGAACATTTTGGTTTCGAACTCTAATAACGGCATCACGAAACATGTCCATGTAGACGTGGCGTATAGCGAGGCAGCGTCGGTAGAGGACAGGGTTGAGAAGAGACAGGACATTTGAACTTTCGAAGACGATGGAACTGAAACGGGAATATGAAAGCGCTACACTCATACAGGGAACGGAACTCAGCTTGTAGGAAGTGGAGCAGACAAGATGCGTTCTCTGATGCCAACTATCTAGGCAATGAGAACTACCAAATGAATGGCATAAAGATAAAGACTTCAAGCGTCCTGCGCTCGTCTTCTCATAATTCCCTCAAACAGTGTAATACGGCTTAAGCGTCATTCCAAGCTCCCTCAGTCTCTTCTGCGAGATCCCCTTCTCTAGCTTGATCGCAGCCAGCGTCTGACTGACCTTCCCCCTAAACATCTACATCTATACATATAATCTCGAATACCATCATCTCCTCACTATCACTGACTAACTGGCACGCAAATCTCCTTTCCCACTTTCAGAAGATCACAATTCAGCCCCTCATTACTCTCCACCAAATCCACCACCTCAACACCACAGTCATGTGCAATCTGCCAGCACGAATCCCCACGTTTCACAACATAACTCGTAAAGCCCTCTCCACAACTCAACGGCTCTGGGAAGAATCCCGACCCAAGACCAAGGTACCTGAAAAGCGTAAAGAGGACGACCATGACAAGCAGGAAGAATGGCAACATGTAGCGCCACGCAGCTTGGTCAGCTCTACGCATTTCTTGCTCCTAGAATCTGTTAGTCTCAAGTTGATTTCTGGTGCACATGGGACCTACGGCTGCTACTGTCATAGGTTGGTAGCCGGTACCGCCTGATGTCTTCATTAATATTGTGCTCACGTGGTTGGCCGAGGGGGGGAGCGTACTTGGCCGTAGAACGCCATACCTCGCGCCGGGCTCTCCCTCCCAGAAACTTCCATCTTGGTCACGGTAGGTGTATGTCTGAGTATCGGCGTCATAACCAACTCGTTGCATGCCCTCTGGGAGGTGGTCATCATCCTGAGACTGATTTTAGCTTGAAGTGAGAGGCCTTAGCCGGGGAGCTGCTCTTACTGAGTCGACCCGTGAATAGCGTGACATGTTGAGGCTCTGTATTAGATGTCTTTTGCCGTCCTTATGTTGGTATCAATGAAGAGTATCTTTCTTTTACTTATCAGATGAGTTGAAGCCGAAGTTGGACACATCGGTTGTGATGTCGTGACTGAGGCTGATGGGTTGAGGTTGCCTGATCTGAAACGCGTCAGCAATGGTGCCCCAGAGGGACCAACAGCACAATCACAACATCCTTACCTGGGAAGCTCCGTCAAACTCACAACCTGGCGAACTCCAAAACTGCCCCTAGTATTTTCTATCCTTATCAGCAAGAATTGCCAGGTTTGCCTTTGTTGTATAGGAAAATCGGCTCGTTCAGTAGCTAGTATGGACATCAGACGCCCTCAGCGATTAGCGAGATTTCTATCAATAGCACTCTGTTTCATTTATCCCAGACTCCTCACAGTCTCGCCTTCTACTAATACTCTAATATGTATATGACTCCGAAGCACGGTAATCCTCATGAATGCAATATGTTAGGGATGAATGTAAAGTCACTTTCCCGTGGAAGACCATCTTGCCAAGGTCGAGACCCACCTCGCTTGGTTATCAACAAACCCAAGTATCCAAAAACTGTGAGGGAAACAGAGTTTTGATCACGCTTTACGGCTAGAGAGAATGAGTCTATGACCTCATTTCGGTATCTCATTTTATGGCCTATTTAAGACGAAAACATCCCAGAACAGACCATGATTCGCGCCATCTACCCTCTCTCCAAGTGGCCAAAGAAAAACAGCTCCTGGACAAGAAAAACAGGAAAAACGGAAGTAGAGAAGATACTACAGCTGAGTCACGCCAAGCTCTTGAGTCTCCTCTTTTGAAACTCCGTGTCTATTTCTCAGATGTCTCTTCCAATTCTCCTTCCTTGGAAATCCCTTTCCCACCCTCCCCTCAGAGTGCGCGTATTTACACCCCTTCACATGACAAAAGTAAAGTTTCGTAGTCTCATGAACGTCGTTATGATGTCTCTTAACATCTTTGGGGGTTTCAAACCCCCTTCCGCAAAGCTTACATTGTCGCGGATGAGTGTGTGACTTTTTGTGGCGGCTGTTGAGTGCAGTTAGCGAATTGGATGGCGGGTTCAGGAGGTGAGGAGCAAGGCTTACTTATATTGGCAGGGGAGAGTAAATGCTCTTTCGCAGTTGGGAAATTCGCATGTTATTAATACGAGACTGCTTGAAGTGGTTGATTCTGAGTTTGGCGTTGTTGGAGCGTGAGAGGTTGGGGAGGAAAGGTTGATCGCATCAGGAGATGGCAGGTGTGGCAGTGGTGGGGCTGCTGCTTGCGGGCTCACGACGAGGCGTAGTGATGTCGAGATTGATTGACTTGGAATATAGATTGGTACTGAAAGCTCTCGATCGTCTGTAATTTCGGGTTCTATTTCTGAGTGGGAGTTGCATTGTTTCGTCGTAAGAGATATATCAAGTGCTGGACGTGAGCTTGAAGTAGAGTTGACAACACGACACAGTGGCGTGTACTTGTCAGGATAATGCGCTGGAGGTGTTACCAGTATATCTCGAGGGTTGACAAACAGAAACGGCGATTCTTGAAAGAATCTCTGATAGGATTGAGATGTGTGGCTGAGGACTGTCGGCGGTCGCGCAGACGCTCTGCCGGTTACGCGGCAGACGCCTGCGTTTTTGGAATAACACGGGCAGTCCTGAAAAGGTTGACAAGGTGCAGGTTACCAATGTGCAATAGCAGCTAAAGAAGGCTAAATGATACCAAAGGCACCAAAAGTGATTGGGAATTGCGCAAAGTGATTTAAACAGTAGCTGGCCACCAATGCGTTGTTGCTCTCTATCGGTTAAGTGCTTCCACCAGTGTTGAGCCCTCTCAGCCAGGGCTTGTTTCTTACAGCCGTTTATTGGGCAACTCGAAGGTAGATCCGAGGATGATCGTAGGGTGAACGATACTGTTTTTATTGGAGATGACCAACTTCGTGTACAGATGACTGGGTTTTCCGATTGTGACCAGTTGGCGATGTTGCTTAAAGTAGTTGTAGTTCCGCAAATTTTGAAGGACGTATCCAGGTAAACAATTCGTGCGGTTGATTGAGGCTCGACAGTGACGCTGCTCACGTAGGCTGGCAAGATGATCAGGATGAAGAGGAGGGAAAATATCCAAAGTAAGACTTTGAGGAGTAAGAATCTTCTGGACGAATAGGCCATGGCCTCAGTTCGAGAGCCCAGCGGCCATGCTGGTGTTCTGTGAAGATGTCGAAGAACGATAGAAAGCGTCAAACTTTGGAGGTCAAATACTCCCAAAGCTTCTGAGGCCACCCACAAGGCTTCTACAGCCAACAATTCTCGAGGTGTGGGTGGCCTCATTATCGGAACCAATGATATACCACCTCAAAACGCCACACTTGTTAGGAGTGTCATCGAGAACACAACCTGGGTCGCCTCCAGATCACGCTGGCTCGGAATTCGATACGGTCAGCACTTATGAGCTCTTGCAATGCCCGCCAAATCCCGGTAGGGTAATTGCCGTGTCTGGAGAGGGTGCTGTGAAAAACCCGTAGTGGTGGGATTATCCGCTTCTCAAGGAAACAAAGAGACAAAATAAGTGCCAATACTACAACAGGCATAAGACATCACAGTAAATTGAAGTCAACAGACGACCATGACTTGCTCTCAGGAAGTATTTTCATAAGAAAGGACAACCAACTCCATTCTCCAACTCCGCCGCTGAACCCAGGCCTTGGTATCCAATTTCCAACCTATTTCCAATCTCATAACTTCATTAATCAGATTCATAATTTATCCTCGAGCGACTGTATCCTTGATGAGCTGGTAACATTCTTGCGGCGATTCGAAGACATGCCAAATATCTTTTGGCACATCCTTGAACGCTTTCTCGAATCTCTTAGGCTCATTCTTTTCTTCTATCCCGATGGCTGCGATGTCCTCCACCTTTCTGATGAGGATCAATTTCACCCAACCTTTGTGCTTGCGGTAACTGTTCATATGTCAGTCTGCTCATATGGATCCAACTAGAGACTGAAACTTACATCTCCCCATAGGTCTCCGGATCAGCTTGTGTCGAGTCACCAATGAGGATCATTTTGCGCTTTGGCAGCCAGGAGTTGATCTTCGTGATGCGAGAGACTTTATACTCTTGTGTGCCGAGAGTGAGATTAGAGAGGAGGCCAGCCAAGTTCATCCACGACGAGTCTCTGAGGACTATAGTACCTTGAGGGAAGAACTTTTGACGGAAGTCGCGCAGGAAACTGTAGAGGTTATATGGTGATGCTGAGAGGTAGAAGAATGGTGATGTTGGAGAGATGATGCGCTGGATGAACTGGTATAGTTCTGGCATGCCTTCAACTGGTGTAGCTTGAGAAACAAAGGTTGAACGCAAGATGCCAATTGGGTCGCCGGTTTGGGTGATCTTGATGGTGTCGTCGATATCTATGGAACAAATGTCAGACAGCTAATACACGAAAACTGTTGTAGCTTACCAGAAATTACACCCCATCCCTCTGGCTCGGCGTAAACAGTATTCGCTTGCAAAATACCATTCGCGCCTTTCGGGACTTGCGCAACATACGACACGACAGTTCCATCACCGTGTGCTGGTACGGCCTTGATATCGCTGCTTATTCCATTCCTTCCACCAGGGCCCAAGTTGATTTGCTGTTGCTTCGCAAAATCAACTGTAACCTTGCGTCCTGGCAGAATGTTCTGCACGAAAGGCATGAGCCGGTCCTGAATTGTAGCCTCCGCAGCATCGCCGTTTCCAAGGCCAACTTTCTCTGCAATATCGGCAACAACCGTGCTGATTTCCACACCTGTATCTTTGTCGAAGACGGCCGCAACGAACTCTGCTTGCCATTTCCCGCTCGCGTTTCTGTATGCCGTGTTATCAAGGAGCCAGACAGTATCGTTGTCAGTTACTGGCTGTGGCAAAGGATTCCAGGACCCGAGGAACGAAAGCACGCTCGAGCCTGATGCAGGTCGGTTGTCAGATGCGGGTGAGGCTTTGATATTCGGTAGGTTGTTCTCGACATCTCCAAACTTTCGTTCTCGTCGAGTCTTGTTCTCCATGAAGCTTCCTCCAACAGCTCTTCCTATGCCTTTAGCTGTGTCGGCAGCGGCCTTTGCATCGCGAACGAGGTGCGACATCTTGCTGATTCGAGAAATGTGGACTTAGTGATGTATCTGAGCTTCAGTCTGTTGTGATGATCTGGGGATGAGCGACGAACTGAAATGCATTCTGTGTTTTGGGAAGGCTGGGTAAGCGAATGATGATATACAAAGCAAAAGCAAGGTCAGCCTTCTCAGCCCCTCACTTGGCTTCTTGGCTTATGGAGTCAGAAGCCTGCCGCAGTCTCTGCTTCGTTGAAGTTTGGTTTCAGCTGGCTGTCAGCCGTCCCTGTCTCCACAAACTGAGCTCAGCCTGCAGTAGGCTTGAGGCTGCACATCATCATCGCCAACTTCCAATGTCTTGAGTGTCTCCAATACCGAAAGCCCAGCTTCTTGCTGCTCGACGTCATCAATAAACTCACCGGTTATTACCATCGTGGCGGCAAAGCTGCAGCACATGGTAGCATCACTAGATCGCTTGGATACATCTATGCTCCCCAATGATCTTTGTACGCGCCGTCACTTGACGAGCCGGGCTGATGCACGCTGGCCTAGCCCGTAGGCCTAAAACTAGGACAGGGCGTCGATCATCCGCCTACTGTTTTGACCAGAAATGAAACATAGGATCAACCGGTCCCTGAGGGTGATTTGTTTATTTTCGGATGGAGGGCATGGGACGAGATGAAGTGACGTGCAGACTGAAGACGGGGAGAGCGACATGTGGAGAGAAAAAGGGGGATCTTTGCGCAGTCTTGGCATATCAGTCAGCATCCTTAAGTGGACGACATTTATTGCCTGCATGAATCTTGCATTTCCAGCTCGGTACACCACCGCCAGAAAACAACATACGGACAAAACAGGAGATGGTATTGGCCTATTGCTCAGGACGGGCATAAGCACAGGATTTGGTGAAGCGAATGTCAGATCTCACGTACTTTGCCTCCACATTTGATGAAAAGCCGAAAGAGCTGATCGGTATGCCCGTCCAAAACTTCATCGGCCTGGGCCGATATCCTGCAATATTCAGTACCTCGCTCTTCAGGAAACATCCTTTGGAGAAAGAGATCGGTATCGAATTGTGGCGCTGGATGGTGCTAGCAAACTGCTCTGGGGCCGAGCGTTCTCAGGATCACTGGATTTCGCCAAAACTGATCACCACGTGCACAATGACACCATTGTGTAGATATCTTTGCAGACTCCATGTTAAGCCTAGGTGAGAGTTTGGAAGTATCAGCCATGTCAGAGAAGCGATAATTCGAACCCCTGCGATTTTTGCGCCATGGGAAAGCAAGCCGAAGGCTTATTTTGACAACATGCCTTTCACAGTTTTTCCATAACAGAAGGCGGGCGTCAGTTCTACATCATTTGCGTCCACACATGCATTTATGAGCAACTTCACTTGAGATTCCTTTGGATAAACAACAAGCTTCGACTATTGACTGTCTCCAATCCCCCTCCTGGGCTCACCTTTCTACCTCATTTTCTCTGGAATCCAGTTCTCTTGATTGGAGGAAAAGTGCTATCAATTGCGATTTTCACCCTTGCCCAACAACTTCCCACGGTTTGATCCAGAGATTGGCCAGAGCAGCAGCATCTCCTCCATACATTGAGACGACGCTTCCGATTAAGTAAACTTCTCAGCTACTCACTACCTAACTCTCACGTTGAAGCTATTTCGCGTGCAACAAGCCCTCCAGTACGGGAAAACCCGAAGAGTCGGGAACTGGTTTATCGACCTTCCAGCTTACGCTCTGGACCGTGCTCCTTAGAACCCGCTCCCCAAGCAGTCACTTTGACACATCTCGGTAAACCTTCAAAAGAATAGAATATACTGTGGAAGGGATGAGAGCGCCATGGAATCACTCTGAACGAATTTCAAGTGGGTGCACAGAGGCTGGCGTGATTGTTGTGTGGCGTTTGAAGCATCCCATATCATGGCTTTACATTATTCTGGGCGGGTTGTCAGACTTCACATCAACTGACTTCTAGATAGGTACCTCTTGACCATCGATTAAGTCGTCTTTGAGGATTTCTTTACGCGTCATCCCATCTCACCATACGATTCCGCCACGCTTACCGACTGCTTCCGCCGCTTCGGATTGAACAGATACCCGTTCCTCCCGTTCTTCAAGTTCTTACCAAGCATTTCCTTGATTTGTATGTATCCCCAAGCGAGAAGGATGAGTCCAGCGCCTGGTGCAAGGCTGACACTGATATCCGACCCCTCCTTCGTGTCGGACAAACGAGCCAATCACAGAACTTGACCCACCAGGTAAATCACAGCGTGCATGAGCTCCGCATTACTCAGCATCAGCCTCGTGCCCTCCTGGCCAATAGGCTTTCTCAACACTGAGTACGATACCTGCTCCTTATCGCCGTCTTTTCGCCGTCGTTTCGGGCTTCATGACCCGCTTAAGTTAAGTTGGATATACGGTAGGAGGGACTTCATTGGAGTGATGAGAGTCACGTAAAAGAAAGGCAAGTGTCTGTGCTGGGCACTGAGAGCTTTTGCCCCTCCCTCACGGCCGTGCCACTCATATGCGGCTGTGCTAGTCACTTCCGAGGGCTTGCTGGAGCCCCGAGTCTTGAAGCCAGTTGGGAGGGCATGACAGCCTGATCTGGGTAAGACGGGGATAACCGATAAGCTGTGTACCTGGCCGCTATGCCCTCTCTGTCAAGGTACGGCGCTGGACCTCGCTTACTCGCTAGTGGGTTCCAGCGACATATCAATGGAAATCATTCCCACCTTCCGCTCCAACTTCTTCTTCTCACACAAATATCCTTCTCTGTCACAATTCTGTCGTCTTGTATTGTGCGTTTCATGGGTGCCAACAGATACAAAACAAACAAAACCCGAACATGTCGACCAAACTCCAAACCCCAGCAATGGGATCCCTCCCTCCTCATCAACGCCATGCCATCACCATCCACATGCCTGGATGGGCAAGTATGCTCAGGTTGATGGACCGGGACCCCGAATTCATAAAGGAGACTACCAGTTTCTACCCGAGGATTATACCGCACAAGGATGTCAAAGCTGTGAGTACTTTTCAATTTCGAGGTCGTGGTGATGTCTTCTGTGGGGAGACTTGTGTATAAATTTCGTGATGTTCCAACTTTTGATGTTCCCATGTCTTGACGTTCCAAGCTGACCCTCCCACCACAGCTCGCCGCCGCTGTGCTCTCCAAATTCGGCACAGAAGGCCAAAATGTCTTCCTCTTCTCCGCCCCTGAATCCGCATCGGAATGCATCAAATTCGCCACCTCCCCCGCACGGGGTGATGATGCCCTCTCACCCTCTGAAATTTCCACCAAAGTCCTAGACATCAAGGTCCGCCTCTACGCCGTTTTCTTCCCCTTGCCTAAATCCCCCATCGTCTCAGCCTTCTGGATCAATCCCGGTGTCGGCATCTCTTCTCGCTTCGCAGAGGAAAGCCTCAAGAACATCGACCTCCTGCGCGAAGTAATTGACGACAAGCCTGCACCAAGCAACCCAGTGTCACCAGCTAATGCAATCCTCCGCGACCGGATCGCGACCTTACTCGAACGCGCACCTGCACCAAACTCGCCAAGAAAGGCACTGATCAAAGCAGAAGATGTCTATCTGTTTCAAACAGGCATGGCATCCATCTACACCGTGCACCAATTCCTTCTCAGCAAATTCAATGCTCTGAGCGTGCTTTTCGGCTTCGCGTTCCACAGCACACCGCATATCTTCGAGGAATTCGGAGGACCGGGCTTGAAATTCTTTGGTCTTGGCAATGCGAATGAACTTGTCGAATTAGAAAAATTTCTCAAAGAGGAGAAGACAGAAGGGAGAAAGATCCAAGCGCTATGGACTGAATTCCCTGCCAACCCACTCCTCATGACGCCCGACATCACGAGATTGCGAGAATTGGCTACAGAGTACAATTTCGTGCTTATAGTGGACGACACAGTTGGCAGTTTCTGCAACGTCGATTTACTCGGCGCCGGCGGCGCCGATATCGTCGTATCATCGCTCACAAAATCTTTCTCAGGTTACGCGGACGTCATGGGTGCTAGTGCGGCACTGAACCCTTCGTCGGCGAAGTATGGAATGTTGAAGGAGCTGTTCGGAGAGAAATACGTGAATCGGTACTACAGCGGGGATGCTGAAGTCCTAGAGAAGAACAGCAGAGACTATCTCACTCGCTCGAAGACTTATAATACCAATGCAGAGGAATTGGTTGAGTACCTCCAATCCCTCACCAGCGACCCGAAGAGCAGCGTCGCGAAGGTCTACTACCCGACCACTTCCCCCACTCTCTCTCATTACAAAGCCCGCATGCGTGCTCCGACAGCAGACTTCACACCTGGGTACGGTTGTCTCTTCACGATCGAGCTCAGGACTGTTGAAGCCACGCAAGCCTTTTACAATAACATCAATGTTCATCACGGTCCGCATCTGGGTGCGCATTTGACGCTCGCGCTGCCGTATGTCAAGGCGCTTTATGGGAAGCAATTAGATTGGGCTGCAGAGCGCGATTTGAGAGAGACGCAGATCAGAATGTCGGTCGGCTTGGAGAAGGCGGATGATTTGATACAGGTGTTTAAGGATGCATTGGTTTTCGCTGATGCGGTGAAGGTGGAGGAGAGTGCGATATCTGTAACTTGAGCGAGGTGGTGTTGCAATCGAGTTGGTTTCTGGATTAGAGGCGGACGTAGAGGCGACGCGCACTACTGTAATCGTAAAGTTGGCAATGCAATAGATTCAATCTCAGTTGAAACAAATTACGCTGGCAATCAATTTATCCTGCGGGGAACGGTCCCACGTTTCGTGCCTTGTCCTGGGTATGTTGAGTCAATCAAACAAAGCGAGCGGTTTGTGATCGTTAAATGTCCTCCCTCTTACTCACGACGTGAGGAGAGTATAAACTTGAAATGTCGCCTGTCAATACCATGCCGAGCTCTCTCGCCATCGGGCAGATCTAGCCATCGATTTTGTCAAGGGCGTGCGAGATCAGCCCAGGTATCTCAAGTTTCGGAAAGTGTTCAGAGATCAGCATCCACGGCTTGACATAGTTGTAGCTGTTGTCTCCATATTTGAAGTCGTCCACCATGAATCTCATGAATATCCGCGTCATGCCCGTATAATGCTTCAGCAACTCCGGGCGTCGCACAGCCGGCACTCTTTCCTGCCATAAGAATTCAAGAATGCCGGCCGCAACGGCAGCTGCGATGGGGGTGGAACAAGATGAGCCGGAATGCTTTTTGTACGTGGCACCTTTCCATTCGAATGTCCTCTCGTTAGCGAGCGCTGAAGGCCAAGCACTTTTGATGTCTTCGCCTGGAAATGTGAGGTTTGGTCGGAAGTAATGCGCTCTTGGGTTGAAGTCCGATGGCCGACTGTACGAGTTACTCGAGAAAATACATATTACGTCGTTCATCCGTGCCGGAAACCGGATAGGCTTTGTCTCATTACTGGTCTTGTTCGCAGCTGAAGCGAAAATGAGAATATTGTTGGCGCTAGCTTTCCGGATTTCCTCACGCAGGTGGCGGTCATCCTCGTCTGTGAAGCCCAGAGATAGGGAGATGATGTCGACTTTCCAGACTTCAGCAGCATAGCGGATTGCCTTAAAGGATTAGCTAGACGCTTCAGTGTGAGAGCTGCCCTTGACTAACCTTAGTAAGAATACTGAAGCTGTCGGTGTCTGCTTCATTCTTGCGGAAAACTCGACCCGCGAATATTTCTGCATTGGGAGCGTACCTTAAGGCAAGAGATGTACAATGTGTACCGTGCCCGTCACTGTCTTTGACGTTGTCGGTGTCCTCGACAAAATCTCGTGTCCTCAAACGTCCTTCATCATTCGCCCTGATCATTTCGCGGTGTGAGAGGTCCAGACCGGTGTCCAGGACTGTAATCTTCACTCGGGGGTGGGCAGCATCGGGCTCTTTCCTTGAAGCGTCGACGGTTTTCTCGAAGGATTTCATCTGAGTAAACCAATCTGCAGGTCCTTTCGACGCTGCACCTTTGGCTGCAGAAACACTGCCAATCTTTCTTTCTCCCTCAGACGATGAATCATCGTATGCGATACTTACTTGACTCGTATAAGAGTTACTACTTTGGTGCTGAGATTTATGTCAGCAGTGAAGGACGCGGGTATCATCGCGGATCAACTAACCACAAATTTGGAAGCTGTGGAGAAGGGTCTTTTGGTTGCAAACGACAATGACCTGGTACCATTGCGTTGGGTAAGCCAATGAATGCGATGGACTCTCTGTAATTTCGGAGGTCCACTTTCAGAGTTTATAATAATGGTCCGAGCATCGGTATTACCTTTTGGCAGGGGCCAAGTAGTGAGGAGAACAACTTTCAAGATCGTAGAATCTTCACACCGAAGTCTTTCAAACAGATTAGAGAATTGATCCACCCATGAAAATGGTAACTCCTGATGATCCTCAAGTACTCTAAGGTCGATAACCATGCACAGATTTGGAATCCCTCGAAGAACATATCTCAGCACATCGAACCAATATATATTGGCGTCCTGTGGGATCCGGCTGCCTCCTGGGCTCAGTAAAAACATCTCGACGAGATATGATAAGAACGCGACATCATATAGCAAGATTCCTTTCTGCAGAATTTGAACAGCAAGCTGTTTCAAGATGTGGGTGCCATGGGACATGCTTGAAACAATAGACATGTCGTTCGGGATCCAAACAACGGGTTCATCGTGGTCTTCGAGATACGGAATGAGATCTCTACTGATTTCATCAATCTCATAGTCACATTGGTAATCTCCCTCGACCAACAGAATCGACGATTCGCTGCTGGAGGCCCACTCTACCAGCGCATCCGAGTCCCAAAAGTCTCCGTTGTAAGCAACGGGTGTGTCGGCTCCTGTGTTCATTTCATGACAGGGCTTGACATCGATATATTGAGAAGATGGCTTACAGAACGCTGGTAACTTCCACATCAGTTCCAAGTCAAGGGAATCGAAAACGCCGGGCCGGTCATATGAAGCCAAGGCCCTCTCAAATCCGAAGTGTCGATGACTGTTCCAGAAAGTGTCAAACCCTATCCTGTCAGATGCCTTTCTTCAATCTTAGTTAAGAATCGACATGTATACCCTCTAGCTGGACGGCCAATCCCCCTAATCGACGATGAAAATCCGAGCCGGGAGCTATACGCTGTAGCGTCAGAATTGGATCAGCCCATTCTGAGAAGTCCGAGGCAGCGTTGAAATTGTTATCCTGTATAGCCCCACGTTCAATAATATCTAGTTGTCTTTGCAATTCGTGCTTCAGACGACTGAAACTTTGGTAGTCGGCACGCCATCGTCTTGAGTATGCCTTCACCGGCATCATGGCTCCACGACGGCCCGAGCCTCTAGGCACGTCCCTGCCCTGACTTGGGTACAATGATCAAGCGTTGATGAAGGTCTTGTGCCGGACCCTTTGTTGGAGAGCTATATATACGGTTGCGCTTCTGTCAAGAACTGGCTTATATGTAGAGGACACAAATGGAAAAAGGCGGCTTGACCGATGGGAGGCTGGAGAGGAGGGGCACGTGCAGGCAAGATACAGCAGCTCCACCGACACGTGATCACAAGCTGATCCTGAATGCACAAGGCAAGCTAGAGCCTTGTTGAATCTATATATATGTATATTGTCATATCATAGCGCAGTATTGAGCGCATCGCGATTGCAATCGTAGCATCCAGGTCGGCCATGGTCGGAGACATGAATGATTTCCGGGGTCGCCTTCGTCAGGCGCAAATGTCCAAAGACAGCACCACAACTGCATCCAACATCAACTTGCGAGGACCGGAGGCTGTAGAACCGCATGCGCCACGGCGATCCAGACATAAACCAGACCCAGGCTCAGACTCGTTTCAGGATGTTGAGATCCCAGTATCGCGGAGGCGACCCAGGACACGACGAGGGCATGCCCCATCTATCGACAGTCGCGAGGGCAGCTCCGTAGGTGCGTGCAACCTTCCTATCGGTATTACGTTTGATTTGATGAAGTTCAGATAAATGAGGCATGGAGTTGTACTGACTGGACTTAGGGTCACCTGGGCCACGAGCTGGACGCTTCATGCCGTCTCGGCCAATGTTCGACTGGCTTGGACCACTGTGTCAACTGTTGAAAATCAGCGAAGACTCGTCCATAGATGACATATCTGACGCTCTCGAGGATGCTGCCTCAAAATTAGAATTGGCAGAAAGCATCAGAGAAACCATGATGTCCGCAAAGAAATTCAACAATTATTTACTGGGATTGCACAAAATGACGTTCGATCAAAGGAAGAACCGACAAGGAGAGCGCTAGGGCTCTGATGACATATTCTCTCATATATTCATGTTTCTCATTATCTCGTACATTCTACCATTTTCACAACCAACATTTGTGTCTTCAACGCCAGGATAAACTGCTCATCTTCCTCACCTCTCAGTACTGTCACATCTGTCCCAGCTGTACCAGCAAAGTCCTGCTTTGCGATGTTTTCCACCAGTATTTGAGGAATATCTTTGTCGCCATCGTCGTACTTGTCCTCGTCGTTATCTTCCTGGCACAATCCTTCCTCGCCAGCATTCTTGCCATCGGCGAATGAATCCCCTTTGTTGTATGCTTTCGTGTATACTGACTTCCCATAATGCACCTCGCAGACCCTGTATGCATACACGAAATCTTGAGCTCCTTCAAATGAATACGCTCCTTCTTTCTCTCGTGTTACTTCAAATTCTGGCCCAACTTTGAGTGGCGCACCCCCAACAGCAGTGAGGTCCACCATTGTCTTCGCATTACCACCCCTCGTCGTTGAGCTTTTGCTGCTCCTTCGAGCACCTCGCGCAATTCTGATACCGGTAATCATGTGTAGTCTCTTCCGGAAACCAAACCTGCTTCTCTGAAGGTACATAATGATTTCAGGCTTCTCGAGCGCTGATTGTACTTCTGCCAGTCGTGGCACCGTTATTTCGCTTTCTAGCTTTTCAAATTCCCAATTTTCTGTCTGTGACCTCTCATGCTATCACCTACATTTCCTGAGACTGGAAGGGGATTGATTTCGGCCCAGAGAACAAAGGATTTACCCAAGGCGGTGCCGGAACTGGATTTGACTCCTGTCTGACAGGAGCGCTCGATGGAGGTTTCGGGGATTGGGACGGGTCCATCTGGCAGAAGTCGGAGGGAGGGTTCGAAGGGCTTCGTGAGGATCTGACCAAGAGAAATGGAACGACCCGGATTGAATTCCGTACTTTTTACAAGAATCCAGGTCTTCTTTTGTTCCGGCATTGCAGAAGCGAAACGCCAGGCGAATTTGGCTGGGCATTTGGTGGGACGGACCGGCCCAGATAACATGACAATCGACGGTCAGTGCCATCCTTGCGGAGCCTTCGAGACCCCGCCACGACGGCCAATCCGTTCCGCTGGGCGGCAAGCGAAACAAATCCGTAGGGGGTGGCGGGAATGCAAGAGCTGTCATTGGTACATCGTCCCATGTCTGAAGCTTCAAGCAGAAAACCTGTCAGACCACCTCAATCGACGTTCAAGCTTATGTTCTGTATATCTGCATTCACCATGCGCTTCTCAGATCAGAGGACACAGCACTCGGGACTGCTACAGATATACAGTAAATTTCCTTGCCAAAGAATCGAGATCAGCCAGAAATCAAACGGATGCACAGACAGGACCGTCTTCGTTCGAAAGCAATCTCACTCAGCACCAGATGATCCACATCACTCACATCCTGGGTGATCGATGAACCAAACCAATCATGGTAGATAGACGACCTGATGTAGAAAAAGCGCGAAAGGAAGCTCTCGCTGCGCAACTCGCCACTTGGAAAGAGAAGGAAGCTGCGAGGTTGGAAAAGAGGAGGAGAAATAAACTGGCTGTTGGCGGAACCGGAAACACCATCTCCTCCCGTGGATCGAGCGCTGGAACCTCGGATACTGGCAACGTTTGGGCAAAGAATGGATCGTATCAGAGAGAAAAGTATATTTTGCGAAAGCCCCCAGTAGTCCAGCATGGACCGGATATGCTGCTTTTCAAGCCGGAAAATCTGCGACCCTTGCACGACAAATTCACCAAAGACGAGGGAAGGAAGTGGGAGAGTACTCTATCAGCATATTGGCATAGAATGAGCACAAGAAATCCAGAATTCCAAGTGTACCAATCTGCACGCTCGGGAATCGACAAAGTCTCAGCGAATTTGCGTCAAAACATACAACAAGCAATCCAAGTTTTGGTTGCCAATAACCAGTCAGCCCAACCAAGTCAGCCAATCCAGCAGGTACAACAACGACTTGGATTCAACGCAAGAGGTGCGTCTGTATCCAACACTTGCGCTCGCTTGAATTGGAACCCTCCGGCGCCTCCGCCACCTTCCGAGGGGAATTTAAGACCAACATATACACGTATGTCGCGAAAGGATCTCTCGAATGAGACACTAGTTCAAAGAAATTTGGACTTTGAGTACGACGTGGTATGAGACGGGTTTCACGTCTTCACTATGTGGCACAAAGCTTACATTGATCAGGATCCTGAGAACCTGCTGGTCAGGCGATGGGCTCTGGAACCCGAACAGGACTTACTTTGGGAGCGTACCAGAAATTTACGAGAACTCCGTCATGTCGAGAGCCAGATCATCATGAAAAATCAAAGCCTACCCTACGAAGATGTTAACACAGCTTTGCGTGATGACATAGTGGGAGTAAGGGCACCGAGGCAGGCAGACAAGTCAAGATCGCCGTCACAAGAAATCATTGTCCGACGGAAACGTAGCCCATCTGAAAATCCAAACTCTGAAAGTTTGAGCTTCAACGACGACGTAAGCATTAACTTCTTATTCCGTGACACCACCCCAAGCGCATTTTGAAAGCAAACCTCAAAATTTTCTATTTCTGCTCTTGATAATTCTCAATTATGAGTCAGCATTATACTAAGCAAGATATATACACAGCTCATAGAAGCTGTCGAAGATCACGCCGATCCAAATCAGGGGTACACTAGATTTACCATGAAGAGAGCGAACGTCCGTGCTATTTCAGACTTGGGCTACACATATAGAATTAGAGTGAGCCACGACTTAGCCCACAACCGTTCCCATCTGATTATCTGCAGGCTGACGTGACTATTATGGTCCTGAAACATCTCGAGAAGGAGCAAATCGATGAAATCCTACTGTTGAGTGCAAAATACAATCGAGCGGCCTTGTCAGCCGGATCAGGAGAAAATGAGCGAAACAACAACCTCGGCACGATGCGGAACGTCCCAATAACAGAGCGAACTGGTGGTGGCTTACTGGTCGATAATTATACGATATCTCAAGATAATGTCATGGGCCAGGAGGCGCGGAAAGCAGAATTACTGGCTCAATTTGGCAAGAAGCAGTTCACACTTGGCTCTCGAACGCCAAATGCTCAAGTCGAGAAAGAGCTGGTGGAGAACAAGCCTTGTGATAATGTTACTAGGCTAGCGAGTGTGTCTAAGTCTTACAAGATCGTTGATTTCTAATGAAAATGACTTCTGAGAGGCTGTTCTCAAATTTAGCACTCATGTTTCCGCAGAAGTTAGAACCAGCGATGAATGCACGTCTAGTACGCTGCCGACGATGTGCTAATGGGCGTTTCCTTTGTTTAATATCAAGCCGAAGTCCGCAGAACAAGGTTGAGTTTTGTCCTTGTACAGAGGTCTTAGTGAAAAAGAATTGCAGATGAGGGTCCATTCTAGACCACGTTTCTGGTGGATTCGAAGAATCTGGCCATCTTTTAAGGTCTAAAAATGGCGACACTGTCGACCGCAGATAGTTCTCCAGCCAGTATGATTTGGACATTCAATGCCAAGACATCTCCGTGAAGGAGTGACACGGCTATGATGCTCATCGGTAGCACAATTTTGGTCCCAATTGCCATCAGCTGCACTGTAAACAAAGACTTGTGCTAAGCGAATTTTACGAATAAGTATCCCTCACCGTCATTTTGCCTTTCGTTGGCCAGCCAGGATTCCTGATTTCAATTGCATCTTCGCGATTTCCCCGATGGATTCGGCTGCAAACCGGTCCAAGATTTACAAAGGAAGAAGAGAAATGATAAAGGAAAACAAAAGTGGGTTCTTCGGATATTCCAACATCTTCGTTTCTCAACGTCATTTGCCTCGTCCAGCATCCCAGTATGTTTGTCCATCTCTCCACCGTCCAAGAAACACTTTTTCTCGCCAGACAGCATCCTTCGCCCTCCTTCGCCTTCCTTCACGCGGTAATCTCCTGTGTCTCCTAGAGTCACGTACGAGTCACTCTTTCGATCTTTCAATAAAGCTTGAGTCCACGTCAAAACTGCGCTTATCTGCCATGAAAGCAAGCATCCGAGACCAAATTAAGAACAGCCAGATATTCCTAGAGCAGAAGCAGTCGTCGATCCCAGCCCAACCCAAGCTCTCATCGCATTGATGATACTCAAGTCTCGATGGACTCGCGTGTAGCCACCAGACTTCATCGTGTACCCACAGCTCGATGCCACGAAAGCTTGATCCTTAGCAATGCCCAGGCAACTACTTGCAGGTGAGCTTCCAGTATACAAGCTGCAGTCACTCAAACCATCAGGGAAACCATTTCCTCCAGCATCAGTGAATTGGTAGGAGGAAAGAACGAGCTTGATCTGCCAATCGGCGTCTGTGCGAGAGAATAGCTGGACTTCAAAACCGCGGTGTTTGGGGACGTCTTTATCTTTGATTAAGACAGAGCCGTAGGATTGCATATCTCGGGATGAAGAGCCCTGCTGATTGTTAGTACTTCATGTGCCAAAGAATGAGGTGTTGGTGAAACACGTACCGGACTTTGCTGGTCATGATCATCATTTTGAATCGCAAATCTGCTTGCAGGAATGATCCAGCTCCCACAGATCGGCATCTCCTTTGGATAATCCGAGCTCCAGATCTTGACTTGGTTGATCTCAGCTTGAGTGAACCCTTTGCCACTAAGAATATTGTTGAAGTTCGTGTACCATGAATCAGCACCACCATCGCAAGCGAGAACAGAAGCTTCGCCACCGAGGATGATTTCAAGCCATGAGATATAATCAGCTGGCATGCTGCCACCCATTTTCTTCTTGACGATAGCGAAGATTGCTGCAATGGATGAGGGTCCAATATGCTTCGCAGCGTCGAAACGAACACCGCTGAATCCGATGGATAGGAGATCCACGAGATATGTAGCGATTCGATCTTGCGTGTATGGGTTCTCAGTGTTCAGGTCCGTGAGGCCAACGAGATATCCTTTGGTGACTTGATTCATGTCTGTCCATGAGCTAATACTTCTCTCACAATGGAAGTCACTTGGACCGTATGGCACAGCAGGAAACTCCATAGTTGGTCGAGTACCAGTTTGAGGATTGATGAGGTAGGTATTGCCAGATGTGTAATATGGCGACCCAGCCGTTGCGTTGTGTCCGCTGTAGAGAGAGCAATCCGAGTTGCGATGGTTCTGCACATCAGTCCCTTGGCCAACCATGTGATTGACAACTGCATCGGCATAGACTCGAACACCAGCAGACCGACAAGCCTGGATCATCGCGCGGAGTTCAGATCTTGTACCACTCCGAGAGTGCAATCTATAGCTGACGGGCTGGTAAACGAGATACCAAGGACGGAATTGTTTGTCGGTTTCGTACTTGAATTTGTTAGATCTGATAGACAGCCAGAATCTGCATGTCACTTACATAGTTTGAACCCCAGACATGCTCATTCGGTGGCCAGATCTTGACTCCCATGTACCCAGCTTTACCCAGAAACGCACATTCTTTGCCGACATCCACCCACGGCCAGCCAAACAGTTCTACGATACCTCCCTTCTGACCATTCTGGAAAGTGCTTTGCGCAGCAGTGAGTGGCGTGTTCTGCCAAATGAAATTGATAGGATCCAAGTTGAGAGTCTTGCCGCTTGATGTCGAGATAGAAATCGATAATTCTCCAGTGCGGCTTGAGTCGACTTGAAAGACGTTGCTTGAAGTTGCAGCGGCTCCACCAAATGAATACGTCAACGACTCGCCAGTCCTCGATGCTGCGTTGACGACTACAGCTGCCGCAGTTCGAGCAGAATTGTATTGGATGTCAGCATATCCAATAAGATCTCGATATGTACCGAAACTGGGATCATATCCACCTGCTCCGCTTGGAGGTGTTTGCCAACGGCGATTCTCTGCGGATGCTGCGAAAGATGACACGCTATCAGACGGGCAACTGTCTCCTCCATTCCAGTTCCCACAGCCACTTGGAGCGGTGGCAGCAGCTTCGCTGGGAAAGGAAGTTGGAATGATTCGTGGTGGTGGACTGGGTGATACGCTCCCTGTTCCCGGCGGTACGGTTGTGGAGGAACTCGACGACCTTGTCGAACTCGACGCTACTGTCGAGGACTTTGTGCTTGTTGAAGATGTGCTCGAGGAACTGATCTGATAATTGACAGAGTTTCCGGGGTCATAATATCTAGATTCTTGGTCAGCTAAAGCACAATTGAGATTTTGCACCATCGACCTACGATGTCCCGCTCACATCGTACTTGATGTAGAACTGAGTTGCTCCAGTAGCAGTCCCTGAGAAGGTCCAAGTTTCGTAGCCATTTGAGCCGGATACCGAGTAGCTCGCAGCAATGCTTTGAGAATCACTCCAGGTGTTTCCGAGTGCATAGATGACGGTCACAACCTTGGCATAGGCAATGTTTTGAATCTGTCACACCTCGCTTAGCATTGAACTTGGGCTTTAAGATGGTGCACTTACATTGATAGACCCTGCAAGAACATTGTTCGAAAAAGTGTAGCTGATCAACGAGACTTGAGTAGCCCGTTTCTCGAGGGGTGTTGCAAACACGACCAACGAGAGTGCTGCAAGGAGAACAAGAAGCTGTGTAATCAGCTTTGATATTCCGAATGAGGCCATAATGTGTTAAGTAGAGCGGGCGTAGTTCAAAAATGTACATCGAGAAGATCTCCAGCCTTAAGTACCAGAGTTTTGCTGAAGCCTTCGAGCAAAAGAAACGCGTAAAGACAGGTGACCACCTCTTCTGAAAGCTCAGAGACTTCTCGGCCCCTCAATCAAGGAATCATTTCGGTGCTATTCGGTGACAACGTCATCATATAGATACTGTAGTATACCTTCTTGAAAAGGTACCGTCTGACACTAGGACGGTGTGGGGGTCTGGCTGGCGGGAGGAAAAGTCAAATGAATGGCAGCCCCACCGTGGAGACAATGAGACGAGGCCATCGTGACTATGTAAGAAGCTACAACTTTCGCTTAAAAGTCTAATCCACTTTCAAGTCCCTGAAAACAAATCTTGGAGCTAGACTAGCTTGGTAAGTCATGGAGGAAGTTCTTCCGTCCATGGAACACGCCAAAGAGAAGCTTAAAAGACGGCAGAGCAAGGAACAGCGTTCGATTCGGGCCGTGTTTCTCTTGGCATGAGAAATACATGATAGACTGCTGATCCGAAAAATGTATCTCAAATGTACTCCACACCGATGAACGACCGAGGCTCCGGACGACGCTCCCCATGGGGAAAGAGTGCGGGGCATGCAGGGCGTGTCTGGGGAAGTCGTCAGGGGGTAGAAGAAGGGATCTACTTACTGGCCCGAGCCACCACAGTAAAAAGTTCCATCTTCCCCATGTTGTTCGGCTTTCCTTCTCTACGGCCCTTTCCGGCCCTGCATGAATCCCTACATGACTTGGCGGATGTGTGGAAGTGTGACGGCTACTTGCAGCAGCTGATTGTACCATGACCTCGATGTAGATATGAGTGTTGAAACATCACGCATATTGAAGTTGCTCTACTTGAATCGGGCCTCTTCTGTTGTGGCTCCCTTTCCAAGTTTTCATAGCGGATGGAGCGCATAATATCAATCGATCGCGGGGTAATGTGTACACGTGACTTGTTTTGGTCCAAACGACCCCCTTTTTAACTTCGCTTATGGCTGGGAAGCTGGTGGTGGATCTGGAATTTTACATACTTATTCAGAGATAAGGTATCACAAGTGCCAGTACTTATCTATGTGTCGTTGTGGCTCGGTTTGTTGAAATTCTGGCCACAAGCATTTGTCTCAAACTGGAAGGTCCTTGATAGATGCAAATGTTAGGAGAAAGTTTAAGGATGTCTCTTCCATATATAATATATTGCGTACTCATAGAAATCTCTAGATCAGATCCGACTTGCATTTAATCCTCAGCAACCTCAACTACCACCGGTGTGCTACGGCCTATTCCACGCGACACATCTACCGAGCTGTTCGAAGCTTCATATACCCCTTGCTTGCTTCCCAGACCAGAACATGTAAATTGCGTCCTGACACATCATCGTCTATCTGCTTCGGTGGGAACCCAAGCAGCTTACATATAGCATCTGTCACCCTTGCTCTCTCATGAGAATATTGTGCAGCAAAGACAAACGTTATCTTTTCCACACCTTCCTTTGATGCCACAACAAGATACCGTACCAAGGAGTCCCAAGATTTCCTGCAATCACCATTGAAGACATTCTTCGTGACATCTATTGTTAATGTAGTGAAATAATTGATAAGCTTAGTCTTGTCCGAGCTGAAGAATTGTATTACCGAATCCGACTGTTCATACACCAGGGTCAAATGTCTCACTCTCTTGAGTATTCCCATTGGAATTCTTCTGAAGGTTGGGTAATTGCTTTCTCGTACGACGTAGTTCACACTCCTGTAAACTTCGAGAAGCTCTTTTCGTGTTTCCATGGGTGCAACCTCGCGTAGGGCGGGAGGACAAATTCCGGGGCGTAAAGCGAGAGCGTGAGCATGGATTTCGTCCCTGAGCTCTCTGGGAAGTTGGCTATCGAATACCAGTCGGGGCGAGATTGTATCGTAAGGGCTCTTTTGGGTACTGTCCTGACGAACGAGTGAGTTGGGGTCTCCAGATTGAGAAATAGGAAGGTCTATATCCATTTTGCTGCCATACGCTACACCAGTTGGTTGGTGTTGAACTTTAGACCTCTTAATTTGAGGAGACTCGGATGCCTCTGAGGATGGCTGTCGTGCTCTTTTTATGACGCGTACACGAGACGATGTATTGTCTATGGATGCGCCATTGGTTGGGTTGGGAGGTGGACGCTGCATGGACAATGCTTCAAACTGTGACAGGACCAAGGCATAATTTAGGCCGAGAGTAGCCTTCGTCGGGCTTTCGATATGGTTGGTCATTGTGAAGGTGCGACGATGTAGATAAATTGAAGTAGAAGTGTCGTTGTGTTGAATCTTGTTGAAGAAGGTATGAAGTTTGAAGTTTAGTGAATGTTGAGATATAATGGTGATTTGGGATGGGAGAAAAGGTTCGGTCCTTCCTGGGAAGAATCGTTACTTGTATGTTTGTGCCCAGTCCAGATTCCAATTGACTATTTTAATGGATTCAAATATCGACTGATAACTCTGTTACCTCGTGACTACGAAATGGTTTCCAACTGTCAGTTCGGAAACTATGTTAGTGTACCGAAAAAAGTCTCCAGCGTAGATGTGTGAGTTAGTCCGTCGGCACTAGCCACCAACACATAGACCTCAGAGACTGAAACTAATTAATCATAGAGCTAGAGATAGTCTACTTACTGATAAGTGAAGCGATGGCGTATTTCAAGCGTACTTCATAATGGTAGAAGAGCTTAGTATGAGATACCGAATTTTGGTTTGCCTAGCGTACCGTACTCGTGGAGCATGATGCTACTACAAAACAAGCCACGCACAGAATCTCAGCCTCAGGTGTTCTTTATGTCTTCTTTAACTCTTGATTTCGATCTATCAATTCTACCTTGCATTCTGTGCCTTGAAATAATCGCTTCTCAGCTACACTGAGCACCGTATTTTACTACATAAAATCCGAAGGCATGAGGCTTTGGACGTCAAACCTTGCAGCTTGATGTGAATGCGTAAATAGTCTACTACAGTAGAAATGGCGGCAAGTAGAGAGCAAAATTGAACGAAAGGACAAGCACCGCAACTTTTGAGGACCCCTTCCAGCTTTAGTTCCTCTCAAATGCAGCAAGCAAATGCCGACCCTCAATACCAAGGCATTTAGGTGTTTTTATTAAAAATGCCCTCAACTATCACCCTTAGGCTACAAAAGCATAACTTCCAAGCCCAGAATATACAGCCCATAGATCAACCTTCACATTCTGCTCCAGAATATGGGCAACAGATCCGGCATTTCGGATCCCAAAAGGATCAGACATATACCTCAGCTGTTCGACACACCACATCCTAATTGAGCTCCTCGGATTTTGAGAGTACGCTGCTGCAAATATCGGGAGTATGGTGGTGTAATAATCCAGGGTGTGCGATGGCGAGTGCAAATGTCCAATTGCGCTCAGAGAAGCACTCACTTCTGACCTCGACAGTCCTAAGCGAAGGGCAGTTAAACAATCGAGGTACTGCGGTACCGAGGCGGAAATTTCATGGACGAGAGAATTGATGTTCTCATTTGCTACTTCGATTGAGGAGCACATAGAGTCTGGTTTATGATGAAGTTCCAAACAATTTTTAATGACGGAGGCGTTGACAGATATGCGTACGAGACGGAGAACATTCCAAGTCTGTGTGATGTGCCGCCCAGGATAGATATCTACTCGATTCGAAAGCGCCCTCTCGCAGCTTTCTCTAACAGTTGTTGTCTCATACTGCCATTGATGAGGCATATTGAGAGAAAGTGTATGAAGTTTCGCATCGAGCTGCATGATATTATCTATGCATTCGGCAATTGATAAATATCCCTTCCGAATCTCAGAACGCAGATTTCCGTATTCGATCATCAGGACTGTCAGTCTTGACTTGCCGTCTGTAGTATTCAATTGCTTGGCGAGATACTGTCGAAGACTGATGAGATTTTCTGGGACTGGGCGCTCACCATCTATACAGCTGATACGTAGATTTGTACTCAGGCGACTTGAAACTCGAAGAATATCTTTGCCTCTCTAATGATCTAGACCTTGAAGGTTCACAAGAGCGAGTGCTCCAGTGACACTACCAGAAGGTCAGTATGCACTCTGAACGAATGTGTCGATACCAGGAGAAGAGATTAAAGGATGCGGTCCAGGTTATTAGAAGACCGAGAGTTCCCGGCAAATACACATACTGGCTCATCCACGAATCACTATGTCTATCTTTCATATTCGTGATTTTCTCAAACATATCCAACAGCAGCGTCGACAGTATAGTCGTGTACTTCGCCGCATCCTCAGGGGACTGCAGAGTCGCGTTGGTCATCCTCAGTGCACTTCCATACATTTCTCACGTACTCGCCAGTGCAGCTTGTGAACTCTTCTGATGAGACAAAAACGCCAGACTGACGGCATCGATGCTCCTCGTCAGATGCTTTGGTGCATCGACAGGAGTGTAGATACTTCACGAGGAAGTCCCATGTCTTCGAAGCTTCTGTGACGTGGAAGCAGAAGAATGCCTCTCTGGCTTGGAAGGCTAGTGAGAGTGGACAGTGTTGAATTTAACTTAGGGGAGTTGGACGCGAGTTGCTGGAGCTGAGGGCAAGTGCTTTTCTTCGAATGTCATTGGTTTCGTTCCTTATGCGTAGTTTTTGAGTACCTCGATATCCAGTACAGATGACTCTGGCTCGGATACAAGAGCTACATGATAAAGGTTGTAAATCGCACTGAATCTGTCAGTGGTTGACGTATCCAGGTGCTGGAAGCGAGGATCTTAAACAAGACCATCATGAGTTCACCTTCAATCTCCGCTCTCTACATCTCTGGCAAGACTTCGAAAGCTTCCCACGATACGGCATGAAGTCTTCTTCCGACTCCTGTCAGACCATCTTTTGTTTCCTGATCACAGCGGTAAGGTATACGTCCCAAAATCCGACGAAGGTCAAACATCATACGCTGACTAATACAGTTGGAAGGATCGCTATTGGATGGTCTTTGATCGAAGCTTTTCTGCATGCACTTCGACGCTAGCTTTCTGACCAATGAGACAGCTCCTTCCAGAGCAAGTTGTGTTGACATATCGGTCCTGCTCGCTGGTCTGCCAAGGTGTATGCCGTTCTGGGGCAATAAGTCGACGCCAGCAAGCGTTTATAGTAAGTCCTAGAATAGAGATTATGAGGCGTGACGGAGATAGGAAACTGCGTAAATCCTGGGCGAGCGCTGCTCCGTACGTCAAGATATAAAAACGCACTTTCAGGCTCATACAAATGAATCTCTCCCTCCCACTCCAGATCAACCACCACAAAATTCTCGCCCACCATTCTACCTAAATTTGCAGCTTCTCATCTACAGTCTACTTCCCATTCTTTGAACTCACAATGTATTTCCCCTACAAACACGTCCTCCTCATCGGCGCGACTTCAAGCATCGGCAAAGGCATGGCGGACCAACTCGCACGCTCAGGCGTGAAAATAACAGCCGTTGGCCGCAGGAAAGATAGACTCGATGCCTTTGTTGCCGAACATGGGTCTAAACTCGCTGCTGCAGCGCCGTTTGATATTGGGAATTTGGGTGGGATTGAGGGTTTTCCTGTAGAGTGAGTTTCTCTACTTACACTTTGCAGCCATATTCCCGTCTTTTCTAGTCTTGGAATGGGCTGTAAATTGTGTTGCCTCCTGGTTGAAGGGCTGCTGTCTGAATGTACACAGATACTGAGATGTGAGTAGGATCATCAAGAAGTCCCCAGACATCGACTGTGTCTTCCTCAATGCTGGAGTACAAGGTCATTACGACGTCTCTGCGCCCGAGACCATTGAATTTAAAAAATTCAATGACGAGATGACGACCAATTACACCAGCCTCGTGGCACTCACGTTCACTTTCTTGCCTCATCTTAAAGCCAAATCGCAAGCTGGGCCTGCATCTGTTATCTTGTAAGCCTTCCTTTCATACCCTCGATTGAGCACCACCTACCACTTTGAGTGTCTCCCGCTAGCACAAAAAAGAGAGAAGAAAGCCTCAGACTGACAATACCACAGCACAGGAAGACAACTGGCTGTCATCCCAGCTGCTATCCTACCGGCATATTCTGCATCCAAAGCAGCGCTCAACGTCTTCACACTGTGTCTGAGAGGCAGTAAAGCCGCAGGGAGCGAGGTGAAAATTATAGAGATATACCCACCACCAGTACAAAGTACGTCTTCTCGCCCCTTCTCCGTCTCCTCCCCTTTCATTCATCACCAACTCTTAAATGTTCCAATATCGAGAAAAGTGGTCCACCCAGAGATCCACAGTGCTGACAACGCATCACAGCCAAAATCCATGACTACATGACCCCAGATATCGGCTGCAAGATGGGCATGCCCTTGCATGCTTTCACTGAGCAAGCTTATGCAGGCTTGGTATCTGGCAGTGATCAGATTATCATTGGGGGTCCAGAACCGAGGGAGACGTATTTGGAGGTTGTAGAGAAGAGAAGGAGCTTGAGGGAAGGCTTGGCGGCGATGATGAGGAAGTTCAGTGCTGGAGGTGCTGGGAAGGGGCAGTGAGAGCAAATTCTGTGCGGAATACATGAATCTCAGTTATGTAGCATAGCTGCACTCGATCCGACTAATTCTTTTGTTGCACGTCGCAAATATGAAATTAACAATTGCAGCGCCCTGATTCGTGTTCGTGACACGCAGGATTTTAGTTGTCAGACCCAATGATGTGAGTTGTAAAGACTGCTTACTAAGCGCAGAAACTCGAGCCCTGGATGGGAAATGCAAAAGCAGGGAACCGGTGGACCCTGAGCGACACGCAACCTTGCATCACCAGCCTGACGACGCTCCGTGACTCGTCAGATGTCTCGATATGTGAGTACGCATATGAAATCGGATGCTGGGATTACCATCTTATCATTGCTCCAGATACTGTACAAATCCGATTTATCGGGTTTTTTGTTTCGTTTCATAGGAAGGTTGATGTGAGAGTAAAGGTAGAGTCTAATACTTTCGTATCTCCCGTCTCTTTCCCATCTCCACGCATCAAGTCAGAGCCTCATGATCGCCGAGCTTCATTTCGGCCGGCCAGAGTCTGGTCTGGGGATCAGATGTTAGAGCCGGACATCCATGATGGGAATGACGTAAAGATCGATTACGACCCATTCTGACGCTTCCTCTCTCCACTTGAACTTAACTTAAGGTAAGCCACAGGCCCAAGCCCAAGCCAAAAGCTACCCAAGGCCCAGCCAAAACCCAACTCGAACGATGCACCAGATGCAAAGCTTGCGCTTCCAAACAGCCGACTACTTGCTACGAAAACAAGAGAAGTCAGGAATCAGGCCAGCCAGACGCATCCGGTACACGTGACTAGCTATTCTGTCTAGCCAAACCCAAATCGTGTTAGAGTCGTCTTGATCGAGAGAAGTGGAGATCTACTGGACGAATGAGATGACCACAAAAGAATCTGGTCCCGAGGCTATGCCGATTAGACTCTACGCTAAGAGCAACAGCCGAGTGCTGCATCGTCATCGCTGCGACACCAAAGCGGTCAGGTCTCTTCCAGCTAACGACCAGCTAAGTCAACAGGTAATCTGCCTTTATTTACCCCAGTCCCAGGCCTGCGCCCATCTGAAATCGACCTCTTCTGTTCTGTTCCTCCTTCGTTTCAAGTCGTCGAATAATAGACACCCCCCGCGACCAGTATCACCAGTGCCTCGGAACCAGCCCACGACAAGGTATGTTGGAGCCTCTGTGTGTGTGTGTTTTGTTTTGCAGTCAGCGACCGAGCTTGGGCACCAGCCGAGAAAAGAAGCTTCCGTCTCTCAACCCATTGACTTCGCAGACCGTGTTTCGCAATTGTTTGTGCTAACCTCTACTTCTCTTTAAAGGCAGGTTGACCCCGGATCCGATTCTCGAACCCACGACTCGACTGTCTGCTACAATAATCTACCCGTAACCCTCTACATACATAATCCCTCGCAATGGCTGGAGGTGGTCTTCGTAAGCTCCCCCGAACTTGGCAGATGCGTTGATTTGGATTGGACTCTTTTCGTACTGGCTACGGTACTGTGCAGTGCAAATGCTGATTTGGTCTAAAGGCGGTGCCTTGGGCATTGCGTCCCTCGTCCTCATTGGAGGCGCTCTCGTGTTGATGTTCTTCGTCGTCCTCAGCGGAGTCAAGGATGCGACACCCCTCAACAAATCGTGGTTCCTCAAAGCCGATACCTCTTCATTCCCCGGATCCGGGCGCGCGGAATCATATTGGACATTCTGGAAGGTGTGCGCAAATGGCGGAGGAGATTGCGGCAAGACGGTTCCTGCTATGCCAATTGGCGCTGCGTGGGTTGGCGGTTCGCAGGGCGTCCCAGCTGGATTGACTGGGTATGTTGTGACAATTGGTTTGCAATGAAATAATCGCTAATTTGGCTGCAGCTCTCATTACAAGAGTACCACCAGCACGTACTACTACTATCTCTGGAGATTTGGCTGGGTTTTCTACCTCATGTCCATCGCTTTCACAAGCGTCACTTTCCTCTTGAGCCTACTCGCTCCATGCAGTCGCCTCGCATCCGGTCTATCTGGCAGTTTCCTAGCATTCTCCCTTTTCTGGTACTCCCTCGCAGCTGCATTGATGACGTAAGCCCCTCTTCTTCTACCGGCCGATTTCTATAATGTCATACTAACCACTCCCAGTGTCGTCTTCGTCAAGGCCCGCGATGAGTTCCGTAGCGCAGGAATCAGCGCTTCCCTCGGCCGCTACGCTTTTGGTTTCACCTGGGGCGCCTGGTTTGCCATGGCTATCGCGACCGTCTTCCTCTTCATGGGCTGTGGAGTCAGCCGCAAGGGTGACGACAATGTCCGTAGCTCCAAGCGAGGCGGAGGAATCCCCTTCTTCAGACGTAACCGCAGCAGACGCTCTACTCGTGGTTCATTCATTGAGAGCGAGAGCCAGCGTCGTGTCAAGGAAGAATACTAGATGCGCTTCTACGGATCTGATTCGTGGATGTCGAGTCGAGTTGGGATGTTGAGTAGAGAAGGGATGGGAAAGGTGCAGTTACGACATGGATATGAACGACTACCCACGGCCTTCCAACTATCTACACGGCCACACTGGACTGGATATGGGACATTTTGGAAGAAATTGATCATCATCATCACCGAGAATGATTGGATGACGGATTGGGTATTGGATTGGAACTGGACTGGATAGGGGAGTATGTGGGTGACGTGTTGCAATTTTGTACATTATCTCGCATTTGGAGTTGTTGCTCTCCTCTCTTGTCGAGGGAGGGGAGTTGTGCGATGCGATATCTGCTGTGCTTGCGTTGGCTTATATCTTTCGAAAAAGGCGTCAAGAAAAATACTTAATGTCTATAATACTTGAAAAAAGAATCTTAATATTCAAAATTGTCTTTCTCTTTCTTTGCAATCAATGAAACCAGTAAACATGTCTACTGTTCACAGCTCGTCTCCTAGGTATCTTGTCTACTCTATCTACATCCATCCTCCCTCCCATCACTTGGCCTTGTCCTCCATTAAACTCGTCCAAAGAAACTGAAGTACTTGTCGGAGGGGGCTGTATGTGTTGTGCGACGGGATTTGGCCGAAGGCTCGTGGTCTAGTTCCTTGAAATTGGAAATGAGTGGGCCTCTAGAGTAGGCAAGAAGCTGTCGAATATTTCATGGACTGTATCGTTGAGCTTGCTCGAGACCTTTGTGTGCTATGTTCTTGGAGATTTCCCGCTGTTTGAGGTTGGAGTCGTTACTAGTTAGACTGGTACCGGTGGGGGGTTGCAGCTGAGAGTAAGCATTGAGATGATGGGGAGCAAACGGTAATGGGGTAGAGAGATGGTGGGTTTGGATTAGTGATGGAATTTATGAGATTTTCGCTCGTTATACACCTCAAGAAAACACTCAGCTGAGTGAAATGCTCTTTAGACTATTATTCTTCCTCAGACATCGACGTACTTTTCTTTGCTTAGAATAAGCTTTAGTTATGAAATCAGAAGATAGATATAGATATAGAAGGCAAGTTAATCGGGCGCGCAATCTAAGGTCCTTCCATGCTTAGTCGATTCCTCGGGTCGTTGCAGAGGCAGTCAGTCGGCTTCCGTGATTGGACGAGTTCGTTGGTGCGACAAAGTGACTTTATTTATTTGTTTGTTTACGGGGGTGTGGGATTTTAAGCGAGGAATGCGTCCCAACGTCAAATATGCGAGGATCTGAAGATGCGTTGTCTTGCGGTGGAAATAAGCGATTTGAGAGTAAAACAAATAAAGTTGATTTCAAGATGCAGGTATCGTATCATATTCTGCATGGAAAGATATCACATTCATGCCACGTTCTGTAGCTCCGTTCCAAGGCCATCTCATTTCTCAAGCCCATCCCCCAAAGCTTACAAGCATACCTACAGATCCACTTCTGCAGCTCCAAACTCTCCTCCTTGTCTTCACCCTCATTCATCTTCCCTTCCCACGTCTCCCCTCCAATCCTCAACACGGCCATCCTCCCCTCTGTCTCTAACTCCATCCATCTCTGCCCCGCACTCCTATAAAACACCACAATAGCCCCCACCAACCTTTCATCGATATTCACACCCATATCCTCACCCAAATCTACATCCCCACCCATCCTTCCATTCTCATCTAACCCACCCACCCTACCTACTCCCTCCATCACAGCCCTGAAATGTATCGAAACATACATTTGTATGAAACCACTCCCGCTCCCGGCATTGGTACCGGGAAGTTGGGACGCAGACGCAACACTAAACAACAATTCCGCCAACGCAGCACCTTCACCAGCTGGATCGGAGGGTGTGAAAGTATTGTTGTTGTTTTTTTTGTGTCCAGAACTAGGATTTCTCGGTACTGATTATGGAGAGGAGGAGGGCGTGTTCGCTGGGTATGAGGTCTTGGTGTTGGGGGGGGGGGGGGGGGGGGTGCTGGTGCTGTTGTTGGGGTTCGAGTTTGGATGAGGGAGTACTAGATGAGGAGGGGGGATGTGAGTTCGTGGGCTTTTCTTTTCTTTTGGTAGGTGGGTTGTGGGTGGGGAAAGGAGGGAACTTACGAGGCTAGAGAGGTTTTCGAGGTAGATGATTGCTTGGTCTTTGGTGAAGATGTTGCAAGGTCTTGAGAGGGTTGGGTTTTGGGGAAACATGTTGGTGGTTTCAGGGATCAGAAGTTCGAGATTCCTGGTTTGAGATATTAATAGATGAGTGATGTTGTTTTTGGAAAGAATTTGTGGAATGGAGAGAAATGTTGGTGAATTGGTGCTCGTGACTGTTGATGATTGAGTTTACATTGGATGCAAGCTGAACTAATTGAGGTTACGTTAAGATACCGTTCCTTTTCGTATGCATCTTTCACATCTGACATATCAAATCTAAAGCGTAAACGAAGCTCTTAGAACCTATCTCTCGAGAGATACTCAGTGATTCTGTGAAAAGATATAATAGGATAAGTACTCCAAAAGTCCGCGATCTTATTTCAAGACACTACTACTGTCATATAAATACAAAAGACTAAGATAGGTAGAGCTCTTTGCGTATTGTAGGGTACCAATTTGAGGCTTGATATTTGACTGTATTTATGAGGGGTTTCCCTTGGTAAGCATTCGTAGCTTCTGCTATCCGATCAACGATACCTGACCGTGTAAAATACTGTGTAAATAAGGTAAAAGCATCATCTGGTGAGACATCTTCTAGTAGGTGTAATTCTACATCAAGATCAGGGCAATCTATTGGCTCAGAATGCGTGCCTCTCTTTTGTAATAGTCTTAGGGTACCTGTATCGGTGGGATCTAAGATAGCTTGGGTGGACATCTTTGAAAGCGATAAAATTGGAGTATTTTAGTAGGGGAAATGGTTTGTTTACACTCTCTGTTCATACCGGACGCTTTGGCCAGGTACCCTAAGTGCAGGACAACTTAACGCAGCCCTACAGGCTATGCCGCCCGAAGGGGTGCGCGTGTTGCACTCAAGGGGATAAAGCCATCAGGTACTTCTGCTCACCGACTTTGCGCTAATGTGCGACAAGGGTAGAATTTAAACCTTACATATATGAATACGGCAAGTTGTGCACGACATGCTTTCAGGAGACGTCTACAAAAGAAGAAAAGATGTGCAGTAGCCACGAAGTTTCGATGACTTCTTAGAGTACATTGGCGTAAAGGGAATGTTTCATATAGAATTAAGTCTTCGAAAATCTAGAATTATGCTTTTCTGATTCTCACAGTCGGAATCTCCTTCTGCGCTTTACTTTTAACTAAACAGGTTACTACTATCCCCCTTTTGAGCTATCCAGGGTTTTCAGCTAATCAGGAGACTTCAGTCAGGCCATCGCCCTATAAAACTGGCAGTTTAACATTCAAGCTTAGGGGGGGATAGTATCCCCTAAACTGCTGTATGCACGTCTACTTCAGCGTGCTACAGGGTGTCAACAGCGTGTGGGGCACGCTTTAGCGGCCGATCTGGCAACTCTTCCGGTATAACTTAGCAGTCTCGCTTACAGGCTTCACTTACAGGGCTTTCAGGACGGTACATGGAACCGCAATGAAGGGGATAGAGCGATCGTGGAAAACAAGCACAAAAATATACGAGCGGAACATCCGGCAACTTTACTACAGTACTTTTGACATACTGAAATAAATTTAATCTATAAGACAGTGTAGCGGTACTTTCCTACCCCTGTTCTAACGATAAGTCTTCTGATTTACATTCATCGCCAATCATCGATCATTCGGACCAAGAAAGTAGTGGAGCAAGGTAGTATTAGATAAACCTTACTCCAAGCGCACCGGTTGATAAGATGGTAATAAAATCGTTTGATCCAATGTCGCCCACGAAGTTCATAGGGTGGCATCGAAAAACTTGTATTCAGTAAGTTTATAGAATAGGGTGATATCGTGAACCTACCAAGATGGGCATATTTCTCGTATTCAAAGCAAGGTGCATAACGGGGTCCTCTTCCAACGCTGTAGAAAGTATGTCCAATATATATGCCTTATTGCCTCTGAACCTGCACCATTGAAAGGTATAAAGAGGATCTTCCTCCCTCTACTCCCGTACCTCACTTACGATCTTATCATTCATCGCCTCTTGATCTAAATCACAGCAAACTGGTCACGATGCATTTCTCGACTCTCTTCCTTTTCTGCAGCGCCTTTTCTGGTCTATTGGCGAGCGTGATTCCGGAGTCACGTTCGGTTTCCGAGAATCCCCATCAACTGTCAAAAAGATTCTGGCCAGAAGCTTATTGTACGGATCTGGCGAAATCGGAAGACCCCAATTTCGGGAAACCCGACTCCAGCCCTGATAAACAGGATGGAGACTATGATCCAACTATCAAGTGGCCTGCAGGACAATTTGGAGGGCCTTCTAAGGCTGAATGGGTGCAGCTCGTTAAGGAGGTTAAGCATAATTGGGCAATGTACAAAGCTGGTAAAATGGAGGATTGGCGTGGCAGGTGGTGTAGGGCGAAGGAGGCCCTCTGTATCATGTAGGCTCGTTTCCCCTCCATCTCCAGCTCATCAAATTAGCAAGTAGCAAAGGCTAACGCAGAGGATTTCTGTTTTCCAGTGTTCAACATCCTGTGGTTTACCATGAAGGTCCAGATCTAAAATTTGGTTACATCAACGTCGCCAAACTCAACGTTGAAGGTGGTAAGTGATGCCCATCTTACTGACTGACTTTCAACTCAAGAAGAGTTTTGGCTAAATGCTCATTGCACAGATGAGTTCAGATTCTACAAATACTGGGAGGCGGATGTAACATTCAGGGCCCCGGACGTGGTGAGCATGCCCGGCTAAAAAGTTTTTATACAGAAGAATATTTCTGTTCTTGAGAGCTCTTTTTGGTTGACTTTCCTCCAAAATCTTTTTGCTGAGATCGTCATCTAGGATGGTTCGGTACAAACCTACTTCGCTCACGGTTTCTCCTGGGTCTGCGTCGTAGCCCCGTTGAAAATCACCTTCATGAACTACGAAACGGATTTAAGTCTATTTAAAAAGGGACTTCGTGGGGATATAGAACTAGCTAAAACGCTCCAGACTGGTTGCAGATGCCACTTCCCAGTCACCGATGACTTCATCGTCTGGAAGTAAGCTATCGCAGAGTTGTGCAGGGCGATTGGTCTGTTTCATGGCTTCACTGCGAGTTAGAATGGACTGAACGCTGAAATGCGTTGTATCATGCATGAAGGACTCGGGAGATATGGAGAGTAGCATTTCCGACGACCGAAAAGGTGATGGGAGAAATCAGTTTTGGAAGAGAAGTACCTAGAGTTTATGTTCAGTTCTCAAAATTATAGTCTGACAATTTATAAAGCCTCATATGTCTAGTGCTTTCCATAACATTGTGTTTCCTTAAATATTCCGTGGTTGTTGGCTTTTGATAAAACAGGCCGTCGGCAGCATATTTAACTCTTCCCAAAAATGAAAGCTTCTTAGAATCGCAGGCGAAAGGCTTCTAAGCTATTTTGAGAATGAGTTTAAGTTTCATTGCCATGGTGTCATGACAAACAGAGGATGCTGAAGGTTTTTATATTGCTATGTAGACTTGCTAAGGATGGAACGTGGATGGGGCTTTGAAGAACCTCGCGAGCTTGTACGCACACACCCCATAGCGAATCACGCGACTTTTGAAACATGGCAAGGCCTCTCCTTCTTCCAACTGCCCAACACGTGTACGATCATCTGAAAATGGCCGAGCCTTTGGACTCCATCGTAGCTCACAGCCGAAACGTTATAAAATCAACACACGGTCTACTGGTTTGACCTAGGGTGAAATAGGCCAGGCCTACATGCTGACCGTCTGGCTTATAGAACCTGTATTGAGTACGGTAGTGTGGTGGTGAGACGTAGTACCTAGTCGCATTTGTGATTCGATCCCGTATCTAATGCTTTTATATCTAGAATGTCCTATAGTAAAGGTGGGATCTTTGTATCAGTAGATCCAATGGGTGCATTGACTGCTTTTGCCGAGTCTAAATTAGGAACTGGACACCCGGTAATGTAGACTTGACTACAGGAGGAGTTATTTGAACGTTCTATGACAGAGGCGGGGCTTCCGAGAAGAGCAACTGCCTGGACGGCGCGACTCAGCACAGATACTATTCATTTGCTCTGGAGCGAGTTTAGAAGATCACAGTACATAGGGGTTTAGCTTACATGAAATCTTGAAGTACAAATTGGCGGTGCTGTTTCAGCTGAATTTGTGGCTGCCAAGCACCAAACATAGTAGGATGGCCGACAAAACCCTTCTGGACCAAGAGCTGATAGGGATTCCAATTCCACATTCACAATATTCCATGCCCGCCGCAACACGAATGCAAGAAACATGAGTACGTGGGCACCGATCAATTCAGGCTTTGCCTTGTGTGTTTAATTGAGAGGGAGACGTGTGAGATGCCGTGTAGCTACAAATCAGGGTCAATTAAAAAGGATAAATATAAGTGTTGATGAAGTGGCGTACTTTATTTGGAGCCAAAGGATATGGTAGAAGGTTGGGCAGGCAACATTCAGCGCTTCTGAATACTTCCAATGTTTAATCTATTTCTTCATGATCCTGGAACGGCCATATTCTATTGAACTCGCTCCTCTCTTCAACTGTATCGGCGCTTTCTGCCAGCTCCTCTTTCATAAGCTTCGCCCTCGCCCTTGCACTCTCAAAGTCCTCATTCAGCACCAAGCCATCAATATTAAGTCCAATGAAATCTCGGATGTGCTGCATCTGTTCGTTAACCCTGTTTTGCTTGGCATCCCTGTCGAGACACTCTTGGACTTCCACTGGGGAGTAGTGAACTGGGCAGTTGTCTTCTGGAGAAGCAATATCAGACCACTGCGCTACTGTCTTGATCAATTGCGTTTGAAGCGATGTATTATCACCTTCCCATGGCCGACTAGCAATATCGTAAAGCTGATTCCTCAAAATAAGGCTATGCTTTCCCATAGCGTGAAAGTGAGCCTTGTTGAGGGCACTGGTATGGCCAAGGTAAAAGTAGTGCACTTGCCGTCGCCGGTACCGTTCCATCTCCACTGCCTTGTCACTGCTCGTCATGTTGGCGAAATTCTTTGCAAGCTCTGGATGCCGGAAATTCTCCGAGTCATCATCGCCGTAATTTTGAAAATGCTTCGGGATTTTAGCTTGTAGAAATATTGGAAGGACAGTAGCGTGTTGCCAGTCGATGATGCCAGTGATGTCCCCAGAGTCGGAGACGAAGATATTGCTTGGCGAGAGGTCAGGGTGACGGATAGTAGGTACATTCAGCTGCTCCTCTTTTGGGAGATGGCACACAACAGCACAGCCCATGTAAAAAAGATCGGCCTCGCCGATCAGTAAGCACTCATTCCTCGTGAAGGTATTCTGTTACTCGTACGTCCCTTTCTTGAGCCACGACTACAATCTGTCAGATGAGTGCGTTTCTGCCTCCGGCTGACCGACGGGCCCTCGGAAGGTTCTTTACTGCCCACAAACAAGACCTTTCAAGCACCGGGTAGTAAGGCGCCCTTGGAAACATGACACAAATTCGAATCGGCGAGACCAATCTAGAAGCCAAGTCTATCTTCGTCATCGCTGGCTTGACCTATCAAAATGCTAGCATATCACGTGGACTGCCTCCACTTTACGCCTTTCAGTCGTCAACGGTCCTCACTAAGTATTATAAATCTGCGGATTGTAAACAGAACTTATTCGCCTAGCAGTTCCTGTATAACAAACCATCCTTTCCATTCATTCCAGCAAAATGGCTTTCAGCCCAACCGAGTACAAAGTCCTCAGTTTCGATATTTATGGAACACTGATCGACTGGGAAAGAGGCATTTATCAGGCACTCCTTCCACTCCTCTCCAAACTCCCAGAATCAGATTCCCGACATCCCTACAATCATTCATACGACAAGGATAGAGCTATAGCTCTCGGAATCCTCTCTTCATACACGAAACTCGAAGCTCAAATCCAAATCGAGCACCCCACTCTTCCTTACCCAAAGGTGCTGGAAACCATCTACAAGCGTCTCGCCGAACAGCTTTCTCTCCCTGCCTCAGAAGCAGAAATTACAGAATTCGGCTCGTCAATAGGAAGATGGCCCGCTTTTCCCGACACTGTAAAGGCGATGCGATCTCTCGGCAAGCACTACAAGCTCGTTGTCCTATCAAATGTGGATAAAGCCTCCTTCTCCAAAACGCTCTCAGGTCCTCTTTCCGGGGTTAAGTTTGATGCTATTTATACGGCTGAAGAAATCGGATCGTACAAACCCGATTTGAAGAATTTTCAGTACATGGTTGAGAATGCAGGGAAGAGTTTTGGAGCGAAGAAGGAGGAGGTCTTGAAGGTGGCGCAGAGTTTGTATCATGATCATATTCCGGCGAAGAAGTTTGGGCTGAGACCGAGTGTGTGGATTAAGAGGGGAGGAGATGATGCGGCGATGGGTGGGAGGTTGGAGGATGTGAAGGATCAAGTGCAACTTGCGGCTGTGTTTACGACCCTAGGAGAGTTTGCCGAGGAGGTTGAAAAAGGATTCGGGAAAGTCTGAGCCCAAGATTTCAAATTTGAGTGAGTACTTCAATGCAGCGGAAGGAGGATCAAACAGTCGAGAGCATGAAGAAGTTGTTCGGCTGTACTAGACAATGCTTGCGAGAATGGAATGAAAACACCTTCATGCGCTGATTGCATTAGTCTTGCAGCGCTTTACCTACTCAACTTTTTGAGGACTCTACCGAGTGGTGGATATGCAAACTTCTTCTACTTTCTCCCTTTGTTCAATCATCATCAGGAAGAGCATTGTTTTACTTCACCGTCCTACGCTTGTGTCCCCTAAATCTTTCGAGGGCAATTATTCTGCTCGATCTGCTGTCGCAAGTGCCATCTTGATGGGCTCCAACACATCTCCATCACGACGATTCCAGCGCGACCCCTCAAAGAGTATTACAGAGTTTCTCATAAGAGAGGACATTTGCGAAGCGTCTGACTTTATTCGAAGACCGTAGGGTACATTGAATGTGATGTCTGGCTTCAGGGGTGGGCACATAAAAGAAACAAGTCCATATAATCGTGTCGCCGCCAACAGAAAATCTGTCGCAACTGGTCCGTCTGGAGGCAGAGGCTGTTCAAGATGAGTTACAGACTGAGGCAGAAGATGGTCTGGTCCGGCTGAGGACGAGAGACAGCTGCGACAAAATTGAGGAGGAATTCAGAGACGCGTATCAAAACGTGGTCAAGAAGCCTTCAGACAAGGCTGTGCAAGCAACACTAATGTTTAAGATAGACCCGTTTGGACTCTACTACTGCAAAAGTCTTCAATCCGAGCAATGTTCTCTATAAATGGGTCCCAGAGACTTTCTACATGACTCGCGGAGCATTCGCCGTCCCAAAAAAGAGCGTGACAGTAGCTATACCTTTGCTCAAAGGAGAGTATACCGTAATGGAATATATGAGTCGTGGCGAGTCTGCAACTGTCACCATGGACTGGGCCATTGGAAGTGTAATACATATGGCTGGGGATTCTCTAGTGAAGACAATTCCGGAAGAGGGACAGCTTTCTTACTATTTGTCTTCCGTATGAAATATCAGGCCTAGGGTCGCAGAAACATGCCAGGGCGCAAATCTATCGCCAGACTTTCGGTAATGTTCTCCGCAGAGATGAAGTGCATCTCCCCATCCATTCCCATCAGTGTAGTGCTTGACTCCATGCAGCACGCCCGACAAAGACGAGCAGCGATGTCAAAAGAAAAACTCGTCCGTCGCGACTCAGCTCGTTGCGGTATGCCGTCCATCTTCATGCTTTCTTGGTAATGCTGAAGGTACTCGAGCAATAATGACATTTCCTGCTTCTGAACTCGTTCTAGCCTGTGGTTTATTAGCAGTCTGGGAGCGATATCATAGCCGAAAAGGCGTTCATACGCAGGGGTTGCCAATGTCACCCACTCAAATCCAATCTCCGCCAGAAGCACGTAATTGCTGCTCTTCTTGAGCCATTTCTTGATCTCATCGACCGGAGGATCCATCTTGGTTGATAGCCGTTTCAAAGCATCCGTTGTTCGGTTTTGTCCATGCTGTATCGCCCATATCGACTTCGGCCAGTTGGCAAAGAATGCCAAAGATCAACCCAAGGAAAAGCAGAGCAGAAATCTCCTACAAGCTTTCATGGACGCCATACCGTCTATGATTCGGAGAGCAGCTACGAGGCGCTCTTCGGGGGGGACCTCCGATCCCGACGAGAATGGAACATAAATCCAAAAGCTCAGCTCCCGGCCACGGAACAACGGAGGACGTTAATACGTGTGAGGCTGTCTGCAGCTTCCGTCTTCTATTGGCAGCTGATAACCCTTCTATCTCGCCGAGTATCTGCGCCGTGTGCTCCTCTTGAGCCGGCATGTCGTGGCTGCTGGCAGGTTGGCCAAGATCGATGCCGGCGGATGTTAGACTTTTCGAACATTATTCCGTGTTTGTTTGGAGTTAATCAGTAAGAAATCACTGCCAATAAACGAGCAAAGGCACTTTAATATTGAGGTTCTGAGGTAAGAGTCTTTTGTAACAGTTCAGTTGGCTTTGCAGTTTGTGCTAAATTGTGATGCCATGACTTCTTCTGGTAAGTTCGGTTAAGTCAACAAAGCTAGTTCACCTTCCTCCCCTTCAAACACCAGAACGGCGCATGACTGGATCACGAAACCACGATTTGATTTCTTGGCTGGCGGCAACGCACCAAATATAAGCAGATAACAGGTGGTGATTTGATCTCACGGCCAGTGAATGAAGTAGCAGAAAAACCGGAACAAACAGTGGAGGAGAAGCCAGGGCTGGGAATAAGGAAAAGGGAGCGGAAATGGAAGTGCAAGGAGAAACGAGATTTGGACATCTCAGCAGAGATTATCTACTTGGCAGACGGTTTTCACGTCTCCCTAGGTAGATATAGTTTCGATTATCACACTACCTAGTCGTTAGGGAAAGATTGGAAAAATTAGGACTTGGGAGGGAGTTGGGAGCTGGGAACCAGCAAGCGAGACGGGAAGCAAGAGCCTGCCCTGCCTCGCCTGCCTGCATCCACCCGAAACAAGATTGTGCGAACCAATCACTGCCAGAACCCCACGTTTCGACCCAGGACGGGAGTCGTTCACCTACTGAGCAGGCGATATGACAACACTGAGCACAGCTCAAAAAAGAAACTTGCCGGGCTGAGGCAAAAAAGTGTCAGTCCTGGAGGTATTGAACCACACCCGATTTGAACGGATAACCTTTCGATCTGGAGTCGAACGCGCTACCGTTGCGCCAGCGGTCCTAGAAAGACGATGAAGAAATGCTTTATTTAGTTAATTATACAATTTGCATTTGTGGGGGCTGAAAGAGTCGAGCCGAGGAAGAGGAGTACGGAAGCCGTTGTGGACCTGTGACGAAGCGTAGCCTCGCCTCGCCTTGTCTCCAAAATATTCCAATTCTTAACTTCACACCCTCTATCAATACATTCCAATGCCCCCTCTCCCCGCCACCATAATCCGGCACATACATCTCCCCTCCATAACACCGTTCCACATTGCACAAGCCCTCCAAACGCACCTCGTCTCTCAATTCCTCAGCTACAAGGCTTCTCTCTCGACGCCGACCCCATCACCACCCCCCATACCTACAATCCTTACTTTCGTACCAACGCCAGTCTACACAACTGGCCGCCGCGAGCATGATTCTCTCTCAGCCGAACAACTCGCGGTTCTGAAAGCGCCATTGACTCCATTGAGGAAAACTTCGCCTAATAGATTCAGGAACCCGGAGTGGGCGGCGGTTGTTCCTACATTGAGAGGAGGGCAGACAACGTTCCATGGTCCAGGGCAGTTGGTTGTGTATCCGATCTTGGATTTGAAACCTTTACCTATTCCCCAACCTTCCCAAGGTTCATCTCCAACATCCTCGTCAGAAGAAAATTCCGAAGGAGAAGTCCAAACGGTGGAGGCGGCGAGTAACCATGTCCCACTCTACAGCCTCTGGCCCAAAGGGCTCAGCGTACGCTGCTACGTGCATCTGTTAGAGCAAAGTACGATCAACACTCTCGCACATTGGACATTGAAAGGAATTCGGACCTCGAATCCAGGTGTATGGGAGGAGAGCGGCGAGCGGAAGATCGCTGCGCTAGGTGTACATTTACGGCGGAATATCACGAGCTATGGGGTCGGCTTGAATGTAAATACCGATTTGCAGTGGTTTGATAGGATTGTGGCTTGTGGATTGGTGGGGAAGGGTGTTGTGACCATGAGAGATTTGGGGGAGGAGACTGGGGCTTGGGATATGTATAATGGGGGCAAAGTACACCATAGAGAAGTGGAAGATGTCGTTTTAGCAGCGGGAAGAGAGAAGGGAGGCGATGGGAAGAGGACTTGGTTGGAGAGTTTGAAGGTTAAGAATGGGGTACAGATGAGGGCGAGGCTGAAGCCTGGGATTGTGGCTAACTCGTGGGCTAGGGAGTTTGCGAGGGGGCTTGTAGGAGAAGGTGGTGAGAAGTGTGTGGTGAAGGTTGGGATTGAGGACTTGGATGTCCCGGAGGCATTAGCTGCTGCGTACAAACGCGAGACGGAGCCTTGGAGACATGACTGGGAAGATGATTGGTCGGGTTGAGGAAACCACTCGGACTGGAGAGATATGATTCTCGACAGACGCTCAATAAGCTAGATCGATCAGAGAGCGAGGGCGGATACGAGGCTCGAAGTGCTCAATATTCATGATGAGCATCAGCTCCTTATTCATGCAATCGAAGTCGACACTCCACACCACCGGCCAAATTGCGCTTCGAAGGAATTTGCACACTCAATAATGCATAACTGTAAAGGACATGGAGACACGACATATAAAACATATGCCCATATATACTAATATATATGAAAATGACCGCAACTTTGTTTTCGCTGAGGGAAACTATGTTTTGATTTTCTGAATGTCCTCAACCTCAAAACACATGCATTATTCCAAGTATATCAGCACATATCAGAAGACCACAGCTCCACCTTATCATAGACTCCAATGCCAGACTAGACGCCACGAATACATCATTCCCTGCTATCTATTATCTCCAAGCACTGGTAGAACGGCAATGATTTCATACGAGTTCAGTGAAGGGCAGCCGTTATTGCGGCACCAGAAACAGCCGAAAAAGGAAACTTGCCGGGCTGTGGCAAAAGAAAAAAAAATTTGTATGGCAAAAGTTGAACCACACCCGATTTCACGGAAACCTGCTCTTGTTATTGGTAAGTCACAGAACCCGGCTGCTTTAACGGTACTCTGGAATCCTTCCCATCCAAATCACGACTTAGAAGCCGGACGGGAAGCCACTTGTACTAGTTAGTACACATATTAATGTCATCTCTAACGTACATACTGTATCTGATATCCATCAAGCCTGTCGAGTTCGTCAGCAAACAATTCAAAGTCTATCACCTTTCACTTTTTGAAATATCAGAAACGTCCTCCTCTCAACAGCTCCCCCGCAAGCGCAGGGGCACGAGTAGGATATGAAAGAGAAGAAGGATCTAAGTCAGCCAGAGCTCAGATCTTGTAGATAATATTGTTTCCGATCTCAATCTCTTTCTCAATCCCGAATCCACAAGACCCTCGCTTTAATGCTGATAGAGAAATGACTGATCGGCGAGAAATCCAATCCGGGGGAGGCGCGGATGAATTTGTACTACAAAAGAGAACAGAATGACCTACACCGGCGTTGAATAGGTTGTAAGCCAGTGAGAAGGGTCAGAAGCAATCTAAAAGATAATTACTCCGGGGCCCCGAATTTCGTCGACATTTTCGGAAGATTTCTGATTTTGTGTGACAAATCGTCAACCATACCAAATATGCACGGTAAACTGAAGTGGTTCAGAGTCGAACCCGCTACCGTTGCGCCAGGAGACCTCGATTGAAGTGATCTTTTCAAGGAGGGCCTGTCGACCTGCCTGAGGCCCTTGAAAGCTCGCTAGTCCGTCCGCCTGCCTGGGCGCTTACAGGTCAAGAAGGCTGAATTTTCAGCGTTCTGTAGGGCTGTCGCTCACGGCAAGATCCAGCGTCAAGACCTGTAGTTATGGCCGTTAATTCGCTTCCAGTAAGAATGAGGTGGGAAGGAAGTAAACAACTGACTTAGAAAGAGCTAATCGCCGTCCAGTAGGCTTCCTAAACAGCTAGACTTGCGACTTATTCCGTAGTTCGCAATTACATGATAGAAATTTCTTGACACATGATTACAGACAGAGGAAGAGTGTGAACACGACACGTCTTGTCCATCGATTTGTTGAAAAGGCCTGATAGCTCGTCTAGCTGAGGCAAGTTAGTATGTCAAAGTCAGCTAGTCCAAGGTCACTTATCACATGCCACTGAGATCCTCAATCATATCAACGACACGATGGAAATTTCTGGTTAGAGTACTGAAAACAAGACACCCCCGAGCGCCGCGCTATATGGAATAAATAAACAGACGAGCTCACTGACTCACCCACGCGCTCATTCACACCACCGCCAAGCAAGCATCACACAGACAATTCTCCAATTTTCCCTCTCCAGCTCTACTCCTTCCTCCATTACTTTTCTGCAATAATAACCTCCCAAACCATTCCCATCTATCCACCCACTCACTCACCCACTCCCCCAGTCCCCCAATCCTCTAACACAAGACCCGTATCCCAAGCCTAAAACCTCAACCCAGTACTACTAACTACCCAGATCCCAGATCCCAGATCCCAGATCCCAAACCCAGAAACGCACCGGACCGCCTCGCCATTAACTTATTTCCCGAGTCTGCTGCATGTACAGTATGCTGTATGTCGTACGGTTACGGTTACGGTTACGGTTGTATGCAAGTAAGTACTAGGGCTTCGGTCCAGCTTAGCTAACCTAGCTTAGCTTGGGGGCGAGCCGAACGAAGGCCAAGAGATGAGGGATATAAAAATTTATTTGTTCTACACTTTCACTTTTCTTGATCTTGGGGCAGGCACTTGGTCGGGAGGTTTCTTCCCGTACGTGAGGGACGGAAGAGTGCGGGTGTGGACGAGAAGTGTATGGGTGAGCAACGAGGCCACCAATCACATTTCATTCGAATTATGACATTTACTTGGCTGCAGTTACCTTACTACTTCAAGATTGAGTAGGTACCTTAGCCTCAACAAGAATGGGAAGTGGATTCGGAGTCGAAGTTTAGGGCTGAGGGAATAGATAGATACCTTAGACACGTGGCGTCTGCGTGTATTGGAGGGTACTTGCCTGATGCGGGATTTGTAGTCTATCTAGGTATTCATAGACACAACATAGAAGCGTAACAGTTAACAGTCCAAGATCTCATCTCATCTCATGGTTTCCATCTAACATGAAGGCATCTGAAGTGAGAGGCAAAGGCAAACCCGCTCGAAGCCTTCTCTTCATTCTTAGAGTTTTTTATTCCCCACCTACTCGTTCCACTCATCGCCGCGACCATCCACGATTCGCTTTGGTCCCAACTTATCGCCATACCCAGTCCTGTGCAACCACCACATGCCCTCAGTGTGCACATTAAATGAATTGAGCCAAGTACTGGCGCGCCATGCCGATATTTCTTGCTTGAAAATGGTAACGAACCGAAGTTATAACAACAAGAACAACCGTCAAAAACCCGAAAAGAATGCAACAACCGATGAAGCAAGTAATAAATAACGTAATTGCAAAAATGAACGCCCGCTTCCCCTTCAAATTTCCAGTCGCTGCCTCCACTCCATTTGAAAGAAAGGAAAATTTTGCCTAGGCAAGCAAGAAAGCAAATAAAGTAAACAGTAGGCTCCAAGCTCGTGCTGATGTATCTCATCTCGTATGTCTGGATCTGGTCTGGTCTGTGCCGCTTTTTTAGTTCTCAGTTCCCATCTCGATCTGAACAAAGCAGTTCTCCTGGCCCTTCCTCCCATCCCTCCGATGAATAACAGAATGAAACCCCCAGTTTATGATGATATTGTTGAATTTCGTAATGTCGTATCTCATACCTTTCGTTTGATATCTCACTCACTCTCATGCATACGCTTATCTTGTGCAATGCGACTGAATGCAATTCATACATGCCATGCAATGTCATGCTCAAAATCTCGACCATTAACAACACGCTCTCTGAATTTCTTCTCTTTCATACACCAAATCCTCCTCTTCTCCACACGTCAGCTAGACCGCTTCCTCACTGGCGGGTCTTCGGACTCAGGGGTCCATTCCTCCGGCTGGAAGTTTGGATTGTTGAAGTGGGCCGTGTTGTAGTGACTGTTCTTGAAGGTCGAGGTTTGAAACTGAACGCGCTCTTCTTGCCAATCGGTAGTAGCTGCAGCCGCCTCCCATTCGTATCTGCTGGGGCGAAACTGGCTTGACGTGGTGGCCGAACTGGGTGACGAGAGCTCCGATGAATGGGCCGATAGGGAAGGATGAGACGACAGAGACGGCCGATGCTGCTGTGGCGGCGGCGGGATGTGAGTGAGAATTGGGAGTTGTGCTGTCGGATGTGGGAAGGATGGGTGGGCCGATGTGAGAGTTGGTGAGGTTAGCGAGCTTGGGGGCGGCGGTTGCGCGGGAAAAGAAGCCGGAAGCGCGTTGGAGGAAGTTGTTGTCGAAGAAGCGCCAGGGGAGATCGGAGAAATTGATGCAGATATCGGAGATGGTGGAAACGTGTCGATCTGGTTCGAGTATTGTGCGGGAAATCCATGATTTGAAGCTTGGGGAGGGAGGGAGAAGCCTGGTATGCACGACAGGAGTGACATGTCCATTTGATCAAAGCCCTCCATCGATACGGGGGTACTTTGGATAGGCTGTTGAAGACTGAAACTGGTAGCTCGATTGACTTGGATGTTTGTATTTCGTGTAGCCTCGTCAACAGTAGCATTATGCGTGGTGTTGCCTTGATCTTTGTACAGAATATCGTAGTGACTTGGTCTATAGAGGAGGTGGATCATAGGTCCATTGGGGTTCGTTGGGATACCATTGGCATCTTCTGTCTGGAAAACATGGGTGTTGGCCTGTGATCCTGGACTCAGGTCGAGGTAGAGAATTTCCACAGAGAAGCCAATTGGTTTCAACAGAACATCAATCAAAAGGGTCATGCCCAAGTGATCAATCTCTGTATTCGTAACCAATATGCCTCCCTTCAAATATTCGTCGATTCCAACATCTGGGATGAAACCTTGATACATCGGAGGGTTGCCCTTCAGACACGAAGCTGCCAGAAGTTTGAAATGGTACACAATGGAATCGGATATTTCCTTGTTGTTGAAGCTTTCCAGTAGCAACTTTTCTGCTTCGCGAGGCGCCGTTTCCACCAGCTCCGCCAGGCTTTTCAGGAGGTCTGTTGTCATCTCCACCATGTCTTCGAAGAGCCAAGTTTCAAATCCTCCAACAGTTGTGAGAAAGTTGTTCAAGGATATCATGCGAGCCGTCTCCCCTTCCAGTTGATCTCTGTCGCGTTGTCGTAGTAAGGTCTCAAAGTAGGCAAAGCCGGCAGCTGCAGAAGATATTAGCAGTTGATTCTTTTCATCCATCTGCGCTTTGGAACAGAGCTTGTTGAAGCTTTGTTGTTCATGGAGCTCTTACCCCGCCATCCACAGTTCCCATCACCCAGGATCGGTCGATAATGCGAGTATTTCTGTGGTAGCGCCTGGCACACATCAGCGCGGGCCTAATTGAACTCTGCAGCTACTCACAGATGTCTTCACCACGTATATCGGGTCTGCCTTTGCGTATTCCTCGGTAATAGCCTGACTGCTCCTCTTCTCCCCCACCATCGGACCCTGCAAGGCAGTAATTAGCATTTGTCCAGTTGTCACATTCTCTTTCTCAACATACCTCCAAGACAGGATTGTAGTCCCTGGCCAGTGCCTCTTGGGCATCTATGTCGTGGGCGCTCATCTTGCGATAGTCTGGCGGGAGGCCCGAGCCGTGGTGGTCGGTGTTGGTGTTGGTGTTGGTGTTGTTGAAGTTCAGTGGGGATGGGCCACTGGTCTGGTTCGTAGCGGCGACGGGACTGAAGATGCGATCTCGAAACAACGTGGGTCCTCCACTGTGTACAACACCAGCAGAGGATTGGAATCCAGCAAATTCAGGAGGCGGTGCTGAGATTCCATATGACGAGAAGTAGGGCGTAGCTTGTGGTTGGAACATGCCTTTGCCGTTTGCTCCTGCCCTGCTCAAAGAACGGAAGGGAGGTATTTGCTGGAGCTGGAAGCTGGAAGCTGCTGGGCTGGACTGGACTGGCGGGGGTGGAGCTGCCCTGAAGCTTCGGCTGAGTTCCTGAGTTCCAGGTTGGTTGAGCTATTATATGTCTTTGTTTGAGCTTTGTCGTAGGCTCAAGCGATCCAGAAGGCAGGCAAGCAAGCAATTATCCACGAATGTAACAATCGGCCACTGGTACGGATTGTCGATTTTGCTGAGGGAGGTCGACCCGGATTGAGTTGTGAGGCAATTGCTGCAAAAATGGGTCCGGTCCTTTCAGCTGGCCTTGAATTGAAGAAGAGGAGCAATGCAATGCCGAGTTGCAAGACACAGGAGCAGAAAAGCTTGCAACTTTTTCTCGTCTACTCGTGTCACACAAGAGTATCAAAACACACCGGCCGGCAGGGAGGGCAAGGTAGGTTGACAAGGTAGGCAAAGTCAGGTAAGGCAGGCAGGCAAGGTAGGGAAGTAGTCAGAGACCCTAATGCAATCCAGTAACCGGGCGAGGTGCCAGTAATGGATAGAGCGATTGGCCTGGCCGTCCTCGTCCTTGGTATTTCATCCAGTCTCAAGTGTACAAGTCGAAGTATCGTGGAGAGTGGACGTAGGTTCTGTTGAAGTAGGTTCTGTTGACTGCTGGTTTCACTCTTCCTCTCGACGCTGGCAGTGGGCATCACTTCGCTCGCTCAACTCATCAGAAACCCCAGCAATGGCGACGACAGCAGAGCATAGGAGATGTGAGAGAGAGAGGAGAAAATGATGAGCGGGATTCCGGAAGTGCAGTGCAATTGAAGCGTAGTGTGCTCGACCCTCAAATCATTCCATCCATCTATGTGTTGTACAACAACAGCTGCTGCGCTGCGCTCCGCTGCAATGCACTCACTCACTGTACTGGCCCGGACGGCTCACTCAGATGGACTGCACTGCACTGCACTGCACTGCTGCTGCACAGCTGCTCATGCAATACTACCTACTACTTGCTACATACCGTACCGTAATGCCACCGCCCCGAGCCAACCCTCGCCAGCCCAGCCCAAACCAAACCACTCTGCCAATGCAGAAATGCAGAAATGCAGCTCCCAGCTGTCCAGCGCTCTGCTTGCTTGGTGGACGGCGACGGCCTGGCCCGAACTGAACCCTGACTCGTGGAGCGTTGGTGCCGTGTTGGTGCTGCCAGGCGCTACTCCTGTTGGTTTGTTTTTGGCTCACTTCCATTCCCTCCCCTCCCCTCCCCTCCCCATGCCCGTCGGCATCCTGTTCCCTAACTTAACCCTTCACTTCCTTCACTTCCTTGACCATGCTGGCGTGCCGTTGTTACTTCTCACTTCTCATCGGCGATGCGCCCACCACAATACACGCCGGCCTCGGTATTCAGCCTAAGCACCCGGCAGGCGCGCATCTACATGTGCGTGCATGTGGCTTTGGCTCTGTTGTTTGGCATAGCGATTGAGTTTCACTTTACAGGAGAGGAAGGCAACTTAGTCCGAAGAGGCTTCAGCTCCGACGAGGCCAAGTATCAAAAGACGAGCATCTTGTTGCTTGATCGTAGCAACAGGAAAACGACAGTAGCTGCATCAAGAAGCTGGAGAGAGACTTGGCTACTACACAGATAAGCCAGATCTCAATTCGACTTCAAGGGAAAAGGTTGATTGGCTTCGATCCGTCTCTGTTTCTATTTCTGTTTCACGCTCTTGTTACTGTTCGCCCGCTGCGTTGCTCCCTGCTATCTGTCTGTTGGAATTGATTCTGGCTATTATTACTGATCTACTATCTGTCCAATCCTCCCGTCCTTTCTCGTATGGACTGCCCCACCTTCCTGCTGCTTTCCGCTCCTGCCCTATCTGCTCACTTTCGTGCTGATGGCCCGGTATTACGAATATCCAATTCTCACATGAAGCAGACTTGGAAAGGACCTGCGTCTTGCCCTTTGACGTCCATATATCCCAATTTTCAAAGCGGAGATGCAATCATTGACTACATCGACCGAATCAAATCCGAGGAAATCAATATAAACCCCGGAAATTGAAGACGCGGAAGTGCAGAGCCTAGACTTTGCGATGCTGTACGCACGGGAACGACTCAAGGATGCTTCAAGTTGTGGAACACCAGACAGGTACAACTTGCAAATCTTCCGGTACTTGAAGTTGTGGTCAGGTAGACAAGGGAAGCAGCATGGGTGCCAGGCCGGAGTGCTGACCAGGTTGGCAAGTAATCCGGACGGCCACATTAGTTTGGACTGATATTATATGATCGATGCCCAGCATGATAGATGATTGCAAGGGACATGAACATGGTCGGGTCTCCCCTCCCACCTTTACCTCTAATATCTAGGTCTATGATACGCAAGTTCTGCCTACCACAAGAACACTTTCGGGTAAGGAACGGATTGATCAACTGTGTCATCCAAACTTCATCATACATCACACCTCCAGCCATGACTCGGAGATCCACTGCCACAACCAATATCACACAGACACTTCCAAGGTAAGTCACCGGTCCCCCCAAAACAGCAGTAACCCATGCCATCACAACACTAATGACACCACCCTTCAAGCCACCCCTCCACAACCCATGCCCATCCAATCAACCCCTTGGGCATCTTCCACCCCATCCTTCTAGGCGCTTACAGCGTCTATTACCCTAACACCTTCTGTTCCCTCCCCTCCCTGTCACACACCATTCGTCTGTCATCCTCCATTTCTGGGCGTGGGATGCTGCTCCTTCTGCTCTACCCCGCCATCAGCTCTAAGCAATCCCTCCCGCTGAAGAAACCATGCACGGCGTATGGCGTACGATAGATCACATTTCCGCTTCCAGCACGCAGGCAGGAAGTGACTGACATGGCATGCTCTCCACGAACCGAACGGGAGCAGGGGAAGAGCCCCCAAATGTGACGCTACTGCTGCGGCATCAGCTAGAATGCAATACGACGCTGGGAGCTTGGCTTGGGAGGAGATGTGATATGATGTGATATGATGCTTGGTTCGATGTTTGGGGAAGGCGTTTTGGACCCAGGTCAGCGTGCCCCCAACTTGCTGCAGCACGAACTTCTACTGGTATCCTAGAGAAAGTGCATGCGACTCATGTTTGGGACCCTCGCCTGACCTGCTAAGATCAAGCATCACATCGACATCATCTCAATACTTATCTCAATCTAAAGTTTCGGCAGATGCTTTCCCAGATCGATACACGACTAAGTCTAAATCCCATGTAGCTCCACCCCGCCACCAATATCACACCCGTCTCTCCACAACATCTCGGAAGCAAGTAACTACATCTCCACGAGCAAACAAGCAAGTACAACCGCAACACGATCCTGCGCCTACCTGCCTCACGGGTTTTTGCATCATCACAGGTCACGGCAGCGGATGGCTGCATGCTTACTCCGTACTTACCTCCCATCTTTCGCAGTGCTCACTGACTTCGCTTCACTTACACAACTACGCCGTTTGGGCGCAGCTCAGTTTCTACGTACCGGAGCCTTCATACCTTCCCTAAGTGTATATGCATGTCACAGTTACATCTACCTACTATACCTAGTCCATCAAAAGAACTTTGACTTTTGCACTTCTCATCTCATCTCACCACACCCCACAAAATCCTAGAAGCCAGGATAACAAAGCGGCACGATACGCGATATCAACACCCTTTGACCAAACCGAATCTCAGTCCGAAAATCTCATCTCATACCTTCGATCTTTTCTTTTTCCATACAACAATAATAGATCCCAGTCTATAGACTGTAGTCGATAGGTCCAGTCTTGCTAGTGTCAACATCTCGATCGATCCATCCGTCTGACATCTCACGCTACGTTAGCTAGGCTCTGTCGGTTCGGTACTTGTCCGTCCATACAGTAGTTCAGATGGCTGAGAGTTAAAGTAGAGTTACCGTACCTTCGTTGGTGGTGAGGTAAAGTACAGTAGCGCTTGTGGATTTAGCTTCCCAGCCACGGGACTTAGAAATCACCTTGATATGATCTAGGTCCATGGCTTGGGTGACATCGTTTTATCGGGAGAGTCAAGCTGGCATCTTTTTTTTGTGAAGTCACAGTAAGTTTTACTTGTCCTTTTAGCTACTCTACCTTCATAGTGGATGTAACTTCAAGAAGAAAAACAAATGTTTGGATCCACCTGGTTCCCAGTTAGGTTTTTTTATTTGCTAATCTTCATCTATCTTGTCAAGATAGCCAGATCGACTATTGACCTGATCATTAGATACTCGTTTTTCAATGGCAACTGTGCCGGCTCAGGGCCATTCATGGATTAAATAAACATTTAACATGAATTGCAAGTCCTGGCTGCTTCTACCTAGATAGAACTTTAGTTATCTACTCAAAATCCTGGATCTCATATCTCACATCTCATCTCAAAGCCACGCCTCAGCCTTCTACGCCTTCTCAACTCCTTCCCCGATCCCCGAACCCGACTATCTCCACATCCGATATCATATCATATCATACCTACCGTACTGTAGCACAACACATCACCCTCCCCACCAGGCAGCACCTGACGCACCACCAACTTAAAGCAAGATGAGATCCCATTACCAGCACCTTTTCCAACCAAACCAAGCATCCCTCTCCCGTCCCAGCCTCCAACCTCCAGTCTCCAGTCCCAGCGGATCCAGGCTTCTCTCCCCGACATCCCCGACCACTCACAGCTCGCCTGATTCAGAGAGTAGGATTATTGTCAAGGTCAAGGGGGTAAGGAGCGCTCCGAATGGGATGTGCAAGCGAAGCCACTTGGAAATGTGCTACTGTATTGACAAGGTAGCAGGGATGAGGAAGGGAGTGCCCGCCCGCGTCCGGGCGCGCGCGCGCGGGGGTGCACACCGGGAGGAGGGATCCCTCGCCTGTGTGGATTTAATAGTGGATAGGTGTTGGGATAACTTCTCAATTGCAATAGACAAAGGTTCAAGACTTAGGGGTAAATAAATTATTTCAGACTAAGGTATCAAGGTCTCAAAACCAGATTCAAAAAATTACAATCAAACTCTATCTTCAACTTCGACAAGACCTCCCAGCTCTAAATCATACCATATTACCTACCGTCACAAAGGAATAACAAGGAACAATCCCAGAGCCGAAGCTTGATTCCTTCCCTCTACCTGCCTGACCACGTTTCATGGATTCCCCGTCCAAAGCAGGCACGGTACGGGGGACTCTAGATGACGATCTTTGCGGCGGAATGGGTTCCCCGGATGGTGTTGTACAGTAGTGGCGCATATGTATCTATATCTCGGCCGTAACGGCTCCACGGTTAGGTATGAAGATTCAGGGTGGCGATGTTGACGAGCAGCGGGCGAGAGCGGGATGTGAAGGGTATATTATTAAATAAATTTTTCGGTTGTTAAGATCCAGGCAGGCTCGGCAGGCTACAGTAGGGAGTGGGATCGAGAGAAAGATGAACAAACCACAGTGTTGACCTAACTCTGGTCTCTATTTCATAGCGCGGCAGATACTAGAGAGAGGCAGAGAGATCTGGTGCCATTCATTAAGCCAAGCAAGAAAAGAAGACCCTGAAAGTAGGCAGGACCGTAGGTCCGGAAATCTTGGAAAATGTGACAAAAACATGCAAGCCATCAATTTTCCTTTCTTACGACGAGGGGATTTACAGTACAGCACGTCTAGGCAGGCACACACACTGGACGGGAGAAGTCAGTCATGTATCCTCCGACGTACACCCACTCATACTGTAGACCAACAGCAGATCCACATGGCTGCAAACAAGGTTGCAAAAGCAGGAAAACAGGGGAAGCACATCACTTTCATATCCACAACCTACCCGTTCACAGTCAACCGGATCAGATACCGTCTGGAAAAGGCATGTCATTCCAATCAAACGAGCAAATAATGTCATGCAGGGAAACATACGATATGCACGCAACCTGAAACACGTCCAATGGAAGATCCAAGGTTGAACTCCTGCTCCGATGCATTCTTGCATGTATGTAATGCCCTACCCATGCCATGCCATGCACGTACGCGAGCGATATCGCTGTCTGGCTCGTCTTCGCTTGCCTGTCTACCAACGTGCTGTAAATTACATTTTTCTGAATGAATCAATCGCTGTGCTTAGATACCTGCCCAATACGCCATAACAATCTGCAAGCATCCCGAGTTCAGTTCGTCTTCGTTGAAAATCGTTATCATTTCGTTGTGCGTGTTACCACCGGAAGCCGGAATTCCTTATGCGTATCACTCCTTTTCGACTAGGGCTTCATGCTGTGTAACCAAAGAGATCGTCGTCAAGAGGGGAAATCAAGAATGACGACGGTCCACTAGCACCACCTGGGAAATAGAAAAGATTAGTTAGCAATTAACCAACAAAATCAAGTGCTGATAGAGACAGCAAGTTGATAAAGTCGACTAACCACCACCCATCATCTTCTTTCCCCTACCTTTTTGCTTGGCTTGCGGTCCCCAGGAAAGTTTTGAGCCGACATTTGAGAATCCAAAAGTGTGCGCAAGAGCGTCGTCGCTCGTCTGCTGCACATCGGGCATCTTGAATCCTTCGCCGTCGGAGAAAACGGTCCGATAAAGAGTATCGATTGCAGAGGTCCATTCTGTCATTGCACGTAATCGCTCAGCGTCACTGTTGTCCTCGATCTCAACCGTTCCATCTTGCTGATTGATATTTCCTTTGACCTTCTTGTCGACAATTAGGAAACCTAGAATGTCCTGGACTTCAGTAACTGGGATCTTGAGCGCCTTTCCGATGAAGGCGAGGTTGAATCGGGTGTAAGGTGCGATAAGCTTCAGAACCGCCTTGGTACGCATATTTCTAGTAACCTCATCGATATTCTCGGCGATGAACGGATCGGATAGGAGGTCTCGGTTGTTGTTTAGGACAGACTCATACTGGTGAATATCATCACGTTGATATGCATCAACAAGGTCGGTCATTGCGGCAATTCGAGGATCATTCTTGTAGGGCTTCGTTTCTTGCGATTCGAAGGGATTGATGTCGGACTTCATAAGCATCGTCGTGAGCACCAAGTACTTGAGGACCTGGATTCTTTGCAGTGAACCAGCTTCGTCATAATTTCGGAAGGATTCGAAGAAGTCGCTCTGTGCATCCTTCCAATTCTCCTCGCTCATATGCATCTTTCCGCCACACTCCCGAATGATTCCCATGATCTTTGGGTGGGGCACCGCGGATTTGACCTTCAATGCGCGCTCGTAGAGTCTCTTCAGTTGTTTGTTGTTCTTCGTCTCGGCATACATCTGGATCTCATGGGCATAAATCTCCAAAGAATATGTGCCTTTACTTGGATCATCTGTACCATCTTCTCTCTCGCATGCCTTATGCAACTCGCGCAGCTTCTTTGTAACGGTCGCATAGTCCTTCCGGTCTAGGTAGAGCTTCGCTAGCTTGATGTTGGTTTTGAGCCACAGACGCTCGTTGTTTGTACTCTGGAAAGATTGCAAGGTTTGCGAGTAGAACTCCTCCATACACCGACCAGCTGCCTCACCTTCAGATCCCTTCTCTATGTAGTCCAGAATATTATTGATAGACTTCTCAGAATAGTTTCTAGTGACGGCGCTCTTGACATAGGTGAGTAGCTCAGTGTAATGTTCGACGGCCTGGAGGTCAGCACATATCTAAATTTCTAGGCAGTAACCATACCTTGTCATACAATCCTAGCTTGAATTCTAGCTTGATTGCTTGCTTCAGACCTTTGAACCCCCAGTCGCCTTTCTCTTGCTCCAGCGCTGGCACTCCAAGGAATTCTTCGATGGCACCTTCAGGGTCGGTGGTTTTCAGTTGCTTTGCGTTGTAGTATTTGTTCTCAATATCGACATCGCCACCCTCCTCCTCGTCATCTTCTTCATACTCGAAATCATATCTATTTTGTCAGGACATAATGTAGTAGACTGGGAGCTTGACCTACCCCTCCTGGTCGGAATCTTGCATGAAATCGTCGTCAGACATATTTGCTGCGTGTGAAGTAGATTACTTGGAATTCAAGGTGTCGCGCAAATGTTCTCGAGCTGGACAGAGAATTTCACGCGCGAGTTGGAAGGTCGAAAGTTCTTTGGAGGATGAATCCAGACGAGGTTGCTCCAAGGCTACGAAGCTCCAAGGCGGTCACTGTTTGCCTGGAGCTTTGACAGCTAGTGATTGGCTTTGTCTCGAAAAAGCTTAGCGCTAGCAGGTGTCCCGCCCCACGCTATCCATCAGTCGCGCGCCTCGTCAATTTATTTCATCAGCGAACACACCTTGCGACAACAGACAACACAATCCTCTGATCTCAAATTAATAGCCTTGGAATCATACAAGACAATAAAGCCCTTGGTCCAGCACTGGCTGCAACCCTCTCTACCGACATAATTTCTTCAGCAGATCCTCTTAAACCGACAAGATGGGTGGCGATCTCAACCTGAAGAAGTCATGGCATCCCGTGCTCATGAGCAATCAGAGGCGGGTATGGGAGGAAGAGAACAAAGCGCTGGAGGAGAGGAAGAAGACAGATCTCCGAATCAAGGAGCTCAAGGAGGAACAGAAGAAAGAGGAAATTCAGCGGGAACTTGAGGCAGCAGGAAGCCGAAAACGGGTCGATCGTGTGGACTGGATGTATCAAGGACCATCAAGCGGGCAAGCTGGAACTACGGAAGAGATGGAAGGATATCTTTTGGGAAAGCGACGTATTGATCCACTGATCAAGGGTGTTGAGCACAAGAAGTTGGAAAAGCAAGCCGCTGAAGATAGTTTCATGGCATTGCAACATGCCAATACTCTCCGAGACACAGCAGCGAAGGTTAGAGAAGATCCTATGTTGGCGATAAAGAGGCAAGAACAGGCTGCTTATGAGGCTATGATGAATGACCCGATCAAGCGCAGGCAAATGCTTGCAGCTGCTGGGCAGATCGAGGACTCAAAGGAGAAGAAAGAGAAGCGACGACACAGGCATCATCACCGCCATCGTGAAACATCAGAAGAGCGTAGCATACGAAAACGGAGACGTAGGGAGGATACAGATGGGCACAGGAGTAGCAGGACAGAGCATCGTCGGAGACGGTCAACCTCTCGCAGGAGATCAGTAACGCCAGAGGACAGGGGAAGGGGAAGATCAGAAAAGGATCACGACTACGGACGCAAAAGACGCCGGAATTCTTCCTCGATATCTTCGAGATCCGCAAGTCCACCCCGCAGACGAGATAGCTTCGATAGACCCAGAAGACGATCTGCTTCACCCGAAGATCGAGGAAGAGACCGAGCAACGAGAGACCGAGATTATGATCGCAGGAGACGGAGGAATACTTCTTCTGCTGGATCCAGGTCACCTTCTCCGGAAAGACGGAGATCACCTGATAGACGGCAATCATACCCTGCTGGTCGAGATTATAGGGGAAATGGCACGAATGGGCGTGGTGGACATGATAATCGACGAAACGGGGGTTATGATGGGAGAGAAGACCGCCGGCCTGCGCCACCATCACGAGAAGCACCAAACGAAGACAAGGAGGCTGAACGGCAGCGTAAGCTGGCTGCCATGCAACAAGATGCTACGAGTTTAGACCTTGATCGAGAGAAGCGTTTGGCAGCTTTAGCAGAACAGGAGAAGGCCACGCATGAAGCTGAGGATAAAGCCAGGGCTCGATCATCAAAATATGGAGATAAGGGTGATTTCATCAATGGCTTGCATAAGAAGGCTGGAAATATGGGCTTGGCAGATCGTATTGGGAGAGGTAGGCAAGGGCTTCAGAAGGATGAGCAATGAAATTAATCTCTTCCTGGAAAAATGGGAATGACATTGTACCATAACTCTATTGCGCTCAATAAATAAGCCCCCGTATTGGTCAACACTCTTATACTGCCAAGCTTTCTTTTGTGAGACTGTTTCCTACCAAGCAAGATTGATGCATGCAGAAAATAGTCCTCTCCCACCAGAAACTATAGATGACTTGTTCAATATCATCTACTATCTTTCACTCTCATCGCCCCTGGTAGTCTTTCCCCGTCTTTCCAAGCCTTCCTCGTCCGGATATGTGAAGCTCCCTCGTCTCGCTAATTTCAACTATCACAACATCCCACTTACTCCACCCAGATTCTAGCACCATGCAACCTCCACATTACAACAATGACTTCCCCATCTACTACATCGATATATATATCCAAATAACCAAACTCCTCCCACATACGACCATAGACTGGTGAGACCTGGGCATCCCGTCCGCTCTGCCATACATAAGCACCAGATCGGTGGATTAGTAGTTGGGTGGGTGACCACCAGCGAATACCCACTGTTGTATGTTTTTTGTTTTTGTATTTTTGACCGTTTTTAAAGCAAGGGATGGTGTGCGGAGTGGATATAGACGTTGTGTGTGGTATGGAGGGGGGTGGAAAATGAAGTTTTGGGAGCGAGGTGGCATAGCGAGAATATGTTGATATCCAAGGTCTGTAGCAGACTTGAGAGCTTGTGTGTGTCAGAACCATATCAAGTGTACTGACTAGGTATTCATGTGAGAGTCCTGCGACTTATGAAGCAATATGCTTTACATTTTACTGCTAAAATATTGGAGGGCTTCGAGTGGAGTGGTGACGAAGCTCCGGTGAAACTTGAACTTGATACTTAGATTTGCTGATCCTGTCAGCCAATTCACATTGTTCTACTTCCCGGTCATAAGTTCTAGCATGGGATGGAAGTTTCAGCTGCTCAAAACTTGGTCCAGGTCATCGACAGGGTTTCCGAGTGGAAAATGAAATTCTGGAAACTAAAAGCTCGACTCTGGAGCTTCTCGTCTCGGTATCAAATCACTGTTCCAGTTCTCGGTGAGACAGAAAGTAGCCATAGATCTTCCAGTGGTTCTTTGGAGAATCTTTCAGCTTGCATAGTAAGTTGAAGTCACTTTTCTTGGATTATGATGTAGCTTCTGACTATTGCGTGTAGTATCCCGAAGTTTGGTCCAATCACTTGCTTAAGTCACTTTCAGATCCAAGCCATGTCCCAGCCCTGTTCAGTCTTTGAGCGATGTAGAACATATCATGGATCAAGCTCTTTTCACTCATTCCCTACTTCTAGATCCTCATCTACCATGCAGGTACAAGGACTGGCCTGTGGTTTAATCGCTCAGTCGAAATCGAATCTCAGCCTAGATCCCAATACCTATCCCAAATGCAGACAATATGTAGCATCTTTCTCTCGGTGTAGACATCCGTGCTTCGAATTCTCCAAACCAGTACAAAGATTCACCAAGGGTCCTTGTAAGGTTGGATCCAAGTCTTCAAGGCTGTCGCGCATATCTCGACTTCACCGTCATGCTGAACATCAGTCACTAGTCGGTCCGTGGGCTACGGAGCATATCCTAGATACATTGGGGGCTGTGTTTCTGCTAGCAAGGTGTCAATATGCCGAGACGGTGTTCTCGAAAGTGCGATAGTGGTTCGCAGAGTTACCTTGAACGTGTGGGTCTCGAGCTGGGATGATATGGAGTACCCGCCAGAATGGGAGGTGGGTTTTAGGTTTGGGCTGTACTCGGTGTGAGGAGCTCGGGAGACTTGGTTATGGTAGTCTGGGCTCGTCTAGCCATTGTTTTGTTTCCTGCAAAATGAGGAAGGAGGAAAGTTCGAGAACTGGTTGCTCAGAGATCCTTTCAGCTCCGTACAGGTTGAGGATAGGTGCTCTGAGAAGTCACAACAGATCTCGCTATTTGGGGAGAAAGATGAGGCTGCTATAGGCAGACTTCAAATGAACATTGAGAAGAAGTATGAGCATGCTTTCGGAGGCGTTGAGTCGAGCAGCGACTTTCACTTCATCGCTATGAAGTCAACACTGCTTGAAGTCGGCGAGCATAACTGCATGAATGTAATCAAATACCAACCCCGCAGTAGATTGAAGCTCCCAATGTCACATTGTAAGTACGAGAGAGTCTCAGGGGAAGTAACTCCGCAGTGGAGAGGAGGTATTGCACGTGATGATGCTCGTTTAGGGGGGCGAACCACTGTGGGTACATGGTGACTTCGGTGAGAGAATCCGAAGAATAGAACAGCAAAGAACTCTTTACGATAACGTGAAAGGGATAGGGTTGAAGTGGAGTGCCATTTGTCAAGATGTGGTGGCGCTGCGGAGTTAGGACTGGGAGCTGGAGATTGCTTACTGGTGTCAGATTGGGCCCTTAAATGTCATGAGGACAAAGGAAGTCCTGGAGCCCCCGGATCACAAACTACCAACGTGCTAATATTTTAAGAAAGATCCAGTCAAAGCGCTGAGAATGTAAAGCATTTCGTGCTAAACAGTTCGATGGAAGGATGTTGGTGGATAATTGTAACAAACATATTGATAGAGTGATGAAAATAACATGTGGGTATCTTTATCCATTCGGTATATAACAACCAAGCCATCCGTAAGATATCCCTGTCGATACTCTGCGTTATGGTTGCTCCAAACTTGCCTGAAGCTCTCACCGAAATGCCCTGCTTTGATACAAAGTCACGTGACATCAAACTCCACCTTTGAGCTTCGAATTCCTTTCCAATTCGGTCACAAAGGCGCTAGGAATAATCTCATAGGTTTCATAAAGCGCCATCCAATCGATAATCCCGGCTTGGTTCTTCCATGAACTGCTTAAGGCGAATGTTTGCCTGATCCATCTCCAATGAGCTAAGCCACACGACAGCCCAGCCATGCCCATTCTGAAAGCAAGCGAGCTCTTTGAGCCTCGACAGCTTCATTGATCGATCCAGCACCGCAACCGACTTCATGAAACCTTCACTTCACTAGGAATTGTGTGGTTGTTTCTGGTTAGCAGCTTGTTGCCTCACCGGTCTTATCGCGACTTTTCTGCGCAATGCAGCGTGGCCTTGACAGATCCAAAGACAGAACCCGCACCAATTTGCCCCACAAGGCTGTACTTCTCTATCCATCGTCGGGACCCCCTAGCACAAGGCGTAGGACCGGGGATTCGCATCCATATTCATATCTCATCTCACCCACTGCCATTCACCAAGGTAGACTGTGTTGTTGCTGCGCTGGTGATTCACATCGTGAGTGCCGCGAGTCAACGACCGTGGCCTAAAAGTCTACATAAGCGCGCCGCTTTCAGCCTCTTTTGGAATGCGAAAATACTTCAGAAATATCATGCCCAAACGCCAACACGCTGAGATCAATATGGACAACCGCTTAGACTTAGATCGTGAGCTTCGGCCCCAGAAACAGCTACGGATTCAAGGAGCCAGCAGCAAAATCCCTACAGATTTTGAAAATCTCATGGATAACTGGCTCATCTCAGCGAGAGAGACAAAGAAGCAGAGAAACTCACCAGAAAAACGGGATCAACAAGCTTGGAAGGCAAGAAGGGCTCTCCATCCCCTGTCGAAGGAAAAAGACCAGGGCGGGTGGGATTACTTCACAAAGCCCGAACAGCGAGTATGGGCTGTCAGACGAAAGGACCAAAATAAGCTGAGCAAGAAGACGAGAAGTTTGACCCTTCAGGAGAAGTCATGCAGTTTTCCCACCGAATTTGGTGACTACGAAATCTCGTCGCTCTATCGAGAATATTGGGTTTATGGTGATACAAATGACTTCCTCAGAAAGCTGTACAGGTATGTTTAGAGCCTCTGATTTAATCCAGAATACTGACAAAGCAAATAGTCAATTTGGTAGAAAAGGAGTGATTCCAGAACAGAAGGTTTGGGAAATTTTTGCCTGTCTAGTGTCTGAATTAGTACCAGAGGTAAGTCCCCAGCGGAGTGGTTATCATCGGGTGCGAACTTGCTAACTGAGAAAAGGATGAAAAGTGGCCTGCAGCGCCTGTACACATTATTGCATCTCCAAACACAATATGGCAAGTCGGAAAGTGTATGCTCCACGTTATCACCAATGGTCGCTTTTGGGACGAAGGTGATAATGCTTTGAATCCGGAGGACAGAGGTGAAAAGTTTGGCTTCTTCAAGCAGAAGGTTCTCCAAAAGACATACAGTAAAAGCTTGATGAAGTATATTCTCGGCTGCTTATCCGTCAAAGATTATGAGCGATTCACGCGAAAGGACTTGATGGATCATTTTCAAAATGTTCGAGATGTTTACGCAGGCAAATATAGACCACCACCAGTCCAAGAGCCGCTCGACGGTCCTTATGAACCTATAGATCCTAGAATCCCTAAAGGTCTAACCCAAGAAGAGGGGTCGTTTTACGAAGGATTGATAACAATAGTCAAAGATCGAGAGCAACAGTTCAAGAGAGATGGCATCGATCGGAAACCATACATCGTCACAATCACAGACCTCGCAAAAGACTACGATGATCTGATGGCTATGATGTGTCTGAAGGAATTTGACCGCATGGGCGTAATCCAAATTGAAGGCTTTGTGGCGAACTTGAAGCCAGCGGAGGAACGAGCCTTATTTGGACGAGGGGCACTGGATTCTCTGGGCCGTTCAGATTTGCCAATCGGCATTGGTTCGATTGGAGATGCTCAGCGCCAGCTGAACAACTACCTACATGAATTCGACAATACCGAAGATTTCATTGCACCGAAATCTACAAAATTGCCACAAGGACAAGAGCTTCTCAAAAAGATCTTCACTGAAAGTCTGGCAAAAGATAAGAAGCTTACGGTATTGACGATCTCGAGTTTGATGGACATTGCGCAGTTTTCACGGGAACATACGAAACTTCTCAAAAATGGCACTGCAAATGTGGTCCTCCAAGGCGGATATCGCATGATCAACGATAAGCTGGTACCTGACCCCGCTGCTGCGAACAACAGATTCGACCTGGAAGGCGCAGCCACTTTCCACAAGTTCATGCAGGACTACGACATCCCTTCCACAGCATGGACAAAAGTCGCCGCCAACGCCACGCCCATCTACAGCTCTCTGTTCGAATTTCTTGACGAAACTGGCCACCCGCTCGGCCGTTATCTCCGAGGCGTACAAACGAGCCAAGAACTCAACTTCTATGCTCGCTGCTGCAGCGACCATCCTTTCGCGCCACACATGACGCAAGACTGGGCTGTGAAGACAAAGAGCACGTGGTTTGCCGCTGGCCACGAACCCGATGAGGAATATCCTCTGGGCGAGGCCATGCTGCCTTACTTCACCAAGGTAATTGCTTACGATGCATTGGCAGTGGTCGGCGCGTCGGGCGAAGACGTTCTGGAGAAATTCGGCATCGTGAAGCCACTCAAAAAGCGAACCGATGCTGAGCACCCTCTCCACCACATCATCGGTATCCCCAAAACAGACGGAGCAGGCGACGAGGCTGGACTTCCCGAAGAGGAGAACTTGGATGGGAGACAGATGGGGATTGCTATCTCGGCACTGATGAAGGGCTCGATCCTATCAGTGCAGCAAAAATTGTCATAAGACACGACAATGGCAAACAATTCTATTCTATAGCCTCATACTTTCGAAGTGTGGCGGCATCGTCAATCCCCCGATAGCTATTTGAAGCTGTACAGCCTGACTTTCACCTGTATCATATCATCACACTCCCAACGGGACGGTGTACGTGTCAAGGACGGCTTTACAAGTTCCTGGGTACAGATCATGAGAGAAGCATGAGTGACTCGAGTTGATGGACAGGATTGGCTTTGCTTCGCTGTTTGGAGTGATGGCATGGGAGATGAGATACTGGCGCACGAGCGATTCGACTGGTTAGACTTTGCCGCTCTATGGTTGGGATGGATGGATGGATGGGCGGACTGGAGGCGCGGAAAGGTGTTGGGCTTGGATGGAGTTTGGTAGATGCTTGTTTTCTGGCGATGGAGTTCACTTTCTTTGGTTCGGGATGAAATGGTCTAGTTTGGTAGGCATTGTTATTTGGTACTGGAATTGGTGTTGGGGCAGCTGTACATAGCGCGGTCCCGTGAGAAAGACGTTTCTCCGCCAGCTACGTGCGCTTCCCTAGATCAAGTGACTCGGTGTGTGGTGATTGGGCAACGCAAGTCTTTCAAGCAGAGCAGATTGAGCCCGAAGACAATTTTTCAACATAGGGAAGCAGACCGACATTCTGTCGAGGCTCCCTTACCAGGACAAACGGCTTCCGAGGAGCGTGACTCCTGCCAAGTGGCCTTGATCGCGTAGTGAGAAAGTTGTGCTCCCAAAAAATATTCATCATTCAGATCAATCAAATTTTGAGCTTTTAGATTGCTACTCCAAATCATTGTCCGCATAAGGCATGGTTCGAAGCTATCTTGCTTTCATTACACAACATCATCCGGCCTCAATCCCATTCTGGGCGACATGACCTGGAATGGAATTACCGGCGGCGACTCACCATCCCTTGTCAGCCTCACATTATCAGCCGACGCACTTCCAGTCCTCACATTCTTTAGCGTCAGCACTTCAGACGGTCCCCGATTCCTCGAAGCAACATTCGAACCTCCCGAACCATTAGCGCTCGTATCTTGGCCACTACTCGAACTTGAACCATATTTCCTCCGCAAGGAAGAAGCAGTCGTGCTGGCTCGCTTGATGAGCGGTCGTAAAGTGGGAAGGCATGCACACACGATTGCGATGCCGATGTGTACAGCTGACCAGAGTTCTGCTCTCGCGAAGGCAACATTTTGACTGCCTGGGCGATACCCTAGAATTACACGGACGAGGCCGGTGACGATGACGCTTTGAAGAAATTAGTTGACTGAAGGCGTTGGGTTTTAAGAACTACACTTACAAGCCTCCAAGGACAAAGATACCCACGACCAACACTTTCTGCTGACGAGAAAGCCGAAGTCCGAGGACCATCCGCACTGGTAGAATGAGCAGGAGAGTGTCAATCACCAACTCCACTGCACCCATGGACATCCAGTATATGTTGAAATTGAAACAATAGCCTCCGGCACTTGGTCCGATCCAGAGACGGTTAACAGGTAAGCAGCTAATTATCGTCAAGATGCTGCCGACGAGCCACCAGATGATCACAAGCCCACCGACAACTTGGGATTGCAGGTAAAATTCATCGATGGGGAATATTCGACGATACATGTAGAGGATGGAGATCTTGATCGCTGTCACGACTGAGAAGTACAGCGTAGCGGCGATGAAGGATGTCTTGAGGTAGGTTGTATGGGGAGTGAAATCGAAGTTGGGATCATCTCGATTGATGGCATTCCCTCCATTTGGATCTGCTCTGACACCTGAACGATTTTGTGAGTTAAGTTCTCATATCATTTGGAGAATTGGTTGTACCGTAGAGAAGAACGCCCCCAGTACTCAACATGAAGATGAGACCAACGAGAATCCACCAATCATCCGGACCATAACCAGCCTTGATTATCCTTCGAGTCCAGAATCTCAAAGCAACAGATATCACAGCCAATACTGATACAACAGTTGAAGCGGTAGTAGTGTTTCTCGCCTGGGATGAAAGATGTCTGTCCATGGCTGTTGGAGGCTGCAAATAGTGTAAGTGACACAAGCTCAAGCCTTACGGAAAGATGGCTGAACGCGGGGGTGCAGAGGAAGGCAAGAGCCTCTTATGGCTGCCATTGTATGAAGCCGTACTACCCACCATCGTGGGAAAAATGATGGTGGCCGAGTCTCTGCACATCGGGAGGCAACATTATGAAAAAGGATCAGGGGGAAGGACAGTAGGAGAACGACGAGTGACGAAGCAGCACAAAGCATGGCTCAGAGTGTCATCAATTGACAGATATTTATATATCATTGTAGATCTCGACCGTGTCGCAAGTGGCTGGCGGCCCGGAAAGGATTGACAGAGTGTCGATGTGCTACATTCCGGACTCACGTCGGTGTTGTTGGTACGACTCCTTGTCACACTTTCCTTGCCCTGTAAGCGAATGCAACCAACCAAGCGAGAGTACAAGGATTTTTGACTTCATCTCGTGCAATCACACATCTGTTGGGGAGGATTAAAGTTCTGACACGTTCACCTTTCTCGGCTTGGGATAATAATCGACATTCACACTAGACTTTTCGTCTTCTTCCTTTCAATAACTGCAACTTCCACTCAGGTCAACACAGCAATTTGTTCGGGGAGATCGACGCAAACATGGCTCGCAACACGCTCTTGAACGTGATTACTCCTGACAAGCCAATGAATATTGTCATCGTAGGCCTCGCTTCCGTGTTCCATACAATTGAATGAGTTCGATACTGACAATTCTCAGATCGGTGGCTCAAACACGGGTCTCATGAATGGCATCGTTCTCAAACGCCTCGGCCACAATGTCCACATCCTTGAGCAAAACACCAAATCCGAGCGCTCCGATCTAGCAGCTGGCATCACCACCCACCCTGAGTTCGACGAGTTCATGGACATCCATGACCTCGTCAAGGAACCATGGTCTATTTTGAGTCCCGGCATTCAATGGTTGAATAAGGATGCTGCTGTCACTCGCGAAGCCAAGAGACCTCTCAAGATGACTTCATGGGGCGTTATTTATCACCGTCTTCGCGCAAACTTCGATGGCTTCACCAGCAGTTTCTGTGCCAATCCACCAGCTGCCGGAGAGAAGGATGGAACTGCAACTTTCGATCTGGGAAAACGTGTCACGGGCATCTCTGACCTTGAGCATGGCGTTCAAGTCACCTTTGAAGATATCCTTGATAGAAATAAGCAGGGCAGTCTTACCATTGACCTTGTCATTCTTGCTGACGGTGCCAATTCCGGCTTGCGCAGCACGTTCTTCCCTGAGCTTGAGCGGGCTTATGCAGGATATGTCGCACTCAGAGGAACGGTACCTGAATCTGAGGTTTCCGAGGAAGCCAAGAAGGCGTTCGATCCGAAGCTAACCTACTTCTGCTTCAAGAACAATTATATCCTTCTGTAAGCCCCACCAACATCAATTCCACCAAATTCGAATCTAGAATACTGATCAGTAAACAGGTACATCATCCCCGGCTCAGATGGCTCTCTCGAACCCGGTCACCGCCGCTACAACTGGGTCTGGTACCACCCACTCACAGCCGACTCCCCAGACTTCACTGACATCATGACCGACACCTCGGGTACTCTCCACCGTAACACTCTCCCAGCCGGCGGAATGAATCTCAAAGCCTGGAGCAAATATGTCCAAATCGCCAAGGAACAAATGTGCACTCCTTTCGCAGATGTTGTCTCGAAGACCACCCAGCCTTTCATTACAGCCATCAGTGACCTCAGCTGTCCTCGCGCCGTAGCCATGAAAGGCCGGGTGCTCATCACGGGTGAAGCTCTCAATCTCGTTCGTCCTCATATGGCGCTCAGTACGACTGCGAGTGCGACGCAGGCTCTTTTGCTGGAGAAAGTATTCCGTGGCGAGATGTCCGTCGAAATATGGGAGAAGAAGGTGTTGCAGGCCGGTCGGATTAGTGCGTTGAAAACTAATGCGTTTGGTACTTACTTCTTGTATGGTACCATGTCGGCTGTGGGATGGGTCGTGAAGTTGGTCGGTGCGATGATTGGTGGGATGTTGCCATTCTCTTCACTTCCAGCTGTGTCAAATGCGCAGAAGGTTCAGTGCAAGCTTTAGTCTGATGTAAGTTCTACGGCTTGTGACTACACGAGTGGTCAAACAACGTCAAGATCCTTATGGATGGTTTGTACAATTGCTTTTCTTGCTTCTGGCGAGCTGTAGATGACATGTGATCGACATGGCGGAATAGACAAATCAGCATTACTGCTCAACTGAATTGAATTACATGGAAAACTACAAATATCAGAAGACTTAACATGAACTGGCAAAGATCCCAGTCTGTAAAATCCCTTTCCGAAAGACTGCCCAATCTATCAATATCCACTCCTTCCCTCAACGACCCCATACGCTCCACCTCCCTTCCCAAACATCTCACACAAGCCATCCGCCACATCCTGTGGTCGTTCCCAACCTGCGAAATGCCCTCCTTTGTCGTAAGACTTGGAGAATACGACGGGTCCTGCGTCAAATTATTAGTACTCCATGTAGACGAAGAAAAGGTTAGAGAGCGAGATGTGTAACGTACCTAAAGTTCCCCACCACGCCTTTGGCGCATTCGAGATCTCAACAGGAAAATCGGCAATTCCAAGAGGGACGTTGATAAAAGCTGTTGTCATCAGTTCTCCTCCATACTCATTCCCATTCCTACATCCAAAAGCTGAACAACAAGAGCACACTCACACTGAATAATAGGCACCGTAATCACGCTCCCATGCAGAGCCTCATAATAGTGATAACTACTCGCTTCCGGTCCCGCATCACTGAAATAATACAAGCTCACCCACGTGAGAACCTCGTCGTCTGTCCAAGGATATTGGTCAGACCAGCTTACGAGCTTCTCGTAGATCCAGGTTAGGAGGGCGACCGGGTCGCGGTGTGCGGCTGCAATGGTTGCTGGCTGTATTCTCATCGTGTATCAGAATTTCTCTTCAAATTGAGACATCGTATAGTTCAAGATGATAGGGGCGACGAACCTTCGTACTCTGAATAGCCAGATACCCTCTTCCATCACCAGCCCACCAATCCTGCGCTCTTCCCAACGCAGCTTTCTCTCGATCAGAATACTCTGGCTCTGGGTTCTCGGCTGTCCATGCTGGAGGCGAAGCAAAGATCCAGTTCGTGTGCATGGCTTTACAAGATTCGGGATAGAGGTGGGAGAGTGCTCTGTTGACTGTTGTGGCGTGTTAGTGTTGGAGCTGGACCTGTGATGCCAGCGAGATTCGAGTGTGGGGGGATTGGGAAGGGGAAGGTAGCCTTACTCAGATGGCCCCAATCGCCGCCTTGAACCACTGTTCAGTGTTAGCTGACACCAGTTGTGAGTACACGGACAAGGATGAGATACCATATTGTTTGTACCCCAACTTCAACATGAGCTTATGGCATGTTTCGGCATACTGCTTGAGTTCAAAGCCAGGCTAAATCCTGTCAGTATCATTTCTTCCTTTCTGCTCTCCTTCTCCGCAAAATTTTGTCTCTCGAAGCTTTGAGTTGTGTAGTTGAGGGAATACTAATACATACCTTTCTTACTCCATCACTGAAGGTGTAGTTTGGCAGACTTGGTGCTACGACGTTGAAAGCTGGCTTGCCATCACCACCTACGCATAGTTAGCTAGTTCTCTAACTTCAAATTCTGAACCCAAATTTCAGAGTTTCTATATCGCTCAGTCTCATTTACAGAACCTTTCTTTCCTCCCGTCCTCCCTCGCCCCTGACCTCAAATCCCTTAATCTCTCAAGTCTGTGACCCCAGTCCATACCCCCAAACCTTGAGAAAAGCAAAACACAAAACACTCGATTAAATAAAAAGAGACAAAGTCGACTCACCTCTCAAACTCCCCAACATCTTCGTCACCTCAATAAAGCTCCCCGGCCAGCCATGCACAAACAACAACGGTACCGCACTCTCCTTCCTCTCCTCGCTAACTTGATGCAAGAAATGGATACCCAGCTCGCCAAACCCCTCGACTTCAATTTTCGTCTTGAAGTGTGGGAGTTTGTTCAGTGCTGCTTCTTGGTCCCGCCAGGAGTAAGAGTTGAGCCAGTGCGAGACGAGACGTTTGGTTTCGGATCTAGGAGACGTCAGATGGACTTGGGCTTCAGTAGTGGGTGGACGGAAAGGATGAGACAAGAGCGCCGAGATCGAAAGGGATAGAAGCAGGAAAGGTGAGGGAACAGGTACTAGAAGGAGGAGAGACGTACGCTGGGACGCCGTATTTCCATCCTGCGCCTTCAATTTCATATTCCGGCAGATCAGCCAATTCCAGCTTCTTCTTCAATTTCTGGAGTTTAGCATCCGGGACATTAATAGTGTATTTCTCAATTCCTGCCATTCTTGCTGTTTTCGTTGTCTGTTACACAAGACTCTCTGGTCGAGAGGATGGTAAGTGATTAATGTTTGAGGACTGATTACACTCGTCAGGGAAGGGAATCAGAGAAAGAAGAATGCAAAAACGATCAGAGGTATGGATAGTATGCAATGTAACAAGGGAGATTCAAGCTTAATGTCCTTCTTAGAATGTGAGGTGTTTACTTAGATCCCCCCCGCATCCACACCTGTCTAGTGCTACCCCGCGTTCCATTCATCCCGAGGCTGAAGGCTGGAGGATGTCCACTTGATCTAACTCCAATGAAAGATAGAAAGCACGACTACGTCCGAATATTTGCATGGTACAGATACTTAAAGACCGATGATTCTGTATGTCATCCTGTGATACTGGGAAGACTAAGATAGAAATCTTGGAGCACTTGCTTCAAGCTGATTCGAGGGGTTGACGTCCTTAAAGCCAATTGACACGGGTCCTCGTAATGAATTCAAGATTTGAGATCTCCCCTGTTCAATTTGCCCTGGTTTGGATGTCTTTGTGCATTTGAACAAGTACAGTACAGCCATCTCTCCATATGACACACCGTACACCCTCCATCGGCCAGGAGCCTCCCCTGGAGTCACCATGCATGGCAACAGCAACAGCAACAGCAACCGAGCACCAACCAATAGAAGCAACCAGACAAATAAGCAGCGTTCCCTAGCCATATCAAGATGAAGAAAAATGTATTGCATTATATCCAGACGCCCCCCGTCCCCTCCGTCCGTAATGGTTGTTGTTTTAGTGTATGTGCAGAAGTGAAGCCAGGCGATAAAGAATTGCAATTGCGATTGCGATTGGTGTTGATCGAAACGGTAATGGTTGATAGAAAGTATGAAAAACATCGGCGTACGCTGTGCTGAACGCATGGCGATCGAATCGAATGAAAGTGGGTATATTCCGAGTCGAGCTTTGATGAGTTCGAGGTTCGAAGGTGCTGGGTATGGGGCCGCATATGGCGAAAGGGTCCATAGTTGATTGTAGGTATATCGAGAGTTTGATCGACGTACCCTTCCGTCCAATTTTCCTTACCCCATAACCGCCAGCATTACAAAAGAAATATGTACTGTGCGCAACTGCGCACTATCAGGAAAAAGACCGCTTGTGCCACCAACGCCAACTCCATCACATCCGCCCCCTTACATAACATTACACTTGGAGTCATCCTTCCCTCCATTTGGCTTCACACTCAATGCCACTCTAGCTGCCTCCGTAAACGCCTCATTGACCCCTCGATTGCGCATTGCCGAGCACTCCAGATATCTCAAGGCGTTTATCCGCCTCGCGACCTCCAATCCCTGGTTATAATCAATCATATCCTTCTTCTCCCTCACTTGTCCGCCCTCGGCCGGCGCTTCGTCATCGGCGTTCTGTTCGCGGAGATCGCACTTCAGAGCAACGAGGACGAGTTTCACGCCCTGGCAATTCTCGGCAATCTCCCCCACCCATTTCGACTCGACGTTCTCGAGGGAGTCTTTGCTGTCGACAGAGAAGCAGAGCATGATTGCGTGGGTATCGTCGTAGGAGAGGGATCGGAGGCGGTCGAATTCTTCTTGGCCGGCTGTATCCCAGAGGGAGAGTTCGATATGAACATTGTCCACGAAGATATCTATTGCTGGATTAGACTTGCCCGCCCACTGTCAATTGAGGGGTATGCGCAATGGTGCTTACCGTGGACATAGTTTTCGAACACCGTAGGCTCGTAGACTGTAGGGAAATACCTGTGCCATAGTTAACCGCCTGTTCCCAATCTCAACAACTAGAATGCTTCCGTACCCTCTGGTGAAGACATTCAGCAACGAAGTCTTGCCGCACGCGCCATCACCTCTGTATCAACTGTCAGCTTTTCCCCCGATTACATTGTCCCTCCTCTCGATTGCCCATTGTTTCTCGATCCCGGCGCATGGATGCCTCCATCCTGCAGGGCCAAACGTACAATAACACCAGTTTCCTCTGGGTAGTCTTGTTTCCTCCGAGTCCGCACGGCATCTTGTCTACTCGCTATCGTCCCGGCGTAGTCGCAGACTTTGTGGTCGCTTTTCCCGAAGAATGTGAAAGTATATCGGTGGGTAATATGCGCTCAGCTGAAAGAGGAATGTGTTGGGTAGCACAAGCCTGATGTCGTATGGTCGATTGTGGCTGGGCTGGTTGCAGGCGACGACTATGCTGACGTCTGCAAGTATCTAGGTCGTGAGATGGAATCCGAGTGAAATGCGAGAGCTGGCAAGATCCTGTGGTGGAATTGAGTGAAGCCGCAAACCAGATTAATGAGTGAAGATGATGATGATGATGATGGTCTGGCTTGTCGGGATCGGGATACTTGGTTGGCTTGGTGAGGCGCAAGCTGAGGGATCAACTACAGTATCACTGAATCGGCGGAGGTTCTGGTTCAGTCGGGGTGGCCCGTGTTGATGAGATAACTGCACTGCCAAGCGGAGAGCCGAGGCGAGATTGCTGCTGGTGAAAACCCACCAGACTTAACTACATAGGTAGAATGATTGGGGACAATCTTAATTTCTCATCTAACACATCCACCATACAGGATGCGATTCGAATTGAGTACTTTCTTCGAAGTATATCCTCATTTATTGTCCCCCGACCAAGTTTTACTTCCTTTTTCCCCGTGCCTCGCTATTCCCCTCTTCTTGACCCCAAGCCGCCGATTCGTTTCACTACCCCGTCTGTCCTCAACGGTCCAGCCCGCAACCCTCAGACTGACACTGACGTTCTCTCCCTCCTGATATAGACATGGTTTATGCCATAATTGTACCGAAGTATGCAAGCCATTAATTGGCTGCAGAATGTGTCTGGAAGATCGCTGCATGGATAGCACATCGCTCCATCCAGTTTAGAGGTTCGTTCAGTAGGCCAAGGAGGATTATTGACTTTTTCTCTCCGCATAAGCTTCAAAGCTCCATCTCCTAGGTATGCACAGGAAAGGGGATTGATGACAGGAAGAAGTCGGAAAAGACAGATAGTAATTCTGCCCACTGGTCAGCCCGGAGCGGCTCAAACCATCAAGTGGTGATGCTGGTGGTGATACTAAGGGTTTTGCATATTCAAGAAGTACCCCACTGAAAATGGACGTGCCAGGCCGACACTTGGACTTTTCTTGATAGCTAGCAGTGAGACGCTTTTTGATATCTAATCTCAACCGACATTCTACACAGGCCAAGATTAAGCGATGCCCCGCGGCAAAGGAAATTTAACGTGTTGCTGAAACAATTAAGAGGACGCGAACAAAGAATGCGGTATGACCTTGTTCAGCCTGCCTCGCCACACCAGCAAGCGAGGAAGGACATACTAATGTAAACAAACCCATTAATGTCATCCTTCGTAATTAAATTATGAGGATTGCCGGGGACCGCCAGGGAACTCCATAGGCGTTAGGTAGCATGTTCAAAGAACTTCCTACACAGTTGCTTAAAGTGGTTGCAAGACTTTGGAGAAAACTCCAAGTAGAGACACGTATCCAACGTGAGGAGGAAGATCCTACCCCGAATCAGCAAAATATAGCAACGAGACAATATTTGAATGGAACTTTGGCTTGCCGACAAAAATGTTACGCATTGAAACTGTTGATGAAGCCAGCTTCGGCCTATTCCATGGGCGCCGACAAGGCTTCATTATTCTGGGGATCGTAACCACACTTTTATGAATCAGAGAGAAGGTCATTCAATAATACGTAAGTATAAATCTATGATGAAGACTTGGGCAAGAGCCCTCTCGTAATTGGCAGGTTCTTTCGCGTAGGTGTGAGTCGTTGGATGTCTGATCACATGATGGTGTGCCTCATGTGCTGTGATTTTCTATTTTCTGTGTCTACCTAACATGAATGTAAACCTTCGTCCTAACAACATTGATATTCGTCTCACAATCACTGTCACAACTCGCTCTTGTCTAACGTTGTTGATCCAGTATCGATATTCCTTATTTCTATCCGAGGATGCAGACCAATCACGGGACAAGATATTTGAATCTTTGTCTTCGTTTATCCGGACCTAGGCCCACCTGTATCACACTTGTGCTACGCTAATTAATATCATCCCCAGAACCAGCTTAACCTACCAAAATTCTGTCATCTTTGGTCGCACCAAGCTTCTTCCAAGCTTGCCGTCAGCCAGCCATCGATTGATCTCGCGCATAGGCTAATGTAATATTCCTAGTCACTTCGCTGCTTCTGGACGTGGCGTTTGCCCTGAAGGGATGCGTTGTCTCGGCAAAGTATTGATGACCGCGGCTCACATATCGATATTTGATGATGTACTTATGATATTCTCTATGTTTTCTATTCTTTCTATCTGCTTATTCAATTCTTTCTCTTCTTACCCTTTTGTTTATTGATGTTCGCGATCTAATTATTTACGGCATCTGTCGCGTCACGTTCTTTCAAAGTCATCACAGACTTGCGTAACTGTGTAGCATTGGGAGCAATATGAATTTCATTCTGTTGGTCTTCGCCCTTTTGGGTTCAAATCAAGCTTTCGCAGCAACGACTAGTTCATCCGGAACTCCATCCCCAGCCTCGTCGCTAACCTCATCTCTGCCGCCAACAGTCTCGAGCTCTCTATCAGTTGGGGGCTCATCGACTACCCTGAAAACATCTTCAACCTCGAGGACGGCTTCAGCTGCTACATCATCATCTACCAGCATACCATATTGTACGCAGTGCTTAGCAGAAATGATCATAATTTTGCAAACCAGACTGACAAATGTTTAGGGCTGGAGCAGATCAAGCATCAAGGACTTTCGCCTTTCAGTCCCGATCCAGCAAACTACCAAGTATTTCGAAATGTCAAAGATTTTGGAGCCAAGGGTATGTAAGAAACAAGAGTATTGGGGCTTCAATACTGACTTCGCAAAAGGGGACGGTAGGACTGATGACACTGCCGCCATCAACAATGCAATGAAGTTCGGGACCCGATGTGCACCTGGAACGTGTCAATCAACAACCACCACTCCCTCAATTGTGTACTTTCCTTCTGGGACTTATTTAATATCAGCGTCGATCATCGACTATTACTTCACACAAATCATTGGAAACCCTAACAGTCTTCCAGTCTTGAAAGCTACGCCAAAGTTCAACGGATTTGGTCTCATCGATGGCAACCCATATGCTGCTGGCGGAGTGTTGTCATATGGTGCAACGAACGTGTTTTTCAGGCAAATCAGAAACATCGTCTTTGATACGACGGCTATTCCCGCTGGGCAGTCAGCAACAGGTCTCCATTGGCCAACATCGCAAGCCACTAGTCTGCAGAATTGTGTGTTCAAAATGAGTGATGCTCCTGGGACCCAACATCAAGGACTTTTCATTGAGGATGGTATGCTAGCGTATCTTCCCCAAAGATTTCCGTGCTGATGAGTACAGGCTCTGGTGGATTCATGAATGATTTGGTCTTTTATGGCGGACTGAACGCAGCCGTTTTTGGTAATCAACAGTTCACAGTCAGAAATCTCACATTCTATAATGCCGTCACAGCAATCAGCCAGATCTGGGATTGGGGTTGGACTTATCAAGTAATTTGGCTCTCGGATTTGTTTTTTGTAGCCTTCTAATTCATTTCTAGGGCATCAGTGTCACAAATTGCACAACAGGGATCAACATGGCTTCGGGTGGACGCACTGGTCAAAGTGTTGGTTCTGTGACCATCATCGACAGCACATTCACGAACACCAAAATCGCCATATCTACCGCTCATGATGCTACATCAATGCCACTTACGGCTGGAAGTTTGATTATCGAAAAGGTTACTATCAATAATGTTGGTGTTGCAGTGCAAGGATCTACGGGACCATTGTTGTCAGGAGGCACAACCACGATCGGAGGTTGGGGCCAGGGGCATTCGTATTCCCCAAATGGGCCAACCAACTTTCAGCGAGCCATGTCACCTTTTACACGACCTTCATCGCTCACCATCAACGGCAAGTACTACGCACGATCGAAACCACAATACCAAGCGCTGCCTCTGTCTCAATTTGTTAGTGTGCGAGCAGCTGGAGCCAAAGGCGATGGAGTAACGGACGACACAGCCGTGATCAACAGACTACTAACATACGCCACAGCTGCAAAGCTGGTGGTGTTCTTCGACTATGGGATATATCGTGTGACATCTACAGTGTTTATCCCGCTTGGAGCAAAGATCGTTGGTGAAGCATACTCCACGATCCTCGGAGCTGGTCCATTCTTTTCGGACATTACATCGCCACAACCTGTGGTATCTGTTGGAACCCCTGGGCAATCAGGTACTATTGAATGGTCTGATATGATCGTCTCCACCCAGGGCGCAACAGCAGGTGCAATTCTCATTCAATGGAACCTCGCCTCTACCGCTGGATCTCCCTCTGGAATGTGGGATGTCCACACTCGAATTGGTGGCTTCGCAGGTTCCGATCTTCAGCTGGCCCAATGTCCAACAACACCGACGTCAGCAGCAGTCAATCCAAATTGTATTGCGGCGTTCATGAGCATGTACATTGCCCCTTCGGCTTCATACCTTTACATGGAAAACACCTGGTTCTGGACAGCCGACCACGATGTCGAGGATCCAAAGCTCAACCGAATCACGATATATACCGGCAGAGGTCTCTACTGCGCATCAACAGTCGGATCAATCTGGATGGTGGGGACCAGTGTGGAACATCATGATCTCTACCAGTACCAATTCGTTAACACCAAGAACATCTACGCCGGACAAATCCAGACTGAGACTGCATACTGGCAGCCTGTACCCAAAGCAGGTGTAGCTACGCCTGTTGTACCTAGATGGAATGATCCCGACTTTGCCACTTCCTGTGTAGGCGTTAGTGGCAACTGTGCAGCTGGATGGGGGCTCCGAGTTCTCTCCAGCCAAAGCGTACTGATTTATGGCGCTGGACTGTACAGTTTCTTCAACAACTACAGTGTTTGTAAGTTCCCATTTTCCTATGAATACGCTCGAGGTGTTTGAGCTGACTTACACCAGCATGCTCCAACCCTGTCAAACCGCCAGGAAACGGCGGCAGTTGCCAGACTCGTATCTTCAGCATCGAAGGCTCGACCAGCAAGAACGTTAATGTCTATAATCTCAATACTATCGGAAGTCTACAAATGGTAACGAAAAATGGTGTGAACTTGGCAAACTTCAGTGATAATGGGAATGTGTACCCTGATACCATCGCACTGTTCAAAAGCGGCTAATTGGGGGCATGGGTTGAATGGGTGAGGATCTGTTTGCGATTGGAAAGTTTGGAATATGAGATGGAAGCATTTAGAGAAATCGTCTTCAAATCGTTTAGGATTTTCAGATCTACAATTATCCGACGGGTATGGCGGCCATCTTCTTGCGTGTTGAACGATTTCGATGGTTGACACACTGCTCTATCATCTTTAATGCATGATCAAGCTTTACGTCATGTGTAGGGTAGTTCTACAATCTAGTATTCTATTGAGCTCCTGACGCTGTTCCGGAACATGGGGTCCCCATCTCGGAGCTTGCAAAGTCTTATGTTAAAGAGCTAAAATTTCTGTCTCTCTTGCTATATTTTGCTCAAGTACTGTAATTATTATCGGTCCCGAGAACTATTCTCATTGATTTCCTCGGGTTCTTGTAAGATACTTGCAATTCGGTGAATGAAGTCGTAGTGCTAAATTTATGTGTAAACTGTTCGCTTTAATTTTCTTGCCAGATCATCTCTAATCATCAATCAATTGACTTTCCAGCATTCATAAGCCCTTCATACCCGTTCTGAATATTTGCAACTACCGCTAATTTCAGTATTCCAAGCACAAGGCACACAAAGGTGAGCTTCTTAGATAGTCTGGATTCGTGACCCCACAACCTCTTCCACGACGTCCAAGAATCGAGTACCGAATTTAATGAGCTTAAACCCCTTCAAGATAAACTCATCAATACTAGTGTTAACATCTTCCTCATTTATATCATTTGGATGAGACATTTGCAGTATCGATTCAAGACCTTGCGCGTGGTTCACCAATCGCGACAAATGGGCTAGCACCCTCTTGCGACAAATTCGAATTCCCTGGTCACTCATTACAAGATCTGATTGCCGTGTCTCACAATTGGTACTTAACTATCGCACCCGTTAGAACAAAGCAGAAGTAATACCTTGGCTTCGCGCGCGAACATACCAGTAGCGACCGCACACCTGCGATGATTTTCCGGTTTACCCCACTGAGAAGACGCACGACCTGTTGGTTACTGTTGTATGTGCGTGCGAAATCCCATAAGTCGAGTAGAGCTTGCAGTAACGCCTTCATCTCGTCAGGATGATATTCGACGCTATAATTCGTCGGAAACCAGCCCCTGACTCCTGATCCAAGCGATGTGGCGTCGGCCCAGCCAGTGGTGGATATTGAGTGCAAAAGTAATAGCTCTCCTGCCATCGCTGGCAGAAGGCGTGTTGTTGTGCTGTTGGTCACCATTTGGGCCGTGTGAAAGGGATAGAATACCCTCAAGAAGGTGGGGAACTTGTGGACGCTGAGAGGAGTTCTGGTCTGAACCGGAGGAGGACGCTCTACAGGAGGGCTGGAAATCTCTGATTCGAACTGTTGTACGATTCTCTTGAAGATAGAAATATCATCGTCGGGGTAATAATTCTCGTCAAGCCGCCCAGCTTCAAAATCATTCGTCGTCCTCTGTTGTGGTTGGAGCACGTTATTGGATGGTCGTGGTCCGAAAGAGGAATCATTAAAAGAATCGGAATGATCACTGGTGTTTCGCATTTGGACGTCAACACTCGACAAGACGGAAATGAACACCTCTTTCTGGCATACAGGACTATTGGATCAGTGAGTTGAGGCTGTCAGGATCCAGCAATGACCTACCAGGTTGCCCATGATTGATCTCGTGACCTTGGCCATGTCCCAGTGCAAGTGTTTTCCGGGCATTGTTGCTCATTCAAGTTATTAGAGGGCTTGAGGCGTTGTTGCAGAAGCATAGACATTGCAACCATGCTACCGGGAACGACAGAGCCACCCCAAGTACTCTCACTCAGCACTTGATTATTAGTAAGACTCAATACCAAATATCTGCCTTGATCAACCCATGTCGAGCCTGGGAGGTCTCTGAATTCATGTTGAATGAATGCTTGTAAGACCTATGTATCTTAAATGAGCGCGTGGCTGGAAGGAGACCGATCGATCATACCTTGAAGGAGCCGAAATACTCGTATGGTAGAACACGTGCTGGTCGTCCGATTGCGTCAAGAAATGATATGTTATACTTGGCTAATAAATGCGGCATCAAAGCTCGCGATGGTTGGGCCATGCGTGACAAGACAAGACTGGACAAAGATTAGCAGCCAAGAGAAGATTCACGGCGACGAGCACACTTACAATAAATTTTTCAAAAAATAGCCTAAGTATAAAAAGACGAGGTAGTAGCTATCACAATTAACAGAAATAATCATCGATTGAGCTCAACGGACTTACATTTCTCTTAAAGAATCTCGCACCACAATTGCATTTGAACTTTGATTGGAGACTTTTAAACTCCCTGCGATCTCGAGTTGCCCGCCTTGAGCATCGAGAACTTTCTGCTTGGCTCCTGGACTATCGCCTCGCACGCAGGACTCTATGCGTTGCTGCATGAAATTGGAGCTGCTGATCTGCTGCTTGATCTCGTCCATACCCAAAGCCAACCCTCCAACGAGTTCTGACAACCTTGTGTCTAAAGCGTCGTGACTTGCGGTTTGCATTTCTTGATAGTCCTCGAGCAGCGTGGACCTCAGTGGCGGAAGATGTTCGCGGAGAATGGACATGAGTTCGGGGCGTAGGGTCTCTTGGAATGTGGAGCGCAGACTTTCTGGGAGATTCTGCTGCGTTGTCCATACCACATCTCTAATGTCAAAGTCAGCTGTGGCTCTAAAGTACTGAAGAGTCGATATACAGAGTCAAACGTTGCATCAGCGTGTCGATAACTCGCATATGCGATTCAATCTTCATCTTCAAGCTCAGCACCTTCTTCGACATGAAGATAAACCATTGCAACTTCCGCAACAAATGTCGATGATGCCCTTCCGCTGCCCCCACACCCAAACTAGGCTCGTATTTCAAGACATGTGCCAGAAATTGCTGAACAGGCTCCTGGATATATCCAACCTGTTCTCTAATTATGCCGGGTAGGCATTCCATACTGTGAATGTTTGGAGAGGCTCGAGGGTCCGCTTCAGGTCTCGAAGGAAGGATACAGCCTCGCGGTAGTCACCAGCTGCCCCATCACAACTATCAAGTGCTTGGACTAGATGATATATGATTTTGACGGCCGTGGCGATGTCGCCCGCGGACCATCCAAAGGACATTACCGTCGTCAGAAGGTATGCATAGAAGTTTCCATGAAGTAAATTGTGTTTTGAACATGTCGAAGGGGAAGATCAAGTATCATGGATGGGAGAGCCTGGCCAGCTGCCGCCTTGTAGTAGGATGGTATCTAGCCCCATCACTTCAGCTGCAAGTATCAGCCACTGGAACAAACAAGCGCACTCCGCCACAACGGCACGGCCCAAGTTCCCCAAAGCCTTGTCAGTAATTAATTCCTTGTAAATTTATGAGCAGAAAAATCTCTGGCGAATCAACAAAGAACATTTCATTGACTTTAAGCCAGTGCAGGCAGCCCTGAAATCGCTGGAATTTTTCACCTGGTCTTAAATGGGGTTCCGATCACGAAGGGGAAGCCGATTTTGCAAGCGACTGCACCCTGCACTTGCTTGTGAAAAAGTCAGACCCTCAAAGTAGTGGCTGAGTTAAATATCCACTTGGCTGCGTCACGCACCCTCTTTCCAGGCTATGCTGCCTGTAGCGGCACGCTAAATATGATCATCTCAGGACCTGTGGCACATAGGCACCTTGAGTTCTGGTGAACTCTCGGTTAATTTGTGGCACTGTTTACAGGGCTTACAGGCTGTGCGGCGAATCGCAGTTAAGGGGCTATCGAGCCCGGATTTATACAGTATTAAGACGTTACCCTATTGTCACTGGCATTTAAATTCATCTTCGGGAACTGTATTAAAAAAAATTAGCACTTTTCATTATCATTTTTTGGTTCCTCTGTAGTACAAAGACTTGAAAGCAAAGCCTGTAAACTCCGGTGAGGATCTTTTTGTTTGGCTTGTGTGGCACCTTGAAGAATTGAAAAAGAAAATATCAAATAACCAAAATATGGTCGATCTTCGCGGAGTCCATGGCATCGGAGGATGGGGTAGAGAGGAGGTGACGGATTGACAAGTTAGAGATCAACTTACAATCTTGAAGGGATGTCTCCTAGGATGCTGCCAGGCTCGTGCCAGTCTGGTCGATAATGAACATGGCTGTCCTCATCCTCGTCACTGGACACGCTCAGCACTTCCACGAGAGGATCATCGCCTTGATTCCATATTGTGGCAGCCGGGACATTGCCATGACGTGAGGAGTTTCTGGCTCGAGTCGTGCTGGGCTCATTAGATGAATGCTCTTCTTCGGATTCGTCAGACGACGAGTCTTGGCCTGAGCCTATGTCAGCAATGGACTGGATGAAACGTTCTAAGTACTCATCATACTGTCTACTGGCCTCACACTGTTCCTGTATGCCCGATTCAGTCTGCTCTTGCTGCTCTCTGTAAATGGCTTCGAGCTGTCGACGAGTCGTTTCTATGAACTCTGGCGTGAACTGCTCTGGCGGGGCTTCGTAGTCGGCTTCGAGATCTTGAAGTGCCTGTTGGAGTGCCCGGTCCAGTTCGTTCATTCTATTTTGGTTGATGATCGGTTGCATTCTGATCAAGATGGCTTGCTGTCTCAAGATATGAGCATTTAATTCTCGGGTTTGATGCAAGGTCATGTTGTTAAGCGTGAGCATGATCCAACAGTTGCGCCCTATCAACTCTCGTACTTGAAGCAGCGGTGCAACGTCGTCTCGAGAAATTCCAGCTGCCAACTCGCCGTCTTGTAGGCGGTCTTGCCAATACCGTCCGGTTGTAACTTGAGAATCTAAGACCATACTCAGTGTTTGGATAGTTTCAGACGGTTCTGGGGATTTTCCATACAGCAGTCGTCTCTCTCTCTCTTCTCGATGTTCCGCGGTCATACTCGATGGAGACGGAGCATCTCGGACGAGGTTTCGGAAGCTAAGACACTCGGTTACTTCTGCTTCTGATCTACCGTGAGCGAGGTAGTCGATCACGTAGCTCTCAAGGTCGCTGTCGAGTGTCCATGTCCATCCTGCTGAAGTGACGGGGTGGGCAGCGAAGTCAAAGGACTGGATCCTCCGTGCCACCCATTGGTGGAAGGTGACGAGTTGTGCTTGGTTGGTGCTGGAAGTAGCCATCGTGGAAGAGAAAGATGGGTGAAGTTTGTGGATGATGAGTATGTACCTCCAAGACTATAATTGAAGAAGATCATATGTCTGGTGGGTATTCCGTGTTTCAGTTCGCATGTTTGTTCGGTTACGAAGCGGTTTGTTTTGATCCTGTCCTCAAACAATCAAATTACTAGAGATTGAATCAGCATCTCACCGCTTGCAAAGAATGCCGAACTACATGTCAATGAGCTGTTTGTCCACAGAAACAATATCTTTGTTCATTTTTTTCTCCTTGTTGCTCTTTGTTGGTCTTGGTTGCTTGTCGTACTAGAGGTAGCCGGGCAATAAAGCTGATCCGGAACCAAGCACAATCGCAGGGGTAAAAGGTTGAATGACGCCATGAATCATAACTGTAGTGTTTGCATTGCGACATCGATGGGTTCATTTGGGCATCACTCCTCAACTAGGTACCGATGGCCTGGGCACAGGCAGCCAGCCTCTGGACGAAAGAGCAGGGTATGTCACGTGTTCTGGAGTTTTAATCGGCACGATTGTAGAAACGTCCACGGGGCTACTCCTACGTTCGTCTCACTTTCAACTCTACGATTAAAGGCACACAAGTGTTTGGCAGGAACTAGTGCCTTGAGCTCTCGACAGCGAAAGGGGGGCGAGCTCGAGGACTACAAACAAGCCCCTATCCCTATGCAACAGAGAACTAAAGACACCAGGGTAGATTCTCTGATCGCTTTTTATATATACAGAAACCCGGAGGGACAGTGGGTGGTGAAATCGAAGCTTTGCTAAGGAGTGCGAAAGTATATCGAAGGAAAGAAGAGAGTAAAGAAGAGAGGTGCAAGTTATCCTAAATACGCTTAGACTCCCTCCGGTTCATAGATCTGCAACCTGCGACAGCCTTTTAGTATTCCTTTCGGAGACGTACAACTTAGCCTATTTTACTGAGGGCTATCAAACCTTCATCTTCGATTTCTCTGGGTGAATTGTTACTCGCCTCGGAAAGAAAGTTCATGGCTCCCATGCTAGTTATCAGACGCGTTGCCGAATCTCGCGTCACCGCGCGGTGGGGGAGGGGGAAGGTTTCATGCAGACAACAACTGTAACTTGTGCGTATTTTGTCTGTATTTTGTCTGCATTCCTAATAGTAGTAAAATACAGACAAAATTCGGATAAAGCCCGCTATAAACTTAACAAAACGATACAGACAAATTAGCGTGTCAGGGGAAGATAGGAGAGTTTAGGTAGCTCAAATCTTCTACTATCCCTCCCCCCACCCCCACTAAATGAATGTTAAACTGCTGGACTTATGGGGCGGAGGCTCGAAAGTCTATAGCTAAGTGGTCAAATAGCCTTATCAACGTAAAAGCACGAGTCAAATCTAGTCTGTTGTAAAGGCAAAAGTAGCCGTTGAAGGTTCGAGAGGCATATCAAGGCATAAAACAGCTCTTCCTGTTGGATAAAGCCCCTTGAAGTATATCCACACTGGCTCCAGTTTTCTACGCTTTTAACATTCATTGAGGAAGGGGGTCTTAGCATGATTCAAGTAAAACGTAAAGCTGAACACAGACCTCGCACGCGTACTACTTATGACACTGTATACACTTTCGGAACACTCGGACAAAGGAGGAGGGAGACCTGCCTAGAGGGAGACCTTAGAGAGAGAGAAAGAGGAGGAAAAGGGAAGACGATAAGAAAGAAATTAACTTTATTGGTCAGGAAACTCTAAGAAATACAGATAGTAAATGTATTTCTACTATAAATTTCTAGAAGTCAATCAGAATCAGAGAATCCAGCTGAGAAAAATACAGACAGAAAATACATTCAAATATCCTGTTTGCAGACAGTATCTATAGGAAGTGCAGTTAGTGTCTGTTGTAAGAAACCCCGTATGGCGCGACAACCAACAAGACTACATCCTCTGACCAGCGTTCAGATGACTCCTGATATTTTCCGCCATGCTAACACCAGATGAATAGACGACCAATACAGTACATTGCCGCTTGACGAAGCTCCCTCATCGCTGACCCCATAAATTACAGCCTCGCCAGCTTCCATCACCTTTTCCTGCAACCTCATAGCAAACAATTTGGACAACACTGCTCTCTTGCATTCTATACGGTTCGACTCACTCTTTATCATCTCTGAGCTCCCACATCAACAATAACTAGCTGCTTACAGAGCCCTCTGTCCAGCAGAGACACGATTAAAGTCGGTCAAGACCAGCCTCGCAGCCTAGCAGCCTAGCAGCCTTCCCAAGTTCCCTCTTGTTCGAGTCTTATTCAAGACTCGCAGTGCTTTCAAGGCAAGTCTGCGCCCATAGAATCATTTGTTCGCAGATTCGAAGACTCGAAGGTTTTACTTAGCTTTCTATCGTTGCTTGTGCTTCACGATCGGCATTGCACCTCGCGACTTCTTGCTAACACCTGCTTCTACAGTCTGCTCTTTACTCCCCTACTTCCACGTGCGCCTACCTGCATCAAAGACCTAAAGATGTCCGACAAAGCTACCACAGAAGATCTAGCTGGGAATGGCGGTCCTGCCCTCGAGGCAAAGCCCGAGCAGATGATTGCAGCACTGGAAGTTAAGATAAGAGACCAGCAAGAAAATGATACGCTCTTCAAGATTAAGAAGCACACCAAGTTCGGCAAAGTCTTCGACGCCTATTGCGATCGACAATCTCTCGGCCGGAATACTGTTCGATTTCTCATTGAAGGCACCCGCGTTCAGGACAATGAAATTCCTGAAGATCTGGATCTTGAAAATGGTGATGTGATCCAAGCCATGCTCGAGCAGGTTGGCGGTGCGCAGGACGAGGCAGGTGCAACTGAATCAAAGCCCCATCAAAAGCCAGAGGGTGGAGATCACATCGACATCAAGGTTATGGACCAATAAAATCAGGGGATAGTATTCAAGATCAAGCCGACGACCCGGTTCAAGAAAGTCATGAGAGCATTCTGCGAGCGCCAAGGTCTTGATTTATCTTCTGTTCGGTTCCTCTACGATGGACAGAGGCTTCAGGATGACCAAACCCCAGCCGCAGTGGAGATGCAGGATGGAAACTGTATTCAGGTGTTCCTATATCAGACTGGAGGTTGGGGGTCGCAGCAAATATACCTCAAAGTCAAGGATGCTGATGGAAATGAGGTTTCTTTCAAGTGCAAAAGCACAGCCAAGCTGGAGGACGTCATGGATTCTTTCTGTCAACAGAGGGGTCGCAGTCCCGGCTCGCTTCGATTTTTCACTTCGGACGGAACGAGGATCGATGACGACGATACGCCCAAGTCGCTCATTTTGGATGATGGAGATGTTACTAACGCTCATGAGAAACAGCAGGGTCGTGGCAGCTGAGGAGTTTCCTACGAATGACCATCATTCAACGATGGGAATGTGCAGGACTTGACGGATTAGCGAGACCATGATAAAGGGACGATTTCCTTATTCGTTTTTCAATTTAACCATAGTCTGCAGATATACTGGTGAGCGGAAACGGACAGACGAGAATATGGAACGGCATCCCTTGAATTCGTATTCATATTTTACTGGAGGGGTCTTTGCTTTACAGGCGCACACTGGGTTGGGAGTTAACGATCTCTCCACGTTGCTTTATTGCGGTTACTGTTCATTGATTTACACTCGCATAGAATATGGGAGAGTACCAAAATCTGCCAAAATGGTTATATTCCTACAAGCTTTTGTTCTTTTCCATTCTGTTCATTGCTTCCTCACTCACGTGCCATTTCTCACTCACGTGCCATTTTCCTGCCTCCTAGTCCTGTCTCTCAGGGTGGCTGCAATAGCGTAGCCAAAGGCTGTAGACTTGAAATCATCTTGCGCCTCTTACATTTATTGCCAGTACATCATATTCACGGCCTAGTTGATACGCACCTAATATAAGAAATAGTTGTATTCAGCGATATGGATATCACACAACCAACTCACTCTAGCTTTCCTCCTCCACAGACGATCCAGCGTCCTCATTACCTCTCTTCCCTTTCCATCCTATCTTTCTCTTCCTTCTCCTCCTTCTCCTCCTCCTCCCTCCACCGCCTTCTCCTCTCCCTCCTATTATTCCTCCTTCGACAATAAGAACAATACCCAGAGCCCTCCGGAGGTTCAATAAAGCAGATCAGGAGATCAGGACATTCTTCGGGAATGCAGCCGGTCCGAGATTGGTGCTCACAGCAATACATCACGCCGTCGACGTGGTTGCAGATTGGGTGCCGGATATTGGCGTGTTCGCACATGGTAGAGTTGGGGAGGGAGGTTTTGAAGTGAGGTGGGGGTTGGGAGTAGAGTGTATAGGGGAAGTGATTAGGAGGCAGGCAGAAGCTCTAAGATGAGGTGAGATACTGCAGACTCTGGATATAATTCTTGAGCAGGGGGAGAAGTCGATTTGATAAAGCTTCGAGAAAACAATGAGAGCAACAACGACATCTCACCAGCGACTGTTAGCCTCGAGCTTCGTCTGTTTGATCTTCTTTCATTCAAGTTTTATGTGTCTATTGGCACGATGGCTACAATGCATCCTTTGTTCGCGTACTTCCTCCTCTTTGTTTTCTTGTCGCGCCTTTTGAGCTTCGACAAGTTCTCCTTTCTCGGTCCAAAGGTGTGTCTGCGTTCTTGGGACTCGAGTATCTTTTTAAAACTCTTCTCGACCTCCGACCCTGTAAGTTCGAAGTTCACAGGCATGGTCTATAATGATGATCCGGAGTAGGTATAGTGCGGCTCCCGTCCTTTTCATCAAAACATTCCTTTGTCTCCTTCCGCAGACCCAGGTTCAGGATCCGAGGGTTCCCCATTCCAGCTCAAGTCCAACAACCGTCTGGACTTGTGATCTATCAAGGCCACAAACAAGCAGCATACTCCGGATACCCCCTGATTCTCCCATAAATCTGGCTCAACTCATCACTCAACATCTGTGGACCATCCAAATGATTCTTCGATGCCGCCAAAGTATGCCGCTTCAGTGCAATGTTCCATGCAAAACTTGAATGGCCGATTCCTGCAAAATCGCTCGCTTTTTGCATCACAAGAAAGTCTACCAACGCCTGCTGATCCCATGCCAATGCATTCAATTCATGCAGATCTGGTCCCGTCAATAGATCGAATTTTGTAGTGACGGTCAGATTGATTGCTGCTGCATCTGTGGCAAATTTGCCGACTTCAGCGAGGTCGCCAGATGCGACATAGATCACAGCGGGAGATGATCTCGGTGCTTGCTCGAGATAGTGCTTCGCCTGGGTTTCGTACCGAGAATATTCCCAGTCATTCACTGGCCAGCCTTCGGCGGCATCTTTCTCCGTGCGCAGATGGGCACCAAAGAACAAGTTGTGGAGAATAGCTTCCGAAAGATCTCCTTGAAAATTATATCTTTCAGCAAGAGCCTGAAGAGTTTTTGTTGCAAGGACTCGGACATCATTCCGAAGTTTGAGGATGCCACCGAAGGCGAGGGCGAATCCTTCACCATCAGAATAGATGGGGTACTTGAGGTAGGATCGCCCTAGTGAAACGATATACGGCGCGTCGGGGTCTGTCTTGGGATACTGCTCCAGCCATTCGTATAGAAGAGCTCGCCACTTCTCAGGCGCTCTCAGCCCAGTAGCTGGGATCGGATCTTTCACCAAGTCCTCCGGAATAATGGAGAGCGCAGGAGGGGCAAGATCATAATTTTGTACCTCAGCTACAGTCGAGAACACCCTTAAAGAAGGACATGAGAGCCTCAGGGAGTCCACGAAATGCTGTGGCTCAAACATGAATCTCATCTCCGTGTTCACTCCCGTCCGAATGAGAGAGATGTCAGCACTATCTCTCATCACGATGGTCGGTATTACCAACCCAGCTCCAGCTGAGATGGCATATCTGACACAATTCAGGATTGAATTCCGGATGTTGCCTATACCGCCGACTGAAGCATCACAGCGAAAGACTATACTTTGGTTCCATTGCGCTTCCTCACAGATGCTTTTGATGGACTCGGACTCGATAGGATCGAAATCGAAGACGTCGGAAATAGCTATCGCTGATGAATAAAAGTTCGTAACAGGTCTGTCTGTGTATATATTCCAAGAGGTGTGAGTGGGGAAGTGGTATGGTCGGTCGAAGGCTACCCAGATCCATAGGGCTGCCAAAACAATGCCTGCCAAGGCAGCGTATCTGCGCGGTACACCAGGAGGTACTTGGAGCATTATATCAAAACAGTTAACGACAACAACAAAAACGCACGGAAATTTAAGTCTCAATATCACCGGCTTGAGCAATTGAGGATGACATGTCGTTCAAAAATTTAAGGTTGGATTATGTCACTCCATCAAATCCCCAGATGAACGCGCTAATGCTTTCTTCAGCATTTCAGGGGTAGCCGCCCAATTAGCGGGGCGGATTTTGGCTTTCATCACCCTCCCATACTTTGCATGTAAACATGCATGGGTATACCCGATCGGGAAGAAGTGTGAGACAAATGTATATTTAGATCTGGCTGGGCTGACACAAGCGCTCAGCTGATGTTTGGACTGCTTTCTTTTGGTCTCCATGGCACGTCTAGAAATTGACGAGCTGCAATGTAAATATTGATACTGTGGTATTTGCAATTGCTGCATATTCCGAAGAATAAACGAACGACTTGCATTTTCTCAACCATGTATTTGGGGCGAACGATCAGGGATCGGAACGACGATACCCGTGGCTGTTTGAGAACAAAACTCTAGTTTGAAGAAGTCTGCACCAAATTCATTTCCGGATTTTTGTTTTCCTCCTAGGATTTCGGTTGACGGAGGTTATTTACTCCGCGACGCAGACTGCCGGAAGTCTAGTAACTTCCCGCTTCGCGATTTGAGTTTGTTGCAAGGTGGAGGGGTTCGCTAAATTCAAGCCAGAATAAGCATTGTAAACATTTGTGTACTTGGTCATGCGCATGATCCCTCAAGTCAACGTAGCATAAAGTGATTCAGTGACTGTTAACCCAGCTTCTCTTTCTTTCAGCGATCGTCTGCTGCCATGCTGCGAGGCAACATCCGCTGATAAACCGGCACCTGGGAGATAGTTGTCACCGGTCGTTTCGTGTATACGGTGTGTATCAATCAATAATTATTCCTGGAGTTGTGGCTTTGTAACGCTTTTCCTGACGGCTCTGATATATCTCAAGGCTCTGGAATCGCTCTCCCCAAACTCCGTGAGCTTTAGACTCCCAAACCACTTTTCTACCTTATCAATATCATGTTACTCTGCTAGCATGTCAGGTATAGATAGAATGTCTGTTTTGATATTATTGGTTTCTCCATTTATGATTTATAGGCCCGGAATGCTGACATGGCTGTATACCCCTCATGTTTGATAGATCGAATGAAGGGTCTAAATCTGCAGAAGGTTGCCAAATAACGCCTAGGTAGCTCTCCCCGATATCCTGTCGTTTCATACTTTGACCTGCGATTCACAGGGTTGCGAGTGTTATTGGCTCCGAAATGGTGACTGGTGTTAGCCCGTCCTCATGAGATCTGCCTGCTTTATAATTTGAAATTCCCAGTGTCGCCTGCAATAGGTTGCAAACACTATAAGTCCCTTCTGTTCCTTAATGCTCTCTGTGCTCTGCTGTCTGCTTCATGCTGGAGGTTTACATCCTATTGAGCGAAAGCACGGAGAAGATGGAAGTACCTAGCTACAATACCTTCTCATTCACTACTCTCACGATCGGCATTAAAAGACCTACCTTGGGAGGAATTCGTGACGAGCACTGCTTGAGGCAAAAAGCAGAATAATCCTATTGACAACCATTTGCGAGTCAAAGTGTGATCGGAATCATACAAAATGCTGTCCACTGCGGACGACTGTTTAAAACGGTTCTTTGGTTGAATACTTGCTTAGACGTCACAGCTCCAATCAATCTGGTCCATATGCTGTTGCTAGGGCAATTTGGGATTGCGAAGAGTCAGACCGGACCTCTCCACCACTACAAAAACCTCCGGTCTCCTTACTCCAGATCGCATCCCCAAGAAGAAATCTCTACAACACCAAACCTACTTGTTACCATCAAAAGTTACTGCCACATTCAAATAAGTACACCTTGGTCCAGCACCTCGAAGCTCGATGCAACTCAAGACAATCTTCCTTGCTTTCGGTACCTTCGCAACCGCCTTCTGCAAAGGCAACACTATCATGGATGCAGATTCTCTTCCCTGTGTCCCCAGTCAGAACCCAACAACATGCATGCTGAACTACGCAACCAACAGCGGAGCCGTACTTGATCTTGCCGACCCTGCAGTCTCAGCCAGTGCATTCATCTACTCTTACACCTGCCTTCCCCTCGGCCACAAGACTGTCGCTGTTCCCGGAGAGACGTCAATCCTCAGCTGGGGTCTCAGTTTCAGCAAGCCACTGGTACTGGGATCCGAAAAGCGACCTGGAATGGACTGGTGGACTCCATGGTTTACTTACGATGGAAGAAGATATGCGTATGAAGATTGCGCTTGTAAAGGTACGGCCTTGGCTGGTGGTCACAAGTGCTCATGTCAGTTCCAGTGTAAGCTTTGGGTTACGAATTAGAATCTGGGATGTAACTCAAAATGCGACATCGCGCGACATTCAGGATCGATGACTCAACTATCAACACTCAACAAGACAATCGCGTCTATACTATGACGTCGATAATTCTCGCCGAACCGAACGATGAACTTTTATTGCGATTTGGGCTGGAGGAAACGGGTTGAGACAGGAATAGAAATAGGAGACAGTTTGCGAGATTTTCTACATCCCTTTCAATACAAATCCCTACTACACTTGTATGAGAAATACATAGGTGTTGGTCTTCTTGTGACGTGCTTGAAGTTTTGTGGGCTATTTTAAACTCATGCCCAACATAGTGCACATATAAGAGAACCCAGCTGCCAGCCCTTTCGAGCTCGATTTCCTTGCCAGGGACTTCGAGATGGTGTTTTGGCCGCAACTTTGGAATGCGTAGGGTAAGTGGTCAATGCGTTCAATGATTTTGCACACCGTCCGAAGTGTTTTCCATCTCCCTACGATCTAGAATCATTCACATGCATCTGGCCAGCGTCGGTTTGTTGACTTTACGAACCGCTCGGCTAATTACCGGCACATCATAGATCCGAGCCGAGTTGGAGCTCCAGGAAACCAGATGTCCACTTGGAGCTTACATATCGAGCGTCTTCACCACCTCCCCACCAACAAACTCACGCTTTTGCCAAACCAAATCACAATGCCTTCTTCTGTTAATATTGGATCATCGGCGGAGTTCAGTAAGATACTGAGCTCATCAACTATCGTGATCGCAGATTGTCTGTTCCCCCACCTCCCTCTCGTGCTTCCCGCTAATACCCCTCAGTCTATGCGGACTGGTGTGGACCATGCAAGACTATCGCACCTACCTACGAATCCCTTGCAACGAAATACTCGAAGCCAAACAAGATTACTTTCACCAAAGTCAACGTGGACAGCCAGCAAGAGATCGCGCAGAAATATGGCGTTAGAGCGTACGTTTGCGCCATTGAGGCTGAAGCCTAGGCTAACAAAGCAAAAACAGAATGCCAACCTTCATGATCTTCCGCTCAGGAAGCACAATCAATACAATTCGCGGCGCTGACGTACACGGACTCACAAATGCCATCGAAGCAGCCGTCAAGATGGCAGGCGCTGCAGGCCCATCCTACTCCTCTGTTGGTCGGACACTCGGCGGACCTGCTCCCCGAGCTTCACTATCTCGCGGCTTCAACTTCAAGGGAATAATTGATGCGATTATTGGCTTCCTGGGACTATACTTCATAAGCTTGTTCTCGTTCGATGCCTATGTTGCAGCAGAGAACAGCCCTTTCAACATTCACAAGTCGGGACAAGGACACGTTACTATGTCGGGAGGTGGAAAGGCAGAAAAGAGGAGTGGAGCTGCGACACAAGTTGGAAAGAAGTTGGGGACGATCGCAGACTTGGCGGATAAAGATTAAAGGTGGAATAATCATGGTGTTTGGGTGGAGTTTGGGCGCGAGTGGAGATCGTATTCTGGTTGCCATTCTTTACAGGTGAACTTTCGTTGCATATATTTAGACTACATTTGACACTCCGCTTGAGGATTTCTAGTACTGGATTGAACAGCCTACGCAGTACTTTCTTTGGGGAATGGCATCTCTGGTACTGTTTTCCATTGCGTTCCATGGTCCAGGTTGACTCCGTGCGCCGATTTGAATCTCTCGTCCATTTCCCAGTTCTGAGCAATGCGCAGGCATCAGATGTAATCTGGGCGCGGATGACCAGACTAGAGATGCAATTAAGCCTCAAAACTGCCATGACGCATTTTATCCTTTCAGAATTATTCATGGATCATTGGCCAGCTTATGTAGTCATCAAGCTGCGACTCTTGCGTCTAAAAATTTGGACAGAAATAACGTCAGCTAGACAACATTTTGAGTTGAAGACAGACTGTGTCCAAGTGGGCGATCGTTCTGGTATCCGAGCTACTTCCTCTCGCTATGCAGGCAGCACTTCAACCTCCAGCTGGTTGTTTCGCCTTCGTGTTGATTTTGAAAAGCATGGTAGATGATTGCAGTTCGATATTGTCTTGTTTTTAGACCTAGCAGTCTATTACATACTATAAATGTCATCAATTTTCGTCGACATGTGTCTTCTGCGTTCTGCCTGGTGTGCTTCGACAGATAATTCACTAATCTGCACCCTTGCTTGCTTCTTGTCCCTGTCTCTCCGCATCGGTAACAAATGCCTTGAAGGCACGCGCGGGCACATGCTTCATATACATCTCATCGAGTTCTTCGTACGACCTTCCGGCAGTCTCTGGCTGGTAAAAGTATACATAAACGCAAGACAGAACAGAAAGACCGCCAAAGATGAATGAAATCTGGAGTTTGTCAGAATAAAGTCTAATTACAGGAGGTCTGGGAATCCTACCTTTGCTCCAAGATTGGCTTTGTCGGGGTTGAACAGGTACGGCAAGACAAGATTCCACATCGTATACCAAGAATTCTGGACTGCGATTCCGATCGCAATGGTTTTGATCCGCAGTCTCGATGTTGCATTTTCCGTCAGAATAGTATACGCCGTGCTTCCAATAGAGACATTGTAGAAGAATCCGTACACAACCATGAATGCAATGCATCCTTTGAGGGCAGGCACAGTGCCTACTGTAGCCAGACTACCGGCCAGGAGTAGGATTACCGTGAGCACAGCAACACCCCAGAGTGTGAGGTTTCGGCGTCCAACCCTATCGATGACAGCCCAAGAACAGATGTTGCCAACCATGGAAACAACCTGGAGGACAATGAATAGTTGGAAGGAGAGCGCGGTACCAAATCCGGCAAGTCTGCAGATCGCACGTTAGTCTGTGTTTGTAATCGAGTTGCTTTCAATTGACAAAATGAAAACTTACTGGAAGTAGTATGTCGAATACCCAGCAATGAAAATGACACCTCCAAGCGCTTGAATAGAGAGCGGTGCAATGCTGATGATTGTACGTCTCAAGTTGGACTTTCTGAAGCACTCAAGATAAGTTGCACCCTCAGTCTCTCGTTTTACTTGTTCCAAAGTCAGTTTTATGACTGCCAATCTCTTCTCTCCTTCGCCGTTGTCGCTGTATCCTAGACGTGCGAGACTTCGTAGCGCCTTCCGATCCTCGCCTCGACTGCAGAGCCACCATGGAGATTCTGGCATGAAAGGCACGAACAATGCTGCAATACCAGCGAATCCATATTGCGCACAGAAGACTGCTCGGTAGGCCCATCTCGTTTCGGAGGTACCGGTGGAGTTGAGAATTAGAGATGCTGTGAAAGGTCCAAGGGTATATGCCAAGGCGATGAGGCAGGTGAGGAGGCCGCGGATAGCCTAAGAATATGCAGTCAGTATCAAGGTATTTCGTCAAGGATTCTTCTACGATCTGGAACGGTCTCTATATCCTCTTTTTCCCAAAATTAAGAATGACCAGGAACAACTGGCACTTACAAGAGGGCTGATTTCGCCAACATAAGTTGGTGCCACTGCTGCCAAAACTCCTACTGCAAGCCCGTTGACGAATTTTCCTGCAAAGAATAGTGCGTTTGTGGTTGAGACGAACTCCATAGTGATGGATCCGAACGATACAGCGAGAAACGCCATCACAGTCTTCTTGCGACCAAGTAGATCGGCGAAGAATCCAGCTGTCAAGGCACCGATTGCAGTCCTGGAAACTGGTTAGCTTACATGCACATATTGAACATTTCAGTCCTTGAATCTGGATCTGGAAGTCCACATACGAGGCGACAGGACCTGCACTGAAAGCAGCTTGCCATTGAGCTGGGATGACATATGTACCGCCATCAACGAGGTAACCAAAGTCTTTTCGAAATTGAGGAATACCAATGACGATTCCAGAAGCCTGGTTCTCGAAACTGACGACAATGGTCACCCAGACAGCGTACATGCACCAAGCAAAAGCCCAAGGATTTTGCTTGATTGCTTGCATTCTTGTCTGCTGGTGGTCTTCATGAGAGGCGAGATGTGCGACTGCATCAGTCTGTTGACTAGAAAGAGCTTCGCTGTGGGTCACATCCCCGTTTTTCTCATGGTCATAGTTCATTATGTCCAAATATTATTTGGCAGAAGAGCTCTTGACGGGTTGAGTGTTTATGTCAGTTGGTGAGGAGTTTTGACAAGTCTGGGGGGAGCTTGAGGGGATAGAAAGATAGAGAATCCTGAGATCTAGGATTTGAGATGCGGATTCATGCAAAATTTATAGATGAGAGGAACAGTATGTTGACTGTTGACTTAGTGGACGGGAGTAGTTGTCTTAATATCCAGAGAAGAGGTAAAGAATATTAACATGCAGCAAGCCCACGCGCCTTGTAGTGCAGGGATTGAATAGTCCTCCCCGTCAACAGGCACAAGATTTACTGTTTAATGACGTCTTATTGGACCGTGTGCATGAACAGAAGCAGGAAAGTGTAAACTGACTCATGACTCTGGGGTGTGGGGAGGATGCTACTCTTTGGATATCGATTCTCATCAAAGAAGAAGAACTTGATTTTTTTGAAGACTATTACTTGTCCCGTAGTAACTTAACGTGCAATTGGTGCGCATGATTCTCTACGAAACTGTTGAGGGTTGAAATCCTATGAGAAAAGGAGGAAGGTCCCCAGAGGCGCAATTCCTTGTTCCGCGATCATGGACATTGACGCCTCAAAATCGAATCTCGCATGGTCCATTTATGATACAAAGATTGCAATTGGAGCGCATGTGAGGAGAACACGGCTCAATTTCGTCTGCAGCTCGATGAATTCAAGATTCAAGCCTTCGACAAGTCATTGTCCACCCTCAAGTAATGTGTTTTCCGCAGATATCCCGAGAAGTGCCACGGGGATTTTGAGTTCCATTGACGGGATGGGTTGAGGGGAAGTGGGAACGCGGGGAAGTGGAGTGGACTTGCTTCCCGTCCTCGCCGCCCCGACCATGCCATGCGTTGTGCTAGAACGTTTCCTTGTAAAGCTCGGTAATCATCAAAAAAGTTAGAGGAGCTGGATACAGCATGGATTTTTCATGAATTTTACTGATAAAAATAAAGGAGAAAGATAAGCCCCTTATTGAGACAATATTAGAAGCTCTTCATGATCAAAGAAATGCCGCTCTAGGCGTGTCGGAAATAACTGATTTGGCACTTGCAACGCGTCCAAGAACTTGAAGTAGCATTATCCGAGAATGAACCGAAGATTCCTCGAGGATTGCTCGGGGTTCTCACGAAGATTTCCCAGTCATACAGCTGCAGATAAGCAGACGGCACGCCAGGGCAGCATGCAGCTCCTCTTCCCCGCCATATCTGGGCAACCTGTCGGGGAGGAAGTGGCTTTACAGGTGACTTGGGATGCTCAATCAACGAGCTCTCGAGTCATGCAGGCGACTTTCCGCTCCATGCTTGACCACCTGCTGCCCTCTAGGAACGACTACTTCGTCGTCCACCAACGCTCATCTCGTCCCTTCTTAGCCCGAGAGATATAAATTATGGCATGCGTTATCTTCAGATTCCATCATTCTTTCACTGTTCTCCCTTGTATCGGACACTATGACGACTTTTACAAAGACAAGCGAAGGGACAAATCCTGCAATTCATACCTCAGCGAATCATGTCATTTCAGATATCAGTCCTCTCATCTATGGAGGGTTCACAGAGTAGGAAGACTTGACCTGACCTCGATCTGGTTATTTATACTCACAATTCATAGACATATGGGACGCTGTATATATGGTGGACTCTACGACCCCGAAAACAAGAATGGCCTCATTGACAAGAACGGATTCCGCACAGATGTAATCGAGTGCATGAAAGAATTTCAAGTCCCTGTTGTTCGCTATCCTGGAGGTAACTTCGTAGCCACTTACAAGTGGCTCGACGGAGTCGGCCCACGAGAGAAACGGCTGAAGAGACCGGAACTCGCGTGGCAGGGGAGCGAGTCCAATCACTTTGGCACTGATGAATTCATGGAATGGTGCAAGATCGTAGGTGCCGAACCTTATCTCGCACTGAATATGGGAACAGGAACATTGGAAGAAGGTCAGTCATGTATCGACTAGTATCCCATGCCGCCAACTGATAGATTTTTGGCAGCTCTCGCTTGGGTAGAATACTGCAATTCTGACAAGGACACTTACTACGCCAATCTTCGTCGAGAAAACGGCCACCCAGAACCTTACAATGTCAAATATTGGGGTCTTGGAAATGAGATCTGGGGACCTTGGGGAGTTTTGCCACGAAGTAATTCCACATCAGGCTGACAGTTTGTGAAGGCAAGTCGAACAAGATACCATGGAACACTATGCCAAGAAAGCTCATCAATGGGGCAAAGGTGACTGACTCCTGGCCTAGTTAAACACAGAAGAATGCTGGCTTTCTCCAGCTTTAAAGCTTTTGGCCCCGACAATCAAACTCATCCTCTGCGGCAAGAACGGACACAGTGATTGGGATCGCTACGTGTTGCAGAAGTCCATGAGCTGGATTGACATGCATTCAATACACTTGTCCACCTTCGACAAAGAGTAATCCTCTCCTCTTCATGTTCACAGACATCTGCTTACGAAGTTGAACGATAGGCATTATGCGAACGCCACATCTCCCCTGGCAGCTGAACGAGCCATAGAACGATCTAGCGCGATGTGATTTCGATTATGAGGGCCACATGACTTGGCACATCTCAACAGCACCCGCACATAAACACCGTCCAACAATCTACTTTGACGAATGGAACGTCTGGGATCCAATTCGAGCGCCAGGTTACAAAGGAGCGGAAGAGCTTTATGATGTGAGTGACATGCTAGCCGTTGCCGTTTGGCTGAATGTCTTCATACGGCAAAGCAAGTACATTGGCATGGCGACTGTGGCACAGAGCGTCAATGTGTTTGCACCATTGATGACAACTGCTTCGGGAGTAGTCAAGCAGACGACCTACTGGCCACTGCTGCTGTTCAGCCGTTACATGCGTGGGAAAGCACTGGCCACGCACGTGTGTGCTGAGACCTATACCGGGAGAACCTTTCCGGAGTGGCTGGCGAGTACACGAGATTTACCTTTGCTTGATGTCTCGGCTGCGTTGAGCGAGGACGGCTGGGTGAATTTGGCAGTTGTAAATATTGACGAAGAGAGGGATCTGCAGACAGATGTTCTCCCGGGCTCAGGTGACAAAGAAGAAGTCCAGGTTTACACTGTTGGAGGTAAGGGGAATGGTATTCGAGATAGCAATACGGAGAAGAATGAGAAGCTATCTATTCGAGAGTCGACATGGGATGGGAAAGGAGGGAAATTTACTTTCGAGAGGAGGAGTTTTACACAATTAAGATGGAAGGCTTAGTTATATAATATTCAGATACATTCTTGATCTTCTGCTTTATTGCAGAGAGAACGGAATCCAGAGCCTCATTTCCGATCCTTGGGTAGCTCTTACTTCCAATGAGTGCCTTACTACCCCGCGCCCTATTTGATCAACCTTCCAATTCTCACCCCTGAGAACCCGCATCCTATCTTGATGAGTACAATATATCCAACTTCTCATAACTTTGCGCGATAACCTGTACAGGATTGTGGTATCTAGGAGAATCAACTTCGCTCCTCATGGATGGCTTGCCCACCACCTAGGAAGTAAACAAGTCCTCCCGAGATTGCAAGCGAGCTGTAATTTTAGCGAGTGCAGCCTGAGCATCAGTCAGTAACCGACAGTCTTTCAATAACCATCTCTTTCAACGGCGCCACATGCCAGTACAAACATTAATCAGAATAGGAGGACGGGGATTGCCATCTGGATGTATTTGATTACGGTGTCTCTTACTTTTTTTAAATATCTAGCCGACTCCGAGGTCTGAAAACCTATTTCGAGCCAGACGGGTTGATGGGATGACGCAATTTTCTTCATCTAAATGTTCCGATTGTAATAATAAAAATCGGCCTACACTCCAGACCTGGTGCAGTGATACAGCACTGGACTTCAGGTGTCAATGACTTCTGTTGGTAACACTTCGCGAACATGCGTTTAGGGGAAGGAGAAAAACGCCACTTTGATCATGCTTGGCAATTCGCTGCAGAACTTCGTGGTCCGTGTGGTTGGATAATTACTAACGATTGAAATAATGCAAGATTTATACAAAAACGAGTTCACTTGCCAACTGCCTTCATATTGCGAAATTCGTTGGAAGAACATGTTGCCATTGCACCGAGGTGCGCTCCATGTTTGGATACCGATATTATTTCCTTTTTCTTGAAACTTATGATAACAGTTTACACAAGTCTTTTCGTTTTGGAAGCATAACCAATATAACCAACATAACCGACGAATTGGTCCAGTGTGGCACAAGTTCTCAAACCAACAGACCCAACACTCTGGTCGTCAAGGTTGCGGGATCGTCGGGCGGACCGACATTTAAGGTTAACGTAGATTACCTGGGCTTGCACATCACCCGCTAACCTTAAAGTGGTCTGGGATGCCAATTTTCTTATGTCAGCTTGACGGCGCAGCCTTCAACCCTTTTTCGTATTCATATGCTTCTAGATTCTAATCTGGCCCGCTCCTCGGCTTTTTTTTCAGCTGTGATGTGAGCATCATGATTCCACGAAGCATTTCTCGCAGGCCATTGAGGGCCGTTGCTTTCGCTGCCATTGTGTTTCTCCTGGTGTATTCATTAAATGGAGTTTCTTTATCTGACTTTGGCGGACGCGGGTATCATAAATGGAGTTGGCAGTCATCTTATGGTGTTTCCCCTTGTACGTGTAATTCGTTACCCCTTTTCCCCCAATGTCTCAAGATCTCCGACTCGAGAGACATCTTCTGAAGCAGGGTACCTCGCGAAAGTTTTTGATATGAAAAGCTTGTGCTGACTATGTGAAAGTCAACGAGACGAGTAAGTCTGCGCGTGCAGCAGTTGCCCGCGATGTGCAAATCATCGTCAAAACTGGCGGCTCGGAACCCCTTGGTCGTCTTACAACGCAATTAGCGACAATGCTTACCGAAGTTCCAATGCAAAATCTCCTTCTCTTATCTGATCTCGAAGAGGATGTTGGGTTTTACCATGTCCACGATGTGTTGAAGGATATCCCAGCCGAGGAACGGGCATCATATCCCGCATTTAATTTATACGACCAGCAGCAGGCGCTCAAGGCAGAAGGGAAGGATACAAGAACATTGAATGGATGGGAGTTGGATAGATACAAGAACCTCCCGATTAAGCGCAAGCTATGGAATGCTCAACAGTACATGAAGAAGGAAGATCGAAAGAAATGGTTTCTGTTCATTGATACGGACACTTGGGTGGAGTGGGATAATCTGTTCGAGCTTTTGGGACATCTGGATTATAGGGAGAAACTGTACATGGGGAGCCCAGTCTGGAGAAAACCACTCATAGAGTTCGCGCACGGAGGTAGTGCGTACGTTCTTTCATACGGCGCATTGGAGGCACTGAACAAGCCCGACGCGCATACTCTTGGCACACCATTATACAGTCAATATGGCGTAAACGTGACCGATATATGCTGTGGCGATCTGGCAGTGGCTCTGGCTTTGAATGACAGGGGGATTGGCATGAAAGGGTACTGGCCAATGTTTAATGGAGAAATCGCAGCAACAAGCCCATACGGAGACGACCACTGGTGTGAACCTGTTATCTCGTTTCATCACATTGGAGAGTCTGAATTGGATGATTTTTGGCGTTGGCACAAGGATTGGAAGAACAAAACGCAGGGATTGGTGAGCAGTTCTACAACCATAATCGAAGTACCTCGCTAATCTTTCAAAGCAACCACTTTTGTACAAGGATGTGTATGAATATGTCAAGGACGGTTTTATGGACAAGCATGAAGACTGGAACAACATTGAGGAAGTTACCAGACGTCTCGATGCCGCGACTTTCGACGACTGTAAGGATGCCTGCGAGGTCGACAGATTTTGTTATCAATATACCCACCATGGTGACAAGTGCGACATAGCGCATTACTTCCGAGTGGGTCGAGTCAGGCCTGCGGAATTCGGGAAAGAGAAATTCGTTGCTGGTTGGCATCTGGGTCGGATCCAAAACTTCATTGCGAACAAGAAGTGCAAGACAGCGCATTGGGTCAAGTCTAATCCTTGATTTACTTGAGTGGAGTTCGGTCCTGGGTACAGGAAAATGGGTTGGATGTACAACATTGGTATTTAGAGCCTGGAGGACATACATATTGCTGAGTTAGCGGGCATCTGGATATTCGGGACGGATTTGAAGAAATAAGGGGTGGGGGGCTGGATGGTCGAGATGTAGACGGACGGAGAAATGTTGTCATATTTTACTGGTTTCTTGATCTTTGCCATTTATATAATGCGTTGTTCCATGGTAATGTGTATGAATTGGTGGACCTGGGAAGTTTGGATTGCCTGGTTGGTCGGCGGGGTGAGGGGAGGGGGGGCGGGTCTTGGCTATGTACTTCCACAGGATAGCTTTTAATTATCCAAACTTCAAAGTTTAGCGTTTCCATCCAAAAGTTAAGCCTCATGTCATTTCGCATATCTGCAATTGACGTAAGCAATGAGAAGACCGATTCCCATTAGGCTTGTTAGAAATAAGCTTTCGTCCTTGGTTCCACTTTTTAACACCATCAAAATTGTGCCCCAGATTATTACTAATCGACCAAAGTCAAAAGATGACTACTTCACATAAACTCAAGTATTGCAAGACCTCTGGTCTCGCTTGTTGCCTTGAACTTAATCGTTGTCGTGCCTTGTATCACAATGTCGTTATATAATGTCCCAGCTCTTCCTCATCTCTTCCGCCTCAAAAGCAAAACTTCAATCCCAGCACCCCCATCCTCATCCTTCGAGACACAATTCGGAGGCGTGCTAACCCCAGCCCAGTCTTTAAGTACATATCATGGAACAACAACATATTACATCATTAAACCATCTCATCCCTCGCCTTCCAGCTCGCCTCCCCGGAAAGTTGTGCTGATCCACGGTGTTGGAACCCCAGCCATCGGTCTCCTACCCCTGGCGACTCTCCTCGCTGCCTCATCTACCCCAACCACAGTCTTAATCTACGATATCTGGGGCCATGGACTCTCATCTACGCCTCTAGAGACTCATACACCGGGCCTGTTCCACACTCAGATCCTCAGCCTCCTCTCACATCTTCATTGGTCACGTGCACATTTCGTCGGGTTCTCATTCGGAGGCATCACTGCTGCGTCATTTACCCAGTTCCATGCCTCAGTTGTTCAATCCCTCGTATTGATTGCACCAGCCGGTCTACTCAGGAGATCAAATCAAAGTGCCTGGACACGATTTATTGAGTTTGGTGGCTGGGGATGGGGCTGGGAAAGTCTGAGCGCAAAGCGGATCTACGATTTCCTCGGTCCTGGACCGATTGAAGATGATTGGCAGCGAAAGTTGAAAGTGGAAGGATTAGATGCCATTCCTCGGAACGCTGTGCAAGTTTGGGAGAAGGAAAATCATGAAGGCCATGTGGCGAGTTTGGTGAGCCTGTATCGGTATGGTGGGCTCTACGATATGCATGAGACGTATCGGCTTGTAGCGGAGAGTGGGATGGATACTTTGGTCTTGCTGGGAGAAACAGATGCGTTCTTTGAGAAAGGCTACATGATCGGGGAGTTGCAGGCATTGGGATGGAGGGGGGAAGTGAAGGTTGTTGAGGGTGTGGGACATGGTGTTGTAGGTGAGAAGACGAAGGAGAGTGAAGAGCTTATTGTGAATTTCTGGGAAAGTCTGGAAGAGAAATGAAGGCTCAGAGATGGACCGTAGATTATGGAAGATACGGCGTGGGATGAAGAGCAATCCGTGAGATCCCTGGAGAATTCCAATGTCGAAGGGGGACTCGAGGTAGAGATCAGCTTCTTCCAGGTCTGATATCCGTTTCAAGACCGAAAACACAGAGTTGCTGGAGCTGTAGAGTTCCCCGAGTCTGATTTAACCTTGCGAAATAGAGACAAGATGAAGGAATTTGTGATATTTATCACGTGCATGACACCGTGACCTGGAGGGTTGTTGTACGTGATGTTCGATTTTATTACTCAGCTTACTACATTTGTTCATCTCACCAAATTTCTACAATAATAAGTGTCCCTGAATCTGCTGGGAAATTTCATACAGCTAAACATCAAATATTAGGACCCACGGTTCAACTCAGTATGGCATCTCCAGCACCATACACTCTCTACTACAGCAAATGGTCCATCTGTTCCCAGATGGTCCAGCTGACCTTAGCTTTCAAAGGTCAACCCAAAGACGACGACTCTTCTATCACTGTAGAACAGAAGGAAATCGACATTCTCAAATTCGAACAACTTGAAGAAGCGTACTTGACGGAAATAAATCCCAAAGGACAAGTCCGTACCCCACGATTGCCAATGTGACACTCTAACCCTTTCAAATTGTTAGGTCCCAGTCCTCACACATCTTTCTAAACTACCGAACACCATATCAGACAGTCTGGACATCACCTATTTCATCGCCGACAACTACCTCAGTCTCCTCCCTTCGGATCACAAGAATGAGATCATCGAGCTCCTCAAGGAATTGCATGCGATCAACTACTTTTCTTTATCTTTCGGCAACAGGCCCGCTTCAGCAAAAGCTCAAGAAGCAGCTGTAGAGAAGAAGATTGCGGATCCAGGGATTTCAGAAAAGTATCGCAAAGCTTTGGAATTCAAGCTGAAGATGTGAGATACCTTCCCACCTTGTTATGTTGAGTGTTATACGAGCTGTGTTTTACGAGCTGACAATTCAAGCGTGCAAAATGAAAAAGTTAGAGGAGTAGCTGATGCTGAGATCCAGACCCAGGTTCAAAATGCCCAAGCTTTCGTCAAGAAGATAGCAATTTCCTACGACCCGGGAAGTGGACCGTGGCTGTGGGGTCTAGCAAGTCCAACTGCACTTGATCTCCAAGTGGCAGTTTTCATAGCACGACTCCATGATGTTGGCCGTGGTGCTTTGGCTCCCAATAAGCTTACCCAATTAGCATGTCATTGGGACGAGTGAATGGCATGAGTTGTATCAGGGTCGAAGCACGATGGTCGGCGTAGCTGGTCCAGGAGAGAAAGCAAACTGAAGTTAGAACCGTCTTCTGAGAGATGAACTCGTCACTCCAATCTACATGTCTGTGTGGCAGAATTGATGAATGGATGGTGAAGCGCACTGGTCGTAGACGAGCCTCTAATTTTGATTCTAACTCCAATACTCATCATTCAAAGCGTCCCAATCCACTGAGACATCGTGCTGGGAATCTCCGCTTAAAATTCATCGGAAGCAGTTGCTTGTGTATGAAGGGTAATATCGTGACGGAGAGTGGTCGTCCATGGATCAGGCAGCCTCCCATGAGAGGCGTCATCCTCATTTTTGCCTATCTTTCATGTCATTCGCTTACGCGTTTCTGAGTGGCCCTGACAATAGCAGTGAGATAGCATTGCAAATGTTTCGCTCTATTCTTACCCTGCTGAGATACCTTTGTATGTATTTCTCTTCATCTTGTTTGTTCGGTTTGGTTATTGGGGAGCATCTGCAGTATTTACAAGTCTTCTAGTTTTAACACCGGTCTGCCTTTCGCGCCCACCTCTTAAATCCAGCTCGGCTCAGGGGGCTTTTCTGCATCTAGGACGTGAAGCGCAAAATCGCAACACGAATTGATACCTGATTATGGGGCATTGCATTTTCTCGACTCGTACACTCGCAATAGTGATACCGCCTATCATCGCTTGATCAATGAATCTCGGCTTGAACTGCATTTGTTGACAAACTAGCAATGCTCGCTTACATCCCTGACAAGCCACTATCCACGAGACAAGTGCACATTAATACCTGTTAACAGCTCTAAAATCAACGCGTTATTCCAACATCGAACTGAGATTGTCACTCAGTTGATTTTCACTGTTTGGGATTTGTCCAGCAATTAGGCAGTGTGAGCGAGTCATGCCTGAGGTTACGACTGATGTTGATACAGAGTTGATGGTAAATCTAAATCGATGCCAGTGACAATATTTAAACCTTACTTTATGGGTAGCAAATGATCTCAAAAGCTTATCGAACATGTTTTTTTTAATCTTTGCCTGTGGTTACGACACCCACGCAAGGCGGCGAAGCTGTTGGGCCGCTTCCGATGTGGGTCGCTGGCCGTACTTCTGCCGACATTGAACTATTCGGGGTAACTGTGGCCATTAGGAAACTGCTTGCATTGAATCATTTTCCTTCGAGAAAGGAGGAACAGTCTTAAGTTGTTCTTTGAGCCTTACATTTGCGAAGTTTGGAGCTTGAGAGCTGCTGGTACATCGACGCCACGGTACTTCGTTCAGCTATAGTGCATGCATCAGATCAACCCTCCAAGATTTCAACGATTATCTTTTGTTTAGGTCCCCAAGGTCTAACGAATACGGAGGTATGGATGGCATAATTACTTGGTGATAAGAGACTATCTTATCTCAGCTACTGAGCATGCCTCGAAATCGCCAAAGAACAGCCCTTTGAGGGACATCATCCACTTACAAATCATGTTACATCACTTGTAAATCTCTATGGCCCAACGAGCCTATAGTTCATGACTTCTGCAAAGAATGCAGTTCACTAATCCGAGCCATGAGACCGGCCGGACCGGTATCTAATACACCATCAAAAAGTTGCTCACGGTGCAACTCTTCCCCGGCAACGAGCAGCCCAGAGAATCTTGGCAAGTCGGCGTGGGTCAAATACGGACGAGCCTTGTCGTGATTGCAAAATCAAGATTGCGAACGGACGGACCCGTATCTAGAGACCCTGCTGGAATTTCGATGTCGGTCGGTACAATGCCCGTCTTTTTGGGGGAGACTGGAAGACCTTCGACTTTGTCCCGTCACCGAAGGGTTGTATCTTCGATCTGCAGTAACCGATCTGCAGTGCGCGTAGGAGTTTGTAAGATGTGTCTCTGAGAAGCACTGTATAAAGAAGTTGTTTAGCAAGTTCTTCCCATGATAATTTGCTCATCTCATCTGATTTGCTCAAATTCTGGCAAAGTGTCTTCCATCGGACTTCGCGACAACAGGGGCTCGCCAAAGTTTCTTTGGATTCGCGTCCACAGCGTCAAAAGTCCACGCAGCGGACCGACCTTTTAGGGCTAAAATAACATGTCTGAGCGGGGGAATATATCTGAAGAGACGATTACAGGTCAGTCACACTGGCTTTCTCGCAGAAACTCGCCTGATTACTTTCACAGCGCTCGACAAAACTGTTTCATTCGTTCAAGATGAAGCTGATGAAGCAGAACGAGATGCTGAGATCACAGCTCTTGCAAGAAAGCTTACCGCTCAGTCGAAAGTCCAAGATAAATCCCGAATTCATGATAATCCATTCAACGCACCTCCTGGTTCAAAATTAGATGCAAACTCTGAGAACTTCCAACCGCGGGCGTGGGCTGAGGCGTTACTCCAATTGAAGTCTAGAGATCCCGAGACACATCCAAACAGAACGGCTGGGATATCTTTTCGCAACCTTAATGTTCATGGCTTCGGCAATCTGACAGACTATCAGAAAAGTGTCGGTAACGTTTGGCTGGAGGTCACAGGACTGGTTCGAAAGTTGACCCGAACTGAAAACCTGCGCAAAATCGAAATTCTGCGCGATTTTGATGGATTGGTGAAGAGTGGGGAGATGCTTGTTGTTCTGGGACCTCCAGGTTCAGGCTGCTCGACACTTCTCAAGACAATCGCAGGAGAAATTCATGGTATCTATGTTGCCGATGGATCGGAGTTGAATTACCAAGGTACAATGATCAGAGGGCTTTGTCTTGTCGTCCATCGTCGTTAATTTTCGCTAGGTATCAGTGCCAAAGACATGAAATCTCAATTTCGAGGTGAAGCAATCTACACTGCCGAGGTCGATGTTCATTTCCCTATGCTCAGTGTTGGTGACACCCTCACCTTTGCAGCACTGGCTCGAGCGCCACGAGTCATTCCAGGAGGCGTTGATAGATGGACCTATGCAGTTCACATGAGAGACGTAATGATGGCAATGTTTGCAATCCGCGACACAATCAACACTCGTGTCGGCGACGATTTTACTCGCGGAGTGAGCGGAGGTCAGCGAAAGAGGGTCAGTATCGCTGAAGCTGCACTTAGTGGAGCTCCACTGCAGTAAGTTTCCTGCTGGTTATTATCTTCCGTACTTTGAGGCGAAGTTCCAATTCCGGGAAACCTACACGATTCAGCGCTGACTGTAATCTCTTCAGATGCTGGGATAACAGCACGCGTGGACTTGATTCAGCCAACGCGATTGAGTTCTGTAAGACTTTATGCCAATCGACCGACCTCATGGGAGCTACTGCTTGTGTTGCCATTTACCAAGCACCTCAAGCCGCATACGAGATCTTCGATAAAGTGACAGTCCTCTACGATGGCCATCAGATATGTTTCGGGTCAACGAAGGACGGAAAGAGATATTTCGAAAATCTGGGTTTCCAGTGCCCTGACCGACAAACAGATGGTGACTTTTTGACATCTATGACAAGTCCCGCTGAGACTGTTATTCGATCTGGTTGGGAACACAAAGTGCCAAAGACCGCCCTGGAATTCTCGGCAATCTGGAAAGCAAGCCCTGAACGTGCGCAACTTCTGCGAGAGATCGATGAATACAATCGGCACTATCCTGTTGGAGGCGAGTACCTCGAAAAGTTCCAGCTTTCAAGAAAGGCCGAACAGTCCAAGAGACAGTAAGCACATTCTCCTCAACGCTCTTGTCAACGTGCTGCGCTGACAGATCAGACGAACCAATACTCTGGACTACGTTCAGCAGGTCAAACTGTGCCTGTGGCGTGGCTTTCGTAGACTGAAGGGAGATCCTAGTCTTACTCTCACACAGCTCATCAGCAACTTCATCATGTCGGTCGTGGTTGGAAGTAAATTCTACAATCTGTCGAATGACAGCTCAAGCTTCTTCTCTCGAGGATCTCTACTCTTTTTTGCAACCCTGATTAACGCCATCGCAAGTTCCTTGGAAATAAGAGAAATTTATGAGACCATGATGATGAAGCTTGGCTAATCTGAATCCAGATGCTCACATTGTACGCCCAGCGAGGTATTGTTGAAAAACATGCTCGCTACGCACTTTATCATCCCTCAGCCGAAGCGTTCGCCTCCATGTTGACTGACATGCCTTACAAGATCTTGAATGCTTTTACATTCAACGTCCCACTGTATTTCATGACGAATCTACGACGCGAAGCAGGTCCTTTTTTCTTCTTCGTACTGACTACGTTCCTCATCACAATGGTCATGTCTATGCTTTTCCGAACAATAGCTGCTAGCTCTCGCACGCTCGCCCAGGCCATCGCCCCTGGATCACTCATCATCGTGGCTCTCATGATCTACTCTGAATTTTCACTACCAAAACCTTATATCCTGGGTTGGTCTGAATGGATTTTCTATCTGGATCCTCTGTCTTACGCATTCGAGAGCATGATGGTGAATGAGTTCAGCAACCGAAACTTCCCGTGTTCGCAGTACGTTCCTTTTGGTGGGGCTTACGATCAGATTACTGGTGAGCAAAGGGTCTGCTCGGCTGTTGGATCTCGTCCTGGACTTCCTTTCGTGGTGGGAGATGACTTCATTGAATCCTCGTATCATTATTTCCGCTCCCATAAATGGCGGTACGTATCGCTCTCGTTTGGGGGTTTGCCAGTGCCGCAAGTAGCTGACTCTAATTCTAGAAATATCGGCATTCTTTTCGCTTACATGATTGGTCTGGGGGCAACTTATCTTCTTGCGACTGAATATATCACCGAGAAAAAGTCCAAGGGAGAGGTTCTCCTGTTCCGTCGTGGCGCAATCCCGAAGAGTGCAGCTGCCAAGTCAACTGACGAGGAATCTACATTGACCCTTTTCAAGAAACAGAGTGATGCGGAAGTCAACCAGGGGCCAAAGGTTGCTAAACAGACAGCTATTTTTCACTGGGAAGACGTGTGCTATGACATAAAGATCAAAAGCGAGGAACGTCGGATTTTGGACCAAGTCGATGGCTGGGTCAAGCCTGGAACCTTGACAGCTCTCATGGTACGCATCCAATTCTCGTATGATGTCAATTGTAAACTGACGACGTCATCTAGGGAGTCTCTGGTGCAGGAAAGACCACCCTGCTTGATGTTCTTGCCAGTCGGATAACAATGGGTGTGATATCTGGTGGCATTTTCGTCGATGGTCAACAGCGGGATGATTCATTCCAGCGCAAAACAGGCTACGTCCAACAACAAGACCTTCATCTGTCAACATCAACAGTCCGGAAAGCTCTCAACTTCAGCGCTCTATTACGGCAGCCTCGAGACGTACCAAAACAGGAGAAGCTCCGCTACGTCGACGAAGTGATCGAGCTCTTGGACATGGAACTCTACGCTGACGCTATCGTTGGAGTTCCTGGCGAAGGACTGAACGTCGAGCAGAGAAAATGTCTTACAATCGGAGTCGAACTTGCAGCTAAACCTCAACTTCTTTTGTTCCTCGATGAGCCAACCTCAGGTCTTGACAGTCAAACATCGTGGATTATCTGTGACTTAATGGAGAAACTGAAGAACAGCGGCCAGGCCATTCTTTGCACCATCCATCAGCCTTCGGCTATGCTTTTTCAACACTTTGATCGATTACTGTTCCTCGCTAAGGGCGGAAAGACGGTGTATTTTGGCGACATCGGGACGAACTCGAAGACCTTGCAGGATTATTTTGAGCGAAATGGTGCGCCGCAATGCCCACCTGCAGCGAACCCAGCTGAATGGATGTTGGAAATCATTGGTGCCGCTCCGGGATCCAGGTAAGACTCTTTACCCCATTCAAGATCCGAGCCAGTCGGACGAAGTTATTCAATGTTTGTACTGCAAGACTAACACGTTTATCAGCACCGAGATCGACTGGCCAGAAACTTGGCCAGAAACTTAGCACTCCAGTCCTGAATACGCTCAAGTCAAACAAGAACTAGCTACAATGAAAGAAGAGCTACCGAGTAGAAGTCAAGCAATCAACTCGGATTCAGCAAGTTTCGGAGAGTTCGCTGCCCCATTCAGCACTCAGTTCTGGGAAGTCAATAAACGAGTTTTTGAGCAGTACTGGCGCACACCATCATACATTTACTCCAAAGCAACACTCTGTATCTTCTCGGTAAGCATGATATCCTCTGTGCTTTGAGAATTAATCGGCGATATTGACGTAAATACAGGCACTCTTCATCGGGTTTTCTTTCTTCGACGCAAAGCACACTATCCAAGGTCTGCAGAACCAGACCTTCGCCCTCTTCATGCTCTTCACCCTCTTCGGTCAACTCGCGCAGCAAATTATGCCCAATTTCGTCGTCCAAAGATCCCTATACGAAGCACGAGAACGACCATCCAAGGCATACTCTTGGAAAGCATTCATTCTCTCTAACATGCTTGTCGAGATCCCATGGAATATAATTCTCTCCGTAATCATGTTCGTAGCATGGTACTACCCCATCGGACTCGACAAGTTCGCCAAAGAGACGGATACCACTATCGAGAGGGGTGCGCTCCTGTTTCTATTCTTGCTGGCTTATCTTACCTTCACGTCGACGTTTTCGACGATGGTTATCGCGGGTATTCAACAAGCGGAAGAAGGTGGCAGTATTGCCAATCTCATGTTCTCACTCTGCCTGATCTTCTGTGGTGTACTGGCCACCAAAGACTCCTTGCCTGGGTTCTGGATATTCATGTACAGAGTTTCACCTTTTACGTACTTCGTCTCGGGCATGCTATCCACGTCCATCGCGAACGCCGAAATCAAGTGCGCTGCGAATGAGTACCTCCTCATGCAGCCTCCACCCGGTGCAACCTGTGGACAATACCTTGGCGCATTTGTTGAAGCGACAAGTGGGAGTCTGCTTGATACAAATGCGACGGCCGATTGTAGGTATTGTTCTGCTACGAGCACGACTCCTATCTGGAATCTATATCTGTCGATTTCAAGGATGCGTGGAGGAACCTCGGGATAATTTGGGCGTATATTGCGTTTAATGTTGGAGCGGCGCTGTTTATTTACTGGTTAGCGAGGATGCCGAAGAAGGTTAGGGCGGAGAAGGAGAAGAAAGCTTGATGATAGGAGAGGGATTTTATTTTGTCTTACTTGGCACCCCAATTTTCTTTTGTTGAAATGGATTGGACATTGTGGGGTTGGCATTCGGTGTCAATTTGGATGTTTGATTGGAATAGACGATACGTCATTAATTTCTTTCGTTTTTAATTCAATCGATAGACTTGGACCTAGTAGACATATGTAGAAAGGATAGACTGATAAACTTGCTAGATTAGACTGCTTGATTTCAGAAATCTAACTTAATGTCGTCCACCCTTGTCAAGGTGCACGTGTCGAGTCTTTGTTTACTTTCACATCAAGTCAAATACCAAAGCTACTTTGTCCTGTCTGCTCTATTAACTAACAAAGCAGAGCCATCTACAAAGCTTTATCCAGTCATGATCGATGCCATTCTTCTCGGCTAAACAGTCCAGCCAAAAATAATATATTGTTCATAAACAAGGTAAACATGTCTATTTATACTCACCAGCACCCACACAAAAATACTTTTACTTCATCCCAAAATCTAAAAATCCCACGTATCGAATCAATACCACTTGTGACCATGCTCGAAATTGCAGCCTGGCAATGCTGCAAATGCAACTTCGCCATCAACCCCATCATCGACTCCGACATCAACTGGTTCGCAGACTTGGACATCCCCGGCCTCCCCGAACGGTGCGACAACCGTACCCACCAGTACAACATCCGGGCCCAGCCCCAACGATGCCCACACCACCGGTGCGACTCATGCATTGATCTTTCTCCCGACGGTGTTATGCTCCGGTACTGCGACGGCGTGATGCCTGAACCCGGTGGACCCATGCCGCCGAGATATCCTGGCCACGAAACCGTGCAGGATCCTTGGAGACCGATGGACAGCAGTTGGAGAGGAGAGTTGGAGAGAGCGGTGAGGAGAGTGGAGCAATGGAAGTTGGAGAGGGAAGGGTTGGACAGAATGAGTCAGATGTTGGAAAGGGCGTTGAGGGAGGAGATGTTGCCTGAATGGGAGGGTGCGCGGTTGAGGGCTCCTGTGATTGGATCTGGAGATGAGGGTGTGGTCATGAATACTACTGCTGCTATGCTTGGAGATGGAAATAGCAATAGCTATACAAATTCAAGCTCAAACACGCTTGAGGATGACAATGGCAATACTGAGGTTGAGGGGGATTCTCTGCAACCTGATGGTCAGTCGCTAGTTGTGATCTTTAATCTTCCGTCTGGGCCTGTTGCTGACCGCGTTGAGGACGATACATCTCAGGATACCGTTGAGGCCCAGCATGCTGTACATGCTAATCAGACTCAACAAGCTCTGCCAACTCAAAATCCAGCTCCAACCTCCGCCACAGAAACAAACATCGGTTTCAGAGGTGAACAGCTCCCCCGTACAACCCCCGAAGCGCTGCATCTTCAGCAAACTCAACCAACTGGGAATCCAGCTCTAGCTCCAACCTCCGTCCCAGAAACAGATCCCCCAGTCAGAAGAGAACGTATCCCCTTCTCCGCTGCAGAAGCCCGGGCTGCTCTCAACAGGCTTCGAGATCAATATCATACTTTGTTTGGAAGCGCAGAAACGAACCCCGATCCCGGAGAAGAACAGCCCCTTCTTGCAGCTTATAGATATACTCCTGGGGAGGGGGAAGCTGCAAGTCAACCAGAATCTGAACGCGAACTCGAACGCGAACGCGATCGTGAGTTCTCTCCTGGCGGGAGGGTTCAATTCCGCTGATCCCATCACCTCTACCTTGTAGAAGAGGTAAGATTTTATCTCCACGACTTAAGTCCCCAGAGCATCTCTAAGTCCAGGTTGCCCAGTTGATTTTATGAGCCATTCTGCAGCCTGCAAAACCCCAGGGTCTTGGAAGGTCGACCTGCATCATTTCTCTTATTGAGATAGACTCCCAGCGTTTGCCTACCTACTTATTTATTTCCTCCTGCCGTCCTCAACTACTGAGCCGAGAATAGAAAAATAAATTATTTTTCGTAACACCCCAACATAATGCACGCGTCAATGTGTCAATTTGAACCTGGCCACCATGTTATCGACGCTAATGCCGCAGACAGTTGACAAGTCTGAATAAACTGATCGACCATATGGTTGCTAATGCTAGTTGAGATCTTGTACGATTAGCTGTTAATTGGTTATGTAAAACTGATCATTGTTGAGAATTCTGGTTGGGCCCATGTTAAATATTAAAGGTGACTGTTTACCCCACTCCTCGCTTAATAAAGTTCAGCTCCATCAGCTGAGGCTGTGGAGAATTTTCGACAAGCTGGCTGGGATGACACCGGGTCGTAGAAATCTCAATAGGAACTAAATTTCAATATTTATAGTCTTATTTTATAATGTCGCGCAGAACTCCCAATCTCAGGAGCATCCCTCCAACCCTCACCACTCCAAGTCCTGGATGCCAAGCAGTCGTCCTTGAGACGACTCCAGATTCCAGTAGTTTGCTGCTGTCTACCCTCATTCACCCTCAACTTCCCTATCACTATTATCCCTCAAGCCGCAGCAGCCTGCGTCGTCAAAGCCGCAGTCCCAGTCATCAAACAGCTACAAGCCGAACTAACCTTACTCGGCTGCTGTCCACAGTTCCCTACAAAAGTAGGAATCGCAGTCACTGCTGAGATGGTGCGTGCTAGATAGGTGGCGCAGAATGAGGAGGCTTGTGCTTTGTATTTATTGTCTCGGAGGTTGCGCAGGCAGTTGTCGCCATTCTGTGGAGAAATGAATTAGCAAGCGCGTTTACAACGTTGGGCTTGGATTTGGGGTATTCACACAAGATTGAAGTTCTGTCCCGGGACTCGGTGGCACCGGCCCAGTCGCCCATTGAACCGGTTCAGCACCCAGAACGTACTCCATCGTCCCCCCATTCGCAAAGACATCATCCCAAGTAAGCCAATTCGTGGTCCAGACCTGCCCATTAACCTTCAAACTCTGCACGTAGATATTCGAATCCCCATTGCCATCACCACCGGTACTCGTCACTTTCAAGATCTTGCCCGTGCCGAGATCGATAGTCATGGACTCGTACCACGGAGAATGGATGAGGAATGTGGTTTGCCCAGTGATGGGATAGAGACCAATCATATTCCAGAGAAGCCAGGTCTGCATGGCGCCGGCATCGCTGTTTCCTGGGAGACCACGGACACCTGTGTTGTAGTTGCGTTTGGCGACGCCACGGGCTTGAAAGACGGAGCGGTCTTGGGGATTGATGTAGTTGAAGAGATAAGGGACGTTGAAAGTTCTGAGAAGGTCAGCCAAGGTATTTGAGAGTATGGGAGAGGGAGACTCACGGCTCGTTTGTCGCATCATGAATGATGCCATTAGGATTACTGGGATTGGCACCGACTGTGAACATTGTTTCGAGACGGCGAAGCACAGTATCGGGACCACCCATCAAACTGACGATCTTTCCAAAGTCATGAACGTCAGCCCAAGAATATCCCCAGGCGCTAGCTTGGTAGTATGGGTCTCCCCAGTACCCTCCAGCATTGAGAGCATCGACAGAGATGAATGAGGTCAAGTTTCTGGGGACGACAAAACCAGAGAAGCCCAGAGATGTGGCATCTGGATTCCAATGATTTCTCCAGTTTCGAGACCGGTTGAGGTATTTGGCTGCATCTTCGGTTTTTCCAAGACCTTTCGCAACTTGATAGAGTGCGAAGTCATTGTAGGCGTATTCGACGGCCCGAGATGCGGCTCTACTGTAGGTTGGTGTAATGAAACCGTGTTTCAACCAGTCTGGAAGAGCTCCTCTACCTTCTTTGGTAGACGAATCTGGAGCCATGGGGTCGGGAGGGTTGGTGTTTGGAGGCGTGACTTCAGCGTCCTTGACCATCGCGGCATATCCGTCGTTCCAGTTTACCTGGCCACGAATTCCTTTCACGTATGCATCCGCTAAAACGTTGTCGGCATTCGAACCACCCTGAGTTCTACCATTGTAATTAGAAGATCGACCATCTGGCATGTATCCGTCAAATCTGTAGATATCGATCATGGCTCGAATATATTCTTCATATGCGACAGGAGTGATGACCTGCATCAGCGCTGTCGAGCAGCGGAAGGTATCCCAGAATGTGAAAACGTCTTGGTAGTATGGCTCAGATGATGTCCAACCAGGGTTCTCGCCAGTCTGGTTCGTCGGTAGAAGATTCATGAAATAGAGAGATGTATACAACAGGTTTAGGTTCGTGGTGTTGGTGGTGGTTGTCGTGATCTTGGAGAGAATCTCGGTATCCCAGACCGTTTTGGTGTCTTGAACGACTGTTGAGAACGGCGTCCCTTCTGGGATCTGGTCGTTCAGATTCTGGCATGCCTTCTCATTTGAGATCCAGGAAATGCCTACTCGAGATGAGACGATCAAAGTATCGAAGGTGAACAGGCCACCAACGTAGTCAGTGGAGGATGATGAGTTGACCGAGCCTGAGGGTTGGACCACACTTCCTCCTGCTGCAGTGCCCGAAAAGACGTTTGCCGCGGAAGGTGTAACGTTGAAGTAACCGCCTTTACTGTCAGCTAAGTCACGCTTTCAAAATATAAATACTCACATGAGTAGATTGTCCAGTTTGGGGACCGGTTCCATCCATTGTTGTAGATACCAGAAGCCTCATAGTGCCCGTCTGGCTTGATGGTGAAATGGCCGCCAGCGTATCCCTGACCAAGTCCTTGGCCTCTGAAAGAGGGGACCACATGACTGACATCGATCAAGATGTTGTTACCTGGGCCAGATGATGGAAATGTATACTGATACATGCCCGCACGGGATGTAGCCGCAAGCTCGACAATCACGCGATCACTGGTCTGAGCTCTGTAGTAGCCAACAGATCCTTCATCAGTTGCTGCTCTTCCTACAGTAATACTGGAAAGAGGGTTGCTGATGTTTCCCACTAAAGGCAGTTGAGCAACTGTTCCATACTTGGGAGCCCCACCAGTTCCCTGCTCGTGCATCATTGAAAACCCAGAGAAGTTGCCATTGGGAAGGTAACCACTGTAGGAATCGACACCAGTGACAAGAAGATCAGGTCCCAGCTTCACCATTCCAAATGGCCGAGCAACACCTGGGAAATTATTTCCCCCACCTTCGGTTCCCGTGCTAGGTACGTCAGAGGAGTGCCAAACTGGAGGCATTGAAAACTCACAAAACATTAACATATTGGCTGTAATCGGTCGTTTGAGCATGAGTAGTGACAGCCAGCAGCGGGAAAACAAGGGCAAGTCGTAACATTCTGAAAGAAAGAGTTGAAATGAAAGACGCAGTGCTCAAGGGGTTTTCCTACGTCTATGTCATATAGACAGAGAAACCTCGTAACTTATATCCACTTGGTGGTCGACCGGACTTGTTAGGACTCAAGCTGGCAACCTAAGCGAGTGGACCAAGAGCACAGCAAAGGCGGTGCAGTAATGGGAGAACATGTTGAAAGGATCGTAGCTGATAGGAAAGAAGAAAAGAGGTTCTGCATGACTGCATCAGTCCTCATTGGTACCTGCCCCAAGAAGACCGATTTCCTTCCTGTGGTAGTCACATTGGCACTGGTATCGGCAGGCAAATGACCACTTTCGTCCAAGACGCTGGTGGCCAATAGGCGGCTTATCTCACGCACCGTGCACAATTAGCCTGGGACACGTGATCATGTGCTATTTCCAGCGCTGTCCAGTCTCTGGACAAGAACGACCATGTCGCTTGTCCATCTTGTCTTGCTTGAGCATGGCGATGTTTGTTTCCTTTCTGCGCTTGATAGAGTGGCTGGTATCTTGTCAAGAAGCGATGTGGCGGCGTTTTATGATGATGAAAAAAGCCGTGTTCCAAGGGCCTGCGGTTTTGCTTTGGTCGAAATGGCCAAACTCAGGTAGGAACACTCGAGTATCTTACATCTGGATCTTTGCTTCCTTTGAAGAGTGGATCATGTCCAGGAAGAAGGACCTGTGCTGGGGGTGTGGTTGTTCATCGCAGGTGACAGACCCTAGAGGACGTTCATGGGTGAGACAGGGCAGCTGTGATGTTTCTTAGCCGAGGTGGTCGGTGCCAAGCCTTAACCTCCTTGACTTCATGTTTTCATCTCAACTCTTTGCTCTCCTCATCAGCCACACCGGGAGATCGTCCACACGAACATCATCCAAGAGCTATCGCCAGGACCAAGGCCCTGCGGTATTCTTGTCATCTTCAGCCTTACCAGCCAGCCAATCGTGTCCAGATGCTCCAGATACAAAGGACCTTAACAAGCCACACCATGCACGATGATGGCTCAGCCACAGCATACCTACTCTTAGTACAAAGACCATGGCAGCTGAACATGGAAGCTTGACAAGAACAAAGCGTCAAGTCTCAAAGTACAACCAAAATAGAAACACGACTTTGAATACATCTCTCGTCAACTTTCCGACGCTGCAATGACCAACTTGATCATCGTCACCATCTCTCACCCGTTACGGCTCGTCTCACTGGCTTGGACAAAATGAACATTGTAGTTCCAATAATGACCTTCTCTCCTCCCCTGCCTCCAAAATTATTCACTCGCGATCTCGCTGCTTATACCGATGCAGAACTTAACGAACACCTAGATGCCAATGAAGGGTCAGTCCGCGTTGTCCCGAGCAGTATGCTGCTCTCTTACAGTTGCTAATGTTCACGTAGGGAAGTTGACGTGGAAGACCCCGAGGAGCCTATGAAAGACGAAAGTTTCGCCCAGAGATTACGGTAAGGATTCAATCTATATATTCTCTCAGCTCTCTAATAGTCTTGCGGTAGAATGCTAGCACATGAGCGTGGCAATAAGGCACAGTTCCACCCCATCAATCTCAACGACCTTACAGCACGCCTTCAGCATGTATCCGCGGATAGACAAGCTTCTCTTGGACTTTGCATTCTTCCTGTGTCGGAGATCGCCGACTGGCGCCTTCGCGGCAGTCGAGAATCGACTCGAGAATCGACTATGGAATGGGACGAGGAAGAATCCTGCTGTTATGACCTAAAGTCAGAGACAGATTTCCATGACACCCTTGTCCGCGAAGGGGGGCGGCCCTCGCATCCGGTCAGCCTTGGTCGCGACGTTCTAGAGGATTCTCAATACCGTGAGATACTATTATATTGGGGAGGCGAGAATAAGTGGAAGGTGTTCCAACGTCAGATGGGGACATGGCGCGAGTTTCGCAAATATCAAAAAACGCATCGAGAGGAACAGTGCTATCATATATATATATCGATAATGTGAAGCGTAGTCTCGCTAGGCATGGATTCACGCGACTAGTTGAACTTAACAAAGACCCAGAGCGACAGGACAAACTGACGACATGGATCGAGTTCCTTGATTTTGAGCACTGGCATTACGACAAAGATGCCAGAATTGTCAAGCGTCTCCAGCCAAAATATGATGCGGCTTGGAAGAAGCTCGTGGACTCGCAGGTCCTAAAACCTCATGAGACGGAGGAGGTTATTCGCAATATGGCCTCTGTATTTCAGCATGTGTGCGGAACGCAACTGACCGAGAAGGCTGTAGCATCCGCGGAAGCAGCCGTTCTATCGGCACAGCATCTTATCACTGTTTCACGTCGATCCAATCTCCCCCAGAGAGAGCCTCAACGACAGTTAGCAAGAGCCCAAACTCGACTAGACAGGGCGGCCAAGTCGCTCGAATCGATGACTCGACGAAACAATCTCATCGCAGAATTCTACAGGAAGGCACAGCTCTCTCAAAGATGTAAGGACGGATACTATAAAAAGAGTTTACAGGAGGCCAAGGAAGATGCGAAGCGCCGTGGTGTTCTAATTCATTGGATTTTGCAGCAGATCCCCGTGATCGAGATGGAATTGGAGGGAGCAAAGGTGGCCGGGAACGACTCAAACACAGTGCATGGAGAGTCCCGCTGCGACGTTACTGCCCAACCCAGTGAAGAACAAAGATCCGAAAAGCAGATCCGTAAACGCAGTCGCCAGGACGATACCGTCGACGATGAATCACCTTCAAAGCGTCCACGATACGATGTTCAACCCTCGAGTTCCGCTGCCCGCAAAATACCTAGCGCTGCCGATAAGTTGGTAACTGGGCTATCGCAAAAGTCTAGAACCGTTGCATTGAGGAGTTCAAAGAGCGAATGAAGCTCATTGTGAGGCCCCGGAAACTCAGGTTGCAGGTAGCCTTATCAATTCTAGATGGATTAATCCAGATTATTTCAAGCTATGGGCTGAACAATTCTTGGAATGGTTGTAGAATAGCAAGAAATGAAGACGAGGCTGCAGTTTAGTTAACCACAATCTAACTAGAGACAGGGCTCTATCCATGCAGTAGTCCCCGTGATTGCTGCAAGGCTGTACTTCGTATGCGCGATGCACCACGATTCAACCTTGTTGACAGCCTTGCCCACGATTAGGCAGCAATAGCGCAACCAGATTTCAGTGCCTAAATCAATAGTGATATTTCGAGAGCAAGATGTTTAAGCTGCTTTTCTGTCCCTGTGAGCCAGTTAGTATAGGCCATCCAGATCCTTCTTTTTCCTTCAAGTGAGGTGCTTCGGATTAAGCGAGAATGTATACGTAACTGTACATAGAATATCATCTACTCATACAAAGATCGTTGTAAAACACAAATCATGTCATCAAATCCCCATCCCTTGGTCGTCACAAGCTGCACGCGACTGTCAACTATTCTGATGTGACACAACCATTCAGCCTTTTTTTTTCCCCAGAAACAGGGCGTACCCAGTCAAGCCAGCTGATCTGCACCGCCACAATGCTCAGCTGCATATATATACGCCAGCCTCATGGCAAAGTAGCAACGACAACTTCATTAATCTTCCACCAAAAGACTAATGAATCTTCAAAAGGAGCAACATGAGACTTCTCAACGCAACCAGCTTCACACTCACAAACTTTAATGACGAACGGACTGTCCCCGAATACGCCATTCTATCCCACACCTGGGGCGACAACGAAGTAAGGTTCAAAGACCTCGCCGAGCTCTCTCGCGAGCAACTGGCCACGAAAAAAGCCTACAAGAAAGTTGAGACATGCTGTACTAAAGCACTCGAATGCGGTTTGGAATGGGTATGGATTGACACCTGCTGCATCGACCAGCAAAGCAGTGCCGAGCTATCAGAAGCAATTAACTCCATGTACCAGTGGTACCGACAGTCTGCAGTTTGCTACGCTTATCTTTTCGATGTGCATTGTGTGGAAAAAGACTTCTTACCTAGCCAGACTGTTGATCTGCAGAATCTTGATGCCAAGATATCTTTCGAGAGAGCTCGCTGGTTTACGCGAGGATGGTGCTTACAGGAACTGCTTGCACCGCGAAACATGCAATTTTTCAACGCGCATTGGGAATACATCGGTAGTAAAAATAGTCTCAAAACACCAATTTCGTTGGTAACAGGTATCGACGAATACGGCCTCTTTATCCCGGATCTATCAGTACTCAGCGTGGCCCATAGAATGGCTTGGGCAGCTAGTCGGGAAACTACCCGGCCTGAAGACATCGCCTATTGCCTCTTGGGAATATTCAACATCAACATGCCACTTCTTTACGGAGAAGGACAAGTTCGAGCTTTCGGTCGACTGCAAGAAGAGATCATGAGGAGAACGGAGGACCATTCGATTTTCGCCTGGAGTGGTATTGGGACGGATTTCAGGAATGACATGGTTGGCTTTCTGGCTCCTCATCCATCGGGATTTAGCTATGGCAGGGTGGATCTGTGCGAGCTACCAGGATATACTGAACCGCTATCGATTACTGGGCGTGGCATTCGTGCTCAGATGCCACTTATCCGGCAAGGAGGTCATCGTGAGAACTATCTCGCCGTGATTGGGTGTATGAAATACGGCTTATCACAGCGATATTATGCGATCCCCGTCACTCGTCTCAATGAATCAAGTGATATATATCGACGCAGATCGCCAGATGTTCAGACCGTTTCGTTTGAAGAGGCGGAAAACGCAACCTTGAGTACGATATTTCTGTTGCGACATTCCAAGCCGACTCATTTGGAAGACAAAGATACGACACAGGTGTGGTTGAGTTTACTGGAGATGAGAGACTGTTTTTACAGGATCAGTGGTACTTTCCCATCATCGTTGTGGAACGTCGATCGGCGAGTCTTCGCCTTCTCATCGTCGGATTTTGAGGATTATTCTTGCATGGAAATTGCATTTACCAACGCTCAGGGAAGAGGATTTGTTTTGAGAATTGACCTAGACCCGACGAAGGGCATAATCACCAACTTGGTCGAGTATGAGGACCGTGGCACTCGGACGTACGAACCATTTGATATCGTGAGTGAGATCGTGTCGACGGGTACGCAGATCAGAGCACTGCCTGATTCCAAGAGTCAACTTTTATTGAGACACCATGCAGTGGAAGCCGAAGTGGAACGGACTATTGTTTTCGAGCAGGAATTGTACGAAATAAGAATCTCCATCAAAAGGATATAATAATAGGTCTATAACCTTAGACTTACTAAAAATTAAACTAGTTGTAACTTACTCAAAAGTATTCTATGTAAGACTTTTTACGTACTAAAATTCAAAGAAATTAGAAGTACTTTCATCTGGATTTTTATATCTTAAATCTACTATTAAAGCTAAGGTTTTTTACTTTAAAAATATTAATATCTTAATATAAAAAGCTTATTTATTTTTAAATAGTATATTAAAAAGTTATAAGTAATAATTTAAACTTATTTCTTTATCTAAATTTTTCTTAAAATCTTTTTATTTTTTTGTTTAAATTTTTTATTTTAAGTAATTTATCTTATACTACTTACAGATTAAAAGTAATAAACCTCTGATTTGAAGTTTAACTATAGAATTTTTTTTATTATATTAATATAAAAAGAAATCCCTTTTTATATTATTAAATCTTGTATAATTTTACTTAAAGATTTTATATTTAAACTCTCTAACTTGAAATTAATAGTTTTCAAGTTCTAAAGTTTATATTATTAAGTCTAAGTTATTTTTATTATATAATTATATCTTTTTATTATTAAATATAATAGAGTAAGAGTCTTTGCTTTTAGTTTTTTTAATTTTAGTTTTTATTATTATTCTTTTATTTAAACTTTCTTTTACCTTTATCAGCAAAAAGATCTGGCTCCAGGTAGCCGCCGGCTGACCGCCGTAGGCGCCATTTTCGCCATTTCAGCCTAAGTTGCATGTCGATTAATTTGACAGCTAGCGACCCCTATAGCTATATATAGTAATTTAAATTGACGACGTAGGCGCATAAGGCGACTAAGGCGCTATAGGTGCTTATAAGCCTAATTAAGACTAGCGTATAAAATAAAAGTGGGTCCGAATTTTATTATTATTATATAAGGTATATTAGTAAGCTGAGTAGAAGTCTTAATAATACTAAGAATACTAAGAATATTAGAGATATTAAGAGTACTTATAAGGGTATATCTTATAAGGGGGTATTATTAGGCTTATATCGCCCGATTAGGCAAGGCGGCGACTCACCCCTGCATAGAATTTACCCGAATCGAATTATAAGCTTATTAGTGATTTTTTAGCGTGGATTTTAATAGCACGGTTTAGCGTTAGCTAGCACGTGAGCGAAATAACCACGGATCAGGTGATAACCTCTCTATTAGCGCGAATATCAAGCTGAGGAGCCCTCGATTCCGTGGAGGGCGCTCGAGCCTATATAGACAAATTCCCCGGGCTATTCCCGATTAGGCCTAATTACACTTGACGTAAAACTTGACGTAAACTCCCATAGTAGCGTAGAGCTATTTCCCTTTGCGTATAACTAAGTGGGTAACTGTCGGTAAACCCCTTCAGAGTTAACCGAGCTCTACCGAGTCTTACCGAGCTTTGCCGAGCTCTAGACTCTTCCTAATCGGGTATAGTAAAGAAGTAGTTACCACTACCTTTACATGGATATTCATAGCGTTAAAGGCTTAGCGAGACTAGTTTTAAGGATATACGTAGAAAGTGCAGGTCTTTTTAAATTCTCAGTTAAAATCTACGCTAGTCTAACTATTTTTAGTTAGTTTAAAATCTAAAAATAAACTTAACTTTTAATTTTTAATTCTAATTAAAAATTTTATATCTTTCCTAATTAGGTCTAGCTTATATATAAAAGTGGGTCTTATAAAGGGCGCCTAGGGCGTATAAGGCGGCCTTTTATTATTTAAGGCCGACGTACGACGGCCTCTTATATTTTAAGGCGCCTTAAGCGTAAAAAGCGACTATTTAGCGAAAACGGCGAAAATGGCGGGTGGCACGTGCACTCGGCGTCAGAATTTTTTACTGATGTTTTATATTTTTAATTTAAATTATTTTATTTTAGATATTCGAGGAATCTAAGGTATAAAACACTTATTTTAACTATTTATTTTTTTAAGAAATTCTTATAGCTTATTAAATATAATAATATATGTAACGGTCCGGTATTTACTTGTTATAAATACAGAAGGCTGTAATTGATCTCTGATGATCGAGAGGTAGGTGTATCACGTAGATAGGAAGATAGTTACTAAGTATCGGAATACTATTTGAAGTTAAGCACGAAGCTCCTATCTAATAGCAGATATGCCAGTCTTATATAGAACCCTCGTTCTCCTGGATCCCTTCGGTATGGATCCGTGGATCCCTGGATCCCTTCCCTTGCCATAGGATCCGGGGATCTGGGGATCCATCATGTGACATTAGTCGCTAGAACCCGCGTCCCTAACCGTGGTACTTAGATTACATGATATGTGTAGCTACCGTGGTGTTATGAAATCCTGGGGAGGAGTTCTCCTAGGAGCCCTTACCTCCTAGAAGACTTCTTCTAGGAGCAGGTGTCTCCCTGAGCCTATAGTCTCCTAGCCCCTTCCCGCCTAGGGAACCTCAGGCTCCCAGGTGGTCCGTGACAATATATTATAATTAAGACTCGGACTTTCACTTTTATAAAGCTTTATCTGTTTATATATAATAAATCAAAAGTTCTTGAAATAATTAATTAAGATAATTAAAGGTTTTTTACCTTACTTATTTAAGTATTATAGAGTTATATATCTTATATATAGACCTATTAAATATAATATATGATTTATATAATAATAAGATTACTAGTAATAGACTTTTAAAATACAATAGTTTTATTATTATTATATATTTACAGTTTTAAACTTTAGATTTAATAAGAATCTAAAGTATATAACCTTAGATTTAATTATAAAATAAGAACAAGTATTTAAGTTATATTATTTTTTTTTAAAAAGAAATCTTTAATAAAAAGTACTATTATTAATCTATTATAAGGATTTAATATAAAATAAAATCTATATTTAAGAATTTCAAGTAAAAAGTCTTAAATCATAAAGTGATTTAAGGTATTAAACTTTACTAAAATTGATTATTATTCTAAATAATATTTCAAGTAAGTAAAACACTATTTATATAAAATATAATCTTTAATTATAGTATATAATTATATTTAACTTTTTAATACAAAGCAATTTCTAAGGTATTAAACTCTATATAATCTAGTTGTTTAGAGTACAAAACTATATAAAGAATTTAACACTTTATTATTAATCATTTAATTACTAGATACAAAGCATATCTTGTAGCTCCCGCCGTCTAGTAAGAGAACCGATGCAAGACGTTCCCAGCGACTTCGATCAACGATCAATATACAAGATTTTTAAGAACAGCTCTTCAATTGAAAATCAATTTTAGCTGGAATTAAAACTCTTGATAGAGTAAGCGAGAGGCTGCAGGATATGTATAAATCTTCTCGGCTCGCCTCTGGTGTTCTGCCCAAGTATGCTCGTTTCAGGCCAAGTTCAAAAGGCAAGTGCTTATACCTGAAGATCCAAACCAAATTACACATGCAGATCAGCAGGTCTAGAGCGGTTGGGAAAGCTTTTGGATATTTGCACAGACTCATAAACAAAGGCTACTCACCAAAGCAAATCATGTATACAGGATTTAAAGGATCATCGGACGAAGATCCAAGAAAAGACAATGAGATTGTAATACCAGAACATAATGTCTTCACTTTCGCGACTACCAACAGGACAAGGGATAAGTAATGCTCCAACGCGAGAAGTCTGAACTCCGAAGTGCGATGCCTAAAATCCTCCTAGGCAACTGTATCACAGCGGTTACAACGCTTGGCAAGGACCCAACCTGGGCCAGAACCAACACAGACGTTGGAGAGGTAAAGGTAGAACAAGACGAAGGGCATTTTTCATATATTTAAAGATCATATCAAGAGTATCAGAATCGTAAAAGAGTAATATTTGATGTTTTTATAAGTAAGATACGATAGTTCATTTCACATCTTACGATGTTGTCGTCATCAGGTGACTGACACTTCTTCAGAACCAACATTCCAATCGAAGTCATACACCGCCATCCAACATTGTTCAACTCTAGAAACAGAGCGATAAATTGAAACAGTCATCGTATCTGCTATAACAATCAAGGTAAGCTGCGTCCTTTTCTTTACCTGCCTGAACATTCCCACTGGTGTGCTCACCTGGGTACATCAGCTTATCAGCGCCGAAGATGCTCATCATGTTTCCAATCCCAACATTTATGACCATGCTGCTCATTTTCCATGCGATTCAGGCGACCAATAATACGGAACGCTCTTCTGCACGAACAATTCCTGTGTTCTCGACCGAGGAAGCAGCATCCAGCCAGAACTCTAACCTGGGCAACCAACCGTCATCCATCTTGCAACCTGATGCCCAGGCTTCCGACGTGAATTGTCCTTCTAACAAGCCAAGCTGTGAAGCTACAGATTGCGATGGTGATGTACTCACAAATTCAAGTTCCCTTCAAAACGGTCTAGTGCTAATATCAACCCCAAGGCTACTGAATTCCGCTGCCGAGCTTCAGGAACATTACAGACTTGTCCTTGCTGTCCTCAATCAGAACTTCCATCGTGTAATTCCCAAATCTGTATGGCACAACTACCCGTGCTTCTCTGCACGATTACTCTTCTCCAGGATTGCCCGTGTGAATATTCCTTGGAGCCCGTTTACCCGCTTCATCAATACACGGATGTGCCTTTCTCCACGGATGAAGAGTTGCGCCAAACACAACTTGAGTTTCAGAAGCTCTTTGAGGAGAGGCCGGAATTGAGGCCGCTCTCGAAGGAGTGGTATGAGAAGAGGAAGAGGGAGGGAAGACCTGACCAAGTGAGTGCTCTCGATGGAAGCAGCGCCGAGCTTGGGACACAAGGAGCTTTGGGTCTAGATTATGAGTCTTTACAGAGAGGTGTATTTGCTAAATCATCTGGCGGTTCACTTTTGTTGTCTCTGAAGGATTGATACGTCAGCTGGTATCTTGGGAAGGTCTGAGAGCATCTGTCGCGATGTACAGAAGGATACGCGGCCAGAAAAGCTGTAATTTTCTAAGCTGCCTGGAAAAGGCTGTTTCGTAGCACATTTCACGAGGTTTGGAGAGAAGCAAAGAGTCGGTCTCAATAGCTGTGCAAGATGAAAACAATTCCTGAACGAAGGAGCATAATTCACGATTCTCTATCGATACACCGAATGCTTTTGTTTACATCAGTGTGGTGGGCAGTCGCCGACAATCTAGTTACGTTCCATACATGAGCCATTGTTTCCATGAAGTGAACTTAAGCGAAACACGTGGCGGAGAGCCAACAAGAAAGGTGACCGCAATCGACAAATGTGTGGGCTTACCTGTACATTTTATTTCCTAGTATCCAATTGTCAGCGTGGAGACAATTGTCGTCGTCTGCCCCCCTCGAACCACTCCTCCACATCGCAAGCGAGTTTACCCTCTTCCTCTGTAGTATCGTGGCGATCAACTATCTCAGAATTCACCCTCCTAATCCACCAGAGAATTGGTAGTCACCAGAATCCTCTACTTTCATAATGGTCAGCTTGCCTTTCGCGACGAGGGATCACTCTTTGTTCGCGCTTCGTGAAGATGTGCATTTCTTCACCCTCCACATCTATCAGAACCCTCCGGCAAGAATTCGGCTGGATTTTGCCCATTTTGTAAGCAGTGCTCGACACAGGACACATTAATGGTTTCTTGTGGAGGACAGCATCGTCTCACTCCGGTGATCCAGATCTGTCTCCTTCGGAGGCGTGCATATTGGACATTGGGGAGTGCTACATCATCCGCGTCATAAAAAGAGGTCAAGCACGTGCTTGAGATCATCCAGTCCCAGCATGGTGACGCCTTGTCACTCATAGGAAGCGAGAATCTGAAGTCTTTTCAACCTCGCACCGGGCCAGCTACTCATCACCCATTGACCATGTTCTCCTATACCAGCGTCTCCGCCCATTACACGCAAGATCAGAAGATCAAAGGCTGTCTTGTACCATTAACGAACGGGTTGTCAATTGAGACTTCACTTCAAACCGATGCTTCGGAAGTGGGAAGACGTTGAAATGCTCCATGTCCTATCAAGTAATTTCGGATGGCTTCCTGTAATAGGAGGAGGCTCACGAGGAACCTGGATGGGTCAATTACCATGGCAGATAGGAACTTGAGGAAACGACTATCAAATTAATGCGAGAGCCGTGTGGGAAGTTTTGTATGCTGCTCTTTGCTAGCCTGCGGGTAAGATGCCCGGATTTTTGGTGAATGGACTGGCTTCGGTTATTTCTCCAAATTCTGTGAAGCATGATCTCAATGGACCTCGTACACAGAAGATGTGGAACGGTCAGTAATTATTGAGGTAATTGTTGTTTCAAGTAGATAGAAATTGATATCGAATACCTTCCGCTCCATTTTCCATGGCCATCACAATCGCATGGTCTGTGATTCGACCAGCAAGCGTCACTTCCAGCGAGTGCACCGTCACATGAGCCAAAGATGGTCGAAGGGAAGCATCGCTATAGAACAGAAAGAGTGGAATAGATGGTGAGAGCACCAGAATTGGTTAGAGTCCTCGATTTAATGTATTGAAGCTATGGCGGAGGGGAGAGAAAGGTCGATGTTTTCATCCCGACGACATTCATGCTCGCAGCCTCATTAGCGGCATGCAGCCTGAAATATCTGTGTCTTGGGGACCAAGCAAGGCGGATATGATCTGAGATGATCTTATAGGTGCCAGTGGTTTCACTTAATCATCGCCATTCTGCTCTACTAGTTGCCAAATCCAAGCCTTGCGAGGAGACTACCATCGGGGCGAGAGTAACTCTTACTTTAATTCTAAGCGAGATATCAACAAAGCTAGATCTTAGCCTAAAGATAGGTACAGCAAGGCACAATCAGATGATGCTCCAGTAGCGTTCGCTGTTTGCTGCATACCTCTGATATTTTTTTAATAAAGCGAAGAGTACCCAGAAGCGAATTCTGTCAACGGTGTGGCCCATCTTTCAAGTTGCAGCATCTACCCCGCCATTTGAGAACTGCACGAGAACAATGCAGCAGTACAACAGGCGAAGCAAGAGCGAGAAAGAACATTTATTCTTTATATAATCTTGATCGCTTTCGAAGGTCAACGTCGCATAGCTCGACTTGTATTTGCGCGGCTGGAATCGGATTGGGAGGAGAGAGGTGAGATCTCAACTCACGCAATGCATTTCGCGTGTCAGCCAAGATCACCGTCTCCCCAAAAAGCTTTTGTATTTTCACCGATTCGATTTATGGCCGGCTTCGCAGTGCCGTGATTTACATCTGACGGTTTCAAATTGAGAAATTAATTTTAGGGGAATAGCATCTGTGTGATGGATAGGAAGGGAAGCTCCCAACATTGCCTCCCCATATTATTCGCCTAAGAAAGTGAGGGATTGGCAGACAATCGTACCGCAATCAAAACCAAACGATCCTAAGGTTTTGCTATCCCATAAAATTACACACCACAACAGTATCCAACCCCCAAACTCTCCTCCTACACATGAATCACTCGCCTCTCATTTCTCACTTACCAGTAACAGCAAAAACACCTCACCACCCAGCCAGCCCAGCCCAAGGTCCATCCATGTCCATCACACGCCAGACGATAAACGAACAACGCACGCATGAAAACCCAATCTAACGAACACCCTTCTTGGCTACTCGTTTAGCTCCATACTTATCTACTGTACTTAATCGATCCTTCGTCTTCTTCTTCTTTCTCCGATCGACGCCAGCGATTGAAGATCTCTTGTTTTGGAGTGAGGAGGTGAGACAGGACTGCCTCACGTGGCTGTGGTATTTGTTGATGGCGAGCCTGAATTTATTGGGATGGTATATTTGGGACGTGAGGTTAGGAAATCGAGTAAAGTTATTTGGAATGTTCTCTAAGTTGATCTCTGTTGTAGAGTCGTTGAACGGGGGCAAGCACTCCATTCTTCGAGCGTGAAAACAATTGGGATGCTTCAAAGTCACGTGCCAATATCAAACCCGGCCGCCGTCCCAAAGTAACTACCTACGATCTCCTCATGGCTACAGGATACACATCAATCAATCCTACCATCTAATTTAACCATTCAGATAACCAGACCATCTGCCCTCATTCCCATCTCATCTCACGATATCAAAAATCTTTAAAGTTTAAACCCCGAAACCCAAACCCCATCTGCCCATGTCAACTCTCGCACGAGCCACCTCCCCTCCTCCGCCTTCGTGAAACTTGACGCATCGCATGTTTGAGACTTGGTACCCTTCCCTTTCCTTCCCTTCCACTTCTCGAACTCAAACGTGGAGTTTTCGCCACAACACCACACCATTTTGGAATTCGGGAAGAGAGAAATGAAAGGTTTATACTAAGACGCGGGTCTGAAGGCTTGTTTGGAGTATCAAACGGTGAGGGTTAGAGGTTTGGTGGTTTGGTGAGTTGGAGGGAGGTGGGTTGGATGGGAGTGAGGTTTGAGAGAAGAGCAGGACCTGGCTGGGTTTGTATTTGGTATTTGATATAGGACTTGGTTGAGATATAGTACATGGAGGAGTGAGGAATATTCTTGGGATGAGTTCTGATGGGCAGTGAGGATGGGAGGAAATGCGTTGCACTGGATTTCCATCTGTCAGGATGTCACAGAACTCGTTTGACGGGTAGATGTTCCATCGATTCATCAACCGCCTGCTTCTCGTTTCAAACCTCTCACTTGGCCGACCACATGAGTAATCGATAGTTGCAGAAACAAACAGTTTCAAAACATACTGCCATCTGGTCTGGTCAGCCGTCTGTCCGTGTGTTCTGGTCGCTTGATGGTCTGGTCTGGTCTGCTCCCGCCTCAGGCTGGTATATCTCTGGCCTAAACAGGCCGGTTTGTTATTTTCGTTTCTACTTCCTGATGGATTGACCTGACCTGACCTGACCTGACCTGACCTGACCTGACCTGTTTCGTTTCATCCCATCTCGTCGCGACTTATTTTTGGAGGTTGTTGGTTGGTAGGTAGGTACGCAGGTACCTTTGCTGTGCTTCCTTCTGTTGCACTTTTGCTGCACTACACTACACTACTCGTACAGCGTGGCCGGATTGTTGGGTTGGGTTGGGTTGGGGAGGGTCGCTTGAGTCAGGTTGGACGGGTGAAGAGGTGAGATGTGTCAAGAGGAATTGACGGGTAGACAGATAGATAGATAGGTCGCACGAGGGAGGGTGATACACTGGGGAGGGATACAGTTAAAAGTAAGATAGATAGGCGATAGTAAAGTACCTAATTATCGAATTTAGCTCCCCCTTGCCATCATTTTGAATTTCAATCAAAGACAACAGTCGTTCCCAGAATCCCAAGCCCAGAATTCAGTTCACTCCAGTATCTCCTACCTGGCCTACGTACTAACCAGTAAGCGAGTCTCAACCCTCAACCCTTCCCCCTTGCCAAACCTTCCCACAAGGCGATTCCCCAAACCCAAACACCCCACCCACCCCTTTTCAGCATCCCCCATCCACGGCTCTCCAACCAATCACAAAACATCTGTATGCGCAATCATACCCTGCCATCATGTCATTGCGGAAGGCAGGCCAGGCCAGTGAAGTGACCCAAGCTCTCATCTCATCTCATTGATCTCAATCTCAATCTCACAAGCGAAATCGTCGTAATTTACAGATCAGGTCAAATGACGCATGTCAGAACGAAAATGAATGAATGATTGCCGGCGATTAAAATTTTAAATTTTAAAATTTTAAATTGAAGTCGCTCGCGTGGGTGGGTGGCTACACAGTGAATGATGCGATGCGCATCGTATCTTGTTGGCTGGGAGGAGGAGGAGGAGCAGGAATGGGTATTGGTTGGCAAGCGGGTATGTGTGCAGGTTGCTGTTGGAGGAGAGAGGGAGTGAAGGAGGGAGGGAATAATGCGGTGGTAACTGTTGTGCTGTGTTGTAATTTACCTAGCTGGGACTCTGAGAGGCAAGAATAGGATGGATAGGTACTCGTTGGTGCAGGAGAGAGGTCACAGTCCCGATGCAGTAATTTTCGACTTGCATGCAGATCTGTCTGTACCTTTTCACACGTGGCGTGGGATCGTGTGTGCTGATGATGTGTTTGAATCATTGATTTTCTTCGATTTTCTTGGGTTGTGACTTTCTGCTCTGTTGTGCATCTCTTCCAGTACAGCACAACAGCCCTCACCCAGGCAGAAAGACAACAGACAGCTCACACGACCTGACCTGCCTCCATGAACTCACGATGTCATCAATCACTGCGCAGCACCCCACTCCACTCCCCCTCTCACATTCCGATTCAATTCCGGTCCAAAAGGCAAGGCCTAGACACCCATTCATCGGCGATTAGATAATCGCCCTCCCAACAATCCCCCAGCCCTACTGCACCTAACAAACCCTTCGCTCACAAAATTTGCACAATTTTCACCCGTTAGTGCGCTACCTTATGCTTGGCCAGCAATCAACCAATCGACCCATCACAAAATTTTTATCCCTCATCGCACGACAGCCTCGGACACCCACAAATTCTCCTGCACGCAAGACTCAAGAGCCGAGATTTTCCCCCGCCAAGCAATGTCCCAACTCAGGAACAGTGGGACTAGCTCAGGAACCCGTCTGCTAGTAGGGCGGTTGGCCAGTGAGACGTGCGAGTGTTTCGGGAGAGACTGGGGCGATGTGGGTCAGGATGATTTGAGTGGGTGGATGCGGTAGGGATTGATCCCTGCGGGATGGAGGATTTTAAGATTACAGTGTGACGGAGATGGGGACCCGGGTGTTGGGGCCAGTGCATGCGTGTTGACTACTTGGGCAAGAGGGAGAGAGTGTATTTTGGGGGAAGGCTTCAGCGTATTTTAGGGAGAGGATAGGCTGACTGGAGGGGAGAATAGCCTGGAGATGGGAAGGATTGGGGAGGGGACTGCTGTAATACACGCTGACTTGACTTACGGTTGATTGATGTGTCGATGATAGACACCTTGTCCTTGGTTCATGCGTTTCAATTGTCAAGCTCAAACTCGGGACAAAGAGGGGGGAAAGTTCATCTGATGGCCTTTACATACTGCTGTGTTTCGCTCTTTCTTTCCCTTCTCCTCTTTTCTCCTCTCCTCTTACGAACTTCCTACCGTAATTGTAATTCGTTTGTCGCGCTGGCAGTTGAACTGTTGTCTTTGTTGTGCTGGCCACCTTACTCTCTCACCTGTTAGCCGACCCGATCAGGCCTGACTGACTTGATCCTGATCCTCCCCTGATCATCGTCTTGCCGCGCTCCTCCTCCTTCGCCCAGACCCAAACTGACCCAAACTGACCCAACCCGACCCAGTTGGCCCGAAATAATCTCCACTCTTGCCTTCCCGGCCGGCGCAACCTACGCACGCTGCACCGTTGCTCTCCCACTCCACTGCATCTGGGCCCGCACCCCAACATCACATCGTCGCATCGCATCTCCTTCATCTACTCTCTCCCGCCCTGCCCACTTCCATCCTTCTTCTTTCTTCACCCGAACATCCTCTCACACACACGCACACACAACTCTCACCACCAGACTTCGTTGGCAAAGTCTATTCTCGTCTTTGAAAGATTTGACCCTCTACAATACAATAACTACAACATATCACCACGATATCCAGAATACCGCGTATTCACTCCACTCACTGAGTTTTGTCGCACAGTCGTTCATTCACTCTCGAGCCCTCTCTACGATCCTATTGTCTGCACCCGCATAATAGTTTCAAACCAACGCACGCCCATCCTATTGTCTGGTCTAGTACTTGCGAAAAAAGGAAAGGCATATATCAAGAGTATCTACTCCCACCATCTCTGGCGCGAAACAGAAACAACCAATCCTTCCAACTCGAAACACTTTCGATCTGATCTGATCACCACGGTCCCTTTCGATCTAAATATACATCACCTACCTTGTCGCATATCCAATCTTTGAACAATCAATCAAGATGCGTCTCTCTCTACTCACCACTGCGCTCCTCCCTCTCCTCGCCGCTGCGCAATCTACTTCCTCATCAACTACGACAATCACCTCGACCGCAACTCTCACAAAGACCATCACCGTCTCTGAAGTCGTCGCAAGCGTCTACGCCACCTACCCAACCTACAACACCTCGACCTCAACATCTGGTCCAACCGCCGCATCAGCATCCTACACGACCGCAATCGGAACTGGCTCTTCCCCCATCGTGTCTGCCACCCCATCAAGTACACTCCCCACCAACTTCATGGGCGCCGCAAGCAGTCTGAGTGGTTACTGGGCAGGTAGTGCAAGCTTGGTGGTTTGCGCCGTGGCAGCTATGTTGTAGATGCGATTGTGGGACGCTGGCTGGATCGGGATGGTTGTTTACGGTCGTTGCGATGCGATGCGATCTCGTCAATCTGCGACATTCTTGCTCCGAGGAATGTGGCGGCGCATGACAACCAACGACGACGATGGATACCCCGATTTCCAAACCAACTCTCTTCCGATCGATCGCATTGTCTTTCTCGAACCGTACTCTTCGATGCGAACATCACTCCTCGTTCTTTACGGGTCTTATCTCCCTCCTTGTCATTCTCTCAGGGGTGGTTGGGAGGGAGATGGACATTTACGGCTTGACGACTACACACATCCTTCTGCATATCTATCTACATACCATATGAGCGCATTGTTGCTTCGCTTCCTCTATTCTCTCGACGATTGATAGAAACGACTCAAAGTATACATGCAAACATACCTTTCTTCGATTCGCCCATACCCCGTTCTCGTCGCACGCCTCTTCTTTCTTCTAAACTCTTCTTCGATTCTCGGCGTGCGGTTATCTTTGGATTGAATCGGTGTCGCGTCGCATCGCATCGTACTTGCGTTGTAATTCATTGTTGATAAGGAGGTTGATTGGGAGGGAGTGGATTGTACGCCGGCCTTGCGCTGTGCTCTTCCCCTTTCTCCTGTCTCCTTTCTTCGTCCATTACTCTCGACTCATGCGAGTCGATGCGATGCGACATCTGATCCAAATCCAACCTTTCTACTCCTTCTCGGCTCGCTCGCTGGCTGACTGCCTTGTTCCACTCTCTTGGTCTGTCACTCGGTTCGTTGGTCTATACCCTTTTTGTTTTTGCTTTTTCGTGGTGCGGTGGTGGAAGTGAGAGGTCTCCAGTGGTGTGGGATGGGGTTTGGTGTTCTCTTTTTTTCCTTGGCTGGACTAGGCTGGCTGTGGTGTGTGGTGTGGTACTGGATAAGTGTGGTTGGGAGATCTCTCTGGGGTGTTGGTGCGCTGGTGCTGGTGGTGAGAGTTGGTTGTGGTTGTGTGGATGAGGGGGGAAGTTGTAGAACCCTGTTAGTGTAACTCGCCGCGATGATGGTCGGTTTGAGGATATCGATAGTTAAGCTGGGTGGTGGGTTGGTTGTGAATAGCTGATAGCTGATTTGGCTAGCTTGCATGGTTGGTGCTGAGAAGTTTAATAATGAAAAAAGATCTGAAAATACCTTACCCTTGCCTGTCTCATTTTCGTGGTGGGTACTTGTACAGTATTGTGAGGTAATACAGTAATGCGACTTGATGGTGCAACATGCGGGGTAGGTAAGCTGTACTGCAAGTCTGTAAGATGCCTCGTAAGTAAATTACAGGGTTCCCCTTTCAAACTTTGATAATGATAATGATTAACTTTAACTTTAACTTTATTGCTGTATCCCCTTTCGCTACCAGTAGTTCGGTCACTCAATTCAGTACAGTACAGTACAGTAATGCCATGCTAGCTGAAGAGGACAGGAAAGAAAGTTAAGTAAGTAAGGTAACTAACTCGGGGAGTGAGTAAAACTAGGTGAAGAGTCTGAAGACTAGACAGACTAGACTACTTGCTCGCTTGATTGAGTAGGTAAATTTACTAACCTACCAACCAACCTACCAACCCCCGTGTACCACTTAACCTACCTAACCTACCTAACCTACCTAACCTACCTAGCCTACCTAACCTACCTAACCTACCTAACCTACCTAACCTACCTAACCTACCTAACCTACCTAACCTACCTAACCTACCTACTTGTATAATCCTGGAGAATAAATGGAGTTGAGTTGAGTTGAGTTGAGTTAATTTAACAGCGCAGCTAGCTGTATTATATTATATTACATACATATACATATACATATACATATCCACATTACAAACCATCTCAAGTCGTAACTTAAATCGTAGCAACAACAAATCTTAAAAAGCAGACCTCGAGTCAAGGAGAGTGGAGGGAGGAGATAGATAGAGTAAAGAGTAAAGCAAAGTAGAGCAAAGCAAAGCAGAAAGAATTGAATTGCTGCTCCCTTCCTCTTCCTCGGCTCGGCTAAGTTAGGTAGGTACGTACGTACGTAGGAATTGATATCTAGGAGATGCATGCAGGTAGGTAGGGAAATGAGCATGAGCATGAGCATGAGCAATCCAAGGACGAGAGGAAGAGAGGAGGAGAGAGATGGAATGAATGAATGATTGATGTGATTGAGATTGAGGTTAACAGAAGGCGAGAGAGAGAGTGTGTGTGTGAATGGGGAGGGGAGGTGAATCGAATGAACTGAACAAAGTCTGAATTAAATGCTGGAGCATAACCTTAACTCTTCGTATCAAAAGCAGTCAGCAGTCAGTACCCTTCCGATTAAGGTAGAGATGCAGGCAGATGTTCTGCATGCATGCATGCAGAATAAGAGGCTAGGCACCTACCTGTGGCAATTTAGGGGGTGGATGTTGGAGTTGTGGAGGTTGTGGGGTGGAAAAGGAGGGAGGGAGGGAAGGAAGGAGGGAAGGAGGGAAGTGTGAGTGTGTGGGAATTTGAAGATCTATCTGTGATAGTTTTGGATAGTCAGTCCTCTGGGTTATGTACGGCGATAAGTTCCTGCCTATATTTCGGTTGGAGAGCGATGGAAATAAATCCATGTCGCTGTCGTTGTCATTCTGATTTGCGCTGTTCACTTTTCCCTTTCCCTTTCAGTTGTTGTTGTTGTTGGTTTTTCCCCTTCGCTTACCTAGGCTGCGCACTTGGGAGGGGCCCCATGGCTAACCGAGCTAACCCAACCCAACCCAATCGATACCTTGAAGGCGAAGCGAGGTTTCTACCCACTGTCCAGAAATAGGCTAGCGACACTTTGGAAGGTGCTGATCGTCTAGAATCCGGGCGTGCAACTGCCACTTTAAGATTCTGGATAGTTTTAGCATTTTGGACGGTTTAGAACATCCGGACAGTGGGGAATTAGTGTAAAGCTAAGCACGATAGCGTAAAACTAGGCACTTTAGTGTACCGGCGCTCACACTGGTGCTTGGCCCCCTTGCCTGCGGTGCCCGGATACCCTTAAGCTGATGGAGTTCAGGGACTGCTAGAGAGTACTACTTACGTATCCCCTGAACTGCTGAAAACACACTTTTCCAGGGCACAGCCCTGAAGGGAGGCGCTAAGGCTGCCTGGACGACTCCGAATTTCAGCGTACTTCGCTTAATTACAGGGTCTCGCTACAGGTGTGTTTGATTCGGCAGTTTAGGGGATATAGCTAGTAGAGCAGTACATCAGTAAGGGAACTTTACTTAAATCGATCGGATTTCACGTTATATTTAGTATAGTGTTAAAGTTTAAGATATAAGTAGTATACTAAGGAATTTCATAATAACTCCCCTATCGTATCCTAAATATTTATACGCTATTCGATCAACGGCTTAATCGTGGTATGCACATCCTGGGAAACAATTCCACAAGCGATTTACGGCATTTTTGCGTTTATTTGATCACGCTGGCTGACTTTTCGCCTGTTCGGTGCAGTCAAGATTCGGACTTTCTTTTGAACATCATACCAGGTGTGAGAAGAGCAGCTGGACTCGTAGAATGGTCACTGTGTTCACTACACCGCGGTGCGTCCTTGGCAGAGTCATTTCTCCACACTATGAATTCTCCGGGGTAGCTGTCTTCTCCACACCTCGTCTGTTTATCCAATGGAGGTGATGATCTGTGAAATCATAGGAATCAAGGATTAAAGAAATAGCATATCAAAACACTATATTACCAGCAAAAAACCCTCGCTGCCTAAATGTGCATTTACCATGCCAGGCTCCCACGGCGCACCTACTAAATGTTCACTTTCCCATTCTCCAACATCTCAATTGCCCCATATTTTTAGTCTTTGCAACTTGGTTCCTAAACGGCCCCGTTTTCTTATCCTCTAATCACGTAAGCTGTTTGAATCCAAACAGCCCAACAGGAACATCCCACTTCTTCAGAAAGGCCTGAAGATACGCTGACTCCAATATCGACTGCTTCTTCTCCTTTGTATCTTCGTCTTCGAACTCCTTGATTTTGGTTTCTTTGGAACTTGAGGCGGGGAATTTCTTTGAAGACCATGATGCGCGTGGATATGAAAGCATTCGTGAAGTGTTAGTAGGTTGGGCGCTCTGTTTATCATTTTGGATTCGCGGTATGGTGGGTGATGATTTATTTTCTTGAAGTTCGTGTCATTTGTATTCGGATTTGTTGAGTTTGGAGAGTTGAGTACATCGCAGTAAGCAAAACTAGTCGAACAACATCTATTATCCACCAGTGAGAAGACCCCGTTGCAGTAAAAGGTACGAGAAGACTTGGCGGTATCAGATTCACCGAAGGGCAAGATTACTTCGCTTATTTCTGGCTACGCAATTACGTCTGGAGCATGATTCAATTTAGCACTTCTCCTCATACGTCTGCTGGTGTTCAAACATGCTGGTAGGATGAATTTCGATAAAGGCAAACTCATTTGCTATTCTATGTATACGACGTCTAGCCCGCCTTCCTACGACCGCGCACAAGCCAAGGATCCGTCCCCTCCCTTTTCGGGTCCCCATGTTACTTTAAGTGATTTCGCCTGCTGATCAGATATATGCCAAACCAGCAAACTGGTGATGATAGCGTGACCCGCGGGCTGCGGGTGGAACACTCTCAGAATAGTATCGAAAATCAGGTCGCTGATACTGAGTGTTTTACGTCCGCGAAAGGCCGGGTCAGCAGCACTATTGTCTGGCAGCGAGACCAAGAGACTGGTGTTTGCGGCCTTGCCTGCCTCCACAAGGCCGAAGACCTGTTCACGCAATCCAGATGAGTCTTCAGACGGTGTTGATTTCCCTTGGCGCTTGTCAATGCCGATAAAGTCACCCGGGAGTACATCATCGAATCCAGGGATTCCACCACGGCGGGTCAACGTGGTTGGGCCGTTCTTTGTATCCCATTCAAAGAAGAGAAGACCGTCCCGGTCACCATCGGGCTCCTTCGTTGAGCCTTCGCAGAATCGGCCTTGTGTCTGGATGAAGTACTGGTTGTAATCAACAAACACAAACTGATCTCCTCCACGAGCGGCGGCAGCCTTAATCTGGTCGTTGACAGCATTGACTAAGTCATTCATGCGCTTACGACGCGCCTTCGTGAGATGTTGCTTCCGCTCAAGATTAAACCAGAACGCCCACGAGACCTTATCACAGTCGGTGGTCGAGTCGTCGAAGAAGTTAGCGTACCCGGTCCAATAAATGCGCCGGTCGGAACCGACTTTGTGCTTCAACTCGGCAGTGATCTTGTCGAAGTTCCCAGGCAGCACATCTTTAATCAGCCTCTCGGACTCGGTCAGCTGCTTCTCGCACCCGCCGTTTCCATTGTCGGAGTTCCACTGGTAGATGCATTGATTGAGTATACTCACGAGGCCGACATCGTTGCCTCCAGTGCTCAGCGTGATCAAGTCGTATCCCGTCCCGAGCTTCGATACTTGCTTACTCAAAACTTCTGGCGTCGTGGCGCCGGAGCAGGCCAAGAACTCCATTTTTGGCGCTGGGTTTGGCATCTGATCATATCGCTGTAGCATCATAGGATACGAGTTATCATATCGACCGCAGCTTCCAGAATCAGACAACTTTGATCCGGCTCCAATCCCGGCGGCACTAGCAATGTCAGCCATAGTGTTGACTTGAATGATACAGAATTTGCCTACTAGGAATCACCAATCGCAGCCCATTTTTTGATGAAGGTTAGATCTGTGACATCGGTTCCCTGGTCCGAGTTCTGTCGCTCGAAGAGGGACCGTAATGACCAAGGCAACCCTTGCACAACACTCGCTTGAAGTACCGCGAGCCCGGCAAAAGAAAGTAAACAGTGACGCATATTGAGCGACACTGGAAGGATGATGTAAAGACAACGAGATCAGACGATTGTCAGGTGAGATTGAAGCCAAAGTATGCACTGATGCAATCCAGCGAGCATATCGAAGAGAGAGCGACGGGAGCTGCTCTTCATATCCTTTTTTTTCCTCACCTCAACTCTAAGTTCGAGATGATGCAGCTGACTACCCTCCGCGAGATTATTCAAAATAGCCAAGCCATTGTGCATGGGTTGAGGCCGGGCATTGATAAAAACATTTTTTATAGATCTGAGTTTCGGCCTCGCTGTAAGCAAGTACGAAAGGTACGAGAAGGCCGAGGTCGCTTAGTTAGACGCTGCCTGCCTTTATGGCGAGGCTATTATAGCTAGGAATACAAGCCTTTGACAACTCACTACACTTGCACCTCTTTAAACTCACCGACAATTCCGGTTGCTAAGCAAGTCTGCCACTTTCATTATATTTCGTGTTTCACAATCCCTGAATACACTTGATAGTTAGCCAAGCCACGACCCGTGTTGTATCTATTCAAAGAACTTCTGTTGCGAACATGCTTTCTAATGCTTTACTGTTCTAAGTTCATCGTTCGGTCGTTCGGTCGGTCGGTCATACCACGCCTCGGGGTAGATTCTAGTGCACGTAAACGTCCTGCCTGTCAATTTAGTCTACGTTTCATAGTTTGAGTTCCTCGGTATTCTAATTTTACAAAACTAACACGCAGCTTCTCCTTGTGACGCCTTTTCGCTGGTGATTATGTAGCAGGCAAATGTTCCATAATTAAGCTGGTCGATTCCCTCCCTCTCTTTACATCCATCTTCTCCTCAACAAGAGACTTCTCGCATATCTTTAGACAACAGACCAAAACAATGTCATTCAACAAAGAGTCAAGTCGCCTGACAAGGCTCCTCCTGCTCCTCCTCGTCTGTCTCTCCGTCTTTGCTCAAGCACAAGGGACGGAAACAATTGAAATAACAACCAGTGCTCCCAGTTCCGTTCCCACTGTGCAACCAATAATAAGCCTCGGTATCAGGCAAGACAAGTCGGCTCTCAGCCAACGCAATTTCGTCTGGACATCTAAACTGCGGTATGACAGTGCTGTCAGTACTCTCTTCAGTGACGACGATCTCTACGCCCTGGCCAAACAAGCGTGGGATGAGATGCAGGCCGACATCGCGGCGCGCCGTCCAGGGAACGGGAAAAATGCAAACACCATCACGAAGAAGGACGAACCGGGTATGATGGGCCTGATCGCCGTGGGAAACACCATCTACCTGGCCAGCTCCATGAAGGGCGGCAAGTTCATCTACGGCTACACAGGCGCCGATGGCCAGCCCGGGCAGGTAGCATTGGCGCTTGACCGCTGTCAGATGGCGCTACGAACGGAAGTCGATCCGAATGTAGCACCTCACCACACGAACAAGGCGAGCTGCGCGGAGATTCTCGCCCTGCACCAGTATTATTTGGATCCTGCCGTTAGCGCGGCCGACAAGGCGAAGCTTCCGGCCGGAATGCGAGCAGCAGCATATGGGGACGGAGGTAACAAAAAGAGAGGACCCAAGCGTATGTTTCTTCCTTACTTCTCATTTTCCTCGAGAGCATTACTGACGTTCTCCACCAGCATACGAACCCTGTGCTGGTAAGGGGGGCGATGCGATGACCTGGGGTTGCTCCCAGTTCCTGGGCAGCATGAAGATCGTCGCACCGCCTCTCCCATCAGGCACCCTGTCTATTCCGACCCCGGTGCCCGTGGAAATCACCTACATCCCAGTCTGCGAAAGCTGAGATTTGGTATTTTAAGAGGTTGGAGATCGCGTAATGCTGTGCTGTGCTGTGCTTGCTGCCAGAACCCGGCTCATTAGACAACAAGACTGTAATATTACAGCGCTGCCTCTTTTAAATAGAATAGCACTATTTTTATGAATTTTGATCTGTAGTTGACTTTTTAATCGGACGACCAAAAGGGGGTGGGTCTTTGACAGGATTTCGACGTTCTCGCTTGTCTGGTGTGCGGATAATTGCATACACTGTCATAAACGCACGGGCTACCGCAAACCTTAACCGAGGAAGCGATTCTTTCGTAGTCCTACGAGTATCTCGTTATCCGGAGAAAATTACCGAGAATACCAGTCAAGCGGTCAAAATGATCCTGATCCTGATCCTGATCCTAGTGAGAGCCGTGGCCTTCTTTGGAAGTTCTACGTCCCATGTGCATGTGCATGAGAAACTTTGCGCCCTACGTCTGTTCGGATCTTGAGAAATCTTATGATGTCAGAGGCTCACAACTTCTCTCATAACATTACAAGGGTCTTATCTTCGCTGATTGATGGTACCTCGTATAAAAGCACAGGCATAATAATAGAGTAGAAGGCAGGATATATTTATGGTATGGACTGCAAAGTTAATTGACGACTAGTGTCTGAGCCTGGTGGGGCTATGAAGCGGGACGTTTCGCCTGGATGTTTATTTCAATGACTTGCATATGGACGGTCACGATTTGACTTGAACGCGGACCGTTTCGCATTGGTCTTCGGATTAATGTGACGCTAAAATTCGTCCTCTATGATTTTCACTTTGACGTCCCGGGTGGGAGGGACATCGATCTCGAAACTTCCCATCCCCTCGGGAACATGCAGAGCTAACTCCCGCAAGTGACCCTGGCGCGGCTCAACATACTTTTGGATCATATTCCTGATCGTCCCCGTCGCAAAACCTTCATCCCATTGGTAACCCCACCAGAATGCCTCGTCGCGCGTGAGCACCAATTGCTGGAGACCTTGAGGCAGGACCTCTGATAGACTCGGGGCGCTTGAGGCGTTCCAGCCCAGAAGCGTGACAAAGCTAATTTCGAGGCTCTGCAGCTGCGAAAATGACTTCAGTGACGTCAAGGATGATCGTATGCCCCAAGTTCCTTCGTTCCCGGTATCGATTGCCGTCGACGTGGCAAGCTCGAATGAGATGCTCAGATGTTTCAAGGTAGAGTAAAAGGATGCCAGCCCCTGTTTGATCATGGTCAGGTCAAACCATTCGCGAGCTTTTTCGGCATCAATCAAGACGCCGCAGTCCAGCGAGGTGAGTCTTGGACTGTGACTCAGGAGCAGGCCAAGCTCTGGTGCCTTGATCTGGCACTCCTTCAATGTAAGTCGCCGAGTCTGGAATGATCTGCCAAGGTCTGCTGCACTAGAATTGCTCGTAAGTTCTAGTCCATGTAAATACAGCTCCTCAGCTTCAGGCAGGTCAGATATTTGCAAGACCGGGACGGCGGAGATGTCCATTTGTTTCCAATCACTCGGCCCTTCGAGGGGTTCCGGCTGAAGGCGGAAGGCTTGGAGTTGCGAAAAGGATGATGGCGCGACTTGATGTATGAAGTCAAGAACTGGACTCCCGACGCGGTAGCATATTTCGACTTTGCGAAGCGAGCTCATCTGACAGATGATCTTGATCACTTGGCGCATATCGTCGCTGTCCAGCTCACAGGGACGCAAGTGAAAAATAACATGATGAGTGAACTGTGCATCGTCTGGTCGCTGTAGCAGCGCAAGCAAGGTGGGCGATGAAGGACTAAGCGTGAGCTCCATGTCGCTCGCTATATTGGGTGAAGGCGAGAGATTCACCAGAAGGAGACCAGGTATTTACCGAAGATTGTATGTAGAGATTTCGATTCGGTCGAAGGAATGAAAACGCCTCTGCGAGGAGGGACCAGTTCAGCTTTAAGGTTTCGGCCATCAACCAAACTAGGCCAAGTGATCGGTTGATGCGCAAACCTTCCCTGCGCCGTGCGGAGCTTAAGCTCTCCCGCAGGTTTCAAGTTTGCAAGCGAGGTGTCAACCTCCCAATAATGTCTCTGCATGAACACCCCGTGTTTAAAGCCCGCTTTTTCCGAGTGGAAAGTAACTCTATTATCATACAGTATCACTTCTTACTTTTTCATCTGTATGCATGCTGACGTAGTTGAAAGTGATTCTAATAATAGTCTTGATAAACTTCCTATTAGTTTGCGACAATAGCAATACCGTCTGCTTGATGCGAACAACACATCCTAACACTAGCGAGGTCCCAGGATATCATGTCGCATGTCGGCTGCCACGGGTTCTGGTGACGGCAGTGTTCCTCGAACAGTAGCGTTCCTGAGAGCAGAAGCTCCCAGGAGTTTGTGTACCGTAGCTTCCTCACATGAGAACTTTATTTTATCGGTAATCCGCCTTCGACACCTCCTTAGCAAACTCGGTTCTTTACACGGTGGTCGATTCTGCAACCATCCTTATGCAACCAATGAATCATCGTTTGTGAAGCTGCATCGATATCGTGGCAGATTTCCTCACTTCCTGACGAGTGACGACTCGCTATCCCATACACTCGAAGTAGGCAAGGAGTCGAAGCGGTACTAGTAGAGCAGAAGAGCAGAATCTACGACCGAGTACTTACAACGTTAGGCATAGCCCTAATTCTATACACCATTTGTCACCACGTTATTGCACTTATTGGTAATATTCTTACAGTCACTCAGGGATTTGTACCAGCCAAACCTCATATTTCCCATACACTGCGTCAGACAGTATCCATAAACGGAGTATTTTGTATTCATATTGTGGCGGGCCACGACCCGAACACCCACACAACAAGAGAGGTAGCAGTTCAAGGCACAAGGAGTATTTTGATACAAAGAAGCGGATCGAGCAAATCTCGAGATATCACATCTCTGAGGTACGGTATCTGTCAAATAAGAGGTGGAGAAGAGAATGGATTAGATAGAATCTCTATAAAGAGTGTAATTATTGTGATAATCTCAAGTGGTGTTATTGATGATGTTGTTGTAAAGGAGTGACAGTTCAGAATCTCTAAGTACCACCGCCCAGCTGCACTAGTAACGTGACCTCCCTCCACTACGCCAAGCACCAAAATCAGGTGGCCCTGCCACAATATATGCATCAATGACAATGTAGGTACAACTGGACAATACTTCAGCAAAAACCCGTTTGATAATGCTCCATTCGTACTATCCCAAAAATGCAAAAGCTCAAGAAATCCGCCCAAAGAACCGACCTCACACCATAACCAGGTAATTGCGGCTCCCTTATAGTCTGCGTTTGCCAACGCAATCTCTGCCTTTGTTGAGATCCTCGACTTCACCTTTGAGTCTCCTATGCGTCTTCTCGAGTCGTTTAGTCCGGGCATCGCGAGCTGCTTTCTCGGCGGCCTTTTTCTCCGATTCGACTTTGGCGGCTTCTTGTTTGTTTTGGTTTTCTGAGCACTTGTCCATCTTGTTTGTAATACGTATTGTTTCATTTGATGATGGATCTTCAATGGAGATGGTCCGTATTTCCCACTAACTGTGGAAGAGTTCTTTGCCTGCCAGCGATGTCTGATGAAGTCTAATGCTGACGATGTGTGGCGAATTGTCACAATGAATGCTACGCTAATCCATTCATAGCAAAGCATGTTGGTGACTCAAGTCCCAAAAATTGTCTTTGATGTTGCCCGTGTTCTTGATTTACGATTTTCTGAGTGAGGCGGATTCTTTTAGCTAGCAAGAACCTATTTTTGAAGAGTTGGAAGGTGGATGGTGGATGGTGGATCTTCTGGAGGTGGAGTTGATGTTTCTTGATAAAAGTAATCAAACAATCAATCAGTAAAAAAGATATGAAGATATAAATAATCGGAGAATTCATTTGATTTATTTTGCGTTGAGAGTGGGAGGGAGAGAAAGAGGGAATAAATGGATGGATGAATAGATGAATGAATACACAGTGCCCACGTACTCGACTTCTGATACTCTTGGTATAAAAAGTGTTACCTGCCGTGAGAGATAGAGACTTCTTGTATGCAGAATCGATAGTGAGACGATACCTCGCCCATTGGAGGGGGCGGAGGTTGCAGGATAGAGCTGGTGTGAGGGTCACGAGCGAATTACTAACTACTGTGTGTGTGGTACTCTTGGGTGGTAATGGAAGTTATGCGTGGTATGGTGGGGGTTTTAGTGTCTGTCTGTCGATTGGGAGGCGGTCGGTGGTGATGTCCTGCTGCTGTCATTGCGTTTCTTGCTGTCACGTTTCCCCTTCCCTCTTTCCTTCTTGTCATTCCCTTACAGTCTTTCATTCTCTCAGGTGCAGGTTCTACGCCTCATATGATGATAATGGTCCTAGTCTTTCATCAAAGTTTATTCATTCTTCCTTGGAAGGATCTTTTGAGAGGGAGATGAACAAAGGGAGAATGAACGTTGGCTCGCGTGGCTTACCTGCCAGTGAAGGGGTAATCTGTTGCTCTAGACAGTTTGGTGGTGAGGTGACCTGCTGTCCCTGAGTTTGTTTCTCAATATGGAACGATCAAGCTGTCCTGCGGAAGGTGACCTTGACCCACTGGTCTTGAGTCTGCTTCTCCACAAGAATCAAGCCAGGCAATAACCGTGGCGAGAGCGTTTATGACAGAGAGATTGAGAATGCAGGTGTGTACCTGGGTATTCAAGGGGAAGTGAGGAGATGGGTGGGGGTATTAATATTTGTGTGGGCGGAGAGGGGGGGAATGAGATGTTGGTTGGGGTTATGAGTGGGAGGATGAGTTGTGGTGGATGGCTTAAAAGTGAGAAACTGAGAGGGTGTGAATGACTGAACAGTAGGGCAGATGATGGAGTAGGGTGTGGGGAGTGAATATAGGCGATACCTAGGGATCAAGTCCTTGGTTGACGTGAATTCACGGGAGGTGTTTCAGTCTGTCACGTGGAAGAATAGCGTTGGAAGAAGCAGAGTCGTGGAGGTATAAATATCTACTCCCTCCTCATTTGTTGGGAGATCATCACAAAGCAGATGTGTATGGATAAAATACAGATATGAAGAGGTGCTTTGTCTAAGTGTTTGCGTACGTACCTTTCTTTGTTGATTTTTTAGGAGGTGCAGGGGGTGATCGATGATTTGATGGGGATGTGGTGTGGTTGTGTGATACTCTCTGTGGCTTCCTATTGCGACCACAGAACAGAACCCCAAACCACGATTGGCGTATTACAGATCCTGCCGACAATAGAACTCCGTTTTTACGGGAACTTTGTAAAGGCTGGGGGGTCAAGCGCGGAGGAAATATCGCGCAAATATTTGGTACGGTGGGTCCCTCATCTTTCAACTTGAATGGTATAATACTTGGCAACCAATTTGCTTCTGTTGCCATTTCAAATCTTGCTGTCAAATTCCTCCCTGCTTCCTCCCCCTTGTTGTAAGACATCCCTACTTCTGGACACCGTATCTTGTATCAACTCCTCAACCATCTCTTCTCAGAGTCCCACCTACCAGACTTGTTCCTCAAATACTCTATTCAGAACAACATCGATTCCTTCAATCCATATCTGCGACGTGGGAATCACACAATTTAAGCCGGCTATTTTATCCCGGCTCTGGGTACTGCTGTGGTTGTGGGAGATGGAGGCAGGTATTTATAACTTTGTGTAGACGAGGTAAGGGAGAGAAATGGGGATGTGAGGCGCTGACTGGGTATTTGGAAGTGAATCTCCACGAGAGCAAAACCCTTGATCTTCCGTGGGTCACACCTTTGGAAGCTTTAACAACATTGGCATCACGAAAGTAGCTCCCCTAGAAGCTCCCCGCGGTGAGACCAAGGGTATTAATTGCGCTCTGCACATGCCCTTGTACCGTCTTCTCCTATGCAAAAGAAGTCCAGATAGACGCGCATGAGCAGATTTAAAACTTGAAGTACGCCATTTTTGTGTTATTCGTGGTTTTACCGAAGCACTTCTGCTTTGAGTTTTTCGAATTCTGCAAGGAGGATGTTGTGGTGATTGCTGAGACTTTGGATATCTCTGGCAAACTGACTTGTAGATTCTTGAATTTCCTGTTTGAAGTATCATCATCGGTTTTGCGATTTTCAGATTCAAAGCTGTTGTCGATATTCTCTCCAATCTGCAGTCGTCCTTACCTTCTCTTCTAATCGCGGACATGCCAGACGTTACGTGACCAACAGCTCACCAAGCATATTTTGTTGTTTTTCCTTTCATATACACAATGTGCATCTACGGATACGAAAAGATAAGTCGCATTGTTCTACCTGTCGTACTATCTGCAGTACATGTGCAGCGCTTGAGAGACCTAAAATATCAATCCGCAGTTGCCAAGACAGAGTCTTTTGGTTGGACTCGACGATTGAATTGATATCTCATGCATGAATGAGATAAGTCACACATGTAAGCATACCCCGTCTTAATCCAATATTCCAGGTAGAAGGTGAATGTACATTGATTGATTTCCGCCCGCAGTGCTCTGGAGGTCACATGTGCCCGCTGGATGGTGGTGGTGCGAAGATGCCGACGATACCTGCCCTATAAAAGAACCGCTCTCTTACAAATGAGTCTCGGTTTAAAGAGACAAAGAATTCAAGACAAAAATCGAGAAGTTCTCTTCTTGTTTGACGACTTCACTGAGAAGTGACAGAGCCGTCCAGTATGTATTCCCTTTTTTCCCCCGTACCACGCTTCACTTGAGCGCGAACACATAAGCTTGGAGTTGTTTACACTGCATTGGAAGTACTCTTAATTTGCTAGCGACTACTGTCTTCCGTTTTTTGTTGTCACAAAATAAGTTTGTCGTCATCATCCTCCAGCTGTTGTCACTCTCACCTCCCATTCCATTGAGGAGCCCCAGCAAAGTTGAAGTGAATTAAGCGAACCGAAAGTAAACAAAACCTCTCCACTCAGCTTTCCCCAAACATCAAGACTTTAAGACTATATCTTGCACCCAAGACCTGAGATCCCCAGTACTGATCGGCAGGTGCGATTCGGAGAATACATGGTTACTTTTGGGAGTGGCGTTCAAGAGTAGATATTCCGGATGTTTAAATATGTGGGTGAGGGGTGGCGGGTCGGTGACGGGAAGTGGCGTAGAAAACGGTGGGAACGAGTGTGAATAGAATTCTTTGTGAATGGTATCTTATTCGATATCAATTGATATTCTGTTTGGGAGAGGCCGAAAGTTTGGCGATAAAAGGTATAAATATACAGGTCACCTTTCTTCCAAAATCCTCAGGCCAGGATATCAACGAACTGAACAACTTACCGGTGTGAGGTGGATTTGGTCTTCAAAAGGCGATTTCTAGGTATTTAAGAGTCGCGTTCTTCTGTTGGCTGTTTGACTGTCCTTGTGGTTCTGGAGCTGGCCACTCGTAGAGGTTTTGGTATTGGTTGGGAGCATGCTGTTCGGCGAGGAATTGAGAGTTGTTGTCATATTGCAAGTTATTGTCATGCGTAACTTTGACTTATGTCTGCACTGTTACAACGAGCTCCTTGAACTTCAGTGACAATCTATCAAATTCGCAGTACGACACGTGAGGGTGTGAGTGTTACTTGGAGACGATATTGCATCTCCCATGTCATTATGTGTCATTTTAACAATGAAAATGAACTGTGCCGAGGGCCATGTTCAAATTTCCGTATCTCAGCTACGAGAAATCACAAAGTTCTTGGTACAATGCGCGTCTTTATCAATTCTTGCAGTTGGGAATACCGCTTAAATTCAAGTCGTCCCAAAGAACTGAACAACACGCATGACTGGAACCTGAACAAATTAACGCCATGATGTAATCCAAACTTTTTCAAAGCACTGAATCTCAAGAACCCTAAAATTGGAGTAAAACAACGCCATGAAAACCCAGTAAACCACCCAAGTACTCCCTCACGCATCAATTTGCCTACTCTCGTCTCATTGTTATCCTCTCTACCCTTTTAGCGTCATCTATACATATTTCGATGGCACTGCAACAAAAGGTACAAAGGTGGACCCCCATGCCGTCCAGGAACTATTGTTCTTGTTCTTGTGAGCCTTCTCCATTCGTCGGACCACGATAATCATCCTTGTGCCAAGGAAAAATGGGCTTCTCAGGAGTAAGCGGAGTCTCGTCGCAGTGCTGAAACTTGCTATCGTATTGATCGGTGTCAAAGCATTCAGGACAACGGTTGTGGACTCCGAAACGACTCGTTGCACACTTTGGTCCTTCACACTTGTCGGGGATAGCCGGATTGTAGACTCTGGACTCCATGCTTCGCGATTCTTCGAATTTGTTGGTGACTTCGCACTTGAGCGGGGCTGTTAGCAGGTTTTTCTTTTTGGTACCTGAGAAGGGAATATGTACCATAAAGCATTCCCAGCCACAGTGAATAATGTTCGGGGCCATTTTAAGTGAGGGGATGAATGAAAATATAGGTTGCCGAGGTTGATGAGAATGAATGTGTATCGTAAAGTATGTATGTGAGTAGCTCTACTTTTGTGTTTGGCCAAGTGTGGTTTCAGAGATGCTTTGCAAGTGGAAGCTCTGCGCTGAGGATAAGAGAGACCTGAGTAGTTATACACTATTCACCTCTTTGATGAGATTAGGCAATCCGAAATAGATTCGGCCAATGGAAGTTCGTCGTCGAATGGAGACCTGTATCATGATGCAAAGGACCACAAGGGATTCGCCACGAACACGTCTTGTACCGCCAGGAAACCATACTATCCAAGCGTATTTAGCATCATTCTTTCACTATTGGTAATAGTTCACCGACCAGCAATCCTTGCCCAGATTCGTAACCTATCTTTATCATAAGGCTGCGCTTTAGGACGATGGAGAGTCACTGGAAAAGTAGCAAAGAGATGGTTTTCCTAGTCTCGGAACATTTAATCAGCTTTCAAGGATACAGGCTGGAGGATTCAAGCTTTCCACTGTGCTAAAAATAGATTTCCAAAAATGTCATGAAGGAAGAAATGAATATTCAGGGATTATCCCATCAAGTGGCTGTAGGTCCTGAACAAATGCTCTTTGTAGTCCAGGCAAGTTACAAACAATGAATCCTTGCTGGAAGGTTGAAAATTCTGACATCAGTTTCATGCATCTAAAGTGAGTAAAGCCGACACGTAATTATAAACCCTCAGCGATCCACAACAGACACTAATCGAAGCCATTAGCTGACAGTATGTACAAATTTCCAGTCTTTGTGTGTCTAACAAGTAGCACAGAACCGTATTTTGCCGTTCCAATATCCAAGAACTGCATTCTTCCATTCAGTCATTCTAAACCGCTTGCTCCTTCAACTTATGCCTTATAAGTCTAGAAGATTTATCATTAGTTTTGGTGGTCCCATTATCTCCAAGTCTTGCTACGCTCTTTGGCTGAATATTTTCGTTGGCCACTCCACTCAGAAGCTCGCTTAATTTCAAAATAGTCATGAAGCTACAATAAATGTTACTAGGAATCAAGTTCTTCGCAATATGAATAATCTAGTACACCGTTTTGAAAACATTTTCCAAGGCAACTTGTCAATTAACTTTCTAAAATGACAAGATCTTTTGGCAGTCCACTTTTTTCACAAAGCAAGTAAGAGTTGAAGCAGGTGGCAGCTCCGAATTTTCTGGAAACCCGATCGCTATTCCATTTCAATAATAACTACCCCTAAGTGCAGTAATTAACATCTGCTAAATGAAAGGTACCACAGAATCTGTGAATGATGACGCCATTTCCCGCGCCCAGAATACAGTAATCAAAAATTTCAAACAGAAAAAAAGATACTGCAAAACTTGCAAATAACTCCAAGCCCGTATCCCCCAAATTTTAAGAAAACAACATAGAATCTGAGACTGTGAGAGAAGTACCAAGAGATTGCACTGCAGTGCACATGTGAAATGAGCGTTGAAAAAAAAGTCCCCCAACAATGCAAAACGTCACGCCCCTCCACGTCTGGAGATGCGTGCCATTCTGCACATCGAATGTCACCGGGTAGGTCGTTCGGGTGTGGGTCCACATGGTGGACACCAACATGTTCCTCGTCATTGTGAAAGTTCAATGACCTTGCACCAGAATACAAATTAGAAAATCTCCCACAGCGTCGACGATTTCTGCAGTTTTCTCCTCTGCACACTGGCTCGCAAACGTCCTCGCCATACAATGTGATAGAACTATCAGGCGGAAACAATTCTAAGCGCCAGGAAATTGAGAAGACTGCAAACCCCCTGGCTAACACCAAATCTTCTCCGCTTCAGATGGCAGGCGATCACCTGTAAGGGTGCCGGCTTCGCTGCGCTTCTGGTTCACTTCCATTTCCACCAGCTGGAGAACCATATTGAGGAAGAGATGCTTCTGATCCTCGACCGCCATCTCCACTGGTGTCGCTCCAGTACTCGGCAGTAGGATCCGTCCACCCCTCACCGCATCGCTGATATTGGAGTCGGTCCTTATCAAGGTAAACGCACGTCTCACATCTACGGTGACCTTTCACCCTATCGCAAATATTGGTACCTCCCAGGCACGCCGGCTGTGGTACTCCTGGTCTGAATATCGGGTCGAATTCTTCCCCAACGACACCGTCTACCATGTTCTCATAAGTGCACTACATAATAGTAATCAAGAATTAGCATTTGTCTAAGGCAGAGGAGTAATATTGGACACCAAACATACTTTACAGCATTCCCACCCGGCTGGCGGAGTAACGTTAACGTCCAGGTACCGCTGCATGTCTTTAGTGATCTGGGAGAAGCACTTTTCCCGTCGGCGATGTTTTGACTCGTAAATTCAAGGTGGAATCTGTGAATGGTGATCAAGATATCTTGGAAAAACTTGAAATATTTACTTTTCCCGTTATCGACAATTGAGTGTAGTAATCTTGTGTAATTCTGTGGTGAGGAAGGAATATGCGTCTACAGCGAGATGAGGTGGTATTTATACGTTCACAAGAGGTGCTGTTCTAAATCATGACAGAATTGAAGACTTATTTATATCAAAAGAAGTTTTTGTCCTAAAATATTCATAAAGAAAGAAAATATTTATGGTATTATCTGAAGGCTGGCTTAAGCGTACAAAACCAAGGAACTCGGTTTTGCTTATGTATAGAAGTAGCGATCGCCCTACACTTTGATGATCTTTGGACTTGATAAAGACACTAGGATCCAAATTCGTCACAGTGGCAAGTTCATTAACTATTTATTCATCTATACAAATTTAGTAACTGTGAGTCTTTCATCTGCTGTACGGTCCAGGTACACAAACCAGTCACATTTTTGGATCAAGAACAAGAGAATAAGGACGGGCAGATAGTTTGAGCATATACATAGTATATTTCATGAACAGTATGTCTACAAGAAGAATCCAAAAAGTTATTTACAAAGAATCGACGGCTCGCTGACAAAGGCCTGCTCCCATCACACCTATATACAGATCCGTGAGGCGGGATCACCGTGTCCCCATCACTATACAAGCCCTTTCACTCTTTGAGCAATTAGATGGCGGTGTCAGCGTTGTATCTGGTACCCTTGTTGGCAGTGTAGAAAGATGACAACCAAGACAGCAAGGTATCAAGGGTTGTACCGGGAGGAGGAGCAGAATTCTCGCGAGAGGCTACGCTAGTCTCAGCTGGAACACTCGATGGTGCAGGTCGGGTGGCAGTTTGGAAAGTTGTGGCGGTTGCTGCGGCGGCGTGAACGTTCAATCCAGCGAAGTCAGTGATGGCTGCGGCTCCAAGCGAGGTCTTAGCCTTGCAAGCTGATTTCTTTGTGCTGACAGGTGTGGCAGTGGAGGTCTTCGCCTTGCATGCCGACTTGCGAGTGCTGACGGGGGTGGTAGAGTTGGAGAATGGGGCAGAGGTGGCTATGCCGGCTGCGGTGGATGTCTTTGCTTTGCAGGCGGACTTCTTGGTGCTGGTAACGGCTGGGGCATCAACAACAGGAGCTTCTGAGGTAATAACACCGGCGGCGGAAGACGTCTCCTCGACCACGATAGAACTTGTTGGAAGGCCGGTTGGGATGGTGACTGAGTCTGCGGATGTGATTATAGGCTCGGCCGAAGCGGATGCAACGTCTGAGGAAGCTGGAACTGGGAAAACAGTTGCAGTGGAGACGGCGATAGGAGCGGCAGATGGAGCGACCGGCGAAGATCCAGATCCAGATCCGCAGACCGCAACCTCTCCTCCAGGAGCCTTGTAAGAAGAGATCTCGAAGCCTAAGGACGTTAGCGTAGCCGAGAGGCAGACTGGAGTGACATACCATTGTAGACATTCGGGATATAGATGGCGGGCTCCTCAGCCGTGTATGCTCCAGGAAGTTGGATCTCTGGGGTACACAAACCGGCTGAACCAGTACCGGTGATCTTCAATTGCGCACAACCAATGTAGCTAGCGGATATTAGCAGAGAAACTTCTTGGAAGAGGGACGGACTACTCACAATTGCGCACCACCGATTGTCTGAGAGCCGTGGAGAGCAAGCATCTCGGATCTGAGCAAGTACTCGCCACTGGCAAGGCCGGTTGGCAACTTGAAGCTGTAGGTCATGTCCTGAGCCATCATTATTTCGTTTGCCCATATTCCATTCTCCGAATCAAACTCGTCAATCTTAACCCATGATCCAATACCAGTAGCCATGGATGCATCATCGACAGGACCGTAAAGCATGTGGGTGATGGGACCCGGGTGGGTGGAGCTGTCCCATTTGACCTTGATTGTGTCTCCCTCGTTGGCCTCGGTCGTAATAACTTTTGAGGGGACGGTGTTTCCTCCAACGTTGCAAGTGATATCATTTGATGTTATATCGGTCACAGGGCTGTTGGATGGTGGCATACGAATACCAGTGTCAACACCTGGAGAAACATCGTTGACCCAAAATTGGTGGAAGTTCTGGTGTGCAGAAACGGCTGTAAGCAGCGAAGCGATAATAGCAGCGTTGGAAAGCATTTTGAAAGAGTGTCGTGGATCACAGATCGCACAGATGAAAAGAATGTGAGGGTCGAAAAAGTTCGAACGGTAGAACGAAGGTATGAACGGAGCGCTGGAATCAAAGGCTTGCTTGGGAGGGAAGAGAAACCGCCTCCATGGTGACAGGAACGGAACAGTTATATGATCTCTCGGCTTCACAGCGGAGTGGGCCTATGGCGCTTGGTATCCGCATGCCAGAAAGTAATTATCGGAATGTTTGAGAGAAGGGGAAACGAAATGAACAAACAAATCAAGACGGAACAGCATTCTGCCTTGGCAGGCTCGTTTGAAACAATTCAAGACCTGTGGAATCGTGCAAGCCTTCTAAATATTGGATGCCAGACCACCTTTTGGGAAATAATCCACCAATATGGTAGGCCCTGGTGGGGTCTCCGGAGATCGTAACGGGTGCACGCACCAAGGTGGAGTGGTTGAACTTTCAACATCAGACGAGATGTTTGGTTTTGATGAAATAAACGCCCAATTGAGTATGCGTCATGCTGGGGCTAACTCCTTGTCAATCTCAAAGGCAGAGCCGCGTAACCGCGCGGTCAACGCGCAGGTCAATATTGATTGACCGGCTGGAATGTCCCACACCCATCCTCTCGGGCGTGAGGTGGACGAGGAGATTCGGAATCTTGCAACACATCCTAATTATTGGACACGTCTAACTGAAGCTCGACCAGATAAAATGTCAAAAGATGGCAGGAAGGCCGCTTCGTCCCATGGACTTGGGATGTGGAGATCGCAAGGGTTGGCCAAGTCTTGGCTCACTGTGCCGCGACCTTTCCTCGCTTTCCCCTTAATCTACACAAAACAAGACCCCCTAATTAAGCGAGTTCGGCTCCAGCCACCAGGACCGAACTTGAGCCAAGAAAGGTCTCCAGGGCAGAAGGCCGTATAAGAAGGTGGGAGGGTCTCAATGTTTGATGGAGATGGTTTTCGATTGAGCGAAAACGTGCCACATCATAGATCGTATTTGCTGTCCGGCAGATTCGACTGAATACGAAGCGTGCTGCGAAATCCCAAGCTCCTCCTGTTCAGAGGTAGCTCAAAGGCAATAACAAGTGTTGCTTGCCTAGACCACCACTTGGACCAGTGATGAAAGCGCTGTCCTCGAGTCCACGCATGGTTACTGAGGAAATTACAGCGTTGAGAAGGGAATCATGAAGCGGTTGACAGTTTTTCATCGGGGTGCAAGGACTTTTATATTCAAAGATATCTAGATACTAAGCATAAGCATGCTCAATAACCTTAAATTGAGTTATACTTTTTTCCGCACCGCATGAGCGTAGATCTCTTTTAGAGAGAACTTAATCACTCGAAAATTTCTCCGAGCCACGATACCCGAGTGAACGGTGCGCCCGCTTCACAAACAAGGTTAAAACCACATGCAATCGCCAAAATTTGTAGCGTATCATTGGGTTCGGCTGAACAGCTTGCTTATTTTTGAATACGAAGACCTGGTGCTGCTCACCTTTGCATGTCATACACCTCCGCTATCATCATGACCGTCACTATCTCGCGGTTTGCCTGGAGTGGCCATTAAGATAAGCTAGAAGCTCGCTTACAGTGTTGCTGGTGTTTTGTACCACCAGATTATTATTTACACCTTACGTATTAAATCATCCGGGATACTGTGGATTCTATCTTCAAGTATGGAAGTAGATACGTAGCATCACGCTACAGTTATATTTTGCCATGTTCGGGGAAGCTTCTCAGACTGGCGGCGCAGTCGGTACTCCCCTCGCTTATGCGTAAATACTCTCCCGACATAATAGCTCACATGCTCAGACTACTGACGAAGAAACTCGTTATTATCAACTCCAGAGTTTCAGAGGAGTTCAGTGAGTACAGAAAATTCTCAAGGCACAAACTTTCATGATACAGTCAAACAGTTAGGGGGAGATTAGCACAGGTCAACACTTCAACGCCTCAATGATACTGTACGATAGAATTTCTTGTCACATCATGGCCGCACCGCTCTCCAGAGTGTAACAGGTAGGAAGTGAAATCCGACGAGAATATGAAGGGGAAAGTGTTGCATTTTGTGCACGATGATACTGGTTTGCAGCACCGGTAGCCACTCATTCATCCCCTCTCTTCTTCCGCACCTTCCTCTCCTTCCTAATCCTCCTCGTCTGCTCATCCATCCTACACTCCATCTCCCCTGCCTTAACACCATGCTTGTTTAGCATATGTCTACTACACCCATCTTCTCGTGGAAAGTGTTTTCCGGTTCCAGCCTCGGAACGGCTACATCCAACGACAGGACAGTAATACTTTTCGCGATGAACGTGCACCGAGTTGATATGGCGATCGTACTCTCGCTTGGTGGCTTGTCGCTTGGGACATAATGGACATTGGAATGACATGGTGTGATATCTTGCGTGGTGGCTGAGAGTGAGGACCATGTCAGATAGAGTGTGGTGGAGCCAGGCACCGAGCAACTTACTTGTACGCTGCTTGAGAAGGGAATGACTTTTTGCACATTGGCCACGTACAATCAATTGAAGGACTTTGCTTTGTTGCAGTTGTTTCGCCTGGACCAGAAGTAAGGGGCTGTGGCGATTTCCCAGTGAGTTTGGACCGTGTTTGCTCGGTAGTGCTTGATGTGTTGGCATCAGTTTCAGAATTTGAGTCTGACATGGCGAAGAATGTTGTTGATGCATCCAGCTCTGGTAGTGTTTCGCTTGGAAAGCGATTTGTGGTTACATGAAGTGTCCCGAATTGACTCCATGGTCCGGAAAGGTCAATAGGACGACTCATGTTGTTCTCGTTTGGAGACGAAAGTTGCCACTGGTTACAGGGCAGGTTGGAGGGAAACCCTTCGATAGTAGCAGGGGCTAATAAGCGCCCGTTGGAGTTAACAGAAGCGTAATAGTCTCTGCTTCGATCGAAGAAGTCCAAGTTGTGGTCCCAGGAATTTGGCAGGTTCGATGAGTTGGTCCAATCAAATGTCCAGACACCAGTTGAGTCAGGATCGCCGGTTAGGGTAATGCAATCATCAGTAGGTAAGCATGTAGTATTTTGCTGGTTAAGCAACAGGAGTGACTCGGTGTCTTCGAAGTACGACTGGATCTCCGTCGCCTTGGTGGCGGTCTCCCTAGTCTCGAGGCCACCACCAAGGCGACGGAGATCCAAATAGTCTTCTACTCCATCTTGGAAGAAAGTCTCGTCAGTTCCAGGGAGCGGGGCAAAACAATCATCAAAATTTGAAATTCGTGTGTTTGTGGACGAGGCTGGGTGTGAGGAATAGTTGATTGTCGCGAAGACTGCGCAGAAGCCACCGCCCGCAAGGCGGGGTTCTGCAGGTTTGGTGGGAGAAGGACACCAAAGGAGAACTTCGATGTTAAGGATAGAATGCCGGCAAGGCAGAGGAGAAAGATTGAAGGTGCTGCTGGTTATTGAAAGAGGGAAATGGGAAGAGTATAAGAAATATCCTGTGAAAATGGGGCCTCCCAGCCGGATAAATGAGGTTGGGAAGTGCTGCCCACGTTGGCAAATCAAGAGATGCAGCAAGCGAGACATTTGGGGCCTCCCAGTGGGGAGTGCAGCCAATCATAGGAACTAGTTGTACTCGGCATCAGAAGTGTAAGATAAGAGCTGCAATTTTCATGCGGCCTTAGAAATGAACGGCCTGCTTTGTTCGAAGTCTTGATTCCCATGCATTGTTCGGGAACAATGACATTCTTGCCGGTGAAAGTAGAGACAAACTTGTAGGGTGGTGAAGATCAGAAATGGCGCAACAATACAATGAATGTGTACAGGGGCCTACCGTAGGGAATTAGATTTAGCCAGTAATTCTTTGCACTTGAACATCATCAGCCATATACATAGCCACGGCCTCTCAAACCTTCATTCATCCACCTTCACCAACTTCTCCGGCACACACCTCCAACTACAACCCCTCCTAATCAACGGCACCATACTCTCCAAGATATCCCTATCATTCTCTCTCTGCCTCAACGGACTTGCCGCACTTGGAACTGCCTCATCCAAATTCTTCGCAATCTCCCACCACTCGATCCATTCCGTGCGGGGAAGGACAAAACTCCTCTGACATATCGTACACAAACTCCCGCCAGATTCTTTCTTGACAGCAGCGTTCGCCAGCATGGTGTGTAGATACTCGGGACTGTCCTTGGGCAGGAGTTCCGAGAGAAAGGGAAGCTGAGGACTTCGGCAGCAGGCGGTAAGAGCCACTTCTATTAGGGAAGGAGAGCGGGAGATAGCGCCACGAGAGGTAGGTGGTTGAGGTGTGTCGTCTAGATCAGCGACTGGTATCGAATGGTTGAAGGTTGGCCCTTTCACCAGCTTCCCCGTTATGTCTAGATATCTGATATCGGTGCGGGCTTGGAACTTGACTTTCCACCTCGGGTGCCAGTTAGGTCCTGAATGATTGGCTGTATATGCTACAGCTGCATCCTTGAAGGGGTTTTTGGGGGTCCGGTTTCCAAGCCCGATTTTGTACGGGAGTTCTTCCACTTCCATCTCTCCACTGTCCGGGAACTGTGCTTCATGGAACAGGTTCGGATGTAAATGTAAACTGCTCAGATCACTGGTTTCGGTGAGAAGGTCAAGGATTTCGTAAGGGAGATATCGAAGGCCATTTTGCGAGAGGTTGAGTTCTCTTAGACGCCGCAACTTCCCAATACTTGGAGGCAATTCATGTATTTCATTGTCGCGTAGGCTCAGCACGGTAAGGCGCTCGAGGTTGAAGAGTTCAGCCGGTAGTGTTGTTAAGCTGTTAGAAGAGAGGAAGAGCTTAAGCTTGGGCTGCAAGGGGAAGAAGGCTTCGGAAGAAGTTGGGACACGAGTGAAAGCAGCCAGAGGTCTAATAGTAGCACTGGATAGACTCATCAATGATCGCGACCTGCAATATTGTTAGTCCTGGGTCTAGTGTGCTTCTGAAATACATACGATAAGTCAATGATCTCATTGCCATCCTCCAGACACGACTCAATCTGCGCTCTAGCGAGTTCCTCGGGCGACGGTGCCACTCTATCTGTCTGAACCTCCCGCGACTGTCTCACAGGCAACGCAGACGTATTCGCAACCTCTAATTCCTCCAACCCCTCTCCCATATCCGTGCCATCGCTGCCCATAAACACCCCACTATCAAACTGTCTCTCGAACGGCCTCTTCTTTTTCTGCTGATCCCGCTCACCCATTTCCTGCGATGTCGAATCGGGCTCCGGCCGCTGTCGATACCATGGCCCTCGATATTTGCGTTTCCGCCGTTCCTGCGTGTAGTTGTCTGCGGATGGGTCGTCGTCGCTAGAGAAGATGGCTGGATCGCTGGAGACGGGAGGGCTACTTCTAACGCGTTTCCTAGGCGCGCCTTTCGAGAAAGACTCTGTGGCTGGATTCCAGGTCAGTCGAGGAAGTGGAAAGTCCTCTGACATTGTGGGAATAGTTTCCCGTCTCTGAACACTGGATCTAAGTCAATTGGAACAAGTGGTGGATTTACGGGAAGGTTGACTTGGGAGGTAAACAGCGCGTGCCGTCGCAGCCTTGTGGCGCGCCAAGGCATTTGGGGGTCCTCATCTGGCCACGCTTCTCTTCACCTGACCAAACCTTCACTTCGCAGAACGGGCTCTTTTCCTCAGATATACAGTGCCAAGGTATGGCTACATGTAGAGAGAGATCCCGCGACTCAAATAGAAGAGGCCAGATATATAATGTCGCTCTTTTTAGCCTCAAGTAAGGATAGGACTCTCGCAACCAATTTCTTGAATCCGATGCAGTTGGCTAAGTGCCATCTGTGAGCTATAAATTCCTTTATACACTTTCGGGAATATAAACACCTGCTTCTCTATTGATTCTCGCTGAAGCATCACCTCGGCTGAAGGCTGAGACATCGATGTCATCGTTAAGATTCCTCATTGTGTTGTAACCACGTCCCTAGAATGCTAATGACGAAGCTTGAGTAGATACGAGTAGCTGTGTAGTTGTTGATATTGTGCAAGTGCTGATCCAGGATCTTTACGAGCGTGACCAGCCAAAGCTCGGGACCGCGTACAATAGTACAAGTATCTATGCTGGCGACAGCTTCATTCAATTGAATGCTGCCTCATAGACCAAGTCCCAGACAGATACTTTGCTCTGTAATACTCTTCCTATATGTTCAGTCATACATGTCTAATGACCGCAAGGCAAGCTTGCAAATGCCTTTCTGATCCAGAGGCTCTCAGCTCTCGAAAGCTCCCAGACGCCCATCCAATGCATTGTAATGCCCATACCGGTCTCTAATCCCAATCATCATCACTCTCAACATTCGCCTGTTTCCCACCGGACCTTATCCCTCCTTTCTCCCTTTTCTCCTCTTCCAAATCCTCCTTGTCCCTCCTGCGCCTTAATATCCTCACATCATTATCTCTGACAGCGCCAATGTCAATTAACAGCTGATCAATCTCCGCCATCCCGATCCTCACACCCCCAATCGTCATCAACGTCACGATCTGCTTGACAATATCCCCTTTGTTGTAAACAAGAATCGTTGGACAATTCCGATCCGGATACCCTTCAATCGCCATATCCCCTCTGATCTCACAGAACTTGATTTCGCCGTACTCTCGCGCTGCTTGTCGCCATAACTCTGTCAGGACGCGCGATTCAACATTCGTTCCCAGTCCGCTGGTCAGGTTGACAAGGACTGGTCCATCTTTACTTGCATCTGTGACTGCTCGGGAGTAGTCGGGCTTCGAAATTGGGTAGACGGAGCCGTGCACTGCGGCTTTGGCTATGAAGGAGAGCTCTTGGACCCGCTGCTGCCGGTACTTTTCTAGGAAGGATTCATCTTCTAGGTCTTCAAGTTCGTCAAGTTCGTCGAGGTCTTTGCCTTCTAATCTGTTCTCGTGTGCGAGACGTCGTCCTTCAAGAATAGCTTCTTCAATGAAAGGTGTGGGGGATGGCGGCTTTTCTGGAATGATCTTGTGCTTTCGGAGGATATCATTCCTGGAATGAGTTAGATTTTGGTTTCTTGTGAAAGTAGTCGCAACCTGCCCAAACCTGCGTTGACGGCCATTTATCGAATAGCCCATGCAGCACCGACACAAAGAAAAGAAGAAGAGAACCTACCATTCTGTATCTGCATTTGGGTCATCTATCGGAACGCTGATGCGCTCTTCAACCGGTGCTGCCATTGTTGGGTAGTTGTAGGTATTAATGTCCAAAGCCGCATTGTTGTCTGCGGGAATCGCCTGCCCCTCCAGCCTTCCAGGCAGTAGCCTCGTCAACGCACTAAGCTCATTCGGGCGGCACCTTGCTCGCTTACAATTTATCGACCACACACTATTTTGGAGAAAACCCCTCCCGAGCCTCTTTTCCTTCAGTCATCGACAACGACAACGACTGACCTCTGCGCTCTCGACCGTCTTCAACCAAATATCAATCCGACGAAAGACCCGTCAGTCACAGAAAATAAACCCGATTCCGATCATAAATCGTCAAGATGGTAAGGACTTGCCCTCTGCAGAGATGGATTACGACATTGCGGTGAAGGGGCGATCTTCAAGCACACGACCTAGGTGGCAAACTCGAAATTGAAGCCATCGCGATGAGCATGCTGTCGGCACATGGCTCGGGATGTTGCAGATGGATGGAATGGACTTGGAGGAGCTTCATGATGGGTTCAGAGATACAAATGCTAACGCTGTGCTGCCTGGATAGGTTCTCGCCGTCGATCTTCTTAACCCAACTCCTGCCGCTGAGGCCCGCAAGCACAAGCTCAAGGTACGATACAATCGATACACTGGAAGCTGGATCGATGGAAGGAGGAAGGAAAGCTGACATTTACCCCGCAGAACCTTGTCCCTGCCCCAAGATCATTCTTCATGGACGTCAAGTGCCCTGGCTGCTTCACCATCACCACCGTCTTCTCGCACGCACAAACCGTCGTCATCTGCGCCGGCTGCTCGACCGTTCTCTGCCAACCAACCGGAGGAAAGGCGCGTCTCACAGAGGGCTGCTCCTTCCGCAGAAAGTAGATCCCGACCTCCTTCGATCTAGCCTTTCTGCCTGTTTTCGCACCTTCGGTTTCGTTCGGTCATTGCATTTGTTCATCATGAGAGTTTAGACGGTTGGGAACCTGGCTTGCTCTCGCTTCTTATTTGCGCATACCTATATTTGTGACGGATAGAAGATGGATGTGGGAACCTACAAAAATCCTTGAAAGCAATAGCACAAAATTAAAGGGCGTTTATGGGAACCTTGCCGGATATCTTGCATCAAATTCTTCGTCTCCGACTTTTTCTTTTTTTCCTCCTCGCGCGTGTGTATCCTGAATGAAAGCGGTGGTTAGGTTGTCTCGATATGCGAAGTGAGATTTGCATGGGAGGGAGCTGAAATGGGCGATCACTTGAGCTTTCGGAGGAGGTTTGCCTGGATGGGTGGATCGACCTCTGATGCGAGGACGTGGTATGCTTATTGAGGATTGCTACATACCCAGCGCAGGGCTTTGTGCATACAGAAATAAGGTTGTCCACGAAGAGCTGTCAGAAGGTTTTAAAATGATGTGATAGTGATATTGTGGCGCTGCAGTTTTGCCGCTTCCAACAAGGTTGGAACCACTGGATAGTACCATTGGATGGTGATGATATCTATTTTTGGCCATGGAACTGACCTGAGAAGTACTCGCTGGACTGGCTCCAAGTCTTGCATTCCAAAAGCAGATATCTCTCGAGAATCCTAGCATCATTCCACCACCCCATGAACTTGAGCCTTTGAAAGCAATGTACGGCACAAACTCATGCACTGCAGCTAGCTGTTTAATAGGCAACTGAGCCTGTTGTCATGAGAGCTCAATAATCATCTTTGAGGCCTTTGAGCTTGTGGACCATGACTCAAAGCGAACATTTCAACCCGAGCTTTATTTATGACAGTTCCTGTTTCTGATCTCAAGCATTTTTGTCCATCGCCATAGGATATGGATTCCAATACATGTACTCCTCTATCTTCATCCCAGTCTTCTCATGCAATACTCTAGAAGAGGAACAAGGGGGCAAATAATGGCTGTCCTGGTCTCTCCTTCAGCATAAATCAAGCAAAACCATCAAACATTCCATTCCAGTATCATTTTCAACCACCAATAAAAGCTTCACATATCTCTCCTCGGCCAATAATAGCCTCTATCGCGAAACCCCCGCGTTGTGGAACAGGGCCCAATCAGCGGGTACGCGATCGCAGCGCCTCACTTCTCACAGGCGAGACATCGCCAATCCCAGCCACTGTAAATCTTCATCTGTTCTGCCCTGTTCTGCACCCCACGAACATCCATCCACTCGTACTACAACTCCACTCCGCTCGTTGAACCCCTCTCCGTTCCCCTCTTTCCTTCACGAATTGAAAATCTCTGCATTCTCTCCTGCAAAAATTCAATTGTCTACTCTTTCTGTCTCATCCACAATCCTCTACTGCTCCACAAGGGAAATCAAACCCCACGCGCGCCAGCCACCCCCTGGACCCCTTCCTCGCCTCACTCCCAAGACCACGACCACATACGCAAAACAGACTCCATACAGAGATCTGCGACCGCAGCTCCTCCAGCTGCTTCAAGCGATCCCCCACTGTGCGACCTCCTACACATAAAGGACTTCATCCGCACTCACGCGGAGCAGACACAATGGCACACCAAGCAAAACGTCCATACGCCGGGACAAGAGCCTCCTCCCAATCCGCAATCACATCATACTTCACCACAAGTCCTACCCACGGCACAGGCACTGGTACCAACTCTACCAGAGACTCACTATACGCCCTCCCACCACAGCAACATCACTCAACACCAAGCACACCCTCCCTCCCCCACTCCGTGCAATCCAACCTCCTGAACGTGGGCATGCGAGTACGCAAATCCGTACCAGAAGGATACAAGACCGGCTCCTACTCCGCCTTCACCCTCTTCACTGATTCCAAGTCCAACGCCACCTCAGCAATGTCAGATAACACAACCCCATCTTCAGAGCGGAAGACACGGCCGAGGTCCGGAAACAGAGAACTTACTCCCTTTTGCGGCATCCTGAAAGTTGGGGGGATGGCCGGCCAGCAATGGGGGATATACAATCCCGGTGCTGGAGGAGAGATGGATGAAGATTCCTCTTCAGCATCGGAAGATGAAGTTCCTTTTTTGAGTAGTCAAGGGAGTACGATTTCTAGCTCGAGCATAGATGATGCTGTTACACCTGATGGGAACAAGAGACGGTTCTTTGATGACGAGGAATCACAGCTGTGGAACTCGCCTGTGAATTTTGGGTCTGGATCGTCGATGGCGATGGGTGATAGAGTCCTTGCTGTACCGAGGCGGAGGAAGGTATCTGGGAAGGTACCGATGCATACGAGTGGACAGGTGAGGATTTTTGGGCAGGAGAACTTTGCCCCTGGGGGCTTTGGAACGGATGTGGATTTTGAGGATGCCGAGTTTTTGGATTATGGGTTGGCGGGGGAGGTGGAGATGAGTGGGTGTAATTGAGCTGTGAACGGGTGTGTTGCTGTGAGGGAGGCGGCTCTTGTATTTTGGGATGGTTGGGCATAGGGCGGTTCTGTGGGTAAGGGTCTGGATGAGCTGGCATGGGATGGGATGGGATATAAGTGCATGATGATTGACTTGGGAAGCAATGGCGTTCAGGCATATACTGTCGTATTATGATGTATTATGATAGCTGTCACTGTTTTGATATGGAGGCAAATACTATCTATGTATGAGGCGTACAAGACGGAGTTACAAATACAAAAATTACATACTCCCAACCCAAACCCCAACCACCTCCGATTTCCTTCTTCCCGTCACCAAAGGTAAAGCTTTTCTCGTACGGCAACTGCACTGTCGTCTACGATATAAATTGTGTCCGGGTCAACTCCATCGACTACAATAACAGCGACAAGCACGCGCGCTACAGGCAGCAGACGATGCTGTGCGAATATCATGTTCCAAACTGAAAGCACACGCTGGTGTTGCGAGACGTCAAACCCTGGATTCGTCTCGCCGTCTCTTGTGGGGTCCTATTCATTCTCCAAGCAAACTCTTGGTTTCCCAAGCTTCCCTGCTTGCTGCGAAAGCCATGTGAATCGACAACACCTCAGTACATGACAACATATATTGGGGCATGCTCTACTTTCCTATTTTCGCTGCCAGCTAACTTACTATTCCATACAAGAAATCCTTCCACAGAATAAGTGGCTCTACTGAGTTTACAATTGATTCCTAGTCTCAAGGATGAACTTGATCAACACGATTAGGGTATTGCTCACTGTTGAGTTACCCGAGCTGAACTCTCCACTCGAAACTTTTCCATGGCTAAGGAAGTTTGCTCCAGAGAATAGAGTGGTTTAAATAAATGGTTTCCAATAGCTTGACAATACCGTATAAGTTCTTTAGTCGATTCAGCACCGGCCCCAATCGTTGTAATGTCTCTCTTATGCTGCAATGGAACGTCTCTAAACAATATCAGTGTAATATCAATACCAATGAAACGAGCAAGCTCACCATCAGCTGTACCATCAAGCGTGATTGCATGTGTGACTCCATAACCATGCAAAGTTGCTCGGCTGGTATTACCATCCGATTGTCTCGGGAGATCTTGAGGTATCTCAAGTCGAGGGTAAGGTGATGACGCTGGAAGGAGAAGCATTCAGCTCCGATATACATATTTGAAGTCGGACTTTGCGCGTACTGTGTGAGAAGTGCCGGGTATCGTGATGGAAGTTAAGAGGACATAACTCCAGATCTTGTGTCAGGGAGCAGCCGCCATTGGCAATAGCACTTGTTTGAAAAGCTTTGCTGATTTCAGGGTCGAACATGACATACGCCTCAGCTGGCTCTCCCAGCCAGATCTCGATATCACGTGTGATGGGAGTTCCTTGGGGAGTGATGGTGGTGAATCTGGCTGTTGCGCTGTGGTGAGCGCGACGGAATTGGGGGACGGTAGAAGCGCGAGCGGATATGCGTACTCGACGGATGGGGCAGTGCATGATGGAGAGAGATTCTGTCTTTGGAAGAGTGAGAATGTTGTCGTCGCCTTTTTGGGGAGTGTGGAATTCAAAACATCCATACGCGAGGTGGGTTTCAGAACACAAGTTCCGTCACCTGACTTCTTTGACAGCGAGACCACCAGTGAGTAGCATTTTGCCTTGCTGCATTTTGATAAAGCACTGCCTACGAGCAAAGCTTTAATCTAGACCACAAGTTTGTAAATTCTTGGCATGATCTAGTGACGTTGGAAGTAGAACCTACCTACCATTTAGCACAAATGTACGTACAACATCCGCACTTTCGCTTCGCCCGAAAAGTCCGAAAACAAGCTTTCTCCCCCACACTTCAACCCCTCCTCAGTTCACGTCACTCTAAGTCACATCAACCTTCTTCCCTAACTCAACTACATTATTTGACGAGTTGTCAGAACTGACAAATATCTCCAAACTCAATTCAATCCCCTTGTGAAAATTGCTGCCAGGGACGTCATATTGTATTTCTGTACCTGACTAGCTCGCTTGTCTCGGTTCAAGGATTCCCAAATTGACGAATCGAAATACATCTTCGGAGTCGCGAGGTTGTTTAGATTCGCTACTTCGTGCTTCGCCCTGGAAGATATCAAGGTCGAGAAAGTGGACTAGTTTCAATATTCTCTATAAAAAGGCAGGAATCCAGCAAAACTCAGGACTAAACACGTACCTCTAGGCAAAATTCTAATTCCGATTCTCACATCACCCACAACTTCGTCTCATAAATCTAATAAACAATAGTCGACAACAAAATATCAACTGAAGTTTAAGACCTCAATACTATGGCTTCCGACGGCATGCCAGTCGTTCTATTTGGCAAATTGCCCGTTGTAACAACACCAATGACAGAAGCTCTGAAGCCTGAAGTAGATGGTAAAATTTCCTTCCTTTTCTCAGCCAGCCCATCTCTTATAAATTTCAAGCATTCATACTAACGCCTTGCAGTAATTCATCTAATCGAATCCGTCACCACCGCCCGCTCGGAACTCCCCCTCATTCTCTCCTCCTCCTCCAAGCCCAACAAAATCACACCCACCTCCCAAACAGGCAGCAACACTCTGCGGCCCGACTCAGAACAACGTCGTCCAGTTGCCGTAATCGTCGGCGGTGGGTTTACGCCTGAGGAGTTTGAAGAGTTGAGGGGATTGGAGGGAGGGGAGACTGTGACGTGGTTGAGAGCGGATAATTCGCTGGTGCCGGAGAGTGAGTGGCCGCCTAATCCGGTGTATCCTGGTAGGGCGGCGGGGAGGGTTAAAGAGGTTTTGAGGAGGGAGGGGATTCTTGGTGGTGAGCGAGATGAAGGGGAGGTTAAGGGGAAGGGGGGTGTGTTTTTTTATTGAGGATGATGGTGTTAAGCGAGTCGGAAAGGGGGTGGAAAATCGAGCATGATGGCACGGCTTGAGAAAATTTCGGTTGTTGAAGGTGAACTTGATTGTCTATGCTCAATGTGTTGTGCGCTATCAAATTAAAACAATACTGTTGAAAGTCAAAGTTCCTAATGACTTGTTGCTTAGAGACTGGATGTCTTGAATGTGTGTCCCAAGCTGAAAGACAAATCTCAACAAATTTAATTCTGAGTAGATTTTCTCGTTGAGAGTTGAATCCAATGCTTTATTCACCTACCCATCCCATCTTCTGTAAAACTATTTGTACTAGTCGATGTATTCCCCTACATAGTTCGAGACTCCAATCCCAATAACTTAAATGTTGTTCTCATCACATGATGCCGGTTTTGGACTCTCTCAGCTGACCCTGTGACGGCCTTTGCCAGCGGAAGACATACTGTCCCTTCTCCAAAGCAACTCGTCGTATCCTGTGACCAGTTACCCATACCGTCTCTCCGTCCGCAGTGGTACCACACTCGTAGGGTACACCAAGGTCTGGCGGTGTTGGTAAATTCGGTAATGTTATTCGGTTGGGGGCACTGAGATATCGTTCCATGTCATCGCAGGACTTTCGAGTCGTCACCCACTCATTCAGAAATGTGCGAAAGGTCAGCACGTCAGAGTCAAGTTCGCGGTTGCAGATCCACTCTGTTTTGTTCTGTACATCGTCCACGTTTCGATCCCAGTGAGGTATGCTCGTAAAATGTGTATCACCCGTTATGAGTTCGTATAATGTGAACACGACACCAGTGACATCATCTCGCCCGTCCAGTAAGTTCTGCTTCCCACAAGCAGCCCAGTCAAAATCGAAGAGAAGAAGCTTTTGTGTGTCAGGGTCAATGAGTAGGTTTCGGGGTGCAATATCTTGATGCATGACTCCAAGATCTAGATTCAGAAAGTCGACGAGCTCCGTCAGTTGGCGTAGCCACTCCAGACGAAAGGGCAGCTTTGGATCGTCAAGGGTTCCACCAGGGATATACTTCGTCGCGAATCCAATCACTCGAGACTCCACATCCTCAAGGACTACGCTGTCAAACGGCACTATGTTTGGATGCGAGGGTAAACTTTTGACGACGTTGAGTTCCTTCCATGACATTTCCAGTCTTCGCGCCTTTCCAATAGGATTAAATTTGAAGGCAACCGTTCGTGATGTTCCGGATTCATCAGAATATGACGACAAGTCAACACCTGGCCCAAGCCGATCGAGCTCTTGCAATTGAGAGTACCGGATGGTGCGGCATTCATGAAGTGACTCAGTCATCGAGAAAGGAAGATATCCAACAAACATGGTGTCGTCCTCCTCGGGATCATTGGAGACTTCACAAATAAGCCCTTGGTCGTCGACAGTGACCGCTCGAACCTCTGGTGATAGGTAATCAGCGAAGCGTGCTAATATTGGAACCTCAACGTCCTCATCTGGCGGAAAGAGCTTTGCCGTGCCCTTGACCTTGATCATGCGTAGCTGGTCCCAATCCCAGACGTTGCAATGAGTTTCGGTCTTGGGATTCTCGCTCGGTCCAAAGTAGCCCTGCCCCTCGGACATGAACCTTTCTTTTGGTTTGATCATCGTGAGTGGTGAAGGAGAAGAGGAAAGTCCTGCTCTTAAGTCAAACACAGACCAACCGAGACGTGAAACCTCTTGAATTTATTATAACTTCTTATAGAAAAGACTTTTTTTTAATCTTTCACAGTAATAAGCCAAGCAAATTTTGTTGGTTTCTGTTGGTTCAGACGCAGCTTTAAAAGTGATGCACGTGACCAATTTCATCCACAGAAGAAACCACAAACCGAAAAGAAGTGCATCAAGCTCAAACAGTTGTAGGAATTACAATAACTTGCACAGGGAAGGTTATCTGCTTCCAAACAATAAGACTTTTGATAAGTTAAAGTTGTTTCAGGCTTGTGAATTCGGTGGTACTACTTCGTATGTTTGTCAAGCGAGCAGCAACTCTAAATGACGCTGAGAGGTGTCTGTAACGACTGATGAGGATAGATTTTAATCCACATCTTGCCACCAACTATGTGACAAAACATGATCTATAGGCAACCTAGCAGCCGGATCCAAATCGGTCATCCCACATATCATGTCTTTTGCCGCCGAACCAAGCTCTTGCGACCACCAAGAGAATCTCAATTCAGGATCATCTTTAGCTAGCCAATCTGCTCTCTCGGATGAACTCTTCATGGCCTCGCACCAATTCTTGTCATCAACCTGCTTATAAAGTCCTTCAGTAACTGGTCCAAAGTAGGTAAAATGCCGAGTAAGAATCTCTTGTTCTGCTGATACGCCTCGTTCTGCAAGCTCTTTGTAATCATTCAACAGCAGGAACTCTCCACCACCTAGCGTGTAAATGCACTGGGAACAAAAATCAGAACATATCGTACACATATGTGGAGTTACGTACAACAAGACCAAATGAGAATATGTCGGACGCTTTTGTCACACCTCTTCCAGTTTGTCCTTCAGGACTTCGCCACATTGCATTTCCTACTGCATAAGGGGTTTCACGTGTCTTGCCTCCTTCAGATTTGAAGACAAGATCAAAGTCGCCCAGAGCTACATCGCTGACTGTTTTTTGGCCGCTGCTATCGCTTGTCCAATTGACTAAGATATTATCAGGCTTCACATCTGCGTTCATGAATTAGCGACCTGTTATGTCTGCAAGACTTGGATGTTGTACCGATGTGGATCCAGTCTCTAGCATGAAGCTCTTGTATTGCCTCTCCGACACGTTGCAGAATTTTCTTTCGTTCCGTTATCGGAAAGTCAGGATCGCTCTGGATGATATCAAGTAGGGTTTCTCTGTAATATGGATAGACAAGAATATCTTCCCTTTCACTGCAGTCGATATGCATTCGAAGGCGACGAGAGCCCGCGAACTCCGCTGCAAGTGTCTGTGAGAGCTCGTAGAAATGTTTACGGACCCGTTTAAGGACGAAAGATTCGTCTCCGGAGCTGGAAGAAATGGATTAGATACCTGAAATATCACTACATACAGTCTAGTACTTACAAGGCTTTCAGGACACTAGGTTTCTGGCCCCACCGTTTCTGGAGCACTTGGTCGTGTTTATAAACACGACCGGATTTGCCAACTAGACTGGACGCTTTTCTGATACCTGTACGGTACACAAATCGACCAATGGACTTGCGAGAGGTAAAGCGACGGTAAAGCATGAAGGCAGTTGGCAATCAAAGATTGGAGGTCTTCGACACACTGCCGGCTGGATTACATTATGCTTCAAGGTGTCGTCTCAAAACAAATTCAGGTTCCAACAATGCAGTCACGTGTCGAGATGTCATCTTTGCCCTCCTAGGTTCCTAGGTACTGTTTACTTTCACAAGATACTGGAAATCAGTGCAAGTGAAGATACATTCTTCGACCAGCCTAGAATGAACGTCAAAAGGCTCACAAAATCTTCAACTGCGGGAGGAAGCTGTGTGAGTCCGTACTAGTACTATAGACCAGATTCTTTATTTCAAACCCTTCGTATGATGCAAGACTACGTATGAGGATATAGTAAGGTCTGCTTTGATGAAGAGACGCCGCGCCCTGAACCATTACTGACTTCTAGAAAGAACCGAGGATTTCATGAATCGTATCATAGTCAAACAACGCAATTTAGTGTACACCAAAAACTCTCAAACCCAAAACGTTCTGCCTTCTCTTACCACGTATCATTTATCCATAACCCTGCCCTCGTTCCTCATTACTTGGGGTATCATATCATCTCCACACTCACCCTACCACCCTCTCTTCTTCATACACACTCTCTTTCGTACACACTCCGTAAGTCTACTTGGCCTTCTTTGCCTCGGCCTCCTCGTTCCATGGGTGCTTGATGGTAAGGCACCAGATGTCGAGATAATCACAGATGGTGACAATGACATCCACCTGCTCTGATTAACATCCATCACACTTTAGTCCTCAGGACTACTTACCACAAAGCTGCCGTAGATACCGATAGCCATTCCCAACATGCAGAACACATACGCAACCTGGTATCCACCATTACCAAGAGCACTTGGCCATCCAATACCAATGGTCTCCCGAAGGAAAGGTCCCAAAGAGTCAAAAACTCCATACGCGATTGGTAGAACAAGGACGTTGTAGTATGGGAAGTCGAGCTTCACGAGATGGGCAGTGATCATCTGTCCGACGGAGTAGGCGTTCACGAGTCCGGCGAAGAAGACGAATGGGACGAGATGGTTGTGCAGAATCTCCGGGTTGAGGTAGAGGTAGGCTGGGATAAGCGTCCATGTTACGAAGAAGGGGACGAGGCCGAGGAGAGCACCACGGGATTTGTCGCCGCGCTCTCGGCGGACTTTGATGACATTCAAGGATCTGTAGGTCAGTAATTGCGTTTGTGGGATGAGCGAGGGGTGTCTTACGATTGAATGGTGTTGAAAACAAGGATGGTGCCACCTTGGAACATGTACCACTCATTGAAGGGCAGTTGATAGATGTATTCCGGGATGAAAGCATAGTGGGGTACACCAAGAGTTGCCAACATCGACTGTTGCCAGAAGCTTGCTCCTCCCTTCAGAGCTGTGAACGCATATACCATGACCATGATGACGATTCCTTCAACTGGTCCGGAGACCAGCCCGAGTGTGAGGGTCTTCGTGTGGTATTCGTCCCATGTCTGTACGTAGAAGGTAAGAAGTGCTGTAGGCAGTGAGCAGATGTCCTTTATGATGGCAGAGAATGGGATACCTCCAAACAGAGTCAAGACAGTCTTCCATCCCATCCCCAGGTTCTGCGAAGCTGCAAAGAGGAGGACTTCAAGGGAGGTATTGACGGCATCCACGCCATGGTCGAAAAGCTCTCCGAGGGGTCCGCTCTGATGTGTTCGTCGTCTGTTAACAAGCCAAAAGTCAGTGGAATCCCTAACAAACCCATAGAGTATCAACTTACGCCTGCGATCCATCAACAGCATCGAAAGTCTGATACAGGAACAAGCCCGCAGCCCAACTGGCGTACACCCACGGCGGACAATCCTGATCCAGCGTCGGATTATACCACAACAGGGTCAAAATGTTGATAATGATGAACCCGAAACCACTGAGGGTAATCAGATTCGGGGCCATCCACATGGGAAAGCATTTTATCACGACGTGGGTGTAGAAGGGCTTCAGCACGTAACGCGACAACAGGGAGTGGTCGACGCCGGAGTATTTGTACTGCTTGAGGTTGGGCAGCTTTTCTTGCCGCACGTAGACCATGATGGCGGTTGTTTGCCGTGCGAGGCAGAGAGAGTGATGGAAGAGAGTTGAGGTTGGTTTGTGATGTTCGAAAGTCAAAGTCGAGTCGAGACAAGGACAGAAAGTCAGTCCATCCGGCGCGCACCAGAAATTCTTGAAAGACGCGACGCCAAGACTGCAACGTCATTTCAGCCGACAAGCTAGGATCGGAGCGATTCGCTTGTGAAAAAAGGGGGAATGGAGTCCCTCGATAACCATTGTTTACTTTGCATGCAACAACTCACGATCTCAATAGTATTTAGCCCAAGGACAATTAACGACCTGTTTTGGTCTTGGTATCTAGCTCAGAGAAGTCCCTGCGCTGCTCCATATCACAGCAATCTACTTCGCTCTGTGTACTGGCAAAAAGGATGGCTACTTCCTCGCACAGTGTCATCTTACCTCAGCACCTAACCACCTCCTTCCATTTCTTCTCACGATTGAGCTCCTATCTCAATCGAACATTTCAATCGAACATTTCCTCTTGCCAATCTCTTCATAATCCCCTTCCCTCATGCCAGTTTTACTTCGTCTCCTACTTTTCTTCCACCTTCATACTCCTTCAATGTCGCCACCACACAGAGAGCAACCAAGCAGCCATCCATCACTCGCTGACCATAATCAGTATATAGAGCAATCACTCTGTGCTACGATGGCCCAATAGCGGTCTCACAGAAACCCAGTTCGGACGGGCGGATCTTGGATGATGAAGCCCTCCTCGACAAATTGACATTAGAGAGCTCATCGCGAACAAGAAGGCCCATACGAGACTCGTATCGTATTTGCTTATATCTCTGACACTAATGAACTGGTTTTCAAACCCCGTTCTCATTACTCGAGGCATGCTAATGGTAACTTCATACATTTTCTTGCTCAAAGCACGCTCCAAACTCCACACCGCTATGCTAAATACAGAACTCTAACCCCCAAACAATGCTGTATTTTGCCAATGCTGCGAAGCCGAAATCAAAGGACCAATGTTGTATGTACACCAGTCTATCTCTCAAAATTCTCCTTTCTCGAGGTCCTTATTGCGATCTTCGCTCCTCGGCCTATCCGCTCCATCCACATACCCGCTCGCAGCCTCGTGACGATCCTCTGGTTTCTCTTCACTGGTATATGCAGCATTCCTCATCGAACTCTCGACCTCTGTATCGTCACTTGTGTCGCTCACATCGGTACTGGATGCAGCTGCAGAGTGATGTTGAGATTCTTCATCATGGGAATGACCTTCGTTTGGAGCTGGAGTTGGCGCGAATGTCGATCGTTCTCGAATCGATCCTCCATATTTGTAGAAGATGAATGGAATCGGCATGAGGAGGACTGCAACACCTCCAATCAATGAGCCACCACCTCCCACTCCCAGAGCATTGAACATCTGTTGAGTGAACAAAGGTGCTGCTGCACCGGCGGCGGAACGACAAACCGTATTAGCAGCTAGTGCGCTGGCGGCATACATCAGGTACGTGTCTGTGAGATAATTAAGATAGGCGACGAAAATAAGTAGAATCGAGGTCCCCAAGAACACGCCAGCAAGGGTTGGTACAATCCACTAGATCGAAAGTCAGCACATCTGAAACAAAATGCCTCGAGGACCAAGTCGAACTTACGTGGACAGAATTGTATTGTCCAGACCAAGCGAACCAAAACATGGTGATCGGAAACAGTATCCCTCCCACCATTGCGACTGGGAGACGGTCCTCAGGAACACCCTTATGTCCAGCCTCCAACCTCTTCCGATCGTGAGCAGAAACCGCGAATATAATGGAACCGCCGATTACTGCCCCAATAGCAGTTCCTATCAAAGGCAGCTCACCAACGCCAGAGTTCCAACCTCGCTTCTGCTGGAAGACGATAGGATAAATTGTGAAAAGCATGTAAAGCAGCGCATACACAACCGATATGTATATTGCAATCGCAAAGGAAATTGGGTCGATCAGGATCTTCCAAGGTCGTGTCAGGGCAACCTTGTAAATGCCTATCAACGATCGATCAGTGACCTCAATTGGTGCTTGGATGTTCTCGTATCCAGGAACCTTCAGCTTTCGGAGCCTTCTGGCTTTGTTGAGTAATACAATCGGGGGTAGGGTCTCGGGAATTGTAAACATGAGGACTTCGGTAACGCCAGCAAACCAAAGCATTACATAGAAGATCCAACGCCAGTCCTCTTTCAACTCAAGAAATCCACCAATAACAGGACCTATAGCAGGCCCAATGAATGTCATCATCGAGAAGAGTGCCATGGCATTTCCTCGCTCGACTGGTCCCCAGATATCTGCCAATACGCCTGGAGCATTCGACAGTGGTGCACTGGCCATTGTCCCAGTGAGAAAACGACCGACGAGTAGAGCTCCGAAATTATTCGCAAATGCACAAAGGAAGTTGAACACCAGGTATAGAGTGAACGAGATGTAGAAGATCCATCTCCTTCCGTAGAACTCGGAAAGTGGGGCCCAAAAGAGAGGACCGAAACAGTAGCCAAGAAGGAAAAGAGTTATGACCAGGCCAGCTGCTACCTCGGAGACCTGGAAGTGCTTTGCTATCCCGACCAGTGTTCCTGAAGTAGCAGATGAGGCGAATGTTGCGTTCACGACCAGGAGCACCGAGACTACTGTAATATACCACCGGCGTCGTGCCGACCAGTTCTTCGGATTCTCAATATCGTTGGGACTGAAATCGAGGAGTCCATCATTATTTTTGTGTGGCTCTCCGGATTTCTCAAGAGCGTCTGAGCGGTATGGCTTCGCGGTTGGCCGCGACAGGAATCTCTCTATTCGATCCTGAGAAAGTCAGCTTCAATGGGGTTCAAGATCCAGCTTGAACTGGCTCGGAGAAAATCTGATTTCCTGCATTTAGAGTACATGTCTATTGCGATGTGGAGTTGGGTGCAAGTGATGACGCAAAGACCTGACTTACCATATTGGACCAATGCTTCTCAACGTCAACACAAGAAGTTTATGGTAAGCTCAGAGTTCAGCTAAGATAAATGCCTTGTCCATGGGAAGGAATTAAACACAAGAGCAAGATATATATGAATACAGAAGAGGGGCAATACAAGAATGAATGGCGCAAAAGAGAAGCTTTTTAAGCTTAATGCACTGCTTTCGCGTCCTCCCCAAAAACATTAACAATCCTCAGGGATCTGTGACGGCATGATGCCCCAAACGGCACTAATAGGCGCCTCAGAATCATCACTGCTACTCCCATGGAGGCAAGGTTGGGAATTCCATGGACTTGAAATGGACGTTGATTGGGTGACCACCACAATGGGGTCCGGGTAATCGGCATGTCGGGCTTAGCCCATCGGGACGTGCCTCGGTGGGCAATATCTCTAGTGTGTGGGTGTGGGTGTCAGGTGTCTACCTGACAATCCGAGAATGGCCGCCTTCGGCTTGGAATCGTAGTCATCTCCTATGTCCGTCCGTGATTTTTTACTATTTGAGTACATATTGCTCATATCTGTGGTTTTTTGTAATGATGAGGGGCGATTACGTGGTGCTGTTTCTCCACTGCACGGCGCACTCTAGATCTGTGCATGGTTGATTAGCTCAGCTTTCTGTCTCGTCTCGCCTTGACAGTGTGGTAATATGACCAGCAGTGTGAGTCTTTCATTTGTTTTTGTCGTGATTTGCATGGTAAGGTACTGTTAGGAAGCGAGAAATTTTGGAGGCTGTGGCTTGTTGTCGCACCCGCGGAGTGTCCGTGGGTTCTGTCAGGTACCCACCTGCCTTACTTAGGTACTTTCTGATTCTTACTGCTTGGGATGCAACGGTTCTGTAAAACCCAAGCAAGCAAATTTCTAGCGAAACCGAAAACCGAGTGATGACTGTTTTCTCATGTCTGGTGACTGTGAGTAAGGATGGAGTTAGCTTCCTCGGATTCGGAGATAAATACAACTTGAAATGTCTAGGTAGTCTGAGGAATTTGAGTTGAGGAATTGTTTGATTGCGCAATTACTAATTATCGATTTTTGACGTGAAGTTGGGCGGGTGTACAGCCCCGCGGTTTCTCGGGTATGGATGTAAATACGGAGTTTTGGAGGTGGCTGGAGATTAGGGATGAGGTTTGTGTGAGAGTAGGCCCGTGGTTAATTTGGGATGCTGAGGGGGAAAGTGAGAGGGTTCTGGAAATTGGGTCGTGAGTTTTGGGTTCTCGGCACTGACTTCAAGATAACACAGGAGATGTTCCACAATTACGAAGTGAAGGGCAAGACATTGAGAATTCACAAGGAAATACATGGGTTTATAGCATAGAGGGTAAAGTAATTTTCTTGTAAGTGTCTTTAGTATTCCTCGCTATTCAACGCTATGCCTCGGGCAAGAACTTTTTCCAACCCAAAAATGAGCCGAGAAGAGGCAGACCAAGCAATGCTTTTGTGTACCGCCCCTTCCTTTCCTAGAAACTTTTCCTTCGATCCCTGACTTTTCATTTTTCCAAACATTAGATTGCACATGTCATGAATCGTCCTTCATCCACCCTCCTATCTCACCCTTCCATTCTTTCCCACAGGCTTCAGCTCAGGTAATCCTTTTTCCAATAATATCTACCCCTACGGTCCATTTCGACCCGGTCTTTGCCTGATTCTGAACCGCGCTCTGACCCCGATTCCTCTTCTTCTTCTTCTTCTTCTTCTCAACCTCCTTAAGCCACTCATCCCGAGTGCACATCACTATATCCCCATCTCCATCCTCATCATGATCGCGCACACCAACTTCTTTCTTCACACCCCCATGCTTTCCTCCACCCATATCTCCTCCTTCTCCGGCAAGAACAACCTCCTTCTTTACAGCTAGTTCGTCTCCCTCCTCCCTATTGAAAAGATCAAGATCAAGATCAACGAGGTCGATATCAAAGCCATCGACATCAGCATCGGCACCTTCATCTTCATCTTCTTCGTCTTTGATTTCGATGTATTTTGATGTTGAAAGAGAGGAGGAGCAGGCAGACTCAGGTTTTAGTTTTGTGGTGTTGGATTTTATTCTGGGTTTGGAAGAGTGTATAGAGCCAGGGCCGCCGAAGATGGAACTACCTGTATGTTTCGGATCTGGGACTGAGTTGAAATCAAAATAAGAATTGAAATCAGCTTCGATGTCGATTGGCATTTTTGAAGAACCGAGACGTGATTTTGGTGATTTTGGTGATGGTCGTGGTGGGAGGTCGAGGTCGTAGCTGGATTGGCGTTGGGGCTGGGTTTGGGTTTGGGGTTCGGAGTGGACTGCTGCTTGCGAAGCTGATGGGAGTAGGGGTATGGTTTGAGGGAGGAAGAGACGGGATTCGTCTTGGTGTGTCTGTGTGTTGACTGCTGCTGCTACTATTACTGCTGAAGTTTGCAGGCGTGTCTTGGATTCTGGCGGTGGTGGGAGCTCAAGGTCGTAACTGGAGGCTCGGAGCGGCGTGTTTGAGTGATTGAAGAGGGAGGCTTGGTAGTCGTCGTCTTCTGCTTCTGTTTCAGCTGCTGCTGCTGCTGGTGCTTCGATTTCTGAACACTGCTGGTTCTGATCCTTGGAGGCAGTCTTGGGTTCAGTGTGTGGGAGGAAGAGTGATTCTTCTGCGCCACCGTCTTTGTGATCAGGTTCGATTCCCCTTGAATCAGAAAATGGAGAGCTGCTCATAAGTATATCCAAGGAGTTGGTTCCTGATGGAGTAGCTAATTTAGATGCTTCCTGGTTTAAAAGAATTTCTCCAGCTTGATCTTGGGGAGGTGCTGGTATAGAAGGCGAAAATTCTGAGGAGTACACGGAAAGGCGAGTGCTCTCTTCCGTTGATTCCTCGCGTTGGCGATTCCTACCATTGAGAATCTGATCCAAAAGTCTTGCTGCTGGTGTCATTTGTTTTCGAATACCAGACTCATTGGGAGATACAGATACAGAGAGTTTTAAACTGCTCTGTGTCTGCTCTAGAACAGACGGACGCGGAGTCGTCTGAGCTGTTGTTGATCCTTCAGCTCTGGAGCTCTCCGGGCTGAGGCTGGGATGCGGAGAGTATGGTGGGGGAGGAGTTCCTAGTTGTCGGCTACCAGGAATGACCGCAGTATTTGTTGACGGCTCAGATGATGTGCGTCTGTTTGAATCGGGTTCTGCTTCTGCCTCTTTAGGTTTGTCTTTGGCTGTGATGTTTGACGTAGCAGACAGACCGGAGGTCGATTTGGACTTCTCCGTACATTTCCCACTTGAACTCGACTGCTCTGAGATGGCTTTCGGACAACTAGACGGAACAGCTACTGAAGCGGCCTCAGCAATCAAGCCATCTCCACCATGCTGTTTGTGCTTGACCTTCATTTTCTCCGATGGAAAGTCTGCTTCCTTTCTTTTCTTCATTCCTCGTTTGCGCAATGATGGTACCTTGGCTTTTCGATCCCGCTTTCTCGGCTTCGGAGGTTCAGCCAACTCGGCCGTCAAATCATCCTCAGTCTTCACTTTGGCATCCGCGGTCATGACCTTCTTCCGAGCTTGGCCATTGCCTTCATCCTGATTATCTCGCTTGCGCCTTTCCTTTCGGCTCAACGCTCCATCCACAATCTGGCGAACCTCATCAAGCCGCAGCTGCATCGCCTCCGAAGTGTCGATCTTTTCCTCCATGTACTCGATGAAGTCTACAATCCTATCAATGATCTTGTTAACCATTCCGCCAAGTACGCCATTGTACTCTCCAACATCCCTTCCTGCCAGAGTACCGCCCAAGGCCTCTCTCAATGTCGCGAAAATCCTTTCCTTGCCAGACTCAGACTTGATCTGCACATCCACATACGCCAAAAAAGCATCTAGCTTATCACGAATCCCATCTCGATGAGCAGTCAAACACTTGCGTATACTTGGATGGAGAGGTTTCTCATGCAACCAGTGCGAGTGAGTTCCCTGAGCCTTCTCCAACTCCTCCCGACTCGGCTGCGGCATATTGACTTCCGCAAGCTTCAAGCCCGCTGCAAGAGCCATGTTCAAAGTCCGTAATAATCCAGCGCTCCATTCCGCATATCCTTCACACAAGTGCACATTTCCGAAATCCCAAGGTCCAACAGACTCGCCTGTGCTCCCGGGACATGCATCGCCTTGGATCTCCATGATTGTGCCGTCTGGAGCACGAGCAGGATGACCTTCATGCTTGCGGATCTGGCGGGCTTGAGCTGGCGGAGTGTAGACGTTGATGAAGACGGCTACTTCGCGCTTTGAGAAGAGGTCCGTGTGGATTCCCCATTGGAAGACGAGGTGGAGGTGGTCTGAGATTCGACATTTGTGGAAGAGAGGGTTGGAGAGGATGAGAGGGGCGACGATGGTGTGGGGAGCTGGGTCGAGGAGGGGCCGGTTTTGCATGAGCGCAGCGGAGAGGGGTGGCGCCATGTAGATGGGTTAGTTATCTGTGTGCAGAAGATTCTTTAGGTAAAATGTCGTTGCGGTAAATGTTGGCCAAGTATGTTCGCTGTAAGTGGACGAGTTCTTGAAGAGATATTGTGGAGACCAAAAATCTGCTGTCGAAGTTGATGGGAACTGTAGTTTTTTGCTTGTCAGGAGGGAGAGAAGTAGTGCTTTGAGAACTTTGCTTGGTAGTAGTCGAAGAAGCTCATAGGTGAATTGACAAACAATCCCTGCTGCATGAAGTGAAGTCAAGTCCTTTGGACAGAAGTAAAACAATTTTCCGCTCCCTGAGACAGTGAAGTTAAGAGTAGAATCTGCACAAAGGAATTGACTGAAGAGTATCAAATTGCGGTTACTGGATTCTGTGTGGCAAAGTCAAGCCAAAACAAGCCCGTACGTTGCAGCGGAAGTAGACAAGGAGTACCAAGTCGCGTTGACTTGCTGTCGTGTCATATCAGGCTGAGTAAAGATAATGTTAGAAACCTAGAACTCGGAAGTAGATAGACATGTAGCCAATGAGAGTCGGCTGAGGAGAGTAGCGGTAATGAGCTAAGACTCTGTCACTTGTCTCCGTGAATCTGCTTCAAAAGCAGACCAGGTGATAAAGACAGCACAAAATTGACTTCCTGTGTTTCCTTTTCAGAGTTGCTGAGTGTGCTTGTTTGACGAGTTGACGGACTACTGTACAAAATGATGGGCAGCTATGAGATGTTTTCTGAAGTTCGTCGAGAGCTGAGTGTGCTGATAGACGACACTTGTTACTCTCAGCTAACAGATCAGAGGCTCCATTAATTAGTGTGTGGTACAAACGTAAGAGAAAGGACTGCTTTGTACACCAAAACTGAGGCACCTTGCAGATTTTGAATCTGCAGTGCATGCGTAGCAGGCATTTCTGTGGCTGAAAAACACAAGTCCAAACAACGGAACGAATGTGCGAAAGGAACTGATGAAAATTTAAGATGCCGCATTTCCAACCTCGTCCATGGAAGAGAATATTCAACAAGGGATCTGAACACTGTCGGGGGCTATATTGCTAAATTGCTTGATGCTGATTCGTGACTCCTACCCTAGAAGATATAGAAATTACTTTGGATACCGGGCTGTCGAATCTGACACCCATGAACGGGCAGAACTCAAAATGACCCACAGTCGGTTTGCATGCAGCAACAAACCTGAAAGCAAAAAGCTGGGAACTACCACAACCTAGGAGCGAGGACTGAAATTTTGATTTGGTCGGTTTATTTCTAACCTTCGTGACTCCATGTCGAGAACCAAAAGCTTCCCGCCGATTTTGGCTTTTCCTCGAAACAATTATCTAGACATCAATCGCAAAAATCATGTACCAAATGCTTGATCAACTCCATTTATTTCGCTAGCCATCCTTCTCACATACCTACGCCACCGACCCAATAACAAGAGCTGCCACACCTTCCTCTTCACTGCGGACAACGATCTTACTTGTGACGCCGGACTTGGTGGAGTAAGCCATCCGAATGTTGGCAACGACTCTGCCTCCTGTGACTGTTTTGCCAAAGAGTTTGAGGGTGTGGGTTGTGGTGTTGATGGGTACGTCGGTACCCTCGAGAGGCTGTAATGAGAGGGTCTTGGCGAGTTGTTCAGTTGCATCTAGTACCATTAGCATTTAATTCCCAGACCCTGCACAAGACAGCTTACCCGCAATGCTCTTGACGCCCTCAAGTTGAAGGGTCTCCTCAGCCTCCTCACCCGCAGCACCAACTTGCTCCCAGATGTGATTGAAGTTACCGGCAAAGGCTGGCACAACGTAATCACTTCCACTGAGCTCAAGATCTTCAACTTGATACTCATCATCGTAACCACTCTCTTCAGGCTCACCAGTCGTTGGGTCAATCTCCTTTGTAGTGAACTTCAACACATTCGTAAAGCTGCTTGCGGAGAAAGCACCCTCACCACCAACCTTTTTGAAGGAAACGTAAACTGGACCAGGCTCATCAGTGACGAGCTTAGCCGCTGGAATGATGAAATCCTCTTCCAGTTCCTCTTCGTCAGTTGGCGTGGCGAGAACGGAGACGTTCTCAAGAACGGTATCTGGAAGCGTGTTCTTGACATCATACTGGAGTACGATATGCTCCTTGAAAATGTGCTTCACGACGCTAACGACGTATTCGGTCTCTGATTCAGTCAATTCAACAACAGGTGACGACTTCAAGAGGCTGCCATATGACTTCATCTCTGGGATTTGGAGAAGTGCTTGTTGGTATTTTTGGGCTGTCGCAGAAGCAGTTGCTGCTGCCTCCGTTCCTGTTGGCGTGGACTTGGTTGGGCCAGTCTTTGGCGCCTTGATGGTTGGGGTGATGGTGGTAAGTTTCTTCGTTCTATCCTCGGCATCTGCTTGCTCCTTCGTGACAACTGGAATAGCAGCAATGTCGAATGGATTGTCAAAAGTTGATTTGTCATCTGCAGTAACGTACATGACAAGCTGGTGCTCGAAGTATGGAAGAGCAAATGTGTTTTCTGTGCAGGTTAGCATTGGTCATTTTCGAAATGAAAGTGTCTCACCATTCTTGATGAATCGATCAGCCATCTCATCAGGCTCGGTCATGAGTCGCAAGTTCAGGGCAGCACGATCACGAACTTCGTCGTCAACATCGTCCAAACATCTCGTCAGGAGGACAGTGACACTTCGCTTAACCTCGGGATCCTGCTGTCCGACGCCGAACTTCGCCAATGCGGTGACTGCAGCTGCTCGCACGATTGCATTCTCCAGCACCACTCTGTTGTAGATGTATCGGATGTACTTGGTGGGCTGAGAAGTTTTGGGTCCCTCTAATCCAAGCAAATGCAGAATTCGCACAGCCAGTTTCGTGAACTCGCAATCTTCGATAAATTCGCACAGGTGTGCAAGCGCGTCCTCTTTTGAATCCGGAACGAACTTGATCAAATCGAACATGCTCTCCACAACTGCCCTCTTAAATTCATATCCTCCCTCATCCCTTAGTATGCCACTAAGGAACGCAAGCATACCAGCTTGCTTGTTGGGGAACTTCAAGCACAGTGTCCGGATAGCCTCAACGATTGTGATCTTGAACTCGTCCGTGATATCAGCCATGAAGCCCGAAATTTGCTTCATCAAGCGATCCACACTGGCTTCGTTACCAGTCTTGAGAAGAGTTGTGATGGCGAACGTGGCGATCGAGCGGTTAGTGTTGGAAATGAGGAGTTCGATGTCTGGGTTGCAGGGGTGAACTGCTTGAGGTTTGAAAGATGCGAAGTTATGTAGAATTCTGATAGCCGCGAATTTGGTGACAGCTCGTGGTGAAGTGAGGAAAAGCTGAAGAACGTGGATAGCCTGGGTAACTTCCGCATCTGTGACATCTCGCATATCGCAGATTGCCTTCGCAGCCTCAAAGTTGACCATCTCGCTCTTATGTCGGAGCCAGCCGTCCAAGAGCTGGATCATGGGTTTGCGGAGTTGTGGATCCTCCTCTGCCAGCTGTGCGGCTAATCGTACCAGCATGACGGTCGCTGCTGGGCTCTTCACCGCGCCTGCAGTCCCGAATTGCTGGACCATCTTGACCAGAGCCATCCTGTCATGCATTCTCATCTGGTATAAAAGTCCAATGGCGTGATATTGTGTCATAGTAGAGTTATTGACCGGCATTTGGCTCGACGATGTAGAAAATCCCAGAGAGAATCCGCCAGATGACTTTGTAGAAGACGCAGCTTCTTGTGTTTCGCTCTGCCATCTTCGAACAACATCGCGGGCGATTGGGAGGAGGTGATACGACGAAACAAGGGCAGCAGATGATACGGAAGGGTTCTTGTCGACGATCGCAGTCTTCATCACACGCTCGATACTCTGTACGGTCGATGCCTATTGCTGTCAATGCCAGCCCTCCTGAGCTATGTTCCTCAACTCACATCAATAATCCGGCAGAGCGCCCGAATAGCATTTGGTCTGTAAATCGCATCTGTTCCACCACCAGTATCTTTCATAATAGTGCTTGTGACCATAATAATATCTTCTGCGGAATGCGCCAGCTCCTTAATGATAAGGTGGACCATCTGCCGTAAGCTGGCATCTTTGTTCTGGAACAGCTTGGAGATGCCGAAGAAGAGGGTGGTAGCTTCATTGGTAGGGAATCGTTCGCCAGTGTACAGGAGGAGGGCGATTTTGGTGAGGAGGACTCGACATTTCCGAGGTTGAATGGGGGACGAATTGAACAATCGTGCTGTCTGGTATCAGGGGAGCACTCTTTAGAGGGGGTGTGTTCACCGACCTTCCTGGAAAACTGAGGTTCTGTCTACCCTCATGATAGCCGTGTCGGCATCTTCGTCTTTCTTGCTGTAACTCATGGTGAGAGGGGGTAGCTCCTCAGCTTCATGAATTGCAGGGGGCAAGGGCGGATTTGGGGTTCTGGCTGTGATCTTGAAGTCGCGACGTAGCCAAATCCGCAGGTGGGACTAGTTGGGTTAGGCGAGCTGAGCGGAGCGGGAAAACGATAATGCTGAGGTTGTGAAGTAGCAAGTCTCCATGTCTCCCGTCGAACATAACTGAAGAAAAAACTATTTAATACTGTTCCTTGGGAAAGAATATTTATGTGAAGAACTTTGATTTTGAATATCGGATGCAGACAGTTTTTCTTACAAATGTTGCCCTTGAATTGAACCTCAAGGGCCTACCGATTCACTGGTCTGGGCGGGCTGGTTTGCCCGCAACTCTAAAGCCCCTGGACTGGCGAGTACTGACTTCCTTGCCACCAAATCATAGCTACTTGAGAGGCTGTGATGATCTTCATGTAGTCTCATATGTACAAATCATACAATGGTTAAAGTTGTCCTGTCCATACATCTCCTGTAGAAAGACCAGTTGTTTATTACTAGCCAAGAACTCGGCTAGCCTCCAGAAGCGTTTTTCTTTACCTGGATACTTACCGTCCTCCATAGCATCCCCAGCTTCCAGTCTAATCAAGTGAGCAAAGTGCCGGACATAATGTTTTGACCGGTTTCAGTACCTGGACGATGATGACTTCGTATCAAAACCAGTAAGGCGTTGAGAACTGCTGAATCCAAACAATCATATGCAAGCTTCTCTTGCGAAGCCTGCATTCGTCTACACCATATATATTTGTTATAGTCATGTCTATGCCGTGGGAAATCAATTTTCCAAGTGCCAAACTATACTCTAGACTATCAAGTAAGGCAGCAAATCAGGCTTGACGAAATCAAATCCCATCAAAGGCATGCAGGAGTTCTTGTCTTGTACATGCCCAAGGCTGTGCGTGCACCTTTCCAACAACCCAACAAATAAGCGAAAACTTCGGCATTTTCACACCACCACCACACCATTCGCTTACCCCTCCATCCCAAAAAAAAAAAACCCAAACATTTCCCTCCTCCTTCCCCCACCACAAAAGCGCAAAAAGAAAATCAATCTTCCGGTACCGGGAATCGAACCCGGGGCTGCCCGGCGCCTTGTACTCTTATTCAGAGATTGAAAGCGGGCTATGTTCTGCTTTTTATTAGTCTCAAGATCATGGCGAATGGCTGGTGGTTAAACTTACAACCCCTACACTATACCGGAAATATAGAGTCAAATATCTGGTTGTATCAGATGATTGATGGATGTAATTCTCTTATTTGAGTACATACGTTTAACAACGTTTTAGGGTGTCCAATAAACCTAGAATGTGCCTAGCTTTGGGGGAAGGTAGGTCTAGTGTGGCTTGATGTGGATTGGGGCGGGTCCGTTGGTTGGCTGTGTTAGGCCTGGTGGGAGTGCGGGGGGATGAATTGACTTGACGCAGGCGAAGTTTACTTCTCCCGCTTGTCCCACATGGCATCGCTAACACTTCCTGCGCAGGCTCTGCTCTGTTTGATTTCACAAGTCACCACCGAACAACTCATACTTAGGTACCATCTATTTTTTTGCGCTGGCATCAGAAGTAAGGTATGGCTAGAGTTCCAGCCTCGACTAATGTTCATCACGGTGGGTTGATGATGGCTTACTCTGCGTAAGCGCTTTTTGGGCTTTGCAAATCTCAAGCAGCCTGGCATTCACTGCTTGTACTGGTATTTGAAGATATACAATCCCGCCACAATTATTGCATCTGCACTCCTCACATTACATCTCAGCTACCTCCCGCTCCATACTCCGTTACTTGTCGTTTCAGAATATTGTGCCTGGTACGGGTGTGTAGAGTATACATACATACATGTATAGCTTCAGTATTATTGGCATCTGTTTTGTTTCTCCTTTTGTTTCCCCGCATATATCTTGAGACTTAGCAGAACCAGAAGTTGGGATTTTCTTCTCCGTGCTAGGTGTAAACAGGGTATATTGAATGTGATTAGTCAAATTCTTCCCAGTCTGGCGGTGGTAAAGGCGATGGCAATGGTGAAGTGAAGTGAGGTCTGAAAGTCGTTTCAGCAACCAATAAGGAAAATCATGCGATGCGGAACCGAAGAACATAAGTATTTTCGTTCGGTGTATGTTGATATTTAGAATTGGTGTAAGATACAGTGGTACGAATATAGGTGTGTTTTCCCTCAATATGACCCAGTAAAAGAACGGGTGGATGAAGTAACAGGCGAGTAGGATGGATGTGAGGTGGTGGTTGTTGGGCTTATGCGCCTCGGCGTCTATGCTGTCTAAACATACACTGTCTCATCTCACCGCAGTGCAACATTAAGAAAAGAAAAGAAAATAGATCAGCGACATGGATGAATGCCGATGCAAATCAGCAAGCAAGAATTGGGGATCTTAGCCAGGGTTCGTTACAGCATTATTGGAAGAAGAAGGTATGGCATTGATGAAGAATTGTTCTGGAAAGAATCTTGCCGCGTTCTGGACGGGTTGGCATTCAGCCCTGTGACGAGAGGGGGGGTCTGAGAAAGAAATAGCCTAAATGTTCCTGGAAAGGCTGGGAGGCTCTATGGCAGGCCCACAGAAGGAACAGAGATAGGTTCTGAGATCCGTCCCAGTGGTAGGTAAATTCGGTATGGGCTGGGATTCCCCGGAATAGGTGACCGTTGATATGTTGGTGAAGCTGGGGAGATCAACAACAGAAGCTGTTGGTGGTGGATTGATTGAACGGTGTTCCCAATCTTACCTCGCCAAGTTGATGGGAGAGGAAGGCTGCGGCGGTGGGATTTGTATCGCTGCACATTGCGAATGCTATCAGTCTCCCCAATAAATAGTACAGTAAGTAACAAATCAAACCAGCTATCGTTGTTGGTATTATTTATTAGATCCATACTGAAAAAGAAGGAGGATGCAGGCGGTCGGTCAATCCGTGCAAGGGAAGAAATCAGCACCACTCATGTTGTTCAATGCGGCACGAATGAGCTTGGCAGGTCTCAGACTGTGTTGTTGCCAGAAGTAAAGCCTGTCTGCAGTCAGAAGTCAAAATTATGGACCAGTGAAGGAGAGCGACATGATGTGCGAAAGCGAAGAGATGGCGCTGATCGCGGGTCGGTACACAGATGGGGAAGTAAGAGAGGAAAGGACCCAGAGGCAGTGCATTGGAGAGGAGAATGAAGTAAGAATACTTTGGCCAATCTGGCTTCGTGAAGGCATAACAACATGCTGCAGGTTTGTAGGCGGCATTCAACTTGGTTTGGCTGAAAGTAAAAGCGAGGCAACGGTGAGGATAACGAACGATGGGACACGCAATCCCTGCTGGGAACATGGGATGACAGATGGCTACCTGGAAGAGGACGGAAGGAAGGATATCAAGATACCAAATAATAGCTAGACAACTGTTGTGAACAGTGAAGAGTGATATGCATGGAAGGGAGTACAGAATCGTGAACAATACTGTTCCTCCGTATGAAGGTACCGCTACATGCCGTCAGGCAGGGCAAATGCGAGCAAAGCGAGACATCCTGATACAGTCCAGACCGCACCAGACCAAAGCCAGAGCTGGAGCTGGAGCTGGAGCCACAATAGCACCACACCGCTGCTGGTGCAGGTGCAGCTGCAGTAGTAGTGGGGAAGGAGAAGAAGCAGAAGTCTGTAGCGTTCAGACGGTGCAGCTTGGTCAGACAACTAAGACGTAAGCTCGGGTGCAGTGTGGGATGGTGATGGTAACGAAGTGCTGTAAGGCTGGGAACACGACGTGAGCGAGGGGAACATGGGGAGGTGGGGAGAGCAGAAAACAGGGCGAAGAGAAGAGAAGAGAAAGAGAAGAGAAGGCTTGAAGGCTTGAAGGCTTGTTGCTTGCCAAGAACGCCTGCTTATCGACAAGGACTAGCGCGATTTCTGCAGCTCCGTCCCCGTCCCCGTCCCTGGCCCTCATTCTCACACTCTCTCATCATCCTCCAGCTCCTGCTCGCAAGCATCAACGTCCCTGGCAGGTATAAACTTTGGACAGCCATATCTTTCTGCCCCAAGTCCGAGATTATTTGTAACCAGTGCCGTCCCAGTTCTTGTCTTCCCCGTCGCAGTCCTCGTCCGGTAGCTTCATAAGCACCGCATCTGCGCTCCGAGGCCCTCTCCAAAACACCAACATCTGCGTACAACTATCTACCTTCACCGCAACGCACACAACAAAACATACGCAGACAGACAATGGACTACCCGTACTTCACCACCGCGGCGCCCCAGCCATATCAGTTCCTCGACCTTCCCCCAACTCCGGCGCATACCGGATCCGCCAACTCGGACCACTACAGCAACTCTCCTCCAGTGCGTACTCAGAATGAATTTCATAAAGTGCAGCCCTACCAGCAGCCTTTCCTGACTCCCAAGCAGGATGCATTCGAGTACCAGACCTTCGACACCTTCAATCAACATTACAATAATGGCATGCAGCCAGTCAAACCCCCAACGCCCGTCTCTCAGCATAAGGGCTCCATCAGCAATGGCGTCAACCACACGTACGAGATGAGCAATGGAGGGGAAGTGAACGACGATGCAAATAGGCGAGGAAGTAATAGCGACGACGATGAAAATATGACACCCGCGCAATCCCGTCGCAAAGCCCAGAATCGAGCTGCGTAAGTAACCCCTCCAACTACTCCACATCATAGCTTATACCCCGCAGACAACGAGCCTTCCGCGAACGCAAAGAACGTCATGTCAAAGACCTCGAAGCGAAACTCGCCGCCCTCGAAAAGAATTCTGCCAATGTCGCCGAAGAAAATGAACGGCTGAAGCTCCAACTGCAGAAGGCCGCGACGGAGAACGAGATCCTGAAAGCGACATCTGCGCATCCTCGTGGGAATGCAGAACCCTTACCGAACGCAGGGCCTATGAAATACTCTCCGACCGATTTCTATACCGAAGTTCTCTATGCGCACGATAATAAGACGCCGAGTCATAGGATCGTTACAAGTGATAGCGGGGAGAGGCTGCTAGCTGCAGGTGCCACCTGGGACTTCATTATTAGCCATCCCCTCTATGCCAAAGGTCTAGTTGATATCGGCGACATCAGTGACAGGCTGAAGAAAGTTGCCAAGTGCGACGGGCAAGGCCCAGTGTTTGAAGAGAGCGCAATTCTTGATGCGATTGAGAATAGTGTTGCAAGTGGAAACGATGAGCTGCTCTGATGTACTGTTACGTTTGGGAGTTCTGAAGCATGACTGGCGGATACCAAGGTGTTTTTTGGGTGGTGGGGAAAATATGGGCAAGGATGTTTCCTGCCGCAGGTGTTTAGGTTCTCATTTGCTTTTGGATATTCATGGAGTTCATTCGTTCATCTAGTGGATTTGATCACTCTACAATGTATTGTTTATGACAGTACTTATGGACTCAAGTCTGTTGAGAGGCTTAGTTGCCTAATCTTATTTTACTTTGCCCCCAAATAGCGAAAACGTCGTACCAGGGTCGTCGACCCAAACTTACTGAAAATCTCCGCTTACTGGACCACATGTCCTTCAATATCCCCGATCTTTCTTTCATGGGGGTTTTCCCGTAGAAGCTTATATGACAAGCAGAAACCACCGCGATTCGTCGTTCGTCTCCAAAGATTCTCTAAAGCTGACCTTCAGGTAAATCAGGCACCTCCATGTCTCCAGTGTGTCTTACCCCAGATCAAGCAGCAAGCATGAACTGCAACCAAGTATGTACAGCTACAGGTGTCCCTACCAAGTCATCATGCCACTTTCAGCAAAGCGATTGATACCGAGACGAGACGAGACTCCGGTTCATGACACCCAGGCTTTCCAGAATTGATACCAAGGTGAATTGAAGCTACAGCAGGAATAGTACCCTCCGTTCCCTTGCTTTGCGTTGTTACCGTGTGGGATGGATTGCGTCGAGGTTGCATTGTGCTATTCAATGGTCTCCAATCAACACACCATCTATACGCATACACGCATCCCTCGCTGCGAACTACATCCAAGTATGAGGCCAAACTCATCCATTACACTAACATCACCAATATCACCACCCGCAAAGGAAGCCATTACAGCACACTCTGTTGTGGTTCTTAACATCCTCCCTCTTGCTCTGAATCGGTTTTCCATCGTTGCTTGTTTGATCTAGCTGATCTAGTCGATCTAGTCGATCTAGTTTACGAGAGATTGGGAGATTGGAAGATATTCCCCAGTATGTGAGTAGGTAGAGAAAAAAAAACAGTGTAGGTAATCGAGAACATCCGATCGGATTGTGCGAGCGGTGTGCTTGTGGAGGTGGAGGGAGAAGAGGAGATGTCTTTTGTGAGGTGTTTGTGGGGAGAAGGGAGTAGAAGTGGATATGATCACGTTAGGTGTGTCTCGCTGTCGTTCAAAAAATTTGTTGTCATTCTTTTATCACCGGCGTCATCACCATTATTTTTTATCAGCTTGTTCAATTCGTTTCTTCCCTGACATGGTTTCTTGTTTTGCTTACAATTCCAGACTTTACTCAGGAGGCGTAGGGGCAGGTTTCCACCATGAACGTCGATGATGGGGGAGGTATTGAGCTCGATCACAGTACCAGATGCGTGCACATCAAATTATCTTTCACGATCCTTAGAGTCACATAATTGTAGAAGAGTCAACTGCTGACGGCTCTGTTATTTATACTTGCTCATAATAAACCATCTCCGCGCCGCATTTTTTAATTTACCTCGAGCTAAGGAAGAGCATGTGCTGGTCAGCTTCGTTCGTCTTTTCCTTTCCTTCCAATTCACTCTTTATTTCATTCATCAAGTCTCACAGCTCTCCCTGCTCTTGTGTTGATTCTCACTTTCCTATCAGTCACTATCACCACGCATACCACGTGGCTTCACACCTGCAGCTTCAAGCAGAGCACATAAATACCTCTCCACTCTCCTAGGTAAAAAGACAACTATCCTTCGCTAACAAGTATGCAGACATACTTGGACTGAATGGTGCTGCCTGCCTGGATTACAGATTCTGACATACTTGTATGAATGAGCGCCGTGGAGAAGGGACAGAGCCGCTTGAGCGTGCTCAGGTTTGAGATACTGGGGTGGATTTGAAAATTTTGGGTGGAGAATAGGTGAAGTTGAGTGCTGGACTTTGACAGCAGAGTGAAAAGTGGCAGTGAGTAGTGAAATGGCAACACGAATCCTTGCTTCTCGTTTTCACATTTTGAAATGGCTGGTTCGCTCATGGATATACACATTAATGTCGAACACTCCATAGAGAAAGTGTCAAAACTCCGCAGTTTATTGGAAATGATACCCCCCTTCTTGTGCTCGATTTCCTTTCTGGCAACCTGATGGGCTTCCATCGCCCGATCTTGCTTTGTTGATAGAACCTCGACACAGGCGATGTGGACCCCTAGTTATACACTGAGGTGGTCCATATCCAGACAACTGCTGAGGTGAGGCACTACTTCCAATACAGAATCACCGAATTTTTAAATCAAGCACGAGTGAACACTAAAAACTATTTCATTCTTCTTCCTCGCCAATTTGAACGAAGTCCAGGCCAGTGGCCACCCACCCTGGGGGCATAAAACCCACACCCTGCTGGAGTAGAAGCTGAGGGCTAACACTGACACAAAGCAAATTACTCTGAGACAATTCTCGGCACTCTTCTTGATTGAAGGCTGTGGAGATAGGTGCGAATTGAAGGGATGTCTCTACCTAGAAATCTTTGCCTCACCTTCCGTAAATATTGGGTTTCTAGATGTTCAACCTTGCGAACGAAGTGAGACGAACGAGCATGGACTTGGTCTATGCGGGTTAGAATGATGATAAGATTATGTTTGACAGCAGCTTTTTTTATGGCAGTGATGATCTTGTTTTTCGGTTTGTGAAAGGTCTGGGATGAGATGAGATCGAGCCGTTTGGGGAAAAAAGTCAGGGTTGGAGGCGCTGGATCTACAAACTAGATGCTAAGTCACTCGTCTGAATATCTTGATTGCTCTAGGCTATTTAGTTCTGAACAGAAGACGGAGACTTTGAGCAATGCTAAGCAAGTGGAAGCTTGTTATTCGCCAATCCGAATTTGGACGATCTTATATCTTCGGTGAGCACGGTTGCCAGCTCTGGCATTTAGTCCGGAGGAAGAGTCCTCTCTTGCGAATCTAACTAGTATTCTCACAGAAATACGTCTGGTTCTCGCGTAGCTTGGTTTGTGTTGACGTCCTACAAGAAATCGGTAATTGTCACGTGCAAGTCATGCTTCCAGATTTCTGGAAAGCGAAGAAGTAACTTTGCTGCATTTGTGATATATCTGCAACGCCGAATGTTGAAAAGCTTCATATAACTACCACAAGTAAGTTTGAAGCAGATTTCTTTTCCGAGAAGTTGTTATTGAAGCCAGTCAATGACACTATCCCAAATAAGGGCAAGCGTCCTCTTTAAGGGGAGCCGAACTCAACCCCAACTCTTGTCTTTTCTTCACCGCAAAACGACTTGACCTGAATCATATTGATACACTTCTCATAACAGTACGAGTTTTCCATATTACAGTTTGTTTACTTTCTGACTGACGCATATAGAATAAAGATAGAGATGTCAGCATCAGCAGAATCTCTTGCGGCACGCCTCGCCTACGCACCAGTGCCCCTGAAATTTGGCACCAGTGGCCGCCGCGGTGAAGTCATCCACCTCACTCAACTTGAGATCTACACAAACGTCGTCGCCGAAGTCGAGTACTTGCAATCACTTCCTATTTCTGAAGGTGGAATCAAATCCGGAGATGACTTTTTCTTCGCTCATGACCTCCGTCCCAGTTCCACTAAATTGGTCGAGAATGGCCGTGGTGGCCTCTGTCAAGCAGTCACGCAAGCTTTGAAGGATACTGGAATGAAGCCCATCAATCTTGGTGATATCCCTACGCCGGCTCTGACTTACTGGGCTATCACTCATGGGAAGGGTAGCATCATGGTTACAGGCAGTCATATCCCTTTCAGCCGTAATGGATATAAGTTGAATACATCCAAAGGCGAGTTGATGAAGAGAGATGAGCAGCCTATCAATGATAGAGTTGCAATCACTCGCGAGAAGCTTCTCAATCAACCATACTCCGAGTCTCTATTCGATGAGCAGGGTGTTTTCCGCAATGTGTCACAAGAGGTCCTTCCTGCCATCCCCGAGGGTAGAGCAGCTTACATCAAACGCTATGTGGATTTCTTCAAGGGCGAGTCACTGAAAGGAGTGAAGTTATTAGCGTACCAGCACTCTGCCGTTGGTCGTGATCTTCTGATCGAAATTTTCGAGGCTCTTGGCGCAACCGTCACTGCCGCTGGCCGTAGTGACACTTTCGTGCCCATCGATACAGAGGCTATCGATCAGGCTCAACTTGACGTTGTCCAGAAGCTGTACGATGATGCTGGAAAGGGTTTTACTGCTGTTATCTCCACAGATGGCGACAGTGACCGTCCTCTGATCCTCGCTCCCGAATCAGACGTCCTCCGCTTCTTCGGTGGCGACTTGCTAGGCATGGTCGTCGCCGAGTTCCTAGAAGTTGGTGCAGCAGTCGTTCCAATCAGCACCAACGACGCCATCGATCGCGGACCACTCGCCGCAGTCACCGAGCCGAAAACAAAAATCGGCAGCCCATATGTCATCTCCGGTATGGAGCGCGCCATCGCAAAGGGCATCCCGCGCGTCTGTGGATGGGAAGCAAACGGTGGCTTCCTCACAGGATCCGACATCACACGCAACGGCAATGTCCTCACTGCACTGCCTACACGTGATGCTTTCCTCCCTCTACTCAGCGCTCTCTTCGCAGCACACAACCGCAAAACCACCCTCCCAAAACTCTTCGACACCCTCCCACCACGCTTCAGCCGCGCTTCTCTCCTCCGCAACTTCCCCCGCCCTACGAGCATGAAGATCGTCGAGCGCTTCTCACCGCCCGAAGCCAGCATGCAAGATGTCTCCTACCAGACCGATGGCGTCACCGCGTTAGACGCCGACTCAACCAAAGTCCCTGTATCTGAAGCAGCCGTTAAGAGATTCGAGCAGATCCGCAACGACATCCAGACAGTTTTCTCAGCAGAAGCTGGCTTCTCTCCAGTCTCCCGGATCCTCTACACAGACGGCGTGCGTATCCTGTTCGCCAATGGCGATGTGGCTCATGTCCGGCCGTCTGGAAATGCGGATGAGCTTCGTATTTATTCTGTTGCGGATACGCAGGAGCGGGCTGATGTTATTGCTAACCAGGGTGTTGCGGAGCCGAATGGGTTGTTGAGGACTTTGGAGAAGTTGGTTTCGGCTTAGGTTGGAAGATGTGGGCAAAAGTTTGGATTTTGGGCATTTCAGGAGGTGAGTTTCGCTTGGTCAAATGATTCAGTAGTTCGATTGCGGTAGATAGAAGCTATTCGAGGAATGCCCTCGTTTACAAATCAAACTTAAATTTGCTACATTGGTACAGCATGATCCATACACATGGATGCACCGTCCCTCTCTTCTATCTGTGTCTCATCCATCTTACATCTCGCTGATCACTACTAGGAGGCAACACAGTCTGCCACTGGTTAAGACGAAAGAGAGCAATGCGGACTACTGTGGAAAGCACATGAAATTTACTTGACATTGAAAAACTCCGGACTCAAAGTCTGAATGGCAAAAAACTGTTTTGAGTTGCACGTTTGGCTCTAGCAATGCACTATGGTCTATACCCCAGAGATCATCCGTACTCTTACGCCTATGGACGACACCCGAGCTTTGCTTTCCTACCATAGCTTTCCGTGGTCACAGTGCGTGATCCACCATTGAAGTCCATGCTTTACGCCAGATGAATCCAAGCCAAGAGATCAGCTACCCGGGTTGGCAAACGATGAAATCAGACTCCTTTGTGACCTATAAACGCTTCTATCGAAGCTATATTACATGCTCTGAAGACTTTTGTACACCCAGTTGATGCTCCGTCTCGATTCAAGATATCCGACCGTTCCCATGTAGAACGTCTACGCAAAAGGAGGTAACCAAAATGGGTATCCGCCGTTCTGGTTGGAAGGTTAGCTATTATTCCACAGTCCAAAAGATGAAATGACACAGGGACGAGTTGGCGATGGCCTGAATATGGCAGAGTCTGTCTCCAAGTCTACCAGACTCGGAGGTGGGGAAATGAATCAGAAATGTATTTACCTTGATGCGGAAGGTGCTCAGGAGGAAGCTATACATGACAAAAATCACTGCTCCCCAAATGATAACGGCGACTTGCTGTGTCCTTGGGTCTGATATGCGTGGAACCTTCAAGGCCAGCGAAATGGTAGCGAAGGAGAGAATTCCATCTATATGAATCAGTATATGCTCTGGACTCACCGAAGCAGCTAGACTTACACATGGCGGCAACAATTTGCGTCTCAAGGCCATATTGGTTCGAAAACCCGCCAGCAAAGTAGCTAACACCACCTTTACCATTGCCAGCAACATAAGGCACTTTTCGGATGTGGTTGAACATATGCCCACTCGTGAAGAGCAAGATAGCAATCAAGCTAATGGCTGCCCAAACGTTGCGGTTTTGAATGACAGGCAACAAGTATGGCCATGCAACACTTAGGAAGGTAATCGTGCCTAGGATTGTTGTGGTTACAGCTATAACACGAACCCAATTGATGGGCCGGACGACTTGTGGATATGAACCCTCAGGTAGGTGACGAGTGATCCAGGAGTGGGCCTGCTCTGCGGATTGTGGTCTGACGTCTAATTAGCCCAGTCCAGTATATAATAACCTCAATGATATATACCCGCTTTTGAAGTCGTATCTGATCGGGCCACTGTCTGCCGCAGCGTGAGGGCCAGTGGTTGGCTGGAAAAGAAGGAGGACTGGCGCAGTTTGGAGACCAAGCTGCAATACCATTAGCAGAAGTCAATTGGCAAGCTAAACTAATCACTTACAGATTGGAAAGTGTTCTTCCCATCGGTGAAGTCCAAGGTGCCATAAAGCAATCGTGATTCGCCCTTCTTATCCCCTTTAATCCAGCTCTTGGACAGCAATTCCCATTCTGGCTGGAATTCCCGACACAATTGACATCCGAATCGAGATTCCAAAGCCGTAAGCAGGACGGCGACTGCATAGTCTCTCGGAGCTGTGGTAAGCTTCCCATATAGAGAATCATCGAGCTTTAATGGGGACGAAGAGCGAGCTTTCGAATGGAACGCCTCGAATCTATCTGCGGCGGGTTTCTTCGCTGCAAGGGCCGTAAAAGGCAGAAGGGAAACAACCAGCCCTTTGAGGAAATGCATGTTGGCGATGATCAGAGTGTTGCGTGGACAATCGAGGGTTTCAGGAACTGTTCAAGTTGACGATGGAGCTACTCGAGGTGTCGTGTCCTCTCGGCGGGAGCTCGAGTTGTGGCTGAGGAAGTGGCGCCGCGGCAGTGCAGCCACACTTGGCCTGAGCTTCAGGAACCTTCACAATATCCAGCAGTATCCACCTGAACAATATTTCTCTGGGTTCCATCCTTGGATCAGAATCAGAATTGAACTACTCACGTTCGATCCTGAATGGACAAGACAACGCGCTTGATAATAGTTGTTTTCCCTTAGACAGCAGAAAGTCTTCCTGCGTCGCTCTATATCCTCCCTTGTCCCACTCTTGAGCTTCATCGGCACTTGTCAGGCAACGTTCCACTCCTTATCTTTCGGAGCAGCCGAGTGGAAATGTCAGATACACAAAACTACATGAAGCTTGTTCATCAAGCTTTCTATTCCTTCATGTTGTGCTGTGCCTTTTCGATATCCCAACTTTTTGTTGACATTGAGGAATAGGCCCCACGTCACGAGACACCATCAACATGGCACCACAAGCCCCAAATGACAGTCCTGAAGAGGAAATCCAAGAACCGAGTCCATACACTCAAGCACTCGCCAAGCGGGTGATCCGCAAAATCGATATGCGGATCCTAGCCATCATGTTCGTAACTTACAACCTGAACTTCATGGGCAAAGTCATCCTCTCCTCAGCAGCTGTGTTCGGCCTCAGTGAAGACAATCACTTGGTTGGGAAACAGTACTCGTGGGTATCTTCGATCTTTTATTTTGGGTATCTATTCTTCGAATACCCGACCACCATTCTCATTCAGAAACTCCCGATCGGGAAATATCTTTCGGGTGTCATTTTGCTATGGGGCGCAATCGTGGCATCGACAGCTGCATGTACGAGTTTTGGTGGGCTGGCTACTTGTCGGTTTCTGCTGGGTGTTGCGGTAAGTTCTAGTTGACAGGCTTTGTCTGATTGCTGAGACTGACCTGAGTCAAGGAAGCCACCATCTCGCCAGCATTCGTGTATGTGACGGCAATCTGGTATACTCGTGACGAAATCCCTGCACGGACTGGAGTATGGTTTACAGGAAACAGCTGTGGTGGCTTCATTGCATCTCTTTTAGCTTACGGCATTGGTCAAATTGAGCATCCCCTCCACCCTTGGCAGTGGATGTTCATTGTGAGTTCTGACTATGTCTCCATTCGAAGATGCTGACCAGCTTGGCTAGATATTTGGCGTGATAACTAGTGTCTGGAGCGTTTTCGTCTTCTTCCTCCTTCCAGATACCATCAACGATGCCAGCTTCCTTACCGAAGAAGAAAAGCAGTATGCCGAGACCGCGTAGTGCTCTCCGGGGCAGGTCGTGTCGACCCAATAAATAGCAAATGAAAGATCGATCAAGTAATTGAATGCTTAACAGATCCCAAGACGTATCTATTCGCCGCCATATCTGTATTGACGCAGATCCCAAACGGCGGAACTGGCAGTTTCGGCAATCTTGCTCTGAAGAGCTTTGGATTCACATCACTTGAGTCTACGCTTATTACACTTCCTGCTTCTGTGGTTGCTATGTCGACTATTCTGGGCACCGGGTGGCTTGCGAGTCGATTCAGGAACATCACGACGTTCTTGATTATAGCTGTCGTCATCCCACCTGTCGTCGGGAGTGCGATCATCAGTTCAGACGAAAGGTGTTCGCTTGTTTGCGTACTACTGCGCACATACTCTCTTCATTCTTCAACTAATATGGCAAGACTGATGTGTTCCCAGCTCCAAACTGGTCCTGGAGCAATTCCTCTCTCCCTTGGTCTCGTCTCCTCGAACTACAAAGGCGTCACGAAGAAAATGACTGTGACAGCAATCATTTTCCTCACTTATTGCGCCGGAAGTATCGCCGGCCCACAAACATTCAAGACTACCGAGAAAGCTGCGTAAGTCTCCTTCAACATCCTAAACTCTAACCTCTCGTCCCAAATAAGCTGACATTTCCCAGCGGCTACCCCACAGCATTCAAAGCAATTTTGATCTGCTACGGCCTCGTAATCTTCGTCTCCCAGGGCTTGCGACTCTATCTCGCGTTCGTGAACAAGAAGCGAGATCGTGAAGAAGTCGAAGCTGCTACTTGGGAGACGGATGTCGCGCCTGGAAAGCGGCAGTTGACCGCGGACGATTATGAGGATGTGACCGATTTACACACTCCGGGCTTTAGGTATCGGTTATAGAGTGGGATGCTGGATGCTGGTAGAAAGACTTCGTGTGTAATAATCCATGGTTGGGCCATAGAAACACACTAAAAACTGTGATGATATGTACTGAAATCAGCTTGGTACATCTCACCACTTTGAGAAGATCAAGAGTACCTTGAACGGAACGTTCTGATTGTCTCGATGGTTTATATATCGAGAAATTGTTTCGCAAACCACTGTTACGATCAAAGTTCGCTATGCAAATTCATCGAAAGAAGGCTTGTCCAACTGACTATCTGAGCGAAGCTCTTGAAAGCTTTGCGCTCGAGTTCACGGGCTAGCCCTGCGTCTCGAGTTGACGTAAAACAAGTAACCGAGGGCAGAATTCCCGTTGGACTAATCCGGATCTCACGTCAGAACAATTTCCATGCAAAAGCTCCAAGGCTTTTCTACAGCATCTAAAGCGCAAGCTGGTGACACAAATGCTCTCGTTTTGAAAGCTCTTCCATCACCAAGGCTTGTTTGACTCAGCATACCGGCTGTCGTTATGTCTCTCTCCATTGCTCAATGGCCATCCCAGCCAATCCCCGAGCCTGTCAAAGACCTGATCTCCAAGTTCTACGCTTGCGTCGATGCTCCTCAGGATCCCAATGCGAATACGGTCCTTGCAAACGAGGTATTCCTTCCAAATGGGACATTCACCATCAATCAACGTGTAGTCCAGGGCAAAGAACAAATCCAGAACTGGAGAGCAAGTGCAGCGAGCGGGAATCAGGTGAAAGTGAGCCCCACCTCTTAGTACAATAAATGCAGGAACGAGAAAGCATGACTTAGATGAGTTCAGGTGAGCGTGCATACAGTCGAGAAAGTCTACAATCTGGATGGACAAGGGGGCCAAGTGTTGACTACGGGGACGCTGTTCTTGGAGATGATGGGTGGACAAAAGGCGACTTCGGTTTATGCTGCGAGATGTTTGGTATATGATGTGGGAAGTGCAAACCCTAGAATCAAGGAGTGGCAGGGCTGGTGTGATTATATGCCGTACATGTTGGCTGGTATGTTCGAGGCGCCGAGAATCTATAACAATAAGATAACGAGTTGAGCTGGTACTGTTTCGAAAATCATGGAGATCATGACACCCGGTGCGCTTGAAATTTCTCTTTCCTTGAATCTCACCTTTTCCTAAGCATGGAAGAATTGGAACTGATCTGCTGCTCCGCGTGATCTTTGGAATGGATACGATCTCAAGTGTACTTATATACACGAGACAATTTGTCCCTTTCCCGGAATTATGTACATATAAATAGAACCAATTCTCTGCTATCGTTCAATTAATTGCCAGCTGGCTGCTTGCCCACCTGCTTAGTGGCAATTCTCCCGGCCGTTCCTCCACTGACATTCTTAGCTGCAACGTTGTTTTTCGCCTTCTGCGCAGCAGACTTGAAGGCTTTCATGTCTCCCGACGCTCTGTGATTGAAAGATTAGCAAACAGTATCGAGGTTCGTACTTGGACTGTAGACTTACGCGTTGATGGTCATGACCATTCCTTGCTGACAACTAGTTTCGGAAACCGTTAGAAAATGCGGCGGGAACGAGACTAGACAGTGGGATCGAAACACTTACTGGTTCGCAGCAGCGCAGTACATGTACATGGGCTGAGTATCATCCTGTACGACCATGGTAAACGTCTTGACTTTCGATGCACCTTGCTGTACAGGCATGAAGCCACCTATTCAAGTTAGCGCTTCCAAGTTTTGAAATCCATGAAGAAGGATGGCCTTACTGTTCACAGCATTCTTGGCAGGTTTGCACGCTGCTTGTGGCCCCGAAGCTTGCGTGGCTGTATGATTCGCCGATACGAACTGGTATTGTACTGTGTCTCCTGCGGCTGCTTTGATTGAGTTTGGAGTGAATGTGACAGCGTTGGGATTTTGCAGGCTGCCGACTACGACGACGTGGGTCTGGCCTTGTTGGCGGGGGAGAATGAGAGTGTCTTCGATTGGAGCGTCGATTGTTGAGGCAACTGGGAAAGTTATTGGATTAGCTAAGAAGGTTTTTGTATTGGATCATAGATGTTCTTACATGCAGAACCAGCTGCTAAGCTCGTAATGAAAAAGAATGCGTTGAAAAGCATTTTGTGTTTTGACAGAAAAAAGCCGAGAATTAAACGCGGAAATTATTAAAGATTGTAGACGAGAATGGAATTATAAGAGCTTGACGGTACAACAAAGTGAAAGAAAGGGCTATGAGTACTGGAATGAATGAGAAAGCCAAGAGCAGTCATCCACTGTCTTATAAGTACCTCGGGCGGTCGGGCCAGTGGCGCATCACGAGCATTAAGCACCTGACCCAAACATGAAGTTTTGCCGAACTTGACATGTACCACGGCTCATAAATTCGAAGATATCCGACAGGCAGGCCCATCTCGAAGCCCAAAGTTTCCTTCCAAAAACATCAGACGGGGCTGCGATTGGGTAAGCGAGGGTCCGAATTCAAAACAAGCCATGTGAGAATGAAACGTGGCAAATTCAAGCTTCAGATTAAGCTCATCGGACGGGAGATCTACTGGAGATCTGCGATCCACATTCGTTTGAAAACTAAACTTATCATCCTAAAAGAGACTTCTGGGCGAGGACACTGGTAGAAACTGCATGAAAACTTTGTGATCTGTCTGAAGTGAAAACTTTAGTTGTAGATCTGGCACGGTACAGGCATAGTGATGTCCAAGACTTCATTTTTCAAGTTAATGCATATCATCGGACCAATTGTCTGGGCAATCTTTCGTTCAGCAGTTTTCATTGGATCGAGTCATGCATCATGTGGTCCTCAATTAAATAATGGCCATTCAAATTATTGTTTGTCTTGTAGGGAGATCCTCAGCCTTGCGAAGAAATCAAAAACCAGCCTTGGGAAAGGCAAAGATACAAGCATATCTCCCATTTCGATTCTGTAACAAGCTATCAATCTGAATTGCATGTGAGAATCTGTCATGATATCAGTCTTTACTGGACCCATCCCTCCTTTTTCATTATCTCCTTAGTCCACACCTCCAACTTCTCTGCCAGTTCTGCGTTCTTCGCATCGCCACTCTGCCACCACGGCTCCCCAAGACGTTTGAATACCTCGAAATACATGCCACTCTCTTCCGCCTTCATATCTGGACTTGCCACACCAAACAGACTGCTCCATGAACCCTTATCCGCGGTAAGCGTCAATCCCACCATCCGTACAATTGGAAGGACTTTAGTCAACAGCGACCCGGACTCTGCAACAGAATTCGCGAGGTTCGTCTCCACCAAACCTGGATGCACACATGAAACCCAAATCCCCCCTTCGCCTTTCAGGGCACCAGCGGAGGCTGGGCCGTACCTTTTGTTCAAGGTCCTCGTATGGAGAATGTTGGCCAATTTGCTTTGTCCGTATCGCTGCCACGTGCCACTATCCTTGAGTGACAAGTCGTCGAAGTTGATGCCACCTTTAGGTGCGCTTAAGTGGCCTGACGAAGTGAGGTTGACAACACGCACGCTTCCAGGAGGAAGGTTGGTTGCTGTCTTTAGCATCAGAGGAAGAAGCAGCTCCGTCAAAACCCAGTGGGAGAGATAATTTGTCTGCCACTGTGCTTCGTGACCATCTTTGGTCATTTCGAAAGGTGTTGCCATAATTCCTGCGTTGTTGATGAGGCCGTGCAGTGCTGTTTCCAGATTGAGAAATCGTTTAGCAGCTGCGACTACGCTGCTTAGGTCCATCAGATCCATCTGGAGGAGATCGATGTTGAGATCTTTGGAGGGGAACATCTCCTTAATACTGGCGATGGCTGCGATGCCTTTCGCCTTATTTCGAGCGCCCAGGTAAACATGCGCACCATGTTCGGCTAGGCGAGCTACTGTATAATAGCCTCTGTCAATTGATTAGTGATACAGGTCCACAAAGAGGGAATACGGGACGCATACATGCCAGAGTTTCCACCAGTAACAATGAAAACTTTGCCTTTGAGATCTGGAAGAGTGTCGGGATGGAATGTCATGGCTTTCGAAATTATTTGTATTCCGTTTGAAACAAGTCTGAAAGTTTGAAGGGCAGCAAGCAGAAAGTGAAGCCAAAAGTCTCAAATTAAGTGTCGAAGATATGAAATGATGTGCGTGTGGCATTCGAGCCGGACAAGAGCATATATACTGTCCGCTGGGTTCAGCAACGTCCCAACCAAAGAGCCCATCGTGAATACCAAGACGGAGATACAACCATATCGCGAGCAACAATGCATGGCGCATGGACATATGTTGGACCCAATTTCATTGTGAGCCAGCTGCATGAGGCGTCCGCTCAACACAGCTTGCGGTCACTCGCAGCATGTATGCCGTGTTTGAAAATGAATCAATAAAGCCTTGCATCTAGGCCCACACTTGATGTCGTTTTGACTCGGCCTAGAATCCTCAGTATTGTGAGCAGTTTGCATGACGCTAATGATGAAGTCGAATGAAATCGTCCCTTTTTCCAGACCCCTGGCTGAATGCTTGCGCCTCACCATGCCCAGCCACTGCGCCGTAAGCACGAACAACACCTCCCCCGACGAGCTACTACATTGCGATAACTGTTTTCGTTCTGTGTTGTACTTGTGAGCAGACTGCATGAACGCCATCATACCATTTTCTTAGCTTCGACCCTGCCAACGTCATGTTCAACACTCATCAGTCTGTAAATCCGATAGCCCCGCATGGAAGTTTTGACGTCCAGCTTTCATCCATGCCATAATTTGCCGAGGTATGTTGCCGCAGGCAATCGCCTCTCGTCTCTGAAGCAATTGCCGTTCTCACCAGTCCAAGGCCATGAGCAAAGAAGACGACTGGACTGGTACTACGAATGCTGCAGCACGTAGACGGGCACAGACTAGACTCAATACCAGGGCATACCGTATGTCATACAGAATCTCAGCTCTAGGCGGGGAAGAACAAAATGAAAAGCCCAATTGCGGCGTGAGTTTGTTTAAACCGATATTGATAATATACAGGTAAACGAAAAGCTCTCGCCAAAAAAAGCGGAGAATCGAGCATTTCGACGGATACGGATACGATGATTAAGTCAGAAATGCTAGTGGAATGCTGGGACTTTGACAAGCAGTCGATTTCTCTCATCCCAACATCTCAAGCCAAGCAGCTGTACAATCCGAGAAGAGCCTTGCTACCAAGCAAACCTGGAGTGAAGCAATTTGATATAATCTTTCCACCATGTCCAGATCATCTCATCCCACTCCTCCAAATCAACGCTCTCCGAGCCTTGGCCGTCAACCGCACATTAATATCTGGGATCCTGGCCACGCCGCTGGATTGCGCCGGCAGCGCCGCAGAGGAAATTATTCACACCATTCCATACCCTTCTAACCCTAAAATTGTTCCTCCAACTCTTCTACCGACTGTCCTGCAACAAACAGTCCCACATTGCGATTGGATCGACTTGTTTCCGTCTCCAGAAGGGCGAGATCGCCTCATCCTAGCAAGCGGTACGTTCGATGAAGATGATCTATGGGCAGACTGTGTTGGTGGGCTCTATGAGGGCTTTCCAGAGGAAGAGATTACCAAACGCGGCTTTGTCGCATGGTCCCCGCCTTGGGACATCTCGGGCTGGGAGATGTCGGAAGGATTTCTGTCGAAATGGGGATGGTTAGTCAAGGGATTGCCTGGAATATTGGAAGCTACAAATCGCTGGAGGATACAAAGAGGCGAAGAGCCACTCCCAGATGATGGGACACTGTCGTAGCCAACAGTGAGGCTTCACTGCAGGCAACCTCAAGAGTGGTGGCTTGAATCACGTGACTGGAGATTGATCGCCGCTGCTTTCCCAAGCTCTCCAGATCTTCTCCGGAGCCGATATGCAATGGCTTGGAAAGAATCATCCTGGTGGATGATATTTCAACAGAGGATCAGTGCTCTATTTCTGTTTCTATCTCAGTTGAGCAGGCAACCAGCTGCCGCCTGTTTTGATATCAGCCGAGGACCGTTCCCTTATCTCTGATCGAGAGCTTATTCAAGCAAAGTTTACGAGGCAATAGGCAAGATAGGAAAGATTGTCCTCAGCTGCCTATGAAGGATCAACAAGAACTCTCATCTCACGCTAAATGTCTACGCTTGACGCTTTATTTTGGTCGCTGAGTGGCGGTGCAGGCGGCACAGCCCAATCGGTGAACCAAATATCCGGATCTCCACTAGTTCACTGACTCTGGATAAACCCCAGCTCACGACTTCATATGGCTCCAACTGCCACCGTTGTTGAAACAGACTCCCATCCTGAGAGCCACTCAATCGTCAAAGATGGATCCGACCGAATCCGGGTCGACTGATCCTCCAATCCAAGAGGGTGCCACCATCGACGTTGGCGTGAGCGAGATGAATAGCGGCATCGCGAATGACAATAACAGCACTGAAGACTCGGCTAAGACAGAATTACCATCCGAGCAGAATAGACGACCATGGCGTCGGAATGATCAGGAACTTGAAGAGCTTAAACTCGACAGTTACAGCTTCACCAAAATTGATTTCGAAACAAAAGAGATGCGATTTCTCATTCTTCACCCGCATCATGGAATGCCAGACAGCCCATTACACTGCTTCTTCTCAATCGAACCACTTACAATATGCGAGCCTTATACGGCGTTGGTAAACACCCGTGGTAATCCGTTTGACACGGCTTTTCTCGTTATGGATAAGGCTCTGCTTGGAACATCCCCAAACATATGGGTGTATCTTAACGACGTCAGAGATGAGAAGCAGCAGAAGAGATTCTGGTTCAGAGACGTCTGCATAAATCATCGATTACCAGAAGAGAAGGGTGAGTACTGGAATCAGGAATGGATGGACAACATGAGCCAGCATGCGGAGAGCGTCATCGACATGAGCGAAGCTATCATGATTTTGTGGGACGAGGGAAAGCTGGCTCCTCCATTCCCAGCCCGGCCTCGCGACGACAGATCGTATGGAGATCTGGACTTCAATATTCATAGCCCAATTCCCCTTTCTCTGGCAGCCGAGTACGCCAAAGGAGTCGCTGGAATGCCACCACACAGATACCTGCCTCTAGACTATGTCGCCAACGAAACTCGGATAATCACACTCTTGAGTGCCCCAAATTATGAAGATCCTCTAGTGGGACTTATTGGATACAACCCAATGCACAACCAAGTCAGTTTCAACTGTCTTTCATACACATGGGGAACTGAGGAACCAACCGAGGTGCTCGAGCTCAGCGGACAGAAATTTCTTATTCGAAAGAACTTGGATGCCTTCCTCCGCACAATGCGAAATTCTGGAGGGCCATACATCAGATTCTGGATCGATGCAGTGTGTATTGACCAGACTAGCGTTTCAGAGCGTAACAGACAGCTGCCTCGTATTATTGAGGTGTACGAAGACGCAGATGTCGTAACCTGCTGGGTTGGGGAACCCGATGAGTGCAGCAACATGGCATTAAGTCTCGTCTTAGACTTGACACCAACGCATTATGTAGGTAGAGGAATGCTATTCGAGAGGCAATGGCTCGGAGTGAAGGACCGTGAGCACTTTCCTCGACGACTTGCGGCTCTGTATCGATTCTTGTGTCGTCCTTATTTCCGCCGTATTTGGGTTGCACAAGAGCTGGCAGCTGCCCGACGGCCTTACATCGTGTGCGGGAAAGATTTCATCGTGGAGTGGAAAAGACTCGATCATGCGACTTGGCGGTTGATGGATATCCTCTATTCTGACAAAGAATTAGTGGACAAAATACATGCTGCAGACCCTTCGCTCAAGGACATTCCACCGAGCGAGCTTTCATTTGCGCGACGTCTTTTCTATCTCCGGCATCTTCGACACGGCAGAATGGATGAGCTCGAGGAAAATTGGAATACTCTCTTAGCTCAAAACGACGAGCCCTGGTATGACATTCCAGAGACTGCGCCAGGTATCTTGGATGTGGTTACTCTATGCCGGGACTTTCAGAGCACGGTACCGCAAGACAAGGTGTTCGCACTCTGGAATCTGGCAACAGATGCCAAAAGCATGCACTTTACCATGGACTACACGAAGACCCTCGCGACGACTTGGCTTGAATTTGCAGTTGCGGTTGCCAGGAACAATAATAGCTTGGACATCATATGTGCGGCCGAGCCAACAGTTGCTGATGGACTAGATACTCCTTCTTGGTGCCCGGACTGGAGTACTCCTGCATCCGTGAGCAGTATGGTCCGTAAAACTCATATCCCAATTACATTAATGAGGGGCATAAGCGACATCGGTGGTCCAATGTACAGCGCCGCGGGATCCTCGACGTTGAAACCAAGGTTCGACTTCAATGGCGGCGTTCTCGAATGTGCAGGTGTTGTCATTGATGCAGTTGGACTTATTGGCCCTTACGAGCCAAGTGATATGGGCCTTGGTGAGCAGCCTCTTTGGACCGACTGGATGGATATGGCCGCCGGAGCACTGCAATCGGAGGAAGACGCTGCACTGCCTGTGCTAGAGCAGAACTTCCAAGCACGGTTCTGGGGTATGTTGAACGGTAGATCCGAAGGAGGCGATGAAGACATGAGGAGATATATACCTGGTTGGGATGGGAAGGTCGATGCAATGATCAAGAGTAACGGTCGCGAAGTGTTGACCATTGTGACCAAAGGTCGTTGTTTGATCATCACGGAAGATGGTTTCATGGGATTGGCACCTCATTACGTGGAAGAGGGAGCTAAGCTTGCGATTCTGAGCTGTTGCAGCTCACCTGTCATATTTTACGAGAACGATGATGGGACACACCGGTTCGGAGGAAGTTGCTTTGTTCAGGGTTGGATGAGAGGCGAAATGTTGACACGATTCGGAACAACCGAAGAAGAGGCTTGGGAGACTATCGAAAGAATGGGTCGTATCAAAATTATCTAGGTTTTCTTGCTATACTGAAGAAGAGATCGCTCGACAGCAATGAACAGGATCTGCATTTAGACGAGCGCGCCAATATTTCAACGTCTTCGACAGAAAGCTGAAAAACTATGGTAATCTTACTTAGCAATGAATCAAAAAAGATTGAGTCCCGCAGAAGAGCCAGATCCTCCTACAAGTCGTACGATTCTGCTTAATTATACGCTTGACAGTACTGATTAGTTGGCAGTCAAGTTGCCAGTTCCAGGACGATCCTCGATCTTCTCCACTACCACAGCTGTTCCATAAGCACAGACTTGCGCATAGGTATTCACCTATACTTCAACATCAGCACAATCGCTTCAGGCTCTAAAAATACTTCATACCTCTCCCTGATCAAACCTCATCGCAATAATCGCATTCCCACCCCTCTGCAAACACTCCCCCACCAATCTCTCCACTGCCGAATTCCTCGACGAATACATCAAATTCGTGAAGAACCGGATCTCACCACCTACAGCTGACTTCAAGAACGCTCCGAGATCAGCTCCCCAATTGCGAGCGCGGACTGTGATACCGTAAATTGTTCCGAGGACTTTGACGATGCGATAGCCTGGGAGGTCGTTCATGGTCGAGATTATGACGCCGTGAGTGTCGACGAATGTGCTTGGTACATCGCCTGAGGTCTCGCCCGTTTTGTCTTGAGATTTTGAACGTTCTTTAGAGGATTTGGTGGCCATCGTGGAAGTAGGTGGATCTGACAATACGGCTTGGTAAACTGCGCTATGAGAATGTGTGAATCAACGTCTGTTCTGGGTGAAATTATCTCTAAACTCCTCGATGCTGTCCAATTCGCAATATCAAACTTTCATGAGCATGGTTTTCCTTACAAAGACTTGTACCTATATAGTCGTCGATGCCTACTAGTAATGCCCGAAGAAGATCAGCTGACCGTGGTGGAATTATCTCCCGCTTCTTACCTCGCCGTGTTCGTTACCCGATCCGGCTTGATCAAAACACGCAAAAATCGCGCAGGCGAGCTGATCACTTGCTAACGAAGCGACTGGTGCTTCGGAATCAATGATTCTTAACTTGCTTCTCTCTCACAAGGACCAATTCAGGGGGACCGGACTGCTTCGACTGCCAGTTTTGCAAATCCCGTTCTTTCATTGGCATAGCCTTCACTAAAGCAGTCTTTGAGCAAGCACTCTTTCTGAATCCCGTGCTTCCACATTACAGTGCTACCTATGTATTTATCTCAGCACAGTCGTTGAATCGCCCATTTTTGTTTATCAATTATTTCGATTTGTTTGCGTATGTCAGAAGCAAAACTTTACGTTACCTATTCTTCTTCTTCTTCTTCAATTTCTCTGCCAAAAAAAAGTACATGGCCCATTCGCCTACCTTATTACACCCATTACATACCGACACCATTGCTTAAAACAAGAATATTCATCGAATCAAAACCACCATCAAAATAACAACCTGCACTAGCGGAAAGATCCTTGCACTCGCCAACTCTTCCACATCTGCTTCTTCTAGTCCCCTGGTCAGCTCATTCCCTCCCTCTATTTCGTAAACACACCAAACACCACACAGCTTTGGAGCGATATCTTTTCCCCAACGCCTTGAATTGTATGCAACTCAGTGGCTACAGCTTCTAGCTCCATCATGTTGCTCTCTGTTGCATCCAGATTCGCTTGGGTGATACCGAGCTGCAAGTTTGGAAAGCGAAGACGACATAGGGCTCAACAGAAAAAAGTCCCCGAGCAGAGCTAGAGCCGGTTCTGAGGTGAGGCCGACGAGGGCTGACGTTTGAATGCCAAAGAGCCATGAGTTTTCCTACGAGCGAAATGTTAGACACGTCCTCGAAATCTTCCTCTGTCCTAATTTGTTGCCATACTGATTTTCAATCTCAATGCCAGAAATTCGGATTGTATCGTTGCATAAATTACCCAGGATGTTTCGTGCATCAAGACAAGTGATATTAAGGCCCCCGAGTGGATCGTCTGTACGTTGGACGGTGATTTGGAGAAACTCCAGGTCGAGATTTACATTCTTCTTTCTTTACTTGAAAGTTGTGTGATATGGATATTCCACGAACAAAATCTCTCGCAGCCTATATGAGTTCGGTGGTATCACCGATATCTGAGGCTATCGGATTGACACATATGTCACTTCCGCCCATGTTAAGGTGCAAATTAAATGTCTGTCTAGTTGTCCATAGTAGCCTCCCCTAGAGATTATATTTCGAGCTGGGGAATTGAATGTATCGCAGTTCAAGAACGCTAGTACTTTGTGGGGTTGACTTCGGCTTCCTTTTTGGACGGGAATACCGATGACTTCGGCTTGCACAAACGTGCCTGCTGCATCGAGCAGTCTGAATTTTGAAGTACGCACCCTGTTCAATCTTCCATGATCTAGCTTTGTTTTTGGGGAGGATGCGGGTACAGTCAGAAACGAGCCTCCAGGTTTCCAAGAAGAGGAGAATGGCACTCTTAGTACAAGAAAGTAAAGAGAGGACGGGCCTTAGAAGAACATCTGACAACATTTAGTATCGACTATTGTTTACGATGTAACTCACTATATCGTTTTCGTAGGCAGTCGTCAGCTCCACAAGTCAGCGCCCCCTTGGCATCTTGGCTTTTCAGGAACTAGACAAAGGACTGCGTCTTTGCTTTATATCTCTCGCTTGGCTGACGCACACCTTTCAGTACACTTGCACCTGAAACAGTCGCCCATCGACCTAAGCGAGCTTCGTAGGTGTTGATATACAGAACAGCAGAAGCCATGTGGCTAAGGCTGAAGAGTTTATATCTGCCTTAGCTTTATTTTCCGTGCGGCACAGGAGAAACTTTCTTGGATGTGCGATCTAATTTGAAGGCTTGAATCATAATTACTTGCCATGTAACATAAAGAGGGCCAAGTAGCTTCCTCCTTCGTATTCACCATTTACGAGTCCAATTCTACGCCGCCAAATTCTGGGGCTAGGAGAGTATGTCCAATCAAAGGAAGCCCGTGAACCACAAACAAAACTTATAAGCCAAGCTGTCGTAGGTAAAGGCCTTCCAATCGTTCTTTCAACGCGGCCATTGCTTAGCCGATATTGTTACATATCGTGACTACGACTCGGACAACCTGCGGGTTCAGCCTGCGAGTGGAATGACTCCTACTGCAAAGCCTCTTGGTCATGTGTTGTTGCGGCGTAGTTCTCGGCCCCGGCCTTGTTTGAACTCGGCTATCGGTTTACCGATATGGTTGACATATCGTGACTTTGAGACTTGGATTTGGATTTGGACTTGGACAACCTGCGAGTTCAGCCTTTCCGTCGAATCACTTCTACTGCAAAGCCTCTTGGTCATGTGTTGTTGCGGCGTATTTCTCGGCCCCGGTCTTTGTAATTGAACCAAGAACCCCATTTGGGATTGACAACCAGAGAGTTCTTCACCTCAATGACGCTTGGTTCTATCACCTTCCATACCTAATAGCTAAGATGTACGTATGTGTGAAATTAAGAGCCCATTCTAGGTGCGTCCGTCACTTTCTGGCAGAATCTGGAAAATCATCCGTTGAGCCGATGTGAAAAGTGCCAAGGTTTTAGTCCAACTTGGTCTTATGAAGCCTATAGGAGTACGTCCTTCGTAAATTGAAGTTCACCAAAGTACAGTACTAAGAGTCTTGAATATTTCATGTCAAGCAACAAGTTTATTGATCGCATTTAAGGGCCTATCAGACACAGATTTGAGATGAGACTCTCCTCTCTTGGAGGACTTTAGGTGGATGAAAATAAACTAGATACCAGACTACTCGCTGCGTTGCCCCTCAAGGTCAATGAGAACCATGATGGTTACAGGAGCGATGAGAATGCGAATGCCGGGAGGAATGTGCCAACTGGGGATGAGATTAGCAATAACCATCCAGACTGTCCGAGAACTCCCTCTTCGATATCCGATTAAGGACTTCCAAAAAGTATAAGAAGGCCAATGTCTGCCTTCAGAAAATTGAAATTCAAGCACTTCTCATTCCATACAGAATAGCAAGTCTGCCACATCCAAAAGAAAGCATCCAACCTCTTCCACTTTTCACAGGTTCACATTTTCCAAAATGAAATTCACTCCTATCACTTCGGTTGCCCTCATGGCCCTCACTCTTGTCAATCCTGGCTCCGCCAGCATCGGAAAGGCCGCCAGTTTGGCTTGCGATCTCTTCTGCGACGGAATTGCCTCGCTATTCATCGAAATTTTCACCAAGCGTGATCTGAACGGCAACCTGGTACCAATGGAAGAGCGCTCTTATATCAAGGGCAAGCGCCAGTCTACCCCTGGTGTTCCGCAAGAAGAGTTTGAGCGCTGCCATAATGATTTGGCGGGCCTGACTGTCACGGTCACAAGCCCCGCTGCTGGACGTAAGTATCCTTTCCTGATACATCTTTCCTGTAAAATCCTACGATGCTGTGAAGGCATATACGGTTCGAATGTACACTTTTTGACACTTGTGTATAGAGGTTCAATTCGATGACGTGCCTGCAAGCTGCATGAACCTTGCTACAGTGCTCGTCGGAGACCCAGTTGAGGGACCATACGTTCAGCCATGTGGCTCAGCATGCCTCTCCTACTACGATCTCACAGAGCAGCAATTCAACGATCTTGTTGCTGCGCTCCAAGCCATCTAGATCAATTCATTGGCAGCATAATCTGTTGGGAGATGAGAGGAGAAGGAATGGGAAGTGCTCGAGGGAGGAAATTGGGCGGAGCAGGCTTTGGAGCAGATTGGGGTTGCAACATTGTTATTAGTTTCCAAGCTCTCTTCAACAGAGACGGTGGATGCCATTCCTTAAGAAATGAATTAAAGCTGTGGGGTATCTGATAACTGTTCTCTTGAATCTTTATTCGTTTTTGACCGTGTTCTGCTCATCATGTGCTTGTGAAATTCCTTCTGTTAGGTTGATGTGGTCTGTTAGGTTGATGTGGTTGCAACTCACTTTTGTAAATGCGAAATCAGCAAGCTGGGATCAGCATGATGTAGACTGCTGCAATTTTCTTCAACCTCAGCTTGTGATAGAACCTTTATCACATATCAGAATTGTCGATGAAGATTGTGAAGCGTTCAAATTCTTGCCAATGAAGTGCGGCATAAGGATTGTGGTGCCTACTAGACATGTTTCAAACGAAAACTCTCTTGATCTTCGAAATTTTCGTCTTTTTAATTGTCAGAAGATTGTAAAAAAGTCTAACTGCAATCTGCAGAAGATTTCGTTTCTAGCAAACTCTACCATCAAATAGGACTGCCAGCATCAAGCCTACCCATCGCAGTCTCATAAAGAATCGGATATTGATATGGTGGAACCGTGACATAGAAAAACACAAACACCCAAAGAAATCCTAAGATGCCTTTCATACTCCTGTACCTCGCCGTAGCCCCCAATGTCCTTGTCCACGCCCATCTAGCCACAAAAGCCTCTACCAGCCCACCAAAAAAGTTAACTATCAAGAATTTCAGATCCGAAAAATGATCTTTAGCATTAGGTTCTGCCTTCCAGCTCACAAAGACATGCGTGATTCCTGAGGCCAGGAAGATCCAAAACGCGAGAAACGCTTTCTCAGAACTTCCGCTTGCCGATAGCCCCAGGACTCGACGAATTACAAGCCGTCCATGGCTTGCTTGAGATGGAGATCCAAGATGGTGCCAGAAGCGACCCCAGAAAGATCTTAGGCTGGTGATCTTGAAGGGATTGCCATAAAGCGAAGGCCATTCAGATGGTGTGTGGAGTTGAAGGACGCCAACAAAGACGATGGACATGATTGTGTGCGCGACAGTCAGGATGAGGTAGGTGAGCCAGGCCCAGTAGAAAGCATAGACGCTGCGTAACAGAGCTTGTCTGTCGATGTGGAGGTGGATGTAAGTTTGACGAGGAAGACTGAAATCTGAAGGCTGGGGTCTGAGAAGGAGCAGGAGGAGTTCTACGACGGTGTAGATCATTGAGAGGATAAGAATATGAGAGAGTTTACGGAGGATGAAGATGATATGTCGGTATTGAGACGTTGGTCTAGTATCCGTAGGAAGTTTATTGTACGAGATTCTGCGTGGGTCCATCCATAACTTGAAAGCTGCCGAGACATTCCACTTCCTACTATCCTTAGAATTTGGCGGCAGAATAATCCAATTCTCGATGTACAAGACGGATGTAGTGTGGGTTATGGTTACTATAGATGTGAATGCGTAGATCCAGTCAAGTCCACCCGGCAAAAGATGGACAGTGCGGTAGCACTGCACAAGAGGCAGAATAATGAGGGGTAAGAATAGCCAACGAGACTTTTGGGGCTGGTGGATGGTGACGATAAAGGCTAAGGCAGATAAGAGATGCCATAGGATTGGTTGAACTGCAAAGAGCACATGAGAATCAAAAAAGTCGGTAGCCATCATTTATGAGAGAAAATGCGGGGGACTGGATCCAGAATGCAGCATCGCAGACAAGAGAACTATGGAAGGGAGATATCGGCAGAAACAGCCGCATGAAAGGCTTCTACATGTCTTGCATTCGCATATAATCGGATGTGAGATTTTAAAGCATGTAGCTTCTAAGGCTGTAGTGTTTTCTTGGTACGTTTCTTTTTCTGGTTAGAGAATTGGCTTTGTTTTGATCTAGAAGGATCTCGCTTAAAGGCATCCGGTTACCCGCCTGGTCATTGTCTCGGCGTACATCACCTGCAGACTACTGTCGCATCGCCACTTTACGCCGCAATATCTACTGCGTGGTCGGCATTTAACTTCTTGTCAGGTTGATTTCTCTGGTATAGAGTCAAAAACGTGTCACGTAACTCTTTCAATCCCAAAGGCTCTGGTTTCTTCCTTGTTGGTCGTGACTTCGACGGTTTTCTGCAGTTTAAATGTCCACGTGAGTTCTATCCGCCACATCAACCACTTGGTCAAATCAAACTTCCAACTTGAATTTCTAGCATTCCTAATTGGGCACTGGTTTCAACATCCTGAATGCTGAACTGAATATCACCAAAGTCCCGCCAAGACTGAATCAGAGCTACAGTTCGGAATCGCAAAGTCACCGACAATAAAACAACATCAAAAAGAAAATATTCCATTGATTCGCCTTGTAATTCCTCACTTCAACCCTCAAAACCAAAATGTCACCCACAACCACCATATTACACAACCCCCTCACCAGAAGAGCAATATCTCAACGGACTGGTTACACCATCATCCTCCCCGTCGTCCTTGGCGTTGTCTTCATCGCCCTCTGTATCTATCTATTCTGGTTCATCCGCAAGCGGAAAGCACAGCTTGCAGTTCAGAGACGTAAAGAGAGAGAACAGTCTATGAAGACTTGGGGGAAGGATATGGCACCTATCAAGGGAAAGGAGAGTGGTGCAAGGGATGGTGCTTTGCTTGCTGCGCAAGGTCTCGGGAGGGGGTTGCAGGCTGTGGGAAGATGATGATGAGTTTGGAGGGAATGAAGACCATTCTGACTTATATCCTGTTTGTTATTTTTTGGTATGAGGGATCGGGATCATGATTGGGATTGCTAGTCCTCTGGAATGCTAGAATCTGGGAGTTCTGTGGAGGATGGTTTGTGATACTTGGAGGAGTCTTGGTAGAAGGCGGATCTCTCTGACTACTGGGGAAGCTAGCATGCGGCATGAAGTTTTTGACAAAAGTATACGTCAGGAGTTTTTGAGAACTTTTTCTTTCCCTCAGCTTTCGGAGAAGCTGAATAGATGAAGTCTGCTGGAATGCCTCACCTGGAGGAGTGACCGTTAAGCCATCCAAATCTATAGTATGGCAACTCAACATCTATACTTTGCAACTCTACGAGAGACTTTCGCTCTCGATCGAGGGCAAGGTACAATACCACTGCAATTAGAAAATTTCGCCGTTTCGTTGGGCTGCAAGTCATCTAGCTCGGGAAGAAAAGTGCACGGCGTGAATATGGTTCTGTACCTTTATCGCCATACATGATAGCTGGGACGTGGATTATTGTCTCAAAAAATACTCAATACATATCCATGATCCGTGATACAACGATATAATATCGGAAAGTAGACATTTGCAAAGTTGTTTCTGAGTTTGAAATCTGACCATCGAGAGACATCTGATTGGCCGCTTCGGCCTCAGGTTGAAACCAGAGCTCCAGATCCCCTCAAAATATTTCCAGGACGCATGTTGAAGCTTCACACGACACAAACCACATCATGTTGTCCGCCCGCAAGATCCCAAGGGCGTGTCAATCATGCCGGCTTCAGCTTCTATCGCTCTTCGAGAACGGGTTCACGAACTGCGCTCCAACAAGCGCTGCACGAGCACGATACACCACTCGAATCCAAGCACGACCTCAAGCTCTCCCACTTCGCCAGAATGCCTCCCGCGCATTTTCCACGACGAGAATCCGCGCAGAAGAACTAAAAGTCGATCTACCGGAATCATCTGCAGCTACGCAAGCTGACATTGAAGCTGTGGTGAGACAAGCCAGGCAGACATTTGGAGAAACCCTCCCGAAGGATTATTTGTCAATTGAGGAATATGTGATCTACGAACGATTGTATGGACCGCCCTTGAGAGACACGAAACCAGAGGATCTCGAATATCTACCTGAAGGAGAGGAGGAGGTGGATCTGGATAAGGTGCGGAATGTGCTGTTGAGGCAGAATGAGATGGGTGATTATGAGGAGATTGAGTTTGATCCTGAGTTGAGTTACACTGTCACGGATGGAGAAGCATTTCCAGAGGAAACAGACGAGATGTACCTGGCAAATGAGCAGGCATTGGCTGAGGCGGAGGAGCTGGTTGGAGAGCTTGGGCAGGCTGTGGAGGTTGAAGAGGCTGTGGAAGGTCAAGAAGAGGAACTTTTGGCTAATGAGGAGATTGACGAAAATGCGATCAGAGTTCAGGGACGGAATCAGCGAGAAGTCGACGCCATAGCACGATTACAATTGGATATGGATGCAGCTTTGTCCAAACCCATCGAAGAGGAAGAGGAAGACGAGATTGAGGAGGAATATGAAGAGGAAGAGGAGGAGGAGCTAGAGGAGGACGAGGAGGAAGATGATGGCATATGGATCAGCTCGGATGCTGTTCGCACGCATCCCCATACAATGACTGGACGATCAGGAACGAATCCTACGACATTAAGCTTTCCCAAGGAGACATTTCTAGCACCCATTTCAGAGTTACTGGCACGCGCCGACTCGAAACATATAACTGATGCTGCAGAGAGAGTGTTCGGTGGCAAGGGTCTCCCATACTCGTCATCTGTGCCAGCGTCGAAAAAAATGCTTCCTCAGAAGAACATTGGATTGGACGCTATGCAGCACAAGATGAGCGAAATCGAAGCGGATGCATACCTGGCAGCGGTCATGCCTGGAACATTCGCATCTATCACGAATACGCTGGTTGAAGTCCGGAAAAGGCTTGGAGGCCAGTGGGTTCGAGATTTGCTATTTAGAGAAGGTGGCGAAGGTCCGCGAGTGTTGGATGCAGGCGGTGCAGGTGCTGGAGTCATTGCATGGCGGGAAATCCTCCAAGCTGAATGGGATGTGATGAGAGATGAAGGGCTTGTTAAAGGAGAACGGGTACCTCATGGGAAGACTTCAGTCCTTACAGGCTCTTCAGCTTTACGGCATCGGATATCTCGATTCTTGGACGACACGACTTTCCTGCCACGACTACCAGAATACATGCCAGGTCCATCAACCACGCCACATGTAGACCGTAACATCAACCAGCCAAGAAAGTCCTACGATATCATTATTGCACCGCATACACTGTTCCCCCTCAAAGAAGACTTCCGGCGCAAGAATATGGTTCAGAATCTGTGGTCTCTCCTAGATCCTAATGGTGGTGTTTTGATTATCATTGAGAAAGGACTACCTCGTGGATTCGAGGCCATTGCCGGCGCTCGCTCTCTCCTGCTCGATTCACACATCTCGTCTCCCGGGGAAACCAGCTTTGAGAACGAAATCCAGTCTCCGAATTCAGAACATTCTCGATTCACGAAAAAGGAGGAGGGCATGATCATTGCACCATGCACAAATCATCTTAAATGTCCCATGTACCCGGTACCTGGATTGAGTAATGGACGAAAAGACTTCTGTCATTTTCCCCAGAGATTTCTTCGTCCGGACTATCTTCAAAAGGTTCTCGGAGCAAAGATCCGCAACCACGAAGATGCCAAGTTCAGTTACATCGCTGTTCGTCGAGGTGCTGACGCTCGCAAATCATCTCCGGGATTTCTACAAGGCGAGGAGGCAACTTTGCAGTCCCTTGCCGGGTATGAAGATCATGATCTCCCCGAGTCTGAGGAGATCGACAGTGAGCCGAGCGGTGTGAACTTTGAACCTATGAACCTCCCTCGAATTATTCTTCCTAGTCTCAAGCGTCGTGGCCATGTCACTCTCGACCTCTGCACCCCATCCGGCAAACTCGAACGCTGGACTGTTCCCAGAAGTTTCAGCAAGGCCGCATACCGCGATGCACGCAAATCTAGCTGGGGAGATCTCTGGGCGTTGGGAGCGAAGACTCGAACATTTAGATCACCTCGTCTTGGACGGACTGGTGAGGATGGAGGCAAGATCAAGGGTATCAGAGATGGAAAAGTGGGCAAGGGAGGCAAGAAGATGAAGAAGAAGCACTACGATATGATCATGGGTAAGGAGGGTGTGGCGGAGATCAAAGAGGCCGGTATGGCGAGCAGACTGGTCAAGAGGGAGAAGAGAACGAAGGGTGGTCGAATCTGGAAGGAGCCGAAGCCGCTTGGGGAGGATGACTTGTAAAATGGAACGGGTGTATAAAAGTATGGTATGGGAAGGCGTTGGATGTACAACATGATCTCTTCTACTCTGGCCCCACGGATGAAACTGTATAAGATTGTATTATATGGATGGCACAGGGAGATGCCAGTCTCAGACCAGATCTGAAGCAGGCCACGAGGTCATAAATTAAAGTCAAATACCCCTCTTCCATATTGTACTCACAAACTCCGTCGCTCCTTTCTTTCCCGACGAGCAGCATCCACCACTTCTTATGCATGTCAATCGGCATAACCTGGAAAGGAAAGCAACTCGTCCGTTCGTTCCTCCTGTATTCCTGCACCCCGCGCTCAACGTCCGCCGCCTCGGATAATTACCGTATCCATCAATGCCCCCACGCGCCTCAAACTGCTGACATACCCATGTAAACTTACCTTACCTTACCCAAGACCCTCATTAAACTTCTCCCCACCAGCTCCTCACCCACCCAATCATGGGATTTCAGACATCCCAACTGCAAGGGTGCTTTCACACATTTCAGCCTCAAAGGCTCAGTCATCCAATACGAACCTCGATACGGCGCATCCAGATTCGCTCGCTCGTTGCGGCTGCCTCACCCAAACGTGGGTCTCAGCGGGCGGCTCATGCATGTCTCGCATCCCAGCTCCCCGATCCCCGTCAACCCCGAAACGGAAACTCGGCCATTTCCACCAGGCAAGATCCCTGGATTACGATTCGTCCGCGCCGAGGTGTTAGCTGCGAAGTAATTATTGATTTGACAGGTCCCCTCCGTCCTCCGGGCCGGACCTTGTCTCTCTTTCCTCCGTCCTGACTTGTCTTGTCTTCCTCTATGTCAGCCTTCATCTGGACTTCATGTCGTCCAGTTTTGTCTCGATTGCATTGCCATGATGGATTGTTGATAGATAGTTTTGTTGTACGTACGTTCGTTTTCATTTTGTTTTTTGGTGATTTCTTCACCATTTACACTCTTTACTTTAGGCTTTTGTGTTTTGTGTGAGGATAGTGAAGGTGAAGGAGGGTTTTCATGCTGTTGTGTTGGTGTGAAACTTTGTTGTGCTTGACGACGAGCTGGCCGGCTACATACCTGCGAGACCTCTTTGTTGAGGTGAAGCTCGCCATCTACCTCCGTCCTAGAGACTCTGAGCAGGCTTCTTGACGGTCTGCATTTCGGAGCTGGAGTAAGTCTTAATTTCTGGCTCCTATCGTTACCAGCACAGAGACTATGCCATGAATTGACAGGAACTAATCGTACCTCTAGCTAGCCCTCAACCACCCCTCATCCTCACTCCATCCGGTCAATTCAAACCGACCAACCATCCACCATGATCCTCCCCCGAACAACCCTCTTCCACACACCCTCCACCTCACCCCAATCCGAAACCCAACCACAGGACCAAACACCATCCTCCTCCCCAGACTCCTGGTCCCTCCCCGCCTCCTACCGCGTAGCCATCTTCCTCAACGCCAGCATCCTCATCTTCATCCTCGCCATAATCCTCGGCCTCATCCTATACATCCGAAACCGACGACCTACCTCTCACCAATTACGCAAATCCCATAAAGCCCTCTCACACAGATCACAAAAGGAGGAGGAAGAGGAGACATTACTCGAGAGCAAAGATGCATATTCAGATTCTGACTCGATTTCCAGATCAAGTGGAGGAGAGAGAGGTGTAGGTGCTGGGGCAGGAGAAATGACCGAGAAGAAACGCCCAAGACCGATACATATACCCCTGCCTGGACCAGGAACGTTCAGTCCAGTAGGGATTCTGAGTCCTAGTATTAGGACGCCTGGCGAGAAGAGAAAGAGGGGACATGTGAGGTGGACGCCTAGTGTGCAGGGAGGAGAGGTATTTGGGATTTTGGAGGGAGATGGTGCTGGGGCAGGGAAGGCGAAAGAGAAAGAGAAAGAGAAGGTGGAGAAGAAGTGTAAGTGTAGGGGGAAGAGACATCCTGGGTGTTGGAGGTTTGATTTGCATTTTGAGGATGGGGCGAGGCCGGTGCTGGGGGAGGAGAGGGAGGAGGGGTTGGGGAGGCTGAGTAGGTGAGGGGGGAGGGGAGATATAATGAAAACGAAATTGAATATTACTAGATATCATGATTGATTATTGTTTTGTGAGAGGACCCTGACCAAGGAGAGCCCAGACATCCATATTGCGGCCAATGTTCTCCGTTTCTTTGCCATGAAAGGCTAGTGTTTGCTGTATCTTGCAGACATTCCCTTTTATATCATACCGCAACTGCAAGCACGTAGTAGGACCCATGCACAGCCCCATACATTCAAGATAAAAGGAAGCAACTGCAAACTTCATTCTATTCCTTCTCCGACGACATTTTTTTGTGTTCAGAGAAAGCAGCATCGTCAACAGTATATATGCATCTGTACTTTTGCTCTGAAAGTGATATCATCCAAGTTCCTTTTAAAAAAAAAACTACTCTTTGAATCAGCGAGATGGACTAATTAAGAAATTAAAGTGTAGCTATGACTAGGTAGGTCTACTGGTACCGTACCTAAAAGAATTGATGAATTAAAGTAGAAAGGAATAAGGAATCGCACATGAGGGAAAAGGAACCTCCTGCTTATTTAGAATGTAAGCTAGCTAGCTATGAAGAGCAATCAATGAGACAAGAATCAACATAATCGCGTGGGGGTGTGACACAACTACCACCACCCTAATGTGATGGTTCTTGGATTGAACGTCCTGATTCATAGGGGATAGTTATCTAATCAAATCTTGAAGTTCGCCTTCAAGTTCTCCCTCAAACTCTCTCACCTGCTGGTCCCCCCTCCAATTCACCGCCACCCTCCTGCACCTTTTACCCACCCCATATCCTCCAAACATCCTCCTCCCACATCCTCCCAACACCCTCCCAACACCCTCCCAACCCCAACCAGCTCCAACCAGCTCCAAATCTAAACCCAACACAAACTTCAAAGTAAAACCACATACCAAGATTAGCAGAAACGAAACAAGTCCAGCACCTACTTCGAAAAAGAGCCTATGTAGTGTAACCAGGCAACACGCACACCCTCAAATTCAGCCTTGTTTGTTTGGTTGTTTGGACTCACTTACTGACTAACTTACCTCGTTAGCACCTGCGCTACTTGGGGCATCGGGGCATCTTGGATAGGCAGTAGGAGAGGGAGGCAGTGGCATTTGGATGTATGTGGGACTTGAGTTCGAGTCTTAGTCTGGGAGGGCAGTTGATGCTTTTTTCTTGGGTGGTTTTAGAGAGTTTGGGGATTGTGGTTGTGGGTTTTGGTTGTTGTTTGTTTTGGTTTGTTTATGGATTTTTGTTTACGTCGGGTGATTCTTGGTTAGTGCTCTTGAGGGAGGGAAGGGAAGTAGCGAAGGGAACTTGTAGACAGGAGATAGACAGGAGGAACAACAGATCGTCAAAACAGATCTCTTGAGAGTGTATGTGTAGATAGACAAGTTCTGAGATTGACTTAGGACTGCTTGGAGATCAAATAGGCATATGTTATAAGAATCGATGAGTCAGAAGATGCATCGATTGCTGTTCTTCATGCTACCTCATCTTGGGCTGGTTGTCTTGCGTGCCTCAAGAGCATAACTGCCGTAACAGATTGCTTGTCTATAGCTATCCTATCCGCTCAGTTGTCTGGTGGGAATAAGACTGTACGCGGGATCCTGAGTGGATGTTGACCTGCATTGCTGTTGACCTTGAGCAGAAGCGAGAACCCCACCCCCGCATTTCCCCGCAGTCACTGGCTTGCCTGGCACAACAAGCTTCGTCACAACACCTGAGGTGGTCCTTGCGATACCAGAGAGAAGAGCCAGCTCAAATTCAAAGGTGGGAGTTTTGACACATTGTATCTGATTGTTTCTTTAATGATCTACGCCCAGCTCAAATCTCCTCCCCAATCGGGTCAGCTCTAACATGCTCCGGCACACTCTCCGCCTGGAACATGTTCTCTCCTCACGCTTCTACTCCAGTACCTCTTCACTATCCAAAGGCAAGCGAATCATCGTAACAGGCGGTTCCGGAAAAGCAGGCCAATACATAATTCCGCACCTTCTTTCCCGTGGCCACGAGATCCTCAATCTAGACCTCACCGTACCATCTCAACCAATCCCCGACGTCCATACAATCAAAACAGACCTTACATCCAGCGGTCAAGTCTTTAACGCGCTCACCTCACCTTTCAAACTCACTCAGCCCTTTCCAATCCACTCACACCCCTTCCAGCCTCCAGACGCTGTGATCCATCTCGCGGGCCACGCTCGCAATATGCTCGTCCCAGACAATGAGACATTCCGCGTTAATACTGTTGGGACATACAATGTTATCGAAGCAGCTTGCAAACTCGGAATACCAAAAATCATCATCGCAAGCTCAGTCTGTGTCTATGGCGTCACATTCGGTGAGGGAGATGTCGATTTCACATCCTTTCCCATTGATGAAGAAATCGACGTGAACCCTACAGACACCTATTCCATCTCCAAACTCTGCGGTGAGAGAATCGCTCGAGGGTTCGCTCGTCGATTTGGAACCGACATCTACGCCTTAAGAATAGGAGCACTCATCACACCCGAGGAGTACAAGACGGACGTCTTTAACGCTTACATTGAGAAGCCAGAAGAGTGGAAGGTCCACGGGTGGTCGTACACCGATGCCAGGGACTTAGGGGAGATGTGTGAGAGGTGTGTGAGGGTTGATGGGTTGGAATGGCAGGTTTTCAATGCGACAAATGATGAGATTACGAATTTTGTCTCGAGGGATGGGAGTACGGAGGGGTTTTTGAAGAGGATGTGTCCGGAGACGCCGTTTACGAGGAATATAGGTAGGAGAGAGGCGCCGATGTCGAATAGGAAGATGAAGGAGATGTTGGGGTTTGAGGAGCAGCATAATTGGAGGAAGTATTGTCAGGAGGATGGATGAAGTGGAAGCTGAGAGGCTCGAAACAGTGGGTACCAACCCCGACACAAAGACAGGAAGAGTACAATTTCAGAACGACCATCTATCTAGACATAACTAAATAATCTCCATCTATTTTCCAAGCCCAACTCCTCCGTCTCAATTTTCGAGATCCCCTCAGAAAATATCCGTCACCGCGCCCTCCGAAGCATTACCCACCAACCTCGCGTATTTCCCCAACACACCCCTCGTAATAGTCTGCACGGGCGGTTTCCACTCTTTCAGTCTCCTCTGAATCTCTTCATCGCTCACATGTGGCATCTTCAGCTCATTAGTCTGTGCGTCAATGTCGATGATATCGTCGTCCTGAATAATCGCAATGGGACCTCCGACTGCTGCTTCGGGCACGATATGTCCAACCTGTGAATCCGCAATGTTAGCAAAGTCCCAATCGATCATGAAAAAGAACTAGAGCCACAGCTCCAGAGAAGAAAAGGAACGCATACAATAAATCCATGCGAAGCACCAGAATACCTCCCATCAGTAATCAGCGCCACATTCTTGAACCCAGCTCCAATCAGTGCCGCAGAAGCACGAAGCTGTTCCGGCATACCAGGTCCACCTTTCGGACCCTCATACCTCACAACCAAAACAAGATTCTCAGTATTCGAGAATTTCCCCTGATTCAACGCCCTCGTAAGTTCAACTTCCTTATTGAAAACCCTCGCCTTGCCCGTAAACCTCATCCCTTCCTTCCCCGTGATCTTCGCCACCGCTCCACCCGGCGCGATATTCCCTCGCAAGATCTCGAGATGTCCACTACTTTTAATCGGATTATCCAGCGAGCGGATGATCTCTTGACCTTGTGGGAGAGAAGGCCAGGACTCGACATTCTCGGCGAGTGTTTTGCCAGTCACGGTCAGCGCGCTTCCATCAAGGAGACCTCCCGCAATGAGGATTTTCATGACAGAGGGAATTCCACCGATTTCGTAGAGGTCCGCCATACTATACTTTCCGCTTGGAGCGAGATTCGCAATGAAAGGGATTTTGTTTGATACGCGCTGGAAATCATCGAGTGTTAAATCAACGTCTGCACTTCTTGCCATAGCGAGACTGTGAAGAACGCTATTTGTTGAACCACCGATTGCCATTATCATCACGAGTGCGTTCTCGAATGCCTTTTTGGTGAGGATATCTCGTGGTTTGATGTCTTTCTCCAGACAAACTCGAATCGCCGCACCTATACGAGCACATTCTCGCATTTTGGAGGGCGCGGATGCCGGTGTGCTGGATGAGCCAGGGAGGGAGAGGCCCAGTGTTTCGATCACAGTGGCGAGCGTATTGGCTGTATACATCCCACCACAAGCACCCGGCCCAACAACCGAATTCCTCTCCACATCACACATGATCTGCTCCGGTGTTGCGGACTTATCCTCTTTACTCCAATACTTCAGAGTATCGAATAAATAGGCTCCATGGACTTCCTGGCAGGAGTTGATATCAACGGCTTTCCCGAGCGTTTTGCTGAATCCGCTCCTCAAGGTGCCGCCGTACACGACGATAGAAGGCCGGTTGTGGCGAGCGATTCCGATTACACAGCCAGGCATGTTTTTGTCACAGCCGGGGATGGCGATGCAGGCGTCGTGGTGTTGGGCACATGTCACTGTCTCGATGCTGTCGGCGATGATCTCACGGGATTGAAGCGAGAAACGCATGCCTATGTACCAAAGATAATTAGAGGTATCTCTTGGAATTGAATGGGCAACTTACCCTCATTTCCCATGGTGATTGCGTCTGAGACTCCGATGGTGTTGTATTGCCAGCCTAGAAAGCCTTCTTTCTGTACGGATTCTTTGATGGCTTTTCCAAGATCAAGTACTGACTTCATGTTACTGAAAGTGGGGGTGACATCTCAGAATCATCTTCACTCACAATGCATACTAGAAAGTGTCAGTACTAGTCATGGAATGTACATATGTGATGTTTAGAATGAAGTCTTACTTGCATGGATTTCCTTCCCACCAAACTGAAGCAACTCCCACGTGGGGGCTATTCTTCATCGTCTCCTCGTCCGGAACACCCGCTGCGTACAGCATTGCCTAAGTACTTATGTCAGCATGATGCCCTGAGACGATTGAGACAGTTGATAATTTACTAACCTTCGCAGCGGGAAAATCATGTTTCCGTGTAATGAATGTCGAGTATCGATTCAAAGCCGGCTTTCCATCATGTGTAGCATCTCGAGCCAAATGTGGGAACTCTGCATACCCTTTCTGGTGAGAAGTCGAATGTCCATTCGTTGAAGTCTCCATATTAATTCCCGGCTCGAACGTCGAAAATACAGTCGATACTAGTTCACGATTCCGTAGAGCAAAAATGAAGCTTTCACAAAGTTTTCTTGAAGCTAATGATATGAAACGAAAAGGTCATCAACAGGCCATTGCCTACGGCTATTGAAAGTTCGACCCTAGAAAATCAAACTCGGCAAAGCGTTAACCGAGGCCCAATCAGGGGATATACTTACGCGGGGTAGCTCGAACAAAGCGCAAAATGATCGACGGCATGGGGCAGCGGCAAAGATGAAAAAGGTAATCCGTCGTGGAAGCAGCTCGCAGTTCAAGTTTTCTAGGTACACTTGACGGGATGTGGGGTGGTGGTGGGCCGTGGTGGGACTGGTCCACAATCCCAAGCTGCCAAAATCCTGTGGTTCAAGCGACGACTTTTGATTTGCTGTACACCCTGAACGAGATTGAGTTATCCATAGGTACACAATCGCGAAGAGGCTCTCACACATGAGCTAGAAATACAACAAGTTCTGTTGAATTTGAGTGTCCATTCACAATTGGCTCATTCCCATCAAAGCCGGAATTCCCCACCAAGCTAGCAGAGGCGTGTAGAAAGCCTTCCTCAAATAAGCTACCCCAAACATGAAAGACTGCAACAAATACCATACCAACAGAATCTTGTCGTACTTCGCCGTTAAACCGTGTTTGGCCCATTTGAGTTGCAAAATCACTATTTCCAACTATCAGTGCCAGTTACATCCGACCAAGACGTATTTGTTGAACGAATAGCAATTCCACAATGAGGAGGGGGGACTTGGGAACCATACACATCGTGACATAAGTCGCTGAAGTATTCAGGTAATTCCCTTTTGCTGTAAACGCGAGAAGGCTATCGGGACCAAGATTTTCGTCTATGGCGGGGAAGAGTTCATTTATGCAGATTTCCGTGTGTTTGTAGATGGTGAATGCTGTCAAACCAGCACTGGCGTAGAGGAAGCGACGGGATACGAGGGGTGAGAAGAATGGCATTGTGACGAATCAATGTCATATGACTGTATCTCTTGCTTGGCGGGAATGAAGATAGAATATGAAAAATCTGGAAATTTACTTGTGGGCGAGATGTAGAAAGAGGAGGATTTTATTTGAAGATTTTTGGCAAGCGGAACTCCGCAGCGGCGTAGCTGGATCGTGACTCTCATGAATGCTTCCGAACAACACATTGTCTGGTCGGGAAAAGACGGAACAAGACCTGCTTGAGATAACAAGAATACTTTAATAGCATACTTACTTCGATATTGTACCTCATGGCCTTCTTGATGATGTACTTAAAAGGGTTGAGGAGGGCGGAGAGCGAAAGGTTGCTGCAACAAATAACTTGGACATTGCGACGCATGGCGAACAAGAAATTTCAATCCAAAAAACAAATCTATCACTGAAACCAAATTTGGGAAAAGGAAACCCTTTGAATAGCAGTACGAACGAATTTCATGTCGTATCCGATTCCCGTCAGACCCATTCATCGCACAAGACGACACACATCTTTTTCGATTTCCCAGTGTTTTGTGCTGGGAATTAGAACGAGAATACACAGAAACACAGCCAAATAGAAAATAAGAAAAGAAAAGAAGCAAGACATCCGATTGACCCCCCAGTTCAAGAAACAGGACTTGAAGAGATATGTTGATGAGGCATGGTAGATTGAAGCTTCAGGACTGAGAAGGAAACTTCCGAAGTGCGTGCAGGCTTTAAGGTTCCTGGGGAGTGTTGTTGATGCGAGAACACTGGACTCCGTGCGATATTTATTGAAGGGTGGCTCAATAATAGAACTGAAGCGTTGTCGGTACCAAATTTCGATTTGATGTTGGCAGAGCAGGAAGGTCTACTGCTTGGGAAAGATGACGGGGCGAGGTGGTCTGTGCGGAGTTAGCGCCGGGATCCCGCATGGCCTTGTATGAGCATGGGTATTGAAATGTCGTAGATCCAGCCACTGAGAGCTCTCGTTCATCAACCTCCAACTTACATAAAGTTTCCCACCACCAACACAATCCACCACTTTCGATGTGCGATGCGAATCAATTGCCATAGCCTGCACAACATTAATTCTCCCAAGTCGCAAAAGCGGGCATCAAAATTTACGCGAAGCGCAAGCGTGCAGGAACACCAAAAAATATTCTCGCTTACCTGGATCGCGGGGCTGCTCCTCGCTAATCTCCTCCTCGTTGAAGTTGACAACACCATACTTTTGGGTCGGGAAAGACATCGTGGATGCGGAATTTTGCGACGGGAAGGTGATTGGGAGTTAAGCGAGAGGGGAAGAACACGAAAGTTCTTGAGAGTGAAGAAGGAGAGAGAGAGTTGATGGGAAGTTTGGGGAGGTCGGGTTCTTATAGAGAATGTTGATGGGAGAGAGGGACATGGAAGATTTTGCCCGGATCGAAGAGAGGCACTGCGGATGGGTCAGAGGATATCGAATCTTGGGAAACATGGGTGCTACTGGCTCGGTTTGATGCTGGGAGGGCCTTGATGATGAGGATCGGGTGTTGGGGATGAAGGAAGAGGTATCTGACTGATGCTGGGGCATGAAGTCACCTTAAGGTAGCTAGAGATACCACTGGAAGTGCTCTACAGTAGTCTTTGAGGGCGCGTTACTCCTAGCCCCGTGCTACAAGGTGCTCAATGGGAGGAATACGGGCACTGGAATCTGATGGGAGGGTCTCCTGGCTTCAGTCTTCACACAGAAAGCAGAGTAATTTCGGGAAGTCACTGTTTTAATACTCAAAGAGTGAGTGAGTTCTTTTCTATATGTATCATCGAAAGCAGCAAGAAAAAAGAGTTTGACCCTGCAGGAGATGCGTCCACTTCAAGGAGAAAATGAGCGCAAATAGCAGATGCGGGATGGCAAGAGACAGTTCTGCATCCGACACGATATACAAGCGAACATTTCTCCCAATCATGTGAATTATCCTTGAACATAATTTGGACATTGGAACATCTTTCAGCATTAGCTTGTTGGGTTTCCCCTCTTCAAAGGGAGGTAGCAGAACCAGCTTGCAAGTACGAGCCACAGTTTCGTGTTTTGGGCTGCATTCTTGTCCCAAAGTTAGTCCAAAAAGATCACAATAGTTCCACTTACTTCAAAACTCGTTTCATGACACTTTCAAGACTATAAAGTGCGCTTCATAGGTCTAATTCTCCACCTGAAAATGAACATAGAACTCACGTGATGTCAAACACTGTGGCTGAAATTCTTCTGCGCCACATCATGACGCTTCTACCCGAGGTTTCTTTCAACCCAAGGCTGCAGTCGCAGCGCTCTGTCAAATCTCGACTTCAAACCGAAACACTGCAACAAATAAAGCCAGATAAAGAAAATAAATTATAGTTTCTACAAGTACCCCACCACCGCCAACATAGGTCGCCGCCACAGAGAACGTCATTCCAAGGGGAAAGCCTCCAACACTGCACAGCGCAAAAACAATCGAAAAATGGGCCAAGAAAACTCTCAGATTGATCCCAACACTCCCCCACGAACCCTGTCCTCTCGCTCCCTCGATGGAGTAGCAGAATACATCAAAGATGGCCAACCAAAACGCATCGTCGTCATGACCGGCGCCGGTATCTCAACCTCAGCCGGTATCCCCGATTTCAGATCACCTGACACAGGACTGTACTCCAACCTCGCACGTCTAGACCTCCCTCACCCAGAAGCCGTCTTCGATATATCATTCTTCAGAGAGAAGCCTGAGCCATTCTATGTCCTGGCGAAGGAGCTGTACCCCGGCAAATTTTACCCAACGATTGCGCACTCGTTCATTGCACTGCTGGATGAGAAATTCATGCTGCATATGTTGTTCACGCAGAATATTGATTGCTTGGAACGCAAGGCTGGCGTACCAGGTGAGAAAATAGTGGAGGCTCATGGGAGTTTTGCGACGCAGAGGTGTATTGATTGTAAGACGGAGTATCCGGAGGATTTGATGAAGAAGGCGGTGGAAAGTGGTGATGTCCCGCATTGTATGGTGCCGGAGTGCAATGGGCTTGTGAAGCCGGATATTGTATTCTTCGGAGAGCAGCTGCCAAAATCATTCTTTGACAATCGAGATGCTCCACAAAATGCAGACCTGGTTATAGTGCTTGGAACAAGTCTCTCGGTTCAGCCTTTCGCACATCTGCCCACTTTGGCGAGAGAAGGTGTTCCTCGGATCCTGATCAACAAGGAGCAAGTTGGCGACCTTGGAAGTCGGACGGATGATGTTATGGTTCTGGGAGATTGTGACGAGGGCGTTAGGAGGCTGGCTGATGCTCTAGGATGGAGAGAGGAACTGGAAGCGCTGTGGTACGAAACTACCGGAAAGCACAAGGAAAGGGCAGCTGCAGAGGTAGAGAACAAGAAGAAGGCCATGTCCAAGGATGAACTATTGGAGGCTGAGGTTGCGAAGCTGACTGCGGATGTGGATGCTACGTTGAAGTTGACGAAAGATCATGAGGCATGGGTCAACAAGGGTTTGGGTAAGAGTGCTGGACTGAAGGAACCTCCACCGACGCCTGCAACCCCCAAGAACGAGCCAATCACAACCGAGAAAGTCGAGAATGAGAAACCAGCTCAGGAGCCCAAGGTCGATACGAAGGCGATTTTGGATCTGACGCTGCCTCAAAATAAGCCCAATTCCGATCCACCCAAGTCCCACATATGAGGGTTGTGAATGGCATCGAGAAGGGCGTATCTTGTGCTACAGTCGATGAGAATTTTCATTCTTCATCGATATAGCCTGCAACTTCAACTTGTATGAGTATGACTACAATCATATTTGAGCATTTTTCTGCCGCAGAGCATCCTCGCCATAGTTCCGGGGTGCAAGAGAAGATCTCGGCGCAATGCTTGGAGCAGGTAAAACTTCCAGAAGATGTGGGTATGATCTCTCCGGTAGATAGCAGAAGAGACGATTGATGGGCAAAGAAGCTACTTTGATAGCACTGCAGAGATACATTTGGGGTGTCTGGTTTAGACGTTCGATGGAAAGGAATCTGTTTTTGAGAATAGATGGTGTGCCAACTGGCATGAAACAGCTTTTCAACAAGATATCTTTACGAGTAGAATCGCAAAGTCATCGCTAAAGAGACCATGTTATTGTCTTCCATCCATTGTCCTTGTGCGCTTGATAGATCAGCGTTCACCTTACATGGAGTCCAAGTTGATTGACCGATACGAAGCACGTGACATTGGATGCATTTTTCAAACCGGTACCTTGTGAAGCTAGCAGTCCAATTAGAGGCCAATATCAAGGCATTTGTAATCATTGCTAAAGTAGATCTGACTACCATTTTAATGCTGTGTAATTGCCACTTTTTACACAGATTTCTCCAGAACGCATTTCAACCTTTATCGGAACCAGCCAATCATGACACGAGAAGGTCGAAGCCCCCCTTAGAGTTTAACGAAACATCCAGACCAACTACAACTCATCAACCTCCCTATCTCCCACCCCATGAAATCACAAATACTCCGAAATCGTCACTCGCCATCTCCAAAGGTTCTCGAGCAATGATTCCGAGAGCCTCAATATTCGCCGTCGCGCCATGCGTTTGAGCGGACTTCTCCGCCGCACTCTCCGATTAGGGGTAACAGACGTCTGGTCAACCCTCTACAACACCATCCAGCACTCCTTCCCATCCTCCATCCCAGCCAAACCTCTATTCAGTAAACAAAAGAGACACAAACACATCAAAATCGACGATGAAGAAAGCCAGATCGACGACCAACCTCTCCTTTCACCCCTCACCAAGCGTCGCTTGCAGCGACACCCCCTCTACCGCGCCATGCGTCTTCTTTTCTTGATCGCCATCCCCATCATCCTCACCCTCTTCATATTCGCCTATATCATCTACCGGCCTCCAAACCTCCTCATCAAATTCCTCCAATGGCACAACCCAAGCGTAATCTTCCACGTGCCCTTACCACCATCCCAGCGGGTAATCGCACTCACCCTCGACGACGCGCCCTCCTCTCAAACAGGCGCCATCCTCGACCTCCTCAAAACCCACAACGCCAAAGCAACATTCTTCATCATCGGGTCTCAAGTCTCTCGCTACCCCGGTATCGTGGAACGTATCCACGCCGAAGGTCACGAGCTCGGGAACCACGCCATGACGGATGATCCGTCGTTCCAGCTCCCTTTGTCGGAACTAGAACGCCAGATTACTGAGGTGCAAGAACTGTTGCCGAAGAATGCGAATGGGGAGAAATATTTTCGGCCGGGGAGCGGCTGGTTTAATCGCGGGATGAGGGAGAGGGTTGAGGGGATGGGGTATAGACTTGCGTTGGGGAGTGTGTATCCACATGATCCGCAGATTGCGAGGCCGAGGTTGAATGCGTGGCATGTTTTGAGTATGGTGAGGCCGGGGAGTGTGGTTATTATGCATGATAGGAGGGAGTATTCGGTTGAGCAGGTGGGGTTGGTTTTGAAGGGGCTGGATGAGAAGGGGTATAGGGCTGAGTCATTGGGTGGGTTGTTGTCTGTTGCGAAGGCTCAGAGTAGTAAAAAGGTTGGGTGAGAGAGCACAAGTCTCACAATTATTGTTTGGATTGCAGATTTTGGTTGATGCACTGCTCACGTGTTTAGAATCCCTCGTGTCGTCTCTCTTTACTTGTGACTAAAGTCCGCATGGTATTGGATTCAAGAAGTGGATTGTACCCAAACAGGCGTTCTGTACCTTTTCCAGCACTTTGATCCGCGTTACGGCTGAATGTTTGAAGTTGAGTGAGTACGTCGAACCTCCCAAATGTCAATTCAGCTCATATGAAATCCTCCACCACGATCGCAGTTGGAGGCAACCGTGGACGAGGTGGTCAAAGATTCGCTTCCCGGTCAAGAGCATCGGTCTAAGTAGTGTATTTTTCAGTGTTTAGTGACACTTGGCGTTCTCCATGGCGTTACAATAGATTTTCACTTCATTAGAGTGGAGAACATGGGACGTGTATTGACACGGAGCTGTTTTGTTCTTGACCTCAAGCCACTCGTTGCCTTGCCATTCGACTTTCGAAGAAGGGGGCAGATGTCGCATATTCAAGTCAGGATATTAGAGGCAATAGCTTGTGTATATCAAAATTATCCATCTACGCCGTGTATCCAAATATCTACAAAGAACTCCTTCTCCTCATCCACTCTTAGCCCCTCCCCCAATTCACACCTCACACCCCACTATCCACCTGATCAACAACATCCCTACTAGTATACGCCTGCCAATCCACACACGTCTGCTGCATCACATAAGGAATCTGACTCTTCTGCGAGATATCATCCGGCCTCTCCATAAAATTCGCGTACAACCCACCACTAACATGCCACGCAATATGGCAATGGAAAGGCCACACCCCAGGATTATCCGCATCATACTGAAACACAAAATGGCCATTCGCGCGCACCATTTGTACATCTCGTCGCTGCGGGTTCGACGGGTTGATGATCGATGTGCCGTCGTAGTCGCCGGGTCCTTCGGAAAGGATCTGCATATTGTGGCCGTGGAGATGCATGGGGTGCGAGGCGGGAGAGTGGTTGTTGATGATGATGCGGATGGTGCTGTTACTGCCGAAATTCTTGACGTTCCATTCGGCTGGGAACGTGTAGTTTTTCTTGTCGGCTTGGAGTAGCACGGGTTGGTTGTAGTTCGCACGGTAGGAGACATTGTCCAATGTCCATAGGAAACTGCCTGTTTTGTTCACGAAGAAATTGATATCGTAGGTTTGGGTTGTGGTGGGTGTTGTGACGGGGATGGGATAGGTTGGAACGGTCATGGAGAGGTCGTCGTTGGCGCAAGTTCCGGGGTCGGGAACGTTCCATGCTGTGCTCGTGGGTGGTTTGGTGGTGTCTGCGCGGTCGTAGTAGATTGCTGCGAGAGCATTGGGCTGGTTTGCTGCGGAACAGAGGGTGGAGATGTTTGAGCGCATCCAGTAGGCTGAATTGGAGGAACCGGCGTTCGCGGTGACCAGAACGTCTGTTCGCTGGCCGACGCCGAGAGTCACGACTTTGGTGGTGTATGGTTTCTTCAATGTGGTCAGAATCTAATACAGGTTCTAGAATGGCACGAGTAACTTACAATTGCAACATAATCATTCTCAATCACTGTCATGTTATGTCCATCAATACTGAATCTCTGCAAAGCATCTGCTCCAGCATTAATCAACCGAAGTCTGTGAGTCTTGCCAGTCGTGAACTTGAATCTCGACAGTCCTGCATTATTGATACATGGCGTGTTGTCACCAGGTGCTTTGGTCGAACAGTCGAAATTCATCTTGCCGTTGATCAAATTGTTATCCGCAGCAGGCCTGGGATTTCCACCAGGTCGCAGGGTGTCAGCTACGATCTCGTCGTAATCAGAATGGAACCAGTCGGTGATGAAAACTGGGCCCAAGTCAATATCGTACTTTGGGCCATTTGAGGGACCGTAAATGATCATGGGGCCCAAAAGCCCACCTGGTTATTGTTAGCTTTATTCAATCTTTGTATGAAAGGCAGATTTACCAGAGTACTGCGCAGAGTAATGTGAATGATACCAGCTGGTTCCATACAAACTAGCTCTGAATTGATACGTGAAGCTATCTCCAGGTGCAATTGGACATTGCTGCACGCCAGGAACACCATCATACCAAGGCGTTTCCTTTTGCAGCATTCCATGCCAGTGGAAAGCAGTTCCCTCTTCCGGACCAGTTATTTTGTTGTGAATTGTCACTTGAATCACATCCCCCCAATTCGCCTCAATCTGAGGGCCAGGGAACTGGCCGTTGACCAGTATGACATCCTGTTGATATCCGTCTGGGGCGATTTGTGCCCGCGTGACAGTAAAATCATAACTTCGGATGACACCGGTATTTGGTGCTTGGGTATATGGATCACTGCCAGCAGCAGTGAGGAAGCCCCAAGGAAAACCGGCAGGGAGAGGGTTGTTTGTGAGGAAGAGTGGAAATGTTGGGGCCTCAAGTGTTCCCCATCTTGATACGCTGTATGAAGGTCAGTCAGTGTTGCCGGTGCGTATAAGGCTAGAATGAAACTTCAGGTGTACGAAGAAGACGGGAGACAGTAAGCTGAGGCGAAACAAACTCACCCATTGGTCTGTTGCTGTGTCAAGGCACCCACAATCCCTAACACTCCGTTTATTATATTGCCAATCAAAGACATTATATATTACCGAAGCGAAAACACAACTTTGAAAAGAATGAGACTCTTTCTGCAAAGCACCCAAGGCCGATGAGCATGATTGAGAATGAATGAGTAGAAAGCTGAATATTTATATCCCGGATTCCCGCACCATCAAGCGTCCTATATTTCAGCGCAGATCAATCGCCACGCCGTTGATCCGAGTGCTAAGTTTACGTGCAAGACACAAAAATACGACCAGGCTGGAGCCTTGTCCTGTCAGGTCTTGACTGGCATTGTCCACAGGCCATATTCCGAGACGATAGCTTGACTGGCGGTAGCTGGTGGGGGAAAACGGCTGTTGATGTCGGCTCACTTGCATTGAACTCTTCCGAATATAGCTGGAGCTTTTCTTAGATCCGGACTGATATGCAGGGGATTCGACGCTTTGTCTTTACTAGATGCAGATCGCGAGGCATGATTGACGAGAGAATGTACACGTCGTCCGGTGTCAGACGAAAAAGACGAACGTCAGAGTTCAAGAGGTGGGGCCGGATGTACCGTTAGTGTTGCTGTCTGCGGCCAGTTTGGCGGTCGAAGGATCTTCGACTCAGTGCTGGGACGGGATGAAAGCTGGCAGTATGGATTCAGTAAAGATGTACGTACCGCATACTGGAAGGAAAAGATGCTCTGAGTCGACAATTGAACACATTGAGAATCAGCTTACAGTGACGTGAAATTATCGGAAGACATTGGCCGAGATTGAGATAAGGTTTGCTGTGAAGAAAACTTGGCTTACAAAATGGGTGTGCTGACTGTTATTTTGATAACATCTTCTCGTAATTTTGTGAGGTCTGTTGATGTTCCGAGCGTACGGGCACTAGAAGAGTTCTAGAGGGGTGAGCTCCAAGCTTTTTCCATTTTGAGGATCGGTTTTCTTTCTAGGTCAAGATAAGCACGCGAAGCGGAGCCCTACCTACTAATATAGACTCGTCAGGTAACGTCGTCCGGTCCGCCTGGGGAAGGCCGTGAGACACTCCGGATCGGCAGCGATGAAATCGTACTCCTGTTAATTGTCTCTCGAATGAGAAGCAGAATGACAAGAGTACCGAAAGGCAAGAGGTTCAGTATGCATCTTGCCAATAGCCGATGCAGGTTCATATAATATCATGCAAGATGAAGCCAGTGCCGCATTCATCGGTACAGGGCCAATAGAGAGCATTTTTGGCCTGATGTCGCTGAGATAATGCTGGACAGACCCCAGTTGTGGCATCCATGCACAGATCTCCCGCACCTACGGGTCGATGAGTGGTTGAAGAGCCACCCGGACGAGGCTAAAGACTTAAGTAATCTGCTTTGGGAAAAGCGGCATACGTGATCTTCGTATCCCAAGCTTTCTTCATGACTTTTGGTCAGTGCACCAGTTCCAAAACGGAGAGTAGTGGACTCGGAATAGAAAGTATGCCGTTCCTGAACAGACTTCAGATGAATGGTGCGCCTCCAGTGCTTGTGCGATCAGTCAGGAATAAGAAGCGGTACGGTTCCTTCTGTTGTGGATATGTAGACACACGCTCCAGAGAAGGAAGTTCAATGAGTATGGTACTGTGGAGTTTGTGGGGTTGTAAGGTCGAATGAGCTCAGATGCTACGAAGCCGACAAGACTTAGAGCCATCCGAGCTCCGAGCTCTTTTGTCGTGGTAGGTATGCTAAGGACTGAATTTAGAGACTCTGTAAAACTGCGAAGTAATAGATTGTGAGCACTTTAGTCAAAGTTGATGACTGCAGGCGTGTCGAGTCAGCTCGAGAGTAAGATAAGGTGGCTTTCGTCTCTGTTGTAAAGAAAGCTGCAGTCAGGCCCGAGAAATGCCGTGAAAACTTGCTATATTTATTTACCGATTTGTTGACAGAACTTTATCGGGTGACGACCTCGGACACGGTCGCCAAAACTCGTATTTGAAAATGCCCAATCACCAATATTCGGACGGGCTTATTTCAAGACCGGACAAGAAGCACTGTCTTGCTGTCGATTTCTCGAGTGCAACAATGCGAAAGACGTTTCCCGCCTGGGAATACTCTTGAAGGTTCTGCTGTCAGCGAATGATTGTTGCTATTTTGGTATGCATAATAGTGCCTGCTTTGACGTGAAGGGTCACTTTATGTTGATCTTCAGCATCAACGGTGGATCCACGTACGTAGCTCTGGCACGGGTACTCAATTAAGAGAAATCGGTGAGACAGGAAAACTTTGCGAGGTCCAAGCTGATGACTGACTCATTTTCAGGTGCTGATAGTGTCAATTCTATCGAAGAACAATGTTCCATCCTGCACATTCATATTCTCATCAGAGTGCAAAGCCCAACGTCAACAAAGAAGTGAAGGTTAGACCCCTATCTCGCTTGAGCAGCTGTCACATATCGGCTGTCTCGAATAAAGGAGCGACTGCATTTTTGTTGCACGTCTCGCATGAATGCATGAGAGTGGAGACGGACAATGCGGCTGAAATGTAGTGAGTTTCAGCACTCGTCTGATTTGTCGATAGTCATCTCGAGTCATCAACTACCATGGATTCGGCTTGGTGAGAAACGTCGTGAATCGTGACTTCGCTTGCGATATTCAGACTTGGGTCACCTGGTTTGGTCTGTTCAAGCTCTGATTTTGCTCAGTGGATAAAGGTGATTGACTCTGTAGTCAGGAGCCAGAGCTGTATTTGATGAATGTTAGGTTCAATCATCATGTAGTTCTTATCGTTCTGTATTGAGTGTGCACTTTGATTTTTGTGCTTGAACGGACCTAGAGCTTGTAGAACTGGGCGGGACCTTTGCTCAAATAGCACTGGATGCGAAGCACCCATTAAACCTTTGCGGAGTATACTATAGGCCAGGAAATTGCAACAGCATGCCCTTCAGACGATATTATGAACTCCTTGGAATTGCCTTGCTGGACTCTGCCTTTACCCATGTCCTGGTCGCCGCACAACACTTGCCGAAGGGCGATTCGCTTGGGAGAAGAAAGGGACTTCGATGAGGGCTGACCAGCATTGAGACGATTCGCCAGCGAGTGTAAGGACACATGCACAATCCCGAGACAACAGACATAAGTCCAGTCACTCGTGGCCGTCGCGTATTCGGATTCGCGCAAAAAGGGTATTTGATTGATATTGTGTTGATACAAGAGGATAAACCTGCACCAAAGCCTGGTCAGAATGTTGAACAGAGCCAGGAGCCACGTTCAAACCCCAGACTGACTTGTAACAAGCCTTTTGCCACTGTCGGCATAACACGAACGCCATTATTCCCAGCCCAGACCTCCGTTTCATTCCTACACACCATATATTGCTTTTATTCGCGGGCTGGTCGATACGCCTGTCGGGGCATGATGAGCGGCCTCCGTTTCGATCGAGCAAAAGCTTCGGCCGCTTCTTGGGAAATGGTATCCGTTCGGATCATACTGCCAATAGACATGAAGAATCTACACCTGTCAACAGATGCAAAGCTCGTGGAGTGATGTGACATTACCCAAAGGTTGCTCCAGATCCCATCATGTACTGTCCAAGAGTTCGTCCAACTCCGTTGGGTCCTGCGCCGTATCTCATGATGTTCACGGAACCTTCGAAAGTTAGAGACCAGTGCTTCTTCCCGCTAGAACGACATACCAAATATGAACCCAATGATGACTCCGACAGCTGCGGATACGGTATTAGCATCTGCGAGCAAACATGGAAGTACTCTGACTTACTACTACCCATCATAGCTCCCATCTTCCCTATTTGCCATCATCAGTTGAAGATCTTGCTGAAGTTCTCTTGCCCAATTGACCACAATATCGACTCACACTTGTCAAAGGCCGATGGCCCTCCCATATTTGCTCCAACTGGTACTGGCATATTGACGAGGATGAGGTGGTTAGGGCGAGGTTGAGCGATTCCTAAGAGGCTGAAGGGAAATATCAAGCTGGCGTTCAATTCTAATGGATGCAGCACTCTCGGCTTCTTCCCGCCCAAGCTCTTTTTGGTCGTCCTCGAAGCACAGGCCACATTCTCTCCGCACTTGAGCACGTGACAATATAATTGACTCGCTGCTCCTTTCCAGTGGTATTCGCTGTTAACAGGAGCCTCTGATCTTGAATCGATTAACGCCTTGGCCCTTTCAAAGACTACGTACCATAGTCTGGCTCCGTGTACTGTCTTGGTGCAACGACTTGACGTGGATGTATATGCGCGCGTGCTCTCTTATCCAGATCTCGCTCCTGATAGGTGCTTTGAACCTCGCGAGTGAGACGACGGCCCAGACGAGAGGGAAAGGATCTCCAAAGTTTCCCATTTGGCACCGTCAACCTCCTACTGCCATCCCTTACACCACCAACAATTGACCTCGCTACCAGACGCGACGCAGACGTGAGTTCCATTCATTCTCACCACCAGCAGGACACCTCCTGCGAAATAGATCGGGGCGTGCAGAGCGTGTACTCCTATTGCCGCCCTGGGGGTCAAGGCGTCGGAAAACTTGGAGACAGGAGCTAACTATGTCTTTCACAACAGTGCTACACCCTGGAATATACCCCTGCCGCATCAGAAGAAGCAAAATATACCCTCGAGCTACTTGCAGACTAGGAAGGGCCGCTTTGGACCGAAGCGCCGCAGAGCTGTCGTGCTGAGGTGCCTGGGGGAGGTTCTGAGTCGAGGACATTCCAACCACATCGCCCCCAAACCGTCCTTCATACCTCATCCACCACCCTACCCAACGCCTCGAATACCTTGCAGATGACGGCGGTTGCGAATCCACCGAGCTTCCAACAAAATAGTCGGTCAGCATGGAGTGCTAATGTCAGTCAAGGAGGACTCAATGCCATGAACGCCGACGAAGTCGCCCGAATGTTCATGCCACGAAAAAGCGCTCAACGCGCCAACTCCTCATCGTCCATCTCTTCAAACTCCTCGACTTCCTCAACCTCCTCGACGTCTACAATTGCTCAAGCACCACCACAAACCAATGGCGTGCCCATGATACCGTCTGGCGATCTCAGCACATGGGGAGGAACTGCTGCGGCGCGGAAAAAGACCCAGAGGACAGGACCATGGCCAGCAGGCAAATCAGAAGTATCTGGGTTGTCGACCGCCAAACCACAATCAATTTTAGTGCCAAATGGGTCGACTGCGACGTCCTCCTTGACCTCGATCCACCAGCCATCCGCTGTAGTACCGTCACAGCATGCCCTTCAACCGCCTACGCAACAAATGAATGGCTCTCGACCGCCGGCTTCACCAGTTGGGGAAGGCAATCCAGTGTTGTATCTTCTATCCATGAACGGCACATTCGAGAGGAAGACTATATCTGTTCCATTTTATCCCGATAGCCTACGTATAGGTCGGCAAACGAACGCTAAAACTGTCCCTACACCTACGAATGGATTCTTTGATTCGAAGGTTTTGTCGAGGCAGCATGCGGAGTTATGGGCCGATCGGCAAGGCAAGATCTGGATTCGAGATGTAAAATCTTCGAACGGTACCTTTGTGAACAACGCACGATTGTCTGCAGAGAATCGAGACTCTGAGCCACACGAGCTGCAAACACAGGACCATCTGGAACTTGGAATCGACATTGTGAGCGAGGACCAAAAAACCGTTGTCCATCATAAAGTTGCAGCGAAAGTTGAACATGCTGGATTTCTTGGTGCGACGAACAACGTTCTGGATATGAACTTTGGCGATTTGGATCCAGCCAACGGAGCTTTGATGTTACCATCTCAAGGTTCCCTGCAGATGAGAGGAAGGACGGGCAGTATTGGTTCGGTGGCAAGCAATGGTCGTATGGGCCCTCCCGCCAGTGTTGCCGGAAGTCAAATGAGTGCCATGAGCCAACAGCGGCCCATGAATTTCTGGTTAACGCCGGTTACCACAGAGCAAATTGTGAAGAGGCTCACTGTAAGCACTACCCAACTTCGTCAACGTAATCCACTAACGCTTCTCAAAGCACGAAATGCGGGCAGCTCGACTACAGACCAATGAACTTGGACGAACGGACAATTTCTTCGGATCGTTATTATCAAAGGAGGATATCAGGGAAAACGGGAAAGAAAAGGCACCCATGTCCGAAGCCTCCAAAGCTCCACAGGTCAATGGAGGCTCTGTATCATTTCGAGGCGACGTCAAGCCTCGATTCTCAGACCCTCCTGCTCCACCACCACAACAGCCTCTACCTGAGAAGCCTGACGTTGCTCGCTCACACATTTTCGATCCGCCGGTACCACCACTCAAACGAACCAATACCGAACGGCCCAGGTCTGTACCTAGTGTTTCCCCGGTTCGCCAGGAACCAGCCAGCCAGATCATCACATTAGTCGAGGCTCTTGCCTCAGCCAAAAAGGAGATAGACACCCAAGGAGCCAGATTACGCGATCTTGAAGAAATGCTCCAGAAGGAACGGCAAGCACGAGAACAGGCCGAGGAAATTGCGAAGAAATTAGAACAACAATCAGAAGCAAGGGCGAATGGGGACATCAAGGCCAGTGATGAAGGCTCGGTCATTGAGGAAGCATTTGAGCCCCCTGCAGAAACTGTTGAGGTGAAGGAAGAATCACCCGCAGACCTACCGGGAGACCGTACTGTCGACCCAACTGCGATCAGCGAGTCAACACTATTACTCGAAAAGCGCTTAGAGACAATGCTTCTTGATATGCAGGAACTACGAGATCAAATGGAATCATTTAAGACACGGGCCGAGACGGCCGAGTCGGAGAGAGATACCGACAGGAAAACATTGGCAGAGATGGTGGAAAAGATACGAGCAGACGAGCTTTCAAGAGTCAAGTCAGTGGAGCACAATCGATCACTTTCCGGGGATAGTCTCACGAAGAATCTTCCTAATGGTAGCGCTGAGGTGACCAAGTCTGGTGACTCACTCCTGGATGGCCTGCCGAATGGGAGCGTCGTATCGAGCGAGAAGGAACCAATATCGGCAGTCAGTACTCTTGCAAGGCCTCCTGGGAATCCATTGCTGTACCAAACAACACCATACGCTTCAATGGTAGGCGTTGTGCTTATTGGGATGGGGTTAATGGCGTACCTAAATGGATGGCAACCCCCAAAAGCAGAAAGATAGAGATGCCTTCGAGCGATCCTCTCATCCTCTTGTTTAAACAGCATAATCGCAAACACAGCCGAGCGAGGCAACATATAATCTCCTTTGTCATCTTCCATCCGACCATGTAGCAAGCAAGCTTTGAATGAGGCGTTTTCGGGTTAAGGCACTGCAGCAAACAAACATACGGGATTGGGGTTTTCCATAAATTCGGGTATAGGTTCGGGATTGAGCAACCAAGCATATTGCGTGCGAACGGGTTTCCTTCAACTTGTCATTCATACATTTACTTTTGCCGTGGGCTTTGTCGGCGCCGATTATGTTTTCCCTTGATGAAATGGGGAGCGAAATTTGATGCGATTCGGATGCATTCTGAAAGAAAGAAACAAGAAAGGAATTAGCTGATTCATGGTCAAGGGTCTTCTTGGGGCTTGCGTGGCTCTCGAGTAGACACAGTGTGAAATTATGTTTTTATAGCGAATCAATGGGTTCCATCTTCTTCTAACGACAAACAGCGTTCTGATTTCCCCCGATTGACACTCTCATGAAAGTCCTGGGGAAGGGGTAAATGTGCAATATCTGATGTTCTCAATGGCATGTGATACTCTTCAGGGTCTTCCTGGCATGTTGAAGCTTAGGTATTACAAGGGTAAACTAACGTTGCAGGCCAGTCTCCTTGAAAGTGGTTCAAAGAGCAGGACAAGCAATGTGGATTGACCCTAAGTTAGTGATTACTTCCTTGGCTTGCTGTTCGGTGGAGATGATAGCGAGCGCGTATCTGAACCATCTTGAGTTATTGTAGACATGTGTCCGCCAGCTGGTCTCTCTCGCTTAGACCTACCTAGGTACGGTACTTCCACAACATGAGTTCATCCTAACTTCTGTACTATTTTTCCGTCAATGTCAAAACTCAATTATCATCTGGGGTTGAGGTTCTATCCACTTCAACGAACCTCGGTGGTTGCTGTGCATGACCCAGAAGCTCTCCCCTGCATATGCTGACTGACTCGAGCACCTTCATTGGGTATCTACCCTCGCTTCTCATCCCTTTTGGGACACCGCACCGCATCTCAAGACCTCAACCCTGACCACCCCGCAAAAACACGGACCTGGAAACGGACCGACCGCCCCCAAATTAACGTGCCTGAGATGAGATGGCCCATCACTTGGGAGGTAGCTTCTCCCCAGCTCGACGAGATCCTCAAAAAGCATTGAGACTTTCCGCGTCCGAGTATCCATTTCGGTTTCCTTGGTTTCGGAGTGGAAGAGTCCAGCAAGATCGATCAATGTCCACTATCGCTCCTTGCAACCCCAGACAGGATGCAAGTGTCAGCAATGGAGACCATGATCCAGAGTGAGAGCCAGAGGAGGCTGGGACGCGGCGACAATGAATATGCCCATTATGCCCAGAACACAACTTCAAAACACCACTCACCGATTGAATACTGCCATACCTTTTCCGTGAGCAGCGACAACAGCCTCGACGAGTTTATGGCTCAGAGCTGGATTCCAGAGCCTCTGCTGGACCTGTCGTGGAATGACATTCGAGATGTCCAGGACCAGTGGCAGCATGCGACGTCCTTATCGTCACAGGGCGACTTTGCACAACATTGTCAAACTCTAGCATATCCCATGAGCTCTAACGACTCAGCTATCTCAGTCGGTTACTCATACGACGAATTTGAGAGTCAGATAGCCTTGGAGAACGGATGTGGTGCAGCTGGGTATCAGCCTTGCATGGGGACAGTCAATCACGTCGCTGGAGGGTACGGACCGGACTTCCCTTCTCAGACACCGCAGATTCCTGTCACCATACCAGCCCACCAGAGTGCCTATCCGCTATCAAAGCATAGGCCTATGAATAGTACCTTTCACTCAAACAATGTACTGACAGGGTATACTGATACTGGAATACGTTCTTTCACTTGCAACACCGACCTGAGCCTGGGTACCACTGATGTTACTTGGATACCTTTTACCCCAGTCCAACCCCAGCAACATCACATTGCTACAACTACACCACCCATCTCAAAGCCTGAGAAGCCAACTTCTTCTCCCGTTGGGTTATCTCTAGATTGGTCAACTAGTGAACAGCCACTTGAGACATTCATCAAACAAAGGAAAGCCTCTATCGCCCCGGCAGCCAAACGTAAATACACTTCACCACGCCCCTCAGCCGAGACAGTTCAGCCCGACTGTCATATTGAAGAATGTGTTAGTGTTTTTGAGAACGCACCTGGTGCGTTGGCGACGGTCAAGAAGAGGAAGAAGCTTGATGAGCCTGTCAGGAAGGCGGCGAGGGATGTGAGGAAAGCAGGGGCTTGCCATCAGTGTCGGTTTCGGAAGAGGACGGTTTGTTCATCAATCCTATCTGTCTGTGAGTAGAGCTGACGAACACAGTGCTCGACTGGTACGCCATGTGGATCTTGTCTGAAAACTGGGAAAGGCCTACATGAGATCAGGTGTCAGAGGGAGAGTCCATTCATTGGGAAGCCAGTGCATGAATGTTTGTATTTCTATTTGGCTTTCAATCACCTAGCTGACCATCCTAGACTTCGAATACTCGTCCACACGACGTGTTGTCTCCTTTGACATTTTCGTCACACCAGACGCTCTCGACAGCCATGAAGAGTACTTCGTGTTGATCGATGGCGTCGACCGGCTTTCTCATCCTATCAGACTCCGCGCTCGTCGCAAACTTCTCAATAGTTTCACTACAGCGGAACAGGTCGCTATCAGGCGAACGCAGGATAGGAAAAAACTCGGCACGTGTACTAACGATGCGCCCATAGAGGTCACTATCTTGGAAGATGATGAGACTTTAGGCACACGTGTTGAGCAATGGGCTGTGGAGTACTCCTCGCAATTCGTGCATGCTGCAGATTCAAAGTTTCAGTGTGCTACCATTGCTGTAATCCTTGGGACCGCGTATGTGAAGAAGGGCTTACCTGAGGTATGTTCTTTTCTCTTCTCAGATCTCAAGGGAACTTTACTGATCAAGTTCAAGTCTCCCCTCGTAGCAGCAATGCTTCGCGTCGCATCTCTCGCCTTCATCCTTCGCGCGGGCGTAAAATGTACTCCTACCCCATCCCCCAACTCAAACGCCTCAGATCCACCCTCACATGCCTATTTCCGCACCACTGAAGCCACAGTCGACACCATCCTTTACCAGCGTCTCCAACTCGCATGCAAGGACCTCTTCACCATGCTGCAGCGTCTCGTCTTTCGTAAAGCGGGTTTCTTGACCCGCGAGCAGATATACCCTGTGGCGTTGGTGTTCTGGCAGATTTTGAGGATATTGTGTTTGGGTGCTAGTCATTTGTCGAATATTGTCATGAGGTTTAATGAGAAAGGTATGCCCGAACACACGTTCATTCCTCTTCCTATAGAAAATATATCTAACATGTATCCAGCACGCGGTCAATCCGACTTTTTAACCCACACGCTCAAACTCCTCCTTTCAACACACCTCGCGCTCTTCCGCTCCTCAAACCCTCTGCTGCTGTCTTTCACCGCTCCAAGCCCATCTTCACGCTGCCCATCCACCAAATCATTTAAAGCAGCATCAAAGTCATCTTCCAAACTCTCCTCGAAACAATGCCAGAAGTCGTCTTCAAAACCAACTCCTTCACCAACCTCGGTCACAACCCCCGATTCCACCGCGGCATCACCCCGCACCAAAGAGTCAGAAAGCAAAGACACAGAGCACAAAAACAGCAATGACCTCCTAGGCAACGATCCGCACCTCCTGGATTTAGCGAACAAGATGCGCGATACGGTACTGACGTTCCGCGAGAAGGGATGTCCGGAGATGAAGGGTAGTATGGCGTTTAAGAAGGAGTATTTGGATTTGTTTAGGAGTGTTTATGTGGGGCTGTAGTTGTAGGTTGTACGTGTAAGGGGTCTATCTGGGTTGGAAAAGGAAAGAGCGATTAAAGTGTAGGATATTATTGTGTTATTTTCATGGGTTTGGGTTGGAGTTCCTTTGGCTGGACGAATGTATGGGTGCATGCTTGTACGAAGAGATATCGAGTAGATAAGTATGTTTTGTTACGAAATTCAAGATGTTCCAAGGAAGTTCTGAAAAGCTGAACGGAACCTACCTAATTCAAGCCCTCTAGCCCCAAAAATAACTTTGACCAGAACAGGAATGTTTACTTCCATTTGCTTTACATCTCGCCTGAGACCTTATCAAAAAAGTATTGTTGACATTTACTGTCTGATGTAATTTACATCCAAGCCCAAATCTTTCACCATTCCTCCGATACCGGGATACCTCAAACTCCCTCTCACCTCATCTCGCTTCCCGACCTGCCGCCTCTCTCCAAAACCCAGGCACTCCACCCGATACCGGCTCTCACCCTCACCACCTCCCCCCCCCCCCCCCCCCCCCCTCCTCCCCATCCCCTGCCTCTGAGCCACTCCACTCGTTCTCCTCCCGCATTTTATTCTGCACAATATTTCAAGCATCTCAGTATTCAAATAAGCACTTCCCCGCCATCCAATCACTCAAAACACGATCGCTTAGCTCAGTTGGTTAGAGCGTGGTGCTAATAACGCCAAGGTCGCGAGTTCGACCCTCGTAGTGATCATTGGATAATATTTTTTTGGGCTTGGGATTTCTGATTTGAGGATGTTGATGGGTGAGAAGGAAACGGTGGGAGAGGTGAGAGGAATTGGTGGAGGGAGAGACATAGAGTGGTGGGGGGAGAAAGTTTTCGTGGTTTGCGATGTGCCGGGGAGGAGCCGGATACGCGAACAATCGTGCGGACCGGTGGGCATCTCGAAACTCGATCACCACACGATGAATTCTGGCGAGACAACGTACCAATTGAAACAACCTACCCAGGAATTCAAGACGATTGACAGTTGTACACGTGCTTTTGTCTCCCCTAACTCAATATTAGGCTGGTCAGCATGTCATTGCGTCAGCGTTACAATCAGTAATGAGTACCACTTAGCGAGAATCCTTCCCTTTTCCTCCTTTCCCCTGAATCTTCCCAAATTCCTCCTGACGATCCTTTGCGCGGCGTGGCCTATCATTTCCAAAAACTAGAGGCACATTTTACGTCAACTTAAATCTATCCCATGGCACAGGCTGTCTAAAACATGACAGCTAAAAAGGCTGAATTGAAACCGAGATCACCAGATTTTTAGCTGTGGCGTAGCAATCGAAGTGTACATGCAAACACGGAATGGATAACATGGAGATGGGCTGGACATGGGAGTCTTTGACCATACTTCTCGCTGGATATATTAGAGTGAAGATAATTCCATGTTCAAAGATCTATGTACTGGTGAAGTGGCAGACAGAACTTTTCGCCTGCTTCAGCGTTGAAAGTCAAGCATGGCTCGTCCACGATTTCCAGAACGAGCTGCTATCGTGCGACTAGTTTGTCGTTCTCTATCATTCGCTCTGAGTCTTTACACTATAATCGTGTTTATCGTCCTCAGCACGAAGTATGGGTCAACATATGGAGGTTCCTTTGCGGCTGTAAGTCTCACACACTTCCTCTCTCGTGTCTACTACCCTATCCTTCTATACACTCCTCAAGCTTAATTCAACTTTTTATTTTGGAAGTCAAATTCACATGTGCATTCAACACCACAGCTCATTACTGCAATCCTCATCGACACGTCCGAGATAGCTGGTCTAGCTGACTCCTCACGCACCATCCCACGACTTGGCATTGGCAGAACGGCTATCATGGACCTCATCGTCATCGGTATCGGCGCTTGGTCTCTAACAGAGTTCGCACCCTCCTCTATCAATCAAGTTGCTAAAGAATCCGAGACGAAGATGGAGGGTAGGGAATTGCATGTGGCGGCTTGGTATTGCACTGTTGTCGCGGGGTGAGTAATGGCTTTCCCAATTGTGAGATGGGAGTTCGATAAGAGAGGTTATTAATGAAATGCTGGTAGGGTTGTTCATGGAGCTTTTGTGCTCTGGGGTCTCGTGGATTTCGGGAGCAGGTTTGTAAGGGATATTGAGAGGAAGGACAAGGGGATGGAATCAGAAGTGTCGCAGGAAGCTTCGAGCACGCACTCCCTTGATGAATACCACCGACAATGTTAGTAACAATAGAGTGGATGATGAATGCTTTGATAAGCCTGCGTGGTGACTCAATATTTATGACGACCAAATGTCATGTGGCGATGTCATGACTCCGTCCACCCACCGATCACGTTTCAACGTCCACAGATCCGTCCCAGGTAGACGTAGAAAAATATCCAGACAGCGAGTGATACATCCAGTGACCAAGTTTCTGTAAAATCGGTGACTGAGGCTGGTTACTGGTAAAGCAATGGCAAATTATATCTTGTCCATTGTTATTCCACACTCCGCTCGTTTTCGCTTGCTTGGACTAGTATCTCAACCACACCGGCTCCTTTACATTCAGACCCACCTCAACTTTTGATTTCTCCACACTTCCTGGCATGCTGGCCTTCCGTGTCTTGCGTCTCACTCAATTCTCGCACATAACTGAGAGATAGTTTAGCATGAAGTAGGTCCCCAAAGCTAAGCTGGGCTTTCTAAGGCAATACTGAATCTGGCGGGCCAGGCGTCCAAGAAAGCCTGGGGCGAGCCATAGCGATACTATGAAATTTTGATGCTATATACGCTGACTAATCATGGTACAGCAAGCAAGAGAAAATACAGGGTATTTGCTAAGAAGATCAAGGCGGTTGTTGAAAAGAACAGAAAGGTCTGCGGCGTGATACGGAAGTAGAGAGCTCGTTGAGGAGGCATTGAAGGAGGGCAAAACACCCTTTTTATATGCTTCTCGTCATGGTACAGACCTCATCCCGGTACATTATGCCGATGCGCTTCATAAACTGCGAAACCTCTTCTTCAGCAGCTCCCTCTTTGGCAGCACCATCTGCCTGCGCATACCACTCCCTCGGTATCTTCCAGAAAGATACCTCCACACCGGTACGCGCCAGTTTCCTTATTTCCTTCATAAGAAGTTTCCACAGGTCACGATTCTTGACGGGCTCGTTCTTCGAAGTCTTCCAACCCTTTCGAACCCACGCACCAAACCACTCCGTCGCACCCTTGACTGCATATTCCGAATCCGTTGCGATCACAAGTCGTTTCCAACCCTCTCCTTGCCACACTCGAAATTGCAGAGCCGCAATGACTGCTCGGAGTTCTGCCCTATTGCTTGTTTGTTCCGCTGGGGATCCATCGGGCGATTGATTCTCCAGACGAAAAGGTACGGAGCCGTATTTGACTGGCAAGGAAACTCCTGGAATCTGAGGCAGGTAGACGAAGCCGCAACCGGCAGTCGGTTTGGGTCGTCCGTTACGCAAACAAGCTCCGTCGGTGAAAATCAGGGTTTCGCGATTATTCGATTCGCGGACGAATCGAATGTGCTGGGCTGTTCTAACAACTTCAGATTGCCGGTCATCTCCGTGACCACACTTGATGCGGCCAATACCCGAGGTCTATCCGTGTGTGAAAAGCGTGAAAGGGGTATCAGAAACGAGGGGCGGGCTGAACTTGGTGGCCAGATGAACGTCTCCAGCCGATGGGATATCTCTCGAGGAGCATTGGCGATTCTCGTCGTTGCTGGTCGGTCGGATACGCAGTTCCTCTAATTCAAACCCATCCCCGGTTTCATTAACTTCGTTACTGTAAGGAGATACCTTCTCCCACACGAATGAGGTGAAATTTGTCTTGCAAATATTGCAAATGACCAGACCATGCCTTCTGCACACTAGAGAACCATCTGGGCTTTCTACCACTTTGGCAGGTATGAAGGACGACACCCTCAGGCGTTGTTGTGGATTTTCTGAAGACTTTGAAGTTCTGTTGATAATGCTTTCGAGAGTCGTCGGGTCCTCCCGTGTAGCACCAACGGCTTCAGGGTGTTTCGGATGAAACTCTATGGCAAGCCAAACAAACAAGCCACACCGACCAGGTCTTTCTTCCCACTGCTGGGTGAGGTATGAAGCTGGAATGATCTGGGACTACCTCTTACTAAGTATCCCCTGAACTGTCCTTCGGACCATACTTTCTACATGGGCTAGCGCACAAGCCCTGTCGTGCCAGGCACTTGCCGAAGTCATCTTCCACAACATTAGCGCCTCGCTTCAGGAACGCTTCGGACCAAAGTGTTATCGGCAGTTCAGGGGATATATCTGACGGTATTCCGCTGTGATCTTGCTCATTCAATCCGAGACAATGAAAAAGACTGGATAGACTTGTTCGTTATCAGGGTCAAATACTCACGTGACCCAGCAGCCACTTCGCACACTTACCTCCAGTCCCCGACCTTTGGCAAGAAAGGCATAAAGATTGGAAGTGTCTTGAAGCTTCGCCCGCATCGATTCTTTTTGTTACTTAACCATGTCTGCTACACCATTCCGTATCTTGATGTCGACGATTCCCTTCGTCAAATCCGCCTTCTCGAAGAACTCCACTTCCACAGGTCCTCTACCAAGATAAAAATATCTCAAAACCTCTGCATCGTGTCTCCCTTTGTTCCTGTACACGATCCTCTTCCTGTATATTCTCGCATCTTCCGGAAGTGGCTCCGACTCAGGCATATCTCCTCGGCCTTCCTCCTCGATATTGATCTTCTCCCGACACAATTTGAGAATCGTCACACGATCCCACATCCCTTCTCGATCCGGCGTGGATTCCAGTAGTTTGAGCGCTTCCAGTCGTAGCGGGAGAAAGCGACACGTGCAAACGATCATGCAAAGTGGTGGGATGACACACATATCGAGAGACAACATTGGAGTTCCGGCTATGGCTTTCTGTATCAGGAGTTCGGAGGAATTATAGATGTGCTGAAACTCGTTCAAATAGTCGTCGAAGACCATTTCGGATGGTGCGCACATCGTCTTCAGGATGACTGAGATGGCGGTGTAGTACAAGTCAAGATAGAGGACCCCAGATGAATAAGGGTGACCCTCTGCGGGAACGGACTCAGCAACCATCCTCCCATTTGCCGCCTCCCAGCTTCTAAGTCGCTCCAGACGGAAGTCCTTCCTTTCTTGCATCGCTCTCATTTCTTCCTCATTTTCATGATCGATATCTTTGATGCTGCGAAAGAACTCGAAGATACAGCTGTACTCATTGTCCAGGTAAATCCGTGAGTGGAAGATGTGGCCGAATGAGTGAGGAATCGAAGAAAATACCTGGCCGCCTTTCGAACATGGAGGGGAGAATGCAGGCATGTGTTGGCCGCATACAATAGCTTGTATCCTCAAACGAGCAAACGAGCGGCTAAGTGAGCCTTGAATTTCTTTGACATCATGGCACGGTTCTCGCTTTCGAGAGATGGTAGACGTCGCTTGTTCTTGAGGCGCTCCAGTGTCATTGATAATTTTCATTCCACCCTTCAAGTGACGGTATGCCTCAGGGAAATTTCCTTGCAGGAGTTCAATCCATACGAATATCAGACACTGCATGTCACTCAAGTCAGTATGGGTCTATGACTCACGGAGCTGAGAAGCAAAAAAGTCCTGAAAATGACGCGGAGAACTTTGATTGGTCTCAGAAATCACTTACTGATATTAAAGTGACTGTATTGTCCTGCTTATCTGATGCAATGTAGTTGACCAACTCTCGTACGGCCTAGAATAAATCAACATCAGCGTTGAAACTAGAAGTCAGGAGAACAAGTATCCAGCAAAAGATAACTTAATCATAAGACTAGAGCTGTCAAGGCGTATAGCATCCTCCCATTATCTTAAATATGGAAGTCGGCAAGCCACATTGGAGAAAACTTACGATGGTGTACTGGTGAATGGCCGAGCCGCTGAATTGAAAGGAATCCACAGGCCGCGAAGCATGACACCTCTCATACTCTTCATACATACAGCTCAGAGCAACAAGTGATTGCTTGACTGTGGGGAAGCTGTGGCTAAACTTCAGCACGAGAGTCTCCCAGAACGCCGGCTCAAAGTTGCCAGGCGTCTCAGCCATATGACGAGCTCGAAAATAGTGAAAGCTGCGTCGTTGGATGATATCTCCCTGCAACTCAGCCGAGGGGTTGGGGATGATGCGAGGCCCCGGTAGGAGCTTGAGTTGTGCCCGTGGTGCAGGCTTGCTTGGTTTTGCGACAGGTGGAGCATACCCCTCGCAGATTCGTCCAGTGGATGTGCATTTGTTGCATGCGGGCTTGACTTCATCACATTTTACTCGTCGTATCCTGGGAGAGTGAGTATGCGAGGTTAGCTTACTCGGTTTCGTTTCTATGTAGGAGGATTTACAACCTACTTGCATACAACACAGGCGTTCCGGGATTTCGGTCCCCCCTTGCGAAATCTCTTGGTACCCTCTTTAGGAGCACCATCTCCACCAGTAGTGACAGGTGTGCCGCCATCTACTTGAGAGTTCTTTTCAATTATTGACGAATCTTCTTGTAGTCTAATCGTCTCACTGTGGTCGCTTCTAGCAGAATGAGACATCATGCCAGTATTCCGTCTTTGAATCAATATCAACAGAAATTTGAGTAGAGACTTGCTTGAATTGAAAGTTGAGTTGCTCAACACTGTAAACTTCAGCTGTTCATCTACAGTAAAAGAGTATGTGGTGGAAGTTGACGTTGTCGTCAATATCGGCTTACGCCTGTGCTCTTGGCGTGCATACACAATGCCGCCTCCTGGATTGGGAAGCACCCATGTAATACGAGCGAACCAACCAGACCGATGGAATATAGCATGGTTCTTTCACGAGGCATAATTTTGTTGATGCCAACTTCAGCCCTTGAATCTCATGAGCAAGATACACATGCCATTTATGTTGACGACATGAACTACTTTCAACACCATTCGATTCTCAGCGCTTTCAGATGCAGGGTAGAAACTGAATTACTAAAACCAATTTTCACTGGGTGTCTATTCATCACCTTTGTCTTTCAATCAATTTACCTCTTCTTCAATTTCGCTGCCATTAGAAACAGTCTCGAAGAGATTAGCTTTCGTTCTTCCCAACATGTTCCGAACTCCACGCAATCAAAAGCGAAATAAAGAGAAGGTCTGAAGGAAAGTGCCTCAAAGGGGCTATGTATGAGATCAAAGACTGAGACAAAGGCGATACGATATTGAAAGCTATTCCTGACTTACGCTGAGTCGCTGACGTGCCACACACGATTTGAAACAAAACTTCACTCACTTTTCACCAAGGGATGTCCAAAATGTTCGGCGATTTGCTCACCCTAACCTTAATACTGCACGTCAAGTTTACATCAGGAGCCCAGTCTCTTAAAGTTGTCAGTCCTGACAAAAATATGGAAAAATATGTTATGATCAGCACCGCGCGTGGCAGTGGGGCAGTGGGGGTCGACTAAGCGAGAAGAGATGGACTGGACTGACAACAGCTCAGACTCGGCGCCTCTTTATACCGACATTGACAACAAAAATCCAGATTTATGGCCATATAGATGGAATTTGCGATACCAAGTGGAAGACCTGCACGTTGGGCCTCGGGGAAAAACAGATAGGACTTACTGGACGTCATGGGGATTGGGAACAGCTGACCAAATGTGTCGTGAGCAGAGCAATGGTCGATCCTACGAGGTCGTGATTGGATGTAAATTCATTTGAGAGTGAAGAATATTGAGCAAAGAGACATCCAAGAAAGCCAAGTCGTCTTTTCTCCAACAAGATACAGCCAAGAGTGTAGAGGGTAGCGTCACGCCACCCACTTCTGCAGGCTTACAAGCGGTCCAGTCACTTGGCTTATGAGATAGTAGGGGACAACAGACCCCAGACAGTATATGCTGCTCTTCTTGGCTCACGGCAAAGAACATTTGTGGCACAGCAGAACAAACCGGAATTTGAAATCGCGCAGAGCTAGGAGCAAATCAGCTCACAGATGCCTTGGTGAGGGACAGTACAAAAAATTTGAGGAAGTAGACAGTGGTATTCGGGAGTTCCTGGTGTTTTAGGTAGACTTGACGAACAAAAGCAGACGCTGAGTTGTCCGTAGCCCAAATGTTCATGGTAGGACGATACTCCACTTTCAAGCATGACGATCTTGGCATACATAATTTCAATCCAGGTGAGGAAGTTGAGGTTCAGGCTAAATGTCAATCTCCGATGTGAAGGACTGACAGCTCTGAATTAGATAGCTTCGCGACAAGAAGAATGAAGCATGTGAGCTGCTCATTGGATATCAGAGCTGAGAATCCTATGTGGGGTCGCTGAGCATCCCCGACCTTCCCCCATACCCCAACACAGTTCGGATATCTCCTGCCGAGAATCTTTTGGCTAGATAACACTCAATTCCTCTTCAGTACAGCTTTATTGAGGTGTGGGTAGTCTGACGATCTTGAATTGGTGCAAGATATATTTAAATTTTCCGTCTTGGTACTTCACCGAATGAGCGGTGCAGACATTGAGTCTTGGAAAGTCTTGGGTAGCACATGGTGGTGCTTATATTCTGGATCTCAAGCTTGTCGATGATAGTTTACCACAGAACATCAAATTCAGGGCTCCCTTTTTGCCCTGATTAGCTTTCTGTACTTGCAAAGTAACCGTTAGGATGTTCAAGACAACTGCGAAAAGATGGTATAATTGGTACGTCGACAGGGAAACTTGTCCAAAATGAAATTGACTCCTAAAAGGTACATTTCTCTCGTTGCCGCTGCTTGTATGGTACTTTATGGGTACGATGCTTCAGTTTTCAACGCGTGCCAAAACTCCAAGCATTGGGTCGAGTACTTCGACTCACCTGTGAGTATATCTTTCTAACTTAACGAATTGATCATCCAACTTCAGCTACGACTCAACTAAAATGACTAATAACCTCTGAAGAATGCATAAACACTTGGGCTTGTGAATACAACTTACAACATCGGGGCAATTATTGCTGGATTCTTCTTTGGAGGACCAATCGTTAGTGGATTCCAAAGTCTCAGCCAATTTTGAGCATATGACTGACAGAGTCCAGGCTGATCGTCTTGGGCGGAGATGGGGTATGGGAATAGGTTGTTTCCTGACAATCATCGCAACATTCATGCAATGCTTCGCGCCGGAACATAACCTTGGCGTCTTCATAGGAGGTCGTGTTGTTATCGGTCTGGGGCAGGGAATCGCCTTGAGTAAGAACCGATCCTCAGGCACCGAACTGCACTGACGACATTCAAGCTTCTGGTCCTGTATACATTGGCGAACTTGCTCCTCCAGAGATTCGTGGCAAGATCATGGGTTTCTGGCAACTGTTCTACTCCGTTGGCTCTTTCCTCGCATATTGGATTGCGTACGCGACCGGCAAGAACAGAGAGAGCCTCGGAAACTGGGACTGGAAACTCATTGTTATCTTTCAGATCTTGACTCCACTTCTCATCATCGTTTTGCTACCATTCATCCCGGAGACGCCTCGATGGTATATTCAGCGTGGGGATCAAGTCGAGAAAGCACGCGCATCTCTCATGCGTGTCAGAGACACGGAGCAAGAGGTTCAGGACGAACTGCTTACAATCAGAGAAGCGCTTCAGTATGAAAAAGAAACGAATGAAACGAGTTCCTATAAAGCTTTATGGACTGATAAGTCTGTTCGACGTCGCCTCTGGATTGCATTCATCATCAATGCCGGACAACAACTTACTGGCCAAGGCAGTCTCAACAGCTACTCTACCCAGATCTACAAGGGCATCTACAAGGACGCTGAAACCATCAATCTAATCAACGCAATTAATGGAACATGCGGAATACTTTTCACCTTGAACGCAGTCTGGACTGTGGAGCGATATGGTCGCACATTCCTCTTCATCGTCGGAGGAGTTGGTATGGGCCTCTGCATGCTCATATTCTCTGCAGTTGGTATCGCCACTCCCGACGCATATTACACTTCTGGTGGAGTTGAAAAGCTTACAAAGGCTCAACCTGTCGGTATCGCACTTACGTTCTTGCTGTTTTTATTCATCTTCTTCTATAAGCCAACTTGGGGAGCGACGACCTGGATTTGGACGAGTGAAGTGTTTTCGATGAACGTCAGAGCGCAAGCTGTTGGTATGTGCTCACAGTGGCAGAATGTCTCGAATCTGGTATTCAACCAGTTTTTGTAAGTCGAACTCAATCGTGTCACGTAAACTTGCGAGGACATGCAGAGACGCTGACATGGAGAGTAGCCCTCTGTTCTTGGCAAAGTGTGGATTGTATGTTTACCCCACTTGCTCCCAGTCTAGGGAAGAGTTTTAGCTGACATATTTAGCTACACATTCTTCTTTTTCGGAGGTGTAAACTTTTGTCTTGCTCTTTTCGTCATTTTCCTTGTGCCCGAGACTCGAAATATCATGCTAGAGGAAATGGATGTCTTGTTTGGTGGGGTCAATCATGTCGACGTTGGTGGACAGAAGTTGGGCGTCGAAGACACTCATCATGCGGTCAAGGGACGTATGGGACAGTTGGACAGCGATGAGATTGTAGAGGTCCAGGGAACAGTTGTACAGCGAAAAACAGACGAGAAGATCTAGGCGAAGGATAGATACAGGCGCAAGAGGGATATTGAAGTCGGCGGCTGAATGCTAAGCGGGTCTGAATCTCAAAAAGAGCTTACTAACTTTCTAAGCTTCATCTCAGTCTTCGGACTTTGGATGAAGTCTGTGCAAAGGATCCCCCTGTCCTCAGAGGCTCATTTTCTTATTTACTAATACCGAAGTATCTCAATAGGGGGCAGTAGCTAGTACGGAAAAGATGCTTTGAGGGAAGGTACGATATAGTACAGATAACAATGTGAGATAACGAAGCTCGTTGAATGACTTTGAAGAAGTTTCCGAAAGGTCGAGAATGATTTTCGTCCTCATTTCCTTGCACTGCCACTGTGGAGACGACGAATTCTTCACAGCTCTCTTGGCTGGAGCGGCCTCTCGGATACAATCTCCTAGCATCTGATTCCTCTCAATACGAACTATCCTCTTTCCAATGTTAGTCCATATCAGTATATGAGAAGACTTACAGATTTCAGCTTCGCTTGAGATGTTGTGATGATGAGGGTACTTTTGCATTCCGGACGGGATGGTGGTTGGTGGCGGGCCAATCGCAAGCATGGGCCCTTTCAAGAGTGGGGACATCTTTGGGACGGGACCCAAAATTATAGCTCACTTTTATTCTTACGTCTTCTCACCATCTTCTCATCTGCGTCTTATAAATCAATTATTTTCATCGTTCGAATGCCCAAACATCTTCTGGCCAGGCACTCCAAAACATTTTCGTTGTCGCATGTCGATTATCTCCATTTCTAGATATCCGTGAAGGGACCACAACACTTTGGTCGCGCCGCCTCGCGTCCCCAAACATCATGGGCACCTCACTCAAAACAAACGGCAAATCGACCACCATCTCAGAGAATACGCCTCTGCTTACCTCCGGGGCAGACGATGCAGAAGTTCCACTCAACGATGAGGCCATCATCAGTCATGAAAACTCAGACAGCGATCCTACGCCTTCCAATGTCGACCTTACGCCTCTCCCGAAGCTGCAAATATTCGTCCTTTGCTTCGCTCGTTTAATCGAACCGATAGCTTTCTTCGGTATCTTCCCTTTCATCAACAAGATGATAAAAGAGACTGGCGGCATGAAGGAAGCAGACGTGGGATTTTACACTGGGTTCATTGTAAGATTTCTGTTGACCCACTAATCCGAATCCGGAAGGTGATATCAACATCCATGGTCCAGCTGACTTGGGCTTAGGAAAGCATGTTCTCGGTGACGCAAATGACCTTGATGATATCCTGGGGACGACTCTCGGATCGAATTGGGAGGAAACCCGTGATGGTGTTTTCTATGGTCGGTGTGGGATTAGGGACGGCGCTGTTCGGATTGAGTCGGACGATTTGGCAGATGGTACTTTTTCGATGCTGCGCTGGAGTTTTCGCTGGAACTGTCGTGTACGTCCCATATCTGGATGAAAGAGAATCAACTAACGTGATCTTAAAGTACTGTGAGGACCTCGATTTCCGAGGTATGCAATCCCAGTTCTTGTCTCCGCCAGTGTCTCAGGACAGAGTCGATACTTCGTCATTTCCCAGACTTGCATCTGACCCAATATGGTATCGGTGTCTTACATATCTCGAGTGCTAACAAATTGACCTTCAGAATTGTACACCTCGAACTCAGGCTAGAGCGTTCAGTTTCTTTGCTTTCAGTGGTAACATGGGCATATTTCTCGGCCCACTGATCGGTATGAGTCTCTAACCCAATCTATTTTCATATCTGACACAAAAGCAGGTGGTGCTTTGCAGGACCCTGCTCGCCAGTACGGTGGCGTGTTCAAAAAGGTTCAATTCTTCAGCGACTATCCCTACGCACTACCAACATTTGTCACTGGGTCCATTGCTCTGTTGGCCGCACTTACCTGCGCGATCTTTGTCAAAGAGGTATGGAACTCACTGCTCACATTGAAACAAAAGCTGACGATATATCCAGACTCTTAAGCGAAAAGACCTTACGAACGAGGACGGCACTCCTGTAGAAGCGGAACTGACCATTCTCGAAATCGTGAAGAAACCAGGTGTAGCTTTTGTGCTATATATCTACACGCACGCGATGCTTCTTGGTCTCGGCTACTCATCTTGTATGCTTCCCAACCCCTAAAAATACATTTGGTTGCAATCTGACCGATGCTTAGTATCTACTCTATTCTGGTTCACACGTCCATATCTTGGCGGGTACGGGTTCACACCGATCCAAATATCCTACTTCCTAGCAAGCATCGGCGTCGCACAGTCCATCTGGCTTCTCATATTCTTCCCAATATTCCACCGCAAGTATGGTACTGGTAACGTCCTGAGAGCTTGCTACTTCATCTGGCCTTTGACATTTCTGGTTGCCCCGCTCTGCAACTTCTTTCTTCGCCAGGGTTGGACAACGGCATTCTGGATTATCGGTAAAATTCACCCCCGTGATTCTGACTGGAAACGTTTTTGGATTGCCAAAACTTAGTCTATCCAACATTACTAACCTCTCTCCTAGCTCCAACTACTCAGGTCATCGGAAGCGGGGTATCTATGGCGTTCAGTAAGTCACTCCCTACTTTTCGAAATCACCTTACTGATCTCGCCTAAAGCCTGCGTTCAACTCGCCTTGAACGACGTGTCCCCATCACCCACAGCGTTCGGCACTCTCAACGCCCTAGCACTCACCTTAGTATGCGCAATTCGAACCGTCGGACCTTTCGCATTCACCAGCATATTCGCTGCTGGAGCCAACAGCCAGTTCCTTGACGGATATCTAGTGTGGTTTGTACTTGTCATCATCACTCTCATGGGAAGTGTGGCGATGAGGTGGTTCCCAGAGAATGCGGAGGGGAAGCTGAAGCAGGAGGATTGATTGTCTACCGATGACAAGGAAACAGGCTCGTCGAGGACGAAAGATCGCCTCTCGGACGAATCGATATGGGTGAATCTCCGAAAAACATGAACATCGCCATTGACTGGCCACATGCACATAAATTCTAGATATATAAACTTCGTGGTCTCACAGACCGGTTATGGGGAATAACATATAAGCATAGACCGCCAATGCGATTCCAGCAACTGTAGCACGTGTTTGGAGGAGGCGCTCTCCAATCTAGGCTACGAATCACGGCCATTCTAACATGAACTGAACTGAAATTAGGATTGAACAGATCGCAGAAATTGTGCTTGCGAGTTGGGGACCTTTCTCTTGATTCACGTCGTCCACGGATGGTACTAATATCAGCCTAGACAATTGCCATGTGAATCGCGTCTAGGACGAACCCAAACAGATTCTCTCTCCACTATTTAAACGTGCAGTACCTCTTTTGCCATGCAATTTGCTTCTTCAATAAATACCAGTTTCCAGGCTCAACACAACTGTAGCCCTCAAATCATCCACATCCAGTAAAGAAACACAATATCGAACCTGGTAAAATCCATATCCTACATCGCATTCCACCATGTCTGAAAAGCCCCGCTCAACCAAACCATCATCAAAGATGCCCAGCATCTCATCCTCCAAGCCATCTTCCAAAATGCCGAAGACCGAAGACGACGACGCTGTCCTCCCCTCCGCCATGTTCAAAGACATGTCTCTCACCCCTCAGGAAAGCAAGATCAATTTATCTTCCCGAGCTCCAGGCAAGGAGCAAGACAAGAAAGCCAAGTCGACATTCGCTCCCATCCCAGAGGACGATGTCTATGGCGAGGAATACGACGACTTTGAGGAGTTGACATCACCGAAATCGAACTACCCGGAGCTCATCTCACCAGGCAAGAAACCGCAATCCCGCGTGCCGAGCTCGTCCGCTTACAACGATGCGAAAAGCAGCCTCACTGAGAAGGCGAAATCTGTCTTGCCGAGCGCGATGTTCAAGGATGAGTCCAAGGCTCCAAAGGCGAAGTCTGTCATGCCGAGCGCGATGTTCAAGGATGAGTCCAGGGCTCCAAAGGCGAAGTCTGTGATGCCGAGCGCGATGTTCAAGGATGAGTCCAAGGCCCCAAAGGCGAAGTCTGTTCTACCGTCTGCTTTCTTCAGGGATGAATCAAAGGCTCCGAAGGCAAGTTCAGTTATGCCAAGGGCAAAGTCCGTTATGCCAAGTGCCTTTTTCAAAGATGAGTCGAGAGCAGCTCCGAAAGCGCAGTCTGTTCTACAGTCAGCTTTCTTCCGGGATGAGTCTAGGTTTGCGGATGATGAATCTTTCGTTCCCAAAAGTTTCTTAATGACCAAGGAAGACAAGATTATGTCGACTCGACAGACTGAGTTTACCAGTCTCGCCCCGGAAGAGCAGAAGAAGCAAGACGAATGGGCTCAGAAGAAGATCGAGGAGATGGGAGCTTGCCCAGAGCAGTACAGATGGATACGTAAAGACGAGAATGGCTGGGGCGGATATATCTGCGCAGAGGGTCGACACGGAATGCCGGACTTGCTCATAGCAGAAGGAGAAGGAGCTATTATCGTCTTGGAAAAGAAGAACGACCTTACCGGACCCAAAGGAGGCCCATGGTATCCTCATCCTACCATCAAGAACTGCTACATCTATGTCAAACGAAAGGAGTGGTTGGACGGTGTCAAGCCTTATAATCAGCCTGCATTCCTCGGATCCGATAAGCAGCGAGAAAGGGCAAAGTGGGAGTTCTATAGTGAGAGTCTTGAGGAAGCTTTGAGAATGAAGTACCAGTGGCCTCAGAAGGAGCCGCCTCAGGAGTGGGCTGATGACAAGAATATTCCGAAGACGAAGGAGGAGCGGAAGGCGGCGGCGGCTACGAAGAACTAAGTGTCATTCCCAAATATGGCCCCAGTGGAGTGTAGGATATGGCAAATGGGTCGAGGTTGTCTCAAACAACGAATGTAAATAGCTAATGGACGTTGCATTTCAACGTTTCCTTCCAATCCTTTGGATGAAGTTGAATAGATCAAAACTGAAGTCCAAGAACCACTGTGAAGCCACGTACAGTAGGAAGGGAACGGTTCACAATCGTCGCTCTAATACCTATGACGTGAGGATTTTGAACAAAAGAATGGATATAAAACATCATTTTGGTGCATTGTTAGGAAAGAACAGCATCTGCTAAACAAGAAGTAGGACTAAAACGGGTATCTGTGCTAAAAAGACGTCGGCTCAAGGACATGAAGAACAAGATACAGCATTAACGAGCACGAGACTTAATCAAATGCAAACATCTCAGCTCATCATCCTCGATATTCACCTGCCAGTGGCATATACCTCTTCCCAACACCCGGGTTGTAAACATTACCGACGTCAGCATGCTGGTTATAACCCTGCTCCATCATCATGCCATCTCGCACTTTCTGCATCTTCTTCTTATGCGACATCCTCCGCAGACCCAAGAAGGTGATGATAAATGTGAGGAGGTAAGCGATTGACTGGATGATCGAGGCGTACCATGCACCGGCCTGAGGAGTTGTCAGTCGCTTCCGAGAAGGTGAGTATGTCTTGAATTGCAATATACCTGGAGATTGCACAACTTCCCAAAATTAACGAAAGACTACACTTGAACTTGTATCTCATCAGCCTTCGAGCTACAAGTATAGCCCCAAAGATCTGTCCCAGTCTCAGCCATTCTAAATAGCCCCGCCGCAACAGCCCAGGACACGAAGTGAACCGCAAGCAGAATTATCCCCAATGTTGTCGTAATGGTCTGTGATTTATTCGCCGCTCCAACTCCGCATACATACGAGCATAGAGTGATAAGATTCATGCAAAATGTAACCGCTGCGATACCGAGGAGCATGAACGTCGGCCAGAGCGTGGCTGGAGTGACCCAGGCTTTTTGGTTGTCGGCGGTGACATGGTTGCGAGTGAGATAGTATTTGGCGAGGGCGAAGGACAGGATGCCGATCATGATAGCATTTAGGATGAGAGAGACGAGACGAGAAATGAATCGAAGAACTCGGATCGTGCGTTTGTATTTCTGGAAATATTCAGTGCTGCTGAAGACAGGACAGGATGGCGGGGTAGTGGGGTAGCAGGGTATGTTTTCCCCCTACACGTACCTGATCTTTCTTTTCCAAGTCAGGGAGAGAAGCAAATCCTGAGTGTCTTGAGGAAGAGTATGGCAGCTCTCCAGGGGATGAAGCTGAGGCTATGTAGACATTGCTACTGGACCTTTTGTTGAAGTATCCCATGGCAGGCTGCGGAGGTTGGTGTCTCGCTTGGTATATTTTGCTCTTAGCAACACTTCAGTTCCTGGAACGCAGGGGGCGAGATAAATCGATCAGAGAAGTTTGGATTACAAGAACAAATGGGAAAGAATACTGTATGATATATGCGCTCTGTGAGTAAAGGAAAGCCTAATCGGAGCTACAGAATGTGGCGTTTTGATAATGGCTGAGGCCCCGACCGAGAGCTAGGAAATGCTCGAGGAATTTGTCGCTCAGCCTTGTGATAACAGAATTTTGAAAACAATGCAACCATTTCTTTAAATCATATTGTCCAATGGACATACATTCCAAGTTTTGATACTCGGTGAAGCCAAGAGGTCGAGAAGCAAGCTGGTAAACAGTTGCGAAACCCCTACACAAGCTTTCCTATTACTGGGCAGCGAACACTAAAAGTCGCGTGGCACACGGAATTCTCGTAGGGCATCCAGTACTGGATACAACATGGCTGGTATTAAAAGATTGTGATTCGCCGTGGTGGGCACTGGCTGCTGTTGTGGCTTGCGTAGTTCCGTGCTCGCCTTTGCTGATTGGAGGTGGCACTCACTGAGCGTTCAGCTTTTATGCAAGCCAGAGGACAGAGGGTTCTCGGTCCGGAGCCAGACCAAAATGGAGCCAGGGAAGCCAATTGACGATATCCCATCGTTCCTTAGGTATATTACATGGATACCTGAGCCTGCCTACGCACACTGTCGCTCACATGGCATCGTAATCCACATTCTCCAGCCCAAATAATTGAAGCGCATACTTTTCTACGTTATCACCCCGATCCCAGAGTTCTTTCTCATAAGCCTCAACTTCCTCGAAGGTCATCATCCCAAAGTCTTCCAACCCACACATCTCCCACAAGATAGGGAAGTCGGGTTTGTATGTGTCTTGAAATTGTCCTGGTGCCCACTCCTCGCTGTGATAACGTTGGCGAAACCTCCTTTCGACTTTAAATGGTGGCAGCTCGCTCTCCTCCGAGAAATGAGTTGCAGAGGAGGATATGCGTGGGTGTAACTTCGGGATATTGAGGTTAACTTCAATGGCACTGCTTGATGATCCGGATTTCAGACGCGCTTCGAGGACATTGGAAAGGCTTTTTAGAACCAAGCGCTCCTTCACGAAAGACCATGAGGATTGGCCGTCGTGGTCTAGCCAGATGTTCAGTCTACGCAGTTGCCTCAGTTCACAGATCGCCTGCCACGTACCAAACCAAGTGGAGTCTGCTGTTGATGACGCGTTTGTGGAATTATCGTTTCCTGATGCCGATGTTTCGCGACCCTCAAGCGCTTTATAGAAAGCCAGTGGAAGGCGGAGGGTAATATTGAGATCGTGAATATTGATAAGCATATGACTCCGAGGATTCCAAGACAGAGTATATCTGCTACTTTCATGACCAGGGCCTTGGAGGAGAATCTTAATTGTATCCAGATCCGTCAAATTGACTGTTGTGGTCTCGGCCACCGTATCACAGACCTCAAGAAACCTGAAGAGCAGGCGATCTGTTAGCAATGCTGATGAACAGGGAAATAGATGGGGCTTTACATAGTTTTGCACACCAAAAAGAGATTGGGGAGAAAGATGACACATCGATCAGGGAGATCCGTCTTCCCTCCAGCTGCAACTTCCTCACATTCCCAGTGTGGCCCGGCCCCCACGTAGATCGCAGACGACGGGACCATTTTGGGAAGTCGAGCCTAGAGTCCTTTGTAGATTGACGATCACGACCATCGTGGTAGTTGTCACCTAGATTGGGCTGAAGGCAAGGAGAATATCGGAATCTGCCATGGGACAGCGTTATATGGATATGATGTGGGATGATGTGGATGTATATCGCTCTCCGGATTTCAAGAGGTGCAGATAGAAACATACACTTATAATCCAAGTGTATATTTGCGTCGGCCATGTTGTTTCTCATAAGCTGAACGTTGGAAATAGTAAATAGGAGGAACTTGAGGTATTTCAGTGTTGCATCATGCAACAGATGGTGGACGAGCTTCAAGTGTTGGCAAACCAACGCCAAGGAGGGCATGGGTGGCGGGGTTCTTTTTGCTTGGCTCTCCCTAAATCCTCGTGTTTACCAAGCAGTTCTATGTTAACGATATCACTAGAAGCAAGACTTAAGCGTTAGATAAATAGACGTTAGGTTCTAAAGAGGCGTGCTTTTACTACCACGAAGCATGCAACCGCCCTTCTCGTATGAACCTCAGACCCTGACAAGAAGCCCACATGGTACTCACTCAATTAAGGTTCAACTCGCCACAGAAGAGATGTTGGAAGAGCCCAGTCTCTGACTCAGAATCAGACAAGTGAGAAATTTATCTTTTCTTCCAAGTGATAGCCAGCAAGCTATGCTCTTTGATATCTAATAGCAAACATTAAAATCAGGTATCATCTCCAGCATTGCCTGCTCCACATCTTCCCCACGTAACCACATTTGTTTCTCCATGTCCTCGCACTCTTCGAATGTTATGGCAAGCTCTCCATTGCTGTCATCGGCCCAAAAATCCGCCAGCTCATGCATGATGGGAAAGTCTGGCATGTATTTTATTTCAAGGACACCCCCTTCGTGCTTGAGACAATGAAATCGTTGTCGGCATCGTCGTTCAATGGTGACTGGAGTTGGTGGAGAGGTGTTGCCGAGGAAGTGAGTCTCTTCCTTGGCAATTCCCGGGTGTAGTTTCGGGAGATTGAATATGATATGTAACTGCGGAAAGCTTTTCCTGGAAGAGCGAGCCCGCATTTGCGATCCAAGATCCGCAAAGAGATATCCCAGAGCCAACCGTTCTTTGACGACAGACCATGAAGATGGATCCTCGTGATCCAGCCAAACGTGAAGGCAATGGAGCTGTTCCAAACCAGCTGTTATAGACCAGAACCGCGTCCAAGTATTACATATGTGTTTGATTGTCATTGAAGATATGGAAGTGCTAGAGCTGGCCGCTGTCCCTGTTTGATTGTCTTCGAGATCCTTATAAAATGCCAACGGGAGCCGGAGCGTGATGTTGAGATTGTGAATTCGCTGGCCGACATGCTTGCAGACAGTTAATGGGAACAGCTCTGGGTTCTGAGCGCCATGTGGCTGTGATACCAAGCTTTCCAGAGTGTGTAGATCTGTGATATTGATGGAGGACACCTCAGACACAATATCGCAGACATCCAGGAACCTGCAATGCACTACAGTCAGATGGGCGCGGATATAACATAACAAGAGAATGTAGAAAGGTACCTACATCTTCTTACACAAGAGGCGAAGATTGTAAATGTGATCACTATCCTTCTTTTGCTTTTGCGACGTGCCATGCTCTTCACATTCCCAGTGTGGGCCCCACGACGATCCTAAACGCCGTGCCCATTGAGGATCTGTCGACCTTGCATGATCACCTGGAACTAGACGCTCTGTGCCAGCGTGTTCATGATCCCCTAGGTTGGGTTCAAGACAGATGAGCATGCGCAACTTTCCCTCCGACAAAAACGCATGAACATGACGATCGAGATGAGAATATATTGCTTGACGAACTTCGAGCAGTGCAGAAAGCAGCCTGCTGTTACTCTGCGAGTGTATATTTGACGTATTCATGTTTCCCGCTACCGTGAATCGACTTCATGATTATTATGCACAACACAGGAAGGCTGAACAACGATAATTCCAACATTGTATTTTACCACAATCACGTTGTTGGTTGATTGAGCCGGAACAGGTAAAACAATTCTCCACGCAGCCGCAGTAGGGCGGCGATGCTAGCCCCTCCACTGCCAACAAAACACACTTTCTACAGGGGGTGAAATGCCTGAAGGGATGCCCTGTAATTAACCGAGAAACGCCTAAAGAAACGCCCGGGCCTGGTAGAATACGATCCGTCGAGACGACCCATCATCCACAGTCGTGTTTGCCGCTCGCGACGGGAAGCAGCCTGTTCAGTTCGAAATCTACTGGAATGAAGGCTGTTTGCTTGATCCCCCAGGTGGCGGCCAGATGTTGCCGAACAATGCATTGGGCTTTAAAGGATGTGGACAAAAGCACATGCCAGAACTTGCTGATAGACAATTACAAGAAGTGTAACAATTTAGGTGTTGGGGGTATCCTCTAAGCTGCCGTTAACACACTTTTGCAGGGTGTAGCGCTAAAGTGAGGCGCTAAGGTTCTAGTAAGTCCTTGAATTACAGGGCATACGCTACGCTCAGCCCCTAGAGAAATGTGGGTTTTGAACGGCAGCTTAAGGGATACAAGTAGGATGGATGTCTGGTCCCTGAGTTCAAACCGGAGTATGATTAGCTGCTGTGTTGAAGGGAAGATGTATGGAGGCGTCATTGAATGGCTGAACGGGCGTGGAAGATCGTCCTGGGATGAAGGAATGGCTGGTACCTATATTATTCATGTTGAATTGAGATCATCACTCCAGATTCTTTTCAAAATCAGCATGTTGATGAGAATTTGAGAATTGCAGATCTTGATAGGGCGAAAGCACATCACAATCAGGCAGTCTCCGACCACCATCTGCTGTCTCAGCTCTGTGCAGTCAAGCCAGTATGTTCAGCGTTAACCCTCTATTTTCTTCGCTTACTTTAGCGAGGGTCAAAAGACGAGAACGCCAGAAGAGAAAGACTCTCCAAATAAATGAAAATGACCTTGTCAAAGGAAGAGATTTGGCGAGAATAGAGAATGTTTTGTTTCTAGGTATACTGTCTGGATCATCGCCCAGTGGCCGAAACAGCAAAACTCACAGACCAACCGCGGTGAGGCGGATGAGTCCGACCGAGAAGCGATTAGTCTGTTAGAAACCATAAGCTTGTTACAGATTTCAAGTGGCATCACCGTGACGTAGAAAGTGGGTGCTTGTACATGGCGTGTATCTTCTTATTTGGGTACAAGTAGTAGCAAGAATTTGCGAGGCGACTCGGCTGGGCGAGTGAATCAGGTGCTACCCAGGAAAACCACGATAGTTGTCAAGCACTCATCTCGACATCTCATATAATCTCTCGATTGCGTTTTCAAGAACCTCACATTCTCTTTGAATTAAATCATGCGGGATGCTAGTACCCAAGTTCCAGTGTCACTGCTTGGTACCTCGTTATGCAGAAAATTTCCCTTGCTAAACACCGAGAGTGGCTGATACCCTATGCCCAAAAGTAAAGTCAATCCTTGAGATATGTGAAATGCGGAGATCAGTTGTCGGCAATGAACCGGTGGTGAAAGCAAAGACAACTTACATCTTCTTACACACCAGTCAAAGATAATATATGTGATGAGTGCCTGCACCATCATTGATCCCAGACGCATATTTCTGACAGTCACAATGTGAACCCCATGACGATGCCATGTTTCTGATGCCCAGACTATCTTCATCTTGACGTTCTCTACCGTCGTGCGTGTTGTCTCCCAAGTTGGGCTCAAGGCACGGAGACATGAAACAGATGAATCTGGTTATTGATGAAGAAGTGAGAATATATTTCTTGGCGTATTTCGAGAGGGATACAGAGTAATTTGCTCTCAAATTGCGGGTAGATTCGGTAGCAGACATGGATTCTCTCTTATAGCGTGGCCAGTGAAGAAAGCAGTTCGGACCTTTGAGCATAGAGTACTTGAGTATTTCGAGATGTTGATCGTTCGATCTATTATGGGTGGACTAAAAGTTGGATCCTGCTTTGTTAAGTTAGTTGTTGGATGTTGTCTATTCAGCTAAACAAAATTGGATTCGCGACCAAGCTCAATGAGCATGACGAAGTAGCCACGTTTGAGGCTGGTGTGGCGCAAAAGCGGTCTGGGGTCGGCTAGCCTGGTTTAATCACGGCAATAGCTTCGTAAGTATTTAAGCCTCCCCACTCACACAACAATCTATCCACCCACACTAAACTAAACACTTTTCGGCCCGGGCCTATCATCACCATACCTTATACCTTATACCTTATGGCTATCGTGCGCAAGTGGGGCGAGAACCACATCAACAAATCCCTGAAGCAAATCCATCCAAATGCTTGGCTTATTGGTGATCTCGTACTCTATCGATCAACCTTTCCTTCCGAGACAGCTACTTGGAATGACGAGAGTGATAATTCAAGCTATACACTAACGAAGGCACCTACTCCATTGCCTTCTGCTACCACACCGCCCGATAGCCCCTATATCAAGCTGGTTCATGAAGCTGGCGATGCCTCTGTTGTCTGGTCTATAGGAAATAATGCCTTGTGCAAAGTCAGGTACATCGAGGAGGGAGTCACACCTGAGTCAGTCACGTTGGATTTTGTCCGAGATCAACGACCTAGTTTCGAGGTACCGAAGGTTCTTCACCATGCTTTCGGTAATGACCGATCCTACCTCTTTCTCCAGAGAGTTCCAGGCCGGACCTTGGACGCTGCCTGGCCAACTTTGAACGAATACTGGCGTCGCCACTATGTGAACGCTGTGGTTAACGTCTGTAAGGAAATGGCACAGTGGAAAGGGCATGTTTTTGGCGGTGTGGACGGTCAAAACATCCCTGAGCGATACCTCCTCAAGCCCCACGCTGTTGAGGATTTCAACTCAGCTCATCTTCAGGCAACATGTGAGGGTATGGGTATGGACTGTGCAAACCTCGTCTTCAGCCATGCTGACCTTGGACCCACGAATATCATCGTAGAGAATGAGCCGAATGCCGGGAAAGTTGGGATTATCGATTTCGAAATTGCTGGCTACTTTCCTCGAAGCTGGATCAGGACTAAGTTTCGGATATCCAGTGGAATGGATCTCTCCCGTTCTGTCACTGATGACCCGTACTGGTGGAGAAGAGAAGTTCAAATCGCGCTTGGAGCCAACGGATTTGACGACGTCCGAAAGGCTTGGGAAGATTGGCGGAGGTACCAACCATCCAAAACCTAATTTAAGCATCCATATTGATCTTACTGCTGAGATAGACTTCTGGAAGACAGACACGGTTACCGCCCTCACATAGAATAGTCCTTGTCTTCACGATAGAAAATGTATCCCATTGTTTGAGAGAGTGTCTTTATGATTGCCTTATAAAGTGTCTGTATCCCTTGAAAGACCTGCGACATTCCTACCAATGAAATCCCATGCTATCAGGAGTGCTCAAGTGGTTGCGATCCTTTTCATGAACCCTGCCATGCCATCATATGTTTCCATGCGCAATCGAAATTGGTAGCGGCTTTAACAGCTGCTTGGGACAATTATTACAGCTCCATAATTCAGAAAGAATGGAGTCATTTCTTACATTCTCTGCATTTGAGCTTACAGAGTGACGGGAAGATCTGCGCCGCATGTACTTCCATCTGCCTTGATCCCTTCGCACGTTATCTTGCCTGTCATGTTATTGAATCCACATGACGGGCAGGCCGCCAAGTCAACAAGCTCACTATAGATGACGATTGCCATTGGATTATATGAGGATGATCTTGGAGTGGTCGAGGCTGAGACGAAGAGCAGTGGTACTGTTGTGGAGGAAGAAACGTGAAGTCTGCGCAACGGAGCCAGTTTTGTCCTTTTGCAAGTTTCCGGGGAAGGGCAATAGCTTTATGATGATTCACTTTCAGAAAGATTGGGTTCAAGAGGAATGCTCTTCAGCCCCCGAAGACACGAAGCCCTCGTATGACTCAATTTGAACGCATACTTGAAGGAGGGTTGTTCTGAACCAACCGTTGAGAATCTGAGGGGTGCCAAGATTCGAATGCAGCTCTTGACTACTCGGCCTCGGCCCTGCTTCCGCTATGTCGGACAGTCAGTGCTACATCACATTCACTGTATCCGAAAGATACCGCAGCAGGAGCAGGGTTTAATGGTGTGAAAGAAGATTCAAGGAGTTCAATTGGACCTCCTCTGGTTGATGCGACGGCAAGCAGGCCCAGGAGGCCAGAAATTTCGTGAACTTTGCGCCAATAGACTTTCGATTTTGTCTCGTCTGTTGGTTGTGATTAGGCAACCTCAGAAGACTCAAAATGATGTCACGCGTACAGTATTTGGGATTTATGGAGAAAAAGAACAAGAGATTTGATTGCTATCTTGACGCAAACAAACACAGCAGATTGCTAGGTGTTGACAAGCAATCGCGTTCAGATTTTAATTGCGCTAAATGTCTGATACTCATTGCTTCGCACTCCTTCGCTACTCCAATCAAGGCCCATTCAAAACAAAAATGCCGAGTCGCATCAACAGGAGCCTTCGATCATTATTTCAACAACGACAACGCCAGAACGGATGCGACCTGCGATGCCTCGAGTTGCGCAAAATCCTCGCGGAGCCAACAAAGGCTGGGTGCCTCCGACTCTATTGCTGTGCCGTTGCCGGTCAAGTAGAACACCAACTTGCCTTCTCTCGGCTATACGCCATGATAATGAATTAGCCTCGATATATACATATCTTACGTCATGAGCTGTGACTCCGATACCAACAGTCTACCTTGAAGTCAAGTATTCATAGAGCATGCAGGTTCTTTTTCAAGGTTCGAAGCAGCGCATTGATAACAGCATTAGAGATTATAGCCGAAACTGATCTGGTTCATGGAACGGAGTTGAAAGAGCGTTCACATCAGAACAGTGCTTCTCGATTCTCGACTATTTGGTAATGCTCCGACTTCATAGCATAGTAATTTGCCTCAAGGAATAGGACATTATAGGTAGGCAAGGAAACCGCGATCATGATTTCAATAAGGAGCGTTGACGTGACTATCGGCAATTTTAGTTCCCCAGCCAAATATTCACCAGTGTCTGCGTTAAGTGGGCGGCTTGGTGTTGTTTTGAGATTGTACTTCATTCGTCCATGTGCTTGTAAATTGCAGGGACGATCGGAGGACTGAGCTTCACTGAAAGGAGCGGAATGGCATAAACTCCACTGTCCTATGTACTCTAGTATCGACCATCTCCCCAGCAAAAACAAGGAAATCATCATCAGCGCCACAACACAGACCTTTTGCAATCTTCAAGTCTGGCCCTCAAACGATGGTTATGTACATGTAGTAGACAGTCTGTTCTGTGTTTACCAAGTGCATGCGGTATCCGCCCATCCAACGTCGGCTTCGAGGCAGCCAGTACCACAAAAGGTAGAATCATCCCTCACCTGCCTCATGCACCGTCTCTTACCACTGTCCTCATAGAAGTGTGCCCTTCGGTTTCCCCAGTCCATGCAAAACTCCTTAACTGCTGGTATGTAAGGCACTCGGCATCCTTCGTTGGGATTAAAGTTGAATGATCGACCGTCGTTATAGTACCACTTTCCCGTGTTGTAGTTGCAGCCGAAGAGGGAACATAGTCCTGTGATATCCCATCGATCCGCTTGGACTGTTACTGCTAGCCCGGTGGCGAGCACCAATAATGGGGTGCTCAGACGCATAATCTGATCAAGTCTGTCAGTGGCTTGTAATAGAGAAGACACGGAGAGTAAAATAGATCACGTACTGTCAATGAGGGTAGAATAATACTCTGAACTTCTTCGCCAAGGTTTAGGAGGTAGTTGAAGTAGAACTTATTGGTTTGATTTGCGTCTTGTGAATGAATGGATGAGATGAGAGAAAGCATCTTTTCCTTCGAGTGAAATCACAGAAGTATTTAAACAGCTTTGTATTGTCACAGACAGCATGATCCATTCGTCGGGATGTCCGTAAATGGTTCTAGCAGAGGACATTTATTTATCCCTCCTTGAATGAGTTTCGTATATTTCCTTCCTAGGTTACCCTTCCAAGATATTGAGACTCACAATGCGTGCCCAGATGCGGCGGGCTCGAGGTCAAATGAAAGAGAGCGAGCGGTGAGGGGCAGATCGTCCAACCAAGATATGTCTGTACCGAATTTAATTGGAATCTGTAGACTGTAGGAGCCTGGCCAAGCAATCCAAGATCAAAAGCCGAGTAGGTAGTGGTATGAGGTACGTATATTGCCTGTGAGGGCAAGATGTCAACGCGCCTCCGGCCCAGGAGTTTCTCGTGGGTTCCGGATGTACGGAAATACGAATGGCTTCGGGTTTTGACCTCGATACCTCGATATGGGGCTTTATGCTCTTGGCAACGCACGCTAGGTACGGGCCGAGAGTTGCAATCCGAACCTCAATTTGTGCGTTACTTGGTGTGTAGTATATCGGAAAAGATGAAGCTTCGCCGCAGAGGAAGCATGGCATAAGTGTTATTCCACGAATGGTTGGTCTTCACTGACTAAGTACGTAGAAATTCAGCCAATAATCTGCCCCCCACTAGAATACTTTCCGCGTTCTCCATGGAAACGAATTTCCTTGCTTACGAGGTGAAGGACTGTAACCCCACAAAATGTACGTGAAGATACGTTTTATTGTGGGGACTTTACGAAGCACCCAGTCTGCTATCTGACTGCGTAAGTAATCAGTCAATATTCTCCCCCAATATATAAGTTACATGGCGGAGTAATTGCAGGATTTCTTACATGTAGTTTGGCATAGCTTTGCTTGTATGGAAAACACAACATCGAAAAGTTGGAAGGTACCTCCATTCAAATTCAGGTCTCTATGGTAAGATTCAAAAGTCGCAACCACTAGAAGCCAACATTTGTTTGGCCATGTATGAAGTATCTTTGTGAAATTACACCAGCAGTCGCACGGCTTTGGGCCAATTAACACAGGAGTTAATGCTAACGACACAAAATCCGTTCAACAATCATATATCCATGGCTTTTCTGACAGGGATGGGCTTCACGAATGTCACATACCTGAATTCTGTTAGGAGTTGCATGTCAGCAGAAGCGTGAATGGAGCTCTCTATTTTGAGACATTCCTACCGTGGCTCGCCAAGTGAGGCTTGCTGGCGCCGGCATTTGCGGCTTTTAGATGTCCACCAGAGGTATTAGACCGTCGGAGCATTGTACATTTTGGGCCAACTGGCCATCAAAAAGATCAGAGATAGCGCCTGGGCGCTATCACAGGCACCTACATATTTCCTCTCGAAAGATTTGCGTGTTGCAAATCTGCTATTGGACGAGAAAGTGTAAGCTCCGCAAGTAGAGCTTGAGGAACAAAAACATAGGCTAGAGGCTGCTCTTCAATCGTAGAGCCCAGACAATTCCAAATGGCATTCTGTGGTGGACCTCCGAATTTGCTATGTGCTGCAAAGGAGAGGTTATTCAGCAACGCAAATCTCGCTTCACTGTTTATATGTCAATAAATCATTTAATAATCACGTGGTACCAGGATGCGGTTCATAAAACTTTCAAGATCAATCAGAATACTAGTTTGGAATATTTTATCAAGTTGCTGTAATGAGAGCGCCTGTTTACTACAGATAAATTAACGTATATTAAAGTAAGTACAAGAGTTTAGGTACCTCGGACTTTTCATGTTTTAATACAAAGTTAAACACTGACCTTTTACTACTTACTTTCGGAAAACTCGGAAAGGAGACCTACTTTTGGAGGGGAGGGAGACCTACCTTTGGAGGGAGACAGAGGAGGGAGACAAAGGAGGGAGGGAGACGGAAGGAAGGAAATAAGAGGGAATATTAACTTTATTAGTTAGAAAACTCTTAGAAATATAGATAGTAGCTGTATTTCCCTTAAATTGGAAGTAATATCTGTATTTTTACTTTAAATCTTTAAAAATCAATTAGAATCAGAGGATCCAACTGAGAAAAATACAAATAATTAACCAAAATTCAGACGGAAAATCCGTCTAAAAAGCCTGTTTACAGATAGTATCTGTAAAAAGTGCGGATAGTGTCTGTTTAGAAACGCCTGTAAGGTAGTTGTCGGGTAGTGCAGGCCTGCGATGGCCATGGTAGATATCTCAGCAGTGGCCATGGTGATGAGTCGACTTTAATGGATTTTTGCAAGAAGTTGTGAGTATATTAAGAGTTCGTGTGCGAAAGTTCGAATGGCGGAATGGCAGGTTGAAGTGAAGTCAAATGGCATGAACTGGGCGGCAGATTCGTGCGTATTTAAGCTTAGGTAGATTATTTGCCCATGAAGAATCAGGCATCCGTGGCCGAGGAATTAATCAAAGCCTCCTCACCACAGATGAGGTGATTCATGACGTCGGAAAGAGTTGGTTGTTGGCTGTTGGTTGTTGGTTGTACTCAGTGAAGTTATCTTGTGGACGAGCTGAAAACATATGCTATTCAAGACTCGTGATAATACAACAGCTGTTAATCGTAAACGCATCGAACTTGATCAACTGTGTAGAAAATTAATTATAGTATATGTTTGTAGCCAAAGAACATTCGTTCTTGTTGAGACTAAATGTATTATTGTATGTGAAGTGTGGTGACGTTCTCGCATGTCAATTGATATCTTACTTCACCGAGCATGCGAAGGCACGTTCGGACGATGCACGCACCTAAAAGCGGGCGGGTCGAGCCTTCGGCAGGAGGTAAGTTAGTGTTTCACTGCTCCCCCACTAAAAAGCAATTGCGCATGCGCTGCTGTAACATACGCAGGTGTGCCGGTGAAACACTACATAGGTACCTTTCGGCAGGCTTTCACAGGCTTCAACCCAGCCAATTGATGGTCATGTCGTGAGACTAAAGGGGCGAGGAACACTAGCCATGTTTAGGCTCCTCCAAATTCCAGAATTTAAAGACCCAACGTACTGTGCTGTAGGAGTAGCTCCTTACCCATCAGCCATCCAAGCCCTCCATCTTCCCAGCCAGTGAACGACTCCTACTGGTTAACTAGGCCATCATCACCAACTACCATCATCGCTATGGCACCACAGGTTACAAACTGGGAAGAGTTGACTTGGCTATCCGAGGAATTCCACCCGGAAACTGGCGAATTCTGGTACACAATGTTTGCCGTCGTCGACAATTATACCATATACTTTGGCCAGCTGAACATTCCCAAACTCGAGATCTCATTCAACAACTCACATCTGCGCTGAGTCCAATCCCCGACGAGGATGTCTTCCCGGAATGGCCGCGTTCTAAGGTGACTCTCACCCAGGCTCCAGAGGAACTCCCTGCCAACGTCTACATCAAGCGACCGAGCCTGGATTCATATGGCGTGTTCAAAGAAGACAATGACCTGCATCTCCTTCCCAAAGGGCTGATGGAGGAGGCCCAAGCCATGTAAGTGCTTTCCCAGCACCCACACCCGAATATTATCCGTTACTATGGCTGCCAAGTGCGGCGAGGCCGCATCACTGACCTCGTCCTTGACCGACATCCCAACAACTTGTCAGAGTATCTCAAGCATGGAATTGGGACAATTGATAGGGAACCCTTTCTGGAGGCCCTCGAGTCGGCCATCCATCACCTGCACTCGCTCAATTGGGCCCATAACGACCTCAACCCCAGAAACATCCTTGTCAACGAGGCGGGTATGCCGGTTTTGATCGACTTTGGCTCTTCCCATGAGATCGGCAAGAAGCTGACAACCAGCCGGGGGACCAAAGGATGGATCGACGGGGATATGAAGGACTATACCACGTCGGAGAAGCGCTACGACACACCCGCTCTCGCCAAGATTCGTGTGTGGCTTGACAAGCAAGTATCTGACGATTAGCTAGCTCTGCGTACTCTAGAATGATATTGAAACTACTTGTTCAGATCAAATCATGGTCTGGAGATTGACCATACCGGGTGGTTGATGAGAATGGGTGTGGTCTTGAGACAACAGCTCCTGGATTTATCTTGATGAAGTCAACCGAACCAACATGAGAAGGTGGAGGTGATTGAGCAGATGGATGGGCAGGCAGAGAGGACAGTCGAAGATCTATCAACATGTCAAGCTGGCATCTGGGATGTTTGTATTTATGTAAACGGCGATGATTCGGTTCTTTTAGACCTAACAGGGCAAAGATAAAGCTGAAAGTTCTTCTGCGATATTCCCATGACACAAAGTCAATATCGAGCTTGGTGCTATGCGAGTTCTGTACATGGGTTTTGAAGTGCTGCAAGTGTTCGAGAACAAGCGCGTTTCACCGCTAGATGACGACAGTCTAACTTGGCCAGCGGATCTTTTCCTTGAGAGTGATTGCATTTGGCGTGAGTAGCGCGGTGAAGTGCGTAGGATCGGTTTGACGAAATTGAGAATCAATAGAAGGTCTCGTGAAAAAGATAGAATGAGGTTAATTTCTTGTCCTCATTGCCTGTAGAGCTAAAGTAATACATACATTCTCTTATGGTTCTCGGACCTTTTCAAAAACCGATTCCTGTTTTCTTAATCCTCATCGAGCAATTTCTCCAGAACAAGTAGGGTAGACGTTAGCATAACAGGGATAACCAAGAGACGTGATAAAGACTGTCTTCTAGCTAGATTCCACGTAATATCCATACATCTTTCTACTTCTGTAGGGTTGAAGTCCTCTTCCACTGAGGGTGCTTTCGGGACAATAGTCCGACATACGGGTCTGAGAACGGAAGAGAACTGCTCACAAAAATGAAGTTTATGATCCCAATGGTGTGCCAGCAGGACTGTGTCGATGCTGTGAAGACATACTGAATTCCAAGGTGCGCTCTAGAGGTACTGTCATTTCTTCTTCACAATGCCGGCAAGCCAGCATTTGCAATGAAAAAATTAGGGTGCGCTCACAGGAGGCAGTGTGATACCAGGAGCGCAAGTCCAAAAATTGAGCTTCAATGATGTGGGTTTGTGTCAAGTAAAAAACTGACAATATAACCAGACGGCCGTAGCCTAGCTTCAGTGGTGTGGGTTTATGTCATGTGAAAAGCTGACAGTTGTAGAAGAAAGAGGAGGGAAAGGTGGAAGGATGGGTGCGAACTTATGTATCGCCGTGGGAACGCTAGGAGCGGAACAACCAATTATTCGGTGACTCGCACGGACCTAAGGCTTTGTCTCACCGCCTTGTTCTGCCACCACAGTACATTTGTTGCATCTTCATCAAAAAGTATTCATGACGGGTAGCAGGGAGATATCAATCATGATAAATTTACCAACGACTCTTCGCAACAATGACTCCAAGATTGCCTTGGCCGCTGAGGTAAATCAATGCATTTACGAGTAGACGGTTGGGTCACGTAGTATAGATATTTGGGAGATTCAGAAGAAGCGAGTGTATTGGGTTGAGATAATTCCTAGTTGACCTCCAAACTTTGTCCAAGAGATTCCGTGGGGTATGCTGACACCCTAGATGTCGTGATCTCTTACTATACACGTATAAAGATCAATTTGAGAAGTCTCCACTCACCTCTCCCTTTGTGCTGTGAGGAGACGGCTATGAGTGTCTTGGACATCGATCATCATAGATGTTGGTTGGCGCGAATGTCTGACCAGCAGTGTTATGAACGCAATGCGACCCGCAGTCTCGCAGACGCTCGTAGTAATCAGTATCACCTCATGAGAACATATGTTGACGCCAATGACACATTATAAATCCGAGGAAGCTACAAGCGTCAGGCAAATTATCCTCGAAATATGAAGGCATAAGTTACTCTGCAGATATGGTGAGGTGGAAGTAGTAGGCAACTCCGTTGCGATATTAGCAGCTTGTCGTGTCTTGTATTGTATGTAGTCAATGCCGTGTGAGCACACGAATATCATGATGTGAGGAGCTTTCGTTCACTCTGGCGCTTGCGCGTCACAGGCAGCCTGGCTAATTGATCGACAAGGTCGTCGGCGATGATACCCCCGCTCAGGCCTACAGGTATCCCCTCAACTGCCAGAAACACACTTTTACAGAGTACAGTCGCTGAAGCGAGGCATTAAAATGCGAGCGGTTGCCTGTACTACAGGGCACGTGCACTAATTTTGGGCCTGCTCAAAAGTGTGTTCCGGATAGCAGTAAAGGGATAATATCTCCAAACTCCCTGTTTCCTTATCACATACGACTATAGACGAGTGGGACCTGGGTATCTCGTCCGCTCTGCCTTAATATAAGCACAAGATCCGCAGATTAGTAGTTAAGTAGGTGACCACCAGCGAAAACCTGCTGTTGGATAATTTCTTATTAAGACTTTTAGAAAAGTTTCTTTTAGAGAGACTTTGAAGGAGGTCTCTGTCCAGGTAAGTCTTCCCCCTTCAGATAGGTCTCCCTCCTCCCTCCCCTCCCAGGTAAGTCTGCTCTCTCCCCCCTCCGAGTGTTCCGAAAGTATATACAGTGTCATGAGTAGTAAAATGTCTATGTTTAACCTTGCGTTTGAAACATAGAAGGTCTAAGCTACGGAAGCTCTCCTACCTGCCATTGACATGTGCATTTTCTTTTTTAAATAAGTTTATAGCAGGCTTTGTCTGAACTTTGTCTGTACTTTACTACTACCAGGAATACATACAAGATACAAAAAAACTATAATTGTTGTCCGCATGAGAAACTCCGCAAGGCAGAGTGTTGCGTAGGTTGTTGCAGAGAGTACACGACATATATGTACGACCTCGTCCCCTCTCCCTTTATCTCTCTCTCACTCTATCCCTCTCTTTCTCAACTCGATATTCACCACGAAACCCGACTTCCTTACCAACAAACCAGGGTAACTGACTTGCTGAGAATACCTTTGCTCAACCCACTTGCTACTATCCCTTACTGAGCTCTCCAAAACGCAGGAACCCAGTACAATGGCTCCTGCACAGGTTGTCTCCTTCAATCCCTCAACTATTCCGGGCCTCGGATGTCCTCTTAGCTCGACTGATCTGGACATCTCCCGCTTCACGTGAGTCTAAAAGCTGCCATCCTTAACAACCTCTAGGCCTGTTGCTGACTTGCCGTCTCTGTCCCAGCTATAACGGCCTTGCTCGCGTTGAGGACGTACGCGATCTCAAGAGCACGCACCGTGAACATATCATTGCCTTGCTCGGCATCATTGACCGTCACTCCATGGGCAAAATCTTCGGCATCCACTCTGCCCATCGCCACGAAGAGATCCCCGTTGGCACCGTTCGCCTTGAGGAAGATATGAGCATTCGAGTACTCTCGCGGACCACTCCCGCTGCGATGGATGCCATCAATCCCGACACCTTACACGCTACGGTCTTCCAATTCATCAAAAACGCCTATGTTGGCTTCGAGTTTGCCAAGGGTGCTTCGCCCACTGCCGGAGCCAAAGTTTCTCCAGAGTTTCTCACCGAAATTGCCAAGTATCTCACCGACAACAAACTTAACAAACTCTTAGCCCTGGAGGTGAAGGACTATTCCAAGCTCGATGCAGGTGGCACAGCCGAGATTGAGGTCCTCTGGGGCAATACCAGCCCTTTCACCATAGTTGTGCCCATCTCCGACTTGGCTAATGTCGATGGCCTAGTCCAGACGGGCTGGAGCGTCCCTTTTGCTGGCTTGGCCACTGACTCTGACCCTCCAGCGGGCGAGTACTGGAATGCGGTTGCTTCGGGACCCCGAAAAGGCAGTCACGCAGTCTTTGTTGATAGTAGCGAGTCCGTGACCTCCGAGGGGTTGGTCAAGGCGCTCGTTGACCATGGTGTTTTCAAAGCCGGCTTGCTTTCCCCGATGCTGAAGGTTTGAAGGTTGAAGGTTTGTCTATGTCGGCACATAAGCACACATGTTCCCGTTCGAAGTCACACTCTGTCTTGAAAGTCTAGTACAGGAGCGCACTGGAGATAGTCAATAGTTATTAGGGGGAGTTAGCAAATGCGTATTTCATATGAACTGATTTTGCAGCTATACCTTTTTTGACAATTGCACAGAACTTGCATATGCTCTAGATTGATTTAAACAGTTAGCAGCTGAGTTTCTGCTCTTCTCTAGAGTTGAAAGTTTTAAGTTTAATATATATACACTTTTATACTAAGACGTACGTGATAAGAGCGGCCTTGACATAGTAAATGTCCACTTTCCATTGAGTCAGTTTTGCAAAGTACGTAGAAGTATATAGTTGAGAGTTCGTAACTTAACCTTTGAAAGTCAAAGCACAAGGGTCCTAACTACGTACTTCAGAGGTAGGGATCTCTTAGGTTTTCTGAAGATACGTCACTCCCTTGGTAAGATTTCCTAAGAAGGTAACTTTTCAGAAATGCGAACTCTTGAACTTTTTTGCTAACTCCCCCTATAATTATGCATTAATTTCACTTTATCATCTAGTGGTGAACCGAATACTTGATCAACTCCCCAGTCACGAGATGGATTCTCTGAATTGGAAGCCTAGGGAGTCATGGGATCCTCAAGGGGCTCAGCTCTACGAAGGATTTAAGTGGGTTTCCTTAGATATCATACCATCTACTATTATGTTGAATAAGCAAGGGCGTATTATGATAGCTGATTTAGGCGTGGTGGATATATTAGCGAGGAAATTCTATTATACAAAGTGATTAGGATGGATCCAGTGACAAGGATATATTCACTACGTCTTGTCTGTCTGGTATTAGCTCGAAATATTAGTACGATGACACCTTCTAGTAATGATTTAAAAAAAAAACAAGTTATGATCAAGCAACAAACAAGGCTTGAGCGAGTGGATAACACGACGAAAGGACCTGCTCGTGTATATTGCTATTGGAGGTTTGACTGTTTGGGAGGATCTGCTCTACACGGTCGGTTGAGGGGAACATCATCCCTTGATAGTATTCCAGGCTGGCAGGGTGCGTAAGAATACGCAGACCAAAGCGTCTACATTGAGAACATGTCTCTCATGCGTCCTTCCTTTCTTGATGTTGGGTTAGAATAGTTCACATGCTGCTCATGTCATGGACATGCGAGCAAGCACGTAGGGGTTTGATGTTAGCTATTGGACACGATCTGGCTGTGGAAACGAGCAGGGCGGTTACAAATATATTGGATTACGGAGTGAAGCATCGCGATGTATGACCACTGAAAGTGCTGAGAATCCCGGGATCAGAAATGTGGTGCTGGTGGATTTTGAGCGTAGTTGCCAGTTCTTCTCGAGATGTTGCCTAACTGGAAGTGGAAGCTCACGACCGTCTGATTTTATTTTCGCTTGGACGCCAGGTAACACCGCTCCTGCTGCAGCCAATGCCAGTCACATCATGCTTGGGTGACTCACGTATGTATATCAGGTATTTTTAGTAGGGGTCTACGCGACTAGTTCCTAACTGGACATCGATGCATAACACCATTCAATTTATTAACGCAGTATTGCGTTGGATATCACGCTGAGGCTTATTGGCGCGCTCCACAATTGGGCAGGGTGTATTGGATAGCTGTTCCTGAACTTTCTTCGAGAAGACGCGGGCACCAATAAAAGCAAGCCACATACCAAACAGGGCACATGAGAAGATACGGAGGTATATCACTGGTGTGCGAATTCTACAGAACAGGTGGGGAAAGATAAGGGATGGCCTTGTGCATATTGGCTTCGACGTTTGCCTGTGCCCATATGAAAGACTTTGGTGCTACCAATTCTTCCAAGTCTGAAGCCTTCAGACAGATGTCAACTCTGTATCAGTATCTACCTCAATTTGCCTCATCTTAATTTCTATCTCGGTGTGGCCTACACGTACCTGACATGTGTGTCATCCTCTCAACACCGTTCAAGTATAAAACCTGCACTCTCAAGGACCAGGACCCCCACATTTTCTACAGCCAGCGAGCGATCACGCAAGAGCTGCCCAATATGAGCCAGGAAGTCATTGACAAGTTGGACTGTCAGAGCACAAAAACCTTGACCCTCACCATGGGCGACCGCGTCTGTAACAACACTGTCGAGTGGAACGACGTGAGTTTTGGGTCGACGTCAAGGGGGGGTCGGTGCCCCGAGTGTGAGCGTCTGCGTATCTACGACGGTAAGTGATCGCCCTGATAAGAGTTTTTCCTTGGTCCTAAAGCCGTTATGATAATTATATGTGTCCTCTGAACTTTTCGTCCTATCACACTACACATCGAGTGGAGAGGCTAAGGGTTCATATATGAACAGATTCCGCTCAGCACCAAAATGCATTCTTTATGGAGTATGACACCTAGGAGAGGACCTGGAAGCCTGACCGTGGGCTACTGCGGTTGTTCTCCGCGGTTCGACCTTCCTTACCGTTAGTGCCAATGCGATTCTCGCCTCCGATGCTTTTTTTAAACTTTGTATAGGTTTCCGTGTGTCAGTTGGATATCAGGAGAAGGAATCGAGTCTCGAGCTTCTAGAAGCGAAATATATATACTTGATAGATGGCCACGAGGAGACGCGTGGGGATTATATCCCGAGATTAAACTACCATTTCTTGAGTCGTGGCTTAGTGCTAAACTGCTATTAGCCAAATAATATGTTGTTATATTCCCTTGTCTCTCTTCCAATTTCTACGTATTCTTCCTAATATGTTCGTATCCTACTCCAGGACGACCAAGCAGATATACAAAGATGTGATGATTTTGAGTCGACGGTAATGATTCTATATCTGTAGCTTTGGGCCAGAAAAGTGAATCCTGATTGCGAGAAACAAGCATCTTTGTCCCAGGCTTTAATATCAAATCCAATCAATATAGTATCCTCCTTACCAAAAGTGCCGGCCGACATCTTATATACTAATGTCCGCAGCTTTCTGATTTGTACTTCTGCTTCTACCTCTGTGCGCGCCGCTGCCAATGCTTTTTGTTGTTGATTTGTGAGCCTATCCGGATTTGGCATTCCAATTTTAGGATATAAACTAGAGTCGTCGGACTCACAGTGTTTGGTGAATATTAGAAGTGTTGATTGTCTAGTGGCAGCTATATTTGTATGATTGTTTGGGGGCGACGCTTGGATTTGTGAATTGCTAGGCTGATACATGACTGTGTTGCAGCCTACAGTGGCGCTAGATAGAGTCCCCAAAGTCAGGTTTTGGGGACTCCAGTTAGCGCCTTGGCATAAGCGCCTCACACTGTTTTCTAGTCTCACCACACACAGCTCAACGCGTCGCACATTCAAGTAACTTGTCTAACAAAATCAGCAAACTTAGTACAAGCGGATCTTACCCGTATTACCTCATCTAGTGGTGTCGGATTTCGCTTCATCTCAAGCTTAAGCCCAGGCTCTTACAGCATTTCGAATGTGACCCATGTTACCGCAAAGGTGAAGATGAGAGCCGTTGTAAGAGCAAGTCGGAGGCCGGGTAATGGCAACTTTGTGGAGGATAGTGATTGAATTTCTATTGATAATTATTTCATCTCAATCAGCTTGGTCGGGACATTGAGTATAGTAGGCTATACATACCCAGCTCTGCTAGTGCGTCGCGAGCTTTGTATCCCGGAAGTTCCCAACATTCCTTGATGATACATCTCAGCGGCAGCGCTACCATCGATAAGTCAGGAAACTCCCGGTCACGCAAATGCCGGTAGATGTCCCGGCTGCTCTGACCGTCGAAGAGCCGTTCCCCACGGTCGAGCTCGTAAAGGACTGTACCAAGGGCAAAAATATCATCCTCCGCCGTCGAATAGGGGTTCCCATTACGCTGCGGATTTGAATATCGCACACCGGCGCTGATAGTGGGGAGGATGCCTTCCATACCGGACCCGGCGAAGTCGCATAAGATCAGCCTGCCGTCGTCATGGACGAGAAAATTATGAAGCCCGATATCACCATGCACAACGCCCCGGGAATGTATGTAGTCGACCGCCGATACGGCCTGGTAGGGCCAGCTAACAAGCGCGTATCAGAGCCATTGCTCAGCATGGACTTGACAAGGAAAGAGGGGGAATATCACGAACCAGCGTCTCTCTGTCTCAGGAACGCAAATGGTATCTAGCTTACCAAAACAAGCCGACAGAGTTCCACGAGGGTGGTACTCTAACAAGAGGCCACTGCGCAACAGCTCGCATTCTGGAGGGCTTCTACCAAAATATTTGAGGATGTTGGGGTGTCCCTGGCCCCGGTTCTGCAGGTGCTCATATATCTTCCTCTCAGAGTCTTGGTCCTTGTCCAGCGGAGGGAAAGTTTTGACAACGACGTTTGTGCCCTTGATGTGGATGACTATGGATGATATTCCAGTGCCTATACCTTTCAAATCGTCCCTTTTGAGGGTGGCAAAGTCGAAGGGGAGGCCGTCCATAAAGTCCAAACGCGACCGGGGAGCACGAGATGCTTAGGTTTGGACGGTTGGGATTGAAAGAATTGCGAAATGCATCTAGGTCTACTTCTATAGATAGCACCAAACTGTGCCCGCGTCGAAGTGATGCTCGTGCTCGCGATGGGCAAGAGAGGACGTGGACGGTAGGAGACGCGCCGCTCCCGATTGTGTCGCATCCCAGCGCGAGTCTAACTACTTTAGGAATTATGCAGCACTAGTGCTATATCACATGACTCACCGCCTCTCTGGTGCCTGTTGCGTACCCCCTTCTTCCACTTTCACCAAGCGAGCTTCTGGGTTGGTCAGGATAAGTTTTTTGGATGTTCGGAGCAGGCAGAGGAGATGTCTGTCTTGAAGCTAATTACAGTACAGCACTCCGTCAGAAATTATTAGCCAAAGCCAACCAAATACAGTAGGCGAGAAAATCAAGACGAACCTCACCTCACAACTCTCCCTCACTTAAGGATAACTCAACAAGTACTAAGTGTACAAGGATAGAAATAATACTAAAAGAATTGTTGAGTCTATGGAACAAAATACGCTAGGAAGACACACTTCACATGGCCAAGCAAGACGCCACCACCACCAATTGCATCGTGGGACTTTCCTTGCCTATCCTCGTTTCATAGAAGCGGTCTAATTCTCACTGTTGTAGGTCACACGTTGCAAGCAAGATAAAAGTACTCCTTCTCTAGCTGCCATTGTGTTGTGTACAGTCTTGAAGCGAGAATTTACCTCGATCGATAGAAGAAGAAAAAGTGGTCAATGAAGAAGCAAGTTCTTTTTTCTATTTAATCTATCATTTTTGATGTTGTGTCGTGGGTAGTAAGCTTCCACAGCACTCAGGGAAGTGTTCGTGTTCATTCATCTCATCTCCCCAGTCTCATTCGTATCGTATCATCCATCCACTCTTTCAATCATAACCACAAGCATCTCCACGCCAACATCATCACCCTCCCCTCGCCCTGATCCAAGAATCTCACCCCCGCTAAACCTAAGGACTCAACCTCTTCGGCGTCCTGGGATAATCACACACCAAATGCACACTCGGCAAATTCAGATACCACGCAACCACCCGATCAAGACCAATCCCACCACCACCATGAGGCGGCACACCCACACTCCTAAACACATCGACATACTCCTTAATCCCCGGCTGATTCGGATCCAGACCCTTCGCTCTAATCGTCTTCTCCAACTCATGCGGCAAATGCAATCTCTGCCCACCACTCAGAATCTCCTGTCCACGCATCATGAAATCATACGCATTCGTCACAGCTGGGTTTTCGGGGTCGGGCATAGCATAGAACGGTCTGGCATCGATCGGGAATTTATCCAAGACGTAGAAATCAGTATTGAATTTCTTGCGGACGAGAGCGCCGAGGGCTTTTTCTTGCGGGGTGGACATATCTTCAGTGTCTGAGACGTTGACGAATTCAGGAGGACCCTCAGAGCGTAGGAGGGCTTGACCTTCGGCGAAGGTGAGGCGGACTTCTTTTCCTGGTTCGGGAAGAAGGAATTCTTCGGAGGGATAGACGGTGCGGATGAGTTCTATTTCTTCGCGGTAGGAGGTGCTGAGGCCTTTGAAGATGTAGAGGAGGACACCTTCGAGCATGTGGAGGACTTCGTGGTAGTGTTCTTCGATTTCCATTTCCAGATCGAGCCCGATGAACTGTGTTTGTTAGTACGAGTTCTACTCTTCACGTAAGTATGGGGACGGAAAAATAAGGGAGTTTACCTCAGTCATATGTCTAGGCGTATTGGAATTCTCTGCTCTGAAAACTGGTCCCACGCAATAAACTCGCTTTCTACCACCCGCAATCTCAAATTGCTTATAGAATTGAGGCGACTGAGCAAGGTATGCCTCCTTCTCAAAATATGGCATTCTGAAGACATTGGCTCCTCCCTCAGAAGCAGCACCAATGAGCGACGGAGGATGGAACTTCTTGAAACGATTCTGCTTGAGGTATTCACAGAAGAGATCTTCGACCGCGATACGGATATCAGCGATTGCTTGGCTGACTGGTGCGCGCTTGTGCATAGCTGGGTTGTTGAGATGGGTAGCCAAACTGGCAAGGGGTGTGCCTTCTGTGATGGTGAGACCTGAATTATGTTAGCAGCTCTCTCTCAACCTAATATATTTCCAAGCTCTGTGAAGGAAGAATGAGAACAGAGAACCGGAAATAAACCTACCCTCAACTTTCTCCTCAATAACCTCCTCCTCATCCAGCCTCCCCACAGCTCTACTCGCAGGCCCCAACCCCAAACCCAACATCTCCGGCGCCGCAGCCACCAAAAACACCTTCGTCAAATGCAACTCCAACCCACTAACCCTACAGCTCTTAACCGGCTCAAGCGGCTTCTGCACACTCGCCTCCACCACCACAAAACTCTCCAACTTCAACCCCCCAATCCACTTAACCATCTGCTTACTCACCACCCCCTCACTCCCACCTTCCTTACCCTCCTCTCCATCACCATCCTTCTTCTTCTCCTCCGCAGTAGCAGCCACAACCCCCTGCACCGTCCAGCTCCCCTCCTCCCTCAACTCCACAAACGCCATCTTCGCACCCTGCATCCTCGCATTCTGGATCCAGGCTCTGACCCTCACAGTCTTACCGACATCATCTTCCCCAAGGTCGCGGAGATGTACGATCGGGGAGGCGAGCTTAGTGGTGTGCGTGATGTGGCCGTAGTTGTCCTTTGCGTGGTCGATGGACGAGGCGGCTGATGTCGCTGCGGCGAGGGCTTCGCGCTCGGCGGCCTTGCGTGCTTTTTCCGCTTCTTTTTTGGCTTTGGCTTCGGCTTTTTTGGCGCCTTTTTTGGAGGGTTCGGCGCCTTCTGCTGGGGGAGGTGGAGGTGCTGCTGCTGAGGTTGAAGTGGTGATGGTGGGGTCGGTGGGCGCTGAGGTGTCTTTGGGTTGGTCGGCCATGTTGGCGGAGGGCAGCAGTTGTCTTTGAGGTCAATTGGTTGCGGAAAGGTTTGTAACTTCTCTTGGGGCGAAGTGAATCGAGGTGTTGTGAGAACACAGCTTCTTGTATTGAGCTGTTGACAATGGATCGCGAGGTGAGGTTGGGTGGAGTCACTTCAGAGTCAAACGGCGAGAGAAGTGCGCTAGCAACCCTAGTTTTTGCTAAGCGAATCTCAGCCTCGTTTTACCCCTCGCACGAGGCTGAGGATACCTTGGAGGTGGTACGGGTGGTTGGGATCATGGTTAGGACTGAGTATGATACGGGACGTTGCGTGTTAAGGTATTGAGAACCAGTCGACTGATAGGGATGCCGTTGTATTTTCATCTCTTGGATATTACCTTGCCTGGTATTATGCACGAGGCTTTTTTGAATAAACATCATGCGACATCGTCAGTACTCAGCACTTCACATTGCCTGGATCTCACCTCACATCAATCACCTCGATCTGTACACCAAAAAAGCCAATCTCATCATACAACGCCATTAATTATTAACCACCCATCTACTACCTACTTTACAAGAGCCTTCCAAATATGTTCGTCCGATCGATCAAAGATCGCATCAACGTTCTCACTTCCACTCTGCATCGTTCCAGCGCCTCATTGCAACCAGACCAAAACCACGCATCCACCCGTTCATTCAAAACCAATCGCAAAGAACAACAAAGGACGGAACAGACCGACGTAACGCCACCCATATTCGATGTACCCTTAACCTCGCCATGCAAGAAACGAAGAATATCAAAAAGTAAGTAAGTGAGGTTCGAAGAAGTAAGATGAGGGAAGGCGGATAAGGAAGAAATCTGATGGTAAGACGCATACATCCAAGGCCGTTAGAATAAGTGAAGTACGTAAGAGAACAACCTCTGTTTCTCATTTTTCCCCATCCATTCTATCCAGTGCTCAAAAGCAAGGAAAGCTTTTTCCGTAGAAGTGAGAAAGAATTACCAATTAGTATTCCTGCACAATGGCAGGTTTCTTCTCAACACATGTGAAGAGATTGATGTGCGTGTCGCTCTTTGCTGCGCATGCAAGCATCATGCGATGAGGATGGAAGGATGTGGCGGATATAGGTGTGACGCCGCGGAGGAAGCTGGAGTAGGGTTCAACACGTGAGAGTTGTGTGCCTTCAAAGTTGAAGACTTTAACGGTGTGGTTCGTTGTTCCGCTGGGCATTGTTAGCTTGGCGCGAAACAAATTTGCAGGGGCCAGATGAGAGGGGTGAGAGACTTACACAGAGAACACAGGCAGATGTTCATGGATGCTTGCCGTGCGGAGACCATCATTTGTAGTCTTAATTGTGCGAAGACACTTATCCATGCGAATATCCCAAAGCTTGACCTTGCCATTGATGCTAGCGGAAACGAGCTCTCGCTGACCACCTCGCTGCATGTGCACAGCTTTGATCCAGACACCATTATTCTCATCTTTCCATTTCTTGACCATGGCTTCTTGAGGTCTATTCCGTGCGTCAAAAACACGGATTGCACCGTCTCCGAAACCAGCGACGAAAGTATTGCCAGTCATTTGGTCAGACGTGAGTGATGTAACGCAGGAGCCGGAACGGGCATTGATGTCAACGACACAGAGTTCTGGGGCTGCAGCCCAGACGCGGATGACCTTGACGTCTCCTGCCACAAGGAGCTTACCGGAGACTTGTTGCCAGTCGAATACCGTTCCTGCATTCACATTGCTCGGAACAAGATGAGTTAAGGCTCGCCATGCTGAAGCGACCTCAATCTTCTTTTCAGAATCATAGTTTCTATAGATTCGGATCACACCATCGTCGGCGCCAGTCAGTAGGAATGCTTGGTCATCTTCGTTGATGAACTGAAGGCCTGTAATTTTAGAACGCTCAGGATTGCCGTTTGAGAATCTGTTGAGTCTACCAGACTTCTTCCAATCCCAGATGCTGATGATGTCTCGATCATCTGAAACGGCTAGATGGTCCTCAAATTGATGAAATGCCATTTTTGAAGGCTGACTTTGGTTGTTGAAGAATCCTGCAGGCGTGGTCCACTTTCCACTTCCAGCAATCTCCTTCTGTGGCTGAGTTTCGCGCAGAATAGCTTCATTGCGCGATCTCCTCCATAAGCGCTCATTGTAGTCAGTGCTACCAGGCTCCTCTGCCTCATTTGGCTTCATCTGAGGTTCTCGGAAGTATTCGATTGACCACTCGAAAAAGGTACTTTCTAAAGGTATCATGGGAGGAGTGGAGATATCGCGTGGATGATAGTCGCCAGACATCGGCTCCTTCGCTGCGTGGTAGACTCCGGGTGTTGGAGGAGGGTCGTTCTGTTCAGCAGCAGGGTTAAATTCAGCCGGTAGCCTGGACCGAGGATTGGTGGGGCCCCGTAGACTTGGAGACTTGAGAGGGTGTCGACTGCTTACACTATCCGAGGGCGAGTTGTCGGAACTGGATCCACCAAATGGTAATGTAAACAAATAACTGGCCGTTCGTTTCAACAGTCCAGGGGTAGGTGGCGCAACATTGTTCACCTCCTGTCCCATAGGTGTATTAGGGCGAACATCTGTCGTTTGTTTTGACTGTTTAGTTGCTGATGCTGCTGCTCGTGCATCAATCCTCTGCATATCTTCTTGCATCTGTAGGACGCGCTCAGCTAGTGGAGACTGCAGCAGGGCAGACAGTATGTAGTCCATGATGATTTTGGCATTTCGCCCGACCTCAGGATGAGGATCTACCGACATGATGATAATATGCTTCCAGACAGCGGCAAATATCGAGTTGTGAGCCACGCCATGAGCGGTGGCCTTGATAGCGCCGGTTCCATCCCGATTGGCTGGTCTCGCGTAATGTAGTCCCATCTTGTGCTCCCTGCCATCATTTGCAGGTGGGAATAGGCGGTATTCTTTCTCTTCCATCATGTACTCATAAGCAGCAACGAGGAACTTGTTTTCGTAGCGGTGGATGAACTTCGAGAAGTATACCAAGAGCTCCTTGCGTACCATCGCATTTCCATCGTTGGTCATTTCCATGACGGTCCATGAGATATTCTCCTCAATCCGTGCCACTTCGTCAGTGAGATCTGTGATGCCCAGGAATGTGGTCATGGCGTAAAGCATTGCAGCTCTAACCTCACAACACACGTCTCGGACCAAGAAAGCCAGCTTAGATGGCGCGTTCTCGCGAATACCCCTCCACTTCGCGTCTGGAAGATCTTTCCACAGCTGACTGATGCAAAGACATGCCCATTGGCGTAGAAGAGGGTTATCACCATTCTGGAGGTGGATCAAACAGTAACTCATAATCTCTGACTGGTTGCAGACAGTCTGGCCTTGCTTATAGCCATCACATAGTCTTGCTAGGATGAAAGCACACATAGCTTTATGCTCAAGACTGTCAACCACAGGAAGTCCTTCTGTCGGCTTCAGAATTGCCGCAAAATACATGTAACCACTGTCTCTGTAAAATTGTTAGCAATTCTCTTCGTTCCTCAGTTCCAAAAGCGGGTGCAGCTTACTTCAGGAGATCGGTTTGGCAGGTAATATCAACAGCCAAAACTCTAGTCCAAATGAACACCATTACCGGCTTCAGCTCATTCGCAGCAGACTGTAACAGCTTCAAAACATATGGGAAGATTCCAATGCTCAGAGCCAAGTTCACTGCCCAAGGACCCATATCCAAGAACTTGCCCAGGAGGATCAATGCCCGAACACGGTGCTGTTGACTTAGCAGAACTTGCAGAACAACTGGAAGCTGGTCTGGAGCCTTGTGTGTCACAGCTCCTTGCGTCAGGTAGACTTCAAACGCAGTCAGCTGCTCAGTGAAGAAACTCGAATTCTGGAACTCGTAGTCTGGTCTGATTCCGTTCTCCTTGTCTTCCAACATGGGCAATTGGGAGAGAGCCATTTCTACAGCCAGATCCCAGCTCTCCCATAAGGGATGTTGGTGGGTATCTGGAAGCTCGGGATACGATTGAGGATGGCAGTTGTAGGCAGCCATGATTCGCTGCGACAAAAGGAAGTTTCTGAATAGAGCTGCGACCATCAGGTCCTGTCTGAAGAACTTTCGAAAGAGAGGACGAGGCAGAGTAGTCCAGGCAATCGTGTCGGTGATGGCAGTAAAGATCCAATTGAGCTCTCCAAGCGGTGTTCGTCTTTCCTGTAATCTTCCTGGAAGCTTCTTGGCTCTCTCGGGTGTGATTTGAGATGGAAGTGGGTTTTGAAGGACGAAGAACCATAGTGCCATCTCAATGGGTGTAGTAAGACAGCATGAGAAGACATCTGCTGGTAGTAAGGGGTTGGTAGGGAGGTTCTCCTTCACACCACAGGCTGCTAGGTGGATGTATGGCTCGAAAGCTTGGGTGATGTAATTGGGATCCTTGGCAAGGTTATCAGCTTCCTCCTGCTTGTGCTTTTCAACAAAGCGGTGGAAGTTGTTGAGAATGTTGCCAGCGTCTGAACAGTCCCAGACATAGAATGTAGGAGCCTGTAGCCAGGTTTGAAGGTCGTACAGGGAAACTGGGATGTACTGTGTGTAGTTCTTGTTGAAGACCCAGATTTCTCCAGATGCAGTTGGCTTTGGGACACCATGACCGTTGTAATGAAATAGTACCCTCTCCTCCTTAGCATTTCTTCTTAGAGACTGCGTGAACTTCTTCGTCTCTTCCACAGATGGGTCAAGGTACTGCTTGTACCGTGTACGAATTGCAAGTGTCTCGTACTGGGCTTGCAAGGCTTTTCCGATGATCTCTAGTGCCTTTGCAACAGGAGGGGTCGTGGGATCTTGCCATGCTTCCATTTTCGCACCTGGGTTTGTCTTGAGCTGGTCGGGAGGTTCAACTCCAATGTTCAGACATATTGCCAACGCAGCAGAGACAGTCTTCAAACGATCTTTCATTCTCCAATCTTGGAGTTCGTAACTTTGAGACTTGGGCTTGGGATTACCATTTGTCTCGTGGCGTTTGTCTGTAAAGTACATGTACCAATTCTGTAAGTCACTGTCAGCATCCAAATCTGGCGGTACCCATTTTGACAAGAGCTTGTGAAGTCTCCAATGGTTGCGATTCTTCTCGTAGCGGAGTCTTTGATTCTCGACGATGGAACTCCGACGCCTCCATTGCTTGAGGTCCCTCTTCCGACTGGATTTGACCTCCCTAGGAATAGCCAAAGGAATCGTGAAGACCGTGGTCAGTATTCCTGTACCGCCTTCTGTTGACTCCTCTGTCATGCTACGTCCCCCATGGTCGGTCTCCCAACTCCAATTCTCGAGATCTTCCATTTTGAAAACCGTAGACAAACAAGATGCAGAGATGGGCAGTCCAGATGAAGTAAATCAAATGAAAGGCTGTCAAAGCGAAATGCAAGACCAGGTTATATGATAATAGATAAGGTTGGACATAAATGGAAAGAGCAACCCACATTAGCCAACTGAGAAACATATTCCTCGGACGCATAGTGATCCTCAAAACCATGCCTCGCACCCCAATCATGTATGTCCTCGTCCGCCGAATCCTGTTCTTCGCCCCGAGGTCCAAAGTCGCTCTTTGCTCTCTGCAACAAAGGTTTAGGTCTCCGTCTCACGATGTCCGTCTCCGAGTCCTCTTGGGAAGATTCCGTAGCTCCATTCGGCGCAGAGTTCGGTCGTGCTTGGAGAGACCCTCTCCTCTGTCGCGCAAGCTCATTGGCATTCGATGTACCTGTACTAGGTGTGGCAGACTGTCTGCGATCGTTGTCGTCTGGTGGATGCCCATTACCATTGACAGGCTCGTTGCTAATTGCTGGCCGGTGGCCCATCAGAGGGGAGTTGCCGTTCTGGATAGGCGGTTCTTGTCGCAAGAGCTGGGCTTGTCCAGCGGACGTGTAGCTCTGTGGTCGCGGAGACATGTTAGAAGGGTGAGGAGATTGTCGCGGATTGTACTGTTGCGCCCCATGCTGCTGCTGTTGTAGTCCGACAGCTGTCATGGTCAAGACCGCAGCTCCCTCCTCAAGGGCTGGAGCTCTTCATGTGGTTGTCGTTTGGATTCGGGGAGAGGTTTCACCGGCGGCAGTTATCGGTGGCTGTCCTGATACTGTAGGACTTGAAGTTAGATCGCGGAGACGGGTCTCAGTTGTGGTAGGTTTCGGTGACGAAAAGGTGAGCGGTCAACTCGACAATCACCAGATGCTAGGCACGCAAGGCAAGGCAAGGCAAGGTGAGCGGGCCGAGGATTTAGATCACAACGCAGCCCCAGATACCGGTACCTTATCCCTCGCTGGCACCGATCGCTTGCAAATATCTGTTCGGTTCCAGTCTACTCTGGCTACCGGTCGCACTGGCGGTGGTCGTGTATGCAGAGCGATTGAGATTGAGCACAACAGAAGCTCCTCTTCCCTCAAGGCTCACTTCGTCATGTACCTAGACCGCCCCAGATTTCCGCCGAGATCACGAGACAAGCAGGGCAGGACAGGCTGCCGACGGATGAGGCTCTCGCTTGGCTTCCATTGTTCAGTCCCAGCGCCCTGTCAGGGCGGCAATGCGGCCGCCGCGGACGCCCCCCACGACTGACTCGGTATCGGCATCACTGACTTGAGTCTTTTCCAATTGAGAAACAGCCCAGAATGTGTTTGTTTTCAAGCAACGGAACCATGACACTATCTAAATGACGTCGCTGCGATGTTGTGTTGGTCGAAATAGATCAGACCATTGGTGCATGACCATTTTGAGCTCTTTCCAACTTTCGGAGCTGAGCCCTGTCAGTCCTGTCAGAGGCCCAGGCAAGCACCGTAGGATTTTCTAGCCGCCGAGGCAGTCTCTGATGCAAGATGGTCAAAAACAACGCCAATCAGGAGAACTTTCATGTACAAAACAACTCTCAGCACCCGAAAGTCCTATACTTGGTATATTGACATTCCGTCAGCTGATTGCTGCTCTGTTTTGACCTGCAGATTAATTGTTTACCTTGGACGCACGTTATTACCGCGTCCTTGCAGCGATCATGGATCTCATTCATTAACGCATTGTAAAGGCATTGCGGAGGCTATTTCGCGAGCCGATCATTATTGAAGCTTAATAGGAGCTTTATGCCTTACTTCGTTATGCTCCTGATGCTAACAAAGACGGGTCGGATCACGTTTTGTTTGATCAAAGCAAACCTGATCTTTCTGTCCTCAATTCAGCATGTCGGACATTGAAGAGGCCAGCCGTCAAAATAAAAATAAAAGCTCGCCTCCCCCAAGCGCCATGCACCTCCTTATCGATAACTCTAACAGCCCCCTATCTATTAACGAAGTGACATGTCAGCCCGGATAAAGGGGACATCTCTGGAAGCCAACCCTCCAGATGGGACTTGCATGTAATAAAGGAAGATGATGCTTGAAACCTAAGCGGTATGCACAGCGAATCCGGGAGGATCTTCGCCTTGCGTTGGCCTGCAGTAATGGCCATGGACTTCTGCAATGACTGATGCCATTGCTTGGGGGTTGTTCCTCTTCTCCTTTTCTGGTGTGAATTGGGTGAGTACATAAGTATGTGCCTATCCGAGCAACTTTACAATGCAGTGATCCGGTAGGTGCGATACCCGGTGCCCAAAATCATGGCCTGCCTTTGTGGACCTCGCGGCCCCATTCGTTCTAGAAGAAATATGCCAGGTACCCGAAGGCAAAGCAAGCAAGCAAGCAAGCAAGCAAGCAGGGCCGTGGCAGAGCAGAGCATTGAAGATACTGTACCCGCAGATTGATTGCATCACTACAGTAAAGAAGACCAAAAAGAAAAAGTAAATAACAACTCCAATAGTTCATCTAAAATAATAATGTCATGTGCGGCACACTCAGTCTGACTCGCAATTTGAAAACGCTCTCCAAACCAGACTTCGAGACTTCTTTGCTATGCGGAAACTGGACAGGACAAGCTTAAGTTTAAACGTACCTATCCTCTTTTGTTCTGGTCTTTGCTCCAGCTCGCACTGTGCTTGGATGAAACATTTGTGGTGATCGCACTATCCCCGACGCGGGCAACGGGCGGTGGCTATCCTGCTCAGGGGTACATATCGTTCCGCCCGTAGTGCTGGTGCTGGTGCTGGTGCTGGTGCTGGTGCTGGTGCTGGTGCTGGTGCTGCACAAGAGAGCGGAGGGGATGGGATGGGAGAAGCTTGAACAATCGGAAAGTTTGGAAAGTGAGGAGAAAATGTTTTGTAAGAATAGGTAGAAAGTATCTTTTGTTTTAGTGCACAGTTGTAAGCTCTGGACCCTTCTTCCCCATGAGGGTGTTCTTTTTTTTTATCGTGTGCACTGTGAATTTATCTCATCCCATCTCATCTCATCTCCCCCTTTGTCCACTTCCCTCCACCACTTCGCCGAGTGTTTGGGTTCGGGCATCCTTCAGATCTGTGCATCACTGCCGAAGCGAGCCAACGAACCCCCAAAAAGGGACGGGGCAGCATCTGACTTGACCTGACTGGTTCACGGGAATGGATTTGACTCGTTAGGAGACGAAGGAGTAAATTTACAGTACCTGGCGAGCCTGGTAAGGTAAGGAGAGGAAAGGATTCATCCTGGACAGTGGACACAGAGGACCTGCCTGGCCTGAACTGCACTGCACTGCACTGCACTGCACTGAACCGAACTGCAGCATTACAGCTGCCCCGATTCTTTTTCCACTTCACATCTCCGATAACCAGGCACGGCGCATCCCATCAACAAAATACCACCTTAATACTTATACCTCCCTACTGCCGAGCAGCCAGCCATCCGTAGCAGCATTACGTCCTGAAGGTCGATCGCGCACTCTCTCCTTTTCACTGTACTGGTACTTGTTCGTTTGGTCGACTGCTGTTCTCTGCTGCTGCTGCTGCTTCTTCAACCTCGCTTTCTTGGTTTTTGCCCGTGCGACAATCAGCAACTGCGACCGCCTTGCATCAATCCGCGGCTCCTCCTCAAAATTCCCCAGCCCAAACCCAGCCATTTATTTCCCAATACCACGCACGACTCACCCACGAGCCCCATACCTCCTATAATCCAGTGGCCGGGCTCAAATATTTCCTCCCGATCCACGACGCCGACAGGAGAAACGTCGCTGCGAGCGAATCGATCCCATCCATCCCTCGATCGGACGACGCTGCACCTCCAACTCCAACTGCACCGCATCGCACTTCCAACAATCGAGCTGCATCACCGGTTCCCTCTTGACAGAGGGCCTAGTCCTGGACGCCTTGGATTAACACAGAAAACACACACATCCCCTCTTGAGGCGCCACGATGGCATTCTCGCTCTTCAAGAGTAGGAAGAACGCGGACAAGGCCCAATCAGCAAAAGATGGAAATGCCGCCGTCGCAGGCTCCCAGGTCTCCGTAAACTCCTCGAACAACGGAGCTGGAGCTGGAGCCCGAGGGAATAACAATGAGAAGGGCGCCGTGCAGGCTTCGACCCCCGGGTCGAGCGTCAATAATTCCATGAACTCATTGCAAGGAGGTGCGACGCCGAGCCCAGAGCAAGCTGCGAATGGTCGCAGAGGAGGACCTAGCATGGAACAGCCAGCTTCAGACCTTCCTGTGAGTTCTTCTTGATTGTGTTCCCAGGAGGGATGGCAATGTATATTTGCGCGCTGGCTGGCTGGAATGCTACTGGGATTTTGGGAAGGAATGATTGAATGCTAACCCCTGGGAAATAGTTACGGAATGGTTCTGCGCCCGCGGTACAATCTTCGATGAATTCAAATCCTAATGCCTCTCTATACCCCTGGTCGCAGCGGCGGCTCACATACACAACTTCACATCCAAGTCCATTCCCCAGATATGGCGCGGCGGTCAATTCGGTGGCTTCGAAAGAGGGCGATATCTACCTCATGGGCGGTCTCATCAACAGCTCGACGGTCAAGGGGGATCTATGGATGGTTGAGGCAGGGGGAAATATGGCTTGTTACCCCTTGGCTACGACTGCTGAAGGCCCAGGACCAAGAGTTGGGCATGCCAGTTTGCTGGTTGGGAATGCGTTTATTGTTTACGGAGGAGATACCAAGATGGACGATTCCGATGTGCTGGACGAGACTTTGTACCTCCTTAATACCTGTAGGTGATATACTCTGGGAATCTTGGACTCAGCTAATTTAAATAGCAACACGGCAATGGTCAAGAGCAGTACCAGCTGGACCTCGACCCTCTGGAAGATATGGGCATTCCCTGAACATTTTAGGGTCAAAGATTTATGTTTTTGGTGGTCAGGTGGAGGGATACTTCATGAATGACCTGGTTGCTTTTGATTTGAACCAATTACAGGTACCTACGAACAGATGGGAAATGCTCATTCGGAATAGCGAAGAGGGTGGACCACCCCCTGGACAAATACCTCCGGCCAGAACGAATCATTCGATTGTCACATACAACGAGAAGTTATATTTGTAAGTATCGCATGCTGAGAGGGAAATCTCTTACTGACTGGCACAGATTTGGAGGAACAAATGGCTTCCAATGGTTTAATGATGTATGGTGCTATGATCCAATACCAAACACTTGGGTGGCACTAGACTGTATCGGTTACATACCCGCCCCTCGAGAAGGTCACGCAGCTGCGATTGTCGACGATGTAATGTATATCTTTGGAGGACGAACGGAAGAGGGAGCAGATCTTGGCGATTTGGCAGCCTTTAGGATATCCTCGAGGAGATGGTACACATTTCAAAATATGGGACCGTCTCCCTCTCCCAGGTCCGGACACAGCATGACAGCGTACAACAAGCAGGTTGTAGTTTTAGCCGGTGAACCGAGTACCGCGACGAGAGAAGCTGGGGATTTGGGCATTGTTTACCTTCTGGATACGAGCAAGATTCGCTACCCGAATGACCAAGCTGCTCAGCCAGCTCCGGTAGCAGACCGAATTTCTGGACAACGGAGACCGAGTGCAACGGATAAGACTGGAATGGGTGCAAGTAGAGGCTTAAGTTCTCGGGATGGCTCTACTATCCCGGAGTCGAAGAGATTGAATGGAGCCTCTAGAGAGCAAGGATTTGGTCGAGGGAACGGTGCGCCTGGTGTGAATGGTAATGATATGAATGGGGTTGCTCCAGGATCAGCGCAGCCGCAAGGAGCTCCATTAGGACCACCTCCTCAGGGACCTCCTCCGAACGCAGCTCAGCAGAACGGTCCACCAGGAGGATCGAAGCTTCCAAGAGCGTCAATGGCACAATCGCCGCCAGGTCCACCACCACAGCAGCAAGCTCCAACACCTAGAGCGAACGCTACTAATGCACAAATCGGACCGCCTGGGCAAAATGGAGCTCCTACAGGGCGTGGCAAGCCTCAAGGGAAACCCGAGCGTGGATTTGGACCTGCGATTGACACCTCTGTACAAAATCGGTCAGTGGACAATATTGTTCAGATGTCATCGCCTCAAAGTGGACGGAATATGTCACCTGCTCCGAGAGAATCTCCACAGACTCGAGAAAGCCCAGTTATGAATGGACGTCGAACACCTACACAAGCGCAGACATCGAAACCTACAACCTCGGAAAATGGTCCTCCGGTGAGCATGAATGCAGCCGTTGCAAGTGCCAGTAGATCCTCCTCCAAGACAAGACAAGGCCGCCAACAAGGCTCAATAGACAGTACTAGCGAGCAGTCTTCGTTACGGAATGTCACCAACGCTCGACAAACGTCTCCTCCGCCTCCGTCTCGCCAGACAAGTAATCCGCTAGTTAGAAAGGGCTCTGCACGAAATTCGCAAACTGTGGCTATTCTCAAAGAACTTGATGCAGCCAAGAACCGAAATGCTTGGTATGCTTCGGAGCTCGAGCTGGCACGGAAGGCTGGATACACGCCAAATCCATCGAGTAGTCCTATTCTTGACCAGAGAGCGGCAGAATCGTTCGACGATGATGACAAGCCACTAATTGAAGCTCTGATTGCGATGAAGAATGAACTTGCGAATGTCCAAGGATCGATAGACAAGCAAGCTGTTCTCGCAGCAAAGAAGATTGCTGAGGTCGAGAAACAACGAGATGCAGCTGTGAGCGAAGCAGTCTATGCGAAAGCAAAACTCGCGGCGTATAGTGGAAGCCAGAATAGCACGCCACAGCCATATGCCGATGCTCGAGATTTAAGCTCCATGTCCAATGATCGATCGGCGGATATTAGTCGCAAGCTTGCAACTGCCTTGGCCGAGCAACGAGATCTGAAGAACAAAGTCGAGATGCTAACCACGGAACTTGAAGCTGAGAGACGTGGACGACAGCTGGCAGAAGACACTACGAATGCTGCACAGGGTAGGTTATCCGAGCTGGAGGCTTACAAGCAGAGAAACTCGTCGGAAGTCGAGCACCTGAAAGCAGAACTACACGAGTTCCAGATCAGAGCGAGAGAAGAGGCGGTTGTCTGTGCTGAAGCAGTTGCCGCCGCGCAATTACTCAAAGCAGACAAGGAGGAACTGGAGGCTAGACACAGAGAGGTCGTTGGTTCGACCAAGGATAACAGCGACAGTTTCGAGTCACTAAGATCAGCACTCGCTTCTTCTGCGGACATGAGAAGCGTCTTGGAGCGAAAGCTAGAGGAAGAGCGTGCAGTCCGGGAGAAGGTTGAGGCCAAGCTGATTAGTCTTAAGGCCGAACATGAGGCGAGGACAACCGAACTCGAAACAGCTACCCGACGCCTGAGAGATGCCGAAGAACTTGCTGAACAACATGCGAACGAGGCCCGAACTCATCGCCAGGCTGTGATGTCAGGTCTCGATCGTGTTGTGGCTCGAGATGTCGGTGGAAAGTCTGCACCAAGCGAAGACAGAGCTGTTGCCCTCCAAGCACAGGTTCAAGCGGCAAATGCGCTGGTTCGAAAGTACCAGCAAGCAGCAGATACAGCCTCCGAGAAGCTTCGAAGCGCTGAAGAGCGTATCGCTGGTCTGGAAGCTTATCAAGAACAAGCCAGTCGAGAGGGCATGTCTATCAGAAAGCAACTTCAGGCTACTATGCGCGAGGTGCAAACCCTTCAAGCCAGCAACTCTGACATGAAATACCAACTCGCAAACCAGCAACTGGAGACCAATGCGGTTCATGTTCAGCACAATACCCTGAAGGATATCCTTGGTGAGCGAGGTATAAGTCCTGTCAGTGCTGTTCGGACTCGCGGTTTGTCTAGTCCTCAGTCTGGGTCTAATACTCCTGATATTTCACGCCTTCGCGAGTTGGAACATCAACTTGCGACAAGTGTTCAGGCACACGAAGAGACCAAGCAGACGTTTGAGGCACAGCAACAGGAAAGCGAGAACACTTACCGTGAGAAGCTGTCTCAGCTGGAGAACGACTATCAATCTGCAGTTCACTACGTGAAGGGTACTGAGAAGATGCTCAAGCGTATGAAGGATGAGCTATCGAAATACAAGGCTGATAACACCCGACTGAAGGAGCAGCTTCTTGAGGCGGATGATAAGAACGGTGCATCTCGTGATGCATCGAGTGGATGGGAAGAGGAACGTGCTTCGCTCAACAAGCAAATCGAAGCCCTGCAAGCTGAGATCCAGTCTTCGGCTAGTACTTTGGAGCGTCAAATAGCTGAAGTGAGGAAGCAGTTGGCAGCATCTCAACAAGAGCGCGACCAGCTGAAGGAGAGTCACGAACAATCGCAACGTCAATTAACAACTGCTACTCAGCAAGCTAGATCCGACCTAGCACAATTACAGCAAGAGAATACCTTGCTGGAGCGACGTGCTCAAGATGCCGAGCAAAAGGTCTCGTTACTTCTTGACCAGGTCGAATCATCAGTTGACAACTACCGTCGACAATCTCGACAAGTGGAATCGAATGGTGCCGTGACCACTTCCCATCACCGAACTCTCTCCGCCGACTCCGTCTCCGAAACCTCCCTCTACGACGGCGCCAACCGCAACTCCATGGCTCTCGACAGCCTCGCCAACGAGCTCGAAACCCTACGCTCCCACTGGGAAAACACCAACAAGAACTACCGCCTCAGCAACGCCTTTGATTTCGAGGAACGCAACACCGCGCGCGGCCCTAATGAAGGACTCGGCGCCTCGAACGTCGGAGATGGTCTGAGTGGTAGTCTGAGCGAGTGGCGGAAGAGACTCGATGCCGAGGAGGAGGCGAGTAGGAGTCGGAAGGGGAGCGAGACGCTTTCGCCGACGGGGAGTACGGGCTTGGGCTTGGGGGCGGGGAAGAGGGAGATGAGTCCGAGTGGGAAGGAGGTTGGGGCTGGTGTTGGGGGAGCGAATAAGAGTCAGGTTAATCTGATATGAGACCTTTCGTCTCTCGCCGACATACTGGACCTCATGAAGACTTCGCGCTGCTGAGGGGAGAAAAAATCGACTTCTGTACTCGATGAAGGAGGTACAAGTGGGCAAATGGCACGTGTAGTAATGCAAAAGCGCTGCGATTCGCTTGGATGATTGGAGCATGCATGCATGCATGGAAACAGGATGGGCATAATTTTTGACCTGAGACCTGATATTGAAGAAACGCGTGATGGGGGTGTACCTTTGTTGTTGTTGTTGTTGTAATTTTTTTTGTGTCCGTTCTGCACGGATCGGGTCCATAGGATTTATGGCGGCGTTTTTTTTTTTTTTTTTTTGATCTCGTGTTCTGCTCTGGATCCGATGGTTGAAATTCTTCTTCTTCTTGTTGTTGTTGTTGTTGTTGCTTTTTCGCTTCTTACCTCTTGAGTTACTGTCCCCGTGCTCTCTCTCTCTGTCTCTCTCTGCGTAATGAGGGGAAGGGATGAAAGGGATGGGATGGGAATATACACTTTTTTTGTTGGCTCGGTTTTTTATTTTGTGGTTTATGAGTATGTGTCTGTGTTCGTGTGTGTGTGTGTGATATTTTGATTCGATTCTCTCTGTTCGTGTTGGTGCTTGTGTTGGATGGATGGATGGATGGTAGTTTTTCCTATTTTTTTGGTGGTGGGATGAAGGAGGAAATGAAGCAAGAGAGGCTGATACAAATAACGGATTATGAAAGGGTTTTATGATCTGTTGCTTTTGAAGGGTTGGTTTGGTTCGTGTGTGTGTGTGTGTGTGTATTTGACTCTATGAGAGGAGGGGAGGGGAGATGCATGCATGTCAGGGTTGGAGAGGAGGCGAGGGGACATGTGGTGTGTGGTGGGGATGGCTGGAGGAGACAAGAGGCAGAGGGAGAGAAATAAGGGAGAGGAAGAGATAATGTACAATACTAGACTACTATACTACTACTGTCTGTGGTATGTGGTCTGTGGTATGTGGTCTGTGGTATGTGGGGTTAAGGAATGAATGAATAAATGGATGGATGAACACCCGTTAATCTACTCATCGATTGTGCTGCTTACCTACGTGCTTGTTTGATTCTTTACTTACTTGCTTGCTTGCTGGAAATGAGTAGTAAGTGTGTGCTGGGTGAGATTTTAACCTGGTGGGAGAAGAGTGAGTGAGTGATGGTAGCTGGTAGATGGTAGTCGAATGGTGGATGGTTGATGGTTGATGGTAGTTGAATGGTGGATAGTGGATGGTTGACTAGTTGATCTATGGATAGGGTAGGAGAGGATAGGATAAGGTGCGAAATGGGGAGAGGTCAAGAAGTCGAGGTAGGAGAGGAACCTTGTGTTTAGATGGAGGAGAGGGGGGAGGAAGGGAGAGGAAGGGGGAGAGGAAGGAGGCGGAGAAGGAGGGGGGAGAGGTTGAGGAAATGAATATTTGGATAAAAGAATGAATGATAGGGGGTTTGGGGAGTTTTATTTGATTGAACCTCGCGTTGGGGTCTCGTGATGGATTTTCTTATTCGGATTTTGAATGAGTGATTGAGTGATAGACTGTGTGTGTGTGTGTGGAAGAATAACATGAGAGGGAGGAGAGGGCGGTGAGGAGAGGCTATCGGGGAGCGAGTGGGCGAGTTGAGCGGAGATAGCTGGCTGCTTTGGGGGGATAGTTGGTTGAAGGAATAAATGAATAAATGAATCAATGAGCTTTCGCGGATATCTTTTGTGTTTGAATTCATGAGCATATTCGCACTCTGGTCTTCATACCTGTTAAATCCGGGTTTCTGATGATAGTACATTCTGTTGCAGGCATGGTCTTTGAGAGGGAGTTGTACATCAAGAGGGGGCAAGGGAATGCTTGGAGTTGGGTAGGTGGTGGAGAATAGAATAGATAAGATAGGATAGAGATAATAAGAGAGAGCTCAAATAGAATTCGGGATCTTGGAGTTCTGGTTTTTGGGGTCTAGATGGAGGTGAGAGGGAAGGAGAGGGTGAGGGAATATATGTATAAGAATGAATAATGAATGATTAAATCATATTCTGCCTCCTTTCCATTGAATGCCTGCTTTGCATTTCGTAAAATATATATCGGGTTGTAAGTGAGTTGGCGAGTAAACGTAAATAAGAGGGCGGGGAGGGGAGGATTGGAGTGAGTGAGCTGAGTGCAACTTTGTTAACTTATACGACAGTTGGTATTTAATTAAAGAATAAACGAACATGTAAGTTATTTTTATGCCTTTCATGAGAAGATATGCATATTTATGTTTATATCATTACATAGGCATACATGCTTGTTAGATTTGGGGTTTTGAACGATAGTCTCTGTTGAGGTTTTGTATCTGAAAGGGAAGTACAGATGAGGATGGGCAAATACAGTTCGGAGTTGAGGTTAGGTAGGTGTTGCATAGACATGGTATGTCGATATAGTGCTGATTGCCACATGTGGAAACTGGCATAGCATGTGCTTTTTACCTCGGTATGAGATGGGTCGGCATGTAGATATGATCGGTAGAGGGAGATACGTATGCAAATCAAAATGCAAATGCAAGTACAAATACAATTGTGAATGCAGATGCAAATTCAGGTATAAATTCAAGCGTACTAGTTGGGAAGCTTAGCTTGGTTGGTAGCTTGATATGCCGGTAGTTGGATTTAGACTGGTGTAGATTTCCCTTTCTGGACGGTGGGATGTTTATTCTCCGATTTGGGTGCGTGAGTCGCAGGGAAGGTTCGAATTTTAGATCGAGTCGTCGTTTTAATATTTTTAATGTTTGAGGAAATGCCATGGAACTTTAGATAGAGAAGTTGAAGGTATTGGATTGGGATATTTGGTTTCCTTCGACGGGAAGATAGGTAGCTAGCTCGGCTAGGTACCAGCGGGTGCCGACCTTACTTGATTCCCGGGCTCCCGAGAAAACGGAACGTACACGTATGAAAAAGTGCATACGGACCGATATTCATGATTGTACTTCGGTCAATGGAGAGGTTTCCGGTGAGGAATAATACAAGTTGGCCGAAATGGTTTCACCAGCAACCCGATCTTTCCCCTTGACCCGTACGTATGATCAGAGCGAGCTGCAGGTAATTAATGGCTATGGTTCGCATGACTTGCCGTTTCTGGCTACGGTCATGAGCTTTGCCTTGCATTGTTGGACGTCTGATATTTTGTTGTGCGATGTGATTCTTCCTGATTAATCTACCTGCTGACCACTGTTGGAAGGTGAGATTGAAAAACAAGGATCCATGAGTGGTGGAAAACAAATCAGTCATCACAACAGCTAACCGAGCCGAGCAGGCAAAAATTAAAAATGACCGCTATGTAACCTTCCCCAGAAAAGTTGAGGGGAAAGGAACGCATTTCATGATATACCCTCCAAAAGATCGTCACCCGCTAGAATCGATTTGTGGAAGATTAAAAAGAAATCCAAATATTTTGCACACGTGGAACCGGAAACCCGCTTGACAGAGGATTTTCTCCCTGCCAAGCCCACAACGTTGGCTGGCCCGAAACATCGCCAAGATCCCAATTCAGAACCCATCCCCTGATTTCTCCACCCAGTAACCCGGAACAATCTCACATTTAGAGTGCGGAGGGTTATTTTCAAGCTTAACAGGTCCATGGAATGGCATGTCTTTTTCGTTTTCCCTCCGAGTCTAGAACACTAGAACATTCTATACGTCGTAAAGGGCACGGAGGATGATGCGAACGCGAATGGAAATTGAATCAAGGAGGAGAGGAGATTCTCCACCTACCCACTACCGGAGCGAGGTCAATACAGGGCTGCTAGCTTGCTTTGCTAGAGCACCCGGGAAACAGGGTGGATCCGCTATGATGCTCGTAAAAATGGGCTTTTGGCGTTTTTGATATAGTAGTAATCTCAACTTCTGGGCTCGATTCTGGGGCCTTTCGGTGATTTCTATTTGGGTTGGATGTGTCAATTGCGGAGTAATAGCGCGAATGGTACTCCCGTTGTGGAAGGAGGAGATTCTGTTGGATTCCTCTATATAAACAAAGGTAGGAGATCACCCAGTTGCTTCTTTTTTCTTTCCTTCCTCACCAACCTCGTTCTGGGTTTTCCATTCTTTTATTCCTCGGTTCGATTCTTCCACCTTTGATCAGATATCATTCGTTTCTATCTCATCTCATCTATCTATCTATCCCGTTATCCAACATATTCTTTCACGATGAAGTTCTTCAGTACCTCAACCCTTTTGGCAGCAGGTCTGCTGCAACTTGCTTCAGCCTCTGACTTACGCGATGAGTCTGGTGATGTCTGGAAGAATCTCCTTAGTGGTGGCGGCGTCGAGAAGAGACAGAGTACTTGGTCTCCACCGGCGAACTTGGTCAAGCCGCTTCAGGAGGTGTGGGATCATGAGATGAAGACATACAACAACGGAAAGCCCATGGCTTTCCACAATTACGGTTATGATAACATCATCGCTGCCAATGGGTACGTTCTTCTACGAGAGGGAAGCCAGAGTCAGCAGGAAACGATTCATATTTGGACCAAGACTGACGTGATATCTTATTAGAACCATCAACTACTGTGTCCGATGGGATTCCAAGGCGACCCTCACTGCCGCTCAGCGTCAAGCCATCGCTGCCTCCCTCCAGAAGAACGTTCTTAAGTGGACCGACAAGCTCACCGGCTTCATGGGCTGGCCATACAAGACTATCCCCGTCAAGATCACCGGCTGGGCGACCAAGACACCATCCCTTCTCCAAGGACTTTCTTCCTCCGAGAAGGTCCACACTATGGTTGACCTTGAAGGCATTGCCGAGTGCGATCCTCGCTGTGGACGCTTCTACCACACAGATGGCAACTACGGATCTTGCCCCGGCGGAGCACAGGCCAGATACGATATGTCTCTCTGGTTGACTGCTGGCATGGAAGGTGGTGCTGGTGGAGATTGGGGACAGAGAGTCGGAAGTGAGTACTTCTTGGGCGCATTGGACAACCCACACATCTGGCTCCACGAGTTCGTAAGTTTCCCCTTCTCGCTTACTTCATCTTCACCCAAAGAAAACAAAAGCTAACAGGAATCAGGGACACACTCTCGCCCTTGACGACTTCTACGACTGGACCCCAACTGGAATCACCAACTTCATCATGTTAGCCGGCTCCTCCATGGTCGTCACCGACTTCGACATCTGGATGATGCGCGACTGGTGGAGAAACCTCGCTAGCCGATACAACCTCGCTGCTGCCCCGAGCCCAGCCAAGACCACTACTAAGAAAGCCGCTGCTGCAACCCCAACAAAGGCCAATGTCGTTGCCCCCGCACCAACTCTGAAGACTACTACGACTAAGAAGCCTGCTCTTGTAGCTACACCTGCTCCTGCTCCTGCTGCTGGAGGTGCTGTCGCGGCTAAGTATGCTCAGTGTGGTGGTGATGGATGGAAGGGTGCTACTGCTTGTGTGGCTGGGTCGAAGTGTGTTGTTAACAACCAGTGGTACTCGCAGTGCATTTAAAAAGGTGGTGTTAAGTTGTGAGATTGAGGAGAGTATGAGGCGGGTCCGAGACGTGCTGGGGGGAGAGAAAAGGGGACTTTGGAAGAAAGACTAGGTGTCGGGCGGTTCTTGTAAATACTGTTTTCGGACTTGTATATTCTTCTAACGGCAGAGCCTATGGAGTGAGCTATTTATGCTTTTACTCATCAGATGTCTTGTCTTTGAGTGCTTGTTGAAGAAGTGCTTTGCTAAAAACAAATAAAAGGTCTCTTTACTTGGCTCGGCTAAGTACAAAACGGGCAAGAGGAGCCTGTAGCCACAATAACAATTACCATATTCTAATACAACACGCTTTATTGACATTAACTTAGCTTGAAAACTTCACGTCGGATAGGACAAAATTGAGTGCCAGTTCCTGCTACATTGTATACTAGAGTACCGATGGCGGGGTAAGCGGGGTTGTATTCTGTATTTGTTGTCAACATCGGTTGTTCTTGAGACTGACAGTAGTCGTTCGCATAGCAAGAGGAGAGGTAACTTGAATCGAAAAAACAGAGATTGTACTGGGCCGAACTCTTCGGTCACCTCTTCTCTAGGCTTAGTATCGTACCAATTCAGCTGCCCAGTACGCTACGGAATGATAGCTAGACTATTATCTTTTACATTACTAGCACGTCTGGCCTCAAAGCTATATCGCGACGTGCCTATAAGACCCTTGGACATATTGCTAATAATGCACAACACATCCGGGCGCCATTCAGTGTCGTACCCATTCAAATATCTGGTACTCATGCACCCCAATCAAACTAGATAGATCTTGGACAATCGATCCTCTAAATTCTCTGCGACTTCGCCGTCCATGACGCCATGAATATAACATCTTCCCAGGCAGCGGTAGGTTCCGGGGGAGGATCCAGTCTTTTCAGTGACCCTTCGGAGGAGTAATGGCCAGTTACATCCTGCAACAATGTGAACTTCATCTCCTGTAAGTGTTGCTAAAGGTCCTGTTCCGATGTATCCCTGGTCTGTTGTAATGAAGGAGTGCCTCCAGCATGCAATACCCCAACTGAAGAGCATGCTATAGTCAGTTTCCGATCTCCCTCCCATCAGAAATGCTTCCCAGTCCCAAGAAGCTTTAGTAGTCCCAGAAACCATCTTGATGAAGGCCCAGAACGGGGTCTCATCCTCCGGCTTAGCACGACGAGCTTCTAAGTTTTCATTTATGATAACGTCTGACACCATGGTCCGCCACCAAGCATTACGAATTGTTCCTCCTCCGATGTAAGGAGTACTAAGGTCGATTTCTGCACCTGTAGGCCATTTTTTATCTGCTGCGAGACGGGTGTAGTCTGCGTCAGGATTAAGTTCCTCCCAGAGAAGCTTCGCCGCTCTTGCTGCACCCAACCCCATGTCTTTGGAATGTAATGATTCACTAGCTTCGACTCTTGCTATCATAACACTCGCTATTCCCATCATACCGCCTTCCATCATGTTGAACTCTGCAATCGGCTGGGACAAACCGGATGCACGAAAGTTGACAAATTCGAAAGATCCTCTTCCTCGTGGCATGCCCTCGATCTCGAATGTTGTGGGTACGTCCTTGTAAAGTACTGGCCACCAGGATGGCTCGGACAAGGCCAGCTCAGACTCGTCTAGTTGCTTCATCCCTAAAGCTCTCAATTTGCCGGTTTCTCTGATATCAGCTTCGAGTACTTGTGCGGATAATTGATTGAGGCTTGTGTTTTCATAATCGATGGGAATTCCAGACCGAAACTCTGAAGTCATCATATGCCTTAATGCATATACTATATCCAGAGGATTTTGACACTTGAGCTCGCTCATATGTTGCACAATCTTTATGCTATCTGATGCTAAGTCGGCTTCCGTAGCAGAGTTATTGACCCCTTTTCGGAAGGACCGTACGGGATCGAATCGCAGCGAATACAGTCCACGAGTACAAGTGTCGCACAATCCGCCTGCTCGAATATGAGCTGACCAATCCATATGTCCCGACTCTGTCCAGTCAACACGATTTATCATACTGCTTCCGCACCAGTACTCGACATCTAGAGGCAGCACAGTTTCCTGAACGACCCACAACCGTGACCAGTATGGTCGATTCATCATTCGGCTTAGCGATTGAAGCTGTGACTCGTAGTGTCTCGCTGTACCAGCACATTCGTTGAATGGCCACGCATCCCCGGCGACGATACCCTTGAGCATCGTAAATGCTGTCTTGCCATCTCCTTCAAGGTCTTCTCCGAGCCAAGCAAGGCATCTGGTGCATGACAGGTAGATCTCGCCCATAAATCCAACTTGCACACTCTTCTCTTTGTTATCCTGCTGGTTGATGCAAATTGCGTCTGCCCATAGTACGCGCTCCTCTGACTCCAACCGAAAGTATCTCAAGGCTGTCTCCAGATTGGTGGTGACGTCGACAGAGACGCCATCTAGAGTGATTGGAGCGGTGATAGCCGGATCGCCCCAGACATAGGATGTAGCCTCGTATGATGGCTTGTTGTAGAGAGATTCAGTGGAGAGTGTGAGGATGACCGGTGCAGTGAGGCTGGCGTTAGACTGAAGGGTGATGAGACGGATTTCCTGTGTGGTGGGGTTGAGAGGAGAATAAATATACTTCGACGATGGGGTTGGGGATGGGGATGACATTGTGCATAGACTGTTGGTTTTGTCAGTGGAGGCTAAGAATGTCTCTACAGAAATGATAAAGAGGAGGAGGATGCACGCCACAGGTGCAGGAGCTGCAGCCGTCATGCACGTGAGCTTAGCGCCTGCAAGGCCACACTGTGAGCATCCATCCAATCATGCACAGAATACGCGACGATATGAACCACGGAAATCGAAAGACGAAAACACTGGATATTTGTAATCGATTGCGCAAAGTCTGGTGTCTGTATTTTGGTTTAGAACATTCCAAACAAAGCCTCGCTTAGTGTTCGCTTGGGGGAAATAAGTAAGGGCATAGAGTTTGCGGGGTCCAAGCAGCTGGCAAGGGATTCTTCGCCCAGTGACTTTAGTACGTACTACTACACGTTGATTTCCAATATTCGCTGCAATACATTCTCAATGTACCGAACTCCAATCACAACACCATCCTCGTCAACGATCTCCTCATCTTCCCCGCCAACGCTAACTCCAAAGCCAGAACCATTTCCACCATTCTCCTCACCGGGCTTGTTAACACTCTGGATACCTCTATCAAGACATCGCAAGCATAGGAGAACGATTTCTATGTATCGTTTCCCCAAGCGCGGGGGTAACTCACATCTAGCGAGGTTTTCAAAATGCGCTTTCAACTGGGTGGGCGTGCCGAGCGACAGTTTGGCAGAATCATTGCTCAATGAAGCCAGTGCAGGACTGGGTAGCATGATATTTGGATCTGTGTCAGGCACTACAAAGGATGTCCAAAGTCCAATTTCGAGAAGGACGACTCCGAGGCCGTAAATATCGTGTTGCATCTGATAATGCATTTCTGGAAGGATGCCTTGACGACTTGGATGTCGATCTAGACCAATGTGTCAGCGAAAAGGGATGAGAGGTGACGTTGACGGAGCACAGCCACTCACAGAGGTTGTGATCCCACAGGTTATCGCCGACTAAGTACGTGTTACCATCCTCGATACGAAACTGATCAAATCCAGCAAGGTATGGAGCCCCGATACTTGAAACCTCGTTTTGAAATACAACAATGGTCTCCGGCCGGATGTTTTTATGTACAAACTGAACATTATGTACAAACAGTATTGAGCTAGCCAGTTTCTTTGCAAGATCCAGTCGCTCGTCTAATGGGTATGAGACCCCTGAAAGCAGAATCTCCCTGAGACTTTGAGGGCTAGACAAGTGAACGGGGACATCGAAGATGTACTTGAAGTCTGAAAGTGGTTGAAGAGTGTTCTCCTTTGGGATTTTGATGACACCGCGACATTTCAGAAGTCCGAATGTCGAAGGGTCCACCTCGGCTAAAATGCGAGCGAGGTTTCGCACTTCTTTCGTCGTGCTGTTCGGATTTGCCGTTGGGTTGGAGATCATGGTGTCGATAAGAATAATGCCATTCTCGGCGTCCGAGGGAGAAATCTCGACTGAAGAATGAGGGATCCGCATAGGCGTCAGGTCGATCTCGTCACTTGCGATCCAGACAGTCCCTTGGCCACGAACCTTCAAGTCTTGAGTTGCCCGCGCTGCATCTCTGATGCCTTTGGCCGCGATGATGATGGGTAGTTGTTCTCGCGTCGGCTTTCTCTCCTGCTGCTCTAATTCGTCATCAATGTTCTTGCTTGACATCTGCATGATCAAGATCCAGGTCGGATCATATCTCGCTTGCCACTTTTCGATATCTTCGACAATTTCCTGCAAAGCTTTCTTCTTCTACACGTACTTCAACTTCGAGTTCACTCTCATCTCTCCCAGGTCCTGGATCACTGCAGTAATTTCCCTATCGTCGTGCTTCCACTTGCTGTTCTTTGGACCCTTCTTATCCATGGCTTTCTGTTCCTCCCGTCGCTCGGTAATCAGCTGATCTATGATGAGGCTGGCTGTTTTGAGTTTGCCTTCTAGTTGCGACAGGACTTGTGATTGCATTGCTTGGAGAGCTTTAGAGAGTTGTCCGGCCGCTGCTATACACTTGAGGATGCCGATCTGAGTCTCCATTTTCAGCCAGTTGACTTCGATTGATACAAGTAGCCTGAAAATTATGAGCGTTCAATCTGTATGAGAGGCTTGAAGACAAATCCCCGTCGTCAGTTAACATACTCTATAGCCTCTTCTTCGGCATGAAGATAACTCTGGCATCTTTTAACGAACTTGTTGCCATACCTAGATGTGAGTTAGCTTGGCAGGCCGGACACAGTGCCGAGTAGTCAGGCAGGCTAACTTCAAGCATTGGTCTGCAAAAGCAACGACCGCTAGAGCTGCTCCAAGAGTCTGTGCCATATTATCCCCTAAGCTGCCGTTAACACACTTTTACAGGGCGTAGTGCTGAAGCGAGACGCTAACGTTCTAGTGACTGCCTATATTACAGGGCACAGGCTCTACCCTAGGCCCCTGGAGAAATGTGTGTTCTGAACGGCAGCTTAGGGGATACAGTTCTTTTGTATTAAAGCACCGTTATGTGCAAACGTCAGGTTCGGTGTCGAAACCCTCTTGATTCACGAGCTGGAAATACGCATTATTGTTGGGATTAGTGAGTTTTGGTACAGCCAGCGAGATCTCCTTCAGAACGGTCGCGGCCATCTTGAGGTCAAGCCATGTTGCAGTGATTGGTTCAGTACTGTACTGTACCTAAGCGCTGAAGTTTCAGCCCCCATCGTACCCAGATAGGGATGGCGGGGTATCCTGACCCCAGCTGGAGTTTTGAGGCTGAGATCAGAAACATCTTGGACGAAGGAGTGTCAACTTCCCACGACCCGTACTCATATTGAATAGCCATCCTGCCGATGGAACCGTCGTCCTCGTGAAAGGAAATTGACAGCATCCACCATGGCACCTTAAAATGCTGCGTATGATCCATCCGAATCCCCACGCAACGCGGCTGGGTCCAGCCCTGGCAGTGAACCATGTCCTCCGATATCGACCACTGGCACCTTAATGCGACCGTGTTTAAGGACCGAGTCGAGGAGATACACTTTATATCAGACCCTGCGAGGAATGTGCGGCGGCGTCAACATAAGAAGATATGGGAGGTGGAGCGATTCCTGGGTCGCGGAGGATTTGGAGAGGTCAGGCTAGAGAAGAACAAAGAAGATGGGATGGCCCGAGCCGTGAAGCGGATTGCGACAACGAGTATGACGCTCAGCAATAGCGAGTGCGAGAAAGAATTGAAAGCGCTGCTGGAATTCTCCAAGCCTAAGGTAAGCATTGTGAATTCATGTGTCAGGAGTAGTTATGCTAAGCGTTGCCGGTAGTATGAAAGTTCGAGCTATTAATTACTCTCCCTGTGGCCTCTCACAAAATGTTCCCTCTGCCACAGGAGTCCTTGTATTTATTTCAAGTTAGTATGAGTGAGAACCTAACTGACGAATCTACAATATTCAGGTGGGCTGAAGCTGCTGTGTTCGTCGACTTCTTTGGTTGGTTCAAGGATGGCTCCGATGTCTTCCTAGCCATGGAATATGTATCGCTTGGAGACCTGGAGAAAAATGTATTGGCGAACTCAGGGAAAATACCAGAGCTGGAAGCTAGAAGTATCGCGGAGCAAATACTTTCCGGCCTGGAGATCATGCATGCAGAGTCATTTGCACATCGAGATCTAAAACCACAGGTGGGCTGAAAGTAGCAGTTTGTGCAGGCACCCAGCTGATTTTGAGCCTACTTAGAATGTTCTAGTCGTCAATGGAAGTCCTGACTGGTGGGTCAAGCTTGCAGATTTTGGACTGAGCAAGAGATTGACGGAAAGTACTGCGTTTAATACCAAAGGTGGAACGCAATCGTATATGGCGCCGGAAATTCTCAATTACCTCAACCTGGCGGAAGGTAGTGAACAGTATACGAACTCAGTTGACATCTGGGCCGTCGGATGCATTGTTTATCGTCTCATTACTGGCGGAGTCCCCTTCCCTCCGGGCAAGTCCTTGGTCAAATACTGCGAGGACAAATCCCTTTTCCCCTACGATGCGCTTTTTGACAGTGGTATCAAAAGCGAGGGATCGAAATTCTTAAGAAAGCTCCTCAATGCTTTACCTGAAGAGCGGCCATCTGCCTCTCAAGCCTTGCAGCATTCATGGATCGTTTCTAATGCTCAATGTAATAGAATGATATCTCTGTCACACTCAATTTCCAACCCAAGCACAGGATCCAAATCGGAAGGGAGTTCATCTGATTTTGGAGTGCAACTTCAAGATATCAGCACACTAAGTGGCCTTACTGAACTAAGCGTTTCGGACACAGGCTATGCGACAGTAACTCATGATGGACTGAGATCATTCGCCTTGTCTTCGAAAGCACCATCCGGTCTTGTTGATGATAGCTCCCAACTGACAGTATCCGCCATTCGAAGGAAGCCAGTGGCTGCCGTAGTGTCGGACGAAACGGTCAAACCAATAACCCAGTCCAGAGCCGTTCTGCGTGGTGCTCGAAGTCATAGCTTTGGTCAAGTTCTCACAGTGCCTGAACCGGCGCCTTGGCTGAAGTTTGAATATGGTGAAATGGAATCAAAATTGGTGAGCATTGGAATATTTCTGATGGATGATATTCCTGACTTGAGCAGGTTGAAATGATCGAGGAACATATGTTTCGGTTGGAAGCAGACCCGAACTTCCATCATGAACTCAGGGAGACGCTTCAAGATACCGCTCGACTAGATGCCATTCTATCACAAAGCTGTTATAACAAGATGGAACTACGAGATGCTTTGAAAAACAATGCTATAGCGCGATTAATACTAGATATCCGGGGACTCGAACGTGCTATTGGAAAGCTCCGCAGTGGTGCGACTGTTGATGTCCGCCCTCTCACACTGGTGTTAGAGTTCTTGAGAACTGCAATGATCACCGAGTCAAGCCCCGATCTAAGGTAAATTTGCCTCCACGATAATTCCTCTCCTGTCAGCAGTCGCTGACAATGTCTAGTGACCTTGCCTCCCCTCAACCACATCAACTGCAGGAGCTCAGGCGCCAAGTCCCTCGTGAGCCACAGTCTATGATTAGTTCTGGCTCAGCTATTTCGACAGCAACAGTTTGCCCGTTTGCAGTGCGCACCAAAAAAGACTGTACCTCTATCGAACCCGGAACTCTACAATTCAAGACTGGAGAAATTATCCTAGTTACCGACGCCTCTGCAAACCCTTGGTGGTATGGCATTCTCAAGGGACAAAAGGGATACTTTGAAGCATGTCTGGTCAATCGTATACCGGTACCCACAACTGAAGCGCTGCGTCACGACAGGAACTCCCATGTTCGAGCAATCTTCAACTACACGGCGTCAGATCCGAGCGAACTATCTTTCAAAGAAGGAAATTTGCTTCGGCTAGTGGAAGCTGCATTCAAAGACTGGTGGAAAGGGGAGATCGATGGACATTTTGGGATCTTTCCTCTGAATTATGTCGAAGTTTTCTCACCAGGTACTATGTCAGAGGAAACGATTCCAGCCACTGTGGAAGCCAAACATGATTTCCCCCAGGACATGGACCTTACCACTGCCTCCTCACACTATCAACCGTACAGACCGCCCTCGGAAGCCTCAGATATGGGAAAGCTTACTGTCGAGATAGAGTCTGCATCGCGTCTGCTTGTTGATCGAATGCTTGTAGGGTGCGAAGTCTCTCATGGCGACCACATACCATTCTATGTTACGCATACTGTGGATTCCATGAACCCTCTGATTTGGAATGATTGTTTTACGATAGATATCCGCTCACGAAGAATGGAGGACCTGACATTTACTCTGGTTTTATCTCATTTGAATCTACTAGGATCCTACGAATGGTACAGACCTCCAAAGCTCCTGAAGTTTCCTCGACCCGACTTGACTCAACTCGAGCCCTGGCAGAGACAGACATTTCGGTTGACCCCCGCGATGGCTTCTACTACCTTAGATATAGCATTGACTTTCGTGCCTTGCACTCTAACTGAACCGCGCAAACTTGTGGGTGGGAAAGGACCTGTTCTTCCCTTGGAGCGCGAACCATATATCCGGGAAAAGCACTAGCACCAACGCTTAAACGACTAAGGAGGAGACAGGTCCATTCATTGATTTATGCTGGTGTTTCACCTCCCGCTGGTAAGTGAGATTTCAACCGATGTCCTACCGTCTTTCAGGTATCTCTTGTTGATATATTTGGCATAGTTTAACGTTCTTCCGCTCTCATGATTCGCACCCTCGTTTAGATACCTCGTGACTATCCGAACAAACACTGAAGGACACTCTTCTGGTTGGTCCAGCCATGATCAGAGGGCTCAACTTGGAATTATAGCAGATGCATCGTCAATAGTACTAGAGAATTTTGCTCGACGGCAGTGTCCATGAGCATTGCGTTTGTCTTCAATGCCAATCAGTCCCTTGAACTGTCTTGTTCACCAATGAAAGCACACTCGACTGTTACCGCGAAGTCGATGAGAAGTGATCATTTTATTCCGTTAAGGTACACAGTCGAAACAACAGTTCAGCTCGTTGGGGGCTGCCTACCAAAATCTGTTTCCCACAGGGGGCGAGGCGATGCAAGCCTGCATGATCTCACGTCAGACCTCCTGCAGAAAAGTTCATCCAGTGCCCACCAAAGACGGCGCGAACCCACTTCCGAATAATCTTAAAACGGTTGTTTGCTGTTTACTGTTCTTTCTTGCGGAAGAGTGTCACTATTTTCCAGCTTTACGATGTCTTCCAAAAATTTCATGTCGGTAATACCGTGGGATCCAACATCCGAACAGCACTTCCAACGACTCCAACAGCAACGCATATCCTGTGGCTGGGGCGTAGAAAATGTTTCTGATTGGGGAACTGAACAGCTTGAAGGAAAAAGAGTTCTTTGTTGGCTTGTATATTCCTCTGGCTCACTAAAATACGAACTCCGCTAAGAGTAAACAAATAGGTCATCAAGCCCACTCATCCATGTTACGACACCCTCATGGCCAGCCATATCTCCCAATTTCCTCAAGAATCAGAGTGCTTGCCAGATTCGGGATCAGATACTTTCCCCGTGCAGCGCGAAAGAAAGGAAACTTTCATGCCCATCGGTCACATCTCGCTGGACTTCCCACCGACTGGTTTCGCCGACCCTGCAAGAGGAAGAATAGGCGCTACGAGCCTCTATCTGTCACCAGCAATTCGAGGATTGGAGTTTGGACGTCATGTGTTTGGCTTGATGCGAGGTGTTGCGGGCCGTTTTGCAAGATATGCTGTGATGGAGGTGCCGATTAGGGAGACTGTTGAGGCTGTTGAACGGTTTGAGAAGTTTGGGGATGGAAGACCGGAGGTTTGTTTGCTCCGGTTTTACTCAACCATTTGACACTTCAGTTGCAACGATAGAGATCTGGGTGCTGATTTATGGTGTTAGTTTTCGCTTGCGGATTGGTATGAGAGTATCGGTTGTAAGCGACTGCATGGCAAGAAGCGGTTTGTGAATGAAACGGACTCGAAGGGAAGAGTCTGGAACGTGGAATTGGTTGGTATGGAATGGGATCTTTGGGGAAGTGAGGTTGCGGAGAAGCCGCGTCTGTAAGGCGGATGCTGCAATTACTTCAAAACAAAGGATACGATGTGGAGAATGTTAAACCAGTTTTAGAAGGGTTAATGCATGGCAATACCGTCCGTTGAGCTATCACATATTCATTGCGAATGAGGGAAATGTAAACAAGCTCAAAATTTCAATAAATGATCATTCGCTGATCATTTATCCCTCAACAATAGTCAGCACCTCTGATACTGGGCACCGTAACGACCTCGTCTCAGGGGCTGCCGCTTCACTGAGCCGAAACAGCAGAACCTCACACTCTTTATCTGCCTCAGGTAAGACTTCAAGAAACTCCTTTCTCGCGGCTTGCAACGCCCTCTTCTCGTTTTCAGAATAGATATCTTCTCCACCCTCTTCCAGACGTGCAAACATGAAAGGACTGCTGCTGGAAGGACAGAACCCAATATTCTGTAGCGTAGCCTCAAGCCATACCTCCTCCATCGCACGCCCACCTTGCAGGTAGGACTGCAAGCCTTTCTCTGGCATGGTTAACAACGCGAATGCATTGCACTTGAAGCCGCCACCCATTCTCTTCAAGTCCTCGCCTAGGTTGAGATCGCGGAGGACTTCCATGACAGGCCAGCTACTCATCAGATATGCACCGACACGATCTGTCGTGTCGAGACCAAGGGTGTCAATGCCGATGCCTCTACCAGTATTGTGGGCTTCCTCGCGTGTCCACTGAATCTCATTCCCGAGGTCTTCATGGAGGCCTGGATGCAGCATTCTGATTCGGTCGACAGTGCCAATGACATTCGCTACCTTACGCTTCTGGTCTTCATTCGTCACAACGGTCAACTTTGCTCCCCAGCGTTTAGCTGTGTCGATAAGGGACTGTATCTTTGCATCTGACAAGGACGTTCCGACCCGGGCTTGTTGACGATTTGTGATGCGTTTGGGTATAGCCGTAAACAATCTTTCTTGAACAGGAGCCATTCGATTGAAAGTGATGCTGCAGACCTCTCCCGAACACTTCTCAGTGGAGGGCAAAACCTCAGCCTGGAGGCCAATAGATCGGGCAGCGAGGACGATATTCTGGATGCCTGCTCCCATGGCCACGAACAGCGAGCGGCCTTCGAAGTCGAGATGAGTCCATTTGTATGTCGTGGGAATACTACAATCGATGCGACCTTCACGTAGAGTAAAATGCCATGCTTGGCTATTTCCTCCAGAAGGAGCGAGACAACCGTGAGCGACGATGTATTCAGCTTCACTGCGCTGTAGCACTCCTGTGAAGTCTTCTTCCGGGACAGAAGGAATTGCTACAGGTGGGGTAGTGGCGGTCTGGCTGACTACTGAAATCCTCAAGTCAATACCGTGTTTTGCGTGAAGCAGAATGAGATTTGACGAATTGAAAACGAGAAAAATGGGATAAAATAGTTCTGGCCAACTCCAGAACTTAGACGAAGCTAAACATGAAAGAACGTACCCTCACATGACTCCAGGACCTCCCAATCTGGCAAAACTGCCGCACTTTCCAATGAAACGAGTTTGGTGAGATCAACATAGAAGCGCCCGGAGGGTACAGCTTCCCCGAGTAGCATACGACGAGCGGTGTCTGCTGCAACACCTGCACCCTGGGAATTCGTTAGCTCTATTCTTGTATCCTGCGCCTCTGGACTTGGGTTTAAAGTATCAAACACCCCCGACTTCCAATATGTCTTTCGAAAGGTATACACGTACCAAGCTGATGGCACTAGCCAGCTGAGGCCACGACCTTGTAGTCCTACCCATCTCGAACAAGCAGGCCAGCAGCCTCGGGGATACCGTCTACCTGGTTCCCACAATCCTCAACTGGTATGGTATCCTCTCTTTCGGACCTAAGGCCCGAATCCTCTTCGAATCCATATCACCCATGAGACCATGGAAGAGTGGCCGTTTGGGCTCTTGATCGAAACGCTCGACATCAAGCATACCCTTATCACTCGTCTCCATAATCACCGGAATGCCATGCTTGCGTGCTTGCTCACGTGCAAACACCTTCATGGGCAAATCATCACACTCTTCAATGAGCAGATCCAACTTTCTTCCATTAGACAAGAACTCTTCGAAGTTCCCCTCTTGCAGCCCAGTTGGAAAGACTTTGATGTTCAGATAGGGGTTGATCTCGTACATTTCTCGCGCGCAAAGAACAGCTTTGTTGACTCCGATGTTACTGATTGGTGAACGGAGTCGATTGGTGTTAGATAATGAAAGTACATCGAAATCCGCAATGCGCAATTCGCCACCAACCCCTTCCAATGCAAGAGTCAGCGCAGTGGCAGATCCTACAGAGAGACCAATGACACCGACGCCCTTTGAGCTCAAGCGAGTCTGCTCGGAAGGAGTGATCCTGTATCGATTCCGGCTGGTTCGCACTTCAATGAACTCATCCTTAGGGAGAATATGTAAGAGTTCCTTGCGCCATGGAAAAAAAACATAGGTTCCGTAAAAGTCAATTGGTGTTCCATCTAGGTGCGCAAGTACGAGCTGGTTCAACGCTTCCCCTTTGAGTCGCAGCCATGGTGAGCGCACCTCGATGAGTTCCTCCAATTGATCTTGAATACTATCGTGAATTGTATTTACGGAGCCAGATACAACTAAAGCATCAAGTTTTTCTCGATCTTCAGGAATTGTTGCATCGAAAAATTGGGGTGTGTAGGATTCACTGATGATGGTGTTGGATTGAGGCCATTGAGATCGAAATTTCGAAGACATGACCGTGGACCTGAAAGTACTTGGGATTTGCTTAGAATCTCAACAGAATAACAACCTCCCGAATGAGCTTCTCTGAAAAGGAATGTTTTAACTTTAGACTTTCAGCAAAAATGTTCGGCACGAGGTGTCAATAGACCCACCCAATCTGGATATAGGCGTCTTACGTGAGATTGGCCAACAGTTCCCTTGGCACATGCGAATGGAAATAAAAATTACAGGCAATAGCCTACCATTTTATTGGCTGCTTCGTTGAATATCAAGTGACCCAGTTCACTTATCCTCATCGAGTTCACTGCATTGACAGCTGAAAGCTGCGTGCTCGTACCTTGCCAATTTTCCAATTACAGTGGCCGGATTCGCCGTCACGACATGCATACCACAGATTGCCAACATCCTCTAAACGAACGAGCCTCTAAACATCCGTCGCTCTTGCAGGTTCAGCAACGGCCCCCTTGCCCGCCGCAACATCTTCAGTCGACTCTTCAATCAAATGCTCCTTCTCGGTTGGGTGTTCTGGGACCTGGAAAACGACCAACGAGGTCGTTGGAATGCAAATGAGGAACATCACAAATGCAGTCAGCAGGTTTGCCATTGGAGACACTCCATGAGCGGCCCCTAAGCCGAATGAGACTGCTGATCCAAAGGACTCAAATGCTCGGACGATACCCACGCTTAGAGTGAGAGTCTCGATATCGTTGTTGAAGGTTCCGATGATCCAGTAAACGAACATGTAGTGAGACTCGTTCATAAATCTGTTGGTGGTTAGTATTTACCCCGCGCTCGTGGATGCGGAGCTGCTTACCGAAACAAAACAGTTGAAGCAAAGCCTCGTCCAAAACCGGGAGTAGCCCAATCCAGAGTTATCTTGGGCACAACGTCTTCGTACTTCTTCTGATTCGAAATCTGCCATCCGAAGAGCGATAACATGATTACCACAAATGAGAACCAAGCGATCCTGGCGACCTTAGGTCGAGAGAACACCTTCAGATCCAGAAACCATCCCCAGAAGATATTCGCGAAAGTGGCTGCGAGTCCGGAGGTCAATGCACCAAGTGCTCTGGATCTCACGGAGAAGTACTTGGTAAGGTAAATGTTGAGGTAGGTGCTGTTCCAGTTGAACCCAATCAGAATTGGAAGGAGTAGAAAGATGCGTCTGGTTTTGAGAAGTGCCCACGCACGACGGAATTCTTTGAGCACGGCTTTGTTCTTGGTGGGATCTTCGAGTCTGGATCCGTCTGCTCGAATTACTTTCTCTGGAGGGGAAATGAGGAATGCAAGTGGGAGACCGGCGCATTGAAGTCCGATGAGAATCAGGTACGTTTCGTAGCCGACTTTCCCGCGTTGGTTCTTCTTGACGTTGAGGGAGAGCTGAATGGACGACCCAATGAGCTGACCCAACTCGCGCAGACCAAGCCAAATACCGGCTATTTGTCTGTCAGCAACCTGAAACATATAATCCAAACGGATCAAACTTACTGAACTTCCCCCGATCTTTCACTGTCGGATAGCCCAGAGCAATCGCTCCCTCGGATGCCCAGAGTGCGGAAGCTGCAATTCCACAAGTCACACCGCCGAATAACACGAACCATTCGACACCATATCTGTTATTCACATACAGCGAAGCAGAGTATGGTGCGTAGCCGAGGGTACCCAGGATTAGGACTTTCCTGAGGCCAAATTTGTTGGAAAGGATTGCGAAGAGAGGGCATCCGAATACCATGATACTTTGTCATGTCAGCATATTTAAAAGAGCTTTCGTGATAAGTCTAGACGCACCCAAATGTCAAAGAATTAGCACCATTGACCAAGTATGGCTCTTGCTGCCCACCAGCTCCAGTATTGTTCAATGCATTCCAGATACCGGGTTGGGTGAATGAAATCAACCCAACAATGATGACATTGAACAGCGGACTGCGATACCATCTTGTAAATCTTGATACTGGCTTTTGCTCCGCATAGATCTCATTGCTAGAGTCGTCGCTGGCTGCAACCGCCAACTTGGGATCAAGTTCACCACTCATCGTCGATTTTCTCGTCGCAATATTTGAATGTCGAAGGTTGGTTTAACCTTTGCTCCAATATGGGCTTCCACACCTATTATGCATCATGACTCGAATTTAAATCAAAGACTGCGGGAAGGGAGATTTTTAATGTCCATATTTCTTGTGGAGTGGCGATGGTACCATCGCGGGAAGTCCCACCTGTCGGGCCTTCTGCATTTCTGGGCATCAAAATTTTGACAATCTTCCGATGCGATAAGATAAGACTCTCGGGGAGATGACCGCAAACGTGTTAATTGTTGTTGATTAAGGTTGTTTGTGACTGATGAATGAACCTGTTTGGAGAAGGCGTGCTTTTTGGAGACATCGCGACATTTTTTTCTGCAGACTTGGCAGGATGAAGAGTGGGGCGGTGGAGGCGAGGAGCTCAACATCTTGGGTCGGTATTTTGGGCGAGATCATGGGAGTTATACTTTTCCTCAACTTGGAGTATCGCATTGAGTATTTCAATCATTTACCTTTCAGTGCGACAAATGTTTGAGCTTCCTGAGCCCACAACTGCAGGTATCCGAGTGACAGAGTTTGGGAACAAAATCAGCGCTCCTCAAAGTAGACCAATTGGCTATTTCAAAGACAAACCGAACTGAAAAATTCTTTAGAATCTGAGAGAAGTAACTTTTACGTTGTAAGTAGATTGCACTTCTTAGAGGAGGAAGCGGCTTTCTGACAATAATGGCCGAAAAAAGGTCTTCGGTTACACGGGCCAATCAGCTCTCGATATTCTCAGACGGAGGGCGCCATGTAAACAAACGTCCACAGGTACAACTTAGCTTCGAAGTCCAGTATCTGTCGAATTCAATTATTACGAAATCCTTTAATTGCAACTCCTCCTGTCTCGCTTCATTATCGTCCGCCTTTCAGGTCATGATATTGAGATGGTGTGAAGGTCCGCCCCAAAAGCTTTGATGTCTCAAACACGGAGGAGGTTGCACCATATGAGTTCACAGAGCTAGGTCATCCACATCTTGCTCAAGCTCTCTAGTACGGAAGGTTAAACGCATCATCTGCCCTAGAAGCAGCAAATTTTGACGCCTCAGCCCGCGTCTGGCGTTGCACAGAGCAGTGTATGATTGGGGAGTGTGAAGAGCCGCATGAATGACCAAGCTACCGGGTCTGCCTGTTCAACCTGAGTATAGAACCACGCTGAAGACCAAAAGTGACAAATTGGAATAGACTCTAGAAGAACTGCTCTCATGGCAAATTTCTGCGAAATAGAGATTGTCAGACTTGAGTTGTCATTGGTCCCTTCGCTACACAACGCAATGATCTGATCTTGAAAAATCAATCTAAGACGAGGCGATAGGGCACAGGAGTAAAACTTAGAATAAACTGAAATGTAGTAACAGCATCTGAACATCGTTTCTTTTACTTTTGGGTTGCATTTAGCGGCGATCACCACCTGCGACCTGTTCATGAGCAAAGAGGCTCTACCACGAGGTGGGAGCTCGCTTGAGATTTGATTCGCCGCCTTATCACTTTCTGAGAGCGCAGTGGAGCGAATCAATGCTACGATGAAATCATCCCATCTCAATCGAGCTTATCGCTACGTATTGTCTACGAGCTTAATCAGTCCTAGCGTCATCGTTGGAAGTGGATGACGATATCGCTTATCTTCGAATCAAAACTAGCTAAGCGAATGACAAATAAGGGGGGCGCAGGCTTACATACACAAGCAGTGCCTCGTGTGGCTGCTTCAGCCCCCAAACAGAAGAACGATATGCTGCTAGGTTGTGTCGGTAAGAAATGCGATTGGGCCAAAGCTCTGCAGTCAAAATATTACTCGAGCACTGCACAGCTCGGTTTTCTAAGTCGCTTATCCGACCCTGTCAAAGTCGAAGCCACGATCATTTGGAATTTCTCTTTCGATGAGGCTGCCTAGAATTCTCCCACAATGAAGGATATAAGATCAATGGTAAGAGTGCTGTTTCTTTCTCATTCTCCATACCATCACAACAATTCACATCTCCACCTTGCAATCCCTGCAATCCATTCCCAAGACAACAAAAACAACAACACTTCTCGAATTCTCAATATCACAAGCTTCATCCTATATTCTCCAACTCTTCACATTCTCCAACAATCCAAAACTTTTAAGATGGGACTTCTCAATTCCTCCGCTGTTGGAAAGGAGAGCGACAAAGCTGCCCAAATTCTGCATAGCTTCATCAGTAAGTTTACACTTTCCCGAATCCGGCCTCATCCTGGCTTTGGCGAACTCGCCTAACAAGACCACAGAGAAGGAAAAATTACCCAAAGCAGCTATCGCCAATGCGAAAGGTATCGCAATATTCTCTGCAATACGAGGCGGCGCGATGTGGGTATCAGGTTCCGGCGGATCAGGCGTAGTCCTCGCACGCCTACCAGACGGCTCTTGGTCAGGGCCCTCATCATTCTCAGTCCGATCTGGAGGTATCGGAATGGTCTATGGATTAGACATCTATGACTGCGTTTGCGTTCTCAACACCGACGAAGCCGTCGAAGCATACTCGAAACCCGAATTAAGTCTAGGCGGAGGCGTTGCGGTAACTGCGGGGCCTTGGAATGCGGAGAAGCACGACTTGAAGCCGGTGTGGACATACACGAAGTCAAAGGGTCTATATGGTGGCTTGTCGGTTGATGGGACTGCCATTAAGGAAAGGAAAGATGCGAATGCGGAGTTCTATGGGAAGAATGTTACTGCGGCTCAGATTTTGCAGGGTGCTGTTGATCCAAGAGCCGGAGCTAATGCTTGGCCGGCTGGTGCAAATCAGTTGATGGAAGTTCTGAAGCTGGCCGAGGGCAAAGTTGGTGATAAGAAGGTGATACAGGGTATCAGCAATGAGCCGACTCCCGGTGATATGGACGTCTGAGAGGAGCAGGGTCTGATCTGGGCAGCTAGAATTGCGTTAGGGTTTTTTCTTTCTTTCCTTTTCTTCCCCGTTACTGTTTGATTGGATTCCTGTTTGTTGCTAGATCAAGCGAGCGAGTACATCCTTTTAAGTAGTCTCTAATCTCTATGTAATTATCATGGCTATTGTCGAAATTCTTTAGTTCATTGGAGCTACTGATTGGGGAAACCAATGAGATTTAGATGTTTTTGAAGATAGAAACGTGCAATACAGCTCCGGTGCAGTAAAGTTGATATTCCAGTTGACGCTAGTACAAAATCATGTTTGAACTGTTTTTGTTTGTTCCATGCTTGATAGTTAGAAATCAGCCTTCCCTGAGACAGTTCTAGCCGAATTTTCCATTCAGTAACATTACGAATGAGTGGTTTGGAGAGTAAACCACCCAAAGTATTCATTGACAGTACAAAACAACTAAACAACTGCAATAAAGAACGATCAGCTTCTCACATAATCTCCCGCCTCGCCACCAAGCATCGATCTGGATGACCTAATTCAGAGTCTCATGCATTTCTTCGGCAGCTTCGCATGCTTGTTCCGTTTTGAATGTTCTTCTGTGGCTTTTACTGCATTCCTAAGAATTACGCAGCACCTCCGGTCCGCTCCAAGTTGCCGATTTCGGACTATCCCGGGGCATTTGTAATCTCTCCTTTTTACTGAGGAGATATTGACCGCATTGCCACATGCCGCACAACGGACCTCATCGTCGCGTTCGGCTTGCTTGGGCTCTTTCCAGGTGCTTGGTACGTCACCTGACCGAAGTCTTCGCTCAATATCTGCTACAATTTCCTCTTGCAACTTGTCCATCTGGTGCCATGCTTCTGTCAAATCCCAGCTACAAGGAACTATCTTACCGGTCGTTCTACTTCTCATGGGAATGAGACACATTTTCCCACGTTTTTCAATCTTTTCCATATACTCATGCTTTCCGCAGCCACCACAACAGACTAAGCCCATTAATATCTTATCCTCCTCGCTCAATTCACTCGCCAACAACATATTAGATTCCGAAGCGAAAGAAGCTGAGTTGATTATCCGAGTAGGTATGTTAATCTGGTGGTGGGTCTGAGTTTTGAGGATGTGGTATTTCGCAGGAGAGGATATCTATTATATCCTCATACGTTTCTTTCAGACGAGGGAGTTACTATTTACGCTACCAAGAATCATTCTCTGTGTATCTGTACGCCTGTACTATTACAAGAACAGATATGACTTGCTGCTCTATATTTATAACAAAGACCACTGTTACTTTGTCGTCTGGGGACAAAGCTGTGGCTCTGTCAAAGAAGTTCATCAAAACCACGATCACATCGTAGAGCATATATCTCGAAGAGAGCCTTACAAGTAGAAGAAGATTAGACAAGTATTGATTAGCAGTACTAGTTTAAAACTACGTCATTTCTTGCCTGTTACAAAAATCACGCTGACCGAACTTGGGCATCCCAACGTGCACTCGTGTAAGTACCGTTCTAACATCCTGTGATTCTTTCCATCATGTCACTCAAAGATATTCAAATCGATTTATTATTAGAGATCGCATGTCCAATGGTTTCGACATTTACTTTTGTTGAAAACTTCTAATCTTGACCCAGCGTTGTGGCTGAAGTCACGCATGAGTACTTTATCTGGCTCGGGCTATGCGGTTCCACAGAATTCGCATAGGAGAAAGGCAGGGTCAAGCAGTATATCCCGGATCCCTGAAAGAACTTCCTTGGCTGTCTCAACCACAACATTGATGACCTTGATCCTCACCTGAACCGCTTATTGTACGACATTTCACTCATAACCTGAGAACTAAGGTCATACCCACAGCGCGACATTCCTCCGCCGTTGTCGTAGTCGAATATCAGTTTCGGGCACATGAAGCCGAACAGCCTCAGATCAAAGATGGTATGTACTTTCTTGCATTTAGGACATGTGGTCGTCGCGTTTTCGTGGATAGAAATAGGCACATCCCATCCCGGCATGCTGACCTTCAAATTTGAATGGTAATGGCGTGTCAGCTTAGGTACTGATTATGGTTGTAATGATGGTCTTGTGCGTTTGTATGGTTGTACGAGATGCCTTTGGAGTTGTTTCAGAGTAGTTGTGGTCGAATGATCTGCTTTGAGACGAAACAGGACTGAAATGGCGGCGTTCACATCTGTTTTATAGATTGAGGCTAGGAAGGTGAATGATCAACAGCTAGGTCCCCTTCGAATTTTTAAGGTTAAGCATTGGCCATCGAGCCTCTTCTGACAACAAAGAGTCTTTGTTTGGGATGGAGTACAATGATTCACCGCGACCACATCAAAGAGCGCTGGAGTAGAGCCGCGTGGGAATGGTGCTTGCAAAGAATTGCTGAATAATTTAATTGTCATCGCATGTGCTATCCTTGAACTTCCCGGTATCGTATCCTGTGCGAAAGACTTTTCCAAATACGCCATTAGTGATGACTCTTCAGCTCCTTCACATTTCATTGTTTCCCTAATCCTTGGCCAATGAGCAGCTTTCAATATAGTCTGAGTTCTGAAGCTGTACCCTACTCACAGCGGTAACAACCAAAGTTATGTTGAAAATGTTCAGCCGGAGCTCAGTCGCATTCAAACCGCCCTTGTCAAAGTCCCTGCATCCGTAACTGGGGTCCAGTGAGCCAAAGCATAGCAAAACCTGGTATGTGATTCCCTAGCGTCAGGCACTTATTCGTCTCATCGCCCATTGCCTGAGAAATAATTTGAATGAATTCGCTACAGCGAGACAAATAATCAAACGACTCATGCCAGAAATTGCATGACTACTTATTAGCTGAATAGGAAGAAGTTTTACGGCAGTTTTCTTACCATGCAAACCAGTTGGCTGCGGTTGCCAGCCCTCTGAGCTTCAGGGTACAGTAAAGGCAAACACTTGATGAATCAGGAAAAATGAGGGTGGGATTATCCTCTGCATAAACTATGCCGCAGTGATTGGTTGGGATTTCCCAAGTGTGCATTCAGCTGAATTATGGGGTGGAGAGCTCATCCAATGAAACCCGTGCTGAATCATACGAACTGCATCACGCAGATGCCTCATTGGCTTTGGAGGTGTAGCAGCTGAACGTTCACATCTTGATTCCTTCAAGCTGCCATTTCATGACTATTCTGTAGTTTCTGGTTTATAATTTCTGTGCGATCGAATATCCATGGATTTCTTTTTACCAGACCGCTTGGTGTGCCATGGGATGGTCAACTGCACGTCCACTGATGGAGTTATTGACGGTGACCCTGATATTGCAGGAATTGGTGTTAGTTTCCCAAATTTTACAGTAGTAGCCTCGTGCTAATGACGAGCGTAGTTAATTATTGCATTCATTGCGGCATCTTTGATCACCTTCATTTCCGTTATCCTAGGCTACGTCACCTACTCGATTGACGAAGAGCAGCTAAATTATGTCGACTCTCTCGTCATTCCACATATCAGGTGGTTGCTTCACATGGGAGCGGGTGATACAATCAGTGTTGCGACGAAGAAATTGAGAACCGAGACGATGACCCAATTCATACTTGCTCTAAGTGATCAACAACTTGTGACAGGACTTGCAATTCTGATCACTGGCTACGCTCAACGATGTACGATATCAGGTCATCATTTCCAGCTGATCGCAAATCTGGCTTGGTTCTCCTCTACCACGCATCTATCGACACTTGCAGTACTACAGAAGTATTTGATTCGCCATCCAGTGATAAAACACATACGAGTGGTCTGCATTTTTGCTGTTCTGGGTTTACTTTTTCACGCTCAACTGTACGTTCAATGGGCTGTCTTTGCGTCATTGCCCATCCAATGCACTTTTGCTTCCAACATTTTCGGAATTGGAGGCGGCTCGGTACTGGCGGCGTACAATTACATATCGTGGTTCGCTATTGTGCTCTTCTTATTCGTGGCATATGCAATCAGACTCATTCGTCTGTATGCCAACCCACCTATAACTTCGATACGAACTTTGTTTGAGGACCTTGTCCGTCGCGTACTAGATCTACCACCCCTGAAGACACCAGAGCAAATTTTCCTGCTTTCTTTGAAAAGATTTGAAGATATGGAGAACACAGTAAGGCGACAACATCGTTGGCAGATGGGCCGTGTCAGGCTAGCGCGCGTCCGCTATGTCCTGAACATGTTTCATGGACTCGTTCTGGTGGCAAATAACTTGGATGTTCTTTGGGAATTCTTTTGGATTGTTGCAACTATGTCGGACTCGCTTTGGGCCCTCTCTGGGTACAGAAGGCCTTCATATCAGAGGATCGGAGAACACATGGGGGTTTGGTCAGCTTGTAGCCCTCTTGCTCATGATCCTACCATTGCTTGCAGCGGTTGAGGCATTTGATGGTAGGATAATTCTTCATCTACATCCTAATCTCAAAAGAACTCTCTTGTGCTGAAGCTTATCATTCATAGCTCTCAAGACTTCAATTGCAACTGAGGGCTCACAACCAGTAACCAGCCAAAGCATTCAGGCAGACAGCAATCTTTCTGCAACTTTGTTCCACACATCAGGGACTCGAACTACTATTATTCCGGCTCTAGAGGTCCAGGAATTTCTCGCAACTCACGATATGGACGACATAGGCGTCATTTGGGCAGCTTTTCTTGTCGTGTGGGCCATTCTTGGGCCTTTTATATACTTTGCTGGATGGCAAAATGTCAGCACCTTTCCTTCGTTGGCTGCTGTGATTGCTATCATAGTTGGTGTTGGTACTTTAACCTTTTTTTATATTTACGTCAACTTAGAAGAGATAATCAGTGATATTTTAGCACAGATGAAGGAGAAGCGCCAAATGAGAGCAGTTATTACTACGGAAGAACTACATTTAAGGGCAAGAGAAGCAGGATTGTAGGATTACTATAACGCCGACACCCTTGCTCCTTCTCTTCTGTGTAGTTTGTTCGTTAAAACGGAAAATGAGACACCAAGAAGCTGCCTCAAGGTCCTTTGCTTTTTGATTCTGGAGATACATGCTGTGCCCATACGGCATTGGTCACACTTCAAATCCAGGTGGTTCTCCTTATCAAGAGTGCAACCAGTGACTTGTCATACTCGAGGGTTTTTATGGCCCATGGAACTATGGTTCATTATTTTTCGTCCCTCTGTTTTAGGAGTCGAGGTACGCACTTGAAGGGACTAGCCGCTTGAGATCACTTTCCTCCCTATCGATCTCGACAGTTCCTTAAGAAAGGGGGGGGGGGGGGGGGGGGGGGGGGGGGGGGGAAACTCCTGATTTTTGAACAGTTGCTCATCGATCGCCTCGCTGCCAAAGTTGCTTTCTCATCGTGACCTTGTGATGTAGGATCGGTTGTGAATGGTACGACATTGGCTAAAAGAAGACTTGAGGAGGCTGAGAAGATCGAAGTCGACGTGAAGCAATGGTTCAAAAGTAAACTTGGAAAGAATCCTCTCAGCTTTTGCGAGCCTGGAAAACCATGGTGCAAGCAGTTTGGAAATAGGGTGCTGGAAGGAGGAAGAAAACAGAGAGTTTGATTGGTAAGATGAGTGCAATAATGGAGGATATGAGGGGGAGCATGTGTGAGGTTTATCGAAGAGATGAGATAGAGCGTTTCATATTATGGAGGAGAGTCTGGAGAAGTGGGTCATGGGAGCTCGAGTTTGAGACTATCCAATCAAAAATCAAACTGCGCATTTGCAGTTGGTGTCTCCATTTCCATACCACCTCAGATTGTCCACTATGACATGCTCAACAGTATATGCTTCCGTCCAGTCATGGATCCTGCCGAAATGTTGAGAACAGTGAAATGTTCCAATAACCAACATGACCCCTTGGTGTTCCTCTGTATTGTTGCGAGTCATACTTACAACACTTGTAATCATCAAGCACCTGATTTAGCAGAAACTTATTACGGTTCATTGCCACTGCCCACGAAAAGCTTAGACTCACGAATGACTCAAAGGGTCATTTGATATCTGGGGAAGCCAGATGGAACGAGCTACCGATTATAGATACTTCCTTGTATGAAGAACATCCTGATTTTGCACCTAGAAATTGGCTGGGTATTGGCATAGGTTTTTCTCAAGAATTTAGGCCAACTTCTGTTTGAGGACTCAAGACCGCCATCACTTTAACAAGAGTCTTTATCAAAGCAGCATCTTAGAAGTAATCGGGAGCTACATCATGCTTCCGGCTACCTGGCACTGAACCTACCAAGGTACTGTCTCCGCGATTGGTCGATGCTGTCTTTAGGGTAACCTTAGGTCTCTGCGGGAACTCGGATCTTTCCTTCACCTTCCACTTCTTTTCAACGCGCTTTTTGAAAGTTTCAGGATCAGACCATTCCTCTGAGGCGCTCTCCGAGTCCACAAACGCATATCTTGGTGCTCTCGGATTAGTGGGCCGTCGTATCGAATCTCTTGGTGGAGGCTTATTGCTGTAAATTCCACCAAATATAGGATTTGATGAAGACTTGGGATAGCTTGTTTGTTCCATTGAATCTCGTGGGGCAGATAGTGGAAAATCCTGAAGAGGCGGAGGCCAATACGGTGCGTATACTGAAGGAGGTGGCGGAGGTACACTGTAGGCATAACTACTCATGGTGTGTGAACTGCGATTGCAAGTGGGGCAGGGCTGGACGGGGTCAGGAAGTTGTAGAGAGCTGGGTGGTGTTGGAGATGGCAGCTGGTTATGAGGAGGCCAGACGCGCATTGTGATATTCATCCCTGGACGAATGAAGCTGATCCAAAGACTTGGGAGGATGACAGTTTCGTTGATGTCGAAAAGGCGATATCGGCCGTCGTTAACAAAGGAAAGTAGCTCTTTATCCATCGCCGAAGCTTCTTGGATTAACAATTTGATTCCCTGTGAATAGTATCAGAATATTTCATTCAGTAGAGACAAACAGCTGGGGAAGCCTACTTCCCATGTTTGACACTTCCAGAATGGGAAGAGAAATTTGTGGCCATTTGGATCCAAGAATTTTATAGGCTCATCTGAACTCTCGGCCGACAGAACTGGTCGCTTCTCTTTCAACTCTTCAGCCGCTAGCTTCTGTGGAGAAACTTTTGTGGCAGGAAAAGCCTCAACCTGGTCTTTTGCCGCTACTTTCTCGGGTACCTCCTGAGTTTGGATAGCCAGATTGCCGGAGTTCAAAAATCCAATGAACGAGTAAGCCACATGGGCAGGGAGAATATTCCAGAGAGCAACGGACATGCTCAGGAGCAACAGGGTTGAATAACTTCTATAGACCCCATGAATGGTGACTTTGTTCGCAGCATCTGGGATATTACGGAACCACTCTAGCCAAGGTTGCTGTCGCTTTTGACTTTCTCTATCATCATCATCGGCAAGATAATCTTCTTCGAGGCGAACACTGATGAGAACTTGGGGATAGTGAGGTAGGTTAGGGTCTTTATAATAGTTACTAGGCATTGAGTTATTCCCTAGTGCGCTTCCAAGAGATTGTTTTTCGTGAACTGTCTGCCTCATTGAGACGCCTGGCCGAAGCGGTGCCAGCATGATGCTGCGATTTGGTCTCTTGGTTGTCAGAAGACAGTGTACTGGGGTCCTTCGTTTGTGACATTCGTATCTTGGTTGACCCTTCTCATCAACCCAAACATTACCATTGGGCTCCCGCAAGAGCTTAGGCTTCCAATTCTTCAATGAGCCTAAGATCTTGCTGTGTAGTTCGGCTGCATAGAATGGAGCGCCATTGAAGGACTCCTCGAGCTCTTGGATAAGAGCATTGGTAAATGAGTGAGGTCCAACTGCTGGAGCCTGGGCTTCGAACCCGCATGCAGCGATGACTTCAGTTACGCCTTGACCGGCACCATTCACAGCTGGATGCGAAGCATAACAACAATCGTAGAGCAGTAATACATCCGAAGCCGCTTCTTCGAGGACTTGTTGTACACCAAATGACGAAAATTTGACCGATCCGGGTTTATCCGTTCTTGAAGCCATCAGCCCAGTCACAAGTCGTGTGATGTTCATATACTTACGCCGCCCAGACTGCTGGACTGTTACTCTGCTGAGTCAAAGCCGCATGTCCGCCATAGTACATTATGATCAAGCTATCGACACCACATTCTGAAATCAAAGACGATACCTTGGAAACCGTCACTCTCGCCGGGGACTGGCTAGGGATCTTGAAGCACTGGACATCGAAATTGTACAAACGCGAAAATACCGTTTTCAACCTCAGTAGTTCTTGCTCGACTCCCAGGTTATCTTCTTCCCAGCTCATCAACAGTACTCGAACCTCCTTATATCGAGGATAGTTTCGACATGTCCATAGCGCGTCGACACCATCTTGAAGATCGCGCACAAACTTTTCGAGTCTTATGTGCTGATCAACCAGCGAGATGTCGTGGGTGTTGAGCTGGATGAAACCGTTATTAAGCAATTCAATATCTTTGTCGTCCAGTGACTCTTCCTCGAAGTTCGGCGTTGTTGGTGCCGTTGAAGAGGAAGGCTGCTGCGAAGTGGATTGACTATCGATGTCTAATTTAGCAGACACGACATCTTCTTCGTTCACCTCTTCCTATACACAATCAATTCAATCCGGCCAGATAATCGTTATTCTGACCTACCGCGACAGTTGTCTCCAAATCTGGGATTTGAGGGGCTAGATCACCAGGCTTTTCTACCACGATATTTGGGACGTTGGAGGGCAGGACATTCGTGTTCGCGGCCAAAGATTCATCCTTAGCTGTGGTCTCGTGCTTCGCAGAGTCTGGATTTACCACTGAAAGAGGCATTATCAACAATGAAGGTATCCACAATTATCTGTTAAGTTCCGTTTCAATTGTTCCAACATGAGGTGTGTCAGATTTTGGCAGGCAGAAGCAATTCAAGATTGACATTAAGCTAACTCCAATTGGCATCATCGGTACGCAAAGCAGGCTGTGGTACATTGTGGCTGCGATCGGTGAGCACATCCAGCTACATGCATCTCGGCTCGTTCTTCACCGATGCGGATGGTGACACAAGATCAGCAGGCTCGCTAAACTATTCTACGATTTGATATCAGAGCTCTTTACGATGTTACATCACTGCAGACGAAGTACTCTCAACTTGTAGCTCTGCGGATCGGGACAAGTTCAGGTGCCAGGAAACTCGGGTAACAAAACAAAAACTACCAGTCGATGTCAAAATCTGAGATTGAAGCTGGAGACTTCGACACCGAGTGAGTATTTCGACTTATATAGAGAAGCTCGTGGCACATATACGAGTTACCTTGCTTGGAAAGAACTTTTAAGATCACCCAAGAAATAAAAAAGCTGGCATCTCCAATCTGGAATGATTTGACAAGGACTCTACAGAGGGGGTGGGTTTGGGCAGACACAGACTGCACTTCCTACTGTCGCTATCTGTAAATAGGTGTTCCTTGCTTGTTTTTGTTTTGATCTGAAAGAATGGACATAGTTGCTCGTGCAGCGCCATTGTCAGGTTCCGTAATTGGCATTTGTTCCGAGCAATAGCAAGTTTTTTGTTTTTAATCTAGATAGCGGTCTACATTTATTTAAGCTAGATTCTCTAATATTTTTTGTTTTTTTATTTCTCTGATATTTAAAGGGTTTTCGCACATTAAATTTAACATCTAGACTCTGTCCGTACTTCCTGGCGTTTCCCCTTCGAAATTCGCTCTTTCTCTCTCACATTCCATCTTTCTCTCCGTTCAAAGTCTCCTTCAAGGCAAGGTCTCCTCCTTGTTGTCCTTTCTCCCTCTCCCCTTTTCTGACCTCCCCCCACCTTTTCTCTTTCTTTATTCCGAGTGTTCCAAAGGCACATGTAGTGATTTTAACAGTAGAGGATTTATGTCTTTAACTCCATGTTTGCTTCAGCTAAAACATAGAAAGTCCAAGCTACCTGACTTATTGATCCTTAGTACGCTGATCTCTGTTTGTTTCTAAACAAAATTACTACAGATGTTGTGTAAGTTTTGTCTGCAATTTCCTACTAAAACAAACGCAGACAAAATACAAACAGAGTACAGTCCTTGGCCCCACCAAAAAAACCCCTAGAGAGACCTCGTATCCTCCAAGATCCGTCTCCAAAGCTCTAAGGAATCAGCACTGCGGCAACAATCATATACTAGCCCCTTGAGATACGACCCAACCCTTCACTATCCCCTATCCTATCAAATCCTCTCCCATATTCACCATCACCCCCTCGCCCGCCCGCACCACACCACTATCTCAACCCCTATTATTTACCTCCGCGCAACACGTCCCCAATCCCCCAACATAAACTCACTATTACGCCTTGTACTTCCTACATTCTCTCCACCCCCTCTATCTTCTCCCCTTCCAACCCCTCTACCCCCTCTACCCCCTCTACCCCCTCTATCCCCTCTTTCCCCTCCCCCTCCACTCCCTCCACCTCCACCTCCACCCCCACCACACCCATCCTCCCTCCCATTTCCACCATTTCTCTTCTCCTTCACTCTCCCCACCTCCACCGCTCTCTCCCTCTCGCGTTGGACTTGCACGAATAACTTCTCTCCGCAGGGCTTCTTCCCGGGGAATATGAGGCGAGAGACTTGTCCGTAGCAGGACCAGTTGTTTAAGCGGAGTTTGGAGATTTCGAGGGGGGTGGTGCAGTGGTGGCAGGTTGTTGTTGGTGGTGTTGGTGGTGATTTTGGTGTTGTTTGGGAGGGAAGTGGGGGTGGGGACTTTGGGGGGAATCTTGGGGGAGGTGAGGGATGTGAGGTGGGAGCAAAAGGGAGGGGAGGAGGAGGAGAAGAGGTGTGAGGAGGATGAGGTAGAGGTTGGGAGGGTTTAGAATTTGATGTTGAGCGTGGGTGTGGGTTTGAGTGGCCCATGATGAGATTAAGTGAAAAGTAGTGAGTATGAGAGAGGGGCCTGAGATGGTGATGAGATTCTCTGTTGTGCGCTGTGTATTGCTCTGACGATGAGAGGTTTCTTGAATTGACTCAATATCGAATTTTCAAGTGGTGCTGTGAAGTAAGATGACCGGTTGTTAATTCTTCTGGGGTTGGAATACTCGATGGGAAAGCAGATCTGAGCAGTTAGACTTTAGAGGAACAAAGAGTTCTATTTGTGAACAATGAGGTTTTGTGATTCAGCGGGGGTGAATGATGGGTTGGGATTCACGACAAAGAAGCGGAGAAATTGTGTTTACTGGAGCTATTTGTTCTGGCTTGAGACAAAGTGAATGATACGACAAAGAATTACCATCAAAGCTGGCTATTTGGTCGGACATTGCCATATTGTTCCTTGTCTCTTTTGACAGACGACCATAGATATCACTCTATACGTGTCACGCTTGTCCTTGGAAGCTCCTGGCTCTCATCTATACACTACAAAGACATAGGAAAGACATGTTTCATTTATGGATTCAACAGGTCGTACAAATATCATAGTAAAGCGATCCTCTCTTACTCCGCGGCCCGTTTGTTGTTTGGTTTTTTGTTGTTGTGCTCGCTTAATCACTTAATATCATCACAGCGACGCTCCATCCTGATAACAGGGAGTGATTTCTTTCCATTGCGCGACAGACTTGCCTCTAGTATCTAGTATCAATCAACCAGCCATCTTTACCTTTTATTTTCTCAAAAGGAATGGAGATCTCGTCAAATGTCTGTTGTCAAGAGTGAAATTCCTAGGTAGAAAATCAATTGACGTTGAAGTGGATGTTACAGTAAAGTGCAGTGAAGAGAAGAATATTAATATGACAGCTCTATTTTTAGCATCGGGATATTTCCAAATCATTTAGACCCGCTAAGATGATCCCATCGATTTTGAAAGACATTCTGGAATGTGGATGTGGGGCCGATGAGGCTAGAACTGTGGCTAGTAAACCGTCCACCCCTCCTCCCTCCTCCCTCCCACATCAGGTCATCATCACCCTCTTTGTTCTCCCTCCCTCTCTTCCTCTCCGTCTAGGGATGCCGCGCAAAGAAAACTACAAATTGAAGCTAGCCGTCACAGCATCGTGTAATGGTTATGACAACAGCACAGCATGTAACGGATGACGGATCGACTTTGCAAAGCTACCCTGCCATTGCCATGCTTGCACGCTGCGTTGTGATAACCCTGGCCGCCGCCGCCGCCGCCCAAACGGCAGACAGGCGCGCTTCCGAATGGGCGTGCAAGCGCGGAACGGAAACATAAGTTACTCTGGTATGTGAGGCTGGATCATTTGGATGGCTTTTGCTGGGTTGTTGGAGGCTGTTTGACTGACTAGGTTGGGGAAGTGGTGGTGAAGTTTGGTACGGAGGGTGGGAGGGTATTGGATGTGCTCGGTGTGGGGTTGTGTACGCCACGCTTAGGTAGGTATGGAAGGGAGCCGAGAGGGAGAGGAGGGGTGATGAAAAGATCATGTCACTCGGTATCCTGTTTGTACTGCGGGTTGCGAATGGTTGGGGAAGGAAGGGTAGGTAGGGTATGTAAGTATATTGAGTTCTCTGGTAAGTTATCGATTTGTATGAAGTGCGTATGAGGGGTCTATATTTAATATGTAAGTGAGGACGGCCATAGCGAGTCCGGGATGCCGGATGCGGTATATTTATTTGTAAAGCATGAACGAACAGCTGTTTGCGTGTGTACTTACACGTCATCAAATAGGAATAAGTTGCATTTGCTTCCATTATCCGAATATCTCGACTGCTAGAATTTCACACTGCACTGTGGGAAACAATTAAGCTTTAGCCTGCCTGAGACCCTCCCTATCATTGTGTGAGGAGAGTACCCGACCCAGCCTGACCTGATCCGACACAACAGCCGCATCCCCTCCCCCACTTCGGTACAAGCTTCAGCCCATGAGGCGTGACACAATTGAACTAAATTCCAGGCAGAAGGAAGGGAAATTCTCTCCTGTACCTTCGTAGGTATTTACAAAGACACAAAGAGGCGATTTGGTATCTTAAATAGGGGACTGAAGTAATCTGTAAATAGTAAGGAGGGGGCATGACGAAGAACTATCCGGGTACAGTACCACTAGAAAGGAGGAGTGAGAGGCGAGGGCGAGGTAGCTTATTGCCGAGACATTTTAATCGCGCATTCACGCATTCAGGTCTCAGGACTTGGATGCGAAGCGAGGCGAGGGAATTTAGTAATTGGGTGCAGAGGTACGAATCAGGTCAGTCAGGCAGCTGGACTCCCAATCGTGGTGCAGTATTGCATTGTATCCAATTGCCTTGTATTGAATTCGTTTACAGTCGAGACGGTATTGGTGGTGGAGGCGAGAATGCCTCAAAGGGAGTGAAGAGAAGAGGAGAGGAGAGGCATTTATTTGTTTTATTTAATTGGAGTTGGGGGATTGGATAGGATAGATGGAGAGTGAGGTGATTGGAGAGTTGAGATGGGTTTCTCAAACGGGGACGGGGTTTGATACTGTACAGCAATGCGTGCGGAGTGGACTGTGGACTGTGGAATTAACCCTTGTGAAAAGAGATTTGAGATCTGAGGTGTGAGGTGTGAGGTGTGAGGTGTAGCTGGTCCGTGATGTAAAGCATTTGCGTTCTTACCGGATTCTAGGGCTTGCGCGAGTAATTGTTTGGTATGGGAGGGAAAGGGTTTGATACACTGAATTGAATAGGGGGTTATGCAGATGGAGATGCAGGAGTAGATATAAGGGATAAACTTTTGTGGCTGGTCCGTAGATTTAATTTGGCGCGAACACGAGTAAGGATGAGAGGGGTGAGGCTTTTGTTTCTACGTGGATGGTGCTTGTAGATTTGTGAGGCTGTCTGAGATTGGAATGGAATGCTTCTCCCGCGGCTTCGGTATTTGGGTGGGTGAGATTGAGTTTGGGAATGACGGAGGAGTAGGTTAGTTTGGATGGGATGGGATGGGATGGGATACTGTATGATGATGAGGTGATTGATTGATTTATTGATTGATGGATTGATTGCCTTTATAATTTAATGTTGGCATTTTGGAACAGGCGATTGGTAGGTCGTGTATGGGTGAAGCTTATCGCCGCCCTGGGATTCAGGCGTTCGGGTTTTGTCAGGTCTCACGAAATTAAAAGTCACAAAAAGGAAACGTATTTGTTGGCAGAAGGCGTTTTGTGTTTTTTGGTGAATGCCATGAGTGGATTTGACGAATGTGATGAAAACCGAGGAGGCCGCTGATGGTGAAGTTCAGCAGAGGAGAGTATGGCAAGGCGGAGGGCGTGGTAGACTTGCATACTGGTGCGGGCTTGGGCTCGGCTTCCTGTTCGTTGCTTGCTCTGTGTGTTGTATTGTGTTGGGTACGGGTTGGGCTGGACGGGAGGCGAAGAGGCAAGGCTGTGGATTTGACTGACAGCTGTGGTGTAGCGGTGCAGTGCGGTGTTTTTGGTGTTTGGTGTTCGGTTGGGCCGGGATGCGAGGAGGAGGAGGAGGGGGTTCGGTGAGGGAAGGTGGGGGAGGATATACTTGAGAGGGGGAATGCGGTATTATAGGTCATAAAGGAGAAATATATAGGGGAAAATATGAATAGATATATGATATGTTGTGCAGGTACCTAGGGACAAAGAGTCTCCAACAACAATACGATAGAAGAATAAACGCATGAATACCCAGCAATTCTAGATGTACTTCGATATCGGATATTCTATTCGAAGCCCAGCCACCTACTCTTCTCTCCCTGTTTTGCCCCGAAGTAGAAGCAGAAGACCAGACCAGACCGTCGGCAGTCAGCTGCAGCGCCTTTGGCTTGTCATTTGTTCAGCGGTCTTTGCCCCTCTTTCAGGCCTCTGCATCAGGCTTTCCGGCCCCTATGCCAAGCCTCCCACAGCCTGAACCGACAAGGGAATCGTAGTGCAGGCGGAGCATTTTCAAGCTTGATGCGGACCACTGGAGCCACTCGACTCTCGAGCCACTGTCGGCTGAGGTGGGGATGGGATGTGTGAGAGGGTGAGGATGAGTGATGAGGCACCTCAATGCCATTCCTACCAGGCCATGCCATGACCTGACGAGGCGGCGGCGGCGGCGGCGGCTGCCTCACTCGAAAGCCTGGAAACACCTGCACACTCTCATACAGTAGCTGAATAATACATACCGAGCCTTCCTTGCCTTCCTTGCCTTCCTTGCCTAGATCTTTATGCCTTCCCTCCTGCTTGGATCTTACCTTGCCTGCGGCCCAGCTGAGAAGGTAGTATACAGTCAGTCATCTAGATCAATGTCTCAACCTCTATACTATACGAACATAACAATTGAATTTATCCTAACTATTGATTCAATTCAATAAAGAAAGAGGCATTCCGGCATCAGAATAGCTACTCTCGAGTCTCGACTGATTGCAGTCAAAGCAAAGCAGGGCGGCGTCGATCATTCACGCTCCGACAAAGACCGCTCTAACCCGCTTCCGGCCTAGCGCTTAAAATCCAAGCGACTGAGCCCATCCATCTTCAGGACCTCATCGACTTGATCATCGACGACTCTCTCTCCCCGCTACAACCACAGCTTCAACCCGCCTTTCTCTCCCCAACGTGTGACCATTGATCTCTTGACGCTCACTCTGCAAAGAGGGCCGAGAGAATCATCTCACGCTTCGAATACACGGCCCAGCACCCCGTCTTCAGCCCACGAAGACCCCAAAGACACGTTCACGGTCGGCACCTGCAGCCTGAGACCTCAATCCTTGGAGCAGCAACTCAGATAGGTACGTACCAACACACACTCTCTCCCCTACTTCAGCACACCTCGACAGCATCAAGCTACACCACCGATATTATCGTCTGCCAAACAGTGGCGTCTGCTGCTCACCTTACACTACGACAAGCCGCTTACGACACCGCTATATGTATCAACCTCACCGCTCCGCGTTCCAGACTACGAAGCTTGATCTTTCAACAACACAACAACTAACATCTTCTTCCTCCTAGTTCCTGCCTCCCTACACACCTCCTCGACCACGAGCCCCTTCGTCGATCGATAATCAATTCCCTCAACAACCATCTTCGACTCGTGTATCGGTCCGCCCGATACCCAGAGTCCATAGTTCAAGCAAGATGACTACTATGGTGAATCCACCCGCTTCCAAGTCGAAATCCAATCCTCTGGTTTATACTCCCTTTCTTCAGCCTCCCACGAGCACCTTCTTGTCTACATATACGCTGGCTGCCTTGGATCAAAGATAGTCGAGTCGAGATCATCGTCTCAATTCTGATATCCACTCAGCCTCGTGCTTTCCCCCTCTTCTTTAGCATACCACAATACAGTTGCACACATCACCTGTATATTAGGATACTAACATGTTCTCGCAGGATCTTCGCGTTGGTAACAAGTACCGTATCGGTCGTAAGATTGGTAGCGGTTCTTTCGGTGACATCTACCTCGGAACCAACATTATCTCCGGTGAAGAGATCGCCATCAAGCTTGAGTCTGTCAAGGCCAAGCACCCTCAACTCGAATATGAGGCCCGCGTATACAAGTCCCTCGCTGGTGGTGTCGGTATCCCATTTGTCCGCTGGTTCGGTACCGAGTGCGACTACAATGCCATGGTTCTCGATCTGCTCGGACCCAGTTTGGAGGATCTCTTCAACTTCTGCAACCGAAAGTTCTCCCTCAAGACCGTCCTTCTCCTTGCCGATCAGTTGATCTCCCGTATCGAATACATTCACGCCAAGTCCTTCATTCATCGTGATATCAAGCCAGACAACTTCTTGATGGGTATCGGCAAGCGCGGCAACCAGGTCAATGTCATTGATTTTGGTTTGGCCAAGAAGTACCGTGACCCAAAGACTCACTTCCACATCCCATACCGTGAGAACAAGAACTTGACCGGAACTGCTCGTTATGCTTCCATCAACACCCACTTGGGCGTCGGTATGTACCTCCACATGCACTTCCAAAAATAATTGCTAACTTCGCGCAGAGCAATCCCGTCGTGATGATATGGAGTCTCTTGGATACGTCATGCTCTACTTCTGTCGTGGCTCTCTTCCATGGCAAGGCCTGAAGGCTGCTACCAAGAAGCAGAAGTATGATCGTATCATGGAGAAGAAGATGACTACCCCAACCGAAGTCCTTTGTAGAGGCTTCCCCAACGAGTTCGCCATCTACCTGAACTACACTCGGTCCCTCCGATTCGACGACAAGCCTGACTACTCCTACCTCCGAAAGATCTTCCGTGATCTCTTCGTTCGTGAGGGTTTCCAGTATGACTATGTCTTCGATTGGACCGTGTACAAATACCAGAAGAATGCCCAAGCCATTGCCCAGGCCGCCGGTCAACAACCCGCCCAGGATGAGGATGAGAAGCCAGGCCGTACCCGTACCAATGCCGCCACCGCTGGAGGACCAACCCCACAGCACGCTTCCAGTGCTTCCAAGCCAGGAGCCATTTCCGGATCCCGCCGCAAGGTCATTGAACGTGGTGCCAGTGGTGCTGGTGTAGACACTCCGGATACCAACAGAGCCGTCGGTGGTAGTGATAGGATGTGAGTGTCTCGCTAGCTCCGGTTCCTTCCTTGTAAGGGAATTTCCTCTTCGCGTTTAGTGTGCTTCGATGACGCTGGCCGCGAGGAGAATGTATGCTGACTGGATGGCTGACGCTATAGTCTCCGCAAATAGGCTGCGCTCTGCCTCGAAAGGTGCAGCAACTGGTCCTGGATATTCTACTGGTTCTTACCGGCCAAAGCGAGAGGAGCAGACTGGACAGCAATGGTATTGATTCATTTCCTTGGGCGATTCTCCTTGACCGGTTTTCGATACTCGATTCTCGACTCGCGGTAGTTTCGTCTTGCTTAATCTCAACTTATTCGCTGACCATGCCTGCTCGTCTCGTTGAGACTGGTGGTATTGGCTCGATATCAAACTCTTCTCTTTATGCTTTTCGTTACGACTTTCGATTTTATGGATTTCACAATGGCTCGAGCACTTCGATATTCGCATGATAACTCACTCCGGTGAGCTCTATCAGCAATGTCAAGGAATCGAACGGCATGCCGATGTCATCACATCCAAAACTTCGGAACATCAATGCAACAAAACGGCTTATTCGATCAGAACAACATCACATCAACATCGACATCGCTGGTTACATTTTGGTCACGAAGCAAGCAGGAACAAGATCAGACAAGCTCGTTTGCTCATCCTGACGACAGAGATCCATCACTCGTCAGCATCAGCGTCCAGAGCAGATCCTCTGTCCCTACCTGAGAACAATGTTTTGCTCATGGTTTCTTTCAAATTTCTTTGTTTCCTTGTGCACTTGACCCTGGGAAAGAGGGGACGTCCGGGGATGTTAATTTTGGGGTGAGGTGGAAATGTTGGCAGAGTTGACATGGAACACGCGGCATATGGCGCCAATGACAAGCATTACCATGGAGGACAACCGGCATTGAAATCAAAGGGGATAGAAAATAGAGTGCAGCTTCTGGGGAGGTTCTTCTCTTTTCTGCATGTTTTTAGCTCATGTTTTTCTGTTTTCGCGCTGGGATGTGGGGAGGGCCTCGAGGAGGAGGCAAGCATCCATGGGGAGGGGAGAGCGCTTCGCCTTAATGAATCATGGCTGCTAATGATGATGTGGTTAGGAGGTCACGGGCTGGGCTACACCGCTTGGTTGTATTCTTTCTCTCTGCATTGTACATAGGCTTTACGCTCACGATACACGCTTGCATTAGTCAATTTGAACATGGCAACCCAAAAATCGATCTTCTTGGTATTTGTGATGTGTAGTATGTGAAGCTGAACCTTTGAAGTATTGAACCAAAATTCCTATCTTGACAATTGAAAATTTAGATGTTTTCGTTTCAGGAATGAGGTAATCGTAGGATCAGAGACTACTACCCTCCGGCAAAGCTGCGCCTCTAGGTAGGGCGCACCAAAAAGCAAACGCGCATCAAAAAGCAAGATTTCTTAGGGGCCTTACTTTAGGGCACCCTAGTCCTAATCGCTGTACCTAAGTCGCTTAATTTTGTACAATTGAAAAGTAACAACAGCATATTTAGTATACTTTAATAACATCTAATTATTATAGTTTTCAAATATAAGTAAGAAGAAGTAATTTGACGGGATTTTATCTAAAAGAAAAAATTAAAAATCTATGTGTTATATTGTAGTTATTAAGTATTTCATAGAATATTACAAGAAAAATCTTGCTTTTTAATACGCGTTTGCTTTTTGGTGCGCCCTACCTAGAGGCGCAGCTTTGCCGGTTGGGTAGGGTCTGTGGTCCTACGATTATGGGGTTCTTCGAGTCTTGGAAGTAGAAGCAAAAGCGAGAGAGGTAGACAAAACCAATACAGTGACTAGGTTACCCTCTTTGGGTTATACATATATCTATCTGCTTAAGAATTCTAGTTGCTCTATTCTATTTCCGTGTAGTCTAAGTTACTTCCACTCTCACTCCGAATCGTTCTTGTCTTAAATAAGAGAATGAAAAGGCCAAGGCAAGGGTAATAAGTGCCTCCCTCAGTATCCAATGCTTTCTTTCAGATGCTGATGCTCTGACGTATCAAATGTCTGTGATGTCTGTGATGTCTCTAGTGTATCTAATGCTCTAATGCTCTAATGCCACTCCCCCGTTCCAGTCTACTCGCTACTCTCCTCTCCTCCTTCTCACTTCTTCCTCACTTCTTCCTCACTTCTAGCTCTTCCATCTCCAACCCTCCAACCTTCAACCTTCAATCTTCATTCTTCAAGATGAGATATATCACCGAACCACCAACCACCAGCCAATAGTCACTAATCACCAAACCACTGTACTATACCCTCCCCAAAACCCAACAAACAAAATGAGGTAGAAATAAAAATTCACCAATTAAAACTCTCCTCAAAATACTCAATGCCAACCCCAACCCCAACTTCACTTACCCCCCTCCCCAACACATCCACAACCGCCCTCCGCGCTTCATCTGCCATTAGGCTGGGTCCGCAGGTTATTACTGCTAGGTTTGTGCGCGCAGATGGATTTGTAGAAGATGTCGATTGGAGTGATTGAGCTGTGTTGAGGATCTCGAGGGGGACGTTGGGCCGGCCCGGGAGGATCGTGAGGTTGAGGGGGAGGGGGAGGTTGGTGGTCGTTTTTTGCCGGGGATAGAGGGGGCAGGAAGAGGAGGTGTTGTGGGTTTTGTTTTTGGTTTTGGTTTTTGATTCCTCGTCCTGGGAATGGATATGGATAGGTGGGTGAGGATCGATATGTGGATCAGCACGAGGATCGATACTAGTATCTCCTGTGATGTACGCTGTTAGGTTAACAGCTATCTGCTGCTCATTAGGAGGATCAGTACCACCGGTACCGGTACCGGCACCGTGATAAGGGCTGCGGTCATCATCTCCATCTCCAAATCCAGCAGAACTGAAATCCTGGCTAATAACGTCGTCTAAAAATGCACGTTCCCTGACAGCCCAGACGATCTTCACACAGCGAGGTGTGGTTGTCTTGGTACTGCCATTACTGTTGCTGTTGCTCTTGCGGTTGTTGGTTAACATCCTCATATACGATAGCGGGACAGCGATTCCTGTTCCGCCTACGATGAAGAGGATGTTGATATAGGTGTTGAGGGGTTGCGTGCTGCCGTAGGGACCTTCGAGGAGAATGCGGTGGGTTGTTGTGTGTGAGTGTGAGGCGAGGCATGAAGTGCGGAGACGGGATGTGAAGCCTGTGTAGGGGCGGATGAGGAAGGTTAGCGTACTGGGTTCGGCGGTCGAGGTGGAGTTGCTGGTTGTAGTTGGAGTGGAGGAGGATGACAGGAGGTGTGCTGATTCGTCATATGGGAAGACGGGAGAAAGTTCTGAAGATACAGTCTCTGTTGACAGTAAATACTGCTGAGGCGGCGAAGTTGCCCTTCGAGGCGGACTTATCGTCCCCAACGACATCGACGACGGATGAGCAGGGGAATACACCACCGACCCCTTCCCATCCCCATCCATCACCTCAGGCGTAGCATACCCCAGTGTAAACGGGTGATTCTCCCAGAACCTCCACCGATCAATCACATAGACATAATAGAACGTCCCTGGTCGAGGCTTAACGAATGATGACGTGTATGTTACGCTCAGACGCACGATATTGGAAGAGGAGGAGTAGGTTACTGTTGCGGTTGTGGCCCAGAAACGGGGGTTGAATGAGAGGATTCGGAGGAAGCGGAGGAGGCGGTCGAGGAGCCAGATTAGGATGCAGGGGTAGATGTAGGTTGTGTAGCCACGGAATATTTCGATGTGGCTGTGAGGAGGGGGTGGGGGTTAGTTGGGAGTTTGAAGAGGGAGTTCGGAGAGGAGTAGAGGGGAAGGGGGAGGAGGACGTACAAGTACATTGTGACGATGACGAGGATCGAGAGGATGATGTGTAGCCAGAGGAAGATTTCGTAGAAATTGCGGCGTAATGGGTAAACGGAGGCGACGAGGATTCCAACCATGAATATAGTAGCCTGTAATCCAAAAGGTTAGATGATCAAGTCTGCATGAGAATAATTTCGAGCAGTGTCTTACTAAGACCCCGTTCACGAAATACCTCCTCTGGTAATACGTGAGGTAGTAAGCCCATGCCTCTGCGACGGATCCTTCTCCTGTAATATCGAATTAGCCGAAACCTTCCTCAAGAGAAATATAGCAAGAAGCTTAAGAATACAGAGCTAACATACTGGCTACTATCATAACAGTGTATGCAAGCGAATGCAACACTGCTTCCAAAGTCGACACCCTGGCAACCCAACGATGGAAGTTATTGTATGTTGCGAAATCCCAACCAGTCAGCCACACCAGGGCGTTATTTCGGATCCCGAATATCCATATAAGAGGCAGATTTGCGGTGGCAATGATTCCTGTCCTGTCGGCGAAGTAGCGGAGACCTTGGTCATATACTCGAGGCCAACTGGTAACGTGTGAGGATGTGCATGATTTGTGTTTGGGGAGAGAAGGGGACAAAGAGGATGGAGGTCAACGTACTAGATGTTATTCTCAAATACTCTATAACTGCAGGAACAGAGAACGATATTGACAATAATGAATGCTCCTATGGCGAGGCTCTGGACGCGAGTGGGGATTGTGCACCATCCGATGTTTTGAGATCGTCTGTGCCCAAATGTCGCCGGGACTGTGATGTGTTGCTTGAATAGGGTATATGTTGTATCGAAGATACTGCTTCTCGACTTCTGGAATGGCTCTTCTATGCCATCTAAGTCATTGCTAAGTAGCTTCTGCCATCTTCTGTTGCGGTTTTGGAATGTCAAGAGGTAGGGGAGGAGATGTGAGGAGAGACCGATGATGATCACAATGGCCCAGAAATAGTACATGGCGCAACTGAAATAGATTAGCATGCTGAACCTTAATAGGATATAAAAGAATCAGTTACCCATATGTATTATGAATTCTGAGTTCAAAATACACAGCATCCTAATGCGAACCTCAAGTCAACACATCGTCACGTGTAAGTGACCTTGGTCAGGAAAGTGGGGGCATACCAGAGTGTCAAAAGCCAACTTAAAGACCTGTATCGAAGGAACAGCGATTTCATTAAACACGAAATCTGCTCCATTGGGAATCTCCTCGACTTGGAGATGTCTCAACCTCTCGATATCTTCATCCGAATATCGATCAACAATGGAAAAAGGCGGAAGTGTGACATTGGATCGGCTCCGACATGTCTCATTCATGCCATTCAATCCCACGATTCTCTCATCCTCTGTACAAAACAAACTCAGACATAAATACAAAGACGGTATCTGAAATTCATTGTCACACCCGGCCTTAGCTCGTAACGTTGACAGATCTGCAGGGGACGAGGATGATTCGTTGAACTTGAAAATCGAGAGAGCGAGTTCGCAGCCTCCCAAGCAGAATTCGGACGGATCCGTTGGCCGTCCCCGTGCGTAGGTGCTCAGGCATGTGAGCAAGATGTAAAGTGGTAGCATGGGGATGGAGAGGAGAGAGAGGTGGTACGGGATCTGTGGTTAGGGTGAGATGCGAAATCTTATCAGATCTTGTCGAAGATCTAATCTGATTTCCAAGGCGGTGAGTCATGGCAGAAACGCAGGCTCGCACCTGAGTGTGAGGTGCGGAGATTTGCTGGGACAATTGGATCTTAAAACTGCCAAATGGAAATCCTACATCTTTTGGACTCTCTAGGCCTTCTTTTGTGATATCCAGACTACGAATAGCCGCCACGGTGGAACCCAACCGCACGTGACCTCGAGTCCCAAAACTACCATAGAGGGGAGCGCGGGACTGAGTACACTATTATACCTACAGTTGTTGCGCAGTCGACAGTTAAGTTACCGTCTGCGGATTGTCGACATTTTTTTAGGTGACTTGTGGCAATTAATTTTGAATTGACTGTTTGAGGACAGTGTACCCAGGGCAGCACTTTCCTTTAAGGTATGTCGGCGGTCAGCACGCTCTTCGGGCCTAGGATTTGGTGATCTTCTGTAGATGCAGTTCAATTTTGGTAGTATATAACGGGCATAAGAGCTGGTTCTCTTAGTAAGACAGTCTTAAAAATGCTTGGGAGGTGACTGTGGGTAGATGGGAGAACAAATGCAGAATATTTTGATAAGTAATGCTCAAGGAGAGAGGAAGTAGATGAGACAAATAACGTGGCTTGCACTCTTGTATGAATCTTGAGGCTATATGAGCTGAAGAAAATGGGTTCTTTTTCTCCGTTGAGGTTATTATCGATCTCGCTTAGAACATATCAACAAACTCCTCACCGAAGACAAGAACACAAATACTATCGTTGTCAATCTAAGTATCAAAAGCTGTTCCATTCAAGTGCAAATCTCCCAACCGAGTCCCCAGGACTTATGATACTCCTAAGTCTCTCAAGGAATACAACGTTACTCTCCTCTAAGCGACCCTCGCTATGTAGAGCGCTCAGCATCTCACGCATGCTAAACAGAGCCGTGAAGCGGAGAGTATCCCAGTCTCTTACCTCGACATCAATATTGAGCGGATCCAGGGCCATGAGAACCTGTCTTATGCCCGTTGAGAGAATACCATATTGATCAGTCTGGACTCTGGAGTTATCTTTCAAGTCCGATGCTTGTCGCTGGTGTTCCGAACATGATTTCAGTGCGGACTCGAGTTGTCTGCGTGCACTATCAAGCTGGTCAGATGTGGCTTGAAGTCCTGACCTCTCAGCCTGCTTTTGTTGCATCTCTTGGCGACACCTCGCTTCGCTCGCGCGGTACTCCCGCGCAGCATCCTGGTGGCGACTGAGAAGTTAGGATAGCTGCAATATGAAAGGTTCAGAGATCTTGGCAGCTTACTCGTATTGGGTCAGCGAGACGGGAATAGTTACGAGATTGACAATCGGTATCCAGAATGTTGTCCAGAAGAACTGTTTGAAGTATTAGCCAGATTAAAAGTGTTCATAACTTATATAACAGTGAAAGGATCACAAACAATTTGATGGCCGTCTGCATCAGCGTCGTGTACCCTCGCACGCTCAGCCATCTGATTGGCCATTCGGGTTGCTTCTGCCAGTTGTGTTTCTAGATTCGCTATGGTTCGCAGGTTCCCTGAAATTCGAGCCTGATTTGCCGCCTGAGCCTGGAGAATAGTATTCTTTGACGTGGTGCACTTTTCAGCATGGCGTGCTGCTCGAGAAGCAAGATCTGCGGCTCTGAGTTGTCTAGACTTAGCAGCCTGACCAGCAGTTCCGATCTCAATGTTCACATTTCGCAGGCTGGCGATGACTTCCTGGAGCAGCCCACAGCTATCTCCAAGGCCTGTTTCTGAGATTATTGACTCTGTAGTGATGGGATTAATTTCGAGCAGGCTTTCAGCTTGTGTCTAGAGAACAAGTTAGCCAGCACGTGAAAAACACCGTCGCGTTGATCTTACAGGAAGTATATCTGGACTTTCTCTTAACAGCATTGTTCCAAGCTCTGGAAGTCTTTGGATGAGACCATTCAAAGCTTGGACATTTGCCTCAAATTGAGCTCCCACCTCGACTTGCTCGCTCTGGAGCCGTGAGACGTCGGTATGGATTGTACTGTTCGTTGCCGCTAGGGCTGATACCTCGTACATTATTGATGACAGAGACTCCATGATCAAAGATTATGAATATTGACTTGGAACCTTGTCGATACTAAGGGCTTGGTGAAGACTTTTTGTCGGAATCGACGGAGATGTGGGCCACCATGTGCTCGGTGACAATTCAAGCCGAGCTGCAATCCTGCGACTATCAGCTGAAATACGTGCTTTAGCATAATTGGTCTACGGCATATTCCATCAACCAGAAAGCTAACAATACACTTGTGCCGGGCGTCGAAAGTTTGACGCTATTTTCCTGTTGTTGCCATTTGCCAGCCTTGCATAAGGCTGCCAAGAACATGAGGCACATTTCCTCGATAGTGTGGAAAGGGCATTAGACTTAGTGTTAATATGAGCCGCTGGCTTGAATTATGCCTTTGCAAGGCGTGTTCATTTCAAGCCTTGCTATCAAACTTTCTGCTGATGAGGCTCTCGTGCAAGGCTCAATCGAGGGCTTCGCGGATATCTACGGGTCACCTATTTACCCCAGCATATAATATCCGCCCTTGGGTCTGGATTTCAAATCCTCTCTGATCCATATTCCGAAAACTACATTTAAAGAGTTTCAAGTCTAATTTACCATGGCCGAGAATCACGACACAGATCAGCAGCAGGCTGTTGCTCGTCGAGATGCTGCGAATCGCGTACAACAAGACATCCGGCTGAGCCTCGGGCAGACTCAAAGCCTTCCCGAGATGCTCATGTCCGCTCCGTTGGCTATCAATCTTCTGGGTCAGATCAAACTGCTCGCTTTTTCGGATCACGCATTACGTATTCAGCGTTTGCAGCCACCCAGGAGCGGATTCAAATATCTTGAGTAAGTCATTTATCGACGCTAAACAACATACTCGCTAAAAAGTGGCCAGGTACGACAGCCTGTCAAGTGCGATGATACAGATCGTCGATCAATCCTCGGATGCGTTCAGTTGCGCCAGTAAGAATATGCGTGCTATCAGGCTGCAATCTGGTGTCATGTTTGGAAGAAACAGCCATGTCAGTAAAACCAAGAAGCTTCCATACTTTCAAAACATATTGATTTCTCTCAGGTACAAGATATTCTCAAATGCCTGCAAGACCCACGTGTCGCCCAACTTCGTCTGAAAGACTCAATGGATAAATTCCGAAATGAGATGAAGAAGTGTGCTATTTGGGCACAAGAAATCGAAGTCGAGTTTGAGAACCTCATCGGCTGCGCGAAAGAAACAAATACAGCTATGGCGCATGAAATGAGTTAGTGTCTAATGCTACCCAAGAACATACACGCTCGTGCTAACAGTTTCAGAACTCACGCAAGAGGAGGAGGAACAGACTCAGAGAGACGCTTGGAAGATAGAAGTACAAGAGAAAACACAACAACTTGCACTAGACTTTGCCAGAAGCCAGCTTGGGGATGCGAAGGAAGAGTTTGAGAAGAGCAGGACCGCATACCAAAAGCAAGCTGACAAAGGAGGTAAGACTCATTTTCCAATGACTTTTAGTCATAGCTAAGATCCTGTTCACAGATTGGTCTGCTTTGGGCCTCGGTATTGTTTCAGATGTTACAAGTGGCGCGACAGGCCTGGTTCATGCTGTCGTTGGAGTTGTAAGGGATGCACCAAAGGTTGCCATCGAAACTGTGCGGGCAGTCAGCGGACGTGCAAAGGGAAAAGAACAAAATGAACCCCAGGAACAACAACCAGCTCCGCTCGGCATCGACCCTGCCTTGCTCGCATCGGAGCAGATTGAGAACAGGCTCAATCAGTTCCGAGATATGTTAAACGAAGATCAGGCTATTTTCCTCCGGAATGGTGCTTCAGATATTCTCGACTTATCCCACCGGCTGCAAAGTATGAAGAATGGTCTCGGGGGTTTCTCAAGCAAGTATACTGTGGACGCTAGGAGTATTTTGGAAGACGCCATTTCCGTTGCTCAATCAATATCGAAAGCCGCAGAAACAACACAGTCGGCAGGTGGATCAAACCTTTCCTCCGAAGAAGTATCCCGTTGGCAACAGACTCTAGATAATTGCATTGGTATCGCTGCTCGAATCAGAGCTTTTGCATCATCTAGGCCAGGCCATGGCTTTGGTAGTACACTGGACTCAGGTCTTGCATCTATCAAACCGCACGACTCAGGGTATATCAAGGTTCTCAAAGCTCGGCAAGAGAAACTCTTCATCCAGCGAGCGAACGTGAACGACGCTCGGGAGCACCTGCGAAGGACAAACGAGAAGCAACTTGCTGCTCAAGCAAAAATCATTGCACTTGCTAAATCCATGAAAGACCTGCAGCACAAGCAAACAACTCTCGAAGAGACTAAAGCTATTCTACGCAAGTCTATTGACGCCATGTGCGCCATGCAAGAGCAGGTCCGCAATCTCGCCGGGTTCTTCAACGCTTTGGCCGAGATCATCACCATTGTCGGAATGGGCCACGCCGAACGATACCTGAACACCATCGAAGACGGTGTTGCGGAGGGCTCCAACAGCTTTGCTCTCATGTACAACGAGTGGCAAGTGAAAGAGATTCGTGAGACCATGATCACACTGCGAGGACATTTTGCATTTGTTGTCAAGTCCGCAGATCTGTACCAGGAGGTTGCAGCAGCGCACATAAATCCATGCTTGCGCATGGCAGCCAATTTGAGAATCAGTGCGACAGAAGCAGAACAGAATGTGGCGAAAGAGAAGCTGGAAAGGGCAGCTATTGAGAGCTCTGAGATGATTCAAAGCATTGCCGAGGAGCAAATGGAGGTATATCGCAAAGAACTTTCTCAACGTGTCGAGGAGATCGAGCATGAATTGAACGAGCTGGATCTACCGCCACTTAACGACCAGGCTGAGTTTGTTGCAAGAATCGAGGAGGGAGTCCAAGAAGCCAGCGACGAGACTGCCCGAGAGATTGCTCATCGAGGCGAGCTTTATGATGAGATTACAGACGAGATCTAGAAATTTACCTCTTTCTGTTGAGCGAAAATTTATTGGAGGTGCTCGAAACTAATGGGTTTACACATGTACTTACTTGCAATGATTGAATTTTAAAGCCTAACTAAAATAACAATTTACACATCTGATGCCTAAGTAGGATTGTGCCACTTTTGCTCATTTTTCCATGCATTGGGAAACTTGATAAGCGATATTCATGTCCTGATCGTTCAAAATACCAGTTCATGTCTCAAGACATTCAAATACTGGAGCTCTCCTCGCCTTGATCAAGCTTTCCACGCCATACGCAAGGTCCAGTAGCTTTTGTTCGGAGTAAGGAATGCCGACAAACTCTAAACCTACAGGCAAACCAGTCTTCTCTGTAAAACCAACCGGAATCGATATAGCTGGGAATTGCAGCTGACTAGCAATACTGGTGTTGGTCGGGAAATGGTATTGAAACCTTGTGCCAAGGACATCGGAGACGAACGGTGCTGGGATTTGAACACTCGGGAATGCAATCACGTCCAGGTTGTGCTCAGCCATAACACCGATCACAAGTCTTTGGAATTCTTGTTGGATTTCAAGTCGCTTTGCGTATTCTGGATCCTCATATGGGTGTTTGAAGGCTTTTGGTGCTCCCAGCCTGTGGAAGAGGGGCAGTGATTGGTGGAATTTGCCTGAAGAATGAATGCTTTCGAAGCTGACATCTTCAATGACGGGATGGGCCTCGAGGAAATTTTGGATATCATATCGTGATCTTGACAGATATATGGAGCTGGTGGTAACATAGTAGTCGACGTCTGGAATGTCGATTTCGATAAGCGTGGCACCTGTCGTTGCGATTCTTGATAGTGCCCCGCGAACCACGTCACTTACACTCGTACATTCGGCCAGATGATCGCGACCAAAGCCTGATTTTAGGACCCCGATCCGTGATTTCGTCAAAACTGTCTCGGAGAGATTCGATGCATAGCTGCCTTCTCGTGGCGATCCAGCAATCACGGCGGACGCAGTATAAGGATCTTTCGCATCGTACCCCACCATGACATCCATCATTAAAGCCGCGTCTCTAACTGTTCTCGTCATCGGACCTGGCGTATCTAGAGACTTGACCAAAGGCGAAAGTCCAGCTCTAGAGATCAGACCAACAATGGGCCGCAGCCCGACGAGATTGCAAAACGACGCTGGGACTCGGATAGATCCACCAGTATCCTCGCCCACTCCGATAAGTCCCATGTTTGCTGCGATTGCTGCACCAGTGCCCGCACTAGAACCTCCCGTCTCACGAGTATTTTTGTATGGGTTCAAGGTAATACCACTGAGTGAGGACGCGGAGTTGAACGACGCTGCAAAATCTTGGACTACTGTCAGCAAAATACAATCACATGATCATGGAGTCCTCACCTGGCATCGTGCTCTTCGCCAAGATGATTGCGCCGGCTTCCCTCAGTTTCTTCACCAGAGTCGCATCTTCCGTTGGAGTATGCACACAACAGACGTTACCGTACGCCGTCGGAATATCTTTCGTATCGCATTGATCCTTTACGATGACAGGAACGCCATGGAGGGAACCAACGAAAGATCCATCTTCCTTCAGGTGCTCGTCAAGTGCACTCGCTTCCTCCAGACAGGATGAGGATATGACTGTGATGGCGTTCAGCTTTGGTCCCTCTTGGTCGAGTGCCTTGATGCGCGCGATGTATGCTCCTACAAGTTCACGGCAGGTATATGCCCCACTCTTGAAAGCTTCGTGAGCCTTGTCGATTGTCAGCTCATCGATGGGGATCATCCTGGCTGTTGGCATTTTAGTGCGGTGTTGGTTATTGATCCTCTGGATGAAGGTACATTCCAGCCCCAGGAAATCCTTTGAGAGAGGATGTTGTTTGATGGCATGCACGATTCTTACTAGGTAGCGATCCGCCACCGGGCCGACGGGTTCGGCTAGAAATAAATAGTGACAAGCGAACGAGCCAATCAAAACATCACATCATTCAGAAATTCCATCGAAAGGCCGCATCTGGCGACTGAATAACTTGTAACATTTTCCAAAACTTCGTCTTCGTTCGGCTCCTATGGGCTTGTCGAATCTTGTTGGTCAAAGTAAGGAAGACGCATGGGGAGCCCCAAACCCCAAGGAATGGGCTGATGCGGCCAGGACGAGGCAGACTCAACGACCCAAAATGCGAAGAAATGCGGCACAAAGGTTCGTTGAAAGTAATTTTAACCGCCAACCTAGTGTCTTTGTCCAAAGTTGACTATAAATAAACTTTCTTTGTCCGGGAGGACCAGAACATACGATAAGGCTGAGCTAAAAAGCTTTATCCACCTCATTGTCAAATGTTGCAGCTGTGATACCTTTTGATTGGCTGAACAATGCGAACCTACCATTTTGAAGTTCTTTGTTGCTTCTGGTTCCGCCTTTACTTTGTTGGTGAGACCCTGAAATAATTACGGCGCTAGCTCCATCTACCGATTGGCTCACCCCAATACGACTCTGGGGATTGCCATCAGCGCCCAAAATCTTGCTGGGACTCACCTCAGACTACGCCTGGTACCTTGACCTCCAAGACCATCAATTATGTCATTTATGACATTTGCACAGCTCATTCTGAAGTGTTCCTGCATAGATCGTCCAAACTATGGAGTCCGTGGACTCAGGGCGTGTTCTCTCATTCTTGGCATCACACGTGGTTGCGTTTATGCGCTGGCGATCCTGGGGTCAGTTTCAGAATATGCACGAAACAATCGTCACAACCACAACCAACAAACACGATTTACAGGCTCAGGACCCTTCAATTATCTGACTCGACAGCCGCCTTGTCAATATCGCGGCTATTAAAGAGTTCCAACTTGCTTGTTTCTGTGTTACTTCCAGTTTGCTTTTTCGCGCTGGCAATCCAGTCCAGTGACTCCACGTTGGAGACTGTTCATGCTCACGATGTATTCAGTGCGCAGCACTCCTTCGATCCTTACGTTGTGGGATTGTCGAATACAAGGCACTTGGGGGCTAAGAGCCATGGCAGTGCCAACATCTCACCATGCTCTATTGACAGCCTGGCTGTTGTGCATGCCACAAGTTCGGCCAAGTCAGAGCTGCTTTGTTGACTTTAGAGTTGGCTTTTTGAAGGCCGCTCTTTGACAGGCCGTGAATCACTATATTATGGCGAGTGCCCCTTTGAGCCACACCAATTTATTGTCCATTTCTCAAACACCAACATCTCTACTGCCAGTCTTCCTACGTTACAATGATCATTCCTCCTTCTATCCGGTCTATCATGACCGCTGCGGCTGCGCTATCATCAACTGACACAAAGATATCTCGGTCTGAAACCAACATCAACACCAACACTCTCACACCACGTGCCATCAACGCAAATTATGCAAACGCAGCAACCTCCGCCATCACTGCTCTCGACGGCTTCTACATGAAAGACTCCTTCCGATGGAAGAACATCGGCGGCTGGATAGCCGCCAACGTATACAACGACATCATGGATTTCGACCTCTGGTCCAAGACAAAGAAGTACGAATCCACCTATGGTGCCTCCCTCCTCACCATCGCCACTTCAACCGCTGCTCAGCAAAAAGCAGGCAGTACAAACGACTTCAACGATGATCAGCTCTGGTGGTGTCTTGCCATGATCCGCGCCTACCAGAATTACGGACACCGCGAGCTCCTCGACCAAAGTATCAAGCAGTGGCGAGCCATCAGCGCCAACGCTCAGATCTTCAAGTCAGACCAGGGGACTAAAGTCAGTAAAGGCGGTATCGATCGCGATACTCCTATTCCAGCAAACTGCGACATCGATGGTGCAGTGTATTGGGCTTCGCACGAAGACTCTGGATTGAATGCCATCTCGACCAGTCTTTTCGCACAGGTCGGTGCGTGGCTTCTTGCTATTACTGGAGATGCGTCGTTTCGTGGTCCGACGGATAGTGCGATTAACTGGTTGCAACGGATGATGCTGGATAAGAAGACTGGGATTATGAATGTTGATGCTTTGATGGCTGGAGGATGCACCAAAAATCCTGGCTCGCTTACCTACAATACGGGAACTTATATCGGCTCTCTGACATCGCTGTATATGACTACCGGCGAGGCGAAATATCTCGATGCAGCGACTCTATCGGTGACATCATCCGTCACCGGCGGCTTTGGCAATAATCCTCCGTTGGTCATCGACCAGCAAGCCGATCTGACTACCAACGGTGACGGAGTCCAGTGGCGCGACGTGCTGTTTCGGAACATCGCTGACTTCTATACCACTGTTGGTAGTAGAGGTAAAGTGAGCGATGACTTGAAGGGCAAGATCGCTGCATTTTTCAAGGCGAACTATGATCAGATCCAGAGCAAGGCGAAGTTTGGTAATCTGTATGCAGCGAACTGGTATGGGAAGGTGAAAGAGGGGTCGGATTGGGGGACTGGAAGTGTGTTGGGGAATTTCATTGGGTCGATGTTGGTTCTTTGAGTGTTCTTTGTTTCTTTTGGCGTCGCTGGTGGCGTACTGGTGTTTCAAAAGATACATGGGATACCCAAGATTGGTTTGGGGGCACTGGAACTTGACGACGATGATGTCTGAAAGATTTGGGAATTCGGCAAAGGTGTTCTTAAAGCGCAAATGATCGGTTGCTTAACCAATAGATACCAAATAAAATGATGATAATCAATAGATCTTCAAATCAGTTTGGGCAATATCACCATCCCTTGAGTCCAAATTTTTGTGCTTTTGGGTCCTTAGAAACTTCTCAGATTGAAAGCATCACTTTTTGCATAATAGTTTGCTCGGTAATTGTCATTCGAGCTCGGTGCTACTATGAGCTTTCCTCAAAAGAATCTCAGAAAATCTCAAATATTTCCTCACATGAGAAAGTTTAGGGCAGCCGGAGCCATAGGAAACACTATTTACCAGCAACGGTCCACGAACTTGGGTACAGTGAATAGGGGGACATCTACAAGTAAATATATCATTATTTCTATATTATAGGACTGACGCAAGAGTAAATTAGGCAAAATTTCAAATATCTAGTGAACACAAGCAAGCTTCAACGCTCTAGAAACTCAAAGCAACCAAGCCCAACACTCAAGATACACAACCACATTGAACATCAGTCGTCCACTCAATGCTCGCGATCTTTGAACCCCGCTGCAGTCTCCTTCTCCGCCATCTCCACCGCCTTCCTCGTACACGCATCAAAGTCCTCCTTTGGCAACCCCAAAACATCATTACTCAACCTCCATCTACTCTCAAAGTCTCCCGCTCCATCTGAGAAGAAGTCCCCCGCATACATCGCGATCCCAAACCCCACCATATCCCCCTTTTGGAACATCTCCATACCCCTCTTCCACCGCTCCTCCGCATCCTCCTACGTAATCGTCCAATCCTCTTTTTTGGTACCCGTGACGCGGAGGACCGAATCAAACATATCCTTCTGCGAGACCCGGAAGGACGAGACATAGCAGTGCTTATTCTCATACTTCGACAGCGTAGTCTCCTTATCCTCCCCATCCTCCTGCAAAACAGGAAGCGACAACAACGCCTTCACAGTCCCCGCAAACAGCTCCCACGTACTCGTATTAACCTTGACCTCTCCATCCCCAAAAAGTGTCAGAGTCCTCTTCCCAAAATCAAACCCATACCTGAACTCCATGCCCGCAAGACTATACTCATACCAGAACCCGCCCGTAACAGTAATCCATTTACTCACGCCCAGATCCTCAATCAGTTTTCGATTCCCGGCCAGTCTTGCACCGAGGATAGGCGTGTCGGCTACTAGCCCTGGGAAAGAGAAATCGTGACCCCATTCGTTGGGCATGATGTATTTCACCCCCGCCGAGGCGGCGGCGCGGATGAGTGCTTGTTCTTGGGTGGGGGGCGCGGTCACGGCCATGGTTATGATGAGGATGTCTTGGCCGGTGAGAGCGCTAGTCAGGGAGCTGGGGGAGGTGTAGTCGATGGGTGTGATGGTTAGGGAGGGGTGCGAGGGGAACGTGGATGTGCTGGAGGGGCGGGTGAGGATTGTTATGTGGTGTTTGTCAGTGGAGAGGAGGGAGTTGAGGATGTGGGATCCGAGTGTTCCTCCTGCCTGGAATGGGGGTGAGTTATTGTTTGGTTGGAATAGGGGGGGAGAGGGGACTTACACCGACGAGCGCAACATTCTTGATGTGGTTGTTGAAGCCTGAAGGCTGGTTTTTTGCGAATTGCTGAGCCATTTTGACTGAGCTTTGTTTATGTTTCGGGGTACGTTATATTCTCCAGGAAATGATAATATTTGGTCTGAAGATCAATTGCTTCAACTCGAAGGGACACTTCATTCCTTTTATACCTTGTCTCCCTTTCCGAAAACTCCACATCCATTGATCACTTTTAAACTCCGTTCATTAACTCCTTGGGACCCATACTCCCCACACATCTGCAGCAGCAGCACAAATAATATACAAAGCCCACCCTAGACTTCTTCACGTAATGCGCACCTAAATGGTATCTGTGCTAGAATGGTACCTTGCACTAAAAGAATGCGGTTGCGATTGCAGGTTAGCCTTGCGCGTGGACCTTAGTCTGGATTTAGAGCAAGTACGCGGGAGCTTAAGTCCGGGTCAGCGTGGTCGATAGTTTTCTCGTTCTTGGCAAAACGGGAACGAACGGCCGTTCGTTTATGCTAACCCTAAACGGACTGGCGTTCGTTTAAGCGATCTAGAACGGCCGTTAGTTGGTCAGATCTCCAACGGAACGGGGTCGTTTAACCCCGTTTTAGTATAGTTCCTACTAAGCCTTTTTCAGGCTTGAAACCTTAGCGAGATCACTTAGTAGGTACCTAAGGTAGGTTAGTCAGTGGAATGCAACTTACCCTCTATAGTATGTAAAGCAGCTGAACGTATTATTCTATATGTTTTAGTACGTAATTTATATAAGAATAACATTATAATAATAATTTAACACTTATACTACATTTAGGTATATTTTTAAAAATAGATTATAAAAGGCTAGTTTCTTCGTTCGTTCTTAGCAACGACCTCGTTCCGTTCGTTTATAGCCTTATAAAACGAACCGCAGTTCGTTTTATAGTACTAAAACGTCAGTTCGTTGAGAGACCTGAAAACGACGTCGTTCAACGGCCGTTCAACTATCGACTACACTGGTCCGGGTGAAACATGACGTACAGGACTCCGGACTTGCGAATTCCGCTTCTATTGGGCTAGACCCGGAGCGGGAGAAAGTGAAATAGAGGAGCGAGCTGCTATGAGGATGTTGTTTTGGCGTTGAGTTTAAAGGGATCATTAATTAAGTGCGACGATTTGAAAATATTTACTTCTTGCTCGCGGAACTGCATGCCAAGACTAAAATTTGCCGAATGCTTGATTTGACATCTCTTTACTTGGAGTATGTCATCTAATGGTATGTGACGTGGCTCTGCTTGTTCTATACTTATAACAATATTGCAAGCCTAAGTCTTTCTTATTCAATGGTCGTAAAAAAATTTCATCCGTCCTCAATGTCCGTCTTCTTGCTCTTGTTTTTATGAAAGCTTGAAGTGATTCGACCACTGTGTTCTTGATTCCTCTGGAGCGGTTTGCAGCCATTTCTCTCAAGTCTGGGTTGCCAAGCTTTGTGGATAAGGAGAGAGGTTGAATGAAGTTCAGGAGCATGTTATGTTAGGACCTGCCATAACTCGCAGAGGATTCTATCACCTAACCTGCTAAACGAAACTACTTTTCACAGGTGGTGGATAGCCTGGAGGATCACCCTATTATTAAGCGAATGATGCCTGAAGGACTCAAGTGCTAGGCAGCATTAGTGACCCGCTTCTGCGCTGCCCCCTGGAAAGGGTGTCTTCGGCAGTTGAGGGGATAGGTGAACTTAATGCTGACACTCTATTTTCTTGTAGACTGTTAAATAGTGCCAAAAGAAGTCTTCATATTATGAGCCTCAAGTATTATCTGCAAATTGCAATGTTACCCATCAGTATGATTGGAATGCTCCACTTCTGTTGGTTGAGACGCATACACTTCCAGATCTTTTTGAAGAGGTATCGTATTTTCGAGCGCCTATGGAACGAGCACTCCGATAATTTCAGCCTGTAATAATATTCCTATGCGCTGTGGAACATCATGCGCCACTTCATACGTGGAATCCGTTCCTGAAACTTTATTATCGGCAGTGTATCGGTGATAGTTGGAAGAGGCAATGAGACAAAAGCTGATGAGTACTTACACTCTCCGGCATCACACTTAAATTACTCTCACAACTCCATGTTGTTTGAACCGTTCCCGCTAGTATCTGGAGAATACTCTGAAAACCACAGGTTTCTTGTAACGTCCTCCGCCGACAGACGCTGGGTAGGCTCATACGCTAGCATCCCCTGAAGGAGCTTAAGAAATGTCTCTTTTTGGCTTGGGAGAAGGTACGGGCAATGCGTGTGAACTAGAGACGCGAGTGGGCGACTTGGTTGGAAGGTTTTGCCATACCACCATAACACAGGGTCGTATTCTGTCCTGGTAAAGGAATGCTGCCATTCTGCTGGGAAGGCGCCGAGCGCATCAACTATGGTCCCTAGCACTTTATACGGATTATCAAAGATCATGGGAAAGAGCCTCATGGAAGTCTGAATCTCAAACACTAGACATGCAAGAGCCCAGATATCGCTATTCTTCGACGCAGGAAAGCCGAAATAGATCTCTGGCGCGAAAAATGGCGGTGGTATGCCCAAATTGTTTGGTGGGTTTTCGGCAAAGAAGGATTGACCAAAGTCGGTGATGCGAATTTCTCCAAGTAAGTTGAGGCCTATTCTTGAAAAATTGACGGCCTGGACGACCTTTTTAGGAGCATGTGACGAATATGAGCTATTTAACAACTTTAGTTAAGCTGTTCTGGGCGGGCCGAGATGCTCATATATTTGGGTTGTGGACCAAGACTGAATGTCCCGAAGTTCAAATAGAACGTTGGAGTGAGTAAGATCTAAAAGCAATTGTTTTAGGGACAGGGATGCAACGAGGAAGGACAGAGACGTACCACCATGACATATATTTAAGGAGTGTAGATACGCCAACCCGCTGGCAACCTGTTGAGACGCCTTATGGCGTAGGGATATCGGAAGCTGTCTTTCGCTCCTTTCGCTCATGGTTTTAATGCTTCGCCCTAATATGGGAAGAACCAAGCAGTAGTGTAACCCGTTCGGTCCGTTGATCTGGAAGACATCGTCAAGAGACGATATATTTGGATGAGAAGCGGCGCATTCTTGGAGGTGCCGAAGAATGTTGAGCTCCATGTCATCCGTAGCATTGGCACCCAGGATTTTGAGGGCGTGATAGCGGTGCGTACTCACCAGGCGGACGAGCCAGACTGTTGAAAAGCCTCCAGATCCGAGTTTGTGAATGACTTCGTACCGCTTTTCTTTTTCGCCCAGCACGTCGCCGATATTAACAGGGTGGCAACCACCGATAACGTATTTCTCGACGTCTTCAACGTCATCTAGATTTGGGTCCCGGTACATCCATTGCATTGACTCCGAAGACTTCGACGACATAGCATAGCGGATAATGTAGCGAAGGATTAATAAGGTCTGGAAGCTTGAAATCTAAGAGGGCTCGAAGACATGAAGGTTGTGATCGCGTCCTAGAGCTTCAAATGGAGACTGAACAGGATCCAGTGCAGTGGTTATGTTGATCACACTGTAGGGGTCAGTTGGCGCCAAGATCGAGAGCTAGCGATGTAATCAGTGTGGCAGTGTGGTTCGTTACCATGATTGATTCCCTAGTTACTTCCATATGCAGGCAAATCAGTGGAATAGAAGAATGCATAGCCAAGTCACATACTTAGGTATGTAATCCGTTGCCTTAATAGCACCAGCCATATTTGCAATTTAGGTAATCTTCACCAGTGTGGGGTTGGTTGATGATGGTGGGGGCGAAGTTCGTATCTCAGGTTGGGCAAGCCGTCCATGTCGGCTACACGTTCTTCCGTTCCGCTAGTCAGATGAAGGGACCCTGTCCTGTCCCTGTCCCTCCACCTGTCCCTGTCCCTCCAAGGACCCAGGAACTCAACATCACCACAACACACAACACCATCGCTGCATACTTCCACTTAGAAACTCGATCCTCACCCTCAGAGCATGAGTCTTCCCGTGAAGAAGATATATGTAGGAACTGAGAGATGTGGATTGTGCCGTTCCCAGCTTCCGTGGAGTGGCGAGTCAGACCTCACTTGGGATCTCAACTTTCGAGCAGGTATGAACTAAATGTATTATCCAGTCGCTGTTCCTTTTTTGACTCCTTCTCAACAGCAATCTGCTTGGAACCAAATGACGAAAATACCATCGAAATCACCAGGCCTGCCAGCTTGTCAGACATCGACCTCGACAGCGACGACCAGCAGATTGAGGTCAGATTAACTGGTGATTCCCAAACCCAGTCAGTTGATATCTGCCACTACCAGCGAAATTTCTACAGAAGAATGACCTACCCGACCGCCTATTGCTTCCACGACTGGTGCTACGAGACCCTCATTCAGAAAGTCGAACGCTGCACAGAGCCCGAAATATATAAGCTGTCTCAAATACTGTCACTCGACTCAGTAGTGTGGGAAAGTAGACACCTGTACCGTCAACAGATTGAAGATACAAGCAGTGAAACGCTCCGCAGGCTTGCAGACAGCTATCAACCACTTCATAAATTGCTACATCTTCCTGTAGAGCTTAGAGACATGGTCTGGAACTACATCGGTCTAAAAACCCCTTTCAGCGCTAGTGTCCTGGTTTCAGAGGAAACAACACGCCTACTCCACGCCCTCAAGCGCTCCAGCTGTCAGACTGTATCCTTGACCCAAGGCGCTCGTATCTCCGTCAGGATGCTGACTGTTTTTGGTACCCCATACATACAGAGTCTGACTGATGGTGGTTGCCCTGAGATCATACCCGGTGTCGTCACGTACCTCAAATTTGCCATGGTCAATGGTGGAATCTGCGCAGTCAAGTTATATGGTAGCGACTGGAACACAAGCTGGCTAGGTGTTCTTCCCAACTGGGGTTGTACCTGGTATGGATGTATTCGTAACCCGGGAAACACACTTGCATGCAGCTCAAATGTAAGTCGACACCGACTGATATTTGCCATATCTAACAGCCGCAGGGTTTGTACTTCACCTCTCTGTCTAGCCTAGACGACCAGGTTTTCTGGGATCAGCCAGACATCCCAGATACTGTCTATAACCCAGACAAGGAATTATTCGACTTCAAACGAGACATGAGTCGCTCTTATGAGCTGGATAAAAGTCGACTAAGGTATTTTGGATACCTACCTTTACTTAGCGACAATAGCTATGCGAATAGTCTGACTGTCTATCTCTCTGCCAATGGAATCGTTGGTATAGAAAGCCATTTCACAAAGACGTCAAGGCTTATTGGCCGTCGCGAAGGTTGCCCCAGGCATTTCCCATTCCACCCAGGGGAACGAATCGCGTTCGCATGGCTTTGTATCATTAATTCTGAAAGCTATGCCATGGCTGCGCCGGCTATGACAGTAAGTCGTGTGCCCTCCGCCCCCTCCCCTCCTTCCACCATCATTATAGTTTATACCTAATCTATTTTCGTAGATCCAGACAACATATAGGAGAATCCATTCATTCGGACCATACATTTTCCCTCACTATGTGCTGAATGACATGTATAAATGGATTCTTCTCGACGGACCTGGATTTATTACTGGGTTCTATGTTGAATACCCATATTCTTTGGAAATCATGAGGATCGGGGTCATTCGAGAAAGGGATTCTCTGGGTGTTGGAAGCCCAAACCTGGAATTTACTGCCTGCCGTGCCGCTTTCCTGCCGCATGTTGGACCAAATGCGGGTCTCTTTATGTCCGTCGCCGATTTAAGCAATCTTCGGAAAGTCGAAGTCTGTCGTGTTGGTGTCCGCTGTACCGGACTAAAACTATACTACATTCAAGCACCAACAGTAGTTCTTGGGCAGTGGTACACTACTGGCGCTTCACAGTACGCGTCGATATTCAATGGTAATGGGCCAAACATAAAGGGTATCCGGTTCAAATTGTCGACGTCAGGTGAGGATCGAGCTGTCACGGACATCAGCTTTGGAACGGACATTAGCGATGACTGCAACAGCAGTTACTTTCGTTTGGGAGAGGTAGGACTTAGTCTGAGTTACGTTAAAACCTGCTAACGATATCGCAGACCATCACATGGTGGTTCTCTAAGTCCCATGATGTTATTCGTCTCTGGGACGGAAAAGTTCTCCCCGTTCCAAAAGGGAGTATTAACACTTTCAAGTAGTTTTTGCATTGGTATTGACCTAGGAAATGACAAAGGAGAAAGATAGATCGTGTATAGTACTTGATCACGTGGAAATCTTGTCGTGCGTTAAAATACATTTCCTTCTTCCCCTCATACAACCAAGCTGTCTTCCCACCAATTTTTTGTTTCTGTTGCGGCCAATAACATCCTTGAAAGGAAATACATTAACAGGTTGTCAAATTCTTGGATTTCGCATGCCTCAACCGTCTAAAGGTAGGTCGAGAGTAGGTTTATACACATGAGGAAGAGCTTCTAGAGCTCTCTATGCCTTACAAATCAAGCTTTATTCTAGAGCATTCGGCATTTACTTGACTGAGGATCACATGAAATCTAACACGGGTGACCCTCACAACCAAGTAAGCGCCTCTATCATGTCCTGTACCTCCATTCACATCCATTTTATCGGGGTCCCGCTAAGACGATGAGCCTAATGTATCACATCCTGAACCTTCGTGTCCTCAGACTGCTTCCCAGCTGGAAAGCCTGAGGCGCCATCCATACCGTACCCGCCGCTGGAAACACCGCTTGTGGCTTGTGTCGGGTTCGTGCCGGACGTCGATATCGAATGTTGCTGTTTGAACAGTCTGGAATAGCAGGTTGATGGAATTAATAGTCGCTGGAAGTCTGTCCAGCGTGCGCGGTGGGCGGCCATCTTTTCATTTTGTTGAAGGTGTGCTCAATCAGTTGGCTATCCTCGTCGGAACCAACGTCCTTGTAATGTTGCCAGGCTCCCTTATCTGGGGTGCCCCACCATGGAGTAAAGCTTTTGTCGCCCCGCGTGTATTTCCAGAGTCTGATATGAGCGCCAGCCATTGTGGCAGCGTAAACAAAAGGCGCAGCCTCATATTCCACATATGCCTTGCAATAGTCCATGGCCTGCTCCTCCAACAATCTGAGACTGAATGGTTGGCTTATATGGGCCCGTTTACACTCTGCGAAGCAAAATGTTCGAATTTTGTCATATACATCCAGGTAATTGACCACAAGGTCACATCGCTTCGAAGAATCAGGACTTGGTGGCTGCTCGCTTGTCACTGCGAAGTGGTCTTCAGTGAAGATGTTTCTGTAAAGTATGACTTCCATGAGCGCTACAGTTGCGTGTTCCTTGGGATCGGCTATACCAGTAGAGACATTCGCAAGGTGAGCTCTGTTGTAAAACTGCTGCTGCATAGGAGTCTTGATGAGTCCGTGAGGGGAGAAAGGCGTAGTTGATGACATCGTTTCTACTGTGGTAGATGACGAAGAAGAGGACAAAGAAGAGGAATATGTTGAAGATGAAGATGATGAAGAAGATGACGAAGAAGAAGAAGATGGAGATGATCTAAGTCATGACTTCTCCTAAAGGTGCTCAATTTATATTGAATGTAGTGGGTACAGATGATTAAGACTAGGTCAATGAAAAGGTCCAACTCATTTTCATTCACTTTCTTCAGAGATGTGCCGCATGAAGCACATAGCAGGTTTCAGTAAGACTGCTGCTTGGGCATTAGCCGCGCGCCCATAAGGCGAGGCCAGCGTTCTAGCTTCAGTCGAATCAAGCCCTTGATCGCACATCTTCTTTGGCATGTTCTCTTGCATATACTGGCCAGTGGGGCTCTCATGGCTACCCAGAAGGCCCAGCTCTGGCTGCGACCTAGCATCTCCGAATCATTACGGGTTTTAATGGGGCGTCATACTATTCAGCCGACAGGACGACAGTTGATACTCGGTATGCAGGAAGCCAGCAGCCCAGCACTTCATCAAGAGCGCCTCAGCCCCTGTGCATGCCACTGGCTGTCACAACCTGGGCCATGAGCAATGCAGCCGACGGCGTGACACTGCGACTTGACTGCAACATTCATACTGCCAATGCTCTGGTAAGCGCTTCTCACCACCCATGGACAGAAGTGTTGGTGACTCAGATCGTATTGAGTCTTGGAAAAGATCCAGCATGAGTAGGGTTTTGATGGTACCATGCTTTGATGATGGATTCCAGTGATCTACTTGTTTCTTTTTCTGTTGAGCTTGGGTGTAGCTGTGAATTGGTAGCTAGTAGGCAAAATGTTTACGTGAACCAAAATTGCAGTCTCAACATTCACTTGGATGTTCCCTGGCTAACATCAGACGAAAAGTGACTTGACATTAGATCCGGACTGAAACCCCTGCATCCACTCGTAAGTACCTGACGTGCACCTGGGGTGTCACAACTCAAAATCAGACATTCAAATCCTAACATCTTGGTATTCCGCAGCATGCGCCCTATATCACATGTTTGTCGGCAACAAGAGGCCCATTGTGGTTCGTAAGGTAGATACACAAAGTTGATTGGCAGTCGTTCCTCTGTTGTAAGAGATCGTGGGGTGGCTCGAACCAGTGGGGTAAACATCGCTTCCAGCCGCCCGCTACATGATCCTGACGGCGGCGTAATCGAGGACTGTATCACTGTTCTGTTGGTAGGTATCACAATGCCCTGTTTCAGTGACCCTGCAAGCTCCCTATGATTAGATCGAACCCCTGTTTTCATCCGCTCAATCCTATTGTTTTCTTACCGCCAAAGGCTAACAGCGCGCTTCGCAGAACGACCCCGCGGCACCATCCACATCTTTCCTAGTCGCTCGCTTAGGTTTTAAATCAGCACTGTAACCGCCTGTGGTTCTCAGGCTCGAACCCCTGCTTAGCCAAATCGAGTTTACGAACTAGGCTGCAAAAGTCTGTGCGGTACAGGCTTAAAACTACTAAAATCCATATTTTCAAGACTTTAACAGTTGAAATGGGATATTCGTAGTTGAGAGAGTAGTTCTTTACATACTTTAATATTATATCCTAAGAGGAATTTCAGTTTGAGTACATCTTAGTAGTAGTATCAGGCTTCACAACTGGGCTATCATCAAAAACGCGAGTCTCCCACTCAAGCGAGACAGCCTGAACCGCACAGACTTTTGCAGCCTAGTTCGTTAGTCTACATGGCTATCAGAACCCGGCCGCTCCTCCGTCACATCATGAAATCCGTCACCCACTGACACATCCAGATACAACCTACAAGGCACACGACCTTTTGGAAAGCCCGGCCTTGTTCTCCACCATTACCATGAGACGTGTCTTCGATCTATCTCCTCATTATCTCGATGTCCACCACCCGAGAACAAATCCCGCCTTGTCGAAAGAGACAGCACACAGAAACTGGCCCGTCACCTGGCGCCGCAAAACATTTGATGTAGCAAAATCTCACTCAATCGTTTCCGCTGGCGGTAATTGCGAACATACGTGGCCAAAGAGAGGAAAGGCCGTCGCGTCTTCTCGCAGTGTTAACAGTTAAGTAGGGGATGAAGGAAGCTAAGGGACAAAGGGCTCGAAGATGGGCGTACTGTGTCGTAGACTACGAGGCTGAGAATACTTGGATAACGATAACGAATAGCCAGAGCTGGAGTCCTAGTCAGGACAAAACCTTGTAGTGCAGGACTTCTCTTCCTAGACTGACATGTTCAGTTCTCTTCTAGTCCTCTGACTTAAATTCCCCGCTTCAGGACGCTATAAATCAAGTGTGAATGATTTTCTGAAACGGATTTCCATCTATATATGATCTAAAAGCGGAGAGATATAGCTTTATTCTATCTCCATAAAATAAATAAATCAATATCTCTCCAATTGAAGTGCAAAGAGGCACAGCATCACGTGAAGTATATCATGCTACCTTAGGTACCTTAAAGGAAAACGCAGGTTCCGATCCACCGTGAGAGGGGCACTTTCCTAGAATAATAATCATATCACTGTTACAAGATTCTGGTAATTGTCAATTGACAGTTAATCAATAGTGATAAGAAATTCTTGGCAGTTAAGAGGTTGTTATTTCAGCAAAGTGGCACCTCCCACAGTGGGGCGGAACCTGCTTTCTCCTGTAAGGTACCTAACAACTTACAAACGACTCTTTTTCAAAGCTGCCACCACCGGGTGTAACCTGGAAACGACAATGATGTGCTGTGCACACCCGTCTTGCGCGAACCTGCGTCGTCTCGCGCCCTCCATTTGAAGAACGACAAGTCTAATACACGGACACACCTAAGGTCGTCGCACAACAACATCCAATCTATCACGCACTCAGTGACAGTTGCTCTCTCACGGTCCAGGACCACCTCTCTGCATCTATGAGCTCGCGTTCCGTGGAACCACTTCCTAAGACGCGCAAACGATACCTAGGACCTGGTGAGCCTACAAATATCATGCGCGGGAGGCAGTCTTGAGGAGGTCGCTCAGTCTCCGCTCGTCGCCTTACCACCATGCCACTCAGACAGAGCCAGCAACCACCTCGTGCCCCGCGTATAGGCGTGAGCTATGTCCAGCTCGAGCGGACAATTTACTCTACAGTTGACCTTCCAGGAAGGTAGGAGGATGGCTTTGGTTCCAGTCGGTTCCTCGAGGGTTATGACTCGTTGACACCTTTGACGTGTGCTAGGCTTTTACATTCCAGACTTTCGATCCGAAAATATACCACCCAGGCCCCGAATCCCTCCATAAAGAAAAGACATCCGTGCTGTGGTAATCTGGTGCCGCGGGACGTGTTACCTCGAGCTTCCTTTCGAGCTTGGTGGGGAGGGGTGGGAGACTGTCATGCTTCCATTTCTAATATATGTTGCGCAGACACGTGTCATTCAACAGTTGCGGCTACAGTCTTTCCAATGTTCTGCGATGAACCTTCAATCGCGGAACCTAAATTCCTCGATCCTGATGCGGATGTAGGGTAGGGGGGCGTTGCTTTGCTGCGACGACTGGCTTTTATCCAGCCTGAACTGAACTATGCCTGAGGCGCAAGGGCGAGGTGAGTTTGTCACTTTCTAGCTGGATTCAAAGAACCTGAAGGTGGTCCTATCTTGCCTGGATCGCAAATAAATAATCACGGTAGGAATACCGCATGGCCGAGCACTAAGGATACCAATATTAAAGGGACTTCATTGATCAGAACAGTGTGTTGCAAACAGGACCACGAGAGATCTCAGAGAACTTTCATCAATACATCTGCATCAATTATCGTTCCTCGTCACTGACCTACTTAACATGACGAGCCAATGAAGCAGTGACTTCGAGCCGTGCACAGCTCCTCCTATAAGAGTTGCCACGTGGAAGAGGCTGCGGTGCAATACTCAAAATGTACCCCACCACATGATATCTGCAATCAAAGCATACCCACGAGTATCCATCAACCATTGATAGCTCTTGCCCGCGAGATCCTCGCCTACGTGATGGTGCCCAAGCATGCAGCTCACGATATCCAGCTCACTCCTCAGTGGGGGTGACACCACTGCCAGTTCTTCAGCTGCACGTCACATATCCCCCATCCCCTGAAATTCCCAAATGATGGGACATTCTGATGATTTTTTTTGTCTTTTGTATCCGAGTTGTTGTGACTTTTCCGATTATTAAGATTCCAACAATAATCCCAAGTTCAACACGAAAGCAAGAACAGTCTCGCCTTTTCATATATTTTCCCTACATTATGGCCATCTGCAGCTTCTCGGGAAATGCAGATATGTACGGGCTTGGTATTAGGATAGGATTCTACCTGCAATGGTTTGGAAAGATTCTTGCCACTTGGGTTGCTCGAAAAGAAGTCACAGGCATGCGAGTCTCGGAATCACTTTTCATCGCGGCCACTTTCCTGGCTCTTATCATTCAAACTGACCGCAATAATCTCCGTCCTGTCGAGATATACATTATCCTCCTGCTTACGTTTGGGGGCTATCTCTATTTCGTGCCACTATATGTGTGGAGATTATTGATTGGTTGCGATCCTGATCTGGATCCGAGTCGACATCCTAGAGTCAGGGTTGGGAAGATGTTCAGCAGATTGAACTTCCTACTTTTATGTTCCGTTTGTATCTTTCAATTGTGGTTCTGGATTGGACGGGTGTCGACAATCGGACGTGATGGGTGCACGGAATTTGGATTCTTGTTTGCCAGAGTCAGGTTGAACCAGAGGGGATTCGTGGTTGTCAACGTCGTGCTGTACTTCCTGCTTCTATTGTTCTGTGTAGCTATGCTTGGTATCTCGGTTGGCAAGAGATGGGGATATCTTGAGGAGAAGCCAAGAAGAAGCATCGGGTAAGTTCTGATAAAATTTGGACTCGACGTACCAGTTCTGACCATTCACCAGACGTGTTCGCAAAACAGCTCTTCAAGAGCTCCAAACATTCATCAACCTCACTGTTGCGAGTATCGTGGTTGCAGCCACCGAGCTGACAATCTCTTGGAACCACATCAGAGATGTGAACGAGATCTCTTCCGCTGGCCAAACAATCCCACTTATTATTGGAGTTGGCCAAATCGTGCGAGTGCTTTATATCATGCTCATCACTGGCGACAACTTCGACGATGACCTGTCAGGTACCAACAGTGTCGATAGCTGGCCCTCTGACTACAGCTCGGGACCTGTGAGTGTAAATAGGTTTCCCGTGGCCGGAAGCGCAGGCTCACCACCGCCCGCATAGAACGCCATGTATGCAACTGGATTGTGTCGCAAAAGAGTCATGGCATACACATTTCCTCTTCCGGTTCGAATCAATAACAGGATTCAATTTCTGAGTCGACAATCTCAACTACTCTGTACCCTACTATATCAGTCAAGAATGATCGACCCCTGCGTGTCCCTTCGCTTAGCCGGGGAAATGTGGGGAGTCTGTTTACCCCACACTCTATTCAAATTGAGGCTGTATCGGCTCTGGCACCCGAACCTTAACCAAGTCATCAATATGGCGCCGGCATATCTGTTAACGGCAGTTCAATTTATAATTTCGGATTTATCCTTGCACATGATCACGTTGACACACGCCCAGATCAGAAATTTTATTTCTCCTCCCCGCAGTCTTTCTCTCGTCTTTTATTCTTGAGCCCCACTACTGAATCAAGATAAGGGAAGACACTGGATGGATGGAGGAGACCACTGCCCATTATGAAGCTTCTTGGCCTTGGTGCAATTTTGTCTTTAGCCATCAATATCATCGCAAGCAACGTTGGCAATTTCGAATATAACGACGTGCTCGGCATCTGGCTTCCCAAACACGAGGTCTGGACCGATGAGCACCATATCAAACACCACGACCGGCGCATCCGAGAACGTGAACCAGAACATCACCAGCATGAGCACAAGATCCCTGGTATAGCTTCCCAATACGTGATCCACGAGGATGCTGCCATTCACAAACACGACGCCGACCATCACCTGACATTCTATCCTCACCCTGAACACAAGCGGAATATTCCCAGATTGATAGTCTATGTACAGACTTTCAGGACGCCGGATGGGAAACCTTTGAGCTTACTACCACTTTTGGAACATCAGACGGGGATCACGCATGTTATTCTTGCGAGTGTGCATTTGCATGAGAAGCCTGGTGAGATCAGGTTGAATGATCATGCTTTTAGTGATCCCACGTGGGATCTGATCTGGGAGGAAGTAAAGATCTTACAGAACAATGGTGTGAAAGTCATGGTTATGCTGGGAGGTGCTGCTGCTGGGACGTATAAGAGATTGAATGGGACGGATCAAGAGGTATGAATCTTCGTTTATCAAACTCCTCTCTCGTAAATCAGCTTCACTTCGAAAAGAAAAAGAGACAAGGAAAAGCCGCGGCTTGGACGTATTACCACGAGTGCTGAAAATCATAGTTTTACGAATACTACCACCCCCTCCGCCAACTCCTCCAAACCTACAACCTCGACGGCATCGACCTCGACATCGAAGAAACCGTCCCCCTCACCGTCCCCATCCGCCTCCTCACCGCCCTCCACCGCGACTTCGGCCCCGAATTCATCCTCACCATGGCGCCCCTCGCCTCCGCCCTCGCACACAAAGACGGCCAAAATCTCTCCGGCTTCTCGTACTTCCTCCTCGACGAATTCGCCACCGTTCCCGGCTCAGATACCAAGCTCGTGCACTGGTACAACGGGATGTTCTACGGGGGATTTGCGCGCGGTCCGCCGTTTTACGAGAGTGTGCTTGAGCAGGGGTGGGAGCCGGAACGGGTGGTGATGGGTGTGTTGGATTGTAAGGATGATGGGCAGCCGAATGGGTTTGTGGGTGTGGAGACGCTGGGGGAGACGGTGAGGAGTTTGAGGAGGGGGACGAGGGAGAGTTTTGGGGGCGTGAGTGGCTGGGAGTATTGGGATGCGGGGCAGAGTGAGGATGTGGTGATTGAGCCGTGGATGTGAGTTAAGAGGATTGGGGAGGCGCTGTTTGAGAAGTTGCCGTATGTGGAGGAGGGGAAGAGTGAGTTGCGGTAGGGACTTCTGAAAGTTTGAATTTTGGTCCTGTTTTGTTGATTGAAAAGTGATTACTGGATTCCGTAATGTTGGCTACGTTCTGTCTGCGATAAACATATCCCAATCTTCCGTTTTCTCTGGCTGTGAGCCATCTCTGCCGTCTATTTTCTTTATCCTCATCTTTTGAACACCTACTCCGATTAATGAGTGGCAGCCCACTCTCGATACCACTCCAAACACCCCTGGTTTGCCACACTAGCACCGACCTTGATATTCATCCCACAAAGAATCTGCTTAACAGCAATCTCAACCCTATCATAATCGTCAGCATTCTCTCCACGCTTGGTCCATTCAGTCATAACTTACTTCTTCCCATTCCCCGTAATCGGAATATCAAAACACTCATCAATAACACCCGGCACATGCCTCGCACTCAACTCCTTCCTTATCACAGCTCTAACACTATCCTTAATCTTCTCATCACAAGCTTGTCCCTCACCCATCTTCAAAAACAACACCACCACCTCATCATCATCACCCTCTCTTCTCCTCCCAACACAAATCGCATCCGCCACCTCCCTTGCAAAATGTTTCAGCAAAACATTATAAATCTCTGCACTCCCAAACCGCACACCACTCGGTTTCAAAATCCCATCACTGCGTCCCAGCATTGTCAACCCACGCGTACCGGTCTCAAACCGAACGAAATCCCCATGGTGCCATACGCCAGGGAATTGTTCGAAATACGCTGCTCGGTATTTATCTTGGCCGGTAGTGGGGGAGGTGAGGTGGAAGAAAGTAACAGGCTGGCAGGGGAAGGGGACGGTGCAGACTAGATCGCCTTCTGTGCCATCGGGGACGGAGGTTCCGTCGGGGGACCACGCTTCGATGGCCATGCCGAGGCCGGAACATTGGATTTCGCCGCTGTAGACTGGGACTAGTGGACAAGGCGCACCGAAGAGAGAGATGATGTCTGTGCCGCCGGTGATGGAACCGAGGTTTGTAGAACGTGGGAAAGCTTCGTATACGTAGTTGAATGTTGATGGTGCGAGGGGTGAGCCGGTCGAGTAAATAGCTTTGAGGGAGCTGAGATCTAGTGCGTTGTCGCCGGTCATGGGCTTGATGCCTTTTTGTTCGAGGATGGAGAGGTATTTGGCGGAGGTGCCGAAGTGTGTAATTTTCAGGTCTTGGATTAAGCGAGGCATGGATAAGGGGCCATGGGGGTGGAATGGAGAGCCGTCGTAGAGGACTATAGTTGCGCCGGAGGCGAGGGAGGAGATGAGCCAGTGCCACATCATCCAGGTTGTGGTTGTGAAGTAGAGCATTCGATCACCCTGTCGGATGTCACAGTGTAGTATGTGCTCTTTTTTGTGTTGGATCAATGTACCGGCCGCCGAGTGGACGATGCATTTTGGTGCCCCGGTTGTGCCGCTGGAATACAAGACATACAAGGGATGAGATGCGGGAAGCTGGTTGAACTCGAGTGGTGCTGAGAGGTTTTTGACGCTGGGGCATGTCAGTCTTGAAACTCTATCATATTGAGAAGTTCCGAACCTTTCTATAAAATCTTCATATTTCCATGCCTTCCCACGTGGGAGACTCAGACCATCAGTCTTCATCTCATATCCTTTCACAGTTTCAAACATCACACAAGCTTTCAAACCATTCAGGCCTTCCAAGATATCCTTCACCTTGGCATAACTTCCATGAACCTTTCCGTTATAGCCAACAGCATTATCAACGAACAGAACTTTCGGCTCAATCTGGACCAATCTCTCCAATACCGCAGTCACACCTGTTTCCGGACTGACACCTGTCCAGATTGCTCCAATGGAAGCTGTAGCCAGCATAGCGATGACGGCGTTGGCATGATTTCCGAGGAATCCAGCAACTCTATCGGACTCAACGACGCCTTGAGATTTTAGAGCGAGTGTACATTGACGAACTCTCCCACGAAGTTCAGCCCAAGTGATTGAAGATTGGCCTTTCTCCGTAGCCTCGATGATGGCAGGGGAGTTTTCGTCGATGGCAAGGTTCGTCGGGTAAAGAAGATTCTCAGCGAAGTTTAACCGCGAGCCAGTGAAGAAATCTGGCCTTGGGAAGATTTCTGCGTTTTTAGGAATGACCTGGGAAACATCAATACTGAGAAGAATCACGTGATATGCATTTCATGTACGGACCTCGTCGTATGGCTGCTCAGCAGTAATGCCCGTGAAGTCCCAAACGTCTCCCCAGAACTCGGCGATGTTGCCAATCGACCAGCGATATAAGTCTTCGTATGTTTTCAGGCTCAATTGGTACTTGCTGTTCACCCCACGCATGAACTCGGCCATCCGAGTCGAGTCTGGGTCCGGATGAGTCCACAGCATGGGTTTCGATGGTTTCCCGATGCCATTGATACCATTTGAGTGAGTGACGGCCATATCGTTAGATAGTTATTGATGTAAAGGATGTTGTAGAAGGGAAGAAAAATAAAATACTTTTGACCTCAAATTGTTGAGGGCGGGGATAAGAGAGGCCGCGGCTTTGCTTTCATGGCGCGCTAAAAATTCGGGTTTCCGGTCTGGTAACAAACTGCGGCAATTGGATGATTGTTATGCCGCTCCGACCCGAGCCCTGACGACGTCTTACTGTTTGCGCTCCGACAACCTTCTCCCAACATCAAAAATGCCGGCCCTCGTCCATTTTCCCTTAAAATGAATGTCTCTCTAATTTCTATACATCTTACTGAATTGCATGGACGCTATCCATCAAGCTGGTAGAGTGATTGAAACATAATCCTACTTGCTTCTGAGTTGCCGGCGAGAGCCGATGACCGGAGCTCTACGCTATGTCCTGGCTGCAGGCTTCACGGTAGCCTTTGTTTATTGTACTTCTCGCTTCGAAAGTCTGGAACGAGAATCTTCAAACGGTATTCTCTCTAGTGGCTTATGGTTCTCAAGTGGTTGTAGGGTCAACATGCCTGCCTAGAGTCAAAAATCCGAAGTCTGCTCTATTTTCATGGGTTGGGTTTTCAACCTCAATGATTTCATCACTTCTGTCTCCACGGGAACTGTACCTATTTCGTTGTGTGTCATGTCATGATGTCTTGTTCCTCAGTGTATCGAAGTGGAGCTATTACTTGAGCTTCGTGAACTTAGCCTTGGGAGCTAGTAACTCGCTTCCATTGTTCACCTTTGGAACGGTTGCATTATACGCGGGAACTATTCGTCATAAATTTCCATTGCAGAAAAATGTTTCTTACTCTTCCCACTTCTATGTACCACTTTTTCACCTTTCAGCCCCATCGAGCCTCATCAGACGAATCATTAATTCTGCACTGCATTCGCGCTCACTGGAAAGTAATTTCTTGGGGATATCAAAGATGCTGCGACAGCAAGTAGTGCTTCGCGTCAATGGTGAGAATGGAGTCGATGGATCCAAGCACCAGACGCAGAACAAGGCTTCAGATGGTGGAGAGCTGGAAGCATTCCAATTTCTCGGAAGTCTTGCAGGTCTGGGAGCCTTAAATTCCCGGATGCAGGGGGCTAATGGCCGACACGGCCGGAATGCGACAGCTGCTTCTGCTGGCACTCCTTCAGGGAATGTATGCGTGGAATTATCGAGCTCGGGAAAGTCTGGTAGCATGATTGTCATAGGATACGGGCAATCCGCAGGCTACCGATGTGAAGTGCCAAGTGGACATAATCTATTTATCAGCGCACGAGGAGGTAATGGAGGGGATGGTGGATGTGGTGAGGGTGGCCAGGATGGTGGAGATGGGATGTCGGGCAGAGACGCTGATGAGTGGCACTCTGGAGGCGTAAGTTTACCCACGTCGAAATATAGAACTGGAGGTCTTATAGTTCTGACATGGTGTAGCAAGGAGGGCGTGGAGGGGATGGTGGAAAGTGTGTGACATCGCCCTTGAAGCGGCAATGTCAAAAGCTAATAGAGTCTTCATAGTGCCGGTTACGGAACCTACGGCGGTAATGGTGGTCCCGGAGGTAATATCGAAATTAGAGTGCACGAAGATGATATGTGTCTATTGCTCGCTCTGGACTGGGACAATTCTGGAGGCCAGGGAGGGTCACAAGGACAACACGGCATGCCTGGATCTGGCGGGAGAGGTGGTAGAGGTGGACGTGGACATTCGTCGTAAGCATGTCCTTTTCGAGAAACCCTGTCATTTTTGTGTAGTAGACTGTCTAACAAGAGCTATCCAGGGTTGAACGTCACGACTCACGAGCTTCCGATGAAAATCCACCTCGTAACTCTCGTTCAACAAGACGTCACATGCCGGGAGGGTATCCGGGATCGAATGGACGTGATGGTGCGCCGGCGAGGTCTATCTTGCGGGGTGGGACTTCTGGAAGAGATGGCAAAATCCGTTTTGTCGTCATGTTCAACGACGGCACTGTATCAAAGTATGCTTCGAGATACGACCTTCGGATCGAACATTGTATGCTCAAGGATGAGAATGACGATGGCATATATGAACCTGGTGAGCAAATTATGGTGCAGCACATCGCGGTCAGAAATTACGGTACGCTCGTCCCACTTCTTCACCGCTAAGATGCTGACCACAGCTAGGAGAAATGCCTTCCCCTAGCCAATCGCGGATCAGAATCGCAATCACACCAAGTAAATGGGTCGATCCAACCGTTGATCAAAAAATCCTCCGCATACAAACCTCGATTCCTGGTTTCACAACCGTTCAAGTATCGGGAACGGTCAGGGCACTAATAAAGCCCGAGACCGAACTTCGCTTGTCACCCACTCCATTGAAAGTTGACGAAGCGATCAGGCTCGAAGGCATCATGTCAGGAATCAATAGAAAGATACTCGGATTTGGGGTAACCTGCCCATTCGTGGTGCAGTACCCTCTTCGATTGAATCAGCCTCTTTTCGCAGAAGCTGTTGCTCATGGAGAACAGTTCAAAATAAAATGGAGTGTAAGGAATTCCCCTGTCCTGCGTTTCGACGATCGGTGCTGATGTATGAAACAGATAGAGAATATTTCGAGTCGTGCCCACGGCATACACTCAGATTTCCATCGAACTGTCTCCACTCGCATCTCTACCGATTCTGACTTTGTCGAATTCTTAGGTGACGAAGATAACGTTGTTCGAAGTCACGAAATCCACGGAATAAATCATCTGGAAAGACTAAGATTCCAACAACAATTTAGTGTATCGGAAATGGCCGAACCGTTCAGCAAAGGTGTTGTGAAACTGGACTTGATGCTCACTCCACCTACATCCACACAGGATCCGATCGATACCCTCTCTGTCAGAAGTTCTACGCAATTGCCAGCCACAGTGTTCAATCTCGAAATCCAGGTCTCGCCAAAATACCAGTATAACCCAAGCTCGTCATATCTACTCCTGATCAATTCAAGCACGTCTGAAGCGCTGATTCGGCACATATCAAATTTCATCCAGCATGATCTCATGCTAGAGCTAGATATCTTCAATACTAGTCTGAATGCATCTCTTAATCAAGAATCTGGACAGAACATCCTGGAACGGTATACAGGAAAGACGATCGTTGTGCCTGGCAACGTGTTTACCTTCTTCGGATCCATTGGCAGATCTATGTACGAGTTCATGAATCCAGCAGTCATATCGAAACTATTAGACAAAGACACCAACTTTCTGTTCCTGGATACTCAAGATTTTGCAGGTCTGACCAAGACCTGGGGACCGATGGTTGCGAGCCCGGTAACAACACTCGATGAATCTGGAACCGACGGCTCGCTTCACGGTCTCGAGATGAAGCCTTTTCTCGAGATCTTGCAAAACACCGTCGATGAATCCAATACAGGTATTTTCAAAGCACATTCTGTGACCGCCAAGAAGAGCTGCATGAGATCGGAGCAGAGGGCCATCAATTACAGGTCCAAAACTCTAGCAAAGAACCTGAGAATGCGACATCCCAACAGGAACTTCACATGCAGAGGCATATCGTCTGATGGGTCCAATGATAAATTGCTTTCAATAATGGTACACGAGGCTCTTCCTCTATCGGCACGAATATACGTGTCATCAAAGGTATGTGACTGGAGTTCTGAGACTCTAGACCCAGTGTTGCAGTACCTCATCGTAGCCTCCTTACCATTGGCGTATCGTTCGAAAAGAATATGGGGCCTTGCATCTCTACATCTCTCGTGTGATAGTAGCAAGGAAAATTCTTCTGGATTCACACCTGTGAATAAGAAAAGCTCAGTGGATGACCTCGGCTACCAGAAGGATAAAGATGAAGACAATGCTGCCAACGAGGGGCGAAACTCTGGTTGTGAGGCGAGGTTTCAAGAAGCTCTAATCGAGACATTCCTCCAGATTTCTGTCCGATATGACCTCATCCAGGAATTATCTCACTTTACTAAATATGGCCCCTGGTTATTTGACCCACTTCGGAAACATTCGCTTGCGCCACACTTACCACGTCTAACTACCTTCTTTAACCATTCCCCAGACAACGGTGAACATCCTTCGATCACAGCAACCGAGTACATCGAATGGTTCACCTCCCTCCTCGCAGAGCTGGACGTGATAACAGCACCCAAATTACTCGGCAAATTCTACTGCCGTAAAGCTCATCTTTCCAAGCATCTTCAACACGAAACCAAACGATCCTTAAGTTCACATTTCGGCAAAACATTTATCAAAATCGTGCAGAAGGCAGTCAAGAATCGAATTCCACATATCAAAGAACAGCATAAAGCATTACGGAAATCGCCTCAGAAAGTTTCTGGTGTGCCAACGGCTGTGATGGCAAGTTTGGGTCAGCTGAAAGAAGCGCTTGGCTTACCTCGAACAGCTCAGCAACCGTTTGTTGATCTTGGATTAGAATGGTTCCAAGAGTATCGAACGGCGGTAATAAATCAAGTAAAGTACAATGAGATGCTAAATACGACAAAGCAGTTTGAGAAAAAGCTGGCACAGGATGAGGAAAGAGGTAGGACGATACGGCGGAAGCTTTTCGGGGATGGATGTTAGGGGAAGGAGAACTGAGAGAATCAATCAGGTTCAAGCTTAGTTTAGCATTAGTTAGTAACCCTCTTAAAGAGCAGTTCTAGTAATTAGTAACAAGATAAACTTCTATATACGTTCGATTAGTACTATAATATTAGAAATGAGTTCAGGGGTGGAACTATCAGTTCTTCAGTCACGCTCGACTCTGAACAGATTCACAAGAGCTTTGGTTTTACTAGTGGTTGTGATAATCATGAAAGTGGTTTTGCCTATCAATCTATGCTTTCTCCTGCTATCTATTCCCATATCAATCCATCTCATTATATTACCCGGCCTAGGCCAACCAACTTAGGCATCTGCACTCCTTTCGCAGCTGGCTCTAGTAGCGCTCCCGTTCGCAAGAGAGTCTTCATCTTGTGAGTCTCTCCGTGTTGGTCGGCTGGAGAGATGAATTTCATTCTGGTCCTCCTCATCCTCTTCGTCATCATCGTCTTCTCCCTCGCTCTCTTCCTCACGCTGTCTCTTCAGTCCCCGACTCATACCAGGGAAATTCTCACAGTCCTCTCCGTTGAATCCCATAGAACCATTTTTGGATGCTACGAAAATATTATAATGGATGCCACACAACTTGACGCCATTGATATTCTTCGCAAGGAACGACTTGCAACGAGTACCCTTCGAAGTGATTTGGGTACAGTACGCGTCGTCGCCCAAAGCCAGTATTGCCTCTCGAGCCTTTCTCCTCTTAGCGCCCTGGTATCGGGTCGGATGGTCACGCTTGATGTGTGCGCTATTACTACGTGAGAAATCATCATTAGTACTCTTCTTCTCACATGGTTTTGGGAAATGAGGGGACTTACTACGCAGTGGCTTTTAACATCGTTTCCCACTCTTCGTTGTCTGTTCCCTTTAATGCCAACGCATCCTCCACCAATTTCCGATCCTCATAGCACTTCACGCCTTCCTCGAACCAGCTGAACTTCTCCAGGTAGTCATCAACGGTGGGATTGATGACACCGATGTCTTTGCCATCCCGAATGGCATGGCGAATCTTCCAGTTCGCCTGTGCCTTCCGAGTGATGAAACCACCAAGTCCCGGATCTTCAAAAATAGTAGAGTTTAGCTGCTTGGAACGAACTCGCATACAGTCCTGGCGCGAGTACGCAATGAACACGCATCTGGTATACTGCGAGTCCGCAGTCAATTTCGGGAGTTTCACTCCAGCTGGCGCAACAGGGGTGAAGCGCAGTGGCGATTCCACAGGTAAATCTGCTTCGTAAGGTGCGAAGCCGCTACCCGCATGCGGATTATTTGCTGAGAAGACGAGACAGTAAAATGGGATGCCAGTACATGTAAGTCGGAAGTTCGTGATATTGAATCGGCCGACGAAATGGCCTTCTGGGACGTGGTTAAGGAAAAGAATGCAGGAGAAGTGCCGACGCTCGTCGTTGATGGCCTTGTGAACGTGAGACTTTACCTTGAGGGTTTCCTCCATGACGTCTTCTGGTGTCTTGGTCGAGTTGGACGATGAGCTGAGTTCTTCAGAGCCTTCAGCATTTGAATCTGTTCCGGTAATGTTTACATCCTCATTTGTCTTATCTTCTTGCTTGATAGCGGTCAGATTAACCTGAATCGAGGTAACTAACACTTTTGTTATCCCCACCCCCACACGTCAGTGAAGCTTCCTTAATCCACTGTCGTTCATGCTCCTCTGTCCACGCCCCAGACGCACTCTTCGCCATCTGGAACGCAATGTCGGAGACCAGCTCCACCATCCGCAAGACATATGAATCTCTCTGCTTGGCAAGAATACCCGGTCGAATAGTTCCATCCTCGCCGGTCGGCGCAACGGACCACGTGAGGTTATGCGTGGTTCCCGCTGGCTTGGGATTCCTGGGTGTGTCCAGAATTTTGAGGTATTTGGCCATGTCGGGCCTGTGAATGATACTTTGGAGCTCGACAAGCTTATCCCAGTGTCCAAGATCGTGCATATGCTGTGGTGAGAAGGTTTGTGCTACGAGGAGCTGGCGGGTTTTGCCTCCTGCCCTGGCTTGTGCGAAGACAGGTTCGTTGTCGTCGAGGCTGTGGTAGCCAATGTCGGCGAGAGTCTGAGCTGGGACGTGTTGCGGACGGTGGAGTTCGCTGGGAATGACTTTCAAGTGTTCGCCACGGGCAGTAGCGCTGAGGCGGGGTCGGCCTCGTGTCCTCTTTTCTGTAAGGAGCCAGCCTCCTACTGGGCGTGGCGAAATATCGTACATGACATCTGGATGAGTTGATGTATTGTTAGCCATATTGGTAGAAGGCAATTGGAATCAGTAAAATATGGTCGATTTAGTTTAACAAAGTAGTCTATGTATTGAAAGACTCGAATGTTTTGAGTGATAAGTAGTTAGCTGTCGAGATTCGAGGTCGGTGTGAGTGGCAGATAGAGTCAAGAAAGCTATAACCAGCGCTTATATAGAGGCAGAAGATCTAGCGGTATTTCGTGCAGTTCTGCTGAGGCTGGGTGATGTCGCTTGTACAATCAACAATGTACAAGCGATCGCTAGCACACTCGACAAAGAACGCTTGTACACTGGATAAAGCCCGCTTGTATACTCGACAAAGATCGCTTGTACAATCAACAAATATCACTTGTACACTCAACAAAGATCGCTTATACACTCGACAAAGGTAACACTGACTCGAGTCACCAGCGAGGTGGCCTATTCTATCCGGTGAACAGATACGATGTCGATTGTGACGACATGAATTCAAAATGCTACATACTGCTAGAAGGGCAAATTAATTTACCAGAGTTCGTTTTAGTTCTAATACATACTAATCAACACAAGAATTACCACTCTAGAGCGTCTGCAGTCGATTCAGGTTGATTTATTTGTTGAACAATAGTTCTTTTGGAGGGGAAGTACGAGACCAACTTTAGTGAGCCAGAACTAGATATATACACAAGATCACACTTCAGCCCACCCACTAAGCCTTACGGCCTGAAAATACTTTGCAATATGACTTTACAGCCTCGTTTGGCTTCAGGAGCTCAATGTCAATAATGGGGCTCGCTTAACCCTTCACCACCCCACTTGATGATGTACACGGCAAAATGACCCCGCGTGACAGAAATAAGTTATAGAAGACGCAAGCAGTTACCCAGCCGTGCAGAAATACTATATAATAAGTTCAAGTCACAAGACCAAGAATTCCGTTCTGTCGGTATCGCTTCTAGCCTGACTGATGTACCAACAAAATGCTAATTTATGCTCTACGTTTCGTTACTATCGTACAGTCCTGCTCTTACATGCCTCTGCTAACTCGATTGGTTTTTTTTTCGCATGAATCCCGCAAGTATCTGTTCTACACTGGACTGTATACTTGCAAGCTTCCCCATTTTTCTTTTTGCCCGTGCAGTTGGTCTTTACAAACCTCCTACGCTTACTGGGATGCTGCTCCTCAGAGTTCTCTCCGGTGCTTCTCTTCCTAGTCGCACCATCAATTAACTCTGGCATTATCTGCTCTTTCTCGCCCTCATCGTCATCGATCGTCTCCCAGTCGCTGTCATTATCTTCCTCAGCTACAACGGAATTTTCCTTACCCAGGTGCATGTGGCACTTTGTCGCACCCTCGCAAAGAACCAGGGATAGTGATAATTAGAGACAACGAAACTGATCAAAATAGCAGCATCTAGGCTGATGATATTTGAAGTGCAGAGCTGAGACATGGGATCACGAGGTTTAGTGGAAGGTTACGTTCTGAACATGCATTTCAAAGACTTGAAATTAAAGGACGTCAGCAAGGACTGAAAGTTAGGATAAGTTGAAGAGTAAAGTCTGTAGGTACTTACACCAGGTTATGGGTGCGTATTGAAAGGATGTGAGTTCTGGATGTGATGGCTTGTTGTGAAAGTCAGTCGACATGGGTTCGTGAAACGGAAAGGACAGTTTGTTGTAGCTCGGTATATATACGCAAAAGCCTCTGGACGCACTTGTCACAACAGTAAGCTAGTAATACAAGACGACATGACCGGCAACAGATTAGACCTAATCAAGAGGCAAAGATTATGGAGTGACACGGCAGTAAGATGAAGATGCGACAAAGTCATGATCAGGATTCGACCAATTGATCCATGATATACCAAGCCAAAGCAACACAATAGTCTACACATGTAACAAGAAGCGTATTATAGGGTCGACGAGTCACATCGATCTCTGTAGCATCCAACTGGCTTACAGCTATGCCCCACACGATCTGGCTACAGAAGTACTGCGTACATCAACAAAGCCTTTCGCTTGATTTGTTTGTGCGCCCCAGGCCAGAAGTCTCCGCTCGAGTACTACCGGTCGTCCTCCTCAGTTCTCCCTCGGCCAAGGACTCATTTCTGGCACTAGCAGGAATTTTGACGGAGGACAGGGGCTCGTATTGTGGCTGCAGGAGAACGAACGACGGATGACGATGCGATATCTGTCGACCAACGCGTGAAAGAGTTTCGATATCATACTTTGGTATAGACTCAACGATGAGGGTCTCCAACCGTCAGCTACATAGCAGGTGAGATGATTCTTATAGAGAAGTCTACGTTTTGCAAAAAAAGTGACTGCCGGGGACCAAACATTCCTTCCAAAAAATCAGCTGACCATGCTTGGGAAACAGTTCAAGCTATGCTGTTCTACTGTTTGGGGAACGTCTAGGGAGTAAAACACTTCTAGAAATTGCAGACGGAGAAGTAAGCGGCAGCAGGTCAAACAAGAAGGGTTGAAATATTCAATTTTAGCCAAATCAGAACCAGCTGACAGCGTCACATCGTATGCAATGGCAATGTTTGTTTCATCATCAAGAAGTTTTCAAATTTACGTTGAATTTCCGGCCTGATTTTCTTTGTTGAGAATTAAATAATTCCAGCTATGAACCAAAAAAAAAAACACCATCTCTTTCAGTTTCCACTCCAGTCAGGTATCTCACACTGCCACTACCATTCCCAAGCACTTACCTCTAGTCAATCCTCCATACTTGATTTCCCTCTCAATCTAGTAGTACTTAGGATTTGCAGGGTCTGTCAAATCAAACACCACACTGGAATGCGGCTTTGCACCACCACGGTTGGCAAACTCCCTGGTGAAATCAATCGTGCGGTTGAAGCTCAAACTTCCGTTTGGATTGATATCAATGTAGAGCGCCTTGTAATCAGCAGGGGTGTTGATGAGACCAATGTCGCCAGTCTGCACGAAGTAATCCGTGACAACGATGTGTTTTTGGTCGGGGGTGACCTTGATGTAGTGAGGGCCGATGGTGGGCTGGACGGTAGCAGGGTCATCGAGACGCTTGACATTGTTGAGGTCGGAGATGTCAAGCGCGGCAATGTGGTTTGCAGTGGTGAGGGTGAAGTAGGCGAATTTGCCATCTTGAGTGATGTCGGAGCTGGACGATGTGTTAGACTGTGCTCCCTTGTAGCGGGAAGGGCTTTGCGGATACAACTTACTAGATTGCGACGGTGTCACGGGCTGTTGGACCAAGATCATACAGGAGCTCAGCAACACCTTGTTTGCCGTTTGAGTCGGTGCGGAATGGGTAGATGATCCAGACTTGGCCGAGGTGCACTGCGGTTGCAAGAGCAGCTGATTCCTTATTGCCGGGGATGAACTTCACGTCTTGGATTCCACCACCCTATGTCCGGTTAGCTCGAGCACGTGTTTGGGGGAACAAATCAAAACTCACGTCTGGGATTGTGATGGTGCTGATGATTGTACGGGAAGCAAGGTTCCAGAGACGGAGAGTGTTTGCTCTCACTATGCCAAGCGAAGGCTTCAAGATCGTGACAGGAACAACGAAGTCGGAAGTGAGAATGATGTTCTTCTCCCAGTCAACGCTGAGGCCGTGAGGTGAGAACTGCTGGCCCAGGATGTTGGTCAGACCAGAGACGTCCTTGGGGTGCTCGGCGATGATGTTGAAGTTGGCATCAGTTTCGACGAGACGGCCTGGAGATGTTCCGACTGCTGAGCCCATGTAGGTGATGAGGAAACCGCTTTCTTGTGTTAATAAATTGAATATGAGAGTGAAGGTTGAAGATACTAACCCATCAGGCTTGGCTCGGATCTCATCAGTGATGGAAGAAAGAAGAGCTCTGTTACTCTTCTTGAACTTCGGTCTATATGGGTTGGAGACATCGAAGTAGTATGCGGTATCCTGTAGCGGATTCTCAGTATAGTTATCAGTGTAGATGTGGAGGCTCGTACCTGAGTCTTGAGCAGGGAGAGAAGGCCACCTCCAACAAGAGTCTTTCCGTCGGCACTGGGGCCAAGATGATGCGGGGAGTTGCCGCTGCTGGGGACATCAGTCAACCAGATGAATTGACCGAAAGTATCATCATCGAGACTGTAAGTTGCGAGGAAGTCTAATTCGAGTTATCAGCTTCTGTATAGCATCCCAGTTGGAGCAACATACCGGCATGCTGGTTGTCACCAGCTCCTGTCCAGAAGTATCCGATCTTCTTAGGCTTGATGTTGCTACCAATGAATGGTGGCGAGGGCAAAGGTGGAGTAGGAATCTGCAAGATTGGCAGCGGTGGAGCGTTGGATGCCAAAGGCTCAGTGACGCCTGGGATTGAAGGAATCAAAGGTGGCAGAGAGATCTGTGGATCAGGGTCTGGAACAGGTGAGCCGAAGGCTAGCACTGCAGCGTAGGCAACTGCTAGAAGTTGACGAGACATGGTGGAAGTAGCAGATTATGATGTCTTGAGAGTGTGCTTGAGCTGTTTTGAGGAGCTTTGAGGGAATTGATCGTTGCTTCGAGGAGTTGGTATGACTTATATATTTACAGAGCCAGCCTTCTCGAGAGCAAACCATTCTTCCACTTCTATCCCTTACTTCCCACGTTGACACTCAAAGTCATCTAATCGCGATCTTCAACCAACGAATATGTCGCCATTCCTATGGCTCATGACAAACATGCAAGACAAAGAAGCAATTCACACCCCGCTGAAGAGATCGACACAACTTTTCTGTCTCCTTTCAGAAATTTCATCATGACCGAGATGAGAATATCAAGTCATCATTCCAAGTACCGGGAAAATGAGCTTTGATTCATGGAAGCTTGATTTCTATAATGGCGAAGATCTGCAATTACGAATTCTATGGCGTTTTGTCGTGGTTTTAGCTTCACTCCTCAGCAGAGATTGATGCTATTGGGAGCTTCCGTTAAACTTGGCAGACTTACAGCTTTCCCTCAGCGACGGGGAACTTCGCCCCCAATACTTATCAAAAGCAGTTTCTAATGCTACGGGAAAGACTGTGCGACGTATCTTGTACTTGATTCAATTGCTACAATAGGCTCTATAGGAGCAGTTCACCAACTTTTTCAAACGGCTTGATTTCATTGTAGCCGAGCAGCACTTGATAAGTATGAGATATTTACACATATAATGCAAGATCTGAGTAGCAAAATTGTTTGTTCCGAGTCTAAACTACTCAGTAGACGAGAGCTGTTGACACAAATTACTGTCTTTCGAGCCGTCGACGTTCTTGGTCAGATGATCAGAATTGAGGCAAAAGAGGAACCTAAGATCGACGCTGTCACCTTGGCATTGCCGAAAGAGAGATATGCTTAAAGCTTACGGCACTGAATTTGTTCTCGGGACTTGCATTTGCCCTGCTGATCGGGAATGCTCCTCCAATGCCACCTCAGCTAGGCCATCTGAAGTCCCGCCAGGTCGGCGAGGTTCTGCAGAAGCACGTTGATGCAGAGCAACTAATGCAAAGTAGATCATTGCGGGTCCATATTTTTCAATCCAGTAAGGAGTAACTATTCAGAGCGGCAGGTTTAAGCATAAGTATCGTATGTCTCAATGGGGATTTGTTTACTTTTTCTTAGCGTGGTGTTGTTAGTCTCGGTAAGGGAAAGGAGTTGCACATCTCAATGGATGTGGCAATGCTGTCTCACAAAGCACGCCTTTCCTTGGCAGGCGGTCTAAGGCAGAGCTTCTTTCAACAGCACGCATCCCAAAATTTTACCACCGACCTCATATGGCAAAACGACGCTTTATCTATTGGTATGCCAAGATGATCTGCTGCGCCTTACACCAAATAAGCAACGGCTGAATAAATGCACCCGCAGCCACGAATTGCGACATTTCCATGCCGGTACTGTCAGTGGCTGGAATTGTGACAATGACCGCTCCAGTCTGGACAATACTGCAGCCGATCAAGATTTGAGATCAGATGAAATGTTAATCTTCTGAAAGTTCGATAGTCATGGTTCCTGATGATCTCTCAATATCACACACGCCGGGCACTGAACGCGGGGTCTTGCCATGCCCTAAGGGGTTTTTTAACAGATACTAACTGCACTTCTTACAGATATTGTCTGTAAACAGGCCTTTCAGATGTATTTTTTTTTTATCTGTATTTCAGTTGATTGTCTGTATTATCCTACCTAGGAACTCTACTTCTAATTAGTTTTTAAAAATTTAAAGTGGAAATGCAGACATTACTTGTAATTTAAAGGAAATACAGCTACTATCTGCATTTTCAAGAGTTTTCTGACTCGGTATTCTAACTCGGTTTTCTGACTAATAAAGCTAATCTCCCCCCCTTCTATTTTCTTCCCTACCCTTTTCCTACTTTCTCTCTCCCCCTCCAAGGTCTCCCTCCAAGATAGGTCTCCCTCCTCCATGTAAGACTCCCTCTAAGGTATGTCTCCCCTGTCCCTCTCCCTCTCCCTTCTTCCTTTCCCCCCTCTGAGTACTCTGAAGGTAAGCAGTAAAAGGTCTGTATTTAACCTCGTATTAATGTATAAAAAGTCTGAGCTACTTAAACTCTCCTACCTACCCTTAACACATGCTAATTTGCCTGCATTTTTTAATTACAATTATAGCAGGCTTTGTCTGAATTTTAGCTTTATTTTACTACTACTATGAATACAGCCAAAATGCAGATAAATTACAGTATTTGTCTACATGAAAACCCCCGTAGGGAGGGACCGGACCGAGCAAATAGGCACATAGGGTGATGTGCTGTCAACGGTAGTACAGGAAATCTGTACATAGACGAATCCCCCGCTAACAATGCCGTGATTGACTCTAGACGTACTGCACTTTCAAGCATGCTGCAGATCATCATTACTGGGATCACCTGGTATGATAATTGAATTACTAAGTTTTTAACTTTCCATAAAAGCTAATAGTCGCGAGTGCCCGCAGCCTCACACAGGGAAACTGACTAGTAGGGTTCGGAAATCTGTGGCCACCCTCTTTACATTAGTCAGAGGTACTTGTACTCTGGGAAACCCGCATCCAGTCTCCTTTTCCTTGCCAACCTTCGTATGTGCGCCTCCTGAGCTCTAAAACGAAGCATTATGCATTTGCCACATCTTTCTCTCGCGCTCTGTAGCTTGGCTGTGTTCACCTCGGCAGCTTCTGCTGCAACAATCGAGAAGAGAACTGGCCCAACCTTTGCAGACGGCCAACCAGCTGACGGAAAAGGAAAGGGTGGACGCTTTTCTGGTATAGATTGTTCACCTCTTCCGAGAAATTTACTGATATTTTGACAGGAGGAACCAATCATCAACTCGATCTTCAGAACCCCGACAATCTTGGAGCTCAGAGTACCGACAGCGGACTTGTCCCCAACCTGAAGTGGAGCTTCAGTGACTCGAAGACGAAGATCTTCAATGGAGGTTGGGTCCGGGAGCAAGTCATCACTGACCTACCAGCAAGTCACGATATCGCAGCCGCCCAACTGTACTTGAAGAAAGGAGCTATCAGGGAGCTTCATTGGCATCGAGTGGTAGGTTTGAGATATTGTCAATTCATGGTACAAGACTGACGTCGTGGAAAGGCTGAATGGGGTTATGTATATACCGGTGAAGTGTTGGTCTCGGCTGTTGATGAGAATGGTGATTATCAAATCGATAAGCTCGTTCCAGGCGACATTTGGTACTTTCCCAAGGGCAGTGCTCATACTATACAAGGTGAGTGAGATGCTGCACCCTCAAACAGTTTCACGTGATCTGATAGATATAGGTCTCGCCGACGAGAATGAATCCCTGCTTGTCTTCGATGATGGTAAGGACGAACTTCCCGGCCTAGAAATACTTTCCGGCTAATGATGGCATTAGGCGACTTTGATAAAGTTGGAACGACCTTCATGGTTGACGATGTAAGCATGCACTCAGAAATCCTATGCACTTGTCACAATCCTGTTCTGATTACTACCGCAGTGGATAGCGCACACTCCTAAATCTGTCTTAGCTAAGAACTTTGGCGTCAACGCTTCGGTCTTCGACACTATTCCGACACCAGACCCATACATCCTCAACGGAACGACCTCCTCAAGTCAGCCCACAGGAGTCGAAGCTGGTCTTTTTGGCATCAGCTCCTATGTGATCCACAAAGCAGATTATGGTACCGTGCCCGTTCCAGGAGAAGGTGGTACTCTGTCAATCATTGACTCGAGGAACTTTCCCATCGCCACAACTATTGCGGCGACTGTCGTGACACTCAAACCAAAGGGCCTTCGGTGAGTTCAGTGGTTTCATTTTTACAGTCTGGCAAGTACTGATACATCACAAAGTGAGCTCCACTGGCACCCCAACGCCGAAGAATGGCTTTACTTCCACAAAGGCACTGCACGAGCGACGGTCTTCATCGGTGGTGCCAACGCCCGAACCTTCGATTTCAGCTCAGGCGATACCGCCGTTTTCCCCGACAACAGCGGACATTACATCGAGAACACTTCTGAGACTGAAGACTTGGTCTGGATCGAGATCTACAAGGCTGATCGCGTAGTAGATATCTCGCTCACGCAATGGTTGGCGCTCACACCACCTGATATTGTCGCGAACACGTTGAAGATCCCGAGAAGTGTGGCGGATCAGTTGAAGAAGGAGAAGCAGTTGCTTATCAAAGGATCGTAATTCGGGTCCTGTATTTGTGTCATGATGTGGAGAGGTGTCTCAACGTGAATACTCCCTTTATTCTTAGGACTGACAATGGAGTCTCCAAGACAGATCGTCGCTGGGGGGTTCTGACCAGTAGAATAGACAGGATTTCCAGCTCGGCTTTTCGATTTCTGAAGTCCGAACCTACTGATATTGGATTTGTGCTCGTTAAGCCTTGTGAGACACTTTTTTTACTTAGATATTCAGGCTACACGAGGGTCTCATAACGTCCGTGAGCTCTTGAATTGTAGGTATATATCGAGTATGACAATGCTTTAAATTAAAAAATCGTCACTCCTAAGCCTGTTTGCTCTGTTTGTACGCTTTTAATTGTCAAGTCAGACTCAACTCCAGGCCGCACAGAGATTTTACCCTGCTTCTTAGCGGACTCATTGTCAGACCCAAGAATAAAGGGAGTAGTCGGTGATTGATAACACTTGGTGTTAATAATCTAATCCTTGTACCGAGATTGCTTGCAATGAGTAGCTCCAAGCGATACCATTTTCGAATTGAAACTACGTCCGTGAGAGCAAATCTCCGCCCCTGAGATCCGAGATGATGAGCATGACCCATCCCTTGTAGGCTCTCCACCACTGAATCAATTTGGCTTCTTTGTCCCCTTGATCCGTACTTTGATCAACAGGTAAACGAGACTGTAGCTCGAAAAGACAAAGGACAGAAATTATCGTGGGACTGCAATCATGATACTACTCCGTGATATTCAGAGTTTGGAGATAGTCCGACACTAACTTGTATTGACAGACCCGACAGCTGGCAGTCTTTACGCACCAGCAGATAAAATCATAAGGAGGCTGGTGCAGCTGCGCAGGTACTAGTGGCCAAGTTTTTTTCGGTGCTGCCACTGAGACCGCCACACGCAAACGTAGCTGTCACGTGGGGATTGAGCACTTTTACTTTCTTTACCGATACAATAATACTCTCCCCCCCTAAACAAACGTTAAACGTGGACTTTTGTGGGTTGAAGTCCTGGTCGGCCTTTTCTAAGTGGTTACCTCCCCTGGGAAGGCTTAAAGCACAAGCCAGATTCTAGTCAATTGTAAAGATAAGGGTAGCTTTAGAAGGTTCGAGATACACTTGAAGCCCTGCTTAAGGCTATAAATCAGCACAATCATTAGATTAACACCCTAGCTGACTACCCACACGAGGCCCAGTTTTCATAAGGTTTAACGTTTGTTTAGGGGGGGGAGAGTACTAGAGCATGTCAGGGGATGCAGCTAGAACTTGGACAACTTACTATCCCGCCCCCCCCCCCCCCCCCCCACCCCCCGCCCGGTTTAAATGTTAAAAGTGAACTTTTGCGGGTCAGAGGCCTGACTTTCAACTGCTGAGTGGTTAGAGGCCCTGGATAAAGCTAGAGCACGAGCCAGAATTAGGTCTGTTGTAAAAGTAAGGGTAGCTGTAGAAGGTTCGAAAGGACTATAAAGGCTTGAAGTAGCGATTTCTGTTGGATAGACACCCTAGAAAGCTACCCACACTTACTCCAGTTTTCTACACATTTAACATTTAAGCCGGGGGGGGGGAATAGTAAAAACTTGGTCCGCTCGGGGGGTTGGTCCGCTCGGGGGGTTGGGGGTTCTGATGCAATGCATTGCAGTGGCATGGGCGAAGGTTTGAAAAGTGGCGAGTCGTATATCAACTAGCGTTGAAACCACAAGAGAAAGACGAGGCCAAACGCAACTTAACTCGAAGCAGCGCAAGTGGTATCCTAACAGAACAACAAGAATAGCACAAGAAACTACAGTGTACCCCCCGGTTCCAATGTTAAATTGTAGGGCAGCTCAGTTTATCATTTAGACATGAAATAGAAGGATTTCAAGCTGTTTTAAGAGGTGGTAAGGGTTTAAAGTGTCGACGCGTAAAGCGAGTGCCAAGAGGCCAGTGGCGATTTAACATTGGGACCGGGGGGGCACTGTAACTTGGCCGAGGTAAATTCTAACACATTCTATTCATTTCCCCATTGTCCTCGGAACTCTAACAAATCCCTCTGTCCATAGCTTTCTCCGGCGATAGTGAGAATCATATCGATCGTAGCTTTCGTATTGGTCCTGGCATCGAATCCAGGCTCTTGAGAAGCGACTTCTAATTTGGTAGGCGGCTGGATAGGTCCGATGATGGGTTCTTGGACTGGTTCAAAATCACGGCCGTTCGGGGTTGGTTGAGCTTCAGACTCATCTATCGAGTCGGCTGGGAGGCTGGCCAGGATGCGAGCTTCGCCTGCTGCTAACGCATCTGGACTTGCGTCTGGATTTTCCAGTACTTCGTTCGTTATACCTGCCTCCTCTTGCATCATGAGTCCCGGGTTAGAAGCCGATTTCGCTACCCCTTTTTCACCGCTATCCTCTCCAACCTTATCGGCTTCCAACGTAATCTCATCCTCATTAATCACATCAAACTCTCCTTCTCCTTCCCCTGCCTCTCCATCAAATCCCCTCTCGACCTCCATAATCCCCTCCTTCCACTCCTCCTTCTCCTTCAACCCCACCCCCACCAGAACAGCTTTCTTCCCCAACTCTCTCACAACCCCAATCTCCTCACTACTCAACTCCCCTCTCTCGGGTAACCTCGCAAGCAAACTCCAAATCCAGCGACTGAGCTCCATCTCGACTCCCAGCCCTCTCTTCAATAATGTCCCTTGCGTTAGCAACCTCAAGAGACGCAGTACAGACCCTTTGTCAAAACAGGCCAGCTGCGCCGCTTTAGGATCCACGGTCTTCATCTTTTTGATCCAGAACCGCGTTAAATCCCTGTTCATCTTATCGACATGCGTGGGGTGGTCTCGACCTAGGCTTTCAACCGCGTAGCGAGGAGGTGTTTGAGATAGTTGATCGCGAAGATCTTGATATCGTGTGAGAATCGAGTCGAAATATGCTACCTGGGGATCGTATTCCTCTTCTTCATCCTCCTCATCGGGTGTCGGGTCGATTTGCGCGATATATGCACCGTCCGCGTACCAACCTCTGAAATCACCGACTCCATCTTCGTAGATTCCCCGATTTTCGTTTGATGGAGGTGCGCGTGGCGCGACGAGTAGATTGGGAATTGTGGTTGCTTCCTGCCTAATTTCACGATCTCAAGGTCAGCTTTCATCTAGTGCAGGATATCTCAGCGATTGATTCTCTCTCGGGCAAGAAGAAGGAACTACTAACCTGACGGCTCTCAGATAAGCCAACGCATCCATATCCTCATCATAATCAAATTCCTCGTCGCCATAATGGAGTGTCTCTTCGTCGAGTCCTGGAATAGCACTTCGTTGCCCGTAGGTTGGGTCGACTTTTGCTTCTACCGATGGATTGGCACGGGCTTTACTACTGTAGGAATCTTCAGGCGTATCACCCCGAGATTTGCGTTTTGTTCCTCCCATCGTTGTGCTGTGTGTGTTAGTGAAGAAATGCGCCAGGTCAGGATGTTCTTACTCTGCTTCGGCAGCCTTGCTTACGTAATGAATATTTTCTTGTGGCCTTGTCCGAGGTCAACGACAACCCCTCCAATTCATGACAACTTCAATTCAATCTTGGATATATTTCACAACCACGCATTTGAAAATCCTGTTCGTAGGTCTCAATATGGCTGCCTTCGCTTGAATAAACGATCTACAAGCAACTTTTGTCCGTACAACCTTCAAAATTAGAAATCGAGCAATATGAATCTTTGCCACCATGCCGTCCCTCAACAACAACCAGCTCTCAAAAGACGAGGAAGCTTCGGGAACACTATCTACCACAACGATGGCATCGCCCGATCTATTTCCAGATACCCCTCCATATGAGAGCCAACAGACTCGATCGCCGCTCCATCTCCCCTCCGAGATCATCTCTCTCATCCTCGCCCATATCCCCCGCACCCAGACCTCACAACCAACCCTCTGGGCCTTCACCCTCGTCTCGCGGTCCTTCTACGCCTGCACTATCGCTACACTCTACCACCGTCCCTACATAACACCCAACAACTTCAGCCTCTTCGTCCGCACCATCTGCCCCTCCAAAAACGCCCACATCATCCCGACCCCCCTCTCCCCGCTCGTCCAGCGTCTCGACATGGGCGCCCTAGTCCATAACTCCAGCAAATCACTCACAGCACGCCTGTTGGGGCGCCTAAAAGGCAACATCCAGCAATTCGTCGCACCACAAGCTTCATTCGCGATCAATTCGTTCGCTGCGTTGGGAAAATGCAGAGAGATGCGACTACTAGATCTATCTCTCATCTCAGCCAGCATATCCAACAAACTCCTGTTCCAAACTCTCTCCCACCTCCCCAATCTCCACACTCTCTTCTTTCCGCGTTCCTCCGCTTCGGATGCCCTCGAAACCATCACAAAACCCTACACATGGCCGCCGAAACTCAGCGCACTCCACCTCGCAGGCGGTATAAATGACAACTTCCTCTGGACGCATATGGTTACCTTACCCGAAAGTTTGCGCACACTCAGCATCCAACACTGCTCATCCATCCACGCCCCCTCCATCCTCCACGTCCTCTCCCTCCTCGGCCCACGCCTACAAAACCTCACCTTGCGGCACCCCCTCCCACACCTCTACCCCACCTCCCTCGACACACTTCTGCTTCTCTGTCCCTTTCTCCACGCGCTCCGCATCTCCGCGGATTTCATCTCCCCCTCTCTCTTCATCTCCCCAAACATCCCGTCAGGCCATCCTCTCAGAATCCTAGATCTGGAATGCAGTCCCGACGCGAATGCAGATGTGGATATACCTCCTGGGGTGCTGTATGAGGCTGTGGAGGAGGGGTTGTTGAGTGATTTGAGGAGTGTGAGGGTTAGTGCTAGGCTGGCGTGGGGTGCGAGTGAGAAGACGAGGGGGGATGTGAGGGATTTGTTGGAGGTTATGGAGGAAGGGGAGACGGAGAGGCCGGTGGGTGTTGAGGCTGAGGTATTGTGGTGTATGCCTGATACTTGAATCTGGGCTGAGCGCATGGTTTAAGGTATCTGGCACTCTCTCATGCCTATGAATCAGCTTAAATAAGATCTCAGGTCCCTTGTCGAGTAATGGGCCATTTGGATTCATACATCATGTACGCATACTTCACAAATAACGAAGCTGTGTTTGGTGCGGAGCTTCCATTGCTCATGTATGCTGCGAATCCCATGCATGATCAATATCTATACATGCATTCCTTTCTCCTCCAGGTCCATATATTAGTCAACAAAGCCAAAGCCAAAGCCATACCCCGAGAAACCTGCTCACCAAGCCAAGAGCTCGTTTCCTCCGTCCAGCATCTCATGCTCATTGGCAGTCTCCCCATTTGGCTCATTGCCAAACATCTCATTTTCACCCCTCCGAATCCTTTAACCACACATTCCTTATCAAACATTCCACCAGTCAAACACGGACTTATACAAACACTCAATAAGCACATCTCATGGACCACCTAGCAGCTGTCTCTTCGCCGCAATCAATATAGAGATACTCTCCTCCCAGACATGAGCAGGCATCCTTTCGTTGAACCCCTCGTCGACTCTACGTTCTTCCTCAACCTCAGCCATGCGTTGCTGGTAGGCGTCCATGATCCTGCGATTTCTGTCAGTTTGTGTGCCAACACTAGATGGTCCTATGGAGAGTTACTCATCGCGACTAGCTCCTTTAGTGATGCCTAGAACGAAATGGGGATCTTCCACGAAGTCGGAATTTATCTGTGAGGATGATTGCGGTGTGGAACTCGTCTGTGGCTGCGTCATTTTGGAAGCTTGGAAGACTCGGGCTTGCGATTGGGGTTGTGGTTCTTTGACTACACCCTGAAGGGCTTGGGAGTTGGTATCCCGAGTCTGTAGGGGACCACGATCTTTGAACACATCTCCTGAATTTTGCTGAAGGTTTGCTCGAGGACTGCCAGTGTTAAACAGATCGGGCTTACGATAGTCTGGCTGAGCAGGCGGCAAATTAAATTTGACTGCCATTTCTGTTAGACATGCTCTTTGGTGTTATTGCACTCCATGTTTTTTTTTTTGGAACGGCGATGTCATACATGGAGCAGCACGGGTAGCCCGGTTCTCAGCCCTGTTGTCCTCATATCTATCCCTCTCTCTGGCCTCGAATACCACCGCATTACTATTCTCGGCATATCTTGGCGATCTTGGTCGGTAGTCTGGCTGACGTCCTGGAGCATGTGCGGGTAACTGGTATGGTGAAGGAGTTCGGCGACGCTGTTTTAGAGGACTACGAGACCGATACCGTGGCTTCCGGCGCGGAGAGCCATTGTAGCCCGGGCGTCCTCGCTCTCTTGACGGTGATCTGCCACTATGTACCCGAGGAGAGGGCTGTCGGTATCTTGGTGGTGATCTGGACCTCTCCCTGTCTCTCTTGATGCGTTCCTCTAAGGTTCTTCCTCGCGATGGTCTATCCTCGACATCGAAGTGCTTTTCAGTACCAACGTATATACAAATTTCATTGACAAAGATTGCGGAACCCGGGTTGGTCTTCAATGCGTTCAATACTCGCTTCTTCAGCTGTTCGAGTACTCAGCCTTGTCTGTGAGAGATCTCCAAACTGAAATTCTCGGGGGTCGAGGCTTGTCAGTAACGCGGAAGAAGGCATTGCACGTACCTCCGGATCATGTTGTAGACCATGCATCTCGATCCAAGCTCGTGTACCTGCCAATGGCTCGCCAGCAACACGTCTGATCTGGTTCTTCCTGTTGGGACAGTACCGCTCGATATGGTTGTAGCCTTTGCATTCGAAGCATTGCTTGACGCGCTCCCGGCATTCACCGTAGTGGAATCTGATACAATTGGTGCACGCGGCGGGCATCTAGAGATGTCAGCAATGTCCATTTCTCTGTATGAACTCCTTGCTCTTTTTGAACTTGACTGTATCAATCACCTTGGCGATGGGACAGAGATGTCGGCAAGTGCTTGTCGACGCGTGATATTTGGAGTGCCCAGCCTTGAGCCACTGGCGATATAATCAGTGGCCTTGCTGCTACCAATTGTTAGTTGTAGAAGATCTAGTTTGCGAGACGCGATGTTAGTCCTACGATATCGACTTGATACCGCAGACAATGTTGCTCTGGTGGCAAGCGTTGACGGCAATGCATCAACAGCTATCAGAGAAACAAATCGGGTAGTGGGGTTGAGGGTTGATGTGTGTGTGAAGCACCAAGATGCGTCTTGGTGACAGGGCGAGAAGAAGGGAGATGAAAGTGAAGCAGAATGTAGAAGGGGAGAAAGAGAATTGGGATGGGAGAGAATAAATGGTAACAACAGCAACGGGAGCTTCACATCTGCTCCCGTCCAGAATAGGAAGCCACGTGCATGGAGATCTCCCTCACGTGTCCTACCACTTTCCAAACACTCCCTCACCTCAATCTGATGTTTTGTTCACCCTCCTCAAGTTTAGCCAGGCATGTTGTTGATCTCTTCTCTCTACCTCTTCATCAACACAACCTCATTTTTGTGTTTTGACTATCAGCTCTTTCATCATGCCATTACAAGAACCATGCACGGCTCGCTGCAAAGTTGATAGGAATTCAGGTCAGCTTCTGCGGTGATGAACCCATATTCTGCATCCTACAGCATCATAGCTACTTTAGTACATCATCCATATCTTTACCATCCCATACACTGGATTTTGGCACGTCGCTCGCAGTAACTTGATCAACGCATGCCGCCCTCAACGTCACTTTTGATCGACAAGGCTTCATCTAATTCCCATAAGGGAATCCCGCTCCTGCGGGTATGTCTTGGCTTGCGATATTGCATGGTAGAAACTCGATTATATTTAATTTGAACAAATTCACTGCGATCTGTTGCTAGGGACCAAGCGGCCATTCCATCAGCTACCACCATACGACTCGAAACAACGCTGAACACTGAAAAGGCTCAGATACTTCTCTTGCTGCTTGAGACCCATAGGCATGCTTTCAGCCTGTTACATTTGCAAGGTGCCCACGCCGACGATATGTCCTAAGGTCACCGGTCCTTAGCCCTCGTAACTATCAGGTGCTGATGACGAGGGCGGTGTAAGGATGAATCTCAACGAGGCACTCACTCCGGAAAGTCAAGCCCAGAACGAGTGTGGAGACATTTTGCAATCAGATTCTATGCTACCAGATACTCAGCTTGGATCTTCTGCTCAGTTTCAGCAGATTGCTGGAGCCACTAAATGTTATGGAACATCAGGCAAGAAGAACATCTTCTCCTCCGACTCACAGCTGCCAGACATCCAATGCCAAGATGCAGCTCAATACGAAACTATGGGCATCGATCAGTACGCTAATGCCAAATATCCATTGACTTCGGATTTTTCACCTCATGATATCCAGCACACAGGTTTGGGCTTCCGGACGGATAGACGCATTTTAAGAATGAACACAAGCGCAGTGACTTCTCACAACCTGGCTAGGACGACATACTTTCTCAAGGCACATTTTCAAGGTGAATAATCAGTTTACCATCAGTCCCAGGACACAGTTGTAATTAATCGTGACAGCTTCAAAGTCATTGACCGTTAGTCACAAGGACGATGGGGACTCAGTCTCGCATAGATTCTCCGCAACCGCAAAATTCAGGGAGGATGATGGGCTGGCAGCTACTCAAGCCGTCTCATCAAATCAGTCGAACAAAGCGAATCATGGCGTGTGCAGTGATATCTATTTACCATCTGCACCGTCTACACTATCTACCCCACCTAGCATATATGTTTATGACGAACCTCCTTCCACAGAAGTGTCACTGGAGGTTGGGGGCAATGTTAAAAAGACATATGATCTTCCATATACCGCCACGGAAACTCTTACTCCAAGTTCAAACACCATAAAAGAAGGCGACAACCCTTCCCCAATCAAATCACTTCAAGTCTCACAAGATAATCTCAACTCAGGGAACCTCCCAAAGGCATCAGATTCACAGCCGACTAGCAATGTGGCCAGCAATTTATTATCGGCTTGCCAGTCATCTGTTAGCACATCAGCCGGCAGCAAAATTCCATTCAATAAGATATCCTGCAAGGAACGCAAGCGCATCATCATTTCGCCCAACCGCCCTCCAAATGTTACCAAAGCAATGATTGAATGGGTTCGAAAGACAAACTGGCTTCTCGATCCTTTCCGAGAGAATGATGATTGCTGGTTGCATCCATCGCCACCAGCAGCGCTTCTTAGCGTTTCCGGAGTTTGCCGACCTGTTGGGACGCTTCAGAAATGCTTCACTTGGAAAGACACAGAAGGAAAACACTCCATTGTCCTCAACTATGGCATTGTCGTGAAGCTCATCAACTACCAGATGACAAAGCAGCAGCAAGATGGCTTTGTCAACAAGCAATGGCATTTGTCACACCTTTGTGGAAACTGGACTTGCTTGAACCCAGCTCACACCACAGTGGAGCCTGGACGCATCAATATTGGCCGCAATAAATGCTTCTCACATCGCTCTTGATGTCTTCATAACCCAAAGTGCCTCAAAGACAAGAAGCTCGCATTGGACCCTGATGGAAAGGTTATCGATCACTCGGACCTAGCATCACGAGGCATTCAGGCTGTCGATGTATGGGATAATTGGTCAAGTCCTCTTCTCGTTGATGATAATGATTTTGTCATGGACGATTTTGACGATTCAGAATCTATGGCTTTCGGTGATTTGGATGCAGCTGAGTTTTCATCCGCAATGGAGGAGAGCGATGTTGTTGAGCATGTGCCAGACCCTCATACTGACGACCCGGCGCCTACTCCGGCTCCTTCCCCGAAGTTCAAATCTAGACAGAACATCACTTAAGCCAATTTTGTATATTTTCATCATTATTTGTGCAGGTTGGAAACCGAAAAGGGAAGCAATAGATAGCATTTCAAATAGACATGCATTCATGAAAATTTATGGTCTGCATTCTTACTCTCATTTGAGGTATTACTTGAAATTTCCAGTTGTACTGAGAAATATGATATGCTTGCTTATACTTTACCTCGTGACAACCAGTCCCCCCTACCTACCTCCATTGTAGTGGTACATGTCCTCACAGGTAGTGGAGTATTGGGCCGTCCCAATACTTCAGGGCACGTCTTTGTGGCTCGAGGGCTGCATATCTGACGAGCCTGGCTACATCTGAAGGCTTCAAAAGATGCCTTTAATTCAGACTCTCAATACCTTTGAGTTTCTTGGTTTTATTGCGTGATCGTGATGCTGCTTGCAGTGAGTGGAAGTTGCTTCCCCGTGTTGTTATTCGCTAAAAGCATACGGGACGAACTCGCTAAAGTTAGCGGCTGCCGATCACCTCAGTGCACATACGAACCCTAAAGGAGCCGGGTATATCTGACTTCACACAGAGTCACACCAAAGTCTGTGTGGGCTGAGATATCAGACTTCACACCAGGGCTGCGTGACCATAGTGCACCAAGAAAGAAAAGAGAAAGTATAGATGATGTGAGCATTTTCATTTCTTTGTTCCAGCAAAGCTACCCGAACATCTTTCGCATCGCATCCAAGCCTGTGTTACTTTTTGAGCATGGGGTCCTGTTGTCCAGTCCACTACTTGGAATACTCCATCTTGATCAGGTAATCCTTGACCTCGCCGAAGCTTTGGTACTTGTCCAGCGCAGCCTTAGCTGCTGGGTTCTTGTACGCAGCTGCTGCCTCCTAGAAAAGCAAGTCATGTCAGTTGGCTTGTACAATCACATGGCAAAGTTCTCGAGGATGAAACATACCTCTGCGCTATCCCAGCCAATCAGTCCAATTCCGCCCGCTCCATCAACTGCTCTTCCACCCCAGGTCTCCTTGCCCAGAACAGCTGCCAGGTCTTCCCACGCTTTCTTGACCTCTGCACCCTTCGCTGCGTCCACACCAGCCAACTGTGAGAATTGCGTGAACGCCTTTGGCGCGCGATCCGTTGGGAAATCGTCGCACTCGTACAGAGTGTGTTTTGGTAGGGGAGCACCTCCCGACTTCTCAGCCCACTTCTTGGCTGCCTCCTTTGCGAATTCCGAGTCTGCGAATGCCTTCTCGTCTTCCAGAGTTGCGAAAGCTGTGTAGGTTGGTTAGTGGAGATACACAGGCAGGGAATATATCTGAGGGACTGGATATACGTACCAACTGTTTCAAAGAACTTGAACCCAGAAGTAGGTGCTCCATTCTCGCCTACAACTAGGCCTCCTGAGATCCCAAGGACTGTTGGGATGGCAAGGATCTGGGCGGCGGTGGATGGCCACTGTGCAAGGAATCCATCCTTGTGCTCCTCGGGAATGGGTGGCTGGATGACTGCGAGGTAAGGCATTTTGATGGATGGATTGAGTTAGAAACCGGTTCTATTGAAGTTGATTGGAGTGGTTGTAGTTGTTGTTGATGTTCTTGAGCTGTGAAGAGATGAGATGAGATGAGATGAAGAATAATTTCGAGGTAGGTACCTCGATTCCTTATATACTATCTGGACATTTTGGCTTCCTCGGACTTCGGAGCTTGAAGGACGAGTCGGTCGGAAGTCTAGAGTTCGCGAGCAGTTTATGCATAACATGTACAGATCCTCCAAGGCCGCCGTTAACTTTCCTTGAAACAGACTGAGCCTCGGATTCGTACTCGGAACCATGCCCGATGCGTGTAACTTCGCGGTCCGGTCCTTCTGGATTGGTTGGAGAAAGTTGTGTACCCCATAATTTACAGCGTAATAGTCATACTGAAGGGTTCATTATGACCGGGTGGGTGGGGTGTTTACAAGACCGTCTCAGGTGGCTCCGGTGGGCTGGATCGCCCAGCCTTGAACGGGAAGGATCCATCGGTGTAAATAATTTATGAATCAATGCTATGATCTTTGAAAACGTCTGTTCTTTGTATCACTGTGTGGGATAGTTATGGAGCCAGGGACAAAAAGACTCGTGATGACCCCCAAAAGCGTATGCCAGTTTCAAGAAACACGACTGCTGGGGCGGGACAGTAAATTTGCCAAAGTCTCGATGGCCTGATGAAGCAAGAAACAAAAGATGTGCACAGCTTCGTATGTAACCTGGAGGCTAAAATCTACATCAGACGGTGTGAACACAAGGTCCTCCTTGGAAAGATGTATCATCAAGGAGGGGTTGCCCCACTTTCTGCTTATGGCATGAATTGACACGATTTAGCGAGGTGGTAAGCGAGAAGCTTCAAGGGAATACGTGGCTAGAGATGAGACTCTGAACTCAAAATGCGGAGTGCGATACTTGATTGGATCAGCGTGAAGATCAAAATATGATCCACCTCCCGGTTTGGTTGTTCAGCCCCTTTTCAGCACATGATTGTTGCAGTGTTTGGAAGCCTCTCTCTATCTTATAACTATGTATGCAGCGAAAAGACCCTCTTTTTGGAGCCATACGTTCCGATTGGTCTCATACAGTCTGTAGCTCTTGAGTCTAAAAGATGAATCTTCGGCGACGGCGCTAAGCTGTTCCATTGGGTGGGGGACGATAATATTCAGCTTCCTTCTCGCTCCTTCGGAAGTACATATCAACCGCAAGGCTCCACATTCATGAAGACGCGGCCTTAGAAACATCCCGCTCCTTGAGTCTCGGGATGTCTCGGCACACTGCGGATGGTGAAGAGTACCGAGATACCGTTTATCAAACGGACAAAGATGCTTTCATCATCAATATAAAGAACATCTAGCAGACATTTCTTTTCGCCGAGACGGAGTGGTCGGTAGACAGCATTATTTATATCAATCTCATTCCAGGTGTTCGCGAGTAGCTGTCAAGTATCATCAAGTCTATCAAGTCTCTTGCCGCCAACCAAATTACATTCAAACTAGTTGTCATCTATTTTTCTCTCTACTTGATTCCATTTTGTTTTCCGCATGTTGAGTATATCGAAACTGTAAATTGATGGGCATGCGAAAGCGCTTATGCCTTGCGAATGCGGTTGTCTATCCCCTCAAGAGATAGTCCCTTCGAACATGCGAATTATTGACTTCCCATTGTCGATGCGAGAAGTTCGTTGCTCTGGAGAATGTGCGTCTCCACTCAAACATATCTTCGTCCTTTTTCGTCATTTTGTAAACTAGTCTTTGCTTTTCGTAGCGTCTGCTGTTGATTGATGCTCAATCGAGACTGCGAGCTGCAGCACCGCAGCAGCTAGGGTGTGGAGAGCGTCGTCTTTTTTCATATTGTATGCCCGAGCACAGTCCTTTGCATAGTCAGAATCTCATCCAGGAGCCACGAAAATTAAGTGTATGCCGTGGCTTACTGCTTTGCTTACTGCTTTGCAGATGTTGGGAGAAGCTTGTGAATTCGTTTCGTGGAGATGGGCATGATTGGCACCTAAAAAGTATTAGTAGCACACTCTAGCATAGGGGCAGTTGAACTTACAGTACCTTTCTCCAACGCCCACTCTTTTGTTTAACCACTCTTGAACTTCTTCCTTGGTTAATCCGTTTGGACTCGGAGTGGGCATGATGCTTGCTGTCGATATAGAGGCAGTTGAATGTGAAATGTAAAATGATGAGAGGTCGGGTGAGTCAATATGTTGTCGGCAAATGTAGTGGGTCAGCCATCCCAATATCTGACCCGCTAAATTCCACGACAACCTTGTCGTGGAACGGGAGTGCCAAGGAATCAGCACGGTAAATGTCAGAAAACTGAACGTTGAGGCTTGAGCAGCTGTAGTCTCGAACAGCGAAGGCTAGAACGGGCTGATGGCGCTCGTTCATGCACAGAAGAGTTTATTCGCGCTATCGAATCTCGTCGGCTACTTCTCATTTGGTCACTCTACATGACATGGCGTTATGCCATTGCTCATTCGAGGGGAGGGACTGGTTATCATATGTACTTCGGGTAGACGCAGGCATATAAGAGACAACCATCCCTGTGGCCATACCTGGACAGGAAGTGCTCCGCTCTACTTTGCAGCAACATCAGATCTTTACCATCTGTCCAATCGCCAAGGTGCATCTGTTCCTCAATCCCAACCTCATGTCCCGAGACCTTTAGTTTGAAAACACTGCAAAACAATATGTCTCAGGCAAAGGTATTTATCTATGCTTCCCGAAATCCTCTTTGCTTTGATTGGCGTGTTGTTCACCCTCACAGGTCCGAGCATGGCAAGGCATGTATGCCACCTGGTCGGAAGTGCGGAGAATGTAGTTGGCTTTGGCATGGGGACTACCCCGCCTTGAATTTTGGCATTGTTAATATACCTCCGACATCATAGTTGCTTTTCCGTGAGTCTGCTGGAATATCGAAGTTCACATTGGAAATCCTCGACTCATAAAAGCTGTCGTTACCTGCATTTGGAAGGATGATTGCGAAGAACGCTTGTCAAGCCAGGACTCTATCTATCTTAGTCATCCCTTTCATGTTATACAAAGAGCCGCTTGTCCACAGAAAGGACTTCTGAAAGATCCGCAATGTCCTCTGTGGTTGTCGATTGGCTGACTGCCAGTCTTTGAATAATTGTGATTGTGGATTTGGGGAGTTCCCAGATGTCTCAGAAAGTATTGGACATGGCATGGAGGTTGACATTCGCCTGCAACCTCTGGTAATCTCATCTCCCTTATGGCTGCTCGCTCACACATGGCGACTATGCAAGACGGGAGGAACATGGTTTAGGTCTAGAAATGTTGGTATGTTTCTGTCTGATATGCTTACTTAGCGTACCGGTTTTCTCTTGGCCGGAAGAGCTGTTCCGTCCGCGATGGGCGAAGATAATCGTTTTGATTCAGCTCACCGGTGACAAGGGGGGGGACCTTTTGACATTCAATGCTCGTGCGGTCAATTGGCGCGGGGCGTCTGCAGACTGGAGACAATGCACTTCCCTCGAAGTAGAACAGAAGTAGTCCAATGGTGCCGATCATCGTACGATCCGAAGAATCAGCAGCAAAGATAACAAGGTAATTGCTGAGTTTTCCTGGCATATTTCTTCAAGGTGGCTGGGAGTCCGGTATGTTGATGTGTTGTGTTACCCGACGGACTGGGCTTGTTGAAATCTCTCACTTCTCACATTCAATTTCAAATTCAAATCCAAAGAAACTGCAACCCTCTTATCATGTTTTCCAGGGGTTAATCCGGATGAAGTGCCTTTGAACACACGCGTCGGGTCATGCACGTGCCACTCCAAGCCGCTGTCAATTTCAGATAGAGCACGATGGGTCCTCCGCCATCCAAGCACAACGCCTACAGACCAATGAACTTTATCAAGCACTTTAACAGGTGGTTATTTCGTTCTGGTGGCTTGCGGGATCACGGTTCCTTCCCGACGTTGGTTCTTCCACAACCAATCGTCCGCACGCAGGTTTAGCGAGATTTTGCAACTTAAAGGATTCGCTAGGATGTCAGGATAGCATCCCACCCGGCTTGAGCAAGAGCTGCATACAACTTCACAAGGCTATTTCTTACCCATAAAACTTATGACTAGACCATGTTGAACTGCCATGGCCTTTGACGGATATCGTACCCCGCAATCAGCCATATCCTTTATATCTTCTCTATCAACTTCAGGTTTTTCTAAACATTTTTGATACTCATCAAAGATCATCTTGTTTGTCATTGAGCATGGCTTTCAAGTCGCGACCGGTTCTACAAGATCCTGGGTACAGTTCGGTGCGGGATATCTGTTCTTCTCTTGGATACAACTCAGAAACCAAGACCGACCGACACTTCAAAATCTTGAGCACGAAGACTTCGAAGCATCGTAAGAGGTTTGTGGAATTGTGTCCGAAATTGACGGAGTTCCCTCTTTCAAACGTCGCACCGGAAGTTCAGGCTTGTGCATTACAATTCTTGGAACAGCACCGCCACTTGTTCCAGGACTCTAGCGAGGCTCGCGCTTCACAGTGGCCGACATATCCTGCAGACACAACAAAGTAACAATTTATCTTCATCTCATTGTAATTAATCTAGGCTCATTGGTGGTAGGATACTTTCTGGAATTGCTACACTGATGTGTGCTCAAGAATACGTCCGATTGAAAAACGCTAGAGACAAAGGGATGGAAAAGGCTAACAAAGAAGCTGACATTGACCCGCCTTTCGTCGTTGACCCGACTCCTTCAAGGTCGACATCAAGCTTCGCAGGTGGAAGCGCGCCTCTAAAGAATGGTGGATCAATGTTTGATGGCCCTTCAATGTAAGCCTTTACACTAATAACGCTGCGGCTTGTTCAGTTGTGTTAGCTGACGTCGCTGGAAAGCTGCGAGAGTGGCAGTGATGACGAACAAGACGTGGAAGAATTGCAGAGGAACATTGACATACATCTTGATTATGTGTATCCTCTAAACCATTCGATAGATGGAAAAGCAAGTGGTTGGCTGTTTACCGTAGGTCGTTGCCTAACCTGGTGTCTTTGCATCACTAACAGCCTTTTACACAGTCCGAAAAATGTCCCGACGACGTCGAGCCCTTTGCATTCCGATACCTCCACGAAAACAACCTCTACAACTCGAAAGCCGAGAACATCGATGCAATCCACAAGTTCACAAAAGCTTTAAAGCAACATCTTCATGTCTCATGTGAGCCTGCGAAGGATCACAAGGTCTTCAAGAGGTGTGAGCAGCTTGTGCAGCGGGCTGCTCGGAGATGGGACGTAGGTGGGTACGGAATACTAACGAAGAAAAACGGCATAATGAAGAAGACGCCACTGTTTGAGCACGCCTGGATGCACCATCGTAAAAGGTAGATTGATGAAATGAACTCTGGGGTTACGGATGGTTTGCTCGAAATCCCGCCTCCTTATCAATCACAGCCATTTATACCCTTCGAACTAACTGATATGGTGAGCAAAAAGCGGGTACGTATTCTGGATTCTAATTTCCTCGCATATAAGTACAACATGGCTGATGTGTTACTTTGTCTCAGCTGGCTGAGGACACTGGGGGCATTCACTCGCCACGAAACCCGAAAGAGGCGCCATCCCAGCGAATGTCAAGTGAAATCTCGACAGAATCGCAGTTCGCTGCTCCAACCCACCCTCACCAGTCCCAGGAATCTTCGTACTCTCAACCAAATAGTACCAGAGCTCCAGAAGCAATGATGGTCAATCCACCGCTAGAACCACTCAAGCAGCAGACCAATCATGGCCAACATGCATCATCTAGTTCATCCTCTTCAGCAGTAATGACAGATACGTCGTGGGACATTGAACCACTCACAATGTCTCCCAATACACTTCCAGCTGACATAACCTCGCCTTCTCTACGTCAGCAATCGATATGTACTAGTTTCGACGCCTTCGGGCTCGCTGGATCCCACTACTATGCTCCTTACCATGTCGACTCGCCACCGCCATTGAAGACTGAGCCGCTTTCCCCATCTGCAAGCAGCGCAGAGGTGTTGCACGATGGATTGCCAGGCGCAGCCCAATCTGCCACCTTCAATGCAGACACCCCTGTCCCTGAAAAGGCTAAGCTATACTTCGCCATCGAGAACTCTAAAGGCGTGCCTGATACGGCACCTTCGAACCTGGTATCTGGCCCTACCTTCCGAGACTCTTCGCTTGCTGCTTTCTTCGAACTCGTTGCAAGGCGATCAAATAAACCTTCATCGTCACTTAGCCACATCACTTTCCGATACACATGGATTAACCAGAACACTGTCATCGTCAATCGACATCTTAGCGAAGAAGCATGGAGAGATATTAAGGAAGATGTTGCGGAGTTCTTTCTTATGTCGCGGGACGAAGATAGTGCTCGTCGACGCTTTCATATCTGGGTAAGGGCTGGTGATACGACAAAAGCTGGGAAGAACACTTCAAGAGATGATATTTAAATTTGGTAGGGGCATTCTGGGACACCTTTTCTGACCTTTCGGGTTTTTTCGTACTCTTTAATAATTGCTGAGTGTTAGGAGTGTCGTACTGTCTCGTAGTATATAAAAACTTCTGTCTCCTTGGAACTTAAGCTCCCGAAATGCTGACTAAGAAAGCGTGAGGTCCATCAAATCCACCAGGTCCAATGTTGGTCAAGTGTTCTTAAGGGTGCGTGCGATCTGTTTTACTAGCACGGCATTCCAAGACCTTGGTAAGTAGATCTTACAATATAAAAAGATAATACTACGGCAACATATACTGTCTTGCGGAAAATAAGCTCATATTAAGATGATTCATTCATAGAGGGACATAAACAGATGGCTTTGAAGGCTGATAAAATGACTTTTGTAATAATAAATAAACATGCCCAATGGACGAATATAAATTTGGCGTTAATTGTTATGAACAAATATATGAAATTAAGCTTCCTACGATTTTTGAGCAATTTCTATGTTGTATGTGTGATGTCAAGTTAAGATAGTACTACATGATTGGCCACGCCAAAGGTCCGGAGAAATACATGGTTGCTCCAGAGCAGTTCCAGACCGGATTCCCCTTTATGAAGGAATGGCTTTTTTCTCTATAGATGAGGCGTCTTATTTTCTTTGTTTACTTTGTATCTGACCTACAATACTCGTTTTGGCTCCTCGTCTTGGTTCTGTAATCTAAAGATCGCTTTACAGGTTTTACATCGTTGCAGAATTCATGCTAAAGATCGAGATTGCCCCAATTTTCCCCAAATTTCGTTCATTGATATACCTAGGTAATCGAATCATAAAAGGTACTCAAGATTTTAGAAGAGCAGGTATCATTATCTTCACCGAGTTGATGCGTAGTAAATATTACAGATATCATTGAAAATACTGCCACAATGTTGTCAAGTTCAAAAACTTTGTAGGCTTGGCAAGGCTTCAAGGTCCGCCAACTATCTCATTGCGCTTAATTCTTTCAAACTGATACGTTTCTCCCGCCACTTTCATGCACCGAACAAAGTCCAAAGATGGTCTCAACTGAGCACTAAAGCTCTTTATACAAGCCACCAACAAGAAGTGACCGATCTTGGGCGGTCGACGGAGCTTCATACATATTATTCTTCCGGTCATACCAGTCCAACACATTCGTCATGTTTCCATCCCCGTCAACGAAATCCAGATCATCACTGGGCCGCAGGAAGTAAGTCGTCGAGTAGCGATCGACGTCTGGGAGAGGAAGGACACGATGCACAGCTGATTTGAGTCGATCGTTGGTCAGGAATCGTAGGACGTCGGCAACGTTCACAATGGCACATCCGGGGCGTGGCTCGACAAATTCCCATTCTAGGTCGGGGTTTCCCTTGTTTTCTGGGGAGAAGACTTGCAGACCCCATTGGGGTGCGAAGACGAGTGTGAGTGTGCCATAGTCGGTGTGTACGTTGTGGCCAACGTTCTCTCCTGTTGGATCCATGGGGACACTGAGTGATGTATGGTTAGCCGTCGTCTTTAACAGGCTTGAATTGCTTATGGCATGAATGCCTCTTTGAATATGGTAGGACTCACTGAACCACTGTCAGTGAATGAGCCAAAAATGCGAGGAGATATGATGCTAACCTAGTGAAGGAATGCCAAAGCGCTTTTGGAAGGGCTGTTGTTTCGATGGAAGTTGTTGAGACTTTGAGCTCCTCGCATACCCAGAGCATTGGATATTCGGTCGAGAAGTACATGTGTTATATAGTGGCACTGGCTTTGAAATCGAGCAAAAGACTCGTAGTTGTCTTCCACAACTTTTGGCAAGCCCCATCTGCCTGCGAGTTCGAAGCTGCCAGTCTGATCATAGTTCAGCAAGAGCTTTTCATTTTTATGCCATCATCACAGCTTACCTTTAGAACCTCCCAGCCATCTCGGCCTCCATGTGTTCCAGCTTGAGATCCGATAGGTTTATATCTGCGTTATGACCAATTAGGACTGAGTTGTTGTCGTTCCGCTCATCCTTACCCATGAGATGCCATGCTTATGGCCAATTCTTTGAGCTTCACTTCTGTAGGCTGAGCAAACCATTCTTTCATTGCAGACGACAATTCTGCAAATGTCTCCAGCATCCTGGCAGAGTACTGGTCAGAGATATCCAGGTAGAAAAATCCATCCTTCTCGCATGAAGATATCAGTTTCTTAATCTGCTGTGGGTCTCGGTCAAGTAGTTTGGAGAAGACGACTGTGTCAAGCTGAGCGATGGGCTCATATCGCTCCGTATTGCCGTCGTCACTTATTGAAATAGCTCCTGGCATTTTGAAGATTTGTAAGATGTGAAAGGAAAATCCTAAGGAAGTTCGTTAACAACGTTAGCACTTTAGATGGTTTGGAAATAGAGCAACCTAACTCGCCCATATAAGCTTGCTTAGAGTAGTAGAGCAAAATGCACTTGTATCTCCTTGGCGTAAGGCGGGGGAAAAATCCAAGGGATCACAATGGCCTGACACCAGGTAACATCCCAGGGCTGAGTTGTTGCATAACAATAGAACTGCCTGGTCTTGTACGACCTCTGTCTCTCGTAATTCTTCCAACAAATATGCACGGCTTGCAGAACTTCACTGCATGACACAAATCAGGCAGGTGGATAAGAAACCCTTGGCATCAAGCCAGCGTCGTGATGTTGGACCGAGATCTCACCTGTGCCACATGTATCCAACGTGGGGATCAGAAAGCCAACGGACCGATTCTAAAACCCGTGCGTCAGCAGTTATATTAAATTTGACACCAGAAACGAAGCTGTCTGCGTCTGCGGCACGATCCGAGAACTCCACCGACCAGCCTCCTTCAAGAATGCTTCATACATGCACCGACGTTCTAGTGTAACCATCTACGAGAATTCTCCGGCTCACCTTCACCGGCTCGAGTCCAGTCAGACCTTGGATCTAGCTACTTTACACGCCTTCGCATTAATTGTTCCGGCGGTCAGACCTACGAATCCTCGAAGTCAGGACCGAGGAGTGACTCATATCGTCTCTCAATAATTGATTCCAGCGCTTCACGACTCGTTTTTTGGCCCAGCTCCCTTCATTCTTGAAACAAACTACACACTTGGGTACTACACACACCTTTCAAGATGGGCCGCAGGAACTTGGGGCTTGAAATTGACGGTGAAAATAATGTTGGCCTCGAAGACCACAATGGAGAAGATGCGACCCACGTAGAAAATTTACCACCTCGCGATCGTGGGAGAGCAGCTTGGACGTGTTTGACAGCAGTCTCAGTAATATCTATGATCACATGGGGTATGATTATACGATTTGCATCTTTGAATATGAATGGCCTGCTCACTGCACATTATCACAGGCTTCGGTGCCAGTCAGGGAATATTCCGCGAGCATTACTTCAAGAGTGGGCCATTCAAGGGCAACCAACTCGTCGCCTCAATTGGTCTTCTCGTGGTCGTAAGTTCTCTCATACTGCTGTACACTGTGCGCATATTAACAAAACGTAGGGGATCTTACAATCTCTTTCGCCATTCACACTCAAGCTCATCACTACATATCCAAATGTCCGATTCTACATGATGTGGGCGGGCATGGTCTTGGTCGTCGCATCCTCTCTTGGCGCCGCTTTCGCCGCCACAGTGAGACTTTAACTTTAACATTTCCAGAGAAAAGATTGCTAACACAGTCAAGGCAGTGCAAGTCATCATGACACAAGGTCTGATGTACGGGATTTCAAGTAGTTTTCTCTTTGCTCCCTGCATAAGTTTCGTGGATGAGTGGTTTCTTGAGCGACGCGGACTTGCCAACGGTATATTGTGAGTGATTCAAAACCGAGGCCTCTTCCAGTGGCTGTGATAATTGCTGACCTTCCAGCTTTGCTGCACCCAATATTGCGTCGGCAGTCCTATCGCCCATTTATTCGGTTCTGTTGGACAGATTCGGACCCCGCAAGACACTCATTGGGTGGGCAGTATTCTCCGGTGTAGTACTCCCGCTTGCTATACTCTGCGTGCGGCCTCGACGTGTATCCACAGGCCGGGCGGAGACCACTTCAGCAGATACAAAAGCATCATCCCTAAAGCTATTCAAAAAGCCTCTACTGTGGCTTTTCGTACTATCCATGGCCTTACAAAGCTTGGCGAATAATATTCCAGCGAACTACCTCCCTAGTTATGCTACGGACTTGGGTGTCTCCTCGAGCAACGCAGCGCTATTGGTCACATACCTGTCATTATCAGGTGTTGTGGGCCAACCTCTGGCAGGAGCTTTAACGTAAGTCACCGTTCTCAGACACTGTCCTTGCCGAGAAAGATACTGATAACTATAACTAGAGATGCGATAGGACCTCGAATACCGCTACTGCTCAGCACTCTAGTCAGTACATTTGCAGTCCTTGTTGTCTGGGGACTAGGTAGACAGTACTGGACAATGATCATCGTATCACTGCTATTCGGTGGCTTTGCATTTAGTTTCATGGTTCTCCGCAGCCATATGGCAGCTCTTGTGGTAGATGACAAAGATAATCAAGCCGATGAGCTACTGGTTTCAGGACTTCTCCTTATGACAAGAGGACTCGTGGGAGTTGCTTCAGGGTATGTAGCTGCGGCGATATTACAAAACACTGAGGAAATGGGCGTGCAGCCGGGGTATGGCGCTGGCAAGTGGCGGACTTTCATCATTTATCAAGGTGCTGTGATGGCGGCATCCACGATAGGTGTGATGGGTATGTTGAGAAAGAGGAAAGCTTGAAAATCAATTGTAATCTGTAAATCACGACTTGAGGTACATCAAAATATCAATAACTCAAAGGATAATTTAAAGGAATTACACTTCTTATTCTGCATGACTGTAAGCCAATTTCAAGCCGTTTGTGAAGTGAAATGGGCAACGCTGTTTACTATTTACATCATTCATCATAAATACTTCTTTGAAGTGTAACTGATCCAATAACTTACAAAACACGGTTTACCTTCGCTCTAAAGACTGTTGGATTTAGATTATCCAACCACGCCATTAGAATGAACATTTCTCTATGTCTATCTATCTGACATTCTTCTTAATAGAATCCGATTCTTCCCGCTCTCACAAGTGTCACATTGGGCAAAAATTTACAGTCTTGCCAATTTGGGCATGCTTTACGCGTTCGTAATAATCTAGATCACCAAAGAGTCAGACCGGTAGGATGTCAGATATGCAGTGCCTATGACCCTGTCATATTATCAGTCTTCCTGATCATCCCAATGCAACAGTATTCTGTTCATTCTTCCGAGACTCATCTCTGGTAACGGCGGACTTGAAAATTATTCCGTTGGAAGGATCCGTGCTTCGATGTTCCAAATGCAGCGTGAAGCAGCAAAACGTGGCGCTCAGATCTGATTGACAGTCCACCCTTAAAGACGTCTTGCTTATCATTTACGTATGTATTGTAACATTCTTCGTAAAAGACCGAATGAGGAGGAGTAGTTGACTCGGTGTCGATAATATGAGTAGATAAACCGAAAAGAGTCGTGGCACGTAACATTTCAATCTGCACGACATACCTATCTCATGCATGTCTCGGTTGTCGGATTCGAGCGGTTAAGAGGGTTTACGTTCGTGTTGCCTCGGGGATGCCGGGAGGAGATGTGACGTGCATGATCTCGCATGTGCATAATCTATTTATTTACCCGGTTTGTGACGGGCATGATCCCGCGCACAAGTTTCTGATAAGTGTGGGGGTTAGATCTTCAAATTTGAAGTCGATATAGGCATCTATTAGAATAGAATCGCGTAATCGGAGCGCTGACAGGTTTAGGAAGGTAGATGGTGTTGACAATCCATCAGCTTACGTGGAGAGACCAGGTGTAACGGACGAATGCAGGATTGATGCTTGTATGCATACTGTCGGTGCCGACAAAGGCACCGTCAGACCGTGTATCGTGGTGGAACTTCGGATCGTGATTCACTCCGATTATGCTCGCATGTGAGTCAATAACACAATGCGGCCATGAGACTCGTGTGAGTAGACGAGGAGCGCGCTCTGAGGGTGTGGGACTGGAAGATGGATCGCAGAATCGAATCTTGGCCGTGAGATGGGATGTCACCGGCGGAGACATACGCTCACAAGCTGCATTCGACGCTCGAAGGAGTCTGTAGGAATCGGTATGATGTTACGCTACAACTCGGTGAGAGCCGTCGACCGTCAGCTCTCGGACGAGAAGGTGTATCTGCGGCTCCGTGCATGATCTTGTCGTCCACTTTTAATCACCCGAAGGTATGGTACCGTAGTGATTGCCACGCAGAGCTCCTTCATTCCACTATCACAATACTCCACAATTCACAATCTCGTCATTCACGTTCACGATTTCGACATCAACAATCACAATGCCGAACACACGATTATCAACTGAGACGGGTGAAGATAAATTCGAGCATCTAGTCCTCGCTCTGAAAGACACGCTTGGATCATCAGGCTTGACATCCGATGATGTTGACTTGGATAGCCTCACAAGCTTGATGCAAGAATATGAAAGCAATGAGGATGAATGGGCACGTTTTGCTCTTTCTGATCTGAGCAAAGGCTACACGAGAAATTTGGTTGATGAAGGGAATGGGAAAAGCAATTTGGTGAATACATAGAACATCGCCTTTTTCCACGAAGATATGCTAACTCTTGTCAGCTGATCCTTGTCTGGACACCCGGAAAAGGAAGTCCCATCCACAACCACAGCAACGCGCACTGCCTCATGAAGATCCTGCGAGGCGAGCTCACAGAAACACGATACGAGTTTCCCAAGCATGGTTCAGAAACAGAAGAGGAGCAGTCTATGAAAATGATAGCGGAAAGGACCTACGCCGAAAATCATGTCGCGTACATGAGCGATGACCTGGGTGTTCACAAAGTGTGGAACAAGAGTGAGAACTTGGCTGTTTCTCTGCACTTGTACACGCCTCCCAATATCGTGAAAAATGGCTGCTACGTCTATGAAGAAAAGACTGGGAAGGAAACACATATTAGGAGATGTGAGTATCATTCGATGCATGGGAAGTTGGTTAGTGGCGAATATGGGAAGCCCCTGTTGTAGTGAGTAAGTGGGGTGTTGAGTTGGAATCTCCTGGCGCCAGGGGCGGACTTCGCTTAATGATTGACACCTCGCATTTGTTTAGATATAAGACATGAATGATGGGAAAGTTGGAAATAGAATTAAATTCTTACTTTGCCAGTGTTTCATTGACGTTGGATGCAAAGCTCGCTTATCATTCGCTTCCAGTTGTTGACATCGCTTGCCGCACGACGTCATAGATGCAGCAGATGACGTGCTTGGTACCAGCCTAGATGGGGGCATATAAAAAGAGTCGTGCCAAGCAAGTAGAGAGTATACAAGCCATTTTGATTGATACGATATTCTTGCAATAAGAATTTTAGCCAATGTCGATCCCATTTGCGCCGACAGATAATTTGCACAAGCAGGATCCATTCATCATACGTTCAAGAAAAATGGAAAGGTATGATATATGCAAAATCTCTTGGATTCTAGCAAAGCCAATTGAATGACCAGAACGAAAATAAAAGTATATACAAAGGTATTTCCCCCACCCCATCTATTTCTCGCCAGCTCAAAAATATATACAATTCGAAGTGTTTGCGCAGTGCCTGCATTTTTCCTCTTCTCTATCCACTCTTCTAATAAACAGACTCTTAGAAGTGAAGAGTGGCACCAGCGGTAGCAGTGACAGCAGCCTCGACATTGTCAGAGCCAAGAAGAGTGTACTTGTAAGGAACAGTCTTCAAAGTACCAGCTTTAACACTGTTTGTTCCAGAGCCAAGATCAACGTCATTGACGGTGGCGAAACCGACGGTCTTGGAGTCAGCGGACTCAATGGATTTGGAGGTGCCAGAGAAGACTGAGGACTCTACAAGGACCTGGGCGCCCATACGGGTGTTGAGGCCGGTGGAGCAGGTCTCAGAGACTTGGCTAGGTCGGACGGTTAATTTTGGTACGATGGGGGAGGAGAACAAAGACTTACTTGAAGATGTGAGCAGTTCCGAAACGGATGGATGGGCCACGGGAGTTGATGTTCTTGAAATGGTTGTTGGCGTAGGTAACAATCAAGTGTCCGGTATCCTCAGCACCGTTGGAGTCAGAGTGGCCGACAAGGGATGCCTTGAAGTGATCATGCAGGAAGGTATTCGAGATGGTGATGTAGTCGGATGCGTGGGTGACATCGAGGAGTCCATCGTAGAAGTCCTTGCCGTGGTCTCGATCAGAGGAGAGATCCAAGTGGTCGACCCAGACATTGGATGCGGCTTGGATACCAACAGCATCACCAGCCGATGCGAGAACTTTAGATATCTTCAAGTTACGGAGGATAACTGTCCGATTATCAGGACATGGTTCCTGAACAATGATTGGGGAAAAGACATACCGTTAGAGACCTTGATGACACGTAACCCAACACCAACAATGCTGGAGCCGGCCGCTCCTGCAATTGTGGTATCTGCGGTAACCTTTATGACAGTGTTACCAGTGATGGCGCCAGACACCAAGCAGACCGCGGGAACATTTTGAGTTGCGCAAGCAGTGAGCTCCGCGAGACTTTTGACAGTTGTGACAGCAGCACATCCACCTCCTGTGGTTCCGCCGTTCTGGGTAGCGAATCCGATATCACAAGCATCACTGATGGATCTATTTGCTGAACTAGGAGCTGGAGCACTCGAGTTGGACGAGGATGATCCACCGATTTTGGTTGTACTCCTCTTGGGACTACACGTGGGACCAGGGAGATCTGCACCAAAACTCTCGGTAGCGACCTCACCCGGGCACCTACCACCCTGTGGAACCGCATTGACGGCAGATGCCATCAAGGCGAAAGTAGAAAGGGCGTTTGTAAACTTCATCTTGAGTAATATATCTGATTTGTGGGGTGGAGAGAAGGGATAGTTGGAATAAGATGAAAAGATTGAAGCTTCCGGAGCCTACAAGTTTGAAATGTGCAAAGAATTTTGCGCGTTTGAAGATAGAACGTGAAGTTAGGACAACGAGAAGGAGTTTGTCTGATGAATACAAGAAGGGCGCGGTATCAAGTTGGCTTTATATGATAAAGAAGGGCAGACCCCTGATTGACTTTCGTCCCATAAATTGGGATGGGCCGCAATAAACTCCAGAATCATCCCCCGCTTGTTTCAGAAAACGTGCGAAACGAAACATGGAAGCTTGTCCGTTCCCTGTTGGACCCAGCTTGCTCACTCATACGCTCTGGGGAATATCTGGGGCTTCATTTCAGTGCTGGGGTAATGTGGGCTTGCCGATATCTCACCCACGACCGCAGTCTCTCGGTACCAAACTTGCACAATGCTTTCAGCCTCTTGTCAGATTCCCTTGATAGTCTTGGGATCTTGAAAAAGAAAATAAGCACTTACAAGCACAATCCCTTGTCGATACTAAACACGCGTATATGTAGATGCACGTCCCCTTGTAAATTAAATCTGGGAGTCGGTTGTCACAAGAAAGTCTTGGCACTTTAATCGATCTGCATAAGCGAGTCGGCAACCACTCATGAACACGATTCGAGGTAGGGTTCTTCAACATCGTCCCAAGTACAGATACCCGCAATATATTTGAATTTATTGGCATCATCTCGATTTTGTGGGGATGTTAGATATATATTTCGCCCTTGTTGGCTCCCTTGTGACGAGTACAGCGGGTAGCATCCAGAACTCTAGACCAGGCACGCCATTAGATCGGTACCTTGGCCCACCGTGCTCGAACATCCGGAGACCCCTTGTCTAATGTGCATCTGATGACAATTGCCTGGATAACTGAAATATCAAGAGTTGATCATTGACCGTCGTGTATTGCTATATCTAAATCAGTCAGAACAGAAATGAATTACCAACTCGAGCATAAGGACCTTGGCCCAGCTGAAAAGTAGCAGCACTAACCAAAATACTGTCATCTACAAACTCTGTTTCCTAGGAACTTCATGATATCTCTAAGTTGACACGTGGGTATCGTAACCCTTTTATTAAGTTTGCTAGCTTTCGTATCGTCGTTGATTTGCGTAAAACAAGCAACCCCTTCCTCCAAGTCATTAACATAATACGTTCATGTTCACGTGACCGTCATCCAACAGCTCTAACTTTTCTTCCAAAGCTAAATAATCCTTCGCCATCTTCTGCAGGACCTGAGCTTGATGATTACTCTTTATTCCACAAATCACCATGACCCTTTCAAGGCCGCACCTCATCCTCACCGCTCTTTTGCCTGTGTAACGACGCAACGCCTCTAGAGCGTTATATCGAGTACAAGAGCAAGATTTGGAGAGAAAGAGTATAGTATTGAATAGCCCTATTACGAAGGAAATAAAGAATACAAAGAGAACTCCGTCTGAAGTGAGGGAAGCTGTCCGAGTGCGGCCTACCAGATAGCTCAATCTCAACCTGCCATTACAGCCCGAAACCAGCCAGAAAACAGCCAAGAAATAGCCAATCAGCAAAAAGGATCTTGAACTTCGAGAATACCAAATTTAAACTTTAATGCCAGAAACTTTCGAAGGATTTTTTTTTTACCTAAGCGCAGAATACTATACCATGCAATGTTGTCCGCGAGAATTGCGATACTATCCCCTCAACTGCCGAAAACACACTTTTCCAGGGCACGGCGCTGAAGCGAGGCCCTAAGGCTGCCTGCAACAACGAGTTTCAGCGTTCTTCGCTTAATTACAGGGTCGCGCTACAGGTGCATTTGATACGGCAGTTGAGGGGACACTATGTGAGTTAATGCCTAGCACGAATTTCAACCCTCATAGCTGAACAAACAACACATACTGGAAAGAATCTGACCCAACTTAAATTAATTATGACTTTACCATCCATCCGTCCATCCATACACAATTACCGACATCTAAGCTGGTCAGCTGTTCCGTCACAGCCCAACGCAGGCGGGCTTCCTCACGAAGTTACAGTACTAAGCGAGCGTGACATGAATGTCACAGCGCCTGCACACGCAACTGTGTCGTGGGAACAAACAAAAAGTGTCACGCAAGCAATAGACCGCCGAAACAGAAAAACTAACACCACCTCGACGGCATAAGAGATAAGAATAGTCGCTGCGCGACGACTCTTCTCGACATGTTTTACTGAACAGAATATTAGATATTTTCTTAATTTTCGCAAAATCTTGCGCAATGTGCGGATATATCACCAATTCTCACACCACGGCATGCATCATTTCATATCCTCAACCTCTCAAACCACCCTACACGGACATCATCATCCCCCTTAACAAAACCCCCCCTCTTCCCTCGCCTCCCGGGAATAATACCCACTCCTACCGCTCCTTAAACTGCAACATCAGACTCCCCAAGCCAATCGTGAAATAATCTTCCGACTTCTCCAGCAACGTATTACCATTCTCGCCCGGCGCGAACGAGACGTCGAATTTCGAGACGAGCAGTGCAGTGACAGTGCGGAGTTCCATGAGGGCGAGGTTCTTGCCGATGCAGCCGTAGCGGCCTGGTGGGGTTTGTTAGTGTGTGTAGAAGTTGAGATGAGAGCAGGTGGGAGCAGGTGAACAGAGTGAGAGGAACGAGAGAAACGGGAAGAACGAGAGGAACGAGAGGAGTTGAGGGAGGAGGGGTCGGGAGGTATAAAACGACAAAGGGAAAACATACCAACTGAGAAGGGAGCATAAGCTGATTTGTTGATAATGAGGTCCGAGTCTGCAGCCCAGCGCTCTGGCAGGAACTCAAGGGGTTGTTTCCAAGCTTTTGGCGCTGTAAAAATATCAGTATCTTATCACCAATTCACATAACACATAATATTCATAAAACGATGGAAGATAGACGCTCAAGAAACAGAGAATGAAACAACTCACATCTCCCTACCGTCCACAACGGCACCGACACAACCGTCTCCCCCGGAACTCTCACCTCCCCAATCTGGACCCCCTCCTTCGGCGTCAACCTACTCACACCCCCCGGAACAGGCGGATGCAGCCTCAAAGTCTCATTAATAACACCATTCAAATACTCCGCATTCTGCAACTCCTTGTTATCGAAGGAGCCATCCTGTCTATGCAGCGGCTGGAGTTCCTTGCGGAGGTTCTGCACGATGGCAGGCGAGTGCGCGAGGTGGTAGAAGAGGTAGGTGAGCGTTGCGGCCGTGGTGTCTGAGCCGGCTACGATGATGAGGCGGGCGTCGCCGACGAGCCACATGTGTTCTTTGAAGGGGTCGGATGTCATGGGGTCTGCTTCGAGGAGCCAGGACATGATGTCGCGTTCTTCCATTTTCATCTGTGTTTGGTCGTTTTAGCGCTCGCTTATCCTGAAAACCTCCTGGGTAGAAATCAGTTAAAAAGTATACTTACAGCTTTCCTCTTCTCGGCATGCTCTTCGCAATACGCCAACCACCTATTATAGCCAGCTCCTGCTCCAGGAATCTTCATCATAATCATCATCAGCCACGGCATAGGCGAGAAAATCCCCAGAGGTCTCTGTCCCTCATGTAGAAGCTTAATCGCATTATGCTTCTCCCCGGTCTTCAGCATATCAAAGGACTGACCGAATGCAAGTTCGCCCATAACATCGAAGGAGTAGTAATTGAACCAGAGACTTGAGTCAAGGGGTTTGCCGCCAAAGGATTTCAGCTGATCAACGAGCACATTTGCAAATGAAACAACACGGGATTCGTAGCTGTCGATTGCTAGGGAAGTCAACGTCAGTACATTTTCGGACTCTGATCTCGCAGGAAAGGACGAGAAACACACCTTTCATACTAAACCCCTTATCCCACACCCTCCTCCTCTTATCATGCGTCGCCCTATCCCGACACTGATGCAAACTCACAAGCGGAATCCCCATATCATACCACGCACTCTTCGTACACGTACTCCTACTCCCCATAATGGCCTCCACCGCCTCGGGATCCACAATACTCAACTCGGTAGGCCCAATCCGCACATAATCCCCATACGTAGCATGCCACCTATCCAACCTCTTATAATTGTCAAATCCACCCAGTTGTAAAACGTGCCAGAATTTCGAGAGTTTGGCGAGTGGTGGGCCGGGGAAGGAGCGCAGACGGTGGAAGAAGGCGCGGTAGATGAGCATGCTGGTGAAGAGGGAGGTGAGGTAGGTGGTGAGGAGGAGGAGGGTGGTTAGACATGCTTGGGGGAGAGGAAGGGAGGCGAGCCGGGTGAGGCCGTAGGTTAGGGCGAGGGGGAGGAGGATGGAGAGTTGGGCGAGGCGGACGGCGGTGGTGTGGTGTTCGCCGTGGATGAAGTAGAGGTTGTGGGAGAGGAGGCCGAGAGCAGAGGAGGCGAGGAGGGGGACGCCTAGGTTTGCGGGGAGAGAGATAGCCATGATTGCGGAGGAGATCTCAACTCCCAGTCTCAAAGTATGTGAAGAGGTAATGAGAATGTGTGCAGCTCTGGATCTGTTCAGTAGCAGACTTCCTCAAACCCAAAGTCCAGTACGATGCGAATACACAGCCCTCTCAACACAAGAACAAAAAAAGCTCTCAAGTGTAAAGAAGAAGAAGAAGATCTTCCAACTCAAAGACCACAAGAAAACAAAGAACAAAATCAAAAAGGTGCCAGAGCTAATAAACACCCAGAGCTACATCTTAGCTCTTAAACCAGCAACAACCATCCCAGATTACCGTCAACCGTGGCACTTTACGGCTCATGAAAACTCAAATCGCTGTATTCTCATTGGACATACCTCTTAAGAATGGACGTCGCAGGGCCCTGCAGACACACATCCGACGCGGGGTCATGGGGTAGCGGGGTAGGTAAGGTAGTTTCCAAGCGCTTGTTAGTGACCCTCAGAAGAGGTTAACGCCGTTAGGTAGTTACCGCCGGCGACTTCGCGTAATGGATTAGCGTTGCTGCGAACAATACCTGGTAAACGAGAGCTTTGTCTTGTTATTTCCGATTCTACGAGCCGGCTCTTCTCGTAACGCACACTGGTACTCTAAACGCAGATATGTAAGTGGTTTGTTGGAAAACTCAATCTCATATTAGGCCCGATCCGCTCTCCGCAAAATCGAATCTTCACATCGCAAAAGGAAATCCAGTTATGTCAATCCCGGTTGCGCCATAGTTTGACTAGCCTAACTAGCTAGTGAGGGGCAGCAAGCCAACCGAGGACTTTCGGCAAATAGGTGACAACACGGAAAGGGATGTTGTCTTCAGCATGATTAGGCGAGCGACCCCCTGAAAGTCAAATACAGACGCGCAATCAACAAGAGGAGCCACTTGGCGATCAGATGCGCAACAGAGAAAACGACAAATTAGCTTGACGAGATCCTTCAATCAGCCCTTAATATTCTTAATAGAAGCTCTTCCACTCGTTGTAGAGCCGACCTCACCATCAACCCGCCTCTGATTCAAAGTAGCTTTGCAACTGTGCGAGTATACAGCAACACATACATTAATCCGGCGGAACATCCAGCAATCCGAGAAGTAAAAAGCAAGCCAATCAATTATGGCCAGAGTCCGCCACATCGCGCTCGAGTGTCTTCAATCCAGTCCGACAATGTACTTCATCACGATCTCCCTCACCAGCATGTGATTCACTCTCTCATATCCACCAGTGTCAATCGTCCGAATTCTATCAAGCAACATGCGAAAATAGGAGCCATCCAATAGATTTGTAAGGGATCAGACGACACCTAGTTCTTGCTATACTTGCCACTGTTGAAGCGGTCGAACAAGCTGATCTTGACTCCGCCTCCCCTGGAAGAGCCGGGAGCAACGGACGATGATCTCGAGCTGTTGGCAACAGAGAATCTTGAACCTGTTGGACCACCTGGTGGACCCCAATCTTCACCAAAGGAGCTGTCATTGCCAGTTGGGCTTGTGTCGACCAGATGTTTGGCAGGAGTGACGAATTTGCTGAGACGAGAACGAGAGGAGTTGCTAGCCTCGGCATAAGCTAGCAAGGTACCGAAAGAAGCGTCAAGAATGGGTATGGCAGCTTCGGATATGGATATGTTCTTGGCTTGCTCCGGGGTGATCTCAACTGGGATGACGGGATGATTAATCCGTCGAGGAGGGCCGATGTTTCCAAACCTGTCAGTGCATTTACTTCGCATCTCCAACTCCTCAATGTAGTCTTGACCCTTCATGGTCACGAAACGTCTCTGACCTTGGTAGAACCAATCCTCATGCTCCTTCAATTTGGTTGCGGACTGCTCTTGAGCAGTGAGTTGTGAGGCTTCCCCAATGAGCTTCCGATTCTCCTCGGAGATAGGGTTCCACTTGTGACTGAAGTCTGGGGGGAGACCATTAGGATAGTACTTCATCATAGCTTCCTGGGCAGTAAGAGTGTCGTATATAGCGGTTGAAGGATAGCTCCGGTTCTCGATCAGCAATGGAGGTCCTCCCATTGAGTTAGCATTTCCATAGCTCGAAATCGTAGCTTTTGGTAGATTGGTGGACATCAACGACTTAGACTTGGCTCCTCCGACTGGAACACTGGCTTGCTGAGTCTGAGATGCTGACTGAAGAGCTCCAACCTGACCCATACCGGGAGGGAACGCGCTTCGACGTGGTGGCCCAGCGGTCAACGGCTGAGGATATCCTGGTGGGCGAGCAGGTACGAAAGCTGGTTGAGAAGCTGTGTTATTGAAAGCTGCCAGCAGGGGATTTGCTCGGGGGGTCACCAGACCAGGTGGCGGAAACTGGTAGCTACGATTCAGCTCGCCGGTTCCACCAGTATTCATGCTTGCGATCAGCTTGTCCAAAGAACTTTCATCACTGGGTGCTGCAGGCTTCTGATCTCGAACAGCAATATCATATGGGGTGAGAGTGGATGAGCCATTGGCAGGCTTTCCCTTGAGCGACAGCTCTGCCAATCTCGTACGACAAGCTTCTTGCATAGGATTTTCGAACTTCGAGAGTCGTTGGAGAGTCTGCATCCTATCCATGCCCTGGAGTGATTCTTGGTAGCTGTTCGAACGACGACGAGAATCATCATCGAGTAGTTCTGTGAGCATAATGTCAGTAAAGTGTCCACGCCAGGAGTTATGATAGCCAGAAGATCATGGAAGGGGGAGAGCTCACCTCGGACGGAGTATGGGTTGCGATTCTCATCACCCGCAGTCGTAATCTTGAAAAGGGGCTTGGGTTCTTCATCGTACGAAGAGTTCTCGTACGAGAACTTGGTCTGGATGTTGAGCTGCTGTGCCAAAGACTTCTCCTCTCGCTCCGTTAGTTCGCGCAGACCACCATCAACTCTACCGTAATCAGACTGGCCATAATCAGAAGCAGGCTCCGCCATTTGACCTGATATCGACCTAGACATTGTAGAACCCGAAGATTGACTTCCTGCAGATGAAGGCATGATGCTGGCCGGATTGCGACCCAATTGCTGGGCATATTGCATCGAATTGGACATATTGAGGGGAGGAGGAGGACCACGCTGTTGGCCATAGAAGCCACCGTCAAATTGTCGTGACTGCATCATAGACAATGGCACGGGTCGGCGATTGGCACCTTCGCGTTGGATCCTATTTGGAGCACTGAATTGAGGTACGGCGGATGGGTCGACGCGAGAACCAACGGTGGTGTAGGCAACTGGCTTGGGATCTAGTGGTATAGGCTCTGGTGAGGAAGTCAATGATGGCCCCTTTGGCATTTCGGGGTCCCAATCGACCGAATCGAACACGTCGTCGAGAACAAGGTCCTTTCCCTTGTTGGCCATCATGTTTGCGTTCAATTGGGCAAGAACGGCTTCGGTGCGGTCTTTCGTGGATTGAGTATCCGATCGGTCAAGATCATCAAATGTGCTCCAATCGTCCTGGGACAGGGCAGGCCGGATTTGGAAGGGTTGGAAGCCGCCCTGGGCAACACGAGGTGTGGGGTCGTCGTCGATGTACTCCGAGCCTCCGAAGGACACAGTAGAATCGTAACCAGCCTGTGTAGGTGTGGTATAGTATCCAGGCGGGTAACCTTGGTCGGAAGGACTATAGGAAATTCCAATGGAGCTGTAGACGAGGGGAGTCTGAACCTCGAACGACTGGCCGGAACCTTGCTGGAATTCACCTTCAGAATCAACAACGCTGGATTGCGAGTCCACCTCAACAATAGCCTTCCCTTTTCCCTTGTGACCAAGTGTCGCCACGCGTTCGTGTGACAAGGAGTGTGCAGTCGCAGACTCAGTGGTGTCGCTGGATAGGGGCTCAAGAGAAGAAAGAGGAGGGGATTTGGAGAGGGCGTAAGTCAATAGAGGGGTACTGGCACGGGTAGGCGCGCTTGACGCGGGGTTGCTGGTCACCTCGTCTTCACCCTCGTTATCAGCAGATACCGAGCCCGACAGATCAAGACGCTGCCACTTTGAAGCCTTCTTTTTCTTCTTGAGGATCACCCTAGCCGGACCAAAGGATTCTGCTATAGAAGCATCCGCCATGGTGTCACTGTATTCGTCAGAAACGAGGCGCATGCGGGAGGTGGTTGTATGTCGCGGACGAGTAGTCATGGTAGCTTCAGCGAATGTGAGAGGACGCGAAGCTGACTGTGTATGCGAGGTGAAGGGTTCGAGTTTGCTTGAGACTGCAAGGCCAACGTCGATTTCGTCTTGAAGAGATTGTTTGCGCACAAAGAGCACGGGCTCTGCGGTGTTGTCGTCGATGTCGTCTTCAGGTGGTGGGGAGACGATGTTGATGTGAGAATGAGCGCTGCTTCTCCTACGATTATTTCGAATGAAGGGAAATACAAATCTCGAGCCAGCTGATAACAAGACAAAAAGTCAACAAAAGAAAGTTTGCGCGAAACAAAACAAAGCAGCAGGGAAGGCACAGTCTGGCAGATTCGAAGCAAACTCACAAGCAAACGCGCCCTGCTGCTTCCCCAACATTGCGGTGGGAGCAAAGCGACAAAGCGACAAAGCGACAAAGCGAAAGGGAAGTGAACGTATGCGATTCAATTGTAGATGGGTATTATACGTATGGGCATGTGGTATGTATTGCCTTGTGCGACTTGACAGCAGCTGGACAAATTGGGAGGGAGCTTCGAAGTCGCAGAATTATCAGACGAAATCATCTGGTGGGGTAGATAGAGGTGGCAATGAACTTGAGGCAATTGACAATAGCAATAGGAGAAACTTCAATATAGGAGAGTTGGGTTAAAGTGACGCGTTCTGTTTTAGCATTTGTTGTAAATAAACCTGCGTTGGCGAGAAAGGGGCCATCGTTGGAGCTACCACTAAATGGTATTGCCTTTGCACCATTACCAGATACTGCACAACATACAACCGCTGAGGTCGTGAAGATTCGTTGTAGCTGTGCAAGAAAATTCACTTCGAGCTCAAGCATATTAGTTCGAGCAATGCTGCAACTTACCCGACAGGTGAAGGTTTGTAGATCGACAGCTGCTCTGCTGCTGGTGGGCAGGTCGATCCACCGACGATGCGCCCGCCAGAAAGCTCCTTGACTCCCAAAGGCCCTAAAAACCTCTACAGGGTGTGCAAAAAATTCTCAAAGAATGTGTGGAAGCACCAAGATCAGTATGCCATCCATCTTAGCACGTGTGCTCTCTTACACCTCGAGATTCTGCAGACAGGCGAGTGGCAGCTGGTTTGGCCAAATGGACGTGTAGCTCTCAGTGTCATGCAGATCAAACACCCTCGACTGGAATTCGTGAAGGCACGAATGGTGTCTTTGATAAGCAGAACAGAGGAGAAACAGCATGCTTTGAATAAATATGACGTAGGTAGGATATTCTCAGAGCCGTTGTTTGCAACTGCAGGCAGGACAATTCCCGATTGCACTCTCCTGGCCGTGCATATCTCAGCGCTGAAGAAAGAGTATATATCAATAGCAGTATATGGTACAGATGTTCGCAGGAAAATGTTAAAGCAAATAACAAATTAGATGGTGAATTGAATAGCATCAGAAATCGTGACTAAGTCGATGCCAAACGTCACGTGAATGGGTACCAGGTTCATGGCTTAAGGTAAGGGACACTCCACGACCATGAAGTGAAGGTAGCGACAGGTGAATTGACAGGTGAGAGAAAAAAATAATACTGCACCCTGACACAAATGCCATGCAGGGTGCTACTTTCCTTGACCGCCTGTGATGGCTAGTAGTGAGGGAGAGGAGCAATTCCTTTGAGCGATGTCCCGTCGTCAAAGACAGGACAGGACCCATTGTTCTCACGTTTGGGGTTGGCTGGTGAATATGTCAGCACGCCCCGGAGCCCTGAAACCTTCCCCCTCAACTTCTGAGATCCTCACCTATCTCCAAACATCATCAACCCCGAAGCACATCCTTGGATCCACAAACAATTGCTTCAGCTGTACAGGTATCCTGTCTTTCATTCTCAAATACCCGTTTCCTTGCCATCTTAAGCGACAATCTCAAGATCGAGTCTCTCCTGCATTCTATTTTTATCTCTGATCCACGTTGTTGTTTCCCCACAGGATCAAAGCTTAAGTTCAGATCTGTTCAAAGCTTCAGACTTCATTCCCAGCAGAGATGAGCAGCGCTCAAACCGACGCACAGAAGATCCGGGGAAGTGTGCTTTGTTCTCCCAGATCCTCGACAATCAAAAGCCACGGTCTACGCCACAGAAAGCAATGTCTAACTTCCAGACCCAACTCGGAAATGCATCCTCCCGATCACTGACAGAAGCAGGTACCATGTACGAAGAAGGTTATCGTACATCAAATAAGCTCATTATAATCGGCAGTTGAGCTGGAAAGATGTCAGGATGTTTACTCTTTGTCTCGGTCAAATAATTTCTTGACCCCATCCGGAATGGCTTCACCCGAGAGACTCGAGTATCCGCTCTACCTCCAAAGAGCTCGTCGCCGAAGTCTGGAACGCGGGCAATTGGCATCCGGACAACTTGACAGCCTTCGCCATCGGTACGGGTCTTTGACTCGACCAAAATAGTTTCCTGTCTGCCACCTGTCTATCAGTCGGATCAAAACATCAATTCTTCCGGGTCGATCCATCCCGCCATCTGTCGTTTCTCTTATCTGAACAGTGCACCCTACCTCCACCTACCCAAACAAAAAATCCAACCTTATCCCAAAATCCCTCATGTTATTCGATTCACGAAACAATATCGCCGCGATCTCGACTCATCTCACGTTTCAAGAGTCACGTTTTCGGACCGTGGTGGGATCCTGGTCTCCTCGATTCGCTGCAGCTTGCTGTTTCAAACGCCAAGCTGCCTCGGCAGTGTCACAACCCCACGGCTGTGACCACATCTAAACACCCAGACACGGACTTGAGGCCATCCAATGGATTCGGACTAGATATGGTGTTGTCTTAACTGATGAGTTATTGGTCTGGAGGATAATCTCGTGGGATTTGTGATGGATGACTGTGAGGGGCCTGATTGGGCGGCGGTTTGACGGCACCTCGTCTTGATGCATGTTTGACAAGATGGTGCTGGAGGCGAGATACACTAGCTCGACTGCTGCAGCACGGGTACCTGTTTGGAACGAAGCTTGACACTTGATCTTCCGGGAGCCCCAGAGGTTTTGGGATGGGTCGCCGTTTTGGCTTCTCTGGTTCAGATCAGTGGGAAGTATATCTACATCTCTACCCCTCTACTAACCTTACTCGTCACCCTCGCACTTTCGTCAGGCCTCGAAGGTCCCGGTCCAGGTCGACCATAGGCTTGAAGTCTAGTCCCTTCAATCAACTTGATATGGGGGTTCACGGAATGCTTCAGCGGAGGGGTAGACGGTGGTTGTGGGAGCGTGCTGATGAAGATGGGGATGGAATTGACGATGGAGATGCCGGTGGTTCATCGGGTCCTGGACCTGGACCTGGAGCTGGCACCGGGCCAGGCCCTGGACCGGCCAACAATAACAATAACAACAACAAAGACAAAGGACCTGGAAAACCGCCAGGTCCACCAGGCCAAGCAGCCAAGACTACAATTGATACGACTTCCACGACTTCCACGACTTCGACGACTTCCCAGGAAACCACAACGACGACGTCGAGCACATCTACGACCAGTTCGCAGGAAGTAGCTACCACTACGAGTACTACATCTCAAGAACCACCTACGACCACTTCCTCGAGCGAATCGACAACATCCACGACTTTTGTTCTCCTGACATCAAGTACCCCACTCCGTACTAGCACTTTCTCGCTATCTCAGGTATGTTTGCCCATGAACATGCCAGTACGCTCTTACTAACTACCAGAAGACTTCTTTTCCATTCTTTCCTCCAGTGGCAACCTTCTCCCTTGTGTCAACTTCAGTGTTCTCGACACCACTGTTGGCGAGTACTATACCATTCTCAACGCTTTCCCAAGCATCAGTGCCACCAACCTTCGCCCCTGTGATCTTCACCCCTCCACCATCATCATCTCCTCCGACTCAATCTCAGAGCAATGGCAATGCCTATTTACCGACGGTGCTATCGACCTTTTCATCAAGATCCTCAAGCATTTCTTCGGCATCTCCTTCGCGCCCAGCTATGAGTGCGGCCTATGGAATTTCGTCAGGAGATTCGGCACCAACTGCCACAGTGATCGGAATTGGTGTGTCCATTGGAGGTATGTTAACCTAAGCCCAATACGGAATCATGTCTCACATGTCGTGACAGTTATCACGGTTCTTATCTCCGGACTTCTACTTTTTTTCTTACGCCGGCGGTGGAAACATCAAGCATATCTTACCCGTCGCACAACAGCATCCACTTCCCAATCATTCTGGGACAGAGTATCTGGACTGCCACCGAACCTTGACAAGAAACCACTTCCACCCATCATCAAGGCTTCGCCCTATACGCAAGACTTCAACTCATACTCGCCATTGTCACCGCTACCTGTGCAGAGAGAGTTTGACACGTCTTTCATCGATGAACATGTTGGCATGCCACCACCAGCCCTCTTCATCCCCCCAGTCATGACCAACGCAAGACCAGTCCCACCACCAATCATCACCAACCTAGCCTACTCCCCTCCCACTCAAGCTCAACAAGCACTCCGTCTCGAACCTACCACCACACAACCCTACGGCACAACAACCACCATCCGGACCGGCCCCCTCTCCCTCTCCTGGTTCCTCGGCAAACCCTCCAAGATCCCCATCCCCTCCCCCAACAGCCCCAAATTCATCCCTCCCACCGGCTACGGCCTCGGCCTCTCCAGCAGCAGCCAGGATCTCGAAAAACAAGCCATGGACAAACGAATCACCCAAATGGAATCCGACATGGACGAGCAAGAACAGCGCTGGGAATCCTCCCGCCGAGAAATGTCCCAACGTCAAAGCGGTCTCACAGAACCCAATCAAAACTCACTGAACCGCCAAACCCTCCAAAGCGAAGGCTGGGAAAGTGGCATCGGAGACGCAACGAGCGCTCGTTTCCTCAGCGGCCTAGGAAGTGAAACTACTGGCCGCGACTCCGTCACTATCCAAAATGCAAGGCTGGATTTCATCCAGCCGATTACAAGGGAGCAGATCATGCAGAGTGAGATGGGTATGGATGTCGAAGCTGAGATGAGGAGGGTGGAGCATGCAAAGCGCGCGAAATGGGAGAGTAGTCCGGATAGTTTGAATGAGTTGCCCAGGTGGAGAGATCCCGTGCTGAGTATTTTTGAGGAGGTTAGAGGGAGGACTTCGGGTGATAAGGAGAGGAGTGCTGATGATGGTGGACAGGGGCCGGTTAGTCCACGGCGGATTGTGTGAGGATGGACCAAAAGCCTTGGAGTAGAGCCGCAAACTGGCGGCACACTTTCTCTTCTTTCACTTCTTTCACCTCGTGATTTGGTGTTTTATCCAGACACGAGACTGTATACTATTTATCTACCTTCAGCATAAAAGCTCAATGCTGCGAATCATTCTCTGAATACCGAGCAATCTTGCATCCCATTGGAAGCTCTACTTTGTGCATGTGACGCTCTACTCTTCGACGATACAAAAACTGCAACTGCCTATCTCTACTTCTACACCTACGCCTGTATGAGATGAAACGTGTAGTGGAGCTGAGTAGGGAGGTGGGTATATTCAACGATGTCAGGCATGCGCCGTATTGTAACATGAACATGCCTCAAAATTCAAATCGAAGAAGAAAAAATGGATATTGCATTCTCTACAATTGCAGCCATCATAATAAATCAATCGATTCAAAAACAATCAATTCAACCCACCCAACCACCTTTCCATATCCATCAAGTACCTACACTTACAAGTAATCAATCACTCACTGTCACTTCCATGACGACAATGTATCCCCACGACCTGCCAACACCGAGTGAGCTCATATATTTTCACTCATTTATTAATAAAATATCCGGAGCTTCTCCTCCTCTCCCCTCTTCAACCAAATCAATAATGTCCCAAAACAGTAAAAGAACACCCCCCTTCTCGAGTAGCCCTGAAAAACGCCAAGACCCACTCACAAAATCCATCATAACCCCGCACCGAGATCCTTTCCCATGCCCCCAGACACCTAGAACAAAGACAATCACCCAACAGCCACTAAGATATTAAGCGACGCGCATACAAACCCTGCCACGCCTATCAATCTGTTAGAAATATGGGGATTGTAGGCGTAGACTTAGTACTGTAGGCCGTACTACTGAGTACGCTACCCCTTTATATAGGAGATTCTCTCTCTTTGTAGTAGCTCCTTATGTAACTGTAATTATAATATAGTAGTAATTCCAATTGATCGAAAAAGACCTTAAAACTTTATTTTTATTAAGATCTCTACTTTATTAACTCTTAGTGTATCTGCTACTACGTCACGATATTATCCTAATTAAAAGTACTAATTCCCTACGTCGCCGAAGCCTTAAAAGGTAAAACTCTACTAGAGTTCGATAACTTCTTTAAATAGGAGCTTAAGACTAAATAAGAGCTAGCTAGAGCTAGTGTTCTTTATTATATTCTTACTAAAGTTAGCGTGCCGAATAGTATTAATTAGTAGAATACTTACGCTAAGGAAAAGAAAGAAGCTTTTAAAATAGTTATTAACTTAATCTCTAAGCTTCTCTTTCCTAAGTATAGAGATATTATTAAACTAAACGACGTTAAGCCTCTCTGGGAAGCTATTTATACTAACAAAGGTAAAGTAGTTTAAAGGAGTCTTACCTTTGCTAATATAAGAGACGATTTCTTTAAGATAAAGTTTATCCCGGGAGAGGAAACACTTTAGAACTACATTATAAGGCTCTTACTCTTTAAAGTAAAGCTTAGTAGCGATAGTAAACCTCTTACTAATAAAGATATATATCTTAAGCTATTATAATTATTACTAGCGTCTAGAGCTTAGATTACTATAGCGCTTACCCTAGAATCGTAAGACTTAGATCTCGGAGATACTGTATAAAAGCTTAATAAATATTAAATTCAATAGAGGGAATAGCTTTAACCTATAGCTACTAGTAACGCCGCGAATTACGCGAATAGAGGCTATAATAGAGGGAGAAGTAGTAGAGATAGTAGAGGCTAGAGAGGTAAAGGCTATTTACGTGGGAGAGGTAATATACATAAGAATAGGAGAGGATAAGAAAGACGGAATAATAACGGCAGGGGTAGTAGCTAATAGAGACGTAGAGGGCGCGTAAAAAAGAGAGGAAATCGCCTTAAATTAGGCTGAAATTAGTATGCCTAGTATAAAGGCTATAGCTACTAGTACGTAGACTACATAGAAGCTAAGAATACTTACGCGAGAGATAGCGCTAATAAAGTAGAGGAAATTAAAGATGATAATACTTATCCCGTGTTCCTTTCGGAAGAGATTTACTACGCTAAAGACGTAGAATATACTTTATTAATAATCTCTATTATAGAATCTATCTGGAAAATCGACTCTAGCGCTACTCGCTACTTCAGTAGAGTTCTAGCTAAGTTTAAGCAACTTAAGCGCTAGCGTAACGCCAAATATATTAAAACAGTAACTAATTTATACTCGATAGCTGAAGGTTATAAAGATATTACTATTAATAGGTTAACCCTTAAAGACATGTAGTATATACCTAACTTCGGAGCTATAAAGCTAGTATCGATATATTAACTCTTAGACAAAGGAATTAATATAGAACTAACTAAGATATTAGTAAATAGATACCGGAATAGTAAACTAGCTTTTATAGGCATAAGAAACAGAGGTTTATACATTCTAGATATAAATCCTCGATATCAAGTTATATATAATATAATTCCGTTAGACTTAAAGCTACTAAAGGAACAAATAGAGAGTTAGCCTAGCACAAAGGAAATAAAGGCAGATCTGCTTCATAAGTATTTAGGCTATATAAATTACGCCTATTTAAAGAAACTAGTTACTTATAGCAGTTACAGAATAAGACTGATTTCTGTTCCGGAGCTAAAGGGAGAGAGGTATTACAAAGCTTACCTTATAAGCTATATAAAAGAGTACTTTAATAAGAAGTCAGATAGTAGAACTAATATACTTATTTGTTAACTACACGCTAATATCTCTAGTATCTTACTACGCTTAATTCGCGGCTATAAATACTTCCTTTTAGTAGTAGATAATACTACGAGGACGTATTAAGTAGATCTCTTAGTTAATAAGTCTATATTAACTATTTAACTAGTTATTCGGAAATTAAAGCTACAGCTTGAAACTTAAGGGTAAAGTAAATTCTGTATAATTATCTACTAGAGGACTAATAATAGTAAGGGAGAGTTCAGTCCTAAGTTTATTAACTAGCTATAAGAGAGTAGAATCGTTCCTAAACCCTCTCCTCTATACAAATACTCTCTAAATAGAGTTATAAAGCGATAGATATATAAACTAGCTAAGATTACACGCTTAATCCTCTATAACGCGAAGATGCCTAAGAATATATAGTGCTACGCTATTAAGTAGGTAGTAAAGCTAAAGAACAGACGCCTAACTACTGCTTTACTATATAAAATAGCTACTAGACTTACTTCAATTGAAGCGTACAGAGGATAGCCTGTAAACCTCTCTAAAATAAGAGTATTTAGCTCTATAGCGTACCCTTTATATCTACTAGGGCTATATCAAGGTAAAATAAAGTAAAGGACAATTCCGGGGTATTTTATATTAGTAAGTATAGCTAATACCTTAACTTATAAGCTCCTGAACGTAGAAACCTTTAAAGAACTAGAAACAGCTGACTACAGCTTTAATAAGTATATAATATACTTTATATACACTAGTAGTAAGGAAACTATACTAAAAGGTAGTAATAAGGTAGTAGAAAGACCTTTGCTACTAGCTACCGGTCTAGTACTTACTAAGAGGCTAGCTAAGGGTACTAAAAGCTTGGAAAGACCTCTAAGAGAGAGGCTAGCTATAGAAGCTGAAAGACCTCTAAGAGAGAGGCTAGCTATAGAAGCTGAAAATCCTTTAAGGGGAAGGTTAGCTGCAGAAAATACAGTAGGAGATACTAAGGGAGCGTCTGATTAACGCCTCCCTGAATAGACTTAACTAGTAAACATATCTAATAACACTCTACTATTAAGATATAGTAGGAAATAGTATAGAAAATAATACTTCGAGTAAGCTGCTTAGGTAATAACTACGAAGCTATACTCTCAGTAAATCCTTAATAAGGTACTAACCTGTCAAATAGCGCTAATTACACTAGAGGGTGAACTTATACGACCTCTTAAGGTTATAATTATCGTAGAGGCTCTAAAGGAGAATCTAGTAGAATAGAAGGCCGCTATTCTCAAGGAATTACAGGCTATATAAAGCGCTGGAACTTATAGAGTATGCTTTAGTAAGCCTCCCTCCGGCTCGAAACTAATATCTTTAAGACTAGTTTTACGTAATAAAATTAACTCTAATAGCTCTATAGCACGGCGAAAGGCTAGGCTCGTAGTAAGAAGCTTTAAGTAAAAACACAGCCTTAACTACTTCGATACCTTCGCGAGTATCGTACGCTATTTCACCTTATAAGTACTACTTACTATTATAGCTAAAAGAGACCTAGAGATCGAGTATATCAATATTAATACTACTTTCCTAAACACGTACCTAAAAGAAGATATATATATAACAATTCCGAACGATAAGACGCCGGAGATATAGAATAAGCTTCACCTAGAGCTAAATAGAAGGAAAGATATATATCTGAAGCTCTTACGCTCTTTCTACAGCCTGAAATAAGCACTTAGGGAATAGTAGCTCCTTATTAAAGATAAGATAGAAAAGCTAGGTCTGGAAGCGTTAGAGGCTAACCCTAATCTCTTTATCTTTAAGAATAGAGTATATGTATTAGTTTTTATTAATAATATACTAATTATAGGTAACCCTGCTAACTACGAATATCTTAAGAAATAGCTCTTAAAGACTTGGAAAAGTAAAGACCTCGGAGCTATTAATACGTTTATAAGCCTATAAGTTAAGAGGGATAGGAAGAATAAGACTCTACGGATTTATTAAATAGCCTATATATAAAAGCTACTAGAAAGGTTTAGAATAGCTGTAGCTAGAGGCAATACCTTACCTATAGCTACTAGAATAGTACTAAGGGAGTCAGCTAAAGATAAAGGTATTATACTAGCTTCCCCTGAAGAGATCTTACTATTTCAGTAGATTATCAGCTCTCTAATATACCTCTTAAACCTTATACGACCTGATATTACTTATATAATAGGCTAGCTGGCGTAGTATATATTAAATCCCCTTAAATCTCACCTTTAAGATATAAAACCTCTCCTCTGATATCTATAATATATAGAAGGTAACGGAATAATATTTAGAATCGGAATAGAATACAAGGGAAAGCTGGATGATAATATATTTAATATTTAGACTAACGCTACGTAGGGGACGGAATATAATAGGAAATTGTTTTAAGGATAGATAGCAAGGTTCTACAGGGGTCTAATCTCTTAGGCTACTAATAAGTAAAGGTCTATAGCTCTCTTTAGTTTAGATTCTAAGATAATAGCTACTAGTAATAGCTCTAGAGAAGTAGCCTAGTTACTTAAGCTATAGAAAGACCTCGATATAAAGCTATCCTGAATTCCTACGCTATATCTTAATAACACTAGAGCTAAATCTCTCTTAAAAGAACGGAAATTCTATCTAAAGGTAAAGTATATTAATATCCGCTAGTTCTATATTCGAGATAATATAGTTTCATATAATAAGTTAGTAGTAAAACACGTTCTAGGTAATAATAATATAGTAGATACTCTTATAAAGGCTTTACCTTTAGAATCGTTTGAACGATATAAGACGTATATAGGGTTACCTAGTAATAACTGATTCTCTAATAATAACTCTAAGATTAATAATAGTTAACTAATTAATAGTAGACCTATATAAATTAAGGCTATTTCTAGTAGTAGAACTTATAAAAAATAGAATATTCTTCACGGAAAATCAGTCCTTTAATAAATATCTTCCTTAATAATAATATATAACTACAAATTAAGTAAAACACGATATATAACTACTATACCTAATAGTTAAGATAAATCTTATTCCGCGGTTAAAAGAAGAAGGAAAAGAAATAGAACTAGAAGAGGACGACTTTTATATACCCTAAAGGCTAGAGAGAAAGCTAGTAAGAAATATCTTAGTAGCTATAAAAGGAAGGTGTAAGGTAGCTATAAAGAAGGGTAAATAAGAGTAGTAGGAGTAGGAGATTATTAATAAGGGAGCGATTTAAGTGCACTCTTATACTATTTTATATACCTTAATATTATAAAGTTACTAAACTCCTAGGAAAACAGGAGACGTAAGTACTATATATATACTAGTATATTATAGGAGTTAATAAAGCATAATCGAGGCTCCTTATATAATATAAGTTATTAGTAATACTTCGGCGATACTCTAGTGTCGCTTTAGGAATATTCAGCGTTATACTACTTTAGAAGGCTCTATTTACTACAGATATAGAGAATAGGGGGGCTATTAGAAATATAGGGATTATAGGCGTAGACTTAGTACTGTAGGCCGTACTACTAAGTACGCTACCCCTTTATATAGGAGATTCTCTCTCTCTATAGTAGCTCCTTATGCAACTGCAATTATGACACAATCACAACGCCAGGCGACGTCAGATCTGCGCTTTGATGTCATTGCTCATTGCGGGCGCGTGGCGAGGCGGGGTTTACCCTGATCTGCATTTACTTCCACTCAGCTCAGTGCAGGTGCTGTTGCAGGGAGTGGCACAGTAGTAGAGGAGGATAATAGGATAACGCGATGCACGGCGCTGATTTGCGTGATTATCTACTACCAAGTCAAGGGATAAGATGGGATAAACACGCGGGGTTGCGGTTTTTGGAAGGGGAGGGGATCAGAGAAGACAAGACGGGACGGGAAGGGAAAGGGCGAGAAAGGGTAAGTTGGTGGCAGGGAGGGGTGGGATAGGGATAGGGATAAGTAAGCTTGCTCTCTTCGTTCCTTTTAAGATTTCTGTTCTTGATTTTTATTTATTTATTTATTCTTAAGAGAAGAGAAAGTTTGTTCTTGTGCAGCAACTACGAATTCACGAACCCGAATAATTGTCTATTGACCAAGAAAGCCGGATCAGTCTTCAGCTCAGCAGCTTCAGTGCGATCATTGGTTGATTTCTCAGGAGACCATTTCCCTGGAATTTGAACAGCACAGAAATTACGGCATTCGACAAACAATCATCGACGGCTATATCGAAATATTCACGATTCCAGTCATCCATACATACAACCCCTCCTGCTGCGGAAAACATCGCAAACAAACACCACAATTTATCTCCCCGCAACCAAAACCAAACCAAATTCTCGTCAACTCCGCTCATCCACTCCCACGCTCTAATCCATTCCCCAATCTTCTTCACCACCACACACCACACCAGCAATCTCAATCCGAATCCCAACCCCAACCCCAACCCCAAACCCCCCCCCCCCCCCCCCCCCACCATGTCCTCCCAAACCGAAGAACCCCTCGTCCCAGGCCACGTCGCATTCAACGACGCACCCACCCTCCTCGACGCCGAAGACCAAGTTAAATCACCTTCATCCTCACCCTCCCACTCCCAATCTCAATCCAACTCCCAAACACACTCACACTCCCAAACCAACCAATCCCCAATATCCGGCTCACAACTCCCAACACAGAATAAAGGCGCCAAAGTAGCGGAAGTTAATATCGGGAATGAGAGGAGGAATAGTGTTGTTAGGGAGGTGGAGGTTGGTGATGATAACGAGGAGAGAGAGATCGGTAGGGGTGTAAAGGGCGGAGAGGGAGAGGGGCAGAAGGCTATGAAGGAGGGGAGGGAGGTTATTTGATTGTTGATTTTGCTTTGGAGAGGAGGAGGATGGAGTTGAGATAGGCGGGGGGACGGAGAGGAGGAGTGGGGGAGAGAGAGGAAAGAAAGTTGGATTGGATGGTTGGGTGAGGTTGGATGGGGAGATATATCTGAGGTGCGAAACACACAGCTTCAGGTCGGTATGGAGCCGGCGTGTGTGGCGTGGGAGTTTTTGCGGAAATCTAGTTCCGAAGGCCAAAATGTCATTCAGAGACACAAGGTTCCAAAGGAAGCCGTTATTTCTCATCCGCTGCTTGTCTCTTTATTTTGTATTATTTTTTTCTAAAGCATTCATTTTCCCAGATCTAGACAAGTTTCCTCCTTTCCTTCGGCTCGTCATATTCATCAACGCACCTGATTTGTCTTTCCCCTGTACACGGTTAATCTTATTCTACATTACTGTATCCACCTTACAGGCTCATAATAACCCGACCTCAATCTTCGATTCTGCCAGGGTCAACCATGGAAAACGGAAATCTTAGCGATGCGTTGAGATTTAAAGCTTTTGTGGATCCTGAAGATTCTCTCGATTAAGAGACTTTAGTGGGAATGACCTAAGGCTCCTACTGCAGACAGGCTTTAGTTTGAATACATTGATTGAGTCCAGCACCAGAAGCAAACTCGTTTGCAAAACAGTACATCTAGGCGGAGAAATAAACACCTGCAAACACAAAACTTGTACTCAGTCTCTCCTCAAAGGTTTCACCCTCGTTGGTACGTAAATCTACCTATGTTTGGCTGATTTGCTCGGTTAGCATCAGTGAGAGCTTCCTATTCTAGGAAACAGATCCCTCGGGATGCAGACAGATATGTTTTCAGTGCTTCGGCAAGGCCGGCTATCGTCTCTCAACCTCCCGGGGTCCTGTTTCAAGCACCAACATATCCACGATTTCCAGTAGTCACTCAAGCGTCCCCAGACTCCTAGACGGAAAGCAGTTTCGTGGGCGGAATTACTCACCAGGAGGATTCGCTGACAATGACCGTCATTCTCAAAGCAGGGCGGCGCATTAAATCCATGTCTTCCTCATCGTTCCCATTTCTCTGGGGATAGATTACCTTTAACGCTGGTCTTTGAAGTGGGTCTAACGGCGAGTAATTGATTCGTTTAATAATTATGAGTATCCCTCATCTCAACCTCGTCCTAAACCTCGACCCAGCCGGTTCTTTTTAACTTTTGAATCGACTCTCCCCGCAGTATACTGACTCCGTTTCTTCTGTTCTAGTCTTATCTAATCCTGCTTCATGAGTGCACTCCCGGCATGCGCGTGCTATTTCCCAGAATCCGTTGCAGATATCACCCATCATTCCAACCTTCATCGCTTTGCTCTCCATTACTAAAATGCTGTATTTGTGTGGCCATTTCAATCATGTATTCTACTCTAATTATGAATTTTACACACCTGACATCTTGTTTCACCAGTAGAAGAAGTCTTTAAAAGCTTGTTAGGTGTCTACCTCCATCAAGTGGAATTTGGAAAATTGTACCACGCTGCGGTACAGCACTACGGTATCCTCATTGTTTTTCGCACGAACGAGGTTGGCTTTGTCTTCGTGACATGTGTATAAGGTTTTTAGAGCTTTGGAAACGGTCTAATTATACAGAACTTTTGGTGAGAGAGTCCTGTGGCAGAAGCTATGAAAGACAGTCACCTCCTGCACATCACTGGCGAAGTGATCAGTGGAAAGCTGCGTCGCGTGGCATGAAGTAGAGAAGACAACAAATAAAGGATTTTTCGCAGAGAAGTGAAAACAATCAGTTCCTTCTTGGATGCGGTGGTAAAGAACACCGATAAATATCACATCCGGCATTGAGAAAAGCTTCAGATCAATAGATTAGACTTACGCATGAAGTTGCGATTGTGTCTAGCCTTTATTCATACCAATTAGATATAGGAAGGTAGATCCGAAAAGAATTGAAAGGTGTGCAAAGGCTCAGAAGTGGCTCGAGCGCCAGGAGCTAGGCGTATGTCGCATTGACGCAAGACACATAACAATAAACTTCCTGATTGGGACTCGCCTATCTCTAGCGAGTTTCTCGAGTACCTCAACACAATCTGGTGCGACCTCGAATCCGTTCTCGTCTTCAACTACCTCGAAACAAACTTACACTTTTGAGCTCTATGTTCCTATAGAGCCAAATTTCGACAACACGCCACTTTGTTTCTGGTTCAACCACTCTCTCAGACTGGACTCTGACTACGTTACCCCTCCGAGAACTTGTTTCTCGTTCTAGGAAATACAATATTTAATCTCCGACCAAGACTCTGTCCCGGTACAAAAGACTTTACCTACTCTCATGTTTTCGCATCAACCGTCAGACAATCAGGACTTTGGCCTTGTACGTTCTTGGCCAGGAGGAAACAGTATGCCACCTGCCAACAGCTTCCCGTACGTGGCAGCCTGTGGATACCCTGAAAATATTATAAGACACATCTGCTCTGACAGATACTCCTTAGTCTGACGTTATTTAGCTCTATAATGGAGCGGTCTATTCACATGTCGTTATGCACCTGGTAAATACTCCCGTGGCCTGTTATTGCAACTGAGCTGACACAGTTCCAGGAATTTATGGACGGAATGCATATTCCAGTTGTTATTGCTTTGTCAGATGAAGAGGGATATCATGAGATATTTGATGGTTATCGTGCGGTTCGGCAAAGTGGGCCTTCATTACTTGCAATTTTCACTTAAATGACATCGGTCTTCTGTTTACACTAACAGCATCATTCAGATGTTCAACTGTAGAGTGTACCAAAAGTCATTCCTCGATCCTGTAGGTTTAGTTACGCATACTTTGACGCGTCTGATCTTATTCTTACGTCCCTATAGGCTCTGGCTTTCGACGAGATACTGCGCGCGGTGCTTGATGATCCAGCTCAGACCAACGGTACAGTTGAACAATCCCAAACTCAGCCGGAGTATGAAATTTCTCAAGGAACACTGAGTGCCCCAGGACATCGAAGCTACCTCCCTTCAAGCTTTTCGATACCAAATCCATTTCTTCCTCTAGTTGGTATTGTCCAGCCTTCTCAATTTCAGTTAGCGCCAATCGCCTCGGTACAAGGGAACTACCAATTCTCGCAGCTCCATGTACCACAATATCTACCTCCAACCGGCACCTTCCAGGACCTTCAAGACCACCTAGCCATTCCAGCACATCCAGCGCCACCTAATCCACGGGTTGCACCCCATCAGGCTATTTCCACCGGGAAGGAGTGAATCTCAATGAGTACAGACTACCCTTGCAGGATTTCTCGCTGCCCGGGCCGCATCCCCACCAGATTCTCCTATTCACTATCTGTCTCCTCCAGTACCAACCACTATCATGCCACCTCGAGCAACTCGAACTGACACCAACGCTCTGGTATATGGGTTCGATCTCCCCGAAGCCGTACGAGCTCAGATGACTTTCCTCAAGCCGCTCAGAAACGCCTACTATGTCGATGCGAGTGGACGAATGCAGGAATAATCTGGGGCAGGCCGCACCTGGGATGCTGAGCATAGAGCTTACAAATGGGAGCTTGTGCAATTCGCTATGCTGAGTCTCAATCTGACACTCCGTTCTTACGAGTTCAATGCCATTAACGAGGCTTTGCACCGAAAGCTCCAGGGCATGAGGAATGCAGATGGAGATCTGTACCATTTCGGTGGCTTCAATAACGTATACAGCATGGTTGTTCAGCACCCCGCGTATAAGGAGTTCTTACAGGTGGTTCTCCCTTGAAACGAATTGGTCATTAGGCATTGGGATTTTGTATTGCAAGGACTTTTATAAATTTGGTTGGAGAGGTGGTAATGCAGGAAACATCAAAATTGCGCCAAAGCCGAGTAGAACCAATTTAATAGTAACATAGAAAGGAAACAAAAGCATCTTCAAGGGCGTTTGTAGAAGTATTCATGCCAACCCCTTGGTATTTAGCCTTGGCATGTCTATCCCGCCAATGTGACAGCGAAGGCATAACCTTGAAGCCCTGTGGGAGTCCTTGTGGGACAAGGATGCGTTCGACACTTTTTGGTTGATCTTTAATATCACCATACCAAGACTCTCGACAGTTTGAAGGAGGCCTGTCCTAGGAGGCAGAGGCGTAGGTTAGGCGTAGGTTAGGCGTTCCTCGCTTAATCACAGGGCACTGATTGAGGCTACCTGCACCTGGTAGGAAGCGTGCTTCGCCTGGCAGTTGAGGGGCTCTCATATCCCCTCAACCGTGGAAGCCGGACTTTACACTGGAGCGGCACGCTAAGGGTGCCTGAACGACGACGCAGTATACAACTTTCAGTGTTCTTGCATTCTTGCGTTCTCGCCGTTAATTACAGGGTCTCTACAGGCTATACACTCTCTAGGTATTAAAAATGTTGTCCGTTGAGCAGTTCAGGGGATAGCTACTGGCTTTGAAAATTGGCAATTTGATGTTGATATCAATTCAAACAGTACAGTCATATCCCCTCGACTGCCGAAAACACATTTATCCAGGGTACAGCGCTGAAGCGAGGCGCTAAGACTGCCTGGACTATTCAAATTTCAGCGTTCTTTTCTCAATTACAGGGTTTCGCACAGGTGTGTTTACTACGACAGTTAGGGGGATAAACCATCAAGACTCACGATTATTCCACCTCTTTCAATACCAAGTGACCTTAAAATACATCATCTCTTCCTTACACGACAGAAGTCTGGACCGTACCCTCCAGTGCCCTCATGTCCATCAGCTCCTTGTACAACATCTCTCCTGTTGTTGAGATTGCAATACTCCGCTTTGAGTTTGAGCCGCAACCGTGAATATCCAAAACCGGTGCAGCGCACCGCAACATTCAGTTAGTGATGATCCCACAACTAACAATTCTGAATGAGAACAGCTCTATAATTTCTACGTCTTGGATTTTTCCCCCCGATCTTCTAATACTTCAGTGTGCCACCCATTTGCCTCAATACAAGCTGCAACTCGCCTCTCCATAGGCTCCACTGATCCCTTAAAGAAGATACCGGTATCGCAGCCCAAGTCTCTTTGAACGCCTCTTCCATTGCAGTTCGGTCCTCTACAGGCTTTCCGTTTAATTACCAAATCTGTGGAAATATCTTTGAACACGTAACTTTTAGTCGTTTTCCACGCATATTCGAAAGGGTTGAGACCCAGGCAACAATGGAGCTAATCCAATCAGTGACCTTTGTACCTCTTTCTGCGAACTATTCTGTGACTCGATCGGTATAGATCAGTGCGTTGTCTTGCATGGAAATAAGGTCATCTGTATAGTTGGGACAACTAAATCCTCGAGAAGGGCAGGGTAGGAGTGTGTAGAGTAGAGTACCCGTGTTTCTTAGATTCGAAGTCTCGTTCAAGGATTAAAAGACCTGACCTTCCCTGTCTCCCCAGAATGCCGCCTAGACCATACCATACATCTCTACGCCCCTTTAATACAATGTAGCGTGCGTGGGCTTCCATTTGTCGACGGAATGTCCCCAGACCCAGACAACGTCCCCCTCTTTACCCCGCTCTACCAAACGCTCAGCACTCCACATGTATATCCTCCACCTTCGAGTCTTCTAATGGGCTCGACGATTACACCAAAGGAACCGTAAAGCAGCCACTCCAGGAGTAAGCTCCGGTCGTTGCGCGCCAGTGGGTAAGGCCTGCTTCGATGGCAAGGAGGTAGATATAGAATCGCTCATAGCGTTGCCGGTGTGCTTTCGACTCTGCTTATATGTCAGTTTGGGGTAAAGAAGAATACACAACAGCATACGACGAGATCGCCCATCATACTTAACTTTCGTGCCACTGCGATGTAGAGATTTGCCGTCGTCGCGAAGTTGTATCAAGGCAAGAGTATGGCGCACTGCGCTGCGCGAGAAGCCGGTCGAGAGCTCAATTCTCCCGTGGCGAAGCACTTTCGTGCTTTTGCCTACGAGCTTACCCCATGAATAAGGAGTAAGCTCTTTACCCCTGTATGGACGATTGCTATCGATATTGCGCAAAGGAGGACGTGTTGGTGGCAGATTTGGGTGATAAAAAAGAAGGACGAGGAACGCGTTCACGATATTCGCGGTTTTGACGTGTTTCGTCTAATAATTTAAATGGGTCATCGTAAAACCCCTGTTCCTTACCCCCTTACCTGCCGTGTCATACAAACCATTTACAGGGAGTGCTTGGCCTGTAGCGAGGCCCTGTAATTACCCAAAGAGCGCTGAAATCGGCTTGTTGCGTTATCGTCTAGGGAGCCTTAGCGCCTCGCTTCAGCGCTGTACTCTGGATACTTGCCCTGCTGGCTCTTCGGGGTGGGTCGCCAGTAAGCGAGTGAACGCCCTTTCTGGTTCTGTGTTATGATGATATCCACTTCAAAAACCGAATGACTGGTAGATCAGACTAAAGCAAATGGGCTCCTTTTGTAAGGGTTACCTCTACAGAACTTCGAAGAATGTTGTCCTTCAAAAAGAGCTCCGCCCGTATGTAATCAGGAATCTGGATGCGTCCAAACATCCATCCACGTTCTCCATGCTTTTTGAAAAATAGGTTTCGTCTCAAATCCAGCAACATACCATTCAAAGAACGCTACCCAAAGCTTAGCAGCATTTCCACGCTTTATTGCAATTACGGGCAGCGCCACGAAAGCCTAAAGGCGTACGAACCCCTCCTCCTCTTCACGGGGCAATTGCGGGACCCCCACGCAACATCGGGACTAAATCTATCCTGCATTTTTCGAAAGTGGAAGGCAGTTTGTATTGCTTCTTTTCGCCTTCAATTAGTTTGTGTACCGTGCTGGTAGACAACCAAATCCTCGTTCGGCTCGAACGACAGGTTGAAACGGTTCTTTCACCCTCCTTGATGCTCCCACAATGAGTTCAACAAAGCTATTGCTAGTTCTCACAACAATCGGTCGATTGATACTCTGTTCTCGATAATACAAGCCTCCTTGTTGTCTCCAAGGAGAAACGCTTCTTTGTTGGAAGCCTACCCGCCTCCCACCCAATTTGATAGATGTTTCACTTGATCGTATCTACACAACCGAGTAAGCATAGCTTGGTGTGTAAGAACTTGTTAGACTTACAATCCGAAGAAGTTTGGGAACCTTTGTCTAAGATGTGGTCTAGCACCAAAATGGATGGGAAGTGTTTTCAGGGGCGATGGCCAATGTGACGAAGCTGTATTGGACACTTCACCACAAGGAATCAAGGGGCACCTACGACTGTCCGGAGCATAAAGAAGCAGATAGATGATTGTTCATCAAAAGATGAGAAGAAAGCATTCGAGGTGAACGAGTTGTTAGGAACAATAGGAGCACCCAAGAGGTCGCGTCCTTTGTCTCATAACGAGAGGACTCGGAGGAAATATATACTGGGTGACGTTACACAGAGAGAGTATTCATTTACTATAAATAAGGCCAAATTTCCATAGTGTAGAACTCAATCATAAACATCATTCTCACAACATCATCCCTTCCTGCTTTTGTCCTCATCAAAATACGATTCAGCCAAACCGCACAACAAGTGTTCAACAGAGCTAAATTCGGAAAAAAAAAAAAAAAAACACAAGATGTCTAGTCAAGAAGATATTGTAGTCGTCAACATAGATAGGTAAGAACTAGATTTCACCCCTTATGATATGATTAGATATCCCTTAAGCTGCCGTTCAGAACACACATTTCTCCAGGGGCCTAGCGTAGCGCATGTGCCCTATAATTCAGGCAGTTATTTGAACTTTAGCGCCTCGCTTCAGCACTGCGCCCCGCAAAAGTGTGTTAACAGCAGCTTAGGGGATACTAACGGATGCAGGTGGTGGGTGCCCGGTAGCGCACCCGAGCCCGAAGTGGACCCTCTAGTCGACATTCCGCAACTCCCCAACGACATAAGATGGAACCCAATGGAGCCGCCTATCGAGGATACAGTCCGACTTCTCAATCCACGTACTTGGGCCCTCGGATCCCTCATGCTATGCAAAGTCTTGGAAGATGGATGCAACCTTCCGTCGGACACAGTTTGTAGCTGGAGAGACACAGGCGATACTTACTACCTCCAGCGACGCGACGATGTAAAGGACGACATAACGACTGGAGGAGATCCCACAGCAGGAAGGTTAGCCAATTCAAAGTTTCATAGAGCTAACTGGAATCTGGGGCAAGACACATTTTGCAAAGCCAAGGTTTGGGTGGAAGGATTGACTACAGAAGCAGACACCATCAAATGGGTCAATAAGCATATTCCCTCACTGCCGACGCCAGAAATCATTTACACCTGGACGGATGTAAAATTGTGTCGGACGATTACGCTAACTAAGCGCGTTTCAGGAAAGCTACTCCGTGACGCATGGATCGATCTGGACTGCTCACAGCAACACCACCTTGCTGACCAGATCGCTAATCACCTCAAGTTGCTCTCGGTCTGGGAGTCGGAATACATTGAAACCGTTCTACACGCGGGATTTCCTTGCTCATGTGGAGAAGCGTGGTCGCTTAGAGAGCGCGAAGCGCTTCCTGCTGTAATACCTCGTCTTGAGCCGCGAGTCCCTAGAGAGGAGTATGAGAAGTTTGTCACGAGACGAAATGCCCATCTAGGTATTACAGTATCGCCCCCAGATTTTGGAGAGCCGCTAATTCTGCAACATCTCCAATGCACTCCACAAGATGTGTTTGTAGAGATGCCGACCGCGGAAGGAGAGATGCCCAAGGTGACGGCCATTTTTGGATGGAGTCACGTTGCATACTTTCCAAAATACAAAGTGGCTACTAATCCTCGTGAGTCCGGATACTTTGGGGCCCTTGCACATCGCAAATTCAGAATTGGTGATGATCATTGGCGGTGGATGCTGTCAAACGCATGTGTCCGTCTCGGCTTCCCTTTAGCCTTCGAATATGCCAAAGCCCATTCGAGAGTCGAGCACAAGGACTATGTGGGGATCCCAATAGAATATTTGGTATCGCACGACCACTTAGTCCAAGATGAAGATCATGTGGATATCGAGTAGTGGTACCCACGACAGGGATGACATCAACATCGACAATTTTTCGATAAACTTTGAAAAACCAAGCCTCCAAAAGGAAATCGGCAATGAAACCAACCTCAAACTAGATAAAAAAAATCAAAGCCAAACGAAGTGAATTTTTTTGAAATTTCCTCACGTCCCCTGAATGAATCTAATCTAAATAAGAGATGTTAAATCAAACATCGTTGACAAAATCTCGCAATCCCATTCCATGTGTCCTCTATCCTCTAAACTCCTTATCCAGTTTATGTTTGCAGTATTATTTATCCAACTCCCCCGAAAAACTTTCAAGTAATACCAGATCTGTGCAATTCCAAAACCCCACTCCGCAACTTCATATTCTGCCTCCTCAATTGCAAACAACTATTATGCCCACAGTGTCGACACACTACTTGGGGAATCTACCATCCGATCTGTATACGACAGCCTTAGGAGTGGATTTTGGCAGGGTTGTGGACATTGGGTTGGTTGCTGGTTGGGCGGTGGCCGCTGGTTGTGCGGTTGTTGGTAGTGGGTTGGGTACTGGCTGGGTGTTGGCAGCTGGCTGTGCGGTTGCCAATGGTGGGTTGGTTGCTGGCTGGGTAGGGAATCTGCCATCCGTTCTGTATACAACAGCCCTGGAAGTGGCAGCCGATGAGGTTGTGGGAGCTGGGTTGGTTACTGGTCAGATTGGGGCAGCTGATTGTGCGGTTGTTGATATTGTGTTCACCGCCGGTTGGACTGTGGATCCTCGACCCTTGGCCTGTGTTAGGACATACGAACATCTAATACAATATGAAAGAATTGGGTACATACCATGATACCATACGACATTGCTCTGCAGCCAGGGCGAGCGCATTGGATGGAGAGGAAATCCCCAGGAGGAAGAACGTCGGAATAGCGACAGTGTGGGCAGGAAGACATCGTGCTAGATGACGAGTTGATATCGACCGTCCACCAAATTTTGGTCGTCGACTTGTTGAAAGCTGTGGTGGAGACACCCAGGATGGCTCTGAAGTGTTGTGTGGAGGCAAACGAGAGATCGGATTGCGATGCTCGGAATTTGATGTGTCTGGTGAGAGGCTCTGGAAGTCTGGGGAAAGGAAAAATGATGGGAATGGGAGGGTTTAAATAGAGATGTGAAGGCTGGTGAACAAAGCAAAGCCATGAAGGACACTAACACTCCGAAAACTGATGACTCTGCAGAATCAAAGACAGAGGCGAACCGACACGAAAGATCTGTAGGGAGCTGGCAGAAACGGAAGTCAATGTGCTGCTCTGAACAAACAGTCTCATCCAGCGACAAAGAACAATCAAGGATATTCAACCCAACTGCCTTCTGATGGCTCGTGGGTGTTGAGCGAAGGATCATGAGCAGAGCGCGGTGTCTCGCTTACTTTGAGACTGTATAACATGGATTCAATAAGTCCTTGTGTCGGTCACGACAGAGGAGCAACTTCGACAGGCACATGGCACAGAGTTTCCGTCAAGTATTCTTACCAGCTGGAATTTCAACGAGACTCTCACCTGTAGTAGGCGACCTGACCATGGTTTAGCATACACCAGAGATCGCGGAGTCCAGCATCACGCCCTTCTGGTCCAGGCCTGGCATGTGAACCCACGGTGGTGTTTGCAGCTCTCATTGGTAAATTCAGCGAATAAACAGGATCCCGCAACCGCACTTTCGAACCGGTGTACCAACTTCTTCTTCTCAGACGCAGTCGAAGATGTAAGCTTCGCAGAGAATGGAACGAGCCCTCATCCCTAGGTCATGGATCTATGCGTAAATCCAGCACCTGTGTAGCATTTTCTCTCACGTCAAATCGGCGAGTTCTTGCCCCCATCAATGTTCCTGCCCCCCTGATTAGGGCACAGAGGACAAGGTAAACAGAGAGTGAAGAGGTGGGATATGTGCCACATGTGGCTCGCCAGAATTTTATGTAAAGGACTTCAACTCTCCCAATTTTGCTGTACTCATTGTGGCCTGGATAATCCTCGGCGATGATGCTGCAACACCAAAAAGTCACAGTGTTTTGTGATCTCGCAGCCCCATACGAAATGGAAGATATGCATGACCTCACCCCACCTTCGCTAATGAGTTGCATCTCAACTACGATACTGAGCTATTCATGGAATCCTTGTTTCTGAGGAACGAGAGACCTCACTTCCAAAGGACTGCACTTACAGCTGCCTCGGTGGATTTGGTCGAGGACGACACTGCAAACTCGGTACCCCTCACGAGGTACATAATTTGCAAAGAAAGGAAGGACTCAACAAATGAGTAGTATAGCGCATGCCATGTTCAACGACGAGACTCACAGCTATCAAACCAGGAGTTTTGGTCTGTCTCTCCGCTTGCACAGCCGGCAGGGTGGGAGGCCTTGTGGTCACCGGCAGCGATGAGTACCACCTTGAAACAAGCCACCCGTAAACGCACGAAAGCATCGCGTAGTGAAAGTCAGACTGACGCAGAGGATCATTCACAAAGCCCCTTCCTTCAAGTGAAGAGTCCATGTTCAAGAAAAGGTGGGTACCACACCGCAACAGCCATATTCGAGTCTATGTGCCTCCAACATCAACCATGAAAGTCCTAGCTCTCCTTGGCGACCATCTTCTTCCATTCGCCCTCCAACATCGAAAATGACAACAGATCATGCCATCCGCCATTATACCACAGCAACTCCCTCTTCCTCCCCTCAAACACAAAGCCCAACTTCCCCTCATACAGCTCTCTCGCGCCAGCATTGTACGAGAAACACTCAATCCCAATCCGATGCAACCCCGCGATCCTAAACCCCCAATCCAGGATCCACTTGATAGCCTCACTGCCATACCCCTTCCGCTGATACGGCGCAATAATATCAATACTGATATAACTATTCCGATGCTGGAAATACCCAGGCTTCAACCCCGTGAGCGAAATACATCCTATGGGCGTTGGCGGCGTGGGCTTTGTGTCGACTGGTAGTGCGGGGTTGGAAGGTGGGGGTGCCAGACAGATGATTACGCCGATGAGTTTATTGGTCTGCACCGATTTCTTCCACGCACCGCTCTCCTTCTTCGTCATGGGCGCGAGAAGACCGTTATCTGAGTTGGAGAATGCCACAGGGTCGGCTTGGATGGTGTGCATGAATTCTTCATCTTCGGGTGTGTCCTCGATGGCACGGTAGATGAGGCGGTCTGAGCGGAAGACGTTCTCCATGTTTACTTGAGTATGATAGGCGAGGGCTGGTAAGCGAGGGGTAATGGTAGGTAGATGAAGCGAGCTGTTAATTTTTGGCACCTCAGGTGATGTTTAAGGTTTTGCAAGAAACTCGGGACTGTCAAAATCTCTTATATTGGCGAAAAAATGCCTAATAAAATTGCAGGGATTGCACCTTCCTATTTCGGAAGATAATTTGCGCCGTCTCACCGCAATCCTGGCTGTCAGCCGGTCAGAGTCATTCGGTAAAGTAGCCCCAGCTTTTAAAAATCGAAAATGCACACTTGAAAGGGATGTGGGTCTTGATGGATATCGGAAATTAAATGTTGTCGGGACAATACTTCTTTTGTGATGATCATTCAATCCGGTGTACCTGCTCCGAGTAAATCGCATAACTTAGCGGGGAAATCGAGTAGTGTACCTAAGCGAGCTCGAGACGAGACTTACGCCAGTGGCTTTAATCTACCTAGGTTGTACCACCTTGTGCAGCGGGTCGCACTGAAACAGTTATTTAAAGGATAAGACACTGAAAATATCCCCCCAACTGCCGGAAACAAGCTTTTCTAGGGCGCAGCGCTGAAGCGGGACACTGAAGCTGACTATTCCACATGTCATAGGCGTCTTTTAGTTGTTCCTCCCCACTGTCCTTTAATCACAGGCCATTCCTTCACGCTGTCTAGCATGTTTGTAAAGGGATATATAACAAGAGAATAGGATAAGGAGGACGCTTCAAAATGGACACTAAGAAGAGGATAATAAGAGGGGATACTAAAAGGAACGCTAAGGGAGACGCTGGGGGAGCCGCTGAAAGGGTACACTGAAAAGGGATGCTGGTAGTCGAAGTGCACTAAGGCCAATCAAATGCGAGTGAGATTTAGTGGAGATATGATAAGCGAGGGTGACAGCGAGCTCGCTCGAGTACCTACCCACCACTCCTCGATTTGGTCGCTATGCGATCTAGCCGGAACATAGCTAAAGTGTTTGCTATCATGACATATCGTTTTGTTTTTATTTTTAGAATAGACATATTGTATTAGCACGAACTCAACCGCTTTGGACACTGACATGGCTCTTGCAACCCTACCCACTTCTGGCGCCGTCAGCGAGAGGCCCAGCAACCTTGTTTAGCATGGACAATTTAATCACATTTGAAAGCTCTGTACCTTAATGTTCTCTTGCCAACATGCTCGACACAATTTCGAGCATCCCACTGCCGGAAATAAATATTATGTGCATATTTTGGTGTTGAAGAGCCGATTTCTGAGACGGACGAGTGATACCGCTGTTCATCCAAATTGACTCTGCCACTTCAAAATTAACTCAAGCTATTCAGCTCTATCATGCCAGAGACCAATCTTCGTCTTATCTAAGTCTTATATCATTCACTCTTCACCAAAGACACACTTACTTCATACCCATTCATACCACATCAGCCCATCTCTAAACACCGACCCTCTCTCCTCCCACATCGGTCCCTCCGCCTCAACCAAATACCCATTCGAACAAAAGTTATACTCAACCCTCTGTTGTTCCACCTCATAGAAATGATCAAATCTTGAAGACAGTGCATCTTCAAGCGTCAAGACATCGCCTTTCGGATGTAAGCTCTTCCATGGATGTCGACATGTGCTGCCTTTACATGATTTCAGCACGAAAAGGAGAGAGTCGAGACGAGCGACGACTTTGTGGATTGCGAGGCCGACGACGGTAGATGTTTGTTCTTGGTTGTCAGAGAGTAGGTTGTGCATTTGTGAGGGGTCGACCTAGTTGGCTTGATAAGTCGGCGTTTCGGGAAGGGAGGAGAGGAAGGGACCTACATCCATGTCATAGAGCTCATGCTCGTTGTTGCACCAGATTGAGTAGTACAGGTTATATCCTGGCCCAAGAATCCTGATAGCTTTGTAGGTATTGTTCTCATGGAGGATATCATCTTTCTGGAAGTCAGCTTCCTCGCCAGGGATAAGAGCGAAGAGAGCAACTCACGATCATATTTCCCTTCTCCACCAGCGAATCCCCAGTACTCAACATTGACATGCTCTCGACGTCCTTCATGCGCGAGCTCGATCCCTGCTTTGGTCACAGGTATCGCAGTTCCGTCAAAGTCATCCCGCTTTGGGATTCCCAGAAGATCGAAAAATGTAGGAGCAAGATCCGTGTGGGTGGTGACGATGTCTGTTGTATGATTGGCCGCAACGCCAGGTCCTCGAACAATTAACGGGATGTTGATGTCCTCTTCGTAACCACATGACTTTCCAGGTTGGAGTCGATGTTGACCGATGTGGAATCCGTTGTCGCTGCTGTAGATGATATATGTGTTGTCCATGATGCCATGGGCTTCTAGTCGTTCGAACAGCCCATCGATCATCTCGTCAACTGCCTGCAGTGCTCTCAACCGTTGTCGGTAAAAGTGATCGTTATATTCAACATTCGTCTGATTTTGCTGCTTCAGTTCCAGAACCCAATTGGCTCCCGAGGGCTAGATTGAATGTCAGCTAGAACATTGATGAGCAAGACAGGGTATCGACTTTGTCTGGGTTGAAGCTCGCTGTTCGAGGAACTTTCGAATCCTTGAAGAGATGTTCATGTCGTTTGGCCGACACCGGCGATCCAAACTCCAAAGTATGATTATCGTCTAGAACACTCCCATTCATCTGAATATTAGCATGTGGGGCGATGGGAGCAATCGTGAGGAAGAACGGATTGTCCGCCTCGACAGCCTCATCAAGCAGATCGTACGCCTTTTGGGCAAGCACATCAGTCACATATTCTCCTTCGTAACTTCTCGGTGTCTCTCCAGTATGCTGGAATGTGCTGTTTAGATAATTGTATGTGTATGGATCGAGAAGAAAGTCCTGCCGTAAATTAGCGGGGATGGAGAGTGCTGCAAGCCACTGGATTACTATACCGATCCAGTGAATCCAGCTGCATAAGGCTTGTTGTAGTTATCCACGGTATGGACATTGAATAGTTTACCGGTGTAATAAGTGTTGTATCCTGCTTGTTGCAACCAAACAGGTAGATAAGCTTCGTTGAAACCCTGAGTGACGAATTTGGGATAGCCACCTGAGACATTAGCGATTTATCAAAGACGTCTTCAAGACGCAAAGTGTACCGTAAGGTGGATTGACATCCGTGATATTTGTATTATGGGCTGCCTTTCCTGTCCATAAGGTCACTCTTGATGGACAGCAAACCGCGGTTGTGCAATAATGCTTGTTGAAATATGTGCCTTTATCTAGTAAATGCTTCTTCACGAAAGGCATGTAGTCCATTGATGAAAGATGAACATCTTGATCATCAGTCAGAATGAAGACAATGTTTGGTCTTGACTTCTTGGTTGTTTTGAGTTCTGTATCCCCGAGGAAGTGCTGGCTAGGGCTGAACGCGGCATGGCAAATCGCAATTATTGCCGTCCACGACGTGATGCTCGAGATACGCATTTTCATCAAGAACAGTGGCCTCGAGTACACACGAGAATTAAATAAGAGAGACTCCGTGACTACAGCTGTAAGCTATGATGAGATGATGTGGTGGACAGACCTCAAGAAAGTTTTACGCGTCCAGATGAGGGGATTTCACGTGACAAAATAGTGGAACTCGCTTGGCTTTGGCGATCTATTTTGAAACCTTGAAGACGGCTTTATACATTTGTTTCGATTAGAGTGGAGTTACTTCATTTACTGTGTGGAGTATTTTTTTCAAATAGACTTGAACTCAGGACCGGATTCATGCGTGGCAAGCCTGAAGATACTGTGATCAGATCTTGGCGAGAGATAGGAGGCAGCCTCTTGGCAATACCACAACTGCAGCCTCCAAAATCCATAATCCATCTCAAAGAAGACGAGATCCATGACTTCAGTTATGGAATCATATTCAATCGTATTCGAAATGACATGCAGGTCTTCGAATATGGAATATTCTGTTTGTTGTAAAGCATGGATTGCGAGCCCCACCCACGTTTCCTCCTTCCGGATGTCGTATGCTCATCCGTTCTCACCTCTGAGCTTAAAGCAAGATATTCTGTTGCTGGAATCATGGGAGCGCGAAATTTTTGGGCTGATGGGATGCGGGGATGGATTTAGAGTTGGATTTCATTGCGACCGGTAGCTTCCTGCCATTAATAATCCTAGGCTGTCTAATTCCCGTACAGAAATGGGCTTGAAAAGGCGATCGTTTCAAATTCCTTATGCAGGACGCTATTTCCATATTCTATTCAGAAACTACTTGCATAATTGCGTGCTTCGCTTGTCACAGTCCCATCAAGGCTTTGAATACCTCGCTTGTCTAATATCGTAGGTAAACATTTTCGAGACGTCACTTAGTGGAAGTCGCAGACAATTATATCTACAAGTCATATTTAGATCTTTGAAGCTGCTAGGACTCTCAAAGTTTTCACCAGCATCTGAATATTACAAGCTACAGATGGAAGGTTGCAGTCAATCTCTACCAAGCTAAGGAAGAAACAAATCGAGGGGTGGCGGGGTTGCCAAGAGTGGGGCTGTCGATCCCTAGATGTTGGTCCGGATCATTACTTCCTTTGACCTGACACCCAGACCTTCCATTCCCATCAACGGATATCAGACGACAAGCCAAAAGCTACGTAACATCTCGATGGTGGACGCGGTATGGAATAGTTATAAAGGAGGGCTTCTCCCCTTCCTAACCTCCAGCTCGTCCTCCCGTCCCATCAGTTACACCAGTATCCCGATGTCAGCGATGCCTCCACCAGGTCCGACCAGCGCCGAAGAGGCAGTGGAGAAACACAATGCCTTCCAGGTTGATATCGAGGATAGCGCCGTCCAGAAACTAGCTGATCGGAGCACCAAATTCGCTCTCCTAAGCACGGAAGCTAAACTTGGGACTGACGCCGAACATGCCATGACTCTACGTGAAGCAATCAGGTTATACCCCAAAGCCATCTTCTGGTCAATGTTCTTATCACTTGCCATTGCCATGGAAGGATTTGATATTGCTTTGATTGGCTCTTTCTTCGCTTTCCCAGCTTTCACGGAGAAATTCGGTAAACTCCAGAAGGACGGCAAAACATATCAGATTCCTGCACCATGGCAAGCTGGACTGTCAAACGGAGCACGTGTCGGTGAAATCTTAGGTTTATTTTTGAATGGCATAATTGCGGAGAAGATTGGATTCAAGAAGACGATGATTCTGACTTTGGCTGCACTATCCGGATTTATTTTTATCCCATTCTTTGCCCAAAGCATTGAGGTGCTAGAGGTCGGAACCATTCTAATGGGCGTGCCGTGGGGGGTGTTTCAGACTCTAACGACATCTTATGCATCTGAAGTGTGTCCAGTAGCTTTGAGAGGGTACTTGACGACCTATGTGAACATGATGTGGGGTTTGGGTCAATTGATCGCCTCTGGGGTACTGAGATCTTTGCTTACGAGAAACGACCAGTGGGCGTACAGGTATGCCTTCCTCTCCATTTATATTATCATAATCTTATTCCCTTTTTAGAATCCCATACGCTTTACAATGGATGTGGCCAGTTCCTCTCATCATCGGCATTTCAATGGCACCGGAGTCACCCTGGTGGCTTGTGCGTCAGGGTCGAAATGACGATGCGAGAAAAGCTCTCCGCAGACTCACATCAACAGAATCCGAGACCGATATTGACAATACAATCTCCATGATGAGGCATACTAACGAGCTGGAAAAAGAGATTGGAGCTGGTACTTCGTACTGGGATTGCTTCAAAGGCGTGAACTTGCGTCGAACTGAGATCACTTGCATCACTTGGCTCATCCAGTCGGCAAGTGGGGCTTCAATGATGGGATATGCAGTCTACTTCTTCAAACAGGCTGGTAAGAATCTGACTATGCTCTCGAACTTTTCATTTCTCTTCATTGGAATAATATTGATACGTCACAGGGATGGATACTGATATTGCATTCGATTTCTCCATATCACTATACGCTGTGGCCATGGTGGGGGTTGTGATCGCTTGGTTCGCGATGACATATCTCGGACGTCGTACTATCTACCTCTCTGGACTTACAGCAATGTTCGTAACATTATTCGCCATCGGCTGTGTGGGCCTTGCTCCTCAGAACTCGAAAGGCCCATCATTCGCCACAGGAGGACTCCTACTTCTCTTCACACTCTGCTACGACATCACAGTCGGCACGATAGCTTATTCAATCGTCACTGAGATGCCATCAACTCGTCTCCGCACCAAGACCATCGTTCTTGCAAGAAATCTGTACAATGTGCAAGGTACGATCAATGGAGTTATCACGCCTTATATGTTGAATCCTTCGGCGTGGAATTGGAAGGGAAAGGCGGGATTCTTCTGGGCCGGTATGTGTCTTCTCTGCTTGATATGGTCCTACTTCCGGTTGCCGGAGGGCAAGGGACGTACATATGGAGAAATGGACATTTTATTCGAACAGAAGATCAGTGCAAGAAAATTTGCCTCCGCAATCGTGGATCCGTTTGCTGTTGCTGGCAACATCCCAGAGGTGGAAGAACATGTTGACGAGAAAGAATGATCGAGGGGTGATGGTTGTAATCAGTCAACAAAGAAATGAATAATAACTCTAATTCTATGACTGGATGATTGTTGCATCGGGACGGACACCCAAATGTCATCTGACGATCAGTCGAACACCCTTGCTCTCATCCTTCACAAACGGCTGCACAAAATCAGCAACCATATCCACATCGCTCCGATCCGTTTCATAGAGCTCAAGAGTCGGGCCAGTCTGCTTTCCAGTCCCATCGTATCTATCGTACTTGCTGAATATTCCACCCAGCATCGTGTAAAGCTCTGAGTACGCGAGCGACATCTGTCATCATTAGTGGAAGACGAAATCATGTACCAGTTCTGACTTACACCAACACATCTTCGAGATCCACGAGAGAATGCCAACTGGTACTTATCAAGTCGTGGGTTCTCGAGGAATCTTTCTGGTCGGAACACAGAACATTCGGGATAAAGCTCCTCATTTCTGCTGAGCAGCGGAGCGCTCATTCCTACTGGGGTCTACGAGAAGTCAGACACATTCTCTGTGTCGGGATGGCGTACTTACTCCTTTCTCAATTATCCATTTCTTCCCATTGGTCCCATCCTCATACACCAAGTCCTCGTCAGGTGCCACGCGCTCCTGACGAATACTGGCTCCAGGATGTAGTCGAATCCCCTCTTGGATGACTGCGCTGAGATATGGCAGGGCTTCGATCTGAGCCAAAGGTGGCATGTTGTAAGGATCTGGAATGGCAGCCATGAGTTCGGTTCTCAATTTTTGAAGAATTTCGGGATTGGCGAGCAGGTGGTACGTGATAGCTGCGAGTGTATTTGCACTTGTATCAGTGCCGGCTCCAATCAAGACTCTGCCCTCATCGATGAGTCTGTCGTCTGTTTTATCCGCTGCTGAGAGGTTGGGATTGTGAAGAAGACCGTGGAAGATAGTTGTTCCTATATTATCATTTGGCTTATCATTTTTGGTCTCTTCCTTGATAATGTTAATTGTGTTGATGAGATCCTAGGAATTATGAGCACGAATGTTATCTTTGGAGAAGATGCAAGGCTGAAATACTGACTTTCACCATGCTTAGGAAAACATCAACTTGTGGCATCAGTATGACCACGAGGGATTGAGGGAGCGCCCTCATAGTGGGGACGAGCCACGGGTTCCAGCAAGCGAAATGATATCCTTTCACCGATTCACGGAGGGCAGAGAAGAATCGCTCATTGAAATCTTCCTTGTCGAGATTATGGTAGCTTTCTCCGAAGCAGTAGTCAGAAATGATGTCAGATGTTACTGCCGAATACATCAAATTGGTCACGATCGGCTCTTTCGTATTTGCCTGCCTTTCCAATCGTCCGAGAACCTTGCGTAAACATCCCTGAAGGACCGGCTCCAGCCTTCGAACGTTCTGCTTGGAAAAGAAAGGGTTTAGAACGGAACGTCGTACACGGTGGACTTCGTGGTATGTTGTTCCAAGTGCAGCATTTGGGGTAGCGAAGCCGTTGACAGCGATCTTGTATTTGTCTCGTCGCTTTCCTGGAGCGCCATAGATAGGGTCGATATACTCTGGATCGTTCATGTGAAGAACATCCGGTCTGATCCTTACAATGGGACCATACTTTTGGTGCATCTTCTCGATTTCCCAGATATACTGTCCACCTAGGATAACATCGTAATAGAAATGATACAGTGATGTTACAGCTGCACCACTTGTCAGTCCAAAGCTACAAACAGTATTTTGAGCCTCATACCTGCCAGCTTAGGTCCCGGAAATTTTGCTAATGGGCTGAAGTAGAGGCGGTAAATCGCCAACGAGATCAGGGAAGCGACCAACAATCCGAAGCACTTCAAGATACCAGAGGCAGTAAAGAAAGCCATTTCGAGGGTCAGAGAAAAATCCGTCACAGAAAATAATTTGAGGAAAGCAACATCATTGAATATCTTATCATAATTTTGTTCAAGAGGTCGTCGTCGTCTCACGCCGCTTTGTGGCTGCTTATGCTAGCCGCTAGTGTCTCTCGTGCCCCCTGTGCCTTTTGTGCATTGTCCTAGGATTGGCTGACATTACACTATTCAGTCTGGACCTTGTTGACTTTCTTGGCCTGATAGGCTTGTTGATTGGTAGTGAGGAGGTAATAGCCTACGAACAGTAATCCACGAAATAAAGGTTTCGAGCTGGCCAGGGCTCTTGACAGAACTCTACTAGGGACCGTGGATCGTGGGCGGGCTGCCCAGAAGAACTACTGTAAAGTCAACCGAAAATCTAACCAGTGCCTTGACTGACAAAATTCGGGTGTGAGTTCCGACACGCAATAATGATAGCCCTCGTGAGCTATCAAAAACGCGTCGAAACACGATAACAATCCCTGCCAAAACCACGCCGTGTTCCCGCAGGGGTGGGTAAAGATGCAGTTCCCAATTGACGTAAACATTGTCTTTTGCGAATCCGTCAAAAGTGGAGCCAGAGATTAGGTTGAAATTATCCTACTGGCTTGGATTGTTCCCAATATCGGCAATCTCCAGCTTTCTTTTTTGTTGCGATCTCATTTCCTGTTTGTATTTAGCCGAGCTCCTTTCGCTCCTTGGTGGTCTTACTTGTTCCACCGTTCCTCTAATCATGTATCGAGTCACAACAACCGAGTCCTTTTGATTCATCCGAATTGCTCTTGCGATTGCTTGATTTTCAACACTTGGATTCCACTGCGGCTCGATGATGAAGACTCGATTCGCTGCTGTGAGGTTGAGACTTTTCACCGCAGTGAGCACGTGACAGGTTCAAATTGATGCCGAGGAAAGCTTACCCAAACGCACATGTTCCAGTTGTCATGATGAGGACTGGTATTTCAGGTGTGTCAGAGAACTCATCTAGAATCTTTTGGCGTCGTGCAATCGAGCAATTTCCGTCGATTCTCTGAAAATGAATCCCCTCGGTCTCAAGATGCCGCTGAATCAAGTTCAACGTGTTTGTCCAGCAAGAAAACACGATACTGTTTTGAGATTATTTGGATAAATTCCCAGACGCTAGGTGGAATGAGTTGTGAATACCTTTTTGTGTTCGAAAGGTCTTGCTTGATATCCTTCATAAGGGCAATCATCTTGGTTGAGAAGCCAGAATCTTTGAGGTATAAATCTTCGGTTTCGCCAAGCCCCCTTGAATTTCCCTTTGACTTCCATATCACGCCGGTCATGGCACATAAAGAACAGCCATGTTTCTGTGTTGTTGATTCCTCCGTCTCGTTCAAACACTCTGAACAGAGGATGTGTGTGCAGCTATCATTGCCTTTCCGATACACATTGTTGGAGCCGAGAAGAGGCATTGATTGTCTACAAGCAGAGCAATTGACTTGACCTGTATCCCCCACAGCACATAAAGCATCTTCTCGCTCATCCAGCATGCTCCGTTTGCTCCATGAGAAGGCATGCTGGTATGTGCCATGATTACAGAGTATTCGCAATTGAAGTTGGATCTGGAACATGCCGAAAACATTGTTTGTTTGATGCTCTGAAACTCGCTGTCGGAGTGTCCTATTCATCACTTTCACAGTATTTTCATACTGATCTCTTTCTTCTGAGGAGAAGTCAAGGACCCGATCACATTCGCGCGGTGGCGGCAAGTGCAACAATTAGCGAGAACGTCGCAGACAAAGAGAGTCAAGAAGGAGCGTGAGGTTTTGTGTTGCGACAGCCCGTCTTTCTTCACTTTCGTCGAAGGGAATGCTCACGAATCTGCGGAACATGGCCAGACTATGAAAGGGCCGGACCCGAATGAATGCGAACAGTGCTCCAATATCTTCCAGCCGATTTTGAATCGGGGTACCAGTCAGACACCATCGAGACCGGGCTTTCAATTCCGAAACGGCTCTGTTAAATCTAGTCGTCTGTCGGCGAATAATATGACCTTGGCCAGTGTCAGTCGTTCATTCTGCTAATATCCATTCAAGATCTCTCACCTTCGTCCAGAACGACTCTGTACCAGTTGCAGTCATGCAAAGGGCTCGACCTGCTTCCAAATTCCGCCACAAGTGTGTTGTAGGTTGTAAGCACTAGATCAGCTTCTGCAATGCGTGGAAGTGCAGTCTCCCTGCGCTTTCCGCCATGATACTTGAGAACAACGAGAGATCCGTCTAGATGCCTAAATGGATAGTCAGTACATCCATCATTACGTGTATCAGGCTTTTCATCTCACTTTCTGATCTCATTCAACCATTCGTTGATCAGTACCGCAGATGGGACCAATACAAGGGTAGCTCGAATTGGGTTTCGTTGCAGATTAATGTTGTCTTCCTCCTCGGGGTTCTCCCCACATCCCCATTCTTGCGAGCTCCCGATGGTTTTGGTAATCAGCGCAAGTACGGACAGCGATTTCCCCATACCCATCTCGTCGGCCAGAATTCCGCCTCCAATCTCTGAGCTAGGGGTCCTAGACTTGACATTCGTAACAGCGTGGCGGAACCTGTAAAGCATCAGCTCTTTACAAAACACATATATGCAGTCAAATGCGGGACACACCAGCCTGGTTCCTCGGGGATAGACTTCCAAAGACAATATTCCGAAGAAATTGGCCCACTCTCGCGCTGCAGCATAAAGCCAAGTGCCTCTTCTTGATGTCTAAGAGTTCTTGTAAGTTCAATTCCAGGACAACTTGTTGGGAGCATCGTTTCACATACGGAAGCAAGTTGGTGGTCAAACGACGGTCACCATCTATTCTGTCCAAATGTGCACCCCTTGTGAGTTTTGCATAAACATTCGTTATCGATTTCTGAAAGTCAGATTGGTCTCTGGAAAGCTGCCCACTGCGAGAATCGACGATTGCCCTGTGTTCAATTATAGGAGCTTCAAGGCTTGCGAATGACAACCATTGGGGATTCTGATACTGTAATCCTGGCCTGGTTCTATCGGGGCGTTGTAAAAACACTTTGCTCTTCGAAAATTGATCACCAACATACTTGAGATGTGATGAAGGGCCATAGACGTTGATTTCTATACGCACTGTTGCATCGGTAGCTTTCTTCGCCATACCCAGTCTTTCTCTGCTGGATCGCAGTGACCCCAAAGCATCCAGTTGTATCACTGGAGAGTCTACTACTGGTAGTAAACCTGCGCTGATATGGCCATTCAGAAGCGCAAAGCTGGTGCCGTCTTGAAAGCTTAAGGCGATATTATTGTTCATGTTTTGCAGGTTGAAACGATAGTAGTCGTCGATTTGCCCCATACTAGCTTCTTTTAGCTTTGAGTCAACTTCAGTCATATTGTTTCCCATCACTTTGGCGGAGACTTGAGGAATCTGCCGCTGATTAGTACATGTTTTGTCCTACCTACCCTGGGAACAAGAGTACCGACCATGCCGTAACAAATTAATTCCCACGAAGGCGACTCTTCTGAAGCTTCTGGTTCTTGTACCTGCCCAGCATCATCTGCAACTTGGAGCGACGTAATGCCAAAATCCTGGCTAGCCCAAAGCTCGATCCCAGCCTCGACATCATGGATCAAATCGAAGTTCCCTTGGGCTTGGTTGACTGGCGCTACGTCCCCAGCGCTGCCAAAGTCAGTTCCTAAGAGGTCGCTCCAAACCTTTTCCCATGATTTGTCATCCAGTTGTACATCGCTACAGCACAGTCGTCAGCCTATCCTGACTAACTCGCATTAGCTTTAATTGGATTTGGATTGGACTTGCCAGTCTCCGGAATTTTCAGGGCACGAGAAATTGAAATTTGGGGGAGCCTGGCAACTATGCCATTCATGAGAGTCTTGATTGGACTTATCATCGATGAGAAGGTGTTTCGATGAAGACATAGCTGACTCGTCGAAAAGAGGAGGCGATCCCACGACTTCAACGCTTCTGCGAGTCTTTGTGAACTTGAAGTGTGTTGGAAATAATTACAGGTTCAATCTTTCGTTGCAACTAGTCATGAGGTTCAGCGGCTCAAATCATCATTATTGCGAGACTGAGACACAAAAGCTGCAGCAATGGGGCTGAGTATCGACTTGGGGGCAAGGCCAAGACATGCAGTGCTACACGACACGCCCCGTTTGGCTGCAAAGGCTCTTTGCTCTATTGCTTCACCGACATTCTTGTCAGCCACCATCCCTTAGAGCCAAATTGTTACTGGCCACTCGCTATCTGTCGCTAGTAGAAATCCGCCTTGTACTGTAGACGCCGCGGAATTGGTAGCGCTGTCGTGAGGCCCATGCATAATAGCCACTGCACACAGCCTCGGCGCAATCCTGGCGATTCCGAAGAAGAAAAATCTGTGAAACCGTGAAGAAAAGAGTCGACTCTCACACCATATCCTCAGACTCTCCTGTATCTACACTCTCTTCCCCAAATTGGTGTACTTCTCTACCTCAGCACGATAGACTTCATCTTAGGAATACCTGACCGATAGAGACATGGCAGCTGCTAGTACTAGTGCCTTTGAGGCTGTTCTTGACGAGTTCAAGCAAGTTTTGAATGCGAAACAAATACAAAATTTCCAATTTACTACTTGAGACGATGTGCGGCATACTGCAATTCGAATCCAAAGCGAACAAGACCAGACCAAATCATTGATGAATATGACGAGGCTTCAAGCCTTTCTCGAGGCTATGGACCAATTTGGGAAAGTCATTGGTGTATTCGTCAACGCTTCTGCTTTTGTGGCTTTCGTCTGGGGTCCTATGAAGTTTTGCCTCCTGGTATGTCTTGGCATATATTTGGACCTGGTTATGTAGCCCGCTAGGAAGTGATCGGGATCTGGTTTAAACACAACATCAGTTTCACTGCCCATACAAGTGATTTATAGCTGATTTGAGATACATACAGACTGCACGAACTTGGACAGACTCATTTGAGACACTCTTAGACGCATATGGCCAATTGGGGGAGCATATACCTCTCCTCCAGCAATACCACTCATTCTTTGGATCTACATCTGAAATGACAACAGTGTTGGTCTTGATATATAAGGACATCCTCTCCTTTCATAAAGAAGCCACAAAGTTCTTTTCCGGGAAGGATAAAGGTGAAAAATTTGTGTTATCTCGTGTAAGATTGACAGCCTCGACTAATCGTCGCTCTAGTCTGGCGGCAGCTTTTTCGCTCCATGTGGAAGAACTTCGAGACGACGTTCAAGCAGATTCTGGATAATCTCAAACGACACCGAGATCTTATCAGAGAGCAGGCAACTGTTATCAGCTTTCAAAGACAGGAGCTCTTCATCGAACAATACAAGAGAGATATTGAGGAGACATCTAGGTCACTTAAGAGACAGCAAGAGGAAGAGGAATAGAAGAAATATCGTGAGGTTCTAGAATGGTTTTCAGCATCCAATAGCACAAAATCTGATCATGAAACGTGTCAAGAGGAGAGAATCCCAGGAACAGGTGATTGGGTCCTCAAGCATGAAAAAGTGCGCAATTGGCTAGAGTTGGATGTGCCCGAGTGCTCGATTCTATGGGTCAACGGCATCCCGGGAGCAGGTAAGCATATTTATACGAACCTTTTGTTCTGTCTTGATTCCTTACTTCATGCGTAGAACTGACTATCTTAGGCAAGACTATTCTCGCATCTATCATAATCGACGCTTCAACGGCTAAAAATCCAGATACTACAACATATTTCTACTGCAAAGAGAACAATGCCGAGAAAAACACCTGTATTTCGATCTACCGTGGACTTCTGAAGCAGCTGCTCCACAAGCATCGGGATTTGGTCCCATACTACTGGGATAGAATGGTGTCTACCGGAGAGACCGTTTTAACGACGACAAACTTGGCTGAAGGATTTTTGAGAACACTGTTTGAGAAGGTCGAAACCTCTCAAGTGATCATCGATGGCCTTGACGAGTGTAACTCGGACCAGAGGAAGCTTATACTTGCATTTTTCACAGATGTCGTACGGATTTGCGATGAGAGGGAGCCTGGCAGACTTCGCGTCATGTTCCTTAGTCAAGATTACGGAGATATCCAAAAATCGTTGCTAGCTGCGAGTAGTCTGAAACTGACCGAAAGGGAGAACGAACCAGATATTGCGATCTATGTTCAGCACCGCACGTCATCAATCCCGCAGAACCTCGACCTGGAACTTTCTACAAAAGAGATCATCAAAGAGTCAGTATGTGGACGTGCTAGAGGTATGCATCTCTGCTCATAAATGTCCTGGGCCGGTGGAGTGACATCAATAGGAATGTTCCTCTACGCGAAACTCGTCATGAATCACATCTGCGGTCTTGATACCAAGGAGGCTGTGCTAAATGAACTGAACTCCTATGGATTTCCTGACGGACTAGAAGAAGCGTAAGTGACCTCAAGACTCTTTCCCTTTGTCAGTGGACTTCTCAATTTCGGAGTATAACGTCAGCCAATATCCGAGCCATGGCTGGACGCTAAGCTGGATCTAACTCGAGAGCAGATACGAACGTATCATCAAGCGACTACATGACACACTGTCACCAGCCCAATGGAAGAGCACTCGGAAACTCATGGGCTGGCTAGTGTGTGCAAAAAGACCTCTGAGGTGGCGCGAAGTCCAAGCAGCGTTCTCCATGGACGCAGGGACTCAGACTTTCGATTTTGATAAACGGAGACTTTCAAACAGCATTCAACATTACTGTGGATCACTAATCCAGGTCCTTTCTGGAGACTGCATAGAACTTGTTCATACCACAGCCAAAATGTAAGTGCTTGACTGGACAAGCGCTGTGAGATCAGTCTAACAAACAGACAGACATATCGCTTCCTCGGAATATATCTCCAAGTCAGCGGTGGAATGCGACCTAGCCTCACTTTGTCTTAGATACTTAACATTCGACATATTTGATCCAGGTTTCGACGAAGAACGTCTAAAGAGTTGCATACGAGCTGGGGATTTATCATTCCAGGACTATGCTATCGCTAAATGGATGGAGCATATTCAGACAATCATTACAAACAAGTCATGCATTTCACCCCATGATGAGAATGAAAACTCGAGGTCTGTGGATGAGGTCCACGTTGCTGTGAATGAGTTTGCGCTGCGCTACGAGAAAGACATACTTGAATGCGAAATGACCGACCGTGCAGAGCAAGACTGCGAGCCATTTCATATTACACCCTGTTACGAAAGCTTGATGAACATCTGGAATCTGGTTTGCCAGCACGCCAGTATGGGATCTTCTGCCAAAAACGATATCAGTATCAAAGAGCTTGGAAGTGCTCTAACAAGGAGTAGAGAAATCTTGGAGAAAATCACCGCAGAGCACAGCCCACACTCGCCAGAGAATGAGAAATTGAGAAATCTCTACGGCGATCGGCTGTTTAAGTGTCCGAAAGTAACATGCTATTACTTCCACGAGGGTTTTAAGGGCGCAAGAACCAGGGACCACCACATCAACCGGCATGACCGCCCTTTCAGTTGTTCGTTCCCGGACTGTTCGATTGTGGAATTTGGATTCACTTCAAATAAGGACTTGGAGAAACACCGAAAGTTCTTCCATCCAGACACGGAAGAGCAAGCCAACTCATTCAGCTCTATCGTGAAACCCACCACTGCCACCCCTTTCCAATGCAACATATGTCAGAGAAGGTTCACATGGAGCTTCATTCACAAGAACCATTTGCTGAGCCATACCGGAACTCGACCACATGCTTGCTCGGAGTGTGGAAAAGCTTTTACTAGGGCGAATGATTGCAGGAGACACGAGAAGATCCATTCAAAGCGTCGATAAGGGCCGAACACTTGACTTCTTCTCCATTCATAATACCTTCATAGAACAGGTTTCAGGGGTCGATATAGACTTTAAATAGCAGATTAGCAAACAATATGGGTTTAGAAATTCTCATCTATACACCGCTTCTCTTTCTGACTCTTCTTCCATCAAATTTTGAGATTCTGCCGAAGAAGCATACGCCTACGAAGACCGTTGTGCGAGTAACACTTCAAATCTAGCGCAAAGGTCAATGGCTGACAGGCTTCTTTACACGCATAGGTTCTATTATTTGAACTTGCCCTTTCATAGGACATTGAGGGCACTGTAATATTAGTACCAGCATAATTTAACCCTAGATAGCGCTGCTTTACTGCCAAATGGGACCTGACCAGAGTATGAACCAAGAAGCTTGGTGTTTGAAGCGTTGGAGATATCTGGTAAGGCTGATTAGGCAATGGTATTGGGATTCCGTGTGTCAGCACGCTGCAATTACTTTATTCGTTCAAAGGATCACAATTTCCCATTGCTACATATGAATCAACAAACTGGTCAATAAATGAGTTCAGAGGCCTCATGTTAGCCCCGAAACTTTATCCTTTCCTGTGGGATTGCTTGGTCACCCCGCACATAAATCACTAAGGAGCCACCTCCTGTCCAGTGTTTACAAGGTTTTCAAATAGCCCCTGTCAAAGATGATTGGACATCCCTTTTGCACTGCAGTTTTAGTCTCGCTGAGCACTTAGACAGCTCTTTACGGTCCGCCAGGCTGTGCTACTGGTCTCCCCGATGTCGCTATCCGCCTGCACTGCAATATTAACGACGTCTGAGGAGTTATTTTGCGGGTACAGCTAGCAGGTTGGTCTTTAGTAGCTCTCAATGGGTGTGGGTTTTAGAATATCTAGCAAATGACTGTTTTCAAGCCGCAACCTCTGCATTGCCATTGAGTCCAGACAGAGGAGCGACACTGACAGAGGAGCAATAATTGAAGTATTTTGATAGGACCAACATCCTAGCGCATATTTGAGACTCTTGACTCCGCTAGTGATCTTAATCGAGCATCTCCCGAAGCTGCCTCCTCATAATGAGGCTCATTCTATCCACAAAGAAGCGGTTAGCTGTTAGCAAAAGTCCAGCACAGCACTGCAATTTTAGTCTCACCAAAGTACTCGAGTAGAATGTAGGTATTCAACCCCACTTCCTTTAGCAACTGTGGCGGGATGGACACAGCACTGCCTTTTTAGTTGCACCTGAAGAGACGCCGTCGACAAATCATGAGTCCGAGCACTGCGAGCCTCACAGCTGGAAATTTGCCTCTTGCCACGGCGTAGCACTGCAATTTTAGTCTCATCAGAGCTCCGTCCGGCCCCAGTACTCTTTAGTTCCACCCGAAGAGACGGCCGCCCTTCGACAAATCATGAAGCCTAGTATTGCTACAGAGCCTCACAGCAGAAATTTTGCTTCTTGTTATAGCAAGGCAATCTCAGTGCCAGCCAGGGGAATTTCCTGCCTTGGCTCGCATCTTACACGACTGAAACTGTGATTCGCCTATTAAACATGCAAGTTTGCACTCCATCAAAGGAGCGGAACATGTCAGTTGCAGCCTTGTCGTCGTTGAGATTCCATTTGGACACATGGAATTCAAGTGTCAGCTGACGAACATCCTCTTGAGAGTCCGAGGCTCCATTGTCCCAATCGTGTCAAGCCAACCTGCAAAAATTAGAATTAGCCTCGAAAGAAAGGCCACCTCGATGATCCTGGAGATAAATCAGAGACTTTAAGCACTCTGCATCGTTTAAATGTGTCTCTGACGAAGCGGTGTATTGCACAGCCACCCAGATCTAGACCCAAGAATGACAAGGAAAGCTTTGCGAGATCCTGAGGAACTTGTTGAAACGAGGAGCTGCAAGCCGCACTGCAATTTTAGTCTCTGTTGATGGAGTAGCTGGGTGGGGTGACATGGTGGTGACGCAAAGATTCAGTGCATTGGTGAGACTAGCTAGCTCTGACTCACATCCACATTTGCACTGCAATTTTTGTCCCAGCGAGGGAGACACTCTCCATCGTAGAAAGAATCGCTAAAACAACGACTGGCTGTCGAAATCATAATGAAGGATGCTTTTCTTCAAAGACATGCAGGTTTGGTATCATCGGAATACCTACCTAGGTGGAGTGTATTTCGTCCTCCTCCCGGCTGCCGATTTAGTTCCGACTGAAGAGACCTCGTCCCAAGGTTCGACTCTGATGCCTTTGTGTGTGGCCAGAAATCAAGACTTGCAACAGTCATTTTGGCCGCCCACACTCTGATTCCCAGATCTCGGCTATTTCTTTCAGGGCTGCAGAGGATCCAAGGACCTGAATCCCCTCAAAGAGCCTCGATCATAGCAGACTATGGGACTCAATATTAATCTTGTTAGTCTCATCTCAATAATAGAGACTTCGTTTCTATGTTTGACGTATCATGCATTCAAAACATGGCAGTAATTGTATTGTTCAATTCGGATATACCGGTGCATAATCCCGTGACATGGGAGTGGGGACTGGAATAATAGTCTCAGCGGACAGGCCAGACCTGTCTCGAAGCTTAACCCTTCTATTTCACTTTCCAGTACTCAAGAGCACTACACTCTCCTCCTGAATAGAGGAGACACGTTTCACTGAGACGATGACCCCCAAGATAGTGGAGAGATGGGATCTTCGGTATCCTTCCAGGGCACAGCGCTGAAGCGAGGCGCTAAGGCTGCCTGGACGACGACGAATTTCAGCGTTTTTCGCTTAATTGCAGGGTCTCGCTACAGGTGTGTTTGATACGGCAGTTGAGTGGATAATGTTCAGTCATGGCGAAGAATACAAGTACTGCACAAGACCGCCACCCAGTACTCGGAATATGTCAACCTTGGAGGCTCTGTTACGTGCACTGCAATTTTAGTCTCATCGAAGGGGTACAATGAGGCTGTGGCTAGCGGCATAGTCTTACTGCAACTCCAGTCCCTGCAGGCAAGGAGGCCCAGGCGGCACCCATCCCACCAGCACTGCAATCTTAGTTTCTGCGAAAGTGGCAGCTCAAGATTTGACAGGGCAGAGCTGCGATTCCGGCACGGCATTCTTAGTTTCATCGATGGAGGCATCATTGCTATGGGAATGATAGCCTGACAAGAGACAACCTTTTCCTAGTCCCAAAGCGGAGCCAAGCACTGCAATTTTAGTCGCGCAGGAGGAGACGTAGCGAACAGTACGACCAACTAAATACTGCATGCACCTGCAGGCACGCAATGATGACAAGCTGAGCCAACGCCAGACGAGGAGACCTACCAAACGCCCACCAATCGGAAACCTCGCATTCAATGGCACTGCATTTTTAGTTTCCGCGAAGATGGCATTACAGTATTCCCTCCCAAGGCTGTCCTGCCTACCTAGCCCCTTTGCCTTGAACTTCCAGCACTGCAATTTTAGCCTCTGTGAGGGGGCGGGCGCAGGCTCTCCATAAGACTGGGCGTAGACAGCCTTATTCAAGTCAGAGTACAGAAAACCTACCACCAAGTATCCCTTGAAAAGAACTCCGTACCTATGAGCCCCCGACGAGACATGCAGTTCTCAGAGCGGGAAAATGAGATAAAAGTATGATATTAAGGTAGTTACAGAGACTGTGAAACATATACAAGTAGGAGCTAGAACACCTAATCTAGAATGGTCCTATTTCTGACATCCCTACCTTAAGAACTCATCTAGTGGCCAGTGGCCACGGGGTAGTTACGTACAACTCCCCCTCCTCTACTTCCACTTCCAACATTTACTTACATATCTATCTTTCCCATCGAACCTCACCACTAACTTCTTCACAAGTTACATCCCTTGGGTATCGTACACTGCATTTTTAGTCTCTGAAGAACAGCTCACCGCCTCAGAACAGATTGGGCATCAATGAGGGGAGGCAGAGAGGCTACGACACTGCAATTTTAGCGTCAGCAAAGGGGGGAGACTTTTCTGCAAGGCTTCCCAATCCATTGGTCACGCTGTACCGTGTGGAAGGTAGGTGCCGCCACTCAGATTTCCGGCCTTACCCCATCCTAGCCTTGACCAACTTAACAACTCAACATCACGATAAGGAGAAACTCGAGGAAAGGGCCTTCGATTGATAGGAGCATGACATGAAAAGAAGTTGGAAAGAGAGGAAGAGGAAATTATAAGTAAGTATCTTGGAGTTGTTATGTTGTAGGATCTATTTACATCTTATCTTAGGATGAGAGCAGTTGCACTGTTTGGTACAGACTTAGCCCCTCGCTTAACTGTCCTGGAAGAGTGGTCTCAAAAAACGGGGACCTTGAGCACTTGCATAATAAAGATGGAATACTTACATAATTCTCAATGAGTTCAAAGAGCGGGAGATAGAGTGATGGAATTAAGGGAATAGCGAAGATCATGTTCATACTGCTTTTAACCTTGCTTCCTGAACGAGCGCGTCGTTGAGCGGAAAGATAATTGAGGAAGACCAAAGCTGATCGAGCCCGCCAGCCAGCTTTCAACACTACTGCCTTCTCCATAGCATAGAGTTGACATTTAAGTCATAATTTTTGGCTTGGGGTTCATGGTTGAGCGTGAGGGGCACCATCGTGGAAATTTCCTTCCTATATTATTACATCTGTGAAAAGGATTCCAGGCGAAGAACATTACAATTTAGTCTCAATACCTTAACAGAGGTGCAGCAGCAAAAGCATTTTAGGAAAGACTATACCCCCAGTGGAGGTTTGTAATCCCAACTCAGGCTAGACTAGAGGCGCCTTATGTGAAGGCTCGATCTATCAACAAGGTGACAAGTACTGCTAAACGTCACCAGCCTCTCGCTGCTTTGCCCTACCCCCACTCCAAGAACCACCCTAATCGACACTGTCCAACGACCACCAGAGACGATAACCATGGCATCCAACACCTCAACTACGATTTTCGACAGTAAAGCCAAAAGAGTAGTCCTAAGGCTCAAGGTCAGCGACTTTGAAGGCCGCCAGTCTTCGGAGTCCGTCGATGCCATCAAGGCATACATACCTATTCTTCGCAAACCGCCCCACGGACGAATACGAAGCAGAGAAACACTACGCCCACATCGAGCCTTTTCAGTCCCCTGACTGCGACACACCTCATTTCATATCATTCTAGATATCGAGAAGGATATGCTACACGACGGGGGGTTTAAAAATTTACCGCATGAGATCTATCGCATTCGTCGCAATGAGCAAGACACCTTGTAAGAATTCACTGGCCCTCTATTCGATCTGATATGATATTCATTCTCAGTAGGGAAGTCAAGCCGTTTCATAATCCTCTTGAGGCAGCGAACTTAATTTCAAAAATGCGCAGGTTTACCGATACGTACGATTGGGCGAAGTGATCTGGGCTGAGATGGGCTGTGGACGGTGTGACGCATTCTAATGAAGACCAGCGGAAGATCATGATAGCGAGCGGTGTGGCAAGTATCTTGAATACCAGCTGTAGAGATCTGGGCGAGGCGGTGATGGATAATGCTAGAGATAAAATCCATATAAAGTCCTTAGCTTTGTGCGTTTTTTGCAGGTCACACCTCCTCGGTTGATCCGTTCCTGAGAAATCGCGCTTAAGCTCGGGTCTCAAGCTTCTTACCCCATTATTTTGCTGATAAGCTGTTCATCTTCCGCCAAGCATCCACATCTGTTGTTTTGAGGCCTTCCGGTATGAAGTTCGATTAATATTATTTCTGTAATTCTCATACACTAATATTTAGAGAAGTACTATTTAAATGATTAGTTTGGGATTGGCCCTCGCTAGGTGACATATGTACTCGGTCTGATTTTTGTCCACTATATACAACTCCTCTCCCAATCCGACGACTATTTACAGCGCTGTAGCCTGTACACTCACCTTGTTCCATTCACTTTGCTCCCTCTATGTAATCCGCTATTTACATCATATGTACCCGACTCTCCTACCTCCAATACACATATAAGCTGCTACGAGTCTACAAACACTGGTAATACCACGGCGGGCTAACAGCTACACACGTCGTCCCGGCCGCACAAACCGTCGGCCCGGCCCAGTTCGTCCCGCCGCACTGTCCCCAATGAACCTGCGTAGCCGCCGCACTCGCACTACTCGACGTCGCAGAACTAGTCTTGCTTGTCGAGCTTCTAGAGGTCGATTTCGAACTTGAAGAGCTAGCTTTGGAAGTCGAGGAGCTCTTGCTTGTGGACGTCACGAACGTGGATGAAGAAGTCGGCTTAACAGTCGATGACGATGAGGGTTTTGCAGATGATGTGGAAGTTGCAGAGCCTTTCCAGTTCCCAAGATCGGTGAGCTTCAGGACTGTGGGGTCATCGTAGACTTTCTTCTTGAAAGTGAGTGGGTTGTAGGTTTCTGTCTCGATGAACTCTCCATTCCAGGTCACGAAATAGCTCCAGTCGGCATGGTACAGCTTGAGGATATCCGGATCGGGGATATTGCCTACTTCTGGCAGGGTGACTAGCTTCTTGTCTCTGCCGAGAGCGATGAGTTGTTGGTATTGTGCGCTGACTGGGCCGTGGTCGCCGAGAGGAGGGTATGAATCGTAGCCGAGGATGTCGACGACGTCGTCGCCGGGGTACCAGGATGGGGTCACGGAGTTCCACACCCAAATGAGGTTGCGCAACTTGTGGTGGTTCGTGAAGCGATCGAACATGAGACGATACAGGGCTACGCAACTTTCGGGACCATAAGCCCCCCACCAGAACCAGGTACCATCAGCTTCGTGGAGCGGACGCCAAAGGACTGGGATATTGGCTGCTTGGAGACGGAGCAGTTGGGTTGCGATGGCGTCCATGTCCGAGATCATGAGCGCGTAATCTTGGCTTGTGGGGGCGGCGAGGACAGCAGTCAGGTTGAAGGTTGTGCCATAGCTGTAGAAGCCCTTCCACCATGGGACAGTGTCGTTGTTGATGAGATGTCTAGGCCAGTCAGTGATATCAATTGTGAGAAGGATAGCTGGACCTACGAAGGAGCATTCCAATGCCATTGGAAGGCAACCATTCCATTCCGAGCGTCAAATGTAATGGCATCTTCAACAGCGGTACTGGTGGATCCATATAGCTTTAGATATCAGCCAGGAGGTTCACTCATAGTTTCGGAACATACCACTCGACTTGGGCTGTACTCAATCATATCAAGTCCTATGATCGCTGGTGTCTTGCCAACATTCGCTTCCAGCCATGCCACTCCGCTGGGGTCTGCTTGGCCGGAGAAGATTTGTCCACTGCCATATTTGGAAAGAAGCTTGTTGAACAAAGCCTGAGTGACGGGCAGGACGTTCGGAACAACAAGCGAGCTTGTTACCTGATGAGGTGCAGGTGCTGGCGATGGAGTAACATAGACAGTATCAATAAAGTACCAGCCCCTGAAAAATTAGCGCCGTCAAGAAATCATCTATGGAGAACGTACCAATTGGTCATGAACGAAATAGTGTTGTTACCAGCATTCAGCAATACCTGGCCAGCCGTCGCATTGGCCCATGGATTGGCAGCTGCTGTAGTATCGGCGAAGAGGATGTTTGCTCCTCCGGCACCGTTGAGCGACATCGATGTCTGCTTCTCACCATAGATAGCTGCGTATCTAACAACCACATCATACAAAGCCTGCTTGGCACTGGATAGTGTAATAGTCACACTGTCTGTCGCAGCATCGAAGCCCTGAACAAAGCCAGTTCCAGAGTAGCCAGCGGTTGTAGTCCCGGCAGTAACTCCATTGAAGATACCGTTCTCAGCTTCGGCCTTTGCTCCATTCGTCACGTCCACCACAACGATAGGTGCAGTGGGTGTAGGCGAGATGGTGATGGAATCGATGAAGTACCATCCCCAATCATTGCTGAATGTAATTGTGTTCGAAGCCGTCAAAGCAAACGAACCAGCCTGCGAAGTCGCCCAGGTACTTGTAGTGACATTCGTTATAGCCACTTCGGAGGAGACGCCATTGACGGACATAGTCGTGAACTTGTCTCCATACTGCGCGCTGTAGATCACTGCAATGTCGTAGCTACCAGCTGTGAGCCTATTGACAGCAAAGCTGATACTGTCGCCATCAGCAGCAAAGCCCGCAACGTAGCCGGTTCCTGTATAGCCGGGAATATCGCTTGCAACATGAACATCTCCCAAGAGAGTCGCTAATTCTGCTTCATAGACAACCGCCGTGGCCAGTGAGGCCAGAGCAAGGAGTGAGAACGAACGCATGATAGAATGAACAACCTTATGAAAAGAAATGGAGCTCTCCCGACTACACTTATAGACCTCGTGGGAGAGCAGAATAAATTTAAATCATCAGTTGCGGGACATCGGGGCCCGTCCCTCGGCTTGAGAAGGAATGCATCTGGAACATGTTGATCCTCCAATGATGGACCCCTGAGAACCAATTAATATATATTTCTGGTCTTGGGACAGCCATAACATACACATGGTGTAGTGTGACGGGAAGCCAGCCGAATAGTCAGGTACAGTTCTTCGTGTGCATACCCTAGATGGAGCCACAGCCAGGAACAACGGGGAGGAAACCCGTGGTGTGGCGATGGTCATTTTTCTCACTTAAGGATCTAGAGAATGTTATCATTGGATGGGCTGGACGAAAATTGCAAGGGGATAATCTATCGTGAAAGCTAGAGGGGAATATCCGGACACAAGATCCGGAGACGAGCGCGGGGTGGAAAGTGTAAGGACACCTTGCAGAACACATGAGCGATCTAAGTACCTGGTCATCCCAGACGATACTATTTGTACCTGCGAGCACTGTCTTGTAGAGTTCGGACACCTTTTCCCAGATAGGACGGCTGGTGATAGGTCTGGAGTTGCGAGATGGAAGGTCTGAATGGAACAAGGTTGACGAAGGACCGGGTAGATTTCGGGAGACGGTACATCCAGCGGGAGTCACATGACAGCCCAAAATCGCGTCTTTCTTTTGTTGACTTTCGCGACCCCTCATTTCCACCATCAGCAGCATCACTTCACATGCACTGCCAACAAACACGTCCCAAACTCTCCATCCATATAAGATATCACCTGACAAGCGGCTAGGTTCTCCTTGTTCAATAGTTGATATCCCACACACCACACCATCTACAGCGCAACTCTCCACAGCAGCAGCGACCATGTCGGCACAATCACAATCCCTCTCTTCCCTCTCCGCGTCCGTTGCCTCCCTGCGCAGCTCACTCACCCTCCTCGATTCCTCAATCTCAATCCTCGACTCAGGAATCAGCGACTTTCCACGCCTGCAGAAAGTTCTCTCCAGCACTAGAGTCCGTTATTTCCCCGTCTCGCTTTCCCTTCCCTCATCTCCATTGTGATAATATCTTCAAAGGAGCACGAACTGATCTGAGCGCGTCTGAAAACAGCATTTCGAGCTCACTCCCCACCACACTCTCCAAACCGCTCAATCCTCCCTAGCATCCGAGCTTGCCCCCGCAATAACCACGCTCCTCACACGCGCTGAGATATACATCTCCAAGCTCGAGCGCAAACAAAACAATCTAATCGCACGGTCTGAATTGCTCGAAGGGAGACTTGAAGGTGCAGGGGGTTTAAGGAAGCAGAAGAGTTTGGATAAGCTGGTCAAAGGACGGGCGGGGGTGGGATTGGGAAAGGGCAATGGCGGGGAAGAGAAGGCGTTGCGCTTAAAGGCTTTACGGAGTAAGAAAGAACGCCTGGGATATGCGGTGGAGAGGTTGACGTTGCAGAGCCAGCAGAGGCAGAGGCAGTTGAGGATGAGTGTTGCGGCGACTTGAGAAGTGAGGATCATCGGTGATCAAAGACAAGGATTACATATGCTGAGACGAGATGAGATGGAACACCTTGGTCCAACAGGCGATTGGATGGATATTCGTCCCTTACAATAACGGGAGTTCGAATGGATTGGAAGTGGAGATTGAGTAGCCTGGAGCCAAGATGTCAGATGGGAGAGGAGATCAGTGACCGCAAGAAGTGGAGAGTGGATGATATTCAGATCCAAGAGGGGTAGGTTCTACTAAGCCTCAAATATGATATAATGTATTATGAATACCGGCTCCGAGACCCGATTCCGTGAGACACAAGGTCCCCTTCTCTCGGATTGAAGTTCTCCAGGTATTAAGCGCTTCGCTTTTCCGATATCGGGTTTGGTTCCTATTGTTGCTAGAGCAGAGAAATGGGTTTTCCAGTTAATGCAGGGGGTTGCTTGTCAAGTAGAATAATTATTCTTGTGTTCAGTCACTGCTGTACATGTGATTGTTACTATTTTGACCTGAAAGGATCCGGTAGGTGGCCAATTGAAAGAGAATTAACGATTGCATATTTTTTGAAACATTGAATGAATGTATATATCTATCTTTCGCTGCTTGAAAGGAAAAACCGATGTTCACTGGATAGGCCATGTATGAAGTCAATCTGCTGCGAACCCGGGTGATCTAAGGACACGAGTGTTACTTTTGAAGCCATCGTGAAGTTACGACAGCTTTATATTGGTCACAGAGTGCTGCCTGACATGTGTATTGAGTTATCTAACGATTCTTAATATCCTTTGAGTCATCAAACCGACACCATAAAGTCAACCTCCCTGTTTTGGGTTATCTTTCTGATGGCATTTTCACAGCTAGAGTTAATCGCTCCCTAAAAATAGCATGAAACTATTCCAAAGTAACACAGATGGATGGACAGGGTCAGTCTTGCAGCTGCCGGTTCAAAGACGTAGTGTCTTTGTCCCATAAATCTGCAAGAGATAAAGCCGAAAATAGGAAGTCTTTAAATAAAGGTGACCGCAGTGCACCGAAAACTTGCGACTCTAGCAGCAGTAAATCAAAGGACAAAGAGGCTAAAAATGGAATTCTTATACTATCGGAAGCCTGCAGTCAGGTACGTTGAGCAGAAGAGGTCCATAAGTAGTCGGCCAAGCCGCACCAAGTCCAGAGAAGAGACATCTCCAACGACCGGAAAAACAAGAGCTCAAGCAAAAAGCATCATGTCGGGGGAAACTAGTAAGGTAAAGCGTGGAATCGAAGCCACTAGCAGACCTGGAAGCAGGGATTCTCAGACAGCGTGGTCGATAGTTTTCTCGTTCTTGGCAAAACGGGAACGAACGGCCGTTCGTTTATGCTAACCCTAAACGGACTAGCGTTCGTTTAAGCGATCTAGAACGGCCGTTAGTTGGTCAGATCTCTAACGGAACGGGGTCGTTTAACCCTGTTTTAGTATAGTTCCTACTAAGCCTTTTTCAGGCTTGAAACCTTAGCGAGATCACTTAGTAGGTACCTAAGGTAGGTTAGTCAGTAGAATGCAACTTACCCTCTATAGTATATAAAGCAGCTGAACGTATTATTCTATATGTTTTAGTACGTAATTTATATAAGAATAACATTATAATAATAATTTAACACTTATACTACATTTAGGTATATTTTTAAAAATAGATTATAAAAGGCTAGTTTCTTCGTTCGTTCTTAGTAACGACCTCGTTCCGTTCGTTTATAGCCTTATAAAACGAACCGCAGTTCGTTTTATAGTACTAAAACGTCAGTTCGTTGAGAGACCTGAAAACGACGTCGTTCAACGGCCGTTCAACTATCGACTACACTGTTCTCAGAGCAGTAGTTCGAAAACACAACAGCCTGAAATGACGAGTGATGAAAAGCGAGACGCCGATCATCTAAGTAAAGACGAGGAAGAATATTACAAAGTGGCAGTATGTCTTTTCTAAACTAGTCTGGGGGCTGCTGGCTTACACTGCTTCAGGAAACATGGCCGGCTCGAGATCCAGCTGGAGATGGCCAGACCACGCCAGACGAATACAGGCCTGCTGGATACCAGGACCAAAATCCGAACATGGAACTCATTCAAGATCCTCTAGAGTGGCTAGAGCTCAAAACCCTATCTATTTCTGAGCGAGATTCACATATCATTGCCAGATCAAACTTCTATGACCAGTTTTACTGCCAGTTGGCTGACTATGGCTCATTGTTTGATCGTCTCCTCAAGAGGGCAATGAAAGCCGGAAATTTTGATATGGAGAGGCCTCAAAAGCCATTGAGAATGCCTAGCGAGTAAGTTTTCATGACAGAAGGCAAAGTGTACCTACTCATTCTAGTGTAGACGTCTTCGCGAATGTCTCCCCCTACCTGAAATAGAAAGGAAATTGCGTGATATTGCGTTGGACAACCGAATCAACGAAGCTACCATCGTTTCACGATTTCATCAGACACATAAAATGTTCGCTGAGACGAGAGTAGCCCGAGCAATAACTGGGTTAGTTCACGATCACATGAAAGGTATTCGCTGCAGCGAAATCGTTGCTCTTGGAGCAGGCTCCTTAGGACATGCTGCATGTATATACTTTGGGGATCCACCCTTTGCATCCTATCTTCCACCTGAATATGGTCTCTGGTGCCAAACACAACATGCAGCTTTGCTGTTCATCCGCGACCTCCTCAGGTTTCGTCAGAAAGAAGATATTCCGATCTACATTTCTGACCCTGAGTACTCCGACGAGGACGCAAAAGCTGCGAAGAGATTTGGAATGACTGTTGTTAACGGCACTGCTGGTTTCCAGCAAAGTTGGACAAAGCTCACTGAGTCAACTCTTGTTGTCGATTTACATTGCATTGGACCCATTGTTCAGCGGGTTTTTGAAATAACCAGACCAGCTGCCATTACCACACTGCTCAAAGTCCACCCTTACAAAAACGCACGTGCAGACCGCTCAAAACCTTACAAAATCATGCTAGAGGGCTTGGAAGGAGGTACAATTGAAGTTCCGGGAATGGGCATGTAAGTTTGGGTATTAAAAGATCCCCGCTTGCAGCTTACATGTAGCAAAGCGCTCATGAGAGCTTGCTAACGACATGAGTTACAGGGAACCCAAGAATCAGAAGGAAATGGTAGAGGCTGAATATAACACCATTCCACTATTCCCCGACACTTCTAAACCAGGGGTGCCGGGGCATGATGGACGAGGAGGCAAGAATACGCCATATGGGTGGGCACGCTGGCTCCACCTATACACGCGTAAGTAACGTTTCAATGAAGAGTCGGGAAGAAAGGAGGATGGGAGGCGGTGTCCTTTTTCGAGTTTTAGGCTTGTCCCTGTCATTACCGGATCCGTTATTGAATTCACCACAATGTTTTGGGAACATACCTACTTACCGCACTTGGTATCCCGTGCAGCATAAGCAGGGACTCGTCCTGTAGATAGCATTGAAGTGGGGTGCGAAAGTCGATTGGATGTGATGCCTTGCACTGTGGCTGAATGATATCAACTATCTTTCTTTCCAGCACCCTGACCTTTGTTTTCGTGGTGGAGATTGATCACGTGCTTTATCCCTTTGTAGCTTGAAGGATACCTCGGCTCTGTATTCTATTTCCCGGCCAATCTGGATGGTGAAGCTTTCAACTTTGCCGTGAAAAAGGTATCGTTCTTCGTGCTACACTCGCAAACGCTTCAATTTTCGATATTCAGCTTGGAAAAACTTGGCTACATTGTCCAAGCCGGCATATCGGAAAATCTACGCGGATGACGCTAACCAGGGAAAGTCATCATACTCCTTCGAACTTTCATCCCTCGGTAGATTCACGCAAGATAACTCGTACGATATCTAGTATCTGATATCTCCACTCAGTATAATCGCCAGAGCCTAATTCTTCTGATCCTTCTTCAGTATAGTCGCTCACACGGACCATGTCAGGCCTCAAAACTTCCATCCTCCTCCCTCTATACATCTATCCTCTCCCTAAGGCATGGGATTCTCTATACTCAGCGTGAGACTTGCAACACCCCCACCAACATAAACCATGATACAGGATCAATTTTAACAGCATTCCTATAGCATCGAATCCCATCCCACTCTTGACTTCACAATTATCATCAACCCAAACAGCGGACCTGGCAAAGACGCGCTCCCGGACGAAGACTACTCCCGTGAGATCGCGCGGCTGAACAAATATCCAAATGTTTACCTGGTCGGCTACGTTCGCGTAAATTGGTGTAAGCGCGATCTGGAGAAGGTCTGCAAGGACGTCGACAAGTACGCGGCCTGGGGCAAGCATGGAAATGGAGAGTTCACGATGGGTGGCATCTTCTTCGATGAATCGCCAAATGAGTTCAAGGAGAAGAGAAAGGTGTTTATGGATGCTGCCGATGCCAGGGTCAAAAACGCCGATGGACTAGGGGGTTTTAGATTGGTAAGTTCCCTTTTGGACTGTCTCCTGACTACAGTGTCGATGGTTTATTCACGTGCTACAGACGATTCACAATCCCGGCACGGTTCCGGATACTGAATACGCCAACCCTGGACCGGATCTGACAACAGTCTTTGAGACCGAATACAAACATTTCAAAGATCCCGAAGTACAGCAACGTTTAACGAACCTGCTCCGATATGACAGAGATCGATGTAGTTATATGGTTCTGTCAGTGCCGAAATCTGACGTCCCAGATTTGGTCAAAGAGTTGAAGCGCAGAGCAAAGTATCTCTTTGTTTCTGAGAGTAAAAGAGGATGGTATGAGAAGTTCGGTGATGGATGGCATCGGTTCATCGAGGCTGTGGCAGCGGATGCATGAGTCTCGGTGTGATATGTGAGTGTTCGGTGGGTGGCTCAAGGCTGTAGATTGTGACTTGAAAATCAAGTTGCACTCGATAATGGGTGTACTTCTTGAAGAAACCATCCAAAGTACAATATCTTTTGCATGTGCTCTTCTATCCCAAGATGATGGTCGGAGGCGCAAGCTGAAAGCTCAGTGACATATTCCGAAAGGCTGCAGCCAAGTGGTGAAGCTGAATCTCCTAGTCTTGCCAATGACATGCGATATGCAGCCAACCGGCAAAATACCTGGGTGTGTGGTACCTGTCTCAGTCCTGCATAACGGCCCGCGAATGGCGATGCGAGCCAGGAACGTGTGGAAGCCGTCGGCACATCAGCTGAACATCACGCCTGCCTCACATTCTGGTGAAAGTCTTGCCTTGCGAGGCTGTGATGACTGGCCATGAGGTTATATAAAATGGCTTCGCTGGTTCCATTATATTCTACTAACATGTTTTGCGACTTGTTGATATGGGTTCTAAATTATCAAAAGGCTCAAAATCAAAGAAGCCTGATCCGGCCAAGCCAAATCCAGAACCGTCACCTCCCACGATGGCTACTTCACCCTTGACAAAGACTGAGCTCGAGGCTGCCATAGCAAAATATGGACCAGTTCTTCAAGTACATCCAGACGAGAAATACGACCTCTGCTCCATTGAATGGTTCCTCGCCCACAGCACTCTGGTTGACAGCAAGCCACCAACATCGACCATCATGCATCCTACCGAAACGCAGCTTCCAGGGCCACCCAAAGAAGACAAACGATACTACTTCAACATCGAAGATGCTGTCAAGCCCGGCAACTTCGACACAGCGAAATCCTACGTCAACGCATTCTGGACGCCAGGCATGTCATACACTGACATCCAGTTCTGGTACTTCAGCGCATATAATGGCCATGGAACCGCTCAGTTCAGTAGCCTGGTCTTCAACAAGGTGCAGAACCAAGGAGACATCAATCTGGCTCCACTCGGCGAGCATGTTGGAGACTGGGAATATGCAGCCACGAGGATCGACAATACCACCAAGGAGATGATTGGAGTGATTCTTTCGGCCCATGGAAAGAACACCTTGTATGATAAGGCGACTGTAGCGAAAGATTTCAAGATGGTAGATGGAACGCATCCCGTGGTTTACTCGTCCCTGAATGGACATGCGAACTTCCCCACGGCTGGTCCAAACTTCACTGAGCATCGCAAGGTCCTTGGTATTCCAGCAGGGCTGGAGTTCAACCTTCTGAACTCCACAGCAGATGGGGGGAAACAGCTTGAGTGCTCCAAGAGATATCAAGTCGTTGCAGCGAAATGGCTGGAGGGTACACCTGATGCGTATGTCATTCCTGCATGGGTGAGTTATCCATATCGATGGGGTCCAGAAGGAACCGCTATTACGATGGACTCGAAGACGTTGGGGGACTTCATCAAAGCTGCTCTGGGAAAGGATGCATCGACGTTGCTGGACACGCCGATTGTTCTTTTGGCTTCGGAGTTGCTGCATATTTTTGTGAAGGCGGACATCAATGGTGCAGCTGCACCGGCGACGCAGAACCCATGGAGTGGGCATTACTGACATAGGCAGACTGGGACGGGTGGTGATTTTTCAGAAATTTCTTCGATGTTCCAGAGCTCAACAGAGCTAATTATTTGTAACAAGCTTGTTGCGAGATCCAAATCCTTCCGATGATGTTCTTTCACAATTTCGATCTTTTGAACTTGCTATCATCCCCATAAACAATCCTCTGATTGATATCCAATTCAGTGGGAGGCAATATCTTTTCATCTCTGGACTCTCCATCTTTCACTATCGCTTTGTCCAGCAGAAATCTAGTGCAGACTTCCAGTGAAGCGGAATTTATGTCCGACTCGGCCTCCACCAGAAGCAGTGTTGCCATGGCAACATTGGCAATATCAAAGGTCAGATCTCGTGCTCTTGGAAGCAATTCCTCTGGGCTACTTTGTGATATGGTCTGTCGTAGCTGCGACCAGAAAGCGGCAAGTGCCGCTTGATGCGTGGGATGCTCGAGAACCCAGCGGCTCAGAGATATAGTGATCCATCGATCTATAGCGTCCAGGATGTCTTTCCCATTCTTTCCCTTCAGTACCCTCAACGTATCACTCGCTAGAACATCGGTGGTACCTTCCCAAATACTCAGCACGCAGCAGTCCCGATACAGTCTGGCGATATTAATGGCCTCGTTCTCGATGTTGTCTAGATACCCGACACCTCCTAGTGCCTCCATACACTCCTGTAGAGCATGAATGGACCGTTTGCACACCGATGCTTTGAGAATAGGGGTCAAGACACGAATAAGAAGTGGAATGTCGTTAGTGTCTGGTGGAACAAGTCGAAGCGAGTCTTTTTCTGGGCCTGTCCCGTGTTCGTTGGCACCCATGAGACTTGCAACAAAGAAGGTAAACAACATCATAGATTTGTAGTCTCCAGTGATCCTTGCCAAAGTGCTCATGTGCAGTGGCGAGTCTTTGAGCATGACCCTCTTCCCTCGTCCTGCCCCAACTTCGCGAACTCGAGCGAATGATCTAGCAATTGCTAGCCCACGGCCTAGATATCCTACAGCGCTGACTGCGGAGTACAGGCGAGTAATGTCAAGAATAGTACTGATTTCTTGAATTCCGTGTCCCTCCTCGCCGATCAGATATGCTCGCATCCCGGACAGCCCAAGTTCTGCAGTTGGTAGGCTTTTCGTGCCGAACTTGTTCTTTAGGCGTTGGATAAGTATGCCGTTAAGCTCACCCCCTTGATTTCCAGGATCAGGTCTTCGCATGGGTGCAAGGAATGTGCTCAGGCCCCTGGATGTCTGCGCGAGAAGTATGGCCATGGAAGAATCGGTCGCCGACGAGAACCATTTGAAGCCATCAATCCTCCAAGGGCCGAGATTTGAGCACGATTGTGGCGAATAGGTTGCGATTGTTTCTGTACCAGATACATCACTACCTCCGCTCCTCTCAGTCATCCATTGTCCACTCGTCCATGCATACTCAGAATTCCTAGACGTCAACCTGTCATATGCGTCTTGGAATATGGCACGAGTTGATTCATTGAGTTCTGTGGATGACAAATGTAGACTCAGCAGCCGCGCTGCGCCGTCAGTCATTGCACTTGGACATGCCACGTTGGCACATGATCCAGTCCAAAGGTGAAGCCTGCATTCCATCAATGTCCATTGATGAAAGCGATGGATCTTGGCACTTACTTCAGGAATTGCACAACTCTTGTGTGTTCCCCATACTTTGCTTCATAACCTGTGGCAACAATTCTAGCCATAAAGTCAGTAAAGGTTATTTTTTTTAATAGCTCAAGCAGCCTGCGAACCCATTTTGTATCCCGAAATTCTGCAGTCTCTTCCAACCCTCGGTTACAACCAACTCGCTCGTTCTTTTCCCGAACGCATCCCGACCTCCCCCTTTCAGATACGGTACGTTTTTTTCAGCATCAGTGACCCAGTCGAGAACTCTTTTTGATAATACATCGTCGCCAAACCTTGAGAAATCTGATGTCACGGAATCCAGAATTGGCCTCGGGAGGAAGACTTGATGCGGGGTCAGTAGGCAGAAATACAAGACAACGAGGCTACAATCAGTTATGGGCTTACATTTTAGCACACTTTGAAATACTCCGTCATCATAAAACTGGTTGTGGATGACTGGAACGGCTTGGAAGAAGCCTTCATTCGAGCTTGATGGTTTGTGGGGTGGCGACATTGCTGAAGATCTTAGTATATCTCCGGATTCTGTAAGCCCTTGACAGACTGTTCAATTGGTACTTCGTCCCACGGCCCTCAATGAAGTGCCGTGAGAGGCTAGTTAAATGTACAGGGTCTGGCTATCTCCTCAAGTTTGCTGTTCTGCTTCCAGTTGAGTGCAGGGTCCGACAAGCCGAGGCATTCAGGTTAGCTCTGAAGGCACGTGAGCCGATCAATGGCACTTCCGCCCGGGGCGAAAAAGAGCTTCATTCTTCAAGATGCTAGTCTGAATAAATAATGAAGACATCTATGCTTCTTGATGACTTCTGTATCCCACACGTATATGTCATTTTTCTGGTCAAAGAGTGTTCTAACGTGCCAATCATGTGACCCTATCACGGCTTGGGGCAGCTGAGACTCTCAGCTCTTTTGGCGAAGGGTCAGCGAGCGTCCTACACACTGGCGCAAACTATTTATTGTGCTAGCCTGTTTCTCCTTCTATTTCACTCGTTACACAAACCGGTTCCCAAAGGATCTGTGACCTCCCCAGTTCTCGCTTATGTACCTTATCCCGAGACATATCAACAAACAGTCGAAGGTAAGTATTTAGGCCCCTTTAAAAATAATGACTTGGATTATCTTGTCTAGCAATCCGAGACATTGAGCCGCATAATAGTCTGAGCAACACGGGTGACTACCTGAATAAGATTGCATCCCAATTATTTGCGCTCCACCCACCAAGAAGCGCTCACAAGACATACCAAACCACTCTTTCAATTCAAATAGTCATAGGTCTCAGAAAAGGCCGAGTAGATTATATATTGCTACCACTACAGTTTTGAGAAATACTTACGGCAATACGATCTATTTCAACTGCATCGTCCTCATCATCATCGTCGTCCTCGTCGTCGTCGGCGCCATCCTGGTCGTCCAGGTCGTCCTGGTCGTCATCAAAATCCTCGCATTCATCACTTTCGGAAAACCATGACTCTGGCTCACTATCGGTGTCATCGCAGTTGATCTCATCCTCTCTCCAGTCTTCCAGATGCTCGATGTAACCATCGAACACAGTGGGGAACGAGTAATCAGGAGGAAATACGTACCGGGCATCATCCCAACTGGGAGGAATTTGCCTGAGATCGAATCGCGTTCTGCAGTATGGACAGTCTATGTGGCCTGATGTGAACCACGGAACGATGCAGCCGTCTTCGAGATGGTAGATATGACCGCAGGGTATTTTTGCAATGCGACGGTCAAGATCGTTCAAAGGGTAACGACAGACTCCACAGTCACCTTCTTCAGTCAAGGATGCTGGATCAATTTCCTGGAAGATATTACCTGCACCAACCATGGCCTCTGTTCCAGGACAAACGTAGGTTCGCTTCACAGCTGGAATCCCCTTTTCGATTTGACGTCGATGACGACGGGAGAGTCCATCGAACCAGGTTCTTTTCCGGCCCTGTTTGCGTTCCTCATGAGCGACCTCCAACCTTTGCAGCTCAGCTTCCAATCGCTGTCGCGGAATAATGTGCTCACATTGTTTGATCCTGCGCTTGAGGTCATCTGTCCTGTGGTATACATCACCATACTTCAAGCAATCAAGCCAGATACGGCGACGTTCCTGAAGCTCTTCCGGGGCAAGACACCCTCTTGGGTGTCTCGTTGAACTTCCATCTGCGGAGCAGAACTTGCAAGACCAGGGTCTGCATGATATACCGGACATGGCTACTCGACACATGCCCTCGACTGGACCAAGGTTCATGCTTTGCATCGCAGAGGTAGTTCTTGGTTTCAACAATACGATGTTACGATCTACCTCTAGCACACCTTCTCTGCCAGGTGATTTGCCAATTGTGGAGCATTCAGGTGCATGCCGAGCGATGCGTTCAGAATGGCCACATTTGTGGAAGAATAGGGATGAATGCACGCACTCACTCATAGCGACGGGTTTGAAGAAAATAGAAAGTCGTAACGGTGAGATGTCCCTGCAATTGGATATCGGGGAATGTTTCGAGTTAAATGTGTACAATAGCCTCTTTTATGAAGAAAGTCATGTCAGCTGTATACAGCTGATAAGGATTATTCGCAGTTCTGGTCTGCCCTGAGAACAGTTGCTGTCACTGTAGAATGCTTTGAAGAAGATTAAACATTTTCCTACGCATCTTTGTTTTCAAGCTTAACAATGAAATTGTTGCTAAACAAGTCAAAGATTCCAAATGTTAACCAGCTGAAAAGATTGACAAAGGGATTTCAAGACGGTTCAAAGAAAAGAAAATTCAAGTGCATTGACGTACTGAGATGCAGCTAAAGAAATATATGAGGGAACCAAGAAACTATAATCCTGGCCATACCAGTCGGTATTCGAAAAGTCTTGAACCCCATCGTCAACATCGCTACTCATTGTTTTTGGGCCTACACCCCGGGATTACAGAGGGATTATACCGCATTAGTCTCTAGACTTCAGCGTTAGGGTATCAACTATTACATTGGAACTGGCATTATAAAACTGATCTCGGTTGTTTCAGACCCTGGAACGAAAAGGCTGTAGAATCTCTTGGAAGGTGTTTGTATAGCGGTATTGACTATACCTCCTACCACCATTCACTTCCTCAGTAAGGCGAAACTTTATTGTACCCAATGGAGCCCTCCGCGCGTGAGGATAGCTTGGCAAAATATATCATGACAAGAAAGGAGTGCAAGTCCAAGCAAATCTATAACTGTATATTTATTTCCGCCACTGCTGTCTTAACGGCCGTCTCAGACCAATCCTACTACTGACCACGGCCAACTGCCCCGCAATATACCTCCGCTGTTCGTCACTCAATGTCTTCACCCCAATCGCAATCCCTAGCGGAGCCAGGCTCAAAAAGTACGCAATAGCTACACACCCAATCGGCTCTCCATCACGACACGCTTTTGCCCTCTTCCCTTCAAACTCGGCCAGCAAGGATGTCGTGCTAATTGATATCTCATCTGCCATCATCTGGATCGTGTCTTCGGCTGCATGTCTCACGCGATTCATTTCTTTAAGCCGGTGATGTAAATCGGAATGCGGGTGCACCCTCAGAGTGAGCTCTACTAAGCTTTGCAGGAGAGTGATACGAGCTGCGCGCCGACTATTCACCCATATCACGTCGAAGAAACTGTCCTCTAGTCTGTCTGGATCTATCGCGACTGAGCCGTACCATTTCGGGTATCGACAATCTTCTTCTCTGAATCGGGTTATCAATTCGAGGAGGGCTAGGCTCGAGTGGCCTTGTGATGGTTTCTTTGCAAGCAGATCGTCGCATTTGCATAATAGTCGAGTGGTGCTCGCGAGGGCGAGTGTTGTTTCGCCCCATGTGGTTTCTTTGTATGAATCGAGCGCTTCTTCAAAGAGCGCCACTTCCGGCCCTGGTAAGATTCTCCTTGTTAAGTTGCGATATACCTGACAAAGCTTAGCAATTGACGGTAGTTCGGGTAGATAAGACCCACTGCTATGTACACAGCAGCACGAGTGATGCCGCCAACTCTGGGATCCAGAAACTGAGAGACAGTCCCACGACTACGGAGAAGCATGCTGAGAGCATCAGAATGCATGCTCCACTACAGACTGAATGTGAGCAAATGACGCGAAATTGAAGCAGTGTGGAATTGTGCTTTGCTACTTACCACATCAGATGTTGGATTCTCATCGCTGAAAACCTGTCACCCAATTAGCATTGGCGCTCTTGCAGCACCCCAACTGGCATACCTGATAATAATTGAGAAACAAAACGGCGATTAATGTTGATTCGCTCTGCAAATTCCCCTCGGAGAGTTCCTTATTCAAGAGCGATATTGAAAGACCATACGATTTTCGTGCTTGCAGCGCTGCATCATATGATCCCGACTGGTTGCTGTGGTGAGCAAGAGAGACTGCAAGCACCGCGTGGTCTAGTAACGGATCTCGACCTCTGGACTCGCAGTAAAGCTGTGGTAAGTTGTGCAAAAATCCTGGGTTCGTTTTCAAGTCCCGCGTTTGCATGGTAAATTCCGACATGAATCGACATAATGCGTGCTGGTTCCAATCTGTTTGGGGGAGAATTTTGAATGCTGGAGGCGAGAGTGAGGGGGAACTTGTAACTCGCTGTTTACGAGGACTGTCTATAGTTCCTTTGGGGCTCTCGGTCGTGCTTTTCCGTGAAGTTCGAGGTCGATGTGCGTCTCCTCGTTCTCGTATCTGGTTGCTGACATCGACGAAAATGAGATCATTCTCCTGTCTGTATCCAGGGCATGTGACTTTTACCCTTTGGCAGCGTTTGCATTCTGGGTGTTCTTGGTCGCACTTGGGATAATTAGTATTAAGAAGTATCATAAGCATAAATCATACTGGGCATTTGTAAAGTAAGCCCTGGGTTGCAACGCACCTTCAACTTCATGGACCGGCATCGATAACACCCTAAACTGCGCTCTGGTCCTGGCATGTTGTAGTTAAAACCGGTAACACAGGGACAAGATATTCGATCTAGGAGGGAAAGCTTGGAATGGGATCTTGCGAATGTTATTGTTGAAGTAGACTTTTCAGCCTCGGTCCCTTTTGGGGAGCCCCATCTTCTTTCAAGACCAGGTTATCGGGAGTACGTGCTTGCTGATGGGCCTTCATGAGCTTATATCAAATCCCTGAAGATAATCACAAGGAATGGGTTTGCAGATCTACGCGCCATAATTTCCAGCCTGTTTTGGAATGGCCAAGTGGCTCAGCCATAGGCTGGATCGTGAAGGCAATCCTTGGTTGGCAAATCTTACATTTGCTCACGGGCCACATGCTCGCAGAACATTTGACACTGAAGGATTTGATAGGATCAGCTTGACTCGGATTTTTGGTTGATATCAGGACCCCAGAACCAGTGATCGACACAACGCGGGAACAGAATTGGCATGTTTTGAAGTAGTGTGTAGGCTGACTGAGGTAAGACGGGAGAGTAGGGGGAGCCTAACTGTTGACAGGTAGTCGTCCGGCGCCGTTTGTTCTTAAGACGCCAAGAAGGTCGTTAGATTTCAACAGTGTCGGGACGACTGCTGACAGCGGGGTAGCGTGATCTGGCATTAACCCTTAGCAGACCGCTGATCCGGCAGTCGGGCTCGCAACCTCATACATTGCCTTTGCGATGCCCCAATCTTCAACAGGGTAATCCTCCGGAGCCGTTAAGCCACATTTTAGTTCTCAAGAGCCATTGGGCAAGTTCCTTCCAGAAACTTGTCTTCTATAAAGTATCTTTAACTTTAGATGCCTTTGGCTCGGAGTAGCTAACCTACTCCGGTTAACCCAACGGACCAAATGCAGTTGACTGACTACGTGAGGTCGTCACATTCTCGCGATAGGACAGGCACCCTCGTGTCCGGAAGGACGATTAATGCAAGCTGCAAGGGGGATAAGGAGCTTTATGCAGACCGTTCTAGTCTACAGGAGCAAATACCGGGTGGCGCCTTCTCTCGTGGTCGCCACAGCCCGATGGACTGTCGCGCACCAGCTTGAAATGAAAGATATGCCGAAACGAGCAGCAACAATGGATGCTGAGAGTACTGAGAGCCGAGGCTCGAATTGTTGATAGCCTCCTACATGTTTCTTCGGTCGTTCGCCTGCAGACCGTTTGTTTCCAAGCCTTTCATGACGAAACGACGATCCGGGAATAGGTGCCACATTGATTGAGACTTCCGGTGGGGCTCCGAGGGAGGAGATGCACATACAAAGTTAGACTGAAGTGGGGTCTTCAAGGTAACGCAAGGCTGAGAGTCTGTTCGTCCCCATGGAATTGATATGTTGGTGACCAAAGCTTTTGCAACATCCACGGCAGCTGAGCAGGTGCACATTCCCCCAGAATGCTTGTGTAGACCCGTCCGGTCAAGGTGGAGACCGGTAATGATGAGGGCCTGTGAGTATTGTTTAATAGACTGGTCGCCAACCATTAATAGCAATCAGGTGGCGACAGAATACCGTTGGACACGTCTATGGTCAGAAAGAGATACTCATCGGTTCTGAAGGTCAAGTGTTGAATTCCCACTGAAGGGTCGAATAATCAAGGGTCTTGTCTGCGAATAGTCATCTAATCTACCCAGAATGTTTGCTCACCCAGCTCTCCTCTTGCATGCCCTCAATAGTTTGGCCATTCATGATTCGATATAAGTAAGAATCATCAAGAGACAAGTAATGATGGCCCACGTTACTCAGAAGCACCGGTGTGCTGCACCCATAGATGGCACAGAGAAGGTCGCCAAGCGTGTAAGTAGAGCTAGCAACCCAAACTATCTCTTAGATCAGTTGCCTGCTGTGGGTGTGAGTGATGTGCATGCATCGCTTCTCTGCAAATTCGATATCGCCTGAAGATCCAATATCGAACTCCAATGTTGCCAACCATTCCTGTAGACCTCTCCTTGCTATGTTGGATTTACGATGGCGATCGTACCAGAAATTGACACAAATGTCGTGATTCCGCTCTATGTTGATGACGCTTTGACGGTGCCTCACCAACATCGCGGGTGTGTCCAGGCCGTTGTGGGGTCCGCTCTTGCTGCTGGAGTCTCCGATAAGTGTCCCACTTAGAGCTTCCAGTGTTGCAAGTCCCTAACTGTTGGCCTATGCCGGGAGTGCTGTTTGCTACACATCGTTTTCTGTCTCTGTTCCCCAAGCTGCAACTCCCCAGCCATTGATAACATCAACACGGATTCCCCGAGCATCTAGAACCTCTAGACTCTCTGAAAGTATATCATTTGGTTTGAGATATTCAGCAGTATTGGCTGGGGCTGCTAGCTATTCTTGGTATCGAGTGTCGATACTTCGCCCATGGTGCTAGTCCGGAGTCCTAACAGGAAGTGAGAGTCTTGGTGTGGACGGGGATCGATAAGCTAAGCTTAGAATCCGACGACTGATACTCTCCGAGAAAGGAAGATGGAAACCGCTTTTACTCCTCTCATTGATAGTTGATATTCCCGACTAGCTTCTTCACATCCTAGGCAAGTACGAGCACCCGGTAGATTTTATCTCGTACATCTGAGGCTGACGACTCTGTAAGTTGTGGAAATGGTCCAGAGCAGATTTTGTTTTGTCCAAGCATGAGGTCGCAAATAGGTGTTTGCCAATGTAGTGGGTCTCCGGAGGGCTCAATTTGCTTCGAGCAAGTGCTTGACGATAGGTTGTCCGACGAAATGAAGGCTTGTAAGAATTACGAAAGCGACATTGCGCGGAACTAGTTCACCTCCACAAACAAACACTAGATCGGCAGTATCTTCCACTCCATGAAGAATCCATACACGCTTCCACTATTTTCATTATAACAAATGTTTTATAGCACACCAGTCTTATAAAAGTGTACGGTCGTGTATGCTCTGTCGAACTCACTTGAGATCGTCAGCTTGACAAATAAAGGATTCCATGAATTGAAGACCAGAGCACCATCGTCACTATCAGGTTCCAGTAACACAGAAATGAGTCTGGCTTCGTCATGGGATGCGTGCATTTGAGAACCGTGATGACTTCCCTCGGAATGCCTTTTTGCAAGCACACAGGAAGTCAACTCAGATGGTACCTTTGCTGCAAGGCTAGAACCTAGCGATGTATCATGCCCGTTAAGTCGACATGATGATCTGTGGACTTCTCGAACCTAGGAAAGAGGCTCTCTTCTGTCCAGACATAAGACAAGAAAGAGAACTTGGCGGGATGGTACAGGGAGACATGGATGAGAGGGTAGCCTTCAGTGAAGCTGTCTTCCAACACGAGAAGGAGGACTTAATCAGTTCTCAGATGGAGCATTGCAGAGTCGATGCGGAAGCCGACAAATTTCGCGTGTCAACTCCAGAACTTTCAAGGAATACAACTTGTCCAATCCGCCAAGAGCCGTGAACGCCGACATCAAGAGAACACAATCTGTCCAACACTTCAAGCTACATGGACTTCCAAGAGAGAAGGCTGTCAGAATACGAAACGGATTAATGATTAGGTATAGCGAAATGCCTCAAAACGGACAGTGGTAGACTCTTGAAATCACACTAGTACACCAGATTAGAGACTTTGAAACAGGCATTTGGCAGGCTGGACATGCAAATAGCAAACCCTTTTTTGTTCGTTATAGAATGAGAGCTGGAGGCCCAATAGCGCAGGCTAATCATCAAAGCCAACAGTCATGGGAGCCATGTTTTTCCAGGCCTGGAGAAGGAGAGCAGACCGAGAACGACGAGGAAATAGACGAGGCAAGGCTAAGGATCTCGGAGCGGAACAACCATTTTCCAGCTCGCGAGCTCCATCGCCGCGTCAAGTTGTCAACCTGACTGAACTTCAACTTCCAGCCTCATCCAACCACATCATATCACTCCACTCCACAACATCTAACGTCTCGATCTGGGCAATTCGATTGAAATCTCAACTGCGAATCACACACATATACGCTCGCAATCATGTCAGACGGTATCATCAGAAAGCCCGACAAGGACTTCTCTTCAGAAGTTGACAAACAGCTTCCCGAAGCTGAGAAGCTTGCCCAGGTGCGTCGCACATCATCATGAGCAACGATCATACTAATATTGACCCGCAGACAAATGTACAAGCTGCAATCGAGAAGCTCACAGCGTTGGAGAAGCAAACAAGACAGGTCCGCCATGTCAACAAGCCACGCCCTCTACATAGCTAACAGACATCAGGCGTCAGATCTCGCATCCACATCCCGAATCCTCGTAGCGATAGTCACACTCAGCAAGGAATCTGGGGATTGGAGTTTACTGAACGAACAAGTCCTGCTACTCTCCAAGAAGCATGGCCAACTCAAACAAGCCATCACCAAGATGGTGCAGGTGGTTATGGAATTCATCGAGTCGGCGCCAGACAACGAGACCAAGTTGTCCGTCATTGAGACTCTACGGACAGTTACGGAAGGCAAGATCTTCGTTGAGGTGGAGCGGGCTCGTGTTACCAAGATTCTGTCGGACATGAAGAAGACTCAGGGCGACCTCAAGGCCGCGGCTGATATCCTGTGCGAGCTTCAAGTCGAGACTTTTGGGTCGATGGAGCGAAGAGAGAAGACAGAGTTTATCCTAGCACAAGTTGCGCTCTGCATAGAGAATGAGGATTGGACACAGGCTGGAATTCTAAGCAGGAAGATCAGCACGAAATACCTGTCGAGAAAGCCGAAGAAGAGCGAGGAGCAGCTGGCCAAGGAGAAGAAGGAGCGCGAGAAGAAGAGAGACAAGGGAGAGGATATCCCCGAGCCAGTCGAGGATGATGTTACGGATTTGAAGTTGCGATACTATGAGCAGCAGATCACCCTGGCGAAGCATGATGACAAGTATCTGGATGCTTGCAAGCATTACAGGCAAGTTCTGGATACCGAGGCTGTTGAGGATGATCCTGCAAAGCTGCAGCCAGTATGTTCACCCAGAATATTGAAGAAAATATGCTAACATGCCAGGTTCTCCAACGAATCATCTACTACGTTATCCTCGCCCCGTATGACAACGAACAATCCGACCTCCTCCACCGCGTCTTCCGCGACACCCGCAACAGCCAAGTGCCTCTCGAAGCCCAACTCCTCAAGCTCTTCACCGTCCACGAACTCATGCGCTGGCCCGAGGTTTCCAAGCTCTTCGGTCCCCACCTCTGCGGCACTGACGTCTTCGATGCTACAGCCAACCAATCTGCCGACAAGAAGGCCCACCAGCGCTGGGAAGATCTCCGCAAACGCGTTATCGAGCACAACGTCCGCGTTGTCGCAAAGTACTATACCCGAATCCAGATGCCCCGCCTCACACAATTGCTCGATCTTACAGAAGACGAGACGGAGAAGTACATCAGCGAGCTGGTCACTGCGAAAACGGTATATGCGAAGATCGATCGTCCTGCCCGGATTGTTAATTTCGCGAAGCCAAGGGATGCTGATGACGTGTTGAACGAGTGGAGTGCGAACATGAAGAGTCTGTTGGGTCATTTAGAGCGTATTGATCATCTGATCACCAAGGAGGAGATGATGGCGAGGATTCAGCCGACCAAGGCTCCTAAAGCTGGAAAGACTGGGAAGGCGCATTAGAGGGTTATGCTGGGGCGAAAGCTATGTGTCGCTGATATGATGGTGGTTGGGAAAATGATACCGCTGTATACTAGTCTAGAATCGAGGTATCGAATGCAATGCATATACAAGTATTACTCATTTCTATGCTTTACTCATCTGTCTTCAGCCCCAAAGGCCAGGTCTAATCTTTCTGTTCTATGAGCCATATGGTCTCTATCCGTCTAAACGCCTCGCTATGTATACCGCGAAATACCATCCTAATCAAATCACAATCCAAGCACACCACCCCATCCTTCCTCAGCCCCTTCAAAACGGCACATCCATATCCTCCACACCCTCTTCCTCCCCCTTCTCCTCCCTCCCCAACACATCCCTCAAAAATCCCACCAACACACCCGCATACTCCTTCCCCACGGGTACAAAATGCCCACCGGGATGAACCACCTTCACCGCATTCTCACACCTGTCCACCAACCCCTGACTCCTCTCCTCCTCAACCACACTATCCAAACTCCCAATGACATGCAGAAACCTCGTCTTGATCTTCGGTGTATAGAATGGCTTGTACGTCGCGTTGGGGGCGTAGAACCCGGAGTAGGAGATGGCGAATTTGAGAGGTGGTTGAGGGAGCGCGGTGCGTAGGGACGACCAGGAGGGGGGGTAGGAGAATGATGAAGGAGATGAGGAGGAGAAGAATGCTTCCTCGCGGCCGGGTTCGAGGAGTGATGCAACTAACGCGGCAGCTGCACCACCCTGCGAGAATCCCAATACACCATCCACACCACCCGCATCCTCAATCGCCTTCCTTATCGTCTCAAGTCCTTCTTCCAGCCCAACGTATTTCCCCGACTCATCTCTCTTCCACCAGCCCCACGCGTCGGGCTCATCTCCCTTCTCAATGCTGTCGCTTTGTAATTCGGATGACGAGAATCCAGGGATGTCAGCGGGGAGCAGGCGCATTGGTGCCGTTGGGTAGATGAGTTGGATGCCGCCCGGGTAGGAGGGCAGTGTGCCCGGGAGCGCCTTGTGTGGTGAGGGGGAAGGGGAGGGAAAGGATTTCTGGAGGAGTTTTTCCAGCGCGCGGGTTTTGGCGTGGAAGAGGGGGCCGGATTGGGTGTATCCTGGGGAGAGGAGAGTTAGCAAGTTGGTTGGTGGTGGAGTTGGGGAGAGGGGAGGTGGAGGGGTAGAAAAGAGAGGCTATGATATATGCTTGGGAGACTCGGGTTTGGTATGGCGGAAAAACCCTGGAGCAGGAAAGGTGGATAGATGGTAGAGAGACAGGAGATTATCTTACCGTGCAACATCAATATCTTCAACTTCCTGAGTCCATTATCTCCCACGGGAGGCGTCGCAACCCCATTCGCCTTGTTCGCTGACATCTCTCTCCTCGCCCTTATTGCCTTGCTTCTATATTCACGTTTGAATTTCCAAATGGGTATTGTCTTAGTAGTGAATATCGGGCAGCGTAGCCGAGTGAGTGTTGTGTGGAGAGTTGTTGAAGGGAGAACAAGAGGACGAGGCTGAGGAAACATTTATTTTGATTGCTTGGGGTGCACAGGAGTGACGTTTGGGGTTCGGCTGGGCAAGAGTGGGACAGGCCGAAAGACTTATGGCCCAAGACTTCCCTGCGACGATTACACTTCCTGAATGCTAACCTCACAAGAAGCCGTAGTCACTATCGACCGACCTTTTATGAGCTGTTTACTGATCGTTCAGTACTGAGTTATGTCTCTATCACTTTCATCGTCCTCCCGGTTTCATCGTTTTTTAGCAACATTTCGACAGTCAACACACATCTTATGTGTACACATCCCGCATGCTCCGTACATGGCGCTGCCCCAAACGAAGTCTCCTCCACACTGGCAGCACTTCGCCCATCTGTCGAACGCTCTGCCCATTGGATCTGGTGCTTTATTTTCGTCCGGTTCGGCTGCACCATGTTTTTGAAGCAAGTACTCTACTTGCCAATTGTCCCTCAGCCTGGCACATTCCATATTAGTGAGACCATCGGCATTCTTCGAGTTAGGGTCAGCGCCGTTCTTCAGGAGAAACTCCACAACACGTGTGTTGTCACGGAATACAGCTACTTGTAGTGGAGGGGCAAGCGCGCGGCCTCCTGGTAGGTCGATGGATGAGCCTGTTGCGACAAGATGCTCAACGACAGGAAGGAGACCGAACGACGCGGCGTAATAGAGAGGCTCTGTCAAGAGTGCCACCTTGGGCGGAACGTCATTGATCAGAGTTTGTACCCACGTTGCGTAGTTGCCGCCATTCTTGGTGCGACTTGCGAACAAACGTATTACGGAAGCTAGAGCTGCGTCATCTCTTGGATAGTGGACTGGCCAAGCTTGCACAGCATAGTCAAGGAGAGGGTAGCGGTCTCTTCGCGCATTGAGTTCAGCCATATCGGCGCAGACGTTTGCAAAGTCGTCGAACATTAGGTATGTCATACACTTGTCAAATATCCGCCTGTCGTTTTCGCCCACCGAATCCGTGTTTGGGCGATACCACACATCCACATTGTCTTCGGGGACAGAGGAGAGGAAGTCACGAATCGTCGCGTGACTGAGGAAAACTTGGGCAGTTTCTTGATCATGGTCAAGCAAGCCGTGACACATGGTCAGGATCTCTCGTGGATTTGCCAGCCTTAATTCTGCATCCATGTACGTGTCTTCGAGCTCAAGCACGACCGCCTCAGCCAATGCTCCCAAGGTAAGTGGCTGCTTTACGTTCATGACCCAGAGCAATGCTTCCCGGACCAAATCTCGATCTTGGCGGGGCACTTGACTTAAGCTTTCAGCGTAGACCTTGAACAGATCTTCTGGCATCTTGTTCATTGCTCTTATTACCTCTCTACCCGTGTGCATGCGGGAGTATGAGTCAAGTTGGCAAGCAGCGTATCTGAATCTACTCAACCTCAGTCGTCATTCGTTCTTTAGGCTGTGCGGCACTTACACTCCTTCAGCTTGGGTCACAAGCGATGTCGCAAGCTGTTCTTTCCTTGCGCTAGATAGGAAGCATGTGGGCTCATCCATTTCCAGTCTTTGCATGGCGTAGGCCCGTATGTCTTCGTTAATGTGTGCTGGTCTCAGGTACACATTCGCTTGGACCTCTTGGATGTAAACCGACAGACGGACCATGTACTCGGTGCTAGTAACAAAGATTCGTACACTTTTAGCTTGCGACATGATCCGATAGAGGGAGACAAGGACATTTTTTGTGATTGTTGACTCGTTGATGGCATCGACAAATATATATGATTCCGACATGGAATTGCAACACTGAGCTATGTGCTGGATCAGCAGCTTCTCATCCAGTACGTCACCTCGATCGCACTCTGATCGAAGCACAGCGAGTACAGAGTCATCCTGCCTGCATAGCTGTGATAGGACAGAGCCCAGCATCGCATTGGGAGATTGGGAGTTTGGATAACTGGCCGAAAAGTAGTAGTAAGCCGTGCAATCCCTGGCTCCTGGAGCCTCTTTTGCCATCTTCACGGCCGAAGCACACAGAACAGTCTTCCCGAAACCTGATGGGCCTGCAAGAAACAAGAAACGAGCATCCTCGTCCATCGGATGTCGCGTCTGACTTCCCCAAGTTGGCTCAGGACCATTCTTCAACCTTTTCGCAGCCTCACGCTCTTGTGCACACCACTCTCGGAACTGATCATCTCTACCATGAAGCCACATGGAGAATGGGCCGTTGAGAAACCAGGATCCCGTGCCAGGCTGTTGATTTCCTCCTGCTTTCGCGTGTAGAGAATCGGGATTGAACGGTGCGAGCCATGCTCTGATCTTGTCATACGCCTTCTCCTGCTCCCTTTCCTGGCGATCAAGTGCAAGGGAAGTCGAAATGCCCTTCACAAGTGCCACAATATCTTGCTGTGACACAGAAGCATCATTCATCAGTACCAGAACAAAGAAACTCTTTGCTCTCTCCACCTTCGTGGTCTGTTCCAGAACAGATGACTTGTGTCTTGCCCACGTAAGACTCGCCAGCTTCGAGTCCTTTCTTGGTGTCAAATCTTCCAGCATGGACTTTAAAAGTACGCTCGTCGCACCCAACGTATCTTTGTACTGCTGAGACGATTCCAGAGCCCACTCGCCTACATTGCCTTCCTGTGCAGCTGGCTGTCGCTGATTGATCTGCTCCAGAATTCCTTTCAGGGCCAGAATCTCCGTGTACAACTCGTATACCTCCTTTTTAGCTGATCGCACTGTCTGCACGTAATCATACAAGCGGCTGAGAAGATGGGCAGCTTGGCCGACAAGACCAATGATTGAGATTGGATCTGCCATTATCAGATGTGGTAGGGACTATTCCGATGACCTTCAACCCAAATGAGTACTCTTGGCTCTTGGCGGGCAGCACTGAGAGACGAGATCGAGCTCAGAGTCAACGATAGCGTCTCATCGCGAAAGCGTCTTTCATACGATCCATCTCAAGCCACCCCCGCTCCTGACCTTGTTTAGTGTTATCTTAGACTGCACGTGATATGCACAGCACATGCCTTACCAACGACATGTAAATGTGATAGAGCTGCCCGTAACCTAATCTGAAAATTCCAAACTCCTTGCAAGTGTATACCTCAGAGTGTAGACGATGATAAGGTGTGGTTTCACATCCCCGTCCAGGTCGCGGGATCGATTGTTACCTGACCAGAATACACAATATAACCGTTATTGCTTGCTGTATCATCACTCGAATGTCCTATTGCTGCGTTTCATCCATCCTGTAAAGTACCCTACTATCCACAATGCGAGTAAAGGAAAGAAGACAGCGCGACTGGCAGACTTTGTCCTCACAGAAGCCGCACTCAGGCGCCCATCCTCATCCAACTCTACCACACATACTTCCTATGTAGTAGTCACTGGGAATTTCTCTCCGAAAAATCTTCCTCCCAGATAGAAATGGCCAAGAGTTCAGCTCAATAGAATGAACTTGCATAGCTTCCTCCACTTACTTCTATCACCCAACGCTTTACATCCTTTGCAGACGAGACCCTCCATTTGCCTTTACTGATTTCATAGCTTTTTGTCGTTACTACCTGTCGTTTCCACGTAGACTAAAATCGTTCTCGGAATCAACATCCACACTTCCACGTTCCCTCGGACCAGGACGTCGAACAACAACCCGAAAAGGGAACACTTCGATATCGGGCATTTGTTATGGGAATGACGGTTCTTGCAGCAGCAAAGTTATAGCGGGTGATCAGCGAGCAGATTTTAAAAACATCCTAGGTATGCTTTCTCTGGATCCCTCTTTTTATGATATCGAGACATCGTGAATGTAGGCTTTTACCTGCCTAGATGGTCATGAGCTGAGAAGGAAGCATTGCTCCTGCTCATGCCTCCCTACTATCCAAGCATTTCACTCGAAGAGAACCAGGGAGCTGTTTCTCTGCAAACTTGTAATCTTTTGTGCAAATCACGCTTCCATGGCTTCGAAGTTGGTATCTAGGGCATCATTTACCAGGATTATCCGCTTGCCCAAAGGCCGTATAAAATGCTTCCATTAGTATTCTCAACTTGCACCAAATCTCATATGCAGGCGTAGATCAAATGTAAAAAATGATGAAAAAAATTTCCGGTACAACGGTGTCATGGTATCTCCCAATTAGCTGCCTCGGGATTCCTATTTGTGGATCAATATCTCGGAGGAACGATTGGGACGCGGGTTCCATATCTCCTCTAAATTGCAGTAAGACATGTATGCATAATTTTGTATTCAACTATCCTCGGAGAGAGATTGGGGTGGACGATATCCGAAACTCAATACACATGTCAAGCACGCAAATTACAAAATCAAGCAATATATTTCCATTTCCGGCCCAGTACAAGGAGTATCTTCATTATTGTAGACGTAGCTGAATGTCGAACTTAAATTTTGTCTCGTAAACCTTTACATGGTGAGTTGGAATTTTCGTAGCGTGGAATGAAGAAATGTTCGTATCCCACACATGTTTGTTTACTTTGAGTTCCTCGCTTAACCTTGAGGGGAATGTTTGAAAGCACTCCACGTGTTCTGCGGTCAGGATTATTCGGTCTGGAAAAAAAATGGCTATTAAATCAATTCCTTAGAGTTGTTTAAGTTTCCCATGCGTGCATGGAAGGTTTTTGAACCGCCCGTACTGAGTGGTTGATGGCACTGGTCACGTGGTAACTCAGACCATTCCCCTTGTCAGCGTCCGGCATGGCACAACAATCAGTCGGCTCAAATACATACACGTGACGTGGCGTGCAAAGGGGTTTTTCTCTTGATGACCAAGTGTTGCTTTCAGCCCAAGCTGTTGCCCGACCAGAATCTTGTTCTGGTATTCACATCACTCCTCTTTTAACAATATCGACATTCGCTATCTACCTCATTGGAAGCCATTGCACTTCCTCGAGGCTATCAAACTAAACTTCACCCATATCAGATCAATCCAAAGTCATGATTCATTTCTTCGCCATGATTTCCAACATGCTCACCATCTCTACCGTACTCGCTCGTGGACTGGCAGCCGAAACCGAGATGTGTGGTCGGTACGACAAGCTGATAGGAAAATCATTGCCATATACATGTACATGTCTTTTGGCCTAATCTCCCAATGCTGTTCTAATTATTCTAGTTGCTTCGAACCAATGGGGGGATGATGGTTCAGGTTCACAATGTATCAAGGCATGTTCACTGGCTACTCCTTGAAGTGCAAATGCTAAGATGTTCAAGATCGCCAATGACGAGACCACTTTCAGCGCAACTTGGATCTGGAGTAATAACTCCCATTTAGTACACTCGTTTCCCAACATCAAATTGGACTCAAATTTGCTCCCATTGCAACTTTCCAGCCTCTCTTCCCTGAAAATCAAAGCCTCGTGGGCAATGGCTCCAGCTTCCAGCTCCAAATCTCTGGAGGCCATCGATGCTGCAGCAAACGTTATGATCGATCTATTTCTGGATTCCAACCCAGTTTCAGCAAACAGCACGACCTTGCCGAAGTATGAGATCATGATCTGGTTAGCGGACTTTGGCGGCAAGAAGCCTATTGGATTCAGCTCATCCATCAAAAATCCACCCCGGTACAAACTGAGAAACAATACATTGTACGCATTCCTCGTATTCCTGATTTCCATCGCTAACTTTATTCCGCAGCACCCTCTACTCCGGAAATAACAGTAACGGCCAATATGTTTACGGCTGGCTAGCTTCAACCAACATTACCGACTTCGACGAGGACATCTCACCACTGCTTCACTATCTCTGGCGGCACAAGTTGATTGACGACTCCAACTATCTCGGCATTGTCCAATTTGGGAGTGAGGCTTTTCATGCAAAGGCCGAAGTTGTCTTTTCTGCCCAGGACTACAAACTTAGTATTGCGGGCGGAACACCCTCCCCAGAACCATCTGGAGATGTATCGGCCGCATCGCTGTGTACCCCAGATATCTCTCTCGGTATTATTGGTGCGGTTGTCCCACTACTAGCAGTCATCTAGGATACGTAGTCGTCCGATGTTCGCAAGGGAGGTGGATCCATTGTCAATTTGGATGACGTTTCGTTCTGGATACTTTCACTTTTCATGGGTTTGCAAAGAGGCTTTGGTTTGGCTGCAAACAAAACTCTGTATTTGAAATTGCTATGATTCTAATGTACTGGTTGGGGAGACAGTTTGTTCAAGTCACTAGTTTCAATAATACTCTTCCCCCCCCTAAACAAACGTTAAACCTCATGAAAACTGGACCTCGTGTGGTTAGTCAGCTAGGGTGTTAATCCAATGATTTTGCTGATTCTTAGCCTGAAGCAGGGCTTCAAGTGTATCTCGAACCTTCTACAGCCACCCTTGTGTTTACAATTGACCAGAATCTGGCTCGTGCTTTAAGCCTGTCTAGGGGAATTAACCAGTCAAGAAAGGCCTACCAGGACTTCAGCCCATAAAAATCCACGTTTAACGTTTGTTTAGAGGGGGGGGGGGGGGGGGGGGGGGGGGGGGAGAGTATCATGACGGCCTTGTTAAAATATACTTTCGGCCGTTCTACCGGCGTGAACAGATGTGACCGTTGCGAGGGACCAGTCGGATCTCCTCCAGTCTCGATCGTGATCCGCTTTTTAGGATGTGCAGATTCGACTTCAATGACGGATCAGGTACTGTTAGACGACAGCGCATGTCTCATGCTGATAACGTCCCCTGAGTTCTCTCCTCGATTCTCGGGCTAGTTTATCACATCCATAAGCTGTGGATACGTCATGTGTAGTGCCCAATCTCCTGGCTTGGTATGTGACCGGGATTAGGTCAATCTGGCAGTTGCGCATCTCTCGGAGGGGTTGATGTTCTGAATGAGACTTCTATGCCCGAGCACAGGGAGGTAAGGACGTGCTTTGGAAAGCTTAGGCAACAAACTCTACGATAATGTGGATCATAAGTTAAATGAATTCGAACCATGTCATAGCTCAACCTTCTCTGATTCATACTTCGCACAATCCCTAGGCTTTTGCTACTTCTCGGCATATTGTGTATCTTGAATTTTCTATTTATGGTCGCTACACCCTGCACTTACTTACACGCTGTTTGTTCAGGCACTTGTTGAGATTCTTCTTGCCGTAAGGAATAAGCACACACTTGATCATCTAATGGCTCAGTGGTTTGCGTATGAATGCTAATCCCAAAGCAGATATTTCTCACTAGGATCATGTCATATACAAAGTTTACCCTCTAGGCGTTGTCTCATGCGGCCTCATGCGCCCATAAATTCTTCAGCCGCGATAATATGAGACTTTGCGGGTAATTATACACCCCCCCGCCCCCCCCCCCCCCCTCTGTGGGTCCTCTAAGCCTTTTCAAGATGAGTACTCGCGAACCTCAAAGATGTTCAATTCAACTCGAATTTATCAAGTAAGGGCGCTATGCCTGAGCCCTAGAGCTTGCAGAGGGCTGTGAAGGAGTGAGTCCCTTGCGCGGTAGACACAAATCTCACAAAAAGATAGCTAGAGTTTTGGATACCGAGCGCAGCGAATATTTACAAACAGGTTAATTTTTGGTGTTATTCAAATGGAAGAAGGATAATCCGCTAGCAGAGGGCTTGAGGATATAAGTGGTTGAAGTTGCCCCATAGGGGGGGGGGGGCGTATCGTTTTTGGGGGGGTGTATCAGTACCCAACTTTGCGTCGAATACACCGTTGCCAAGTCTTGACATGCTGTTGGGCTAGGGTCGGGATTCGAGGCTTATCCGCTCTGCACGGGCTCTGAATAAATAGATCGACCATGAGGACCATCTGTTTTCGGAATTTATGGTGCACGGCTTTGCGCACTAACTCCCCGGTGGCGTCTACATGACCCTGGAAAGCAAATTCTTTCAGGGGTTTGGACGTTACGAACTAGGGGACAGAAGTCCGTGTCCACAGGGCATTTTCCTCACTAAACATTTAGCGAATAACTCAAAGTTATCATATACTCTGTTAACTAAACTAAATACCTACTAATCTAATACTATAAATACTTAGGATTTGAATATTAAAATAGAAAGAGGGGTCATATTTATTATAAGATTTGGATTTAATAGCATTTAAATAAGTTCAAATTTTCTTATAGGGCATATTTGTTAGGAAAATGCCCTGAACGCACAGACTTCTGTCCCCTAGTTCGTTACGCTAACGGATAATGTTTCAGTGACAACTATTAAGCGAAATTCTGGTGAGAATTGTTTCCATCTCTATCACATTCCGTTGCTCGTATCTGTGTATCCCTGTTCGTCGTGGCGTCTTCATCTTTTGTATCTGGTCCCCAATGCTACCCCCTTCGTCCAGTGGACTGTTGATCAACGAACATCCACTATTTGACCAGGGTCACTGTCGAACCAAATAACCAAAGCTGCTTGGTCGTGGCGACGTTCCACTATACTTTCAACCCAATGATTCAAAGGAGGAGCAATCTTCCGCATCGATTCAGCTGCTTTGAGCCAGACGAGGCGATTCAATTGGAGAGACATAGACTACACCCTAAAAGAACTACCAACATCATGGAAATTTTCTACATTCACGATACTGAGGCATCCGCTTTCGTAGCTGTTCATAGATGCGAAAGATCTTGATCCAACATGTGATTTCTCGCGAACGAGACTGCCCCTGCGATCCTTCTGCGATCCTTCTGCGATCCTTCTGCGATCCGATCACTTCAAAGCTGAGGACAACATTGTCCACTGGTCAATGTCTCTCAATCAGAGACTCTCAAGTGGATTGATGCCATTTTTGTGTACCCTTGTCCGAAAACCTCGGGAAGGCATGCATACTTCTGTTTGCAGTTGGGAGTGGATCAATATCTGCCCAGCCCACGAATGGTCTCTATGTTCTCGAACCTAGGATAAGGAGCGAAGACGAGATACATCCATCTTCAGAACCTAAATGGCACTTGTATCCAAGTGGGCCATGGGTCCACAGATTTTTTTTGGTAGAGTTCGAGACCAAGAGAGAATGTGCCATTTGAGGTGGCTGGAATTGAGTCCAGCTTCACTCTTATGAAAACTTCTATCACCAAGGACATTGGCTTCACTATTGGTGTTTTATGTTCAGTTTTCTTCATAGCTGTTGATCGGCAATTTGAAATTAGTACCACATATTTGGCTACTCAGTTGTTATTCAATTGTTTCTCAAGTCAGTCATGGCGGATCATAGTGATGCTCGTAGACTCGAGGTCAGCCATACGCATGAAAGCAATGCACCGTCAACTGTTGGCATCGAGTCTAGCAACCCTTTCGCCGACAATGAAGCTCTATCGACATCTGAAAGCTCGTCTCGTCACTCGGAATCGATCCCGATGACACCACTGCCTACTGTAGCGTCGACTACCCGAACGCAACAACTTGAAGATACAGTTGTGAGTGCTCCTGGAGACTATAAACGACTTGAGCTTACGTTTTTAGTTTCCGGTTTCTCTTCCGAGAGAGGAGCTTTGGGAAAAGATTGAAATGCCTCAGCAGACCCCCGAAAATTCCACTGCGCAAGACAAAACGAAAACCGAAACAAATGCTCCTACTGTTGATCCCGCGCCGAAAGGATTCTGGTCTCGCCAATATGAAGTATTCCGCGCGACTTACGCCCCCCTTGAGGATCCTACTCTCATTCTTCCATCTGGAACTACAGATGAAGAGAAGTACGGGTACTTGAAGACCAACAGATTTGGTTTGTATCTTGTAGGGGTCTTCTCGTTCTTGACTTTGTCTGCGGGAATGTGGCTATTTGTTGTCACATCTGTATACTTTTACTGGTTCGGACTCTTCGTCGCCCTTCTCGAAGTCTACCTCATGATCTCGTACACAATCACCCTGGTCGGAAAGGATTACGACATCGAGAGCCACAACAGAATTCTGACAGAGTACCCAATCACTGATGAAACCGCCCCTACCATCGACATCTACTTGCCTTGCTGCAAGGAGCCAATGGAAATCTTGGCGAACACCTATATCTATGTCAAGCAGTTACAATGGCCAGCCGAAAAAATCAAAGTTTACGTCCTGGATGATGGCGCTATGGACGCAGTCAAGCAGCTCGCAGAAAGTTATGGCTTCGAATATATTGTGCGGGAAGATAGGCCAAGACTCAAGAAGGCCGGCAATCTTCGATGGGCTTTCACTCGCACGTTTGGAGATTTCTTCGTGATCTTCGACGCCGACTTCTGTCCACGATCTGATTTCCTGCTCGAGACTGTTCCACAACATCTTGCTGACCCCAAGAGTGCAATCGTTCAAACTCCTCAATTCTTCCGCGTCACAGAAAATCAGACCTGGATCGAGCAAGGCGCAGGTGCAATCCAGGAGCTTTTTTACCGAGTTGTCGAAGTAAACCGCAATCGCTGGGGTGCATCCATCTGCGTTGGCAGTAACGCTGTCTATCGACGCGAGGCACTTGTTGAAGTTGGTGGAACGGCCGAGATCGGCTTTTCAGAAGACGTTCATACCGGGTTCTATGCCGTCGACCGAGGCTGGAAAGTCAAATACGTCCCTCTCTGTCTCGCATGTGGAGTTTGTCCTGACACGCCACACGCCTTCTTTTCGCAACAAATGCGATGGTGCATGGGCTCTACGACTCTTCTTACAAACCCGGATTTCTGGAAGTCAAACCTCAACATTGTTCAAAAACTCTGTTATATGTCAGGCATGATGTACTACTCCGCCATATCCATCAGTATCTTCATCAATCCTATGCCCGGTATCCTTCTCCTCTGGGTCCGTCCAGAATTCTTCAAGTACTACAATCTTGCCTTCGCCGCGCCATCCGTCATCTACTCGCTTATCGCATTCCGTTTCTGGGCTAAAGCAAAATACGGACTCAATGTGCAATTTATTATGGTGATTCAGTCATACGCATATCTCACTGCGATCAAAGATCGCATCTTTGGAAGAGCTTTGGCATGGGTCCCTTCGGGAGACAATGCGTCGCATCGCAACAACAAGTATCGCAATATGCGTATCTTAGCTTGGTGTTGGATATTCACTTACATTGGCGCTTTGATCGGTGCGCTGATCTATCGGTGCTTAACTGACAAAAGCTTCGAGCTGTATAATGCTGTTCCATTGATCGTTTTGGATTCAATGAATCTATTCTTCGCCCACAGATTCTTGTTGTGTGTTGAGAAGAAGCGTAGTTAGGCTAGATTAAAAGAGCTGGCTTCCAAGGGACGACAGAAGATGCTTGATGCTAGAAAAGGAGGGGATTTCTGATATTTTTTTTGATTGCATAGCTTGGTGTTACCTTTTGAATTTAGAACAATAGAACATAGACAAATAGCATACATAAAATCTTACACTTGATCATCCCTGATTATGAAAATACATTACACATGTGATCAATAGTATCAAATGGCAACTCTGAGCTCCCAACGATCCTTCCCCACTTCCAAACCGCTCTCAAATCCCACAAATCTTGTCCTCATTTCTCCGGAGCTTGTTCCGAAGGAAGAAAGACAAAAAGATCTATGCTCCTCCCCGCATGCGGGTGGCCTCTCGCCGCCCCCTGCGTCACTCATCAAGGTGGTCTACAACATCGCTACTGAATCGTTATTTCCATCTGTGTGAGACCTCTGCCTGTCTCAGTGAGTCAGAAAGTCGCCGTAAGAAAACTCCGGTGTAAGACATCTCGGGAGTCGAAGACATGTTCTCGACTGCCGTGCCCCATTCAAGTTCCTCGTACGATGTTTCGTCGGCCGCAGCGGATTCTCAAAGGTTCAAGAGGTCTCTGATTCGTGTCCGTTCTCCACGAACGACTCTTGTTTAACTTTAAACTCGCTTACTTTGCATTCCTGTAAGCACTGTACGTGGCTCTCTATCTTTCAAAGAGGATTTATACACAGACGGCGCCCCCCCCCCCCCCCCACGCCCCCCCTTTGCAACCAGTAGGGGAGTACTATCACTATCTCCCCCCACGGCTTGAATGTAAAATTTGAACTTTTGCGGGTCGGAGGCCTGACTGTTAAGTGCTAAGTGGCCGGAAGCCCTAGATAGAGCTAGAATACGAGGCAGAATTAGGTCTGTTGTAAAAGGTAAGGGTAGCTATAAAAGGTTCGAGAGGACTACAAGGGCTCAAAGCAGCGATTTCTGTTAGATAGATACTCTAGAAAGCTACCTATACTGACTCCAGTTTTCTACACATTAAACATTCAAGCCGGGGGGATAGTAATGCTACTTACGGGGCACATAGAGTACTTACGCCTGTACAACTCTCAAGTATATTTCCAAAGGTTACGAACAGTTAGGGTTAGTTAGTGTTAGTTAGGATTAGTAGGTTAGTTAGGGTTAGAGCGTAGGTATAGCACGGGGTCCCCTCTGGGGGTTTGCTAACCGGAACGTGGGAGATATGTGATTTTATTACTGTTCCAGCTATTGTGCCTTCGCAATTGCTAGAGATTCTGAAGTTTTTGGTTCGTCTGACCAGGGAAGGGGGGGGCGTGTGGGGGGGCGGTCGTCTGTGTATAAATCCTCCTTTCAAGGCGGAGTAATGTCCGTTTGAGGTTGTTGACGCCGAGCTCTGTATCGCCCAGCTCGCATGCTGGGGGTGATGGCAACAATTAGCGGCGAGCTCGGCAACGAGGCTCTGTTTGCTTTGATCTCGCTTAGACGAATATTCATTTCACTCTTTCTGAAATGTTTACTGGGGTTCAAACCTCGGACCGATATTCATCAGGGACGTTGAGGGGAATGAAATACAATGTACAGCTCGATATCCTTTGTTGCAAAATGATCCTGGAGAAATTTCGAACCTTGCGCGGATGAGCGTCAACAGAAACTGAGGAAGTAAGACATGCTCCAATTTTCTATTGTATCCTCGTCTGGCCTCTCCACTGAAGTCATACAAAGCTTAAAGCTCAGACCTTGTCGGTTAGCTATCATGTGGATCTTCTCAAATACGCTCCACAGTTCTGCGCAGTTAAGACTCTGAGCCAGCCAGATTGAGAGACTTGGCTGCTTTCAGCACATACTGGAGAAGTCATGAACCTATCGACATTGCTTGATGCTTGACTCCTGAGAGGCTCAGCTGTTTGCAGCACTTGCTCGGGTGAGGCAGTGGGATCCGAGATAGTTTAAGTGTACTAGGGTGTTGTGAATTTGAGAAATGGTACCATCTTGAAAAGTTTGGCCATCGTTTTAGGTAAGAGAGTGCCATCGTATGGATTATTCGAATCCAAAGATAAGAGAGAGGCGGGGGCTAAGAAGTCTGAAGGGTCTGTGCTATCATGGTATCTCGCATAATGATAAAGCGGATCACTGTGCTATTGAAAAGATCGTATAAAGCTATACATCCTGCCTCGTCAAGTCATATCAAGTCGATCATCTCAAAGCACTTCCATCATCTTATTTTAAACAATTCTCTTCAACCATGCCTTCAACTATGGTATCAGTGTGGAGTGATAGTTCTGACTTTGACAACACAACTCTGTCCACTAGTCCATCTTCGCCTCTCAGTCCATTTACTTCAGAATATTTCAAGTTTACTCCTGAAGCTATTACACAGGATTTCTCTTCGACCAAGGCCAAGAACATCTGTTGTGTTGGTGCTGGTTATGTCGGTAAGTAACTTACACTTCTTCATATTCTTGAACCCGGAGCAGATAACTTACAAGAACACAGGAGGACCCACAGCGGCAGTCATTGCTTTCCAGAATCCTCACATCACAGTCACTGTAGTTGACAAAGACATCAACCGTATCAGAAAATGGAACTCACAACATCCTCCCATCCATGAACCTGGCCTCAACGAAATCGTTCGAGTAGCTCGAGACGGTACAAATGCTACGAAAATCAACATCGACGATGCTTCCACTGCCGAGCTTCCTGCTCGCTTACCCAATCTATTCTTCTCAACCGATGTTGCAAAGTGTGTCTCCGAGGCTGACATCGTTTTGTTGAGCGTCAACACCCCCACGAAGGTTTCGGGAATTGGAGCTGGAGCTGCGACCAACATGGTTGCGTTGGAAGGCGCGACGAGAGACATCGCTCTGGCTGCGAAGCCGGGTGCTATTATCGTCGAAAAGAGTACTGTGCCTTGTCGTACTGCTCAGATTGTTCGCGACACTGTAAGTCGTATAGACCAGCCTGAGGAAGACCTCAAGCTTGCAGCTGGAGACTGACAACTATCTAGCTCAACGTTCACCGACCAGGCGTGCCCTTTGAAATCCTTTCAAACCCTGAGTTCTTAGCAGAAGGCACCGCTATCAAGGATCTCCTCAACCCAGACCGTATCCTCATCGGAAGCTCCCGCACAAAGTCTGGTCTTGCAGCAGCTGCAGCCCTCAAAGAAGTATACTCAGCTTGGGTTGACCCCTCCAAGATCGTCACCGTCAATCTTTGGTCATCAGAACTCTCAAAGCTCGTCGCAAACGCCATGCTCGCACAACGTATCAGCAGTATCAACACCGTCAGCGCAATTTGCGAAAAGACTGGTGCAGATGTTGATGAGATCGCCAAAGCTATCGGTCTCGATCCTCGTGTTGGATCAAAGTTCTTGAAAGCTGGTCTTGGATTCGGTGGCTCATGCTTCAAGAAAGATATATTGTCTCTCGTATATCTTGCTCAGACTCTCCACCTCGACGAAGTAGCTGAGTACTGGATGCAAGTCATCTCCATCAACGAGTTCCAACGCAACAGATTTGTCAGACGTGTAGTGTCCAACTTGAATGGTACGCTTATTGGCAAGAAAATCAGTATCCTCGGCTGGGCTTTCAAGAAGGACACAAGCGATACTCGAGAGTCACCTGCTGTGGAAGTAGTCAGATCGTTGTTGGCCGATAACCCAGCAGAAATTGCGATCTTTGACCCCAAATGCAACCCAGAAGACGTTAAGGACGAGATTAATCGTTTGTTCGGGAACATGGGTGTGAAGCTTCTCAAGCCGGAAGGACCAATCGAAGGTACCATCACTTTCTCTCATCAATTAATTGCATCTACTAACACAAAATCATAGTTTACAAAGACTCATACGAAGCTTGCGCCGACTCAAATGCCGTCCTCATCCTCACAGAATGGGATCAATTCCGTTATCCTTCTCTTGAAAAGAAAATGTCAATTTTCACAAAGCGCCCATCGGAATGCATCTCCAAGAAGCGAAACAATTCTGCTCTCATCGAGCTCGACATTCTTCACATGATGTCCACCAGACGACAGTCAAACACCGTCTCACCGACAGATCCTGAACCAACGCTTGATACTGACCCTGTCAACCGCTACCTGCCTGAACCTGCTTGCGCAGAAGGCTGCAGAGACTGCGAGCGTGGAAGCGCCGAAGAGGTCATCGCGAATGAGAGTCTGGAGTGGGCACGAATCGCATATCAAATGAAGGGTCCAAAGTGGGTGTTTGATGGAAGGGGATTGGTTGATGCTGGTGAGATGGAGAAGTTGGGGTTCAGAGTTGAGGTCATTGGGCGGGCAGGAAGTAGGAGTCAACTACATGGTGAGTTCTTAACTGAGTATGTGTCGGAACCAAATGAATGCTAATATCTCGTAGGGTTCGATAGTGACAGATGTTAGACAAGAGTGCGATGTACCAGGATGGGGGAGTAAAAAGGATTTTGCGGGTTAAGAAATTCGGCGTTTATTTGGGGAGTTAGAGGTTGTAGGAGATGATAGAGTCACTACGCTCCTTTCATTCATTTCATTTTCATCTGTAGAACCAAAGAATACAAATTATATCCAAAACATTCAGAAACGTTCCAGCATGAACCCAAGAAATTAGGTCACGGCGAAATTTTAACGACCATCTTGAACTTCTGACCATTATCTCTCATCCTGAATTAGAATATCACTACTGGAAGTATATATAACATTTTACTTCATAATATTGTGCTGATAAAGACGAGATGTCATGCGTAAGCCAATACAAGCCCCCGAGCTTCATATGTATACAAGCATTCTCAGCGCCATCCTTTCCCACGAGGTCATTCTGCAAGGGAATCAACCATTCGCCACTCTATCTCAAGATAAAATCTCATGAGTCCATCAATAGTTTCTCCATAAACTATCAGTTTACTCCTCCAGGCACTTTGTTTATGCCCCTCGGGCTAAGCGAGCAATCCCACATGGTCCCCCGCGGTCGGCTAGTTCGCCACAAAAAGCATAGCGAACCAAGACACAAGCTCAACCTAGCCATGTGGTTAACCGAGACATTAACAGATAAAGCTATGAAGATGTGTGTATGAGATGGTGATCGAGGCCTACTAGGCAGGGAGATTAGTCAAGGCTGCAAATGCCCTGACGAAAATACGGACGAAGGATGACTCTTGATATGCGCACGTGCATGACCCCCTCTGTTGAATCATTGGTGACGGTGGGGGTCATGACGGATGATAAAGGGTATTGAATTGAGAAGATTGGGAAAGGTTTGAGGAAGCTCATTTAGATCTATAATAACGAGGTTACCTCTGAGGTATTGATCGAAGAGATGCAGGACTTGCAAATGAACTTTCAGTCTTTCTTTCCGATGCTGTGATTGCGGATTTGACGGTTCGGAAATCGGCGATGAAAGTGAAGATGGGACAATGGACAAGGCAAGTAGTTCTTCGTCGAGTATCGAACCAATCTCTATTGGCTGCTGCCACAGCAGGATGGTTTAATCCCCATCTATCTTACAACCCAAAACGCCAGCAATGCATATTTCGAAACGCCAGCCGTCCAATACATCATTATACAACCGCCTTCTGCATACCAGTAGTCTCATCCGTCAATATCGTGACACCCTTCCTCTTCTTGATCACATTCTCAATGAACGCTTCTCCCGCCTTGTACGAACTACGGACCAGTGGTCCACTGGCACAGTAGAGGAAGCCCAGATCGAGAGCACGCTGGCGCCACAGCTCGAATGTCTCGGGTGTGATGTATTCTTCGACTTTCATGTGGCGCTTGGTTGGACGCATGTATTGGCCGAATGTTACGACGTCTACATTGACTTTCCGAAGTTCTGGGAAAATGTCAGTTGAGAAGTGGGGAACGTCAACAGAGCAGCTTACCTTTCAATGTCGCCCACAGTTGTTCCTCAGTCTCGCCAAGTCCAAGCATAATGCTCGTCTTGGTTATCAGGGTCGGAACAGTCTTCTTGGCAGCTTCTAAAACCAGCAAACTCTGTCTGAATTTCGCCCTTCTATCTCTAACAAATGGAGTCAACTCTTCCACCGTCTCCATATTATGAGCGTAAACATCTAGTCCACTCCTCGCGACCATGGCCACCATATCCAGATCTCCCGCATAATCTCCCGTCAATGCCTCAACTAGCATATCCGGCTTCTTCTGCTTGATCTTCATGATCGTCTCTGTGAAATGTCTCGCTCCACCGTCCACGAGATCATCACGATCCACGGACGTCAGCACCACATATCCAAGTCCCCACCTCGAAAGTGCCTCTGCAGTATGTTCCGGCTCGTGAGGATCCAGCGGCGGAGGTGCCTTCGAAGTTTTGACACTGCAAAATCGACATCCTCGTGTGCATGTGTCTCCCATCAACATAATCGTCGCGGTAGCAGCGCTCTTGTCGCCTCCTCCCCAACAGTCCGAAATATTGGGACACCGTGCTTCCTCGCAAACTGTATGCAGATTTAACCCTCTCAGATCTTTCTTGATCTTCTTGTAATTTGAATTATCCGGTATGGGCGTCTTCAACCATTCCGGGAGTCGAGTAATCTGCTTTTTCTTCCCTGGTGGTCCTACCATCGCAGTCCGCAATTCGAGGGCATCTTCGTTGGACAGGATCTCGTCTTCTGCACCCATGAACTCGTTGAATGACGGTACGCTATTCAGTTTGTCTTTGAAGTATGTTGGGCGTCGTTTAGTAGGGGGCTCGAGAGAGGGAGCTTCGGTGGCAAAGCCTCGCGATGTAATTGAAGCTGGAAATAATGCGCGAGACGCCTGGCGCAGTGGAGGTGCATTCAAGCACCTGAATCTGATCACTGTCGCTGCCATTATGAATATCCTTCACCTGGTCGTCAACGTCGTCGTGGAATTCGAACTGTGGTGGATGTTCGCCGGGTTCAACAATTTCTCGATGCTTTGCTTGGAAATATGAGCACCCGATTCGCTCGGCCCATTGTTGCCGAGAAGGCGCAGTCACGTGGTCCCAGAGCGAGCGTTCACATTTTCCTCATCCTCTCCTTTCTCGGCAACAATGTTTACTTCCTTGCCTAAAGTCAGACGAGCCTACCCCGCTGAATCTTGTTGTTTGACAGATATCATCTTCATGAGAAGTGTCTGAACCACAATGGATCTGTTCGTCCCTTATCTCGTGTTCCGTAATCGTTTAAACCTTGTCAAATTTGCTCACATTCTGCGCTGCAATCTGTCAATAAATGCGCTTCGCGAATGACTCTTTGCGGCACAGCAACACTGATCTATTCATGTTATTCGAATTTTCCTGAGCACTTGGTTGTGTCGGCATAGCGGGTCCCAGTTCTCCGTGCTTACTAGGTCGCCTTGCCACAATCTCTACCGATGCCTTCAGCTGTTCACCGCGATTCCTCTAGGTGCCCAAGTCGCATATTTGGTCAAGGAACGCTCAGCCATATCATTACCAGCGCAGGTTCATCGTATTACCCGACCCATAGAAGCCCCCTACCATGATAATTAGTGCCGGCGTGTAAGACTCACACCGGATTGCAAATATCAAAAGTGGATCGGGTGGTCCTTTTTCCACCTTCCTATTTCGCCAAGGCTTATTTTCACATCCACCCGCTTGTCAAGGTGTATCCATTGGTCTCTTGCTTCTTCAAAACCAACGACATAAGATCCTTCTCTCATCTACTATATCTTCGGGCTTCATTGAGTCCTTCTCGTCTTTTCCACGTATGGATGCGAGATCTTAACAGCCAAATATATGATAACGGCGAGACAAAATCCACTGTTGGACAATCGACGTCAATATCTATTTCACGATGAGCTGGACTCTTGATCTATTGACAACGGAATATGTCTTGGCATCTCTTGTCCTCCTATGCTCAATATCCTCTATCTGGTCCCTCATCACCGGTCGTTGGCGAGCCGTCAAAAGTCCCAACCAGGCCGAGACCCTTTACGAGGATGAAGATGGAGCGGCGACGACAGAATCGATGAAGCAATTTTCCAACAAATCTCAATTTATTATCATATATACTATCATCGTTATTGGATTTGCGCTTTCAATTGCAGATTTTATCTGCCTCATTGTTCTGTCGCGGACGGCTCATGGCTCATTTGCCGACATCCCTGCAGAGAACAACGCTCATGGAATCGTACTTTTGATTCCTTCATGGGTAAGAACATCTTAATCCCCGCTATTAGGGATTTCACACTGATTTCTTCCAGTTTCTGTTGCTTCTGCAGCTTATCAGCATTTCAAGGATCGTCGAGCCTGTTACGAGGTTTAAAGCCATCGCAGCACGGCTGATAACTTGCGTCCTCATCGCTGCACTTACTCTTGTCACTCTTCCGGGTGATGAGTTCCGCGTCATTACAATTCTGACCATCGGCCAATTGGGCGCCGTTACAGTGCTGGCCTCCACGATATTTTCTGTGAAAAGACGACCTGATCTTTACCGTCCAGACGGCAAACTCGTTGATCGTCAACGAAATGTTAGCTTGTGGGGCAGGTACAGCTTCTTCTGGGGAAACCCGGTGCTCGCAGCTGCAGGCAAGGAGGAATTTAATAACTCCGATATGCCTGCAATGGATCATGTCGTGCGATCAGAAAAGGCTACTGCGAGATTCAGAAATATCGTGATTAAAGAAGACAGTCTCCCGTTGTGGGTTCAGATATTCTGGGCATTTAGCTGGGAACTCATCGTACAATGGCTGGGTATTCTCTTCTCCAATTTTTTCGATGTTGCGCCAGCCTTCGCGACTTTGCAATTGCTGAAGTACCTTGAGACTCGGCAAGACGGAGATGCTCTTGAGCCCGGTGCTTGGAAATACGTTGCTGGAATTGTTGCAGCCACCATAAGTTCGAACATCGTCGACTCAAGACTCATGTGGTGGGTATTGACAGGTAAGCAGGTCTGTATGAGAAAAATTTTGAGCGCATCTAAGTGATCATACAACAGACATTCACATCCCTCTCCGTTCACTCCTGACGGGCCTGGTGTACGGAAAAATGCTCAAAGTGGAGGACTCGAGCACGCCTCCAGATGAGGTAAGTGCTTTTGGATTCGTTTACAAGCGAAACATTGGTTCAATCTCGTCTCAGATCGGACCAAACTGCTGATGTTTCGTTATAGAAGTCGTCCGAAGATGAGGAAGCAAAAATTGACAACGCCAAGACTACAGACAAGGTTCAATCTGCTTCCCAACAAGACGTCCTGAACATGTTTGCGGTCGACTGTACCCAAGTCGCTCTTTTCGGTATGATGAACACTGCCTATGTCAACTTTGCTGGCAAGGCGATTGTGACCGTCGCCTTTTTATGGGTTCTCATCGGTTGGCAAAGTCTTTGTGCTGGGCTGTTGGGAATTATTTGCCTTTTCCCAATCAACAAAGCTCTCGCCGCCAAATACGGGAAGAAGCAAAAAGCATTGATGGGAATCCGAGATACGAGAACAGCAGTCACCACTGAAGCGCTCCAAGGTATTCGACAGATCAAATTCTCCGCGATCGAAACTCAGTGGGCCGAGAAGCTTGACTCCATCAGAGAGGAAGAGCTTTCGACTCTATGGAAGTCTAGACTGTACAGTATCTTTATGTCTATTGCCTCGAATTTCACTCCGGTGGTATTGACAGCATTGTCGCTTGCTACTTATTCTTGGATCAACGGGAACCTCCTACCATCTGTCGCCTTCACATCGATCAGCTTGTTCATTCAGCTCGAAGGCCTTGTGTCAAACATTCCATATCTGCTTGTCTCCGCTATTAATGCGAAAATCAGTAGCGACAGAATTGAGAAATTCCTTCGCTTGCCTGAAAAGCCTGAAAATACATTCCCAGGAGATTCAATATCATTCCACAACGCATCTGTTAGCTTTCCTCGCGGATCCGCAGACTCGAATGCAGACACCTTTACACTACGAGAGCTAAATCTCGAGTTCCCTAATGATGCACTGAGCGTGATCTCAGGCCCAACTGGATCAGGAAAATCACTACTTCTTGCTTCAATTCTGGGCGAGGTCCATCTTGAATCGGGCTACATTAGAGTTCCTAAATCTATCAACGAGAGATTCGATTCCAAGGCCACCGCGGCAGACTGGATCATCCCGTCTGCGATATCGTTTGTCTCTCAGACACCATGGATCGAGAACGCCACCATCAAAGACAACATTCTCTTCGGCTTGCCATTCGATCCAATCCGATACGGAAAGGTCATCGATGCCTGTGCACTGACGCAGGATCTCGCAATTTTCGAGGATGGTGACCAGACCGAAGTAGGAGCCCAAGGTATCAGTCTTTCAGGTGGGCAGAAGTGGCGCTTGACGCTTGCGAGAGCCTTTTACTCAAGAGCCGGCATAATGATCATGGATGACGTCTTCAGTGCTCTTGATGCCCATGTGGGCAAACACATTTATGAAAATGCAGTGATGGGCGAACTGGCTGAGGGCAGAACAAGAATTTTGGCCACCCATCACGTTTCGCTTTGTTTGCCGCGAGCCAAATATGCTGTTCGTCTTTCGGCTCGAGGTGTGCTTGAACATGCAGGATTACTCGAAGACCTTCGACAGACTGGAGAATTGAACGAGATCCTCGAGGCCGATGATGTTAAAGACACAACCGAGATCGAGGAAGATGAAGTTCTGCGTATAGTGAAGACCAATGGCTCGACTGCCATCCCATCTCAAGACGCTGCAATTGCAGCAAAAGCTCCACCTAAAAAGCTTCATGAGGAGGAGAAACAAGAGACTGGCCGTGTCAAGACTGCTGTCTACATCGGATACCTTGGTGCATCAGGAGGCTGGCTACTTTGGTCAACCATTATTGTACTCTTCATTGCGACACAAGGGTTCACATTGGGCCGCACCTACTGGGTTCGTACCTGGGCGAATGAATATGCAAAGACTGAGGAGTCTGGAAACTCCCGAGCGACATCCTTCACAGCGTTCCACTACGGAAGCAATCTTCAAACACATTTTTCCGGACGCATCGGAAACCACATCAGCCCTGTCAACTCTACCATGTCTACGAGTTCCATCCTACCCATCGATGTCCACAACAGAAATCTTTGGTTTTACCTCGGCATATACTGCTTCATATCGACCATTTCGGTCTTCTTCTCAGTTGGCAGTCTCTACGCAGTATATGCAGGATCTATTCGCGCCTCTCGAAAGATCTTCAAGGATATTCTTGACAGTGTGTTGCGTGCGCCTTTACGCTGGCTCGACACAGTACCAATGGGCAGAATCCTCAACAGATTTACTGGAGATTTCACCAACCTCGACTCAACCCTGGCCGAGAATTTCTTCCACTTTGCCGGCGCAGTCGCTGATACCATTGGAATCATGGTTGCCGCTATCTTTGTTTCTCCATTCATCCTGATTTGCGCTACGGCTCTCTTGCTGGTGTGCATGTACTTCGGGAAGAGTTACCTGGCAGCAGCACGAACTGTCAAACGTCTTGAGTCGACGAACAAGTCACCAGTCATTTCACATTTCGCGGCATCGCTGAGCGGTCTATCAACCATCAGAGCTTTTGCCAAATCGTCTGAATTCAGCGATCGGATGTTCACCCTGATCGATGACTATGCAGCCTGCACGTGGTTCAACAGTCTTTTCCGAAACTGGCTCAGACTTCGTATCGCTATCACAGCTTCACTCTTCGCGGGCACTGTTGCGACTTTCGTCATCACGAAACGTGGGATTGATGCCAGTCTTGCTGGTTTCGCACTTTCCTTCGCTTTGAGCTTTGGGTATCGAATCGGATGGGCTATCAACATCTCGACTCAGCTGGAACTTGACATGAATGCGACTGAACGTATCTTTGAGTATAGAGATTTGACGATCGAGGACCAGGGTGGGGAGGAGGTACGTGCCACATGGCCTGAAGTTGGGAAGGTCGAAGTGAAGGATCTTGAGCTTGGATATGCCGATGACCTTCCTGCTATCTTGAAGGGGTTGACCTTCACCGCCGAAGGGAACCAACGTATCGGTGTCATTGGCAGGACTGGAGCAGGTAAGCGTATCCATCACTCTCTGTTGGGGTAATCCGCTAACGTGCCAAGGCAAGTCGACTCTCTCCCTGGCGCTCTTCCGGTTCCTCAGTGCCCGCTCGGGAAGCATCACCATCGACGGAGTCGACATCTCCAAAATCAAGCTCCACGACCTGCGCACACGCCTGGCAATCATCCCCCAAGACCCCGTCCTCTTCTCCGGCACCATCCGGTCCAACCTTGATCCCTTCAATGAATTCAGCGACTACCAACTACGCGAAGCACTCATGCGCGTGCATCTCATCCCGTCCACAACACACACGCCTATTCCAGAAGATCCCGAATCCTCAACAGCAACATCGACCACAGCCATCGATCCGTCCCAACCAAGCGAAAACAAGAACCCCTTCCTCTCTCTCTTATCCCCCATCGCCTCCTCAGGAAGCAACCTCTCCCACGGACAAAAACAACTCCTCTGCCTCGCGCGCGCCATCCTCTCTCGTCCTAAGGTGCTCCTTCTGGATGAAGCTACCTCCGCCGTAGACATGGCGACCGATTTACTCATCCAACGCTCCATCCGTGAAGAGTTTGCGAATACCACATTACTTGTGATTGCCCATCGGTTGAGCACCGTGGCGGACTTTGATAAGATTCTTGTTATAGGTGAAGGGAAGACGAGGGAGTTTGGGTCGCCGAGGGAGTTGCTTGAGAAGAGTGGGGGAGGAGAGGATAGTGAAGAGGGCACGTTTAGGAGTATGGTTGAGTCGAGTGGGGAGAGGGAGGAGTTGGAGAGGATGATTTTGGGGGGTGCAGGGAGGGTTTGAGATGTGTTGTATTTCTTGGGTATGATTTGAGGGTTGTTTTCAAAAGAATTTGTGTTGTAGATATAGAAAAGAAATGTGAAGGGGTAGTATAGTATCCTGTTATCAGATTTGTTGTAGAAAATACGTTCCTTTAGAGTTGAATCTATCGTCTCTTAATTTAGCTAGGTCACATATGTATTCAAGTTTTCACTCGACGATTGTAAGTAAGCACAGAGATCTCAGATTGATCAAACTGATAATTATATTCGGATTGATACTATATATAAAGCTTGATAGAAGAGATATGAATAAAGCTAATTCAGAATAATAATAACTCGAAATAATAAGACTTCTGCGTAATTAAAATCGAAACCTAGATTTTGTTTTCTTTTTCTTTTTTTTCTCGCAAACCAGAACCGTCGTTAAATCCAGAATCCAAATGGCCGTGTCGATTTATTTCATGCTCTATTCAACCCCGCGTATCTCATAATACGCTGATGACTTCGGTGTTTTCCAATATAGTTCACAGTCCCCTCCAGCTTCACGTGCTCATCAACAGCTTAGGTAATAATCCAATCCTGAACATTCTCTGCCTCAGCGGCAATACGATTGAGGTCATTAATAATCAGGACACGCAACTCTCGCGGGATATTAGGCGGGAGCTTTCTCCCACCCACCGCAAACCGATCAACACAGAACCTAACAAACGCCTCCCTCCTCGCCGACCCGACTGCAAGCGATTTCCACATCCTCGTGATCTGCAATCCGCCCTGTAGCCGTCGGATCCTCTGAGCATGAGCATCCAGCTCACGCCAATACACCTGATGGACTTTCTGGGCCGGAGCTGCCATCGCCAGCCTAGATGCACGCTGTCGTTGCTTGGCAGCTACTTGTTCGTGCAGTTGGGGAAGATTCCACTGTCTGGCTGTTAATTGGAGGGTGGCGGTAAACGTGGGAGAGGGTGTACGAGTAACCTCGGGCGGGACCCGCAATTGATGGGTTTGCAGCCAACAGATGACGGTCGCGAATACGGCGGGCTCGATAAGGAGGGGCATTTTGGTTGGTTGGCCGTGAGGGGTATTCCGGAGTGCCGTTGCGAAGACGGGGCAGAACTTCATGATGCGGGCTGGGATGGTGAAGATCTTGGTCAGCGAGGATGTAGGGGAGGTGCAGTTGACGTGGACAATGTCTCGAGCTGTGTTGTTGCCAGCTCGCGTAGTAGCTACCCGAGCTTTGGCATTGCGATGTGCTTGAGTTACTCGTCTGGTTTGATAGACCTTGCGTCTAGATGTAGTAGTTGGATGAATAGCCATGATAAAGGTCAAGCTAATATATTACCACAGAGGGCGTAGTTCTTGCTATAATATGTCGACTGGTGAAGTAACAAGGGCTAAGGACTGAGACAAGTAGTTGTTGCGCGAACGAGATATTGAGGAGAGAAGACAAGGATACGAATACTATTAGGATAGTAAGAAAAAGAAATTAATCTAAGAGGGGAGAGAGAGACCTTTATATTCTATTGCCAAGACACTAGTCTAAAATAGAGTTCCTATAAGAAAACATAAGCGCTTAGTATTGAAACTTAATTTTAATTTAAAAGAATTATAAAAAATTCAAAAAGTTACTTTTTACTACTTTCTATTACTTTTTGTTACTTTTTATTACTTTTTGTTACTTTTTATTACTTTTTATTACTTTTTATTACTTTTTGTTACTTTTTGTTACTTTTTATTATAGTTTATTATCTTTTCTTGATTTTATTACTTTTTATTATATTCTGTTACTTGTTATTTCTTTTATTAATTTTTGTTAATTTTATTAAATTTTGTTAAATTTTGTTAAATTTTGTTAATTCTTATTATTCTTCATTACTTTTTATTATAGTTTATTATAGTTTATTATAGTTTATTATAGTTTATTATAGTTTATTATAGTTTATTATAGTTTATTATAGTTTATTATAGTTTATTATAGTTTATTATAGTTTATTATAGTTTATTATAGTTTATTATAGTTTATTATAGTTTATTATAGTTTATTATAGTTTGTTATAGTTTGTTGTCTATTATTAATTTTATTACTTCTTATTATATTTTATTAATTTTTATTTCCTTTGTTAACTTTTATTAATCTTTTTAAAAAAAAATTAGTCAAATTTTGTTCAATTTGGTTACATTTAATTACTGTTTGTTACTTTTTATTACCTTTTATTGTGTCTTAAATAGTTAGAACCTACAAGAGTAATACGATTGTTTGGAATTAGGTATCTAAATTGTTACGTGTAAGCTAGGTAGGTAAGTAACTGTCAGACTGGAGGTGTGCATTGCCAAGCATAGTCATGTGACGTCATGACCTGGCCTCAGGACGTCAATTTCCCTAAGCTCTGCACTTCTACTCTAGTTGTGAGTAGAACAATTACTAACATACACTACGACTGTGTACACGGTATAATTTCCATACCACCGCTCGCAACCCTGCGCAGCGTTGCGCGATCATGTCAACCGTTTAGGCAAGTCAATGAACCCTCGTTCGCCGTTGCCAATGGTCGAAGACTCATTTCCCGACCACGACTGGTGGTCACGAAGCCCTAGACTTCTGGCGGGAAAGGGGCATGGTTGCAGAATCAGGTCAGAATGGTGGGCAAGCCCATGGACACAGTGTATGAAGCTGTATTGAATACACTCTAGCAGATATATCTACACTCCTACAACCGCTGATAACACGGACCGGGCTTCTGCCTCAACCCGCGATCCATTCGACCAAGTGAGCAGTTCCAACGCTGAGCCTCGGAACCTACAAATTTAATCCAACGGTACAACTGCCTCCACAGAACATTTTCCTTCAATCGATCGCAAAAAGGCCGCTAGGGAGCCAGATTGAGGGGGAATTGGTTTGAGACGTATGGCATATCTTCATCATAACAGGATACTGATATATCACGAAGGCCAGAATTTGCAGACAGCATCTGGTATAAGGCCCAAAACCCGCCAGAAAAATCGAGGTTTTAATGCTCTTCGACTCTGGGAAGGAAACGGAGTCTAGACCCTTCATCGAGTGATCGCATCTATTTACTTACGGGACAGGGTTTACGCCAATACTGAGCTCTACAGGATGAACAAACCGTTTTTAGTACCCGTCTTCAACAATCTGTGACTCGAAGTTCTATGTCGTAGTGGTGACATATCTGTGATAACTCCTCCTTCATGACAGGGCTCCAATGTTTGACCACCTCTTTCAGCACGAGTGTCTGTAGCACCGGCTTAATTTGAACCCCTCTAAGATTTCTCAACCTGTAAGTGATAGAAAATTTAGTTATTACCACCCCTGGCATGATTCAGAGGGAGCATAAGGCATGGCTCCCATCAGGCATTGAGAAAAGAAGCCACAAGCTGTTCTGTTACGTACCATCGTCCTACAGCAGAGGAGACCGCAGTGTCCTCGCATTCGGGATTCCATGGCCAGTCAAGCAATAGATCCTCCGTAATTGTCAGGCTTTCGAGGTTTCGGGATATCACATCGTCAATTGCGATTGCACCACGATCATCAACGTCGCCAGTCAAGAACGGCAACGGGACCTGGAGAGCTTTCATGTGATCAAGCTCCACAATGCGTCTCAGGGTGATCCCTTCAAAATCAAGGAAGTCATATTCCCAGGATTCTTCGAGAATAAACTTGCCCGTGATTATTAGATCGTCTAGCGTTTCGCGCACATGAACTAGACCGTCGCCAATATCATCGAGGCCTGACCCAGGGTGAACTTTCTTCTGGCCTGTCTAGATGGACTCCGGACCGGTAGTACCAGTTATAATGGAGTTTCTTGAGTGCTGGAGTCTTTGAGAGTAGGTGGCCGAGATGCTGCGGTTCAACAGCGGTTAAGTGGAGTATCGTTAGCAATGAAGAATCAGGCATCTGCTTGGGGAAGTCCTCCCAATCTATCGGCATAGATGAGACCAACGAGAACTCTTGGATTGCTGGCAGGTAGAACCATGGGAGTAGGTCCGTAGATGTGAGCGAATAAGCAGTACGGCCTTGCCTAGCATCAAAATTGAGACGTAGCACCTGCAAGTGCTCATAGGTGGGCAAATCATGACCAGTCTGTTTGAAAAGCGCGGCATAGAATAACCGTTGCAAGAGTGCAGTTTCGAACGTAAAGATTGGACCAAGAACCAAACTCGTGACATGGTGTAGCTGAGATAACATAAGTGTGGTCAGAGTATCCATTGCGCCTTGCAACATCAGGTCTTTCCATGAGAGTCTCTGCCACGAGGGCGCAAAACTCACCCGCGTCGGCTTCATGGCTTTCACTGCTTCGTCGTAGTCCAAGGTGGAGATATCGATTCTGGGAGGTATTGAATCTCGGTCTTCGTGATACGAAATGAAGGAATTGCCAAGTAATGAAACACTTCTCACGTGTGCAGCCAGCTCTGGTCTACGTAGAATTGTACGAATGAAAGCTGCAATAGGAGGTGGCCGGTCTTCCAGCCATGTCCATTCGATACTCGAGTATAGTATTGGTTCGCAAATTGCGCGTGACTCTTTGCTGACAAGAGAAAGCGGATGGAGCTCAGCCGGTGAGAGTAATTCTAGCACTGGAATCAACACATCGCCAAGCAAATCCCAGAGTGAGGCATTTGGAGACCCCTGCTTGTCATCGTGAGCATGTTGCGAGTGTCTATTAGGGTATGCCCACACTTACCCGGTGTAAAATCTGCGAGGACATGACTGTGAAGGTTTAACTGGTGTGGCGTAAGCTGGAGCAGTGGTGATGGATGGCTGTGTTACCTCAGCCGGCAAAGTACCTGCGCTGAAGAGCTCGTTCTCCTCGGGCCTGATCATACAATTTAGCATTTTCATGTATACCACAAGGAATAAGACAAACCTGAGAAGACCCCTTAAGAGTGGCTTCTGAATGGGCAATAAGCCGAAGCACTAGGAGCTAAGCGTATATATACCTGGAACGGCCTGAAGCGGCTGGGAAATTTTGTTGTGTCAGCTTTTTTTTCATGTTTTCTGTTACCTTTTCACAACCTGGTCAATTTTTCTTTATGAAACCAAACTGAGGCAGACAAAAACATTCCCCCAGATCGTTTCTCTTTCACAAGGTATGAAAGTAACTCTAAAGGTCTTTGTTCTGATAATCACGTGAGGTACACGTGAAGTCTCCAAACATCAATCAACTATTCGTATTCTTTCAACCGATATATATCTGCTCTAAGTTCTATAGCACGATCTTATATCAAGCTAACGCCTCCGATTCAATAAAGCAAATTTACATAGAATTCCACTCGCTAGCACATATCACTGAACGCCGTTCCACCGTCTAAACCGTGCCCTCGAGCGTCGACCTCGCCTTTCTCGCCGTAACTTCAATAGCAATCTTCATCTCATCATTCATTAACCCCGCCTCAATCATCGTCGCCGCCGGCCTAACATGTCCCCACACCGCCCTCAGAGTCGGCCAAATCTGACTGAACTCTTTCTTGTCTGGCAAGATGTACCTCACGCGGACGACATCCCGCAGCGTGGCTCCAGCCTGTTCAAGCGCGGCGGCGATGTTGATGAATGCTTGCTCGGTCTGCTCCACTACAGATGGTGCGATGAATCCGGTATCATAGTGAACCCTAGTATCACTGTAAGTACGGGTGGATCAAATACGAATGGATGAGAAACACGTACCCAGTGGTTCCAGATACCTCGATCCACGACCCAGTGACCACCGCGCGGCTGAACCCTATAACATCCTCAAACTCAGAATGCGATGTGATATTTTTTCTTCCGTTTTGTGCTTTGAGCTCTCCTATCGTTGGACGAGGAAGATGGTACGACTGACGGCGCTTGTCGATAAATGATTTCAACATCGCGAATTATTGGCGGGTCCTGAGATCGACTTCTGAAGAAATGTTGGTGGAAGCCGTCACGGTCTTTAATGATTTTCACAGGCTGCCCAGAAGTGCCAAGGTACGCATCGTTTTATGGTTGCTGAGAAGTCAGGATGAAACAAAGGCTGGAGCGATTTAGGGCTCTGGAGGTCCCAGAGCTCTTGGACGTGAGGGAGCGGGGGAAAGCCAACTATTCACCTACACTCCCTGCTAATAATGCGATCATAGTGCTGTATGATATTGGATTTGAGGCTCTGCGGAGATGCTACCATTTTAAAATGAGGCTCAAGGAAGATCGCCCAAACGGACAGGTAGCAGTTTGAAAAAGTATTGGGGCATCAGACTCTGGTCTCGCTCGCAGCCTGAAACTGTCAGAGAAACACCAAGGCTTTAAGCGAGTACACCCAAATCGAAATCCTGAAACGAGACATTTTCTCGGCGACTTTCTTCATCATTTTCTCGGCCGTTGATGATATTGGTCGGTAACAATCTACCTTTTTCTCTTACCATTGGCTGGGCAATAAGGATAAGTGGTTGGCGAGAGTTCACCACCAAATTTTACAATACTGCCAGAGTGCCAATTGCCAAATTTGGATTTCTCTCCCGATCGCGGGTATGTACCCGCTGCTCAAATATCTACAGGCAGAGCTAGGTACCTATTCTCAACCTACACAACTGTTGCTAACGATCTGCTGTGAACAATCATCTCGGCTACCCCCGCCATGACACAGCTATCCCAGACCCCTTCTTTCCTCGGCCTCATGGCTTTCAAGATTCCCACAGTTTGATCCTCAAGATCGCGGTCCACTGTCGCAAACAGGATAATAAATATACACATGATAATCCCGAAGTCGAAAACGTAGCACCTCAGGAATTCCGGGTCGTGAACAACCAGCCCGCTTAGGTGCAGCATTTCCTCACAGAGACCTCGAACGCTGCCGTATTTGATCAGCACTTCCTCCAGGGCTAGATTCGTGCTTGTCTCGATGCGAAATCCAACTTCGCATGCCATGACGAGTAAAGTGGCTAAGCCCTGGATCTTGACCGACAGAGCACATCTGTACTCCGAGTTGCGGTGTGGTTGGAGACGCTCAAGCAGCTTGTCCATGGCAACGTGCCACTGCTTGGTCTCAACGAAGCGGTCAAAAAACTCCTGAGCGGGGACCAATCTCCCGAGATCCGATCCATCAACCTCCTTGCCGCGAAGTCGATCTATTTCTCGTAGAGCGTGCTTGATGGCGTCGTTGGCGAAGTTTGGTCGACCCCAATACTGCAGAAAGCTGATATACCTCCGTGCAGTGAAGACATTCGGAAAGTCGTTTGGGACAGCGATAGAATCTGGTGATCTATGAATCATCCCGAGGACTGTCTTTACCGCAACTTTGTTATTGCTGTTGCTAGTTTGTTTAGCCTGGATTAAGAATCCTTGTTTATCGAGCCGGGCAATCATGTCGATGATGACTTCCTCCAATGTCTCTGGACATCGGATATCATGATCGTAGACAATCACTGGAGCTTTTATCGATCGCATATTCTTGAACAGCGCTAGAGTGGATCGTACTTGCTTGACGGCGGTGTCGATGTTTCCTTGTTTAAATTCGAATATGAAGATAAGAAGGCTTGCAAGTAAGAACATTCTCACATCTGGCTGGTTTTCGGATGCCAGGTACTTTCGTATGTCCCTAAGTGAGCTTTGGTACTGCTTCAGAGAGTACACCTCATGGTGGTGACTTGTATCTGGAATATATGTGCTCCTTCTCAATCGCTCAGATCGTCCTTGCGCAGCCAGCGTTAAGGCCATGTTGTAAATAAAGGGTGCTTCGTGGCATGCCTGGAGTAGATAGGTCTGCCATAAAGGTTCGTTCCAACCACCAGAGAGCTCGTTGACGGACTCTTGCTTGAAGTACTGAAAATACTGGAGTTCTTCAGGGTTCGTTGGAGGACTGGAGGAAATCGCTGCTGGGACGCTGAAGAATGAACTTGCGGAATCTCTTGCATGTTTGGTATCCGCTTCTTTGGGAGGCACTTCACGGCGGACGGCTGGCAAAATGACTGGATATGATCTTGTCGTAGCTTGACCGGGCTTAGGAAGCAAGTCTCGGCGCACGGCAGCCGGCTTTGTCTTGGTGGGCTTCAACTCGTACCCGTCACAGACAAAGCCGAGTCTTTGACATCTCAGGCACAAAGGCTTCACCTCGTCACATTTGACATGTCGCTTCCTGTTGAATTATCATTATTTGGCATTCCAGATCAAAGAAACTCCATGTCTGCCTACTTGCACGTTATGCAGCCAGTCGATACCTTTGAAGGCGGTCAGCAGTTTCCCTCAGGCCAGTAGTTACGACAAACCTTGGGCAATCCACGTCTCCGTCTCTTCTCTTTAGGTCGCAATACCACAGATCCGTCTGGGAGATGGGACGTGTTTGATGGCTGCATGGTAAAGTCAACACTTTCTCGACTGCACAGAGGAAGAGGTTGAACAGTTCAAAAATTGTTCTTATGTCATTGCGGTACACCTATCCCCTGCTAGCGCTGACGTGTGTCCTCTGCCAGGGCTCAGATTTATCCCAGCATCAATCAACCAGTAGCAAGATGGATATTGTAAAGCAATTTTGAAATATATAGGCACTGTGTGTAAGCTCTGTTCTATTGCCCGAATTGTGGTGTCTAGTTGAAGAACTTAACTACTAAGGAAATGTCGTCTTTGGTCTCTCAACATTGAGTCTCACGTGCATAGCTCCATCTGGGACTTGGGCATTAACAAGAACGAGCCCTTACCTGAAAATCAAGACAGCGAGAGCCACGAAAACTGACGGCAGGGCCTCAGTTGGTCTTTGGCTCATCGCAGCGTTAACAGGATTTGAGAAGATTTAGTCATGTGATCTCGTCCTTCACTCCTCAGCCCTCAATAGATTTCAGAAATGTATTGTGCAGCTCAGGCTGAATGAAAAGGCCACTTGTATGAAGGAAGTGCAACTAAGTTTATACTGTTTCACTTCCTTCATAAGAACAGCAGCGCTATTTTGTGAATGAAGATTGCTTACTAATCATTCCTTAAAGTAGAATTTCAAGGCGTATGTCTGGATTATTTTCTGTTTACTGTTTTATGAGTAAAGCAGCTTGCCAGCGTTTATATTGCCACCAGTGGCAAATCAGCTCACTGACGTGGCACAAATGTTCCCGAATCCAAAAACCTGCAGCCACCCTCGCCTGTCCAACCCTTATTGGCTGACATCCAAACATCGCTTAAACGCCCACCAATAAGAATCTTCTTTAAGCCGTATAAAGTGCGTATTGCCACGTCAGCTGAGCATCTTGCATGCCTAAGCGTTTGTTAAAACATTTCTTGGCTTTGCAATTGAAACCAGGATTATTTCTAAGCAGGCATGAGTCACTAATACTTGACGCTAAAGCTTTGGTATAAGTATCTCCTCTTTCCCCAATGTAATTGAAGATCATTGATGCTGCCAGTGTGTAATGTGAGTATAGCCGAAAGCAGGGAAACCTTCCTCTATCGTAGATATACACTTACTAGGCATTACAAAAAGAGATGCTGACACTGCCAAGGCGTCCTGCAATGGCGCCATCGCAGGCAACTCCAAATCATGGACAGAAGTCACCACCAAAAGATTCCATTCATAGAGTAAGAAGTGGTAAGCGAGTCAATAATGCAACACAAGTTACTGTTCACTAACATTCAACATAGGCTCGGTGCAAAAGCAGACGAGTCCTCCAGTACGCAGTCCCACGATGGCGACCGCAATACAAACGCCGTTTCCGTCTGAACTAATCTCAAATCGACATTCAACCCAAGATGTCCAAAACACAGATCTCACGACAACATCCACATCACCAGCAACTCAAACCGGTCCCCTGATCCCGGTGATCGTTCATAATCCCGCCAATCACAACGAATTCACCTCCCGCCCAACACCGTTGTTCGTCCTCTCACGCTTTCCCTACTTCCAACAGCGGATCCGAGCACTCAAACCTACCGACCCACACGCCCTCCATATCGTCGCAGGGCTAGAATATTACGATATCGTAGCGAACTGGCTCTGCACAAATAACATCCGTACTCGCGTTGGCGGCGTTCCCGGTTTCTACACACTAGTGCAAGTCATATTCTTAGCCGACGAACTCCAGCTTTCTGAGTTGTCCAATCAGATCGTCAACATGATGAGAATGCGGCAATACGCAAGTAATGATCAATCGCGCAAGCTTCCAAATTACTTTGAGATCTATCAGAGGACAACTGCCGGGCACCCGTTCCGGCGCTTTATGGTGGAGATGTACGTTGAAAAAGATTTTCGGGGCCCGAAGTCTCCTGCACCGTTGGTTGATCTGCCTGCTGGAATGCTAGTAGATATTATACAATTGCGTGAAGAGAAATGGAAAAACTGGTCGCAGGCGGCGATAGAGCATAAGATAGCCAAGGCTAAAGAAGAGCTCGAACTGGAGAGTCAGAAACGATTTAATGAAAGAGAAGCCGAGCTTGTAAATGTTTATGAAGAGAAGCTCATCAAAGCTAGAGAGGCCGTCGCGATACTTAGCAAACTAGCTACACCTGGAGATGCTTCGACTTCATCCACGGTGTCCCATGCCCCATTGCCAGCCCTCAGTTCTGAACGTATCGGATTTGCGTTGCTGGAAGACATCAGGAAGACACATCAGAAACTCCTAGAGGAAACGAAGAGGAAGAATGATGAACGATATAACAACCTCGTTGAAGAAATGAGGCAGCGAAACTCAGAACACATAGAAGCCGTACAGTTTATGGAAAAGGCTACGCAAGCTAAAGAAAGCCGGCTTATGAAAGAGCTCCAGGAACTACGACAGTTCAAACAAGATAACATCACGGCTGCTCAAAACATCACGGCTGCTCAAACCACCGCAGAAGAACATGCCAAAATCGTCGAAGACCTCCAGAGGATTATCAGAAGCAAAGAAGCAGTAGAAGCCCTTCTCTTAAGCGAAATCGATGACCTTCAAAAAGGAAAGGAGAAAGCTAGCTCTATCAGTAACCTTCCAAATAAGGACAACGTCGCGTTACTAGTCAGGAATATCGAAGTACTCAATAACACTATCGACCTGCTCAAGCAAGTTAATGCAGACCTCCAGAAAAAGAATGCCCAGCTAGAAGAAGCCACCGGACGGCAACAAAACGAGCTCGCTGAAATGAAAAGAGTCCATGCGAATGCCGAAGAGCGAACCCAAAGAGAGCTAGAGTCGTTACTGCAGAAGAATGATGAGAATGCTCAGAAAGCTCAGAGGTATCAAAAGGAGGTGGAGGATCTACGGTTAGTGCAGAAAACGATGGAGAAGAAGTCTGAGGCGTATAAGAGGGAGGTGGCGAGGTTGCTGAAGGCCAACAGAGAACTGGTGTCTCAGTTGAAAGATGGTGATGAGGATGACGAGGATGATTAAGTATTGAATATCGAAACCTTGGAGTAAAATGGGACATGGGACTGTAGACGGTCAGCGCGGCGTCTGGGTTGGTTTGGGAAAATATCTGACTTCATGACGAACTGATGGCCTGGCGGACTCTACGGACTGAGATTTTTCCGTAGATGTTATGAGATACCCGATATGATTATTTTGATTTATAACCTGAATTAGCGAGAAAGGCTCTGATTGGTGGTACCTAGTAGCAAGAAAATACCCGGGCGAGCCGGGACCTCAAACCTCGGCTCGGTTGGATACTTCCGTCTCCTGTCGATCAACAACACCTTAAAAGATACACCGCTTCACCTTCAACCTCTCCTTTCTTCCCATTCACAACAAAGTAACTCTCCAGTCGAGATTCCGACCCTGAGAACTTTTTTTCCCCACGATTGCACGTGAAACTTCATGCACAATTGCGGCGTCCGACCCTCCACGAACCAAGCATTGAAGATCCTCCGAGCCTAGTACGGTGACAAGCTTAAGGATAAAGTCACATCGTGCATTTATCTCGATCGTACCCCACTTCAATGCGGCACGACAGCACGAGTATACCAATAATACGCTTGTCGAACTTCTACATGTTCATATAATTGTTAGGCCGTCTCCGTCTGGTCCGGAAAGTTACGTTTTCAAGCTTCCAGGGTCATCTTGAAGTGTCGTTACTAGACGACGGGTCGGGAATATCGATATAAGAGCTATCATTCATAGCTTTTACACCCCACTCTGTCCCATCGTTCAAGATTCCTCCCTCCGACAATCCACCCCGAGTTTGGACTCACAACACCACCTCACGATGTTCTCACTTCCCACCATCCCCCTCATCCTCTCCCTCCTCGGCACCTTCATAATCTACAAGCTCATCCAACACCTCCTCCTCACCCACCACAACAACCATACCTCCACCCGCCTCAACTGCCTCCCGGCCCCCTTACAACCCAACACCCTCCCCCTAGGCATCGACCACATCCTCACCGCCCTGAATGCCATCTCCACCAAAACCTTCCCCTCCTACCTGGTGGAACGCTCCTCCTCCCTCCCCCTCACATTCCGCACCACCATCCTCGGCGTCCCGCGCCTCTTCACAGCCGACATCCCCAACATCCAAGCCCTCCTCGCGACTCAATTCGAGGATTTCGACTTTGGGGAAATGAGACGCTCGAACGCGCATCCGTTTCTCGGGAAGGGGATTTTCTTGCAGGATGGGAGGGAGTGGGAGAGGAGTAGGGCGTTGATCAGGCCGCAGTTTGCGAGGGCGCAGATTAGTGATTTGGAGCTTGAGGAAAGGCATTTTCAGGTTTTGGTGGGGGGGGTTGAGGTAGGAGGGGATGGGTGGACGGAGGAGATGGATTTGCAGCCTTTGTTGTTCAATTTGACGCTTGATTCTGCGACGGAGTTTTTGCTGGGGAAGTCGGCGGAGAGTCAGAGTGGACTTTTGAGGAGTCGGAGAGAGGGGAAGGAGGGGAGGATGAATGAGGAGGGGAATGATGCCCAGGCCTTTGGGGAGGCGTTTGATGTTGGGAATGTGGGGTTGGCTACCAGGGCGAAGTTCCAGCCGTATTCGTACCTTTGTATACCGAAGGGATGGAGGAGGGCAATCAAGACTTGCAACCAGTATGTGGATTCTATCGTGGCGGAGCATCTCCAGAAGAGACAGGAAAAGATTGAGAAAGGCGTAGAAAGTGATGGAAAAGAGGGATACGTCTTCCTCGAGGCTCTAGCCAACGAAACGCAAGATCCGATCGAGTTGAGATCTCAGATCATGCATTTGCTTCTTGCTGGACGAGATACCACCGCATCTCTAATCGGATGGCTGCTCTTCGAACTGGTGCGGGATCAAGCGCGGTACAAGAAACTCCGAGATGCGATTATTGAGGATTTCGGAACATGGGCAGATTGCGATCTTGAAAGTATCACGTTCGCGAAGATCAAGGCTTGCAAATATCTCCAATACTGCTTGAATGAAGCTCTGAGACTTCAAACCATCGTCCCGTATAATTTTCGTGTGGCGAATAAAGATACCACACTACCGAGAGGTGGAGGTGAAGATGGGAAGAGCAAAGTCTTCGTACCGAAAGGCATGATGGTATTCTATAGTATCCACGTACTGCATCGTCGCGAGGATATCTGGGGTCCAGATGTCCACGAGTTCGTTCCTGAAAGATGGGAGGGTAGGAAATTAGGGTGGGAGTACATACCTGTAAGTTCCGCCAAAAGGTCAAACAACAACGCTAATATCCGTCAAGTTCAATGGCGGACCACGGATCTGCGTCGGTCAGCAATATGCCATCATCGAAGCGAGCTATATCATTCTGCGCCTATTGCAAAAGTATGACAAGATGGAGAATATGGATCCAGAGCCCGAAGCGAGATATCACTCCACGATGACGAGTTGTAGCGCGAATGGGGTCAAGGTGAAGCTGCACGAAGCCTGAGGAGAGACATGCTGCCCAGATATCTCTATTCACAACCATCATAAGAGCAGAAACCGCGATGATGGACGACGATGAATATATTGTCGCAGAGAGGCACATTACTGAGCAAGAGAAAGGTTTTCGCCAACCTTCCAGAACGGATCACCCCTGTTCTAGCTAGAATGCTAGAATGCTCCTGATAACATTTGCCGAACAGAATTGAAAGACTGGTCAGGTGTCGAGGATCTACCTCTTTCCGCACAAGACTTCATATTGCGCAGACTACTTGTTGTATATATAAATACTCCACGGGAGCAGGCAAACTAATGCCGTAATATTAATGCACAGAATTTCAATTTCATGTTGTGAAAGTCGTGAAAGTCGTTAAATCACTCAAGCGTCTAAGAATATATACGCCAGCCTCAATCCCCTGCCCGGTCTTGATCTGACCTGGAAGCAGTCCCCAAACTCCAAAACGCATCGCTCAAAGCCTTCGAACGCCGACCCTACACAACCCGACTCTATTGCATCTAGGATCCCATCCCAATCACTGCGTACGTCTCCTCTTTGCGCGCTCACCCTCTCCCTCATTCTCATCCACATGATACGGCCCCATCTCCACTACAGCCAATCTATCCCTTGCCGTCGACCTATCCCGAATAGCATTAATAATATCCACCAGCAGCTGATGCGGATAATTCTTCGCATTCTTAATCTGCGCCAAATACAGCGCCGAGCACACCCGAACGACATACAACCTCAACGCACTTTCCGAGTTCGTGTTCTTGTATATGATAGGGAACAGCTCCGAAGGTAATCTATCGTTTCCTTTCTTTTGGCGAATCTGCTCTAGGAGATCGATAGATTGGTTCTGAAGAGATGGGACGAGGAGCCGGTCCGCGAGGAGCCAGAGATGGACGAGGGCGTGGATGGTTGGGACGTCGCCGTCTGCTGTGACGATGTCTTGAGTGTAGAGCCAATTGGCGAAGATTCCGAAGATCGCGGGCGGGACTTCATGAAGTTCGACTTCCTGGCTTTCACCTTCGGCGAAGTTGCCATTGAATGCGGCGTCGAAGAAGGGAGAGTAGTGGCAGACGTGACCTTTATGTAAAGGGAACGTTTGGTGGTGTGTTTGGTCGTCATCGACAACTCCCTCTGGACCGGTATGGACAGTTACCTTGACGATTTCTTGGGGACCCCTGTGGCTGTCAGTGACCTTTCATCCAAAGCATAAAGTTTGTCTTACACGAGATTTGGACGCTTCCGGTTCTTGTGAGGATTGTCTTGAGCTCGCAAGCTCATGGTGGCGGGCCTAGCACCGCTTGACTTGGTAGTCATTCCTCTACCCATGAGAGCCGCTGCTCGAAAGGGTGAGGAGCCCGTACTTTCATTGTCATCTGGGGACGACATTTTTGCTGCTATACTGTCTTCCGCAACTATTGAGATGTGGGGACGTCGTGACAGCTAATGGTTAGATGATCTAAGCGCGTCCAGCACAAACATCCAAATGTACGGCGGCTGTCGCCTACTGTGTCAAGCAAAGAATGGCGATATTGGTTATGTGGCGCGAGACGGGTTGCTTTCTAAACTCGCGAGATAGATACACCGCAGCTTGGACCGTCCTTCTAGCTTCCGAAGTACTGTAGCCTAGGCCTGCTCGTACTTGCGAAGACAATCATAGAGTATTTCGGGCTATAGATTTGTTGGACGTACGGATTGCTGATCTGCTGAATCAAAACTCTCGAGATGTAATATTTTGTAAGTTTTGGTTGGAAAGGTGCTATTGTGGAAGCTTGTGGGCTTGAGGTCGTTGTGAAGTGAAGTGAGGTCAGAGTTGGAAGGCTTCACCTCAGACCCCACCAAGCACCTGATATGACTTCGTCCAAGCCTGTTTGGGTTTTATGATATATGCTAGGACTTGACACAGTATGAAGAGTTCTTAATTCAACTTTTATCATTCAAAAGTAATAATTTCGGTCTATGGCGTCAAAGAAATACATGCATGCATTCATCACGTGCAGGTCTCTCTTCTACTGGCCAAGGGAGAAGCCAAGCTCTTTCTCTCTTGATTCAATACCCCTACTACCTCAAGACACTGATTTAGACATCTACGACTTCAGCGAAAGTTCCTTGGATTGCAATTCGTGCCCTGGGAGACGGAGTTGTTGTGATATTGGTATTTCAACAACTCCCAAGGTGGACTGCTACAGCCAGGATGATTCCCCAGTGCTTTTACCCCAGCTTCGTTCACACAGCTCATAATTGAGAGCATCAAGCAATGCATTCCCCTTCTCCTACCCAGATTCGTCAGCACATAAAATTTTCTCCCAGATGGCAACACTGAGAGAAAGTAGGTCCAAAATTCCGGTCCATTCCCACGATCGAGAGCCATACCTGAAAATGATAGCTATAACAGCATGTGAACTCTCTCTCGATTCCAATCTCACAATTCCCTTCCACCACTGTCAAGTCATGTTCCACCGTTTCAGGATTCATACCAGGCAGCAATACCTCAGCAGGTTGTAGCTTCGAGGTAACTGCTCGCCGCCAGAACCGATTGAGTAGTTCCGATGTGGATAACGACGCATGATCGTTGCCAAGAGTGAAATAAGCAGCAAAGGTCGGAATTGTAGCGAGATTGATGGCTCGGAAGCCTCAAAGAAACCAACAGAACGCAGACAACCGCAATCATCATTGACTGCCATCTGATCTTGAGCCACACGAGCTGTATATGCTGTCGAACCAAGCCGCTAGTCGATGAATTGTCCGGTCAGAATCCCCAAACTCTTCACTGACTCCCATCCTGCTCAACATTAGCCAACAGCCCCCTCCTATACTCCAACCCCCCCATCTCCCTCTCATCCACCCAAAAGTCCTCCAAATCCGGCCTCCACTGCCCTCTCTCCCTCCTCACCAGCACCTCCCTCTCCCTCCTCCTCCCCTCCACCACAATCTCCAGCAACAACTCCCTCGGATAATCATCCGGGTTCTTCATCGCCTCCGTCTTCGCCATACACATCTCGACAATATACCTCCGCAGCACACTCCCCTCAGCGGTATTCTCATACACATACGCAAACACCGCCGATGGCAACCCTTTACTCTTCCTCGCCTCCTCCAGCATACTCAAAATATCGTTCTGCAGGCGCGGGATCAGCATTTTGTCGGCGAGGATCCAGAGTTTGAAGAGGTGGCTGGAGAGGGGCTGCTCGCTGGATTTGTTGATGAGCGTTTGGGTGTAGAGCCAGTTGACGAAGATACCGAAGATGGAGAGGGAGGTGTCTTCGAGCTGGATGGATTGGTCGGAGCTTTCGATGAAGGGTCCTGTGAGGGCGGCGCGGAAGTAGGGTGAGTAGTGGCAGAGGTAGTTCTTGTGGACTTGGAAGGTGTGCCATTTTGCGGAGTGGTGGGGATCGGCGCGGACTTTGACGGTGACGATTGGTTGGGGGCCGCTGGAATGGTCAGCCTGTACTCTACTCAAGGCAGAAGAAATAGATGGATGACCTACACGAGGTTTGGTGCAGGTGGTGGGTTGCATAGGCGCTTGCTCTTGGGTTCTTCTTCCTCTGAATCGTGGGGACGCTTCTGCGAGTCGCCAGGCTGGAGGGTTCCAGACATTGCGTTCGTATGCCACGGGGCTCCTCTACCCATAAATCTCAACGGCCAGAGATGTGACCTCGGGAGGTATTTAGCAGAACCGTAGTACTGGACAGTGAAGCGGTGCTCAAGAATCCCACTCGTCGTATGTCATACCTCGATCGAGCGCGGGGTCACCAATCTCGTCGTCCGCTCAATTGCGCGTCAAAACCGTCCTTCTATTCGCAGACAAATCCAAATTGCAAGTTACCCTTGCATGGAAATAATCAATACTGCCGCAATTGGATGTATTTGACAGTTGTGACAGGTCTGAAGCCTTTCTGTTGTACCAGTTTGGAGGAGTAAGGAGGTTCACCTGCCAAGATGACGGGACGGGGATGCAAGGCTGCCCCGCCTACTGTACAGTGGCTTCGCTTCGCTTCAACCCCGCGCTTCAGCCTCGTTTTGGTTTACAGTACCTCCACTTCTCGTCTCCTCTCCTCTCCTCTCCTCTTCTTGCAAAATCCCATGAAAGCGCCTAATCCACCACCCATTACTAGCCCATGATTGACGACTAGGTAGGTACGTACTCAGATCATCAGATGCGCAGTGTTTTTCAGTACTCTTAGGTTTGGATTGGCTCTGCGTCTGTCTGAGTTGGAATGAGATAGATGGCTGTAATCAGCGGTATGTAAGATCGCCACATCTGAATATCAGCTTTTAAGTAAGGCACTGTACATTTATTTTACTTTACTTACATTACCTTACTGCCTTACCATGTCTATACACCTACCTGAACCCGGGGGGAAACTAGAGGCGCAGGTATCTTATCGTCCTTGATTAGGTGCGTAGTTCTATGTACTGTATACATCACATTGATTGCTATTGTCATCGTCATTGCCATTGCATCGACTCGATAGAAGAGAAGAGAACCCAGCTAGCTAGCTAGCTAGTCCAGCCAGTCATCCCATCCATCTATCTGTCTATCAATCAATCAATCAAAAGCAACATAACACAACACAACAATATATGTACACACGAGACAGGCTCCAATATTTATTTAATGCGAGACAGACATACCAACCTTTGCTTTTCTTCAGCAACAAAAGCATAGCAGACAGAGCACAGGCCGAGACGCAAACGCAAACAGAACACAGAAACCAGCTGTCCGGATCGTCATATTGGCAAAGGAATTTTAGTTGGCGAGGCTGTTTGCTGCTCTGGCGTTTCGTTTCGTTTCGTTTGTATGGTATGGTGCTGTGGAAGCTGATACATTACATAGGGTAGTCCCGTCCATCTTCACAATTGGCTAAATAAGATTATATAACATATATATGACACCATATTCATTCAAAGAGAAAAATCCACACACGCATCCGGTCCAGAGGTTTCGCATTCGCAGTAGCATTCGCTTTCGGAATTCGCGTGGGCGGGCGTGTCGAAATCGGATACGCTCAGGGCTGGCTGGCTGGCTGTCGATCGGTCGGAAAATCGCTCTGGGCAAAAATGACATCTTTTTTGCATTGAACAGCACTGCACTGCAAAAGCACAAGCACAAGCATAAGCACGCACTTTCAAAGACGGAGGCGGAGCACATTTTTTGGTATCACAAAGGATGCTGATGCGAGTGGGAGATCTCGGACCTGCGGCGCTCGATGGTGGCGTCTTCCTAGACGGGGGGGCCGGCGTAGTTCTTCTTGCCCCAGACAAAGTACCAGATGGACGAGACGAGGATGAAGGCTACGAAGACGACGGAGGCGTAGTTCATGGTTGCGGCTGCGACGGGGAGGTAGGATGGCATACAGAAGAGGGGTACGGCGAGGGCGGACCAGGCTGGGTGGGTGTTAGCAAGGAGAGCAAGGATTTAGAGAGGAGGGGAGAAGGATGGAAAAGATGCTTACCGAGTGAAATGACGTTGCATACGAGGCCGAGCATTCCCATGTCGAACTTTCCATACTTGATGTGGGAACGTCCACCGATAAGCGAGACGGCAATGGGAACTGCGTAGGAAACGGTCAAGCAAATGACACCAACACCAGAAAAGGCGTTGAATGCAGCAGAGGATCCGAAGTACAAGACACCGAGAAGGATTTGGACGGCCATACTGAGCATCATGGCGTTGAGAGGGACGTCAAGCTTGGTGTTGACAACCTTCCACCACTTGAAACCGGGGATGGCTCCATCACGGGAGAAAGCCCAGGTAGCGCGAGAAGCAGCAGTAGTGCAACCGATACCGCAGAAAAGGGCAAGGACCATGAGAGGGATGAGAAGAGCGAATGCTCCTCCTTGGTTACCGACTGCTGTGGCGATGATGACGGGGGTTGGTTGACCGGAAACGAGGTTGAAGAGGAGTTCGAGATCTGGGAGGACGAAAAGGAGAGGGATAATGAAGACAAGTCCACAGATGGTGTTAAGAACAATGGTTCCGACCATGGCCTTGGGAACTTGTACGCTAGGGTTTTGGACTTCCTCGCACATGCTAATCCAATTAGCGTTTTTCTCACAGTTCTGATAAGAGGACTTACGAAATAATCATGCCGGTGGAAGATGTAGCATATGCTGCTTGCAAAAGGCCAACACAGAAAGCCCATCCTGGAGTCCAGCCAGACAAAGGCTCAAATTCAGTGAAAACAAATTTTGCTGATCGTCTGCCCTCCTTGGCAAGAGCGAGGACGCAGGTAATAATAGCGATAACACCCGCGAAAGTCCAGAAAATGGCAAATGTCTATAACAATCAATACTGCGCCAATTGACACCAAAATTGGGGTACTCACGTCCAACCATGGCAACCACTTGTTTCCGAGCGCAGAGACCAAATTGCAGATAAGCGTGATAGCCACAAAGACAAGGAAGATCTGATAAGTCTCGGCTTGCCAGATTCCGACTCCCGGCTCAGACTCAAAGACATTGATGCATGCGATAAAGAACAGCGTTGTACCAAAGTTCACAGCAAGGGTAATAGTGATATTCCCCACCACGTACGACCACCCACAAATCCAAGACATGATCTTGCGACACCAGATCGGGGACAGCATAAACGTCTGGTAGTAAACACCACCCGCAGTAGGATACACCGAGGTGATCTCTCCCAGAGAAGTCGCCACGCAGAGAATAATTATCGAGACAGCCACCCAACCCCAGAGAACAGTTGTAGGACCGCCACCAGCGAGGGGATAGAAGAACGTGGTCGCGAGCCCGTAGGGAATCGATGCCAGCACGAAGGACATGAATGCGACTTGCAGGGTCGAGCGGTTGCGGACCAGCTCCGAGGCGTAGCCCATTGCCTCGAGGAGGTCATCGGCGGAGTTGTCGGTGCCCAGCTCGACGCTGGCGTGGCGGGCCTTCTCGCGCGTGTTGGGCCGGTGGATGAGGCCCTCCCCATTGACCACCTCCTTGTCCGAGTCTTTGTATGTAGCTTCCATGGCCGGCGATTGTGCTTGTCAGTGTGCGGCGGATGGGGGTCGAATATATACTTGGTGGGCGATTGTCGTCGTCGTCGATGCCGTCGATGTCGACGTAGAGGAGTAGGGAAAGGCAAAAAAAGAAAGGAGAGTGGGAAGTGCAGATCTAGGCGACTATGTAGTTGTTAAGAAGAGGAGGAGGAGGAGATCGAGAGGCGACGGGAGAAGGAAGAAGGAAGAAGGAAAGGTCAGGAAGCCCAGTCGCGGCCAGAAGGTTTCCAGAAAAAGGCCGAACTTAGATAGGTAAATTACTCTATCTTGCCTTGCCTTGCTCTTCTCTGGCAATGGTCGTCGGCCACTGGTCTTCACTAGGATAAGCTACTGATACTAGCTGGGGCCACCCTTGTGCCGAGGCCCTGGGCATGACGGGGGGGATGGACGGAGGACATGGACGGGGGCATGACGGAGGAGTGACATGGGGCGAGAGCAAGACATGCGCAGAGGTTCACAGAGCATGGGAGCATGGGTGCATTGCATTCCATTATTCCACGCAATGGCTGGCACTTCCACTTGACGCAGAATCGCAGATCCATCTATCTATCAGCATCACCATCACCATCAGAATCGCCTTCAAAATGACGCGCCAAGACCCTGAACACATAGTCATCCATCCCATTGGATCGAACCTCTCTTTCTTGCCCTTTAAACCCTCGGATCCGGCCTAGTCTGTCGGGCCCGCCGACTGCAGTCTGCTGGACTCTCTTCGCGTGTCCCACAATTGGCGCATCCTGCGACGGATGAGGATGCATGGATGGAAAGCCCCCCAGGGCAGGGTCACCTATCACCGCCCGGCTTTGTGATCCACTGGAAGGATACCCACAGCGATGCCCACGTCTTGGCACATCTCTGCTGGGTCCATCCCTCCAAGATAAGGATCTGTCAGGAGAAAATCTGCATCGTGACTTTTGAAAGGTGCATGCCAATCAGTGCACGCCAATTCAAAGATCTCGGTCCCTCAGTACAGTGCAGTGCAGTAGTCCACACGGAGAGTCGGATGCGACGACTCCACTAGATATCTAAATTATGTATTGCTCAACCCACTCATCTCCAACAGAATATCCACCTCCTCAAGCAATTGACTTGCCGAGTCGGAAATGACGAAATGCTGGGTCTCGAAGAGGAGGGGATCAAATTGGACGGATGGGATCAACGCACACCTTGGGCAGAATCTCTTAATGGAAGAGAAGGAAGGGTCCAAAAGAGGGGCGGTACGATATGGTTATCTCCCATCTCCCAATGGCGCAACCAAGCATGCGACTTGTCTCTGCAACCGTACCACTGCGTGGACCCTGACCCAGCAAAAAGTATCTTCCTCTTAGGTAACAACATCCAACTTTTTGAGTATTTGAGTATTTGAAACTTGACGATGACGTCTGTCTGCATGTTTAATTTTCCTTTAGTTTGTTTGATTATTTTTTGAGAAGCTTGAATATTCATTCGTCGAGTAAGAATACAGAGAGATGAAAAATTCGGTTCTGACTGATACGTGTAGTGCGACTTTTTTTTTATCCTGGTTCAGATGGCCGGAAGCGAGATGGGAGGACGTGGGAGCAGCCGTTTTGGGTAAGGCTGCATGTGATCTGAGACTTTTCTGTTGGTTCGAGTTTTCGCAGCTAGGAGAGAACAGGCAAGGCGTAAGATGAGTTGCGACGAAAGCATGTGATTTCGTCTCATCTGCTTAAGGTATCTAGGAATGGTATGATTCAAGCCGGCAGGTATTGTGAAAGAGTGAAGAGCTTGCCCAATTCCCTTTCCTACAAGGAAGGTAGGTAGGTGGCAATGGAATTGACAATCCAGTGTCTTATCACGTGAATGTACCTATCTCCACCCACAGATCTCTCCACCCCAAAACTGCACTGCACTGCGCCCCCGGCCATCTCCCGCTCACTCGCTCGTTCATCCGCTCTATCATCGGATAATTATTATTATCCTCGCACCACATCTACGGAGTACATCCTCATTCATGCCTATGCAAATCACCGGCCAAAACACACACACCTCCAAACTTCCAGGGCCCTCCCCCTGCCCCAACTCCCACCCACGCATCGGCGCGGAACGGGAGCAAACTTCCCCATTAAGCCCATGCTGCCATGCATACATGCTCCAACCTGAAGTATATCAGATATGGAAACTGGTCTCCGTTCTCCGGCTTGAGTAGTCGTGTTAACTCAGCCTCAGCCTTACATTCGGCTTGAGATTTGGCTTTGAAGGTGTGTGGTGTGGTGTTAAGTCAGGCAGGGCTGCGAGTCATGTCCTCTATGATTAAATTTACCTTGTGCCGATACATGATTTCCATCTGTCTCCTTTGCTATTCGTTTTGCAACTCGACACCTTCAGGGGTTCTGTATTCTCAATCCTAAGAGTTAAAGATTTCGGATCGGATATTTGTTTCCTACGTTGCTATCATTATGCATCCTTCTTCCAATCCTGTCCCTGAGGTATGTTTACCTTGGATCGAGCTGAATCTGAATCTGAATCGAAATGGTGTAGAGCCAGTATTTTACACTCACTCCGCTACCTCTATACTGCAAGTTTTCAACAATAATCAAGCCACGGAAACATAGAGAAGCAGGTTTTTCATTAACTTAAAGCTTGTATGTTCTTCATCTACTGAATACATAATTTCTCATGGGTTGAAAGCCATGCGCAAGAACATGAGTTAGGGAGTTTCGTGTTCGGGACTACTACTACGAACCATCAATCTCCTCTGACGACCCGGTACCCCACAAATCTCTGCTTTCATATCATACCATGTCATCTCCCGCACTGAACGGTCTGGGGAAAGCAATGGCAGTAGTCGACTTTCGCGGCTGCGGGGACGCCATTCCCCCCTCGCGCACGCTCCCATGACACAAAGCACTCTCGACTCGTCCAGTTCACTTGATTGTGGTCATTGTAAATACATGTTGGGAAACTAGAATTCCCATCTGGTCAATTGGAAATTCTTCCCTTCGACTAATAACGTAAAATAGGCAATGCTCAGCCATTGGATTCTCTGGGACTGAGGGGCAAGTAAACAAACAGACAAGGCTGAGGCGGGAGGAAGCGAAGTGGGGCAGCTTTGCATTCATGTTGGCACTCCAGCTGGAACTCTGCCTCAAGCCGAAACCTCACCTCTCCAATTCTACAACAGCGAGGCTCACGACGTCTCCCGTCGGCATACGAACTCAACTGTAACAGCATTGAATCGTTCTCTTGGAAGGATCTGTACCTTGTATTTGTCTGCGAACAGGAGGTCAGTCCGAAGGCGCAACCGCCTGTGCGAGGCGACTCCGAGCAAGAGGTATGGGAGGATAAGATAAGAGATTCGAGGACAGGCTTCTCGAATACTGCTTCTCTCGGCAAATCAAGGGGTAATTGAATTAATTGATTACCTAGATTTCACTTTCACCACAGAGCTTTGAACCCTATCTCATTGGACTAGTGATTGTTTCAACAGGCTGTGGAATTGCTTGTATCTCGGTTTAATCTAACTTCTCGATCGCAAAACACTCTCAATTTTACTTGCGATTGACGAAGTTTAAAAATTCCTTCCTCGTCCGAGCTGTCGACTGCAACACCCCGAGCATGCAACTGGTGGTGGTAATTGCTCCAGTCTTCTCCACCCCTCGCATCACCATGCAAAGGTGACTGGACTCTACCACAACGCCCACGCCTTGCGGTTTGAGCAGTTCAGAGAGCGCACGGCAAACCTGCTTCGTGAGCCGTTCCTGGACTTGAAGTCGCCGCGAGAACGTCTCGACTATCCTAGCGATCTTGGACAGGCCAATCACCTGGCCATTAGGAATGTACCCGACATGCATCTGGCGGTGTTAAGTTAGCCTGTCTGCAATAGACCTAGGTAGGTAGGAACTAGGAGCAGAATAGCTGATTGTAATCTTACCTTCCCAAAGAATGGCACAAGGTGGTGCTCGCAGAGGGAAAAGAACTCAATATCTTTCACGATTATCATCTCTTCGTGGTCTTCGTGGAAGATAGCGCCGTTTAGGATGGTGTGTAGATTCTCTTCGTAGCCTTTTGTGAAGAAGAGCATGGCTTTTGCAAAGCGCTCAGGGGTATTACGTAGACCCTCTCGGTCGGGGTTCTCGCCCACACATTCCAGGATTGTCCGTACAGCGCCTGAGAGCTTGGCTAACTGCTCCTCCTTTTCCTTCATGGTGGCCTGCTTCCTCTGAAGTGTTCCTTGGCCTTGGATCTGTCAGTTAGTCTATACTATCACGCTAGCAGGTACACTTACTTGGCCAACTCAATCCATCGACGTCGATCGCTGGGTGCTGGGTATTGGGGCTCTGTACCGGCCTTGTATTTAGTGGTGCCTTTGCAGCTTCACTGCCGTTATACTCTTCCCCGTCGATGGCGCCGTTTAGAGTCTGATCTTTCTCGCCATATTTCCTGCTATCCATATTCGCGCCTATGTGTGATTTGGGAAGTGATGGCGTGGAACGTCGAAGTTTACAACCTGGTGACCCTGATCTTAAGTCTTCTAAACGCACATGCAGCGAATCTCTTCCTTTTTCGTTGATACCCTCGGTGGATACGACGAGCGGTGACAACACGTTTGTCAGTTGGGAGGTTACTGAGGGCTTCGGCCTGAAGGGTGGTGACTATATAGCGAGGACGATGTCAATCGGTATGCAGTGGCTTCGCATGTATATGTATAGGGACTTGTTTCAGGGCGGGTAGAATGTTACCCCCAGTCCCAGAGCAGTGTGGCAGGCCTCATGCATGTAATTAGTTGAGCGGGGTGGTTTGCATGATTGGCTCAAGGGTTTGGGGGTTAACTTCACCAGTACAGACGTTTGTGGTGCGGACTTTTATTCCCTTTGCTATTGAAAGTGAAATTGCTCACAAACAGCAACTCAACCTCTGAAGGCATCAATTCGAGGAGGAAATTTCTACGGCAGTGGACTTCGTTCACTTACCAGGCGTTCTCTAGTACGAGACAATGAAACTCGTGCACAAGCTTTTAACGGTGGTCTATCTTGTGAAAATGTCTGCACTGCTTATCCACTGTGAGGAAGGAAAGATTCATCACCCGTGACGAAGATTCCTTGATCGACAGCAATAGGCGCAACTTCCGGGACGAAAATACAACAGTGTGATAGGAACACAGATTCTCGGAAAAGGTGTAGCGAAACGTTTGGCTGATTATTGGAAATGATGTGGCAGCACAACTGGGTTCTCAACAACATTCGGGGGCAAAATTGGTTGGCTGGTTGGAAATGGCTGGCTGCTACACAACTGGCAAGTTATCGCAACACAACTGCATCTTTTCGAAACTCGTGGCAGCACAACTGCCCTCGAGTCATGGTTCTCACTCCATGTCGTAGGCCTCCCAGGTGCTCACAAGCCGAAGTGCGCATTTTAAACGTACTAAATTTGCGGCCTACAACCAGTTCCTGGACATACGTCTCGGTGTGAGCCTACAGAGCCGTACTCGGCAACATGTAAACCTGTTGTGTAACGCTGCAGTACGCTCAATCGAGGTCCACAACCGCTTGTTGGAGACCTTGATGCCTTCGATTGGGCTATTTGACGAAGTCCATCTTAATGGTGCATTGTGGCATCAAGCTAATTTTGCGGCCTACAACCTCATACTTAGGAATCGGCGTGAGGCTCAAAATTCGATTGCATTATTTTCATGTGGATAGTTCGGGTTCGTATTAGCTTCTCGTCACTCATCTTCTTTCGTAGTACCAACACTCGCTACTCCTACATTTAGGGGGGCTCGGAGTGTTGGTGAGATCCCCCAATCATATCCATGAGACTCCGAGCTCATGTTACAATACATAGGTAGTAATGCCACAACTTCAAAACGAAATGTCCAGGCCGCAGGACACAGGCCTCAAGCTGGCTAGTGAAGTAATGACGGCCATCTCGGGCACAGCTCCATGTGGTGTTGGTAGCACTTTATAATTTTGAACCCTATGAACGAACTTTCCAAGTGGTGTGCGGATACGAAACGAGAACACAAGGGATTTGCATGTACGCGACGTAAAGCAGATACCTATCATTCGAAGCCAAGTGTGCGCTTATGTGAACAACACACGAAGTCTGTCCGACCATCAAGAGAACTTTCATTTCCCGAAGCTTTTCTGGGAGCGCGTGGCTAGTAAGGGAGGTACCTGGCGGACTCCACACGCATGCGGCCCTTCAACAGCACAGAAATTGCAGCTCAATGAGAAACCACACTGCCTTGAACCACCGCATAATTGTTGACAAAATGCTGTTGGAATGAGTCGGTGGAGGAGTATATCCACTCAGACATGTGATCATGATTATATAACATACATACAGCTCAACACGCGTCTGGTCACGACCTTTTACCTGCTCGATTTCCGGTTTGTGTTGAATCTGGCGAGCATGCGATACTCTCAATCGCTCACCAGGCCCTTTAACCGAAGCAATAAGAGTCTATTACGTGTGACAGTGCATCCCAGTTAGGAATAGCTCTGGTGCGCAGGAGGGTTCCGCAGTCAACCCCTCTTCTTGCTGTTCCATTATCTTCAGGTGTGCTTCAACGAGCAGTTGTTGATCTCAAGCCCAAACCAAACACTTCTTCATAAGTTCACCATAACTCGTGCGAGATACTTGTACTCCAAAGACGAAAATGGCTACTCTCGATACCCTGAAGCAGGCTCTTAGGCAGGAAGTCAAGACAACGACATCGTGCTTGAAACAGTCACTGTCCGACACAGAGTACAGTGCCGGCTTCGATATCTTGTTACAGGGCTCAGGATGGACAACTTACCAAGAATTCGTTATCCCTCAATTAAATCAGTTGCTTGCTCCTCTATTCAACTCGCGCGTCCAGATATCGGCACTTGAAATTGGGCCCGGCCCGAAGAGCCTACTTGGATATCTTCCCGGATGTCTGAGGCAGAAGATCAACAAATACACCGCATTCGAACCTAACGAATTGTTTGCTAGAACATTAGAAGAATGGATTGAGACGGAGTCCCCATTCCCGTGTCTGGGAGCCCCGCCCAACGTCTGTCCAGTCCCATTTGTTCTGCAGGACAACATAGAGAGAGGTACAAATACCGGTACGATGAATGAGATGGAAACATACGATATCATCCTGTTTTGTCACAGCATGTATGGCATGAAGCCCAAACACAGATACATCGAACAGGCGTTGAAAATGCTTGTCAAGGGGCCAGATGGCGGGATGGTTGTAGTATTTCACCGTGACGGAGCTCTGCGCCTTGACGGGTTAGTGTGCCATCAAACGGCTTCTTTCCCCACTGGAGTGGTCAGCGTGTCAAATGATGACAAAACACTCGACTGTTTTGCCTCTTTCGTCGCCGGGTTCACTATGCAAGATGTGGACGTGGACAAGGCTGTCCGAGTCCATTGGCGTAAAGTGTGCCGCGCTTTGGGCCGTCGGGAGAAAGCCCAACCGGACCATCTCTTATTCAGCTCCCCCGAGATCATGATGGCCTTTAATGAACATGCGACCACATTGCCGGAGCTGGCAGCTCACGTGCCATTGCTTGTTGGGGATAAGGTGATCAAAAACCGGGAGGCTCGCCTTCACTGCCCGGCCTCGATTGTTAAGCCGACGGAAGTCCGACATGTCCAAGAGTGCGTTCGATGGGCTCTAAAGCACCAAGTCAGCCTGACCGTCGTTAGTGGTAGTCACAGCGGCCAATGTATTTGGCCTAACGTCGTCGCGGTTGACATGAGCGCCTTTGACCAAGTACACATCCTCACAACTGGCGATGATGGGAAGAAATCCGATCCTCTGGTCGTCGCTGACACTGGCTGCAAGGCAGGAGATATCATCGGAAAAACCATGGCGGCGGGCCTGACAGTGCCTTTGGGGGCTCGCCCAAGCATAGGCGCAGGATTGTGGCTACAAGGCGGCATCGGGCACTTAGCGAGGCTCCATGGGCTCGCGTCCGACGCCATTGTCGGTGCTGTGGTGGTCAGCGTAGACTCTGGCCAGGTCCATTGCGTCGGCCATGTACCAAGACAGCACTGGCCTATTGGTGCTGTGCGTCCGGAAAACCAAGAAGATCTGTTATGGGCAATAAAAGGCGCGGGGACCAACTTCGGCATCGTGATCAGCGTCACTTTCAAAGCTTACCCGGCTCCGAAGTATTGCATTCGAAATTGGGTTGTCCCACTGAGCGACAATATCGAAGCTCGCATCAGGCTCGGCAACTTCAATAGATTCGTCGCCAGCGAGCTTCCACGGAACTTTTCTGCAGATGCATATCTGTACTGTGATAACGACCAGCTGCATCTTGGCGTGACCATGTTCGAATCTTCCACGTCTACGCCTACTTTTGAGACGCCTCCGTCCATAGGTCCAATCTTAGGGCCGGAAGATAGTCTCAAGACTGTGGACAGCGTCGGTTTGTTCGACACCGAGATGTACATGTCCGGGATGCACGGTGGGCACGCTGGTGGCAAGACCTCCTCGTTCAAGCGTTGTGTATTCTTGAAAAACATCGGAGCCGTGAACGTTGCTAATACATTGGTGGCAGCCGTTGAGGTTCGGCCCTCTCCCCTCTGCTACCTCCATCTGCTGCAAGGTGGCGGGGCGGTTGGCGACTTGACGGCCGATGCCACAGCTTTCGGTTGTCGAGACTGGGACTTTGCCTGCGTAGTGACTGGTGTCTGGCCCCGCGACGAAGATGGCATCGAAACCGCTCAAGCTGCTGTGCGATGGGTGTACAATGTCGCTGGCGAACTGTTGCCCTTGAGTAGCGGATGCTACGGCGCCGACCTTGGGCCAGATCCAAGGGACGCGGCCCTTGCAGTCAGGGCTTTTGGACCCAATCTGCCTCGACTGGCACGTCTTAAACGCAGCTTGGATCCTCGCAATGTACTGGCTTACGCGTGCCCGTTGCCGAAAGCATCCGTGAAGCAGAAGCTGAAGCTTATCATTCTTGTCACAGGCGAAAGTTGTGCTGGCAAGGACTATTGTGCTGCCGTGTGGGTCGCCATGTTCACCAAGAGCCTAACGGCACGGGCCGTCAGCATTAGCGATGCCACTAAGCGAGAATACGCGGCGGCTACAGGTGCGGACCTCCACCGTCTGCTGACAGATCGTGCCTACAAGGAGCATCACCGACCAGCGTTGACGGCATTTTTCGACAGTCAGGTACAGCAACAACCCCACCTGCCAGAAGACCATTTTCTGAATGTGGTCTACGGCGCCGCAGATGTGGACGTGCTGCTAATCACCGGCATGAGAGACGAGGCGCCAGTCGCAACCTTCTCGCATTTGATTCCAAACATTAGACTGCTCGAGATTCGCGTCACAGCTAGCGATGAGACGCGGCAGGCTCGCCGAGAGTGCCACGGTGATAACAATGATAGCGATCACGGTAAAGGAAACAAGGATAGCAACAACAGCGGGTCGGGTTTGCCAGCCCTGGACTACTGCCCTAGTCTTATCTTCAATAATGATAGAACCGGACAAGGGGCTGTAAAAAGCTTTGGCGAACGTTACCTACTTCCATTCTTGCACGAGAACCTGGAGCGCCTAGCCAATATGGTGAGCCATGTGACCGACTTCCCACGCCCTGGCACCGAGTTCCGCCATGTGCTGGGCATTTCCCAGCAGCCGGGTGGGCTAGCCCTGTGCACAACTCTACTGCAAACCCATTTCATTGGTGATTGGTCTAAAATCGGTGCGGTAGTGTGTTGCGAGGTCGGGGGCTTCGTCTTTGCGTCGGCGTTGGCCTCGAAGATCGATATCCCCTTGTTGCTGATACGCGAAGCTGGCAAGCTTCCCCAACCGACTGTTTCTGTGGTCAAGCCCTCATCGTATATCTCGTCTTTGGAATCTAACAACTCAGAAGAGAAGCGGTTCGAGATAGAGCGGGATGTGGTCCCCAAGGACGTGTCAGTGCTTGTGGTGGACGACGTACTTTCCACGGGGAGGACGCTTTGTGCGGTGCTACAGTTATTGAATAAAGCAGGCGTCGGCGTCGAACATATTAGTGTCATGGTCGTGACTGAATTCCCGTTTCATCGCGGCCGAGCACTATTGCGCCAACGAGGGTTTGGCACAGTCAATATTCAAAGTCTTCTGGTCTTTGGTGGTGCCTAAGGAGAGAATTTCGGATATTGGACTTGTGGGAATACCTAATATGTGCTCGTTTGAGGTCGACTTGTTTCTCAGAGTTTGAGTGTAGCTAAGTTTGGTTGAATATTGGCGATCACATCAGTTGGAAGCCACTGTTGGACTCAAAAACGGGGCAGGTGGTTTGTCGCTGTACAAATTTCGATCCTGATGTTGTCTCATTGGTAGAGTTGATAAGGCTGCCTAGGCACATGCAAAATGGTTGGGTTTTAGTGACCAGACCTGCCTGGAATGATGCCACTTTGGCATGACTCATTTCTTACAACACTTCCCCGCACCTCAGTGGTGGGTAGCAGGTCTCTTTGAGACGCTTATCGTGTCTTTATATGTGATTATTCTTGAGGCTATTGGCTCTCACAATTGCTTGTCCTGATTGTTTACAAACTGCCGCCTGCGACACGTCACCCACTCCTGGCTACGAAATCTAGAATCAAATTGCCTTCAAACTTGAGATCACGCGGCGTGTTGTGCCACAATATTGCAGAATTGTGCTTTGCCTGATAGCCTTCGACGCCCGGCTTCGTATGGGTGTGCGTAGCCGTATTCCCAGCATGCCCACTTTGCAAAGGCCAGGCGGCCTTATCAGTTGATCTTAAATGGTTCGTATTTCCCACGTCTAGGCGGAAAACTTCCCCAGTTTGCGCAAAGCCAACGGAGTAAATAAAAAAACTTCTCACGCCTCCTGTCAAAGCCAGCACCAAGACCTGCCCGTACGTACCTATATGAAATTCATTCACAGATTACTTCGCAAATTTTAACACTCATGACATCTCACAGACTTCAAAATGCCCACTGCAGAGGAGCAGGCGAAGGAGCAGGCCGAAGCTGCTAGGAAGGCCCAAGCCGAAAGGCAGACAGCGCGAGGACGCCGCGGCAGTCACCAGAGGGCTGAGCGACGAGACGACCATAAAACAGTTATCGTCAACTGGAGACGCCGCGAAGAAGAAGAGGGGGAAGTGATATGGGTGCTGATATTTATCATAATGAGCTCTTTGTATTTTTGAGGCGGGAATTGGGTCGTAGTACCAGTTGAGGCATAAAATTGTCGTGGCAGTACAAAATGCTAAAATACAAGTACCTAGGCTGGCTAGGAAAGGAATCTACCTCGGGTACCAACCTAGGTCTCGTGATCTTCTCATGTCACGTGTGATAACAGCAGATCCTAGTCGCCCTGAAGAAGCTTATTGGCTATCAGCTGAATCTAATCCCAATACTTACTAGTGGTGGACGCTATCGGCAACCAAGTAATAGCTTACAGCCTCACAACAATCCTCAGTCTGATCATTCCCTTTCAAATTCTTCCTTTAATCATCGAATGTTGAGCATGAATGGTGCTACTCCAGGAATTGGACCGGTACCTTCCGGCCTAGGAGATCCGGAGAATGCGCCAGCAGACACCCCGGCAAAGGAAGCGTCGGCATCCAAAGCACCCACCCTTCCACTCCTTCATGGTAGAACAACACTAGCTGAGGCTCTTGACGAGGAGGAGAATATGCTCTTCCGATTGGCATATCCCAGCCAACGTTTTGATTTCTTTCTTTGGATCTTACAACATCGCAAAGACTTCGAGGCTATCGTATCGTACCAGCTATCCCTGACCGCCAACGAGATTTGTCGATTTGGAGAAGTCGGAGAGTGGAAACACGGCAGTTTTAACGTTTGTATACCGGTATATATTGATAACTGGAGCAAATTTCCCAGGAGAAGAGTACTGCTTAGGGTGCCTCTGCCCTACAAAGTGGGGGAATCATCATATCCTGGAAACGCGAACGAGAAAGTACGCACCGAAGTTGCCACGTTTGTCTGGATTGAGGACAATTGCCCCGATGTCCCAATTCCTCGCTTATGGGGTTTTGGCTTTCCAGGCGGTCAGAGTGTATGAATCCTTTTTGCAGTATTTCGCATCGAATATTCGGACAAACTGCTGATCTAGACAGTTTATGAGGCCTGAAAACGCACGTTTCGGTACTAGAATGATCTGGTATCTTCGACGTGCCGTATCACTGTTCTTAGGATCTCCACTTCCTTGTCGGTATATAAGCTATAGCCGTTCAATCATTCTCGAACATGGATATCTGCTTATGGACTACATCGAAACATTAGATGCGGAGATGCTTTCAGAGACTTGGACCGACCTTTCTCAAAGTCAAGACCTGAGGATTAATCTCTTTCGAGATCTGTCACGCATCATCCTTTCGTTGAGTCAGGTGCCTCTGCCTCGCATCGGGTCCTGGACAATAGATGAACGAGGTGTTTTAACGCTGACAAATCGCCCATTGATTCATCAATTTCAGTCCCTGGAGAATGAAGGTATTCCGACTAATATAGCGAGGACTCTTACCTATACGACGGCAGACACTTACTACATGGACCTTCTGGCGTGTCATGATAATCGCATACGAAACCAACCCAACTCTATCGTCGACGGAAAAGACGGTCGCGCGCAGATGGCGAATCTCTTCGCGATGCGAGGGCTTCTTCCCCACTTCACGAACCGTGACCTCCGGCATGGACCATTTGTGTTCAATCTCACCGACTTACATGGAAGCAACATCTTTGTTGACCGCGATTGGCACATCAAATATATCATCGATCTCGAGTGGGCGTGCTCGCTTCCTATAGAGATGCTGGCTCCTCCGTATTGGATCACCAGTCGCGCGGTGGATGAGCTCGAAGGCGACGAGCTTCAAACATTCGAGAAGGCATATCAAGATTTCACAGATATCTTTGAAGAGGAGGAGAAAACGTTCTCTCCCGCCCATGGTAGTGCTACGTACCGCACAGATATCATGAGGAGAGGTTGGAAGATTGGGAATTTCTGGTACTTCCACGCACTTAAAAGCCCTAAAGGGCTATTCAACCTTTTCCGGCAACATGTGCAGCCAATATTTGAGCCGAGAGGCGATCATTTCACGCCACATAACGACGAATTTGCACAGATAGTGTCCCCCTACTGGGCTTCTGATGCGCGAGAGACTGTCATTGCAAAACTCGCCGACAAAGCGAAGTATGAGAAACAGTTGCGAGAATTGTTTGAGGACGGTGAGCCAGCCCAATAACAAATACTCGGTCTCGGTACGCGATCAGAACGATCGAAATGATTGTGGTGGAATGAATATCGGCAGCTTCCATCCTGGCTAGGATTCAATGTAATTTGTAATAATATAATTTAGGTAGACAGGATCCTTTTAGACATTATCAGACTTGTGCGGAAATATTTTGACCAGCTGGGCGGGCACTACATCGCGCCGCTAATCATCCTGAAATCAAGGCAAGCAAATCACTTTACTGCCTTCGTTTTGCTTCCATCGACGTCTATGACATGTCCCGCATGAAGAAATGCCTTCGTCGTGTTCTTTCCTTCTATATGGCTCATTGGCAGCGCTGCTGCCATCTATCTCCTGCTAATAAGTTATACCTTCACACTCCCCGTGATACTGCCCTTCATCCTCGCCTTCAGCTTCACTCTTTACCCGCGCTAGGGTTTTAGCCATCTGCTATTCGACTTTGGGATCACTTTGAATACAGAAGCTTGATCTTCCAGTGAATTTTCAGTGCTGTATTTAAAAGCTTCGAAGGAGAAATCACGATATCCAAGCAACCAGGCACCTCGCCAAACCGGCCACCATTTTCTGTAGCCGAGAGGGTACGACAGGACGCGGGTCGGGATTTTGGTTCACTAATCCCACCCCCTTCATGCAACTTGCTACTTATTTCTCGTTTAGAGAGCAAATGCCATCCAGCCCGAATGCATGTTTCCGCATTCCCCACCAATCGATACTTTGCGATAGCAATCATCCCCAATTCAGCCTTCCGGCAAGCTCTCATCCGTGCTGATGCTTACGGTCATTACAAACTTACAAACAAAAGTCCCCCTGCGCAAATCAGCATGTGGCTTCGAAAAGCGGGGATGTGCTTTCGAGACCGTGATGAAACCTTCCTTCCCCCGTTCGCATACGGGTTGATCTACCCGCCTTTAAGGTTTGTAGATTGTCCTAGCTCTTTCTCGATTTAAGCTTCTTGGAACTTCTTGTCATTAAACGCCATTATTGCGTGACTTCCTGCAACAGTCAAATCATGGCTTTCGATCAGCTGTATATCCTTCTGGCTGGGGTCACGGCACTGATCGCTGCGGGGTTCCTTACGCGCTCGAAGTTGAATTACGGGGATGATGTCCCCTCTGGATTACCTTGGGTGGGAAAGCGACAAGGCTTGTTTTCTGATCTACGGACACGAGTAGCAAGTATAAATGCTGTGTTGGAGACAATCGAGGCTGGATATCGGAAAGTCTGTATCATTCCATAGTTCAAAGTGTGAAATAGCTGATGATGGCATCCAGTACTCGAAAGCCGGCCACAATTTCGTTCTTCCTGGTTTTGACCACTCTATGGTCCTAGTCCCAGCGTCGCAGGTGAAATGGATTATCGACCAGGCGGAACATGTTCTCAATGCGAATGAGATGCAGCGCGAGGTGCTTCAGACGGATTACACCCTTCTTGATTCGACACTAGCTCGGAACCCCATCCACGAGCTTATTGTCCGGAGAGACTTGACAAGATATTTGGGGGGGTTGATTCCAGATATCGAGGACGAGCTGAATTGTGGGGTTGACGAATTATGGGGCAAAGATACGGAGAAGTGGACGGATGTGGGGGTGTTTACTTCGATGATGAAAATTGTTGCCAGAACATCGAATAGGATATTCGTTGGACTGCCACTGTGTAGGCTCATTTCATGGCGAGGAATGAACTAAGCTAATACCTGCAGGCCGGAATGACGAGTATCTCGACAGCGCCGGCGGATTCGCACAGGATATTCCAATAAGCGCTGCATTCATTCGAATCATTCCCAAAGTCCTGAGGCCATTCCTAACCTGGATACCGCTCCTTTCAAATAGATGGCATCTCTACAAAGCATCTAAACACTTACTCCCATTCATTCGGAAACGCATATCAGAGCTGGACGCCGCCAAGGCTACAGGTGAAAAGGTCGAATGGAACGACTTCACTGGATGGTACTTGAAGTATGTAGCTAATTATCCCGATCCCGCTGAACGTGCACCCGAGAAGCTGGTGAAGCGATTGATGGTCATCAACTTCGCAGCTATCCACACCTCAACATTCACAGCAACCAACATGCTATTCGACCTCTTCTCTTCCCCCACAGCCGAAGCCGACGTGAAGGAAATACGAGAGGAAATCGAAACCGTACTCGCTGAGTACAACGGAAAATGGGACAAGAATGCCGTGGCGAAATTAATTAAAACAGATAGCGCTGTGAGAGAAAGTCTGCGAATCTCAACTTTCATGAGCCACGGTATGGACAGGGTAGTAGTTGACCCTAACGGCGTCACCATGAACGATGGCCTGCATCTCCCACAAGGAACCCGCATCGGGACTTCCACCTACTCAATCCACCACGACAACAACGTCTACGAGAACGCTAAAACCTACGACGCGTTCCGCTTCTCCCGCGTCCGAGCCGGCGCTACTAAACCATCTACTGCAAACGGAGCGATGAATAAGGAGGATCTCGCGAAGGTTCTAGAAGCGAAGAATCTGTCGACAGTCACTACGTCAGATACGTACTTGTCTTTCGGACATGGACGACATGCCTGTCCAGGACGCTTCTTTGCTGCTACGGAGATGAAGTTGTTGTTGGCGTATATCATTCTGAATTATGATGTCAAGCCGTTTAAGGAGAGGCCAGCGAATACCTTCCTTGCGGGGTCTATTCTGCCACCTATGAAGACGACGATTTCAGTGAGGAGAAGGAAGGTGTGATAGACGGACCTAGTAGACTTCTCTTATGAAGAGGTTTCTTACTTTGTGAGAGGTAATTCAATGGGGCAGTACAAGAAGCATGGAACGGCGTTTCGGGTCAAGACCACATTGGATGGTCCGGGACTGTGGGGTAAACAACTGCGAATATCAAAGCGCGTTGATCCAATTTCTCTTTTCTACTGTTCTAATCACTAAAGCCCAAGTATTTACAGGCACTTGATAAGTGTTTGTTCCCATTTCCTTCCCCACCCAGCCAAAAAAAAAAACGTTTTTCTAGTATACCATATCTCCATATCTTCTCACATCTATTCCAAGCCCCTCAAAACTCCATGCAATGCAATTCTCCAAGTCTCAAAACTATACTTCTATACACAAAATCCACGCATCCACCCACCCATCATCCTCTATGCTCTTCTCTTTCTCCCATCCACCCCTCCAACCGTCTTCACAAACCCGTCATAACCCTCAACATAATCGGCGCCGCCGCATACGGCCAAAACATCAACGCCGCAACAATCGGCACATAACTATACACTACATCAGCCACTCCATTTCCTATTCCCCCCACCCACCATCAAACAAAACAGAGAAGGAATGACGAGAAAGGAAAAATCAAAAGGAAAGAAAGAAGAAAAGGAAAAGCTCACAGCTGCAACCCCCTCCCTATCCTCCTCCCCTGGACCCACCAGTCTCCTCTTGCACCATCTATGATTTTCCCTGGTAGGGCTTGGAATTGTGATATACTGTATGCTCTTCTTCCTTGAGAATGAAAGGGTTGGCGTGTCCGGGTGAGGGTGTTGAGGAGGACGCGGCTGGTTCGTAAGGTGGTGGGGGGCATGTTTATTTTGTTTTGTTTTATTTGTTGTTTGGGTTGGATTGGATTTAGGTTAGGAGCCGAAAGCTGGCTTGTGATGCTGGCGGAGAACAAATGGTGGGTTGAGGGAGGTTGGTGTGTACAAAAAGTGGATGAGGTGGTATAGAGAGTTTCTATAATTTGTTTGAGAAATTGAATAATTCCGGAGATCATCTTCTGTTCTACTGCGATCCTTGATTATCTATATCCATCGCATTTCTCTTCACGGGCTTTGCCCTTCTCCCACAAGCGAGCTGACAACCACATGCTTCACCGCGGGGTTTGCGCACCACCTCTCGTCTGAATACCCGGTCGGAAGGGACTTCTAATCCGCCTGCTTCCGGAATTTTTGGTGGAATCAAATCCCACGGCGTGGTTCGACTCTTTTTAATTTAATGGTAGAGTTTGTCAAGCTACGAAGATGCGATTGTTGCAGCATCGAAAGATTATGACGATGGTGGTGATTAGTGAAGGTTGGGTGGCGCGATGAGGATGAGGATGACTTGCATGTATGCATGCGGGTTGGATTAGGCTGGGTTGGTGGATTGGGTGTAGGAATAGAAATTGGTAAATGGGGTTCTGTAGCATGATGGAAAAGTTGTTATTCGTATCGGTTACAGCTTACTTTTTATTCATAGGTTTAATCCTGAGCCATGAGGATGTATTGGGACAGGGTCCTATCACGGAGCATCAGGCGACACTCTGCCATATCACATATTAGCATTGCGAAGCAAAAAGGATCAGCAGAGTAGTAAGAAAAAGACTCACTGCAAAGCCCTCCTCACCTCCTTGAACGTCCTCGCCTCATCAAGCGACAACTGTTCAACCCTTCTCTCCATCTCCCCATCAGCCCCTCCCGCCATCGGCCCAGAAAGAACCCATCTATAGACGCGATACCCAAGACCCACATACTTCAACGGCTCTCCTTCATATCTCCGCTTTCTTGCCCCATATATTTCCCTACTCAATGTAAATAAATCCTCAGCTATCCCCTTCCGGATCTTCTCTCCTTTTTCCCGCGCTCGATCTTTGGCTTGTCTTTGGCCGTCTGTACTGACTCGATTTATCTCGGGATGTGCTGAGAATGGTTGGTATTGCGTCTGTGACTGAGTATCTTCGGCTTCTCGCTCTCTCTTTCTGGCGTCGAGTTCGGTGCTGACATTGACGGTGGTGGGGACGTGATCTGGAAAGTTGCCTTTGGTGATGATGAGAGTGTGGAGATGCATCATATTAGGCATATAAGTCTTGAACAGCTCGAGGTTGGAGTTATTCATTGGACAAGCGAGATACTGCAGATCAGTACAATGCCCGATGAAGTCTTTCATGTAGTGGGTTCCCGGCGCTGTTGACGTCTCGGTGAACGATAAGCTCCACCAGCTATGACCGACTTGTTGAGCAGGTGATAGAATGGAACTAACATCTTGAACGACTGTGGCGCCACTGAAGTAGTCGTTCTCGTGGGGGTAATGTAGCCCGATGAAGGAGAGAGACGTGAGGCCTCCGGGATTGATCCAGCAGAGGTACTTGAGGAGTCGCTGGATGTCTTTGCTGAGTACTTCGACTTCGATGCGCTTCAGATTCATCGCGTCGTGGAGAAGTGGAACGTGAATCGACTGTCGCTCTTCCCCGAAGTATGCATGATTTCTAAGCTGGAGAGACGAGAGGCATCCTAGATCAGTCAATTGCGAGAGATAATCGGGATTAGCCACCAGTTCTCGCATATCTTTAGGTAAGTATCCGGTGCCTAGGTCCAGTTCTTCAATCCTCAGCAGCGGTAAGTTACGCTCGATACGCTTTTGAGAGTAGAGCTGACAAAGTTTGTGGAGCTCTGATGACCATATTTCATCCCGGTTGGTGTGTGATAAACCAAGATGATTCAAGTGTGGAGATGCAAGTAAAATCTCGACCAAATCATTATGACGATCTTGGTCGACTCGCGAAAGTCTCTGCAAAGAAATAGTCCGTAGATTTGTGAATACTGTCTTGAATGTTGGGAATTCTTGCCGCTTGGATGCCACCAAGATCAAGTCTCGCAGTTTCCCACGCTTTGCGACAGATTCAAGGCCATTCCGGCCTTCACCTGAAAGATCAAGTTCTCCCACAGATGTCGTGACTCTAAGACATCATTAGCTTCAGGGTTTATATTCTGAGGAGTCAAGATATGTACTCCAGAGAAACCAACTCCGGCATCTTCTCAAGACAAGTGTCGACATCAACCCCACTTGCCAGAAACGGAAGGCGGGGTATATTTCGTCCAATATGCAAAGTCTTTGTGAACCCGAGATGAGTCTCAAATGGGAGCTTTGAGATACGTTCAAGATGAGACTGAAACTCGCAGTCTTGAACATGAATCTTTGCATAGAGCATCGGGGTGAAAAGGCGGTTGAAAGCCCTTGAGACCCTGCATAGTGATGCGAGAGTACACCTGGAGTTAATCGCATCGCCGATGGCGTAAAGCAGGTCAACGGGTAGATTCTCTACCATTGTTGGGAGTCTGATCAGGTAAATCGGTGTTGTGATTGATCGAGACAAATTTCATGAGAACAAAAATGCCTGGTTCATTGCAGCCTTGAGCTGAATGCAGGTCGTCAGCCACAAGATCAGCTGGAGTCATTATTCAGCAGTCCAACCGAGCATCAGAACCAATATTTACCCGCTGTAAAGGCATCACAAAGCTGATCTGGATCGTGGGAAAAAATCTGAGATAATTGGATACTTTAATGAAAAGATCTTAGTCCAACTTATCGTGCGGTTGTGCATGTGATAATGGCGGCTTTGAACGGGGGATTGGGGGAACCATCATTGCCCCAAGGCTGTCAGAAAGTCAATATTTATTTTTATTTGCCGAACGCCCTGGATTTGGCGCGATTGGCAAAAAAGCGGTTCAGTCTTTGACCGATACCTAGCATCCACATAAAACATTGCCAAAACCACAGATTTTCGTAGATTTTGCCAATGGTGGCCTGGGAGGCGGATGTCCAATGACCCCGCATCCGTGTCGCGTAAACCTAGCTAGGCACTGACTTGAACTCGACGCATTCTATATCTTTCATCTTCGACCTCAAATAATTTCATGTGGAATTCATCAAAGCTTTCCTTTGCCATATACGTAACATGACACAAGAAAGCGACCCTAACAGACCAGCTGTCAACCCGTCAAAATTATGGACCACGTGGCAGTTTTGGCAGGGTGTCAATCCTCGGAAACTCTCAATTCCAGATGCTGACCTCCGAGGGAAGTGGATCCTCGTCACAGGAGGTAACAGCGGGATTGGTAGAGAAGCAGCATTACAGTTTGCCAAGTGGGGTGCAAATATCGTCCTGGGCTGTCGACCAAATCCGCCATCTCGTGAGCCGAGGCCTGATGCTGTCGTAGAAGAGATCAAAATCGCCGCCAAAGCGTCTGGACATGAGAATACGACAATTGAGTGGTGGGAGTGCGATATGAGCAAGTTCAGCAGCGTGGAGGCTCTTGGGAGACGTTGGCTTGAATCGAATCGACCGTTGGATATTTTGGCCAACAATGCGGGGACTGGAGGGGGAAACGACGGCAAACCGAAACTTACCAGTGATGGCTTCGAAATGCTTCATCAGGTGAGAAATATCCCATACGATCACTCAAGTAAACATGATTCCAATGAGTAGTTTACAGGTCAATTTTATTTCCCATGTTCTGCTCACCCTTATCCTCCTACCATCCCTTGCGCGAGCCCCAGAACCACGCATAATCTGCACGACCTCCAACATGCAGTATCTCGGAGTCTTCGATCTCAGCAACGCCAACAACGGTATAATGTCTTACCCCAACAACAAACTGTACTTCCAAACCTGGCTCACAGAGCTCCAAGCCCGCCTCCTAAAGAACGACAAGTACGACCACATCGTCGTGCATGGTGTCCATCCAGGGTTCGTTATCACGAATATCTGGGGCCCCAAAATGGATTTCTTCACCAGGGTTGCCGGGGTCCTTATGCATTATGTTGGTATTGATGCACAGCAGGGGAGTTTGACTATCACGAATGCTGCTACGAACCCGGCTTGGGGGCTGAAGCAATCTGGAGGAGGAGGGACGTTTGCGAATAGGATTTGGCAAGCTAAGCCGATGCCACAGACTAAGAATCCTGCATGTCGAAGGGAGATTTGGGACTTTGTGGGCCAGGAATTGAAGCTGGATGAGAGAGGACTGCTGCAAGGGCTTGAAATTTGAAGCTTCCTTTAACCGACGGATGTGCGTGACGTCGCAATGTTGTGATTTGAGACTTCATACGTTGCCATGGTCTGTATATGTTCATATTGGGGATTTGCATGGCATGGTCTACAAAACCAAGGGGATATTGTATCATATCTAGGGCTTTGATGGTTCCTTTCTATCGCCTGTGAGAGTTAGTCGTGTGATTGACAGCTTAGTCAAGATGTCCCACTTTATGAAAGGAGGAGGAATCTAGGTCATACTGTAAGCGAAGTCACTAATGGAGATTTTCATGTCCGGCTCACAGTTGTCCGACTCTCTGGACAACATCGTGGCCATAAAACACTTCACCACATCTCGCATCCCAGCTTTCTTCCCGAGATCCCGTTTTTTCGCTTCAAAATGGAGAAGACGATTTATCTAGTGCGCCATGCCCAAGGTGGCCATAACATCGCAGTGCGTATTTTCCTCAACCCATTCTTGGCACGTATCACTCGCTGACTCATGAACAGAACGACTTCTCCATCAGAGATGCAACTCTCACTCCGCACGGAAAAGAGCAATGCAAAGAACTGAGTGCGGCGTTTCCATACCATAATGACGTCGACATTGTGATGGCTTCGCCGCTGCGAAGAACAATTCAAACTGCCATTGAAGGGTTTGCACCAGCACTTCTGAGACCAGGTGTACAGCTTCTGCTCTTACCACAAGCTCAGGAGATCAGCGACAAACCATGTGATACTGGCTTTGAACGAGACGAGCTTGAGTTACAGATTAAGAAAATTCTTGGTGATGAGGCGTCCCAAGGAGGATTTGACCCCAGCCGGATTGATTACAGCGTGCTGGAACCCGGATGGAGCAGAAAGGTAAAAAGGTCCAGCTTGTCCTTTCTCGTCCTCGTTGCCAGCCCAAGAAACCGATTCTGATGGATCTGTAGAGTGGTAAATTCGAGGCAAGCCTAAAAGCGGTCACTGCACGAGCTGCTGAGCTTAGGACCTGGCTGTGGCAGCGACCTGAGAAGACAATCGTGCTGGTAACCCATGGTGCCTTTCTGCACTACTTCACAGACGACTGGGAGACCTTTGACCCCAGCCATGGTGAGTTCTTCTTTGATTCTTTTTCGATCCTAAAGCATCGTTCATGACTTCGATAGGCACCGCATACAAAAACTGCGAGTTCCGCAGCTTTGTCTTTACAAATGATTCGAATGAGAAAGAAGCTCATCTCGTCCAAGTTGGAAAAAGTGGACCAAGAGGTGTGAGACCTCCAGGATCGCATTCAAAAGATATTTCCGGTGCTGAGAACTAGGTCTTTGCACAACTCTATTCGACATTCTCTAGACGATAAATTTTATAGATAAGACTTATCAAGTTCGGCTCATGAATATCTCATCACGTGGTTATCAATTTCCATTCATTGGGGGTTTCAGCATTGTTGGGGGCTGCTTATCGCGAGGAGCCTCTGGCACAGATGAGTGGTTGGTTGATATCGAGTCATGCAATTGGTGTCATCATGTGCTGCATGCAATGCGGGCGACGAATAGGGCGGCGACAACAATTCAACTTGGCGGCACCTTTTCCTGACCTCATCTTCGGCGGCAACGTAAGCGCAAAATTGATGACAACTTTGCTATCGCTCGGCAATCTGTGACCAGGCCTCAACTTAACGAGTTTATACGATATTGACTGGATTTCCTTCGCAGGATGTCCGCTTCCGTGGAGGAGGAAGATGTGGTGGAGATTGGACGGGTAGACGACGACGACTTGCCGCCAGCTAGCTCATCGAAGCAAGTCTGGAAGATGCCATATCAAGGGTAAATAATCCTAGCACTTAAAAACCTGAAAAGGAGCTGTGAGCATAAAGCTGACACAGTCAAAGTAATTCTATCCTTTCAAATCATCGCAGATTGATCATACCTGACCTTTGATAGCTTTGGCTCACCGGAACCGACCTGAGGGAATTGTAAATTCTATGATGGCCCATCAAAAAGATCTTCTCACTAGAGGCGAAAGTGTCTCTCTCATATACTGCGACGGGAACCTGACACTGGATCCGTCAATACTCCAAGGCGGATCTCACGCGATATATGTCTCGCCACAAGGAAACCTGACAGTGTCGGGTTCCAGCAATTCAGCACCAATGAAAGCAATACAGGCGCCGACCTCCGAGCCAACACCCTCAAAACATTACTCTTGTGGCGATTGTTCAAGCGAGTTCAGTTCACGCAGGGAGTTGAAAGATCATGTTGATCTAATGCATCCGAGGTGCAGTTTGTGCCACGGAAGGTTTCCAAATTTGCTTGAACATCTCGATTCGATGCATCCTAAATGTACATGGTGTCAGCAGAGTTTCCTCTCCCAAGCTATGCTGGATGATCATGTGAATGAATCACATCCCAGGTGTTCGTGGTGCCAGGAACAGTTTTCAACTAAAAGTCAACTCAACCATCATTCAGACGCCGTCCATCCAGCATGCCGGCGATGCCACTCAAGATTCGGAAGCCTAGATGAAAGAGACAAACATACCAAGGAGGCTCATCCGAACTGTGAGCTATGTCCATTCGAGGCTGTCACGTTCCAACAGCAAGATGAACATATGATCTCATACCATCCCCGTTGTTCTCTATGCTCAACACCACGCTTCAACTCCTTAGATGAGTACAACAAACACTACAGAACCAGCCACGTCTACTGCAAAATCTGTCTAATGTACCACAAATCAAAAGACCAATACCTAGATCTCCACGCCAAATGCACAACTTGCAACATCCAGCACGACTCCCTCGAAGACATGGACTCACACATGACACTCATGCACCCAACCTGCACCTACTGCCCCTCCCACGAAGCTTTCACATCCTACCACCTCTACAACACACACATGGAAACCGAACACCCCCACTGCGCATTCTGTTCCAAGCGGTACCAAACTTCCGACCGACTCCGCATCCACATCCACAACTCTCACCCCTCCTGCACGCAGTGCGCCGCTATCTTTACCTCACGACCATCACTGCGCAAACACCGAGCGAAGCATCATCCAAAGTGCTCACTTTGTCCGCCCACTGTGGGGCATTTCTCGACTGTTGCGGCGCTGAATCAACATACGCAGGAAACGCATTTCCCGTGTGCGAATTGTTTTGTGTTCTTTGCATCGGAGGGACAGAGGGCGGAGCATTTGAGGAGGGAACATCCGACCTGTGATGTGTGCTTTAAGCCTTGTGTATCGAGAGCGTCTTTGAGGAGTCATCGGATGAGAAGACATCCTGAATATGACGAGTGAGGGCGAGAGGAGGTGACATCGTTCGCCATGTCACCGGCTGAAGCTGGATCCTGAAACCTACGTTTTGGCTTACGATTTTCGAATTCGATGTATGTTGAGACAGTGTATGGGACTGACTTCACAGGTACTGATGGCTTGTAGTGAATTCAGGACGAGGCGCTAGAAAGTCAGGCGTTCGGTACAGGTTGTGTGGGTGGGAGGTGGCAACCTTCAAATCTTAGGGCTTGCGAGGATTTCACGTGTGATATCAGTATCATTAAGGTATATATTAGCATCACTTCCGCGTGATATTGCTAGTTTAGCGCGAGTCTTCATGTACTGTATAGTATTCATATGTTAGGGTGTGGGGAGAGCAACGAATACGTTTCCAAGGCCGGAGCTACATTTATCTGTCCAAACCAACTCTCCACTGTCGCAGCAGCCACCTGCGATCGCTATCGCCATCGCCGGACTTTGAACCTCATCGGTTCTCTAGTTCAGGCAAACGAGATTTCATTGTTCAAAGACTCCATAGAAGCACAAAGCACCGATCTACTCCTTGCACTAACCCCAGCCCCGAACGCTTCTCGGCGTCACCCCTCCCTTAGACAAAGGTCGCACTATATCATTTAAGTTCTCTCCATACGCATGTATCTATCCCCCCATGACCTCTCCATCCCCCAACTAATGTACTTCACTGCACCTATCTCACCTCCAGACTCACTCATAAAACGGACCAAGGGCACGCAAAAGGATCACTCGATGACGACAATCTGGGCATTGCCCTGGGTCGTCGGTTGGCTCCCGAACCCCGCGGCCTTTCCATCCACACCTTGGGCAGTAAGAATACCATTCTTGCTCCCCGGAGCTCATTTTGTATTTACTGTTTTTTCTAGTTCCTTGAAGATGTGGTCTTGATGTTGAGGATCTGGAGATTTGAAGATAGAGTTTGCTTTCGCTGGTTTTTCTGTGGGAGAGATTTGGACGATATGGAGAGAATGGCACAAGGGGAGAGAGTCGCGGGCTTTTATAGATACGGATGGGGTAGGGCGTAAATCCATGAACTGAGTGGGACAGAAGTGATTAACGCAGAGAGAGACACTTGGAATAGACTTCTAAGAAAACATTCGCGCAGAATTTCTCACTACATCACAGATGAAGTGCCGAGACTCAGTCTGCCATTCATCAGTAATGTGTTGGAACGTTGAATGTGTGAATCCATGAAGAAGTAAAAGAAGTATTCGTGAGTGTCTGTATTCTCATTCCTAACGAGGTCTGTATCTCCAGGAGGTAATGCCCTGTTTGCAGACCAATGCTTTTTCAAACCGACACAGTATTGTGCCCGAGCTGCATCTCTGTACATCCCCGCGGGCCGCTCGTACATGATGCGAGCCAGCGGTCTTGCTACCACGTTCTCATTTCAGAGAAACACAATATGGAATCTCTCCTCAAGTGCACCATGCACCACTCTCTCTTCTGCGTGATTGTGACTGATAAATCTACCAGCGACTAAAAGGCGATGACTTCGTGTGAGACGTGAAAAAAAAAAATTCACGAACTTCGTGGAATCGCTGTGATTGATATGGTGTACCTAATGAACCCTCGTCAGCCGATTTTCTCTCGTTGAGAGAATTCTGGAACTCACCACGAGCCTTTCAATCGTATTTCTTCCGCAACCAATAGATACCACCGCCCAGCACGAAGACGCAAACCATGACTGAAGGTCCGTGTCAGTGTATATTCGGCAATTGTGCAGCCAGTAAAGGAAGACAAGATGCAAAAGTGAGGAAATTGCCCTCTTGGCTGTGGAATAACTTACTAACGACAACTCCCTCTATTACAGTATGGTCTACGGCTCTTTTCGCCAAGACGCCGTGAACTTCTCGGACGAGAAGAGAAGGAAGAACAGGCATATTGAATGCTGATGACTAGCGCCTTTGTGAAGTGGTGAATGGATACAGCAATTGTCTGGAAGAAAAAACTAGCGTCAAGCTTGGATGAATTAAGAATTAACGAAAGAAATATAATAATGTTCCGGACCACCAGGATCAACAGCCCTCGCAACAATTTTCCGTCATCGAGGTTCAGACGAAATATATATCAGCAACATATATTTTTGCCGCTGCACAAGCCGCAAAAGGCAGTCGTCAGCACCTGCCAATCAATCACCCGATTCCAAGGCGAGACCAGACTGGCACGGGTTTCAGTCGCCAAAAGCCAGGGCAACCCCACACGAGCATGATCCGATAACTCGGTATGAAACGGGAGAGTGGCCTGATGTCGAGCTGTCAAGACTTTGGATGAGGCGGCTAGACCGATGTGCTGAGGCTGTTGAGGCGTTTGGGGTCGTGAAACAAGGAGGATCTGCAAGTCTTGAGTCGGCTTGGCTGATGGGCAGCGGAGTCCGTGAAGAAGCGAATGGCGGCCCGTCCCCCCTGAATTGACCTCGCTTAACATTTGTTGTCCGCTCATTGGTGATATCCTTCCAACAGTGAGGGTTGGGAAGTTTATTTGGGCGTCGAGCAGTCTAGACCCTGATGATACTCAGTAATGCGGCTCTCATGGATGCTTACATGGACAAAGCTTGTATTTCAACATTGGGGTTTACTTACAGCACCATGACAAGGAAATTACTTGCTTGATTCATCATATCTCGCGCACTTCACCACATCTGTCCCTAGGTCGGAGACAATTCGCAGTACATTCACTTCAGACATCGGATAGTATCTCAACTTCTGACTCGACACTATGCTGTTGAGAGCCCGCCGAGAATATGGAGGGTCTTCAGAAGGACCTCTTCCTGAGCAGCGCCCAAAACATCACACTGGATAAAACATTATCATTAATCTAGTACAGCATCATCCACAATCATGACTAGTGCACTGAGGATACCTCTCTAGATGGAGGCAGCAAATATTCCCGCTATTGCAAGACCGATCATGTTGACCGTATAAGACGTTGAAGCCGCACTTCCGGACGAGGAGGTCGAAGCTGAACTCGACGAAGTGGCTGAATTTGTCAATGATGAAGTTGACGTCCCTGTCATGCCTGGCGTTGCAGAACTGGTGATAGTAGACTGAGTGGTGGATGATGCAGTACTGTCCGAAGGCGCCACCACCGACGCAACCGTGATGTTGTTGTCCACCTGATTCTTGATCCACTGAGCGGCCTGATCCGTGTACAGTTCGAAATAATTCCAATGGTCTTCATTTACATTCCCACCTGCACAATTGGGATCCGTGGCAACACAATAATCTCGTAGGACAGGTGTCCACTGCTTCAATGTCTCAAGTTGAGAAGCTGGTCGGGGATAAGTGCCGTTCTTTTCGGCGCCAGAAAATGTGTTGTATGGTTGAGATGCAGTGTGGCGTCTCGATCCCCATATCAGAATGGCGGTAACTGGATTTTAAAGGTCAGCTGCTATCATTTCGCCCCATAGTCAGAGGCACTTACCCATTTTTCCAGCATCTGAATTGATATCCAGTCCCTCATTACTGCCTTGAACGCAATTTCCAAATGTCCCACCCCCACCAGCAAACATATCGCCCACCACATACGCGCCTTGAGAGTACCCACTCACAACCAACTTTGACTTCGGGCAACGCTCATTATACGCTATCATCTGCGCCTTGCCATTCACGACACCCTCGAAGATCGAATCACAGTAATTCGCCTCGAAAGAGCTGGTGTACATGATATCTTCATAGCTTGAACTGTTCGGAGACTGATACAGGACTTCGGCTAGCTCTGTTGCCAAGTCTGATTGTCGACCTGGATAGTCTTCGTTCAGACCTCGGGCGAGGAAGATATGCGTGTCTGTGCAGGAAGATGTCCCCGGCTCGTGTGCTTGTGCATGGACTGTCACCTGATATGCACAGAATGGGAGCAGCAAGAGGAGTGAAGTGAGGAACTGCATGGTGACTGGTTTGCGCGGTGCACGATACTTTTCAGTCTTTCCGCTGCTGGCTGGTGTGGGGGGCCGGAGGTCCTACAGAGTGATTGGCGAAACGAATTGAACTTCGTCGACGATCAACATGCCAAAAGAGCCAACACCATGGAATTTGTATAAAAAATCGTTTTCATTCTTGTTTCTTGGTAGCTTGGACAAATTCCAACAGGATCCACTGTGGGTCAATATTGCCTTGGTCAAATCAAACGGCTATCTGCTGCCAAGAGATATCATCCGAATTCCGGCTGGGTACATCTTCACAAAGTCCCATCGACAAAATTTACGCATTCTTGAAGGACGTAAGTAATCGATATTGATTGGATCTTCAGACAACGCAGGACTGGTTTTTCACCTCGATTTTGGTTTCATTCGCTACATTTTCACATTTCTACACATCTAACCCGAAGGTGTTCAACAGTGAAGCCGGCACTAACCTCAATCTTCTACGTATTATCCGCCAATGCAGACATTGATAATATTACTCCAAGACTCCAAGTTACATTAATCGTTCCAGTAATACGTTCTGAACAAAGGCATGTGATGTGGAGCCGAAATAAGCGACGGGAGGTAAACAACGACCGCGCGAACTAACCAACCAACAACAGATCAAAACACCCTGTTATATAATCCGTTCCACCCTCCATATCTCTTGCTGTTTGGTACCCGAGATAGAATTGGAAGATTTCGAATTATAGGTGAGCGCTCAACAATATTCATGAACATTTTTCCAGCATCTCAACATCATCATCCTGCCAAAGCTCAATGATCCTCTTCCCGTCCTTCCACCCAAGTCGAATCATCATCTCCAAGCCATCCGCAATCAAGTCAATAGACTTACCCTCATCGTAATCGAGAGGCGGTATAGCAGCTGGCACCAACGAAATCGAAGGAAACGATCCGCATTTCAACGAAAGCATCCCCTCCTCCCACGCTTCAAGCATCCACTTCTCCTTTCCCCAACTTCCACACCACTCCTTTGCTCCCTGATCAATCCTCGCTTTCTTATCCAGAAAAGGAAGAACAGGTTTAGGATACAAACTCGGCCAACCCATCAAATACGCAATCGCATGAACTAGCCTCCTCCTCAACGGCCCGCCAAGCGCCGAGCTCGTCATAACAGCCACACCGGAGAACTTGGGGATTACTGTGTCGTTCTTCCCTTCTACCTTCTTCTTACCCAATGGTTCGAAATCCGCATACCCAGCAACATAACACACATACCCCGGGATGTTATCTCCTGCATGCGCAAATACCCCCGTTCCCTTCTTCGCCATCCACCCCAGCGCCATACTGTTATCCTCGACTTCAGTCAACATCTTCTTGGCCCATTCAACCTCAAGGAAGTCACCTGATTCTAGAGACTTTTGAATGGCGAGGATGGCTTTTAGGAGATCCTCGGGCGTGGTCCATAGACCTGCTGCTGCCGATTCGGCCATGAGGTGGAAATCAGGAGTGGATTTCAGATTCCCTGTTAGGTGGGCGGGTGCGTAATTTGGTTCTGAAGAGGGGATGAATGAATATGTACTTCTGGTCATTCCGAGTGGTTTAAGAATGACTTCGTGCATGATTTCATGGAATGGTTTCCGCAATTTAGTCTCGAGGATGAGTTGAATGACTTGGAAGCCACCGCCTGAGTAGCAGAATTTCTGGCCTGGGAAAAGAGATATCGTGATGGGTTCATTGTTGGCAGGGTGGTCGCCGCAGAGAATTTGCTGGAGTGAGGGAAGGGGTTTGGTGGGGTAGCCGGCAAAGCCATGACAGGAGAGGCCAGCTGTGTGGGAGAGAAGGTGGCGGAGTGTGATCTGAGAGACGAGATGAAGGGTTTTAGGTGTTGAGATCCAGGAGAGTTGCTCGTCGCTGAGGTATGTTGGGATTGGAGCATCGAGATCCAGTGTTCCTTCTTGGCATAATTTGATCACTGCGAAAGCCGTGATAGGTTTTGATATGCTGCATGCTTGGAACAGAGTGTCTTTGTTGAAAGTCTTGGAGTGTTGCTCAGTTTGAGAACTTGCGCTTTGCTGTGCCGTTCCGTAGATTTTGCTGGTGGTTGTACCAGCGTCGAGGACTCCAATAGACACAATTGGTGTTCCTAGCTCAGCAGCAATCTGCTCGACTGATTTCCCATCCTCATTTTGGGATTCGATCAGACTCTCAAGTCTTGCAAAGAAATCAGATTCTGCCATATTCATTTCCGAAGTGAGAACGAGCGAGCACGGTTCCAAGCACTATACTTTGGAATTCGATGAAGGGTCGGCGTAATGCAGATACAAAAAAGATAAGACTCGTAGTACCTTTGTATACTAAGATCAGAATCCTGTTGCCTATTAATAAGTCGACCACAAGCAACGGGAAAATGTTACGCCAAAACCAGTAAAGTTCAGATCGTGCTTACGCTCGGCATGCATACGTCATGCATGCAGATCTCCGACCGATCTCTCAGAACAAATCCACGAATCTTATGTCTATGTTCATTTTCATCCTCAATCGTTTCATTCACATGAATGTAGCAGTGTCGCGTTGTCCTGTCCAAGGATGGGGTAAACATTGCTCGCTTGGCTCGCTTGCAAATCAGCGATCAACTTCACCTCCATGCCAGCAATCTGGGAGAGCAAAAGACAGCCTGGTCTCACGGAAAGCTGTTACACATCATTACATTGATCATTTAGTATGATTTAATTGTTTTAACACGCCAGTGAGCGTGTGAATGCTCCTACAGCACATGTACAGCTCCGGGCAGTTGCGTGCTCTGCAATGTACACTTTGTAAGTCTTTCCGACAGCCATCCATTCAGAGATCCGTACTCTGTCCCTTGAAGCCAGAGACATCTAAGTATCAAGTCTGCGCACCTTCTCCTTGTGTACACCCTCAAAGCTCCCAACTACTTCTTCATCCTCATCTTCAGCATCATGTTCAACATCCCCCACCTTCCGCTTCAACTTCGCCCCCAGAAACGCCGTCGATCTCTCCAATCCAATCCAGTCAATCGACCCCGGAACCTCATCTCCGTACCTAGGAGCCGGCACCCCAACATCAATCCACTCCTCCTCCCCACACTTCGTACTCTTCTTCTTCAGCTTGCCCACCTCATTTGGAAAACTCGAACCACAACTGATCTTCTCAACTGCATCATTCAGCTCTTTCCACTCAGGGTCATTAGTACTCATATCATTTAAAGCATAGTGTAACGCAGCGGTGGCAAGTTCTCGACGGGGATATTCAGTCTCGCCGTGGTCGTTGACCCAGGAGAATTTCTGAATGAGAGCATCCGGCGTGACAGGTGAGTCTTTCAAGGCTGCGGGGTTCATCTTGACGAATGCTCGCAGCCGGAATTCCTGCATGTTGCGCTGACTGCAGAAGTGAGCTAAGGCAGCGACGTCGTCTTCGAAGTCCTGGGCTCTCATGGCTCGTGGGTTGAGTCGCACGAGGCAGCGTTTTGGATATGCGACAATGGCGACACGGCCGTATCTGGCTTCTGGTGGGAGTTTGGGGTATTGGATTGCAGCTGGACGATGATATCGAAGAGGGGAGTCGATATTAATGCTCTTGTCGTAGGCACCCATTCCTGTGGCGAAATGTGCGTGTGTGCCACTAAAGACTAAGCCCGAGAATGGACAGGCTGTACATGCGAGACGAGCGGTGGTGATGAGGAAGCGTCCGGGGAAATGGTTCTTTGGGAAGTATGGGAGGAACAGGAGGGCTGTGAAGCGGGGGCGGTCGTCTTTGCCGTCGTTGTGGACTTTGCCTACTTCTTTGATGGCGTCGACGAGTTCTTGGTTCAGCATGCTGAAGTTGATTTGAATGGAGGTTACTTCGTGGTTATCTTTATGGCCGATGGTGAGAGAAGCGCCGACCATCCATCTTCGCTCCCGGATTTCCGCGGTTGAATGGGTTGGTGGGAAGGCATTCTTGACCATACAGGATCCGACTTGAGCTACCAAACTGGTAAGGTGCTTGATTTCAGGGTCATTTGTCTTTGCAAGACCGCCAAGTTGGATACCGTCATTGCCATGGCCAGGTTGCACAGTCGCTCCGAGATCGTACGTAGTACCCTTCAAGGCCTCATGAGAAGGATTATGAGCCTTGGAAATCCGAGCGAGCTGAGGCCGAAAATCCGTTTGAAAGGCCATACGCTGAATCTCTGCAAGCTTATCAAACACACCAATATCCTGCATTCCAACTGGGTCAAAATACCGCGCGAAGGGAAGTACAACCTGCTTCCCACTTCGAAGTTTGACCTCCATGTAATGCGGCTTATCTCCCATGAGGGTGTAATCGGCAGCAGCAAGTTCTGCTTTAGTGAGATGTCGGCGTTGCTTAAGGACTGTAGGTACAATTTGAGATCGACGACGACGCTCTTTCAAGCCCATGGGGAAGGATCTCGGTGTGGTAGATACCGTCTTCTCTTTCTTCATGGTTGAAGATTGGCTCTGGTGTGCGGCACGGGACTTCACTCGAGTTTGGGGCCATTGTGATAGTGGTCTGGTATGGCTCAAGTTGAGAGGAAGGTGAGGCCGAGACTGGAGAGATGGGTATGGAGAGATACAATCTAAGAGCTTTGAGTGGAGGTTAGGCAGTCGAATCGAAGTTGTTAAGGCAGGATAATTCTGAGGCGAAATTTAAATCCGGAATATATCGAAGGAGACAGGTTGATCCTTTTTCTTGTCACACCAAGGAAAATTCGCCAATCTTTGAGTCACAACTGATTCAAATTGCGGCTTGGAGATAAAGACCGCGCCAAAAAGTGTTTTCGAAGGTGTATTGATCACTCGGAAACAGAGTGAAGAGCCCAATAGAAGACGCAGCTATTGTCGCCTGGAAGACACTCGAAGTCCAATCCAAATACAACGAGACAAATTATACTACCTTTTGAGACGACAAAGAGGAGTCAGGTAAGATTCGTAGCAAAGACAGGTAAGGTTCCAACGGGACCTATCCTTTGTTTCTTCAAGGTCAACTAGTACGCTGATCCACAAAGAACTTAGTGCAGCAGAGTTCGACCTTCTTAACAATTCAAGACTAGCATAAAACAGACAATTGTTGTTGACTTTGCATGTTGAGACTGGATTGGTTTTGATCGTATCACAGAGAAGGCAAGGCGACCTTGGTCAAGATATTATTAACTCGCTTAACTCGAGAAAGGGGGAAGGGGCCATACAGCCAAGCGAGAAGACAACAGGGAACGCTTGAGGTAGGTACAGAATTCACACAGAGTGACAATTAAATCGCCAGTGAAGTCAATCTACTTTATTTTTTTGAGCGAATCCTAATTAGATGGAAAGAACATCATTTATGCAACTTCACTTCTGATTCCCACTTGTGCCGGTGATGGGCTTGTTTGGTCCACGGTTTGTTTCACCGTGTCTTATGTCAAAACCGGAGAGCATGAAATTTTATCTTATAGAATACAAGGTTACAAAAGAGTCAACTACTGTAGCTCTGTTCAACTCTCTGTATAGGTTAAACGAATATTCCTGGTCGCATTTCAACTAGGCCGCCATGCAGCCTTCAAGTTGAGGGAATAGCCACTAAAAGGTCAAGCTCCAAGCTGCCCCGCATCCTAAGCAGCCCCGCCGACCATATCAGAACCCCTCTCTCAATCCCATAATCAAATCCCAAATGCAATAATGCTCTCCTTGACAAACAAATACAAAACAATAATAAACATCATCCCCTACAAGACATTCAAATTCCCATCTCAAGCCCAAAAATCACAGTCGAGGCCCAACAAACTCCCCCAAACTCCCATCCTGTCCAGCCCACTCCACACGGTCTCAGCTGACACCGCACCTAACCCATCGCGTCTCCCCCAGCTCCATTTAGGAATCTTGGCTGTACAACGGCGTCTGGCACAGCAGATTTTTACTAAATGCTTCCCTCACTACCTCACGCTATGTTCCGAACGACGCAACGCGTAGGAAGGTCCGGGGTCTTGGCGAGGGAGTTTGATGAGGGGGTATTTAAAGAGGTGATGGATGCGTCCTTCTATGTCGGCGATTGAAAATTGAGGAGACGATACCTACTTACCTTTTGGTGTGAGGATATCGTGATCGCGTCGAGTTCAACAGGGAAATCTGGGATTCTGTTTTAGGGAAAGGAGTTTAGGTCTTGAGAAAAGAATAAGAGGTTGGAAAGAGATTGGAAGGAGACAAGCAAGCAAACAGTCCTGCCTGCTAGGAAATCAGATTGCCTACCCAGAATCGAAATCACGTCGAAGTACGTTCCCCTTTCTCAGAACACATTCATACCTACCTCACCCTGTGTCGTTTTCTCACTTCCTACCTACATCTACCAACAGCCATCCCAGCTCCAGCAAACCACTTCATATTCCATCCACCTCCGACATATCCTCTACACTACACCACTACACCGCGCATCTCCATACACCACACCACACCACACCACACCACCTAACCCAACTCGAACCCCCCAAAATGCCACCCAAATCCAAAACCAAAACCAAACCAATACCCTCCACCACCCAATCCACCCCCCAAACCCTCCTCCTCCTCTCCCAAATCTTCGCCACAATCCTCCTCTCCTTCGGCCTAAACGCCATCTTCCGCCCCCTCTCAGGCCTCTCATTTTTTGAACTCTACCCCTCTTCATCCCCCTTAACCCCCGCTTCCACACACGAAACAACACTCATCACCGCCCTTATGACCGTTTATGGGATAAGAGATGTGTTCATGGCTGTGGCTATTTACCTAGCTGCTTATTATGCTGACGGTACGGGAGGGAATGGAAACGGTACGGGAGGTAGCAGTGGAAATGTAGCAGGGAGTGGGAGTGGAAATCCAGCAGGCAGGAAAGTCCTAGGCGGGTTGTTGATAGCTGCGAGCGCAGTGGCGTTTGTGGATGGTGCTGTTTGTAGGTGGATTGTAGGCATGGGGGAGTGGGGACATTGGGGGTATGCGCCGGTTTTGGGGGTGCTTGGGGGGTTGATTTTTTGAGGTGGAGGGGGGTGCGGGGGGGTAGGGGGGGGGGGGGAATTGGGGATAGGATAGGGGAGGAAGAGGGGGAAGAGGAGAGGAGGGGGTAAGGGGAGGAGAGGAGAGGGGGTAAGGGCTTAGAGAGAGTGGAAGGAGAGGAGAGGGAGGGGCGTAGAGAGAGTGGAATTAGGAGGGGGGACGGGAAGGGAAGGGAAGGGAGGAAGAGAGAGAGGCATGGGTGGTGGTGATATTAGGAAGGGGATATAAAGAGAGAGAGAGAGAGAGAGAGAGGAATTATTAAAAATTCAAGAGAGAAGTGGCAGGATTGATTGAAGGGCAGCCGCTTGAAAAGAGGATACCCTAGAGAGGCAAGTACAGGAGGGGGAGGGGGAGGGATAAAGTGCTGTTATTATTCCCTAGACTGCGCTATTTGGGTATTGTCTGAAATGTTCTGTTCTGATCAAATGCGTGTTAAGAGGGAAGTAAGTAAGTAAATGATAGCACAGGCACTATATCATTTTGTACTATGGAAGGGATTTTGAGAAAGAGGACGACGAGTACCGAGGACGAGGAAAATGAAAATGGAAATGAATGGTTTTGACAAGGAATCTGTCTGGAAAATAAGAATACATTTCAAAAGCAGATCATGGGTTGGTTTGCAGCTGAGAAATCTATCACAGAAAATGGAAATTGTCATAGTAGGTGGGCGGGGAATGAACATTTAACCATTGATGCAAGTACAAACCACGAGGAGGAGTTTCCATCAGCTCGCGCTAGTATAGATATACGTCGTGAATCATCGAATCGTGTATATTTCTGTTCTACCTGCATAAACATTATCAAATTCAATATTTCCCAACCTATTGCACATGATTATCCAACCTCAAATCTCCAGCCTTTTTAGTATTCCAACCTCCAGTATCCAGCCATGTATACAGGCATGTATATATCCAAATTCATTCGAGACATCCATCCATCCAACCCCAAAGGATAGACATCCAACTCCAGTTTTCCAAGCTCAGCGCAAAACCCCAAAAGATGTCGCCGCGCGGCGCCCCTCTGTAGATCAGGGACTGCTCTCCCTCGCCCTCGGATACCGCCGGATTTCATAAAGATCGAAATCGAAGCTTTTGGCTCGTCGTATCGCGGAGATCTGGGCTTGGTTGAATGTCAAATTAATGCCTGGCTTGGTTGTTTATTGTGTTGCTCAGGTACGCGAATCACAGGCAATGATCGTAGAATCGTTTTCCTCCCCTTCCCCTGTATTCCCACCGCCGAATCTCAAAACATCGGCATCAGAATCAACCACTGCGGGGTTCTCGAAATCATCAAATCTCAATTATTTTATTTGACGACATCGAATTCGACATCGAATTCGATTGCACAGGTGATGTGGATATATATCATGATCTCCATTGCGGGGTGGCTGAGATTGGGAAATTGCATTACACTGCAGGGCAGCGGGTACCCGTTGGTAGGGAGATTCGCATCGTGGGGTTCGGTAAGGTCGGTAAGGACACCTGCATGGGATGGGATGGGATGGGATGGCTGGGGATGCCTGCCTGCACCCAGTGTTTTGCATCAGCATCATCAGCACCAACATCGCGTCGTGTCGTGTCGTGTCGTGTCCTGGAATTGATCGGGGATTTGTTGTATATGTGCAGTATTCGTGTCGTTCGGTGATGAGGGTCAGCAGGTCAGTTTGCTTAGGGTCGTAGGTAGGTAGATAGGTCGAATATCGAGAGAGGTGGGAGTTTGATTCTTGTCGTGGGGAGTTCGATTCCTCCATGTATTGCCGGTATCCCTTCATCCATCCAGCCATTCCATCAGCCCATCGTTCACCTCTCCGTAACTCCCAATCCCAATCCCAGTTCCAAGTAGAACCCGAATCGCCGTCGCGCCTAGCAATTAGAAAATCCGCAGGTTGTATAACTGTTCAAACGGCAATCGTCCTGGTATTATTCTTCTTCAGCGCGATGTTCATGAGAGCCGCGAAGCCGATTACCAGGATGACGCCGCAGAGGGAGATGAGTACGATGGGGAGGGTTTCGAGCATTGTTGCGATGGAGCTGTTTTTTTTTTTTTTTTCTTTTTTTGGGTGGGTGTTGATGTTTGTGTATCTGTTGGTATCGAAATGAAGATGGAGATGTTGGAGTTTGTTGGAATGGGGAGATGGATCGTGCAGTGGTTTTGCAGATGTATCTGGATGGTTGGGAGGAGGCAGGGTGAGATTTGAGGCTAGGGTCGCTCGTTCGTTCGTTCGCAGGTCGAGGAGGCAAGGCGAGGGAGGATAGGTAGGAGTGGACGTGGACGTGAATGAATCAGAGGATAGGCAGGTAATGAATGATGTAACGACAGGTCGAATGTCTCAATAATAACGAGCGAGTGATACAAACAATATCAATCAATCAGTCAATCATTCAATCAATCCAACAAATTTCATTCTCAACCAGACAGGAAAACGTCTGTAAAGACGTTGGTTGGGGCGCGTAAGCTACATATATTCCCGTCTTCCGCATGCTTACCTACTTAACTACCTAGCTACACCTATACTACGAAAATAGCCTTTCCCTTTCCCTTTCCCTTTCCCTTTCCCTTTCCCTTTCCCTTTCCCTTTCCCTACCCCCTCCGCTCCCCTCGTATCCAACGACACCACACCATCTCGTATGCAACTAGACAAACCCTTCACCCTTCACCCTTCCTTCGCTCACTCACTCGCCCTAGAACACGCGTCATCCCTACCACTCCCACCACTAACTTAACTACAACTACGCCGCGCAAAGTCGCGTCGTTTGGGTAAAGACTTTTTGACACCGCTTGGCCTGGCTGAGGGGGGACATTATTAAGACGTTAAGAGGCTTGGTGCATTCGTGCCCGTGCCGGCTGCGAGGCAAACGGCTGGCTGGGCTGGCTGGGCGGGGAATGGATAGGATGGGCATGGAATGCGGTATTTTGCCTTACTTACCTTGGTATGCCTCGGCGGTTTGGGAAAGCCGATTTCCGTTTGCTGTACTCTGTAAATTTACCTTGGGCCTCCTAAATTTTCTGGCTGTGCAGTTAGTTGTTGGGTAGGTACCTGATGCGTGAAGTTCATATCCTCGCACTTAATCAACAAATCATCCCCATCTCCACGTATCCGGCCACCCCTCCCCTCCCCTCCCCTCCCCTCAGCACTGCCCTGTCCTGCCCTACATGCGCCGTAGGAAAAAATGACGCACTCTCCCACCCCACCCCTGTGATCCTGCGCCCCGATACGGTACGATACGATACGCAACGCAATCGAACCCCCCCTGTAGCTCTCTTGCCCTGTTGTGCCTGTGGCCTGTTGTGGAGCAAGGGAAAAAAAAAGGGAAGCGATTTTCAGGGGCCGCTTGGAGGGAGGGGGAAACTTGGGACTTGGCTTTTTCTTGTTGTGTTGATGTGTGTGTGTGTGGTAGACAAACAGGTGAGTAGGTAAGTAGTCGGATGCCGGATGCGCGGGAGTTATGGGAGACAAGAGTTTGTGTTTAGGTTTAGGTTCAGGTTCAGGGGGCTGACGCTGGCTGACGTTTACCTTGGCTGCTTGGGGGAGGTTAAGATCTTACAGTAAGGTAAGGTGTTGGTCCTGCTGTTCCGATTCGTGGGCTGGATTTGGTTGGAGGGGTTTTTTGAATTGTGTGGTTCTTGATTTTAAAGAAGAGGAAGAGGAGATGGTTACTGCATATAATGTACTGGACAGTTAGTGAGTGAGTGCTTTCTACCTTCTCGTTGGTAGCGTCTGTTTGACTTAAACCCTACTAAACGGAGGACTTAGTGATAAGTACGTACAGCGTTGGAAAGAAATCTCCTCCACCTGGTGAGAATCACTGCAGAGGTACTGATGGAGGTTTGGAGAGTATATTCTCTCAATACAATTTCGGAGTCTTCACATGCATGTGATGTAATTATCATATTTAGAATACCTACCTGGGTCAGGACATACTTTACTTCGCCCGGAAAGTTCGGGCGACACGGAAGATGGATCTTTGATTTGAGCTGGGAAGATCGGATGACAGGTACGGAGGGGTGGTACCTTGCAGGATACTGCGAACCAGTTCTACCTAGGTAGGTAAATTAGGACCTAGTCCCATGTCTTGGCTGCTTGTGTCACATGTGGGAGTTTCCGGGTTAGGTTCTGTGCTGGGGTAATTTCATGATGTGTTGTGTTGTATTCCATGTACGTGTTAAAATGCCGTGTGATGTATATGTGTCCTATCGTTGTGCTATACAACTATGCGATGTGATGCAATGTGATCTGTCTAGAGTTTCGCTTTCACCTCTTTATCGCCAACCTCTTCCTTTGCTCGTTCACGGAGGACTTTACGGAGAATCTTGCCGGACTGGATTTGGTCAGTAAAGAACTCCAAACGGGACAAGGTACCAAGACAAATCCAAGGGCCAAACTCACAGGATTCTTCGGCACAGCATCCACAAACACCACACCACCCTCCAACCTCTTCGTCCTACTAACCCTCTTCGCCAACCACTCTTTCACCTCCTCCTCTTTAAGCCCACCCTCACCCTCCTTCCTCACCACATACGCCCTCGGGAACTCCTCACCCCCAATCGTAACCCCAACTACACACGCATCCGCCAGACTCGGATGTTCAAGAAGGATGCCTTCTAGTTCAGCGGGGGCGACTTGGTTGCCTTTGACTTTGATGAGCTCCTTCATGCGGTCGACGATGAAGAAGCGCCCGGAGGTGTCGACGTAGGCGATGTCGCCGGTGCGCATCCAGCGGCCGGTGGAGGGGTCGTCGACGAAGATTTCGGAGGTGGCGCGGGGGTTGCGCCAGTAGCCTTTCATGATGCTGGGGGAGGATGGTGGTCAGCTTTCATCCGTATCAAGGTTGCAATTGGGGGGAAAATCCTTCCTTTGGGCATTTGGAAGGAAATGAACGAGAAAGTGAAAGGGTTGGAAGTCGACGTACTTTGGACCTTGCACCCAAATCTCACCTCTCTCACCATGAGGGACTTCTTTGTACGGTCTCGAATCTACAGACATGATTTTGGCGGAACAATTCGCGTTTAGTTCGCCGACCGAGGATGGATGCGCTTCGAGGGTTGGATCCCAGCCTAGGAGGGAGCAAGTTGCTTCTGTCATACCCCATCCTTGCTGTTGATTGTTAGAAGGTTCCCTTTTTCATACGTTTTCTCGAAATTTGGAACGTGCGAGAATTCAGAGGAGGACATGGGAACTTGCCTTCAATTTCCTATCTCCAGAGGGCCAGAGTGCTTCAGCTTCTCGAATCACGTCGCCGCCTAGTGGTGCGGCTCCAGATCCGATGTCTCTTACACTGCTGAGGTCGTATTTCTTCGTTAGAGGGGATTTGGCGAGAGCCTGTGTGTGTTTTCGTCAGCCCTTTTCTCGTTCCGTTTTCTGGCTTTCCGCATAGCAATCTCTGTCCAGCTCCTGTGAGCTAGAGAGACACAAAGGAGGTACTCACAACAACAATCGGAGGAACCATGATCAAATTCGAGATCTTGAACTTCTGGACCGACTCGAGCATCTGTACGAAATCGAACTTTTTCATCATGTACACTGGAATACCACGCTTAGGTCCGCATGTGATGAAGATGGTTTGTGCCATGGCGTGGTACATGGGGAGGAAGCAGAGCCAATTCCTGAAATTGATTAGCGAGGTTGTCTGGGAAGGGAGGAGCTTAGATGGACATACGCCTGCTTCGTTCGCTCCTCGTAGTCTGGATGTAGACTTGGGAGGTGATTGTACTGGATGGCGTTGGAGATGTAGTTGTAGTGCGTTATCATCACGCCCTGCAGATAGGTCAGTCAGTAGGTATATTTTATCGTCTCCTCTGTTTTCCTTTCGCTGCCACGGTTCCTAATTTGGAACTCCAAGCCAAGCTCAATACAGCAACAGGCACAACCACAACTCACCTTCGGTACCCCCGTCGTCCCCGAGCTATAATTCAAACAACAAACATCCTCTTTGGGATCCTTCGGATCCACCCATTTGAACTTTCTGCCCACCTCCTCACTCTCCACCAAAACTTTCCAATTCCTCACCCCCAACCTATCCTTCCCCCCACCACCACCACCATCAAGCAACAAATCGTCAAAAACAAACACCCTCTCCCTCCCGAACCCAATACTCTCCGCAGCCTCCACCCCCAACTCCAACGCCGCATCCGCACAAACCAAAAACCTTGACTCACTATCCTTCAACTGATACGCCAACTCGCGCGCCACATACCCCGGGTTCGCACCGGTGAATACTCCGCCAGCCATTAAAATGCCCATGAAGACTACGGGAAAGAAGATGTTGTTGCCGGAGAAGAGCAGTACACGGTCGCCGGGTTGAAGACCGGCTTTGATGAGGCCGGCGGCGAGGCGTTGGGAGAGGAGCCGGAAGGTGTCGTGGGTTAGATGGACGGAGGGTGAGTCGGCGGATATGAAGGCTGGTTTGGAGCCATTGGGGAGGGAGTGTGTGGGTGAAGTGAAGAGGAATTTAGGGAGGGAGGTGGTTGGAATGGGGAGGGTCCAGCGGGAGTGGATTGGCATTTTGAGGATTGGGTAGGTGGTTGTGTCTTGGGGGTGAGATTTGGTGAAGCTGGATATCGTGACTCGTGATATCGTGATGAAGGTATGAAGCTGACCAGGGTGATGTTTGAGCGGATTATGGTCGTGTCTATCTCATCTACCGGTATCGTACAGTACAGTAATATCTATGATGCCGGGAAGTCGCAAGATTCCCTTGTGTGCAAGGTGCAAGTATTGGGCTCAACTCGAAGCTCCCGGTGTTGACTCCCAAAACAAAGATCCGTGGGTCGCAGAGTCGTATCAATCATCAATCTCAATCAAGTACGGGACAGGCGCAAGAGGATGATAAGATATCCAGAGGAAGAAGAAACCCAAAGAAAAATAAATTAAATGGCACCAAGTCCCTTATGACGCTCACCCCTCCTCGAGGCACAGCACAGCTCGTTTACGTTCTCCAGATACAGACAGCGATACATGCGGGCGCAAGTGTGGGGTAGCTCTTCATCCCACGGCTCGTGACGGCTCCCGGACTGACGCCAACCGAGGCGATTTGAATCGGGGAGCCGAGAGCGAGCCAATTGGAGGGGCTGGGTTGAGAGGTGATCGGACTTTGATATGTTCCGACCTTGACAGCAATTCCGAAATTTTGGTTTCTGGTAGATTTGGAGAAGGACGAATAATCATTGCTTTGGGCATTGGCCGGAAGTCCGATTACGATTGCTTGGGTGTCTAAATGGGGAAGGAGATTGTAGGTGTGAGATGCGCTCCTGGATACGAAAGCTGAGAGAAGCCGACCCGAGAATGGAATAGACGATAAGGAGGGCATGTGATGTTTCGACGCGAATCTGGGAAATTCGAAAGCCACGACATACAAGAACTCGGTAATACATCCTCTAAGTGATGAAGCCTTGGAAAGAAAAGAAAAATCCTCTTGAAGGCTTTGCACTACTTGACTTATAATGTCACGTGCAGGTGCCTGACTTCCTTTCAGATTATGAATTAGCAGGAATGCTAGATACTGAGGAGAAGCGTCCTTTCTAAATCTGGTGTGGAGAGTATGAGCTGAGTCTTAGCATACATAGTTTTAGATGTCAGATTTATGAACGAAAAGAATCAAAATAAACAGCGCCACACAGGCGAGGTACGAAACCAAGAAAGGAAAGTATTTTGAATGGAAACGACGTGAGAAAATTGTCGAAATACTTTAATTATTTAGGCATTGATAGTATAAGCTCTACGGCCCTGCAAAATATGGAAAGCACTTATAACTGTAACTTCCGAATGTTAGAACTTTCAGTGTTTACATCTCGTCACTTGCAAGTGCCAGCCGAGGAGATGAGGGCACCAGGAAACAAGCAAGACTCTAAGTCATTATCGCTTTTTTTTGTTCTATGCAACTTCAATGTCAATACCCAGTAAATAGTGTAAATGCAGATTCAGATCCATCCCTTAACTCGCAGTCACCCACTACTGCATAACCAACACAAACTTCCCCTTCCCCCTCTCCCCGGCCAACTTATACGCCTCAACCCCATTCTCCAACGGCACCTCATTCCAACTCCCCTCCGCCGTACCCTTCAATACCCCCCTCTCAAATAACCCCCTCATCTCCCCCAACAACCCCGCCATCTCCCCAACCCCATACAACAAACTATTAACCCCAAACAAACTCGCTTCCTTCCTATAGAAACCCGTCATCTTCACCCCAAGAACACTATCCGCTCCTCCTCCCCTGGGCGCAGCAATGAACACCACTCTCCCTCTCAGAGCGAGCTTACTCACTGCAGCTGAAGTGAGCGCCGGACTACCGACGGTATCGATCACGATATCGACGCCTTTCCCGTTGGTTAGAGTATCGAGAGTAGAGAGTGAGGGATCGGAAGCTGTATTCACATCCCCCTTATCACTCCTCACTCCTTCCAGGACTCTCGCACCCCTCGCCCTCGCAAGCTGCACAACCGCCGCTCCAACCGCACCATTCGCTCCAAGCACCAACACCGTCTCCCTCTCCTCCTTCTCTTTCCCTCCCTTCCCATCCTTCACCTCCCCCAACCCAACTCGTCTCAACACCAATCCCGCAGTACTAAACGGCACTCCCACAGTAGCAGCCTGCACCCAGGACAAGCTCTCCGGTTTCTCAACCACGGCGTTCTCGGGTACGGAAAGAAACTCGGCGTGCGCGCCGGAGACGGTGAAGCCTTGTGTGTTGCCGGAGGTGCCGAACACTGGTTTGTTGTAGAGTGGGTGAGAAGAGGGTGAGATTACTGTGCCGGAGAAGTCGCGGCCGGGGATACGGTTCCCGCCTGGGGGGATGCTGAGGAGTGGGAAGGAGCCGGTGGAGTTGAGGAGGTCGGAGGGGCTGGAGGAGGGTTAGTTACCTAGCTGTGGTGGACTTGGGGGGTTGGGGAGTTGGAAATTGGAAATTGGACATGTATGTGGTGGAAGAAGAACAGATAGGACAGGCGAAAAGGATGAGATGTGAAGTGATATGATTTTTGATTTTTGATTTTCAAAGTAGGGAGATATAAGATGATAAATAAATATCCTGTACTTACTGGATAGCAGAGGCATGAACTTGAATCAATAGTTCTCCCTCTTGTGGCTCAGGTCTAGGAACCTCTCCCAGCGTAAGAACTGGTGGTTTTGAGGCATCGGGACGGCTGAGAAGAAGGGCTTTCATTGTTGACATCCTGATCGTCGGAGCTCTTTTATCCGATGAAAAAATCCTTGTGATATTTTTGTAGTCCTTGTTTTCGTCTAGTTGAAAATGTGCTTGTAGACTCAACAATCTGTTCATGAACTTTTAAGTATGAAGGAGTAAAATAATAATTCAACAGAGAAACCACAAACGAAGAAGCTATGACGCGATAAGTATTAAGTAAGTAAAGTGAGTAAGGCTCCAGCCTTGTCCTCTCGCTAGGTTGTTGACCAAGCGTTTTCAATCACTCAATTGCCCAACCAGGTAGATGACAAAGATGCTGCAATGTGCTGAATAACACTTACTCAAATGATGATTGGTCAGGGCATTGGTTGGGCCGGAAGTTTAGCGAGAGAGGAAGGGCGCGGATTGGGTGGGTGCAAAGCCTTGTTTTGGGTTAGCGAAGGGATTAGGATGGGATGGACTGGGACTGATTTGGGTATTGAGGATGGTTTGGTAAGTATGGATCTGTAGATGAATTTTAAGTTTTGGGGAAGAGTAGCAGATGTTCTGTCTCTCATCCTACCTAGGTAGCCACATCCCGCTCCGATCATGTGTATGACATTAGGCCAGGCTTGGTGAGCTGTTCGACGCTAGTAAGGAAAATGGTGTTGATGCCACAGGAACTCCTATCGCAATAGGTATGAAGTAGTGGTATTGCATTTGTATCGAATTATTTATGCAGCTAGCTAGGTAGGTTCAAATTTCGGTTTATTACACACCCTCGTCACCTCTATCTGAGCTAGCCCAATTAGGTAATCTAGGCAACAATGCCCAAGTCAAGTCCAAACAAGAAGAATATGAGGTGGTTATATTCTATTCAGCTCCTTCACGTTCTCCATACCTACCAAGCAGATTCAAATCCGAGTTTCAACTTCCTTCCTCTTGCAAGAGCCCTCAACACCGAACCGGAAACCACAATAGACATAAATCAAAGCAGCCATTTCCTAATATAAAATGGTCCAACTCGATTCCACTCCAGCACTTCTGATAATCGATATGCAAAACGCCTTTTGCCACAACCAAGGCAGCTTCTCAAAATTAGCCATGCAAAGCCCACCAACAGCCATCATCCCACCCATCAACTCCCTCCGCCTCGCCTTCCGCACCGCCAAATTCCCGGTCTTCTTCCTCCGGACAGGCTACAACGCCGACTACTCTGACCGCCGCGCCTGCGACAGAGGGTACAGTATAGAACGACTTCAAGGTCTAATCCGAGGGTCTTGGGACGCTGATATTCTCGATGAACTGAAACCCGAACCTGACGAGAATGTTGTTGACAAGACGAGGAATTCGGGGTTCTTTCGGACGGGGCTGGAAAGTGTGCTGAGGGAGAGGGGGGTCGATCATTTGGTTTTGGTGGGGGTGGGGACGGATGTTTGTGTGGAGTCGACGGCGAGGGAGGGGTATCAGATGGATTTTGGGGTTACGACTGTTGGTGATGCGACTGGGACGTTTAATGAGGCGGATCATTTGGCTGCTTTGCACGCCTTGCGATATTTTGGCGGCACGGCGTCGACGGCGGAGGTCATTGAAGCTTTGCAGAAGCTATGAGACTTGTGCAAGCAAAGAGTGTTATAGATGATGGAAAAGACTATATATGGGGTGCGTCTATTAGACAAGGATAGACGTTGTAGCATCAAGCCATTCAAATTATACATTTTTGGTAAATAGAATCTATCAATCCATCTAGTTCATTTCATCCGACCCTCATCCACATCCAAATCTACTCCGTCTTCCCATCTCCTCAAGCCAACTGCCCCCTAACAGCACCCGCCAACGCCAAACTCGAATGCGTATCCGCCATAAACGCCGCCGGATTCGCCTCAATCATCTCAACACGAAATCCCTCCCCACTATCCTTCCCGTCAACCACCACACCCGTCACAAACGGCCCCTTCAAACATCCCGCACTATTCCTCACCGTCCCATCCCCACCAGCCACCACCTCCGGATTCGGGAACGCGATCCTCGGAGGCCCGCTCGCCCCCAGAGCCGCCTCGTGAATATGCGTAGCTGTTGTTGCCGGGGATGAGAAATCCCCTTGGAAGTTGTTCAGCGTGATGTTGTAGCAGATCATGTCGAGGGCGCTGTGGAGTCCGAAGTTGAATGTTCCTGTGGCGCCGGGGAGGCCGCCTGTGGGTTCGGTGCCGTTGACGACGGCTTCAGGCAGGGCGGAGATGAATTGTGTCGAGGAGAAGGTGAAGAGTTGGTTGGGGTTGCCGATGGCGTTGGCTCCGAGGGGGTCTTGGCCGAGGTTGATGTTGAGGGTTAGGGCGAGGGCGCCGCCGTTGTTGCTGTTGGTGTCGATGTTTAGGGGGGCTGCTGAGGAGGAGGAGGTGATGAGGAGGGTGCTGAGCGCCAGGCTAGCGATTGTTGGGAGTGTTGTTGATGGCTTCATTATGAATGTGGATTATATGAATGTTGGTAGAGAATGAGAGGATCGAAGTAACAGTGTACGCGATAAGATGCTGGAAACAGAAGTGAAGTGAAAGAACGAATGTTTGTTTGTGAAGTGAAGGACGGTGGAAACGACTGCTCAACAGTATAGCTCAGCTGGATCAAGCAAAGTCTATTCGTTCCTCACGCCTACCTTTATATCACCTCACCTCAAATCAACACCGGACGGCAGCTGCCAGAATGCTTGGTACTCAATCCCAAGGCTTGGTAGGTGGTGGGAGTTGTTGTTCCCGATAGACTCTCCACCTCCACGAAGTAACCATCCAGTCCCGAGCCTGGCAGCGGAAACTAGAGATGGAAAATAAGACGAACTCGCCTCATTTTAACCCCTTCCAAGCTTTTCCCAGAGCTTGGTATTGATGCTCACGGGCATAAACTTCTCTGCTGAGGCTGAGTCGTAGCGCCCAAGATATTTGGCAGTTACAGGACTTTGCGCAAAGGTACGCGTATCAGTGCGTGCACGGAAGCTTTCCCTAAGCGAGCGTTGATATTTTGTCCACTGCCCAGGGACTCTGTAACATTGGCGGCGTCTCGATATACTTGGCCAATGCTCCTGTCGAGGGAACATCGAAACATGGAAAGAATTGAATCCGAGCTCGAAGGATGAGGATTGAGTACTTATATGGCAATCAATCGCCTCGTTGATGGCTGGCTACCTTCACTTAATCCCACGGCCGCTGGTCTGCCTGTGGAATTGTTAGAAGGTAAGAAACAGCTCAAAGCGGCGCAAACTTACGTATCCTCATAAGATCCTACAACTGCATACATATCTACTAATTGAGGTATGTGGCGACAAAACGAACTGAAGTACGTAGGATTTGTCGGTGTAAGAGATACTTCTGCTCATGGTCACGAGCGGGGTTCGGGCCTTCGTGGAAAGCGAAGACCTCACCCCGCCTTCAGACGAACTCAATTCTCCTTTAAAGCAGCTTCATTCGAGAGTTTTGGGGCTTAGTAAGGTGAAGCAAGACTGATGTCGCGGTCGTGGAGATAAAACAGGAAAAGAAGTTGAGGCAGCAGGAGTGAGGAAAGCATCTGGTTATGATGAAGGTCGCCATGCTGGGAATGCTTGACATTTCAAGGAACCGGACCCTAAAAAATGACTGCCGTTCGAAAGCCGGCATTAGAAGACTGACGGTAAGTCCAAAGTCAGCAGAAACAAATCTGACATGTGGTCGAGCAAACAAGGTGGAATGGAAATATCATCATTTGTCACGTTCTCGGCGTTGAGCTTCTGATCCCTCGTCAGATTCGCCTGAGTGGCAATGAAGATTTTCCTTTTTAAGACATCAACAAAGCCAGCGCGCCCAGCCGAGCTGCCGGATTACCCGGCTCAGCCGGGTCTAGGGTAGAGGAAGTGTTCAACATCCTTAAAGGGGCGGGGATTAATAAGCTTTGCCCATGCAAATCGATGCATCGTGTCCAATTGCATTGCATTGCATGGCAGAGCTTGAGTGGAGGTGGAGGACTAGGACTAACAGAAAGGCTGTTTGATCAGATAAAACTGAAGCAGAAGTTGAACTTAGATTGCTGGGCTGATAGATTCAGACAGGCTTCATCCAGTCATTCTCCAAACTCACGAGGTGAAGAAAGAAACCTGTTAATTTCCATACCGGTTCTTTGCTCCAACACTCGAATCTTGATACCCGATTGACCCTGCAGCGCATCTTATCTCGCACGCCGCTTCAGCGATTGCTCATCACAACAGCACTGTCAGCAAAGCCCAGCGCACGCTGCAGGCACTGGCTTCCAACCTTAAAGCAGCGGATGACGTACAAATCTGGCCCTGCAAAATAACGAGCGCGACCCGCCCATTATCCGCAGGGAAGAGATAGCTGGACCAGAGAACAGAGCAAGCAAGAGAGCAGATCTCGACGGCAAAAACAATACAAACAACACAGCGCCCGGCACTCACTCATACTTAGTCTTTCATTCTGTCCCTTTGCCTTACGTGGGCTGCAGAATATCTGCACAACACTCATCACATCCGCCAGCAGTAACAAAGCGGAATTCCACAAACCAGAGATACCCACCCACCTACATCAACAGCCAGGTCCGCAGGCATGGCCGAACACAACGACACCCCCAATCCCATTAATCCTAATAACCTCCTCGTCCCGGAATCGTCGCCCTACTTCCAAGATGCCGTCACGGGGAGGCAGCGGTCGAATTCTACGCGCTCGCAGAGATCACAGCGATCCGGCATTCTACAAACACCTCTAGCAGAACTCGAAGCCCCGAATACGCCAGAGAGAGAAAGGGACTATACGCGCAGACCCAGCATTCGCATCAGACGGCTCTCAAATGCCCCACCAGCGACACCAGGCACACAGGCCAGCGAACATGGCGGAGAAAGCTCGTCGTCGTCGCCGTCTGCGTTGGGGTCGGGTTCAGCGAGGAGGAATCGCAGCGCAAGTGATCCGCAGAGGGGAATTGGAGGTGTTCCCAGACTGTTTGGAACGAGAGATAGTTATATGCCAGAAGTTCAGGAGGAGAATGTTTCGCCGACGACGGGGAGGGCAACTGAGCAGTTCCCGCCGATTATGGAACAGGTTGATCGGACGGATCATGCTCCGTCACAGCCAGAGCCGGACCGAGCAGCAACACCAACACCAGAACCGACTTCGAGATGGAGGACGTTGAGGAGGGCGAGGACGAATATTGGGACGGATAAGGAGAAGGGGAAGGAAATACAGACTGAGGGGCAGAAGGAGAGCGAGTACGAGGAGGATCTGGTGGATTTGTTGGATCTTGTTGGTAGGTTTTCTTGGATACATGGAGGAGCAGAAGCTAATAACTGTCAGACCCCGAAATATCAACCCTCCAAACCCTCACCAACGTCCAGAACTCCCTCTTTGTTCCTGATCTTGGTAAATACCTCAATCGACGGCCAACATACAACCTAACGAAACGGCCTACACAAGTTCCCGAGAGCAGTACATCAGGAAGTGACGATGACACAGCACCAGACGTACCTCCGAAAGACGACGAACGACCACCAGCCCAGCGTGTGAATACAGGGGCAACGCTAAACACCATCTCGTCGCATGTTAATGTTAGATACTATGCCGTCTTACCGCATGGAGTGCGGATACCTAATTGGAGTGAGGAGGAGAAATTGGAACTTAATGATCATGTCCGGCACATGCTACATTCTCGAAGGTCGAAATTCAAGAGGAGTATGAAGGGATTTAAGCAATATGTTTCGAAACGTAAGGCCTTCGAACTCTTGTCTCACTTCAGCCCTAACATCTGCAGCCCTCGGATTTTTCGTCACGTTTTACGCTGTATCGATCACTGCTTTTGGTCTTGCTTGGGTTCTTTTCCTCATCGGTAAGTACTTTCTTTGTCTGATATGAATACCTACTCACACAACCAGGATGGATCAACGTCGGTGGCTCTCGCGAAGATTATCTCGTCAACATCATTGACAACGTCCTCGTCGCCCTCTTCGCCGTCATGGGCGACGGCCTCGCCCCCTTCCGCTGCATCGACACCTACCACATGTGTTTCATCGCCCACTACCACCACCTAACGTGGCGCCTACGTCGGGAGAAATCCCTCCCCAAACTCGCCAACAACAGCGACCTCCCCGCCGTCCAACCCTCGGAGGTAACCGATATCGAGAAACAGGAATTCTCTGTCCTGTCCCCTGAACAAGTCAAGAAGTTACAACATCATCAGAAGAAGTTCGCGAGGAGTCACAGTTTCTATAAACCCCACGAGACAGCTACGCATTATGCATTCCCGCTCCGCCTCCTCGTCGCCATCGTCGTCCTCCTAGACTGCCACTCCCTCCTCCAAATCGCCCTCGGGACATGTACCTGGGCGATATCCTACCACGTGCGGCCCTTCGCACTCACGACCGTCATCCTCTGCTGCAGCATCACCGTCAACATCACAGCGGGGATCCTCATCACGGTCGGGGATCACAAGACGCGGAAGAAGGATGTCAGGGAGAAGATGATTAGGCAGGAGATGACGGCTGAGGGGATCAAGAAGGTGGAGAAGAAACGGAGGCATGACTTGAAGAAGGCCGGGCTGGTGAAGGAGGGGGAGAAGTGTGAGAGTGCCCTGGATATGGCGGGCGAGACGGAGGAGCAGAGGAGTGAGAGGCAGAGTCGGTTGGCGCTTAGGACGGTGGATCCCGGGGCGGATGCGGCGGTGCCGAGGAAGTTGTAAGGTAGGTATTTTTGACTGGGGGCTGGTCTGGCTTGAGTTGGCTTGGGCTGGCTCAAGTGTGGGGAGAGAACTTCTTTGTGTTGGAAAATATATCTGGATAATGGGTTGCAGACAGCAGACAGCAGACGGCAGACGGCAAAAGGCAGAATGTATGATTGGCGAGGTTGTGGCTTGTAAGCTTTGGAAAGTTAGTAAATCTTCAAGATGATAAGCCAAGTTGGAGAGGGCTATTGAGTACCTTGCCTTGCGTACGTCCTGATTGGATGATTTAGGATCTCCCTCCGTCGACTACATATCCCTTTCGACTCGATTTTTCACACGCACATAATCACACATCTCACTTTCCTTTCGTTTTGCTGGATGGTGTTTCTATATGGGGACGGCCTAGGATTCCGAGATTCGTCGTTGATGCTAGCAACCAGATCGACAACAGGTCTTCCCTTCCATCGAAATTTGCTGCTTCTTGGCTGCTGCTTTTTTTTTCTTTTGATGACAAATCGGAAATGGCAAAGAGAGGTGAAGGTGGAAAACAGTTTGGCCTCCCTTGACATCCTTTGAAGTTCAATACCACCACGAAGTAAGTAATTGAAATACGGGGGAATTTGATGACGGAGTGAGTACATATGTTAAATTATCGATCGGTTGTGACACATTGTCCCCAGGAACGATACAGCTAGATTTTCATCTTGTGATCTTCATGAAACAATGCTGACTTTCTATGCACTTTCATCAAGCCCACGAGGTCAAATTGATCCTAAGTTGGTGTGTATCTGTAACCAGGAGTAGACCCGATTCATAGTCGTGCACTCTGATAAATCCCGAAGCCACGTTGGTTCAGTGCAAAATCTAAAGGGAGAAACGATGGCGAGCAGTCATACCGGCCCTCGAGCTAGGATGACTAAAATCGGTCCTACCCGCAGAACTGTCTTGACTGCTAACCTGCTAGAATATTGACTTACTTCCAGACAAGCATCCGATCGTAGTCTCGGTAGTGGACGATAATGCGAAGCGAAGGTGGACGTCATGAACTAAGCTCGCTAAGCAATTTATGAGTGTTGATCTAAAGCGTGGAGGGAGGCGAGGGAGGGATGAAAAGAGGGGGGACGACTAGAGGCGGTGATGGGACCAATGAGAACAATACTTCGCCGCTCTGATTTGCCACCAGATGCTTTTCGGCTCAGCTCTCGACTTTCACATTCATCATATCCTCGTGGTTTATTATGCCGAGATGCAATGGAGTTCAACCCGAATGAAGGGTACCGAACCTGGGGTCGGGTGAGGATTTTGGCACGGGGGATGATCAATGGTTGTAGCTTGGAGCATAAAAGTGTTGATCTTCCCCAGCTTTTGATATCTCCAGACTCCGGGGTATTATTCTGTTCATCCATTGCGGGATATTCATCAACCATTGAAATCACAAGAATTGTAACTTCTTCAGCTCATTTCGGGACAGAATTTCATCATGGGTAAAGCTGCCACTGTCGGTTCCGCTGTCTTCTTGGCTATCGGAGGTCTGTAAATATTCCAATTGCTCTCGTCCCAATTGTCAATTGCTAAAGAACCAATAGGTTTCCTCTTTGGCTACGATTCTGGTATTATCACATCAACCCTCGCACAACCTCGCTTCGTCGACTATTTCAACAAACCAAGCGACGATGTCCAAGGAGGGGTCGTATCCTCCTTTCAAGGAGGTGCAATTCTCGGCACCATGATCAACTTTTTCGTCGCGGATAAACTGGGGAGAAAGAAATCCATCGCACTGGGTGCTTTGATTGCTGCTTTTGGATGTGCTCTACAAGCCGGTGCTGTCAATATGGTTATGCTTATAATTGGTCGATTCATCGCTGGTGTTGCAGTGGGAATCCTCTCGTCAACTGTTCCGATGTATGCGGGAGAAATTGCAGAGGCACAACATCGCGGTGTATTATCCGGTCTGCTGCAGTGGATGCTGAGTTGGGGATTCTTTGTTGCACAATGGCTTGGATATGGTTGCTCTTTCTCGAATACCGATCTTCAGTGTAAGAGTTCTCCCTCTTCACACCTGAGACCCGGCTAACAAGCACCAGGGAGATTCCCACTTGCTTTCCAATGCGTCCCAGCACTGATCCTCCTTGGCGGAATCTGGTTCCTTCATGAGTCTCCCAGATGGTTGATGGAGCAAGACCGTCACGAAGAAGCTCTGGCTACTCTTCATGCTCTCCATGACGATGCGACGGGAAGCAACAGCGAATTCGTTGAGCTCGAGTTCCGAGAAATCCGCGATGTCATCCAGGCGGATCGAAGTGCCAACAAAATCACCTGGTCATCGATCTTCAAGAAAGCATCTTGGCGCCGTCGTCTGTTTCTCGGATGTGGAGTTCAGGCGTTTGGCCCTCTCTCTGGTATCAATGTGATCAACTACTACGGACCTCGCATCTACGAGACTCTCGGAATTGACACCCAGGAATCATTAATGATTATTGGAATCAGTGGAGCCTTGTCAATTGTTTATTGCACCATCGGCCTTTGGCTCCTGGATCGTGTAGGTCGTGTGAAGCCTCTCATTATCAGCGCTGCTGGCTGTGCTTTAGCTCTCGTCGTCAACGCCGCCCTATCTCAACACTTGGAGAGTGCATCTAAGAATCAACTTCGCGCAATGGTCGCCATGAACTTTGTCTTCAGTTTCTTTTACACCCCAACGGGAATCATATCCTGGGTTTATCCAGCTGAGATTTTCCCTGTCGATATTCGGGCAAAGGGCAACTCGCTGTCGACTTTCACGAATTGGACCCTCAACTTGGTGTTTGCTCAGATCTCTCCAACTGCGCTCACGAATATTGGATTCAAGTACTTCTACGTTTTCTTCATCTTTGGCGTCATTGCGACGCTTTGTTATATATTGTTTTATCCAGAGACAAAGGGCAAGACGCTTGAGCAGATGGATGAGTTGTTTGGCGATCAGCTCGTGCCTCATGCTCTATCGGATCCACTAGCAGCTGAAGCTGCTACTGGGAAAGGTGCAATTGAGCATGTTGAGGTTGAGAGGAAGGATTGAAGCACAAAGGGAGGAGGAATGTGTTTTGATAATGGCTGTAACAATGATTATGCTTGGTATTATTATGATAGAACTTCGCTTATATACAAGGAATAGTACTGAACGTTATGGCCTGTATAGATCCTATTCTTCTGAAATCTTCAAATATGCGCAACAATGGAGCCTGCAAAAGCTAATCCTAGCAGATTGAGGCCATACGATGTCGGAATCGCACCACCTGACGATGACGTGGACGTCGGAGACGTCGATGCTGAAGTTGACGCCGCCGAGTCAGCTGTCGAAGTCAATGAGACAGAAGCAGAGCTGACAGTCACTTCCACACTTTTCGTGGGCGTTGGGATTGCGGACACAGTGAGACTTGTAGCATCTAAACTCGAACTTGACGAACTGGCAACTCCACTACTCGTGCTCGCCGATGTGCTGGAAGCTACAGTGGTCGGTTCTGCAGCGGATCCAACCTGGCTCTTGGCCCACTCAGCAGCCACGTCCGAGTACAGATCGAAGTAATTAAGATGCGTAGCTCCATCTTTACCTCCAGCACAGATTGGATCAGTCGAGACGCAGTAGTCGTGCAGTACGGAAGTCCATTGAGCCATTGCTGCGAGCTGGGATTCTGGGCGAGGAAAGAGTCCTTTGCCGTCAGCACCGCTGAAGACATTGTAGGGCTGAGAAGCAGTATGTCTGGTCGACCCCCAAATCAACACGGCGGAGACTTGATGCCAATTAGCAAGGTCTTGACAATAGTTGACACCGACTCACTCTTCTTTCCTGCTGCAGATTTGACATCCAAACCCCCGATAGCACCTTGAACACACCCCTGAAAAAACGTTCCACCACCTCCTCCAAGAATATCTCCCACAATATGAGCACCCTGAGAATATCCACTAATCACCAGACTAGCACCAGGGCATCTCTTATTATAAGCAATTATCTGCGCGATACCATTGGCCGCTCCCTCAATTACCGAGTCACAGTATCCGGACTCGACAGGGTTGTAGAAGAGAATATCTTCATAGTCACAACTTGATAGGCCAGAACATATCGAATTGACCAGTTTCCCTTGTCGGCCAGGATACGGTTCGTTGTTGCCTTTAGCGAGGAAAATATGTGTGTCGGTGCAGCTGGAGGCGGAATCTGCACGTGAAGAAAGTGTGATGATTTGAGAAGCGAAGGTAAAAGGAAGCGAAAGAATGGTGGTGTAAAGAAGTCTCATGATCGAATCTAAGACCTGTCTTTGATTCGCTGGTTTACACAGTATATTTGAGTTAGTCTGTGTTGGGATTACACTGGCGGAAAAAATAGAAAATAGAGAAGAAGACTTTTTGAAGCAGCCGAGGGTTCAGAAGATGTAGCCAGAGAAGCTTATCTCTTATCACGCTGTATCATCTCGTAACGATGCTTAAAGAGGGGCTGATAATGTTATTTTTACTCGGGTGTGTCGGAGGAATTGAGATGTGGATAGCATCATCCTGGCAGTGTTTGGAATGGTATCCACTTACAGGGACGTTGTACCGAAGATCAGACGGTCTCTGGAGAAACCACAGGAACAATTTCGTCATCGAAGGAACTTTAATCTATTCATAATAAATCCATGAAAGAGCACAGTTTATGCCGTTTTCACTTTTATTCAGGAACCGTTATTGTTTTGCTTCATCGCTTTCGAACCGAGATATCCCCGTACTTCTTCAAGATTACTTTGACGCTACTATTTTCTCATATTTCCACATGTCATCTTTGCTTGTCTGATTGCCAGTTGCTTGAGAGTTTTACTAAGGGCTTCAAACTCACGATAATCATATTTCCGGCTGTCAAAGATATTGGTTGCGTTGGCCTTTTTCGGAAAATTTGGAAGGAAGAATTATTCAAATGCGAAGATCTACATCGGTGCTTTGGAAACTGGTAAAATGTAGACTCTGGTTAAAAGTGTCTCTGTTCTGTTGAGCACAGGTCTTCGCAGTTGAGCGGGAGGGTGTACAGGGGAATCTGTCAGCTGACTACCGAATGTCAACAAACACTTGCAATCAATGGGGGATCAAACAACGATCTACTTAACATCACAATAGTAAATGAACTCAATGTTCTCTTCTGTAGCGACACCACATGGTTTTAAAGACTCAATTAAATCCCTGTGGATAGCTAGACTGCCAATCCTTTCGTAGCACATGTCTGGCCTAGGTGAGACCAGGCGTAAGAGTAGCTACATAAGGGTTCCGCATTGTTGTCTAGCGCCTGTATTATTTCTGGCGAGTAGCCAAAGGTCCGATCTCTTATAGCCAAACATCACACCTTTTCAGTTCAGTGTCCTTGGCGGCCCTGAATACCATCCCAAAACATGTTTGTAATTATGTCTTGCACAAGTCTCAAGTCTCAAGACCAGACATATGTCACCTTTCTCGTCGTGTTCACTTTCTACCACTCTCCCTCAGCTCCCTAGCCTTTCGTATTCTCTCAAACAGAGCTTCGGGGATGTATTTATTCTGCGGAGCTCCACTTCTTGCCTTCACCCAATTCTCTTTATCCATGATCCGAACTGTGCCACCTGTATGAGCCACTTCAACCACAAACTCTGTCGCAAATACAGATGGATAGCCAAGCTTGACCCGTTGCGCCATTAGAATATCCTCACGCAAGCTCAAAAGCCATGGATGTACCGCTAACCCCGTGTTCAGCATAACGCACAGCAACTAATCGACAATCTCATACTCACCACTCACGAAATCCCGAATAGTAACGAACTGGCATCCTTCAGCTGGCTTTACCTCTAATTTTACGTCTCTATTAATAGGCCTCTCTTCCCCGCAGCAAGAAACCAGCCACTCTGTGTCGGAGTCCTCTTCCCAGCTACCATCTTCATGCATTTCCGGCGCGAACGGTCGATCCTCATCGCTCATCTCCCCATACGTGGTAAACTCTGCCCAAGGATGCTCTCTATGCCACCCCATCCAATCTCCATGATAATGTTCAAGATCATTTACCGAAGCTCGGACAGATGACACTTTGGGTTCGGTGAGGGCAAGTTGGCATATCTCGTGCCACGTGCCGCTGCTGCCTCCTGACGGGTCTGGTTGGAACAGTGGCTCGAGAGAGTCCGGGGTCATGGAGGTCTTCATGACTGATATCGCGGAGGGAAAGTCTCCCTCGAAAGACCAGAACAGACGACGCGTGGCGTCCACGAAGCGAACGGGGAGACCATCGCCTTGAAGGTCGCGCATTGACGGGTAAGGCGATTCGCCAGCCTGGGAAGGCTGCGATGGCGATACCGGCGTTGTTATTGTTGACATTATGTAGGAAGCTTAATGTTTTCGATCCGCGGATGGAGATACTTAAGCCCTATTTAAAGGATATTCCGGTTATAACAGTAGCAAATGGTAAAATGTTAATGCTGCGCCGCTGGAAGCATGCCGAGGCACTTCAGTCCTTGTGTTCCTTGTCACGTGTATACCCGTATACTACCTAGGTAGGTAGGTAGATATGTAAGGATACCCCAACTCATTGTGTAATATTAAATTAAAGGAAATCTTACTATTATCAACCTTATTACCACTAATGTTAATCTTTTACTCATCAACGACTCCAGATTAGCACCCAAGTAGTAGAGTAGAAACCTGTTACAGTGCGAACAATTAGTCAACACGAGTCGAAGCGAAGTCACGAACTACTATTCTGCAACTTCGCTCAAGGCCAGATTGGTCATAGAACGTTGAAAGAGTGTCAATGGACAAAAGGACATTAGTAATGCACTCTCGTAAAGCTAAGTCATGCAGTGACTTCAAGGACGTCGCTCCCGATGATGGAGACGTAAAATTTCAATGCTTTAGATCATCCTCAAGAAACCGCCGCACATGCTCGAAGTGTGATAAAAAGAAACTCACTATTTGCATTCGTTGATCGATTCCAAAAGGTAATCTTTAGTAAACATCTACCTAAGTCCAGTCTTTGCCTCCCTCCCCTGTCAAACTTTCACAGCTTTCCTACGAACACAGTCCATCAGTCTCGACATCACCCTCCTCCTTCCTCCAACGACCACACCCTCACAATGCCACTACCTATCACACGAAAACGTACACGACGAATTCAACCCCGCAGTCGAAGCCATATTGACACACGGATTCCCCGGCGAGAAATTATCCCACTTCTGAGTCCCCCAAGCAAAGCTCAACTTCCCCGGATCCGCAGTCCCAGCAGGAAGTCCCACATAAACTGGATTCGCAGTGTTGTAGATGTGCAAGATGTTGGAACCGAGCTGGTATGGCACTAGCTCGTCGCCGGGAGTGGTACTGCCAATTGTGGCTTGGTTGTAGATTTCTTTGCCGTTGCTTTCGCTGTTGAGGTTGGGTTAGTCTAAGGGTGAGAGATGGGAAATGTCATGGGGATGAGGATGGGATGAGGGAAAGGACGTACTACATGGTATCAAATGTTTCCCAGGAGTTGAGTCCCCATCTTTGGACGAAGACTCGGCAGCCATGGAGGGGCTTTGGTGTTGGTGTGGCGATTGGGGTAGAAGTTGCTTTGGCCGATGTGGTTGTTGTTTTCTTGGTGGGTCTGCGTTGAGGCGTCGCATTGACTATGTCATTGCATAGGAGGAGAGCGCCGATAAGGGCGAGCGATAGGGCTTGAAGCTTGAAGTACATGGTGTATCTTATTGTTTGCGTGTGGCTCGACGTGATAAAGAACAGGTGGTTAGTGATTTGAAAGAAGACTCAACGAGGTCTGGGCAACGATCATTTATACAAGAATCTCAACTGGCTTCTGTAAAGACCGTTCAGGCTTATTCACAATCCTCCGTCGAATGTAGATCCGGTGAATGTAAATTGCTCGGCGGCTACATGTTGGATTGTGATTGTGACCCCAATGGATCTCACGATGTGATTGCCCTCGAGTCCGTGAGAAGACGTCCTCACAGCGATCTCGCATTGTTTCAATCACATCATGGCGGGATGATGATAGGTTCTCTCGAGCTGCAGTGTGACCCCGCGATGCCAGGGCCACATATGGCCCCTGATTTGGCGTTGATCCTTCTCGCTTCTGCCCCCTTTTTCTGGACCCCAGCCTTGGCGTTGATAAGCGAGCTGATTCGCCATGTCGGCTGTGCAAAGTTCAACGGAGTGAGCTCACTTGGTCCGACGACGTAGATTATGCCGGTACATATGTAAGTAACTAAGTATTGTCCCTGGCTTGGATTTCGTGGCGATTTGTAAGACTGCGAAAAAGAGTTCCAAGTGGTTGGGTGAGCTGGCTTGTCAAGAATACTGTGCCTCTTCCTGATGGGGTGGCATGATCTAGACTCAGTATTATCCCAGCTCCCGAATCGAGGTTGTTTGTATGGACTGTTAGAGGCGAAGTTTTTGCAAATGATGCAGCGGGATGACCCGCATATGTTGGTTGCGAAGGTGCAGCATGGGGGCCAAGATGCGACCTAACTTGGGGGCTGTTGGATACCTACTTGTTATAAGGCTGAATTGAAGTTGATATCAGGGCGTTTTGTGGCTTTAAACGGTTCCATGGTAGCGTGGTAGACCCTAAAATCTTGCAAGCATGGAGATTCCGAAGACTGGCTCCGTTCTGCCCATCTCTTGGAACCCCATTCCTGACCACTACTCAGGTATCAAGTCACTCGTTCCGACAAAAATCTGTATTCCTAACTGGCTCCATGATATAACCCATAGTGGCCGCATGGCAAAGACCAGTCCATATGTGTGACCTCTTAGCCCCTTGCTGATATGACTCTAGCAAGCATGGAGCGCGAGTACTCTTTCTGCAGCTGTCCGGTTTTGCTACTAACTGCATCGAACAACACTTTCAAAAATTGGTTTGGATGGTAATCCCAACTGATTCGATACATCTTCCGCGTTCATCCTGATCTGGATACGAGATTCGCGTCTTTCAGGTAGCCATTGCGTGCGTTTGCCTGGACCTTACCAAGTAATGAAAGTCTTGCTCTCTACCAAACCGTCTTTCGTCTTCTGCACGGCACCCAATGCCTCTTTCTTCCGATACAGGTCGATGTTAATCGCGCTCAAGACGGCCCGTTTCTCCTCTGGTATCCAATGACCTGGCTCCACATCCTTTACTTCCAGACTTCTCAACCAACGAGCAACATGCGCGACTGCAAGCGCATCCCAAATCCCTTCGCGATAGTTGGCGGCAAATAACATGTCAATGGCACGTTGCCTGATGGGATCATCTCTGCAGCGAGAACCAACAAGGAAAAGTGCTGCCACGATTCCAATGTCGACGTTGAAGCGTGGCGCAGTGCCGTTGTATGTTGATTGAATGTACGGCAAGATGGACTCGGATAAGTTCACCACGTCATTGAACTCTGGGAGGAAGATGTCGTATTCGCATTCCGTCGTGAAGAATGTACCAGCGAGCATTATGTTGCTCACTCGAGCTTGGACTTGAAGGATCCCTGCGCAAGCTTTCTCCCGCTCATTATCACCTGCCATGATCTTTCCGTAGAGGTTTCCGAACGTGGTTATCCACCGGAGAATGTCCCCTCGGTAGCGCAGGTGCTCTTCCCGAAGTGGCCATGGTCCAGATTGAGCATCGCTCAACAGGAGCTCGGTATGCTTCATGTCGACTGAACCTTCCCACTCCGAGTCTTGCCTGGCTTCTTTCAGCTTTTCCATATCGGTGTGCTGAATTGATTTGCAGAAGTGATAGTTCCGGTTCATGATGAGCTGCCAGAACTGCCTCGCCTGTGGCAGGCTTGTGAACACTCTTGGCATGCTTTGTATGATGCTATTGTGGCTGGCCTTAATTTGGCTGTGTACCGATTTGTCTCTGGTATCAATGAATAGCAAGACTTGCGAGTCAAGCGCATTGAACGCTTCCAGTAAATCTTCTTCAAACGGTTGATCCTGCCATGCCTTCTGCGTTTGAAATGGCTTCCCAAAAGGATTGTTCCCAGTCGTCCACTGATGGAGCAGCATCAGTCCTCTCTGGGCATGAATGGCTGCTGCTGCCTGGTTTCCGAGCATCCCTTCAAAGCAGAAAACAAGAAGACACGCAATCAAAGCTTTCCGAAGATCATGCTGGCCAGCAGCAATGGCGTCCCTCATACCCCGCAGAGACTTGCCGTACTGCTGCAATGCATATTGATAGTCCGGTCCTTGGGTCAATGAACCCAGTTGCTTTTTCTGCCGATTGAATCGACTTTCTTTTCCTAAGGCTCCGATGGCTATGACTGCGTGTCGAACAAAAGGCTCCACTTCGCTGATCTGAGGGATCAATCTTCCCCATAAGGAGCCCAGAAAGGTCCCAGATACTTCTCTAGCGGTCTCCTCCAGAAAAATGCGAAAGCAGTGTCCGTCCAACGGATCTTCAAAGCCAACTCCAGCGTAGACTCTACGTAGTGGAGCAATCGCAGTGGCAGCTCTTGGAATTGCCACCTTCTTGGGGAGGATGATTGGCTTTTGTCGAACCCGGGTGATCGATTTCGCGGGCTGCTTGTACCCATCACAGGTCAATCCAGCCTTCAAACATCGGGTACAGTGAGGTTTGGCCTCATCACATTTGACTCGTCGGGATCTGATGCAGCGTTAGCGCGAGGTCTCCTATCCGCTCGGCTGCAGGACGGGCCAACAAACTTGCAGGTGAGGCAGCCTGTTCTGACTTTAGGCTTTGACTTCCGCTTCTTCGATATGTTTGCTATCGCTGCAGGTCTTTCTGCCAGTACAGGTTCGGCTGATGGCGATGACGAAGAGGTTGACGAGTCTGCTGAAGACATTTGCCGAGGTTGAAATACTGCGACGAGGGTTGTCTACCAAGAAATATCAATGTCATCGGGAATGGACAGATGGCATTTAATTGCTTCGTTTGACTTGAAGAGAGCATTGAGTGATCATTAGTAAATTTTGAAGAAAGGACGCCGCTCACCTCCAAGCTGACGGATAGGTGTCCAATTGTGCATAAGCAATCGTAAGAAGATGCCGAATCAGAAATCGTTCCTTTGCATGGTAAGCTGACATGCCACGTGATCATCAGTCGGACATCTACCCAAAAATGGATTAGAGAAGATAATACTTTACGAAAACAAGTCATTCCACGCAAGTGTCTTAATACATATCTGGTCCCTTCTCGGCATACACTGCTTTGATTACATACTTGGGTGCAGAAATGATGTTTCTTAGCAAGACGAATAAGCGATGCGGGAGAAAACAATCTTGAACCAATGCTCTACGCAACTCTAAACCAATGAATCCATAGACACAATCTGAGAACTACGGAATCTATCTTCCTAACATTATCACCCATAAAACTCTTGCACGTTGCCAAATACCTCATCCACAACTTCAAGCTCTGAACACCATTGGAGCCATCTTCTGACCCGGCAGCTCATCAACCCACCCATCATAATCCTCAACAACAGTACTCTGCACCGCACACTTATTCATCTCCTCCACCGTCTGCGTCTTCAAAATCCCCTGCATCCCCGGACTCCCGCACTTATGGAACATACACGAATCGTTCATCGCTCTCTGCAAACTATCTCCCTTCCATCCAAACAAATAATCCGCATGTGTCCCATACCCCTTACCGTCACTGAACGACCACACAAACGGCTGCGATCCATCTTTCGGCCACATATCTGCAAACGCCGTGGTATTCCACATTGTCTCATACGCAACTTGTGCCGTGCGGACGGGATGTGAAGCTGGGCATGGAGCGGCTTCAAGGAAACCGCCTCGTTGAGTTGAAAACATGTGGGATTGGTGGTTGGGACTGTCGACGTTGATGCCATCCCAGCAGGAGGGGAAGTGGTGGATTGCCATGATACCGGCGGGGCAGGGCTTGCTTGGGAAGTCGGGGGTTTCGAAACCTCGAGTTAAGATTGTTTCGAGGCAGGTGTAGGCGAGTCCTGCGTTTTGTTTTGGGGTCGCGAGGGAGGTCGTGGCTGGATTGCCGACTGTCATGCGGAAGCCCTGAATATGAGTGAGTGGAGTGTTTTGTTGATTTTGAGAGAGGGTCGACTTACAGGTGGGAATGCGGTGATGTATTGATCGCCATTCGAATTGAAATCCTTCTGTGTGTAATACACAGTCATGCCACCCTTGATATCAGGCGCATCCTGGCCTTCATACCCTAGCTGGGCATTAGGATACTGCGGTACGCGCTTGTATGAACCGTTTTCGTGTCTGAAATACATGGCTGCTGTCCAGTAGTTGGATAAATCCTCGGTGTAGGCGCATGTCGTGCAAGTTGCTTGCTCGCCGATATCCCCTTTCATCGTTGCGTTGAAAGCATTTCCGCCAACGATTTGGTGGACATGTGCAGAGGGGATTTGGCCAGGTTCGACGAGAGGGTCGAGACGTTGGATTGAAACTGTTGAACAGGCGAATCTAAGCGCTGCATTGGAGAGCCCAGCTTGCAGAAGTAGGTATCCTAATTTCATTTTGGGAGATGTGACTTTTCCTTGCGGAGCTTGATAGATCTGGAAAAAATGCTGAGGTGAAAATCGTGTGTGTTGTGGAGGCGACTTATATGAGCTCCATATGCTTCTCATACCTACCATGAGAGCCACAATACATAGATCTGCGATCGTATCCTAATTTCCCATTCTTGAAATCCATTAGCCTCAACTTACTGTGTGGGATTGATCCGCAAGCGATTGTTTTGGCAAAACATGAATTAGCCGAGCTTTGCCTTCTAGTCGTAAAACAACTGCCGAAGTTGAGAATCATCGTTTTCAAATTCCCGTGCATATTCGATGGTGATCCGAGTGTTGGTTGGTCGTCAGTGAACGGTGGTCGTGGTGGATAAAGGAAGTTGGGAAGCCTCGTTGGGCTGCACATCTGCTGTGCCTATCTCTTCGAATAGGAACGAGACGTGACAAGTCCGCATTGACTACTCTGTAGTCGAACAAGTGCTCAACTATCCTACAAAAAGCAACATCGTTTGATGCAGACTCATTCAAGGGCGCAAAGACGGACTGCCAAGAGATGTTCGACGTGATTCAATGGCTGAAAGGCAGCGCTGTAACAACAGAACTTTGGCTGTCAACATACTTCTTTTTCACCATGGCACCACGACTACGGCCAATGCCCATACAGATAACCATAAATCCCAGCTGCGACATGCTTCCGCAGTCAACCTTCCACCACTCGATTTTGTCGTGGCAGTCGTCGCTTGAGAAGCATTCCGGCAGATCGAACAACACCCCGTCTCAATCAACTGCGCCCCTCCAGCAGCCATCCCATCAAGCGGATATGCACCATTTATCTCACTCCCCAGTACCGGCCCCTTCGTAATCAACGGCCATCCTGGCACCGTAGCCGAAGCCTTACCCGCAACCAACCACCCCGTCCCTCTCTCATCAGTCGTTACACTCACAACCTCACTCCTCAAAGTCACCGTCCCGCCAAACTGGACCGTTCTATTCCCCTCAACCACAAACCTTGGTACCGTCGTCGGAATCGGATTAATCCACAACGCCGTCCCACTTTCCCACGGATTCTGCGTCGTCTGTCCCCCAGGAATCAAAGCATCCGTAAACGTCCACACGAGCCCTGGCCGCCCACGAACATCTCCCCATCCTCCTGTGCCTTGAGCAGAGTACGTTGAAGAGCGACCGCCGCTGCCGAAAACCATGCACCGGACTGTGCCGAATGTGCTGGTTACGCCCGGGCTGATGATGCCGAGTTCGGGGAGATGGGTGATGGAGGCGGTGATGGAGATTATGGGATTAAGGGTGCAGCTTTTGCTGGTTAGGGAGAGAGTTATGGGGTGGGATTCGGCGAGGATGGTGCCTGAGAAGAGAAAGACTGTTTCCGGGGGTGCGGCGGTGAAGATTTGGGAGTTGAGGGTCAGATTGGGGAGTGGAGTGGATGGTGACGATGCGGGTGTGGAGAGAAGAAAATCATCAGATGGAGATGTTTCTGTGGTGCCTGGCGATGCTGTTGAATCTGGTATTGGGATGATGCGTTTGTATTGAGCGTGGAGTGGAGTTGGTTCAGCGAGCTGGGGTAGGTATCGAAGTGGTTGTGCTACGAAGGTGAGTCTCGATGACCTTGCCCTAGTTTGGAAGACTGCCTACCGGATTGGGAAGAGACAATAATGGTGAAGTAACACCAATACGTGGCTAGGAATAGTATTTCCTTCATTGTGAGCGGCACGCCAAAGCTTATGGTAATCCTCCAAGAGTCTCGCCGCTCTGCTTCAGCGTCGCGACTATCTGTCCAGCCCACCGACTCATGCAGGTCCAATAGGGTCTGAGGCCCTTTCAGTAATATAAATGTTCTCTTGGGCTTCACTTGAAGCTATTTGAGACGGTATGATGTCTACGCGACCTCGTGAAGGAGTTTTGAGGTTGACTGCTGCTGCGCCTCAGATGCCAATTCAGGCTGATATCAAATTCCCAAATTAGCTGATTCGTCCAAGCTCGTCTCGGCGCCAAGGTAACAATGAGAAAGTGTGGAAAACAAAGAGGGGATGATAGATCTTGTACATTATTATGAGCAAGTGAAAGCGGACAGACGCTCGTTGACGGATTTCTTGGACGAAGAGCGGGATCAGGTTACTATCCACCATGTACGCATGGCTCAAGGGACAGGAAATAAACACTCCCCGTCTGGGACCGAACACGGGGTATAGTATAAAAGCCACGATATATAATAAGAACATCTTACATGCAATCAGATATATCCCTATTCTTCACGCAGATAGTAGGAAAAAATACATGGTAGGTACCTTAGGCTTGAAAAGAGTGTGACTTCACGTGATATTATCAACCTCGACTTCCAAATCGGGCTTGAAGTCAACCTCTCAAGTAAACGATCAGAACTTCGACCTCAACCTTCAATCTCCAACATTCAATCGCCCACAGAACAGTAACAACGACAACATCATAGCACTATTCCCAAGTTACAGCGCCTTGCTTCTCCTACTATGCGCAGAGAGCAAGGAGCCTGTTGGACAAGCCCAAAGTTGACGCGCCGAAGGGAGGTTGAAAGTCTCATTCCTTCAATGTCATAGCACGACAATCTCTTTGCCGGAATGCCGCAAAAAGCAGGCAGATTCCTGGTGAAGAAATTAGATTACCCAGGATCCCGCCTCATTGAAATGAGGGACAAGCTGCGGCAGGGAGTTCGCAGGTTATTCATCCAGCTCGTCAAGGAGCGCTTCGCTCCCGTCATCTTCAACACATTGAAAATCTCGTGATGGAAATGAACAGAAATGTCAACAAAACAAACAGAGAGGTTCTTCAGGAGGGGGTCAACGTAATGATGTGCTCTTGAGCCTCTTACGGTCGACTTAAAAAACCAACATGGCCAAGAACTGGAAGAGCGGGTTCTTCACGCCGTCGCCGCCTCGTCTCTTTCCGAAAAAGCGGTTCCTTCCAACATGCAGCCACAAGTGGAAATGAGATGGCCGTGAACCACAGCTCATACCGCACGATTCACAAAATCACATCTGGCCTTCGACTGAAGTCAAGTCTAAGGGGGATCAATCGCGCCACCCGTCGAGCCGCGTGCGGATCACCGATGCGATCTCGAATCCGACGACTCCGTCCTCCCCGATACACGAATCCGCCGTATCCGACAAGCCCAGCCCGTCAATTCATATATAAATCGGAGCTTGTCTCCACAGCGCAATATATTCTGCTTGCTGCCAAACCAGGAAAAGAGATGACGCTATCGAAGAGACAGTAATAGAAAAAGGCATGTATGAAAGGGGATTCAGCAATATATTCCTTACGGGTATTTTCTGCTCGAATCCTTGATGCAGCGAGGATTCGGGATGATGTTGGAGCGTTGGAAGAAAGGAAATTACAATTGGGTTTCGACGGTGTGGAGGCTAGGAACAGGCCGGACTGAGAGGCGGCCTAAGGGGCTAGAAATTCTGGGGAAATTTGAGTGAGATGACGAGATTTGAGAAGACCCAGTGCGGTTCGGGATGAACGGATGGGGTTAACCGTTATCGTGATCGTTGAAGAGAAGGAAACGTGGACTTTCGGGACGGTTTGGTATTGAGCCTGAGATACCCTTACCAAAGCACAGTATTTGATGTGTCTTGGGTCGGACGATCGATCAACATGCTGTGACAGGATGGAGTACAGATGAATGTCGACAAATGATGAGCGCAGCAGCGTGCGAGGCCTTACACCCAAGCTCAATTAGCCAGTGCCTTTGAGATTCGTGTGTTACGAGGATGAAGCGTCAGGATGTTTTTACAACTTCGTCTCGTTGACATTGCCAAGATCTGCGTTCTCAGATGGGCACACCCTGGGCCGTCAGACTATTATTGGCCCCGACCGCAGACTCGGATCCTGACCTTGCAGCGGGCTCGGTATGAAGCGATCAACCTGAAACGCTGGACCAGAAAAACTGGGTGACAGGCGAGACAGGTCTGGATAAGTGCGGCCCCTGAGATCGGGGGATGGTGCATTTCGCGGCGAGCTGCCTGGAGAGGACAGTTTTGGAGGAATTTCGGTAAGGCTCGAGTCCAAGATGGCTTCAGTTTGTTTGGATTAGTTGGGAACATGTCTCGTTTGAACCCGAGCGTTTATTGCCTCTCGTTATGTATCGCCACTCGGACCCAGAATACTTTCAGCTGTGTGTTTCGCCTTGGCTGACAGCTGATGATTTTCCATGCTTCACCAGCGCACTGGCCAAAACCCAGTCGACGCCAAGGTGAGGATCCGGAAGGATTTGATTGAAGCTCGAGGCTCTCTTAAAGCAGCCTGTGGAATACGAGGATCACAGCAGAACGGATGCTTGTCATAAAGGACAGACGAGACCTTGTGCCAAGGTGGAGGGTGGAAAGGTCGAAGAATTTGACACCTCTAGCGCTGCTTTACGCTGTTGGAGGCCACTATCAAACCTTGAAATGCCCAACCCCTCACCGTGGACAACTTCGGGGATCAAAAACTCCACTGAAGTCACTGATTCTTGTGATTGGTGTCGCTTGGTTCTCTGAGGGTCTTGGAGCCACTGAAGCCACAGCTCACAGACCATGTCCAGTACGTGATAGCGTTGGTGTGTTTCTGCTTGAGCCTTCTGCGCCGGGGACAGGGGCTTGAAAAGGCCAGCCTGCGGGCGAGTCCTGTGCGACAAGCCAGGATTATTGATGAGACCTCTCGCAGGCTCACCCAGCAAGCAATACGAACAACCTCTCAGCCTCTCACCACTCGATGAACAGGATTCTCGCAGTGCATCATCGCTCAACTCAACCATACACCAATCGCTGACTTGACAGCCCATCTCCCTTGCTAGACCGACTGACTGCATGCGTTGACTCTATTTTGTCCTCCGATATTCGTAAACTCTTGCCCCTCAAGGCTCGTGAACGACCTTCTCACCACTTCACTTGTTTCCTCCTCTTCCCTTCCCTTCCCTTGTCTTGCCTTGCCACCGGCTACACTCTGGGACGGACAGCTTCTATCCTTCAACCTTGCGCTTCAGCACTGCTTGATCGCCCGAGAGCTCGAGGCTCCAGTATTCTTGGGTGTAGTGCTACCTGACGGGTACCGAAGTACAGAGAAGGAGAGAAGTGTGACTAGGAATCTGAAACAGCAGCGACGAACGAAGACAACTTTCTTTCCCTATCCTTCCGGCTTCGGTCTCTTGCTCTCGTGGTCTCTCTCGGCAGCTTCGATAGCTCCCACGGTCAATCACTCTCCTTTCTTGGAGCCGAGGAGTCGTCGAGACGACAATCCCAAGACGAAGGATACGGAGAATTCATCCCACGTTTGAAGAGGTTGGACAGTGGTATACTTTTGTACCGATTGGGTGCTCAGGTACGTTGCTAGAGCATAGAAAGTAGTGGGGGACAGTAACCAGGTGGACTTCGCATGATTGATTGACACCAGCCTCCGAAACGTCAAATGTAACAACACCATCCTTTTCTCGTCTTCCATCAATCACTTTGGCTTGGGGTCTCCCGGGAGGTGGTACACGATCGGGCCAAGCTACCGGTGGTCGACGACGGCCAGGCCTGCACCTCAAACCGTCATCCAATTGACCATTCAGTGCCGTCCCCAAAGTTGGGTTTCGAATCCTCCGCGCTGTGGATCGTTGGGGTTCACCGTGGATGAACTCTTTTCTCGTCGCTGTCGTCGCCCTATTTCCCTCACTGCTTCTTTCTGTATTCCTCGCTGGCGCTGGATGAGGTCGTCACCATTACTAATACTATTCGCGCAGGATCGTTGAAGTTGGGGGAATTGAAGTAACATCACGACTTCTTCACATCTGGTCAGCCGTTTCGATTCAGTACACGGCCGGTTGAGATGCAACACAACGCTTTTTGATTGATTCATCCAAACTTCTACTTCAACATAGACCACGATCTTTGTCTATTCATTTCGGCTCCTAGCGACCGACCACGCTCTTTTGCATCTACTATTCTTACACTGGAGTTCGACCACTTCTGTATCTTTACGCAAAACTTTCAATTCATCTTTCGTTCCAGCTGAACATTTGTACGAATCAGCTCTCACGCCTACGACATCTAACTGGCTGCAGCGATTCTATTTCCGTTGCAGGAACACTCAAAAGCAATTTCATTTGAACAGAATACGGATCCGCGCATATTACTCCAAGGTTCTACGGCTTCATGCATATGCAATCGCGATAAAAAGGAAAGGATCCGAGTAGCGGGTTGGTCACGAGGCCGAGTTTCTCGCAAGCCCCTTATATAGTCAGAAGACTGGCGATTCCACATTTCAAGCTTCAATAGTCGTTGTTGAAATGAATCAGCAATGGCAACCGCCTTCCAGAATTCCTGGGGCCACTGGAGGAGGAGGTTCGGTGAGGAGAGCAAGAGAAAGGATGGCAGCAGGATTACCACCGGCCATGCCACCACCACCTCCACAGGGACGAGTTTATGAGCCACCGCGGATGGCTGCGCCAGTCCAGCCAGCAAGTCGAATTCGACCTCCGATGCCAATAGCTTCCTCTGGACCGAAAACTGGACAGGCTCCAATTGGCGTCGCAATATCAGCACCAACTCAAATACCGCAGTGGCCTCTGGCTGGGACTGCTGAGCCGGGCCAGCAATACAAGCCACCTGCAGGTCGCGGCCCACCACCACAGAGACCACCACGGCCAAGTCAAGTCCCCTCGATTCTGGAGATCTCACAACTGCAGGATGGTGTAAAAACTGCTCAGTATGCGCAGCGGACACAAGAGCAACTAGATCAACAGTATGAGAGGGAAAGACGAGAGGAGGAGGACATGATTTCACCTATCATAACGTCACCTATGAGCATGTCTTCACGGCCGTCAACATTATCGTCTGTTGGATCGATACCGGACTTTCCAGTTCCTGTAGCTCCTGGCCCGCCACGAAGGAGCGCCAACCTTGGACCACCACCAAGTGCGAGACGTGGCGCATCTTCATACTACTCACAAGCATCTTTCGTCTCTCCCATCCCCGAGGAGAGTCCGGGATCACGAACGACTCATCTGTCTTATGCCTCGAGTGCTGCTATTCCGACGAGTTGGGGCTCCAACTCTCCGCGTTATCCATACGACGACGAATATGAGGACGAAAGCGTATACGATGGAAATTTCAACAGATCGCCTACATATGAGGAAGGACGAGAATCGAGGGGGTCGGCAGATGATAATGATGATAGAGGATTGATTCGAAGTGCTAGTTTTGGACGACGAGCGAAGCCTTCCATGATCACAACGAAGAGTTCGGAAAGGATAGAACCTCGACCTGCGCCAGTGCCACAGCAGAAACCAATACAGATGACCAAGTTGGAGAAGATGGGGATCCTTCCAATGCCAGGTAGTGAGGATGCTGGTGCTACCAAGACTAATGGTAATGGCCTAGAGCGGAAGGAGTCTCAGAGGAACACAGTATGGCCTATAATTGGAGATTCCAATTCGCCTCTCGCGACAGGCACGGGCTTCATTGACAAGTCAACTTCATCCTCCGAAGAGTCAGTCCCTACGTTAGCAAGGGCATTCACGACAGACGATGCGACTCCTGCAAATGCAGCGAATTTCTCGGATTCTAATGCTAAAGCGATGCTTGGAGCATACAACGCTGCAAGCTCTCTCCAACCTCCTGGAACGCAACCTTCGCGGACACCTAGCCCTGGTAATGGATTTAGCAGGTTATCCGCTGTTCGCCGTCCACCGCGGCTGGATATGGATGCCGTTAGAGATGCGGAGGCGAGAGGTAGTCTAACGAGTTTGCCCGATTTAATCAGACGAGCAACGAGATTGGCAGCGATGATGGATAGAGGCAAGAGGCCCGGTAGTCGTCTTGCTCTCAACGATTTTCCGAGCCAGGACGACTTTGCTAGGGAGAAGGAGATGGGGAGTAAGTAATGTCAACCTTCATTTTGGCTTTGTGCTAACTATCCTAGTGCGCTCTGACGAGAAGCATCGATCGGGGTTTTCAGGAATGCTTGCATCATTTCCACCTCCTGGTGTCCAAACTCCCCAAGGCGACACACCCACCCGTCCCATGTCGGCTTGGCCTACAGGATTTGAGGAACAACCTGCTGACGGACAAGATGGGCAGAAGCAGAAGAAGCCTCGCCGCTGTTGTGGACTGCCGTGCTGGGGCTTTTTGCTCGTTGTTCTAATTCTCTTAATCATCATCGCAGCAGCTGTGGTTGTTCCTCTTGAACTTCTCGTTCTCAACAAGCCCGATTCCTCGAATGCTGGAGCTGTAACCGTCGCAGCATGCCAAGCCAATTCAGCTACGGTATGTCAGAATGGAGGCACATCCGTCGTTGACAATGGTTCCTGCGCCTGTATATGTACGAATGGCTTCACTGGCTCTACATGTACCTCCGCCAATGCCACCGGTTGTGCAACGGTCACTATGTCTGGCTCATCTTTCACAAATGTCACTCTCGGCCAATCCATCTCTCGCCTAATCTCAGGAGGCCAAACAAATTTCTCCATCCCTCTCTCCGAAAGCACTATTCTTGCTCGATTCAATTCTGCCAACCTTTCCTGCGCAACCGAAAATGCGTTGGTGACCTTCCAAGGTCGCGCTGAGCGTGTTGGAGCAGCCAGAAATCTAGTATTCTCTGCAACTAGCTCTGCCCCCGTCGCAGATCCCACTGCCCAAAAGGCTCGAAGACAAGATATTCCTGCGACCACCACAACCGCCCCAATAGCAGCCGCAACAAACAACGGCATCGTCTACGACGCCTCCGCAACCAACGGACCGCCCTCCGCAATTTCGACCTTGTCTACTTCCTCTGATCCCCAAGCAGTCTTTAGCATCACCGAAGAAGTGCTCGATTTCGCACGCGTGGCAGTCCTGTACGTGCTCCAAGAAGACGATCTCGAGAATGCCATTACTGCTCAGAGCAGCCTGCAGACTTGGTTCAAGGGTCAGAGTTACACCAATCAGGCGGCCATGAATGTCAGCCTCGGCCATGGCAATGTGGTTAATCTGCTAGCGTTCCAGGTCGACACTGGCAATGGAACGGTGGGTTCTAAGAATGCCAGTCTGGCGTATGGGAAGGCGAGGAGAGAGATTGAGAGGAGGGCGGCTCATATGAGGAGGAGTATACCACTGTTTAGTACGCGGTGAAGTAAGCGGAATACAGGCTGAGCTCGTGTTTGATGACATTGATGACTTTTTTCTCTCGTTCCGTAGATGAGAATTGAGCGTGGAAAATGTACGAAGGAAAGTATGAGCGAAAAGGAAGCATGAGTGTCGGAGTAGATGGGGCTCTGACTTGTATATACTGCCCTCGCCAGCACTTTGGCACATTTTTTTTTCTTTTCCTTTACTGTTTTCGGTGGATTTGTGTTTTTGTTGAGATGTCATATACCTTTTCGTTTTCTTGTTTTTGTCTTGTTCTTTCGTGTTCATGTTATGTCTAGCGCGGTGCTGGGGAGCCGAAGACTTGAGCTCTGAGAGCGAGGAAGGGGTAGAGGGATGAATTGGGCAAGAGTGTCTTATACCTATTATGTTCTTGGAGGTTTGTAATTGGTGGTGGGGTGGTGGTGGATGTTGCCTGTATTATATAGTTGACTGGAAACTGAGTTGGAAGAGATGGAGACTCGCCCGAAGAGGGAAGATGGAAAAGGGGATGAGGAGGATTGCATGGAATGGAGTCGTCTTGTGGATTGCATGCTGGCAGGTAAATCTTAATGGAAAATCTATGGACTTATGAACTGAACCATTGCCTGTCTTACCTCATCTTGATTTCTGGAATTGAACTTGCTTTTGAAGTTGATGCTGATGTGAATTGGATGGGGTGATTGCTTAATCACGGCTGTTTAGTCGCGGAGCAGCATAGTTGCAGGTGTGGGATCAATGAAACAGTCTGGGAAACTTGGTCCGGGGTACTTCAACGCTGTTCATTCCTCATAAATGAAACGCAAACCTCAACGCAGATATATATCTATCTATCCCGCAGCCAAACTCCGCAGCTCAAGCATACAGCGCCTGCTGCCACCACAAACACCTGTCCAGCGGCAAATCATCCTCTCTCATCCTCGTACCATTCAGCTCCAAATCCATCACCACACCAACATCCTTCCCAGCCGCCGTACTCTCCCCATACCTCTCAAACCTCGGCAACCCATCTCCATTCGGATCCCCACCTCTGATGAAATTCGTGAAGTATCCCTGCATGATCAGCGCCAGAGTGTCGTTCTTGACGGTCGGCGTTGGACCCTCGTAGAACGTATAGTGGATATCATCCCCATGCAGAGCAGGCGGGACGCTGAATCGGTAACTCCACGCGTCGTTTTTACCCTTCAAGCGCCCATTCCCACGTCCAGTTCTGTGGTGGGCGCCGCCATCCAAACCGAATGCTCGAGACAGGTACAGCGCGTTACACGAGAACAGGGCTTCAGAGACAATACTCGCTCCTCTTGCAATGGGGCTATTGTATCCGTGGCTGCCATCTAGGGTATCCGGGTATAGCGTGTCGAGGATGTATGACGTGACGTTCCGGTCATCGGCGTTGGGGAAGGAGACGGAGACGATGTTTTGTTTGAATGTTAAGGGGGTGAGGATAAATGGGGATGTGAATTCTAGTCCTTCGTTGGCGTTGTGGCCGACGAGGATGCGGATGGATTTGTCGTAGGAGCCGGAGAGGAGGAGCTGGCCGGGTAGGGAGGGGGAGAATGTGTTGTCTACGACGGGATCTGATATTTGTTTAGTATGGAAAGATTGGAGGGTTGATTTGGGCAGGGAGTGGTATACTTACTGAATGTCAAATCTCCATACGCAGATTCTCCCACCAACTTAGCATTCACGAACTGCAATTCCTCTGTCGACAAATCCCTCGCCTGGTCTAACGTCTGCACTCCCGCAACGTTCAGAAACTTCGAATATATACTTTCCTGTCTCTCCATTTCCGGAACAGGGAGGAAGGCTCCGCTCTGAATAATGGCTTGCTGGAAGGGAGCTCTGCCTTTCTTTCCTCTGCCACCGTACGCGGTGATCTGATGCATGATACTCCCTCCTCCTGCAGACTCACCCATGACAGTCACGCGATTCGGATCACCGCCGAACCTGGAGATGTGTTTCTGGATCCATTGGAGCGCGAGTCTTTGGTCGAGGAGGCCAGCATTGGGAGTCCCGTGTTGGTGAGTGAAGGTTTTGCCTGAGAGGAAACCCTGTGGTTGTGGTTAGTAGGGAGGAGGGTGGAAGAGGGCGTGGTGTAGGGAACGTACGAAGAGGCCGAGACGGTAGTTGATGGCGACGTAGATGATGGGTTCTTTGTTTTGGAGGCGACTTGCGTTGATTAGGCCTACGCCGCTGCCGTATTGTGTTTTCCATCCAGCCGTGTAGCCTCCGCCATGGATCCAAACGGCTCTTTAACTTGAGTTAGCTTGAACTATTCCCGAGCTGAGGAGGATGTTGAGATTCGATACATACACAGGCGCGCCATTCTGTCTCGTATCATCATCAAATACCTCCTTTGGCACCAAGACATCTAGAAAGAGACAATCTTCATTCGTCCCGGGCCTGGCTGGTGGAGCTGTGGTGATATTCGGGATCGTGTACCCAGCCTCGATATTGATAGAGTCAATGCCTGCAGTCATATATTTTATTGCGACTGAACCCCATGCTGGACTGGCATTGGGACATATTGCAAAGTTTGAGCCGTTGTTGAAGACTTTGTGACGCGTTGATGGAAAGACTGGTGGTGCGAATCGCAGTTTTCCCACGGGAGGTGCTGCATAGCGGATGTTGGAGAAATTGTAGAATTGACCGGTGGCCTACTATAGGTGAGCTACTGGGCGTGAAAGAGTGAAGGTAAGCTTACATTGAAATGTCCTTGGTGAATTTCATAGCCCAGATCAATTTGTGGCCTGTCTGTTGACGAAGGCGGGTGGTTTCCAAGCACCGCGACGATGAGAGCTGTCGCTACACTTAGGATATACCATTGAGAGCACATCTTTGCTAATGTGAATGACTTAAGGGGTTGTCGAGCAGATAAGTTAGAAAGGTGAGGTTGGCCGACGGAATGCCCTGAGCTCACCTTAGAAAGGGCAAAGCGAGAACAAGATTAGGGTTATATCCTCGACCGGTTCCGGCAATGCCATTCCGCGGATCGGGATTATCTACGTATCGTCACAAGAATCTTAAGACGCAATTCTCGTCGTGATTTAAGCTTAAATTCTGACTAGAATACTTGCAATGTTAATTTTACAATGGTCCTTCATGTCAAGCGCGTGAGGATCTGGTCGGCTTGTAGGCTTGTAGGCTGGATGCAGATGTTTTGCCTGTTGTCCTTGTTGGCGTGCTGACTTTCTGGTGCAGGACGGTCAATGGCAGCTTTCATGGCCTAGAGAACATGATGAGTGGTCTCGTTGCGTTCAAATTCACTTGATAGTTTTAAAATGAGCTGAGAACTATGCGTCACTGAAGTCGCTCTTGTCGTTATGCCTGCCAAGCAGCAAGGTCAACAATGGCTCGGCTAACCACTGAAGTCGTGAACGACAATCTAAACTGTTCATTGCGGATTTTAGATGAATGACTTTCACTATGGTCAAACTCTAGACAGCATTACGACCGGATTCGTTGTTCTTAAAAATCAATTGATGTCGATGTTGGACTGAGAGATGTCGCATTCACCCCAGAGTCTCTGCGATGGATTGACAGCCAAAGTCAGGCATTTCAGGTGAATCTCAATGTTGGAGCTATCACGTCGTAACACGACTACGAATCTGGTCACTAGCTCCAAAATTTACAAAAATTACATTCTTCGAAGTCACCAACAGCGACTGCCGTTTGGAAACACCATTCTCGAGATTCATCCCCGGTGATTTGTTTGAAAATCAACGAAGAAGTAGCAACGGCTTGCTATGATAGACCTCTTGCAATAGCAACATGGCAGACTCGTAAGTTCTTGAGATTCGAGATTGAGGTATACACAGTACTGATAAAAACAAAGTCACCAAGCAATTCGAAATTCTTCCCTCAACCTCCCAACACCTCCTTGCGTACAAAAGGCTTTCAATGCGCACTACTCTGGCAGCGCGCCACATCAGCAAAACAACAGTAACAACGCCCAAACGGCCGGGCAAGACACTCCCTCCATCAGTAAAGACAATGATATTTCTGTCGCACCAAACAATCTCCGACCTCCTGTGAGCACACCTGCCACACCAACCTCATCGCGCCCTGCAACTCCTACATTATTGCCAGGCTTCGCCTCCACCGATCTCCATCCCACCGCACCAAATCAACCACCACCACCTTCCCCTCCTCCTTACAAGACACCGTACGCCCAAAGCGAGCCATTTCCAGCAGCTGGTACGCAGATCCAGGCTCCAAGCCCAGTACACCCTCCAAGTACTTCTCACACTTACGCTCAACCTCGATCTGCGGCCTCGACACCAGCTCCCATGTATTCTGACCCAGCTCTCCAGAGAGGTATTTCTAGTACCCCAGGCTATCTTGCCTACGCTCAACAGCTCCGACAGACAAACCCCGCCACTCAATATAAAGTCCGCAGCGGTCGTCTCTCACCAGTCTCACACGTCCGAAATGCACTTAGCATTGTCTCAGACACAGGTTACGTGCCACCAGAGCTACGACGCCTCTCAGGTGTCATGGCCGGTAATCCCATGATAAATAGCGTCAAAGTGATTCAGTACATCGCAGAAGGTTATGAAGATGTCTGTGACAAGCTCGACGACCGCGATGCCACGATCCGGCAGCTTCGTGCTGAAAAGGCTCAGATGCAGGCCGAGCACGCTCGCAAGACTCAACATGCTGTCGACGATGCTTTGAGATTTTCTGTCAGACCTCAACCCCAGTCTACCGCACAACATGTGGCGGATCTAAAGAATAGGGATGACAAGATCAAGGCATTGGAGGCGTTTGTAAGTGACCAGGCTCAGAGAATTACCAATTGTGAGGCTGCGAGAGATCATGCACAGAACATGCAACTGGACTTGAAGAACAAACAAGAACAGGAGATGGCTGCTGAGAAGAAGCGATCGGAGAATTATAGACAAGACTTAGCTACTGAGAAGGATCGGTGTAAGAAACTTGCGGAAGAGTTGAGTGCTGCTCAAAACCACGCTCAACAATGCCAAGACTTCATTCAGACTCAAGCCAGCAATCAGGACAACGGTATTGGCCAAGATCACGGACATCCTCAGATTCAAGGTGAGGGTCAGATTTTCGGACAGGATCAAGCGTTGCTTCAACCGCAGGGTTTTGGCCAAGGCTCGGAAGTTGATTTTGATAAATTCTTTGCCTCGCTGCATCCAGAGCAAGAACAACATACTGGGTTCCACCACAATGCCGATTTCACACAACAAAGCCAGCAGAGCTTCGATGACCAGCTCGGTTTTCTTCAGCAGCCAAGTATGCCAGGTTTCCCAAGAGACCCGTTCTTTCCACAGACCATGAGTTTCGGACAGGTTGGAGGAAACCAAGCTAATGAAGATCCGTTCACTATGGGAGATCATTGCGGCAACCTGTTCCAGCATGAGGAATCTGCTCGCCGAGCCAGAACCGTTGAGCAGAGCTTTGGCTTGCAGAACATGCCGTTTCAACAAGGTCTTCAAAGCTATCAGACTATGCGAGGTCAAGGTCAAGCACAGAATCAACGCAACTCCTTGACTCCAGGTAGACACCAGAGAATACAGAGCCAAGTTCAGCAGAGTCCAGCTAGTTTCCACTCAATACCAGGTCAGAATCAACACAGCCCACCACGACGCCAACAGACTCCCGGTCAGGCTCAGCGCAATGCTAAGACTCCAGATAGGGGACAAGCAATGGAAGATCAGCAGAGTCCACCAAGAAGCCAGGGTAGTCAAAAGCAAGGTCAACGCGCTGCCTCCATGCCAATTAGACAGCCAACTCCACAGCCAGCTAGAGGAAAGAGAGGCCATCCAACGAAAAATAGTGACCAGGTCTCTGCACAGCAGAACGCGAATGTTCCGACAGCCCAGCAACTGGCATCAGCATACCAGAACAATCACTACAGCACTCCTCAAGCAAACCAGGCTCTCGGTCCAGCTCGTCGCACAACGCAAACACGAGGTCCCCGCAAACCCTCGGCTGAGACCGAACAAAATATCTCCAATCATCAACTCTTCCCTCGGGGCAACCAAAGCGTCAATCAGCATGACGGACTCGGCTTGGACCTGGGCCACGATGGAAGTCATGATAATATGCCGCTACAGCAAGGCATCAAGCGTGGTGCTTCGAGTCTGGATGAGCAACAGGAGGGAGAGGAGGGACAACCTGCAGCTGAGGTTAGAAAGGTCACTCTTGATACTTTTCGGAGAACCTTGCGCCAGAGAATTGAAAATGGCGAGATTAAGATTATGAAGAATTATCAGAGAAGTTTTTAGAGAGCGAGAGTTTTGAAGGGAGTGTGATAATGAAGAGCTGTGGGAGAATTATGAGGGAAGCGGGCGGGACTTTGGGTTTTCCTTACTGGGGAGTTGGGGATTGATATTTTGTTATCTTCTGTTCTGTAATTGTTCGCGCGGATTTTTATTGATGGATCGATACTTGAGGTTGCGTGAGAGGAATTATTAGAGCATAGCGGTCTAGAAACTAGAGTGGATGGAGTACATGGAAGGATGATTGTGGTCAGATGGCGGATCCAGAGAATGATCTGGCGTAAGAGAAAATAATACATCATGTTCAACCATGTACTTCTGTGCAGTAAAGGTCTCACGGGAGTGATTGATTCATCTGATGCTTCTGTGATAATTGTCTACTCCAAGCACAGGAAATATGGCAGTCGCCCCCACGTGCAACCAAGTTACCAAGTGTACACTGACAGGAAGGTATCCGGTATGCCGCGTCACATGTCTTTGGTATAGAAAACTATGTATGCCTGAATATCGGTCAAATGGCCCAGAGACGTAGCGGTGAACATATTGTACATATTATTCGCATTCCTCTTGGTTTTGTTTACTTTGTGCCTGGAGCAGTTTAGCTCTCGGCAACTAGTGGCGTGATGCAACACAACTTGGAGCTGATCCTGACTCAGGCGGCTTGTTCACAGCTCCCCTGTCCACCAAAATAGTCAAAGGTCATGGATTAGATTTCAATGGCTCTCGCAGCTGGGGGGACTCTTTGAGATATTTCTAGACTCAGCACAGGGATCGAGGTCTTAAGAACAAAGGTTTGGCAGCGCATTCCGGTTTTTTGTTCTGAAGATTTTGGGAGCCCCAAAGCGCAAGACTTTCGGCTTTCCAAAATACTTTTTAGAAAATTGCAATTCTAAGTTAAACATATTACTAGGAGGAGACTTCTGATTGAGTCTAGAAATTGATTCGTGCGTTATTTTCGGCCAAATGGCTTTCCCGCACCCTTGTCACTGTTCCATGTCATCCCCATGGGTACCCGTACCGAGAACAAAGGCATACAAACACATGTGAATACTGGTTACACTGTACAATACAAGCTGAAACACTTAAATCAGATCAAAGAGCCTTGCTTTGCTATATATGTTCTGGCTCTCTTCCTTTACGCTCCTTTTTAATATTTATCAACAGACTTCTCTAGACAGATATCACAAACCCACGCCAAAAATGTTCCAAGACCACAAAAACGACGAATTTGTTGGCAACAAAGCATCCTCCGAGAACAACGACATGGCCTCTCTATCCAACAACTTCCTCCTTCTCACCAGCGATTCGGCGGTATCTGAATCCACACGCTCGGCTCACGACACCCCAACACTGAGCGCTCAAGAGGCTAGGATCTCTCAACTTGAAGCCTTGGTCTTATCCAAAGACAAAGAACTAGAATCCACACTTCAGCGAGTCATATCCGAAAGGGAGGAACTAGAAGCCCTACGTAAGATGCAAGACGATATCGACCACGGATTCGAGATATGCGCCACCACAATCACAACACAACAGAAGGAGATTTGTGAACAGAGACTTCTGATAGATAAGCTCCTAAGGAAAGTTTCCGACAAGAATCAAGAGGTGGAGAGAATGAGGAGGGAAAAGGTTCAAGCTGATCGATTTGTGGAGATGCTTCAGGTTCTGAATATGGACAAGAGGTCTTCGGGTGGGAAGGACGATTGCTTAGAAGCCGATGGCTCAACGCATAGCGGATGATTGTTTGCTTTGGTCTTGGTCTTTGTTATAGTTCTGTGTAAAGAGATTACTATAAGTGGACTTTGAGATATGCTGGAAGGTGAGGAGGGACAAAAGCATTTGAAGCTTAACCAGGGCTCAGCAAAACATGACTTGTCATTCAATGCAATCGATTCATCACTATGTGAGGCTCAATATTTGATGTGCATTACGAAAATGATGATTTTAAGGTAAACATCTAACTGTTCACTTTTTAGGAAACTCGTGTGTAATGGAGCTAGTTGATGAGGCGGCTATTGTTCCGAAGTTTGAATGCGTGTTGAACAATCCACGCTCGTTTTGAATGAGCGATTGTAAACATATATATGTAAACCCGTTTGTACAACGACATTTGCTCAGAATGAGAAGTTTTTAAACATGTCTTATCATCTACGGGTTCCGTTGCCCGTTACAGGGTGAGTGAGAAACCTTCATTTGGGTTCCAGACGCCTTACTGAACTTCACGACGTGGTGAGTAAACCATAAAGTATCTCTGAATCGCTGGTCGTAGAGTGCCTGCGGACTGAGTATATTAGTGGCGGCTAGTCTGAACTAATAGGTGGACATGTGCGCATTCGTGTAACAAGGCTACCTGAACAGCACCTTAAAGGTCCCTGCCCCACCAACTCCTTCGTTCTCTGCCTAGTCACTCCCGTCCACACACCAAATTCCAACACCTAGCTTCGTGTTGTACACTTCCCACACGATGATACCCTTCGATTTCATCGCTCAGAAGGACGCCCAGGATGCGCAGCACGCATTTATCCGCAAGTTCGTTGAGGCAAAACACGACATTGTGGCTTTCGTGAACGGCCGCCTTGGGTGGGACGGGGCTGGAGTGTTTCTCAATTTCTTTAAAGGCTCATTCAACCTCAGCATGGCCATGAAAAAATCCCAGACCAAAGAGCGAGTCCTTATTCGCTTCCCATTTTTGGGGAAAGTATATGAGCTGTGGCGGGAGAAGAAGGTCCAGAACGAGGTCATGGCGATGAAATATCTTTCTGAACACACGAGTATTCCTCTTCCGCGTGTGTACAGTTGGGGTCTCACCGAGGAGAGCCCACAGCAGCTAGGGCCATTTATGATCGAAGAATTTATGGAAGGGGAGAACCTCGGCGATATCTTAAAAAAACCAACTGAGAACGAGGCCGATCCTGCTATTTTGGACCCAGATATTGACGAGGCAAAGCTGAATATTGTGTACGAACAGATCGCTGGCTTTCTCCTACAGCTTTCACGGCTGGAATTCCCACGTATCGGGGCTATCTCTCAGAATGATGTATCTGGCGAGTGGACTGTTACCGAGCCACCTCTCACATACGACATGAATGAGGTCGTGGGCTTTGCTGGCTTTCCGACCGACTACTTCACTGCCATGTCAACATTCTCTTGTTCGAGCGACTACTTCGCAGCACGTGCACACTGCCTACAGGAGCATCTCGAGACTCAACGCAATATCGCTTTTGAAGACTGTGACATTACCTGGAACCGGTATGTCGCGCGCTGCTGTTTCGACAAGCTTATCCCTACACACGGTACCATTGACGACTCAGGACCATTCCGGATCTTCTGCGATGATCTGCGGCCCTCGAATATGCTTGTTGATCCCGAAACAATGCGTATCACCGCCCTGCTCGACTTTGAATTTACGAATGCTATGCCGGCCCAATTCGCCTATGATCTACCCTGGTGGCTTATTCTTCAGCAGCCTGGCATCGAGGTTAGCGAGGGGAAGCAGAAATTCCTAGATCTCTTCGAGCCCCGGAAGGAGCAGTTCCTGTGTGCAATGGAGCGCGTTGAGGCTAGAACCACTATGCCAGCTGGGGAGCTACGACTCTCAGCTCGAATGCGGGAGTCATGGGATAGTGGGCGGTTCTGGTTCAACCTTGCTTCGAGGAGTAGCTTTGATGTTGATCAGATTTATTGGGAGATGTTGCATAAGGAGGGCTCAGGCGAGGTGATGTTAGACCCAACAACAGCTGCCAAAAAGGAGGAATTTCTGAAAATGAAGAAGGATCAATTCGAGGTGTATTGGGCAGAAAAGCAGAATGATGTGCGATTTAATGAGTAATTCTTAAGTGCAGCTGGGGAATAGACTATGTTGGAAATCAATAAGAGACTTATATGTAGATTTTATATATATCTTTGACATAATTCTGTGCTTCACAAATAAACTTAATCTTGTCAAGTTTGATTGGTCTAGCTTCTGGGAGTATCCTCCTTCTCCTCGACCACCCCTCCATTTCCAGTCTCGTCTAGCAGTTGATCTTCCAGCCCCACCAGCTCCTTTTCCATAACCTGGATATCCTCCGACTTCTTAGCCGTCTCAAAATCAATCATGACAACACCCTTTTCTGAGATCAAGAAGTTATGCTTATTCAAATCCCCATGCAGTATACCCAAGTCATGCAGCTGCCCAACAATAGTTTTGCAAGCGGGGAGATCCGAAATGGTAGCGTGACGGCCTTCGATATACTCGAGAAGGAACCCGATGACCCGACCAGCTTCAGTCACGTATCCCAAGAACTCCGGGCCGATTTGATGGCCCTCTATCCATGAATATGCTCGTGTCTCAGCGACGTAATATTCGATCTCCCAGTGAAATCTTGCAAATTTGGCAACCACTGGCTTTTCAAACTGTGGCGAAGATTCCATGTAGACGTTTGAGCGAAGTCGCTCTCCAATGTGAAGAGAAAGGTAATCGTAGGATCTCGGGTGCCATAGTGGACTGATTGAAGGAAGATTTTTCTTGAAAATCTCCGAGAAAAATGGGTTTGGATCTTCCCCTATTTTCGAGATGCGGCCATGGTTCCAATCACCTTCTGGGAATGGAGGCAGCTTTCCTACCAGGTCTGGTGGAAAGCATAGATCGTCGACTTCGTAGATTCCTGGATCGATAGTGATGTATTTGATGTGCTGTTGTTTCCAGAGGATTCTGTAATAGCTAGGCGTCTTATCATCGGGATCGACTTCTTGATTCAGGATCTCGATCAGGTTAGGATACATGCCTTTTGTTGTCTGTGGTGATATGAAATCCGTTGTGAGGATGTTGGTGTTCCACTGTCCGCTGTCCGAGGAAAGATGAAATGGAAGGTCTCAAATCAGGTGACGGTCACGTGAGACATGTGCCGTGTACCTGCAGAAGCGTCTAACAACCAGGTACGTACTTAAAGCGACCAATTGCTCGAGTGATTATTCTTCTGTAACCGCTGGTCCCTAGCGCGCGCGAGATGAGACACCAAAGATGTGGTTACCTGTGATTTTATGTTGGCAGCAACCCATTGATTGCTCGCTAGGTTTCATGCCTGCTCTATTTATATTGATATCTGGGTCATAAATAGATTTCCAACCGTATCACCAGGCGCGCGGGAGATTTGAACATCAATCAGGGACTCGCAGTACTTGACTTGATGACCTCAGACCTCTGCCTCAAGCAGGGGCATTTTAACTATATAACAGTTCTCGACACGTCCAACTGTCCAAGTCGTCTGTCAGACACAGACAATAACTATTCACACACAACAGAACATTTCTTTGCAACCAAGCTGAAATTGGTATGTGCTTTCAATTCGCGTGCACAGATTTCTAAAATGGCTGACTATCCTAGAATAATCCCAGCGTCCTTCCCTAACATACACTACGTCCTTGCACTGGAAAGAGGCAGAAGGTAAACATTCCAGGTCAGCTGTCGTGTCACATTTCTTACATGAATCACAGCTTCGACGATGTGTACACAGATATACGTGTGGCTGCGAGAAAAACGGCGAATTCAAACAATGTCACCAGCGCCGTGATACGAACGTCAAATGCAAGCCGATACCAAGAGAGAAGGAGAAGAACTCGACTCACATGTGTGCGTCTCATATGACGAACCCTGGCACAGACGAGATGCGTCGTGACGTGCAACGTCGTCGTTGAGAAAATGCATGGAGGATGTTGGAGCCGGAGCAAGACAGCATCCATGATGGAAGGGAGGAGGGCCAGACAAGTCAAAGTCGACGAGAGGCCTCGTCTATTCAAAGCTTCAATCGTGTAACTCAATGGCATTCATTAAAATCGTCGACTCTTTTGTTCTTCTAATCCAAAACTCCCAGAAGTACATGGACAAGTGACTACCAGTACCAAGCACGTAACACGGACCAAGTGACAATAGTATCGAGCTCCGATTCGTCACAAAGGATGCTACCGATGCCAGTGCAAAACAAGCTGTGTGTCTCTCGGTATATGCTCAATGTGTACTTGGCTCAAAATTTAAAATTGTTGAGAAATGACAAAATGTCACCCTCAGAACAACCATCCATCTTGCTAATAGGGTCAAAATATTCTGGAATAACCTTTCTCGCTATCTGAGATACCTCACAGTCCCGAAAGTGCTTCATATACGCCGCAGATGTGTAAACAGTGTTCCAATGACGATATCCACGTTTCTCGTCTCGAGGTGCAAGACGACACGCTTGGCACGACACTCCCCAGTCAAGGCAGCCAGTCCTTCGATCTAGAAAAGGTATTCTTATCATAGACATATAGCGATATGGATTCTGCCCATGACGATCGAATTGCTGGAGGACTCGAAGTGGAACAGACGACTGAGGGGGTTGTGCTGGTTGCGGAGCACGTCTCTTTCCCGGAGGTCCGTTTCTTAGACGTGGCGTATTCGTGCCCTCCTGCTGCGTAGATACAGCTTCAGTCACCGAGAATATCCGCACCAACGACATTCGCCTCTTGTATGTTCTTTCACTCTCCGTGTACTCGCCCGGGACGCTCAACAGAGTGGGCAAAGTGCGAATGGTCTTTGAACTCAGACCAAAATCTTTCTTTGCCGAAGCTGTTGTAATGGACAGTAGACTATCATCATAAGCTACGCATACAATGCAGTGCCGATGACCGGTAAACAAGTCGAGAAATGGTCCAAATTGTCCGCAACTAGCACAGGCTTGCGTGCAAAGTGCGTTCAAAATATTTTGCGCTGTGAAGTGGATAGCCATTCGCGTGGATAGTAACGCACGGAGGACATGGGATGAGTGCTGAAATACTGCTTTGTATGGTGGAAACTGGTCAACGAGAGCACGAGCGTGCCAGCTAATAGCTCTGACATCCGTAAGACTTTGCAAGTCGAGAACATTGAAAATCAAATAGATGATCTCAATGGGCAGTGTTTCCAGATCTCCGATGTTAGGAGAAGAAGCAGAGCTTTTCGTCCCGAAAGTTGTCCTTTGCTCAAATCGCCCGTTATCAAGTGGACAATGTTTTTGCAGAGACTGTAGTTGAATGGTCATCTGAGCTAGTCCGGGGCGCGACCAGGTCAAGAGACGAAACTCATCCGCATTCAAGGTTGTAGGTGAAGCCATGTATGTAAAATGATTCCTGAATGGCCTTTCGATTTGCAGAGTGATAGTGATTGCTCTAATTACCCAAGGACGAAGAAGAACAATCAGATGATAGGGGGAGGATGTGGAGCTGGTCATCGCGTCGCGTTTTCAGCCACCTGCAGCGCGTGCAGCCGCCCAAGGCGGGGCATCATTTACGCGAGACAAATATCAAGCCTCGTGTACTTTATTTTAGAAACCCTATGCTTTTGTGGAGCAACGGCTCAGAAGAAGTTACAGCTCGATCAGGCAAAAGGGACAGATTTGTATGGAAAAGAAATAAATGTAGAAGCTGCATTTCCCGTACTTTCCCATTGTTAATACCGTTCCATGGCTCATCCGCACTGCCGTGTTTAACGGCACATCAGGTTTTTTGTTGTATCGATGCGCTGAATCAGAGATATGCAAAGTTCGTCTATTTAAGATGAGTATCTTACAAATTTTACTGCGATTAAATTTATTGACACTACAGTTGTACTGGTATTTGTGCAACCCGACAAACACCTAATGTCACGTGTAAGCTCTCTAGACAAACTGATTGACCCTCACCCTTTCTTCATCTTGCCTGGACCTAAGTATCAACCAAGGCCGGACTTCTCATCATCTTATGCCTGAAGTCTACTTGTCTCATCAAATTCATCTCATTATCGAAGAAGTCAGTGCTATAAAGTTCACTCTGGCTTCCACAGCACCAACTTAAGCCAGGTCCAGACTGTGAAGTTTCTCAACCTGTGCTACGCGAGAATGAACAGTACGGGATGAACTTTGGCCGTGCACTTTGCGCGATGGTGAAAGACATAGACTTGACTCATCACCGAGATCGCTTTATTGATCAAGGCGACAACAAAGCTTTTCAAGCCGCAAAATGGTACTATCTCCATGCGACCACCAGCCAGCCTCGAAAGTATTCGCGTAATACCTAGCGCCTTCCCGTCATCCCTACTCGACATTTCTTTCCACGTTCCATATCAAGCCAAAAAAGTTCGAGTTCACTCGATAGATGATCAATCCTTACATAGAATCATGGAATCGTCAATAGCTACTGCGAAACCCTCAGACGGGCACAGCTCGGCCGTTAACCCGACCCCACTGAAGAAGATCAGCAAGCAAGCAAAAACGACAGCGCGGAAGAGCAAGCGCAAAGCCAAACAAGAACAAGAAGGACAGACTCCGGAGCAAATTGCTGCAGAGAATGCTGCGAGAAGAGAGAGAAACGTTGCTAGGCAACAGAAGTTGAAGGCTAAAGAGAAGAAGGATGCGCTCCTTCGGGTGCAGAAGGAGAGGGAGGAGAAGGCGAAGCGTGAGGAGGAGAGATTATTGAAGATGAAGGAGGATGCCGCACTTACTGTGTTTATTGCTATGGTGGCGAGGTCAGAGAGTACTGAAGCTGTCCTTGAGAGAAGGCATGTGGCCATGGAGAAGTTGGCGAAGCGGCTATTTCCGTTTTGGTTCTGGTATCAACATATCATTTCGAGGATCAACGTACAGGTTGATTCGCTTGAGTATCTACTGGCGTTCAAAGAAGTAGGTCCAATCAATTTGGTGTCCCATGTACTGATGGTAATTTATCAAGCTGACTGATGCTGTTCTAGAATACGCTCAACCAACGAATCCGGAAGGCTCGGGGTCTTGAGAAGGTACAAGACTACTTCAGACGCCTGCTGAGCTCGGTTAAAATGTTGGAGAAAGGGCAGAATGCAAGAGTAAATGCTGTGCTTTGTGCTTGTGAGCTGGCAAAGAACAAAGTCAAGTCAGGTCCAGAGCCAGATTCGAGCTGATCCTACCTTGAGACTGCCACCGAATACGGAAATGCTGGACTGGGAGACTGGTGATGGAAGAGGGTACTGATACATCAATGGCAAAGCACCAGCGGGTTTTCAAAATGCAACAAGGTATGTATCCATAGTTCAATGCACCCAGCGACTTATTCTTCAATGCTGATCCTTTGGCAGAGATAGAGAACGCTAAGAGAGAAATCCAATTCCGGCGCAACAGCTTGACTCTTGAAGCAGCACTTAGCCAAGTTCTCCACCTCAAGCTGGCTGAACTCGCCGCAAAGAACAACCTCACGGCTTCCATCACCCGAACTCCCACCCACGATTTCCTGGACAAGAAACGTCCCAACCTCGAATCCCACATCAAAGAAACTAAGAACTTCGTCGTCGATACCCTCCTCGCAGAATTTAAGCGACTAGAGACTGAAAGCCGCATCATCAAAGCCGGATTACGAATCAACTTTGGCGGCGACCATCAGTGTGGCCACTGCAACAAAATCACTCATACGTCTGACAACTGCTGATGGGAATTCCCCTCGAAAAGTCCAACCTCTCACCCAATCTGCGAGTTCTGTCTCCGCAATGATGCCGAGTCGCATAAATGTATGGGACGCTCCACAACGCTAAATTGGGTGGACTATACGAAGAAGTGCGTGAGGTGTGGACAGAGGGGTCATGAAGATAAAGTGTGCTTCTTGCCGACTGACGAGGATTTGAGACGATATCCGGAGAAGTGTACGCGGTGTCGGAAGACGGGACATCCGTATGAGAAGTGCTGGGTTGCGTGGCCGAATAGGAGACCGGAGTGGATGAAGAGTTTGGGAGGCTCCTCGAAGGTATTGATAAAGGGGGAGAGGAGGAGAATTTTGAATGGGTTGTGAGGGCAGAAACGACCTAAGGGGTTTGTGTAAGACGTATAGATTAGATACGTTTGTACAAGCGCTTCTGAATTGGTCCCGTTCCGGAATCGTCACCGTCGACAGCAATCGCGAAAATTGTGTTGGAGGATACCTCTGTTAAAGGCATTTAAATCTTCTTGAATCATGATGGTGCTCACACGATTGTGAGAGATCTGAGACAAGTGGTGGGAAGTTATACTCAAGATAACACAGAGATGGTTGAACGAGACGATCACCTTACCGATTCCCTTGACCCAGCATAGTCAACTTACTAGACAGCCAAATGTCTTAAATCTCTCTTACAACAACAAAATGCCATTACAAAGCCCAGATGTGAAGCAGATTGGCCAGAACAACAGGGTGGGTTCAGGGCTGCAATGTAAACAAACAAACTGTACCTCGTGACTCGTCATTCTCATAAGCCAGCGGTCTTTCCCTTCGTGGTTTCCCAATCTTAATTCCAGTTTCTCACTTGGGACCGTTCAACCTGACGGGAACAGCTCCCCTTCCTGCCTGATCGGAGACCATCGGCGGCAGATTGACGCGCAGCGACCTCACAACCACGCTAGTGCTAAGCGAGGCAAGAGCGACTGCCTTCCACCACGATATATTCTCTTCTCACGATCTTCTTCTTCTTCCTTCAACACACTCTTGAGGAGTTCAATTGTCTCCCCTCCACGACCAGCCCGTCTGGGAGTCCAAAAATATCATTGGAAGGTTAGTTGTCGTCCGATCTCCAGTCGCTTCACTCTGCTCGCGTGGCGGTTTATTGTTGTCAACAATACTCGCGTCGTTGCTGGCATTGGGCCGGTCGCAATCTCTCATTGCACCTATTCCTGTCACTTTCTTAACTGACATTTGGACGCGTCATTGCCTCTGACTTTTGTCGTCTGATCTTCCGCTGACTGCTCTTGTTTTTTTGTAGCCCTCCCAGCCCGGTCCCTTGTTGTTGCGGCAACAAGAGCAGCAAGCAAAATGTCGCAAGCTACCAGCAGCAATGACGGCTCGGTCTCTCCAGAGCTCCGAGAGAAGATGAAGGGGCTCGCGAAGGTCCTCTTTCCTCGGTGGTCCGAAGTTTGTGATTTGACCTGGAAGATTGGAGCCATCCAAGATGAGCGAGTTCGCCTCCTCATGACAGAGGTATATCCTTGTCCGATCTTTCGAGACATTCGCTAATGTCTTTAGCCACGCTCCGGCACTACCTCCGATGCCATGGCCGATGCGATGATGTGTACGAGCGATCTTCTCGATGAACTCACCTACTTCAGAATGCAGTTGAGCCAACGCATTGGTAGATTGAGAAGCGCGACTTTGGATGCTGAGGAAACCATCAAAGACATGGAGAGGGCCAAGGTCGCGGCTAAGGTCCACATTGTTCAGCAAGGAGGCATGGTTCCACCGGACGACCATTTTGGAGACTGGGAATATGATTCCGAGGATGGTGAGGGTAGAGGAATCACTCAGCTCGGGAACATCGACGCCGGTATGTTCAATTATATCTCTACTGATGGAGTTCAGCTGACAAAAATCCTAGTCATCAAGGAACAGCGAGCCAAGATCGTAGAGATTGACCAGGAGATCAATGTTGAAGCTTGTATGGACAACATGCTTAGGATTGATATGAATGAGTTTGCCGTTGCAGTTCAGATGGTGGGTGTCGAGCTTGAGCGCTGGAGACGTGGTGATATAACCAGATGCCTCTATACCAATACGCCGATGCACGAGGCTTGGAAGCAGATGGGAGAGTACATCGTCAAGAAGCTTTGGCAGAGTATGGCAGAAGAGGAAGCGGAACAGGAAAGAGAAGCGGAGCAAGTCAAGCAAGCGATTGCAATGATCAAGAAGGCTGAGTCCGCTGCGGTGGCTTCGTCCAAGAAATATCCTTCCATCCCGCGATGTTTCACATGCAAAGAACTCGGCCATATCGACAGAGAGTGTGGGAAGGTTGATGTTAAAGAGGAGACAGGTCTCAACGACCCTGGCAGGTACGCACATCTCGATCGTCGTTCAGCGGCCAACACCAAGCCTTGGGAGAAGAAATCGAAGTTCTGTATTACCTGCAGTAAGCCTGGACACACCGAGAGATACTGTCATATTACTCATCGGGAGGAAGAAAAGGGGAACTACTGCGATCACTGCGGCAAATACGGCCATCGTATTAATGGTTGCTTCGGGCTCCATCCCGACCTTCTCCAAGAATTTTGACGAACCCGCAAGCCTCAGGCTGGTCTCAGTGGCCACAAGCCCAGGTATATCAAGAAAAATGGCCCCGAGGTTCTGTCAACTAAGTATGGCCTTCAAGCAGCAAGAAGAATCTGATGGGCATAAACTGGGGCACGCGCGCTATATCGGCACAGACATTTGGACTTTGCTTTCCAGGATTTCATGCGTTGTATGACAGAACTGAGCGAGAGATGCTTGAGAGATGGTTGTTTCTTCAAACAAGATGCAGTGCCGTAAATTCAATGAATGAATGATCATTAAACCGTCTGGTGTACGCTGTGTTATGTTTGATTCTGTGCGTGAAAATAAGCTTTCAGCATTTGTAAAGTGATGGCCAGCAACTGAATGGTGACTTTTGAAACTAGTCGACATGTTCTTCCACCTCTGTACCATTTCAACTCTCACCAAAGGTCTAAGAATCGGCATGGTGATAGAGAGTATGGAGGATATGTTGACTACAACGCTTAGGTGACTTGAGTCTTGGTTGATGTTGCATTGAGCCTGATCAATTGCACCTGGGTGGCTCTCAATCTCGAGCTATGACCCAGGAGATGATTTCTGTCGTGGACCTTCCAGCTCAAGCGCGGCCCGTCTTCCATGTCCTCCTTCTCCTGGTTCTCTGGGTATCTCTTTCCCCCCTTCATCCAACGCAGGCGTGCTCTCTGCTCCTCCAGCTGGTTCTTCTTGCATCGACTTCTCCTTCAACATCCAGCATAGATCCATCGACCTCAATATTGACCGAAATATAAATCCCACAAGTACTTCATCAAACAATCCTTCGTCTTCACCGCAACCTAATCCCAACCTCCAGACAACTGACTCTCCTCACTCGACTCTCTTCCGCAAAGCCTTCACCATCACCGCCCTCCCCGCTCTCAATAATATCATCCACAGCCCCTACAGTCCCCGTCCTCACCACAACCCTCACATCACTCTGCCCCTGCCACCAAGCCGCCAACCTAACAACCTTCTCAATCGCCTTCCCTGTCCCCTTAATCACCACCTCTTCATCTCTCTTCCCCTTTCCCTCTCCGATCCCACCCCCGCTATTCACGCCCTTCTCAATTCCCTTCAAAAGTTTCCCATCTCCTCCCTCCAAGCTCAATTTTCCAGCAGACCGCGATTCAATGGCATCGAGGTAGGTTCGTACGCGTTTGACGACGCTGATGAATGGTGAGGAGGCGGAGACGTAGATTATTTTCTGGGTGGAGGAGGAGGTTCGGGGCGAGGAGACGGGCGCGTGGAGGAGAGGGCGTTTGGAGATTTTTTGGTCTGTGGTTAGTTATGTGTTAGCATGGGGAAAGTGAAAGAGGGGGAGGGGCAAGGAAGGATGTACTTTTTGTGAGGAGGGGTAGTTTGTTATGTTGGGATTTGGTAGAGGATTCTGATGCTGCGGGTCCGGTAGGTACTGGAGGTTCTTTGGCCATTTTTAATGTATATCTGACCTGTGGAATGGTAGTCCTCTGGTTGTATGTGCGAAGAAGAGTAGGCCGTGTCGTGCAATGGCATGACGCGCTTGAAGCTTCGCGACTTTTTGGGACAATCACGGGCGGTGAGAAATGGCAGAATCCAAGCTATCATGAGCTTCATCCCACCACAGCAGTCAACATCACAGTTGCCATATTACACTGCAACTCAATTCCATAACAATATGTCTACAACAGTCAGGCCGTATCTCCCTCCCGAAGAACTGAAAAGAGAAGAAGATGCCTCAACCGTATGTTTGCCCAGTCTCCCACTCAAAGCTTCCAGGCCACCTCACCAGATTAAGCAAGACTAACACAACTCGTCCAACCAGGCCCGTGAACTCGCCTGGCTCCTTGACTCCCTTCAAGAGACACTCGCCTCTCTCAAATCTGGCCTAGAAGATTGCTATGCACTACTTGCGCCTATAGAGCCGGGCTCTACACTTGTGATGAGTAGCCCTAGGAGTGAGAATGTGAAAGGGCATGTTACGAGGGTTGGGGATGCAGTTGTTAGAGGGGTATGTTTTTATTTCTCCTCTCTATATGCTTTTACTGGGAGTTCTTTACTTTTGCTTCATACTCCTCCATGTTACACCTGTAGGAATCGTATACATTCAGCTAACAAAGCCCCAACAGACCCTCCACCTCCGCCTCAAAACCCTCCCCCATATCGACCTCACCCTCCAACCCACAAATCCCCTTCCCCTCCCAACCCTCTCCCACCTACGTACCCTCCTCAATCAATCCCTCGACTGCATAGACATCACCCGCTGGACCGGCGACCGCCACTCCGCCCCCTTCATCTCCTCCCAGCTCCTCCTCCTACACTCCATCCTCCGCGAAGCCCTCCTCATAACCCGGCCCGCCGTCCTCGAAGCCCCAGACCCAGAACACGGCACCGTAATCCCCACACATAGTCCTCCTCACAGCCACGGCAATACCGGTGTCAATACTCCCACAGCCCTAGCTTCAGCATCAACAGCCGGGGACTCGACTGGCTTAGATTGGGCACACACACCCACCTCCCCTCTACACTTCAACCCCCCTCTTCCCCCCTCTCTAAGTCTGACACTCACCCCCTCATCCACCTCCCTGCTCCTCACACTCCGCGTCCTCGAACCAGCTATCAACGCCTCACATCTGGGCTCGCGCTTTGCGCATGCGATTGGTGCACAGAGACGCTTGGAACACGATGAGATGGATGGGGTGTATATGTTTAGGGGGGAGGAGGTGAGGGTTAAGGAGAAGGTCGTGGTGGAGAGTAGTGCGGATCCGAGCCTATTAAGCTTGGGTGCGAAACTCGGGGCGCTGGAACGGGGTGTGGGAGGGATGAGGGAGGCGCTGAGGGCGGTGATGGGTGTTGAGGGGGAGGAGGAGGAGTAGGGCTGAAGTCTTGCAAGGTGGGAGAAAGGTGTAGTGAGTTGTGGACAGAAATAGTGATTCTGTCTTTTATGAGCAAATCTAGAACTCCAGATGGGTGAGGAGATATGCGAGGAGACATGCAACAGCTGTTTGTATGCTCGTCTCGCTTAACGAGTCAACAATGAGGATCCAGTTGAGCGTAGTAATGGGCGCTGGATGTAACCCTAATCCTCTTCTTCGTGCACTAACCGTTGTTTAGGCGGTACTGCTTTTCAGACACGCAATTCAGACCGTATCCAACTTCATGTTTCCTCACAACTGAGTTCATTGCTCAATGCATTTCTTTGAACCCTCGCCCGAAACAATTCTGGTTCCGTCAGATTTGGGACTGTGCTAAATATGTTAGTCCAGTATGAAAGAGTCACTGGAATATGAACCCACCGGAATCCTCTGTGACTCAAGGAACTTCAAAAGATCCAACCTGTCATCAACTTCCCCTTCCATGATATCAGAGTGACCTGTTCTGAGGAAAATATGCTTCTCAAAATTCCCCGGAAAGAACCCTGCATATTCCCAATCGATAATAGCCCTGATCTTGAACGTTTCCGGATCAACGATAACGTTCTGTTGAGACAGATCATTGTGGCAAAATTCATATTCCTCTACAGCAGAATCTTTGAGAGTCCATATATCGTTCGTCGTCACTTTTGAGACTCGGTATGGAGGAATAACGATCCCAGTAGGCCCTCCCAGCTTTCTAGACTTCAAAGCATGAAGCGTCCTCAAGTGCTCCCTAAGTTCAGCATGAACCTGTGGCATTTTCTCCCGTGGAACATCCTTCATGCTTACACCCTCCACCCACTCCATGATAACATAGTGACTGTCATCATCCCGGAAATCGCAAATCAAAGAAGGGACTGGGATATCGGTGAGTTCCCGAACGAACCTCAGAGCTGCCGCTTCGTTGATGAGTCGCTCGTTGCCGACACGAGGTATATATAGTTGTCCGTTGATATCGGTTTGGAATTCTCGTGGTCGGAGACTCCGCTTTATACATACGTTTCCGAGGCGGTAGTATTTGCGTTCCCAGGTCTGCGCAAAGCATCCTGGTTCGAGGACTGGTACTGGTGCCTTGTATGGGGCCTTTCCCTCTGATGCCATGGGATGGAGGCTGACCAAGAATATATAACGTGAAGGAAGAGATGACAGAGGGATCTAAACGCGCAATCACGACGGATGTTGCAAATGGATGTGGTACCAACGGAAAGGAAGGTAGGCCGGCTTGAAGAAATTATACCAGGACAGTCGCTTCTTTCCCCCCTCAAACTCACGCAAGCTTTTCGGAGAGCCTGGCTTCCTACTTGTCCACCATCTATCTCTTTCGTGTCGATCTCGTAGTGAGCCTTCAAGCTCCTGGCGATCGGTCCCACGTATCCAGTGCGACCCAATTGACCAGTGCTTCGACCCTCTCAACCTCAATTATCTCGTTCAGTATGACGGACGAGCTCACAGCTTGATCTTGGTTGGCTCTACGTCAGTACGCTCGTCGGACTTTTAGAAAGAAGAGTACTAATCAAATGAGTATAGCTACAAGGATACCTTAATTAAAACTGTGAATGCTTGGAGTATAGCAGAGTAGTTATGCAGTCACGTCTAGAGTTAAGATAGTAGACATACGGATGTAGGAAGTTACTCGTTATCTGCGCTTAAATGTTTTTGCTGATGATAACCGGAAAAGCTAACAAGCTATAAATCTACGTATTGCACATCCTGAGAAAACGCCTATTCGCTTCCATCCACCGAGCGATCGATTACAAAGAAAATTGGTATTGGCCGGCCATCTAGCTCAGCAATTGGTGGTTCTCGCCTCCACGTCCAAACATCCATATACAGCATACGTCTCTCATCTTCCTGTCTCCATCTAGCTCTCTCATCCGCTCGCTCGCCTACCTCTCGCATCGACCTGATCTCCAAATATCTAGCTTGACAAGTAAACCCAATCAAGCAACCGGACTCCACGGCATCGGAATCAAAATCCTACTCTTCATACTCTGAATCAACGGCACAGTCTTATGCACGGTATCTCCCCACCCCTCCACATTCCAACTCTTCTCCCTCCTCACCTTCCTCTCCTCCAGATCCGCAAATTGCCAAAGATGATGCACTGTATTCAGCTCACCGATCTGCACGAACCACGCTCCCACACCTTCCATGACCTCCCTACGCGCCTTCAGGCCTCGTCGCCAGTGCGTCTCCCATTCAAGCAGGTTGCCGGGGTGCAGTGTGTAGGAGCGGAGCTCGAAGACGCCGCCTAGTGCTCGTGGCGCGGTGGTGGGCCAGAAGGAGAATTCTTGCATGAGGGAGGTGTTTTTGGATGTTATGAGAGATTTGAGCTTCTTGTCAAAGGCGGGAAAGTCGGGGTGGTTGGCGATGGAGTGGAGGGAGTCGTGGTAGCCGTGGTAGCGTTGGTATTCCCAGATATGGACTGGATTGGTTGGTTAATTGACGAACACTTCAATTGAGGGTCGGAATTGGGATTGAGACAGAAACAGGGTAGACGTACCAAAAGTATCACAATCCCCGACCTCAGTCCTCCAGCTTCCTACAAGATGCACCTTGTTCTGCTCCATGCCCGCCATCTTCGGATACCATTTGCCAACCAGCTCTACGTACTCATCCACCTTGTCCGGCTTGACCTGATGAAAGACAATCGAATGAACATACTTTCCTCTCGCCAGAACCTGACTGAACGAATGCTCGATCTCGCGATCCATCTCCCGTCCCTCCTTTGTGCCATAGATCAAGCTGCTCAGCTTGCCCTTCTTCGTATTGTCGTGTTCATCTTGCGCAGTACCTGTAGAAGCAACACCATCTCGTCAGCCTTGTTCTTTGATTGGTTCTTTCAACCACGACGTGAGTTTAGAATTAAATGAAGACGTTGTAGTAGAGTTAATAGTAACATCGACATCTGGAGGAGAATACACGAGCCACGCATTGCTCACGCGCGGAACAGTGGGAGGAAATGCCGCAGGCACGGATTGAACACTATAATGAGATGGAGGGAAGGGGGTTAATCTTCGGTGTACTGACTTGGTTCTTTCCGCTTGCTCAGCTCAGCTAGTTTCTCCCGGAACTGCTTCTGCTTTGCGTCGAAGGATGCAGCGCCTTCAGAATTGATATCTGAGAGGGCGGGGGATCGAGAGAGGGAGGTTGTGCTGGTGAATGATCGGAGGAGGGTGCTGGGTGAGGTGAGCTTGGAGCTCTTGACAAAACGGCGGGTGAACATCGTGCGGTATTTGGTTGATTGTTTTGTTGTTTCCGACTTTGTAAAGAAACAAAGTGATAGTATTTCGGTTCGGGTCAAAATATAGAGCTCTGTTGAATGTCCTCGACCTTGCTTTTGACGGGGGAAGCTCTGTATCGGCTGATTGCGCTGCGCTTCTTTGCGTCTGGTCTGTGATGCAACCTTGGCTTGCCGTCCTGACGTAGCGAGCCGGGGTCTGGGGGATCTTCCGGTACGAAACAGTGTCGATGTCTCAAGTGACAACAATGAAGCTGCAGTGATCTCAATATAGAGTATATTGAGAAGAAGAGAGAGGGGAGAGTAGGTCGCGGGGAAAGGAAGCTGAGCACACGAGAGAGACTAAGAACAGCAGTCAATCAAATGGAGAGAATCTATTGGTCAACAGCATCAGTTCTGCTGCTCACCCCGCACTTTGAAGCTGTGACAGTGTTTGGGGATGGATTTGGCGTGGTGTGGATGTGGATGCATCGAATGGGATTGGCTCTGCGACTCCAGGACAAGGGGCAGCTTGTTGACTTGATAGTGAGCTAGGCAAGAAACAGACTGGCTCCCGAATCTAAAGCTAAACCATTTTGACATCGAAGCTCAATATCACATGACTTGCGCGCTACATTAAATCCAGCCTAGCGCCTCAAATGGGGCTCTGCAGCAATCAAGCTCGGCTTCGACGCTCAACACCCGCTGCACCCATCACCACATCTTCAACTCACCCACTCCAACCTCTCATAACAACCCGCACAAACACACACAATGCCAGGTCTCCTCGGAAAGAAGTTCCCTGCGCCAGTCGGTACGTTCAATGGCTTCTCCGTGTCTCCGCAGATCGAGTAGAGTGCTAATGAAGAATTCTACAGCGCGCCCAATGGCTCCTTTCTACGCTGCTGGTATGCTTTCCCTGCTTGCTATACACCCGGAAGGACCTTGATCGATTGTCGGCGATGCTGGGGAATGGATCAGAGATGGGATGGGTGATGCGTGATAGTGTGCGGATGGAATGAGTGCTAACACGACATCTTGTGCTGTGCAGGTCTGATCATCCTGTACGGAATCAACTCCGCCCAGACGGCGATGATGAACAGTAAGTAGTGTCAATTGGCTGCGGAAGGGTACATTGCTGATAGGGAATTGTAGGCGTCGAGTTCAAGAATGATCCTCGCAACCCAAATGCTGGAAAGGCTCCTGTTGAGAAGCACTAGATGGATGATGGTGGACGCATGATGAAGGGTCGGGGGAGGAAGGGGGCATAGACATCGAGGAGGTATAGATGGGGAGGGGCTGGAATTGTATCATATGTGAATGACGTCCAACACGTTGAGTTGATGTTTGTGCCTTGATACTGGTGATACAGGAGGCGGGGTTGGGGTCGAGATTGGACATGAGGTTGGTGAGGTACAAAGTTGTGTCTTGATGGTGGCGCAGTCGGCGTTTTGCATTCATTGCGGTTCATTCCAATGCGAACCGCCTGTTCAAGTGGGCAGACAGATGGACTCAGACGGATGGGCAACAATCAGCACTATGGTCATAGTATGCAAGTGCATGGCTCCCATATATCATTATTTCTTATCCTGTGTCTCCCATCAACGCAATCCACGACCTCGTGTCTGACACAGAACCCATCTCAGAAGACACAGAAACAGACAAACCGCCAATACGCCCTCATCCCATTCCTTCCCTTCCAATCCAACCCGTTTTCTCCTCTCCCTGTCCCGACTCCCTTCCGCCCATTCAATTCTCCACAGAAGACCGAACTCCCTTTATAATAGCCCAGCAAGTATGAGGTGATTTGGAAGGGAGATCTGCTTGGGGGTTGTCTGTAAGCTTTGTGCTTTGGATGACCGGCAGAGAAGAAACTCGGAAGGGGACACAGTGGAGAGGGTCAGAGTTCATCACCAAGTTTGGTGTCCACATCCTACACTACAACATGTAGATCAGAGATTGTGCATCATTTTCATCACTCATCATTCATGGAGGAGAATGCAAACTTACGGGCTTCGCACAGATGGGACGAGAACGTACAGAAGTTTGGATCATCGGTTTTTTTTCCCTCCGCTGCTCCACTCGCCATGAGGGATTTCCGAGACGGAGGTCGGGGCTCCTGGATGGTTTGGGTTGAGGTCAGTGCAGATACCACAGCAATGACGGAAGGTATGGGCCATTGGCTCGACATAGACATAGAAGATCAGAATCAAGATTTGAAGTTTCTCATCTACGCCAAACAGCATATCGACGAAAAGCTTGCGGAAGTTTTGCGAAATCATCATGAGAGGAGTGAAGGAAATCCACGGTCTGCATGGACTGATTTGGAAGAGAGACTCACCTTGCGTATATCATTGTTTGCAATCAACCGCCAACAGGAAGCGCGCGAGAGGCCTGGCGTGTTGAATTGTCCGTAACAGCCAATATCCACAGAAGAATACAGAAATGGAGCTGAAATTTGGGGAGAAAATAAAGTGGCATCAGATCGAGATAGAGACGTTGTCTTCTCATATGCGTCCTAGCATCGAATGGTTGCGGAGGAGTTTTGTCATCATATCCATTTAATTAAGGAAAAGATTGTGTTTCTGTGTGCGAAAGAAATTGAATGGACTTGCCTGCCCGTGATGTGTTTCTTTCATCCTAAGCATGGCGGCGCTGCGTGGGGCTGCGTGGGAGGAGTGCATTAGCACGAGGTCGGATTGAACACAACGTGAATGTGACAGCGGAGGGCGGGAGGAGAGGGGTGGGAGGTATATTCGGAATAGAGAACTCTGTGTTTGAACTTCATGCTGCAGAGTAATGCAGGTCAGAACCTCTAGTTGTGTCATCATTTGAAGAGGTCGGAGAGAGATGAGGCAGAGATGGAGATAGAGGAGAGGGAGACTTGCATCTATCAACCCGAAAAACTAGATATCTGACTCGTGGTGTCCCTCCAAGCAGGTATACCTGGGTAATACCAGGCTGGAGAACCGAAATACCGACATCGAGATGCTGCGAATGTCGAGTGCTGATATATTGATGTTCAGCGGGTTAGAAAGTCGGATAACCGCCAGACATCTACTGGTTCCGGATCTGCCACTTGAGAGCTCAGCGTTAGAACACAAATCCGAAAAGCTGCGGATTAGCGAGAATGTGGTCCCAGGATGGTTTGTCACTGACCAGAACAAGAGATTGGCAAATTCATCGGTGCCACCGCACCTCCAATAATGGAAATTTGGAGAAGTGGGTATTCATCATGTGAAGCTGACGTTGGGGGAATGACTGAGAAGGAAAAGGTTGGGAACCTTATGTTTGATAGCTGCAAATACTGACACCTATTCAATAGTTCATTGTTGGATTCAGCGCTGCTGTCACGACAGGGTGATGAGGGATCGCAAAGCCGTAGGCGTTTGGCTTGATGGAGCCTGGATTGCAGAAGAGTGTGGGTGTCGCAATTCTCTTGCTGGCCGCTGGTGGATGGGTACAGGGTGAGACAGACATGGGGAAGTATGTGTTCTGGCCGAGACAGTGCGGATGAGCTCTGGGTACAGAAACTTGAGTCATTGGAACAAAGAAGTGTGAGGACGAGAGGATGGAGTGGTGGGCATGTTCAGGCACCTCAAGTGGAGAGGTATGGACGACGGAATATGTACAATGTCGGTGAGAATGAGGATAACCAGTGGGCGGTCAAATACTTCGTAGGGATATTGCATTGGTGGTGGGATGTTGCTGAAATGGCTCGTCGAGCCCTAGGTTGCAAACGAAACGTCTACAAACGGGGCTCCCGGTAAGACACCAAGACAACTTCAACCGAATTTGATTCAAGCAGTCATCTCAAGGAGCCATATGATTCCAGCATCCGGAATCCAAGTGATACATCTCTCTGGTGCCTTGATTTATTGGACCTTGAGTCCTACTACTTTTTTGAGATTTCCAACTTCCGCGATCCAGCTCCCGTGGCCCGTCCATTGGAGCTCCCATGCAGGCAGCCATTCTGGCCTGCACCGCCCTTTCAGCAGCCAATTGATGATCCCTGAAAACACTGACTGAGACATCTCTCGGGGTGGAATTAGGCTGGACTTGCAGCTAGACCAACGAACCGGTCTCCATGTGCCAGCATACCAAGAACATGAACATCTCGCTTAGTGGACGGCGTTTGTTTACTCATCCCTGCCCCTGCTTTTGGTTCCCCTTTAAGTTTAAGGCATGCTTAGGGACATTGTCGCAAATCGAATTGGAGATTCCAAAGTGATGGGAAGGTTCTGACCGCTTCTGACACCATTTGATAATCTTTATCCTAGTTGTGGGGGTTGTCCGTCTTGGGCTTTCCGTTCGCCTCTGAATGCGCATTCCCCTCCGAAAGGGCGTTGTTTCCCGGCCCTCTGCATACACGTCTGCATGAAACTCCTAATTTCTGATTCGTTCTTCAACTCTCTATGCAGGACTATCACGGGTGTTCGGGGCATGGTTCCTTTGGCGCAGCTTCATGATGGGACAGCAGGACAAAGAAGCTTTTGGGGACCATGAGACAGAAGCTGCAGAGACGCGTGAAATAGTCTCCGGAATAATTGTCGTGTGTCGTAAATGATGTGAGTCACTTCCGCAGCTCAGGATATATAGAAGTGTCGCCCTGGCCCAAGAGCTGTTAATCTAAATCTCGTCAGCATTGCAGATCCAAGATGGAGGGCCCTATCCTCTTCGTACTGTTTACCACTCCTGTAAGTGCACCTTGGTCTTACCGAGCAATCATTCATCTAAATGACAATCTTCCAGGATCTCCACTTGCCGCACCATCAAGAAGTATTCTCTCAGGAGAAAGCAGGAAAGCTCATCGAGGCAGTCACGCGTGTCCAATTGAAGGTTAGTTGATATGCTCATTCCACTTGCATAGGCGCCGAGGTTCACCATTTTAACTTTGCTCAGAAGGTCATGGAGACTTATGGCAATACTTCAAGCGATGTAGAAGCCTTGCTTGATAGCCTATTGGGAAACTCCATCCGCGACTTCAAGTCCCGTATCCCAATCGGAGCGTATCCAACCGTTGGTGTTCGAATGGGCCAACTCATCGTCAAGCAGCTACTCATCCAAGGACACAGTCGCGCGATGATCGAATCCTACTTAAAAGCTGCGGTCACGATTGCGGGACGAGGAAATCCGCTGTTTGACCCTACTATCAAGGCAGGCAGCATACTCTCCAATGTCTTAGCAAATGGTACTAACGTCACACCAGCTCCAGCGAAAGTCTTTTGGTTGGGGCGACCTCTTAGGCGCACAAGCTACCTGCCTTAAATCCCTCCCACTTAGCATATTCTTCGACCTCCGATCCAACGACACAAGCCCCGAGTACCGGGACGTACACGCTTATGCACAGGTCATGGGTGCGACCATGGGAGCCTTGCTGGAAACCTACCTCGAAATATCCCACGAAATGAATCAACCACATGATTCGGGCAATGAGATCAGAACCACGACCATTGCTGCGATTGAGGCTTGGAAGGAACAGGGTCCGGCTGGCGTGTTGATTCATAACTTGAGTTGGGACAAGAAGACTTCGGATGCTTTCTTTAGTGGCTTGTTGGAGGGATTTTATTAGCTGATGGTTGAGCGTTGACCATTTGGGCTTCACCAGGCCTTGAAATCCTGAGAGCCTGCTATTGGGTGGCAAATATCAGCCGGATTTTCTTTCTGCGACAATGAGATTGGGTCCGATGACAGGACACGGGAGCTACCTTAGCATGAGCAATTGAATTGATGAAATTCGTGGGGCAGATTTCTTGCGAGAATTTGAATTTTGATATGAACGAGAGTGATGTTTTGAACTTATCTACAGTCTTGTGTTTCCAGCTGTTTTCTGACATATTTACATCCTTCCAATCGTGAGTCTCCCACCAACCTCGAACAGGCATGAAATGAATGAAGTTTCGAAAGCACCGTCAACAAAATCTGCTCGCTAACCGTCCTCCTCCCATGTACAAGTTTGAGTTCCTCGAACGATGTTTCAAGTATCTCACAGCAATGATGCCTTCCTCATTTAGGTTGCTGTAAAGGTCGACCCAATTGGTCCGAACTTGATGTTCGAATAGGTGACAGAAGCACCCGGGGACTGAGCCTCCACGTCAGCAGGGACACCAGAGGTGGTAGCACACGATCCACGCTCAGCTCCTGCCCCAGTTTTGTCAATGGGGTATGTTGAGTCGAGCCAAAGCATATTGGCGTAGTGATCGTCCCACACGGACATGACGAGGACCATGCCTGCCTTTAGAGCTTTACCCATGCCCTCCAAGCCACCAAGAGTCTTGAACTTGTAGTTATCTCCGAACGCAGCCTTCTGTGCGTCGCAGAAGCTGTTGGTGATAGAGTTACCTGTGACGTTGGGAATGAGGGACTGGGAGTTGGGGATGAGCTTGTTGTTTTGGACGTAGAATCGCTTGATCTCGGTGAGAGGATCGCCAATGAACTGAGTGACAACTGTGAACTTTTGCTTGGTGTCGACGGTCTTCCCTGGACCGTAGAAATTTTTGTCACCCCTGTTTACAGAACATAATTAGTTCTGGTCTTCAAGGATAAAGTTATGGCGAAATGCAGGGGAGAACTTTAGCAGAACTTACATGCGGTAAGAGTTGAAGTCGCATCCATCGGGATCGCATACCCCTGCGTAGCGGTCGGCAGAGTAAGTACCGCCGCAGCTATCACCATTGCAGATACTCTGCGTAATTGGATTGCAAGTGTGAGGGGTGTAAGCAGTCGAGATTGAGTTTGCTTCCCAGACATCCATTTCTGCGCAGCATGAGCCATGGTCTCCCACGCCAGCATTGGGGTCGTTGCTTGATGGCTTCCAGCCAGCAACATTTGCCTGTAGGGATTAGCGATGTTGGTTGATAGTACACGTTCAAGCACTCACCTCTCCGTTGATAAACTTCAGATCACGAGGGCATTGAGCATCGCAGTAACCAGTACCTGGAGCCAAAGAGTTAGCGAAGCAGACCTATCAAATCATAATCACACGTCTCGGAATTCCCACTACGACAGAATCTCCGCAGCTTAGATGTGAGAAGGAAGGGAAAGAACTGACCATACTTGGCTCCTGCCTTATTGTTGGGGTACTTGGCCATTCCACCGTCCTTGTCCATGGAGACAAAGTAAAGGGCTCCATTGAGGCCACAAGGGAGGTTCGAGAGATCAACATCGAATGAGAACTCCTTGTTTAACAGACTGAACATCTGGTACGAGGTATCAGTCTCCATGAGGTACAAGCGAGAACCGATATTGGTTGCATAAGATCCCTTGGTGACAAAGGTGAGCTTCAAAGAGTTGCCACTGGCAGTAGCCCCGTATGTAGCGGCGTAATCAGCACCCTCGAGGGCGCAATTGGCTGCACAGGACTTGTTATCAGGGCATAGTGCCGAACTCCAGGTATTTCCGTCGTAGCAATTGGTGTAGCTTCCACTCTTCTTGTCGTGAACCCATCTCCAGTTGGAATCGATGACGACCTTTCCAGTCTTGGATGTGCAGCTTCCTTTAGCGGTACATGTCTGCCAGGTCATGCTAGGATGCGTCTCCGTCTGTTGTGTGCCAACTTGCTGGCCACGCACGACTGCGGCGACCAGCGAAGAAGCGAGAGCCAAACTGCGATACATGATTCCAGAGTAAGTAATGAGCCGATTTGAGGATCGATATGACAGATGAGGAAGGATATTGTGGCCCAAGGAAGGGGTTTATATATCACCTCGAGGTCGATCCGTTTCGCGGCATGGATCATCATTGAATGAGCTCCGGGCGACAAGACGGTTCGACGGCAGAGCTGACCTACAGCCGTAGAGATCTGCTCGCGCTAGAAAGTATATTGCATTCCCGGCTCAGCAGTAACACAATATGCTGCAAGCTCCGCCTGTCAGGATGTTCTCGCTTAATCCACCCTGAATGAAAATCGACCCATAACATTTTTATGCGCTCATTGCATATTGCCTGTGTGAAATTGGTAGAAAGAAAAAGCGATACGGCAGACAAAGAGCGTAATGATTCAACCAGGTGACTTTGCAAAGGGGGACAGTAAGTGGAATAGTTGCAAGTATTTCCAGCCAAAGTTTGTGAACCGAGGAAGAAAGAAAGTCCATCGAATCATGTATGCTTTCTGATTTAGGAATTTCGGAGCGGAAAGATATTGATCACCAGGACGACTGGGATCCAGACCAGCTGTAAGGGGAGAGCGGACCGAAGATGGGTTCGAGGGGTAGGTGAAACTTCCCCGCGTTTTCCAATCTTCGACCCTGACTGGGCTAGCAGCCATATCTACCTCCTGACAACTCATTCGGGGGTTAGACGGCAAATAATGAACAAAAATCCGACTTTTGAGGTCTATCATGCATTGTGAATGCCTGAAATTCACCTCGAAGACGAACATTAGATGATATTGAAGTTGCAGACAGAACTTCGGAGGACCATTGTGTCAATGCTTGATAGTCAAGATGCTCCATTTTGTTCACCATATGCGTGTAGAATTCAAACTGATCCATGCAGACCTGATGTTCTTTTCGGCTGTGTACAGTATCATCGCTGCTCGTCTTGGTTCAGAGCTAGATTTACACAGTAGACACTTGCCAAGAACTTTCCACCCCATAGGTCGAATTTCAATGAGATCAAATGAAGCTAAGGAGAGATGCTCATCGAGAAGTTATACATTACTTCGTATATGGTGCAAGAGCAAATGACACTCTTCTTGCATGCTCAGCCATCGTCCGAATACCACCAGGTTCACGGAGACCAGTTCCGATTGAAAGCTCATTGTCGAGAGACAATTTCGGATAATCGATATGCCAACTAGGCAGCATTCTAATATAGATTCGGAGGATTTACGGTCCATCTAAGCAGCACTCAGTCAATGGTCTGAAACAAGCGAAGTCGTCAGACAGATGATCTGACATTCCGTTTGGGAAGTCATGGCGAGTCAGGGGACAGAACTAAGTCAACTCGAAATAGCCTCAACAGGTACCGGAAGGCGATCATATTGCCGTGCAAATCATTGTTTTCAATCGCCTAGCTGATTGCTCATGAAGGTGGGTTGTGCTTGTTGATCTGTGGTTGGGATGTCGTTGATGATGCGGGGTCGGCATATTGCCTGCATGATGCGGTGGCATCGGCAGATTTAACGTTTGTGGAGAAAATATGCCATATTGGGTTAATGAACGGGAAATTAGTTGTTTGGTTTTCGGGGCATTGGCGCCACTCATTGAAGATCTGCTGTTGGCAATTTTGACGTATTGCTAAGAAACTGAGGCAAGGCGTTCTGTAATCACCCCGTCCATATCCGAGTATCTCATGAGATGAGTATATTCTACCTAAATTGACTTGACTTCTGATCAAGCTTCTTCACCGCTTGATAACCAACTATGGAATTAATTGGCAGAAGCTTAATCGGATTTGAACTCTGTTTGCCTCTACCATTATCGGACCGTGGGTATTTCCACACGATGTCCATGAAACTGCTCTTCAGATCTAGACGCTGATTGGATAACAGTAAACTCTTGCATTAATGAAAGAATGACACTACTCACCCACCATATTCTTTCCAGCCGAAGCAACGAGTGCAGCCAGTTTCGTTTGATGCGAGCATCCAGTCGGGAACTCGATGCTGCACTTCCCAAGTGCCAGGGGTTGCACCAGTTAATCTATTTCGTGCACGAGTGCCGGGTAATACCCCAACCCAAGCACAAGACGAGTAAGTATCACGGCTGAACCTCAGACTCGGAAGATTTCGAAGGGACGTGGAAATGGAAGCACTGTCGCCGACATTGCTCTATGTGGGTCAGGTGCTCTTTTTGTCCAGCATAGATCGACTTGCCTTGCGAGGAGATGGACAACCAGACCTCGAAACTTGTAATTTTTGACGAGCAAGTTTTAATTTGTACAGTGTGATACTTTGTGATTTGCTGCACAATCTGAAAGTTTAAAATTCGAGTTTTGGGGGCTGGATCTCGGGCCTATGAGGGCCAGCCTGGTAGTCCTCTTAAGCTTTGGGTCGAGTGCGTTGAAATGAGGAGACGACACCGAAAGTACCTCTGGTAGCGAGAAGTAACGAGGCCCCACTAATTACCGCAATGACGAGGTACCGAATACTCGATAGATGTTGGACTGTCAGAAATCAGCGTATGCAGTCGGCAATAGTATTATGTATTGCTTCACACACTCCTCAAGGGTTTTTTGAGCACGAAAATCTTGAGATTCTACAACCTACAACACTGTGACATGTTCACCCCATCCTATTCGTTCCATGATATCCAGATTATCCAGATCTCGATCATTCCCCAAGCGTAAACCTTTCACAAGGCTCTGACTCGAGGATGTAGCAGGGGCGGATCTAATCCCTCGCAGGCAATATACGGAGTGACCCTACCCCGCCCGAACAATATAGACATTCTGCCGGATTAATGAAACTTACGACTACATCGACATGCGTAGTACGACGCTGGATCACACATAGGATAGAACGTTGAAGTCATGAACGTGCATCGGGAGAGGTCCTTCATTAGACTGTCTTTGAGCCAAGCAAGGGGTTTGTGGACGACTTCAGGATACAGTACAGTCCATGAGAAACACATGACTTGAGAAAACGATAATTGTAGAGCGAGATCTAACTGCTCCAACATGTCGGAGATGAGAGTTTCGTTAATGGAAATGACAACATGACGAGTGCTACTTATATATCTCGAAAGCGGCCCTCCTGAAAAGTGAGTCACTGATGTATCAGAAGGTAAATCAACGTACACTTAATAATGTCCTAACTTTCCATGGTGTAATAATCAAATGCCGAGCTTACATCACTGTACCGCTTACGGGTGTCTGGCACATGGGAGTTTCCAATATTTGGACTGTACGAGGAACGGTAGCCGTACTTGTGAGTCAACCACACAATACCGAAATATGAGATCGAATGCAGGAACTCGATCGAGGTTCCTAGATCTAAATCAGGTACGATCAGAATAAGAGGAGAACAGTATTAGCGCCAATAAATATTCTAGATGAGAGATAACGAGTCCGATTTGCCATAGTCCCAGCCTAGAGCTTGATCCAGGGCAGTGCGAGTTCAAAAAAGTGATGGGCTGCCGTGCAAGCCCAAATCATGTTTGGAGTTGCTCAGATCTTTGAATCAGAAACGAGTTCGATGATATGATCCTACTGCGATATAAGCAAAGAAACGAAACTATCATTTTCGAGATTGAACTGATGATGATGAGCCTGCCCATTCATCTTGTGGCGACGTCAGACCTCACCTGAGCATCAACTCCTTTCGCCGCCTGAAGCGGTGATGATGAACACAGACTTTTCACTCATACAGAGCATGTAATAAGAGTTCAAAAACTTGCCAGAGGCCCTTGACTCGGCTCAGATATATGCGTTCCGCGTACGGACGACAACTGTTCCATCTTGGATGGTTCCTGCCGGAGATTGTCGTTAGGTTCCACGAGCCTTCGATCACGACAGTGAAACTTCGTCCAGGGAACATCAAAATGCGACTAGAATTTGCTGCTCTACATCTTACAACATGTGACACAACACAAATATTAGTCCGAATCTGGAAGTGCGGGGAAGTTGGACACATTGTTAACCGAGCTGCTGTCCGCCCCCCCTTCTACCTCGCTTAGGACAAATCCCAAACAACAAAGAAATCCGGCCCTCATTCACAAGCGCAAAGACATTCGCTCTTGCATTCCAAACTTTCTACAACGTTACACATAATCTTAGCACACTCAAACGACCCCTGACATGATGATCTTCCACCGACACTCCCCGCAATATCACGTGATCACAGGCTTTGTGGCGCGCGGGACGATCTGGTGATGCACGAAACCCCTCGAACCTAGGCGTTGATTGGGCAGTATGCACTCTTCCTGCAGAATGACCAGATGACAGGCATCCAACCGAATCATGGGATATACTTCTGTTGTCCGGTGGGCCATATTCGTACCCCACAACTTCTTGAGTCGTGAACAAAGGGAAAGGAGAGTAGGATTCAAAACCACGCTTACTATGCGCGCCAATAGCTAGCCTCGGTACGACGACCAGCTATGTCCGAGCTTGAAAGGTCAACTGGTCAGGCGACAGAACAGAGGTGTTATAGATATATACACGATATATTGCTTCATTTCATGGCGGGGCTGTTTGGTTCTATTATCCGCAGCTTCGATTCGTGCCTTTCCTTTCGAGATGATGCTTCTGTCTCTAATCGCCCTGGCGGCGGTCCCTGGTGGAAATGCTTTACTGCTGAGAGATAATGTGGTAAGTATCTTATCCACGTGCCATCTATGTACAAAATGAATGCTCACTGTAATCATAGGGGAGACTCCCAGCTCTGGGCTGGAACTCATGGAATGCATACCACTGCGATGTTGACGAGACCAAGATCATGTCGGCTGCCAACCAAGTCGTCAAGCTCGGCCTCAAAGACGTAGGCTATGAATACATCAACAGTACCTTCCCACTACTATCCCATATACAAACACCATCACTAACTCCAATCTCAGTTGACGACTGCTGGTCCGTCAAGTCAGGCCGCAACAAAACCACCAACCAAATAATGCCCGACCTCACCAAATTCCCCAGCGGAATCACAGGCACCGCCTCCAAAATCCACTCCCTCGGCCTCAAAATCGGCATCTATTCCAGCGCCGGCACAGGCACCTGTGCCGGGTATCCTGCCTCTCTAGGTTACGAAAAGACCGACGCTGCCACTTTTGCAAGCTGGGGAATCGACTACCTCAAATACGACAACTGCTTCGTGCCCCAAGAATGGAACGACCAGTACGCGGCCTGCGTACCAGAATTCTCAGGAGGTCCTTTCCCCAACGGAACGTGTCCGAATCTGCTCAACCCCGCGCCTAAGGGCTACGATTGGAGCACGTCCAACTCGACGAAGCGGTACGAGATCATGCGGGATGCGCTGCTTGCGCAGAATCGGACTATCCAGTACGCGATCTGTAATTGGGGTCTTGCGGGTGTGGATTCCTGGGGAAACGGAACGGGAAGCTCTTGGAGGAGTACGGGGGATATTGAGCAGAACTGGGGACGTACTGTGGAGATTCTGAATCTCAATAGTTTTATGCTGAATAGTGTGGATTTTTGGGGGCACAATGATGCGGATATGTTGGAGGTTGGGAATGGGGACTTGACGGATGCGGAGTGTAGGAGTCATTTTGCTTTTTGGGCGGCGATGAAGAGCCCGTTGATTATTGGGACGGATTTGGCGGTGCTGAAGAAGAGTTTGGTGGATGTTTTGAAGAACAAGTACTTGCTGGCTTTTAACCAGGATGACGTGGTTGGCAAGCCTGCGACGCCGTATAAATGGGGAACGAATCCGGATTGGACTTTCAATGCTACGAATCCGGCGGAGTATTGGAGCGGGAGGAGTAAGGAAGGGACACTTGTGTTGGCTTTTAATAGCCTGGGTGCAAATGCTACGAGGGAAATCAAGTGGAACGAAGTTCCCGAGTTGAAAGGTGGGGATAAGTGGATGGTCACCGATATTTGGACTGGTTCAAGCCTTGGATGTGTCAAGGGAGGAATCAATCAGACAGTTCAGAGTCATGACACGATTGGCTTTATGGTTGGTGAGCAATGTGGAAAGGGTTACTTGAGGACCATGAACAGGCCGCAGTAGATTTGGAAGGGCATTTACACTTGCATGGTTCGGTATCCGGTGCATGGTAATGTTTCTTTTACTCAAGCTTGTGGATGCGAATTAGCACCTTTCTTCGACCCAGTTAGGTGAAGAGCAAGCTGATAGCAATGAGACCCAACGAGTATGGAGAACACTGGTTAAGCTAGAGAAGAAAACCTTGGTGGCTTCGTATCAAAACTTTCCATTTTTGTTTCCTCTCTATGTAATGCCCAAGCCTTCACAAACGATCTATAAAATGCGGCGCCAACGCAACGCGACGCAAATCTCCTATCATGACAGCGATCTAAGCTCTAAAGCCCAGCGCAACGAACAATGCACTCAAATCACATCTACATCCAAGCAGATAAGATTATGCCGACAAGTTTCCACGGACTCCTCCTTTTCCCCCAACTTCCCTACATGTCACTGTAACAGCGGCATCACCTGCAACGTTGATCATGACCTCGACCTTGCCACCCTTCTTGACACCCTTGATAGCTGCTTCGGCTAGCACGTTACCGACCTTCCAGACCTTCTCGCGAACATCCTCTGGCTCCTCGTCGCTATCGTCTGAGTCGCTATCATCACTATCATTCTTCTCTCCGTTGATCTTGGCCTTTGGCTCGGCCTTGGAGACCTTAATGGATGAACCTCCCTCGACGATCTTGATCAGTACATCGCCACCCTCCTTTGGTGCGTTGATGTGGATTGTGCGGCGAGCGGGCATGGCAGTCTCGGCGGAGATGATTGGTTGGAACACTCCCTTACTCTCGTCTCCAGTGATAGCGAGAACACCAATAGCATGGCTGAGATGCTTGACTGTTGTAACAGCGGGATGGGTAGACTGCTCAATGTCCTCCTTGTCGAATTCTTGAATCAAGCTGGCTTGCAGAGCAGCTCCTCGTGCTTGTAACTCGGCTGGGTTGATAGCGGTTGGTGTGGTGGATGGAGCAAGGATGGTTGTGGTGGATGGGAAGATGTTGGCCATGTTGGAGGCGATCTTTGGTGTGTGGGAAGTTCCTCCAGAGAGGATAACCTCATCGATGTCCAGAACATCAAGGCCAGCCTTCTTAACAACACCCTCGATGAGACGGTTGAATCCCTCAAAGACCTTGCGAGCAATCGTCTCGTACCGCAGTCTGTTGATCGTGGATGCGAAATCAATACCCTCAGCTAAACTCTCAACACTGAAGTTGGCGTTGGTACCAATGCTCAGAGCTCTCTTGGTAGCCTCGGATTCTTGCTTCAGCTTCGCCAAACTGCGGGCATTCTCTCGGGGATCAGTTGTATTCCACTTAATGAACTCCTTTGAGAAATGATCTTGCAGAACAGTGTCGAGGTGTACACCTGCAGTATCGTAATCGTGTGCGGTGGCCAAAATAGTGTACATTCCACCTCTTGAAGCAATAACTGCCACATCTGATCTAGTTCCACCAAGGTCTGCAACAACCACAATCTTGTCTACTACCTTTGATTCGGGGCGTGCATCGTATGCAAGAAGAGCGGCGACTGGCTCGTGAATGAGTTGGAGAACTTCAAGGCCAGCATCGGTTGCAGCCTTTGTAAGGGCGGCCTTTTGCTTCTCGCTGAAGTTGGTTGGGATGGTGATTACGGCAGAGTTGACAGTCTTTCCAGTGTAATCGGAGGCAGACTGAGCAAGACGACGGAAATGGCGAGTGGCAATCTCGGAGATTGTGACTGTTGATTCTTCGTCGGTCTCCTTGTCGTGGATCTTGAATGCGATTGTGTCTTCGTGAGCGATGGGGTGGGCAGAGGCGTGACTGTGGGTGGGGTCTATCGACTTGAAGCTATCCCCGAAAGTCAGCAATAATCTTCGAAACCTATACCAGTTTTCCATACTCTTGTCCCAAATAATCTCTGAAGTACGCAACAGTGTTCTTGCCATTGCGGATCAGTTGTGCCTTGGCTTGCTGGCCATTGTACTCCTCTCCGTCGACATACGATAGAATGGAAGGGATTTGACGATCTGTGAAACATGTTAATAACTACTCGAGTGTCCAATTCCATCCAAAAATCCACATACCTCCATCCTCGTTGGCAATAACCTCAGCCTTGTCTTCGGAGGTGGTGAACGCAATTGAACTGTTGGAGTTTCCGAACGAGATTCCAATGGCGTGACGCTCTGATGGCGTCGTGCCATTCGTTGATGCACCTTCAGCAGCCATCTCTGCAATATTATATGTTGCTTTAGAGTGGTGGTTGGAGGTAGTTGCAGAAGTAGTCGGATTTGGGAAGTTTGAGGTTATCTCCAACTTTTTTCTTGCCCACCTTGCCTGCAAATCCAGAAATTCCACGCTAGCCAATAGGAAGCTTTTTTGCCCCACTTCTCGCAAGGCTGAGAGCAACGTCCTCGCAGCCCTTGGGAATAGCCTCAACATCTCCAAAAACAGCTGTTATAGCACTTAGATATGGCAACGCAGACATTTGTGCTTCCAGGCCAGCATCTGGACCCAGAATCCCTCCCATCACACCCAAAGTTACCGCTGAAACTCGGTCCTGGCCTACGGCTCATCCCACCAAGCACAATTACATCCACAGTCGCAGGACAGCTATGTACAGATAGAAGGAAGAATGCTGTTTGGGTAGAGTTCAATGGCAGTCGCGTATGTGCACCTGCCCATATTCGATGTATATAGCTAATAGCTCTGTAGTATATTCCTACAGTCGGCGATCTGGTAATAGCAACAGTCCAGAAATCCTCTGTCGATGTTTACTTCGCGAGTCTGAGTGACTACACACCCAACGCCTCCCTCCCTCAACTCTCCTTCGAAGGTGCAACCAAGAAGACCCGGCCGCAGCTTTTCTTTGGGTCACTGGTGTATGCGAGAGTGACATTGGCGAATAAACACATGGACCCAGAGCTAGAATGCGTATCCTCCTCAACTGGAAAGTCAGAAGGCTTGGGCCCATTAACAGGAGGCATGCTATTTCCAATATCTCTGGGTATGGCAAGGAGATTAATGTTCTCAAAACCTGCGGAGCAAGGGAACTTGGTGATTTTGGAAGAGCTGGGGGGAGCAGGAGTTGCATTCGAGATTGCCGTGGGACGAAATGGAAAACTTTGGGTGGATAGCAAGAATATCAAGACTACTTTGGCGATTGGGAAGGCTATACAGGAGGCTGATGAGAAAGGACTGGATGTTGATGCACAGAAAAAGCTGGCGAAGAAGGTGGTCAGAGAATTATGATCTGATTGCAGAAGTTTTATGTCTTGCGTTTAAAGGGCTTTGTGGCAGAATACCATGGTACAAGAATGGGCATACTCAGGTTCGAATGGGTAATTTTTCTTGCAAGTGAAATATGCTGTTCGGACGGAATTACCACGAGCTACGGACCATCCTGTACCTGGTCAACAGCGTGATGTCTTCCCGCTGCGCTCAATCTTTTCGAGGTGTACCATTTCTCAACCCGACTCAACCGCTGCGACTCCGATGGGCAATATAAGGAGTCTCTAATCGGAGAGATCTATGTGCAAGATCGGATGTATATGATAACTCTCGTCTTTGTATGGGTGGAGCATTTCGCATCATTGGGGGTAGTGGTTGAGCGAGTTGAAATACTATGCCTTGGATGCTTTCGCATAAGCTCGATTGGATTTTAACACAGACTTATGGGCAATTGCAGCCGAAGTTGCAGTCGATGTTTCTGTGCTCGCAATTTCGAAAAATGCGAGTAAATATAAACAAAACATTGATAAGCGAATGCCATCCACCAGGATTCCCTCAAGGATTGCCATAAGAATACCAGCAGAGATTTCCGAGATGAAAGAAGCTCTTGAACCCGAAACAAAAACTCCGGAAAGCTTACACATGCTCGAAGTTCTAACACGCGTAGAATCCTGACAGATAATAAGCTAATAGAGAGCAGCGAGAATCGGCAAGCCAGAGCGACGGAGAATTACTTTCACTTCTTACACTTTGACAGATTTAGATGCTCCATCAAAACTTTTCCCTTAAGATGTGTGATACGAGATATTAGCTCTACGATTAACCAGCGCACTACCAATAAGCAAAGATCACAACCCGTATTTGCAGAGAAATTAAATGACCACCCGACCAATCTAGTTGACCCACCACTCACATCCAAATGGAACAAGGCAGTTTATAGCCGCCTTACGTAATTCAGGCTTGTAATGGGGATTATTCTCATCAGGATAGTAGCACTGAGAGCGATATTCCTCAGCGGCTTCATCAGAATTACTAGCAAAATGTCTGCCAGCGTAATCAACAGATGGAGGTCTCTCCCAATTCTTGGAACTTAGTTTCGCAACGGCGAGGTATTGGAGTTGCGACTTGAGGCCGAACTTTCCGTTGGGGGGAATGAATGTTGCGTAGCCTATGTGGAAGTTGTTAGTGGGTTGTCATTGGGGAGGGAAGGGAAGGATGAAAGAGGAGGTACCGATCTTGTTGCAGTTTGAGTTCCAGACGGAGAGATCGACTATCACGTCGCCGTCACGAATGGCAGCTTGGTATCCAAGGTAGCAGATGTGCTTGTCGATTTTCGCTGGTCGTAGTCTTGAGCAGTCGATCTCTCCTAAGCCACGAGGAACGATATGAGTAAAAGTGTTAGCAGGAACGATGGGCCTAAGGCCGCTGAGTCAGCCGCCGCCCGCTCTTAAGGCGAGGCGGCCATAGAACTAGAGAAGCAAGCCTTTGACACATTACCTTTTGCCCCGTTACAAAAAGTGTGTTCGAAGGTGGAGAAGTCAGTGTTGGTGGAGTGAGCAGATACGGTAGAGCTGAAGAGGATAAGTAAAGCGGTGATGAGGAGAGATGCCGTGTTTGCTGGAGTGAGATACATGGTGTTGAAAAGTGAGTGGACCCTTGGGTTGTATTGACTGTGATTTTGAAGATTTCTTCTCAGAGGACGATGATTATGCCTTGAGGCAGCTCAAAGTGTTACAAGCTGGCAATATATAGAATATGACAATCTACTCTCCTCATTCCAGAAGTCTTTTGTGATTCATTCTTCACCCCTTTCTTTAGGCATATCACCTTTAGACAGGACCAAGTACGTCGCAGTCATCAAAGAACCAAACATTCACGAGCAAGCATTCGGAGTTGGTGATTGGGCCCGAAAGGCAAACAACAACAAAGAGAAATGGCCAATAGGATATGCAACAAGGCTTTATTTATTAATAGCATCAAAGCCTTCCTAGTAATAAAAGCATGTGATACAGCAAAATCGATCAACAGCACTTGCCCTTTCTGCTCGGTTTTGGAGGTTCAAAGACATGAAGCCGCCAGCTTCAATTGTGCCATCACTCACGACGACCAAATGCTGCAAAATTTCGAACATCTTGATTAATTTACAGGAAAGCCAAAAGGATATAAAATAATATATCACGAAGGAGGATCGATCAAATTCAGGACGCTGAATCGTCCTTCCGTCCTTGTTATCTGAATTGTCCTTAAGGTCTGGTTGTACCATGTTATCATAGTCCTATCTTAATCGCCTCCCTCTCAATCGCTTCGTTGGCTAATTTCAACTTCTCCGTCAATGAATACCTTTCAGAAGCAATCCTCCTGAGCACACCTGCGGACACTGACTCTCCCCGCTCAAAAGCTTCTATTGTGAGCCAGAAAACCTCATCTTCCAGAACCTCCATCTGCTCATGTATTTCAAGAAGCATGCACCCTGCTTCTTCATTGTATATTTCCAATTTTGTCGCAAAGTCCACATCTGCTAGCCACCAATCAATTATAGATGTTTCGATACCGTCTCTGACAAGAGCCGAACAGTTTCTTCCTGAGTTCACACAAAGCTGACCAGCAAAATATTGCACTGGCGCTCTGGCTCCAAAGCATCGACCAATTGCTGCAAAATAAAGGCCTCTATCAAAATTTCCCAAATTCTTGGTGCCATCCCACATGCCTTGCTCTAAAGAGGATGTATCGTCGGCTTCGAGATCGATATATCGCTCAATACCACGGTCTAGAAGAACGCGAAGGGACACAACGTGGGCGACATACTCCTCGTTAATTTCCCAGTCGAATAAATATTCGGATCTGAAGAGATCTTTGTCCTCCGGCCAGACCAAATCCGCCGCTGAATGGTAGGGTGCTGGTACTTCTGAATGCGGAACATAGATCAAAGCGATCCAGACATCTTCTGCCCTCTCCTCTCTATGCTTACATCTGCGCAATGCACCACTAATTGTTCTGGAGAGCTTGTCGCTGACTGACACAAGAGCTGTCGGTTCTGGTTCATCCTTGTGCTTGTGGTGATCGTTGAACTCTTGGTAGCGCTCTTTAAATGACAGCTCTCTGCGGTGAGCTAGGCCTTTGCCACAAACTAGACCGCCAGCGCTGCTGTGTGACCAAAATCTCGAGAAGAACTTCCCTTCGACACTGGACATTGCGTTGACTCTGTAATGGTACTCTCGATTGCTGGTTGAGGTTGGAGACTTCCCCAGTACCCTCTGAGGACTTCCGGGGGTAGAGAGAGGATGATTGTCGTGATGTACAATTCTTTGATGTGTTTTGCACAACCTGTGCGGCTCGAGTTGGTGCTCTTGTAGTGTAATGGGTAAGAAGGAAGACGTGGTCTGGAATTGCCTACTGTACTGAGTATTTTGATCGTGATTTTCGACGTGCGACAAGAAAACGAGACGAGGTTACGAACATGGGAAATCTAGGCAGCGAGCTCACGGCAATGAGGGGAGTAGAATGCCAGAGTGTTGTATAAATAGGAGAGTTGCAGCCTGGGGAATCAGCTGACATGGGCAAAAATGATGACGTTCCCGCTTACAATGGAATGAATAACTTACGTCTCGACTATGCCTTCAACAACTACTATCTGGACCACTTTGGACTGGGCCATCAAAGAGAAAAACCGATACGTCCAATCTGGCCGATGAATGGAAGACTTCGCAGGTCCGTCATTGTCTTTCCTACAAAAGCCTGGCATGCCTCTTGAATCGCAGGGCTCGAGGGGCGGGAATCGTAGCACTTACTCATCAGTGCACTTGTAAACGGTGTCAGCTCATCTCAGTTTGGTATCTCGTGCTGCACCAACGATCATTTCACAGCCCGGATACCCTGTGCCAGGCCAAGGAAGATAGATTGGGAAGTTCCCTCTTTCACGTCTCATCGCGAAAAGTCGCGGTCTCCATCCAGCGCGTCTACCCGGGCTTGGACCCACACAAGCTTTGGCTGAGACACATCATCTCTGACCTGTCAACATCGAAACAGCAACAAGACTATTCAAAAGAATTCATAGACTATTCACAGCACATTTTCTGTCTCCTTTGGATCCTGAACTTTTGCTTCGCTTCGGCCAGCTTTCCGTTCATCTTATGAAAAGCCAACAAGCGTGGTGGACTGCCAAGTAGTTTCAATCGTGACAGAGATCCGGCATCATCTCCTCGTTGGACCGGGGCAGCATGGACGCTTGCCGCGAAATGGGATCTTGGGGGTTCCAGCAGGTCGGATCAGGACAGGAGAACAATCCACTTGATCTTGATACCGCTGTGCCGCTCAGGGTAGGCTCGATGTGACCACTCGTGCCAGGCTGATGAGGTAGGGGTCTTGCTTTTTGTTGCTCGACGCGTTTGTAGAGCTTCCTTTCTCTATTCGTGTTTCTTTGTCCCTCTTTTCTCCTGTCCTAGAAGTGTTCGATATACGGAGACAACGTCCAATTTGAGCAACGAAATGGCGAGAACAAATCCTACAGTGAAGTCATCTTCGAGGAAGCGGTGCAGCACAAGTGTCGTGACTCAAACTCCACAAAGGGATCCCCATCCCATACTTCCTCCGACGCCAGAGTGGAAGAAAGCCCGCGCTGCATCCGAAGCACGGAAGCAGTTGAAGAGGTCAAGAACTTCAATTGAGGATTCTAGTGCGAGGTATGCCTCTTCTGCCAGCTAGCAATACATTTCCTTACTCGCGCAGTAGCCAGAGCGAGTCCATCCGATACAGGAGGATACTACCGCCTCGTCCGAACTACATATTTCCATGCAGACAGACACGATCTCTCGATCCGCCTTCTATTGTGCCTCAAGTCGAAGATGTATCTCCAATGTGTAATAGTCAACCAGACGAGAACACAGAACAAGATGAACTCGATACATGGTCACCCAAACGGCTACGATCTCGGAGCTCTCAGGTTGGACAAGGCATGTACACTGAACGAGAGGATGACAGCATGGACGACTCGGATGGAAGTTCAGAAGATAACGAGAGCATTGTAGATGCAGAACCATTGGAAGAGAAAGAGTACGACGTGGAAGCGATAGATGGCGAAAGAATTGCTCCTGGCGTACACGAGTACTGGATCCGCTGGGTCGGCTACCTTGAGCGGACCTGGACTGCCTCCACAGACTGCTTTTGTCCTGACTTGATCGCGGATCTGCGTGCTGTGCAGGGCGCGGATCTTAGGGCGGCCAAGTTTTCAGGAAGAGAAGAAGAGGCTGACGTTTTGCAACGACTAAGATATGCGGCGCGAACCAGAGCAGAAGATGACAAGTCCAAGCGAGCTACAAAGTCACACGATGCACACGACGGCCGATTCCAGGAGGTACTTTCTCAACCGATCATGGACAGCGTGGAACACTCTGAATCTTCAGGTGACGAACATGATATCAAAAGCGAGCCTGACCTCCCACGAGATGCTCGAGCAAACACCGCCTGGCGAAGACTTGGCTCTACTGAGAGAGACCTGACGAACAGCTCGCAATACATAACATGGTATCGCTCCGAGCCGATAGATGTCGATCAGCACGTCTCCCAGAAGAGTAAAATCGAGCTGGTGGAGGCATGGAGAGCAGATACCGTGAGTACTGAGATGGAGGGTTTGGATGACGGATGGGATAGCCCTGAAGCTGCACTCCCACAAGCAAGGATAGATCAGAAGCTTGATGTTGACATGCAATATACAGCAGCACATGACAGCCAGAGTTCTGGTGGCCTGCCTTCTCCGCTATCTGCGAGCTCGAGTTCTTCTGCACACAGCCATGGTCACCCAGCAACAGCGACAATTGGAACTAGCACCACGACCCATACTTCAGATGAATTCGGAAGTGACGCATATGAAAGCACGAGCACTGCACCCCAACAGGCAGAGCGGAACGCAGCAGAAAGCGAACTTCGCTCGATATCTCTCTTCATAAAGGAAGCCGTGGATATAGGCCACGGAGACTTAGCTGCTCGAGCCATCTTAGGTGCCCGCAGCAATACGCCCATCAAAGACGAAGCGGAAGAAGCACGCAAACAACGCAAACGCAATTCCGAAAGAAAAGTTCAACGTCTTCTGGACGATGCCTCATTCGCCGCAGCTCCCACTCCTCTCTCCCCTCCCCCTAGGTGGCTGCATGATGCATCGGATAGTAGGACGTCCAATCATTCCACGAGTGCTAGCAAGAAAGATCTGCTCAGAACCATGCGCGAAGATGCAGCACGAGTCGAGTCGATCAAGAAGGTCAATTTGAATACTTCACGTCGTCAGCTAGATTCCACCAGCCCAAGATCGGTCCAAGAGGTGGTGCGACATGCGAAAGTCCTCGCGGTTCAAATGTTGGGGCCGTCACAAACCCACCAGCAATTGAATATGGAGACTCGGAGCGCTATTTCGGGATGAGATGGACATGACTGGGAAATTTGCGCTGTGTAGGTAATTTGGAGAATTCTTACGAGCATTGGGAGTGTGTTTGATATCGAGGAGTTTTGGCGGAACTGGCGTTTAGCGAGGAATGGTGAAGCTCGACATACTTCTATTCATATTATATCTGAACAGAACCCCATGATCAGAGAGAAAAAGAGAAAAATTCTCCAAGCAGAAGTGATGAATTACGGCAACTTTATCATCAACAAACCGCATACATCCCCCTCAAATCACCCCGCATGGAAAGGATCCAATCCCACCCCTATACACGTGACATCCCCAATCTCATCCCTCCAATCCCTGCACCAAAGCACAACACAGCATAAACGCCATCAAGGCCTTGTTTCGATTTCCCTCCATCCCAATCCCATTACCAAACACACACGATCTCCAAACCCCAGGTACAGCATAGAAACAAAATCCTCCCATTGTTCCTCCTTTCGCCTATCCAGTCCACTCTCCCGTCCCCTAGTGAAACAAGCTCCTCCCGCCCAAAGCCCCGAGGCGGACGAGGATCTCAAAACAGACCAGGCCGCTTTTTCGGCTAGCCCCAAACGCCACGGAAACATTGGAGGATTGGGGGACGACGTCAGAATCGGCACCTTAGACGGTCTTTATTTGCGAGGGATGGATGATCGGGATATGGCAGTCAGTATTGGATGACGGTAAGATGGGTTCAGCCGGGATCAAATTTTAAAACTGGTTTGAATTCCGGGATTTCCCCTTGGGGGTTTTGTCGGGAATTCGCCGCTTATGGGAATAATGCGGTGTCTGGAGATGGTAGAGATAAGGTTAGGGTTAACGTTTTGTAGGAAGAAGAGATGGCGGTTTGGTGTTGGGTTTGAGCTGAAAGTCTGCTCTTTGACACGCGGACTGACACTGACACTGACGGTGAAGTCAATTGAAATCGGCGCAAGTCATCTCAACTTGACTTGTGACAATTGAAGTCGGATGGGTGTCAATGCCATCTGATGATATCCGAACTCTACATTTCGTATGTCAGACTGAGTCGTGACGTCCAAACCCTGAAACAGTATTCAACGTAACCATTGCCATCTGAACAGAACAGAACAGAACACCAACCCACTCAACACAACACAAACTATACATGCGATGCGATTGCAGGATATTTCAACGAACAAAGAAAAAATTGAATATGCTTACATACAAACCCCCGTCGTAGGAAAAAAAGGTCTCTACAGTAAAATCCCCGTAGATAAAAAGATAAGATTCGGCAACCATCTACAACAAGAAAAAACCACCACACCACAGCCATGGGATCAACCCAACGCCCCTCTTTCGATCCTCCCATCCCCTTCCTTCCTCAAACCGACAGATCTGACTGCAATGTTCCGTTCCCGTAGTGCCCCTTCCACAATAAAACGTACAACACATCCATTACATAACCCATCACTTCATGTCATGCCATGCCATGCCATCCCATCTAGCTCATTCATTACCGAGACCAGTATCCCAGAATAGATCAACAAACAAACAAAACATCACATCAACACCCCACCCCCCTACGCAGCATCACAAGCAGTCTTCTGCGCCGCACAATCCGCCGTCGACTTCCCAGGGAGTTTCCCCCCGTTGACGGCATCAGAGCAAGCATTGTTCTGGATATCGCAGGACCGCTGCTTGGCAGCCGACTCATTGACAAAGGTGTTGCCATTGACTGAGAATGGGCGGTCCTTGTTGCCGGAATTGGTGACGGGTGGTGCGGCTCCTCCGAGGTTTCCGCTGGTTGCGCCGCCTTTAGCGGGTGTTTGGGCTGCGGCGGGGGCGGCGGAGGCGGCTGACCCTTTTCCTCCTTGACCTTGGCCTTGGCCTTGACCTTGGCCTTGACCTTGGCCTTGGCCTTGACCTTGGCCTTGACCTTGGCCTTGACCTTGGCCTTGACCTTGTCCCTTTCCGCCGGCCTGGTTAGTAGCTGCTTTCGAGGGAGCGGCTCCTGGGGCGGAGGCTGGAGATGGAAGTCAGTATATGGTTCAAGGTATGAGAATGAAGATAAGGAGATGGGGTGAAGGACTGCTCTGTGATGTCAAGACATCCTCAGGTCAAGTCGTCTTCACCACTTGTGAGAGTGGGTTCATCAGGCCTTTTGGAACTTACTTGCTGCTGCCGCCGCCTTGCCACCACCAGCGTTGGCATTTCCTCCAGCGTTGGCTTTACCACCTGCATTTGCGTTTCCTCCGGCGTTGGCATTTCCTCCAGCGTTGGCTTTACCACCTGCATTTGCTTTTCCTCCGGCGTTGGCATTGTTATTACCTCCAGCATTGGCATTACCGCCTGCATTTGCGTTTCCTCCAGCGTTGGCGTTTTTGTTTCCACCAGCATTTGCATTGTTGTTGCCTCCAGCATTACCACCTCCTAGAAACCAGTTCGTCAGTATATGTCACGAGAAAAGTAGTTTGTGGAAGACTCACCATTACCAGCACCAACAGTGAACTTCTGGCAATCATCCTGAGCACCTCTCTGTGCAACAGGCATGAGAACAGGCTGATGGTTGGACGACGAAGTCATCGAGCACACGCGGTAGTTGCCTGCCGGCAATCCACCGGTGACAGTCGCGGAAAGGAGACCGTTTCCATTTCCGTCATCGTTGACACCCTTGAAGAAGACGAAGGAGACTGGGTCGGGTGGCTGGGTTGGTGCGAGGGAGTTTCCGAGGTCTTGGATGGTGAGATGGGTGTGTCCGATGATCTTGCCGGATCCGTCAAGATCCTGGGGAGCACTGTAGTAGGTTTCTTGTGCGTTGGTGAATGAACCGGCGGCGAGACCCTTGGTTTGGACGGAGACGGTAAAGGTCTGGTTGGGGTCGAGATCCTCCATTGGCTTTGGGGAGGTGATGATACCTGAGATCATGTTGGCTGTTGAGGGGATTTTACCCATGACTATTCGCATTAGCTTTGCGATCCGCTATAAGATGCTTGAATCAACTCACCAATTCCGTTACATGATCCTGCCTTGACTTGAAGACCGTTGGTGAGAGTCTGGCCCTTACAGAAATTGATGAAGTTGGCGGGGTCGCTAAATCTCGGTTAATCCATATTCTCTCAGTGAAGGAACATTCAAACTTACGTTGCTGATGCAGCTTGGCCGGCAGTAGGTGTATCTTGACCATCCTTGAATGTTGTCAGTCATCGAATCTTTTGTCCACAGTCCATATTTGAACGCACCTTGTTTGAGTTGGCCTGGATGACAGCGGTGTCTAGACATGTGGCTCCTCCTGCAGCAGCATTGTTGTTCTTGTTATTGTTGTTTCCCCCGTTTCCTCCATTGCCTCCAGTGGCTGCACCGGCATTGTTTTTGTTGTTGTTTCCACCTGTAGCTGCTCCGGCATTGTTGTTATTTCCTCCTGCGTTATTCTTGGCACCAGCAGCTGGAGTGGCCGCGGATGCTGGAGTAGCAGACGCCTTTGCTTGGCCACCTGCATTTCCTCCATTTCCACCACCGAAACCTCCTCTGTTGCCACCACCGAATCCACCACCGAACCTGTTGTTCTGTCTTCGAACCAAGCCACGCTGTACCAGGCCGTCGAACTCCGGAATGATAGCAGCTTCAGTCGCAACAGTGAGGCCAAGAATGGCGATTGAGACCTGTTTGAATAACATGGCGACGGACTGAAATGTGAAAAAACGTTGTCGTCGATGCGGAAAAGATATGAGATCTGAAAACCTGTCTAGCAGTAAAAGAACGATTCTCGTTTGATCTACAATCGAGGAAGTCGAGAAGGGTAGGCGGTTGTAGAATCGAAAGAGAGTGGTGAAAAGTACGGCGCCAGTCCTACGAAACAGAAAATTAAAAAGAGTGACGGGGGAGTGTACAGCAAGATACCAAACAATACTGAGGAACGAGTAGATGCCAAGGAGGAGGGCCACCGAGTATTATATAGGATCTCCCTCGTCTGAAATGCGCTCGATCATGGCCTGCTTGGCACACCAGGGGCCAGGGTTGGGTTTTGCAGGCCCCGGTCCCCTCTGAGTCTCCGACCGAGCGCTGGAGGAAGACTGGGACTCACTGAGTGAGTGGCCTCCCTGCACAGCCCTGTTGAAATTGGAGGTCCACTGTGGAAGGGGAGTAAGAAGGGATATCCAACGCTGAGTTCAGGCGTATTCACGACTATTCAGGACTAACTCGAGCCCTGCCACCCCCCCGGTCAGAGCCGTTTGGGAGTGTCGTAGCGGTGTTTGGCCCCGCTGTGGTGCATTGGAACCCCGTGGCCAGGGATTACCCAGGGGCTTCCCGCGCCAAGCTGCGACATCAATGCTTCAAGTGTCGCTTGCACTACTGTAGGTAGGCTACGCGGTTTCGTCTCAAACAGGAGACAGGAGACACAGGACAAGAGACAGCGGGCATCATCTCATCAATCGGATCGAGCATGCTGCTCACCACAGAATAAACTGGGCCGGTGTGTCAGGTGCCCTCTTCGATGGAGGGTGGACCTGGCATCGCAGAATGAGATGTGTGATGCAACGAGATGAAAGCATGATGGGAGGACTTTGTAGCAGCGAGCACGAACTCGAACCCGAACTCAAAAGAGACAGAATAGAATGTCCGCGTCGTACAGAATGGCATAGTGCAAACGAGCAGGAAGAGCTTCGGTACTGAGGCGACTCGAGTGTGTGTAGGTAATAGCAGTTCGGGCGTTTGGATAATGGAAAGGCGTGTCGTAGTGCCACCGAATGAAGCATCCAAGTGCACCCAGCCGCGTGAGATCCAAACAAACTAAACACATGCCCCAAACACGACCCTTTCACGTATGGCGATTGATAGACGCATCGGTGTCGAATCATTGCAGTGACAATCATTGCCAGACTGATGCCCTGTAGCGCTCCCTCTGTATGGCTCCGCGGCTATCCAACAACAAGCCTCACCCACTAGAAGCGAGCACTGCGCGACACCTACCACATCTGGCATCGTATTATTATTCAGTCCAAGATTTCATTCTCCGATATTCCGAGTAGCGAAAGGATAAGAAACACGATGTTGCACTCTCTGGAGATGAAAGGATGCTGGAAGTCGGCACGGTTCAGGAGAATGACCAACACTTAGGAGGCTACTGCGAAACTCAGTCCACCAAGTATAAGACGGCAATCTGCGCTCACTGACCAACCCAACCACGGGGGCGGCGCATTTTCACCATGCCCTCGGACGACTTTGCCGAACCAAAAACCAAATACCGGTATGGGAAATTTGATTCCATATGCATTGAATGCAAGAAAAACCAGACAGAACCTTTCCTTCTCATGCTTTGCTTCAAATCTGACAACTCCATTAACTTTACCAATACCACAACTCTACACGGGGAGAATCTGAATCTCACCTCGGCAGACAGGCAGGCAGGTATTATTGTAAAAAACGCACGTTTCTTTTCAGCACGTTTTTTTCCAGCGATCATTGCTCGATAGATCGATTACCTGCCTGCCTGCCTGTCTGTTCAAATATGATGCGAAAAACATACTAGGTACTCGGTGATCCTATCGCCCATCAACTCTTGATTCCCTTCCCCTCGTACGAGTACGTTCTCCATACCCAACCAACAACCAACGCATCAACAATCATCGCATGGCATCGCGGCTCTAACTTCCCAACCTTCCCAACTTCCGAACTTCCGTGCCCAATTACACCAACTAAGTGATCGCCTGGTGCCTCACAATGTGTTCCAAGAAAAGCCCGTCGGGGCGCCGATAGACCAGTAGAGTTCGCGAGAGTTAAGGTTAAGGGTAAGGAAAACTCCACCCAACTTGGCAGGAAACCTTTTTCGTTCAAGCGAGCCTCCTCCTTCCCTCGATCCAACAAAGAACAGAACACAGAACAGAACAGAGCGCAAGAGTGGAGTGGATAGCATATGGAATCATGAATGGAAGTAAGTGGATGCATCTCTCTCTCACACCAACAACTCTCTCGCTAAACCTCCAACCCAGCACAAACGAAACCAACAACCCGTCGTATTTATTGAGCTACAGTACAGTACCAGCAGTATCTCAGAAACCGTCCAGGGATGACCATCCCCCTCTCCTCTCTGACAGACAGTTGTACCTGCCAGCCAGCCTGCCATCCCAAGAGAAGAAAAAAAACCCCCCCAAATCCACTCCCGAGTCCCAACACCTTCAAAGCTCGCTTACTGTGCAACGCTTTGAATCCCCGTGTCTCCACCCCCTCCACCCATCCACCCTCTCCACACACTTCACGTCTCACACCATTATTCCCAACTTCGGACCAACCCAGCCCCACGCGAACAGCCTCACTACAGTACTAAAAAAGAAGCCGGGATTCAGCCTTTCCTTACAAAGCATAATAATGATGCCCGCATCCACTACTACTGTGCAGTACAGCGCATTATTATCGCTTGTTGTTGGCCCCCAATAGTGATCTTTCAGAGGCTGTCAGTTGGGTGGGTCGTCCACATTGCATGGGTGCATGCATGGGAGGGAGGGCCGTTAGCGTCGTCTCGTCTGAGGCTCACTGCGGAGAGTTTGGGAATGGGACTAGCTTGATTCAAAAAGTGCGCGCAACGAAAAAGAGAAAAAAGTAAGCTTCTATTGTGGCGGAGGGCAGCAGATCCTTGGGAAGATACTACGTAGAAATTATGCACGCCAGCGAATGATGGAAGGTCGGATGCGAAAGAGAGAAGGAAAAAGCTTGGATGTTGTGGTGTTGAGCAATGAGATGTGGCCCGCTTCCTAGGCAACCCGCAGTGCGGAAGGAAGCATATGCCAAGCAAAATACTACTTGCAAATCCTCAGAACCATGAAATGCGACTCCTTTCTACTGTACCATCTCTTAGTCCCATATCAAGTACACATATTCATCCGATATCCGATGACAGCGCTACGGACCCGTGCCAAAACCTCGGTGATCCACCACGTATCCACAACGTCGAGCTCTAGAAGGCAGGTGTCCATCCATCACACGACCCTCCTTTGATGTCATGAGGACGTTGATCATGCTTAACCCTCCCTCAGATTCTCATCATCCATGGAAGGAGTGGCGATCAAGAATGTCTCGTATCAAGGTAGCACACCACATGGCAGTCCACACCGCTTTCCAAGCAATGTCTGTATCGAGCTTCCAAGCGAACAGTCATCACAATCGTCCTCCAAGCTTTTTCTCATAGATGATTCGCTCCTGGCGGAAGTTGATGTTGATCGTTTCGTCTAAGATGGAAACGCCGAGATGAGTCTTCTCCAAACGTTTCCATGACTTCAATGCTTTATCCTTCCAAACTCTACACTGTTTGTTTCGATACTCATAGAATGCTCTGGTATAGGGTCTGACTCGAAGTCGTCGGAGAATCTTCTGGAGTTTCCACCTGGCTTCTCCAGCCTTGAGATAGGTCTTCCACTTTTGGCGTCGGATTGTCTCAAGGGCGGCTCGGTATCTTGTGATTTCGTTCAGTTCCTTGGCTCTTGTTAGCTAGTCAATCACTTAACACTTTGAATTATGATGCTTGCCTTGAAAGAAAGAGCTCCGCCATGCCGATCGACCCGATAAATTTGCTTGATATTTCTTGGAAACCATTCAGGCAGATCTTCTGGTGCTGGGAAGCCAGCGTGTCCCTTTGGTTTGATCTCCTCAGGCTTGTGATCACGAGGATCTGAGTCGCCAAGGATGCTGGACACTTCGTCATCTGACACGTCCGGATCTACTGACAGGTCGAGGGCTTGAAGATGAGTCTTGGGAGCCAAGGTTGATGGCGATCTAGAGAGTGCAGCTCTTGCGCCTTGTGTGGTGATTGTTTCTTCTATAGTTTCATCATCAGAGTCCACTGAATTTGGTATGGAAGGATTCCAAAGAGGGATTTTCTCGGGGCTACCAAGTCCAGAGAAATCCAACATCACGACGGTGTTTTCGTACTCGGGGACAGACAAGGTCGACGGTGAGATATCTGCAACACGTTTGTCGACTGGAAGGATGATGGTAGGTTGACCTCGAGCAGACTGGGAAGCTTCTCCGGTGCGTGGGCCATGGAATATATTCGTAACAGATTCTTCTCCTAGATCCTGTTCCCCGTTGCTGATGTCGTTTACAGCAAGCTTCGATGTCACCGTCGATGTATTGACGTGCTCCGAGGTGACATTGGCGGCACGAACATAATTAGCTTGAGCAGACTTGAGAACTTCTTTACTGACGCGAGCAGCAGGTCGAGCAGCGGGTCGAGGAGCTGGAGTCGGAGTATCAATTGAAGCGAGCGCTGGCGCTGAGCTCTCCATGTTAAGTTCATTTTGGAGGGCTTGGGAAACTGTTGGAGTTTGTTCAGCTAGACTTGCAGCTTCCTCAGCCTTGCGTTTCTTCTCCAGCTTCTTCCTCTCCTTCTTCAATCTCTTCTTCTCGGCCTTGCGCAACGACTTCTCCTGCTTAGATCGATTGTCGGGACTGGCATCGGCCGTCAGGCTGTTGGTTGACCCCATTTTGACTTCTGCTTGGTTCGTCGACATGGGTGTGGTCTGTTTGAGATCAAGGTCGATGTTGACAGATGAAGTGTTACGATAGGAAGATGGAAGGACTGGAAGAGAAGATATCGTTGAAAGCGTCCTTGGTGCTTCCTTCCGTTTTCACTCCAACTAAAGCCTGAAAGGTGAAGGAGCAGTCGAGGGCTGCTTGGGCTTCACGTGATTGGGGTTAAAAATATCTCCCATTCATCATCACCGATAGGCAGAGGAGAAAGGCAAAACAGGCCAAAATAAGTAGACAGCAGGATTTGAGGAAAAGCGCACATTTATAAAGTAGAGTTGATGTTTGCTTGGTGGAATGGGGAATGACGAGTCGCAACTTCAGCTTGACGCTTGCGGATATGGGCATGAAAGAAACCTACTGCGAAGTGAAGGCTGAAGAGCGGGAACGTGCATGATGCAGATCTTTTGCGAAGGCATCGTTGTGGCCTCGCATCCATGATTGAGCTCAACTTGAGATGTTCCAAGATGTACAGGAAATGCAAAAAATTGAGACGTTGTCGAAGTTGGCATAAGGTGGTTGTGGCCTGACAACCCAGCTTCAAGCCTGAGGTTGAACATCCGAACTGGCAAGTGAAAATACCTTTGCCAATGACTGACGGTTAAAGACAAGCCAAATGGAGCTGGCATTGTTGTTGTTGTCTCGCTTGCGAAGAGAGTTTTGAAGCTATTCCCAACTCTTGCGCTAATAAACTTTAAAACGTCACAAACAGCCATCATTGGACATATGAGCAGCCACCGTCAGATCGGGCATCCACTCCGTAAGACCTACGCTAAATCTCTGCTAGTAGCCTCGGCACCATTTGCTTATCACTCACGTCAGTCAACGCTGCGTACCTCTTCATCGAAATGTCAAAGTAACTACCTTTTCGAAATGCCGCAGAAACATGACGCCGACTGATTATGAAGCAGGTAATGCTAACGCGACAGCGGCCTTAGTTGCTCAATACAGTATGGCGGCTGACAAGATAAGGTACAGACATCCTTACATAAGTAAGTGGGGGGGAACCTTCAATCCAAAAGTTCGTAGCCTTGCCTGATCAAAATGAACTCCACGACATCAGCGAATACACCCGAGAATCCTCTGGGAGGCTCTGCGAACGGTATAAATGGCGTCAAGTGGTCGCCGCCCTCCAATGCTCCATCACAAACCCCGCTGATCGGGAGCTGTATCCATTGCCGCCGGCGCAAAGTTCGATGCGATAAACAATCACCTTGTGGGAACTGTGTGAGGTTTGGCACGGAATGCGAGTTAGCCCCTCGAAAGAGGGCTCCTAGACGACCTAGGAAGCCGGTAGATGGGGGAGAATATACAGGCAGAGAGCTGGAGTTGATGAAGCGGCTGAACAGCCTGGAGGGTAAGTGCTGCTATTTCCCGAGAGCTTCCCTACTAACGATATTGTGAGCAGGAATCGTAAAAGAACTTAGCAGCCACGTCGATACAAACGACTCGAGTCCTGCCAAATCTGCCGACCCAATAGAGAATGGAGAGGATGTTCACATTAGAGCTGTGGGGAGGTCACAAACTGCACCATCAGGTCTGAGGATACCGGAATCAGGAGATGTTGTACCTGTCGAGAAAAGCATGGGGACTCTGATGTTGTCAGATGAAGGCAAAACTCGTTATGTTCAACGAAACTTCTTTTCTCGTCTGACAGATGAGGCTAGTGAACACCAGCGTTGATCTGCAGGACTTTGATTTTAACTCAAATTTAGGTGGATGATCTTGTTCAATTATTCTTCGATGGCGATCGGGAAGAGGATGAAGATATTTCTTCGCCTGAGACCAGCTCAGCATCAAACGACCGGGATCACCAAAGCTTCGTATTTGGGTATGCTTCGACACAGCTCAACATGAGAGACTTACACCCCTTGCCCTCCCAGTTACCGTATTATGTGCAGATATACGCGGAGAAGGTTGACCTCCTCGTCAAAATTCTGCACATGCCTACCGTTGAAGCTCTCTTCAAAGATGCGCAAAATGATCTGAATTCCTTGAGCCGAAGTTCAGAGGCTTTGATATTTGCTATCTACTTTGCTGTGATTACAAGGTATTACCAACGTCAGACTTTCTCAGGATCATGCTGACTTAACCAGCATGTCTGTTGAAGAAGTCAAATCGAATTTGGGATTTGAAAGGAAAGCCATCTATGTGAGTTCATTTCTTTTCCGTTCTGGCAGAACCAACCACCCCCTCCCCAGTTCTTCAACATAGCTGCCCAGAAGTCCTGATTCAATGTAGGACAAATACCGCTTTGGTACTGAGCAGGCACTTGCTCGAGCCAACTTTCTAGATACCTCAGACTTGACTACGCTTCAAGCCTTTGTTCTGTACCTCGCCACAGTCAGATGTGAAGATCATACCCGAGTTCCCTGGGCTTTGATGCGGTCTGCGGTCGGAGTTGCGCAATCTATGGGCCTCCATAGAGATGGAAATGTTTTTCACCTCAGTCCATACGATGTGGAGATGCGTCGTCGTCTATGGTAAGCCTCCTCTGCACAAGTTGACTTCCATCGAAGGAGCTTGAATTTTTCCTATGGGGCCTAAAGAATATATACTGATGGAATGAACAGGTGGCAGCTGTGCATTCTAGATTTCCGTCTCTCAGAGAAGGACGGATCAGAGACGTGCACCATGGATATATCATTCGATACGCAACGGCCGCTGAATATCAACGACTCAGACCTTCTACCTGATGCGCTTGTTGCTCCAGAGCCACGAGTTGGCCTTACAGATCTCTCGATTGCACTCATCACTTGCGAGATCAGCTCCGCCGCACATAAGCTACTGTCGTATCGAAGCGATGACGGAGTTGCGCAAGTTTCCGGGAAAGAAGAACGAATACGAAAATTCTGTCAAGTTTTGGAGGAGAGATACGTCAAGCACTGCACAGATTTGACCCCGATCTCTTGGATGGTCTCAAGGCTTTGCAAGCTCGTGATCTGCAAGCTGGAATCGATGCTTCTCCTACCCCTGACGAGAACCGAATCTACAAATCGGGATCCAGAGTCGAAAGAGCTGTACGACAAGATGTTCCTTGCCAGCATTGAGGGCGTTGAGCTTCGACGAGATCTTGAAGCCGACATAACCAAACAATGGCATTGGTATCTTCGTACGATCATCCAATGGCATGCAATTGCATACTTGCTTTCAGAGCTTTGTGTAAGGGAGCCTGATGACAATGTGACTCGAGCCTGGAATGTGCTGGACCTCGTTTTCCAGGACTACCGAGAAATTCAAGGCCACGGCGCCCCTGGAATGCTGATGGCACCGATGAAGAAGCTGATCGCCCGAGCCAGGCAAAAAAGAGCCCAGGATCTGGAGAAATTAAGGGCGGCCGAAATAACAGCACAGACAAATGGCCAGCTAGACAATACGGCTGCTACACAAATACCAGATATTCCTCCAGCTCAAGATTTCTTCCCAGGGACGTTTGATTTTCAGAATGTCTCAACCCCTCAAGGACAAACATATGGAGACTATCAGCAAGACTGGCTTCAGCAGCAACAGCAACAATATCCGACCATGGCACCCACGCCTTGGCTGTTGGAGGATTCCGCGTTGCAAGATTTGGGGATTGATATGAATTATTTGGATCCGAATATGGAATGGGAAGGATTGAATGATTTGATGAGTCAGATGGAGCCTGCTTATGGCTCTAATTCTCATGGGCCTTTTGGTGGGTGGTAATGGAAGGCAATGATAGGACATAGATGGCACTGGTCAGTGTTCAAGCAAGAGATGAACCCCGTATCCACAGCTGTATGGTTTTACAACAGTCGCGTTGAAGAAGACAGCTTAAGCGTTGGAACTGGCCAGGTGCAAGTGCTACACGGAGTGTCAAGACCTGCCTCTGTCTCATTGGCAGTCATTCTGTTGGTTTTCTCATCCTCTCCATCTCAACACGTGTCTAGTTGCCTGCCCTTGCCGGTGCTGAATGCTCTCCTCACACATGACTATCACGTCAATATTAAAGTCAACCTTGCAGAAGGTAGTATTTACCAAGATGCATTCCTCAACCTTCACTATTCCAAGCCTCCTCACTATCCTGCTCCTCTACGTCCAAGTGCAAGGCTCCGATACCTCCTCCCAAACGATCCTCACCTCCAACAACCAAACCACCTTTCCCCCACCCTCATCCCCATCCCCCCGGAAAGTCGCCATCATCGGCTCCGGCCTCTCCGGCGCCACAGCTGCCTACTACCTCCACGACTCAACCTGCGAAATCCAACCAATACACATCACCGTCTTCGAACGCTCACCCCAACCCGGCGGGCGCATCAAATCCGTGAAATACCGCGGCAAAACACTTGAAGTCGGCGCTCCTGCTGTATCTACACACGACTGGTGTTTCCTACGCGCTATGCGAGATGTTGGGTTGGAGCCTAAAAAGCCAGACCGGGCGTGGAAGTTCCGCGTGAAGAGGACGCTGGGTGTTTGGGATGGGGAGAGATTGTTTGATGCTAGGGCGCATGAACCGCTTTGCATGAATTGGTGGGAGTTGATTGTGAGTGTTTGGAGGGAGGGCAGACATGCTTGGTTGTTCAGGAAGGTCTCGCATCCGATGTGGTGGGAGGTGGGGAGGTTGGTGTGGAGGTATGGTGTTGAGGCGGCGAGGTTTCAGAGGGCTGTGGTGGGGGATTTGGATGCTTGGGATGGGTTTGGGAGGGATTTTTATGATTGGGAGACTCATACGTTTGGTGATCTGGGGGTGGAGGCTGATAAGTCGGGGCTTGATGTAAGGGCTTTGGGCTCAGCTAGGGAGTATTTGAGAGGTTTGGATGTTTCTGAGAGATTCTTGGAGGAAGTTGTGGAACCTTATGCTAGAGGGAGATTTGCTCGGAATCTGGATAGCTTGAGAGGGATCGCTGCAGAGATGGCGTATAGGGAGTTTTATGCGAGGAGTGTGGCTGTTGCAGAGGGGAATGTTCGACTTGTTGATCGCTTGATTACTCTCTCGAAAGCTGATCTGAAGCTTAACACGAGTGTAAAGGAGATCGAACCTGGGAAATTCAAACGGTTCAACCTAGGCATTGAGTCCTCACTCCCAGATTCTACCGTGGAAACACGCTGGGAAGAGTTCGACGCAGTCATCATTGCCACACCCCTCCACCTCAGCGGTATATCCTTCGCCGAGAGCCTCAATATCCACTTCGAAACAACCGCTTCAAAGACACCACTCTGCGAACGACACATCACGCATCTCGTGTCCTCCCACTGTCTCTCCCCAGAATTCTTCAACCTGCCTCCAGGAACCAGGCTCCCAGACACGATTCTCACCACCGCTAATAGCTCTACCAATCCGGAAATATTCAGTGTAACTCTACTCGACACACTCACGCGTATCGATACAACATACTGCTCACCCTGGGATCTCGAAGACTGCGATATGGTGGTCTATGAGATGATCTTCCGAATTGTCTCATCTGAAGCGATTGATAACCAGACTTTGGCTGAAATGGTGGGTAGCCCGACTGACTACGAATTTCCTTTTGTTCATCGTCAGGTATGGCCGTATATCACGCCGGATGAGAGCGGGAGTCAGCTGCCGACTGGAAAAATTGAGATTGTGCCGGGGTTGTTTTATACTGGGAGAGGGGAGGATATCGTGGCTTCGCTGGAGATGAGTTGTAGGATGGGGTTTAATGCTGGGATCAAGGCTTCGAATGATTTATATGATGCGTGGAGAAAAGAGGCCCGGGGTACACAGATCAGAGGATGATCGTGCAGATTCGATCCAGTTCTTGTGATCCGTGTATTTTGCAAACCTTTCTTCGCCAATCTTTCCTTTCTGGGTCACTCTTTTGCGCTCTCGCCTTCGGGAAAGATGAACAAGTTCACCTGAACATCATCATAGTGCAGCAGTGCAGCAGTGCAGCAGGCCTAGTCCGTCCGCCTTCTCCTTCGAAATGATCCTAGTCCATATTACCGAATCCGTTTACGTCAGCTATTGCCCAAACTCCATATCCAGGACACATTTCGTGGAGTAGAATCAACGACTGAACGGTACTTTTTCATTGGAAAATATCATAACGTACATTAATTAATCTATTGGGTATCATCTCCAACTTGACGCCATAAAAGCCCTAGAAATGTCGCCCTCTTTCCATTAGGCTGACCGAGCCAGGCAAGACCGACATCCCGAAGTGCATCTTTGCAACCAGAGCTGAGATACAGAACATTCGTGCTGATCATGCTGAACTTCGGAAAGATCCCAGATTAGGAGATACTGAAGTCAGGGATGATTCTGACTGTCCTTGAACCCAGCCGAATTCCCATCATCAAAGGCCCTGCCTGCATATCCTCATCATCCCCTAGAGAAGGCATTCGAAGCCCATAATATCTCAAAATTCCCCAGACCAATTCCAAACAATAATCATAACGCATCAAAATAATTGCCTCCATCCATTGCACATAAGGTCTTCACCTCGACTGAACGACTCCCAATCAACTCTGTCCACTTTAGTTGAGTAAAGCGACCGACCAAATCCAACAATTCCTCCGGGTATCAATTCATCACTTCATCTTTCTCTCCAACCAACTCCTTGAATCACTTTCCAAGTACATTCCCCTCCCCACTCGACTCAATTCAATTCAGTTCTTCAACCCCGAAAAGATGCGTTCCCAAGGCCCCCAGTTCGCGAGACCACCCCGCGATTTATTCCTTTACGCAAATACGTCAGCTATTATTCTCCGACTGTCATCGCAAAACATCTCTCCACTTGCAACAGCCGAACCAGGGCGAATTACGAGATATGTGTAAAGCACGATTGTGTTTTTTGGACATGTCAGAGTCAAAGATAAAACTCACTTATCGCAATTCCAGTATTTTTCCCTGGCGGCAGTGGTTCGCTGCTGCAGTTTGTAGGCCTCGAATTCCTTCGCGTCGCGGGCCTCTTCGGGCGTCATAGGTGGGGGTGTGATTTTCTTGGTGAAGAGAGGCATGGTTGAGAATTGAAATGTATATGTGGATGAAATGATTGATGAGGTTGAATGGTTTGAATTGAGTTGGGGTATCCGAGTTTCGAGAAGTGGGATGCCTGGACAGACGTTCAGGGGTATGTGGGTTTATTATAATGAGTGGTTGAAAGCGACTCGTCTGTTGTTTATCCAGAAGTAAATACAACTTCTGCGTCTGTCTGGCTATGCGGAATTGATCTTCTGGATCATCAACAACGAGACAAGGCTGACGGCGACTTTTGTTGAGGAATGGAGGGGAGATTTCAGCTCTTGGGGTTCGGGGGAGCACACTCTTCCGTATATATGTAGCGCTTATCTCGGCGCCAAGGTGCCCTTTGGTATCCCACTCCCCAGATCCCGACTCTCTTACTTGCTCGCCTGTGTTTCGGCGTAATATCGTAACCCCACGCTATTGACAGCGGCCCGCTTGGCAGTCCCGACTTTTGCCCGGTGCCAGTACTGTACGAGTACTTGCCAGTACGTCAATTGATTGCGTTTAGCCTGATTTGATTAGGTACAGGCAGTCCAATCGCCGGGCGGAAGGGATCGGGTTGTGTGTAAATTGTGTTGGTGTGCATGGCCGCGTCCGGATCGCTGTGTGGATGAGTGGATGTCTCGAGAGCATACGCTGTACGGAGTACGAAGGATGGATGCGAACCAGTGGGAGGGAATGGGTTGCGGCATTTTTTTGTTTTCATGGTACACGATGACTGCGTCCAAGGCTGCGGGGTGATGCATGGAATGTTCTATGCTGATAATGCCAATGCTACAGCTATATTACAAGATGTATTATGTCCTGAAAACAGGATCTCCTGCATACCAAGCCAAGGCGTGCAAGGGGCACAGATACTGGTACATTGTCCTCCCACTCGACCCCTCCTGCCTCGACCCCTCTTCGCCCTCCTTCTCCAGCTTCGTCCTGCACCCCACCAAGCCACTACATTCCACAACATTACCCCTCACAACAAAACTCAATCCTCATACAAACACAGCTCAGCTCAGCTCAGCTCAGCTCGCACAAGATCACAGTTTCCCCATAAGCAGATTCTTGATCATCTCACGCCCGGTGACATAGCTCGTCCTCCACAAAGTCGGGAAGTCAAGAGTACTAGTAAACGTGTCGGCGTATCCAAAGCCCAACATAGGAGGGATCCAGCCACGTGCGTACTCGAGAGCGAAGCAGGCTTCGTCCATCTTGTACTGCTTGACAGTCCCCCGGCGGAGATGGTGCACGCTGCCCTGGGGATAGACTTCTGGGAGGTAGGAGCCTGGTCCTGGGGTATAGGCGAGCTGGGTGCCGGCCAAGATGTGGAAGTAGTCGTCTGCGGTGTGTCGGCCTGTGTGGCCTTCTGTACCAATAGCTGTTCCTATTGAAACTGTGAGTTTTGTCTTAAGCTTTGGGGCAATATCGTGGGGTACATACCGAAGATGATGAGGTACTCGGTGATACCTGGAGATCGGTCAGCTCAACATTCCATCTTGCCTTGCTCTCTGGCTGGGCAGCAGTCATGTGACCTCCGTCGTACAGAACTGGAAATTTCCCTTTTGTTTCAGGGACGAAGAAGGAAACTTACTGGCGTGGATGATATACATGGCGCCCATTGCACCACCAGCATTATTGAAGATCCACTCCTCGTCCAAATTGACATATCCCCCTGGCAATTTCTCACTCAACTCATCGACAATGTACTTCACCACGCTAGTAGTATCATTGCCATGAGCAGCAATTGCCCTCTGAGAAACATCCTTCAGTTGTTCAGGAGAAAAGATATAGAACCATTCCAAATGGGAATCCAAGTAAAGGTAAACAGCCGAGAGAAGAGCCACGACAACGGCTGTGATGGTCAGAGTTTTGGTCCAGGACTTTGGAGCCGGTTTCTCTGTCGGCGACCGGTTTTTGGGCGACATGATGATGAGAAAGGAATGTGTTGAATGCTTGCTAGGTAAGGACTGTGATCTGTGGGCAAGTGAAGTGAAGATATAAAGGCTTTGCATGTGGAAAGGGGAAGAGATATTTTGTTGTGGTCAGACTTGGCGGGTTCGGCTGTTGACTTTACCGGCTGCCCTAGCTTGATCGATGGGGATGAAGTGGGTTGTAAGCACGTGTTCGGGTTCGAAATGGGACGCAATTCGTGAATATCGATTAGATCTAGAATGTTCGGATTCCACGGCTTCCAGAGTTGGTTGACTATTATATGTAAGCCCTATTTGACACTAAAAATTGATCTGTAAAAAGAGACGAGGCTGCAATGCAAGGCTGAGAGACCAGCCCAATTCGGCCACCGTAAATCATCACGTGGAAGATCTTCGATTCTTGAACTTCGCAAAGTAGGTAAGGTACCAGCTCCACGACTCCAACGACTTCGTATCACCCACCACCGCCATCATGTCTATGTTCCGATCGAAGAGGCTCGACCTGGGCTGCTTCGTCAACATCAAAGTCATCCGCGACCACACCAAGCGGAAAGTCTTCGCCGAGCACGAACCAGAGAGGTACGCTCTTCCTGTCTCATCCTATCCCATTTTCGCAACAGCTACTCTCTCTTCTGCGGAGCTTGTCAGCGAGCTATTACCACATCTGCAAGGTCAATTGTATGCTTGGGAAGTTGCTAATCTGTTCTGTGGCTGTTAGACAAGCTCTCCGCTACATCATCCGCAATCTTACACTTCCTGCTCGAACCCGCGCGCAAGCACAGCTGCAGCTGTCGCAGATGCATTGCTATACCCGCGCTACGCAGATCCGCAATCGTTGTATAGAGGGTGGCAAAGGAAGGGGTGTGTTGAGGGATTTCAAGATGACGAGAGTGAGTGCCCTTGCTGTGGAGATTGGGAGGTTGATTGCTGGGCGGCTTGCTGGAGGAATGGAAGGATGTGCGATGGTGGTGTTTCGATGGAGTTGTGCTAATGGTCACTTGCAGTACAATTTCAGAGTCAATGCTCTGTCTGGATCATTACCGGGTGTGAAGAAGGCTAGTTGGTAGAGGGAGGATGTATGGCATTTGGGGGATTGGGCAGGGGAGATGTGGTCGAGGTTGACGAAGGAAGAGAAGACCCATGCATATCACACCTACAGGATATGAGATTGTGGTCAAATATGTTCGCCGCCGCCGAAGTAGAAGGAACATGAGCGGGTGTACACAATTAGAGACTGTACGATACTATGCCAGGGAAATCAGAGTCATATTCCGATACCAGGAATAGCATTGGGGACAAGGCGTGGACGAAACAAAAATATCTGTCTCCTCGGTTTGTTCAACCATTAATTGCTCCGAGTGAATGTCAGATACAAGGCATGAGATCGGTAAAGTGGTAACGTGGTAACGTGCTTTCCCGAAGCAAACAATCAGGCAAGTGAATTTCAGTTTCTTCTCCTCTGACTTCACTTCTCTCCTCTCCTGTCCTGTCCTGTCTGCCTTTTACTTCGTCACCAACACCAAACTCTCATCCTCAACAACCATTCCCTTCTCGACCTCTTTTCCATTCCACCACGAGCACTTCTCTGAGCTTTCCTCACCGACCCCTCCACTGCAACCACCATGTTTCGACGTCTTGATTCAGGTCTCCCCAAAGATCCTGTCTATCCCACCGATCTCAAAGGCTTAGGGTGAGCTTCATCTTGCTTCAAGTCTCCTGCTTTCTAATCGATCTAGATACTTCATTAACGACGAAGATGAGATCCGAAGCATTGAGAATGAGAAGGCTTACTTCAAGTTCTTTCTGACCAAGAATGAGCGCTTCAATTGCGTCCAGCGAGATTCCATGAATGGTCAGTACGCTCACCTTGCTACGAAACACCTGCTCACGTCTCACTAGAAGCCATCCGTACCGAAGTGTACAGCCGCCTCACCAGCCTCGGCCTCGAAAAGATTCGTGTTCCCCTTGGTGCAGGAGCTGATGAACCAAACCTGCCAATCTTCGTATCCGCCAACCTCGAGACTAAGAAGCACATCATCATCCTCTTCTACGAACACACTCAAGACCTCGGTATCTTCGCTCACAGAATCATCGGCGGCAAAGGAGGAATCAACCAAGGCTCAGCAGTCAGTCTCGTCAAGTACATCCAATCCCAGGTCTTCTCCACCCAGAATGTCGACTCTCCTGGTATCATACTCGCCAATATGGGACAGCTGAGATGGTGGCGTAAGGGTCAGAAGGCAGTCACACAAACTACCTGGTTTGCTCTTCCCCAGAAGAGTGCCGTTGAGCCACCATATCGATTCAATGAGGAGAAAAACACCATTCCAGGCAACAGAACCACCACCGAGCACGTCAACACTATCTTCAACGAAGTTGTTGAGAACCTTGCCCACCCAGATGCTAAACTCTCCCTTATCGGTGTCTCCGACGGCGCAGTCCAAGTTTCTCTCTTCCTCAACAACGAGACCAACTTTAAGAAATGGGGAAAGCGAATCGACGCCTTCGCAACCATCGCATCCTACTTCCATGCCCACGAGATCACCAATCCCATCTTCGCCGACTTTCTCCTCAAACGTGGTCGCGCTTATGTTCAGTCCCAGGATCCAGTCGGTGCGTTCATGGCTGATGAGAAAGGCTCCAAGCGCGTTCATGCGTATGGCTGTCCGGTCTTCAGCTCTGGCGAGCCGTATTATAGTGAGACTATGATGACGAAGGCTCATCGCGTTATTATTGATTGGTTTAGAGAGGTTGCTGCTGATATGGAGTATGAGAATCCGAAGTTTGTGCGGATGGATTTTGGTAGGGAGGGGGATGATGACGATGAGCCTGGTCCGCAGACTTGGGATGGGGAGAGTGGCGTGAGGGAGATTGCAGAGGTTGACGAGGCTAGCGAGGGTGAGAAGCTGGAGAAGAACAAGGAGAATGTGAAGGCTGAGTAGAGGACTTCAGGATGTCCTGCAGGCGAAACAGGGAATGTGCTTGGTGGTGAGGAGAGTGGATCTCGGTCACGGCACTTCTGCAGTCAAAGATGACGCGGATATATGCAAATGGAGATAGAACCCGAATCGTGCTATTGAAGACAATGGTAAATGCTTTCTCTTGACAATGGAACTTCTCGGATTTTGCTGCCCTGTGCTCCAAAGTCCCGGGCTTTTTCCAATGCCTGATCACGTAAATTGGAAGGCCCATTTATGCCAACACACTAACGTAGTGAAAATGACTATAAGAACCTCAAGTGCCACTATGTAGAGATAACTCTGGCAGACTGGTCTGAAAAGAGGCTAAATAAGCGCGTGAGTGGGTGCCGGAGGACCTGCAACAGGTCCACATGACTCTTCGATGGCAATAAACTCAGCAGCCAAGTTGGGCAATTTCTAGCATCTCCTACTGGAATATCAAGGAGTCTGTAAGCAGATAGTTATTTCTATATCTCGGGGAGCTAGAAACATCGCGTCGCTGGACATCAAATGGTTGAATAGTTTCCTCCCTGGTGAGGCGACCTAAGAAAAACGGGCTTCGCTCGCTAAATTTACCTAGGATGGAAAAGTCAACAGTGGGAAGCGAACTCAAAGGTGAAGGTAGGTTACGTGGTCGTACAATCCCTGTCCGTTCACCGATATGCCCAACCTTGAACTCGCAGGACTTCAGAGCTCCTTGAGAAAGCACAAAATATTGTGAAGATATTAAAAAGTCATGTCGTCTTGCGCTTTTGATTTATTATAAGTAGAAGAGCCTTGTTTTTAGCCTTTCTTTGCTCTTGATTAGGTTGCAGGAGCCTTAAAGTAAATGGTGAATCGAATTCCAAGCCCAAAGAAGATCTAGGTTACCAAGATAATAGAGCTGGTCCATGAGTATGTATTACCGAACTCCTCTCCTTCTGACATGAGCAGCGTACACTCTAAAATCTCCTCACGGCCCCTATCATGGTGTTGTGCCTCAATTACTACTATGTCATTATGTTCGAGCATTTTCCTAAATCCTCGGCCAAGCTTGAGGTCCCTTGACGGACACTCATTGTCACCTTCGAGCCCCCCATGCCACACTATCTCATCTTCACTGTATAGCTTCCTGCCAGAATATCTCCAAGCTTCCTCCAGTACACTGAAGTGCCAGAAGGAATTCATCCCCGAGCTCGTGTGCGGGCGGACAAGAGCCAGAGAGTTTGATTGTTCGTAAGTACGGCGGTTTCATTCACCTCATTTGGATCCTGTGACAGCTTTCCAAGTTGATTGAATGGTGAATGCTTAGACGATTCTCGGGGCTCCAAGTAAAAGGTGGAAAAGGCCAGGGCCCGGGGGACTGGAAGTAATCGCTAGAATCAGGAAACTTTGGGACGATCTGCGAGAGAGAAGGGGAAAGCAGGAAATGTAAATCGACTGCCCTCAAGATCCTGATGACAGTACTCATTGCGTTGAAAAATCGTAGGGTCTAGAGTTGACAAGCTTGGAAGAGATTGGTCTCTACCCCGAGAAAGCTCAGCTTCGACAGATATCAATTCGATTTCTCGGTTTTACCTTCACATCCACCTTTGAACTGGCACCTTCACCTTTCCTGAGTTAGGGGTCCGAGTCGAAATCGTCACCTCACATTAGATGAGAAAAGCGGCGTTTGAACAAGTAGAGGGTGAAAAAATATCTTCAACCAAATTTGATTGTGACTTCATACTTCAGAAGTTGTTGGCCAAACGAAAATGCGAGAAATCAAAAATCAGCAGAGTTTCGGAGATGGCCAGATGTGAATATTTGTGGATCTCAGCGCACTGAAGCCCTTTGCCAATACCGCCAAGTCGATATTCGAGACCCATCTGCTTTTCCCCATGTCCCTGTCCTCACAACGAGCACGAAATCTCGAAATATATCCATCCCATCCCCTGCACGTGTAAAAGCGGCAGTTTCATCTGATCTCTGAGACAGCTGAGAAACCTGTTGAGAATCCGAGAATTCGGATTCCTGATCTACGGAGGGACGGCCATTGGAAGACATTCTCCACGGGGGCTCGAATGTCTCATCCTGCTTTCTAATTACTATACACAGGGCTCAACAGCCGCAATATCCTGTAGCTTTTTAATCAATTAACCGTATCTTTAAGCATCCGATGGCGCCTTGGGTTTAATTTCGGAGGTGCTTGTGTCCAGATCGCAATTGTACGCACGAGCCTTACCGTGGACACGACTCACGATACCCTTTCGTATTTCCGCTGTGGAGACACTGGAGAAAGACCTAATTGGGTTAAGCTGTTCAACATCGAAGAGGCAATCGCAGTCCGAGTGCTTAAGGGAGGGAAGAGAAGGGACGCGTACCCGAATTCGAAAGCGGATGATCTTGGCAGATGTTTGGAGTTCAATTTCCAGGAGACACAGAACTTCTCGTCCAGGATCGTCTTCGGCTCCAGAATTGATACGAAGTTGGTTAAAGTGGAGTAGCTTCCATTTCATGTCCCTGGATCATCAATCTCCCACGAATCGCAACACTTCCATGAGACGGGATGAAGAGGCTCAAAGCAGGACGTTGACACGCCAAGCGATGAGGCTGCAACTGAATCTTGGAGATGGAATATGTTGGCGCTCAGTCGATGCTTTTAAACCAGGTAAGAATTGGAAAATCAAAGGGATAAGCGCCAAGATGCTCACTTGATGTGCTTGGCGCTTGTTTTAGAATGTGTTGTTAGTTCATGCGTTCGGCTCGCTTAGCGGTTTCGACGTTTCGCTTCGGCACATCCGACGAACAGTACGCGCAGATCATACAAACAGTCCTGTTAAGGAGTTGTCCTGCCGAAGCGAAACCGCGAAAAAAGGACAGCCTAGCGAATCAGTGGCATGGCTTGAGCGGATACTCGTCCTAACTTGTGAGAAGCACGGGACTTGCGCGCAAGATGACGGAAAGTGAAATCGGGGTTGTTTCTTGGCGGGTGTTTTAAAGCGGAGGGAGCCGCTGGATCATCCATGGGAGGCGTGGTCTGTTGACAGCGGGCTTGAAAGGGGATGGTGTGGGAGAGAGGTACTTGGCATCGTACCAAGATGAGATGAGTTGATGCCTCTGCCGTCTGTGGAGTCAAGGTCAGTATATATATCAGAGGAGTCTTCTCTCTTGTCTATTCCTTCTTCATCCATTCTTTGCAGTCCACTTCCTTCATTCCATCTTCCTCCCTTTCAAACAACAGCTGCGCTGTCCATTCATTTTATTCCACTTCTTCAAGTTTTTCTACACGGCTGCGCTGTTGTTACTCCTATCCTTTCGAAATTCATACCTTGTTCTTTTCGACCAATTAACAATCCTTGAAAATGCAATACTCAGCCCTCCTCACCGTTGCTCTCGCATCCCTCTCCGTCGCCGCCCCAACCCCAAATCTCAAGGCCCGCGCAGCCGTCCTCGGCACCGCAACCTACGATGACCTCTCCGTCTCTGGAGGTGTAGCAGGTGATGCTCTCAACGAGGTTCTCGCCAAGCTCCCCATCGACACCTCCGACTTCGCCAACGTCGACCCAGCAGACATTGCTTTCCTGGGAGATGTCAACGATATCGCTAACGATGCCGAGACTGAGGCATTCAACGTCGCTATCGAGGCAGCAACTGGTGACGAGAAGGTTGCTCTCCAGGTATATCACTTCCCCATTTCCACAAATCTCCCAAACAGAGTAGATACTAATCCCTCCTCCAACAGAACGGCAAGATAAAGAACAAGGTCCTCAAGCTCGAGGCCACCGTCCTCCAACTCCAAGCTCAAGCCGCCCAGGGCAAAGACACCTCCGCCAAGCTCGCAGAGGAGACCAAGAAGCTGAATAACAACATTGCCCTCGATGCGGCTGCTGCGGGTCAACCATCGACTTTCTTGAGCTTTGATGCTCAGGCTGGGTCTGGTGATGTTGCTGCTGCGCCGGCTGCTGATGCTGGTGGTGATAATGCCAATGCCAACGCTGATGATGCCAACGCTGATGATGCCAACGCTGATGATGCTGATGCCAACGTTGACGAGGAGGCCAACGCCGGTAACAACAGCAACAACAACAACAACAACAACAACAACAACAACAACGACAACGCCAACGCTGATGAAGCTGACGCAAACGTCGACGAGGAGGCCAACGCCAACGAGGACGACACCGAGGAAGTCGAGGTCTGCACCAAGCAGCGCGTCAAGAAGTCCAAGTTCTAAATTTTGAGGACTTTGCCTGCTTACCTTACTCACTGTCTATTTGTCGACGAGTTAGTTGATTGGTACATGTACGAAACACCATAGGAGGAGATGAAGTGGAATTAAAAAAGAATTTTCTTGTTTTAAATATTTTGAGTTTTGTTGGGGAATGAACGGGGAATGTGGGGATGGATGGACTGTTTTTGGACCACCTCAACTTTTTTGTGTGTATTGTATCATCATATCGCCAGAGCTAGTTGTTTTTGGCCAGACAATTTAATGAGATATAATACCCTTTAAACACTTCAAATAAACTGAGATGGGAGTGTGTGTGTGTGTGTGTGTGTGTTTGTGTCTTTTGAATGGATTGTGGAGGAGTTGGAATTGGAATTGATTGTGGATTTGGATATGGTTTGGAATGGAATGTGGTGTTGGATGCCAAGTGTCCCCTCGAGCCGCGTGCAGGTACTTTTCGGAGGATCGGAGACTAGTGGATATTTACTGCATGTGGCATCGTGCAGTAAAAACTAATGAATGCCAGTTGGATGATCCACAGTCTTTTTCGTTCGTGACGACGCAAACGGAAAAGTGGAGAGCGGATTGAAGTTGTAGTACTGAGAGATGGAGAAGCGGCTTTGGAGCGGCTCTGGATTTGATGAGTCGCAGGGCGGGAAGTGTCGCAAGTGGACACAAATTCAACAACACACACCCACTTGGGGATTGGGTGAGGGGAGAGGAAACGAAGGCCAGCGGACTAAAAAAAAAAATGAGTGAAAAGTCAATTCAATCGCACACAGATAAAACATTAGTCAATTAGATGCCTCCCTCCCTAGGTATCGTATCCTAAATAACTAAGCCAAATAAATGTTCGCTAAATATGCACTTGGAACAAACAAAAAATATCAAAATTGCCACCAAAGCCAATCTCAAGTCAGAGAAAGGGGAGAAATTGAGAAGAAGAAAGAAAAAAAAAAATGTCAGAAGAACTCCTGGTATATATCCCTAAGCAGACTTTCTGTGCTGCGCGGCGCGGCTCAAGTATGCAGCAGGCTGCAGTTGCAGAAGCAGTAGCGATAAAAGAACAGATAGATAAAATGAATGAATAAATGAATGAATGGGTGAATGAGTGAAATCGCTCCCCACCACTCCCCTCCCCTCCCGTCCCCTTCCCTCCCATCTCGTCCCCTCTACTCAGCAACATCAAACACGCACAGTATCCGCAACCCTGTCCACTGTGATGCAGACAGGCAAGCTAGCAGCTACCACAACAAGCCAGCTTCTCCGTCGCGCCCACAACCTCCTCCACAGCACGTAGCATCAACTCCGCTCTCCCATCTAGGTTCGCTTGGCAGATACTCGAATCCATGTTGTTCATGAGCCGGAATATACATTTCCGCAGTTTGGATCGTAGGGTCTGAATCCGGAGTTGGAGAGTGCTGGATTCGTTGTTCGAGGATGTGGAGGCGAAGCTGGTGGGCGCGAATGAAGGGTAGGAATCTGACATGCGGGGGTGTCCGGCGTGGGAGGTTGTCCAGTACGGTGTGTCGCGGCGGCGGCGGGGGATGTTGCTGCTGCTGCTGTTGTTGTTGTTCTCTAATTGTGGTGAGGGAGTTGAAGGGAGAGAGGTGAGGAATATATGTGCGAGGATGTGGCCGTAGAGGGCTAGGCGCGTGTATTCTGAGCTGTTGGGGAAGATCCGGGAGAGGGGTGTGAGGTCGGGTTTGCTGAGGCGTGTGGCGGGTTGGATGGTGGATGAGGATGAGATGAAAGAGGATCGCCAGGCGGGGTTGTTTTGGACGATGGGTGTGCTTCGAGAGGAGGTCAGGTTATTGTTTGTTCGGCGGGGGCGAGAGAAGTTCGCTATGGAGTGGCTGTCGTTGGAGCGGGATTCAGATGATGAGTGTGAAATGGTGGGAGATGGAAGGTCCGAACTGGTATTGCTGAGTCCAAGTCGGATTTCGGAGATGCAGGGTGTGTCGGGGAGTAACATGTTCCTGGGGAAGCCAGACACCATATCTTCGAGGTCTGTGATGATGTGGACGGTTGACTTGTCCTCTGACATTGTGGAATCAAACGACCATCGCGATACTGGATTTGGATCCTCATCGACCTCAATACCTGCACTCATGGCAGAATATGAGAATCGCGATGCTGGCGGAGGATCTGGGAAAACCTTTGGTGACATTGGTGGACTGTTCATCGCAAGATCCAATCTTCTCCTTGGGAAGATCCATTGCGGCTCAGGCTCATCGCATACAGAACGGTTGTCATCAAACTCCAATTCGCGTGTTGGAGTGTCGGGAGGACTGTCGTCTGATGATGCCCAGCTGTAACGTTCCACGGGAAGAGTTGCAGAGGATGGAGCATTGAGGGAAGATCCTCTTGGTGGATAACTTTCGTCGGAGAAGCGGTTTACGTTGACTACTTGAGCCTTCCTGGGAGAGACGGCGGTTGCGCAAGCCTAGAATAATTAGCACTGGAGGAAACTTTCGGGGATGGAATTCGTACAACAACATTCTCGCCGAGTTCAGAGGCGGTGTCGCTGAGCCAGGTATTCACACTTCTTTCCACTGGTGTCCTGACTCCTGAGCGGCGACGTGTCAGTCGTGATTTCGGTGAGTCTGGCAAAGGAGTGCTCAACCAGGCTGCCTCACTGGGCACTGGATCCTCGCCAGAACATTGAAAAGACAGGTCTGAACTTCGAGGCGCATCGTAAGATCGTCGGCGGAAGTTAGTTGCATCAATTGTGTTGGACTGACTGGCGACCTATTTCAAATAAACATCGATCTCTAGAGTGAGGAGATTAGTCTCACCTCATCGTCTTCATATTCAGGTTCAACATTATCGGCGGCGGTATGATCATGAAACACACATCTGTCATTGAAACTCGACGCTGGTTGTGAGCAGTTACATATATCGTCGCTCGTATAGTATGCTCTCTCTGGCAAGGGTGAACCAAGCTCGTTGTATATCGGCGTATCCCGTTGCGATTGTCGAGGCGGCAAAACTGAGAGACGTAGGCCGAGAGGATTATTTGTTTTGCCTTGAACTTTGGACGATTCTTGAGTTGGTTGTATTACACCGAACGTTGATCTCTGATCCTGGCTAGCAGAAGGCCATATATGAGGTTGTGGTAGCGTCGGGGAAAGCAACTTCAGTGGCAGAAGGCTTTTCATGCTAGGAACCGACCGCTTAGAACTCACTCGCCTCAACAACGTTGAGCTTCTGTCCGTCATTGTGCTGCAGTCGTTGGAGAACATGTCAACGAGAGCTGCATACGTTGTGGGGAAGTCGTGAGCTGGCCTGCATATTGAAAAGTCGACGAGGCATGACGGGCATGATAAGTTATGTGCGGCGCCTGCAGGCTCGTGGGTCGAGTCAGGGAACATTCCGAAGGGTTGCAATCGTTGAATCGATAGGATACCTTGTCTTAGAAGATCAGACCACCAACAAGCAGATGACTGTGAAAAAGTTTGTAGAGACGAAGTTTCTCCTACATCGGATGAACATCAGGTCGAACTTGGCAATGTGAGAACTGAGCAAGAGGCCATTATAAAAAGTGACAAAGAGGGACGACGAGAACTAAAGCTCAACAGCGAGATTACAATCAATGGTTTCCTGCATTGGGCATTGTTGTCCCCGGCCAAGTTGACCACAACATGACATGGGATGGTCCTCTAGACAGCGAGCTGAGCAGCCCTTGCTTGGGACTTGTGGTATGTGACACGCGCCACGCGCTGGTCTGGTTCCGCGTTGTCGGGAGGAAGGGGGAGGGGTTATTACCACTGACTACTACTGAACAGGAACACAACAGAAGTTGAAGGAGAAGAAAGAGGACGGCCGAGGCGTTGTTTGCGGCTGGGAAACATTCCCAATAACTTGACTCCCCTGGTCGGTGATCTCCTGCGAGCTTGGATCCCGTTCTGATGGGTCGTTTTTCGCGAGCTGTGCTGCTCATCGCCCAGCCGCCGAGCGGGGCAGAAAAAGAAAACAAAGGCAAGGGGGTGTTCAGCTTCTATTGGGACAACAAGGACCAGGCCAGGAAAAGCAGAAAACTATGGCTCGTGAGAAATAAATTTGCAGAAAGGCATTTTCAAGCTATGCATAGACGTGAAGATCGTAGCTGAGTATGTATTGCATAGCATAAAGATTATCATAAGTTTATGCATCGAGTCGGTTAAAAAGGGGGAATGGGTGAGGAATTGATCAATGTTTGTTGACGATGCGAGATGAACGGAATGCGTTGCAGGCGAGAAGAGCTCGGGGCAGGCTCGGGCACGCCAGGCACAGGCACAGGCACAGGCACAGGCACAGGCACAGGCACAGGCACAGGCACAGGCACAGGCACAGGCACAGGCACAGGCACAGGCACAGGCACAGGCACAGGCACAGGCACAGGCACAGGCACAGACAGGCACTGGTAATTTACAGTACTTAGTAGTGAGCACTGAGCAGAGCAGATCCCTGAGCTTGTTTTTCAGGGCCACCGGCCACCGGCCACAGGAGCATGGCGCATGGCGCATGGCTTGCTGTGGCTTCCGCTGTGCCTTGGCTGTGCTTTAGCTGTGGCCCGAGGAATCGGCGCTGGCTTGCGCTGGAACAATGTCACGCCGGCGCCCGAGTTGTCTATCTAGCCCCGTGTGGTTAGCCCCGACCTGTATCTGGATGGATTTTCGCGATTTGGATATTTTTGTGACAGCCAGCTATCCAGCCGAGCCCAGTCCAGACAAGACCAGCTCAAGCTTCAATAATTCTATACACAACGAGAAATGAACCTGGCGCAATACGACACGATACAACGCAGTGCCTACCGCCCACCAAGACAGTCGTTACGGTACGAGACATCACGACTCAATACTTCACCTTCGCTCCACTCCGCTTGACCAAAACACTTCCCGCCAGCCCCAGATCTTCGCCGATTCCTCCCTGTCGTGGCTTACGTCCGCTGCCCATCATCAGATCCGGGTCCAACACTGACGCACGTAATCGTACCGGCGCCTCGATCGATTCCAAATCAGATTAACGAGTATCGAAAATCCTCTGCGGACGACGATTGTTCGACGATCAATATTACCACATCTACCTCCACCTTCAGCTCCAGTTCCACTCCACCTGCTCGTACAACCGGTGGTACTGCGGTCCACCCAGGCCTTCGCCATGCTGACTGAAGGCTTCATCACGTCCATTCTGGCTCAGCCGAAGACTGCCAATACTGCCATTGCGAAAGATATTGGCATCTACTTCCACGAATTGCACCCGATCCCCCTCGTCAAGTCTTCACTCAAGAAGAGTTCGACTCGAGTCAATGGATTAGCCGCCACATCCACCCATATCTTCGCGGCACAAGCAGATAAAGCAGTGGTCCACGTATACTCGAGGGAGAAAGGAAACCAAGAAGCATTAATTTCGTTTCCAGAGAGGATCCATAGTTTGACTCTACTTGGTGATGGAGTTCTGGTGTTGGGTACCGCCGAAGGAAGGGCGATCCTCTGGGAGGTAGGTTTCGACATATGCAAGGGCAGGAAATTATGCTGACCACTATCCCTAGGTCTGCACAGGAAGACAAGTATCCACACCCACTGCACACCTGCAGCCGATTTCATGTCTTGCGGGAAACCTATCACATTTAATCACCGGCTCCGAAGACTCGAATATCCACGTTTGGTCGGTCCCACGTCTCTTGTCAATGGCAGCCACTGAAACTCCCGAGCCACTGCGAACTCTCTCCAACCATCGAGCCGCCATCACAAACCTTATAATGGGCCACAGTGCTAGCGGGACCGATATCTGCGTTTCGGCAAGCAAGGATAACACGGTCGTTGTTTGGGACTATCAATCAGGCGATCTGCTTCGGACATTTCTTCTTCCATCTACGCCACTCTGTCTAGCTTTGGATCCGTGCGATCGGGCCGTGTACATCGGCTTCGAGGACGGTTCGGTGCAGCTCATCGAGTTCTCAAGCCGAGATTCGAAGCTCAACCAGCTCTACGACAAAAGTTTGCAGAGCACGCCAGTACAGGTTGCAAGTCCTCCTTGGACCGCAACAGGCGAAGCGAGCCCCGTTCTCTGTCTTGGCCTCAGCTACGATGGCACCACTCTGCTCTCTGGCCACACGTCGGGAAAAATTATACGCTGGGATGCTCCCCGGCGTGTGTCCACGAGTGAAATTGCGGATCTCAATGCACCTGTCACGAATTTACTGATGTCTTCGCCGTTTCCTGCTCGGAAGTTGACAAAGCCTCTGACTATTGTCAAGCCAAAGTTAGGCGAAGGCAGCTACATTTTCACAAGTAAACTGCAAGGCTCAATTGGTGCCCCAAGTCTGGCCATGGTTGCCGATGGCTTCCCAGCTGACCTGCTCGAGAAGGCAATCGCCAGCTTTTCAGCCGCTTCGTTGACTTCTTCCTCTTCAAGTGGAGACGAGGAGCTTCGAAAGGAGAACGAAGAGCTTTGGAAGATAGTCAACGATCAACGCGCACTTCAAAGGAAGACATGGGCCAAGTTGACCACACTGAAAACTGGTGGGGTTGACTCGTAGCCGCAAGAGCTTCGTGGACCTTACATACCTTCATCCGAAGCTCGCCACTCTAGATCTTGATTTAGCCACATTCGCATCGTTTCCGCATCGAGAAACATGTTTGTTTCTATTCATACGCGGAGCTTGGCGATTGGTTATCAAAAGGCTTCTTTTCGTCTTCACTTGATTTCGGCACAGTTTCAGAGTCGATTTTCGCAAGTTTTGTCGCAAGATCCACGCATCCGTGCGTGCCGAAAGCTTACGTCGCTTTGCTGAAACTTTGATCATGCTTAAATGTGGATAAAGGTCAAGGATCCCATCCATTGCATTGCTTATCTCAAGCTTCACAAACTTGATTCGTTTGAAGAGGGGTCGAAGAGTTACTTCTGGCCAGTGATATCATTGTAGATGGGTTCCTGGAGGTATTGATTCATTCCAGCTGTGGCGAAGGAGGATTGCCACTCAGTTGACGGTTTCAGCAATACCCTTGGGAGGTACTATAGCCACGTAACTTTAGGGGACCTGTCGTACATATCAATAGCATTTCTCCCAAAATTTACTCGTCAGATGCTCTAGCTTAGCATCCGGAGGGGGTAATATGCGAATCGAAGCTGTTTTCCAGATGTGGGCTGCCCTGGTGGTAGCTACATCTGCGTCACCCGTTACATCTTCTGGCCATGTTCTCCATGAACGTCGTGATAAGCCTCCTGAGAGATGGGCTCGACACTCGCGACTGCATCCCACCACTGTCATTCCCGTTCGAATTGGTCTAGCACAGCAAAATCTGCATCGCGCAGAAGAGTTCATTAATCGGGTCTCCCATCCAGATTCTCCAGAATATGGAAGACATTGGTCTCCGCAGGAGGTCGTCGATATGTTTTCGCCGAGCCCAGAAGCTATCGATGCTGTGCAACAGTGGCTGTCAGCTTCAGGAATTGATCTCAGGAGGGTTCGGATGTCACAATCTCGGAATTGGATGACATTCAATGCCACGACGATGGAGGCAGAACAACTTTTGAAGACCGAATATCACCTCTACAAACATGAGGCCGGGCATGAGCACGTCGCTTGCAAGCAGTACAGCATTCCAGCACATCTTACCAACCATGTCGATATAGTCACCCCAACGGTACATTTCGACAAACAACTGGGCAATCCGCGACGAACCATACGACACGAAGCCCTACTTCCCCCTCCGATTCGACAATTCAACAAGCGCCAGGCAGTTCCTCCTCATGGAATCTTGGGACGTCCCGGTGATGCGACGAATCCGAAGCAAGGAGCCGTTGTGTCGAATGCGCTAATGACATTGGAGAATTGTGACTCCATGATCACTCCGGCATGTCTTCAGGCTCTCTACAACATGCCACCTGGAAGTACGTCAATGCGGAATAACACGCTCGGGGTCACCGAGTTCACACCGCAGGCTTTCCTCCAATCGGACTTGAACATGTTCTTCAAGCAATTTTCTCCGCCACTAGACGGCACATCGCCGAATGTCAACTTGATCGACGGGGCTATTGTGCAGCAGACAAACAAGAGCTTTCAATTCAATGGAGAATCTGCACTCGATCTGGAGTTTGCCATGGCGCTGGTTTACCCCCAACAAGTTACGCTGTATCAAGTTGGAGACACTGTTTCAGGAGGAAGCTCTAACAACTTTCTCGATGCCATTGATGCAAGCTACTGTTCTTTCGAAGGTGGTGGCTCCAAGGACCCAAATGTTGATGGACAGTACCCTTCAACTCTGCCTGGTGGATTCCAAGGCCAGGAGAATTGTGGGGGATTTCAATCAACCAATGTCATCTCCACCAGCTACGGGTCGAACGAAGCAGATTTATCCGCCAAGTATGAGAATAGACAATGCCTAGAGTACATGAAACTCGGTCTCCAGGGAGTCTCCATCTTGTACTCATCTGGCGACTTCGGCGTAGCAGGAAATGGAGGGCAATGTATCGACTCAGTCACAGGAGCATACAAACAACGGCAGCAAAGGCATCTTCAATCCCTCTTTCCCCGGAGGCTGCCCCTACGTGACCTCCGTCGGCGCCACCCAAGTCCTCAACGGCTCCACCGTACGCACCCCCGAGAGCGCCTCCCAACGAGTCATCTTCTCCGGCGGCGGCTTCTCCAACGTCTTCCCCCTCCCCTCCTACCAACAAAAAGCCATGGCCACCTACTTCCAGCAGCACGCCCCTCCCTATGGCGCAGACCGCTTCAATAACTCCCAGAAAGTCCGCGGATACCCCGACGTCGCTGCCAATGGCGTCAACTACGTTACTGCAGTGGACGGGCAATTCTCGCTTTCGTTCGGAACCAGTGCCAGCTGTCCTACTTTCGCGAGCGTCTTGAATAATATCAATGAAGCGCGTATTAATGCTAAGAAGTCGCCGGTGGGGTTTGTGAACCCCGTCTTGTATGCGAATCCGCAGGTGTTGAATGATGTTACGAATGGTGGGAATCAGGGGTGTGGAACAGCGGGATTTCAGAGCGTGCCTGGGTGGGATCCGGTGACGGGGTTGGGGACGCCAAATTTTCCGAAGATGATGGATCTGTTTATGTCGTTGCCGTAGTCTTGAGCAGATTGGCGAGGGGAGTGAGTGAGTGGCGTGGCAAGCATTGGTTGGGTTTGTTTTGGGGCCGGAATTGAAGTGCATTGCTTAGATAGATGAGATGAGATAACCATCAGGTGTACATAGACTAATAGGACACAAACTTTACTTTAACTTCCTTCTCGTTCATGGCCTCGCTACTTGTTAGATGTCTCGCTTCAGGAAACGAACACCTCAATCTACCCCTCATTCACCTCTCCATACTCTCTAGCTTTCTGTCTTCCCGCCCCCTTCCACCCTGGGTACCTCACCCCACCTACCCCTGTTGAGATTCCTATTCTGTGTTATTTCTGTTCCAATTCCCAGCTTCCGGTATGGACCACCTCAAATGTGGAGCGTTGGAGCTTTTATGTCCATTCTTGAACCGTCGTATACCTCAATCACTCGCATGCGATATCATCTCAAAATCTCACGGAGCCGAAAACATAATATTGACTCGCTAAGCTCTTGGGCAGCCACACCCACGTGGGGCGTCAGCCACAAGTTGACATTCCCCCTCTCCAGCCTCCCATCCCCAACATCACAGGAGCGTTGACATTCCAAACTCTTACTACTCTTGCTAGTACGGTACATCATAGTCTTTACTTTACAAACCAAAAGAAATCTTGAACCAAGCCCTCCATGGCCGAAACCTTCCCCATATTCAACGCCCTCCCCACAGAGCTCCGCTTGCTCATCTGGGAGCACTCCCTCCAACCCCGAATCATACCCCTCCAATGCCAAATCCAATGCTCCCTCAGCAAACCCGGCACCTTCCTCTACCACTCCTTCCTGCACCCTCCCTCCTCCTCCTCCTCCTCCTCCTCCTCCTCCTCCTCCTCCTCCTCCCGCGGCGGGCAAAGCTCTCGCTCCAGCTCCCGCGAACTCCCCCCCTCAATAGTCGACATCCGAGTCCACTTCGCGGCAGCGACCCACATCGAGCAAGCACCCATCCTGCAAGTCTGCAGAGAGTCAAGACTCTTCGCCATCCGGCACGGCTACCGGGTCTGGAAACTCCGAGACGAGTTCTGGCATACGCGCGACGTGATGTGGCATGCTGGGCTGGATGTCGTGTCGCTGGGGACCCCGCACCGGGCTTCGATACCGAGGTTCTATGGCGAGTTGTTTAGGAGGCAGTTCCCTGTGGAGGTGAGGCGCGTGAGGGCTGTGGCGGTGCCGGTGGCGAGCTGGAGGGAGAAGCATCGGGAGGTGGAGGGCGTGGGCGAGTGTTGGGTGGGGTATGAGGCGTTGAGGAGGTTGGTGGTTGTTATGGGTGAGGCGGTTAGGAGGAGGGAAAGGGGGAGGGGAGAGGGGAAGAGAGTCGTGGATCGTGATACTTGTAAGCTTGTTTGTGGGATGAGGGTGGCGTTAGAGAGGATGGCGGAGGGGGAGGGGGAGGGGGAGGGGAAGGAGATGCGTTGGAAAGTGCCGGGTGTGTTGCTTGTGGGTGGTGAGAGGGATGTTCTGAGAGCGGAAGAGATGGAGATGAGGTTGGATTGTGAGTCGTGCCATTTGGATGGAAGGGAATGCAGACTGGTTTTCGTTCATCCTGATTGTGTAGCATAGTGACCCTGTACGAGCTCGAAAGATCAGGTTCCGTTTAATCTAATCCTTGGTCAATCTGCCTTCTTTTCTATCAATCTTCTTCTATGTTGTGTGTACAATTCCGTGTTTTACTTCTCAACACCAGAATATATCACTTCCCCTAGTCAAACCTCTCAAGCATGACTCGGCCAATTCCACAACCTGGTGATCTCACCCAATCCCAGACTGGCACATCAATCCCATGGCTACATCTGCTGTTAGCCATGTCGGCATGAACAGCACCAGGACAAGTCTACTTCGTAACTACTCCTTTCCGAGACCTCATCGCAAAGTAGAAACGCCAACACTGCCACCGCCCCAACAATTTCCTCCGACTTGCAATGTTTTCCCGAGCGGTAATCTTGCTTGAATCTCGTTTGTACCCCGTTTCGTTCTCCTGAGTTTTTCCCGCCATCGATGCCCTCTGCCCTCATACTCGAAAGACAAACATTAGCTCTAATTCCATCCTTGGATTGTGGGATTCTAAAAACTAAGGTGAAAGAGTCAAATGAAAAGAATGATGCTAAGAATCGAGGATGAATTAGGCGATGAAAACAAACGACTCTAGCTGTCTACTGGTAGTCCCATTAGTGGCGACGATTGATGATTAGCACTCAATTGGATACTCTTAAAGCAACGAACCACTTTTCGAGGGGGTTGCTCCTCGGTGCATGTGAATTCCAGGTTCCGAATCCCTACAGTAGCCCCACTTCCCCAGAGTCCCCCCTGCCGCAAATCAGGAACGCCCAAGCTCAAGCTTTGAGCCTGAGCTTGAGCTTGAGCTTGAGCTTGAGCTTCCACCTCAGCTTGTCCTCTTCAACCCTGCGACCAGCAAACGCAATGCTCACGCAACCGTTGAATATCTGCTGGTAAAAGCACCCTTCCTCGAATTTACAATTGCTGCCTCGAAAACCCAGAATTCGAAAACAACCATCTTTAAAACACCATGGCGAAAGACCCCAACAATGTCGTCGAAGCTGTCCGGCAATCCCCTCCCCTTGACATGGGGCCCTACGATCCCTCCGGCGTATCAGGAAAGACAATCATAATCACAGGAGGAGCATCTGGGTTCGGCGAGGGATTTGCAAGGCATTGGGCCGCGCACGGCGCAATGGTCATCATCGCAGATATCAGCAACGGCCAACCTCTCGCAGAGGAGATACGCAAGGCGGGGGGAACAGCACATTACGTACGCTGCGATGTCACGAACTGGCAATCGCAGGTCGATATGTTTCGGGAAGCTGTCAAGCTGAGTCCTCGAGGGACGATCGATGCGGTGGTGTGTAATGCTGGGATCACGGATGTTGGGAATAGCTTCATGGAGCCGGTTGGGATGGATAAAGAGGAGCCGCCGAAGCCGGTGTTTAAGACGGTTGATGTTAATTTGACTGGGGTCATGTACTCGGCGCATTTGGCTATGCATTGGTTGCCTTTGAATGAGAAGCCGAGGAGCAATCCGGGAGGGTACTCGCCCGATAGACATATTTTGTTGATTGGGTCTGTGGCGTCTCTGCTTCCTATACCGGGTCTGGTTCAATATGGCGCCTCGAAGCATGCTGTGCTTGGGCTGTTCGTGAGTTGGCATCCGGTGCATAGTTTGGGGCTTTTCTGATGTTATGCAGAGGTCATTACGCGCCACGTCTTTTGTCAAGGGCATTCGAGTAAATTGTATGTGCACCATTTCCTGTCCCGTTCAAAGCTAACTACTTCTAGTGCTGTGTCCATACTTTATTGATACGCCTCTTATACCTCCTGCAGGGCGATCCCTTCTTCTTGGTGGAGCAATGGGAAAGCCCGACGATGTGGTGGACGCTGGAACGAGATTGATGGCAGATTCTACGATTCATGGCCGGGCTCTTGTCATTGGACCTAGTGTCAAGGTTGACGATGGATGGAAACTACTTCCAGAGAATACACCAGATGTTGACAATGTTGCTGTGTGGGAAGTTCTGGGCAGTGACTTTATCGAAGTTGGTAAGTACAGCTTTCTGGAATTCTACGATCTGGACTGCCTACTGACACCTATAACCTGTAGATGCATTCACGCGGAGATTTGTCTCTATGCTGAATACCGTGGAACGAGTACGAGGTTGGTATGGCTGGGGATATGACCTGTTACGAATGTTGGCATACCCTGTGACATCGAGGTTGAGGAGGTGAAAGCGTAATGTATAATTTATTCTTTATCTAGACTTATAGACATGTGAAGCGGGCTAAATCTAGTGGTTGGTTTCCTCGTTGTTCGGTTATAGCTTTTTATCTCTTTCTGAGGACCGACTTTTCTGGGGTTTCATATCACGAGTGTTGAGAAAGGGATCTGCTTCGCCTGGTTGGATAGTCGTTCTTGCCAAATGGAGCTTGCTCGACTACTTCGAATTGCATCTCCGCACTTTCCTATGAAGAGTTTCACTAGTATGCGGATTCATTTCTTCCTCCCATATTCCCATCTCGTCTTCTCCGCATGGCCGGGAATTCTTCGCAACGTCCAGTCCACGACACAAGACTCGCGTTCGACCATGTGGCAGCGACCAAAATCCTACGACGACCCTTTCATGACCCCTCCCGCTCCAAGTCCAACACCACCACCAACCGACCGCTTCAGATGGGCCCGGCCTCGCAGACTGTCTCTGTTCCGATTCAGACACTACAAGATCATCATCGCGTTGGTCCTCATCAGCATTCTCGGCTTCATACGCCGCTTACCCACAACCACGTACAAGATATCTAGGGCAAACACACCCATCGAAGTCTACAACAGCACCACCATCCCCTACGCCGCCTTCCAACCTCCCGAATCTGGCCCATACCGTGCCCCCGACATCCAAGATACCTTCCAGTCCTACAAGTTCCGAAATACCTGCAATGTCTCGTCGCTCGACCTGCATACTCCATTCAGCCCCCTCTGCCAGGATCAGGAGTCGATGCTGACGGCTATGTCTGGTGGTGGAAGGATTGGACACGATGCGCCGTATATGCCAAGGGGTTGCGATATGAGGTGGTTTACGACGGAGGAGATTTGTCAGATATTGGGTCGGTTCGATAAAGTTGTCTTGGTGGGCGATTCGATGCTGAGGCATATCATTGGGAGCTTGAATATCTTGATACGGAAGGATCTGGGGTATGGTGCTGTTACGGATTGGAATTTCTCGTTGCAGGAAAGGTGGGCTACACATTTCAGCATCAACTTCGAGCTGACTTGCCTAGGAGGGAATGTTTCTGCAACGAGCAATTCGATGTCAAAGCTTGTTCTGTACAGGGAATATACAAAACGGCGGATGTGATGGCACATGACCCTGAGAGTGTTGCTTGTACCAATCCCATCAATGTCATCAGTGAGTACATCAGCACCCAGTATTTCTTGTTCTGACCTTTCTCAGTGGAGGAAATCGTCAAGTACCCTGTTCCCGAGGATGAGATCGATCGTCTTCAAGAGGCTATCACACGGCAGAGGAAGAAACCAATCGCCTTCATATTTGGACATGGACTCTGGAGCAACCTCGATCTACAAAGCTCGATTAATTGGTTGGATGCTGTGCTGAGTGGCATTCGTGATGTCTTGGGGAAGGATTGGACAGGACTATTCGTCACACCAAGCGCTGCTGGGAAAGAAAAGCCGGATGACTGGATTGTGACTCAAGGGAACAAAGCGTTGATGCTCTACGAAGAAGCTATGGGTGTTGTAAGTTCTACGGTGGCATCGGGTTCAGGACTTTGGCTGACTACGGACCTAGCTCGCAAAAGAGCGCGGTATTACTCACCTGGGCACATGGAATATGAGTATCCAGAGTAACAAGTACGATGGAGTTCACCTAGATATGCGGGGAAATCTGGTAAAGGCAATGATGGTTCTGAACTGGCTGAGCTTGGTGGAACAGGAGTAGGTAGACCGTGCAAGATCCGAAACTAATCTCGCTCAACTGCATGCCTTCTTCGCCAAGAAAGAATGCCCAAAACTTTGATACCGAAATCTTTCCTACCTGCGATCATGCGAAGTCGACAAGAAGGGCATGGAATAGTGTCTGCGGGGTAGTGGTTTAGCCTTTCTTGAATGCAATCGACACGAGGAAAGAGGTAAGGGTCAATACAAGTACTTTGCTCTTTCCTTCCACCCCTTGCAACTGATTGTCGATAACTTCCAACTCCTTGCTTCTTCTCAGCATTCGGCATCTTCCAAGTCAACATCACCCACAGTCAGCACAACATATATCATTGTTGCCGCCTCCTACCTTAACGCTTGATCTCGGATTAGCCGACGCCGATATGCTAGTAGAGACTCTCGAACCAGCTGTGGCTGCTCCTACCAATTCATCTGGTTCCCATAGCCAATCCGAACATACTGCTGTGGCGAATGAGTTCTCATCCGTGGACGTGTCCTTTAACTTTGAGGAATATCTCAAATGGTTCGACCCCAGTCAGAAGTATAAAGTGCGCCACCTTGCTACCGGTACGAACGTGACGTTTCTAGCGATCAGGCAGGAGAAATCAAAGGTCGCAATAGAAGGTAAAGGCAATAGCGGGGGACAAGGCCAGGCCCAAATACGCAGTGAAGGCATATTCCCTCGATCATTTATCATGAAGTACTCTCCACCATACTTTGCTTCTTCCCGTGGAGCATTACCAATGACAACGTATCGTCAAGTGAGCAATGGTACATCCCTTATTGGCAAATACTAACGAGCCATCAGCAAGTCGAAGCTAAGGCTTTGTCACTATTCGGTCCTGGGGGGAAATTGGACCATATTTCTGACAGGGCTTCAATCAACATCCCAGATTTCGTTCGCCTTGACGTCCATTCCCACGTTCTAATGGAGTCGGAAATGGGAGGCGTGGTGCTCACGTTGACCGATTTATTGCAAGTGTCGAAGATTGAGGGACCCATACAGACTAAGGTGTCACTCCAAACATCTTTCAGGATAACTGGAAATCGAATTGGAGACTTCCTTGGCGATCTACACGCCCCTTCCACACTTGCGCAGATTGAGGACCACCATTTGAAGCAGTTCCAACACGACGGCATCAAAGAGTTCATCTACTCAGCCAATAAAAAACCCATCAAGGATTATCTAGACTTTGTCCAGGTGGCAGATGGTGTGAGGATATACGGCATCATTGAGCACGACTTTTGGCACGCAGACAACTTGGAGGGCGGTCGTGTCTTTGCTCTTGGGGACATAGGCATAGACACTATTTTGGTTTCTCGTGACGTCCGCCAGATCGGCATCATAGGGTGGCAATACTCCGGACCGGGCCGTGGCCTGAATGGAGACATTCCAAAGCTCATCACTCAGATCCAGGTAATCATGTTGGCAGCCGACAGTGTCCAGAGCCCGGTATACTGTGCAGCTAAAGCGTTACTCACCGGTATCGCGAGTGTTTATCGCTGTTCAAGCAGGAGGAACCTCGCTCCATGGTCAGTAAGCTGGGATGGGAATGTTGGTGATCTGGGATCTCTTCAACTACCAGTGGAGACTGTGAGCATACTTCGTTCTGCCTTTATCGCTCTGGGTACAGAAATGATTGTAGCTGCGATGTCAATGAAGCGTGCTTGTAAGTGCCAGAAGGAAACGATCAGGGACGGGTGCAAACGCAGGAAGAAGCTCGTAACCGAAGGCTGCTGGCATGTTCGTATGGCTGGGAATGACGATGATGCATTCAGGGATAATTGGGAGGATATTTGTGAGAAAGGATCTCCATTAATTCCATTTGTGCTTGGAGATTAAGTTCAAGTCACTCTGGGCCAGCGCTGGTAATTGAAATGGACTGCAGTGGGGTTTGTTGTCTGGGTGCCAAGAGGTTCAACGAGAGGTGCTGGTCTACAGGTCTACCTAGGGCTTTTGAGTAGGTAACGAGGCAATTAATTACTGCATCCAAAGGATAGAGATCCACTTCAAAGTCTGGAAAGCTGAACCCTATCCTCACCCAATCGAACAACGAACTTCCCAATCGCCTGATTTGTGTCAGTTCGCGGCTTGCCCAAGGAAAGATGTCTACTTACCTTTCCCGCAGATATTTGTCGTCCCACTTCGGATAACTCTTCAAGTGTACTCATCTGTACCACTGGATTCACCAACCCCCTCTGCAAAAAGCTCACTGCTTCAAGAATATCCAGGCGCGTTCCAACGGCTGACCCGATGATCCGAATTCCCATATCAATAAACAGAAGCGGATGGAAATTGACCAACTGAGTAGGTGGCGGGATACCGATACAAACCAGTGTTCCAAATGGCCCTAACATGGCCAAAGCATCTTGATACGCTCTTCCAGACCCTGCTGTAACCAAAACAGCTGCTGCACCAAGAAGGCCAGTCTTCTCTTTGACGACTAGAGAAGCATCTTTAGTCGTGGTAACATCAATGTAGACCTCGGCCCCAAGATCTAAGCAATACTGCTCCTTCTCTTTCCCGGCATCAATAGCAATCGTTCGAAATCCCATCGCTTTCGAGTACTGGATTCCTAGAGCTCCAACCCCACCCCCAGCTCCAGAAATGACAACCCATTGACCAGAAGTAGCACCACAAATCTTCAACGCCTTGTAAATCGTCACACCACCACACAAGATAGGCGCGATAAGCTGATCTTCGGGCCCTTCAGGTAAGACTGTCAAATACTTGAACGGCACAACAGCATATTCCGCAAACGTCCCATCGATCTTCCGTCCCGAGTTCAGCTGCTGGAGACATCTCGTCTCTCCCCCATCAATCAAGCACATGGCGCATGTCCCGCAAATATCACGCTGCCACGCGATACCAACGCGCTGCCCGAGCTTGACTTGCGACTCGCTCAATCCAGCACCGAGTTGCACTACTCGACCGACTCCTTCGTGCCCGAGGATAGGGCATGATGGGCCGAGTTCGCCTGATGCGAGCGCGATGTCAGTGCCGCATACTCCTGTTACTGAGAGACGGACGAGGACGTCTTGGGAGCCGGGTTGGGGTAGTGATGCGTATTCGATTGCGAAACTTGGTTTATCATTTTCTCTCTGTTGGGTGTTAGTGTTCTGAACAAGGCAAGCATTGGAGGTGATAAGTACCACGACGACTGCTGTCTTGTGTTTTTCTGGAAGTGACATCTTTTGGTCTTGATCAACAGAACCTTGCCTGGACTTTCGTCCAGGTCTTTTCACGTGGCTTTTGTATCAATACAAAGCACTGGCGCGGCATTGTGGATTTGGAATTTCAGCTTCGGCTGGATGCTGCCAGGGAACAAAACGTGGCTGCTGGGGTTGCGGTAAGCCCCGGAAAAACCCCAGATTGAAACAAACTGTGACCCCGCCAATGCTTAATGCCAACGACCCCGCGGAATATTCACATATTCAGGGGCGTGGGGCCCCACACTATGCTTAACATATATACATACTTTATCTCCAATGGCGCCTATCTGATACCAAGGCAGTGGCTCCTCCCCACAATGATAACAGGCTGAATTGGCGGGGTTAACTCGGGTAGTCCTTTCGGCATTTCCCCATTCTGGTCGTGCGACTACATCTTCGTCAGATCCGAACTGATCGAAGTCTACACTGCTGGTACTGAGGAAACTTTGGAAGATCACGAACAAACCTACAACATGGGAGACGCTTCAGGACAACAGTTCGGGTTTGAAAACTTCAAGAATGTCATTGGCGATGGACTACGAGATGGCTCAGCTTACCACAATGGGATAAACCCATCCGATAAATCTCCTCTATGGGATGTCCCGATCGCGAGTGAAACAGATCTAAATGATGCTGTGAAGACGGCGCAAGATGCTTTCAAGTCGTGGTCGAAGACCACGTGGGAAGCTAGAGCGACTGCGCTTGCTCATATGCGAGACGAATTAGCCAAGCATCGTGAGGAGATGGGGAAACTTCTTATGTTGGAAGCCGGGAAGCCAGTATGTAAATCTAGCACGGCAGTGTTGATAGCGGCTGGCTAATATGGAGTGCAGATACAATTTGCATTAGGAGAAGTTGATGCTTCGATTCATACATTGGACTTTCACAGTGAGTTTCGCGTCAGATATCTGAGATCCCATCTGACACCAAGAAGCCAAACAAGAAGCACCGAAGGAGGAGGTCCTCCAAGAAAACGCAGACCTGAAACTTACCATGCGATATGTCCCCCTTGGTGTCTCTGGTGCCATATGCCCATGGAACTTCCCACTCGTCCTCGCCATGGGCAAAATCGCTGCAGCACTCCTGACAGGAAATTGTATGATCGTCAAACCCTCACCTTTCACTCCGTACACCACCCTCAAATTTATCGAGATCTCCCAGCAATTCCTCCCTCCAGGTGTTCTCCAAGGCTTGAACGGCGACGACAAGCTCGGCCCCTGGATGACCGAACATCCAGGAATCGAGAAAATCAGCTTCACGGGCTCTACCGCCACAGGGAAAAGAGTCCTCATATCCGCAGCCAAGACGCTCAAGAGAGTGACTCTCGAACTTGGCGGCAACAGTGCATGTATCGTCTGTCCCGACGTCGATATCCAGAAAGTCGCGCCGCAAGTTGCCCTTGGTGCATTCTTCCACTCTAGTCAGATATGCGTCGCCAGCAAGCGTCTCTACGTTCACAAGGATATCTACCAGGAGATGCAGAAAGCGCTGGTTGATGTGATCCAGTCGTGGAAGGTGGGGCCAACGAGCGAATCGGGACTTATGCTGGGACCCGTGCAGAATGAGATGCAGTATAATATCGTCAAGTCTTTCTTTGAGGATTGTGCTGTTAATGGGTACGATTTTGCGATGGGTGGCAAAATGGGCGATAAAGGTGGATATGTCATCCAGCCTGCGATTGTGGATAATCCTCCGGATGACTCCAAGATTGTTCGCGAAGAGCCGTTTGGTAAGTCTTTAGTTCTAAATCCTGAGATGGTATTGCACTAACTTTTCGAAGGACCAATCGTTCCCATGATGTCGTGGTCTGACGAGGAAGAATTATTGACCCGAGTCAATGACACGAGGACTGGTCTTGGAGGCGCAGTCTACTGCGCGGATATCGATCGAGCGAATAGGATTGCGAGTCAGATTGAAGCTGGCACCGTGTGGATTAATGGGTTTGAGAGACCGCTGGCGGATGCTTTCTTCTCGGGACACAAGGAGAGTGGGCTGGGAGGTGAGTTAGGGAAGCATGGATTGTTCTCGTACTTGAACGCTCAGGTGATTCATTTGTATAAGACGGATGTTGGGAAGGGTGCGAAGCTGTAAATTGGGATGCATGGTGTCGTATGGCCCCAGGATTCCATGCAGCGGGAGAATTCCTCGCTCTATTCAGTAATCGGCTGCCTTGTGTGAGATAGGGATTAGTGTTAGATCTACAGCTCAAGATCGGCTACTTACATAAGCCTCTCCTAATTTCGACCAAGCATAGATGTTCCTTACAGTGATGGCTCGAGGATTAATGTAGATGGGTAGGCCCAAGACAAGAAATGCAAGTAGCCCATCCAGATCACGTAGCTGAAGGGCTTTACAGTAGGTCTGCTTCTGGATGAGCTGATGTTTGAGACCACAGGCTTTGGCACGGTTGAACGCCCTCAATGTCGTAGTTCGAGAATCACATTCATTAGTAAAACGGAGGAGATATGAACAAAGTGAAGAATTGTTTTTGTAAGACTTCCTCTTATCGATATCTTCTATCTCTTAACCTCGGTATCCAGAGACGCCAAGACAAGCTCGCTCTTAAATTCTGTTCTTCTTTCTCTCCCTTTAAATTAAAATTCTTAATAGTTGGATACTTAATTCTTATACAATCGAACCTCTGCTCTAGATAGCCAGGCTACTATGAGATATACCTAATGCTTGTAACTCGATTTGCCGATCTAAAATATCAACAACTTGCGCACCCTCCTTCGAGCTTGCCCTCCACTTTTTCCATTGATCATCAACCCTATTGACTAGAAGAATAGCATCAGGCCGATCAGCTGGATGTATCTTGATCATATCTCTGATAATATCTCTCAGTTCTTGAGAATATCCGCGATCATTCATACGAGATATCTGCCAGCTGTATTCGTACAGTCTAGGTGGTGGAATACCTGTCATCATTGTGTAGATAGTAGAACCAAGTTCCCAAATCTCGCTGGCGCAGCTGTAGGAATGAGTGTTCTTGTAGGTTTCCTTAGAGCAAAATTAGCATGGATCTTATTGCCGATAAAGCAATTGGACCTACAGGAGGAAAGAAGTACTGCTTCTCGCGAGGAGCATTCTCGACCCTTTGCGCAATCGCCACAGCTCCAGTCACTTTAGCCCATTGGAATCCGCCTAGCTTGCACTCTCCATACGTCTCCTCACCTAGGGTTAGGGTTTGAGGTTTGGGTTATATTTGTTTCTAACTACGCTAGCTTGCGACGAGTGTTTTTATCTCTCTCTAATAGTCTTGAAATACAGAAGGACTATACTAATAATACAGAGGGTAAGAGCCTGAAGGTGTCAGGGGTACAGAAGGTAGAGTACTAAGACAGAAGGAGATAATACAGGGTAAGTGGAGTGTGTACCAAAGGGTAAGTAAAGTGTGTATCAGAGGGTAGGTGTAGTGTGTACCAAAGGGTAGGTAGAGTGTGTGCCAAAGGGTAGGTAAAGTGTGTACCAAGGGGTAGGTTTGGGTTAGGGGTTAGGGTTTGAGGTTTGGGTTATATTTGTTTCTAACTACGCTAGCTTGCGACGAGTGTTTTTATCTCTCTCTAATAGTCTTGAAATACAGAAGGACTATACTAATAATACAGAGGGTAAGAGCCTGAAGGTGTCAGGGGTACAGAAGGTAGAGTACTAAGATAGAAGGAGATAATACAGGGTAAGTGGAGTGTGTACCAAAGGGTAAGTAAAGAGTGTATCAGAGGGTAGGCGTAGTGTGTACCAAAGGGTAGGTAGAGTGTGTGCCAAAGGGTAGGTAAAGTGTGTACCAAAGGGTAGGTGTAGTGTGAGTCGCAGGGTAGGTAGAGTGTGTACCACAGGGTAGGTGTAGTGTGAGTCGCAGGGTAGGTAGAGTGCGTACCATAGGGTAGGTAGAGTGTGTACCAAAGGGTAGGTAGAGTGTGAGTCGCAGGGTCGGTAGAGTGTGTACTATAGGGTAGACTAAGTGTGTATCACAGGGTAGGTGAAGTGTGAGTTACTTAGGGTAGGTGAAGTGTGTGCCGTAGGGTAGGTGTCGTGTGTGCCGTAGGGTAGGTGTAGTGTGTGTTATAGGGTAGGTGTAGTGTGTGCTGTAGGGTAGGTATAGCGTGTGTTATAAGCTACCTACGTGCTAGGATCGAGGTTGCAGCGATTCCTCGAGCCTGAGTTAGGGTGCTAGCGATATACCCGTCTAACCACTTAGCCCTAGAGTGCCCTAATAGGCCCTGTAGGGCCTTATAGGTCTTCGCTGTTTCGGCTTCCATTAGGCCTCCTGCCGAGAAGATCAGGGGGTGAAATACAGGGCCTAAGTCGCTGTATTTAAGCCGTTTAGCGTTTGCTGCCTCTGATAGCGTAGCATAGGCTTCTTCGCGTGCTGAATCCTTGTTGATTGCTACTATTTGAACGTCGTAATAGTGCCTAGAAGTACCTATAAGCACTGAAAAATCCGGTCGTTGGCTGTTTTCTAGGGCTATAGGCGTTCTAGCTGGCGTAGGCTCCGATTCCACTTTAAGGTCTTCCCGGCTAGAAAGGGTAGTAATAAATGCACGGGTAACCTGGTTATGGCGTATAATCCAGCGTCGTTCAGCACCTCTACAGGTGTCTTCGTGGCCTATTTGAGGGTAGGCTCCACAGGCGGTACAGGGCGAAATAGGGGGCTTTACAGGGAGTAAGAGCCTAGTCCGTAGTGCTTCGGTAACTGTAGAATCCGCTAAAAGGTGGTGTTTTTGCGTGGGCAGGGTTCTAAGCCAGTATCGTCCGAGGTAGCTAGCGTTCTCAAGCTTCGATTTTAGCGCTTGTTTTGATAGGGTAGGTAGAATCTTCTCTTCTAGGTCTTGGTTAACACTAGAGAAGACCTCTTGGGCTGTCGGTACAGGGCGTCCAGGGGGTTCCGGGTAGAGATTAGGGCATATAGCCACTAGAATCGATCGAGAGGCTTCCTTAGCTGCCCTATAGAGCCCTGGGGCTAATAAGGCGTGTATAGGGAGCCCTAAGCCTCCCTCTCTCACTGGAAGAGAGAGTAAAGCCTGGCGAATTAGGGTAGTCTTCTCCCCTGGCTCCCTAGCGATTAGGGCTTGTACAGCGTACTTGATTCGTAAGTCCGCTAACCTCCAGAGGTCTAGTAGGTCTTCCGAGTACAATTGGCGCTGTAAGTGTCGTAGGAGTAGGTGTATACTACCCCGTAAGAGTAGGGTAGCGTGTTGTTTAGGGAGGTCTCGTAGGGTATATAGCGCTGTAGCGAGAGTGTCGATTTTCCCCTGGAGAAACGTTCGGCGGTGTGCTACAGGGCCTATAAAGGTCCCTAAGGCCTTAAGTCCAGTGGTTTGTAACTGGGAAATAGGGCTTTCGGTGCTCTTTTGGCGGTTAAGAGCTACTGGAGAGTCCCTGAAGGCTTCTATAACTACAGGGAGTAGTGCTGTAGTTTCAGGGCTAAGGATATAGATATCGTCCAAATAAGCTATAATTGTAGCCTTCGGTAGGGTCTTTTGGAGGTGCTCTAGCAGGGGGCGGATCGCTAGAGAGAATAAGAGGGGGGCAATAGGGTCTCCTTGGCGTACTCCTTCAGCGCTTGCTAGCGTGTGGCCTTCGTTTGTTACTAGCACTGAAGGCTGGTTATAGGCCCATTTAGCGGTCCGATAGAGAGTAGGGGCGTATTTAGCGACTGCAGCTGCTATTGAGGTTCGTCCGATTCGGTTATAAGCGTTGATAAGGTCTAAGGAGGCGATTTGCTGAGTTTTTAGGGTATTTGGGCCGGTAATAGCGTCGTCAAGGAGGAAGATTATAGGCTCTACACCACCTGGGGTGCTAACGCCTAATTGGCAGGGTAGAAGCATAGACGGCTTGAAGGAGCTGATAAGGATCGCTTTTAGGGCTACCTTATAAATAAGGTCCCCTATAGCGATCGGTCGCACACCTCCGTCAGGCTTCTGAAGGCCTATAAGTCGGGAAGCACATAGGAGGTCGACCCCTGGAGCTGTACCCTGTCGAATCATATTCGCTAGGTGTGTAAGCGCTATAGTTACAGGGGAGTTTTCCGAATTTAGCGCTATATCAAGTAGCGGGCGGGTCCAGCCGCTGAGGCCAGGGGCTTTCTCTCTATTAATCGATCGAATAGCCTGTCGTATCGTTTCAGGGGTGATATTTTGCCCCGGGGAGGGGTTAGCGTTACTGAAGGGGTTATTATGCCCTATAGGGTGCTTCGAGTATAGCGTATTTAGCGTCTCTGGAGTGCTAGGAGCTAGAGGCGTAGGGTCGATTAGGGCTCTAGAGGCACGCCCTATATAGCCTTTTTCCAGAAGCTTAGTCGCTCTTTTGGCGGGGGAGTCGTTTGAGGGGGTAGGGGGTTCAGGGGGAGGTCCCTGAGTTTCAGGGATATCCGGTATAGTCGTAGGGTAGGCTTTCAGCGTTTTAGCGAGCTCTTCCTTCTGTAATCCTAGGCCGAGAACCCTGGGAAGCAGTAAAAAGTCCAGTAATTGCTTCTCTCTAGGCTGCCGTAAGAACACTAAAGCCGCTCGATTAGCGGCCTCTGTAAATAGCGCTGCTTGCCTGGCGTGGAGACGTGTTTCAGGGACCTTAATAGTGCTATATCTCATGAGGGATTGCATATAGGGGTTTCTTAGCGCTGAGCTTATAGCGTTCAAGTGGTCTTTAGCGCTCTCGTCTAGGGGTGTAGGCGCTGAGGAAGCCTGTGGGTGTAGGGGTGTAGGTGCTGAGGTAGCCTGAGGCTGGGGGCAGTGGATCGATTGTTGTAATCCAAAGGGTAGCTCAGATGTGAGGGGGTCGGTAGGGCGTTTTAGTGTTGACGTTCTAGGGCGTTTAGGCGCTGAAGATGCTGTGCCTTGTGTTGATATAGGGCGTTTAGACGCTGTAGGCCCTATAGTACGGCCCTGGAGTGTTGGGTTACAGGGTAGGCTAGGTGTGGAGGTTTCGCAGGGTAGGTGAGTTGTGGTGTTTTTAGAGGGTAGGTGAGTTGTGGTAGTTTTGGAGGGTAGGTGTGTTGTAGGGGTTGTTGGGGGAGAAGAGCTTATTATTATAGGCTCTTTAGCGTGAGAGGGTGCTGAAGCTTGGGGAGCTTTAGGGGGTGGTTCTAGGGGTGAGTA